TATTTAATTATTTAATTATTTAATTATTTAATTATTTAATTATTTAATTATTTAATTATTTAATTATTTAATTATTTAATTATTTAATTATTTAAAATTTTTAATTAGAGATTTTTGTTTTTTAAGAACTTTACACCATTCTGAATCAGTAATTATACCTGATTTATTTTTATTTAGGAAATTTAAAAGTAATGAACTAAATTCGCCACCAATTCTACCTAAACTTTGAGAACAGTAAACAATTTGTAGTAATAGTGAGTCTCTAATTTGAATATCAATAATTTTGGGAAAGTTTTCTCTTAGGATGAGGATTAGATGGATGATGATATTTTTAATGAAACCGTATAGTAATTGAGTGTTATCGATTTTATCTGGTTGTTGGTTGTTGGATGGAAAAATGGTTTGGAAAGTGATTATTGAAGAGAAGCAGTATTCTCTGATGACTTCTATTGATCTTTTGATGAATTTTTCAGTTGAGTGAGATTTCAAAGGATTTAAGACAGATAGTTCGTTTATAATAAACAAGTATCTTGAGTGTAGGTAGATTCTTTTTAGATTTTTGTTTAGGGAGATTGAGTCGTTGAAGGGCAGTATTTTTCGAATGTAGGATAGGACTTTTATGGTGGTCGACTGTTTTAGGTCAGATCTTAGGAGACGAATTAGGGCAGAGAGCATGTATGAGATTTCTTTATTGATTTCGATTGAGATTGAGGATATTAGGGGGATGTTTTGGTATTTTGTGGATAGTTGTTTAATGTAGGAGTTGATTTGTAGAGATTCTGAGTAGTAGCCTGATTTGACACAGGCGTTTGTTAGAGAGGGGAGTTCTAGGATGTCGATTATATTGTCCATTGAGTTTAGTAGAAGGGTTAAGTTTTTGTCATTGATGGATAGGTTATCGTTGTTGTTTTCATTTTGGTGATGATTATGATTATGATTATGATTATGATTATGATTATGATTATGATTATGATTGATATTGTTGGTAAGAAAGGGAATTGAGGATTTGAAATTTTTGATTAGGAGATTGGATATGTTTGAGTTGGGGTTTTTTAGGTAGTCAAAGAGAAGATTTGATTGTGCAGCCAAGTTTTGGTTAAAATTTTGAATTAAGAGGAGAAGATCTGATCTTGATTTTAGGATTAGATGCTGTGAATTTAGGAGAGAAGATTTCAAGTTGTTGTCGATTATTCTCTGGGAGGAGTCTAGTTCAGCTATTTCGTTAATGATTGAGAAATTGTCGATATGATTGGTGGTGGTGGTGGAGGTGTTTAGATTGAAGGAATCATTTGACAATAGGTCATTGAGATAGTTTAAAGCGAAGGAGTTGTAGGATGTGTTATTGATTAGGAGGTTGATGTTTTGGGGGAAGTTTGTAGATAGGGAGTCTAGTAGGAGGGATACATTTGGGTCTGTAGAGTGTTGCATTGTTGAAGAGAGTGGAGTGAGTTGGTATATATAAATGAGTGGTGGGTGATTGAATGGATATAAGGTTTTTAGAAGTGGAAATAAAGAAATTGAAATTGACAGAACATAAATGGTGGGCGGGTAAGTGAGCAAGCGAGTGAGTGAGCGAGTGAGTAAGTGGACGATGAGAAAGATGGAGTTAAAATGGGTGGGAGTATTTTATTGGTAACTGAAGTTTGAAACGTTGAAAATGATATTGATATTTAGTCAATTAATAAAGTTGAGAAGGATGAGGAAAGAAGAGATAGTGGTGAGTGGGAGATAAGTGAATTGAAAAGGAGCGGTTTGAAGGGAGGAAGGTAGAGGGAGCCATGGGAGTGGATTCAGGAAAACTGGAGAATTGGAAAACAATATGTGAACACGCTGATGTAGCAATGCGCATTTAGAAGTGGGTAGACGCGATTGAAGGCGTAAGTACGGAGTGGTAACCAATGAGAAAGCTGTGTGCAAGCGAGGACAGATGATGGAAAAATTGGAAATCTGTAAAGGAATGTTTGTGTTGAGTCAAAAGTTGGATGATAATTTTTCTTTTTATTCAGTTAGTGAAGAAAAAGGTATTAAAGAAAGAGAAAAGCAGGACGAAAAGGCAGAGAATAGCAGAGAAAATAGGAGCAAGGTGAAGGCAAAGCGAAAGTCAAACGAAGGGCTAACAGTAGCAAGTAGCAGATTAGATACAGACCAAGTGGAAAGCAGTGGAAGGCAGTGGAAAGGAGAAATATATTTAAATAGATTGTTTTTTCAATAAATGTGATTGGAGATATCTATGATTGACTTGTAAAGTAAAAGTTTTTGTAATATAATATATAATATAAGGTAATAGAAGATAATAGAAGATAATAGAAAATCCCAAAGAACAGTATAATATAGGATAGCATAGTACAGCATAGCATAGTATGGCGCTACATAATTACATTTATTCCAAGCATCAAGATGATGTTATCGACAAAATAGCCAGACCCAGTGATTACAATTTCAACAAGTTTCGATTAAGAAAGAGTGATCCGAACAGTGAGCTCAAGGTCAAACACAAACACAAATACAAATACAAAGACAAAAGCAAAAGTCAAAAGCGCAGGCAAAGCCCAAACAGAGAGCAGAATAATAGTAGTGCTCATGCTAGTCACAAAAGGGAAAGACATGGAGGTGGCAGACTGGCCAATGAGAGCGGTGGAAAAGAAGATAAAGAGAAGAAAGAGCAAAATGGAACAGATGAGCAAAGTGGGATTGAAAAGAAGAGTGAGCATAGGGATCACACCCATCGCTTAGGCAGCGATGAGAGCAGCACCAAAAGGGCAGACAAAGATGGTGGAGAGCAGCTGCTTGCTGGGCACGATTCAGACAAAGAAGTTACAAAAGATGACGCCAGCAAGCTTCTTGAGAGATGATATATAAAATGTAAATGCTATTTGACACCTATCTTTCATTGTAAGAAAGCTCTTAGTCCAGATAGGCTCTAATCAACAAATTCAACGTCTTTCTGACCATCAATAATCGCAAAGCATGAGATGGGAACTCAAGTCGGCGGGCGTGTTGAAAACCAACCAGCCCGCACAAACATGCTCGCACTGTCTAGAGATGATGGTTTGTTGGTGGAAGAAGAGCAACAGGAGCAAGAACTGTTGCTTATATTCCGTCCCTCAAACCACACCGCCCGGGTAACACAGCAGACGAGCCAGGGCTCTGGCGCACTTGCGATGCGGAAAACTGCGTGGAGAACGCATGACTATGCGCTGGGATGCCGAAGGTTCCCGGACAACCCACGTGCGTGGTTTGAAGCAGGTGCCGGGGGTGCAGTGCCGAGCGAGCAGCAGCGGTGTCCGCGCCCAGTGCCGGTGCTTACCTTACAAATGCGCGTGCTGTGATTGCAAGGGAATAACAGTGGAAGAGGCGGCGAGAGTGGCAGTGGAAGCAGCAACAGCAACAGCAACAGCAGCAGCAGCAGCAGCAGCAGCAGCAGAAAAGGCCTGGCTCACCAACGACATCCAGCGTATCAGCACTCGGAGAATCGTAGCATCATACCTCGCACTCATTCTCAGCGCTATATACCGTTCCGTCATCCTCTAAGAAAAACCCGGCTTAATAAGTCCATCGCTGGAAGTTTTCGTTTTCTGAAAGATAAAAAAATAATCACTTAGAAATAGTTTAGGAATAGCTGAGGAATATCGCTTGTGCTTTTGCTTTTGCTTGTATCTGTTCAGTGTTGTGTTACGTTGTTACTGCTCCTGTTATTTGCATCCTGTATTCTGATTCTGATTTTGGTTCTTATTCCTGTTCTTATTCTGTTCTTGTTCCACCACTCCAAGTATCTCAACTATTCTGCCAAACATCTCACCTAATTGATTTATATTTCACTACTCAACTACTTCATAATTAATTCACTACTCTCAACCACTCTCAACCACTCTCAGCTACTTTCCAACATAAATTAAAAGCCTACTTCTTTACTCATTTACTTATTCCCATCTGCTCCCATCTAATCTAACTCAATTTTATCAACTATCAACTATCAATTATCAATTACCGATTTTATTTTCTTATATCTATTCTCTGTTTCCCAACATATTTATTTCATCTCTTTACCTACCTTCCTTTCTATATTTATACATATCCATATTCCATTTCATTTCCTTTTCTTTTACTTTTCTTTTACTTTTCTTTTCCATTTTTCTTTTTGTTTTTATTTCCATTTCTATTTTTGCTTTCCCATTATACTTTACTGGCCTCTTATCAATAGTATCACAAGTATAATACATTACTATCAAAAATATTATTATTAATATTATTATTAATAATATTAATCCCTCCCTTATCATTCTTAAATGATAACCATAAATCCATATTCTAATTTCATCTCGACTTCTTAATATCAACCTCAACCTCAACCTCAACCTCAATCTCAATTCCCAATCCCAATCTCAATCTCAATCTCAATCTCAATTTTACTACTCTGTTCTACTCTGCTCTACTCTGCTCTATACTATAACATTATCCTCTACTAACATCTTCTACTATCCTCATAATGTCTGAAATTAATACCCAAAATATCGATAATCCAACTTCAATTATTAATAATATCGATAATAACAATACTAATCATAATAATAACAACACTAATGATAATACCAGTACTAGTACTAATACTAATAATACTAATACTAATAATACTAATAATACTAATAATACTAATAATACTAATAATACTAATAATACCAATGATAATAACGCCGATACAAATTACGCTGATACCTCTGATAAAAATAAAAATGAAAATAATACTAATAATACTAATAATACTAATAATACCAATGATAATAACGCCGATACAAATTACGCTGATACCTCTGATAAAAATAAAAATGAAAATAATGATAATGAAAAGAATAACAATAACAATAACAATAACAACAATATTAAAAACGAAAATAACCAAACAACCACATCAATCACCCCAATCACCCCAATCACCTCAATCAACTCAATTACAAATTCTATTCACCAAATCTCTAACGCCCCCATTGTATCCTCAAAAATAACAAAACCATCCACATCTGACCCTTTGAAACCACCAAAAAAGAAACAAAACACCTCTCCCACTTCTTTTTCCTCAACCTCTTCAACCTCTTCAACCTCACCATCCTCCACATTTCCTTCTCAAAACATCAACATCAATATAATAACAAACGACCCTCCAATAAAGGGCACACAGCCCATCCCCAAAAAATCGGCTGTCATCAAAACTGATAAACCAAGGCCCCATGTCTGTCCCATATGTACAAGAGCCTTTGCCAGACTAGAACATCTAAAAAGACACGAACGTTCTCATACAAACGAAAAACCCTTCCAATGTGCTGCCTGTGGAAGATGCTTTGCAAGAAGAGACCTAGTCCTAAGGCACCAGCAAAAATTGCACGCAAGCCTAACAAACAGCAGCAGCAACAACAACAACAACAACTCCACAAATCATACTTCAAACTTGGGTGGTCTCACCTCCTTAACCTCAAATGGCAGGTCCAGAAATAGAGCCGTCAATCACAATATCATAGAACATAAAAATAACACTGACAAAATTAAACCACTCCCTGGCCAATTATCTTTACCCAACTTTCCAAACATCAATCTATTAACAAATCAACCTCATCCCAATTCCCTGTCTTTTTTCTCGAATCAAAATCAACAAATTCTTCCTCATTTCTCTCACCACCAAAATAATCAAAATAGTCAAAATAATCAAAATAATCAAAATCGCAATAACCAAAATAACCAAAATAACCAAAATAACCAAAATAACCAAAACAATCAAAACAATCAAAACAATCAAAACAATCAAAACAATCAAAACAATCACATCCCTCATCATCATCATCCTCATCATCATCCTCACCACATGCCTCATCCTCACCACATTCCTCCCCCAATATCACACCCAATGTCCAATTCTTCCTCCAACACAAATAGTTTTTCCAACGATTACAACTCAAACAATTCTCTTCCATCTTCTTCTCAATTCATTCCTCCACAGCAATTTTCCTCAAATTCTCATCATCCCCATCATTTAATACCTCATCATCTACAAAAACCTTTATCTCATTCTCATTCTCACTCTCAATCTCATTCTCAATCACCTCCTCAATTAATAAAACAAAATTTTCTGTCTTCCAATAGTCCAAATAATAACTCAAATACAAGCATTAATCTTCTCAATAATAACAACAACAATAACAATAACATTCAAAATAATAATGACACTGATAATAATGACGATGTCCCGGATAACAACCCATTCAGTGCTTTTCAATATCCTCCCTCATTTCCCTACCAGATTCCTCAAGTTCGTGCCAACTTTCTTGACTCCAATAAACCTATCAATAACAGACAAATTTATTCTCACAACAAAAATTCTCCCTCAGTTTCTTCAGATTCTCCCACTACAAACTTATTGCCTTCTCCTCCAAAATTACTCTCAAACCCAAATTCTAACGGAGCTTCTCCAAATGATTCCTTTTATAATAACATCAATAATAAAAACTTTATTATCAATAATAATCACAGCAATAATAACATGAACAACATGAACAATAACAATATCAATAGCATTAATAACATTAACATTAATACCATTAATAACATTAATAACATTGGTAATAGTGCATTTCCGATATTAAGTCCCTCTTCGACTTTTTTATCCTCAAACATGTCAAGATCTGCTACAAATGACTTGCAGAATATTCCAAGTAACACTTCAACTCCATCTTTATCTAGTAACTCAAACCTTAATCACAATCACAACCATATACTCAATCCCAACCTAAATCAAACCCAGCATGAAGATATACTAAACTCTTTTCAAATGTATCATTCTCAACCTTTAAGTCAATCCTCTTCAATATCCAATATCAAAAATCAGCCTTTGGCTAGAACAGTCGCTAAAAATTTACAAAACCAAAATCAAAATCAAAAATTTAATGGAAATTCTAATGGAAACATGAATCTTAATATAAGCGCTAGCATCAATAATAGTCTCAATAATAGTCTTAATAATAGTCTAAATAATAGCGTAAATAACAGCATTGTGAATCTTCCAGGTGATAATCAAAATGGTATAACAAATATTGATAACAGTGATAACAATATCAATAACAATATCAATAATGATATCAATATTAACAACAACAATAACAACAATAACAACAATAAAAATAACAGTTCTTCATCGGTAAATTATGTCAGACATCGCCATGCCTCATTTTCTGCTACTTCTGGTTCATCTTATACACTTCTCAAAGACGCTAAAGCTATTCAAAATCAAAGTCAAAACCCTGAAGGACCACGCCAGGTTGGATTCTCTACTCCTCAATTATCTGCAACTGAACTAGCTTCTAAAGCTGCTTTGTCTGGTGTTGATTTAGATACTTTAGGAATTAGTTGGTTCGGTCTTGGAAACTTTCAATTAGATTCAAATGCCCAAACTCAACCACAAAAAATGTCAGAGACAAATTCTATGGCATATAATAATAATGATAATGAAAACAATAACATTAACAATATCAATATCAATACTACTACTACTACTACTACTACTACTACTAATAATAATAATAATAATAATAATAATAATAATAATAATAATAATAATAATAATAATAATAATAATAATAATAATAATAATAATAATAATAATAANAATAATAATAATAATAATAATAATAATAATAATAATAATAATAATAATAATAATAATAATAATAATAATAATAATAATAATAATAATAATAATAACAATAATAATAATAATAATAATAATAACAATAATAACAATAATGATACTAGTAGTAATAGTGATCCTCAAATTAAACAAGAATTCTCTTACTTTGATCAAAATTTGAATCTTGGTGATAGACTGAATAACCCAGGTTTTACTCCTGGAAGTTCTAATCGTCTTCAAGATTTCATGAATACTCCATTTGGGTTTGGTTTATTTTCTTCAAAAGAATTTCCAAGCGATAAACAAAATAATAATAATAATAATAATAACAATAGAAATAACGCTGATTTAAATAATGGGGACAATAACAAAAACTATAACGAATTTAATACTAATACTAATACTAACAATAATAACAACAATAATAATAACAATAACAATAGCAATTTTAATAGAAGTATTAATAATGGCAGTAATTTTATTAATATAGGAAACAATTCACATGATATTGATATTCCAATTCTACAAGAATATTTGCATATAGGTGGTGCTGGAGGTGGTGCTGGTTTTGAAGATTATGATTTCAATGATTTTGAGTTTCTTAAACAATTCCAGAATTCTAACCAGGAAACCCCTGCAGATCAAAATAACAATCCTGACGGAAAAGAAATAAATTCGGTTGATGGTTGGCTTGAAGAGTTTTTGACTTTACCAGCAGATATTGATAATAATAAAATTGATGTTAACTATGTTGGTTTTCCAGTTAAACACAACTCTAAAAAGAGAAAACATAAAAGTTCAACTGGTTATTCTAATCTTAATCCGAACTTGAAATCAAGCCCAAATTTCAACTTCAAATCTAATAACAACATGCTACCCGGGAATTTTAATTATTCTAATAATTTTCAACCCAATTCCAACACAAATATGAATTCAAATTCAAATATAAATTCAAAAATGAATTTAAATGCTAATTCTAATGTTAACACTGGTAATATAAATCTTTTTACTGGTAATAAAATCAATGCTAACATGAATTTACCCGCTGATGTTAATATGAGCCCTGTTGCTAGTATTTCATCTGGAACAGGCAGTCCTGGATCCCCAGATATATCTTCTTTATTTAGATCAAGACAGATCGATTTATTCAAACAGCAAAATAGTATAATCAGTCAAAAACCTGAATTAGATCCTAATTTGGCCCGAAGAAATTCTATGAGTTTGTTTAATAATACAAACTCTCCTCAATTCAATTACACCGAAGACGGTTTATTTCAGTATAATTATAACTTATTTGATAATGAAGCTAGAAACAGCATATTAATATTAAATCATTTGAAAGATGAGCAGTTTCCCTCTGTTAGGGAATTGAATACATATCTTTATTTATATGGCAAAGAGTTTGATCAATATTTCCCGTTTGTTCATTTTCCATCTTTAAATGCAAAGCTGGACAACATTCCTTTGATTTTGTCTGTTGCAGCAATCGGTGCTTTATATTCATTCCATTCTCAAAATTCAATACTATTATTTAGTGTTGCAAAATTTTACATTCATAGTTTTTTGGAGAGAAATAAGAATTTTAAAAATGATGAAGTTCCTCTATGGCTAATTCAAAGTTTGACTCTTAGTATGTTTTTAGGGATTTTTAATGATGAACATGCTATAGCTGGATCGATATCAAAGCAGTTAAATTCATTAATTTATTTGGCAAAAAATTGCAATCTACATTTGCCATTAGAAAGCTTTATTACACCTCCTCCAGTTTTATCTCAGGATCAAACTCAAAATAATATTAATTATACACCAACAGTACTAAAGAATAATTATGAATATTTTATTTTAGCTCAATCGAGAATTAGAACTATACATTCACTATTATTAATATCTGTTTTATTTGATTCCTTAATAGGAATTCCAATAATATTAAAGTCTCAGGATATCAAGTGTGGTTCACCTTGTCATATTGAAAATTTATGGAGATCGGGAAATTATAAACAATGGTTTCAGGTTTTGAAACAATACAATATAATAATTGATTCCAAATTTTCCCTAATACAAATTAGTAGCTCTGAAAGCTTTACTGATTGTATCAAAGCATTAAACAGGCATAACCACACTGAGCTTGTAAGTAAGCGTTACAGCTCTAAAACATTGCTTAGTTTATTGATGAGCATTCATGAAAGAATCTATATTGAAAGGGTTGAATTGAATAGCTCCAAATCAAATGAAGCAATGAAAGTTATGAAGTGGAGAATGGCTCAAAGACCAGAGATTGAATCATTGATAAAAGCTTGGGAAGTTCTATTTGTTAAAAATGGCGGAGTATTAATGACAAACAAATACAATATGCAACTGATTAAAAATAAGCCGTTGATAAGATTAATACTACCATTGCTATGTTTTGCCAAAATTAGATTATGTGTTTATTTAACCCCGGTAATTGAAAGCATTTGGTTGAAGAATTGGGATGGTATGCATAATTCTTTAGCAGCATTAGGAAATGATTCGGAAGCTTTAAGGGAAAGTTCATCATTTGCATTAGATATAATAGAATTGTGGATCAACCAAATTTCGATTATAAATGATGCAGAGAAAACATCGGCTAGAACACCAATTTTTTTCATAACTTGCACATTTAGTGCTATTTTGGTATTGTCGGAATATATGTATCACTTGGAAAATATTGCAAGCAATTCTTACATGAGTGATATAAATGGTAATATTGGACAGATTATGGCAACAGATACTGCATTATTTTTGAGATGTGCTTCAGTTTATAAACAAGTTGAAACACAGTTATCACCAAAAGGACTAAGTAAAACATTTTCAGAATATTTGAGAATACAAGCAAAAGGGGCATTAGATGTTGATAATCTAGATGATGAATTAAACAGATTAGCAGAAGCAAATTTTGACTATCAATGTTTGACTAACGCAATCAGACGTTCAAGATTATCCTCAAAGTCATTATATATTGGGGTTAGAATATTAGGAGATGCGCCAGTTTGGCCAGCTGCAATGTTATTTGCTGAAGCTCTTAAGAATAGAGCGACATTTATCTCAAGAAACCTGATAAATTCTCCTCAAGAAGTTAATCATAAGGCATAATTTAAAGATTGGAACTATAAATAGGGCAAAATATAGTAATGATGATAATAACAATAATGATAATAACAACAATAATAATAATAATAATAAAGTAATAATTAACAATATGCAGGTTAATCGTGTATTTTTAGGTTTTTTTAATTTTTATTTTGGTTTTAAATTTTTTATTTGTGTTTTTCACATTTAAAAAAAAAATCTTTATAAAAAAATAAGAATTAACTTTTTTATTCTTTTTATTAATTTTTTTTTATATTTAACTTTTGATGATTTGGATAATCATATACCGTTTTCATTACAATTAATTTAAAACAAACAAATAAGAAAGCAACGATACAATTAATGAAAACAAAAAACTAAAATCATGGAATAAAACTAAAATTTAAATTTAAAAGGCATTTTGTTTAAATTTTAACGAATTTTTTTATATTAGTTTGGTTTTTTTAATAATTTTTAACGATTTTTTATTTTACTTTGAAACTTTTTTTGTATATTGGGATGATGTTTAGATTTCATTTATTTTTTTAATTGTTAACTTATTTTGTGTACATTTTTTAATTAGTTATATTTTTTTACAATTCTTTTATACTTTTCTTAAAAAAATTTGTGTATTTTTGTGTGTTTATCTTTTTGAAATTCATTATTTGATTACATATTATCTCCAAGTTTATGTCACTTTGGTAAACAAAGTTGGCTAGTGTATTGTATGGAAAGTAATACAAATACTATGAATTTAATATTACTATTCTTTAACTTATAATTTATAATACATTGGTTTATCAAGGAAATGTCACGTTTAAAATATCTCTTTTTCCTGATAGCGAAGTGTTCTGATAAACCACTGTAGTTTTTATATATCTTTAATTTTATCATAAATTCCCTTCGACACAACCATAGTTGGAATTCAAATCATCCAGCAGCAGTTATTCCCATGTCAATTGAAGAATATTTAACAGCAAGCTTACTTAAATATGAACGATTTGGGCCGAGCATACGAACATATTCGAATATCGGTTGCGTTAAAAAATAATTTGAAATATTATTCGAAATATTATTCGCAACAATTAAAGTTCCGTATAGTTTTCGAAATGCAAACACACACGTGACAAAAACAAATGCATATTTTAGATCCAGTCAAGATCCGACTAGATACAAAGTCATTCCAATTAAACCCGTCCTATTCCGGTTACGTTTAGGTTTATTTTCGGTTTGTCCTCGGCTGATGATGACCCGTCTATTCCGTCCCGTATTTATTCATTGTTTCCACTACTGCGTTTTGGCTTGAAAGCTTGTTATATTTGAACCCAATTGCAATTCTGTCTGGTTTTTGATTAGAAATCAACAGAAATCCAATAATACCTATTTGACCCTGTTAACATAAACAATAACTTTAAGATGATGTAAAATCATTTTAAGAAAACCACTAATTGTATTTTTTTACAAAAGGAAGACCTTGGAATGAATAGAACAGGTTTTTAGATACATTGTTTTTGTCAATGTAAGAGGTTAATGAAAGTATTTTTGTGTAGCAGTGTTACTGATCAGAATAATTTCTCAAAATCTTTATTTTTTCAGATTCAAGATTATAGAAAAATAAAATCAGAAAATGAAATTTCTTTTGTGCATTACTACAAGTAGAAAATGTGAAGGGCAGCATATTCTACTATGAAAGGTGCTCGGATCATTCTTTATCCTCTCCAATATCGCGGAGAAACATAAATCCTGCTAAGAAATCGTTTATAAAGATTTATAATGGTATTTTTTGTTTTTAAAACCCACTTACAATTGAAAAATCAAATTAAACAGTGAAAATAGTGACATACAGTAATAAATTTCTGTGGGTAAAAATGTTGATCCAACAATTGGTAAATTACTTGTTCTTAGATTGTATTCTTTTTTTTCAATAATTAGATGCAAGAAAGATTCTAAATAAAATCTTCAGGATTGTAAAAAACAAAAGGTTTGCTTTTAGATCAAGAATATTGAGTATCAACTAATTTATTTCTTTAAAAGAAAATCCCCAATCTTAGCTCAACCTAGTTTTTATCTTAAACAGGAAAAAAATTTGAATATGGTAATTTCTTTCAACACTTAGCACAAAATGATTTGGATCAATAGATGATATTATTGGTGCTATCCTTGGATTTTAAAAACTCTTAAACTCATTTGCTGTTTTTTTATAAAAAAACCACAAGAGTTGTATGTATGGTTTAAAATCACACTCGCATAGCTTTAACCTGTGGTATTTACCAGGTAAAAGTTTTGTTTTAGTAAGGAGATATATTGTATTAATTTTGAAATATAAAAAAAAATATTTCCTAAAGTAGATTGCAGCTACAGAAAAAAAGATATTTCACATGCACTTGTAATTAAAATGATTTAAAATGATTTAAAATTCAGTTATAGTTTAGTATCAAAGTTATCATGAGATGTTTCAGCTGAGAAAAGGGAAAGCACTGGAAATAAACATGGAAATGGAAATTGATAGCAATTCGATAAACTAGACAAAGAGAAAAAGGGGAAGATGTGGGTGTGTAACAAAGCATACAAATTGTATGAGAAGCAGTCGAATGAAGTTTTTTTGAAATGGTTTTATGATTTTATGATTTTATGATTGCTAATTAAAAGAACACCAAAGTATTGCAGAAATTCAGAAAGGGGGCGATTATCGTGTGTGAATAGTCTTTTGTAGATGAGTGGAAAAGAAGTGACTCCTTATTTCAGTTTAAAAATGAGTAAAGTAAAAGTCATGTTGAGAATCATGAAAGATACAATATATTAGTATAGCGAAGCGAAGTTATTTCATTGATTCATTTACAGTCCAATGGATAACGCTGTCAAGAGCTGTTTAACAAATGGTGGTGAATGGAGATGATAAGCAGAAGACAAGTTGAACAAAGCAAGTGTGTAGAGGTTAAAGAGGGAATGAGAATGAGAATGGGAATGTGGTTAGTGTGGGTTTTGAATCAAAGGAAACTTAGATAAGGGACAAGTTCTGATAAAGAGCAAAGGGGTTTAGATGGTTAACACCCCCAAGAAGTTTGATAAAGAGCACAGAAAGTGTGCAGAAGTGGCCCAGAAAAGTTGTCTCTGTTTGTTTAAGTGTTTGGAAATTTATTTAGGTGTTTATTTAAGTTTGCGTTATATAAAACAAGGTTGAAGTAAGAATAAAAGCTTCTTAAAAGTAAAAAAAAAAATTTATTAAAAAAAAAATATAAAAAAAAAAACTATAGTGAATTATATAAAAATCTTTATTTATTTTCATCAATTTGAAAAAAAAAAGAGAGAAAAAAAAAGATTAACTGAACACTAGTGAAATTCGTGTGGTGCATTACTAATTTATGGTTGATAAATTTATTGATATATTGATTTATTGGCTGAATAATATATTAATTGATTAAATTGATTAAATTGATGTTTGGATAGATTGTTTTGATTCCTTTAAAACCCCCCCCAGTATATGTCATAAAATATAAATGATAGAAGTAAAAATAAGTTGCTGAACGATAAGAGAAAGCAAAAATATTATTAGTTTAAGAGATCTAAAATAGATGATAAAAAACTGTTCGAATAATAAAAATTTGAAGTTAATGGATGACACTGATTACGGTATTTTAGATAGACAGTTGGATAGATAGTTGGATAGTTATAATATACAAGTTTAAAAAAATTATTCGATTTTATAATAGTACAAATTATTCGATTTGTGAATTGATTCTTTTGTGAATTGAAGTAGTAAGGTTGTTATTATCGTTAGTGAGTTGGTTGAGATATTGATTGAATATTGGGATGTGTTGTCGTTAAGTTGATTAGATGTTTTGAAGCTATTATTTCATGTTGTTATCGAAGTAATTTTTGTAATAACGATTCAATTCCTATTGAGATTGTTTTGTGAATTAGTTGAATATTTGTCGTTTGTTTTGTTTGTTTTGCTTTGCTTTGATTTGTTTTGATTTATTTTATTTTTAATTTTGATTATTTTTTTTTTGTTAAGATAGAATTGTGAGATTATAATTTACGGAATTCGGTAAGCACAGGATAAATAGCTTCAAAGGCTTTATAAATTTCTTCACGTTGTTTTGCACCAGTCAAGACAATTTTACCAGAAACAAAAATCAATAGAACGATTTTGGGTTTCACCATTCTGTAGATTAAGCCAGGGAACAATTCAGGTTCGTAAGAACTGAAAGTACCATGGGAAAAAGCCAAACCCTCCAACCTTATTGGGAATTTGACGTCACAAGAGCCAACAATATTTTGGATTTTAAAATCTGTGAATTTGGCATTGAAACCCAACTTCTGAATGATTCTGGCATACTTTCTTGAGGCTAATTTTGAGTCGTCTTCAGATTTGGCACCAGTAACAACCATCTTACCAGAAGCAAATATCAAAGCAGTGGTTTTGGGGTTACGGATTCTCATAATAACGGCAGCAAAACGCTAGAAGAAAGTTAGTTAGTAGGAGAAAGAATGGAGTGGAGTGGGAGCAGAGAGTTGTAACATACCTTTGGGTTGTACTCAGCATTTCTTGCGTGCAAGGCAATGGTCTTCAAGTCGAGTCTGCAATCCAAGTTGACGGTGGCAACAATGTTCTGCAAGGTAGGAACCAAGTCAGTAGTTGTGGCATCATCTTCAAGAGTAGCAGCAGGATCAGAAGATTGTATTTGGTGGTTGTTTGGGAGATTTATTTTGGAGACATCAGTCTCGATGCTGTTCATGGGAAAGATTATGTTAGAGTTGAAAGCATCTTTGGCACTTTGGGGAGTTTCGGGTTTGAAGTTAAAGTTCATGTTGGCAAGAAGCTATAGTATAGAAGAACAAGAAGAAAACAAAAGAATAGAAATGTATTTGAGTATTGAGTATTGAGTATTGAGTATTGAGTATTGAGTCTATGAAGAGGAGATAAAAGCTAATTTACCACCAGAGCGTCAAGAGATGAATGAGAATTAATGGTCCACGTGATTCCAGCTACCTTTTTCCGCCAGGCCCCTTTGAATTAACCCTTCAAATGAAGAGAGAAAGTTTTGGAAAAAAGAGGTGGAATTCGGTCCCTTATATACAAAAAGCGTTAGAAGCGCTGGGACGGGCGGAGGCCAATGGGAGCGCGCACGGAGAAGTTAAATTTGTGTTTCAGCGATTGCACCAAATTTCCTGCGAATGTGCCCGATTTAGACTTTTGCATTCATGACGCGTCTGACCTTCCTAACTGAGCCCACAACCCTAACATCCTGGCCACTTTGAGACGTGTTGCAGCCTAGTCACACTCTAAAATAGCAATCTGGAACAAGGCAGCCAGACAGGGATGGACACTGTGGGCTGGAGCCTGCTGCCGCTGCTGCTGGGGACTCTGAGGACTCTGGAGAGTCTGGTGCAACTGGCACTGGGCAGCTCTGGCGCCTTTGGCAGCGACACAGAGAAAGCACAGCAGCTGAGAGCTATCTTGGTACAGCATTCAGGGACACAGGCTCTAGGATTCTGAGCTATGTTTGACCACCAGCAGAATTATCCCAAGCCAATTTAGATCTCCAAGGCCATTTTTTCTTTCCAGTAAGCGACGAACCAGCAGACAGTTGGAAGCCAGGGAGTTTGTGACTTGAATCTTTTCCTGTAGCAGCAGACAGTTGGGATGGGCAGGAAGGATGGAAGCGGAGCAGGATAGCTGGGACAAGCATGGATGAGTGAGAAGCGAGCTGGAGACACAGCTGGAGACGCAGCTGGAGGAGGAGGATGGATAGCAGAAGCAGCGAGATATAAGAAAGTAAAAGCAGAAAGAAAAAACAGAGCTGAGGGCAGGGAGCTGGAGGGCTCTGCGTGCAGCTCCAGCGCATTCCCGAATCAGCAGCACGCTGCTCCCCGAACCGGGTCACCCAGACCCCACTGTGCACGTGTGTTCCAATCAACCTCGGGTCGGTTTGTGCTGTTCGGAAGTTCCGGTTGGCGAATTTCACTTTCTGGTGGAATTGTCTCTTTGCTGTGGAATTGGAGGGCTTCAGCTCCAGCTCCAGTTCCATCTTCCAGCTGTAGCACCAGCTAGCAGAACAACAACATATCCAGCAGCTGTTATATCTGCCACTCTGCCACTCTGCCAGCTTATCCATCTCATATTTGCTTCAATTTGGATTTCTCTACGAACATTGCTTACTTCTTGGCTCTTTCCTGCGAATTCCATCTTTGCTTTTCTTCTTACCTACCGCAACCAACCATCAATTCCTATTGCAACAACAACATAGTAACCATATACTCTGCTGTGCTCTGTATTGTATTGCATTATATTCTATTATATCATATTATAAGATATTATAAGATATTGTAAGATATTGTAAGATATTACAAGTCATTGCAATTACTGGTCCTGCTTGTTTCTTCGTTGTTTCTTCGTTTTTTCTCCTTATATCACTTCAATAGCAATCCCAAAATGAGTAGTCCTAACCCTCCACTCCAACCTCCTCCTTTGCCAAATAAAGCAGATCCAATTCCAATTAACACTAATAACCACAAAAATGCCAACATAACCTCTAACAATTCCACTGCTGATCCTAATCAAAATAACAGCAAACCTCCAATTGCCGACATCAAAAACAACGACAACAACAACACTACTATCGCTGCTACTGTTCTTGACTCAAAAAATGATCCCACCTCAAAAAATCTCAAAACAGCTCCCCCAAGTTTCGCCTGGGAAAGTATTGGTAACTGGAAACTATCAAACTCTAGAACATTGTCTCCAGAACAAGTTCTAGCTCAAACAAATGAAATCCAAAACTACTTTATCCAAACTTTTTTCTCTGATTACTACTGGAACACCATCTTAATGATAGGCACTTGTTTCTTTTCCTGGCTAACTGCAAGAATTGGCCTTGGTATATTTTCCCTCGTCTTTGTCCTACTAGCAACTGCCTCGGTTTATAAGGCTGAATTCAGAAGATTCAACAGAAACACCAAAGACGACATGTTAAGAAGCCATGTAGCTGACCGTCTAGAAACTGAAATCGAAACTATGGAATGGTTGAATGAATTCCTAGCAAAAATGTGGGTCATTTACATGGACACAATATCTGAACAAGTCCTATTAAACGTCAACCCGATTTTAGCTGGCTCGGCTCCTGGTTTCGGTATCGACAGTCTCTCCCTAAATAAATTCAACTTAGGAACAAAATCTCCAAAGGTCAATGGCATCAAGTCCTACACTAAACTAGGCGATGATACCGTCGAAATGGATTGGGCCTTCTCCTTTACCCCCACTGATACTCTAGATATGACAGCTGAAGAAGTTCGAAACCAAATCAAACCGAAAGTAGAACTAGCTGTTGGTGTCGGTAAGGGCTTGATCTCAAAAAAAATGCCCATCTTGGTTGAAAACATGTCCTTCAAAGGCAGAATGAAATTCACAATCAAACTCGGCTCCAACTCAATCCCCTTTATCAAAATGATCTACGTCTCCTTCCTAGAACCCCCAGTATTAGACTATAGTCTTAAACCCGTTGGTGGCGATACCTTTGGTCTCGACATCATGTCCTTTATTCCTGGTTTGAAAAAGGCAATCAACGCAATTGTTCATGGTGTCCTAAAGGGCTACTTTTACGCTCCCAATAGATTCCCCGTAGATGTTGAAGCAATTATGGCTGCTGTTCCCAATGACGCTATTGGTTGCTTGGTTCTCACTCTTCAAGATGCTCACCTCAAAGATGGTAAAGCCGTTTACATGCAAATCTTCCCCGAAAATGCAAAAGAAGAGAAAAAAATCAGAACTGAAAACAAAACTGGCCCATCCCCAAGATGGAATAAAACTTACTACATCCTAACAAACACTCTAAATCAAAAATTGCTATTCAATGTTTACAACCATATCAATCTTGCAAGGGACAAATCTTTAGGTACCGCTGAATTTGACCTACAAGAATTATTACAAGATGATTCCATGGACCATTTATCTATAGATGTTGAATCTAACGGCAAAAAGAAAGGCTCCATCACTTTTTCTGTTGCTTGGTATCCAGAATTAAAAGCTGAAAAACCAAAGAAAAAACAACCTGATGAACCTGTGGATTACTCCAAAATGGTCGATGAAGAAGGTAACTTTGAGGGTCAAGATCAAGAACCAGAAGATGATAGATCAGACTTTGACGATGTTGAAGTCGATAATTCCGTTCCTGAAAGTGAAGTTGGTATCTTAAAATTTTCTGTATTCCAAGCAAAAGAATTGGATGTATCAAGTTCAATCGTCGGTCAATTATCCCCATATGCTATTTTATACTTTGATAAAAAGAAAGTATTTCAAACTTGGCCATTAAAGAGAGCAAATGAACCATCATGGGGACATACTGAGGAATGGTTAGTTGACTCAAGATCCACCACAAAGGTTAAATTAGTCATTAAAAACCAAACGGATTTTGTTGATGATCCCATCGTTGCTACTTTTAAAGGTACATTACAACAAATTTTGACTCAAATTGATGAAGGCAGTAATGATTGGTTCAAATTATCTCCTCAAGGTTATGTCCGTTTTGGCGCTCATTGGAAACCAATTGGTTTAACTAGTATTTCAACTACAATCAAACATCAACAGCCAATTGGTGCTTTTAGAATACACATTCGTAATTGCGAAAAATTAAAGAATCCTGAAAAAATTGGTAAACCAGATCCTTATGTATTAGTTAAAAGCAATGGAAAAATTAAATATAGAACTGTTGCTCAGCCCGAGACTCTCAAACCTTCCTTTGAAGAAGTTGTTTATATTTCGGTTGTTAATGAAAATCAATTAATTGAATTCGATGTTATGGATGTTGAGAGTTTAGGAAGAGATCACCCACTTGGTAAAGTTACTTTTACAGCTAACACTTGGTTGCAAAAAGGCCCCTATGGGACCTATTTAGGTTATGATGGTAGTGATAAGATTAACAAATCTCCATTATTCATCAAAAAGAAATCAAAGGGTTTTATTTATTATTCTGTTTCATTTATTCCTTTCATTCCCGTTTATGGTCCAATCGAGATCAAAAAATTAAAAGAAGAAGAAATGCTTAAAAAAGAAGAAGAAGCAAAAGAACTTGAAATACAAAAGGAATTGGAAGAATTGATGAAAAATAACCCAAATGAATATGAAATTATTGAAGTTGAAGATGTTTCAGAAGAGATTTCTACTGAAAAAATAAGAATGGATTTCAGTGAATTGGTTTCTCATAATTCTGGTATGTTGGTTATTTTCTTGAAGGAGTGCAGTATTGGAAAATCCAATTTATATCTTTCAGTTTTATTTGATGAAATTGCCTCACCTGCTTTCATTTCAGGTCCTTCTAAAAAGGGAATTTTCCAAATTGATATTGGTGAAGGATTCGTCAGAGATCTCCAACACTCAAATATAGTATTTAGACTTGCTACTAGTTATAATGTTGATGATGAATCTGAAATAGTCGCTGAACAATCATATCCTACTTTGAAATTGCTTGAAAGTGGTTATGAAAATCCAATTCCAGTTAGTATTGGAAATCATAAAGTTGACTTTCAATTTGAGTATGTGCCATCAAAAACTCAATTGTCAGCTTCTGAATCAATTCTTGATACTGGTAGAGTTAAAATTGAAATTCTTAATGGTGAGGATTTATTGTCGGCTGATAGAAACGGTAAATCTGATCCATATGCAGTTCTTAAATTTAATGGTATTAAGGTATATAAAACTGAGGTTAAAAAGAAAACTCTTGATCCTGTATGGAATGAAGAAATTCATTTCCCATTGATATCTAGAAGCAGAACAAGGATTATTCTTGAAGCATATGACTGGGATCTTGCAGGTGATGATGATGAGCTTGGTTTTTGTTCTGTTGACTTGCAGCAAATTGAACCATATCAAACTACACCTTTAACTCTTCCATTAACTCTCAATGGGAAACAAAAGGGTATAATTAATATTAGAGCAACATTTTTACCTGAATATATTCGTCAAAAATTAGATAGATCTGGTGGTGGGTTACCTATTGATTTAGGTGATGTTGCTGGTGCCCCAATCAAACTTGTTACAGGGGTTGCCGGTGTGGCAGCAGGTGGAGTTGGAAAAGTTGCAGATGGGGTTGGAAAAGTTGGATCAAAAGTTACTGATAAGATTTTCAGTCGTAAGAAGAAAAGATCATCAGGTGTAGATGATTCAAATAGAAATTCATTATCCAACCAAACAAGCCAAAGTTCACCAATTGCTCCTGTTATAAGCAAGAAGGGCAGTTTGAGAAGCATGAGTATAAGTAACAATAATAATAGATATAGTGGAAATCCTAATGTCAATCACAATGCCAATCATAATGCCAATCCTGATATTAATGAAAATGTGAGCAGTAGTAACTTAGTACATAATAATGGAAATGTTCCTGTTATTAATAGTCCTGTTGAGAGCCAAAATGAAAATAGCCTGTCTCAAAATAGTGTGACCTACAATGGTAAAAGCTATCCTGTTCCTTCTGCTCCAAATTCCCAACCTCCACATGGCGAAGGATTGAGTGTGCCTAGTCATAGACGCACCGTTTCTTCCATGTCACAAGTATCAATGATGACCATAAGTGCAGGATCATATGCTGGAAGATTATCAATATTAGATATTACAGATGAAGAAAAAGTTGGCGCAATTCATGTTAAAGCGATTATTATTAACGGCAAAAAGAAGAAAGATTTATACAAGACTAGCTCTGTGAAGAAGTCAGAAGGTATTTATAATTATATGGAAGAGGTTGCATTCAAAGGAGTACCAGAATCTAAAATTATGTTTTCTATTAGAGAAACACACCGATTTGGAAAATCAAATGAACTTGGAACCTTTGAAGTACCATTGATTGATTTTATTGATGATGATGAAAATAAAGAAGTGATGTTTAATGAAACAGGCAAGATTAGGTTTAACATTCGTTTTGTACCTATTCAAGGCTGATTTATTTATCTTTCTATTTATTTAATTAATTATATTTTGAGATTTTGATCTTTAAACTTTAAGTTTAAGTTTAATAGTCAAATTCCTAATCAAATTGTTATTTTCTTTTACTTTTTTTTACTTTTTTTTACTTTTTTCACTTAATTTTTTGTTTTTTGTTTTTTGTTTTTTATTTTTTATTTTTAAATTTTTTTTTTTTTTGATTATTTTATTTGGAACATTTTCGTGCCTTATGACATTTTGATTAATTCTTCTTCAATACGAAATAAGAAAATAACAGTTATTTTTTTACTTTTTAATTGATTGAATAAATGAATTTTTTATTTATTTATTTATTTATTTATAGTTTAATTTATTGATTTATTTATTGATTTATTTATTGATTTATTTATTTGTTTTTTGTTTGTTTATTAAAATGAAAAAAAAATTAGTAAGATAACTTGATTACCAAGTGGGATAACCTTCACAATTAAATAATAATTTATTTGGAGTAAAAGGTTTTAAATATAAACCTGAGATTGAATCTTTTGTTGAGTAGCTTTTAACTCTTTCAACAGCATCTAAACCAGTGTCACCCATTGCCATGAATGAAGCAACCAAACCAGCAGCTATTCCAGCCGAGATTGAAGTACCAGAAGCAATAGTAATATCGTCATTTCGTTTCCCTGTTGTGATTACGTTGACACCACTGGCAAAGACATCGAGACAAGCACCCCAATTGGAGAAGTGAGCAATTCTATCAGTTTTATCATTGATTGAACCGACAACAAGAACACCCTTAGCAGAAGCAGGAGAATCGTGGCAAGCAGGTTTTCCTTTATTGCCAGCAGCAACAACGACTGGGATACCATTTGATATAAGATTTTCAACTGCGTGGTTCAATAAAGAGTTTTTGGATAAGCTCATTGCTAAGACCACTAGAGTTGGCCTCTTTGTTTGTTTAGCATGATCGAGGGATAGATTTAGAGCAGATAAGACATCAGCTAAATAGGTATCACCATTTTTGTCTGTGACCTTAATATCGACAAAGTTGCATTTTTTAGCTACTCCATAAGTTTCAGAGCCAATTACACCTGCTATAGCAGAGCCATGGCCAATGTAGTCATCATATTGGTTTTCATTTCTAACGAAATTTGCGATTCTTTTAACTCTTCCGGTGAATTCTGGATGTTTTTTATTGATTCCAGTATCAATTATAATAATATCAATTCCAATTGCAGCCGATGAATCGTAGATATAATCAAAACTTTCTAATCAAAACAAATTAAACAATCATTAGTAAATGATTAAGTTAAAAAAGAAAAAACAAGTAAGATAATGAATTAAGTATTTTATACGGTTGAGTTGTAACTGTTGACGTTGAGATATTCTTGCTAAGTGGGAAGGAGCAAATTCTTGAACATCATTAAGAGCTAGTTTTCTATTTATTGATAAAGAATCAATTAAAAAAGAATCTTGGTACAATACATTCAACAATTCATTGTCGAAATCGCCCTTTATAGCCTTAAAATTTCCAATTGAGAATTTTTTCAAAAAATTTGAATTGTATATTGATTGAGCTCCATAGTCATTAATCAATACAGGATCAGTAGCAGATAGCACTTTCAAACTGCCCAAGTGCAGCTTGTACTTTTGCTGAAACTGTTCAAAACTTCTGTTTGGAGACAATTGCAAGATAAACTCCTCAGTCAAAGCCCTTGAAATGAAAAACGACGATAGGAATATGATGAATAAAGAGATTAGTTGCATTTTGAACGATGAAGGAAAGAAAAAAAGGACTACTTTTGAAAAGAGTAGTTCTTCAATAAGCACTCTCAATCAACAATAGAACAACATTGTCACAAACCAAGAAATGCTTCCACAGCAAAAGCAACAAAAGCACCAAAAACACCAAAAACACCAAAAACACCAAAAACAGATCAATGGGACAAAAAGAAGCGATAAGATAAGTGATAAGATGAGATAAGAAACCCAATCACGTGTATAAAATATTGTTAGGGCTCGAAACACGTGTTTAAATACAGGGCCTGGCGAACTACGATTGCGAGCACGAGCACTGCGCAAAACGTGCGCAAAACTCACCGGGCTCGCAACGCTCTGCTGCGTGGATGCTTTTGGAAGGAGCGAGACTAACCCTATCTGGATGCTGATATCACAGGTTGTTATAGTACGAAGCCGCTGCAAGCTCTTTTATAGAACCCATTGGAATTGATAATTTGAATTTTTGTTGATTATACTCAATATTATCAAATATTATCAAACAGCAGAATCAAAATATAACAAAGATGGCCACCCAAGTTGTAAGTGTTTACTTCCACAAGTCACCAACGATTTATTATCTTTCAAATGGTTATCGCTCTCCTCCAATCCGCCAAATTCAAAGCATCTTAGAGTGCCAATTTCAACAATTTCGTCAAAGTATCCAGAAATTTAATGGCAAAAACTGCACAGAGTGCCAAAACTATCTATTATATCATTATATCATTATATCATTATATTATTGTTATCACAAACGGAGAGAAAATATACATAAAAATTCCTTTAATTTACAATTGGAAATTATGTTTACAAATTCAACATCAAAAACGCTAAAAATTATGCAATTTTATTTTTTTCTCAATTTTCATGTCAAGACTGTTTATATGTTTTAAACTAGAGTAAACTATATCGAATGAATGCAATATGGAAAAGATTAATATTATAATATTATAATATTACAAAAAATATTAGAAAATATAAGAATTAATTTGTTTTTCCATTTTCCAAAATTTCCAAAATTCTGATATTTGAAAAACAAGTTGTGAATATCAATATGTTCAATTTATTTACTCTATTCAAAGTTTATTTTCAAACACCAATATTTATCTTCTGTACTTTTAAACATAAGCAAATATCATTTGAAATATAATAAATCTATTTTAAAAATTATTAAAAATAACACCAAAATACAAAAAAGTAATTTTGAAATAAATGTCAATTTTTTGCCATTGAATGTCATTATTAAAATCAATTTAAAATGAAATCAATTGCTATATTTAAGATAGCTCAGAAGCTGTATCATAATCAATCTAGAAATAAAATACTAACTAATTTTTCTTTTATTATATTCAGGCACCAAAGTGGTACCCAGCTGAAGACGCTCCAGTTCCAAAAGCCACCAGAAAAACTGCTCGTCCACAAAAATTACGTCCTTCTTTAGTTCCTGGTACTGTTTTAATTTTGTTAGCTGGTCGTTTTAGAGGCAAACGTGTTGTATATTTAAAGGCTTTAGAAGACAACACCTTATTGGTTTCTGGTCCATTCAAAGTTAACGGTGTTCCTTTACGTCGTGTTAACGCTCGTTATGTTATTGCTACCTCTACTCAAGTCAAATTAGATGGTGTTAAATTAGACAAATTTAATGTTGCTTACTTTGCTAGAGAAAAATCTTCCTCAAAAAAATCAGAAGCCGATTTCTTTGATGAAAAAGCTGAAAAAAAACCAATCAAATCCGAAAGAATCACTGATCAAAAATCTGTTGATAATGCTTTATTAACCCAAATTAAAAAAACTCCTTTATTAAAACAATACTTAGCCTCAAGTTTCAGTCTCAAAACTGGTGATAAACCACATCTTTTAAAATTCTAAATAAGGTTCATTTAATATTATTTTCTCAATCCTAATTATAAAGAAATAAAAGATTTTTGTAATAAATAAATGTCTATAAATATAAGAAAAAAACTATAAAATTAATTTAACATTATCATTTAATTTGTAATGGTTGCCTCCAAACTTTTGCTGTTTTTGATTATATATATTATAATATAATATAATTACCAATGTTCTTTTTTCTTCAGGCTTCTTGTTTAGTTTTATATTTATGATCTTTTTTTTTTTTTACAATTATCTTTTCTACTCTTTATACCACTGATTGTTTAAATAGTTTTTGTGAAATGAATCTATTTGGTAATATTAAGTAACCTTGACTGTCTTTCAAAAAAAGACTGTCTTGTGTATTATATTTCTAAACTTCATTTTCATTTTCAAATTGTAGTTTATAAACTCTCTTTATTTCTTCTTAAGTAATGCAATATTCTATGCGCATCTCTCTTCTTTTTAAATTTAAACTTTTTTTTTTGGAAATATATGAGCATACATAATCTCTTATCAAGTGTAAATAAAGTATTTATCAAAACTATGTGTTATGTGAAAAAATTTTTAGATAAAACAATTTTCAATCTTAATTATCAGCTTTAATAAAAAAAAGCCTTTTCAAAGTCGTATCTCTCTGATCTATGAAACAAAATCAATTATAAAAACAATGCAGACGTGTATAATCATTATTTGTGGTTTTTAGTTTATATTTGACATATAAACAATATTATACTGATAACCCCTCTATCTCCAAAATTAATAAAAAATAGCCACCAAACAAAAATAAACAAGCAAAAAACAAGAAAACAAACAAAAACAAAAAAAAAAAAAAAAAACTGAAATTCACAGACAGACACAAAAAAATTGAGATATGATCAACTGATTTTGCAAATAAAATAAGCACTAACCTAAATTTTCAATTAATTGATGAATTCTTGATAAGACCAAAAGAATCCAAATACAAGATTTTTCAAAATTATTATCTTTAATCGATTCATCAAGCCCTGGTAAAATACCTCCAATCAAACCTGTTTCTCTATCTGGAGCAAAAATTAAATGCCTTAACCATTTTCTATCATTTATTCCCTTTTCGTAATAGAATTTTCTATCCAAATGAACTAGTTTAAAATTCGCTACTTTTATTTGAATAGCCAATTTGATTTTTTTATATGCTTTAAACCAGGGATAATCATTAGTGACTTGATCCTGAATTGAAGTTGTATATTCATCGAATATTTGACTTTGATCAACAAAATTACTTAAAACTTGAAACATAAATTTAGTCAAATCCTTAAATCGGATGGTATTTAGATCATGATCATCATTGTTTCTATTTTTTTGATCGATTATTTTATTTTCTTTATAATATCTCAGAAAATGGTAAATTATAACCTTCAACTCTGGCTCATCTTTAATTGTTTTTTTTAAAAATTGAACTGATAAAATTTTACTATACCAGTCATTGTTTATTGATTTTTCTATTTTTTTAAAACTTTCGAAAACGTGAAGAGAATAATCATTTGTTTTAAAAGGAATTAACTCATTTTCGTCAATGGTTAATATGAGTAGACCAATAAATTTGCATAAAGTTTGGTGGTAATTAAACTCGTTATCGGTAAGATTTTGTAACCAATTTACTGAGTTATAAATTGAATTTTTATGAAAAACAGGATCTTTATCTTTATTTGAGGTAAATTTTATATCAATTGTTGGAATGGTTAAGTGATTTTGAAAAACTGAGTAATCACTATCAGATGCAGAAATTCCAAAGGAGTTATTATCTTGACTTTTCCAATATTGAAATAAAGAGATATCACTATCATCGTCAGTATTAAAAGGAATCAATTTAGATACCTTTTTAATCAAGTTATAATACAAGGGATTTGAGTTGACATTGAAGTTTGTACCATAAACGATATTATTATCAATATTAATGTAACCCAAAGAGTTTTTCATTAAGGAAGAACTATGAATTTCGCCGAATTTATTTGAGCCTAACATACCATATTCTTTTGCATCCCAAGAAATTAAGGTGATTGTTCTCAAGGGTTTCCAGCCTAGTTTGACCAAATTTCCCAAACCTCTTGATATTTCTAGTAGAACAGCAGAACCACCAAGATTACCATTTGTGGTTAAAGAGTCTCTATGGTTGCCGATAATAAGGTCTTCACCAGGCAAGATTCCGGGGATTTTAGCTATAATGTTTTTAATTGTTTTAGACTGGTCACTTTGTAGGTTGATTAAATTCAATAAATGATTTGAATCGCTTGGACCAACAGAGTAATCGAAATCTTCGATTAAATCACCAGACCAATTGTTAAAGTTTGGGTTTTTGCCATTTATTTTTGCCAAAACAGGTAGGATTTCTTTATAGCTTATTGGGATTGAAGGAATAGTTGGGTAAAAGTGTTTTCTGAGTTTTTGATTTTCATTTTCATTTTGGTATTGATTTTGACTAAACAATTCAATAGAATTTAGGGTATTTCTTTCGATTGAATTTGGATTTCTAGAAAAGCCATTAGGATATGTATTATAGCCATTTTTAATTGTAAAGAGTCCATCATCAGAAGGGTCGTTAAAGAAGATTGCCCCAATACAGCCATTTTTTTCGGAATTTTTAATTTTCAAATAAGAAGATAGTTTTCCGTTTCTTATGATACAAATTGTATTATTAATATTGATATTTGAATGAGAGATTGATTTAAAGTCGTCGATTGAGGCATAATTAACAAATGAAAAAGTGGAGGTGATATTAGCAGATTTTGAAAAAGGGTTGAAAGACTTTGAGAAAATGGAAGCATTTTTGGTTAGAGGGTCTTCAGATATCGAAGGTTCAACTAAACTTGGATGATATAAAGTATTTAAATTTGCATCTTTTAATAGCAAATCTGTTTTAATTGGGATATTTAAATTGATATCGTAGGATTCGATATAGGATTGTTTCAAACCAGATTTTTTAAAGGAGTTCAAAGTATAGTCAACTATAGGCTCTGAGCTTGAGTTTAGATAGTTGTGGATGTGGTCTGGATTGCGAAATTTACTGTCGATGTTATTCAAATTATAGTTGTGGATGTAATCCAAAAATTTTTGTGCAATGGTATTCTGACTGTCGCCATCATTGTCGTGGTTATTGTGGTCGCTGTTGGTGGATGAGATGGTGTTGAGGTATATTCTCTTCAAGTCTGACTTGGTCAATGGGTCAAAATGTAGCCTTTTCAAGTCTCTCCCTAGCGAGGTTCTGGGTAAGAAGACCAAGTTGAAACAAAAGGTGAAGAACGAGCCCCAGAGGCAAAAGAGAAAGAATCGCTTGTACACCCTTTTCTTCTGTTCTGTTCCAGTGAGCTTGACTAGATTGACTGAAGAGCTCTTCGTGTTGGGTGCTGAGGTAGGTAGCAAGGGAGTGGAGTCGTTGGGAAACGAGGCAGCAAGACTGTGGGAGGAGGTGGAATTAGAGCTCATGATGAAGAAATGCTTTCGGGTGGCAGAACCATAAATACACCAGCTGCAATAGTTTTTATTCTGCTGCTTCTGCTGCTTCTGCTGCTTCTCTCCCTCGTTTCTCCCCAACAAAACGACAATGAGTGCCGGCCGGTCCGGAGTCGAGGGCACGAGTCACCGGGGGCTTTTCTGCTGCCTCTGCTGCCTCTACCCCTGTTGCCTCTGCTGCTCGTGGGTAAAGGCAGTGGAACATTACATGGTGTTGTTCTGGCGTTGCATCAGCCTGTCTGGCCATTACGAGCAGTGCGTCGAGCTCTGACTTGTTGGAAGCTGTTTGTTGGAGCTGTTTACTTGTTTCCTAATTAGGAAATGCTGGATGAATATATTCGATTTACAGTTTTTGGTGTTCTCATGAAAATAAGCAATGGTATAAATAAACATGAGTAAACATGCTTTGGTATAAATGTTTCTTCTTTTCTTTGGACTCCATTTTGTTTCTTTCTCAACCTTTCTCTTCCACTTTTCTTTGCTACCTTCGTTTCTCTGCCCTCACTTTCTTGTCGCTCTTTAAATCACTCGCTATCAATCACCCACTAGACTGCATCTCTGGATCATACTCACTTTGAACCACGATTTTCTCTAGATCACTATGAGTAAAGCTGTTTATAACACCAACACCAACACCAACAATCTCAACAGAAGAACTTACAATTTTGGTAATTTTTCCTTTAAGAAAAAAGAATCCACCTCAATTAATTCAAGTCCTAAAAACCACTCAAAATACTCTTCATTTCACTCGCATTCAAAGTCTTTAAACCAATTCAATGCTGTGAAATTAGACAAGTTGTTGATACCACTTCCCAGTTTGAATAGTGGTATTAAAGAGGTTAAACAAAAGGACACTAAAGAACTGAAAGAATCCAAAGAAAATAATAATAATAATAATAATAATAATAATAAAAATAAAAATAAAAATAAACAGGTTAAGGAAATTAAAACTGTTGGCTCGATTCACGAAATTCCCTTACCAAAGGGTCCCAAAAATGTCAATTTAGACTACACTCAACCCAGCGATCCAATATCTGTGAATTTAATTAATATCAATAATCAAAATATCAAAAACCAAGTTTTAAACGATAACAATAACTTGCAAATAATCGAAAAAAGAGCTGGGTATAAATTGACAAGTCCATTAAAAGATACCTATAATTTAACCCAATTATCCAGGTTTAGTGATGATAATGATGACGATGATAATAATCATGATGATGCCGATGATCCTGCTATTAGACTAATTAATAAACATAAACAATATCCCAAACACTATCAAATTGGATCAAATACTTTATCAATCAATGTTCTAACTTTTAATACCCCAATTATTAATAACAATGAGCTTAATTTTAAAAAACAAACATTAGCTCCTTTAATGACTCCTTTGATTTCTTCGCCTTCGTCGAATAATTCATCTGTGGATGAAAACGATGATACACCAAATACCCTGATCATTTCAACTTCATCAATATCTTCGTTTTCTACTACACATACTACTAATATTACCAATCCCGTCGATACTATTAACGAACCAATGAAGTTCAAGAAAAATGAATTTAATTCTAATGATAGTCAATTACTTAATAAAGTCAGCACTACTATGAAAAAGAATAAGGATAAGAATGAGAATGAGAATGAGAATGAAAATGAAAATAAGAATGAGAATGAGAATGAGAATAATAATAAAAATAAAAATAAAAATAAAAATAAAAATAAAATAACAACTAGATCAATTTTAAGAATGGTTGATACCTCAATGATTTCTATTTCAAGTGATTATGATGATTCATCGATTTTAAGTTTGAATAATACTACGTGTTTATCGGATAAATCCAATTCATTTTCATCAAGTCCTAATAAACCAGTTATTAACAAGAAGAATATATTAGGTGATTTAAGTTCAGATAATAAGATGAATATTATAAATAATTTATCTGGTAATTATAGTAATAGCAAGGTTAATAATGTTGATATTAATACCCAATTTTTTCAAACAAAGTCATGTCAATTTACCAATAATCATAATTCTAAGTCGTATCTTTTTAATCTTTGGAAAAACGATATAAATTCGAATGAAAACATTAATTGGTAATGTTTTCAAGTAAATTTCATACAAACTTTTTTTTTCTCTTCTCTTCTCTTCTCTTCTCTTCTCTTCTCTTTTTTTTCTCTTTTCTTTTTTTTCTTATGATAGCGTTTTTATGTTGAATTATCTAGGTTTTTATTTCTTTTTCACTATAAAATCTTAAATATTCTTTTCAAATTTTCAAATACTTTGATTATTTTGTGTTTTGTGTTTTGTCTTTCACATTTTTAACTCGTTATAATAAAAGAAAGTATGTTGCTATATAAATCTAATAATAGTAGACTATAAGTAGACTCAGCATGTTAATGTAAATATCAGCAGCTATCACGGCATTATGCATATTGTGATTTGTGGAGGGGAGATGAATTTATTGTTTATTCTTTTTTTATCGATTGAAAATAAAATGACAAACAGGATGGTCGCAATTTGAGTCAAATTTACAGAAAAGTAATTTGAAATTAATGGGATAGTTTTGATCTTGAATTTCTTTACCATTATGAGCGTAGATACAATTTGGATAATGTCTACAAACTTCGCTATTTAGAAACTTTGAGCACAAGAGTGATTTAAAAAAAGGATATCGGCTCACGTTTTTAGGTCTATCATCAAGTTTTTGAAGCTCATAGATAAGAGAATGAACTTTGTGTAATTTATTTTGAATGGAATCAGCTAAAATTAGAGGTAGTTTAAGAGACGAAAATAGGTCGGTATAATGCTTACGAGGATGGTCATGATTTTGTAGACCGAAATTCAATATCTTTATTTGGAGCTTAATTAGGTTGATGGTGTTGTCAAGAATTGAATGATTAAATGCAAAGTCTGCATCGGTAAGAAGATAATCAAGATGGATTTCATCGCAATTTGAAATATGGTTTATCTGCAAGGTTTCGTGTGAATCAGTTTCAGATAGAGGATGAGAATCTTTGGACATATTCAAAGAAGGAAATGTAAGTGAATGATAATGCCTTAACAGAGACAGCAATGGAAAAGCACAAAGTAAAGAATTGGCAGCAAATTTAAGTGAAATTACCATGGCCTGGAATGGCATACCTGAAGATAAAAGTCAAAGTGCAATGCTGGTGCAATACTGGTGCAAAACACGACGATTCAGCACTCAAACAAAAGTAGATACAGATCTTCTCTCTGAGAAGTGAGTGTATAATCAGTGTTTGATGGCAGTGGTATCAAAGAAAAGAAAGCACAGATCCCAAAAGCATCAAAAGATGTTTTTTGTGGCAGAATTGGGATATATATCCGGATAGCACAGAGGAGAATACGGCGGTATGCGGCTGCGGGTATCAGAAGGTATGTGTGGAACATGCATGCGGTAGGGCTTTAGTTTCCTGTGTGTTTTGCAGGTCCGATGGTGGCCACTGGGCTGGATCCCGCCAGCCCACACAAACACGAGCACAAACATAAGCACAAACACGAGCTGTGTTTTGCTGCCACAGCTTGATCACAGAAAAATCCCAGAACAACCGCAGAACAACCGCACCAAGTTTGCACGCAACACAGAAAACAACAAAACAAGAAACAAATCTCCAGCAAACACGCCCCTAGGGTGGCTGCTGCTGCTGAACGCACTGCAGCGCACACCATCGGTACCACAGCGCCGAACCTCCTGCTGACTCGCGCTGCGCCGCTCTTCCGCGGCATCCACGTGTGGGCGTTCCAGCGAACAAGGCCCGCTACACACGCCTGCTGCAGGCGCGGGTGCAAAGGGGCCTGTTCGGGACGGTGTGCGGAGGGCCTGGGCTCGTGATCTGTGTCATTTTTGCACGTTCCGCAGCGGTGGCAGCCAAAAAGCAGCTGGAGCATTTTTTCACAAAAGCACTTTTTTTACAGCCAGAACCAGGCATTTAGTTGTCTTCAATTGTTAGTCCAGAGAAATTGCCTTCCTCTGCTCTGCTGCTTCTGCTGTCTCTGCTGCTTCTGCTCCCTCCTTTTTCCTGCTCTGTTCTTCCATGCTGTCTGCTCTTCAAGACACCACCCTAGAGATACCCCTTTCTTTTGTGCTCCATTACTAATCAGTGGTTTTCCAATGGCTACCCAACAATCTTCTGTTTTTACTTCCAACGAAGATCAATGGCTCAACGACCTTTTGGCCACCTCTGAGTTCCCTAACCATTTGAACCACAACACCAACACCAGTCCCAATACCAACACCAGTCCCAACATCGTCAACAACAGCTTCAAAAATGCAAACACCAATACCAATATCCCCAATATGCCCAGCGACGACATCAACGACACAATCATTAATACCAATGCTATTGATGCCGATATTGCTTCCATTACCGACAATCTCAATTCCAATTCTTTCAACAGCTTTAACAGCTTTGCCAATACTGACATTTTGAACAACAACAATAACAACAACAGCAACAACGCTAGTAACAATAACACCATCAACATCAATAACGCTATTAATAGCATAATATCTTCTCCTAATAACAATTTTCAAAACATGAATAACCTAAATACCTTTAATTTTTCCAACATGAATAATTTCAGCAATAGCTTCAGCAATAATAATAATACGAATAACAATATCAAAAAATCAATCCAAAACCACCATCATCTAGATAACCACCACAACATTGATATCAATTCTCTATTCTTTGAAGACTCAAACAATCCGGACTCGTTATTTGCTCATTCAACTCATAATTCCGCTTTTAATAGTATATCAAACTCTCCAAATTTAAATCCAGCCTTTCCTTCAATTGTAAACTCTTTGAATAATTCCTTAAGAAATTCACCCATCATTAAAACTGAATTGGATAACGATGATGACGAATTTATCCCTTTTTTTGGTCTAGATGAGTTGGATAATAGCTTGAGCTCAAACTCAATTTTAAACTCTATCAACAATCACAATTCCACAACCAATACCAACACTAATACTAATACCAAAAACAATAACAATAACAATAATAATAATAACTTTAATATCATTAACTCAAAATTAGAATCTCTACTCAATAGTAGAACAAATATACTCAACCAATCAAATTTTAACTCAAACATCTCAAATATCTCGAAAAGTTTCAACAACACTCCAAGAGATTCAATACCAAACGACATCAACAACAACAACAATAACAACAACAACAACAACAATTCCTCAAATAATAACAACCCTCATTTACCCATGTTCTTTGTATCCCCAATATCTTCAAATATCCCCTCAAGAACAAACTCTTCAAACACAATTAATCATTTAGATACCTCAAACTCAACTTTCCTCTCTTCTTTTAATCCAACTCCTGATTTTAACAACCCTTTAACTAAAACTAAATCTCAGCCAATATCAATCAATTCCTCTAATAATAATTTTAAATCAATTCATAGCTTTATCAACAATAATAACAATAATAGTAACAATAACAATAATAACAGTAACATCTCCAAAAATACAAACAACAATAACAACACTAATAACAACAATAATGAAAACAAAAATAACTCTCTATTTTCTTCCTTTTCTCCACCATTATCTTCCTCTCTTAAACAATCTTCAATCCCTTCCCAATCTCTAAATAGAAACTTTTTCTCAAACTCAATCTCAAACTCCCCTTTAAATTTATCAAGCACAAGTCCAATTCCAATCCCAATCTCGGTCTCAAATTCAATCTCAAATCAAAATTTAAATCAAAATTTAAACCAAAACTCAATCTCTTCCCCAATCCTAACTCAAACTTCAAATCAAAACTCAAATATAGATTTTCAATTAAATATAAACAACATCAACTTTAAAAAAAACTCCATCCCAAACTCCATCTCAAACTCAATCCCAAATTCAAAATTTAACTCAAACATTAGTCTCACATCTTCATCAACTTCTATCCATCCTTCTACTGCTAACACCTCTTCCAATGACTCATCCGCCAACACTTCTACAACCTCAATCGCTAATAAAGACAAAAAAACTAAAAAAAAGAGAGCCCCAAGAAAACGTCTTACTCCTTACCAAAAACAAGCCCATAACAAAATCGAAAAAAGATACAGAATTAATATAAACACAAAAATTGCAAATTTACAAAAAATCATTCCCGGAGTTTCAAATGAAAAGACTTCCTTTGAAACTGCTCACGATCAAAATAAAGACAAATCAAAAGAAGATGACGATGATGAAGTACCAAAATTAAATAAATCAATGATCCTAGAAAAGGCAATTAACTATATAACTTTCTTACAACAAAATCAAAATAAAATCGAAAAAGAAAACTCGTTTTTAAAAAATGAATTAAAAAAATTCACTAAAAAGGATTATTCATCTGTATTTCAAGATACAAATATGGATATTGATATCAACTCTCAAATCATAAATTCAATTTCCAGTAATAATAATAGTCCTACAAACAATCACACTAATAACGGTAACCCTGATACCATTAATCAAAATACTAATGATAATGACAAAATTATCAATAAAAATAATAATTTTAAATCAAACATTAACATTGACTCTGATAATATTATCAATGATTGTAATAACTCACTTAATGATAAAATTAACTCTACATTAAATTCAAATTCAAACTCAAATTCAAACTCAATTGCCTCTTCTATTTCTGATTCTCCATCTTCTACTAACTCAAATTCTATGTCTGATATTCCAATTCAATCTCAATTTCAATCTACTTCTCAATCCCCTGCTAGTATTAAAATTGATTTTAAATCTGAAATGATTTGATTATCTTAATTGTTTTAATCAAAAACTAATTCAGCACTCAAATCAAATGTTATTTTTTATTTTTTATTTTTATTTTTATTTTTATTTTTATTTTTATTTTACTTTTACTTTTACTTTTTATTTTTTATTTTTATTAATTTTAACATTATTTCAATAGTTCGAAACAAACATAAATCTATTCAACTATTTATGCTTTTTTTATGCTTTTTTTTTAATTTTTCATATTTTCCATATTTTCATATTTTTCATTTTTTCTAAACTTTTATATTATCTACACGATCATCAATCATTACTATCTTTGAATTAATTCCAGAAAGCTGATTTTCATTCCTTGATTATATTATCCAAATTTCTTATAAATACAAATATTATTTTCCAGTTTTCATCAATTAATTGTGGGTTATTATTTTTACTATGAAATTTTTATCTATAGATTCTTTTGTATTTTCCAATCTCAAGGTTTTAGATTTAGAGAGCTTTCCTGGGATTATCTTTTTTCATTTTTTCATGTTTTTGTCTGTCAATTTAAATTTATTTGAAATTATTTTATTATTTTATTATTTTATTATTTTTTTGCAAATTAAGTCCGTTTCATTTCATATATATATATTAATATTTAATTAGTTTTTGTATTCTGCATTATTCTTTTTTTTTTTTTTTGTTTTAATCTATTTTGGAATAATTTTTTTAAATATAATGATTAATGATTTACTAGATTTTAAGAAAATTCTTTCAACAAGAAATCTATAAATAAATATTTTTTATTAAAATTAAAATATCGTAAAAAAACTACACCTTAATTCGTTTCTTTTGAGGTTGTAAAGAATTTTCAACTTGAAAAAATTTTCTCTTGACTTTCTCAATTTTATATAAATCAGAGCTTTTTTTATCTTTTTTACTCTGACCTTTAACTTTCTTTTTGGACTTATTTTCGTGATCTTTCAAAGCCTTTTTATCTTCTTTTGATGGTGATCCATTAACTTTCTTACTATCAGTGTTTGCTATAGATTTCATCACAATTTTTTCTTTTATATCTGGTTTTTTCCTGTCTTTCTTAACAGTTTTTTCTTTTTTTTCTTTCTTATTTTTTATAGTTTTCTCTTCTTTATCATTTTTCTTATCCTTCTTATCTTTCTTAATTCTTTTGTCTTTCTTATCTTTTTTGTTCTGTTTATCTTTTTTAGTTTTTTTCTCTAACTTGGTTAGATCTGCCAGCTTGCTCTTCATTCCTATAGCCTTATCTGTAGTTCCACCATTCTTCATCGCACTTGTGAAACTTTCAAAAACATCTTTTACCACCACGTTTTGGTTACTTTTCTTAAGCTCATCTAATTTCAAGGTTCCTTTCAATCCTTCACCTTTCACAAACCATTTTGTGTAAAGAGGATTGCTAGATTTTTCCATTGAACTGGCTTGATATTCATTTTGCTTAAATGAGATCTCTTCATTACCAGTTTTACTGTCTGCTGAAACATTCAATTCAAGAGATTTCAATTGACCATCAAACAATCTCTCCCACCAATTATCTGGATCGTTTTTCTTGTGACCAAGACCTTTTCTGTCCTTTTTATGAGCAACCAATATTGGTTTTTTGAGACCACCTTCTTTCAAGGGCTCGCCTTCTTTCCAGCCATATGAAACTAAGTAAGCTACACTATCCATTTCATTATGTTCAACCAATGATCTACTTTTTTCCTGTGATCGACTGGCTTTTTATTCTTCTTGTTCTAAAACTCTTATACTCTGCTGATAAATGTCAAAAATTTTACTTAAAAATATTTCAGAAACTTTTTTTAAAAGCAACTACACGTACACGTGATATAATGACGCATATACCCGCGTCAGAAAAACTTCATTTTTGAAATGAGGAAAGAAAGAATTGAAATCCACAGATAACGAGTAATAGCAATGGCATTTCAAGAACAACTGCTGGATTGTACTGGTTTGGAGGAGAAAACAAATGAAAATGACAAAATCAATAGTTTGATGCAACTTATCGATGGCAATCCCTATTTAAGGTCAGAATATACCACATTGATAGCTTTATTTCGAAACAACATCAAAACATTTCAACTTGAATTGAGAGAAACCAGATTCAAGATGATTCAAAGGTTTTCGTTGACTCGATTTGAGATTGATCAGTGGCTAGCCGATGAGAACAAATTGATGAATTCAAGTCAACTAATAGATATCGAAATCACTTTAGAGAATATTGACCAAATTTATCAATTAATCTTGAAAGATTATCCTTCTTACTATTATTGGAAACTTTACTTGGATCATGTTTTAGACCTTTATTATAATAAAGAAGATAAGTTTCAAAACTATTATACCAACGAAGTCATTGAAAAACTTTTTCATTCTGTCTTTGATGATATTTCCTATGATATTAAGAATAGCCATAATATTTGGGATTTGTATTATAAATTTAAATTTGATGATTTAGAAAATGGAAATAAAGCTTATAATGACATTGATAATTTTCAAAAGATACAAAAGGATTACTATTTAAAAAGACTATCATTGCCAAATCTTACTAATGAAGAATTTTTTTCTAATTATTCTTCTTTTATTTCCAAATTCAATTCATCTAATTTGAATATTAATTATGAACGCGAAATGATTAATGCCAACAAAATATTTAAAAACTCAAATTTTTATTTGAAGAATTATGAAAATTTTGAATTTCAATTGTCTCTGAATTTGGATTCAATCAATAATCCTGGATTTTGGCTGAGATATTTACGGTTTCAATTCAAAAAGTCAACAAAGAATATACATTTAAAAATTGTTGGCTCACTCTTTGAGAGAGCTATATTAAACTTATCGGATCTCAGTTTAGATTTAACAGCTGGAAATGATCTTATTCAGATATGGGCATCTTATCTATTTTATCTATATAATTATGATGCTGATAATAGCGATTTTATCAGGAAAATATTAAAAAGATTCGTAAGAACTTTCCCCCGAAACACTGGTGCTTGGTCTGAATTTTTTATAAATTTATCTACAATTCAAAATTCAAACTTATTATTAGAAACATACAAAGAATCTATAAAAACAATATTGTTGTTAAATATCCAACATTCCCAACCCTATCAGGATTGGAAAAAGTTGGCAATGTCTATTTTATCATTTCAATTATCTATTGTAACATCTGATCATAATAACCAATTGAAAGATTACACTCTTGAAGAGAGCTTAAAGGATATTGAAAATTTCTTTGAGTTTGCAATTCAAAACTCAGACATTTATCATTCGCTTGAAAAATTCATTATATCTATGGTATCAATTTACAATGGACCTGAAAAAGCGTTAGATTATTTGAATGATTTAATCAAAGAGTTTCCAAATGAATGTGAGTTATGGTTATATTACATTGAACAAAATTCCAAATTTAACAATGAATATAAGAGTATTTCAAAACTATTTACCAAAGGAATGAATCACATTAAAAATATGGACTGGCCAGAAAGATTTATCGATGAATGGCTAAGATTCGAAATGTTAAGTGGTAATATGAATGGTTATAAGGTTGCAATAAGTAAATCTCAGAAAGAGTTGGACATAATCAATATAAGAAGATTGCAAAAATCTTCACAAGATAACGTGTCTTTAATGGAAATTGACGATGAAAACAAAACTTCTAAAAGAAAAATAGAGAGTGTTGAAGATAAGAAGGATAATGACATAATAGATGATGAGAAACTTGTTAACAAAAAATTGAAAACAGAAAAAGTCGATAAAAATCAGAAAAATAAAGACAATTCTAATTCTAATTCTAATTCTAATTCTAATTCTAATACTGATACCTCATTTACTAGAAATCGGGAAAATTATACTGTCAAAGTCTCTAATTTACCACATAATGTATCCAAGGTTGAATTTCTTAATTTTTTCAATGATTGTGGACAAATATTGGATTCTCGTATTGTCCAGTTTAGTAAGAGTTCACAAGCGACTATTGAGTTTGCTTTAAAAGAATCTGTATTATCAGCACTTACAAAGACTTTTAAAAAATTTGGTGATAGAGAAATAACAGTGAGCCAATCATTTGATACGACAGTTTGGGTAACGAATTTTAATCCTATTGAGACTGCTGAGTCTCTTACTAAATTATTTAATGAAGCAGGAAAAGTTGTGGATATTCGATTTCCTTCTTTAAGAAGTAATGTAAATAAGAGATTTTGTTATATTGAATATCTTGATTCTAAAGATGCTCAAAAAGCAGTTGATAAATTTGATGGAATGATGATTGATGGGAAGTCTGATCAAGCTCATAAATTGGTTGTGAAGATTTCGAAACCCGAAGAGAAACAAAATAGATCTGGCGCTACAGAAGAAGGAAGAGAAGTTTATGTAAATAACATTGATTTTTTTAGAGTTGATAAAGATAAAGTTGAGAAAATTTTTGAAAAATATGGAAGAATTGAAAGAGTTCGTTTACCTTTATCTGGTCGAAATAAATTACAGGGAAAACAGCATGATGGGTATGGGTTTGTTGTCTTTTTTGAAAAGAAAAATGCAGATAAATCACTTGAATTGAATTTAAGTAAATTAGAAGGAAGGATAATTGATGTTTCAATTGCATCGAAACAAAAAAGTAGACAAAACAAATCAATAATCGAGGATTCTGAAAAAAGAAGTGAGAGGAAAATAAGTTCTGAAACTATTGAAGCTAAAACTATATCAATACTCAATATACCAGATTCGGTCAATTCGTCACAGATTTATAAGATATGTCAAGAAGTTGGGCCGGTAGTGAAAGTCGATTTAAGACCTAGCTTGAATGGAGCAATAGTTGAATTTGAAAGAGTTAAAGATGCTGGAAAGGCAGATTTGGTGCTTTCTGGGAGAAAAATTCAAGATAAAGCGATTAAAATTGGGTCAAGAAATGAATTGAAGAATCTGAATGGTGGAAATGAGATAAAAGGGGAGTCTTCTAAAGTTAATAAAGCTAATCGAGTTAGTTTGATGGTTCCTACTGCTTTGAGAAGACGAAAAAGGATTTAAAAAAAGGAATATTAATTTATGGTATTTCTATATATATATGGATGTATATATATATATGGATAATGAGATTTATTGGGGCGTTGTAATTTGTAGGAAAAAGTTTAGGATAATTTCAGCTACTCTATAGTTGTAATTGATTTTACTTCTTGCATTTAATGGATAATTGTTTGGATTTTTTATGGATTTGTTTTCGTTATTGATTACAGTTATTCCATAAAAGTTGTGGTCAGCATCATCAATCCATTCCAAAAAGTGTCTTTTGTTATTATGATGGAGATCTAAATTTAAAACAGAATCGTAGGTAAAGGCATCGTTTTTGGGGATTATTTGGTCGTTTGAGCCATAGATACTTAGGATTTTAACGTCTTTTGATATATCTTTGATTGGGGACATGTCGTGGCTGGATAGATGGATAGTTTCATTTTTGGGGACAAAGGAATTGAAGTTGTAGTTGCCATTTTTGTAGCATTTTACGTGGATACCATTTTTAGTCTCCCACTGGTGTTTTGTTATAGGGTTGGATAAAAAGGATTCAGCTAATTTTTTGGAATTGAATCTGCCAGAACAATTGATTAGATGGGGAAGAGGTTTGGAAGGGTTTTGGAGTTGGAATTTCAAGGCCCATTTAAACATTGCAATGGAGCCTCTTGAATGAGCAATGATAGCAAAGTTGTTGAAAAGGGTAAAGTTAGTATCGAAATGGTTGAATAAGATGTCTAGACAGTCGATGTCATGCTCGATTAGTCTGCCTATTATGTGGTGGTTTTCGTTATCTTTTGAGTCGCCACAGCCTTTGAAGTCAAATCTAAAGGCGAAATAATTTAAATGTTGGGCTAGTAATCTTGAAGTGATTGCGAGGTAGCAGTATGATTTATGACCAGCGTGGCCATGGGATAAGTAGACTAGGTTTTGTGATTTTTTGGGGAGGATGAGTTGGAGTTTTCTAAAGATTTCGTCGTTGGTTAGAGTAGGATTATCGTCTTGCAATTGTAATGAGTTGTAAATTGATGGGGGAATGGTTAGGATGCCTGATATGTCGTTGATGGAGAGGAGGATTTCATTTTTTAGTAAATTGTGTGTTTTCAAGGAAGCGAGGTACTGGGTATTTTTGTAGTCGATGTAATTCAGAGACATGGTTGAATAGCAGATTTAAATTAGTTGAAATGGAAGTAAAATGGAAGTAAAATGGAAGTAAAATGGAGACGATAAGGAAGGTATTTATATGAGATGGGGAGAGACCCACTTGGATGGATCTAAAGAGCTTTTGTAAGAGCGATTGAAAGGAAGAAGTGAAATTGGGCTGTTGAGTGTATTGTGAGGGCATAGGAGTGGTAAGAAAACTATGTAACGGATAAGGATAGTATATATGAGTCGACACTATTTATGAACTTTTCGCTTCCTATGAGCTCGCCAGGCTTGAAATCTACAGGCGATAGAGCATTTTTGGCAACGTATTCAACATAGAAATTGGTGTAGATTTCATGGAGGTGTTTTTGCATATCTTGGATAGAGGGATCGGTTAAGAGAACAAACTTGAGACCAGACAACGTTTCGAAATAGTGAGCTCTGTAATTTTGAGTTGCAAAGCTTCTGAGGTAGTTTTGTTTTTGAAAATCAAGATCGCTGCTGGTGTTGTCGATGATGTTGACGTTTGAGGTCAATTTGCTGGCAATGTTTCTGAGGGAAAACAAAGCGCCGAAGAGCAACTTTGCAGAGTCGATGTCATTGTTCAAGTTGACAGTGCCACCACCAACCAAGGGCCTGGCAGCCTTTGGGTCTTGCTGAATGCTCTGAGAGGAGTATCTGTTGGGATGCTGGTTCTGAAGCTGGGCAGAGGCCCACTCTCTGCTGTAGATGCAGTTGCCTGGGGGGGGGTGTTAGTGTGTGCTGGGATGGTGCTGGGGGAAAAGGCAACATACAGTGTCTGTCGAAGATCCAGAGGGAGTATATCATTGCCATTGGTGCGTGTGCTTCTTGTGCTGTTTCTGCTTCTCTGCTGGATCGTATTTCTGTGGTCGTGGCATGGGAAGCGGGACCCTCGTTCGGGGGTCTGGTGGGGTCTGTGGAGAACAATCTCGCGTTTTTCCAGGCGCGTGAAATATTCGAAAAGAACGCGTACGCGAAACTGGCACACGCGTCGTGGCTGGCGACAGAGCTGCCTCTGCTGCGTCTGCTGCCGGGAAACGAGCCCCAGCACGCGACGCGAGCCACACGTAGCACTGCCGCTGCTCTGCCGCCAATTGCGTGCAAACCACATGCGTGGTCCCGACGGAGTGCATTTCGAACAGAGGAAGCAGAGGCAGCAGAGGCAGCAGAAACAGCTGGACGTGCTGCGTCTGCTTTCTCTACTGCCAGCTCTGCTCTGCCGGCACTGTTCGGCTATCCGTAGATTTCAGACGCATTTTCTCACGCAGGATTTCTTTCGCTTTATGTAAACCTATTTTCTTTTCATTGATCAGAACTTCAACGAAAACCTATCAACTTTCTTAGTTTTCTATGAAAGCTTAACTCACTGCTAACAATAAAGGGACTCCAATATCTGCTTTTATTGTTAGCTCTCATCCTTTTTTCTTTCTTTCACTTCAAAAGCTCGTTTTCCACCTTCATTCTGAGCTGCTCTTGTATTTTTATTCGTCTTTTTATCGTTCCCAGTCCAGCAGGAAACTGGAATAATCCAAGCTTGTTTTTTTAATACCAATTTCTCTATCTGTTAGCTCTTTTCTTTTTTTTTTTTTGGATGATTTGGAATTTGGCATTTTGGATCTTGGTTTTAGAAATACAGTTTTGATTCATTAATTATATCCTTAATACACTGTTATCTCACTCCAAATCATATTGTCCTACCCACATCCTCACAAAAAATCACTATCCATTTCCACCTTTTTCACAATTGATCCTCTGTTGATCCTATATCAATCTTCTAGAAAACAAAAACAAAACCAAAAAACGATCAAAAAAATACACTTTATCATACCAACACACCTCGCATTTTCTACAGGTCTTTATTTTCATTTCCTATAATCTACCATCATCGAAATCTCCAATAATAATCAGCCATAATGGCTTCATTATCAGATCAGATCTATTCGGCTACTTACTCTGGTGTCGCTGTATTGGAATTCCTAACAACTTGTGGGTCCGTAATGAGAAGAAAACATGATGGTTGGATAAATGCTACACATATCTTAAAAGTAGCCAATTTCCCCAAGGCAAAGAGAACTAGAATATTGGAAAGAGACGTCCAAAGTGGTCTTCATGAAAAGATCCAGGGTGGGTATGGTAAATATCAAGGAACCTGGGTCCCTTTGGAAATTGGCAATTCTCTAGCTATAACATACAATGTCCATCTGGTACTAGCCCCAATCCTAAATTATCAAGTAATTGATGGTGCTCCTGAACTACCCCCTGCTCCAAAACATCACCATGCTTCAAGTGGCAAGAGAAATCAAAACTCTTCCTCAAACTTTTCAAATTCTCCAAGCATATCCAAAAAAAACTCAAACAACAACAAAAATAATAATAATAAATCAAATCACATCAACACTCAAACTCAAAATAATCCTACCAATAACAACAACAACCAGAAAAACCCTCAAAAGAAAAGAGGTCGTCCAAAGGGTTCCCTAAATAAAGAACCTCGCAAAAAATCTATAAAATTAAAAACAAATTTGAATCAACAGCAGCAGCATCTCACAATGTCAAATTCTCCAACAATTGGTGTATTCTCCAATAACTCTGCTATACCTTTAATAAACTTATCAAATAGCAATATCAATAATATTTCCAATAGCACCACTAATAATAATACTACCAACACAAACAACACAAACAACACCAGTAATACTAACAATATTAACAACACTAACAACACTTCTAATTTTGATTCAAAAAATGACTCAAATCTAAATGATAATAGTTATCTACTTCCTCACACCCAATCTTACTCAAATTTCGTTGAATTGAGTAATTTTAACAAATCCCAAAACAATTACAATTTATCCAATAATATCAACAATAACCATAATCATAACCGTGACAATAGCCATAACAATAACAATAATAACAATAATACCATCATAAATATCCACAACAACTCTCTCAACAACTCCCTCAACTCCCTTAATACCCTCAACATTAATAACACTTCAAAACTTCATATAAATACCCACAACTTATTGAAAAATAATGACTTTGAAAGAACTAGTCCCATAGATGAAAACATAAACCCAAACGATTTCAATGACCATTTATCAACCTCTAGTATCGACGAAAATGATAACATAAATTCCATCCTACAAAGAACTCCTGCTGCTTTCACCTCAAGTCACAACTATATACCCAACTTTACCTCTCCACCAACCAACACTAAAAATATCCATTCCCTAGATTTAACTGATCTAGATTTCGTTTACACTAAAAGAATAAAACCAAATGATCTTATAAACAACAATAACAACAACTCTTTTTTCTTGAATAATTCTATAGAAAACTTATCAAATGCAAACAGCAAAATCAACAACAACAACAAAAGCAACAACAATAACAATAACAATAACAATAACAATAACAATAACAATAACAATAACAATAACAATAACAATAACAATAACAATAACAATAACAAAATTATCAGCAATAAAAACGAATTCGACGAAAATATGAAATACATTTCAACTCTTATTTCTTATCTCATGTCTAACGATGATGGCCTCAACCCAGATTCCTTTATACCTGATGAATATAAAACCCCTCCTAGAAATTTCAATCCCAATGCAAAACTAGATGAAAACGACTACACTTTACTTCATTGGGCTTGTGCTGTAGCAAATCTTGGAATGGTTGAGTTCTTGAAAAAATTCAATGCAAACATTAAAGCACATGCAATTGACCTGGTTTTACCAATCATGAGAACTGTATCATTTAATAACTCATTTCTAAAAAGCAATTTCTTTAAAATAGCTGAACTATTGAAAGAATCTCTACTAGACACTGACTCAAAAAATAGAACCCTACTACATCATATCTCAATTTCAACTAGCTCTCTGAAAAAAATGGATGCTGCTCTATATTACACTGAAGCTCTAATAACAATAATAAGTAAATCCTCCTCTCCAGATAATTTATCTTTTTTTATTAATGCTCAAGATAATGATGGAAACACTGCTCTTCATTATTTTGCTAAAAATAGAGCCAAAAGATGTATAAAAATTCTACTAGATTTTAATGCTCAAAACGATATTAAAAACTTTAGTGGCCAAACTGCTCTCGATATATTGCTCCAGTTTAATTTTGTGGACACTCCTAAACCTGTTACACCATCTTCTTACTATCAAAATTCAAATCTTAATAACCTAATTGAAACATACCATCAATTTCCTGGACCTTCAAATACCCTGACTCCAAATAAAATACTAAGAACACCAATTAAGACACCCAACTTTAAAAGATTGACCAATGGATTTTTCTCGGGACAAACTAATGGAGCCATAAGTACTATTAAAAAAAACAATTTTATAATTTCACCGAGCTTTTCTATTATAAATAAAGAAGATAAGGGAAATATATCATTAAATTCCATTCTAGTAGATCAACCTTTTTGTTTATCTCCAGTTCCTAAACATTCTAAAGTTGCCATGGAACATGGAGAAGTGATTGCAAATTCTTTAGTTTCCTCTGTAAATGAACTATCTTCTTATTATGATAATCAAGTAAAGGAAAAAAATAATACAATTGCTGAATTGAATCAATATTTAGTAGATGTTAATAGTGAAATTGAATTAATTGAACAAAAAATACTAAATCTTAATATAGAGCCAAATAATAATAACCAGACTCCAAAATCTGAAATAAGGTCTAGTTCATATAATCAAAATAAGGAATCGTCTAAATTGGTTGAAGAAATTTTGAATAATAAAACACAAAAAATTGAAGAATTAATAAAAATTGAACAACAAACATTTAAAAAAAATATGATTATATTGAGCAATTCATTTGAAAGAAAACAATGTTTTATTTTAAACAAAAATGAATGTTTGTTATCAAATGGAAAAATTGATCACAAGACATTTGTTAGTTCAGTTGAGAATGACAACAGAGTAGAAATAAGTATGAAAAACAATAAAAATAGAAAACAATTGGTTCAGGAGGAGGATCCCCTGTATAGGCCGAAGATCAATGGAGAAAACAAAGAAGAAAGTAATGATAAAAATGGAACTATTATAAAAATAAGCAAAAAAGGTTTTCTTAAAAAAGAAGATGAAGTTTTAGTAAAACTAGCAATTGAATTGACACTTTCCCAAAGCAGAAGACAGAGAAAAACTCAAGAGATAATACTATTATTTGACGATGAAAAAGTGAAAAGTGACAGCTTTTCGTATTTCAGCTCATCAAATAAAAATGCCAAAGAGGAATTTCTAAGATCCAAACAAAAAATCGAGAAATACAGAAAATTGGTGGCCTTATGCTGCGATGTTGGGGTCAATGAAGTTGATGGGTTATTGCTGGGGATCCAGCAGGCACTTGAAAGTGGTGAAATCCCTGATTTGTACAATTAAATAAGAGGCATGTTCCTTTTTCTATTCTATTTGATTCTATTTTATTTTATTTTATTTTATTTTATTTTTCCTTATTTTCTATCTCATTTTTTGTGTCCAGTTAAGTTTTCAGTTCCGATTTTTTGTACAATACTCTCCAACTATTTTGTAAGCAACAGTAGGCTTTTCTTTACAGATAATAGCAAAAGTGTGCAATTAATTGTTTTGCACTTTTTGAGGCACAGATTAAAGTTTGGTTAACTTGCTTTGATGTGAAAAGTCTGGAAAATGATCAGAGCAATGCTTCCTATTTACTGATGATTATCAAAGCTGAGACTCAAACCAGACCCAAACTCCTATCTGTTTATAGCTATCTCCATAATGAAAAGAAAACAGAAGAAGGAAAAAGTTTTAACTGACTGGCATCGAAGCCAGGTAGAACACATCAAACAGCTATATCTAGAACCAGAATTTGGACACAATGTATTTGAAATCATAACTGCTATCAGGTATGATCCTGAGCTCTCATCCAATACAATTTTTGATGAAGACGAGGATGAGTTTTTGGCATCTCTCACCACATATAATACACAGGAAACCAGTGGTAATACAGTTGACAACGACCAAATTCAGTGGAGTGATCTTATCAATTCTAGCAATAGCGAATCTTTTATGAGCAGTGGTCTAAATGAAACCACCCAGTCAACAGAAATTGATGCTTACATTGAAAGTAACTATGTTGTGGTTGATGCGATTGAAGAATCCAATTTTTTCTTATACAATGAACATTGGAATAGGTTGCAATTTTCGATGGAGTATTTCAATTGGAATTTTGTTATTCCAAGGGAATTATTGTTGGGCAAACTAAAAGAAGCAATGTCGAGTTATGATCTAACTACTCCTTACAAAATACGGGTATCAGTTAATAACACTGGACGAGTTGATGTTGTTCCAACTCCTACCACAAGAAGAACAAATTTGTTTGATGGGTTTGATTTTCATTCTGAACCAACAGATTCAGATATGTGGAAAGTATATATAAACAGAGAACCAATTTTGGTTTCGCCTTTTACATCATTTAAAACCACCAAAAGAGACCAATATAACAAAGCAAGGGAGGCATCGTTAGACAACTCCCTTCCAATGGGATCACCTCAAGAGGTTCTTTTATACAATTCAGCAGGGCAAGTAACTGAAGGTTCAATTACAAATGTTGCATTTTTAAGAAAGAAAACCGAGGAAAATGGCGAGATATGTGAAAGATGGGTTACGCCTCCTTTATCGAGTGGTTGTTTATGTGGAGTAGTAAGGCATGCTTTGCTCTGTAAGAATTTGATTGAAGAAGATGTTGTGCCACTTAAAGAAGTTGAGATTGGAGAAGAAGTGTTATTGTTCAATGCAATAATGGGTGTTGTTCGAGGAATAATAGTGCAAAGGAAGGAGAAAAGTTAAATATAAATGAAAATGAAAATGAAAATGAAAATGGAAATGGAAACAGAAATGAGATAGAATGAAATAGAGTTAAAAATTTATTGAATATATTTAAGAAAACCAATCCAAGAATATTGATCTAAATATTAATCTATATATCGATCTAAATATATACATATATATGTATACTGAATGAAGTTGACTATTTCTCTGTTAAGAAATATCTTTTTTTTTTATTTTCATCTTTTTTGTAGTTGGTTCATTTTAATTAAAACCAAGGTGTTTTATCTTTAAGATTAGCAAGCAAACCCTTTTGATGTGGAATATACTCAACTCTATGATAAGAGTTGATATTTTTTCTTAAAACAATTTGATAGCAAGTAGCTGAACCTTGTCTTGAAATAATAGTTGAAGAAGCTAAAAAGAATTCCCAAATTCTAAACCACTTGATACCATATTTATTGACAACCTTATCTCTGTTGCCTAACCAATTACGGTACCATCTCCAAAGAGTACCAGAATAATGAACACCGATATTATCGATTGATACAACTTCAAAGCCTGTGCCTTCCAATTTCGAAATGACAAAATCTAAAGGAGTTGAGGCATCAGCACCTGGAAAGATATATCTGTTCATGAATAAACCCCAGATTAAATCTTCATATTGCCAGTGTTTTCTAATACCGGCGTATTGGAGAAAAAACAAACCGTCGTCATCTAGCATATCATAAACTTGTTGTAAGAAAGAACCAAATTTTCTGATGCCTACATGTTCAGCCATTTCAAGACAAGTGATTTTATTGTAACCGCCTTGAGGAACTGGGGTATCACGATAATCAAGACATAAGATTTCAGATTGGTCTTTTGAAACACCATAATGAGCCAATTGGTTATTACCCCATTTAGTTTGGTTGACACCTAAAGTGATACCAGTAACACGAGCACCATATTGAGAAGAAGCAAAAGCTGCCAAAGTTCCCCAACCACAACCTAAATCCAATAATCTTTCACCTTTTTTCAAATTGATCTTTTCACAGACAATCTTCAATTTGTTATCCTGCATTTCTTCCAACGTTTCCTCTCTTGTAATATCGGAAATGACACCAGAAGTGTAGACCATTCTGGGACCTAAAAACCAAGTATAGAAGTCGTCGCCACGATCATAATGGTCTCTAACTTGTTCTTCATCTTGAGATCTAGTGTGCAAGATGACCTCGGGGATCATTTCAATTAAGAAATATCTGAAAAGGGATAAAGTGAAACTAAATTTGGACCAGTCATGTCTATATTCTAGAATTTGCAAAGCGTCGCCTTTAAAGGAAACTTTCCCATCGAAATACAATTCGTGAAAGGTTTCCCAAGGTATTTTATTTGAACCGGAGTATTTTTGTTTCAAGTCGTCTGTGTGGAATTCTAGATAGTCCTCAACATTTTTGCCTGGGAAAGTAACTTTTTCATTCAATCTTGGAGAGAAGTTGGACATGACAGTCCAGTAGGCCATCAACACAGGAATAATGGTGAGAATAAAAAAGAAAACAAAGGTGAACAAACCACCACCTAGCTTGTACTTGATGTAGTAGGGAATCAGCAAAGCCAAACCAATTAAGACCAAGTTGGAAAAGTGCTTTGTGCTTGGACCATCAGCAGGCAATGGGGCATTTTTGATAGCAGGATAGTCAGTGGTTCTAATGCCAAACTGGGTGGAAGAAACGTCTCTTACAGCAGAAGCTGGGGTTGCAATGAACTGAAAGTCGCCGTAGGAAGCCATTGTCTCTGTTGCGATACCAATTGAAGTTTGTCAAGAGCTGAGATCTCTGGCAAAGAGGAATCTGTCGAAGTTCGATCAAAGGTAATAAAAAGCGTGGAAAACAGTGCCGCGCTGTGATTGGCCAATCGTGAAAAGTGTTGCACGTGCTGTCTCGGAACTGGGAGCGAGATCCGAGACCTTTTTTTCCAGATCTGTGGAAGTACTCCACTGCTGTGGAAGCGTTCCATCGCTGCGAAAATGATCCAGCGTTGAGGAAACCTTCCAGCCCGGTGGATCTGTCCCTATTAGGAAGGCGTCTTTCCGGACAGAACTGAGGTGTCTGTGTTTGTTTCCATTCCTTCTGTGCTGTTGGGCTGAGGACGAGTCGTGAAGAGCTTCTCATCGCCAGTGTTGGGCGACACCATTATCTCCCTCTTCTGCTGCCACTGGTGCTGTTGATATTCCCCAAAATGCCCAGCAGAAACACCGAGCCCTACGTCCTTTACTCCCACAGGAAGGCCTCCTCCATGATCTCAGAGAGCCACTTCAAGTCCTACAACAGCGACGACGACGAGCTGGACTGTTTCAATCCTGAGCTGCTTCAGGTCAAGAAGAAACCATACTTTGCTGTCAACGAAAACGACCAGAGCTTTGTCAACCAGAAGAGGAAGCTATCCAAGTCTATAATGAGATCCAGATCCAGATCAAATTCTTCCCTATCTTATACCCATTTCTCCCACTCGATATCCACCATCGAGTCTGAATCCCAGCTCTTGACCTTGCTCAAAAACGACTTGATCAAATTGGAAAAACTTTACACTGATGAGTTAGTTAAAACCTCTCAATATTCTTATGAACAAGAAAACCTTGAAAAAGAACTATTAAACAAAGAAAAGGCTTTGTTGAACCAGTCAACCCAAATTCAAAACATATCAAGACTAAAAAGGGACTTGGAAAAAAAACTAAAATTGGAACTAGAATTGCATGAGAACGATTACTCAAATTGGTTAGATGAAAAATACAATTATGAACTAAAAATAAAAAATTTGCAAAACAAAATTAAAGAAGATGAGTTTTTAATTCAGGAACTATCAAGTTCGAATTTCAATTTGAATCCGAAATTAAATTTAAAATACGAAAACAAATTATTACTTGAAGATAATTCCTTCAACTCTTTAAACGACTCTTTTAATAAATCTTTAACTAAATCGCTCAACAATTCTTTTAATTCTACTCAAAATGATATGAGTTTTGAAAATGATAACTCAAATTTTTACAACATTTCTTCATCAAATAACGATCTCGATCTCGATAATAATAATAATAATAATAATAATAATAATAATATCAAATTAACTGTCCTCAAAACGAAACTAAACTCGCTCAATCAAAGTCTTCAGGCTGAAAAGAATAACGTAAAATTACTAAAAGATAATTTGAAATTTAAAAATATTGAAAATAAAAAATTAAATGAAAAAAATGTAATTTTAAAACAAAATTTAAGCAATTTAAACAACTTAAACAACTCAAATTCAAATTCAAATTCAAATTCAAATAATAAACAAAATCTAAATGTTGATGATTATTTGAATGATCTAGACTCAAAATCAATAATTTCATACTCAAACTCGGTTTTATCAAAACTAGATGATGAAATTAATAATAATGATAACGAAACAGATAATGATAACGATAACATTATCTCCAAGAACGAAAAAATTAAAAAAATTATATCAAATGATAACAACAACGATAAAGCTATATCAAACTATTTCGCAAACTCTCTAGATTATGAATTGAAAAATCTTAAGCTATACGATGCCTCTTCTCTCATGTCCGAAACCGTATCCCAACAAATCTCTGACATAGAAAAACAATACAAATTACAAACTCAACAACTACTAAATACTCAGTTCCAACTAAAAAGTCTTAAAAATGAAAACAGACAACTATATCTATTATTAAATCAACTATTAAATCACTCTCAAAATCAAACTAACGTAACCAACAATATAATCAATATCAATAACAACGTTATAAATCAAAACAACTCTCTAAATTTAAGTTTAAATTTAAATCCAAAGAACTCAAATTCGGAACTTGAAAAACAAATAGCTGATCAAAGTAAAAAATTTTTAGCTGAAAGGAAAATTCTTAGAATTCAATCAAATCAAGTCTTCAACTCTCTCGATAAACCTTATATAAAGAGAGCTTTATCAAGCAATATAAATTCAGTTTATTCAATGGATGATAAATCATCAGGTTTAAAAAATAAAATATCCATTAATAAAGAAAACATTGAAAATACCCAAAATACTCAATCAACTGACAACCATGATTTATCAACCGATACCATTAAAACTATTGAAGAACTCAAGACTCCCAAAATCAGAAGAACCAGTTTTGTAACAAATAACTCAAAGACATTATCAACAACTAAAACATCTAGAATTAACCTGATCGGAACCATGATAATTCCTTGTGGTCCAATAGTTAGGGAAAATGACAATAATTATAAAAAAGTCTCTGAGCCGCGAAAGAGTTTAGTTCGGCGGAATAAAGGCAAGAATTACTCGATTCCTGTCTTGAATATTCAAAAAACTAGAAAAAGTATAAGTAAAAGTAGAAACAGAAAAAAAAGAAAATATAACAATGGAGAAAGCGATGATGAGCAAGACAATGAATCCTCAATATTTTTCTTTAAAGATACTTTAAATCAAAAAAAACCTATTAACGTTAATCCTATAAAAATCAATCCTGAAAACTATCGTTCAACAATTGACGATATTAAATTAAATATTGATATAAAGAAGACCTCATCTGATTTGAATGTCATTGATAGTGATGATGAATTTGACATATCTAACATTTCAGCATCAACAAATTTTAACAATAGTATTAATGATAGCAATTTATCAATGGCGACCCTGACATTGGATAATATTCGCAAAAGAGATAAATCAATAATTTTTGCTCCAATTGAAGAAATTAATAAGACAATTTTCAAAAATTTTAAATTTAAATTTTTTAAAAGTTGCAAAATACATTTATTTAATTGTAACTGTGATGAACAATTAAAAAAAAACCCTGCCAAACTTTTATTGAGAAACGTCGCCCTCCATAGGGGTGATGTAAGTTATATGGACTTGAATGTTGATTGAATTTTTCAAAACAAAATAAATAACACTCATTACTTTTGTTGATATATATTTTTATCTAAGTTTTTTATTATTTGATCATTTTTTTCCCTAAATTTTTTTTGTTTTCTTGGTTTTATCTTCATGTTTGTTTTTATTTTGATTTTTATTTTTATTTTTATTTGTTTTTACATATTCTTTTTGGTTTAATGTTGATATACATTGAAAAGCACAGAAATGCAGAAAAGACAAGAAAATAGAGAATAGAAAAAAGAAAAAAGGAAAAAAAATATCTATACAGTACATTATACAATATTAAAATATACATTATCAGATTTAATTGAATTGTTTTTATTTCAATTAGGCAGCAATTTGAGTAGTAATATTCTGAATTTGACAGGAATTGTCTGTTTTTTCAATTGGGGTATCTTGAACAGTATTCAAGATTCTTTTATTGGATGCAAGACTATTGACAGTTCTGAAATAAGGTTGACATCTCCAATAAGGAATTTGTTTATAATTGCCACCAAATGGTTTTTGATCTAATAAAGTTATTTGGTCTAATTGGTCGATATTTTGTTGAGAGTAAATTGAGTTTACGGCATTTTCGACATCGGATACTATTTGATCCCATTTTTGTAGATATTGTGAATTTGATAATTTTTTCATATTTGAAGTATTTGTTGATATATTCTGTCTTATATCAGTATGGTGAGGTAAAAAGGAAACTAACAATTTGAAAAAATGGGATCTGATTGCCTTTAGAGATGAGTAGCTTTTGCCATCAAGAGATTTCACTATTTCGTAATATTGTCTTAAGATGATATCTACTCTTGGATACTGGATATCAATAAGGTCATAATGAGAGGGGTGATTCATGAATACGGCAGGATTGTATAGGTTACCTTCAGCAGACATGACAGCATTTGTGTTTGTAAAATTTAAACAGGTATCAATATCTTCAGAGTATAGGATATTACCATTTGAGAATAAGATTGTTTCAGGGGGCAAATCTCGGCGAAGTTTTTCTATGATGGTCCAATCAGCTAGACCAGTTAATTGGCCTTTCATTACTCGTGTTCTTGTATGGACAGTTAGAAACTGGGCGCCGGATTTTAGGATTAATTTTGCGTATTCCAAGGTCTTTTCGTAGTCTTTATAAACTCTTATCTTTGCAGTGATGGGAACGTCTATGTTTTTGTGCAAGGCTTTGATTAACGATTCAACAATATCCCAATCATCCATCAAGAAAGAACCATATTTGCCCTTTTTAGCTATTGCCTGGGGGCAGCCAAGGTTCAAGTCAATAGCATCGCATTGATGTTGAAGCAATTTTGCAGCATCGACGAGGTGTGTTGGATCGTTGGCACAGAACTGAACAATCAAGGGACGATCAAACTCAGGGTTTCCATCCAAACCTTCAGTCCACATTTCGTTTCTGTATTTTGGAGACTGGGAGAATAGTCTGGCGTGGATCATGGGAGTATAGCACAAATCAGCCCCATGCTTCCTGGACAAGATTCGCCAGGCCAACTCGCTCTGGTCAACCATGGGAGCAACTATCTTCTTGGGACAGCCTAGCTTCTGGTACAAATCAGGCCCAGTGAGCTTCTTTTTGAAAAAATTCTCTGCCATCTTCTTTGATATCATTCTACCATAGTCTGAGATAAAGCTCTTCTCATCTCCAGACAGAAAAAAAAAAAGCACCAAAACCAATCCGGAAACACACGTGATTTTTCAAGACCTCCGTTCTGGCTACGCTTTCACGCGCCGATTTGCTCCGACGCGCTTCGGATCGCGGTTGGCTTTTCCCGCGCTTCCACTGTTCCACGCCGACAGGGCCAACGCACGTGCGTCTCGGCCCCGGCGCGGGTCTGAAAAGTTTTCGCCGACGAGCTTCCGCAGACGAAGGCTCTTCTGCGTCTGCTTCCTCGAAGGCTCCTTCTTCTGCTTCTTCTGATGCCTGTGCTTCCTCTCTAGCCCCAGCCATGAGCCCCTCTCACGTCTCCAACACTGCCCAAAGCCCTGTGCCTGTTGCCATTGCTCCCAGAACTCTGGCCAAGGAGTCTGCCTCGGCCGACGGCTGCAAAGCCCTCTCCATCGCTCCTTCCTCTGCTTCCTCTGCTGCCAACCAGAACTTGCCTAACAACCCAACTCTCAATCCAAAGGCCTTTCCCAGTGCCAAAATACTGCCCATCTCCAACAAAGCCTCCTATGCTTCTTCTGTGGCATCGTCCTCCTCTTCTTCCAACAACAGCTCCCATTTGACCAGCTCCTCCAGCAAGAATATCACTTCTTCCACATCTGCCTCGACCTCTCACTCGATTTCGAATCCCACCATCACCACTACAACCACCAACACCATCACTTCGTCCAGCTCAAATTCAAAAACAATCATTTCAACTATCAAAAAGTCTCCACTAGCTTCAAATTCGAATCTAACTTCAAATTCAAATTCCAACTCAAATTCCAACTCAAATGTTGCTGCAAATAACAATACCAATAATCTTCATAATAACGGTTTCTTTTTGAAACCTCAAACCTCGACCATCATTTTAAATAATAAAATCAATACCTACAATACCAGCAGTGCAACCAACGAAAACATCAAAAACTACAAGGCTATCTTGGAAAGATTGAAAAGAGAAAAAGAATTATTGGATAACAGATCAAATAATACTCACAACCAGAATATTGTCAGGAACAATCTCATCAACAACAATACAAATACCAATAACACTAATACCAATATCAATACCAACAATAACAATAACAATAACAATAACAATAACAATAATCACAACAGTACTAATACTATTAACAACTACAAAAACAACCACAATAACTATACTACCTTCAACGACTCAAATTCTAACCTTAACAATTCAAACAACAATAACAACATCAACTCGAATTTTTCCGTTAATAACTCTCTATCTAATAATAACCTTTTGAATAAGAACTCAAATTATTCGTCAATCAAACCAAAACCAATTTCTTCAATTCCTCCTAACAATCACTCTACCTCTTCAATAACTGCCAATATTTTAGCTAAATCTTCCTCTTTATTGCAAAAACAACAATTATCAAACCAAAATCACCACAATCTTTTAAAAAAATCCCTTATTTCAAACACAACCTATACAACAACTTTACCTTCTTACATTAACAACAATAACAATAATAACAATAATAACAATAATAATAATAGCATCAACAAAAATATAAACATGAACATAAATATGAACATGAATATGAATACAAACAAAAACTTACATCCCAAACCTATCCCAATTAAACCAAAATCAATCTCTCCCAAACCAATCGCTCCTAGGCCTGTTTCTATTCAAATGAAACCTACAACTCAGTCTCAAATTCAATCATTACACCAAAACATTATCTCAAACAGACCAATAAATAATAATATCAATAATAATATAAATAATATTAACAACATCAATACTCAGTTTAATAACCAAAATAATAATAACATTTCGAACAATATTAATTCAAATTTTAATTCCAACATGATTAACCCCCAACCAAATAACAATAATAATAATAATAATAACAATAATAACAATAATAATAATAATAATAGTAATAATAGTAATAATAGTAATAGTAATAATAATAGCTTTGCAAACAACAGCAATAACAATAATAACAATAACAGCAATAACGGTAACAACAACAACAACAATAATAATAATAATGTTTTGAATAAAACCTCACCACCTTACTCGAAAAACTCACCATCTGATTCTAGACTCTCAAACAAAATTAAACAACCAGACTTGAGTTCCCTTTCTGCAAAAGCCGCAAAAGAAGCTGCCATGAAACATCAAGAAGAATTAAAAGTAGTTTTAAAAAATACTGCCCAAGAAAATGAAAAATTAAGAATTATTATCGAACAACTTCGAAATGAAATCTCTTATTTAAAATTAATTAAAAATGATTCAACAATGAAAAAAGCAATGACAACAAAAACAATAGACCCGAAAAGTTTAAGTAACAATAGTGATATCACTCCTACTAATAACATTAACAGCAATAACAATAACAACAACAACAACAACAACAACAACAACAATAATAATAATAATAATAATAATAATAATAATAATAATAATAATAATCATATGAATAACAATCACATAAATAATGATATGAATATTTCTAATACCACAAGTATTAGCAGCAATAACCTTAAACCTCAAGTCAATATTCAACCCAAAGTCAAAAGACAACATACCGAAAAGAAACAGAAAAAATCAACGGCAAAGAAAAAAACAACAAAAAAGAAAGATACTGCTTCTACTTCCTCTACTTTTATTAAACAGGAATCCCCAGAAACTCACAATTTAGGGATTTCAGCTCCTCCAATGGACAATATAGAACAATTATTATATGAATCATTAACATCTGTTGACATGAATGATTCTCCTCTTTTACAATCTATTCAGATGTCAAATTCTGTTTCAGAATATAGCATGACTAGTTCAGCTGCTAGTCCCCCATCAATGATGCTAACGCCATCAATAGACCCATCCAACTTATCTACAGTTTCAAATAGATCAACTAGAAAATATAAAAATATTGTTCCTAGAACAAGAACAAGACAAAGCAACTCTATCTCTAATTCGATTTCCAATTCGATTTCCAGTTTAAACCCTAGTTCTCTATCTTTTTATAATAAAACTAATTTTTTCACTCCTGGATTAGAAAGATCTCAATCTACTATTGTTCCCAAATCAGATATTAAAACAGATTCATCATCTCTAAATTTGATGGATTCTAATTTGGATTCCAATCTAGATTCCAATTTGAGTTCTAATTTAGATTTGAATATCGATTTAGATGATATCATTAGAAATTCTCATAAATATAGCAACAGTTTAGATATTTCCAATCCAAATCATAATGACGATGATTCAGCAAGTCAGTTTTCCGTTACAAAACCTATAGTAAGTGATTTAAAATCATTGAAACTAGACAGGGTATTGGCATCTCCAACATTTTTAAATAATGAAACAGATAGCTCTAAATCAAACTCTCAATCTAATAGATCTATTTTTCTAAATAAAAACTTTAATAATAGTTACAACTCTATAAAAAAGCCCTTTGAACCTTGCGGGTTCTGCTCTAATGGGAGCCATTGTTTATGTGCTGAAGCTGCTTCTGAGTTGATGGCTAGTAATAAAGTGATAAATGAAATTAATAATAAAAGCATACCCTCAAAATTTATAAGTACTAAATTTGACAATATTCCTAAATTCAAAAACAATGATTTTGAAAAGCATATTGAAATCAAAATTGAAAAGGATTTAGAACCTGAGCCCGACTTTTCAAGTTTTTTAGTGAGTGAAAGTAATAGCAATTCTAATAGTAAAATCAATATTAAGAATGAATTTGCAGATGATTTGGATTTAAACATTTTAATAGATAATGATTTAAATCTGAACTTTGATAACAAGGGAATTTATAATAAAAAAAGTGATAACAATAGTGGGTTTTTTAACAGGTTTACAAATTCAAAAAGTAATGATGATTTAGATCTATCAATGTTCATCAAACAGGATGATGATATGTTTCTGTAAAGAGTTGTTTAATTTTTAATTTTCTAATTTTAATTTTTTTTTAAGGTTTTTTTGTTAGTTAAACAATAACATTTTTGAAGACTTTTAGATACTTTTGATTCCATTTTCATACTTCATTTTATTCCTTATGGTTTTTTATATAGATATTTTGTGTTATTATTTTTTTAGTTCTTTTCTTTCAAGTTCAATATTCGAATTTTGTTTCCATGCCAATCTTAACTCTTTTTATCTGTAGTACCAAAACCATTGACCATTGAGTTTTAAATTTTCTAGATTAAAAAACGTGTTTGTGCTAAAAGAGTATGTTTTTTTCTACTAATTGGAGCAATGCTATTGTTTAATCCAGTTTAATGAGGTTCTAGAACAATACCGTGCACAACATACATGCAGCAGTGTGCAGAGAAGATGTCCGGATATAGCCAGTCTATTTGTTTCTGCTCATCGAAAATGCAAAAACAGTTTCAGTACATATACACACATACAGCCGCACGTCTGCCTCAGCATACGTAGAAGCAGCTGCCGGATTGAGCACATCCAACATGCACTTCCCGCACGTGGCAGATGCAGGGTGCTGACTCAGCACCCTGCATTGCTTACCCTGCTGTGGTGTATCACCCACTGCGTATCACCTGCTGTTGTTCCTTGTGCTGCAGCGCTTCGACCGTAGGACTATAAATACTAAGGCTCCTGTGCTGCTTTTGCTCCTATCTCCAGCTCCAGCTTCACTTTCTGCTTGCGCTCAATTCCTGTTCTACTGGCCATGACAGTGTCCTTGCTAACTGATCTCTCCTATGTCTCCTTGACCACCTCTTCCTTGGACCGATACGAGAAAACCATACAATTCTACAGGTCAATTGGCTACCAGATTGCTAGAAACTTCACAAAGGATCCTGCCAATTCCTCTCTCACTAACGACAGCATCCACTCCAACAAAATTGGAATTTCCAACGACTCATTCAAGGAATCCTGGCTAGAATGTTTTTCCAGCTCAACCAATTCTTCTGGTTCTGCCATAAAGATTAGGTTGTCTGCCACTAGCGCTAATCTAAAAGTCTCTACAAACCAAATCTCAATCACTGATTCTTCTGGCTCAAATGCCGTAATTGATGCTCCCAAGTCAATTTTTTTGAATATCAATGATGTCTCGTTAGAAAAAATTAAAAAAACTTTAATTGACCAAAAGTCACCCATCGATACCAACTTCAATGATTATGAGAAAACCTTATCAATATTTAAAAACTTATCTTTCAAAACAACTGATCCTTTGAATAACTCTGTTTTTTTTTCTTTGGTAAACTTTAATGATAACAACCACAATAACATTTACAATGATTCAAAGGCATTCTCGTCTTCTTTCAAATCTCATTCTTCTCTCACGTTGACCACACATCTAGCCTTTTCAAGGAAAAAGAAAAAAATTGCTATAATGACTTCAGGTGGTGATTCTCAAGGTATGAATGCTGTTGTTAGATCCGTTGTTAGAACCGGTATATTTTATAATTGTGATGTCTATGCAATTTATGAAGGTTACGAAGGTCTAGTCAATGGTAATAACTCAATTAAGAAAATGTCCTGGAATGACGTCAGAGGCTTCATTTCCTTTGGTGGTACTTTAATTGGCACTGCAAGATCAAATGCTTTTAGAACCCCAGAAGGCAGATTAAAGGCTTGTTACAACATGATAATCAATGGTATTGATGCCTTAATCGTTTGTGGTGGTGATGGTTCTTTAACAGGTGCCGATTTGTTTAGACATGAATGGCCTTCTTTATGTGATAAATTAATTAAACAAAAAAGATTATCAATTGATCAAGTTAATCCCTTTAGAAATTTGACTATTGTTGGTTTAGTAGGCTCAATTGATAACGACATGTCAAGTACTGATTCCACTATTGGTGCTTACTCTTCTTTGGAAAGAATTTGTGAAATGGTTGATTATATTGATGCTACTGCTACCTCTCACTCAAGAGCCTTTGTTGTTGAAGTAATGGGTAGGCATTGTGGTTGGTTAGCCTTAATGGCTGGTATTGCTACCGGTGCTGATTTTATTTTTATTCCTGAAAGACCGCCAAATTCAAAGACTTGGAAAGATGATTTAAAAGAGATTTGCTTAAGACATAGACAAAAGGGAAGAAGAAAAACGACTGTTATTGTTGCTGAAGGTGCAATTGATAATCAACTAAATCCAATTAGCGCTGACGAGGTTAAAGATGCCTTGGTTGAATTAGGCTTGGATACTCGTATTACAACTTTAGGTCATGTTCAAAGAGGTGGCTCTCCCGTCGCATTCGATAGAATGCTAGCCACCTTCCAAGGTGTTGAAGCTGTAAAGGCTGTTTTAGATTCAACACCAAGTACTCCATCTCCAATGATTGGTATCTTGGAAAATCAAATAATTAGAAAACCCTTAGTAGAGAGTGTTAGGTTAACCAAATCAGTTGCAACAGCTATTGAAAATAAAGAATTCGATAAAGCAATGTCGTTAAGAGATACAGAATTTGGTGAATCTTATAATAGTTTCTTAGCTACTTCAATTCATGATGACGGTTCTACTTTATTACCTGAAAATAAAAGACTAAACTTTGCCGTAATCCATGTTGGTGCTCCAACTGCTGGTATCAATCCTGCAACAAGAGCTATCACATTATTTTCATTATCGAGGGGTCATAAAGTTTTTGCCATTCAAAATGGATTCAAAGGTCTAATTAGACATGGCTCAATTCGCGAATTGAATTGGTTGGATGTTGATGAATGGCATAACCTTGGTGGTTCAGTCATTGGAACAAATCGTTCACTACCAAGCGAAGATTTTGGTACCGTAGCTTATTATCTACAAAAATATAAAATCGATGGTTTTATAATTATCGGCGGTTTTGAAGCCTTTGAATCTTTACACTTGCTTTATAATTCAAGAAACCAATATCCAATTTTCAATATCCCAATGCTTGTTATTCCTTCAACTATTTCAAATAACGTTCCGGGCAGTGAATACTCTTTAGGTAATGATACTTGTCTTAATTCGTTAATCACTTATTGTGATGCAATCAAACAATCAGCTTCAGCTTCCAGAAGACGTGTTTTTGTTGTTGAAGTTCAAGGTGGATATTGTGGTTATGTGGCAAGCTATGCTGGACTAGTCACTGGTGCATTGGCTGTATATTTGCCAGAAAAGGATGTAAATTTAAGGTCTATCCAAGAAGATATTGATTTATTAAAGGCTAACTATAAAAGAGATAGAGGTGAGAATAGGGCCGGTAAAATATTAATTAGAAATGAAAAATGTTCTAAAATTTTCACAACTGATTTGATTACCGATATCATTATGGAGTCTGCTCATGGTTCATTTGAATCTAGATGTGCTATTCCTGGACATGTTCAACAAGGTAAAACTCCAAGTTCAATGGACAGAGTTTATGCGACAAGATTTGCTGTTCGTGCCGTCAAATATATTGAAGCGTGGAATGAGAAGATTAATAAAACCGAGGGCTTCTTGGGTGATGATACTGACCCCAACTTACGATTCCAGTATGTTCATGGCGTCAAGAAACCTATTATCGACGACTTGGATGAAAGTGCATCTGTTATTGGAACAAAAGGTTCAGAATTAAAATTCACTCCCATCTCTGAAATTTTACCTGAAGTTGATTTTGAAAGAAGAACTCACAAAAATGTTTGGTGGGAAAAATTCAATGAAATTGGCGATACTCTTAGTGGAAGAGCAATGCTAAGGAGAGAGGAAGATGACGACGACGATGATGTTGAAGATTATTAAATCATGAACCCTTTTTTGCTTTTTTTTTTGATTTTCGCTTTTTTTACTTGAATTTTTTTGTTTTTTACTATTATGATCACTTTTTTCCGTTTTTAGATTGGTTGATTCAAGTTATAAATTTTATTTAATTTTCATTTCATTATATTAGAAGCTCTTCAGCATATTGCGTCTTGAAGACAATAGTTTACAATAAATACACACATATAATACTATCATCCAGCACTCCCTAGAGGTAGATTCCAAGAGACTTGTTGAACAACCCCAACGTTTCGATGAAAATAGTGTTAAAGGAAGCAGGCTTCAACTTCACTTTCGTTTTTTTGGCGTCCAAAACCCCATCATGGTGCTCTTTGTTCTGCACACCATCGTACAAAACAGGAGTTCTGTTTCTCTCGAGGGATCTGTAATAGCTCGACATGTTTCTAAGGATTCTGCTCTCGCATCCATTGGAGTCAGCACTGGCGTTTAACACAAACCGAAGAGTTCTCACCAACGTCATCCACACATCAGGCTCGTTGCCATTGAAAGCACGAACAATGTCCTGCTCTTTGAACTTGCACTTGAGAACCTTTGTGTACAATTCTCTGTCGCCATTTCTCTCGTACAAAAACGCCCGTAGTCTGAAACATCGTCTGTATATCGCTAGGACCCTGATCTGGTTTGGAGTGAAGGTCGTGTTTGGGGAATACTTCAAGGGAAGCTCTTTGAGCTTGTTGACTGTGATGCAGTAACGAGCCACGTCTTCCACAATGCACTGGTCTTCTGTTATCAATGCCCTCGATGTTCTTATGAACGTATTTCTCAATGCCATCTTGTGGTGACGTTGAACAGCTGCTGGTGATTCAACAGAATCGAAAAGGGTTTCAGGCAGTGTTTGGTTTAAATGTTGAAATTTTCAATTACAAGTTGCTTGAAAAATGTTTGGTTTAAATTTTTAAGCAGTTGATTTAGTACCTCCTGCATCCACATAATTTCGGGTTCTGGAAACTATCATCACTTTGATTTGATAAACATCTTCTGAAAGAGTTGTGTTTTCACAATACGCTTCAATTTTGAAGCAGAAACCCAGTTTTGCGACAACGCTGGAAATTTCAACGCAATAAATGCCATTTGGCGAGATCAAAAAATAAAATCATCGATATCTATAAAAAATAACTGCATTATATCTAACTTTCAATACTACAAAGATTGTTTCTCAAGTTAACAATTTCGTTAACGACATCACCTATGAGCTTTGACTTGGATCTGGTATCTTCCAACATCTTCTGTTCTTCAATGCTGGAGGGAACAAATCTGGAGGCAAGAAACTTTGGATGCGATAGCAATTGGTTGAAATTGCTGACTAATATATCTCTATCTTCTTTGTTGTTTAACCCAGGAAGAATGTCAATCGAACTGTTTGTCGCAAACTCCTCAAAATTCAAACTGTGCAACACCTGGAATATTAGTATCAATTGTCCAGTCTCGTAAATTGATGGAAACGTAATCACCAATAAATCAAGTGACCATCCCGTAATTGTCCTATAAATCTGAGCAGAAAATCTCTTTAAAAATAAGCAAATTTCAGGGAAAAGTCTCTCGCCAAATTTCTTAAGCAAAATCAAAATTACAGACAAGAGTCCATTACTCCAAACATGGTGATAGCGAGGTAGAATATCTGGTGTAATGATTCCCTTTTGTATAATCAATGAAATAGGACTCTCAATCAATGTAGAAAATAAATCATTTGAAACTAACTGCTCAGAAACAACATCTGCTGACACCAATTCAAAAATAAATCTCAACGCTAGATCAGCAAAAACTGGCTCGTTATTGATTTTCATAGAGTTTGAGTAGTAGTAAAGATCTAATACAGATCTCAATGTTTGATGAACTGTAAAACAATTTGTTATACTTGTCAATAGATTGAATGATGGTTTTAGAGATCCAATTTCTTTAAAAATAGAAATAAATAATAACAAATCTTCAATCCTATTGTATATCATACCTAACTCAAAAACTAGATCAGACTCATTTTTATCAGCATTTTCCTTTTTGAGTTCATTGATTTTCACAACTTTTTCTTGAATTGATAATATAATTAATTTGGTGCCCTTTGCAATGTATAAATTGAAAAATTTCAACAATTCCTCAGAAATTGAATCTAAATAATAGTATTTCAAATTTTTCGAAATATTCAATGTGATTGATAGTGCCCTCAATAATGATCTGTAAAATTGAAAGTTATTATTTGTGAAATTATTAAAAAAATCAATCTCTTTTGACATCAATGATATAATAAGACCAATAATTAGAGACTTGAGTTGAACCTCCGTAATTTTATCATTCTTGCTCTGAGATATGTTATACATAATGAAAAATACAAGCTCAATTCTTTCCAAATATACTTCTTCAAAGCCTGGAACAATTCCTTCTTTATTGTTGATTTCAATTAATGATTTAGCAACATCAATAAATTTGAGATTTGTTTGGTTTTTCTTGTATTTTATGTTTGAAGTTATTAAAGCACCCCATGATTTCACAACTGTTGCCTGAGACTCCACATATTGTGACTGAATACTGTTATCAATTAAATCCTGTCTAACCGAATCCCAATCATCACAATCACAAAATACCTGATCCAATAAAATAAGATTATATGTCGAGTGAATACCATATCTTTTTCTTGAATGAATTAAAGTTGAATACATAAATTCAGAAAAGTCAACTTTTGACAAGATTGATTTCTTATCAACAATAATGTCCCTAATAGAATTTCTAAAATTAATTTTAAATAAGTCCTTCGAATAGGTGTTGATAAATGAATCACTTTCTAATAAATCAACAATTGGCTTTATGATTGTTTGAAGTTGGACCTTTTCTTTTGATGACGAATTTGTTACAAAAAATAATAAAAATGCAGAAATTTCTCCAATTATAGAAATTAACTTATTTTTGTAGCAATATTTAATCATCTCTTTATTTCCGGTAAACTCAGATATTTTTACATCCTTGAATTTCAAAAAGGTTTTTACTAAAATTTCCACAAGAGCCTTATCTGTAGGAGTGATTTTTTGAGCAAATGTCCAAGAGTTATAGGCATAAGAAATAGATTCTAATAAGTGAATCGATACTGAATGAGGATAGTTATTAATGTTTAAAGCATCATTTTTTAGAATTTGGAAAATTGAAAGCTCCTGTTTCTTTTTATTCGTATTGTTAGATTTGTCATGAAGACGAACGTCATGGCCCGCCAAAAACATTATTGACAATCCCTCCTGATTATATTCCAAGACTGTTGAAATAAAATCGTATAAATAATTTTTAATTTCATAATTGTCCAAAGAATTTTGTAAATCATTTGCTATTGAGTATAATAAAACTTTCGTGTGATATTCACCCAAATAAGCTAATAGTGAGGGTAGTTTTTCGCTATCCTTGTCCTTTCCTGAATCCAGATCTTTATTTAATGTATTGTAACTTATAAGTTTTATTAATAATTTTAATATAGGAACCCTTAGTTCTAATATTTTTGAATAAATATTTATCAAAGAGGATACTGATTTGTATAATTCTTTTTCAAAGTATGAAATTTTTTTGAAGAATAAGCCTCTTATTGATAAAATTAATCTAGAAAATTCAAAACAACTTAAAATATAGCTTTTAAAGTGAAACGAATTTATATCATTTACTTGAAATATATTTGTGATCGTAAAATCATTCAACTCACTATCAACTAAACTTATCATTTTTACTATTGGGTTGATTGCTCTTCGATCAGAAAAATTAACAACCAAAAACGACTTGATAATTCTTTCTGCTGAGTCAGTTAAATTATGAATTGGTAATTGAGGTTTTGAATTTTTTTGTAAATTAATACTATAAGTTGACAATAATATTCTTTGAAAGACATCAAGAATTAATGAACTCAAGTTATAAGATTGATGAATTTGAGAAAACCCATAATTTTGAAAATTCTCAAATAAAAATAAGAAATATTGAGTGAATTTCAATAAAATTTCACTTTTAACTTTATCTGAAAATACACTTTGATCAGTTTCTTGAATTAACAAACAATCATCAATCAATGAATCAAATAACTTAACTAAAGAAATTGAGAAATCAAAGTTTTGAGTGTGAGTTTCGACGGAATTAAGGATATTTAATAATAAATCACCATCTTCATTATTCGTATTAGTTTCATCATCAAAGGAAAAACTCAGAGAGCCAGAAAAAATCAATTTATTCAGATTCAATAAATTTGATTTAATTAAAAAAGACCAAATCGTATCGGGAATTTTTTTAACAAAAACATCAAATAAACCGGTTAATACAACTAAATAATCCATGTTTTTTTTTTGTAAAGAGTAATTAAATAATCTTAAAACTAAGTCCATTATATTATCGCATTTTAAAGTTTGTTTATTAAGATAAACAGATAATGAATCAATTAAATCCAAACATTGATCACCCGATAAAATATTAAAAGTATTTCTCAATAATTTAATAAATGTTATTAAAAATTCTTGTTCATCAACAGAAATAGAATCCGAAATATTTGGATTATCATCACTAGGTTGATTATAAATTAATTTGACTAAAATATTTTGAAAAAATCTGCCCAATAGATTCCAGCCATTATATCCATGATAGAATACAATGAATTCCCAATTTTCAATATTTAAATTTGTTAAAATTTTGCCCTTTGTTCCAGGTTTCATTTTGATTAAGAAATTTTCATTATCTAATTCAAAAGGAGGACTAACAAATAAATTATCTTTTAAAATGATGAGTCCATTGTCATCATCTTGATTTTCTAGTTCATAATCAACATTAGTTTGATCAGGTTTAAACTTATAAAAATATGTTGATAAATTTGATATATTTTCCAAAGCAAAGTTTCCGTTAATTAAACATAAATTTAAAAAAGATAACAATGAGTCCTCAACGTTAGGCAATTTAAATTTTAATAAAAGAATTAGTTTTTTTGTAAAAAAATTATCAAAGAAATTTTCAAGTATTAAATCTGAAGGATAATTTTGATTGTCATTAATTTTAATTAAAGCATTACTTTTGTTTTTTTTGTCATTGTTAAAACTTTCAAGGTTTGAGATTAAATTATTTGTTGAATTTAAAAAGGAATATAAAGTTAGTTTTTCAAAAATAAGAGAATAAATTTTTGTATTAAATTTATCGAAAGAAATACAAGGCAAAATAGAGATGAGGAAGCAAGATTGAATGATGACATATAAATTGTTAAATTTTAAATGGTTAAAATTTTTTTCAATTTGATCAAAACCATTTAATTGATCGAATTTTTGAATTAAAAAGGAAATTAAATTTTTCAAGTAATTTAACTTTAAATGAGACAATTGAAATTGGTCTTGATCTAGAGTTTGGATCTGATTAAAATCGTCTAGTTTAACTAAAGAAGATAAAAAGGATTGGTCATCTGAGATTAACTGGTTGTCATTATCAGTTGTTGCGGTTTCAATTTTTAAATATTTTAACTGTAAGATTAATATCCAAAAATATAAAACCATTGGATTGTTAAAGGATTGATTCAAAGTTATGATATCATTAATTAATTTAAAAGTTTGTGGATCGTTAAAGTAGAGAATTTCTTCAATATTAACAAAAAATTTATTGTTATTGTTAGTAGTGTCAGTGTCAGTATTTAGAGAGGAATAACTGTCATTGTCATTTTCAGTTTCTATTTCAGACTCAGTTCCATTTTCAACAAAAGAACGATTATTAATAATATTGTTATTGAAGCCATTGATGTTGTTTTCAGCAAAAGATGAAGATAAGTTTGTATTTAAGCCTAGGAATAATAAAGATATCAATTCAGTAAGATACTCAATGGTTAATATATTATCATTTAAAATCATGTTTGAAATTAATTTTGAATTAATTAAATTAAAGAAATTCTGGATAGTTAGATTATTGAAATTTTTCAACTTGATTTGAGTTAAATTTAAATTGAAGGAAAAGTTTTTAAAAAAATTTGTGGAGTTCATCAATTTAAACCAATTTTGAATATTTTGGATATTTAATTGGATTAGGAGAGCTAATTGTAATACAGAGTTTAGAGAGTTTAAAGATAAAATGATGATAGAGTTTAAATGGTAGATTGATAGTTCATTAAAGGTCATGTCATTATTATTTGCAATACTGTCATCATCGTTCAGGTTGATATTATTGATATCTAAAATTAAAGTGAAATTTGTATTGAAAATTTTCAAGTTATTAATAAAAATGTCAATCAAGTTGTTACCATTTTTTAAGAGTATTTCATCATTGATTAGGAGATCCAATTGGGCGCTTAGAGAAGATAAATAATTAGATTTTTCTAGTATCAAGGTGAAGAGTTTGATTATAGAGTTTAAATCATTTAAGATCAAATTGAAGTAAAACTTTAGAATTTTTAAATTGTTTTCCCTATTAATTGCGCTAATGTTGTTGTTTTTGTTATTGATGTTGATGTTAGTTTTGTTAGTTGTGGTATTAGATTTTTCATTTTCAGCATTTTTATTGAGCAATAAATTATCAGATAAATTTAGGTTTAAAATTGAGTTTTTCAAGTTTGATTGCAAAATTATTCTCAAGATTTCCTTTATATCAATTTTTAATAAGGAGGATAATTTTTTTGAGTAATTTATTATGTCATCGTTTAGGTTAGTATATTCGACTTGTCTAATTGTAATTGAATTGGAAGAAGGTAGTTTATAGTTATCAGACTCAGATTGAAAGTAGTTATCAAAGATTAAAAAGGGGTTGGTTAATAGAGATTTGTTTAGCTCTAAGAATTTAGTCAAGTTTGATAAAATTATAGGCTCGGTAATTGAATCTGAATTCAAAATAGAAATGACATTGGCAAACGTCCAGGAAGCAAGAGGTTTAGCAGAAAGAGAAGGGTCATTGGAAGAGTCCTTTGGCTTCAACAGCGACATTATAGGCAAGAATCGAGATGAATTGTGGTAATGTTCATTAACAATTAGTGGCGCTAATTCAAGTTGTTTCCCCAGGACCAGTATAGGATAGAGATATACAAAGCGTAGAAAAGAGGACTTGAATAAACAGAGGGAGGATGCTTGCTGAAAAATTTCAGGCTTACCCGGAGAAGCAAAATTAAGCGCAACACAAAAGTGCAATTTCGCTACTGAAGAGTGGAATGGACTACAATGGATTATGATATAATATAACAGACTATAGAAAGTAATCGGTGACTGGTTTCTTTGAGGGAATGGCGTTGGCGTCCTGAATGGTGGCCTCAAAGATCTTGTATTCTCTGTTCAAGTTGTCGTCTATCTTCAACACAGCAGCAACGTTCCCACAGCGGTAGCAGTAGTTGGGAGCAGACCACACAGTGACCAATCCACCATCAAACCATTCTTTGTATCCTTCCATCACCAACTGATGTGCTCTGGCAATGAGCGAGATGTTGTTTTCGTGTAGAAACTTGTCGACCTCCATTTTGCCAAAGAGAAAGCCTGCTCCTCTGGGGGAAATAGCCCAGCCTGGCACGTCGTCAGGATCACTCCAAAGCAAATCGCACATTGCACCTTCATGGGGCACTTCCTTTTTGCGATCAATGAGCTTGATCTGCTTGATGCTCTCGATATCAGGAGACAAACCCCCATGCACACAAAAGACTCCCCCGCTGCTGTTTCCAACCAAGGCGCCCAATGAAAGATAGTCAAACACTTCGCAGCAGTATCTCCAAACGTTGGCTGAGCCATATTTTCTCAAGCACTCGTCGTAGAAACCATACACCTGAGTGATCTGCCTGGACTCGTGGTTGCCTCGCACCAAAGCGATTCTGTCAGGATATCTGACCTTGTAGCACAACAACAACAAGAAGGACTCTAACGAGTAAAACCCTCTATCGACAAAGTCACCCAAAAACAAGTACTTGGAGTCTGGACAATCGCCCCCAGCCCTGAACAACGTCAATAGATCGTGTAGCTGTCCATGGATGTCGCCACATATCACCACGGGAGTGTCAACAAGCTGGACGTTTCCCTCTTCCATCAAGAGTTCCTGCGCTTTGAAACATATCTCCTGGACATCGGCCTCAGGAATGCATTTGCACTCTTTCAACAACTCGATACATATGTCTAGATCCAACATTGTGCAACACCAACTGCCTCATTATCAGCGTGCAACGAGCCAATTGCTGGTGCTTGCCTTCCGAGTGTTTCTGTGAGCTGCTTCTCCTTCCTCTGTTGCCTCTGTGCAAAAACCACCCGCCGGGTAATGGCCCGCTGTGCTCGCGGTGAGCACGCAGGCGCACCCCTACTCCGCCGGCCGGTACACGTCCACCAACATCTGGAAGTGTTTCTTCTCCAACTCCCCCAACTTTCCCTCAGCCTCGTCCAACACTGTTAACACCAAAATGTAGTTGTTATAGAGGAACTGCTCTCTTTTTCGTTGCACATCACTGGGTCTGCTGCTGCCTTTGCTACCAATCATGCTGCTGATTTTGGTGAGCAAGCTCTCATACTCGTTTCTTAATCGGACGACACTGTTGGTCAAGGGATCGATTTCTATGCTCATTTCATTCAATTCTTCGCCACTTTCTTTATTCTCATTATCTCTATCTTTATGATCATCGCTGTGATCATCACTGTGATCATCGTTGTGATTGTGATCACCATTTAAACTACTTCTATCATTATTTGTAAAATAGTTTGAATGGTCAATGGCGGATATCTTTAATAACGAGATTAATAACAAGGAAAATTGTTGGGTTACCGGATGAGGAATCAAATAATTATTTGAATTGTTGATACTGTTTAGATAATTTGATGAGTAGATTAGGATTTTTTTCAAATTGTTGCAATTTAAATCAATTAGTTTTTGGAATTTCGGCCATAATTCAATAACTTGCAAATTCAAGTAATTTTCCATAACTGGGATCTTTTCATGTTGGATCTTGAAATTTAAGATTTTGACCAACTTTATTGATATCAAAATTGAATAAAAGTCGTAAAAATGATTTTTGTTTAATAAATTTTTAGTAAATTCAATTCCCAACTTGAATGTTGAGTTGAAAATTTTATTGAAATCATTGTTAATCTCTTCAATGCTGATGAAATTTGAATTATTACTTTGGAAGAATTCTAATAAAAATAGATACTCAGTTGATCCATTGTCTATCAATGCGTAATTAAAGCTTCTAAATGCGGTTTCTGGCCAGTATTTCAACGGATTATTTTCTGCAATTTGAGCTAATAATACAGTAGGATCGTTGTTCTTTAATATGTTCAAACGGTTTGCAACATTTAAATATTCCTTGTAGTTAAGTGCGGTATGGGGTATAGTATTATCAACGTTTGTAGAGTTTGTGAAAGAAATTGGGGTTGTATTACTTGAGGCATGATTTGGTGTAGCATTTGGGTTTAAACTTGAGTGGTTCTTTGGATGGTTGCTGGTGTTATCGTTTGTTGAAGATTTCCACCAACTGCTAAATAGATAACCGCTTTTTGTATTATTATTATTAGTGGTGGTGGTAATGGTATTGTTATTGTTATTATTGTAATTGAATTTTGTTTTATTGTGATTGCTGTTTTTATTAAAATTTAAAGACAAGATATTTGTATTGTCATTGTCGTTGTTATTGATGTAATTGCCTAACAAAAAGGATTTATCAACAGTTAATAGTTTTAGTTTTTCTAGAGAATAAATGTATTTACCGAAATTTTGATAGTAGTACCATCTCATTGTTAGGATGTAGGCATTTTTCAAGTCTTTAGCTAGGCTGTTGTTGTGGATTAGTAGGAAGGTGTATAGTTCTTTTAGGTTTAGTAAGTTTTTTTGAATAATTTGGCTCGGAATCTTTTTGAATTTGTAGCGCAATAGTTTTATTTGCAAGATGAAGAAGTTTTTGATTCTTTCGATTGATTTTGATATTAGGTTATCAATTAAGTTTTTGAATTGAGCGAGTAAGTTTTTGAATTGAATCAAGTCGGTTAGATTTGTATTTGAGTTTTCATTGTCATTACTGTTGTTGTTGTTGTTGTTGTTGTTGTTGTTGTTGTTGTTGTTGCTGTTGTTGCTGCTGCTGTTGCTGCTGCTGTTGCTGCTGCTGTTGCTGCTGTTGTTGTTATTATTATTATTAGTGCTATCGGTACTATTGTTTTCATTGATTGAGTATGTATTTGAGTAGGTGTTTGAGTATTTGTTGTAGATTTCAATTTTGATGTTTAGATATCTTATATTGTCTAGCCAGAATGTGTTGATTTTGTCATTTAAAATTGAGTTTATGATTGAAGGAGAAATGATAAAGTCTGTTACAATGGGGATTAATTTTTTTTCAAAGATTTGGTTTTTGATTAGGTTTTTGTTCAAGTTGAGAGTTTTCAATTTGAGATTGTTCATTTCATTTGATAGGTTTAGTAAGTTTTGGTTAAAGAATTGCAAGTAGTTGATTAGAGGGGATAGGATTTTAAAGGTTAGGGATATGTTTGAATTTAGTTGGTCGAATTTGTCAAATTGAAGAGATAGGTTTGAATTTAAAAGCGGGTTGATTGTGTTGATAGAGGATAAGAAGCGTAATTCCTGTAAAGATTGGGGGTAAGCGTCATTACCATTATCATTATCATTATCATTATCATTATAATTTAAAGTGAGGAAATAGTCTTTTAGTTCAGATAAATACAAGTCATTGTCATTTATGGTTGATATGCTTAGATTGTTGTTTAGTATAAAAGTGTTGTTACTATGGACGCTGATGTTGTCTAGGGTATCGTCTATAGAGTCGTTTAGAGAGTCATTTGAGTTGTTGTTTTGGTTTAGAATGTATTTGAGATGATCTAGTTTTGAAGAAGAGATGTTTATTCTCAAGGGGTTCAGCATTGTGAGAGAAAGGATGCAAAGTGTATATAAGAGCGATGGATAGATGTTGAGTGTTGAGTAAAATGGATAAAGTATGGTTACCGTGATTGGTACACGTTTGGAAAGAGTATAAAGCTTAAGAGGAGAAGAGGGCATCTATTCAATTACATAAAATTATATAGCATAAATACAATTTGATTTTGATTATAATGGTAATTGCAATTGCAATTGTGATTTTAATTTTATTTTAATTTCAATTTTAATTATAATTATAATTATAATGATATTGATATTGATATTGACATTGACGTTGATGTTGATGTTGATGTTGATTGAAGTTGGAATCAATAGTCTTGTTCTGGTTCTAGTATCAATCTCATGTTATTCCATTCAAAACCAGCATATTTACAATCACTTTGACCCAAGTCAGCAAAACCCAATTTTGAATAAAAGGGAATCAATTTTTTTTTGCAAAGTAAGGTAAGGTACTTTGCAACTCTTTGGTTGCTCAATTTCTGGACGTAGTCGTGGAGAAGAAGGATGCCTAGGTGCTTGCCTCTGTATTCTGGATCTATGACCAAGGAGTGTAGGCCAATGGTTATGGAGGATTCCTGGTGGCCATTTATGGCGTCGTTATCGTCTTTGGGGAGAGCCATGGATTCTGTGGTGATAAACTCGCCATTGATCTTGGTGGCCATGATGTGGCCTATCAACTTTTCCTCAACAGTAGAGGACTTTTCATCAGGCAAGTAGTCCAAGTCGACGTTGCGGATTGGTTTGGAGCTGTAGTTCTGAGTGACAGTGGTATCGAGGTCGTTTTCAAGGTCCTTATCGAACTGGGCGTACTTGGAGGAGAACCTTCTGATGAAGATGCCTGAGCAGAGCTCTGGACAAGCGAGCAACCGGTACCTGATGCCCTCTGCTGAACAGGCCTCGCTCTTGGAAAAACCCTTCTTCTCGAGGCGCAAGACCTGCTCGGCGTCGCAAATGTTCAAGGGGCGAATGGCCAAGTGGAGGGGGAGCTGGGGCGACATGGTGGAGACAGCAGGGGCAGCAGAAGAAGCACACGCAGCAAGAAGAAGAGCGGTCAGAGAAAGGCCAGCGCACGCGACACGGCCGTGCGCGGGGGCAACACTACTTGGGCGTGTTTGTTGCTCCTGCTTCTGCTGCTTCTGCTGCCCCTGCTGCCCCTGCTGTCTCCACCATGTCTGAACCCTCTCCACCGTCAGATACCTTGCTTCCCTTGGAGCTCGTCGACAGGTGCATCGGCTCCGCCATCTGGGTCGTCATGAGCGGCTCGCGTGAGTTCGAGGGCACCTTGGTGGGCTTCGACGACTACGTCAACATGGTGCTCGAACATGTCACCGAGTAGTAAGTGCTTCCTCTGCTTCCTCTGCTTCCTCAGCTGCGTACTAACTCTCCTTCAGCAACGCCGACGGCACCACCATCCAGCGAAAGAAAATGCTTCTCAATGGAACCAACATCGCCATGGTAAGTCCCTTTCTTCTCTCTTCCTTCTTTCCTCTTCCCTCTTCTCTTCTCTTCCGGTCTCCTACTAACCGCCATTCTGCAGTTGATTCCTGGAGGCAAACAATAGCCCCAGCAGATAGTTCCTCTGCTTCTTCAAACCCTCCTCCAAAGTCAGACTCACGCCTTTCTTTTCCCTCTCCATTGCTTGCTGCTGTTTTTCTCTCCCTTCCGTGCCGGGCTTTCTCTTTTCTATATATTCTCCAATCCAACTATATACTTATCAATATAATCTTATATCTGCACCATCTCTTAATACAGTTATAGTTGTCATTGCAATATCTCCATTCACTCAAAGATGTCTTCCTACAACTTTCCTGTAATACCAAACCAATCTCGAAAAAAGTCCTCTTCTCGCTCACTCTCAATCAACAACCTCAATGCCTCTCTAAACAACAACAACAACTCTCTAAATTTATGGAAACTCCTACTAAAAGACATTGGAATTGTCAATTCTTCATCGACTATCCAAACCAATTCTCCCAATAACAACAACAACAACAACAACAACAACAACAACACTAACGAGAACCAGCTATCCCATCTTCTAAACCAAATCATAAACTTCATCTTAACCCCAATTCACCTAGAGAAATTCATGCTCTTTGGCTTCCTTTATTGCTTGAATGACTTTTTATTCTTTTTCACAATCCTACCAATAAAACTATTCATTCTCTCCATAAAACTCCTCCTTTGTTTCAATCTCAACTTCATCTTCCAAAAGAAAAACTTAAACCTCATCCTTATCTTCCTAATCATCTTGTCAACTCTATCTCTCCTAATCCAAAAATTTGATACTTCAAAGATCTATCATGACATCAAATCTCAAGCCTCAATCAAATTATACGTCATGATAAATGTTTTGGATGTAGCAAATAAATTACTATCTTCAATTGGTCAAGATTTTCTAAAATTCCTCTTTCTATTTGATTTCAATACTTACAATCATAATAACAACACTCCCAAACTATCTAATAGTAAAATAATAACCTTCTCCTGCAATCTCACCCTTTTCTTCTTCTTCTTCCTCCTATCAATCTTCTACCTATACTGCCACTCAATCGTCCTCATCTATCAAACCCTCTCTCTTAACGTTGCTGTAAACTCCTTCTCAAATGCCCTCCTAACTCTCCTCTTATCCTCTCAATTCAGCGAAATCAAATCTTCCGTATTCAAAAAATTCGACAGAGAAGGTCTATTCCAACTATCCTTCTCTGACCTAACTGAAAGATTCCATCTCTTCACCCAATTGTTCATCATCGCCCTCAGAAACCTAATTCAAATCAACCTTCTATCAAATAACCACTCAACCTCTATTGGCATACTACCCGATACCTGGAAAAAATATGGCAACTTCTCTTCTCTAAATATCCTACTTGGCCCTTCGATCTCTGTAATCCTCTCCCAAATCTTTATCGACTGGCTAAAACACTCATATATAACTAAATTCAATAAAATCACCCCCATCGTTTACGAAAAATACCTAAACGTCTTATCAAACGACTTTTACCAAATCTTCATAAACTCAAACTCAAACAACACCTCAACCACCCAAACTGATTTGTCAACAAGAACTGGCCTACCCTTGAATGCTCTCATTGTCACTTTCATCACAATGGCCCTCCCTTCTTTCAATTTCTTTTTTTTTAATGATAATATAACAAATAACTTCTCCAATCCAGATACCGTTCTATACAACTTGAAATTGATCAATTACAACTTGTCTCGAATCAATACTAATACTAATACCAATACCAGAAACAGAAACAGAAACAGAAACACTCTCCAAAATACCTTGTTTTCTAATTGGATAAATAAAATTTTCTTCAACAAATCTCTCCCCAACAACATCAACTTATTTCATATAAACAAATTCTTTATCGACCTAATCGATTCAAATCCAATTTATTTTACCAAATTCCCATTCTTAAAAACAATTCTACTAAATATCTTAAACATCCTCAACAACTTGACTTTTTCCTCCTACTTGTTCCTATTTCTATCTTTCTTGACTCTAGTTTTATTCAAATTAATCATCTCTGTCACTCTTATTATATGGTCAAACTCAAGGAAAAGAAAAATCGTCATTAAAAATAAATTCAAAAAATTATCTCTACCCAATATCAACTATTTAAGTAAAAACTCAATCAAAAAAAGAACCTCTTTTAATGAAAATTTCGAATTCACCAATCCTCCTTCACCTCCAAAGACCCCAATAGCCACTAGCGCTTCAATAAACGATAATGAAACTCAAAACAATATCTCAATTCAAAATAATATTCTAATTAACAACGATCCATTGGATAGTAATCCAAATTATACATACGACACCAACGACAATAACTACAAAAAAAATATAATTTTATCACCAATCCCAGTTAGATCACCTGGTCCTACAGCAATATTCGATAAACATCAACACAGTATCAAAAACAAAAACGACTTGAAAGAAGAAATTGAAAACGAATTGAAGAAAAATGATTTCAAGAAAAATGACTTGAAAAGACAATACGTTCCTGGAATACTTTGTCAAGGAATGGCTAACTTAAACTATGAAGATCGAGAGATAATATATGATGACTTTATTGAACCAGGAAAACAAATTCCTTTAAGTAATGATGAAAAAAGACTTAAAAAGGATATTAAAAATGATTATGGAAGTTTAAATGATGTTGTACGATATAAAATGTGTTCTAAAAAAATTTGGTAATTTTCATTTTTTTTTTTTTTTTTAATTTGTTTTATTATTTTACTTACTTATTTTTTTAATGTATATTGAGAATTAGGTGTATAGATTTTTTTTTTCTTATTTATTCTTATTTATTCATGGTACAGGTTTTGTTTTGTTTAATTTAATAAACTCGAAATATAAAAGTAATTAAGTCTGGTAATTTTGTCTAAAAACTTGCCATGAAAAGCTAATGTTTAAAGATAGAATTTGGGTTGTTTTTTTCTCTTGAGAAAACATCTTTCCTTCTTAATAAAAAGGAAGAAAAAAGGATAAAATGTCAAATTATCTTAATTATAATACATTTGAAAACGAGATTAGTGAAGAAGATAAGATTTTTCATAAGCTAACTGCAAAACTTAAGAGATTAGCGAGTATTGAAGATGTAAGTGACCATGTCTTTGAGTTATACTCGAAAAATATGGAGAAACGACAAAATAACTTGGGGTTTGTATCAAGTAATGAAAAGGATTTGAGTATAACGATAAGTAATCCTAATAACAAGCAATCAAGACATCAGAAGAGAAGAAAAACTAGGAAACGAAATGCAAGTGATGATAAACAAAAAGAAGAGGATGAAATATTGCAAAAAATGGAGTTTAGTTTTGAGATTAAACAGTCGTTGACGAACTTGTCATCAAACACAGACTCAAGCACAACAGGATATGTTATGTGGCAATTGACTCCATTTTTCCTCAAGTGGTTATTGTATTCCAAGCACCCATTCCACGATTTGATATTTGAACATTACCATGAGTATCGAAGGAACAATAAGAAAGAGTTAGTTATAGTTGAGTTGGGATCTGGTATCAGTGGGATCTCGGCAACAATATTGCTGAATTTTTGTGATAGATATATCGCAACAGATCAACATAATCTTTTGAAGCTTATGAGAGAAAACATAATCAGCAATTGCCATTTGAATTCAATTAACTTCAATTCAAAGACAATTGGCCACCAGAAGAACAACCAAAGCCACAACCATGTAACAATCGAGAGCATTGAGTTCGACTGGGAAGAGCCCTTGGATGGTATCTATGAATTGAACGAGGTTATGGCTCTTGAGCAGGAAACAAGCTACTCGAGCTTGATCATTGCGTGTGATACCATATATAACGAGTATCTCATGGAGCACTTCATCAATGCAATGGCAGCCATCCACAGGAACAACGATGAGAGGAAAGTGGTGGATGTTGGAGCATTGGTTGCGATGCAGTTGAGAGACAACTGCATTGTTCAGATGTTTCTCGAAAGATTGTTGGAAGCCCAGTTCGACGTCTTCCACTTACCAGAGGAGCTCTTGAGTGATGAGTTGCAGAATGGGTTTTCAATATATTTTGTTCGTTGCAGAGATAAAGCAAATGAGGAGAAATGAAGAGAAATGAAGAGAAATGAAGAAATGAAGAAATGAAGAAATGAAGAAATGAAGAAATGAAGGGATATAAATAGATCAGGAAGATCGGCATTCAATTGGCTCTGAGTCCTTCGAAACGACACAACTCACCCGAAGAACGCCTTTTTTTTCTTTCATTTTCTCACACCTCCTTAATAAACTCGTTCTTTAATACGTTACAATGGCCAGGTCGACAGTCAGGTTGATCAGGTTTGCAATAGTTGCGCTTTTGTTCTTGATCTTTCTTCTCAGCATCAGAAATAGTTCAAGTAAGGCTCAGCCGGAGAGTGCTCTTCATCTCAACAACCTCAGCAATGGCAATGACAAAATGAAAGATTTTGATACAGTGATAAGCTCCAGTCCCAAAGTCATCCATGGTGACGAAAATGCAGAAGACCAAATAAACATTGAGCAGAACATGAACAAGATACAAAACCAGGCTCCAGTGCGCAAGAAACCCAACTATCCTCAAGTGGAGCAGGAAGAAGAACTGGAACCAGAACCAGAACCAGAATCAGAATCTCGATCTCGATCTGCATCAGACCCAGAATCTGGATCAGGATCAGGAACCCAAGTCAAGAGCAGACCCAAGCCAAAAATCATTGCTGATAAAATCAGTAACCAACCAATTGACAACATGCAGGCCCCAGTGGCAGATATAAACTCGAAAATCAGCAAGGCAAAACCCAGAGAAAACGTCTTCTATGAACCGTATAAAGATGGCGATGGATATTTAAGAACACCACCAAAATACATTGATATCAAGTCCGATCCAAAGGTGAAGGCAACTTTTGTTACATTGTGCCGTAATTCAGACTTGAATAGTTTAGCTGAATCGATTAGAAGTGTTGAAGACAGATTTAATCACAAGTTTCATTATGATTGGGTTTTTCTTAATGATGACGAATTTACAAATGAGTTTAAAAGAATTACAACCAATTTAATATCAGGAAAGACTAAATATGGCAAAATATCTAGGGAACATTGGGGATATCCCAAGTGGATCGATCAAGAACAAGCGGCAAGAACTCGCGAAATAATGAGAAGCCAAAATGTTATTTATGGGGACTCGATCTCTTATAGACACATGTGTAGGTATGAATCCGGATTTTTCTATAGACATGAGTTAATGATGGATTATGAATGGTACTGGAGAGTTGAACCTGATGTTAAATTATACTGTGATATCAATTATGATTTGTTTAAGTTTATGATTGACAACAAAAAGAAATATGGATTCACAATTGCATTGCCAGAATATATTAAAACAATTCCCTCGCTATGGAAAGTTACAAAGGAATTTATTAAACTTCATCCAGAGTATTTGCCAGAAAATAATATGTTGGATTTTATTTCTGATGACGATGGGGAAACATATAATACATGTCATTTTTGGTCAAATTTCGAGGTGGGATCATTGAGTTTCTGGAGAGACGAAGCATACTCGAAATATTTCGATCATCTTGATAAAGCCGGAGGATTCTTTTATGAACGATGGGGAGATGCACCAGTACACTCAATAGCAGCCGCATTGTTTTTGCAACGAGATGAGATCCACTTCTTTCAGGATGTTGGGTACTACCATGTTCCCTTCCACAACTGCCCAGTGGACGAAGAGGTGAGAATCAAAAACAACTGTCTCTGCAATCCAGACGATGACTCCACCTGGCGTCCCTACAGTTGCGCACGCAAGTTCTTCGACGTGAACAACATGAAACGACCCTACGGCTGGGAGAACTACTCCTCGTAGGCTATAGAAGATAATACAGCACAGGCAGCACGCAGCTCGCGCACTTCTCACGCACTTTTCACGCAACTCTCACGCAACCCTCACGCACTTCCACTGCGTGCGCAAAAGCGACGCACGCACCCGCACCCGCACCCGTTTTCCTCTTCTTCTTCTTCCTGTGCTGCTGAAGGCTCTGGTGGACGACGAGCACCTCGATGATGAGCAACAACCTCTTTGGCAGCAACACTGTGAATCCTTTCTCGTTGGCCTCGCTCCAGAACAGCTCTGTGCCTGCTCCCATCACCAACCCATTCCAGCCTTTGAGCTCTTTTGCCAGCTCCAACCTCAATATCAATAATGCCACCATCAATGATTCAAACCTCAGCACTGCTAACAATGCTGCCAACCCTTTCCAAAGGAGTTCTAGCAATACTCTCAACATGGCTAATGGAACATCAAATCCACCTTTAAATTTAAATTCAAATTCAAATTCAAACCAAAATTACCCAAAAAATCCCTTTGGTTTTTCCAATAATCCCACCAATCCCCAAATTAATACATTTCAACCAAACATTCTGGCTTTTAGCAGTAATAACGACATTTTTAATAACAATAATACCTTTAATAATAATAATACTTTTAATACTAATAACAATAACAACAATAATAACAATAACAACAGTAATAATATAATTTCAAATACTAATGATTTCTTTAATTCAAATTTGAATTTTGGTTTCAAGATCAAACCAACCTCAAATTTTTCCAATAATCTTAACAATTACAGTAATGATAAACAAGAAATAGTAACCAGAAATAACACCTTTCAAAATGCAAGATCTCTGCAAAATTCTGATAATTCTAATAAATTCAAAAATTTTAAAAGAAGAAATGAAAACGAAAATGTCAATAATAAAAACAAATACAATAATAAAAACAAATTCAACAATAACAATAACAATAACAATAACAATAACAATAACAATAACAATAACAATAACAATAACGATACTAATACCTCTAATACCTCTAATACCTCTAATAAAAATAAGAAATTAAAAAAATCAATGATTAAAAAACCAAGATTTATAGATTATAGTTTACAAAAAAATTCTAAGAATCTTGATATAAATAAACCAATTTTTTCAAATCCTTCTCAATATGGCTTCAAATCTCAATCTTCAGCTTTGGACACAGAAACCATACAGTACATTCATAAACTTTCTATCGAACCAAAACTATTCTCCCAAGCTGAAATAAACTCAAAAAATGACCTAAACCTATATCAATGGGATCATCAAAATCAACTAGACATGTTCAATCTAGAAAATTCATACAACGGCAATAATTTGAAAACAATTTATGAAAATTTACAGCAAATGATTAAACTGGAAAGACTAGAAATGGAAAATAGAGGTCTAGTAGATAAAAAAGATGCTCCAAAAAATTTATCTGATGCTATAATCTTTAGAGGTACATGCCTAGATATGTGTCCCACCTATGAAAGAATCGAAAGATATCTAACAAAATCGTTTAATCAATCTGAATTCGACCAAAATTTAAATAGACTATCAAGAGATAAAGCTATAACAACCTTTAAAAGATCTGAAGCTGATCAAGTTTCTCCTTTACCTTCCCAAGTTCGTCCTCCATCAATTTTAATGAAAACTTTAAATTATATCATCAACAACATTATTGATCAATTGCCTCAATCAAATAATTTCATATGGGATAGAACCAGAGCTATAAGAAAAGATTTCACTTATCAAAACTATCATGGAATCGAAACTATCATTTGCACTGAAAAAATCGTTAGAATTCATTTATTTACTCTTCATATAATGTCTAAAAACCCTGACATCAAATATGAACAACAACAAGAAATTGAACAATTAAATAACTCTTTGCAATCTTTATTAGGTTTCTATGATGATTTTAGAGATAAAAAATTAAAATTACCTTTTCCAGAATCCGAAGCTGAATTTAGAGCTTATTATTTAATAACACAACTACGTGATCCAACTTTAGATAGAGAAATTCAAAATTTACCCAATGAAATTTTTTACTCAAAACACATTCAATTGGCTCTTCTATTTAGAAAATTGGCTTCCTATAATAACACTGATTCAAAAATGTATTTTAATTCAGAAAATTCCTTAAATTTATTCACAAAATTTTTCGAATCTGTTTACTCAAATGATGTACCTTTTTTATTAGCTTGTGCTTTAGAAACAAAATTTAATGAAATCAGATTCTATGCTTTAAATTCCATATTTAAATGCTTTCATCCAAGGGGAACAACTTCACTTCGAATTTTGTTAAATCCTTTAGGCTTTGATAACATCGATCTGTTAATCCAATTCTTAAATAACTATAAAATAAATATTCAAAGGGACTCAAACTCAAATGAAACTTTTGTTAAAAACTCAGAAATTCAACTGTCTTTGGATTTGAAATCCGAAAAGGGTTTCTCAATTCAACAAGCATTCGATCAAAGAATCGATAATAAAATGGGAAACCTAAATAGAATCCAAATTATTAACGGTCAATATTCCTCTCAAGATAATGATATTGAAACGTATGCTTCACTTTATGACTCTTCAAATCACATTAACTATGATATTCTAAACACTCTAATATCCTCAACAAATATAAACAATAATCAAAATAATCAAAATAATCAAAATAATAGCTTTAATAATTTTAGTAATAATTTTAGTAATAACTTTATCAATAATTTTAATAATAACCAAAACTTGTTTCCACCTGCTTCAACAACCCAAAATGTTCTTAATACTGTCGATTTAAAAGCACAAGAACAGGAATTGAAATCAAAATTAAAACTAGAAGCTCAAATTCAAGAACAAGAAAAATTGAAAAAATTAAAACAACTCAAAATTCAAGAGCAAAAAGAATTGGAAGAAAAAAGAATCAAGGAAAAACTTGAACAAGAAAGAAAAGAAAGAGAACTTCAAATGAAACTTCAATATGAAGAGGAACAAAGACAGTTACAACTGCGTTTGAAAGCAGAGGCTAAAGCTGCAGAAAAAGCAAGACTTGAATTAGAAGCACAAAAAAAAAGAGAAGAGGAAGAGCTAAGATTGCAAAAAATAAAAGAAATCGAAAAACAGGCTAAAATCAGAAGAGAAAAAAAAACTAAATTGATTAGTGGTTTGTCTTCTGAGCTTTTGAACTGTTTTCTAAAAGAAGTTTCTTATCTCAACTCTTTGGAAATTTTAGCTCAAAACTTTAACAATAAAAACTTAAAGAAGAAAATTATTGAAAAAATTAAAATAGTTTCCAAGAAATCAAAAGCCAGATTTGATAGTAAAAAACGTAAAAGAAATGAGTTTATGATTAGCATGACCGAAATGGGGTTTGTACCAAATTTGGATCATAATACTAAAAGATTTAAAATAATTTCTCGACTAAATAATTTAGATAAGGATTCAATTGCACCAGAAGATAGCCTGAAAATAAATTATATAATTGAACAAAATAATAATATGGGAATTGTTACTAAAAATCCATATGATGTTTCTTTTAATGAAAATCAAAATATTGAAATTTTTAATTCCCAAAAGGCTAAAAACAAATTACTATGGGCACCTCTTCAATTGGATTTTATGTTGGAAATTTTATCAAATAATTATAAAGATTTGGATAAAAAAGGCAAAATTGATTTAGCCTTTCATTTTAGTGTTAGTAACTGGGATTCTCCTTCAGGAAAATGGTTTATAAATAAATTTAACTTGGTATATAATGAGAAAGATCAATCATTTGAAAACTCTTTGAATAATGAAACAATCTCACTTAAATTTTCAAACAAAGTCACCATCAAGAATGAATCAATTATTTCATTTGTTGTTTTTGAGTGTGGCATTGAAACCGGAAGTGATTTAGTATCTGATGGAAATAGATTATATAAATTATTACAAAGAGAACTCTCAAAATCTAAATATAAAATCCAACTTTTACTTATTTGTTGGAACACTAACGGATTGGAGATACTGAAGGTAATAGAAATACTAAATCTTAAAAATATAAAACTAGAGTTTAGGGATTTGTTGAATGATGTTTTATTTTGTAATTTGGATATAATTGCAACTCCTTCTAAGACACCGAGTGTGCTTGAAAATAAAAAGTATGAAAAAAATATGTCAACAGTTTTAAATGGAAGAATTATGAAATCTTTAGAGGAGATTTCTTCTGGTTTTAATTTTTTACCAACAAAATATGGAGCAAGATTAAAAGATTTGGACAGGAAATTAAAAGAGATTAGAAATTCAGAAAAACTGGATAAGCTTAGAAAAGAAAAAATTGAAAAATTAAAGCTTAAAGAAGAGAAGGAAATCACTGGAAGGATTAACATTGAAATCAAAAATAGAAAAAGACTAGACTATTTGGAAAAACATGTGAATAACCATCAAAAATCACATTCATTTTCTAGTACAAAAGGGCAGAGTAGAAATGGGTTAAATAATAGCACAATTTCATTAAATGACGAATCGTTGCATTCTATTTATATTTCCAGAGGGAATTCAACCAGAAATAATACCACCAACAATAGAAACAACAGCATTATTAATGGCAGTATTAATAATGATAGTTATAATGACATTAAAAAAACCAATGTTAATAATAATATTGAAATGTCAATTTTATCATTTTCAACTCCCATTTCTAAATCATTTAGTGCTAATCGTAGTGAATTTCCTGATCACTCTTCCAACTTTAACAATGGAATTGGTGTATATCCTAAAAGCAATCAAAACACCGGCAAAAAAAGAAGTATGAATATCGGTTCTAATAATGATTTTAAGATTCCTGAAAATTTGTTGAGCTTAAAACAGCTTGCTCAAAGTATCAATAAAAAATATTCTAAACAATAGATAAAGCTTATTCACATTTTTGTTATTTTTGTTATTCACATTATTTATATATTAATTCATGCTTTTTTTTTGCATTTTTTTCACCCAATAACAGTTCTTTGTCATTCTAACTTTGTATAAATAGTTATGTAATATAATAATTTTTTTTTCTGTACCTTTTCATTTTTTCATGTGTTTAAATAGATTTGATCCCATAAATATAGACAGCCATTAGAGTTTGAGGCTACTACATAATCAAAATTAGGAAGATATTCAGCATCCAAAAATATGTTCTTTTCGTTTTCTGTAGATGTAATTAGTTGATAAAAACAGGATGATTGGGGGTTTATATTCCAAATATAAACACTGCCTGATTCTGACCCAGATATAACAAAATTATCACTTTTTTTTTGAATAAATTTGGCTTTAATCTTGTAAGTTGTATCTCGCTTAGACTTTTTGAATGACTGTAGAATATGGAAACCTGTCCCTGTGTTTCTTTGTAAATACTCTATTTTCTTTGTCTTTTTCTGATTGATATCACTTGTAATGTTTAGATCTAGCATCTTTAGACTTGTGTTCAAGGAACCTACCAAACAAAAACTGGGATATAGAGAATTGTTAAGCAAGGCATTTGACAAAGATATTGATGTGATTGGGTTAGTTTCAGACTCTTTTGAAAGTCTATCAGTGTATAAAAATCCACTTCGCAAATCAAAATGATACACATTCCCATCATTTGAGCCTGTGGAAACCAAGTAGTTGTTTGAAGAAACTGCAAGACAGTTCAAAGAATCCTTTGCTTTTTTATAGCTTTGAATTGGTTTCACTGTTGATGCCTTTAAATCAAAAAAATTCAAAGTATTATCATTGTTAACAGAGACAATGAGAGAATCATTCAAAAACTTGCAGTCGTTATTTTCAACCCAGTTTCTTTTATCAAAAATTTTTTTGACGCTTTTGCTCGTAATAATGTCTTGAACTATCAAAGAATTACCAGAAGAGATCAATATTTTGGTGTTTGAAGTATTCAAGTCAATATTTGATATTGGCGAATAAGCAATCTTGGAGAACTTGAGCACTTCACAGCACAAGCTACTGTTATTGCACCCATTGTCTTCCTTACTGTGATTACCATCAGCATCGTTATCACCCATTGATATTGACGACAACCTGATAGTAGAATCCTTAGCGCCAGTAAACACATATCTTCCAGAAGAAGAAACAGCCAATGCTGTGATAGGAGAATCATGAGCTCTAGAGGAATAGGCTGCTGTTTTTTTGATCATTATTGAGCTGAGAAACAAATTGCAACTGTTCTTTCATGCTCATGTTTTGAACCGGCAAAAAATACAATCATATCGAAATTCAAACTTAAAACTATAGCAGTTTGGCTGGATGAAAAAATTAAATAAAAGTATACACTAAACTAAACTAAAATAAAATAAAAATTATAATAAAAATTAATCTGATTTCTTACTGCTACCATCCAATAAAACAGGTGATGCTGGCTTCACCGTATCCTTTTCACTTACCTGTGGTTTTGAGCTGACAGACTCAGTGGTGAGGACTTTTGATATCACCTCGTGTTCAGCATTGCTTTCAGTTTGGCTTTCGGCTTCAATGATAGTACTTTCGGCAGCAGCAGCAGCAACTGGCTCGTCCTCAGGCTCATCTGATGGAAATATTTCAGTATCCACAGTTGGGTCACATAGTCTGTCAGCAATATTTTTCTTTCCATTTTTGGTTAAATCAGTCTTCCATTTGTTGACAATTTCACCCAATTGTATGTTTTTAACTCCATATGTCAAGCCAAAAATAGCACATTCAGACAATCTTTCACTGTGAGCTAACAAATCCACAATTTTTTCTCTTTCACCAGTTAACCAATAACAGTTGAAAGCCAAATTGAATTTTCTGGATTCTTCCGCTTCTATTCCCAACTCTCTTAGTTTATTTAAATTATTGAAAGATGAAAAAATCAAAAATAAGGATTCCAAATCTTTTGCTTTTTCGTAACAGTCGATTGCTAATTTATAGTTGAATGATTTTAACGATAAGTCACCCAAGGTTCTCCATTTACTTTCATTATTTTCCTCGGTTGCAATTGTATAAGCTTGTTTGAAATCTTTCATTTTTAATGATAATTGAAATTTTTGTTCATTGTCTGTAGAAATTTCCAAAGCTTCTTCGATGTAACCTTGAGATTCTAAGAAACTTGAAATTTTTGATTTTTCATTTGATGTTAAGCTTAGCTCATTTTCATAATAAAGAGACATTGCGTCTTCTAGATTTCCTCTTAATACTATTGTTTGATATTCAAGAATTGTTAAAGAGAGACGATATGAAGAAACGTTTATATCTTTGTCAGCAACATATATTTTGTTGTCTCTTGGTAAATAACCTAATAAATACATGTTTTTGTCAAAATGAGAAATATTAAAAGTTTTACCACCAACAAGATAATTCAATCTATTAGTTGAAGTGGTAAAGATGAAAACATCACCAACCCATTTACCACTTGTAATGGATTCAGACAAGTCATGAAGAACATCAAAACTGGCTTCAACACCTTCTTCTGGATCAATATCATTGTTAGAAGCAGCTTGTAAAAAGACATCTTTGTTATATTTTAAAACATAGGATGCATCAGAGCAAATTATAATAACCAATTCTCCAGAATCCGACCATACAACATCAATTGGATCAACATCAATTCTTCTGATTAATTTACCAGTTTCCCAATCGAAGAAAGATACAAAGCCGCCTTCAACAGATTTAACACCAAGTAAAGTTCCACCAAATATTTTATCGGCGCTATAAACAAAATTTGGGGTTGAAGAGGGATTTTCTCTAAAATTTTTGAAAATTTTAATTGATTGTAATTCATCCCTAATTGCATATTCATTTGAATCTTGAGCCCAAACAAAATCTAAAGCATCACCATAGCTTTTATTTCTCCATGCTAGTGAGGTATAAATGATATATTCTCCATCACCAGTAACAGCTACAAATCTACCGTTTGGTGAGTGCTTTAAAGAAGTTGGAAACATTTCAGTTGTACCCAATTCCTTTTGAGGTAAAGGCAAGATTTCACCATCAGAGATTGAGTCGACGTTTGATGTTTTGATAACAGTTGTGAAGACTTCTGAATTTTTTGCCCAAATAATTTTACCCACTGGATCCATTGATAAAGCGGGTTCTTCATTTCCTAATTTTAAAATAACATTACCAGAATCAAAACCAACACCTACTAAATTCGAGCCTTTTTTGGTTGTAACACACCATGCTCTTTCTAAGCCATAGTTTAAGGATTTTTCCAATTTGTAAGTATTTGAGTTCCAAATTTTAATTGTTGAATCTTCAGAACCAGAAATGATTAGAGGTAGTTCAGGATGAAAAACGGCAAATGAAACATTAGATAAATGGCCCTCTAAGGTTGCTATACAGGCCTTGGTTTGATAATCCCAAATTTTTATGGTTCTATCATCAGAAGAAGTGATCAAGTAGGGTTTATCGGATTGTGGGTAGTAATCAAGATAATTGACACCTTTTGCTTCATGAGCATCCAAAGTGAAATTTGGAACTGGTTGACCAAGGGACCAGATTTTAACAGATCTATCGAGAGAAGCAGAAGCAAAAGTGTTTAAATCCTTTGGATTGAAAGCAACCGACATTACATAGTGTTGATGGCCTTCAAAGATTTGTTCGAGTTTCCAATTTTTGTCCCAATTCCATAATTTTACAGTCATATCATCACTTCCAGTTAAAATGTAGGGCTTTGAGAGGTGAACAGCGATGCTTCTAATATAATCAGGATGAGCTTCAAACTGAGTGATTTTTTCAGAAGTATTGTAATTGTAAACTCTTATTTTGAAATCATCAGAGCCTACAACTATCCAATTTTTTCTTGCAATGAATCGTCCAGCACGAACAGGCACATCAGTCACATCAATTGTCTTGATTTTGGTATTTGTTTCATAAGACCATATTTCAACTTTGCCAGAATAAAGAGTGGTTAGCACCCAAGGTTCAGTTGGATGCAAATCGATCCCTTTGACCCTATCAGTCCTGGTGCTGAATTCCTTTGTAATATCCAATTTCATTTTGCTTTAGTTTGAAACTTAGCCTGTGTCAATGAGTGAAAAAAAAAGCAGCTCTGGTGGTCTATTCTGCCAGCTTATACCTCTGATCTCGATGTGCTCCACTGCCTGAAAATAGTGTGTTGTTATTTATAACCGCTTTTTCAGCTTGGTAATCAGGACCTGTGTTTAGCCAGACACATGGGATTTAGTCAGAAGCGCGTGTGCAGAACAAAGAAGTGCCTGTTAATATGATCACACTTCAGACGTCTCGAACAGGAGTCTACGGCGGTGCAACACGCGCCGTTTTTGTGGCGCAACTGCCACTTGCGGACGGTGCAGGTGATTGCTTCCTCCCAAGGTAGGTTCACCAGAACCAACAACAGCAGCTTCAGCTTCTCATCACCAGCTCTCATCGCCAGCACAGCTAGGTCAATTTGCTCCAGTTCTATCCCCTGTGTTACTAGTTTTGCTGTTTCTTACGCCACAATGTCCTTTCCATTGCGAACCAATATCGCCTCTGCATCGTCGAGTTCCATAACGATAGAGGAACCACCCCACCAGGCTCATATTTTATTGCGAAACACCAACAGGAGCCAAAGACGAAGAAGCAACAATCGTGTAACTTGGACCGATGATACTGTGGATAACGAACACATGAACAAGAAGAAAACCAAGAGTAAGTATCTGCCAGCCATTCCCAACTCATTTTCTCTTCCCGATCTATCGTTATTAACATGAAATCAAAACTAAAGTTTGTTGCATTTTTCATCCCCAGAGGAATTTTGATGAGTCTTCTGATTCTGGTTCTTCTTCAGACTCAGACTCCGGATCTGAATCTGAATCGGATTCAGGTTCCAATCCTGGTTTTGGTGGTTTTGGCAATAATCCCTTTTCACCAAACAATGATGATAGAAACTATAATGATCACGACGATGGTGACGATGGCTTGAAGGATATAGATGTGGAAAGCCAAAACAATCATGACTCAAATCTTGAAGAATGTTCTTGCAATCACAATCACTCCACGAGGAAATCAAAAAAGAATAGAAAATCTAAAGTTAAAAGACCTTCAAGTCCAAATGCTTACGAAAAACAACCTTTTTATGAAAACAAATCAAAACTTCCTCCTCATTCAGGAAATTAGTGCACTGCAATTTAAAATCTACAATCTACATTGTACAATCTACAACTTATAATTTTTAATTTTTCATTTCCTTTTAGAATTCCATTTAGAATTTTAATTTTCATCACTGCAATTTTTATCGTCAAAGCATTGTAAAGGTAACTTTTTTTATTTTGGTTTTTCATTTCTCGCTTTTTTTTGTATTTACATTTGTTTTGGGGTTGTTTTTTTTGTTTTTTTCTTTTCTGATAATAATCACTATCGATAAAATATCTTGGTTACCATTAAAATTTAAATTTTCAGTATAAAAAATGTTCCCTATCAACTTATCACTCATTTTTCTATATAATATATAACTAATATAAATGTAAAATTTATCTCCTATATCTCTTTGAATTTCATATTTAAAACTATTTAAAAATGAAAAAAAAAAAATTATTCAAAACGCATCCTCTAATCTTAATCTAGGCGCAATGTTCATTGAAATCAACTCTTGAAATAATAATTTAGCTGCGTATGGTATCCTCATTTTAATAACATTTTCAGTGGTTTTACAATTATTACACCATCCATGGAATCCCATCAATCCACAATTATTACAAATATCAACCTCAAATACATCCGATGATATCATCAATCTTTCCAACAATAGTTGCGATGCTCCATATGCTATAACACAATCTCTTTCCATCTCCCCTAATCTTAATCCACCATCTCTACTTCTACCTTCCGTTGGTTGTCTAGTTAAAACTGCTCTAGGACCTCTTGCTCTTGCGTGCATCTTATCCATTACCATATGCTTCAATTTTTGATAATAAATTGGTCCGAAAAAGATATATGCTTGAAGACATTCCCCTGTTATTCCAGAATATAATTGGTCTTTTCCAGAATAACTAAATCCCTGATCAATTAATATCTTAGACATATCCTCCAACTTGGATCCTCCAAAACAAGTTCCATACTCTAATGTACCATTGAGAACACCCGCTTTACCTGATATCAACTCAATCATTTTACCAACAGTCATACGTGATGGAAAACCATGTGGATTCATAATAATATCTGGCGAAATACCTTGATCATTAAATGGCAAATCTTCTTGATTGACAATAATACCACAAACACCTTTTTGTCCATGTCTTGATGAGAACTTGTCTCCTAATTCCGGTCGTCTTGTTTGTCTCATTAACAATTTAATTAACTGTTGGTCTCCATTAGTTTCTGTTAACAAAACCTGGTCAACATAACTTGGTTCAGGTGCCCTGTATATATACGGTGACTCTTTATAAGTCGTTTGTCCAGATGGTCCTCCAATTGAAGAATTTCCTGAACTTATTGGAATAGATTTATTAGCATAAATTTGCCCACTTTCAACCCTAACACCAACTTCAGCAATTCCATCAGGCCCCAATACTGCATGTTCCCATATTGGATCACCATTTTCATCAACTCTAACACCTGCAATAATATCTTTTGTATGATTTGAATATCTTTTCAACAAAATAGTTTCTTTTCTAAATGTTTGACATCGACCAAAACCTCTGTCAATTGATGATTTATTTAAAACCAAGGCATCTTCAATATCATATCCAGAGTATGACATGACTGCAACTGTAGCATTTTGACCTGCTGGTAATTTATCATACTCTGTCAATTCTATGGTTTTGGTTTTAACCATAGGCTGTTGTGGATAACACATTACATATAAAAGAGTATCAATTCTACGGAATTGATTATAAGCAATAGCTCCAATTGCTTGCTTACCCATTGCACATTGATAAGTATTTCTTGGCGATTGATTATGATGTGGATAAGGAATTAGACCTGCAACAGCTCCAAGCACTGTAAATGGTTCTATTTCCAAGTGTGTTGTTTTTCCAGGTTGAATATCTTCTTCATAAATAGCAATAAGAGAATCATTTTCTTCATTACAATCCATGTATTCAACTAATCCATTTTTAAGAAAGTCATCAAACTCCCATTCACCGGATCGCAATTTTTCCAAATGTTTAGCTTCAACTTTGGAAATTCCTGTTTTTTTATCAACAATTATCAATGGTCTGCAAATTCTGCCACCATCAGTTGCAATATGAATAGCATTCTGGTACAGATTAGAAAAAATGGAAATAAATGGTGAAATATTACATGATCTTCTTAAATTTCTAAAAACTTTTAAAAATTTTTTAGGAGTTTTGGTTAAACCAATTATAGTACCATTAACATAAATCCCATAATTATTTCCAATAAAAATAGAATTGTAATCCACATATCTTATATCTTCGACACCCAAATTAAGACACAATCTTTTAACAGAGTCTTCCTCATCATCTGTTGTAATATGAGTCATTAAGGCCAAATTTTTAACTAAACCACAAGCTTCACCTTCAGGCGTGTCTGAAGTGCACAACATACCAAATTGAGATGGTTGCAAAGCTCTTGGGCCAGAAACTTTTCTTGATTTCTCAAATTGAGATGATATACGGGTCATCATACCCAACGCAGCAATATAGGATAATCTACTTAAAACATGAGTGACACCAGCTCTTTCCATCTTAAATCTTTTCAAAGACCAATTTCCAGTTGAAATCGCATTGTTCAAACCACTAGTTATATAATAGGAATAAACACCAATTGTCATTAACGGATCAAATTCGTGAATTCTGTTGGACTTTTTCAAGGACTTGTCTATATTTGTTTTAAAATCGTTATTGAATTTTTTAAATAAATCTTCAAATAAAAGAGACATCAATTGACCTGCTAATTCCAATCTTTTATTACCAACATAATCCCTATCATCAACTCTCTTAGGATTTTCCATTGCCATAATGACTCTTCTTGTCATAATTGCCAAATATAAGCCCTTTTCTCTCAAATCCAAACTATTTGGACAGGTAATGTGTGCAATCACAGTCGTAGCAATAAATTCAATACCTTCTTGTAAAATCGATAATCTAGGAGCATTGAATCTTCTGATGGTTTTAACTCTTTGACCAATATATTCCAAAGCGTCTCTTTGAGTGTAGATATTCAATTTTGCAGGATCTTCAAAATTTACTGCAAATAAATCTTGGTACTGTAAATTATCACCACATACAATTTGCAATATCTCCAAGTCAGATACAATTCCACACGCTTTCAAAGCTATGACAATTGGAACCTCATCCGATATGGAATTATGTTTTAAATAGATTTTGTTGTACTTTGTCACAACGTATGTTTTGGATTTTCTTTCGTGAGTTGAAGAGGTTACTGAAGCTTGAACTATATTTTTTTTCTCGTCGCTTTCAACAATAATTCTGTTTTTTGACAATTGTTCCTGAACTAAAATCACTCTTTCGGTTCCATTAACTATAAAATAACCACCAGGATCCTTTGGACATTCGTTAAGTTTTGGGAACTGAGATTCAGATAATCCTTCCAAACAGCATTTGTTCGATCTCAACATGATTGGCATTCTTCCAATTTCCAAATCTCGATTCATGATGATTTTTCTGCCTCTTGTGTATTCTACATCAACATATATCGGAGCAGAATACGACAAATCTCTCAATCGGCATTCATGGGGGGAATTGTTAACTTCCTTTGTAAGTTTCATGTCTTTTGATTGCTTAAGAGAGGTGGATTTGTAGCCAACTCTGATATCAACATATTTCAAATAAAAGTCTGGATCAACATCACTAAAAATGTACTGGTTAGCCTCTATAATCTTTTTCATATCAATATCAACAAAATAGTTGAAAGAGTCCAAGTGCTGCTTGACCAAACCTTTGACCTTCAAAAAAGCAGGCAATAGATTCCACTTGTCTTTCGCAGTATTAATTGGCTCATTGAGTGCTTTGCCTTTGTAAATAGGCTTCAATAAATCATTGAAAGTGTCGTCAGGCTTAGAGTCGTAGTGGTCGTGAAAGGACTTTCTGGGTTTTCTGACAGATCCTCTTCTTCTTGAAGACATTCTTGCTGGTCCAAATGCAAACGCCAATATGTCAAAGCCTGTGTCCAGCTCCAAAACTAGAGATAGAGAACGTCAATTGCAACAAAAAAGTGGCAGCTCCAGCAGTAGTTAGTGAATTTGTAATCCACTTTCTGATTAGCCTTCACAAAAACATAAAAGTAAAATCTGAAATCTCCGCATGGAAAAAAAATAAATTTTTCAGAAAAAGAAAATTTTTTTTTTGCCTGAGACATCTTAAGCAAATAATCTTTATCAACTCCCTCTTCATATAATTGTCTGGCCAGTTTTTTCAGCTCTGGATAACTACACACCTAGAAATCAGCTACAATGACTACCCAACCAGAACACCATCTTGTATCTGCGACTGATAACTCGAAATTGCCATTTTCAGAGCAGCACTACTTTTCTTCCTACGACCATTTTGGCATCCATGAAGAAATGTTGAAAGACAAAGTTCGTACTTTGTCCTACAGAGATGCTATTTTTCACAATAAGCATTTGTTCAAAGACAAGATTGTTTTGGATGTTGGTTGTGGAACTGGTATTTTGTCAATGTTTGCTGCAAGAGCTGGTGCTAAACATGTTATAGCTGTTGACATGTCAAATATTATCGAAATGGCCGAGAAAATCGTTGATTTGAATGGATTCAGTGACAAGATTACTTTGTTGCGAGGAAAATTAGAAGATGTCGAATTGCCTTATCCTGAAGTTGATATAATTATTTCCGAATGGATGGGTTACTTCTTGCTTTATGAATCTATGTTGGATACTGTCTTGATAGCTAGAGACAGATATCTTAAAAAGGGTGGTTTGATTTTCCCTGACAAGGCTTCAATTCGCATAGCTGCTATTGAAGATGCTCAATACAAAGAAGAAAAGATTGAATATTGGAATGATGTTTACGGGTTTGATTTCACTCCATTTATTAATGTGGCAATGGTTGAACCATTGGTTGATACAGTTGAATCAAGATCCCAGGTAACTAACTCTGCAGAATTGATAAAATTTAATTTAAACACTGTTCAAATTAAAGATTTGGCATTCCACAGAAAGTTCTCTCTTACTTGTGAAAGAACTGACTTTATTCATGCTTGGATTGTTTGGTTTGACATGGAATTTCCTTCTGATAGACAAGAAAACAAAATTACATTTTCAACAAGTCCCCATGACCCCTACACTCACTGGAAACAAACTGTTTTTTACCTTAATCAGGTTTTAAATGTCAGAAGAGGTGAAAAGATTGTTGGTTCATTAGCTTCAAGACCAAACAAAATAAACCCAAGAGAACTAGACATTGAAATTAGCTGGGACCATAAAACACAAAGTAACAGAGCCAAGAAAGGTAAATTCAACTATTTCTTGCGTTAGTTTTTTCAGTTGTTTTTTTTTTTGGTTTTTTTTTGTTTGACATTATCATTTTATCGTTGATTTTTTTGATTTCTTCTATTTATTTTTATCTTATTAAAATTGTTAACTTAATCTGTCAAGTTTTATATAATGAATTTTATTGTTTGATTGCATTAGAAAATTTTGTATATTAGTGAAGTTCAATTTAAAATAAATAATCAATTATAATTTACTTAAGAAACTGTATGAAATAAAGTATCATATATTAACAACGATATAATAACTTTTGTCTTTCCAGTTGTATTGAAGCAAGATTTGATAAAAAATAAAATAAAATAAAATGAAAAAAAAAGATAAAATACAAGAAATATATAAAACAAAAACAAAAAAAGTGTTAAGCAACATTTTCATCGTACGCAATAATTTAAATAAAAATTTCGGTATTAGATTTGACTTTTTTATGAAGAATTATATCACAACAAACTTGTGGATCAATTGGACCATCAGGATTATTTTCATTGTAATCTTTCATATATTTTGGCAAGCTTTTATTTATAACATTTTTAACAAAATTTTCCTGATTGGATTCTTCCTCTTTTTCCAATTCTTTTTCAAAGTTTAATTTTAAATCAATTTCTTTAACGAAATCATCTGTTAGTTCTATCAAATCTTGATCCATATCAAAATCTTCGTCGCTTTCATCATCACTATCATATCCAAGCTCTTCATCAGCAAAACTTTGATTTGACTTATCACTATCGTATATATCGTAATTTGATGTATTTTCTTTACTGTTAGATTCGGATTCATCTTTTTTCAATTTTTTGTCAATTGAGGAAGTTAGCTTTTCAACGTCAATAAAAGAATTATCACTGTTATCAATTTTTTGGTTTTCAGTTCCTTCTGAATCGTCATCTGAACAACAGCATGGATCATGTTTTTCATTTTTAGAAATCTGGAAGCAGTTATTGTCAGTTCCATTTTCATGTTTATGTTCATTTTCATGTTTATGTTCATTTTCATGTTCATGTTCATGGTTGGCATCTTTATGTTTATGATGATGGCCACTTTTTTCCCTTGGATGATAACACTCGCCGGTTAATTCACCACATTTTTTACAAACATCGAATATTGCTTCGAAATGAGCATTGACTTTGTTTTGATTGGTTTTTTGTGTAATTAAATCTAAGGAAGGCACTAGACCAATTTCGTGAAATCTATCAATGTTGAATAAATTTGACTCGATTTTTTGAACAATTTTATTAAAGATAGTTAAATTTTGGTTATTTTTTTCGGCCAATATCGAGGGAACTTCAATGCCATTTGATTTAAACATCTTTGTTGAAAAAACTTGAGCTTGATCATATAATTGAATGATATCGTCTGAAATGCTATTAATATCGTTGTTATCATTATTGGGATGATTGATGATGTTGTGGTCGTATTTAATGAAAAATTTTAAATATGGGTACCAGGGGGATTTAAAAGAGGTGCAGTAATATTCGTAGATAACCGAGAGAACTAAAGCAATGATACCATATATTTTCTCATCAAATAATAAATTTGAAATGACAGAATTTTGAGAAGTCAAAACCGAGGATTTTGGGACTCGTATTAATGGCTGGTAATCGGGGTTTTCTTCCTCTTCATCAGAGACATTTTCTGGTATCACATTGTAGCTTTCCAAAGTGTTCTGATTATCTTGGAAATTTTCTTCATTTTTATATTCTCGTTCTGTCTCATTGCTACTAGTGACTGTTTGGCCGTCCTCACTATCTGGCTCAAATTCTGGAAGAAGAATGAGTAAGTCTTCAGGATTAAGGACCCTTTTGGAGAATAAGCCTATTTTTCCATTAGTCGTAAACTTGAAGTGAATATCTGGATGAATAAGGACGTTATTGCTTTTCAACCAAGATAGTAATTCATTCAAGTCAGCCTCAGTTACCATTCTGGGGATACTGTAGATAAAGAACTGAAAACCAGAACAATATCACTCAACACAAGACAAAAACAAACACAGAACAAAAAAGCAGGGGCCAAACTAGAGAAGTAGAAACCAAACTTTATGATCTTGCCTATGCTCTTTTATATAAAGAAACCAGAAAAGAAAGCACACCAATAAAAAAAAGGTTGCTAGCACTCCTTATTTGCTGCGATAGAATGGTGGAGGATCATCTCTTTTCCAATGCGAAACAAAACACTTTTCACACCAAAAGAAAAATTTCAGCAAACAGAGAACATGCACAATCCGCAGCACAGAGCGCTATCATGCGCATGCAATGATGTGCGGAGCCTGCATGAACGCGCAATGTGCAATTGCGCATCAGCATGCGTCTTGTTGTTGCTTTCACCCGGACGGGTCCAAAGCCAGATCTGAGCCAGTGAAAATGGAAAAAAAATGAGTTTCTGACGTGTTGAAAAAGAGGAATCTGCTTCCTAAACCTCTTCTAGCAAACACTGCTATTGAAACTGACCATTGACTTAGCGACAGAGGTTTTCCTCCAGAAACCAGTACTGCTTCCTTTGATTTTCTGGTCCCAGGAGCATTCCCTGCCTTGTTTTGCATGTGCTGAAGGCACTTTTGTTGAAATAAACCTCCACTGGAAACAAGAGTGATTCAAGAAATACTTGGAATATATTCAGCAAATCTTTTAGCCACAAAGCTCTTCTTTACAATACATCTGCTTGGTTGAGAATGGGCGACAGCCACATAAGGATCCAGATCAACAGACACGACGATGGCTACGATATCGACGACGACAACGACGACTCCTCCGATATGAGAGTTCCTATCTCTAGCGCTGCTACTCCAGACACTGATTCAAATGATCAGTTAATGAGTCCGAAAAACAACCCCAGTACCCCTGGAAACAACAACAGCAATTCAGAACTTAACAGTGATCAGTTTTCCATATCAAGAAGCAGCATCCTAAGTGGTGGCATAGATCATGAACAGTCAGAGGATTTTAATGATGACTTTAACGATCAGAATTCTTTTGTTTCAACTTCTTTTAGACCAAGTTTTGAAACAAATGCAACGCTATCCAACTACTTGAATAGCTCAAATAATTATAATTACAACAATTTGAACTTGAGTTTAAATAATAACATAACTTCAACTTCGGTTTCTCCTTTGGGTCCAAACTCAATATATGAACTAATATCGGGTTCTGATTTGAAAAGAAGAAAAAACAAAATGGCTCTTTTTATTTTGAATAATAACTTCAGAATATCTCTAGGTCCTCCAACAAAGATTGATATTCCCACAATAAAATTGACAAACTCTACCGCCTATGAAAAAGTGGATGATGATCAATTTACTGACTATCTAAATACAATTCAAAAGGAATTCAACAAATTTGAAAACAACAGAAAGTTAACTCAATCAACTCTACAAACATTATCTTCTTTAAACAATTCATATAATCAAAACCAAAATGATATTAAAACTGGCACAATAAATCACACAAACACTAGCAGTATTATTGCTGATAACATCAGTCTCATTAAAAAAAATGTAAACTTTAATGATTTAAATTCAATTATTGAAAATAAAAATGATCTAGCCAATGTTCCTTTAATTTTTTTTCAACCGGATTTTAGATTGGATAATCCAAGAACTTTTAATAAAGTGATTGAAAACTCACAAATTTTATCATCTCAGCAATCTTCTTCCATTCAATTATCAACTAAAAAATATCTAGCTAATAATTCTTTGTTGCAAGAAAAATTGTCTTGGTATCTAGATATAATAGAAATCCATTTGATTAATGAAATCTCAAATTCCTCTGACTCGTTTTTTAATACGTTGGATGAACTATCTTTAATTAATTCAAAATCAAAAAACTCAATTGAAATCCTGCAAAAGATAGAAGATAATTTAAACGATATTAAAAAAAAACAACTAGTACCGGGAAAATCCCTTTTGAATTTAATTCAAAAAAGAAAAAATATTCAAAAACTCGAACAATCTCTTTTGCAAATACAACTAATTTTAAATTTAAAAAAAATTGCTGATTTTTATTTCTATAATTCGAGTTATATTGAAAGTTTATATCAAATTGAAACCATACAAAGCCTAATACTCGGAAATATAGAAGCGATCAAATCAAATCAAGAAAATAAAAAAAAAAATAAAATAATAAACAATATTTATAAATGGCCCTATGAGTTACTAAATCTAGACCAGCTACCCGCGTTGAACAATCTTAAAGCTGATTTAAGTACTTTAAAGAAAAAAATCGGAACTTCATACATTAACTTATTTTTGGATTTTTTGATAACTGATTTAAGAAATCATTATGAAAACATGTCTTACAAAGACACTTTGATTAGAATTTTATCTAATTTTTCAAAAGAACTTTCAATGATGAAAAGACATTCAAGGTCATCTAGTTTAAATAAAATCAACTTGATTAATGAGAAAAAGAAAATAAATAGATCATATTTAATTTTAGATCAAGATTTCCGTCAACTATTAAAAGAATACATACTAGGTCTAATAAAGTGCAATAGAATTTTGATAGCTTTTCAAAATTATGAAGAGAGACTTATAATTGAATTTAAAAATATAATAAAATTTCATCTACCCACATCAACCAACTCAAATGCAATAGTATCTGAAACAAACTCCGTTTCTTCAAGAGGAAGTGATTCAAAAATGTCTTCATCGACTTCACTTTCAAATTTTAGTAATAGAAATAGAAGTCTTAGTCAATTAAATCTTAGCCAGTTAAATAATCTTAGTCAGTTAAGTCTAATGCAAAACCAACAACAAAGTGGTAATCAGATATTAATAGATTATATTAGAACAATGACTCCTAAAGATTTTGAAGTTGTATTATTCAAAATTTATGCAGATTTATCGGAAGCGCTAAGGAGATTGACTACACATCAAAAAATTTTATTAGATACAGCTTTGGATTCAATAGTTGTGCCAGAATCACAGCAGCAGGATTTTGGTGATCTTATAATGAAGCTTGATATTTCAAAAACAATAGAGCACTGTGTACTAACTGTTCAAAAAAGAATGGCAAAAATTATAACTATAAGACAAGATTTAAATATACAAACATCAGTTGAATTTTTTATCAGATTTTATCTTTTGAACTATTACTTTTTAGTTGAGTGTGAAAATATAAACATATCGGGTTCAATGAAACAAAATTATTTAAAAAATTGTATTGAAAAACACGTAAAGCACTATGGAATGCTTTATCACAAAAATTCTATTCGAAAAATTGCGATTAAGATTGACAAAGAAACCTGGAAAGAATATAGAGTTGATAGTGAGAATCATAAATTACTAGAGGAAATAATGCAGTCAGCCGATTCTGAACCTCAAAACTGGTCAAGATTACTGGACTTAGAAAAAGAATTTATTATTGATGAAGACACAAAAACAGAAGAAGAAACAACTTTAGTCTCGCCAAACCATGAACCAATAAATGATGTTGATGAAATAATAGAAGAGATTCCATTATCAAAGCAAAATGGTGACTTAGAAAATTCAAATTTAGTTGAAGAAGAAACTAATGAAATTAATAAAGGCACTGATAACAAAAAAATAGATGAAGAAATAGATGGCAAAGAAATTGAAAACAAAATAAATAAAAAGGCAGAAGATGTCAATTCAGATTTGCAAAAGGAAACTACTGCTGACCTGAGCGATGATAATCAATATCCAGATTTACTAAAAATAGATGATAAGAGCTTCATAATACCGGTTTTTATAATTGATACTCTCGAGCTAATAAAGGATTATATGCTTTTAATTGGTAAATTTCCTGAGTTTCAGGTTAGTTACGAATCTAATATACTTGATTTAATAAAGATGATAAATACTAAATCAAACCAAGCAGTTCTTGGAGCCGGAGCTACACGAACATCATCATTGAAGCACATTACTGTTAAACATTTGGCAATCTGTTCTCAATCACTAGATTTTTTAATCAGCTTATTACCATATATAAACAAGTTTTTTTTAAGATGCAATAATAGTTTACCAAGCCAAAATAGCATGAACAAAAAGTATGACTTGAATGGAAATTCGGTCAATGGTGCACAAACTGATGAAAAATCAAATATTGAAAATGAAGTGGATAAAACCAGAGAACTTCTTCAAAGTCATCAAAATGAAATTTTCACTAAATTGATTTCTATAATGAATGATAGAGTCATTGCAAGAGTGAATGAAATCAAACAAGTGGATTGGTCTCAGTTGTTACCTTCGAGTAGTCCATGTCATAGGTATATGGAGTTGCTAGTAAAGGATATAACTACAATAAGTCGTGTTTTATGTAAGAACCTTCCTGAATTACAATATTCATTTATATTATCTCAGATATTTGACAATTATAAGAGAAAAGTGCTCGAGGAATACACAAGGGTGGAATTCAATGATGAAATCGAAAAAAGTATTATGATGAAGGATATCGATTATTTTAGAGTGAGGTGCTCGGATCTACCAGGATATAGCAATTCTGGACAGGTTATATGGGAAACAGTCAATTCGATGAAAACAAAAGAAGACAAGCTAATGGAGGAAAAGATGAAGCAAAACCAAATAGAATAGAATAATAATTTAAAAATTGAAGTCAATTTGACTATTTTGAATTGTTTATAATTTTTTTTTTTTTTTCAATTCGTATCTTTATAATTTGGTTTTAATTACATGCTATTTCGGTGTTTATTGAAAAAAAAACAACTTCTACAGTATTAATGCAAAAATAATACATTTAATTGATAAAGATAAAACATAAAATATAAAATATTTATTGATATAAATAATTTATGTTTTCTACTCGCACAGTTTTAAGTCTTTTGAATCATTTCAAATTAGTGAATCTAATCTTCTTTTAAAACTTTTTCAAATAAACCTTTGGATGGTTTGTCTTTAGTAGCTTTAACTTTTTGAGAACCTAAATTTTGTTTAGCAAAAGTAGCAGCGTATGGGTTCAACCTTAATAAGATTTGTTTGTTCTTTAATGGGTTTTTCTTTTGAACATGAGTTCTCTTTTGAGTTGGTTGGCCAGCTGGTCTAACAACATTTTGAATTTCAGAAGAATTGATTAATCTGGTAACATCAGCGTTGGCAATGATGTTGTTTGGTAAGCTGTAGATAGCATCCAAAGAAGCAAAAGCAGCTTGAGTCCAGATAACAAATCTACCTAAGTGAGCACCAGGAGCTAATTGTAATAAACCTAATGAGGTGACTGAAGCAGTTTCAACACCAGGAATGTTTCTGAAGGCCTTGACGATACCATTGTCTTCACCGTAAACGACTAATGGACCTCTTCTTTGAGTGGTTCTTCTACCTCTCATTTTACCTTTACCAGCACGGATTTTCTTGGATTTGATGACCTTGATGACATCTCTGTGAGCACCAATGGCCTTTAAGACAGCAACAGCTTCTTTTGTTTTTTTGACGGATTCAAGTTCGTTTGAAACAACTAAAGGAACTTCTGGGATGGTTTCAACTCTGTGACCTCTAGCTAAGACCAATGGAGCAACAGCGGAAGCAGCAATGGCAGAAGCAGTGGCGTAACGTTTTTCGTTGTGGTTAACTTTGACGTTCCATTTTCTCCATGTTTTTGTTGGAGCAAACATTCTACCACCACGACACATGTTACCAAAAGCAGCTTGACCAGATCTGTGAGTACCAGAACCACCAACTCTTGGAATACGAGCAACAGCTCTACCAGTACCCCATGATTCAGCAGAGGTTTGGTGACCAGCTTTTTCGGAGACAGCGTAAGCTTGACGTTTGTTTTTGTTAATTCTTGTAAAGACAGAGTGGACAATGTCTGGACGAATTGGAGCAGAGAAAACAGTTGGTAAAGGTAAAGCTGTGGTGGTGGCTTTACCATCAACAGAGTAGACAGTTACTTGTGGACGAGACATCTTCAGTTGTTGTAGGGAGGTGTATCAAGGTGGTATAGTATAATTGAGGAGATTGGAGTTGTGGTTATGCTGAAGCAGATACTCTACCTCTAAAATTTTTCATGAAAATTGTGAGGTTTGAAAAAAAAATGTTACCCGGACGGTTTGTTTTGCGACTTTGAGAGAGAAAACAGGGCTGCGTAACCACGTTTATTTTAGTATGGAGAAAGGAATAAGGAGGAAATATTGCAGGTTATTGGGTGTTTATTGATGGAGACTGATTGCAGCCAGAGTATTAGAATAGAATAGAATAGAAGAGAATAGAAGAGAAGAAACAGTACATATTATAATACAAAACAGACAATTGGAATATGAGAATATGAGAATATAAGAATATGAGAGCTAATTAAAAATAGTCAACTATAGAATCAGTACTGTTGCAACCGTATATTTTAATGAAATATTCGGCGTGGTATTGGCTATGGAGGAGTTTGCTTGGTTTCAAACTGTCCAGAGGATCTTCCAGTGGATTTTCAGGTAGTGGAAATGGAAAAAGAGGCTGCTCAGTTTTTGAATTTGATTGAGTCTTGTAATTGATTTTATCCACCAAAAGGACATCTTGGTATAGATGTGGGAGATTTTTTTTGATGATTCTGAATTCGATACCACTATGAGTGTAAAGGGGATTTATTGGGACTTTTGGGATGTAATCGCCATCATGAACAACTCTTATAAGCATATTTGAGTCAAAAGTTGAATTGGGATTCAAGTTCGAATTCGAATTTGAATTTGAGTTCAAAATAAATTTTGGATTGTTTAATTTTTTAAAATTATTTAAACTGTTGAATTTTAAATCAATTTCGTTATTTAAATTTTTATTGCCAATTTTAGGACTAGCAAAAGATACCACTAGAGGGTTCCAGTTATTTAATAGTTGGAACTCAAAACCGATTAAATTAGCCAATGCTCCACCCAAGGAGTGACCCGTTATTATCACCTGGTAGTTTGGATATAAATCATGTAACTGGAGCATTTCGTTTAGAAACTGGTCTTTGAAGTTTTTGATTAAATTATAGAAGCCCTGATGAATAAGACAGTTATTGTTAATATCTTGACAAATAATTGAAGATTGATTGAAAATGGGGTTATAAATGACCAAAGGAGTAGACAAGTCAGATATCCAATCTGTTACAGATAACGAGCCTCTGAAAACCAAATAAATTCTCTTTTCCAATGGATGATGATCAATAGCAATAAAACCAGTGGCAGATAATTTTGCTGTATCGGATAATGTTATCGGCTCAAAGATTTTGATAATCTCAACATACTTGTTGGTCTTATAGGAACAGAATCTCAAGTTGGGACAGGAAGAATTCAACCTGCCTTCTTTCAAGTCCAAGTCGAGCAAGAAATCCAAATCTCCTGCTGTTGAAATACAATAGGCAACAGAGCACCAGTTTGAAAGCTCGACTAGCTCATCATAGGTTCCGTTTGAGAAACTGTTTATTGCAAAGATTAAATTTAAATCTGAATTGGAATTTGATTCTGAATCCCTAAAGTTTGGCAAGTAAATTGAACTAGCGCATAAAAAATTTAAAATAAAAACTGGAATAAAAAATAATATGGAAGTGCCAGACTTGGATAGTGTGGAGAGTATTTTCATGTTTCACCAAAATAAATGGAAAGAATTAAGTCTGGGGGTTATGAAAGCAGGAAAGCAGGAAAACAGGAATTCTTCTTGTACCAAAATAATTCCTGGTCAACCAATAGAGCATAAAACAACTACGTGATGAAGGTTTAGTTGGGCTGCTTGACTAAGATGAAATGAAAAGGTGAATCGAATGAACTTGGGAATAGCAATCGCTGTGAAGTTAGAATAACGCTGCTCGCAACAAACACCAACACAAGGTCTGCCTCGCTGCACTGATATTATCTCAAAAACAGGTTTTATCAACAGGAAATGGTCTTAGTTACGCTTCACGAATACCACTGAAGGTATAAACACTTGAACAGACTTCTAGAATTGTTTTGCTTCATCTCCTGGATCTTTTCTGGCTAATATTTGGGTGATACAAAACTCGATTGCGCTGGATCCCGTTTGATGAGGGGCTGTCCTGTCTTTTTCCGCTGTGATTTGGCACTCGCTGCCCAAAACAAGGGATCTGTTCTGTTTCTGCGGGGCGTGCTCTTTCAAGGGTTTCAAAGAGCTATTTTAGCGTTGATCGATGAGTTTGGAGAAGATTTGAAGATTCTTTGGAGGATATGGAGTATATGTGGAATATCTTTGGTGTATCTTTGGGATATCTTTGGTAGGGCAGATACAATGGCCTTGCAAATGTGACTATCAGTACCCACTGGCTATACCCTTATGGATTATGTACATTGGCTCTACATTTCCACCTCTGAATGACAACGTTCTTCTAATTCCATTTTATTTCTCTTCATGAGCACTGGTTTTGTATATAAAGATGCATCGTCCTTGGGTTTTTTAAATGCAGTCTTCTTGAAGTTCTTATTCTACTAAAAATCTACTTATCTAATTTATTATCTTCTGGATAATCAAATTCAAACAGTCGCTCCTTTAATACTCTTTCTATTCATTCCTTTAAATCTCTAATCTTCTCTTTCTTTTTTTAAGAAACATCGAAATTCCTAAAACTTCAATTTAATATATTATAACCTCCCACTAATCAGTTTATTTTGCTTAAAGAATCTCTTCAAAAACCCATTTCCTTGAAAAAACAAAAATGAAATTTTCTCCAGTCTTATTAGCTTATTTAGCTCATGCTATCACTGCTCTTCCAGTTGTTGTCACCAACTATAAAGTGGTCTATGAAACTGTTTACGAAACCGTAGTTCAACCTGCTCCTACCACTACCGCTGCTGTAGAAGTCAATACTGTTTATGCAGAACCTGAAATTGAATACCAAACTGTTTATATTGATCAATTTGGTAACTTGATTACTGGAGATAACACAGATGTTTATGAACCTGCCGTCGAAGCCACCACTCCAACTGTTGAACCAACTGTTGAACCAACTATTGAACCAACCACTGCCGAAGCTGAAATTACTGTTGCTGCTGGAAACAAAAAAATTAACGCCTATACCACTTACTTTACCAACTATTACACTTATAGATCCAAGAATACAAAAAGAAATTCCAGAAAGACTTCAACAACAACATCAACACCAACCACCGTTGTTGAACCAACTACTGTTGCTGAACCAACTACAACTACAACATCAGCTCCAGCTACTGTTGTTGAACCAACTACAACATCAACCACCGCTGATCCAATTGCCACTGCTGTTTTAGATGACTTCAACTCTGTTCTTCTTGATACTCACAATGAAAAAAGATCTTTGCATGGTCTTGATAATCTAGCCTGGAATCAAACTTTGGCTAAATACGCATCTGATTTTGCTACTGCTTACAGTTGTCCATCAAATGGTCAATTAACTCATTCTGGTGGCCCATACGGTGAAAATTTGGCTTCCGGTTACACTTCAGAAGGTACTGTTGATGCTTGGTACAATGAAATTGAATATTACGATTTCAGCAACCCAGGTTACAGCTCTTCTACCGGTCATTTCACTCAAATTGTTTGGAAAGGTTCAAAACAAATTGGTTGTGCTTATAAAAAATGCGATACTGCCTATGGAACTTATGTCGTTTGTGAATATTATCCAGCCGGTAATATTATCGGTTATTTCGACACCAACGTCTTCCCATTAGTTTAAAATACATACATTCAAAATTCTTAACGTTGAATTAGACAGTTAGTTACATAATATAATTAATTCCTTCAAATTTATCCAATTTGTTTTTTTTTCCTCTTTTTTGCAGTGAGAGTCTTCATTTACCTTTTATGGCTGTTATTTTTTTCAAATCTCTTGTGATTTTTACTTTGGAGATATAAAAATGTAAATCAAATATATATGAGCACTGAAAATGTGGTTTGTCTTGCATATTGGTGCGTCTTTACGTAGAACAATTGGCAATCCGTAACAATTCAAAACGGAAATTTCGGAAATGTGATTACTAAGCAAAAAAAAAGCCGTATTTTGTTTCGATTGTGTTTTCGGTTGCTTTTTCTCTTTTCGGTTTCCGTCAGCGGCCGCCGGTCTCGTTTTCAACGCCGTTGACGGCAAAACACCCGATGCAAAGATCCATTTCTTTCTCTTCCTCTGATAAACACAGTTTATTACTCAGCTTCACTTAAATGTTCAGGAATTTATTGAATCTGAATAATTCCTTAAGATTATTTGTTAGCTGCTTTCATAAATCTCATAATAATCTATTCACAAATCTTTCTTGTCCCAGAAAATTTTCAAAAATGTCACAATTATCTACCTTACCAAAATTAAATTCAGTTACCCCATTGGATACTATATCCAATTCATCACCAATTAAAACTGCTGCTGCTCTTGTAAGTTATTTGTATATATATCATCTCCAATAGGGCGAGAACAAAAAAGAAACAATAAAAATAAAAAAAAATCGAAAATTGAAAACACCAATTTACTAACTTTGTTTTGTAACCATTCAATTATTTTATCATTCAGTTAATTGGAGACGAAATCTTAAATGGGAAAATTACTGATACAAACTCGAAATTTTTTGCCAAATATTGTTTTACTCTCGGTATTGAACTCAAAAAAATTTTGGTGATTGGTGACGACAAAGAAGATATTATTTCCTCCATCAAATTTTTAGCAAATAAATACGATTTTATTATCACTTCAGGAGGAATTGGCCCAACTCATGATGATATAACCTACTTATCAATCGCCGAAGCCTTTAACTGTGAATTAAAATTAGATGAATACGCTAGAGATAGAATGAGACATTTTAGAAGAAATAAAAATGACAATTTTTCTCAAGAACAAATCGACGCTCAATTAAGAATGGTCATTTTACCTCAGTCAAATGGAAAAATCGACGTTATCAATTATTACGTTTGCGATGATTTATGGGTTCCAATTAATGCCGTTAACAACCAGGTTTTTATTTTACCTGGTGTTTCTCAATTATTCCAAAAGTTATTAACTAATTTGAAACCTTACATTATCGGTCGTATTGATACTTCAGAGTCTGCATCATTTGAAAGATTTTATGTTAAAACTCCTAAAAAAGAATCTGTTATGGCTCCATTATTATCTAAATTGCAAGAACAATATGATAGTAAATACGGTGTTGGTGAAATTAAAATTGGTAGTTATCCACACATGGGTTTGCAAATTAATACTGTTAGTATCATTGGAAGAAAAAAATTACATGAAGATTTGAGAGATATAGTTAAAGTTTGTTCAAAAGAATTAGAAGGCACTGAAATTTCCAAGGAAGAAGAAGATATATTGAGCGAAAATAGAGACGAAATTAAATTATAGATTCATATATACTTTTCCATGCTTATAAATTGATAAATACTTTAATTTAAGATTTTTTTTTTAATAACTAAATAAGGATACTGTACCATATTTGCAACCAATTAATAAATTTGAGTCTGAATTTACAATATTCTTTTTCAAGTTGATTTGATTTACCTGGGCTATATCACTATAACCACAGAAATAAGTTATATCTAATTTGTTTTGTTCAATTAATTTACTAAATTCAACCGACATTAATATTTGATTGTTAGAAAGAATTATTAGGTCATTGATCCCTTTAATAGAGTTTTCATTAAAATATAACGATGTAATAGGATTTCCAAAATTGATTTTTATTTTTTTAATTTCTTCAAACTTATTCAATAATACATTGTTATATTTGAATATTTTAATTATACCGTTATCATAACCAACCGCTAAATAAAAATCCTTAGTAGAAGTTGAATTTTTTTCATTTGAATCAATCTCATCTTTATTTAAAGCTAAGGCTGTTATTGAAAAAGTTGAATCATCGCTGTTTAAAATTGAAAAAAATTGATATTCATCAAATAAATTCCATGAAGTTAAACTACCATTTGAATCACCAGTTATTATAAATTTTCCTTTAGTTTCAAATTCATAATTTTTATAATTTTTGTCTATTTGAAGTCTCTTTTCGTAATTTAGATCATTATATAAGACCATTGATCCAATACTTGTTCTATTAGACACTCTATAAAAGCTCTTGACTAAAGTCTTTGAACCAATATCAAAAATTTTAACATTTGAATCATTGGAAATGGTTAAAAAATTTCTTCCAATTTGGCCAATGGTTTTAATATCATTGACTTTTTGTGTGTTTGTTAGAAATTCTCTAACTATTTCACCAGTTTCAAGATTTGTTATTTTTGTTTTGTAATCTAAAGAATTTGACATTAATACTTTATTAGATGGAAATATGATTAATTTTGAAACGTCTAAATCATGATAATTTTTAAAAAAATGAACCATTTGGTTATCTTTTGAATAATTTAAAATATAAATGTTTCCTTTGCTGTCGCCAATAGAATAAAATTTCAAGTCACTAGATAGGTCAATTGATGCCACATTTATATTTTTGTTTATATCAGTACCATTCGATCCATTTACTAACTTATTCAAATCTATTGTTTTGTTTGGGGTCTTAAGCAAGTATCTATGATTTTTGAAGAGTACTTCATAGCTATTTTCATTCATAATTCTAAATTCAATTGAGGCCTTTTCAACATCACCAAATCTGTTATTTGAGGCAAATATTAACTTATTGTCATGCTTAGACACATTGATGAAATATTCCTTAGAATTCAGTTCTGTTTCATTAATCGGCTGAAAAGCTATCCAGAAGGTGTCCTTTTCTAATCTGTTGCTTTTCACATCGTCAATTACTTCCTTGAAGGACGATTGCACAGTAACCAAGCAAATTTCTTTCTCCATTATCAATCACCAGTGATTATTATGAATAGAATCCTGATATCAAAAGCATCTTCGAAAACAAATCCCAATAAGGAAATGGTTAGATCATGTGATACAAAACTATATAAAAAACGGAAAATCAAATTTTGCATATTGGTAATTCTGGCACTAAAAGAAGAACAAAAAAGGAGGTTTAATTCAAAAATGTCTACAAGTACTTTTAATGCTGAAGAAGCCGATAATTTTGAAGATATTGAAAAGCAATTTGCTGTCAAAGCGGTCCAACAGGCTGAAACGTTTTGGAATTTATTGAGCAAAGTCAAAGGTTCAAAATTGAGATTGACTAAATATGACGACTTTATTTACGAAGAATTAATCAAGGAGTTTCCTGAGTTTTCAGACCCAAAATACGTTGCTGTGATTTCGGAAGACGACTTGAAAAACCACAAAAGCAAAGAAAAATGGAGAAACTTTGTGAAGATATTCGAAGAAAAAATCAAAGACTACAATTTTGGTACGTTATTGAGAAGCGACTGCAAAACCGAGTACGACCAACATGGCACGATCTTTGTTTTGCGAATCCAATTCTACTGCATTGAAATTTGCAGAAACAGATACGAATTGAATGACTGGATATCTGAAAAGAAATAGAACTGACAATACACTTTTGTTCATTCTCGAATTGAGAACCTGTAGATAGAGCCCTGTTCCACAATAGGGCTTTGCTTTTAAGTTTGAAAAAAATTTATGATCCATCGCTGTGGTTTTTATCACATGCAGCTGGGTGAAGTTTAATTTTCTCATATAAAAAGAGAATAAAAAATTTTCAGTTGATGAAAAAACTGTGTAATCCAGTTTTGACTGTTTAGTTACTGAAATATATAGAATCAGCATCTGAAATCACTCAGGATGCCTCCAAAGCTGCAACCCACCTCAGGTGCCTTTGCCAGTGAAGCTTCTTCTGACGAAGGCCTTGCCAACCAGAAACATAAAGGCTCAAAATCAAATTTTTCAAGGTATAACCAGTACAACCAAAATAGCCAGTCTAACCAATATGCTCAGTATGGTCAATATAACCAATACAACCAACACAACAGTTTCTATCAAAACCAGGCTTTTAACTCTGCTACCAATTACAACAGCTATGGAACCAGTTTGGGTTATCAAGCAGGTGGTGTTAGACAGGCTCCACCACAATCCTATCAGGCCTATTTGCAACAACAACAAGCAGCTCAGCAACAATTGAACAGTCCTGTTTCCAATAATAAGAATAAAAAAAATGACAAGAAAAAACGCTCCAATAACCAAAAATATCAAAATAAAATTGATCTTAACTACTCTTCTTCTGAACCAAATAGCAATTTAAATTCGCCCAACCCATCTACTGTCTCATTAACCTCTTTAAATAATTCTTTTGCTAAGCTTGAATTTTCGCCAATTTCTCAATCAATTAACGAGTTCAAAACTGTGAAATCTCTTACAGAAGTTAGAAAAATCTCAAACGATGTTGTTGAAAAGTTCATTAATAATGATACCTCATCAAATAAATTAAACTTGATAAACACTTGGGATGTTGAAAATATTTTGAAAACATTAAGTAAAAACAAAAACCCAGCATTAGTCAGAGAATCTGCTATAATTTTATTACAAACTTTAATCAAAAAATTGAGCTCTACCACTCCTAATGAATTATATTTCTTAAAATTTCTTCAATATCCATTGGATTCATTAGCCGATAAAGAAAATAGTATTAAAAGATCTGCTCAAACAACTCTTGATTTGATCTACAACTTGTTACCAATTCAAACATTATCAAGTGTTTTATTGCCAATTTTATTAAAGTATTTAAGCTCTTCTGCAAAATGGAACTCTAAAATCGGTGCTTTAAAATTGGTAAATAAAATTATCACCGACTCTCCTGTTGATTTATTAGAATTTCAATTTTATGATACAATCCCTGTATTAACTGATGTAATGACTGACTTTAAACCTGAATTAGCCAAAGAAGGTCTTAAAACTATAACCAACTTTATTAGTATTTTAGATAATTTGGATTTGAAAAATCGTTATGAAATCATTATTGAAACTTTAGGTAACCCTAAAAAGGTGCCCGATTGTATAATGACTTTGTCTTCCATCACTTTTGTTGCTGAAGTTACAGAACCAACCTTATCTCTCTTGGTTCCAATTGTTTATAAATCACTTAATTTGTCTGGTTCTTCTCAAGAACAATTGAGAAAAACTGTTGTCATTACTGAGAACTTGACAAGATTAGTGAATAATAAAAGAGAAATTGAGAAATTTATTCCATTATTATTACCATCAATTAAAAAAGTTGTTGATACTGCTTCCTTGCCTGAAGTGAGAGAATTGGCTTCAAAGGCTTTGAAAGTTATTCAAGACGCTGATAATGAAAAATCTGATAATAAATTCCATGGTGTTATTGGAATTGAACAAACTTCAGAAATAATTCAAAATAGATTTAAAACCAATTCAAATCTTTTGTCATACTTATCTACGATCATTATGTTTGATGCTAATGTAAATGACTGGCAAAGATTGCAAACTTACTTGGAAGACTGTTTTAAAGTGATTATTCAAAACCCTCAAGATAGCGATAACGAAGAAGAGGAGTCATCTTTGTACGTTCCTGAAGTGGTATTTAATTCAGAAGAATCAAAAAAACAATACATTAATTCTATTATTTACAAATTAAGAGAAATTTTCCACGTTCCAGTCAAATCTTCTGGAGACGACGGTATTGAAATAGTTAACTCAGATTTTTCATTGGCTTATGGTAGCCGAATGTTATTAAATAAAACTAATTTACGTTTATTGAAAGGCCATAGATATGGTTTATGTGGAAGAAATGGTGCTGGTAAATCAACTTTAATGAGATCGATTGCCAATGGTCAATTAGAAGGTTTTCCTTCAAAAGAAGAATTAAGAACTTGTTTTGTTGAACATAAATTGCAAGGTTCAGAAGCAGATTTAGATCTTGCTTCTTTCATTGCTCAAGATGAAGAATTGGAAGGTATTTCGAAGGAAGCCATTGCAAGTGCCCTAGCTGATGTGGGATTTGACGAAGAAAGAAGAGCTCAAAATGTTGGATCATTGTCTGGTGGTTGGAAAATGAAATTAGAACTTGCTAGAGCAATGTTAATGAAAGCTGATGTGTTATTGTTGGATGAACCTACAAATCATTTAGATGTTGGAAACGTTAAATGGTTAGAAGACTACCTTAAAGATCATACTGAAATCACTTCTTTGATTGTTTCTCATGACTCTGGGTTTTTGGATAGTATCTGTACAGATATTATACATTATGAAAACAAAAAATTGATTTATTACAAAGGAAACTTATCAGAGTTTGTTAAAGTCAAACCTGAAGGTAAATCGTACTATACTTTATCTGATTCAAATGTCAAGATGGCTTTCCCACCACCTGGTATCTTAACTGGTGTTAAATCAAACACAAGAGCTGTTGCCAAAATGACTGATGTGACGTTTTCATATCCTGGTTCTGTCAAACCATCTTTGAAAAATGTCTCTTGTGCCTTATCTCTATCTTCTAGAGTAGCAATTTTAGGACCTAATGGGGCCGGTAAATCTACTTTAATAAAATTACTAACTGGTGAATTGGTTCCCCAGGAAGGTAAAGTCGAAAAACATCCAAATTTAAGAATTGGGTACATTGCTCAACACGCTTTGCAACATGTTGAACAGCACAAAGAAAAAACCGCCAATCAATATTTACAGTGGAGATATAGGTTTGGTGATGATAGAGAAGTTTTGTTAAAGGAATCACGTAAGATCGGTTCTAATGAAGAAAAAAAAATGATGGAACATGAATTCGAAATTGATGATGGTAAGGGAAAAAGAGCCATTGAAGCAATTGTTGGTAGACAAAAGTTGAAAAAAACATTCCAGTATGAGATTAAATGGAAATTTTGGTTGCCCAGATATAACTCTTGGGTTTCTCGTGAAAAATTAATAGAAGAAGGTTTTAACAAGTTGGTTCAAAAATTTGATGACCATGAAGCATCAAGAGAAGGTTTGGGTTATAGAGATTTAACTCCATCTGTAATTAGAAAGCATTTTGAAGATGTTGGTTTAGATGGTGAAATTGCTGATCATACCCCACTTGGTTCTTTATCTGGAGGTCAATTGGTCAAAGTCGTTATAGCTGGGGCTATGTGGAACAATCCTCATTTGTTGGTTCTTGATGAACCTACTAATTATCTTGATAGAGATTCATTAGGTGGTTTGGCTGTTGCTATTAGAGACTGGTCTGGAGGTGTTGTTATGATTTCACATAACAACGAATTTGTTGGTGCATTGTGTCCTGAACAGTGGATTGTTGAAAATGGAACATTGGTGAATAAATCAATCGAAATTATTGACGAAAATAGATTTGAAGATGGTGGTCATGGAAATTTGGCAAATAGAGTTATCCAAGCTAAGAAAACAATTGAAAACGATGATTCACCAGCTAATATTAAAGTAAAAAAGAAGAAGAAGAAATTGACAAGAAACGAAAAGAAAGCAAGAGAAGAATTCAGACGTCTTAAATACATTGAATGGTTATCTAGTCCAAAGGGCACACCCAAACCAGTGTATTCTGATGATGAAGATTAGATCAATTATCTATTTTGAAACATGGCATATTATTGATATTTTTTTTCTTTTCCAATTTTAGACTATAATATTTTATTTTTTTTGATTTTAATTGTACTTTTCCACATTACCACCCAATAGACTTTCCTTATTCTTTCCTTATTCTTTCCAACTAATTCTATAGAGTTCTAGCTAAATCTTTAAATTGCATACAAAGTTAATAAGAAAATATTTAAAAAGGTTTAAATTAGTTTATTAATAGTATTAAATATTCATAAAATATATGTAGTCCAATTATACAATGCTAAGAAAAAAGGTTAAAGAATATAAAAAATAATCAACAAAAATAATACACTTAATCATTTTTAGTAAATTTCCAAAAATTAGTTTACCAAAACAACGCTTATAGAAGCTTATCAATATTAGTTTATGCAATAGAGGCCAATTCTTCAAGTAATTTAAAATCACGTTGAAGAATTGATCCATCACCAGGTAAATTACTGGATCCTATAAGATAGTTATCAACTTCTCTAGCACACTGCCTACCTTCTTGGATGCCCCAAACAACTAAGGATTGACCACGACGACAATCACCAGCAGCAAACAAATTAGTTTCATTATCAACTTTGTATCCTTTTGGATTTATGGTAGAAATGTTACCACGTTTGTTTCTTGGAGCTTCTAAATTCTCAACCTCAGGACCAATGAAACCCATAGATAATAAAACAACATCAGCAGCAAAAATTTCTTCAGAGCCAGGAATTTCAGCCATTTGCCAGGCACCACTTTCTGATTTCTTCCACTCAACTCTAACAGTTTTGATACCTCTGACATTACCATCTTCATCAGCGATGAATTCCTTAGATAAGATGCAGTATTCACGAGGGTCTTTTCCGTATTTTTCCTCAACTTCAACATGACCATAATCAACACGAAAAATACGAGGCCATTGGGGCCATGGATTGTCTTTTGAACGATCTGCTGGAGGATGAGGTAACAATTCAAAGTTGACAACTGACTTGGCACCATGACGAGTAGCAGTACCTAAACAATCGTTACCAGTATCACCACCTCCAATGACAATGACATTTTTACCTTCTAAGGTTTTTCTTATGTTTTCAAGTTCATTCTCCAACAAAGCTTTGGTGTTGGAGTGTAATAATTGCATAGCAAACATAATGTTTTTATTTTCACGACCTGGAATCTTTAAATCACGAGGAATGGTTGATCCCACACATAAAACAACAGAATCATATTCATCTTTGAGTTCTTCAACAGTGACGTCTTCCCCAATGGTTACATTGCATTCAAAAGTGATTCCTTCTGCTTCCAATAAATCAGTACGACGTTTAACAATTCTCTTATCTAATTTCATGTTTGGAATACCGTACATTAAAAGACCACCTGGACGATCTGATCTTTCAAAAACAGTCACTAAATGACCAGCTTTATTTAATTGATCAGCACAAGATAAACCAGCAGGACCAGAGCCAACAATAGCAACTTTTTTTCCAGTTCTGAAGCTTGGAGGGCTGGGCTTGATCCAACCTTGATTGAAACCATGATCAATAATAGCAGCCTCAATGGCTTTGATAGAAACTGGGTCATCAACCAAATTCAATGTGCAAGCAGATTCCTGACAAGGAGCAGGACAAATTCTTCCAGTGAATTCTGGGAAATTATTTGTCATCAACAATCTTTGTAATGCATCAAACCATCTATCTTTGAAAACAAGTTCATTCCATTTAGGAATAATGTTTGAAATTGGACAACCGGTATCAGAAGAACAATATGGAGTACCACAATCCATACAACGTGCTGCTTGGTATTGCAATTCTTCTCTTGTTAGTCTTGATGACATTTCATTCCAATCTTTAAGACGGTCTTTTGCAGGTCTATATCTTTCCTTACGACGCTTGTATTTCATAAAACCACGAATTCTATCGATTTTAGCAAAGTTTTTCTTTTCTTGAGAAACGTTAATAATGGTATCTTCTAAGTCCATAACTTTTGGTTCCTTAGCTGTTTCCTTGAATGAAACAACTTTTTTCAATTGATTTTTAAGATGAGCTTTTTTCTTCATAATTTCCCCATTGGTAACATCGGATTCAGGATCTTGACGAATAGTTTTGAGGAAACGTTGGATCTCAAGCTTCCTGTTATTTTCAATCTTTCTCTTTTCGGCTTCTAAGACCTTTTTATATTCAGTAGGCAAAACCTTGACAAAACGAGGTAATATACGGTTAAAATCCGCTAAAACAGATTCACCCAATTCAGAGCCTGTGTAATGAACATGATCTTCAATTAAAGCTCGCACAAAAGCAATTTCAGCTGGATCACTTAAGGAAATCAATTCAACTAATTCCGGATTAATATTTTCAGTAAGTTCTTGGCCAATGTCCAAAACATAAGCGATACCACCAGACATACCAGCAGCAAAGTTTCTTCCAGTTTTACCTAAAACCACAATACGACCACCAGTCATATACTCACAACCATGATCCCCGACACCTTCAACAACAGCATTGGCACCAGAATTACGAACAGCAAAACGTTCTGCAGCAATACCACGGAAAAAAGCTGTACCGGATGTAGCACCATATAAACAGGTATTACCAATAATAATGTTTTCTTCAGCTTTGAATGAAGAGCTTTTAGGTGGGTATATAATAAGACGACCACCAGATAAACCTTTACCAACATAATCATTTGCGTCGCCCTCAAGTTCCAAAGTAATACCAGGAGCAAGAAATGCACCAAATGATTGACCAGCATTACCTTTGATATTCACATGGACAGTATCATGAGGTAATCCTTGCTCGCCAAACTTTTTGGAGATACGGTATGATAAGGTAGAACCCAAAGCACGATCAGTGTTAATAATGTCTGCTTCAATAGTAACTGGCAATCCACGATCAAGAGTTACTTCAGATTCATCTATCAATTTGTTATCAAGACGAACATGTAATCTATGGTCTTGTTTTTTGACGCAACGAGTTGCAACGCCTGGACGAATGGTATGAGCTGGTGTCAAAATGGGGGATAAATCAAGATTTGCACTTTTGGTTGTTCTCAAGTCATCTCTGACCTTTAATTTTTCGGCGCGACCAACCATCTCATTAATAGTTCTAAAACCTAATTTGGCCATGATTCCACGTAATTCTTGAGATAAATAATAAAAGAAGTTGATAACATGTTCTGGAGTACCTTTGAATTTCTTACGTAGCTCAGGGTCCTGAGTAGCAATACCAACAGCACAAGTGTTAAGATGACATTTTCTCAACATAATACAACCCATTGCAATTAATGGAGCAGTAGCAAAACCCCATTCTTCAGCACCAAGTAAACATGCAACTGCAATATCGCGTCCAGTTTTAATTTGACCGTCAGTTTGAACAATTACACGACCTCTTAAATCATTGAGAACTAATGTTTGATGGGTTTCAGCTAAGCCCAATTCCCAAGGCAAACCTGCGTTTTTAATACCTGTCCAACGAGCAGCACCAGTACCACCATCGTGACCAGAAATCAAAATGTGATCAGCTTTGGCTTTGGCGACACCAGAAGCAATAATGCCGACACCAACTTCTGAAACTAATTTGACCGAAACACGGGCTCTAGGGTTTGAACATTTCAAATCATAAATCAATTGTTTCAAATCTTCAATAGAATAAATATCATGATGAGGAGGTGGGGAAATTAAACCAACACCTGGAGTTGAATGACGAGTCTTAGCAATTGATGTTGATACTTTATGACCTGGTAGCTCACCACCTTCACCTGGTTTAGCACCTTGAGCCATTTTAATTTGCAATTCTTCAGCATCAGACAAGTAATAGGATGTGACACCAAATCTTCCAGATGCAACTTGTTTAATAGCAGATCTCATGGTATCACCGTTTTCAAATATAATTGAACGTTCAGGGTCTTCACCACCTTCACCAGTGTTAGATTTACCTCCTAGTCTGTTCATTGCAACAGCCAATGTTGAGTGAGCTTCCATAGAAATAGAACCATAAGACATGGCACCAGTTACAAATCTTCTAACGATTTCAGTCCAAGGTTCGACTTGGTCAATTGGCACTGGCTTGGAATTTTCAAAATCAAAATCTAATAAACCTCTTAGTGTACAACTTTTGATTGCTTCATATTCATTCTTAGAATATGCTTCATAAGCCTTTTCGTTTTTATTTCTAACAGCGTCTTGAATATTTGCAATAGCAACAGGGTTGTTAATATGAGGATCACCACCATCTCTCCAGTGATATTCACCAGTTTCAGGCAAGGTATCTAATTTGACAGTAGCTCTGGTAGGGAACCCACGTTCGTGTAATGAAATAGCGTCTTGAGCAATATATTCAAAAGTAATACCTTTTATTCTTGATGCGGTACCTGCAAAACAACGGTCAACAACAGAATTATCAACCCCCAAGGCTTCAAAAATTTGAGCACCTTTATAAGAAGCTAAAGTTGAGATACCCATTTTTGACATAACTTTCAAAACACCACCATCAATAGAGTGTTTATAGTTTTCAATTACTTGCTCATCAGATAGCTCCTTACGAAGTAAACCTTCATGGTTCATTCTGATTAAGGTTTCCATTGCTAAGTAAGGGTTGATAGCATCAGCACCATAACCAAGCAAAACACAGATATGATGAACTTCTCTTGCTTCAGCAGTTTCAAGGAATAAAGCAACTTTTGATCTTTGTTTTTGACGAACTAAATAATGATGAACAGCACCACAGGCAACTAAAGAAGAAACAGCGACATTAGTTGCGGAAGTTTGTCTATCAGAAAGAATTATGACAGAACAATCATTTAAGATGGCTTCTGAAGTTTCCTGGCAGATTCTATCAATAGCGTTAGTATAACCCAATAAACCTTCAGATCTATCAAAGGTTATATCAATTGTTGCAACTGTGTATTTTGGAAGAACTTTTGAAATGTTGCTTAGAGCTCTAAATTCGGGGATGGAAAGAATTGGGGAACGCAAGAAAATTCTTCCACATTGAGTGGGTTTAATTTCTAGAAGATTACCTTGAGGACCAACGTAGCATTCTAAAGACATGACAATACTTTCTCTAATTGGATCGATTGGTGGATTAGTAACTTGAGCGAACAATTGACGGAAATAGTCGTACATTAATCTTGGTTGTTCAGCAAGACAGGCTAAAGGACCATCATGACCCATAGAACCTAATGCTTCTTTACCATCCTGAGCCATTGTTGCTAATAATAAATTGATTTGTTCAAAAGAGTAGCCAAATGTTTTTAGCAATGGGTCACTTTGAACAGTAACATCGCCAGAGATGTCGACATCTAAACAATGACCAAAGCCTCTTGTTTCTAATTTATTGGTTAAATCGGGTAAAGTGATCAAATTAGCAGATAACCAAGATTTGAAGTCAAATTTTGAAGCAACATTTTGTTTCAATTCTCTGTCATCAACAATACGGCCTTCTTTGGTATCAACCAATAGCATTCTACCAGGTTTAAGACGACCTTTTGATACAATTTTCTCTGGATCAATTTGAATAACGCCAACTTCAGAAGCACAAATGATATGGTCATCGTTTGTGATGTAATAACGACAGGGTCTTAAACCGTTACGATCTAAGTTAGCACCACAGTATCTGCCATCAGAAAAGGTAAATAAAGCTGGACCATCCCAAGGTTCCATTAAACAAGCCGCCCATTCATAAAAGGCTCTTTTCTTTGGATCCATGTTTGGGTTGTTTTGCCATGCTTCTGGAATTAGTAGCATAACAGCTTCTGGAAGACTTAGTACACCATTTATGATTAATAACTCCAAGACGTTATCGACAGCAGCGGAATCAGAGCCACCTTCTTCGATAATTGGGTATAATTTATCTAGTTCGTCGCCAAATAATTCTGAAGCCATGACACCTTCTCTAGCTCTCATCCAATTTTTGTTACCGCGAAGAGTATTGATTTCACCATTATGAGCAGCCCATCTTAAGGGTTGAGCTCTATCCCAGGATGGGAAAGTGTTTGTTGAGAAACGAGAGTGAACTAAAGCAAAATGACATTCATATTCGGAGTTGACTAAATCATGATAGTAATTATAAACTTGGGCAGGGACCAATTGACCTTTATAGACAATGTTTTTACTTGACAAAGAACAGATATAGAACCAATTGTGGAGACCGATCGCATGAGTTGATTGTTTTCTTAGGATGTACAATTGTCTATCGAATAGCTTTTGATATTCGGATTCGAATTGATCGTCAGAAAGGATTTTAGCAGGTTGATTGGAAGCACCATAGTAAGATTCTAAAACCACAGCTGGTTGTAAAATTAAAGGTTCTCTTGATAAGGCGGCAGGACCGAGGATAGATGAGTCGTGGGGGACAGTTCTCCAACCAAGAACCCTTAGACCTAAGGAGGAAGCAATCTGTTCGAAAGTTTGTTTTGATTTAGTTAATACAGCTTCATCCTTTTTGAAGAAAACATTACCAACAGCATAATGGCCTAGAGGAGGCAAAGTCACATTACAAAAATACTGGAATTCTCTTTGCATAAACTTATGAGGAATAGAGGTCATAACACCGGCACCATCACCATCTCTTGCATCGGAGCCAACAGCACCTCTATGGGTCATGTTGCAAAGCAAGAATCTTGCATCAGATACAATTTTATGAGATTTTCTGCCTTTGATATCGCAGGTGAAACCAACACCACAAGCGTCCTTTTCGTATTCTGGATCATACAAACCCTTTGCGGTAGGCAAAGCACAAGCCCAGGATTTGTTTTCGGGAGTTTCGTCGTATTCATAAAGATTCAGCTGTTCTGCACTGTCGATGGGATCAGTAGTGTTTTGCTGTATTGAGTCATTTGGCGGTATATTGAGGTTAATTCCGGAAATATCAGAAGAAACCATTGTGAGTCAAAACAGATATAGTATACTAGGATATAATATATGATAATATGCTGTATTATCAGAGAATAAATAAAGAGAAAAAGCCAATTGAAGAAAGAGAGAAAGAAGGAAAACAAGAGGTGGAAAGCGACGAAAAACAGTGAAAAACAACAAACGAGGGAAAAGAAATAGAATATATAAAGTGGAAATTGAGCTCTAAGAACATAAAGTTAATCTGATTGCCTTTTCCGGAAAGAGAAACCGGGTTTCCGACCATTCAAGCCCAGAAGGTTGTTGACGCTATCAGTGTGCTTATCGTCCAATCAGCATGCGCGGATTAAATACCAGCCTGCTGTCGTTCGTTTTGTGTCTGAAGCAGCAAACCTTATTTTGCACTGCAGAAAAGACGTGCCGCTTACATAACTGCAGGTGCGGCAGTGCTTGTCATTTGAGCCTGTTACGTAAGCACACGGTTGCAACACTGTTTTCAGATCACTGAGACAGCCTCCTGCTTTAGGTTTGCAGCAGCAACGTACTGAGGCTTGGATGTCTCTCACCTGCACTATCAAATATATCAACGGTAGTCACTCGTCCGTCACCTGACTGAAAAACTCGAGCTGGATCGAAAACGCTCTCTGATTCGTGGCTTTCTCTCGATTTGGGGGCAAAAAGCTGGCGAAATTCTTTGTGAAGATCTCAGCATGGGTTTATATCGCAGCACTTATTTGCTTGTCTGTTTCTTTGGCATCGCTATGTGCTTACTGTGTGTATCTATTACATGCTCACAGAAGATTTTGCTAGAAATCTTAAGATTGTAGCAGACAAAATAATATTATTAATCTCTAAATAATAATTAGAGACTAGCAATTTGATTCAGTATTTATTTCCAGCACGGCGGAGGATACTCTTTCCTTTTTGCAACAAAGTGCATTAACTGAAAATCCTCAATTTAGGACTGAGAAATTTTCTCAACAAGTCATTACGTAAAAAAAGCATATCAAATCAAAACCAAAATTAAACACCATATTGACAAACTGCTTTTTAGGCTGTTTTTTTTTACTCCTATATATTTGTGGATATCTTCTTTAATTTTCTTTGTTCAAACTAGCCTTTTACTAAAACAATTCTTGGGCATATTACATTACATTAGTTTTAAATTCGAAACGCTACTAATAGGTATTGCTGTTTTCAGCGCATATCAGTTTCGCCAGTTACTTATTAGTCAACTGAATGTGGGAGCTGGGAAAAAAGGAGGTTTTCCAGCCAGAAAGCCATTATAAAAGGAGGAGATTTCTTCAACCCATCAGCTGCTTACTCTTTTCATCCACGCTTTAACGTTTGTCGTTCAACATCGCCGACCTTAACTTTGAAAAGTGGAGTCTCTTAAAACGGAAAGTCGGATATTGTAGCCGACCATGTAGCCGACCAGATACCCTCGGAGCATTTGAACTCTCTCGGATCTCACTCCATCACAAAAAAATCGCTAATTACAAACTGTTAAAATACTATAAAACTATAAACTCATTAAAATTAAATTAAAAAATTAAATTAAAAAATAAACTGAAAAAATCAATTAGGAACTGAAGTCGAAATTGATTTTATTCAGCATGGAAAAAAAAACCATTATAAAGCAATATATTATAAATTCGTAGTAATTCTCTAAACTAAATTTATCACTCTACTTATTCTATCTTTTTGGCTGTTTTTGCTTCTTCTCTTTCTTCTCCTTCTTCTTTTTCTACTTCTTCTACTTCTTCTTTTTCTACTTCTTCTACTTCTTCTTCTTCAATAAACTCAATTGAAATTTTCTTGATATGGGGATTCTTTTCAATCAATTTCGTCTTAACTACTTTAGATACATTTTCAAACTCTTTAATGTCTAACACATTATCCCATTTTTGTTTGGGCACAACCAATTTTAAATCTGTAATGATCAAATTAGACCCGCTTCCAATTATATTCAATCTACTAATCTTATAAGGCTTTCTTGAATTGTTATTACTTAACAATTTATCTAAAATCTCTTTCAAATTGTCTTCAATGTTCACATACCTTATATCCTTGGAATCAATTGAATGATCGATCAATTCAAATAACGAGTTTCTGGCTCCCTGGTATCCGGCCTTGATGATCAATATCGAAACTAATAATCCACCAATTGAATCCAAACATGTTATATTAAAAAGATATCCCGATGTTATAGTTGATAGTACAACAACCGAAGTTAATGCATCAACCCTGTGATGCCACGCATTAGCCAACAACACCTTTGAATTGGTTTCTTCTGCTATCTTTGATGTGGCTCTATACAAACTTTCTTTTATTATAATAGACGTGCTTGCAATCCATGCTGCATTGATATTGGTTATTTCTTTGGTCAATTCAGCAGCTGCGTGAACATGATCATGTCCATGTCCACCATGTTCATGTCCCATAACAGCATCTGCAGCGCCATGGGAATGGGAAAAGATGTCAAATAAATGTTGAAATGACACAAAAAAATCAGCCACCATATGAGGTAAAACTAATCCAACAATGTCAAGAAAGGATGCCCACCCAATTGATATCCCACAACTCAACAAAATAGCTGAAACTCCTAATGATCCTATAGTCTCGATTTTTCCATGTCCATATGGATACATTTCTGTGGGTAGTTTTGAACCAAAAGATACTGTTGATAAAGTCAAGATATCTGAAACTAAGTCAGACATTGAATGAACCGCATCTGCTAATAACGCTTGCGAATGAAAAACAATACCTCCAGTGGCTTTACCAATCGCTAGCCCAACATTGGCCAACAACCCTATCCATGTTATTCTAACACCACTATTTTTCCAGAACGATAATTTGCTCTTCTGTGAATTTAATAAAATTGAAGTCGAAGTATGATCACAAACAGTACCAGGAGCATGAGTATGATTTAAAGCAGCAGAGATGATGTTTTTTGAATTAATCTCGCTTGTTAGATCTTGATTTATATTGGAATTCAAATTCGTGTTCAATTGATCATCAAGTGATTTTTTATAATTTTCATTTGATGATTCGTGGACATATTGAAAGCCCCCACCTTTGATACCAAATATCGCAGCATCATTGGTCTCTGTCTCTGATTCAGTTAGATGAATATGTCCACTATCATCATAATAAAAATCATTTTCAACATCACCCTTTAATGTTGTAGCAGGAGAGTGAGAGTGCGAATGCGAGTGAGAGTGAGAGTGCGAATGCGAGTGAGAGTGAGAATGGGCATTAGTATTATGAGAATAAGAGTGAGTATGCGATTTAGGAACCTCGAAGGGATGAGCTTTTAGCTCCTTTGAAGACTCGTTGTAATATTTAATTGAACTTGAAAATAATCTTTTATTAATATAGTGCGATCTCGACATCAAATTCCTTGAGCTTAACAGCCGAAAGCCATGTCTGGAAACAGTAAATATGGATATCATTTTCAGTTGGAATCAGCTACTTAATTCCAAAAGAAACAACCGTAAATAAAAAAAAAGAACAATAGCAAGAAAAAGGAATTTAGAAAGACAAATGAGCTAACCAAAAAAAGGCTAACCAAAAAAAGATTAGAAGATAACTGGTTATTTATAAGAATAACATTCAATGATGGAAGATGAAAAATTCAGCTTTTTGCGATTAGTTTACTTTCGGAGTTTTGTATCAGATATCGTGATTGGATGCAGAGTGGGGTTCAAATAGTGTTCCGGCCAGGGCCTCCCAGTAAACGGACTTTTTGGCTGTGTTTTGAGGGGGGCAGCCCAGTTGGAGCCCTATTGTTCTCCAGCCTGAACCATAATTCACACCAAAATCCAGCAGAAGTACTCTGATGGAGAAGGAAAAAGAGGGAAGTGTTGGTGGACAGAGATGAGAAGTGAAGAAGAGAAGAAAAGAGATAAGAAGGGAAGAGCCAGAACAGAGGCTCCAGAATGGCACCAAGAGCAGTGGAAGGAAGCCTGAGTAGAATACAAGCACTTCTCACAGTCCAGCATCTCTGCACCAACATTGGACTCAATGAAAGCACTTCTGATCCAGGGCAAAAGAACCAAAGTGAAAGAAAACACTCACTCTCGTTCATATACGATTAGTCATCAACCCACACCACTGAATCGAATGCTGGTTTTCCGGGTAAGCGTTTTCCTGCTGCTGGAGAATTGATGCCGGGTAACCTGAAAAATTTTAACACACAGTTTTTTTGAACAAATTTCAACTCTTCAAGACAGCAGTTGTCTCTTCAAATCCACCAGAATTGACGACTATCGATCTGCTATTTTCTGATTTTATACATTTGGTCAAGCGAAAGGTTATTTCTTTGGAAAATTCTTGAAATTCAAAAGAAACCATGTCCTCTCGTTTTTTTGCCCGTCCATATGATTCGGATTCTGATTCGGATTCTGATTCATCCACTGAAGAATTGCTTTCTTCCTCTGAAGAAGAAGAAGAATTATTAGATTCCTCTGACGAAGATGAAGATGAAGACCAAAGTGACGATGAACAAGGAGATGACAATGAGTCAGATGACGATGACAAACCTGCCAATGCCAAAAACGATTTTTTCAAAAAGGGTTCCACACTAAAGTCTGATTCCGAATCTGATTCTGACGATGATAACAAAGGTGTAGTCGTTAAAAGTGCTAGGGAAAAATTAATTGCTGATATACAAGAAACCGCTGACAAAATAGCAGATATCCAAATTTCTAATGATCTTGATTTCTTGTCTCTCTTAGATCTTTTTTCAAGATTAACAAATTTCTTATCAAGAGCTAAGCAATTAAATCTTTCAATACCTCCTGCTTATATTTCAACTTTAGTAGAATTGGATTACTTTATCAGCGATCAACAGCAAGATAACTCAATTAAAAAGTTAAATGCTTCCCAAACTAAGGCCTTCAATATTTTGAAACAAAGAGTTAGAAGATCAACAAAAGAAGATGACTTTCAAGAATTGATCAAGTTGTTTAAAGAAAATCCTGATGGATTTGAGGAAGCTGCTAATTCTTTAGAATCTCAAAGAAACGTCCCAATTGCCCCAGTTTCTACTCTTAAAACTACCGCCATCGCTGATAAGGCTGATATTTTTACTACTTTAGAATCTGTTGCAGAATTACGTGGTAAGAAAAATGTCAATCGTTATGATCAAATTTCCATCCTTGAATCGGTTATACCAGATGCAACCACTCCTTTTCAATCAATTTTAACTTATCTCATGTTAGTTCCTCTTAGATTTGACACTTCTTTAAATTCAAGTTCCATGCCTTTAGAACAATGGAATAAAGCCGAAAAGGATATATCTGATTTATTTACTATCTTGGAAAAAAATTCTTCGAAATATAGAGTTTTTGAAACTGCAAAACCACAAGTTGACCCATACGTTGAACCAACTCCATCGGTAGATGGCTTTATTGAAATCATTGGTTCAATTGGTTCTTTTATTGAAAGATTAGATGATGAGTTGACTAGATCTCTTCAAACCATTGATCCACATTCAACTGAATATATTGATAGATTAAAAGATGAACTAAAAATTTACAAATTGATCTTAAGAGCTCAATTGTATTGTGAATTAATCAATGAAAACCACCCTGAAGATACTCAGTTTGCTAGAGTTATCTTAAGAAGAATTGATCATATCTACTATAAACCAATTCAATTGATAAGTTATACCGAAAAGGTTTCTTGGGAAGGCACTACCAAGTCCTCAAAGATTACTCCTTATTCAAAAAACCTGGATAGCTATGGCAAAGCTTATGCTAATACTTTAATGGATTCTTTATGTTCTGTTCTTTACACACAATCTAATGCTGTCTTTAGAAAGAAAGCTATGTTAAGCCATATTTATTATTATTCTTTTAATGATCAATATTATAAAGCAAGAGACATGCTATTAATGTCTCATTTACAGAGTACAATTCATACATCTGAACCTATTTTGAAAGTTCTTTTTAACAGATCCTTAGTTCAATTAGGTATGTGTGCTTTTAGAACTGGTTTGATTGCTGAGTCTTTTGAAATCTTAAATGAAATTGCAACTTCTTCAAATCAAAAAGAATTATTAGGTCAAAACACTTCAAGATATACTCAGCATCAGTTTAACTCTGCCGAAAGACAACGATCTTTACCATTCCATATGCATATTAATTCCGAACTCTTAGATTGTGTATTTTTAACTTGTTCATTATTAGTAGAGATTCCACAAATGACCCAAGTTATTGATTCAAAAAAGAAACCTCCTTCAAAATCCCTTAAAAAATTATTAGAATATAATGAACGTCAATATTTCCAAGGCCCTCCAGAAAATACCAAAGAATCTATAACACATGCTGCCAAAGCTTTACAGCAAGGTGATTGGCAAAAATCTTATAATTTTATAAACGAGGTTAAGATTTGGTCACTATTTACCAACTCAGATGAAATAAAACAAATGATTCAATCCAAATTACAAATTGAAGCTTTAAGAACTTATATTTTCCAATTTAAAAAATACTATGATAAATTATCAATAGAAAAATTAGCTGCAAGATTCTCTCTTAAGGAAAATCAAATTATATCTATTGTTTCTAAAATGATATTCAATGAAGAAATAGATGCTGCTTTAGATCAAAAAAATGGTTCCATTTCATTCAATAAAAGCTATGAGTTAACCAAACTACAACAACTATCATTGTTGTTAGCTGAAAAAGCTGGTTCATTAGCCGAAAAAAATGAGAGATTAGCAGCTGGTGGTCATCAACAAAACCAAGGTAATAGTTCTGGCTTTAATATTCAAGGATCCTCCGGCAACAATTTCAACAACAATAAATCCAATAATAATAATCGTAATAAGAATTATAAAATAGCCAAAGATGCTAACGGAATTATCTCTGGTGCGCTTACAGGAATGGAAAGAAAGAATCAAAAAAGAAAACATCATATTCGTGCTAATTAGTAATGGTTTTAATATTTTTACTGTATTTTTACGAGAATTCGAATTGAAAACGATATTTAAACTTCATCAAAATTATTTTTATATTTTTTTTATTGATTACTATTTTTTTCTTTTGAATATATATTAATACTCGCTTGAAAGGTTGTTTTTTTAAAATACGTATTGAAAATTTTCATAAAGAAAACCATTTCACCATAATAACTCTTCTTCAAAATAGTCGATTCTTTTATCAGCATTTTGCAAAATAGCATTAGCAGTTCCTGCTCTAGCATCACGACTGAGCTCGTCTGGACCACAAGAGATAACAGCAGCAGTACCTTGTATTATCCTTAAATACTCAGTCAAGTCTTTTTTAATGTATGGTTTATAGCCCATATTTACCTTTACTCCAGATAATTGATTTTTAATGATTTTGACGATTCTCTTGTTTGGAATAGAGGATTCATCAATAAATTGTCTATTTTCTTTTTTCTTTGAAACATGAGGAATAAAAGAGTCAGGGTCATCATTAACATTGTTTTTAATTCTGTTTGAATCTATATTTGCATTTGTGTCTTTTTCTTTTTCTTTTTCTTTCTCTTTCTCTTTCTCTTGCACAGAAGTCACAGGTTGTATTTCAGAGCTCTGTATAATTTTTTCTACCACCGAAGAGGTAGTTGAAGTTTGAGTGTGACAACGGACTCTCTTAAGAGTTAGGTCAATTCCAGGTTCAGAGATAACATTTTGATTGGAATTATCGTCTTCTTTAATGCTTGCAGTTTTAGAGTTTGTAGTTTGGGACAAGTTCTTGATACTTAAAGTTTCTAATGAAATAAGTTCCATTCTAGTAATAAAAATGTTGAAATTGATATTTAATTTGGCCAAACTTTCAATTTCATCCAAGCATACTTCTAGCGTTTTAATTGTGGGTGTGATCCAATAAAGAGTTATTGAATGTTCATCTTGTGTGTACTCTCCTCTTAAAATATCTGCTTGATATTGACGAGCGAGATCCATAGCAAAAGTATAAACAATGGTAATTCCGACACCGCCTGCAATAAATACAGCGTGATTGTAAGATCTAAAGGCAATTGGTGTGCCATAAGGACCCTCAACCATTACTGGTATTTTTACTTTAAGATTGGGGTAATTTTTAATATAGTTGCCGATTCTTTTTGTGATGCCATTTTTAATTCTGATGATGATAACTAGTTGGTTGTTATTTTTGATAGTGGATGGTTCAATCAATGTAAAAGGATGAGATTGCCAAAACATTGTTGGTTTTAAAAAATAAAGAAAGACATAACTTCCAGGATAATTTCTCCACCATCCGGAATGATTAATAGTTAGACGAATTGAATGAACTTGTTGAGATTTATTATCAATTTCATTATTATTATTATTATTATTATTATTATTATTATTATTATTATTATTATTATTATTTTGAAATCGGGATCGGGGTCGAGATTGGGATTGGATTTGATTATTCAAAATAGGATCATCTAGAATTAGTTCACAATCAGCATATAATATACCGCCAGATATCAAAATTTTAGCAATTCTGATGAGGTGGTCATAAGCCCAAAAAGCTATGGATGTATACAAGAATTCCATCCAACCAAGAGTTATACAATGGTACCAGCAACCAATCAAGAAGAAAACAGCAAGTAATTGGTGGAATTGTTTAAAGAATTCATAAAATCTATTTCTAATTGATCTAGAAGATAATAAAATGGACAAACTAGAACAAATGGATGCAACATTGGCCCATCTCCATTTGGTTAGTCCCCATCTCTTGATATAATCGCCGTTATTATTAGAAAAGGTTATGTAAAGGAAAGCGTGAATTAGAATCATTATCCAAACTACTCTTGAAATCCATTTATGATAGATATTAAAGGTTCTATAAGACCAACCGGTTAAATAGATGAGGATGTTGTTTCTTCCAGCAAATGCGAATAGTAGAGGAATTTGAGTGATTGCCATTATGCCGATTCGATCAGAGATGTAGATTAATTTCTCATTGGAATAAGTACCAAACACAGCATTTGGCATTGTGAAATGATAATCAACTGAGGTAAATAAAACGACCATCATGATATAAAATATGATAGATAAGGATTGAGGTCTTGTCGGTAAAGTTCTAACAATCGATGAGATAAATTTCCCCCATTTAGTTGAACGTTTTTTATTAGTATTTCTTGAGAATAATTGAGGAGTGAATAAATGACGACGTAAATATCTGGATAATTGGCCATTTAAACTCATTAAAATTGAAGGAGCACACCAAAAACCCATATTGTTAATGGTGCCTAATAAACAAATAAAACCCCAGTATGCAAGAAGTCCAGCGCTAGAAATAGAAAACAAACACAGAAAAAAAAAGATAATGAAGAGAGTAAAAAACACATATTAGAATTGAATGAAACTTGAAGGTAAGTTAATGCAAAATGCAAAATAGAAAATAGAAAATATTGGTTATAAGATACCCAAACTTTGTGCTAGTATAGCGATGCTTCAACAAACTGGAAATTGAATCAAAGGCAATATCGTATTGGAATTGAGGAATTCTGACTGGATAATTTAGATGGGCGAAATCGATTGAATTATAGTCATTTTGATAGTCATTATATTCGACTAAATTTGTGCTTGCATTTTCAAAGACATTGATCAAGTTTCGAAAGGAGTATTTCTTATTTGCCTGTAGGGAGCAGACATCGATAATGTAGTTATAGGAGTTAGAAACAGATTCAACAGTCTCAGAAACATCGTCGATGCAAATTAGAATTGTACCTAGGAAAGCAGGATCGTCACACCGGCATTTGTAGTTCAAGTCAAGAGAAGGACAGTCGAATGGATAGTTGGTAGCATTGTTGGCAACATATAGACAGGAAGCGCCTATATCGCTCGATATTCCCACCATTTGAATGCTCTAGATGCTTTGGAAGCTCTATTTTCTCAATCGATTGCAAAACAAATCCAGCGCTCAGAAAGAGGCAAAAGAAGCATTGCAGGTGTTTATATAGCAAAGGAAACAGCCAAACAGGGAGGAGCGAGAAACGTGCGCACAGAAAAGGAAACACATGCAACAGATGAACAAGCGCTGAAGCTAGGGGAAGTGTCTTAGGTGCCAAAAAGATCTGCTAATTCCTCAGTGGCAGCAGCAACGACGGCGACAGGTGTACTACCCACCGCTGTGGATGTCCTGATAATGAAGAGCAACGGCGCAGCAGGAGAGACCTTCCTTTGGTATCAGATAAAAACACGAGTTACAAACACAGCCAGAATCCTGGGCTACTGAACACGAAAAAAATAGACTGTTCCAAAAATTCGACGGAGAGACAAAAAGAAATCGATGTGCGGGTTTACATGATTAAAAGCATTTAAGTTTAAGATTTGTACTATCATAAACTCTATTTTAACTATAAAATTTGCAAATGCGACGAATAATCCGGAACTCTTTATGTTGCTGAAAACCCAATCTGTTGTGTAAATTCTAGCACGGCATCTACAGGCTGCGGCCTCGGCTGATCTCCGAACTTTGCAAGAACCACAAGGGGCTTCGGGCTTAACTATGGGGTTTTAGATTTTTCAGGGTTAAACCAGATTCTTGTAACTCTCTGCTATGTTTTCAGCAGAAGTCATATAGAAGTCACAGAGTTCATTTATTCTTTAAAAGATGTGTAATCAAAACTAAATAAACGGAGTGGTTTGATTGAACAAATACAATTTCAGGTGCTCGGATATACATGTGCAAGGTTGAAATCCTAAGCCAAATAGTTGGCAATACATTTATATTTGTTTTCCAAGTCAAGTTTATTTTCTATTAAAAAAGACATGAGAGCTTTTTGGATCTCGATGATTGATATGTGCAGTGCTTTTTTCTTTTTTGATTGTTTTGCTATATTGCCGGCTTAACGTTTATCGAGCAACAATTAACCATAAAAGGTGGTAGAAAAGCAATAAAGTAGTAATAGATAATTCGATTTTGAGCTTTTTCATATTCTAGTTTTTTGGATTTTTAATTTTTTCGTGTTTTTGTTGTTTTATTGTTTTTTTTTTCAACTCCGTTTGGATAGAAAAAATTTTCTCCAAAAATTTCAAAAACTCCACAAAAAAATAGAAGGAGTTAATTGATAAGATAAATACAGTGGAATATGAATATGAATATAAAAATGAATATGAGTTAAAAAAACCAAATTATAAAAAACCAACTTGATTCAAATGTCTACTATATATTCAAGGTCAATTAGCAGTTATAGTTTTCTTAGTAAAAACTTTGTGAGGAATTATAATTCAAACAAAAGTTCATCATCTACGAGATGGATCAATAGGGCGAAAAACGATTACTATGCCAAACAAGCCCAAAAAAATGATTACAGGTCCAGGGCAGCATTTAAGCTTGAACAAATAAACGATAAGTTTAGATTTTTTCAAAAAGGGCAAAATGTGGTTGATTTGGGATTCGCACCTGGGGCTTGGAGTCAAGTTGCAGCTCTGAAGACCAGTAATGGGAGGATATTGGGAGTCGATATTTTGCCCTGCTCACCGCCGCCAAATGTTAGTGCTGTGCAGGGAGACATTTTATCACAAAGGACCCACAAAGCGATCAGAGACTTTTTTTCGAATTTTGGGAATTCAAGCACTAAACAGGTTCAAACAACAGACCACAAAACAGCTTCTGAGCAGAGCAGGGAAAGTATGGTGGGATATCCTATTGACGTTGTTCTAAGTGATATGTAAGTAATAGATTTAACCTTTGGATTGTGAAAGTTAGTCGACTAACAAGAAGTGTTGTGTTTTAACGAGTTTGAACCAGGATGGCAAACACCTCAGGTATTCCATTCAAAGACCATTTGAACAGCATGGAGCTTTGTGAAGCAGCGTTGGTGGTGGCAATTGATTTGTTGAAGCCAAATGGAACGTTTGTTTGCAAGTTTTTCTCAGGAAAAGAAGATCAAGTCTTAGAGAAGCGATTCAGGAAAGTGTTCAAAACAGTTCAAAGATTCAAGCCTGAAGCTTGTAGATCAGAATCTAAAGAGTTATATTTCGTTTGTTTAAAAAAAAGAAATGCTGAATTTAATAAAACTGAAATATTTCAATCAACTGATAAATAATAATTGGTAATTGCATTAGTCTAGATTTAGAAAGAAATTGATAACAATTTTAAAATTAGCTTTTTTTTTTGTGCAAAAACAACAATAAAAATGTAATAATCAACTAAGTAATTGAAAGATTAAACAATTAAATGATAAAGACTAAATCATCCATAAAAGTGGGCCCTAAAAAATATAAATATAAATAAATAAAAATAAATAAAAATAAATATAAATATAAAATAAATATAAACAAACACAAAAAGCATTCTAAAAAAAAATGAGCATAGAAAACACAAAAAAATAAAATTGTTCAAGAAAAAAACAATGTCAAAAACAAATAGTCAATGATGGCCAATTAAAACAAGAACCACATTGGTTGCCTAGTTAACGCCATTAAGCAATGGTTCTCTTTCCTCCTTTTCCTTGCCTTTTGAGTCATCTTTTAGAGTTTGTTTTGGTTCTTCTGAAACCTCAGCGTCTTCTTTGGAGCTTTCCTTGGCTTCTTTAGGTTCTTTAGGTTCTTTAGGTTCTTTAGGTTCTTTAACATCTTTAGGTTCTTTTGGCTCCTTCGAAGTGTTTTGTTCTTCAGCAGGTTCTTTAGCTTGTTCGGGTTGCTCGACCTTTTTCTCAGTAGGTTCTTTAGGTTCTTTAGTATCTGGGGCTACTTGTGTTTCTTTAGTATCTGATGTTACTTGTGTTTCTTTTCCTTTTCCTTTGTCCTTGATAGAGGATTGATCGTCTAATTTATCATCAGATTGCTCAATGGATCTGCTCGTACCTTCTTTTGATTCATTCAAGTTATTAATTAAAACCAAATTTTCCTCAATGTTGTGGATATTGTATAATAATTTGTTGATTTCTTCGTCTTTGTCGTCGATTAGTTGATTTGATTTGATTAAAAGTTGATTTGAGTTTTCGTTTATCATTTCGCTTAGCTCTTTTTTCATTTTTTCAATTTCTTTATCATTTCTGCTCTTTGTTATCTTATGATCAACAACAAGAGTTATAAGAAATGTTGTGATTGCAGTGATGGAAATAGCGATAATAGCCATTTTGGATTACGAAATAAGTAAATAAAAAAAGATAAAGATAGAGATGAAAAAGATAAAGATAAAGATAAAGATAAAGATAAAATCAATTACAAATAATCACCAAATATTAAATGTATTAAATGTATTAAATGTATTAAATGTATTAAAATGTATTAAATGTATTAAATGTATTAAATGTGTTAAATGTGTTAAATGTATTGTTATGATCAAATTCAATACAATAATAAGATTAACCTTTTATTGTCAATAGAAAAAAAGGAGTTGATTCTTGATTTCTTAAAATGTTTAAATTGCTAAATTTATTAAATCCCTGGACAGAATGCTTAAATTTGCTAAGTTATTAAAACACTGAATTCTTTTGAAAGTAAATTGATCCAACTATTGGGTAAAGAAGAAAAAAAAGTAAAAGAAACAGATGAAGAGCGAATGGTAAAAAGGTGAAAAATAGTAGCAAGTTGCACAGCTGGAATTGAAAGTGATTATGGTGCAGCATCTCATATTAAAATTCCTTCTACAACTTGAAAACAGAATAGGGTTGGTCAAAATTGCCCTTTTTGAGCCTACTACAGTTTTTTCGTCTATGCTTGGTAATCTCTTACTAAGCGACATAGACTTGCTTTGGGACCATCATGACGGGTGCTGTCCCAAAGTGGTGGTGCAGTTTAGTTTTCTGGTCTGTGACCAAGAACCTGATGGTTGGAAATCGACTCTTTTTATGATTATATTCTCATAAAGAGGAGGTTGTTGGTGCTGTCTGTTTTGCTTTCGACCTTTGGTAAAATCCAAACAACAGAAGTTACTGGTGTTGTCCTTTTTACAGATTGCTTTGTGTGGTTTTGTTTACGAACCCCATTGGATTACTTGCTAATTCTAAAAAGTGCTTTAAAATTAACCCAACTACTTTAATTTTTAGTCACAAAGTAAATTCAAATATCTTAAGCACAAAATATAAAATGTAAAATTAAATGTAGAATAAGAATAAGAATAAGAATAAGAATAAGAATAAAAATAAAAATAAATAAAAGCAAAGATAAAAAAAAAAAGAGGCAAATATTGCTACTATATATACAAACTAGCGTTGTTAAAAGGATATTAGGAAGAATTAGAAATTCAAAACCAAGTAGCGTTATCTCATTGAATGACTTTATTATTAAACTAAACTTATTTACCAGAAATAGAACGGTGAGAAGTGATCAAATTGTATTTTAACTAGTTGACTAATTGGGGTGGATTAGATAGAAAAACAACTGTAAACGCAAAGGAAATATAAATGGTAGATTGCAATCGTGATAGAAACTTGAAATTGTAATGGTTAGTGCAATCAAACCCATCACCATCTCCAAACCGGTTGAGCTACTAAAGTTGAAAGAGGAGAAGTCCTATTCTTTATATGTGAAGCCCTGTTATCGTTTTTATTTCCTCTCAATAAACTTCTCTTTCCCTTTCTCTTTTCTTTTTTTTTTGTGATTGAAATCATTCCTCTCAATCACACGAATCGATATAGGATTAATCTGAGATCCAGTCTGAGATAAAATTAAACAGTAAAATAAATCCTCCTGATCAAGATTAGATTAGATCAGATTAGATAAAAAATAAATTGACATTAAAAATATTATCAGCTAAATAAGTAACTAAAATGAATTCGAAAAATTTTAATTAAATTCGTAAATTAAATTATATTAAATATTCTTTAATATATTTTTAATAAATTATCAATGAAATCATCAAATTAATTATTAACTAATTATTAATTAATTATTAACTAATTATTAATTAATTATTAACTAATTATCTAATATTATTTGGTTGATTTCCAAGAAAAGTGAAACAAATATAAAACAAAAACAAAAATTGTATGATTATGTTTCAATCTCTTTCGGTTTCTGCGTAATTTCTTTTGTGGTTTTTAAGTGTGAAAGGAAATGGAGAAGAAGAAAATAGAAGAAGAAAAAAAATAGAAATAAGATGGAGAAAACACTGGGGGCTGTTGAGGGTTACTTTGTCGAGCATAAATTATCATGTTGGTTCAAAAAAGCTACTGAGAGAGAGACAAATGTAAACAGTGCACTTTTACCTAATTCCATCCACATCACAACGATCACAGCATTTTGGATGTTGCGCGAGAAATTGGGAATTCGTTTTTGGATCCTGGATTCAAATTAACTTGTTGCCATTTTGAATCAGGACAAAATCAGGATAAAATCAAGATGCAATCAGGATGAAATGAAATGACATGAAATTCTGGAGTTCAAATCAATTATTTTAGCGTTTTATTATTTTATTATTTTATTTGTTTGTTTTTCTTGGGTGTGTTTTTTTTACAGATAAATGTTGGGTATGAATCTTTCCCTCAAAAGTTAATATGTGTATTCAAAGTCACGTGCAGCTGCTTTTCAGAAGGATTTCGATTCAGCAGAGAAAATTTAAAATTCAAATTTTTAGTTTACTATTTTTTTCCTCTCTTTTTCTCTTTTCTTTAATTTTGTTTTTGGTTCTCTTCTGTTTTTTTGCTCTCTTTTCTTTTGGTAAACAAATGAAATTTGTTTGGTTCACTGTTATGTGCTCGCTACCAACTTAATGTTAGAGTTTGGGTGAATAATGAAAAAGACGGTGGATAAATTCATCAATTAATCACGAATCATGAATCATGAATCATTAATTATCAAGAAAAAAAAAGGGCAAAAAAGCTGATATGTCATCAAAATCAGCAGATTACAGCTTTGTTTAAGCTAGTTTTTTGTGTGAATTCTCAATTCCAGAATTTCAAATTTTTAATTTTTTAAACAAAAGAATAAAATTTAAAAATTTATTCGTAGATTGGTTTATCAAACTATTAAATCTTGTTGCTAATGTTTTATTTTAGATTTTTCAGTAAACTACTTGTATCACGAATAGTATTCGTAACGCGAATAGCAGGAAAAAGGTAAAGGGAAAGGAAAAGGAAAAGGAAAAGGGAAAGCCTAAAAATATTTTTTAAAGTTAGTTTCACAAAGCACATTTTAAAGTACGGTCAGATTCAGATTATTCAGGTGTCTGTTGCGCTGCTATTTTAGTTATTGTAGCTATTTTAGCATTTCTCAGTGCAATCAGTTGTTGGCTGTAAATCCGGGGGTTTTGTGCCATAACTTTATTATTGTCTTGAAATGTTTTACCAGGACTGGCAACCCTTGACTCTTGACTTTTGCACAAACCTTTCTGCGCTGCACAGAATTTCGTAATAGTGTAATAACTTATTATCAATTCTCACAGCGCTAAACATTCACAAGGCCAATCCAACAAACCAAACCAGAAACAGAGATTTTCTGCTACGTCATCACAAAAACAGCAGATGTTGCTTTTTGTTACAGCGCTTTCTAATCCTGTGCAATTCTTTTAGTAGGATCTGGTTGCTATTAGTCCTTGATTGCTACTTTCCACATTTCCAAAACTTAGAATATTCAAAGTTAGGTAAAGGGATGTTGCCTTTTTTCTTAATTATGTTACCAGAGGTGTCAAAATTCTAATTTTGGGGATGCAAAATTTCAATGCGGAATCTGAAAATTAGGTATTTTTCTATATTATCAACAGAATTTACCATCTGTTGAATGGAAAAAATTATTAATCTTAAAGTAAAGAGGAAAATGAAAACAAAACATAAACAAAAACAAAAATACCGAGACAAATTGGTAAAACCTTAGTAGAAAAAAAATTAGGAGAATTTCCAAAGAATTTCTCAAAAATTTGACAATTTTCTAAGAATTTTAATTATGATTTGAAATTCTCCAACTTCCAATTCCTTAATCAGTGGTCCTTTAGCAAACGCTTTAATTACATAAGCTTTGATTGGAGCTACAAACAAAGAATTTGAATTCAAGAAAAAAGCCAGGAATATAGAGAACAAAGAATCGATTGAATTAATCAAACCAAGTAAACTAATGGATGTAAATTCATAGAAAGAGCATCTAAGCAAAAAAAAAAAATGACCGGAAAATTTGCTCTCTCTTACTTGAACTCGAGTAAGAATCACGCGCGGAAACTAGTTTTGGGAGCTGAAACAGAATTTAAAGGCTTCATTTTGAGACACTGCAGATTTTTTTCCAAAAATTGGAATCCGGAGCTTTCAGGTTAAGAAGGCTTTGGGAAACAGGAGGCAGACAGGAGATCTGGAGGCCTGAAGGCCTGGCTAGGATTCGGGGCCCAATTTCGACGACCCAGCAGCCGGAGCACCAAGAGACGGGATACAACAAGACCAATGTTGCAGCACCAAAGAGGCAAGAACAACAGAAACTGAAGCAACTGAGGAAGCAGAACCACAAACACGATCGCTGGCAACGCAAAGCCTGCAATTTGGAGACAGAGACCACAAACAGGCTCCGGGCCAGGGAACGGCGGGCAGGCGCAGCATCACGGGATTGGCATTACGGGATTGGCTAGAGCTGTCTAGCGCAGGCTGCGACGGGCCGCTGCAGTGCCGGATCATTGAAAAATTCAGAACAGCTCTCTATGGGCAAAACATCAGCTTGAGATGCTCTGCTCCTTTCTATATAAATATCCTGCGTTTTCTCCAGCTCTTTCCAGCTCTTTCCAGTTGTTTTCCAATCCTCCTCCATCACAACCACCATAGGAACTGTATAACCGCATCTGCATTTTAGCATTTCTGCCTTGATATCCTATTGTCTCACTATCTCACTATCTCATACTATCTGCATCCTGCGCTTCTCTCTCTTGTTCTCCCGATAGCAAACTACACAACAAAATAGTCACAAACGTTCTCTACATACTTGTTTTTCTTAATACTGCCAGTCTGGTAATTAAAAATAAAAATTAAGTCAATTTATTTCACTTTAAACTAAAATTCACAACCTAACATCAATAATCCTTTAACGAATATATTAAATATTAATCACATCACCCTTATTCTAAATTCTATTCAACCAATTCTCTTCACTTAAACTATTGGCTTCAAGACACTTGGTACAAACATTTTAAACTCAAAACTCAAATATTTTATCAATAAGATATTTAACAATCTACTACCAATATCAAAATTCATTACTTTTATACACATAACCCATAACTCACAATTCATAATTAAATACAAAAAGTTTAATTTTATTATTTCAAATTTTAGAAATCAAAAATTAAAAATTTTATTTCAAATTAAAAATTCAAATTCAAATTTAAATTTAAATTTAAATTAAAAAGTTCAACCACTATTTAATTATATTAAAATTTTTTATTTAAATTTACTTATTTCAGCTTTTTTTTTAAAACAAAACAAATAAAAAGGCAAAGTAAATATCTGTTTTATTTTATTTCTCACTTCTTCCGTTCCTCTTTCCTCTCTCTCCAAGATTTCAAACTTATCTTTATCCCAAAATTCAAACTACCACTAATATTCATATATATATATGCCTTGATTTCACCTCCAGTTAATCTATCTTCACTGTATCTCCATCCACATCCTGATTTTTTACTTATTCTACATTCATATTATTATCTCAAACTACTATCCTAATATTATCGCCTTTATATTACTATCGTAATATTACCACCAAATTATGATATAATAATACAAACTAAACATCACATTTGAAATACAAATAACCTATTTAACTACAAACATTTTTTCACTTTTCATACTAAACCTTTCAACTTTTGGTTTTTCATTCACCTTTTCTTTTTCCAATCTTTTTTCCTGGCTTATCTCGAACTTTTTGACTTTCATACTACTTGACTTTTAATACTTATCCATTTCCTACACATATTAACACTAAATCCATTAATGAAAATGACAATTTCAATACATCAAGCTCAATATTCTCAAGAAAATCCAGTTTCTTCATTATCTTCAAAATCTAATTCTGTGATTTCAAATATTTCAAACACTTCTTCAACTACAAGTAGTCCTAGTAGTCCTAGTAGCACTAGCAGTACAAGTAGCACAAGCAGTACAAGCAGTACAAGCAGTACAAGCAGTACTGGTAGCACAAGTAGTACTACCAGTACTACCATCGCTGATAATGATAACTCAAATACAGATTTAAACTCAAATATAGATAATTCAAATGATAATCCCTTGGCTTTCCACAAATTCAAATTATCCTTAAACGGAAATACAAATTCCTTATTAATATCTGATGATGAAATCAATTATTTCAACAATCTATATCTAAATCTTGATTTTATTAAATTGCACGATCAATTAAAACAAAAAAATGTGTCCATTTTCAATAATCGCTCAAATATTATAACTTCAAATACTGCCATTTTATTACTATTCAAATCCTTATCAAACTTAATTGAATTCTGTAAAATAGCTAAACAAGACCAACACAAAAATTCTAAAAATTCTACTAATGAAAAGAATTCAATTAACTTGAACAGCTACAATTTTAAAAATATCGATGAAATTAAAAATATTAACTCAGCTCTAAACAATCCAAATAATATTAATAAATATATACAAAAGGACTTGGATTTTCTTAACCACAATTACACTGATATTAGTTTCAAAAGAGTCAATTCAAAATCAGATTTTTTAAAATATAATTATAATTTATCAGATAAATTACATAATGAAACATTATCCCCATTTAAGATTAATGATCTATTAGTTCAATTCAATCAAAAAAATCAAGTTAAAAATCAAGGCAATTTAAAATCTTTATTGTTCCATAAATTCAATCTCAAATCGGCTCCTTCAATTTCAATCTTAGATTATTTATTCAATATTCACAAATGCTTTAAATTTTCCTCCTTTATTTATATCGCTGCTTCGTATTACATTTACCAATTAATTATACCTTCTTCTCCTTTTAATTCTAAAAATATTGCAAACCACAACATGACCTTTATAAATTCCTTTGAACTAAACGAAGTTAATGTTCACAAATTGATTTTAACCTCAATAAGAATTGCCTCAAAGATACTAATGGAAGATATCAACTATTTTATCAAAAACATTAATTATTCCTCTGTTGTCGGTGTGCCTTTGAATGAGTTGAACCAGTTGGAGATTAACTTTTTGTTTTTAAACAATTTTGAGTTAAAAGTAGAGGAATTAGATTTAATTTCTTACTTAGGTGAATTGCGTTTACTAAACAGCTATATTGAAAAAAATTCAAATTACTAATCTAAAACCAATTATTTTATTTTATTTTCTTTCCGTTTATTTGTTGATAACTTTTTATTATCTTGTTTCATGTTTGAAGGTAATGTTCTGCTGCTGTGTAATAAATTTCTTCATATTTCTTAGTTTTTTTGTTTTTTTTCCACAAATAATTATATTTTTAAAGATTTTTGATGAATAATGGTGTTTTTTTTCAAATTATATTTTTTTAATTGTCTCTGCATCTCAATTCTTTTATTTTATATTTTATTTTATATTTTTTATTATTTTATTTTTTATTATTTTATTTTATTTTGTTTTTATTTTTGTTTGTTACTTTACTTTTTTATTTTTTACTTTTTCTCCAACTCAAATGACTTCATGAATTATGATAGACCTATCATATCTACCTTCTTCTAATTTTTGACTCTATAAGAACAGATGACTTTAACTTACCAATTCCTCGAATTCACAAGTTGTTTTTCTCTTGCCTCGATCATCGACTATATCATACTCTTCCGTTTTACCTATCATTATATTGTTTTTTTGTTTTCACATTGTTTCTCTTTAATAAAAAGTATCTCTGATCTTTGTTTATCTTTCGTCCAATGGCGCGTTCTCCCAGCTTTTAACTCTAACCTAATCGCCCTGCTTTTCCACGCTCTGATCTCAGCTCGAAAAGCGCACCTTCCCATTTGCCCCCAGCCTGACTCTGCTGCCTCTGCTGCCTTCTTTCTTCGCGCTGCTGCCGCTGCTGCGTCTGCTGGGGGCCGATTAGGTTTCTGTGGTCGCCCACCCATAATATTCGCACCTTCCTCGCAAACACAGCTGCTTCTGCTGCCCATCCTGCAGTCGCCAGGAGTGCGCAAACAGCTGCTGCTTCCTTTGGAGCATGTTCACTCCTCCGTTGTTCTAAAAGTTGCCATATTTCTCAAGGCTGCTGTTTCCATGGCCTCTTTTTCAGTCCAAAGCTTATTTCTTCAACGAAGATCCATCTAAGTTTGCATTCATTCCCAGTGATAGCTGATACGATCATAAACTATCGCCATGCCTCTCTTTCGAAGGCCACAGATAGAGCTCTGCTACCTGCCAGCACATATAAACAGCAGTAGACAAGCCTGGTGCAAAGTGTAGAATCAAAACTAAGACAATTTAGAATTTATTCATGACCAACAGTTTTCTATGGGTATATAATTGACCAAAATGCAGCTACTTACTAAAAAAACCCATTTGCTGTGCCTGTTGGGCACCATTGCCGATTTTCAGTCAACAGCACCAACGTTACATTAAAAAAATTGGCTTTTGTTTGGAATAAGATTATGGAGATTATCTTGTGTATGCTCGATTACAGATTAGATTCAGATTTAATTTCAAAATATAACATGATTGTAGATTGCTGAAAATCGTATTGTGAAATTTTTCTTCAATGTTATTATTATAATATTATTATAAGGCCTTTATTAATCGCATAAGCTATTCAGGTCTTCTGAGATCCGTAGAGAAAACAACATAAAACAAAAAGAAGACAAAAAATTTTATGTCAACACAACTTGAGAATCAAGAGGAACAATGGTTAATAGATGCCATAAAATACAATTATAAATAACAAAACTTGAACCAAATAAATTAAATGGAAAATAAAATTATGAAAATAAAAACAAAAATAACAACAAAATATACAAAAAAATATACAAAAAAAAAAGTAAAAAATAAAAAATAAAAATAAAAATTAAAAAATTGAAAAATTAAAAAATTGAAAAATGCGAATAAAAAAAATGCCCCGTATTCTCTTTTATGCTCATACAATTTCTTTTTTTTTTTTTCTTTCAAGAAGGAAATCCTCCCCTTTAATTTAAAATGCTTCGTAAACCCATAGATCTTGTTACTCGCTGGCTTTTATCTGGTTCTAATGAACTATCCTTCTCATTACTTTTTTTTTTATTTTCAAACTTGTGTATGATATATTCATTACTTTCGTTGTAATATGTTGGAGGAATTGAGCAAACAGGATCATATTTGTATATGAGATTTCGTAGTATGTTTATTTCATTTGTAAACAATATCGTAGATCCCTCAAATTTCCTCATGTAAAACTTAAGTACATCAACATCACGATCCGGTTTTTGGTTAATATAATGGTAGAAATGATTGAGGAAATAATCGGAGTTTTTAACAATCTCATCAACAACCATTAACTCATCTGGACAAATCACCAAGTGTCTTCCAGCTTGATACATTTGAACAATATCCTCATATTTGGCTCTAGAATTACTTCTTTTAATTGGAATGCTATAATCACAAATTGGACATATAAACAACCCATCTTTATTTCGAATCACAGGTTCACCATTCTGGTTTAAACATTTTTCATGATACTTTTCTTTACATTTCTCACATTGAACAAAATTTGAACAAAGAACTGTCTGGCAAAGACAATGTAGTTTTTGATTAGTTCTATTTTCTAAATCATTACTATGCTGATTACCAAAATTATCATTGTTTTCAACCACAAGACATCTTCTATTACAATCTCTCACCAACTCGAGATTTTTACGGAGAGATTTGCTTGCCGAATTATTTCCAAATATTCGTTTGAAATCTCTTTGCCAATCTAATACAGATTTGATATAATTTTCCAATTCACTTACATCCAACTTGGTTCGTAACTTTTTCGATTTCTCCAAAAACTGCTTGGTTTTGGAATACAATGGTCTTTCATCCAACCGACTTCCGTCGAAATTTCTGCTGGCAACCATTTTAAGAAACAAATCATCATCAACTGTTAAGGGTTGTTTCCCCTGAAGCTCTTTTTCTTTTTTAAATAAATTCTCCGTCTCATGAATTTTGTTTAAAATTTCATCCACTTTCCATTTGCTTAATTCATGCACTTTACAAATTTCATTCAACACATGTCTAGTACCAGAATTAATAGGAAACTCCTCGATGTCTTTTAAAATTCTTTTCAATTCTCCAGGCTCTATTTTTAATAAAGATAACAATTCATTTGACCTGGCATCCAATGTTTTTCCACGGATTATTTTCATCCGAATCTTCTCAAGTAGTTCTACATCAGATTTTCCACATATGCACAGTCCGCTTTTAATTAAATCTTGCAACTCATTGAAATCTGTTGATTTTGCCAATGCAGTTTCGGCGTGTTCTTTCCACTTTAATCTAAGCAAAACACGATGTAGCAAATCCAATGTCTTTAATTTAATCCCAAATGAATGCCCCTTACTAAGCAATTCTTCAAATTCCTTTATTGTATGATTAGGAGTATTTAAGAAAATTTCAGCTTCGCTTTCAAATGTTTTAATATCTGCTGCTAGAGCTAGTATCTGGTTAATCTCAGGGCATATAAAAGAAAATGACTTGATTTGATCCATTAATTCTTGAAATGTTTCCACACTTTCGTAAATACCTAAAAATCCGTTGAGCTGTATGTAGGTGCTTCTGGATCCTAAAAACTTTCTAGCTTTGGCCACCCAATTATCAGCCGAATCTATAAGAGCTCGAAGATGCTGAGCCTCGGGAATATTGGTACTTTCTTCATCTATCATTGCTAACTGCTTTTTTAAAGCATTTAATGTTGGAACTGGGTTTTGTAAAATAAAATCACTATAATCATTTAGCCATCCATTTTTACAGCCAATATTTTCAAATAAACTATTAAGAGAATTTCTTAATGATTCATCCGACTTGTATAATTGAAGCTGAATATTGCAATCTTCAGATTCGATTACTTTATTCAATTTTTGTTCGTGCTGCAAATCTAAAAATGACTTGATTGATAGCTGAAAAATTTTATTGTCATTTTTAATTTGAACTTTTGTTGGAAAACATACTTCTAAAGTACTATCATCAATTATGTCTCGATAATATTGTGAAGATTCTTCAAGGATGACCTGTTTTATTCTTGGAAACATCTCTCTAAATCTTTCTCTCAATTGTAACTCATTGACAACTAGTTTCTCAAAATAAGGTTTAATATTTTCAAGAATCTCATGATTGTGCCCAACATCTGCACTATCCACAATATCAAAAAATAGTTTGAAAATAGAAAATCCAGGGGGGATGTTTTGTTTAGTTAGCCATTTCTCGGCTTCCAATGCATTTTCAAGCCATGAACATGTCGCTAGATTAATAGATTCTGAAGTTGAAAAACCAAGGTTTACTTTCGCAGAATAAGCTTTTGGAAACTTTATAATGAATTGTCCAGGTCTTTGAAATGTCTTGTAAACATTAACGCCATGCTTTTTTAAAAACTCTATGGATAAAAAGCTATCTTGATTGAACAATGTTGGCAACTCTCCGAGAAGAGCCTCTTCTTCTTCATTTAATTTTGATTGAATATCGTACTGACTTTGGTTTTTTTCTTTAAAATCAATAAAATTTTTAATATCTTGATGGTCAAATAAATCATTAAACAACTCATTTTGATGAGCAAATCTCCTATTATTGATGTGAGTGGGGATTCTGTTTTCTAAAGAACATAAGTAAAATTCATTATCGGTAAACCCGGATCCTAGCTCTGAAACCTGCACTCTTGGAAGTGTTGACTTTTTCCCAGATTTCATGATAATTTTTTTTTTCAATTTTGTGACTTTTTCCATCAACTCTTCAAATTTTATTTGGTCTGAAGGAGGAACAACATACCACAATCTTGGTGATCCTAGATGTTGATAGTCTGCCTCGTATAGAAAGTGATCTTCTGCAGACCAATTTTCACTGCTAAACAACATACCTATACTTAAATTTGTTCTTGTAAAATTTGAGTAATCATCATCACGTAAAAATCTCAACAAGGAATTTTTGTTCAAACTCAAATTATTTAAATTCCATGGGTCTACAGTTTCTTTGAGCTTTTCAGTGGGATTGCTTTCAAACCCTTTAGAAATAATGGGGAAACCAGATTCATGAATATTTGAACTAATTTTGATACCACATTCAACTTCATATGAGGTTTCTGGATCATTAATAATTTTCCAATATAATTTTTCCAATTCTTCCTCTGTAGGTGATAATTCCGGCGCAGTAGGTTTGGAGTTTGTAGAAGAATTACGGTTTCTATTTCTGTAATTGACCAAATGTTTCTTTCCTTTAAATTTTGAATTTGCCGGATATAAAGTTGATTCATCAAATTTCATTTCGTAATCACTTAAATTCAGCGTACTTTTTTTGTAATCAAATCTAGAATTGTTAAGAAAAGTTAAGTCAGCTTGGTATTTCTCAAAAATAAACTCTTGAAATTTTGAATTTTTTTCATAAAATTGTTTTAAATTATATATCGGAGATATTTTAGAGTCATATGTTGATATTTCATTTACAACAAGTAAGTCTGAATTATACCAACCATAAAAATTATAAGTTCCAAGGTCTGTTTTATCTCTTAAAGTTACAGCCTTTTTATCTTCACTTGTGGAATCAAAATGTGTATAAAAGCCCTTTGATCTTAAAACCTCTCTAGATCTTTTAAATTCTATGGCAGAGCCTAAAATAACAGGGACTTGTTTATATTCAAGTTCAAGAATATCATCTGAATCATTTGATAGATTTGTTACAGGGTTTTCTAATTTTAGTCTTTTATGAATTCTTTTATTTTTATTCTTATTAGTGTTGCTATTTTGATTTTGATCAAGATGATTATTGTTGTTATTTTTGATATTATTGATAATGTCATCTTTATTATTTTCATTTTCCGAATCAGTTGAAATTCTTTTTTTATCTGATTTTCTTTTTGAAATTGAAGATTTCGAGGTGTTTTTAATTTTGAGACTATTATCATAATCGAGGATGACCCTTTGATAAGCACTTTTCAATGAAGAAGATAGAGAAGTCATTATTCTGCCGGAGTAGCCTAATTCACGACCAATTTGAGCCCATAATTTTTTTTTGCAAACGACATCAAAGCCACCTCTTAATGTTACATACGCTCTTAGTCTATAAAGATCTAAGATCCTTTTATCTATTGAGGGTAATTTATTTAAGAAATTAGAGCTGTCTTTTTTCCTTTTATTTGAGCTATGGAATCGAATTAATTCATTATAAAATTCAAATCTTGAGACCATTTCATTTTTTTGACTATTTAGTAGCTGTCTTCTCGACTTAAACCAAAATAGTTCTGTGTTTAAGTTGAAGTTTATTGACCAATTTTCTGGGGGAATGATTTTAATTGCACCATATTTTTGACCAATTGATTTGATGTTTTCTATAAAGGATATGGGGTCGAGAAAATCATTTTGAGAAGCATAAACAGTTGGTAGAAGGGGAATATTTGAAAAGGAGATATCATTGTTTTGGTCATTATCGGGCAAGATGTATTTTGAAGATTCTAAATTTTTGTATAGGAAGTTTTCTTCTATATTTGCTCTTGTTTTGACGTAGTAAAAATCTAAGGGAGGATTAGCTCTTGTTCTAGTCTGGGGATATAAATAGGGGTTATAACGATGTGTGGAGGAGCTTGAATTAGTATGAAGATTTATATGAGGATTTTGTTGTATGTTATTGTTGGTAATATTATTATTAGTGGTGGTGGTAGAAGTGGTATTAGTAGTAGAAGTAGTGGTGGAATTAGTAACGGCAATATTGTTGATATTTGAGATATTATTAATGTTATTCGTATTAATAGGATTTGGAGGCATATAATTTAAGTTATTATCATTGTTATCATTATTATCATTATTATCATTATTATCATTATTATCATTGTTGTTGTTGTTGTTGTTGTTGTTGTTGTTGTTGTTGTTGTTACTATTATTGTTAGAAGTTGTATTATTATTGTTAGTGGCAGTATTGTTATTATTGTTGTTATCATTTGTGATATTCGCGTTATGATTTAAAGGGTCGGGGATTGATTTATCAAATATTGAGTGTTTGGAGTTATGAGATAAATATTGAGGATAATTATTATTAATTTTTGGGATTAATTGAGGAAGTTGGGATGAGATTTGAGATTGAATTTGTAAATCAGGTTGAGACTGGATTTTATTATAGTTTTTATTGTAGTTTTTATTGTAGTTTTTGTTGTAGTTTTTAGTATAATTTTTTTTATTATCAATGAAATTTGGATTTGAATTATTATAGTTGATTGTGTTTTGGTGATTTAAAGAAGTTGATATTATGGTTGGGGTTTGAGACAGAGATCTTGATCGAGAATGTGATTGAGGTTGAGGTTGAGGTTGTGGTTGAGGTTGTGGTTGTTGTTGTTGAGGTTGTTGGTATTGGTTTTGAAGTTGAGATTGAGATTGAGATTGAAGATGAGGATCAGAATTAGTAGTTATGTGTTGATTTGGATGCAATTGATTTTGAGAGTTGAAGGGCAAACGATTTTGAAAAGAGGGAGATTTGTTATAAGGGTTATAATCGGAAGGTTGTTGGATAAAGGTGGGATTATTATAGTAGTAAGATGATGGTGGTGGTGGTTGTGATGATCCAGGTGTATGAACAGTAGGAGGAGGAGGAGGGTGAAGAGAAGGAAGAGAAGGAGGAGAAACAGCAGGAAAGTGATGAGGTAGTGGAAGGGTGTTGTGGTTATTTTGGGATGAGCTTTGGTTTGAAAGTGAGTGTTGAATTGAATTATACAGCTGGTGAGGAAGAATGTGTGGCTGTTGGTGAGGAAGAGGTTGATGAGGTGAATAGTGGTCATTGTTTAGATTTTTTTGCAGATCATGTTGAATTGGAAAATTTTGGACATAGTGGCTGCTCATTATATGTGAAGTTAGATTGTTTGTATTATAGGACAGATTTGTGGTATTAGTTGTATTTGAGTTTGTAGGACTAGTGGTGGTGGTTGTTGCAGATGCAGTTGTTGCAGTTGTTGGTGTTGGTGTTGGTGTTGGTGTTGTGGTGAGATGAAGGTTGATATTGTGAGAATATAAATTGTGAATTGAGGGCAAATGAAGAAGTCTTTTTTGATTTTGAGAAGAAGTTTTGTTTTGATTTGAAATTAGAGGCAGGTTTTCATTGTCAAAGTTAGGGGGATTATTGTTATATGAGGAAATATTTTGGTTATTGTTAGACATTGCATATATGTAAGTATAGATGATATATTCCTTTACGTTTTCTTTTATGGTGGTGGTGGTGGTGATGGTGGATTATAGGGAAGCAGATTTATTGGAGATTTGATTTGATTTACTTGTTTGTATGTGTATTTTAGTCTAATTGTCGAGGATCAGAGTGGCAAATGGAGGATTATGGTGTGTGGATTGAATTGAGAAAGAAGAATAGCTGGACAGCAGCAAAACCTGCAAGAGTGACTATCGCCTAGTGGATTGGAAAAAAATTAGCTTTTGGTGAGCAGATCTTTGGAACAGGCAGCTGGGAGAGAGCAGTTGAAAGGAGTTTGAAGAGGAAGAGCGCCAGAAGGAGATGAATATCTCAGGAAGAAGCAGGTGTTGAGTGAGAGCAAAGAGAGGAAGTTGGAGAGGAACAACTACAAAAGAAGAGAAGTTCAGCAGAAAGAGCGAAGAAAATGGAAGAGGGACGTTTGGGAGCAGGGCAAGCCAGCGGTGCGAGAGAAGTGCAGCGACAGGTGTGTGCACAGTGGCACATTCACATGCGTGTATATGCAGGACAGAACAAGCCCGTTTGATAAGGGGTGGTGGGTGATTACGTAAGAGCGGCTGTGTGTGGGCGCTGGCGATGACGCAGGGGCAGCCCACTGGCACGGGGCAGCTGGCGGCTGTTTTTGGAAAGCTGAGGTGAAAAATTTCGTTAGGATGAGCTTCGTGAAATTTCGAGAAGGGAGGTGGGAGAAGGTTTGAGAAAGGATTTGAGGAAATTTGAAGAAATTTGAAGAGATTTGAAGAGATTTGAAGAGATTTGAAGAGAGATTTGAGCAAAGATTTGAATAAGGAGTATGAATTTGGCTGCTGCTGCTATCACTGGCGGAGGTGTTGCTTCTTCTGGCACGCCTGGTGCACCGGGTCCATCAGATTCCTCAAGTGCACCAAATGCGTCAAATTTGCCTAATGGTGGGGGTCAGATTAACTTTGATAGTTTGAAGAAAAGCGATGGATCGATCAAGGGAATGGTGACAGAATTGTTCAACGATGTGATGAAAAACAATCCGTATTTTGCAGCTGGTGGTGGATTGATGGTGTTGGGAACGTCTCTCGCTGTTGCAAGACAAGGTATTATGAAATGTTCGAGTTTGCTTTACCGACAGTTATTAATTGATTTGGAAATCCCCTCAAAGGATAAATCGTACCTTTGGTTTTTGGAATGGATGTCTACATATAAGAAAAGAAGCTCGCGACATTTGAGCGTAGAAACCAATTTTATTCAGCACGATAATGGGTCAGCTACGACCAAGTTTTCGCTAGTTCCAGGGCCTGGAAACCATTTGCTACGATACAAGAATTCGTTTATATTGGTCAAGAGAGAACGATCAGGAAAGTTGTTGGATATGACAAATGGCACGCCTTTTGAAACAGTGACATTAACGACATTGTACAGAGATCGGTATTTATTCCAGGAGTTGTTGGACGAAGCAAAGAACATTGCATTGAAGGCCAACGAGGGCAAGACAGTTATCTACACATCGTGGGGATCAGAATGGAGGCCCTTTGGACTACCAAGAAAGAAACGGTTGATTGAGTCGGTTATATTGGACGAGGGAATCAAGTCCAAGATCATTGTGGATGTCCAGGACTTTTTACGATCCGGCAATTGGTACTTTAAAAGAGGCATACCCTACAGAAGAGGCTACTTGTTGTATGGACCACCAGGCAGTGGCAAAACAAGCTTCATCCAGTCGTTGGCGGGATACTTGGACTACAACATCTGCATTCTAAACCTCTCTGAGAACAACTTGACCGACGACAGACTCAACCACTTGATGAACAACATACCCGAAAGAAGCTTGCTCTTGCTCGAGGACATCGACGCAGCATTCAACAAGCGATCCCAGACGAGTGAAAAGGGTTTTTCGTCGGGAGTCACTTTCAGTGGGCTCCTCAATGCCTTGGATGGTGTAGCCTCTGCTGAAGAGTGTATCACCTTCATGACGACAAACCACCCAGAGAAGTTGGACCCAGCGTTGTTGAGGCCAGGGCGCGTTGATTTCAAGGTCTTGATCGACAACGCCTCGCCCTATCAGATCCAGCAGATGTTTTTGAAGTTCTACGAAAACGAAACCGAGAAATGCGAGCTTTTCTTGAAGAGAATCCAGGAGTTGAACATCACCAAAATCAGCACAGCTCAGCTCCAGGGCCTCTTTGTGTACAACAAGAGGGATCCAGCAAACGCCATCAAAATGGTTGCCACTTTGAAACACTCGTTGTAAAAAGCGCAGCATCATGACTACGACAAACGCGACACAAACGCGATCCTGTAAATAGTGACATTCTTTTTGTGCCATCTTCTGCTGCTTCTGCTGCCCGTGCTTCACGTCCCGACCCGCTGCCGTGTGAGCAAACGGCGGCCTTCGATTGGCCCGCAGCCATTACTAATCGTGCTCCACCCATTAGCCTCTTGTCGGCTCCAGTACTGTCCTTTCCTTCTTGTTACCCACCTCCATCATGTTCACCAGAGCCTTTGCCAGACCAGCTTTCGCTGCCCCAGGCCTCCTCCGCTCCTTCAAGCAGAATGGCCCTCTCAGCGTCGCCAGCTCCGTCGCCAGGTTTCTCTCCACAGAGACCAAAGAGGCCATCGAAAAGGCCATCTCCAGTGCTCCTGTGGTGTTGTTCATGAAGGGCACTCCCAACGCTCCCCAGTGTGGTTTCTCGCGATCCACCATCGTCTTGTTGGGTCGTATGGGCATTGATCCCGACAAGTTTGCTGCCTACAACGTCTTGGAAGACCCTGACTTGAGAGAGGGCATCAAGGAATACAGCAACTGGCCCACCATCCCCCAGCTATACTTGAACAAGGAATTTGTTGGTGGTTGTGACATTGTCACTTCAATGGCCCAGAGTGGCGACTTGCTACAATTACTAGAGTCTGAAGATGTTCTCTTACCTGACGAAGATGCTGAAGACCTTGCTGATCCAAAAGAACCTAGTTCTGCTGATATCAAGCCTGCAAAAAGAGAATAATTCAACATCAATAGATGATTATGTCAATAGATGATTATATTACCACAAAATATCTTTTTACTTCTCTTATTGTAAATAAAATCTTTTTTTTTATGTTATATGCTATATGCTATATACTATATACTGTTTTTCTTTCTTTTAATCTTCAACTCTCTCTGTAACTACCCAACTTGTAGCACATCCACATCCCAATAATACGATCTTCTCTCTTTCATAATCAAATTCCTCTACAAACTCCAATTCATTCAAAAAATCAAAATTGTTATCAATTTTTCTTTCTTTATCATCGCCATTCAAATACTTCACTCCACAATTTCCATGCTCTCCCCATCCCCATGAATAGACCCTATTGCTCTTCTTATCCAATATCACTCCATGTTCACTCCCAACCTCAAACTCATCTATATCAATTCCACTTTTATTCTTCATATCTTCCAAAGGAAACTTCTGCTTGTGTCTATTATTCCCAATCGACACAATCTCCTTTTCATTCAAAAACAAATGAAACGACGACCACATCGTCTTAATATCCTCAAATTCTATATCTTCTATAACCAAATTATCATTATTATTAAACGCCAACGTCTTGGACTTGCTTATTATTCTTATCTTCTTATCTTTTTTATTCCCGATTATCGAAAAATTCCTACCCAATGAATAATTCGTTACTATCATTTCTTCCTCACTATCATTATCATTACCATTATCATTACCATTATCACCATTATTCAGCATTTTCATATCAACTAACGCTGGTTCCCATAAAACCTTATCCTCTTTCAATTCAGATAAACTCATCTGATTCTTCTTATTATTCCCCCACCCAACCGTTTTATTATTCGACAACATCACAATCGTATGATCTAACGACGATTTCACATCTTTTATTCTCACTTCTCCTCTCCAATTCTTCTCATTTAAAACTCCATCAATATCAACTCTTCTAACCGCCGATACATCTTTCTCTTCCTTCTCTTTCTTCATGCTTTCTCTAATCTCTCTTCCTAACCCCAACTCGCCATTCAATCCCTCCCCACAACTGTAAATCTCATTATTCTCATTCACCAAAATAGAAAAATTCCATCCACACGACCCATTCACCCATTTAATCCCATTCACAAATGGTATCCTACGAAAGCTTTTAACCTGTAATTCATCGCAATAACCACATTGTCCAAATTCATTCAATCCACTGCTATACATCTCCCCATTCTCAAACAATACCAACGTATGATTCCCTCCTCCTATTATCTTAACTGGCCTGTTACTCAACACACTCTCTTCATCAAAATAACTTATCGACAATTTATTCAAATCAATGTCTGTCTTATTTCCCAACTGGAAATTCCCATTAGATCCACAACTATACACACTATACTTCATTTTAATCAAAAATTACTCAAAATTACTCAAAATTCCTCTCAATCAACATTCAATCATCCAGCAATTAACATATAAGCGTTTAAATATCCATCATCATCCAACACACACAATCCGCTCAACACCTTCCATCCTACACTCATGATTTTTCTTTTCTAAATCAACCGCTTTTTGAATATCAAAATGACTATCTAATAATGTTCAATGATGATCAATCATGAATAATGAATAATGAAGAATATTGCATTTTTCAAATCAGAAAACAATAACAATGAAGATAAAAATATTCATCAAGACAACAAATTTCAAACCGAAAAGCCTCTGAATCAGGAAACGACTGATCAATTCTTTTTTCCAAGAAAGAGAAAATTTGATTCCATGTATAATGTCCATCAACATGACGACTATAGTGATCTTGAGAACGACGATTCAATGAAAAACAATGCCCAAAACGTTAAAACTTCTTCAGCATTTCAAAACCTAACAAGTTTTGCAAAGCACTCATCAGATATTGATCATCTTGAAACCAAATCAATTTTCAATTTTATGAAGTTTGATAAATCAACCAACAAAACAGAGAAATTATCAAATCATGCTTTTCTTTTTTCTTCGGATTTACAAGATAATAATACTGAAAATAATTATAATCATTATTGCAATATAAAAAACAATAACATTGATAACGACCATAGTGGTCTTTATAAAAATGAAACACTGAAATCAGAAATTGATTTAGATCATGATTGTTTAATTGAGCCTGAATCAAACAATAACTCAAAGGATATCTCAAAAGATACCGAAATGGAGACTGTAAATAATAAAAAAATTGAGAATCTGCCTAAAAAGAAAATTTTTACCAGCTTCAACAATTTTAACAGTTTCAACAATTTCAATCATTCAGAATTTTCTAATAATAAAACCAATACTAAATATGGTATTGGTTCAATTCTTTTGAAAAAAATGGGCTATATCGAAGGCCAGGGTTTGGGGAAGGATGGCTCAGGTATTATTAATCCCATAGAAACTCAACTAAGACCATCTGGTCTAGGTGTTGGAGGTGTTAAGGAAAAAGTCAACAAAAATAAAAGTCATCCTAGTGATCTTGATCTTGATTATGAAAATGAAAAATTAAATGATCTTATTAAAAAAGTAAATAAAAAGGATTTATCCCAATTAATTAAAGAATTGAAATCCATGAATTTAAAAATTCCCGATTCCATGACAGAAATATCAAAACAATTGGCGCTAAAAGAACAAAAAAGAAAACTAAATAATCAGGTTTTGATTCAATTTGAACAGAAAAACTTATCCAATGCCGATGTTGAATCGTTGGAAAAAAGTTTGCAGAAAATAAATTTGAGCTGGTCTTCTATTCAATCAAAGGAAAAATTACTAGACTTTGATATATCCAAAAACTTGAAAGAAAAAACCTCAATTTTATTAATGAAAAATTCTATACTTAAGATTACAAAATATATCGAGGACATCAATCGAGATATGGAAAGTGATTCCTTAATTGATAAATTAAATAAATCAAATACTGCAATTACAGGCATAATATCGGAATACTCAGGATCGCTCAAAGCTCTCAATAGTGCAAATCATAACTTATTTGATGAATTAAATATAAAAGAGCTAATATTATCAATTTGGGAACCACTCTTGTTAGAAATGCTAAAAGAGTACTGGAATGATGATGACAATGAAAATTTCTATATTGATGATGAATCGTCACTTCTTTTCATTAAAGCTCAAGTGTTAACATGGAAAAATATACTAGAACCATTTTTTATTCTTAACAATAAAGAAAACCACCTATACCATTCCATAAACTTTAATAAGTTGAATTTCTTTGAAAATTTTATTGCCAAAAATCTATATAATAAGATCAAAGAATTTATAGAACTGAATTGGGATATCAACAGTTATAACATGCTAATTTTATCATTTTTGATGGAGATTAAAGAAATAATACCGAATCAAATTTATAATTATATTCTAGAAAATCAGATTAAAGAAAAGATAATTGAAAAAATTGATATATGGGAACCCAGTTATGACTTCAGCCTGAAAGAAGACCTGGAAAGCTTAAATGCACCACATTTGTGGTTATTTGATTGGTTTCATTATTTAAGTGAAGGAAAAGAAAAAAATTTAAAACTAATTAGCCTTTTGACAGAACATGTTTACAAAAAATATTTTAAGTTTTTTCTTTTTTTCAATTTCAATAATTTGTATAAAAAAGTATTGGAGTTTGAACCAAAAACTGGAGATTTTAAATCAGAATTTTTTATCAATATACAAGGGTTTTATAAATGGGCAGACCATTTTAGTAAAGAAAAGTGCCTGAAATTATTTAATTCATCATTCTTTCCAACTTTTATAAAATTTTTTATGGCTGTGTTTAATGACAGTGAGATTGAAAATAAAGATGGGGCATATTATCAAGCACCATTTCAAATATTATATGGTTTCAGCAAGTATTTTTCATTAATTGATGAAAGTTTCCCTGAAAAATGTGAAATTATTATAAATAGTATTTTTTTTAAAATTTATTTTTTCCCTACGTTGAAAATTAGGTTGGAAAGTTTTGGAAACAATAAGAAAAATCCCACATTATCTCAATGGTTTGAAAGTTGGATTGTTTATTTTAACAGTTTTTATTCTTGTCTTAAAACAAAAAAAAACCATGCTTTGGATTACGATTATTATGATGAAATACCCGATTCAACCAAGAGAAATTTTGAGATTGGTTTGGACCTAATCAACAACTATATTGACCACAATACTACCTCTCTATTTAAATCTAATCTAACAGATAAATTATCTACAGAAACTATTATTAAATTAATAAAAGATGCAAACAGAAATTCCCAACATAAGCCAAAACCTATCGATGCTAGATCTGTGCCAATTATGAATTTGATGACTACTTTTAAAGACATAGTGGAAGAGTACTGCTCATCTCATGGTTTGTTTTTTTCTCTGCAAAAAATGATTACTGTTGATGAATATCCTATTTATATTATAACCAGAGATTTTGATGGCAAAAAAGGGAGACCTTGTTATATATTTGAAGATGTGCTTTATATTAAAAAGGGTATTTTAGATGACGATGTGGTGTATAATACAGATAGTTTTGAGCCAATAAGTCTAGATGAGTTAATGAATGTGATTTAATGTATTGTAAAAAGCTAGGATCTCTTTGATTTTTTTGATCTTTTAGTCTTTTTAAAAGTTTTAGAAGTTTTAGATTTCAAATTCAATTCATGCTTATATTTGTTTATTCTTTTTTTTTCTCCAAAATTTTCATTTTCCATATCCAAAATACATTCTCTTTTTGCTCTAGTAGTTTTGTTTAAACTTGATTGGATAACAGAATCATCAGTCACAGTTTTGGTTATAGTCATCTTTTTATTGACTTTGGACTCAATAGAAATAATTCTTTGAATATCGTTTGGTGCTATCATACTTATGCTATCACCCTTTCTACCAGCTCTTGCAGTTCTCCCTACTCTATGTATGAAATCATCAGGATCTGCTGGAATATCATAATTCACTACCAACTCCACAGTTGGAATATCTAAACCTCTTGAAGCAACATCTGTAGCAATCAATATTCTGGCAGCACCAGCTTTGAATCTGTGCAATGAGTTTACTCTTTCTGATTGAGGCATTTCTGAATGTAGGGATACTACTGTTAGCTCCAAGAGTCTCAAAATTCGTCGCAATATTTCAGCTGTTCGTGTTCGATTGACGAAAATGATTGCAGATTTTTCTAAATAGTTCTCATTTACCAATAGGTTATGCAAGTAAGCTTCTTTAAGACCATCAGAAGGAACAAGAAAATAATACATGGACAAAGAAGGAGGGATTCGCACTTTATCCAAGGATTCCACTTCATGAACAAATATTTGTTTCTTATTTTTGGAGATTGGTCGATCTTTTAGAGCCTTGACAGCATCAGTGACTGTAGCAGTAAACAATAGAGTTTGCCTTTTATCAGATGAAGGCAATATACTAAAACATTTTTCCAAATCGTCGCCAAAACTATTGCTTAATAATCTATCAGCTTCATCTAACACTAAATATTTGACTCTCCTTAGGCCACAAATTGTATCATCACCACTGTTTGTAATATGGTCAGCTAACCTACCTGGTGTTGCAATCACAAAATGGGGTTTGTTTTGAAGTTCCAAGGCTTGTTTAACAATATCTTCACCGCCAACGATAACTGATACTCTGATATTCATGGAAGCACCCAACGCAGTGAATTGTTCAGCAATTTGTAAAGCCAATTCTCTTGTTGGTGTTAAAACAACACCGTAAATTGCACTTGGGTCCTCAGACCAAGTGCTTAATATTGGAGCAGCAAATGCAATTGTTTTGCCAGAACCAGTTTTAGCACCTCCAATACAATCATAGTTTTGTAGGATTTTGGGAATACAGGCTTTTTGAATATCGGTTGGAGTGGTAATTTTCATAGCCAGCAATGACTCTGATAACCAATTTGCAACGCCCAACTGTTTGAATTTTGACATCTTTGAATCGCTGAATTGTAATATTTGAAAAGATCGGTTTTAAAGATAAAAATCAAAACATCAAAACATCAAATTCTTCTCTTTGAATTTAGGTCCAATTTTTGATTTATGAAAAAAAAATTTAAACCTTATTTCCATGTGATTTCAATATAATTTTTTGAATTTTATTTGAATGTATAAGATAAAAAGAAGTTTAGAAATAGAGAAGTTATTTGAGTTGTGGAATAACAGCAGATCTGTTTGGAATTAGGTTTGGGTTTGAAACAGTGCTTCTTCTGCTTTGTCTACTTGGTCTGCTTCATCTGGTTCTGCTGCTTTTGCTTTTTCTCTCCTCTTCTTTTCCTACTTCCTCTTCTCTTTCCTCTTCTTTTCTTTCTTCTGCTGTTCCACGGCCATCTGTTGGGTTCCGCGGAATACACTCCGGATTCTCAAAGAGGCAGCCTCATGTTATTTCCAAATGCAGTAGCGTGTGATAGTTGGTTATTGAATCGTGAGATCCGGTCACTTTACAACATAAAATACCGAAATAGGCGAGTGGCCCAATAAGGCAGTTTGTAGGAAATTATCTCTATGAAAGGCCTAGGTCACGACAGACATCCAACATCACGCACTTTTAGAATCATTTATACAATTAGTTTCAGTTTTTAAATTGTTTTTACTTTCCCTACCCAACTACATCACTCATGATAATTTGATATAGATATCTGAGAAAGATAAAAATCAGTGGACATTAGACATCAGAAACCAAAAAAAAGTGATAAATAAGAGTGAATAAAACAGACAAAATTTTATTCTTAGGCGAAATACTTCAAATTTGAACAAGAATTGAACAAGAAATTCAATACAATGTTTATTAATTGTTGGGCTGAATAAAAAAATTTATAGAAGGAATATCATTAAAAACTAGTTTGAATATTGAAGAAAACACCACTATTATACTATTATATAAGAATTAAGAAAAAGGTTATCCAAATTAACCATACATTAAAGACAAAGGCTAGAGAAACTAAAAAAAAAAGAAAAAAAAAGAAATAAGAACTAAATAGAAAGAAAATAAGAACAAATTATAACTGTTTTAAATTTTCGGAAAAAAGAGTCGTTACAGAGATCATTATGAAATAAAAAATAACACGCCAAGTTTAATTAGGGGTGTTATCTGGATTTGTTCGAAAGTAGATATCAGCCAAATCATCATTATTTTCACTATTATTGTTGGAATTTTCAGACTGACTGTTATTACCAATATCGTTGATTAAAGGACTTTGAATATATTCGTTATCAAGATCGAAATTAAGCTCATTTAAGGATAAGTTTAAGCTCATCAAGTCATCAATATGTAAATTGGAGGAAATTGAATCAATATTATTATCATTATTATTATTATCGTCATTGTTATCATTATTGTTATTGTTATTATTATTGGTTGGAAAACCGTTTGAAAAGCCATTTGGAAAACCATTTGAAAAGCCATTTGGAAAACCATTTGGAAGGGTATTTGGGAAATGAGATGGCAGAGTATTAATATCTTGAATATTGGCAAAATCAGGATTATTCAAGTTTAATGGAAATTCTGAATTTGGGTTTGATAGGCCATTTGGATTTGTAAAATCGTTAAGGTTGTCAAAGATATTGGTATTAAACAAATTTGGATACTGTATTGATTTAACAAAAGCGTTATTATTAGCGTTATTATTATTATTATTATTATTATTGTTATTATTATGAGCAATATTTTGGTTGTCATGAAAATTGATATTATTAATATTATTTATATTGTTGATACTATCAACATTATTAATAACTGGGAGTTGTGAGTTGATGATGCTGTTTTTCCTTTCAGGATTGTTAAAAAAATCATCATTGATGCCGCCTAATTCAGTTTTAGCATCAATATATGCATTACTGAAAGAGCTCAAGTTTAAGACATCGGTATCTTCAAAATCGAGAGATAAATCAGTGGCTAACTGGGTATGAGTGAGAAGGTTATCGGGCAAAATAAATTGGTTAATGTGCGAGTCATTTAACATGCTACCTGTATAGCTAGTTGCTGGGCTATTTTCAAAGGTTGTGTTTGCGCCGCTGTCGTTTGAAATGAATAAAGGAGTTGAAAATTCTGAGTTGAGGTTATGATTTGGAGTGTATTGGTAGTGATTTTGATCATGATTTTTTTGTTGATTATTTTGAGAGTTCTGAATGGTATCACTAATATTAGTGTTGTTACTGCTGTTGCTGTTATTCCGGCTATGCTGAATTGTATTGATACGATTGATGGCAGGGCCAATTGAAATGGTTGAAGTTCTTCTTGAGTTTGATTGGGGTTTAGAAACTCTGTGGTGATTGAGTCTTGAGGGAATTGTAGGTGAAGTTCTTGACGAATTGGATTTGATAGCAGGAATGTTATTTGTATTTGTATTTGTATTTGTATTTGTATTTGTATTTGTATTTATATTTATATTTGTATTTGTATTTGTATTTGTATTTAAAGATAGCATAGGACTATTGTTGATTGAAGGCTGAATAAATTTATCGATTGGAATGGCTTTTTCGTTAGAATTTGTGCGATAGTATTTGACAAAAGCTAGACATTTATCACCATAGGCCTTTGGAGTTGTTCTGCAAGTTGATTTGAAAACTCTATGAAAATGCCATGCAGATAATCTGGCTTTGTAAGCCAATTCTTTGAAGCCCATGATTCCACCTCTTCTTTTTTTTTTTGGTGGTCTTGGAGTTTCCTCTTCGGTTGAGATAATATTAGCGTTAAGATTATGATTTTGATTGGCGTTAATATCGTTGCTAACGTTGTTGTTAACGTTGTCGTTAGAGTTAGTCTTAGTGTGGGCGTCAGTATCAGCAGTGTTAGGTAGGAAATCAGGATCAGAGTCATTTTCGCTGTCATCGTCATTACTTTCACCAGTATTATCATCACTTTTATTATCATTTTTATCATCGTGATTGGGTTTAGAATTGTTTGGTGTTGCGGTAATGTTTGGTTCTGGATTGTTCAAGAGAAATAGTTTTTTGTATTTAGGATCAGTAATGGTAGCATAGTTGTTATAATTTTCAGGCATTTTTTTCTCATAGACCAAGTTAACAGCGGCGGCAGCAATGTGGCAACAGGCCAATTGGACCAATTTGATGTTTGTAATGGTGCTTGAGTTTTCGTTGTTGTGGCCATGGTTTCTGCGAGAAGGTTCGTTGGAGTTTAGAGCTTTTAAATGGGACAAAGCAGGGTTGAACTTGACTTGATTATTGACAAAATTGACGCAGTGGAAGATGATTTTCCTTTCCCTGGAGGAAGTAAGCATATCGCATGGATTGCAGTATTCGCAAGGGTGGTAGCCATTATTTAAGCCTTCTTGGTAGGTATCAAAGATATCGATCTGGTCTCTTTCAGTAGCGCGAAAGAATGCCTCGCAATCTGGACGACAGAGTGTATGATTGTGTGTTTTATGGCCAATGAAAAATTCACCTATGGTTAGAGGATCAGTGCCCAGGTATGCTTGCCATTTTTCGTCGTCGGTTTTGTAATTGTGAATGTCCACCATTGAGTTGACAACTTGATTTAAGGCTGATTCCATGTTGAAGGTAGAGAGCTACTTTGCTTTAATTGTTTATAGTTTAACAGTAGTTTTTGTATTTGCTAGGGAAGACTATTGCTACTATATGGCTGTCTTTTTCTTTGCTGTTTGATTGTTATTGGGGTCAATAAACAACAATTGGTAGGATGTGATTCAGCTTTATTTTTTCTTATGGCTGTTAAGTTAGTGTGACGGGTATTATTAATGTGGCTGTAGAGATAAATGACGATGATCTATACTTGAGAATAAAAAGTAGCAGAGCAAAAATAAAGTAAAAGAAGGAGAAAATGTTTCTAATTTATAAGCAACCTGCAGATAGGCTCAAGCCAGAGAAATAGGAAAAAAACCAAGTATATCAAAGTGATCAAGTCCTAAACAACAAGATTGAAGGAGAGCAAAGTGTATAATATTGAATTAATCAAGCTAATTATCCACTAATTGCAGAGCTTTCGACACTAATAAAGCATGGTCGAAAAGAAAACGAGCGGAAGAGAAATAAGATTGACAGACAAAGAGAAATAAGATTTCAGAGCGAGGGGACCGACATGCAAGTCTGGAAAGACTACAAAGAAGACGAGCCAAAAGAAGTTGGCACAGATGCTGGACAAAAAGCGAGGCACCGTCCCAACTCTATGTGCAAATGGGCGCGGCAGGCTTCTTCGGAGATAAATGGATGCGCTTTTCCCTCTGCTTGCGGGCTGAGCGACGGAAGAGACGTCAAACAAGGCCCGCTGGTTGCGTATTGGCTTTTCAAAAAATGACTGAAGGTTAACTCTGTTTTGATAGGTGTGATGTGATTGGCTGGTGCCGTCAGTTACAGCTGTTCTAGAACAGTAGAAACAGAGCTTCTGCCGCGCACCGCTGCAACAGATGCATGCCAATAAGAGCCACCACCACGCGGACTCTGATTGCCGCTAGACAGCTCTGTCAAATGTGTTTTATCCATGGTTAGCCTCATTTGGCCCAGGATCATTTCTTGGTCGTCGCCAGCACGCCAACACAGCACTGGCCAATCACACGCGTGCATTGCTGGCTTATGTTGCATGGAAAAACCGCTACTGTGCGTCCAGCATAGACGTGCGTTGTGCCTCTCAAACCCTCTTTGAATTAATCCACCTCGCAAATTTCGCTGGGCTCTGAGACTCAGCTCGTACAAAGCTCACGAAAGCTCAGAAAGCTCAGAGGCCTTATGTATATGCACCAGATGAGCGAACATACACCCACAGCGTTCCCATTACATCAGAAACACCACGCATTATCAAATCACCTCTCGCTCCAGCACACCATGCCTTTTGACAGACCTGCTCTCTCTTTCCAGCGGCTGCTGTGTTGTCTTGAGACTGCAAGTGTTTTCCAAGCTCACCCAGCCCAAACTAGCCAGAGCTTTTCCAGAAATGCTCCTTCTGCTGTTTTTGCTCCTTTGAGAGCCATTTACGACTTTCTCCAGTAAACTGGCCCATCCACTGAGTGATTTCCATGTTTCGAGTTCCAAGAAATGCATTTGTTCTTTATGTAGTACATATGTTCTTTTTCGCAACTCAATTGCCTGTGTGCGTTTCGAATGGAGCCACGGATTCTTTCTCCTGCTCTCGTCCAATCAGCGCCCGTCCCGCTGCTCTTTTGGCACTTTTCTACTTTTTCCGAACTAATTGTTCGATAACCTCCCCCTACCATTTAAGCTCCAACTCTATTTTTTTTGTGATTCGATTATCACTCAAAGTTTTCATCTTCTGTTTATTTTTTAAATGATAAACTAACTCTCTTCTGTTTCAAACTCAAATCCTCGACGCTCACACTTCTGCTCTCTTTCATTGCTAAAATCAATCACTAATTGCACTTTCGCAATCTAACGATGACATGCAATTGGCAATCTCTAATCAAAATATGGTTCTAGAAAGTATTCAAAGGACTTCCATACCCATTAATTCCTTTTCCTCTTATTCTATTAAGCTTATACCTGTTATTGGAATTATTTTTTTAGTTCTTCTTCCGTATTAATTGATGCTCTTATTTACTGATTTATTTATTTTTTAGACCACAAAAAGAAAATCCAAAACCTACACTATTTGAATAATTATTCAAAAATTTATGAAAATATTTATTTCAAACCTATCTATACAGTATAAACTTTTTATGTCCATGTTTAATTACATTTTAATTCTTTCTTCCTTTCTTTCTTTCTTTCTTTCTATTTTATTCTTTTTTCTGTTTTTTATTTCTATTTCTTTTAATTTCTCTATTAATTTTTCTATTAATTTTTCTATTAATTTCTCTATTACTTTCATCACTTCCATTACACTTTAGTTTTCTATTTTACTTTTTATCTCTGCTATTTTACTTTTTATCTCTGCTATTTTACTTTTTATCTCTGTTTTTTTTTTAATCTTTAAATAAAATTTGAGCAATCAATGATGTTGCTTTCTCTTCGATCTTATTATCATCCATATATTCTTCTTCTTCTTCATCTCCATCTTCATCTTTATCTCCATCTCCTTGGTTCCCTTTTTTTCCCATTTCTTTTTTGTCATCCAATTCCACTATCACTTTCGTATTTTCACTCATATTTTTATCCAACGCCAACTTATTCCGACCCAACATCAATATATTCTCTTCAATCGAATCCTTTGTAATTAACTTAATCACCTCAACATCCTTTTCCTGCCCTAGTCGATGACATCTATCTTCTGCTTGTTTATCGTCATGTGGATTAAAACTCTGATCAAATATTATAACAACATTTGCACAAACTAAATTAATCCCAAATCCCCCACTCTTGGTCGTCAACAAAAAAATCTTAATCTCTTCCTCCTTATAAAACTTGTCAATCAAATCCTGTCGAATATCAACTGCAGTGCTCCCATCAAGTCTTAGAAACTTCACCTTTTCATACTCTAAAAATTTCTCAATTATATCCAAAACTTGCGTGAAAAGCGAAAAAATTAACATCTTAGATCCCTTTATTGTATACTCCCTTATATATTTCTTCAACTTCAAAACTTTATCCGACGAATAAAAATCTTTCTTTTTCAACTTGTATCGACTCAAACTCTTGGGAAATTTCTCACACAATTCATTCAATTCAAAATCTGTCATAACCTCCATATCCTCATAAATAAACTGCCTATTAGCATTCTTATAAACTTCTTCCTTCATTATCCTCTCTGACATTTGCTTCAATTTGCTATCCGTATAAATATTTCTAAATAGTAATGGATGAATAGCTGCTTTTCTTAAATTCATTATAATATTTTTCGTTTTGGTTTTATTTCCAATCATATTAATTCCCTGATTACTCTTGCCTTCATCAATCTCTTTTTCATAAATCCTTTTCTGTGCTGGTAACAATTCGCAATATTCAATCTGATGTATCTTTTTAGGCAAGTTTTTTAAAACATGTTTTTTTCTTCTTCGTAGAATAAATGGCTCCATAATTCTTTTGGCTTTGGAAATCGCTTGAATTGACAATAACGGATTATACTCTTCACTATCATTACTGCCACTATCTTCATCTCCATCCTCATTTTCATTTTCATTTTCATTCACATTCCTACTTCCATTTTTAGTTTTCTTTTTACCCTTTCTTTTTTTCCCACTCTTTGTTGTTGCCTTTTGATTAAACAACACTTGCAAATCTTCTTTATGTTCCTTGAAAATGCCCGGCAAAATAAAACTTAATAATGATATTAGTTCCTTTAAATTATTCTGTAAAGGTGTTCCTGTTAGTAAAATTCGGAATTTTCCCTTTAATCGCATCAACTTGTTATACCTTTCACTAGTTGAATTCTTTAACATATGCCCTTCATCATAAATAATACAGTTAAATCCTTGTTTAATTAAAAACTTCTGATCCTCTTTAGATCCGCATGCTAACGAATATGTAGTAATCAATATATCATATTTAATTTTCGATAAATGAATCCTCAAATCAATTCGCTCATTTTGTGTGCCATAATATGGTGAGACTTGTAATTCAGGTGAAAATTTTTGAAATTCTCTCAACCAATTTTCTAAAGTTGATGCTGGTACGATAATTAAATTTTGCCCAGAATTTTTAGGATCGATCTGTTTCAAATATGTTAAAAAGGATATCACCTGAACGGTTTTGCCCAACCCCATTTCATCTGCTAAAATGCAAGATAAATTATAACTGTAAAGTAAATTCAACCAGTTGAATCCAAACTGTTGATAAATTTTTAATTCTAAAGTATCTGACAATAACTGTGGTTGTTCACTAATATACTTTTTGTTTTGATTAATAATAACTGATGTTCCATTATTTCTTGATCTCCTGTTGTTTCGACTTTTTCTAAATGAGATGTTTTCATCTTCGTCTTCATCATCTTCATCATCACTGTATTCCTCTCCATCTGATATATCAGATTCAGACTCAACTTTTTCGATGTCTAACCCAGTTTCTAGCTCAACTTCTTTAACAAATGAAATTTTTTCACTATTTTTCAATTCCTTTTCATTGAGTTCAGTTTCTTTAGTTATAGTCAAATCATTATCACCATCATGATCTTCTTCATCATCATCATGAATTTTCTTCTGCACATTAACCAGAGATAATCCTATCTTGTTCTGTTTGTATAGTTTTTTGTCAATTACTTTACCGTTTCTATCAACACCCCAGGAAGCAATATCTTTTGAAATCGTTTGCCCCAATTTGGAGCACTTTTCAATCAACGTCTCAATGGCATCATAACCTTTCAACGTTATCTCAGTTTTTTCAACAATTCTCAAACCCATTGTCTTCCTTTTAAGATAAGTTCTTTTTGTTTTTTTAGCCATATCGACTTTTGCATTGTCAATTTCAACAAAATCTTTTTCTTCAATTTGTTCTAAAGACTCATATGGTCTTTCATCAATTAATAACTGAGCAATTTCTGGAGAACAACTACCGATATCAGAGATATCGAGAAGAGGAGCAGTATTCAAAAATTCTAATATTCTAATTTGATAATTGTCTTGCGATTCTTCTTTGTTTTCATATTTCTCATCATCATCCAACTCTTGATCAGATTGAGTATTTTCTGGTTCAGAAAATTGATCCTCTTCTTCTTCGCTTAAGTTAACGATCTTTTTCTTGGATTTAGCTAACTTTGAATTCGAGTAAAATTTTGAAGGAGATATAGCTTCTAAACTGTTATCAACATTATTAACATTATTATCATCATTGTTAACTTTATTATTAACCTCATTATCAAATTTCGAACCTCTAACTAGTTTTTTCTTTCTTTTTCTGATTTCATTATTACTAGTATTGCCATTATTATTATTTTTAAGGTTATATTTTTCAGTAATCTTCAAACTGGGTTTAGTTATATTTGAATTTGCTTTTGCTTTTGAAACTAGATGAGCAGTGGAGTCAGAGCTAAAGCTAGGTCGAGATCTTTGTTTGGGAGATAGAGAAGGAGAAGGATTTGATAAAAATGAAGGAAGAGAGTTATTGTTAGAAAAACCAGAATTAATAGTTCTCAATCTATGTTCAGGGTGCTTTGCAATAAAGCTATTTAAGCTAGCAGTAGTCTCTCTTAAATTGCCATTATTTTTTTTGAGTAATGCAATTATCAAATTTTCTTTCACATCGAATTTTAACTTCAACATTTGAATAGTCTGCTGTAAAGAACCATTCTTGATAGAACCATTCTTGATAGACCCATTCAGATTATTTGAAAAAGAAGATTTAAATGGGTTGGGTAAGTTTATTGACAAATTTGATGTCAATGAAGTCGATGAAGATTTGTTTGCATCGCCTTTATAGGCAAATTGTTCTAGAAATGGAGAAAAATTGGAGATTCTGTTGGGATTTCGGTTTTCAATGTTTCTTGTTGGAGGCAAAGCATCATTAAATTTTATTGGGGAAGACGAATCAAGATTCTTGAGTCCATTCTTATAAGTGTTTTGAATGGGACTTGAGTGTGGAACCTGGACATAAGGTCTTTTCTGGTTTGGTTCAGAAGCAGAACTGTCGTTGTCATTGTCGTTGTCAAAAGCTGGAGATCTTGGTCTTTTGGGCAAATTTGAGTTACTGGAAAAACTATTTGTCATTTTCAAAAACTATTATAAAATGGCAAAAAAAAAAAAATTATGCCAAATTTCCTGAAACGAAAAAAGATACAACTGTAAATATTCCTCTGAGAGTAGAATTCAACCTGAAAAAATATCTTTTATTGATAAACCAAGCTCAGAGCCGTAAAAACAGCACTCAATGAGTGAAAATCTACCTGACGTGCACAAAATACCCGTACTAACAAAACAGAGTCAGCTGACACGTGAATAAAGTGCAAACGCACCTCAAAGTGCTTTTATGCAAAGCAAAATCCGGCGACGTGGATCTCATTACTTTGTGGCAGCTGCTTTTGCTGCTTTTGCTTCTTCTGCTGCTTTGAAAAGTGCTGGTTATAATGAATATACTCTTTTTATTGAAGTATCTAGTCAGTGTTTATAAAAGACTAATCATATTTTCTGATTTCGCAGCTTTTTCCACTTACAACCTTTGCTTATATCTCTTACTATCTAATATGGCTCTTGTTGAAAGTTCAACAGATCTCGACCTGCTTCTAAAGTTAGATCACTCTCAAAAAATAACTCCCAAAAGACTAATAAACTCATTCAAAAAAGCTGAAGATGGCCAGCAGACATTATCGCCATCACTAAGTTCAATTCACTCTCAAATGATAGCCATTGGTGGCTCAATTGGCACTGGTTTGTTTATTGGAACCTCTCAAAGTTTAAGTCTCGGTGGACCGGCTTCTCTTTTGATTTCTTATTTATTTGTTGGGGTCATGATATATACCACAATTCAAAGCTTGGGAGAATTGGCTGTGAATTTTCCTTTGCCAGGAACATTTTCAATATTTTCGGCCAGATTTATTGATCCAAGTTGGGGGTTCACAATAGGTTGGAATTATTGTTTGCAATGGTTGGTTTGTTTGCCTATGGAGTTAAGTGCGATAGTGATGACTGTCAATTATTGGGAATGGGGTCAAAAGATTTCAAATGCTATAATAATATCTGCAGTCTTTCTTCTTGTAGTTGTCATTAATCTTTTAAATGTAAAAGTTTTTGGTGCTGTTGAGGTTTTTTCTTCGTGTATTAAAATTTTTGCAGTTTTGTCATTTATATTAATTGCAATTGTGTTGGTAGGTATTCAAAATACTAATCCAGAAGCTATCAACTACTGGAAAACCCCAGGCCCATTTAATAATAATTTCAAAGGTCTAGCGACTGTTCTAATTAATGCATGTTTCTCCTTTGCAGGAACTGAAATGATCGGTTTAACTGCAGCAGAATCCAAAAATGTTCATTTACAGTTGCCAAAATCAACCAGACAAATCTTTTGGAGAATTCTAGTTTTCTATTTGATAACGCTAACTTTGGTCGGTTTATTGGTTCCTTATAATGATATTAATTTAACTAAAAACAGTTCCCCATTTGTAATTGCCTTGGCCAAGACAAACTTGAATTTTATTCCTCATATGATGAACAGTGTGATTTTAGTTTCTTTAATCAGTGTTGCAAATGCATCAATTTATTGCTCAAGCAGAACATTTGTATCATTGTCAAATCAGCAATTAGCTCCCAAGTGTTTCGGCTATATTGATAGAAAAGGAAGACCTATTATAAGCATACTTATAGCTTATTCATCTGGTGCTCTAGCATATATTTCATGTATATCTCAAAAAGGTGCCAATGAACTATTCAAATGGTTGCTAGCCATGAGCGCATTATCGTCGGTTTTCACTTGGTTATCAATTTCTCTCTGCCATATCAGATTCAGAAAAGCCTTAAAAGTTCAAAACAGATCAATAGAAGAGCTATCATACAAGTCGCAGACAGGCATCATTGGTTCGTACATCGGCTTGGTTTCAAATTGCTTGATATTGGTTGTTCAATTCTATATCGCGTTATATCCAATTGGCCTAAACAGCACCAAACCTCAAATCGTGCCCTTTCTCAATAATTATCTAGCGGTTCTTGTGAATTTGCTGTTTTTCATTGGCCATAAATTGTACAGATATATCATCGACAGGAAACTCAACACATTCGTCAAGCTAAGCGAAATAGATCTCGACACCGGAAAGGACCTCAGAAACGCCGGCGACGTTGAGGAGTTGAAGCTGATGATCAAAGAAGAGGAAGAAGTTCGCAGAAGCAGAAAATGGTATAAAAGAGCCTGGAAGATTTGGTGTTAGCCCGTCACATGACAGAAGAGCATTTTTCAGTGGTCGCACTGAATGAAGAGCGATTCGTTTTGAAGTCGCCACTATCGAGCCTTCAGCCAAACATATATTGATATAGATTCGGATACAGAACTCAATAGACAAAGTAGTTTGTTTTGATTAAAGCTCCTGTTTCAATTAGTGCCAATTGTTTGTTTTTCCTTCGCTTTGGCCCTTTTACTTTGAGCGTTTTTTAGATAAATCATAATTTCTTGGACATGGACAGACTTGCAGGTTTAGGTGGAATGAATTCAACTCCAATGGATGGTCCAGCTGTCGATAATGCTGAAACTGTTTATATATCTTCATTGGCATTGTTGAAGATGTTGAAGCATGGAAGAGCCGGTGTTCCTATGGAAGTAATGGGCCTTATGCTAGGTGCCTTTATAGACGATTTCACTGTTCATGTTATTGATGTGTTTGCCATGCCTCAATCCGGTACTGGTGTTTCCGTCGAAGCTGTCGATGATGTCTTTCAAACTAGAATGATGGACATGTTAAAACAAACAGGCAGAGACCAAATGGTTGTAGGTTGGTACCATTCACATCCAGGTTTTGGCTGTTGGTTATCAAATGTTGATATCAACACTCAACAAAGTTTTGAGCAACTAAATCAAAGAGCTGTTGCTGTTGTCATTGATCCAATTCAATCTGTTAAAGGGAAAGTGGTCATTGATGCCTTCAGATTAATCAATCCTGCAGTTATAATGACGGGCCAGGAACCAAGACAAACAACTTCAAATGTTGGAAGATTAAAAGAGTTGTCGATTCAAGCTTTGATCCATGGTTTGAACAGAAGCTACTATTCTCTTAACATTGATTATAAAAAGACTCCCCTAGAAGTCAACATGCTATTGAATTTACACAAAAAAGAATGGTCATCCGGTTTGATTCTAAATGATTATAAAGAAAAAGATGAGAGGAATTTAAAAGACACTGAGAAGATGGTTGAAATCGCCAAACAATACAACCAAAGAATTGAAGAAGAACAAGAATTGACAGAGGCCCAATTGAAAACAAGATACGTTGGGAAACAAGATCCCAAGAAGCATTTGGGCGAGACTGCTGACGAGAGAATAGAGGAAAACATTGTGAGCATATTAACTGGGTCTGTGAACTCTGCAACTATCCAATAATTGCTTTTGCACAACCATATTTTGCGGTTTATAATTTATAGTATCTATAAAAAGAAATCAGCAATTAGTTCTGTAGGCCTTGGGATTTTCCGATTGACAATGTACATTGTATGGAAAATGCAATTGAATTTGTGATGTCTTTTCTCTTTAAAGTAAAAACACAAAATGCACTTGAGCTAATCGAACAAAAAGCCACACTTCCCTTCTGTGCGGGGGATAGCACCCACATTATTTTCAGCAAAACCCAAAATGCTCCACTCCCACAGGGAACTGTTTATCATACTCCTTTGATGTCTGCTTTTTGTTTTCAATAGCTTATCAATGGAAATTCAACAACTGCACAACAAAAAAGAAATACTGATTCAGGAGACAAAGATGAACATCAATTGGTGACCTGCAAAAGAAACTATCCAGCCTAGCAAAACTCTTAGACAGTCTTCTGGCTCTGGACAACCTTTGGGGGTTTTACGGCTTGCCTGCTTGGTAGGGTTTGTGGAGTGGTTTATCAAAGCTGTGAAGTTCTTTTATGGCACTTGTTTTTGGATGGAGACTGGGAAAACATCTGTTTTAGAAGAAAAATCTGCACCACAAAGACACTGGCAGTGATTATGCCAAAATTGTCAAAATAACCAACTTCTCCCATGTTTAGATTTTTCATCAAAAACAAAATAAAAGAATAAAAGGATAAAAAAATAAAATAAACATCTTTTTTTTTTGGTTATGCTAACTGAAGATGGTTGATGAAACTTCTGATGACTTTTTTTTAAAATTGACATTAATATTGCTTCAAAATATTACTGAAAATCCTCTCTCTTTTTCAAAAATTTTGGTCATAATTGTTTCAATTGTGTTTTTGGTTTATATTGTAATAAACTATTTTTTTGGTGTTGGTCCTTCTACTCCAATTCAAAATTTACCTCAAGTCCCTGGCCTTCCAATTGTTGGTAATTTGCATCAAGTTTTATACAATCCAACTGTCACTTACTCAAACTGGGCAAAGAAATATGGTGATGTTTACCAAATTAAACTAGGTAGCGAAAATATTGTTGTTGCCAACTCTTTTGATTCTGTGAAAAGGTTGTGGCTTGAAACTAGAACTTCTAATAATTCAAGACCCGTCTTATACACCTTTCATAAAGTTGTTTCTTCTTCAAAGGGTTTCACTATTGGCACAACACCCTTTGGCGAATCTTATAAACGAAAAAAGAAAATAGTTGCTACCTCATTGAACAAAAAAAATGTTGATGATCCTGAAACCTGCAATTTAATGGATTGTGAATCTCTTTATTTAGTTAGTCGAATTATGAGAGATCTCAGTGATACAAAAACCCAAAAAAACAATGATATCAATGTTTTAAAAGCTGTTCAGGGTTTTGCATTGAGAATCAGCTTATACAAAACATATGGCTTTTTTATTAACCTTGATGAAAAAAGTGAAAAAAACTGGAATTTATTTGATGAAATTACTTATGTTGAAAATAATATTGGAAGGTTAAGATCTCATACTTCCAATTTGCAAGATTATTTGCCGATTTTAAGATATTTTTCTTTAAATTTAAATAACAAAGCAAATGATTTTAGAAAGAGAAGAGATGTTTATATGAATCAATTCATGGAAGATGCCAAAAAAAGAATTGAAAATGACCAAGACAACTGCATTGATTGTATCGTCTCCAATGTCTTAAAAAGCACAGATTATTTTAATATATCCAGCGATGAATTAAACAGCATTTGTCTAACAATGGTATCCGCTGGCTTAGATAACACCCCTCTAAACTTCAATCATTGCCTAGGTCATTTATCTCAACCTTCCTATGGTTATGATATTCAATCAAAGGCTGTTGATAAAATAATCGAATGCTATGGCGACTTGCAAACTGCTTGGGATAACGCTCCATATGAATCATTTAAAGTTGATTATATAACTGCTATTGTGCGAGAAACATTGAGATATTTTACAGTTCTTCCTTTGTGTTTACCAAGAGCAACTACAAAATCAATTTTTTATAAAGGTGCTTTTATTCCTCAAGGCACCATTTTCTTCATGAATGCTTATAGTGCTAACCATGATCCTGAACATTTTGAAAACCCAGATGAATTTATTCCAGAAAGATGGCTTGATGAATCCGGAAAAATTATTATTAATGGAACTGATCATTTTTCATTTGGTGCTGGAGCAAGAGCTTGTGTGGGTTCACATTTAGCTACCAAAGAATTATATGTATTATTAATCAGATTTTTGATCATTTTTCAAATGAGAGCACCAGACGACCCTTCAATGCTAATGGAAACAGATCCAATAAAACTAAATGCAGTTCCAAGTTCTATTGCAATTGAGCCCAGAGAATATTATGTCAAATTAATACCCAGAAACACAGAAAGTTTCAGCATATTAGATTAAATCATTATTAAATTGACGTTGATTATATTTGAAAGTCCACTGATAAGAAAATATGCAGAGTTCTGTGAAATAATGCAGGTATTTTCCGGCACGTGCTTTCTTGTTGCTGAACAGTTGTAACTCTTCCTTCTTTTTCTTCTTTTTCTTCTTTTTCTTCTTTTTCTTCTTTCAATAAGTAATTCCTTACAGCTTACAACAGTTTTGTTAATTCAAATTGTTGTCGCTAGAGCTCATTCCTACATCATTAATATATGGTATTTTTATCAATTAAATATCAGGAAATAAGCCAGTCTAAACTTATTTGTATCATCTTATCGTTCTTATCTACCTCCATATACTTATCTCTTAGATGTGAGTTAGAGTAAGTATTACGAACAAGACATAATAAATATTATATGAACTTCTCATACTGTGAGAGTATTTCATGATAGGTATATTCACTAACAATAGTCTATGCAGTTTTTGTAAAAGACCATAAAATAATATAGGCAATATATTTAATGAATTTTTTTTGATGTTTTGCTACCAACTCTTGCAAGAAAACAACACCTATTTAGGTAATAGAATAGAGGGTGCTCAATTTTGATTTCAGAAACATCTAAATAGAAAACTAATTACTGTTGATTTGATAATGAGTATTTTGAAGATTGCAATTAAGCTATGGAGTATGTTTTCTCCAAGTATTATGAAATATATATAAAAGTAGAAAATAACGATAGTTTATTGATTAAAAATGAAGAAATAATAACAACAGATTATGAAAAGCCTGAAAAAATTGAATTTTTCGAACACATTGAAGATTCTTTTAATAAAATAGGTTTCTTGCTTTTCATAAACAAATTTCAAACATTTGATATAATCGCTAATAAAATGTTTCTCAAAATAGACCCGTGAACATGGGTAGTACATATTCTTACATCTTGTCAAATTTATTTTATAGAAGAAATTTTACATACAATTGAATTCAATCTCTTCCTTTTTCTGATATTAGTTGTTATCGAAGTGTAGTTTTAAAAACAGTATAAGTTTTATATTTCCTTGAAAGAACATGGGATTTACATTCGGTTTTACTGAAGATGATTTCAGCGACGATGAAACATTGAAAAACAAAAATATCGAATCAAAACAATTGGATTCAGTTTGTCCATTAGATAATTTTCAAGTCCCAAGTAATCACCAACCTAAATTGGAAAGCCTAGAAGAGATTCTTAGATCATTAGCAAATTTGACTATTTCATTTACTACTTCAACTACAATTCAAAACAACATAGTTTATCGAAGAGAACTATTTGATGTCAAACATCAATTGATGACTGAAGATAATATCGGGAATGATAATGACGAATTCCAGATATTATTAGGAGACACTAATGAAGACTTGAAAACAAACATCTATGAAGGAGGGTTGAAAAGTTGGGAATGTGCTTTTGACGTAGTTGACAAACTATCAAGTTTTGCAAACATCAATGAATATGACAAAATTGTTGAAATAGGCTGTGGAACTGCTTTGCCTTCTTGTTTCTTATTGAAAAAAATAATTGAAGATAAAATTTCCATGAATGATAAACCAGCTCAAAAAAAGTTAGACCTAATATTGTCAGATTATAATTATTCTGTTTTAAGATTAGTTACAGTCCCCAATTTGATTTTAAGTTGGGCATCAACATTATCTGTTGACATTTTGAAATCTTTACAAGAAAATAGAGACCAAGAAAGAGAGCTACAAGCAAATGAAATATTTTTATCACAGAACTTACTTGATACATTTTATGCCAACTTGAAAAGTAATAACATAACATTGCACCTAGTAAGTGGATCATGGTGTAGAGATTATATTGACATAATCAATGGCGTCAAAACCAAACCTGATGTCACTGACAATAAAACATTACTTATTTCTTCAGAAACAATTTACTCACCTACAATGTTGCCCATCATAAGCGAGGTTATTATTGAATTACAAAATTGTGGAAATCAAAATAATTTAGCGTTAGTTGCAGCAAAAGATATATATTTTGGTGTTGGTGGAAGTGTGGCTGATTTTATTAATTACTTGGAAGGAAAGATAAGAGATGGAACAAATATCAAGTATCGTATTGAAAAAATTGATTATAGTGGATTAAAAAGATCGATGATAGAGGTCAATAGTACTTGATTATTTTATATTTATTACCTTATATATGAATATTAATTGAACGAATAATAAAATTTCAATTATAGGAATATTATATAGTAGTTTTGAAAAAAAAAAAAAACATTATTAAAAACACAATAGAGAGTGGAATCTAAACCGTGAATCTTTGTTTGCATTTATTTTTTCTTTATAACTCAGACAAACTAAATTGTATTTTTCTTTGAATGATTATTACAGAAGAATAAAGACAAATTGAATAACTTTAAGAAATTTCAAAATAAATTGATGGTTAAATAAGTAAAAAAAAGGGCGTTGCAAGCACAAATATATCAAGTTTCTTATTTAGTTGGATCGTTCTTTTGATAACCCAAATAACCACCAACATTATGATTTGGTAACATTTGCAAATATCTTTCTGCTAAATCTCTGCAATCTTCATAGTGGTTGACACCACTCACTCTGTAGCATTTTTCCAAGGCTTTTCTTATATTTTTGAAAGCAGCTACCCTGATCCATTGCTCTCTAATCATGGAATATTGAGCCTCTCTTAATTGAGTTAAATCATTATAGTCGATTTCATCGAATGAAACTAATTTTGGACGAGGGTGATGTTCTACAAGAGTGATATATTAGTATTAAAGAATGTGAAAGAAAATGCTCAAAAACAATGCTCCTTACCATAAACCATATTGAATATTAAAATTTATTAAAATCTAACTACCTTTGAAGACGTTTTTAATGATTTTGTTGTTAATGAAGGTATTTCTTTCAAATGACATTATCTTTTACTAATAAAAAAATAACGGGATTTTATTGGCTGGCGTTCGAGCTGCAAAATGAGACGCAACTTCTCACGCTTTGTTACCCGTTTTGTGTGACACGCATTTTAAGACGAGGTCTAGGTCTAAAGTTCAAGAGAAACAGTTTAATAATATATTAAATTGTATTAAATTGTATTAAATTGTATTAAGAAATGATTATAATGCAAAAATTCTGATAAGGAGAAATAAAGAAAAGAAATAAAAAAATATGTAACACTATGATAAATCAATTCATAAATTAATCAAAGTAACGAGGCTCGTTGAAAACATGGTATCTGTGACCTCTAACTCCATCTCCATTGAATACTGAAGGGAATCTCAAGTTTTCTGGAACTTCGCTTTTATCTATTCTATGATTACTATACAACTCATTCTCATTTTCAAGGTCTTTTGGTGGTAACATAAATTTGCCAATTTGAATTTCGGTATCTGTGATTGTACTTCTACTAATTCTAGCATAGGCTATTCTTTTAAGTTTTTTGAATAGGATATATTGACACCATCTATCCCAATCACTAGGATCAATATCATGCATGCCAGATCTTCTAGAAACATATTTATTATAGTTTCCTTTTTTAGGTTTTGTGACAAGATAACTGAGAAGGACCATTGGTCTATTACTTGAGCCCATTATATCTCTTACGCCTAAAGCTTGCAATCTTCTGTCTTCAACATCTTCTTCTTGACCACTATGGAAAACCACAACATCAACATATTCACCATAGATGTCTAAAGTAGCATGGATTGCAGGAGCGATTTCACCCACTGGACTTGGTAAAAGATGATGAGTTGAATTAATGATAGGGAATTTGGAAAGCAATAGACATCCCCAAGTATGTTTGTTTGGACCTGGACCGAAATCTGTATAATAACCTAAATCTTCGGCGATTTTTTGAGTTAAATCACGATTACCCATGATGATTCTTTGAGTATCAGTTTCTAACATACCCATTATATCAATTTGAGCATCTTTTAGTAAGTCTCTCATTCTATCTTCTGAAGCCCACAAATCATTATCCAAACCAAAATGAACAGTCCAAATACCAGTTGTAAAAGTTTTTGTATCAGCGTTCCATGGTACCGGTTTATTGAATGGAAATCTAATAAAAGAAATTAGAAATGAAATAGAAGTGAGAATAAAAAGGATCAATTTGAATTTATTAAATATTTTTGCTGATAAAACTCTTATTTGAAGGTTAGTTATAAGACCCTTGACTTGATTTTTCGAGGAAGATAAACGGGAAGCCAAGACGCCTAAACCGATGAAAAGATGAGCAGAACCAAAAATTATATCTGTTCTTTCTCTTAACAATGGGCCACCAGGAACGAAAGCATAGGCAACAGTCCAAACACTTCCTAGCATTAATAGGACGTCCCAAAAAAAGGATAAAAAGAAAACAAGACTAGGATTAAATTTAAAAACATTATTGAAAATAGTTGGGGTAATTGCGCAAAGATAAAAGGTGTAAACTAAACCACCGAGATAACCTAACAAGCCTTTAAATAGATATAGAGTCAAAAAACCGATGGATGAAATGGAATAAAGCTTCCAAGAGTTTAATTTAAATGAAGAAGTTAAACCAAAATAAGTACCGTAAATCATTAGGGATAAAGTTAAGGCACCATATGGAACAGGAGTTGGACCTTTAATTGGATAACCTTCCCAAACCCAAGTTATTATGGTACCAGAATCAGATAATAAACCGTGTAACATGAAGATTAGACCACCAAAACCAAAGGAAGAAAGAAGTAGAGACTCATTTCCTTGAGCTAAGGAGGTCTTTGGTTTAGGAACAATTGGAGACTTTGAAATTAAATTTTTGTATAAAGCTTTATAGTTTGGAGTGAATAAAGAGGCTAAAGAAGCAACTATTAAAGCGGTTTTATTCCAACCACCGATTTTTTGGTTCATAATGGGCCAAACGGGGTTGTTTGAATAATAAGAGTATTTTGCTATTGAGGATAAGATCAAGCCGATTGTGAAAGTTGTGGAGTAGTATTTTAGTAAATTTTTTTTGTAATATGTATTACTGATATTGGTGATATTATTTTGATTTTGATTTTTTTTTTGTTTTCCATCAGAAAGATCATTTTGATTTTCAATCTTTTTAAAAGAATCAAAGTTTGTGGAAGAAATATTACCAATAAACCAAATTTCATTAGCTAAAGAGATTGCAGAGAAAGCGACACCAATTGAGCAAGTTAAAAGTTTATATCTCGGTCTTTTAACGACGAATGAACCAATACCGATTAAGGAAGATAGGAGTCTAGTTATAAATGAGTAGTTGGCCAAGAATCTTGTTATTGGGGGAATAATCAAGAAAATAGGAGCCAAGACACATAAGATACATAGTTCGAAGCCAGAGATACCCATGTGCCATAGGGGGAAGAACCAAATCATAGGTAATAGACATGTTAATATGGACCAAAATATAAAAGAGTTGATGATGTTTATTAGGAGGTTAAAATAAGATAGAGGGTTAGAGATGGAATTTGAAATGCAAGATTTGATAGAGCAAGATTGAGGATTGATTTTGATTGGAGTTGAATCAGGTGAATCAATTGAATCGGATGGGTTAATTGAGGTTGAAAATGGAGGTTGATTGGGGATGGATTTGTTATAAATAGTATCATTTTCAATTAATTGGTCAATGTATGAAGATTTTTGGTATTTATTGTGAGTAATTGAGTTGATTGGATGAGGAAATAAAGAGATTTGTAGATCGTTGAAATCTATAATTGATAAGGAATCAAAAGAGACATCAAGGAAGATTAATAGCCATTCAAAATAAGCATAATAAGAGTAAGCGCCAGGAACTCGATGAACTTTGTGTTGGATGTAGAGGTAAATAAGAGGAACAAGAGCTAAGAAGAAAGAGGACGAAACTAGTAATCGTAAGTTTCTTAATTTTGATGGTTTTGGAGTCAATTTTATGATTGAAATTTCATAGGGTAAAGATAGGACGATGTAGGAAATCATAAAGAAATCATGGGAATCCATGTCATCAGTTGAAGTGATATAAACCCAACCACCACAAGTGACTGTTCTTACTATAGCAGATATAGCGGACAAATTGGTTAAAAAGGGCCTGTTCTTGTTGTACAATTTCAAGTAATTTAGGAGAATCAATAAGAATCTCGGACCAGCAGTGAGGGCAATTGAAAGCTGGAATATAGCTCTCTCGGGGTATCTGTCACCAATTGTAGCAGAAACACTGGGAAACCATTCTTGAGGATAATGATACCAGGCATTAGATACGATTTTTTGGTAATGCAACAGGCAGCCAATGATAAGGGCGACTATGAAGGAGGAATAGGCAAAGACAGCATGGGCGATAGCGACATAGGAAGCATTGATCTAGACAGACAGATAGAGAAAGGTAATTGAGGACAGAAGTTAGTAAACAGTTAATGATTGAAAAAAGAAGGATTGGTGGATCAAACACAGGATAGCCAGAACATACAGTAAGCAATGGATTAGAAGCCAGTTGGCGATCCATTGTGAATAGCGAAGTGATCAATGAATAGACTAGCAGGCAGTGGTTAAGCAGAAATAACCAACCAGCACAAAAAGAGTATCTCAATGACAGCTCAGTTGGCGAGAACAAATATACAACAAAAGAGCGATGTGAGGGCTGGGTGGAAGTTCTGCTGCAAATCTGTCGCTGGTGCTTCATATCCAACATAGCAAACCTTGTTTCGGCAGGCACGCCGGGCGGGATCTCCGCTTCCGAGAGCGGGTAACATGGATCTGAGACCACAGGGCTGGAACAGCTTTACACGTGTGTCGCCAGTTGTGTGGACTCTGTAGTCACGCGCTTGTCAGGTGGCGGGTGCAGAATCAGCTGATTGCGGAGCGTGCGAATCGGCGGGCTGCGATTGGCTGGCGGGCTGTCCCCGGGCGTGCGAGGAGCTGATTTCCGTGCACAGCAACAGCTGCCCGTGCGAGCAGTGCTGCTGCTCGAACCAGAGTGCGGTGCGACTAGTGCCACTCCTGTGCGTGCGTGGACTACGCAACGGGTCCACCCCGCGGTTCGATAACCGGCCAGAGAACAACTGCAAAGGACCTGCCTGGTGATGTCCCCAACAAAGTGCGATTATATTCTATTCTCTTCAGTCGTCTTCAATTCTCTTCAATTCTCTTCATTTCTATTCAATTCTCCCCAATTTGTCCTTGGGATTCCTTTATATATCCTTCTTGTCTGCCTCTTCTTTCAATTGCCCTTTCTACCTCTTTTTCTTTTCTCTTCACGATCAATTAAGTGGTTTTCTTCTCCAGCTTAATTTCTTTCTGATTACTACTCATCTCCCTCTGCACCCTCTATACCCTCTACAACCATGTCTCTCTCCAACAAGTTATCCGTCAAAGACTTGGATCTTGCTGACAAAAGGGTCTTTATCAGAGTTGATTTCAATGTCCCATTAGATGGCAAAACTATAACCAACAACCAAAGAATCGTTGCTGCTTTGCCAACAATTAAATACGTCTTGGATCAAAAGCCAAAGGTCATCGTCTTAGCTTCTCATTTAGGCAGACCAAATGGTTCAAGAGTTGATAAATTCTCTTTGGCTCCAGTTGCAACTGAATTGGAATCTTTGTTATCAACAAAAATCACCTTTTTAAATGACTCTGTTGGTGAACAAGTCACTCAACAAGTCAACTCTGCTGAACCTGGCTCTATCATCTTATTGGAAAACTTAAGATTTCACGCTGAAGAAGAAGGCTCCCAAAAGATTGATGGTAAAAAAGTCAAAGCTGACAAAGAGGCTGTTGCTCTCTTTAGAAAACAATTGTCTTCATTAGCCGATGTTTACATCAACGATGCCTTTGGTACTGCTCACAGAGCTCATTCATCAATGGTTGGTTTCGACTGTTCTCAAAGAGCTGCTGGTTTTTTAATGTCAAAGGAATTAACTTTCTTTGCAAAGGCCTTGGAAGACCCAGAAAGACCATTTTTGGCCATCCTTGGTGGTGCTAAAGTCTCCGATAAAATTCAATTAATCGATAACTTGTTAGATAAGGTCAATATCCTTATAGTCGGTGGTGGTATGGCCTTTACTTTCAAGAAAGTCCTTGACGGCATGTCTATCGGTAACTCTCTTTTCGATGAAGATGGTTCAAAGACTGTTCCTGATTTAATCAAAAAAGCTAAGAAAAACAACGTCAAAATAGTCTTGCCTGTAGACTTTGTCACTGCTGATTCCTTCTCGAAGGATGCCACCCCAGGTTACGCAGCTCAAGAAGATGGTATCCCACAAGGTTACATGGGTCTTGATGTCGGTTCAAAATCAAACAAACTATTCGAAGACGCTATTGCTGAAGCCAAAACTATTGTCTGGAATGGCCCTCCAGGTGTCTTTGAATTCGACTCCTTCGCTGAAGGTACCAAAAAAATGTTAGCCGCTACAATCAAATCTGTTGAAGCTGGTAATACCGTCATTGTTGGTGGTGGTGACACTGCTACTGTTGCTAAAAAATTCGGCGGTGCTGACAAACTATCCCATATTTCTACTGGTGGTGGTGCTTCTCTAGAATTATTAGAAGGTAAAGAATTACCAGGTGTCGCTTTCTTATCTGACAAACAATAATTAATTTTATATACTATGAACCCTACTTGGACACAATCATCCTAAATAAATGACCGATACAAATTATTCAATAATTCATATTCCAACAACAACGTATTCCTTCGATACTCCAATCTAATAATTGGAACATTGCACCTTAAAACCCCACAATCTGATTCTATATATCGGATGTTCCCATCATACTCATTATAATTATCAATCTCATCTTTCCCAATCTTAATTTGCTCTTCGTCATGTTTTAAGCTATTAATATACTCTATCCCAACCCAATGTTTCTTAAAGTATCCATCATAATTCGAATTCAAAACTGAATTTCTCGATAATTCACATAAATCAGCCGAATTTAACTTATATACTGATCCCAATATCGAATAATTCTCTATCAAATATGAATAACTAGTTAGATTTCGTAATAATGGTTTATGTGAACAAATCGATACTTTATACCCTTTTTTAAACAACTCTAAAAATTTGTTGTTACCTTCATTTCCAAGATAATAACTTGGCAACAAAATTAAATTTATTTGCTTCAAATAAATTAAATATTCCATAAAATTATTATTATTATTATTATTATTATTATTATTATTATTATTACTCATATCGCTATTACTAGAAATATTATAATCATACAATTCTAAATTTAACCCATTATCATTTTCAAAAAAATTATTACCACCACCATTACCATTACCATTATCATTATTAATTTTAATACTTTTATAATTATAAATATGGTTATGATTTGAAGAATAATAATTAACAAGAAACTCTTTACTCACCAAATAATTAACCAAAAGTAACTTGTTATCCTGATTATTCTCAGAATTAACAACATTGTTTCTTAAATTAAATAAATTTAAATTATTTTTTAACCTAATACTATTTAAAACCATTAAATTATACCAAATACAGTAATAAAAATACTCGTTCTGTAAATCATCATTTGAACAACAATTAATACTAAAAGATGAGACCTTCAATAGTAAAAACGTCAATTTATAATTCATTGAAGGAATTAAGGAAACTTTAATTATAGTCTTGAAAAAATTAAACAAATCATTCATTGAATAAACATTAAATTCAATTATATACCTAATATTATGACTAATCAATTTGTTATCAACTAAAAAATTGGATAATTTAAACCATTGGTTTTTCTTATTTTTAAGTTTAATTGAATATTCAACTAAAGTATACTTATCCTTTTCCAATTCAATTATATCCTTTTTAATAATTTCTTTAAAATATTCACCATTTAGGGGAGCATATTCATAACTCAAAAAAACCATTTTTATATAGTTATTATTTTGATAATAATAAATTTCATTATCGATATTGTTGATATCTTTTATATTAATTATATCAATTAGTTTCAATGATACATTATTTTGAATTAAAACAATTCTGTTGGGTTCTGCGAATAATTTCTGTTTAATAAATTCAATTAAATGTTTCTTATTAATCGAATATCGTAATTTTCGAAAATTATCGATTTTTCTAACATTGTAAAAATCTCTATGGGGAATTTTTTTCAAATTTAAGAGTTCTGAATTTTCATTGATTAATTGATATAATTCAAATTTTTTTTGTAAATAATTTAATCGAAGTTTGCTAAAAGAGTTGAAAAGATTGATTTTGGTTATAGATTGTAAATAATTCAAATCGCTTTTAAATTGATTAAATGGAATAACTTGAAATGAATTATTGCCTATATATTTGCTAAAATCTTTCAAGATGTTTTCATCAAACAAGCCCAAAAACCTGTCATGAATTTGGCTAGTGAAAATGTCATTTTTAATTTTAATTAGACCGCAAAAATTATCATTGAAAAATTGAATAAAATGATTTAAATTAAAATCGTTACCTGTATAGCCATGGTCATCATTCGAAGAGCCAAATTCGTCTTGATAATGCCAGTATTTGGACAAAGGTTTAGGATAGATAATCCAATTTTTTATATTGTTATTTATTGAATTTGAAACTGTGACGTTATGAGGGTTCAAATAGTCTAATTGTTTTGAGATTAATAAATACTTTTTTCTTAATTTCAAGGATTCATTGACAAATTTCTTGAATGTGATTAGAAAATCGTTGGAAAACAAAGAGTTATTATCAAAATTATTACTGGACTGATTAAAAGAAGAGAGATAGCCATTGATAAGCTGGTCATCAAACTGAGTGTCTAAATCAGTTATAACATCACCTTCAATTGTATTGGGATTCAGAGAGTGAAAAATATCTGTATTCAACTGCTGGATGTTATACATCACAAAAAAAAAACGATCAATCAATCAATCAAAATATTATTATATTGTGCTAGACCTATGGAATTAGCTTAGTAGTGCAATATTTCTATAATTACCACAACAAACCATAGAATAAAATCATTTGCAAGTCTAAAGCCTAAAAGCCCCAGGGCATCGTGTGCAGCGGTTGTAGTTATAATTACAGCTATAGTTACAACAGTAGTTGTAATCCGATCTGGTTGATGTTCAATCCCTATTGATTATATTTACTTTCTTTTCTGTATTCCTCTATGTTGAAAAGCTAAAGCTGATCCGCAAAGGTGGATAAAGCGTGGGTGTTGGAAGTTTAAATTTCACTACAGTGGAGTATCGTGGAAAGAAGAGTGCGATTCAAGAGCAGCTAGCAGATCATGATAGCAGTTGGATGAAATGAGTGCTGGCGAGGAGAACGAATTGAAGGAATTGGAGGAGTACTCCTCCAGAGGGTTTTCGGCAGTGGAGTTTGCCAACAGGTTGTTGATATCTATGAATGACATTGACCACAGCTACAGCTACGACATTGATGGCAGTGCTGGTGATAGTAGTGGGATGGAATTGGATATCACCAATCCCATAAAGAAGTTGGAGTTTGATTTGATTGAGGTCAACAAGGAAATGAGGGAAATCGGGAACAGTAAGTATGAGGAAATATTGAATGAGATGAATAAAGAGAACGATATAAAAAAGTTGATTTTGGAGATCATTTTGCCCTCGATCAAGCAGATCAACTCGAATTTCAATACAATTGAAAAGAATATTTTGCAGCCTTTTAACGAGTTCAAAAAATTGAACAATTCAATCAAGAATCTATATTCGACGAGCAATCTATTAAGGAAGTTTCAATATTTTATCTATTTATTTGAGGAGTTGAACAATGGGATAAACAACGAAATTCTGGACTATGACAGTGGCAGCAGTAATAACAGTGGTGCATATTTGAATAAAGTGATTAGGAATTACTATTTTTTGAATAAACATTTAAATGACAACGAATCATTAATGAGTTTAAAAATAATTAGAGATTATAAAATTATCTTAGGTGATATTAAAATTCAAAAAATACTCAGGTTTTTGAATCAGAAATTCAATTTTATTATTGTCAATCATGATAATACCAATATCAAAAGCAACAATAATGGTGATAATAATTATAATGGTGATAATAATTATAATAATGACATTACTGCTAAAAAAGAACTTGATAACATTAAAATATTATTTATATCATTTATTATAATCGATGAAAATCACTTAGTCAATAAGCTTAAAAATTATATTAATAGTTTAATTAATTTGTCAATTAATAAACTATCAAGAATTCTTACATCTCCGCGAAATTTTAATAGTTTAATGGTGGAAATCAGTGAAAATGGATTATTTTTGTTCAAAATTAGCAAAATATTGGAAAAGACTGAGTATCCATTTTTTGATGAAAAAGAAGAAACTGAAAAAAACAATAATGAAGCAAAATTAAGGAAAATTAAAAAGAATTATTGGAGCACTTGCCTCAATGAACTTGAAAACAGTGCAATTGGTACCGGCGTTTTGAAAATGGTTATCAAGAAATTAGATATCAATAATATTACATTGTTGCAGTACTATTGGAAAGAAATTGCTATTAAATTTGAAAAAATATTAACCAGTACAATTGAAAGAGGAGGGCCAGTTGGGAAGACGTTGAAGTTGTACTCCAGCGAAATCAAAAATTCCATCAAGGTGAATGTCATCAACAGTGGAAAACTTAATGCCATTGAAGAGCTCTCAGAGAATAGTTTCGAGGTAAAAATGATGTTGAACTCAACCAACAGCTTTGATAGAAACACCAGAGTGTATTAACTTCATGCTTCATAAATTTCACTAGAAACTTGGTCATAAAATGCATTATAAATTGCACTATAAAATGTAGTATAAATTGCGCTATAAAATGCATTATAAAATGCAAGATCTTTTTGTACGCGTTTCATGGGTTTTTTTCAGTTACCCGACAAACTTTATTTTTTTTTTATTTGGAATTTTTTTTATTTGGAATTTTTTTTCAAATCTTTTTTTTTAGCTGGAACACTTTGTTTTTAATCATTTCTTGTTGATTTATTTTTCTTCTTTAATTTCTCTGGTGTCAAAAAAAACCTTTAAATATGGATCAACAGTATCTTTCCTCTTTAGAGGAAACTCTCAAACTCGCTACACTTCCTTCTACCGAAGTTATCAAGAATGCTACTGCAAATTTGAAAAAAAATTTTTATGGTGATTCTAAATCTTTGCCAGCATTAATTCATATTTTGCAAAACAGTACTGATGAGTCGATTAAAACAATCGCAGCTATTGAAACAAGAAAACTTCTTTCAAAACACTGGGGTTCTTTAGATTCCAATTTAAAATTCCAAATCAAATTTTCAATATTAGAATTTGCTTTACATAACAATGAAAAAAAGTTATTAAATCACAGCATAGCAAGAATTGTTTCAACTATAGCTGATATAGAACTATTAACTAGTGACTGGCCTGAATTATTGGATACTTTAGTCTCAAATTCAAGTAATGATACAGCTATTTACATTCTTTATACTTTGTTAGAATCTGACAATCCAATTGTTTCAAAGCATTTGTCTGATTTATTATCTCTTTTCGGTTCAATCTTATCTAATAACAATTCTTCTTTGGACATTAAGATTACCTCTTTATCTTCTTTATCTTTAATTGCTTCATTAATTGAATCAAATGATCAAGGGGTCGTTGATACTAACTTAGCTAATAACTTTAAGTTTTTAATCAATCCTATGGTGGATTTATTAAAATATGTTGTTAATTCAAATGATGTATTAAATTCGAAAGATGTTTTTAATTCATTCAACGATTTTATCTATTTAGATAACAAACTAATCGGTGAAAACTTATTATTGTTAATAAATTTAATGTTTGAAATCTCTTTAAATAAATCAAACTTAGACGATGAAATTAGACTAATGGCCTTAAGTTTTCTTTCAAGAGTTATTTCTTTAAGAAGATCAAAAATTACTCAAAACAAATTAGGTCCAACTTTTGTTTTAACTTGTCTTAAGATTGCTTCTGAGCCAATTGATATTGATGATGAATTAGACAATGAAGATGAAGAAAACGAAAATGAAGAAAACTCTCCTAGTTCTTTATCTTTAAGAATCCTTTCTGAACTATCAACTGAGCTACCTCCATCCCAAGTTATTTTGCCTTTATTTGAACATTTACCTGCTCTTTTAAGCTCTTCAAATTTTTTTGAAAGAAGAGCTGGTATTTTATCAATCGGTTTAACTGTTGGTGGTGCTCCCGATTATGTTTTTACCCATTTACCAAAATTAATTCCTTATTTAATTAATGGTTTAAAAGATCATGAATTAATTGTTCAATTGGCTACTTTAAAGACAATTTCAGAATTAACCAATGAATTACAAGATGGTATCACTGAACACCATGCCGATTTATTACCCTTAATTATTCAAATCATCGATAGTGCTACTAACGTCATGATCTATAAAAACGCTACTTATGCCTTAGATGGTTTGATTGAATATATGAGTCATGATGCTATTTTGTTATACTTGGAACCACTTATGAATAAATTATTTCAAATGTTGCAAAATTCATCTTCTCCTTCTCTTAAGTGTGCTATTGTCTCTGCAATTGGATCGACTGCATTTGCTTCTGGTAAAGCGTTTATTCCATTTTTCAATAACTCTTTACAATTTTTGGAACCTTTAATTCATTCTTCGAATTCAAATTCTAAAGATTCTGATTTACCTGATGTTGAAATTGAATTAAAAGCTTCAACTTTTGAAAATATTTCTACAATGGCAAGAGCTGTTGGTCCTAAACCTTTTGCTAAATTTGCTGAACCTTTAGTTAACTCTGCTTATAATTCAATGAATTCTGATGCTCCAAGATTAAGAGAATCTGGTTTTGCTTTTATCTCAAATATGGCAAGAGTTTATCAAAAGGAATTCACTCCATTTTTAGAGAAATTAGTTCCGGAAATCTTCAAATGTCTAGAACAACCTGAATTCAATGCTGATGAGTTATTGGATGAATTTGATCCAAATGATCCTGAAATCACAGTTTCAGATGTTCTTAAAGTCGTCGATGATGACTCTGAAGAAGCTGATCTTGAAGATAAATTTCAAATTCACACTGGTATCACTATGGAAAAGGAAATTGCAGCTATGGCTTTAGCTGAATTGGCTATTGCCACTGGTATTAATTTTGTTAAATATCTTGAACCTTCTATTAACATTCTTATTGATCAAATCGATAACTCTTTTGGTATAACTCAACCTGCTATTAATTCATTATGGAAAATTGTAAATGCAATGGTCAAGGTTCACTACGAAAATCCTGTTAACACCAACAATGAAAATTACAGAAATTTAACTGGTGATGGTATCAAATACCCAGTTGGTGCTGTCTCTTCATCTTACGTCAATAATGATATTTTATCAATCATCAAATTAGCAAGAGAAAAGTCATTAGAATTATTGGAGTCAGAATACACTATTTCAATTGTTTATTCAATTTTAGATAACTTTTCTGAAACTATTAAAAATATTGGTGCAATTTCAATCATGGACAATGGTAATAGCTCTGAATTAGAACAGTTATGTGTTGAATTAATGAAAATCTTAAAAGAAGAACACCCATGTCAGGTTGACGATGATAAAGATGAAGCAGAAGATGCTGATACTTCAGAAATGGAAGCTTCATTATACGATGAAGCCTTGGATGTTTTAGTTTCATTATCAACAGCTTTAGGTGGTGACTTTAATAAAGTTTTCCACTCATTCAAAAATGTAATTGTTTCTCAATTGAATACTAAATCCAAAATCAAAAGAAGTTCGATTATTGGATCATTGGCTGAAATTTCTGTTGGACTTAAGTCATCGAATGAATTTTCGAAAGAATTACTACAAATATTTATTGAAATCTTAACAAAAGATAAATCATTAGATGTAAAAAGTAATAGTGCATTTGGTATTGGTGTTGTCATTGAAAATTCTAACGAAGATTTTTCGTCAGCCTATCCAACTGTTTTAATTACATTATCTAAGCTATTGACTAAAACAGAAAAAGAAGAAAATAAAAGCATCGATGATGAAGAAACTCAAGAAATTATTAAAAGATTTTATGCCAATGCATGCGGTTGTGTTGCCAGATTAATGTTAAAAAACGAAACCATTATTCCATTAAGTGAAGTTTTGCCAGTTTTAATTTCTCATTTACCATTATCAACAGCATTTGAAGAAAACAAGCCAATTTTTGAATTAATTCTTAAATTATATCAAGAAAATAATGAATACATTTTAGCAGAAACTCCAACCGTTGTTGAAATTTTTGCAAACGTTTTTAAAAAGGAAGCCGAAGTTAAAAAGTTAGAAAACGAGTCTACATTGGGCAGGGAACAAAACATTGAATCCTTAAAACAATTCCAGGTTCCTGATTTGAGAGATAAAATTGTTGAATTATTAAAATTTTTAGATGGAAAATATTCTGGTATTGTTTCAAATAATGAAACATTAAAATCTATTTTTTAAATCAAGCAGTCTACAAAATAATTTACCTTATTTTTTATTTTTTTTTTGTTTAAAGTAGTTGAAGTCTTTTCCTATTTCAATAGTGATTATAATTTGGTATTTCTGTTTTAATCCTGTTTTTTTAAAGATTATTACACTTTGATATTTATATCTTTTTATGTTGTCTTTTATAGTTTTTTTTTAATAGTATATAGGTTTTTTTACTGATTTGTTGTTTTATTTGTCCTCCTACTATCATTCGAATTTTGATCATTATATCCTCTTTTATTGTCCGCCATTGATTTTTCCACCATTAATTTTCCTTTTTTGCTTTTTTAGAATCTTCATTTTAATCTATATTATTTCATATTAATTGTTTTTACTACAATGTTAAAAAAGATAAACAAAATACGAAGATGTGAGACTTAGGATATTATGGACTAATTGTTTATGTAAAGCATTTGTATGTTTTCTATTATCTTGTTTAATAACTTATTTGGTAATGTTTTAGTATGTTGTTTAAAATAATGGTTTGCAGTTTGCAGTTTGTTGTTGTTTTTTTGGTTTTTTTAATGGTTAGAAAACTTTGGAATAACATCTAATTCAAAATCTCCTGAAAAACTGAAAGTCTTTAAATCAGGGGTTATATCGGCTGAATCAAGGTTTAAAAGTCTTGGATTGATGTTAAAAGATTTTGGTTTGACTTTTATATCTAGGTGATAGTTACAAAATGATGGGAAATTAATTAGGACATTGTTTTTACCTATACTATAATTTTCATCATTTGTATCTGTACTATAATTGTCACTGTTTATATCTTTACTATGATTGTCATTATTTATACCTGTACCATAAATGTCATTATTGCTATTATACTTTTTTTTTTTTTTTTTATCAATATTACTATTTTTTTCGTTATTCTGGTTTTCATTATTATTGTCATTGTTCATTTTGCCTATATTAACATTAACATTAAGATTAAGATTAACATTGTCATTATCATTAACATTAACATTAACATTATCATTATCATTATTCACTCTTTTTTTTTTTGAATTGCTATAAAAAGATCTTGTAGAATATATTGTAATTTTGCTGGAAAAGAGGGATTTGATAAAAGTAGAGCCAATGCCTATGTTATATTTATACAAATCATATTTAATTTTGTAATTACCAATTTTCCTTATTGCTAGATCTTTAAATTCAAAACAATAAGAATCAACTTTATTAAGATTATTAAGAAGACTATTCTCTTTAACACCGAATAGAATTTTTGAACCAATCAAATTATCTTGGTTTGAATAAAGAAAATCGTCATAATAACCAAATAAAGTAGCAGTAATGAAAAACTGATTGTGGCTGTTTATATCGTTTGTTTTAAGTATCAATTTAGTTGTTGGAGAAAGTAGTCTTTTGGAAGATTGGCCAGACTGTCTACCTTGAACAGAATATTGAGTTATATTTAGGTTATAAAAATATTGTGGTAAGAATATAGGTTGTAATTGATTTGGATATGGGTAATTCATTTTCAGAGTTTTTTTTTATTAAATGGTTTTGGTAAGTACTTTACTGGGTATAATATAGGAAATGGGTTATTTAATGGTTTAGGCAGTGATTTAGATAGAGATTTAGTGAAAAATTATAATATCTAATTAGTTTGCTAATTTTTAAAATGCTTCATTAGTTTTTATAAAAGAGCAAGAAAAACTGGCGTATTTATATTATTTTGAAAACTAAAAAAAAGTATGGATTGTTTTGGTCATTGCCAAATATGAAAAACAAATATAATGATTTATAATAATTTCTATTGATTTGAATTGTTTTATTTATATATTTGCACTATTTATTTGTTGTTATTTACTTGTTCTTGGTTGCATAGTTCACTTTTTCACAACAAAACAGCATTTTGATTTTAGTAATGCATTTAGATTCTGAACTGGTTTTGTAAGACATGATTAGAAATAACGTTACATAAAAGGAAACAAATAATAATCAACGAAGAGGAAAGTTTGCAAAGGAAACACATTTCTGCTTTCTGTTTATTGCAGATCTTGTTGAGGTTGGTAGAGTTTGTTTTAGGTGCTGAGCTATACTTTAAGCTGGGCTCTGTTTATGTTTACTGTTTACTCTTCGCCCTCCACTGCTTCTATTAGATGGCAGTGTTGAGACACACCCATCCAACATAAACAATCAACAGCCAACTGTCAACATAAACAAACAGAACCCACCTTCCAATATAGTGTCAGAAGCATAAACAGCAGTCCACAATGAACTATCTTGAAAGGAAGTTCAAGCAGAGAAGAGCTCTACACCCCCCAGTTCTATCCATCAACACCAGAGGCATTGATCCTGGTCTTGATCCTGGTTCACATGGGCTTGTTCTAAACAGCGAAATTAATCTCTCTGTTAATACCTCCAACAAACACACTGGCAGTATTACTTACAACCATTCTGTGAAGCATGAAGTGAGTTTATCTCCAACAAAGACTGAGATGGGAGAGAAGAATAACAAATTTATAAAAGACGTCCTCCAGAGTTTAGATTCTGCAAATGATGAGGATAGTGGCGGTATTTATAATGAAAATGACCCCGAGAGCGATATTTACTGGAATCAAAAGTTACTTGACTTTTCAATAATTGACGAGTTTAAATCTTTGAATCCTAATCTGCCACCAATCTACAACAATAACAATAACAATAACAATAACAATAACAATAACAATAACAATAACAATAACAATGATAACTTAAATGATAACATTGATGATAATGAAGCTTTAATAATTGAAAATAATAACTTAATTATGAACCAAAATATATCTTCTTTAAACTTTGAGAGATCGAAATTAAAGCTACAATTAACCAACTCTAAAAGAAATTCTGCATCATATTTTTCAAACAATAACTCCATTTATTTAAATAACTCAAAGAATTCTCAATCTTTTTGGAAATATCATATCTTGATTTCGTCTGCATCAAAAAGTTTAAGAAATTCAAATCTAACCTCTTTCTATTTGACTACAAATCCTTCTTTAAATCATATATACTGCAAGATTGCCCCTTCTTATTTTGTTAAAATATTATACAAAAATGATGATAATGATAATATCTATAATGAAATTGATTCGAATAAAAAATTTGAATATAAATTGTTAATGGAAATTGAAAATTTTGATTTGCCTATCATAATTATTGAAAAGTATTCTTATCTGTATATTGGCAAAATCGCTTATACTTATAAAATTAAGCTACTACCTTATTCAAACCTAACTTATATTAACGATAATAATGTGGAATTTAATTCTCATTACGATGATTACAAAGCAGGTAAAACCCCAATCTATTGGGAGACTATAACAAGCAATTTATCTTTAAACTCCTATATTAATTCTCCTGATTTATTATCTATATTATCAAAATCAAAATCAATAAACTCACTGTCTTCAATAAAATATTCACTCTATAATAATAATTATCAAATAAGTGATCCTTATAAAAATTCATGGATTATGGGTTCTATACCCAAGTTGAAAAAAAAAAAGTTAATTGGAAAATACAACACTTACTTACTTATGAATAATACTAGTGACGATGATAAAAGAATATTTGCCTTTTGCAGACTTCATCAAAAGAAATTTAAAAAAAAATTAATTGTTGATTTCAAAAGATACAAAAACTCCTCAATTAATGATTTTTATTATAACAAAAATTCTAGTCATCATTTTGATGACTATGATTCCGAAGAATACGATTCTGAATTAGAATCCGAAAATACTGAAACCGTAAGCAGTAATAATAGTAGCATGGCTGATATTAATAATACTAATAAAAAAAATTTAGCTATCAGGTCTAGGAAAAAATCCTTTCATAAAATGTCAAAAAGTTTATCAGACCAAGTATCAAATAAATTTTTACCAAAATCAAAGTTGATTGAAAAAATTGATTACGATAAACTTTTGAAAGAGAAAAAAAAAAAGTTTGAGACTTATTTTAATCCAGGCGATGGTATGTTTCAAAGAAACACACCAGATGATAAACCAAATGATTATAAGTTGGGTTGGCTAACCATTTATAACGATGAAAATATTTTAAAAAATCAGGGAATGTGGGAATTTATTTTGGCGACCTCGATTACAATTTCAATGGAAAGAGCAATAAATCATTTGCCCTTCACTAATCACTAATCTATGATTTTAGAAAACAGTCAATTACTATTGTATGCTAATATTCTACTTTCTTTTTGTCTAATTCTAACATCCTCCAAAAGAAATATTAACATAACATAGAATAAGCAGAAAGAAATTTTTTGAAAGTTATTAAATAGTGTTGATTTTAATATTCTTATTTTCTATTTAGCATGGTTAAATTTTGTTATATCACAAAAGGAGCTCTTCGTTTTTATTTCTTTTGAGTGTTTTTTATTCCACATTTCATTCTTTTTTTTGAATAACTCTTCCCATATTGAATAAATAGTGAAATTACTTTATCATCAACAGACCCTGTGGAGAGATTTGGCGGCTTGGACTTATTGTTCAAATAGTTTCTGTCCTATGAAATTCGAGCAAACGATATCAGGTGTTTAAAACGCATTGAATGATTTCTCTGAAATTAAGCTCCGGATAAATCTCAATGCATGTTATTCATGGTGCAGCCCCTTTCTACCAGGACAGCATGTTTGTTCGTCGGGCAAAATCTTTAACGAATATCTCCAACCTTGAGCGCCGCAAGATATCAACCAAATCAGCGATAATCAAAATCTACTGAAAGAGACAAAGAAAGCAATACTACTTGGAGTGCTCTGGGAGCAGTTTAGAATTGAACTAATTTTGAGACTTGAAGGGTTCTAATTGATAGTTCTTTAAGTTACAATTATCTATGTCTAATATCACAAACGTATGGTAGTTGAAATCTTTGCACAAAAATTATATACTATTTTCTGGGTAAAAACCTGCTGTCTTTCCATTATGATTTTCGGCGAATGTAAAAATGTGAAAAACCTAGCTCTAAATCAATTGTGATACTGATCATTGTGAATTTTACAATATTCTATTATTTATACTATATTATTCGATATTTTTTAATATTAACCTATCTGATCTAAATTAACTTTTTATTGTTGAATAGTGTATTTTTCCAACTCAACGAATGCTAGTATTGTGCTTTATATTTTTATTTTTATTTTTATTTTTATTGTGAATTAAATTCGATGAGTTGTAATCCCTTTGATTTTCTATTGTCCAAACATACTACTAGTAGCCCAGTAAAATTATAAATTATTTGAGTAGACCTTGATGTTTTATTTAAAGTCCATTTGCACCATGTCCTTTACTTCTACAATTTCCTTCTAGAAAACATTAAAACAGGGTTTCCATATTCAAAATAATAACATTGAATCAAAGTGGTTTACAGCAAAAATAAAATTCAATTGACCCATAGTTTCTTTAAAATGAAATTTCATATAACCTTCAACTGTTTTGAGATAGATAGACAAACTATGTGACGGTAAAATCTTCTTTCAATAATGCTAAGTAGATATCAAAAAAACCCAAAACAATTAAAATTAATTTCCTACTCAACAACTTCAATAAAAAACCCTCTATTTCTTTCGCCGAAGAACAAGAAATATTTTGAAATTACTGCACTGAAAAAGGCACTACAGCTTTAAGTTATCTTATTATCTTTTTCCTACACACGACTTAATGGATAAACCTTTTGTACCTAGTAAATATGCAAAATAACGCAGATGCACGCTTTAAATATATATAAAGAAATTTAACTTTTTCGCTAAGCTCATATTTTTTTTCTTTATCAAAAGATCTTTTGGATGACAGAAGCCATATTTGCTCGAAAAATAAACTAAACTATATTATTCAAAGGTTCCAATATTCAAAAAATTGATTATTTGAATATTTGATATTATCGAATATTATTTATTTTCAATATAAATATTTGAAGATTTTCTTTGTTTCTTTTCTTTAAATTTTTCAAAAATAATCAATAAAAATCAATAGTAACAATAAAAATTGGATCTCAATTTGAATTAAATTATTTTTTAATAAATATATTCAATAATAAATCAGATTTCAAGATGTCTAAGAAAGGTGAAGAAACTGGAAGCATCCATGATGCTGATTACTCATCAGACATTGAAGTCAGAACAAAAAAGGCAAAGCTAAGGGAATTTCATGATAAATATCTTGAGCTTCAACATTCAAATTTAACCTCAGTTGAAATGTTTTTATACAATTTTGATTTAAAACCGGTAGAATCTGAAAGAAGAAAATGGAGTTGGTTTAATTTTGTGTTTTTCTGGATTGCAGACAGTTTTAATATTAATACATGGCAAATTGCGAGTACAGGTGTTGAAGCTGGTTTATCTTGGTGGGAAGTTTTTATAACTGTTTGGATTGGTTATATTATTGTTGGTATCTTTGTTGCTTACTCTGCAAAAATCGGCTCCAACTACCACATTTCATTCCCTGTCTCTTGTAGATCGTCTTTTGGTATTTTTGGAAGTGTTTGGCCAGTTTTAAATCGTGTTGTTATGGCTATTATTTGGTATTCTGTTCAGGCGTGGCTTGGTGGTCAATGTATTCAATTAATGCTCAGAGCCATTTTCAGTAATAATTTGGATTCAAAATTATCTGGCAGTATCAGTGGAACGACCCCATTTCAATATCTTGGCTTCATAATCTTCTGGACTTTATCGTTACCAGCTATTTGGTTTCCTCCTCAAACAATTCGTCATTTATTCACCGCTAAAGCTGCTGTTGTTCCAATTGCAGGTATTGCATTTTTAATTTGGGCTATTGTAAAGGCTGGTGGTATTGGTCCAGTGGTTCATCAAGAAACAACAATTTCTGGTAGCAAACATGGTTGGGCTTTTATTGCTTCATTAATGAACTGTATTGCAAATTTTGCAACATTGATTTTAAACGCACCAGATTTCTCTCGTTTTGCTAAAACAAAAAAATCATCCTTCTGGTCACAAGCTATTTCAATTCCATTTTGTTTTGCTTTGACATCCTTAATTGGTATTTTAGTATCTTCTGCTTCAACAATTATTTATGGTAGAACTTACTGGTCGCCTTTAGATGTCTTGGGATTGTTTCTTGAAAACTATAAATCAGGAAATAGAGCTGGTGTCTTTTTTATTGCTTTTGCATTCGCTTTAGCACAATTGGGTACTAACATTTCAGCTAATTCTTTATCAGCTGGTACTGATATGACCGCATTGCTTCCAAGATATATCAGCATTAGACGTGGTGGTTTCATATGTGCTGCGATTTCATTATGTATTTGTCCATGGAACTTTTTTAAATCCTCAAACAACTTTACAAGTTATTTATCATCTTATAGTGTCTTTTTAAGTGCAATTTCCGGTGTTGTTTTTTCAGATTATTTTTGGGTTAGAAGAGGATTACTTAAGTTATTACATTTATATACAGGTGACAAAAACAGTGATTATAGATTTAACAAAATTGGCGTTAATTGGAGAGCTTATGTTGCTTACATTTGTGGTATTTTAATTAACATTGTTGGATTTGCTGGTGATGTTGGTCAAGATGTTCCAATTGGGGCAACTTATATTTATAGACTCAACTATTTTTGTGGGTTTATCATTTCATTCGTATTATATGGTGTTTTGTCTCATTTCTTCCCCTTCCAAGGTATTCCCATCAGCAATATCTTCAAAGATAAGGGTTGGTTCCAAGAATGGCAAGAAGTTGATGATTTTGAAGTTTCTAAAGATTTGAGCGTTGTTGAGTATGGTGAAGCTCCAAAACCAGAAAAGTCGTTTTAAAAGCAAAATATTTGGCTTCTTATGGCTTATAGATAGCCTTTTAGGTGGTCTATTTTTTTTTTTCTAAATTAATCTTTTATAGCTTTTTATGTTTTTTTTATTTGTGTTCTTTTAATTATCAATTTAGAATTAATCTTTTTTTGTTTGTTCAGGATCCTTTGCTTTAGCTTTTATATTTTTAAAGTAATTTAAAACAATTTATTTTTAAAAAAAAACAATTAATTTTTCAACTAGATGATCCAAAAGACAGTTGATTAAACAACAAACAAATCAGTGAAAAGGATTGGCAAGGACAAGAGGGGCAATTAACAATAGATTGATTTAAGGCAGGTTATAGCTTGGCTTCAAATTAAGCTTCATGTTTACGTCTGATAAGATAGCAATACAGCATTGGCTGAGAGCTGCAGCTACACACCCTTATTAAATGGACTGTCATAATTTTGTTGCGCGGGTCAGGATGAATTGTACACAGGAAACACAATTCAATATCCGTGTGTCACCCATCCGCTATAATCCATTTGTGTGAAAATACCCATATTCAGTCACATGACGCTTGAAGCTGTTATGCTTTTCTTGCTGGAAGATTAATGCGTGTCTTCAAAAAGGACCTTGATCTAACAATTCAAGAAATAGAAGCTTAACTATAAATTAGGTCAATTCTCATCGTTTTGCAAGAACATTACACAAATTATTTAATCTTGCTCTTGGTTTTTTGGGGTGATTCTATTATATTGGTTATATCAATTCATTGACTTCATAAAATACTCACTAAAATGGCAATAATTACAAATTCACACGAAAATTTAATCCATGATGCTTCCTTAGATTACTATGGCAAACGTTTGGCTACTTGTTCATCTGACAAGACAATTAAAATATTTGAGGTTGATGGCGACAACCATAGACTTATAGAGACATTAAAGGGGCATGATGGCCCAGTTTGGCAAGTCAGTTGGGCTCACCCAAAATTTGGTATAATTTTAGCTTCTTCTTCATATGATGGCAAAGTGTTTATCTGGAGAGAAGATAATGGAAAATGGTCTCGTATTTCTGAACATACTGTTCATAAAGCCTCTGTTAACAGCATCTCATGGGCACCACATGAATATGGTGCATTATTATTATGTGCCTCTTCAGACGGTTATGTATCAGTTGTTGAATTTAAAGATGATGGTACTACATCTTCTTTACTTGTTGAGGCCCACAAAGTTGGTGTTAATTCAGCTTCTTGGGCTCCTGTTTCTTTCACAGACACCACTGTTGCAACTAATAGTAATATTACTTCTGCTCCAGCACAAACCCAAATAAGAAGATTTGTTACTGGTGGCTGCGATAATCTAGTAAAAATTTGGAATTATGACTATGATGCAAAAACTTATATTCTACAAGATACTCTTGAAGGCCATAAAGATTGGGTTAGAGATGTTGCTTGGTCTCCATCTTCTTTGATCAGATCGTACATCGCCTCAGCTTCTCAAGATAAAAATGTAATTATTTGGACCCAAGAAAATAACGAAGGTCCATGGAAAAAGACCTTATTGAAACAAGATAAATTCCCTGATGTGTGCTGGAGAGTAAGCTGGTCTTTCTCAGGAAATGTATTAGCTGTTTCCAGCGCTGACAATAAGATTACTTTATGGAAAGAAAATTTACAAGGTTCTTGGGATTCAGCTGGAGAAGTTGATCAATAATTAAATTTCCATTCATAGTACTTTATTCATATCAAATTTGAATTTTATCAATTTTCTTAATCATAAAACTTCATTGTATACTTAAATTTTAATTAATTTTTTTCCAAAACAAAAAAATATAATCAATCTAGCACTTGAAGTGTCTTAAGAAATATTCAATCCATTTATTTTCTTGTATGGATAAAGCCTGAGTTTGTAAAAAAATTTATTCAAAAAAATATCTTGATAAAATAGTTGTTAAAAATAAGTAAATCAGAAATACTTTTAGTGCTAAAATAAAAAATCAAAGTCAAAAAAATTCAAAAATAAAAAATAAAAATAATCATTCAAGCTTAAATTTGAAATCTCATTGACAAACTAATGAAAACAATAAAAGGATTTTAAGGTTATATCAACAAGAGTAAAAAAAAGGTTTTTATTATTTTTTGAGTAGATATTTTCAATTGAATTATTTATTTTAAAAAATGAAGATTGTTAGCAAATGAGTATTGACTTGAATTATTCAGTTATTTGTAGTCAGAGATTTTTGGCTTTTTTAATTTTTTTAAAACATTTTAGGTACGTATTACTAATTGTAGGAATGAATAACATAACATATTTACTCTATGATGATATACAATCATTCCAAAAATATTTAGATCAATTATTAAATTAAGAAAACCAGTTTTTTATGCACCTTGCAAATTTTTGCATCTATTAAACTAGTTGGACATTAATTTTACTTATTTATTTCTTCTCTTTTAATTTCAATTTGGGTCTGAGAGATTTTTTTCTGTTTTATTAGAAGTAAAAGGTTTGATTAGAGAAAATTGGAAATCCATAATAAAAAAAAATATTAAGTAAAGTAAAATAAAATGATAAACAAATAATTTTTGTATTTTTACAAAGGTAAAACCATAAAATGAAATTGAAAATTGGGCTGAGGACGAACAAATGGAGGTGGTATAGGACGATTATCGTTGTTATTTTCATTGTTATTGTTATGATTTTGACGACGTTCTGCTTCTCTTCTGATTCTTCTTTGTGAAATGTAATGTAGTAAATATGCAATAGCAAATACTATAACGACAAAGCCAAATACAATGAGATTTTCATAATCTTCTAATTCATCTTCATCGGTATTATCATTATTCAAAAAAACATTAAATGAATCTGAAGTAGGGTTTCCATTATCATTATTCAAAGTGGGGTTTGCAGTTTGGGCACCATCATTTGCGTCATTGGTGTGTCTTGGAGATTCAACTCCCCGAGTTCTGTAAATTAGATTTACCCAATCTCTCCAGGTTCTTTTTGTCTCGTAATCTTTTTCATTTAAATAAGCAAATTCTTCCCCTGGGTTTCTACCAAAAAGGCTTTTTAAATAACTTTTTATACTTAATCTGAGAAGAGATAATTGAACCGGAATATTTACTTTTGGATGGCCGACCAATGCTGAATCATAATATCTCTTTGCAAGATGATAATCCCTAGACAAACCAATGCCATTTTCATACATGTAGCCTAAATTCCAATTAGCTTGACTTGATTGTTTATTTGAAGCAACTTGATAACAAGCTGCAGCTTTTTTGTAATTTTCTTTTGCACTATTGTCAATTTCCGAAGAGTCTGTTTGTTCTGTAGTATAGTTTAAATTTAATAAATCATAATAGTACATATCTCCTAGCAATACTGTAGAGTCAATATTAAATTGTCTAGAAGATTTAGTTAGATAATTAATTGCAGCTAATACTCTATTACTATCAATTTTAGGAAATTTTTTAAGTTTTGAGGGAAATCTGAATAACAAGTAGGCAGCAGAAGCTTGAGCTGTTTCAAGCCCTTGTTCAGCAGCCATGGAGTAACCAAGTAATGCTAAATCATAATGGCCGACTAAAAGTTGATTGAAGCTCCATTCTAAACTTGTGACAAAGGGTTCTAGTTTTTCCAAAAATGTTTTGTAAATCATTACGTTATCTTCAACAGATTCTTTATTGTTAAAGCCACTTTCGTAAAGCTGGCCTAGCTGGTAAATTGCTTCGACTTTTCCAGAGTAAGAAGCTTTTCTTGTTAGTTCAAAGATTGTTGGCTCATCAATTTCATCATCTTGCTTTGAGATAATAATTGTTTGATCATGATTTTGAGTATCTAATTTTTTGTTATACAATTTTAAATAGACACGACCAAGGTTATAACTAGCGCCTTGGTGTTTTTCAGAAGCTAGTTTATAATATTCAATTGCAGTGTGTAAATCAGGTTTATCGAGACCAAGAGCGAATTCATAAATTAGACCTAGATCATTAAAGGTTTCAAAAATATCTGGGACTTCTTTTGATTTATTTAGCCATTTTAGAGCTTTGGTAAAATCCTGGGGAACACTTTCTCCTCTGAGATACATATGGCCAACGAGAGAAATACATTTACCGAGAAAGTAAGCTTCTAGGATTTCACTGTTGGGATCAATTTTTTTTGATTTATTTATATTGAATAATTCTGGATTTTTTTTAATTCCTTCAACTGCACATCTATGAGCGAATCTAAAGGCGTCAGTAAAATTTTTTGGATTTAAATAATCACCTTCATAGGCACTCTTTGCACTATAGTAGTAATGGATATGTCTATGTTTATTTGGATCGAACTTAAATTCATTTAATAAGTTTTTATTATAATAGTTTGATATTCTTCTATTTATTGAGTTTGGTAACTCAGATATACCATTTGAGGATAAATCAGAAGATAGATCAGCTGAAGATTTTGAAGAGATGTCGAAGTTATTAAAATCGCCTATTCTTATTGAATAGCTATCTAAATTTAGACCGCCATAGGGTATAAAAGGTAGAACATATTTGCGGTATGCTATTTTCGAGGCCAATGAATAATAGTATAGGGCAAGATTACAATTTCTTTCAACGCTTATTCCTGTAAAGTATCTGTAACCTAATATCATTAACGATTTCAAGTCATTTAGTTCGACACCTGCCACATTGAAATATAAGTTTGCCTTTGCTTGGTTTATGGGAATTTCGCCAAATAAGCCTGTGCTATAGATATAGCCTAGCATATAATAAGCAGTTGCATTTGAGTCTAGTTGAGATAATTTTTTGTAATAAAACAAGGATTGAGTTGCATTAATTGGGTAAGAGTAATTTCCGTAAAAATTTATTTCTGCTAAGGTGAAAATGCAATCTAGATTGTTTAGGACAGCTCCATAATTTAATAATTGAAGGGCCGATTTATGTTGTGTTGATAGATTTAAGCCCTTTTGGATATTTTCTTGTTTTTTCGTTATATAGTAGTCATCGGGTATTAATAATTTGATATCTTCAACTTGTTCATATCTTATCAAATTTCTCTTTTTAAGATTGGATAAGGATTGTTGGGGTATGCTGTTCAAGTATTCCATTGCTTGCTCATAGAAATGAGACAGCGTGTGGTGTTTCTTATCATCAGATGGAAAGCCAAACTCTTCTCTAACCTTTATTTTTGCCTCAAGATAGTCGTCAGGCTCGTTATCAATGGCAGTTTCGTACTGGTGGGATACATGGGGATTTTTCTGGTGTTGGTGCTGATGAGATGTACATGTTGTGGGATTGAAGAAAATGGAAAAAAGCGTTACTGTGGGGCAAAGGTGTTAGCAAAGATGGATCAATTAACAGGAAGAGAGAGAAACTCTGAGAAACATACGAGTTGTCAATAGACGTAGACAAACCATTGAAATATGTTGGAGCAGAGAGAAAGCAATAAGTGGTAGAATAGAGAAGTGATCATTATGAATGCTATTTAGAGTATTCAGAGAATATCAGTTAAAAACAGGTTGGCTGTTCGGCGGATCTAGACCCGAGCAGACCCAGCCGAGTGGACAACCTCTTGTTGCAGAGCGATGCAGGAGAGCGCGTGTATAAGCAGAAGCAGCAGCACCACGGGCTCACAACCGGTTGACAGTGGCCTGGATGATGCTCTGCACGTCGAGCGAGGCTTTGTTGGCGTACTCAAGCACCTCCGAGTGGGTGGCCTTTCCTTGCTCAAGCGACACCGGAGCCTCGTCGAAGATGCTTGCTGGTTCGTCGCCAACACAGGTGTTGGTGATGAGACTCAAGGCAAACACCCTCATTCCACAGTGGTGAGCAATGATAACCTCGGGCACTGTGCTCATTCCCACAGCGTCAGCACCAGCTGTCTTCAAGAAGCGAACCTCAGCTCTTGTCTCGTAGGTGGGTCCTGAAACAAAAGCATACACTCCCTCTGCAATTCTTCTGGTGATTTTTCTGCTCTGTGCACTTTGAAAGAAAAGCTTGCGTAACTCCAAATCATAGGTATTAGACAATGGCAAGAATCTTGGTCCAAATTCATCCACATTGGGTCCTCTTAGGGGATGCGAGCCACTCAACCCTGGAAAGTTGATATGATCACTGATTATCATCAAGTCCCCTGGTTTGTACAATGGATTAATACCACCAGCAGCATTGGTGGCAATCATTACTGAAACGCCCAACAATGAGGCAACTCGGATTGGAAATGTGGCCTCTGAGAGTTCATATCCCTCGTAGAAGTGTAATCTACCAACCATACACATCACAGAAACTTTATTGGCTCCAATATACCCAAAGATTAGTTTTCCTTCATGTCCAGAAACTGTGCTCTCTTTAAATCCAGGAATGGAGCTATATGAAACCACAACAGATAGCTCTTTTTCAATAATCTTTTGAATACCACCTAATCCAGAACCACAAATAATTAGCACCCTAGGAGAGCTTAATTCTTTGGGTAATCTCTGAAGAATATAATCCCTAGCACCTTCTAAACCCTGAAGATAATTAAGAGTCATTTTGTTTATTTGTTTTGTTATTTTATTATTTTTTTTTCGAATAATTTGATTTGAATTGCAAAATTGGAAAAGAATATGTTCAATAGTATAAAATATAATCCTGTTTGTATAAATAAATTATGGGAATTCAACCAACAATATATTACCAACACCAATAATAATGAAAATAATAAAAATAATAAAACTTAATGTCTTTTAGCATATTAATAGTATTCTAATAGTATTTTGTGATGACCAGTCATCGTTCATCTCTACAAAATCTCACTTTTCCGATAACAAACGCTAAATTGGTTTCAAATCTCATTTCACTCAAAGTTAAAACTGAATCGCTAAAAATGCTGATTAAGATTCCAACAAATATATTAATTATTTTTCTACAATTAACAATTTTTTTTTTTAAAGAATATCAACAGAAAAGAACATTATATTTTAACAAGATAAACTATGGGATCAAAATAAACATAATAAAAACAAAAAAATAAAAAATTCATAACATTAAAAGAATAAAGAGTAAAGAATAAAGAATAAATTCATATAAGATAAAATCACAAAGTTTTGATTAATTTAAAATTTAATTTAATTTAATTTAATTTAATTTAATTTTATCTAAACTTGTTTTGGGTCAATTTTAATTCTAACTGCTTTAACTTGAGTATAGTTATCTAAAGCTTCAGCGCCCATTTCTCTTCCAATACCAGATTGGTTGAAACCACCAAAGGGAACATTTTGATGGAAATCATTATACGTATTGATCCAAACAGTACCAGCAGTTAATCTGTTAGAAACATCAATAGCTTTGTTGATATCAATAGTGTGAATACCAGCAGCTAAACCATATTCTGAATCATTGGCCATTTCGATCAATTCATCGACAGTCGAGAATTTGGAGACAGTGACAATTGGACCAAAAATTTCCTCTTTAACAATTCTCATATCTTCTTTGACATCAGCGAAAATGGTTGGTTTAATGAAAAACCCCTTTTCACCGATTCTTTCACCACCAGTGACTAATTTAGCACCTTCTTTCTTACCAATGTCAACATAACTCAAGATCTTCTCCAATTGAACCTGGGAAGTTTGGGCACCTTGGAAAGTACTTTCATCAAACGGGTTACCAACTTTTAATTTTTCACTACTTTCTTTGAAAGCTTGAACGACTTTATCATAAACAGTATCTTGAACGTAGACTCTTGAACCTGCACAACAAACCTCACCAGAGTTATAGAAAATACCCATTATAATGTTAGAAACAGCCTTTTCAATATCAGCATCAGCGAAAACGATATTTGGAGATTTACCACCTAATTCCAAAGTAACCTTTTTCAAGTTAGATTCGGCAGCAGCTTTCATAATATGACGACCAGTGGCGGTTGAACCAGTAAAGGCGATTTTTTTAATGTTTGGGTGTCTTGAGATTCTTTCACCAACAATTTTACCATAACCTGGAAGAATGTTGACAACACCAGCTGGAATACCTGCTTCTTTAACTAATTGAGAGACGTATAAAGCAGATAATGGTGTTGCTTCAGCTGGTTTTAAGACAATTGTGTTACCAGTAGCAAGAGCTGGACCAATTTTCCATGACCACATTAATAAGGGGAAATTCCATGGAATAATTTGACCACAAACACCTAAGGGTTCTCTTCTTGAGTAAGAGAAATGAGACGAGCCAGTTTCGATCAATCTACCATATATTTTATCAGCCCAGCCTGCACAGCTTCTAATGTAATTTGCAGATAACGCAACATCACCTCTTGCACAGAATAAGGACTTGCCATTATCCAAGGACTCAATACCAGCTAAGGTTTCTGCATTTTTTTCAATCAAATTGGCTAACTTGTAAAGGACTTTACCTCGTTCTGCTGGATCAGCAGTTTTCCAGGTACTGTTAAAGGCCTTTTTAGCGGCTTCAACAGCTATGTCAACATCGTCTTCTCTTGCTTCATAGACATGAGTAATTTCTTCTTCAGTTGAAGGACTAATGACTTCAAAGGTTTTAGATTGTCTTGATGGAACAAATTCGTTGTTAATAAACAAACCAGTTGGCTGTTCATAAACAATACCATTTGGTAATTTTATTGGAACAGATAAAGGTAAATGAGAATAAAATCTTGCAACATATAAGACTGGGTTGAATAAAGCAGGCTTTTTGAATCTTAAAGATGAGGCTAACATATTGGAAGTGCTTATTATAAAGTGAAAGGAAAACAAGAAATCAAAATATTATTGAAAAATAAATATTGAAGTTATGATTTAATTTAATTATAATAATAATACAAATAAATTTGAAGATTTGAAGAGAGAAAAGAAATCAAAAAACTCCATTTTTTGGGATGCGAAAATTATTTCATTTTTATAAACAAAAAAATTGACATTAATTTCAAATGGTCGATTCTGATTTTCTTGGGATTAAGAAAAAGCCAGTTGTTAGATTATTAGTAATACAAGTTTTTGCAACATAAGTTGATGGACACTCTTGTGACATTGAAGATTAAAAGAAAACTTGGAAGGTGAACTTAGATAGATAATCAAAAGTCTGGCCAATTAGAAGAGGAGTATTTAAGCTGGTTTGCAAAAGTCTATCAACCAGAGATCCAAAATCAAACCAGCCAGAGCTGTGCTGCAGGCAAGTGAAGCATTACGACGTTGATAGTGGAGGGCAGGGTGGGGTTTTTCTCTTTTTCTCTGTATAGTCCGCGTTTCGGACTAATTGTGTTTATTCGGACTTTCCTCGATCGGGGGCACAAAAAATACCCTGGGGTTTAATCTCACAACAGGAGATATAAAGCAGAGCAAAAATAGACTTGTATCGCGATTATATCTCCCTGACTGGCCTTTGAAATGGTCCCCTCCACTTTACTGTTCTTTGAAGATGAAATCAAAATCTACTCAATTAGAATAACAATACCAGAATGGAAATGTTTGTGCTTGCAAGCTCGTGGGACTAAAATATTTTCATCGATGCCTATTTTTGAGAAAAAAAAATGCTGTTATTTTTTACTTGTGCTATAACTGTTTGAAATTTGTTTTACAAGGCTACTAAGAAAAAGTGTTTTTGAAAAGATAAAGGTTTCAATTGCCAAATCGATAAGTAGCGATCTAGCCATTAAAACTAGTTAGATCAAATAAATCGATAAAATCGACTGCCAGCATATGGTTATACAAATTTAATGTATCCATAACATCTCCCATAATCAGCAAAACCAATATAAACATAATATTCACCCACGCAAAAAGTAGATATACATCTTGAGATAAAGCGGAAGAGATGATATCAGCACACAAAATTCAGCAGAATAAACCCATAGTAGTGGATGGTGCGTTTCTGGCTGCAATTGTTGCATGTGTCACCAATATGGATGTACTTGTGACTGCTTTTGAATCTATTCCGTGCTGAAATATACCGCAAACTCCAGCAGCGCATGTTTGCAGGTTAGGAGCACTGCGGTGTATTGCACGGCCTCTTCACGGCCTCACCAGAACTGTCTCCAGGCCCTCCTCAGGCCACAGCTACCGTTCCAACGCTGTTTCGCGCCCATGCCCAGGGCCTTCCAGAGGCCTTCTTTTGTGGGAAAAGCAGCCCAGGTCACGTTTTTCCCTCCTCCCCGTCGGCTCGCGAGTGGAAAATTGTGAAAAATTGTTTTAATGTATCAACTTCATTTCTTGAATTATATCTAACGATTGTTGTCAACTAAAAGTAGCATTATATCAAACAAGAATAACTTATAATCAAAATGGTATGTACACTATAAGCAGCAGGAAGCTTTTGGTTTATTCAATTCATAAATAGTTAGCTCATACTCAAATCACTTTGTCAAATGTTCAAATGCATCTCATTCAATCATACATTTTTGTTTCTATGAAAGCAAGAAATCAGCAGCAGATTGATAGCAAGTGGTGATTTCTATTCTCTGAAAATGAAGTTGATCCTTATAGTATTCGGCTGTTGTAGAAAATAATCAAATGAAAACACATACAAAACTTAAAAAAAAAACCAACTTGAAATTATAAAAATAAATCAAACAAATCAAATGTTCAATGTTCAAAAACTGCTTGAAAATCCAATCATAAACCATTCACATATTCTCTTTTTTTTCTAAAAATACTGAAATTACACAACAAATAAAGGTATTGCATCGATATTCAAGTATCAATTCATTGCAAATTGGTCTAATCAAAATTATTGAGCTCAAATCCAAAGATATCCGTTATCGTAATAATTGTTATATTATTCATAATTCATAATGTGATACAAGTAGTGAAAAAGAACACAAAAAATCGCTTAATCTGAGTAAATTATAAAGTAATATTCCAACTATCAAAATGGTACTTTTGTATTCAAAGTTTAACTAAATTTCAAAAAATCATAGCTTTTCATTAATGTAGATGATTTGTATTGAGAATTAGCGCAAGTCAAATCCTTTTTTTCAGATCCTATTATTGAATTGTTTATTGAATTTTGAACATGAAATCTATGATCTGTTACTCTTGTCTCAATCAACATTATTCAATCCCTCCCATCGTTCAAAATACTAATCTTTTTTTTCTCATTTTTTTATTGATTATAGAGTGAAGCAGTTACAATCCGTACCAGAAAAGTTATTTCTAATCCTTTATTACAAAGACGTCAATTTGTCATTGATGTTCTCCACCCAAATCGTCCAAATGTTTCAAAAGATGAATTGCGTGAAAAATTAGCTGCTACATACAAAGCTGACAAAGATGCTGTTTCTGTCTTTGGTTTCCGTACTCAATATGGTGGTGGTAAATCAACTGGCTTTGGTTTAGTTTACTCCTCAGTTGCTGCTGCTAAAAAATTCGAACCTGCTTACAGATTAATTAGATATGGTTTAGCTACAAAAGTTGAAAAACCTTCTCGTCAACAAAGAAAACAAAGAAAGAATCGTGGTAAGAAAATCTTCGGTACTGAAAAGAAACATGCTAAAAAAGTCGCTAGACGTCAAAAAGATTAAACAATTTATCAATAAAATATATTTGTTATGTATTTTTTCAGCATTATATTATGTTTATTTTTAAATTTTAATCTTTAATCAATCTTGAGGTTTGCCTTTTTATCAATAAACTCCCACATGTATTTTTATTTTGTCATCTTAATTTTCTATTATCCTCCCACTAAATTTCTTTAATTAAATCTTGTAAATGACCATTTCTCGTTTCCATGTTCAAAGCTTAATTTATTACTTTTTTTATTTCTTATTTCTTAACCTTTTAATCTTCTCTTATTTTTTCTTTTCCGTGCTTTCAACTTGTAAAAATTCACAGATTAAAACACCAACTTCACCACATAGTATATTACCAATTTCAAAGTGATGCCTGATTGATTCCACTTAAATGATTTTCAAATGAGTTCAACCTTCACCAGAGGACCAGTTTGTGGCACTGATAACTGTCGTTCAAAACTATGGAGACTCATTGATGGAAGACGAATCTGTCAGTTTGGTCATGTAATGGATGGCGATATAGAATTTAATGATGAAGCAGATCAAGATAACTTTGTTCAAACTAAAAGATTAAATATCCCCACTGCAAAATCAAGACTTGGGTCTCAAAAGAGTTCTCTTCATGCTGCTGAAAATTTAAAACTATATGGCTCAAAGGGTAAACAGCTATTCTTAAAATGTTACCAGCATGTTCTTAAATCCCAAGTAAATTGGCTAATTAAAGAAAAAAAATTTCCAAAATTATTTGAAAGAATTGTCAAAGAACTTTGGATAATTTATCTATTGTCGAATTATGACTCAAACAACTCTACTAATTTAAAAAAAAATGGAAATCGTTCATCTGGCAATGAAAGTGTTGAAGACAATGATGAGAATGATGACGACAAAAACAGTAACTATAGCAGTACCTATGAAACTGATGCAACAATCAATACTGATGGAGATGAACTTAGTGGTTTGGAAGATGATAGTACTGTAAAAAGGAAAAATTTCAACTATCGAATACCACTCATACATTCAATAATATTATGCTATCTTTCTTGTTTGTATTTGAGATTGCCAGTCTACTCAATTGATTTCATTAGATGGTGTGTAACTAATAAGATTCCATATATGAAAGCGACTTTTTTTATTCCTTCAAACTTAAGACAAAAATTGGCTAATCATTATTTACCTGTGTTTGAGCCCTTAAGACCCCCAATTAAGGGCGATTTTTATTTTCAGGTTAAAAAGGTTGTCAAAAAATTACATGAGAATTTAAATAAATTAACAATAATACAGGAAAATTTCAAGATTAGTTACCAACCATTGCTATTTAAAGTTATAAAAGAATTGATTCTACCACCTGAAATCTTTCAAGCTGTGCAAAATTTTATAAGGTTTAGACAAATAAATTTCGAGTTATCCTTTTTGGATATCAATGAAAAGAATAATAATAGACTTTATAATAAAAATCCCAAAAAACAAAACTCAGTGGATGTATTGCTAATAGAATTTCCCGAGATAAAATTAATATCGATCATTATTATGATTACAAAGCTATATTTTTCAACTGCTAGAATATTTAATACAAGTACAAGAGATAATTCTAGGATTAATGCAAATATACAGAAAAGTATTGAAAATAATTATTTCTATAGTTGGAAAAGATGGCTTGATATTACTGGGAAATTAAATGTTGAAAAAGATATAAATGATGAGCAGAATTTTGATTCTTTATTGAGTTCATTATTATCTTCAAATTTTATAATCAATGATATAATTGAATGGGATGATTACAAAACAAATAAGTATTTAGACTGGTTTAATTCAACATTAATTAAAAATGATAAATCAGAAATAAATAGAGAGTCTTTGTCGATAGTCGAAAAGAAATTGTTCGATATTTTCAATTACAATGATTTGGATAATGATAAAGATTCTAATGTTTCTAATGAAAATGAAAATGAAAATGGTATTGAAGATTTCGATAATTTTGATTCTTTTAAAAAAATTGGAAAAGCTGAAAATGAACCTCTTAAAAAAAAGCAGAAAAATAATAATAGTAAAAATAATAATAATAATGAAAATAACTTTAATGAGATTAAAAATGTTGAAACCGCTTTCCAGATTTTTTCTCAATCTGTAAATACATTAAAAAATTGCAGTCCTGTTTCTAATGAGGATTTGCTTATTATTGAGAACGCATTGATTAATAATTTAATAATAAATTTTGGAATCACTAGCAAGCAGTTAAAAATTTGTGTCAATTGGGCTGACAGAGAACTAGTTCATTTGATGCAATCTGAACTGCTCTAGTTATCTTGATAAACAAATTATACTATACTGTTGTAGCATAATAAATTTATTTTTTTCTTATAAAGATGTAATTAATTTTTTTTATTTTATAAACCATTCAAAATTTGGAACGAAGAGAAGAGAATGTTTTGAAACGTATGATATCTCTTTCAGGACCCAAAGAAATTTTTAAATTATCTTTGAATAAAACATTTGTTTGCAAATGTGGATTAGAAAATCCATTTCTCTTTAATTGATCATAATATAGTAGGTATACTGGAATATATCTATCAACAAATTTTCTAACTTGCGAGTCAGTCATTCCAATTCCTTTAATTTGAATCAACTCATGTTCTTGCTGAATCCTCCATTTGTAAACATACTCGAGGTCTTCAACGTCAAAGTAGATGAAGCAATTGAAATTGTGCCATAGATCAACATAATCATTCAATAACCCGTCAATTAAAACGATCTCATTTTCAAAATCTAGTTTATTGAGTAACTCGCTGGTTTCCCATTTTTGATATAATGCGTTTCTGTCATTAATAGGCAAAAAACCATTGAACCAACCTTCGAAGATCAAAATATCTACTGGTCTGTCGCCAATCCTTATCCATTGGTCAGTTGAAGACCTATCGCCCTTTCCTTGGTTCTTTGACTTGTCATACGTTGGTATGCTGTAGTTTGTGTTTCTTTCAATGACTTTGCTGAAGATATCTTTGAGAAGAGGGATATCATGGGTTCCTGGCAAACCTCTTCCCGATGTGATCAACTGGTTATTTGGATAGTCATTGATGAGAGACAACTGTTTCTCGTGAGTAAGATATAGGTCATCGCTCGATATAGTTATGGTGTGTAGATGAGGATACAGGTCAGTTAGTGAGGCAGATAAGTGGGAAGAGAGATACGATTTGCCAGAACCTTGAGGCCCCATCACCCCAACTATTATTGGGGTGGCATCGAAATCCCAATGGTTGATGATTGGGATGAGATAGTCTAAGGATACTTGAAGCTTGGATCCCATTGAGCTATGGTCTATCAAAATAGCAGACAAAACCACTAGAAATACGAGTTCAATCAACATTGACCAAGATTGACAACACTGTTAAATACTGTTCTTAGATCAAAATAAAGGCGTTTATATGTGTTCACCTTTTAGAGACTGAGAAAAAAAAGGGTGGAGAGTAAAAAGCAAAAAAAAATAAAAAATAACGGATTTAATAGCCTAATTGATGCAAAATTAACTACAATAGCATCGGATAGTTGAAAAGCTTCTTATTAAAACCAGAGACTGTATTAAATTATAGTATATATAATAAACCTGCTAGTAAACCATACCACAACCTAATTGACTAAAGCAGAGGCAGTAGAAGATTCGTATTTCCAGTTTGGAGGTAAAACAGAGACAGTTCTGTAGTAACGAGCCAATCTGTGGATTCTTGATTCAATTAAAATCAATCTGAATTTGGAATCTTTATCTTTTCTGTTTTTTTCTAAATGTTTTCTGACGGAAACAGCTTTTTTAATCAAGTAGTATAAATCTTCTGGAATTTCTGGAGCTAAACCATTTGATTTTAAAATTCTTAAAATTTTGTTACCGGTGATAACTTTGGTTTGAGAAACACCATGAGCATCTCTTAAAATGACACCAATTTGAGATGGGGTTAAACCTTTTCTGGCGTATTTGATGATTTGTTCAACAACAGCATCGGACGATAATTTGAACCATGCTGGAGCATTTCTTGAGTAAGGAATAGCTGAGGAGGAGATACCTTTTCCCTATAATAAGTTGATAGTTAGTATATTATTTCCACTTTACTACAATATTTCATAATCTATTTTATAAATGCATTTTTAATTTATTTTTCAGTTATTTTTCAATTATTTTTATTCATTTTTTTATTTTTTTTATTTTCAATTCAAATTTTATCGACAGTTTCCTGAAAATGTTTAATGAAATTTCTAATAAGATTTTTTGATATTTTTCAATTTATTTTTATTTTTCTATCTTTTTATTCCATATTTTCAATCAATTATTCACAAGTTTTAGTTTTGTTTAGATTAGTTTAAGTTTTTTTGATCTCTTTTTTGACAGGTTCTCCTTGAACAATTGATATCACACTATGAATATCTTTAAAGAAATATTAAAAATATTGTAGTAATAGAAACAAAAAATAAAAAGACAAAAAACTGCCAGGTTAAATTTCCCTAAAAACTTCACTATTTCCTTCTCATTAGTGCTGTAGCTTCACTATATACCAAGTATGACAATCGATAGGATGCCAATACAGACAGGAAGACTGTCGAACCAATTTGATAAACAAAGAAAAAGACTATTCACATACACTACTGTGCATACGACCCATTTTGAATTGTGTTGAATATTATATACTATCTGCTTTTGCTTCACAAACACCTAAGGAATATCTTGATATCTTCACAAAACTCAACAGACCCAACGTCTGATTTTCCACCAGAAAACTGCCAACTGATCACAGATTTTTGGCGCCGGCAGTGCGGGTCTTTTCTTGCATTGGTTGCGAGCACCGGAATACGGCGTTTCTCAAATAGGTACACGTTATAGAGCCCTATTTTCTATCACGCTATCAGGGCTTGTACCAGAACGCTGCGGCTTTTCTCAAAACTGATGCTTTTCGTGTCCTGAGCTCTTTGGCCAACATCAGGGTCTTGTCCCAAGAACCGCGCATAATCTGGACAAAGGACGATGCAAGAATGATTTTCTCGTCGCAGCATTTGGTGTCGAGTCTGATTTTGAAGTTAATTTGCTTCTCGTTGAGGCTCTCACCAACAGCTATTCTTTCATATCCCTCGTCGTACTCTTCTTCCCTCCTGATGATTCTCTCGAGATACCCACTAGTGTTTTTCCAGGAGTACTTCAGTATCCCGTCGTTGTTTTTGTTGGCATTTCGTGATTTCGATTTCTGTAGTTTTTTATGTAGCTTTGATGGGATAGTTTCCTCATCAATCTCTGATATTATAAACTCAGTTTCCTTATCGCCTTTTTTATTATTCAATTCAATTGTTTTCAATGTTCTGATATCATATCCCATAGAACTAAGCTCAAAGAATTCTGCAAACTCGTCAGTATTGTTTCCTTCTATATTATGACTGATTCCTGGCTCATCAGTATCCTCATTTTCTTCTGATAAAATATTCGACTCAACTGCTCTCTTTGTTTCAATATTTTTGAATGAAATTTTAGGCTTTCTGAAAAACATGTCATCTCCTAAATTAATAATACAAATATTCGAGCCATCAATTGCATTGTTCATTTCCCATTCTTTTTTTTTAATTTTAATAAATTGATATTTTAACCTTTGTAAATCTAGATTTTTCTTATTTATTTCCCAAATGTTAATTATCACTCTATCGTTATCATTGTCATCATCCTCATTATAATCCTCATCTTTCTTGATTTCAAAGATACTTAGATCTCTGTCTTTAAATAGTTCTGGATTCAAAATATCTCTTATATAATTTCCTTTAGCGGCTGAATAATCTTTAACATATAAGATACTATTGATTTTTTTATAACCTTTGGTCAATGCAATAGACCCGATAACGCTAATTACAACTCCTGAAAATATTTCCATTGTTTTTATTTCAATATATATATAAACTAAAGAAAATTAATAGAGAAATTTGCACGTTTGGTTTATAATAAACTAATGTTTCTTTGTGTTTTTTTCTTATATTTGTGTCATCTACAATATAAAAAAAAAAAATAGCCATACTGACATACTGATGAATTTGTTAGTTATAATTTCAAGATATTAATTTTTTTTTGCCATTTTTCAAGTAATTTTGTTTCAAACTATCCAATATTTATTGGAGAATATAATCAAGCTCGAAATTCTATTTCCACCACTTTCCTAATTCAGTCATTATAAAAGACAATAAGTCGAAGCATATTGTTTATAAAGTCAATGACTTTTTAACGTCAAATCTGCCAATCGAATTTCCCATTTAATTTCAAAATCACTACAAATAGACACTGTTAAAAACTACACAAGAACTGCACTTGGATTCAAAATAAATAAAAAAAGAGAGTGGAATACATAATATAATCGGTAGTTCGCACACTCCCATCTAATACAGTGTTCTTCGTAGTGCAAATAGCAGTCGCTGAGCTCAGCGTTGACTAATATCACCCCACAGCCCTGGTAGTTTGAAAATGTAGTGCATTGAAAAAATCTGAAACCCCAAGCCTCAAAGCAGATAAGATAAGATAACAAAATAAAATGATAACAAAATAAAATGATGAAAACCATAAGCCATAAACCAATAAACAAAAAAAAAATCATTATAAACCAAACACATCAACATAAATCTAGTAGTGTAGATGGAATCGGTTTTATTCCTCAGCTTAACATAGATCTGCTAAATACCCACTGGCCTCTATCTCACTCTTAAACCCAACACTGTTGAGAAACCCCATAGCAAAATCGTAGTTTTCAAATGTTAAAGTGATACATTTATTGAATTCGTTATCTTTGTTTTTATCATTTCTATCAGAAGCACGATCACTAAGATCCACAATTCCATATTTACCATTCCTCAAATGATCTTTGAAGAACTTCTCGTCGATGGTATTTTTCGATGAGATGAGTAGCTTTTTAGGCCTATTATCCAAATTGTACTTGTTCTTGTTTATCTCAAATTGTTTGTTAACTGATGAGTTTCTTCCTAATGTTAAATCAAGTGAATCAAATAATCTTTTTTTTTCTTCATAAAAGACTCCAGGAGTTAGACCAATTTTTGAAGATTGTTCATTTAAAAAGCTTATCTGGTATTTTAATTTTTTTACAACTGGTAACTCCTCACCTTTATCTCCCTCTCTGGCAATTATTTCGTTTACTTGGTTATTTAAAAGTTTCAATTTCAAGCTTATCTCCTTTACCAAACTCTCCTTTTTATCAATTAAATCAAAGACTTTTCTCTCAAATTGTTTTTGTTTTAGTTTTTTATCTAGAAATTCAATTTGTTTTTGTGATTGAATTCTTTCAATACTTTCAGTATCGATTGGTTCATTTTTGGCAGTGGTTAATTTATCATCATTTTCTCTTTCTTCTCTTTCTTCTCTTTCTTCTTTTTCTTCTTGTTTTTTCTCTTTATTATCCACTGATTTCAAAGTTTTGGCATAATAAACTTTGATAAGCCTATTATCAAATATTGGAATTGAAGATCTCCAAGCTAAATTGGCACTATTCGAATCAAAAAATTCAATCTCAATTACTCTTAGAAAATAATTAACTGATAACTGTTTTATATGTCCAAATACAGAAAAGTACTCCTTCAATTTAATCTCGTCATGTAACTTATTCTGAGGAACATTTGCAACAATGATTTTATTTCCTTTATCATTATCTTGATTAAAAGAAATTAATCGCAATAGATTTCTCTTTGGTGTATGATGATAATTATTATTTTTCAAACAAATTTTTTTTTGGTTTTTATTTTTATATTTATATTTATTTTTATATTTATTTCTTTTGTTATTATTCTTATGTTGTTTACTATTCTTACTATTCTTATCAATTTTATCAATTTTATTCATATCAACCTTTTCAATACTTTTACTATATAAATTATCAGAGTGGTTCAGCAGATTCAATTCAAAGTTAGCAAGTTGGTTATTTGAAACGACATAAGAACAAAAATCTTTTGCAAATTGCTCACTATTTTGAATATAATCCCTGAGCTGATCACTAAGTGTTTGAATTAATTCATTAGAAGTCTTTTCAGCAAAACTCCTATGTAGTGTTAAAATAAAGTCTATCAAAATATCTATCTCAGCATCATTGGTGTAGCTAGGTAAATTAACCTTTAACCATGATTCTATTGATAACTGTTGCATTTGAAATGATATTTTTTTTTTAAAAAAAGAGATTGGAATAATTAAAATAATTAAAATAATTAAAATAATTAAAACTGGGAGTTTGGAAGTCTGGGGAATTTGGGATGTAAAAAAACTGGGAGCCTGGACTTTGGAAAGGGATAATAAATGAAAGTTGATATTGATTTTCTTTGGCAAAGTTGATAAAATACTATCAGTAGATAAATAAATAAGTAAATAAATCTAAAAAAAAATTTATATAATATTAGTAATAGTTTGTGTTTTAATTCGAGTATTGATATGTATTAATTTAAGATATATAGGATATAACTAGCACAAAACTGAGTAAATGATGAAGATATCTGAAATGACTAAACGACGAAGCAAAATATGGTATCTGGTTCAAACAATAAAAGACAAATCTTCAGTGAAACAGTATTCCTTCAAGAAAAAATTGGTCCTTTAGTTGTTTAAAATTAAAAAGTTCTGATTAAAAATGAGACAATAAGTGATATTTATAGATAAAGGAGAGGGCAAAAGAAGGCAAATATATGTGAGCTTTCCCCGTCCAATCAAAACAGTCAAAATCTGCGTTTCGCTATCTCACATCAAGCTCCACCGAGACTATTTCATCTAAATCGAACTGCATCCTCAGAACATGTTTTTAGATGCTCAGATTCCTGGTTTACTGGATTCAAGGGAACTATCAGAGTTTATTTCCAATGAAAATATCGAGGTAAATGATGGGCTTGTTGTTAAAAACAGTCCTTTTGGTGGCATCGGGCTATTTTATCGAGACCAATCAACTCAAAATGATGGGGGACTCCAGAAAATTGAATTGCTAAGAATTCCTCGAAACTCGACTATATCATTGAATAGCTTCATGGTTGTTTTAAAAAAACAAAAAAAATACGAAAGCGACAAATTTGATTTAATTGGTAAAATAATCTCAATAAATGATGGTGTCCATCAAGTTCCAATTATCAAAGAGAGTGCATTCATGAACAAAATCTTGACAATCGAAATGGATTCACTTAGTGAACTTAATATTTTGAAAAAAATTTGTATAGGATTGAGTTTTTTGTTCAATTATAGGAATCATATGATTGAAACCACCAAAAATAACAATGTATTGTCTACAGATGAGTCTGATGCTATCATCAAATACATTGAGAAGCAACCTTTGCTAAAATTCAATACATATCTTAAGATTTTATTAAATACAGAAATCTCAACTTTTGATAACATCATCAATCAGAAATATAAAAATGAAGATTCACTTGAAAACATTTTGACAGAATTTAAAGATCTCTACAAAGGATATAGAAAAATAGAGTACAATATTGAAAGCATAATTTATGAGCGAAATGAACTATACAATGATATAATCGATGCATTTAGCGATGTATGTGTTTCTACCACCAATGGAAAGAGTTCTGTGGATTTTAAAACGATTATATCTTCAACTTTTTTAAAGCAAAGTGAATTTCATCAGATAATTTCAGCACTTAAATCAAGAAGTTTGGAGATTCCAAGATCTATAGATAGTGACGAGATGGGAGCCGATAATGATGGTTCTAAAAATGAAGACTTTAAGGTTGATATTTTATTAGTTCCAATTTTAGATTTTGCCAATCACAACAACAATAAATCAAGTTTTAATTCGTATTTTGATGTTGACAGGAAAAACGGTGATATTTTATTGTATTATGAGAAAAAGAATAAATTCAATTTGAATCAGGAATTAGATACAAAAACAGAACCATTGATTGAAATTTTTATATCGTATTCTCCAATTGAAGATTTCAGTGAGTTTATAAATAATTATGGATTTTTACCAATTAATGATGACAACTATTTTGATTTTAAATTGTTTGAGACATCATTATTCAGCATTGATGGGGAAATTTTATCTAATTTATTTCAAGACGATTCAAATAAGTCACCAGTTAGGAAATTGCCTAAAGAATTTTTTCAAATTTGTAAATGGTTAAAATTTTTACCAAATTTACAATTTTTGATTAAATTTTCTAAGAATGGATTTGAAGATATTAAAATTAACAGATATTATATTGATATATTCGGTAATGATCAAGAGACAATAAACAATTCCAAAATTAAGAATTACGAGTTTTTGTATTTTTTCAATGACTTAATAAAATTTTCATACAATTCTGATTGGAAAGCTACTTACTATGAGTATTCTGGGGAGCTTTATCAAGAGCAATGGGATGCTATAGAAAATGAAGAAGAAAGACCTAACATAGAGACAATTGATTATATTTTACATGCTAATGAATCCGAAGATGATTTTATGATGATATCGCAAGTTGGAATCGGTTATTCAAGCTTACCAAGTCATGGCAATAATAAAAATAATGAAGATGATGGAGATGATGGAGATGATGATGATAATGATGATGATAATGATGACCAAATTCCCGAGGGTTTAGAAAAATTGGTGGATTTTGGAGAATATATTGATAATGATGAAAAGACATTTTCCAATTTTATAAAGTTTTTTAAAGATATTTATTCAAATTATAGAATAAACCAATTAAATGAGTTTTCAAAAAAATTCAAAAAGAATATGAAAAAGAAAAACTCAATTAACATTTTAATCAATTTTGAGATACAACTATGGGAAGGTATCAGTAAAAGATTGGAAAAAATAAGCAAAATTGATGAATTGTTTATAGAATATAGTGATGAAGAATTTAATGAAGAATGGTTAGAGCTTAGATATCAACCCAAACTTCCTGTTTATTCTAAATATTCTGAATATTTATTATAATGCATAATTTAAAAGACAATAGCTGTAAATAAATAAATAGATCCAAATAAACGCAAACTTAGAAGCACAAATTAATCAGCAATCTAAAATTAATAAGCCTGCGATCGCCTCAAGATCCTTTACATCCAAAACATTATTATCTAGATGGTTAGAGGAATCGTCTAGTAAACTGTTATTTCTCTTTGAAAGTTCGATGTCGTTCAATCTGTTTTGATTTGCTCTATGCACAGCTTCAGTTGTAAATAGTCTCAAATACTCAGCAGCTATTAAAAGAGTAGCCTTTGAGATTTTCACATGGTCATCTTTGTTGAACACAAGAGTTTGGAACAATCTTGCAATAGTTTGGATTGGAATCAGACTTTGTCCTTCCAGAGAATTCGACATATCTGAGCTGGATGGTAGTATCAGTATCAGTGGTTTGTGGTGCTTGATGAGAGTTGAACAGATGAATCTAATGTTGTTTATTGTGAAATGTCTTAAAAACAAACAATTTCGCCTAATTTTTAGTGTAGGAGTGGACACCCCCGGTACCCGGATTGTGTATTTAAGCTTTTCTATTCCCTTAAACAAGAACTATCAGCTCGAAAAACACCAATAAACAGAGCCAGATTGCTTATCGGTTTCCTAAAGGTGAGGAGCCAGTTCAAGTGCAGGGCTGTGATATCTGAACCCCTCTAATCAGTTGTGTGGTACTATTGTTTTCATTTCAGGGTTTTATTTCAGAGCAAATACAGCCATAAAGAAACAAAAGTGGCTACCTATTACATTCCAGATGCTCTGAATAAGATTTCAGACAAATCGTTTTTATATTACTGTGGTTTTATTCCGAAATAAAAGAGTAGCACAGTTAGCTATATAATTTAATACTAAACATTTGAAGCCACACAGAAGAAAGAAAAACAAAAATAATAACAATAATATTAAAAAACAAAAACCAAAAAATAAAAACCAAAATTCGTTAAAAATAAAAATAAAAAGTAAGGAAAAGCAGAAAACTAAAAATCGTATCACAGGAGACTGTAGAAAACCTTCTCTATTCAATTTTTTCAGATATGTTTGATCTGACTTTAGAGAGTGGAGTTTTCTTTTCAATCATGTTTCCCCAGCCTCCTCTGCCAGTACTTTTCCAAAAAGCAGGCTCTTCTTCTTTAGGAGGAGGAACAGCAGCTGCATTTGGATCTTCCTTGTAGTCTGAAGCAATCTTGAGTTTTTCATGGTCATCATTTGCAATCATGTTACCATAACCACCTCTGCCACTAGAAAAAAAGGGTTGTGATTCCAAAGGAGAAATAACTTTGTCCTTTTTCTCAATAGTCTTTGGATTTTCCAAGGTTGGAGACTTGACTGTTTTGTAAAAGTTTGAATAACCACCACGTCCAAATGATGCGTAAGTAACTTCTTCTTCAGTCATTTTGAATTGAGTCAATAATCAAAGCAATAGAAACCTGCAAATAATTTATTTGTTGAATTTAAAGCAAAATATTAAGAAACAAAATTTTTGAATAGATCAAAAGCAAAAACAAAAGTGATCAAATCGAAGGAAAATGAGACTATTTATATCTTTTTTTTTCCAACTCAAATCTCTTCAACTCATCATCTGGGTCCTGATGTGAGAGGTGTATCAGACTAAAGCGGCCTCCAACAGGACTACTTCACTGAATGCAGCGTTTGACAGTTCTTTCTGCAAGCTGCTGCACAACGTGCCACGTGCAAAACAATCGACGGATTTCCGGTTCGATTTTTCGTATAAAAATTATTGAGAATCATTGCATCCACAATGTTGGTAATTTGTCAACTTTTTTTTTGAAAAATCTTTTTTTCAGTAAAGACAAGAGAGTAAAAAAAAATAACAACAAATTTAAGTTTTTTGAAGATGTCAGATAGTGATTTAGATGATTATAAAGATGAGTTGTTCGAACTTATAACAGTAAAACCAAGAAAATCAAAATCCAAGTCTAAAAAAGCCAATTCTAAAAAAAAAAAAACTAAAAATGATATCAATCAATTGGAGATCGAAAAAGATGATGATAATAAAGATTCTAAAAAGGATTTGAATCCCAATTTTATGTTTGCCTTAGATGATGGCATTTTATCTAATAAATTTGAAGGTTGGGATTTCGATTTGAAACAAAATGACAATAATAGCACCGAAGAGGTCAATCTTAGGAAAGAGGTTGATCTTGATAAAATTATCAGACAAAAAGGTGGTTTAATGAGCAATTTAATTGCTTCTGATGATGAGGAAGAGCAAGAAAACGATCAAAAACCTCAAGAAAAAAATGATTCCAAAAAAAATGAAAAAGATGATAGTGATAGCGAAAGTGGAGATGATGAAACTGAACAAAATGATAACCAAGAAAACAAAAACCAAGAGCAAGAACAAGAACAAGACAAAGACAAAGACAAAGGCAAGGGCAAGAGCAAAGAAAAAGTCAGAATTGAAGCCAAAGTCGAAGATGAAGATGAAGATGAAGATGAAGATAAAACCAACGAAAGTGAAGAAGATCTTGAACAAGAAATTAAAATGGAAGATAAAAACCAGGAAGATGATGATGAAAAAGACTCAGCTGAACAAATTGCTGGTTTTTTTGCTTCAAAAGAAGAATCCAAAGAAGCGACAAATACAGTTCATAAAGCATTTAACTCATTACAACTTTCTCGTCCAGTACTAAAAGGTCTAGCTGCATTAGGTTATACATTACCAACCCCAATTCAATCGGCCACTATTCCAATTGCATTGATGGGCAAAGATATTGTTGCAGGTGCTGTAACAGGTTCAGGTAAAACTGCTGCATATCTTATACCTATAATTGAAAGATTACTATTTAAAAACTCAAGGATACCTACAATCAGGGTGATTGTTTTAGCACCAACTAGAGAATTAGCTATTCAAGTAGCAGATGTTGGAAACAAATTGACAAGATTTGTGAATAATTTAACATTTGGTCTTGCAGTTGGTGGTTTAAATTTAAGACAACAAGAGCAAGAATTAAAAAAGAGACCAGATATAGTGATTGCTACACCAGGTAGAATAATTGATCATATCAGGAACTCCACGTCATTTTATGTTGATAATGTTGAAGTTTTAATAGTGGATGAAGCCGATAGAATGTTGGAAGAAGGATTTCAAAAAGAGTTGACCGAAATATTATCGTTATTACCTAAAAAGAGACAAACCTTACTATTTTCAGCTACAATGAATTCTAGAATTAAAGATTTGATTCAATTGTCATTGGATAAACCAGTACGTATTATGATTGATCCACCCAAACATGCATCGAATAAGTTGATTCAAGAATTTGTTCGTATAAGAAAAAGAAGTGATTTTAAACCTGCATTATTATTCAATATTTTGAAATCAATTGACTCAAAACAACAAAGTAGAATAGTTGTGTTTGTTGCAAGAAAAGAAATGGCACATCGATTAAGAATCATTTTAGGATTATTAGGAATGAAAGTATCAGAATTGCATGGGTCATTAAGTCAGGAACAACGTCTTAAGAATGTAACAGATTTTAAGAAATTAATTGTTCCAGTTTTAATTTGTACAGATTTAGCGGCCAGAGGTATTGATATTCCCAAAATTGAGTTTGTTATAAATTTTGATATGCCAAAAAGTTATGAGATATATTTGCATAGAGTTGGTAGAACAGCAAGAGCGGGTAGAGAAGGTAGATCTATTTCATTTGTTGGGGAGACAACAAGTGATAGAAGTATTGTGAAGGAAGCTATCAAGAGTATCGAGGAATCATCAAAGGATTTACAAGATAAGAATAAAAAAAACAAAAATAAAAAACAAAAAAATAAGAAAAATGTCAGTGACAAAACAGGAAGTAATCAAGCATTGAGCAGAACCGTGGATTGGCAAAAAGTAGAAAAGATTCATACAATTATAAGTAGTAAAGACAAACTCATCAAAGAAATCTTGGAAGAGGAAAAAGAAGAAAAGGAAATATTACAAGCTGAAAGGGATATAAAGAAAAGTGAAAATTTGCTTAAATACAAAGCTGAGATCCAATCAAGGCCCAAAAGAACGTGGATTGACAAATCCTCGAAAAAACACAAGAGAGCCAGGAAAAATGAATAGCTAGGTAGATCTTTGACCAGTAGAAAGAAAAATAGAAACTTTAGTAAATAGCTAGATGAAATAACATTTATTTACAGTAGGAATATAGTACGCATTTTGAAAATGCAAGAAACAAAAATAAAAGTGAACCAACAGAATGTAGAATGAAAAGCAGAACCAGAAATCAGAGCTTTCTGTTCAATCTATTCAATTTCTTAGCAGTCTTTGCATTATTCTTAGTACGTTGACCATGAACTGGCAAACCCAAAACATGTCGCATACCAGCATAGGAACCAATGTTTTTTTTGAATGCAATATTATCTCTGATCTGTGTCTTTTTGGCATTTTCAATTTCCAAGTCGTTAAGCTCCTTTGTGATAGCCATAATATTCTGCTCAGTCAACTGATGCATTCTCATTTTGGGATACAAAAAAAGCTTTGAGCATATTTTTTCAACTTCGTGTTTTGAGATGCCAAAAATTTCTTTTTTGAGAGCATACTGCAGTGGAAAATCAGCAAACGTTAGTAAAAAAGTTGAAAACCTGGAGACTCACCAACAGGCGCCAGCAAAGCAGTAGCCATAACATACTCTGACGGGGAGCTTCCCGAGAAACCTCTTTCCTATGATAAAGACCATCTTGAGCAGCAGCAGTGGGAGAGAAAGTGGAAGCACAGTTCTGGTGCTTTTTGGCCCCGAGCACGAACGGGTAACGCTCAGAGCCGTCACTGTGGATTAAAGCCATCACTATGGATTGAAACCACCGCTGTGGTTCACTACCACTTCTATGGTTCACTACCACTTCTGTGGTTCACTACCACTTCTGTGGATGGCTCTGGGGAAAGGTGACAAAGAGCTGAAAGTCGAAGTTGCTTCTCGAGCAGTTGCTTCTTGAGCAGTTTCTCTCAAGCAGAAAGCGACGATGTGTGAAGCTGAAGTGAGTAGACTAGTTGAGCTGTGGCTAGAAATCGATCCCAATGCTGAGACGAGAAGCGAGATCAGTAACCTCTATGCTGCCAAAGAGTACAACGAGTTGCGTCGCCGGCTCGCCCACAGAATCACCTTTGGTACTGCTGGGTTGAGGTCCTCGATGGAGGCAGGCTTCAATCGAATGAACGATGTGACTGTGTTGCAGGCCTCCCAGGGGTTGGCCGAGTATATCAAGACGTCGACACTAAAGCTCAATGCTGCTGCATCCTCTGCAAAACCCACTGTGGTAATTGGCCATGACCATAGACACCACTCAAAGAGATTTGGTGACATTGCTGTATCCATTTTCTTGCTAGCAGGTTTCAAGGTTTACTATTTGGAAGATGGGGCCCATGATCTAGTTACAACTCCAATGGTTCCCTTTGCAATTGACTATTTGACTGCAAATGGTGGTATCATGATAACTGCTAGTCACAATCCTGCCAAAGATAACGGCTACAAAGTATATTGGTCCAACGCCTGTCAAATCATTCCTCCCCATGATAAGAACATATCCCTTGAAATCTCTCAGAACTTAACTCCTGTCAAAAATGCATGGAAAATAGCTGAAAATATTTCTTACCATTACAAAAAAGGAAATTTAATTTATAATAAAGATCTTATTCTAGAACAATACTATAAAAAACTATCTGGAAACTTAATATTCAATAAAAACATTAATGGTTTGGACAATCTTCCATTTATCTACACTCCAATGCATGGAGTGGGAAAAGAATTTGCTCTTGGTGTTTTTAATAATGTTTTAAATATATCTTCGAATGTGCATTTTGTCGATGAGCAGTCTTTACCTGATCCTAGTTTTCCAACTGTTTCGTTTCCTAATCCCGAAGAAAAAGGTGCTTTAGATCTTGCAATTGAAATTGCAAATAAAAAAAGTATCGATATAATTGTTGCTAATGATCCTGACGCCGATAGATTTTCTGCAGCCGTCAGAATTGGTGATACTCATAAATTTCATCAATTGACTGGCAATGAATTGGGATGTTTATTTGCCAATTTTATCATTGAAAACTTGATTGAGAAAAGTACAAACTTGAAAAATGTATATTTATTAAATTCCACTGTGTCATCAGAAATAATTGGATCTATGTCTCAAAAGCTAGGCTTTAATTTTACTGACACTTTAACTGGCTTTAAGTGGATTGGAAATAAAGCAATAGAGTTAGAAGAAAAAGGTTATCTTGTTCCATTTGGGTATGAAGAAGCAATTGGCTTTATGTTTAACAATGTTCATGACAAGGATGGAATTGCTGCACTCACTGTTTTCTTGCAATTAATAAATAGCTTGGTTCAGAAAGGAACAAACGTTCTTGATAAATTGTCAGAAATTTATAATAATTTTGGGTTTTTCAAAGAATTTAATGGATACTATAAGCTAAAAGACATATCTTTGATAGCAGAAATCTTTGGAAACATTAGAAAATTTTATAACTACGAAAACTTTAATGTTGGTAATGAAATAATAGGCAATAACAAAGATTTCAAAATAGTTTATTGGAGAGACTTAACCATTGGGTTTGAAACAAATGCCAGAAATAATTGTCCTTTGTTGCCTGTTGATCCATCATCTCAAATGATAACCTGTATCTTAAAGCCTGTTAATCCCCAAGCTGAAGACGAACACATTAGATTGACTTGCAGAGGCTCAGGAACAGAGCCTAAGTTGAAAATATACATTGAAGGGAAATCAGATAGTGAAGGTAGAGCCAAAGATTTGTCCATTACAATTTGGAAATTACTAAAACAAGAGTGGTTTAAACCAAGTTTCTACAACATTACTGAACATTGCGCTGATTACTAACCAAATAGTTTTTTTTATTACTAAATTCAAAAAAAACTATTTTAAAATTATATAGATTTAAATACAAATGGAGTTGGACAAAAAAAAACAAAAAAAAAACAAATAAACGGAAATACAATAAATAATTATTTCATGCAGTTTGAATAAAATACCAAAAGTGTTTTATAGCAACTAAGTAAAAGTCAATTAACGAGGAATAATTTGATAAAAAATGATACTAAATATTGAAGAAAAGAAAAATCTAATAGTTACTAAATTTTTCTTTTTTCTTTTGTTTTTGTTTTTGTTTTTGTTTTTGTTTTTGTTTTTGTTTTTGTTTTTGTTTTCGTTTTTGTTTTCGTTTTTGTTTTTGTTTTTTAAATGATTAAAATTGGAACGTAAAAAAAAACAATTACAATTGAAAATTAATGACTTCTTCACCATAGTATTTAATATTCCAAATGACATAGTATAACATAACAATTAGCGGTTGACCCAAAATAAATCCTATCCAAAAAACAAAATTCCCAATAAAATTTCTTTCTAAATTTTCTAAAGGTGCAGTTAAGATGGATAATGGTAGCTGCAAAATGACGGAAATGAAACCAATTCCCAAAAATGTATGTGTTGGCACACCAATAAGTATTTCCTGTAAGATACCCCCAATTATATAAATCAGTAGATTAATTTTTAATTTTGACCAATTTCTTTTATTAATTGTAGATATTGAGATAGGTCTAGAAATATGACGATAAAAAAAGTTTGAAAATAGTTTATTCCAAGTTTTCCAATATGATTGAGTGGATTTTGAATTCCACCATTGACTATAAAATTCTCTATCCCCAAATTTAGTTATTTCTGCCACCAAATTTAAAAAAGTATGGAAAACCATAAAATAAACTAAAATCCAGCAAACAATAGAAACATCTGTTAAATGGATGATTTTTTCAATTATATCTAAATGATTTATTGAAAAACTTGAATTTGATGATGGAGAAGGGATTGATGAATAAGAGAAAATTTTGAGAATAGAGTCCTTCATAAGTGGAAAGTAATATCTGTTAGACAATAAATAAATTGATGCAGATATTATGATTATTTCATAGATCTTATTTAAACAATAATGAATGTCAAATAAAGGATTCATTGGGTAAACAGGCTGATAAACTAATGTTGGTACAAACATATAAAAAAAAGTGCTTTTAATAGATAGATTTTTTGGGTAAAAATTTGTCTTATAAAAGTTTGGCTGTAAGTGATAATCAATAAAATCCAAACCATCTTTTAAAAAGTTAGAAGGAATAGATGAATTGATGTCATGACTGTTCTTGAGATTATTATTGTTTAATTGGTTATCTTTTTTATGATTATTTGCTTTGTTATAAACCTCAGATAGCTTTGAAGGGTCAATAATAATTGGTTCTTGTCTTCTTTCCTTTTCTAATTCAATCAAGTAAGAGTTGTACTTTTGAGGGTTAATAGAACGGAAGTATAAGTGTCTTAAATCATTATTGGTTAAAGAATAGCTAATCAATTTGAAAAAGAGAACAATTGAAGTTATTTCTATTATGACACCAACGAGTGGGTTCCAAACATATTCGCTGGTAATATAGTTTGCAAAAATAAAATGATTGAAAGAGTTTAAAAAATGTAATAAATTTGTAAAGGAAGATAGATAATTTATGGATAATAAGGAATTTGTATTTGGAAAGTTTGACTGAAGGTTATTATCCATAGAATGTCTAGTTAGAGAATTGAATTTTCTTTTAGTCAAGTAAAAAGCTAGCTTTTCAATTAGTAGACTGAAAAAAAAGGATAGAGGAGTTAAAAAAAAAATGATAAACAGAAAGCACCTAATGTCAGTATTATATTTTAAATGATGAGAGATTAATTTAATTGGGGATAATAAATGGAAATAATTAATTGATAAAACATAGTAGAAAACGGATTTAATATTTGTAATGAAAAACAACATCATACAAAGGTTTCTCAAGCCAAATAAAGACAAGACTTTAACAGAATTTGAATTTAAATTTTGGCTTTGATTTTGATTTTGATTTTGATTTTGATTTGAATTTTGGTTTTGATTTTGATTTGTAGATGAATCTGAAGAGTATTTGATTAAACTTAATATGGAATGTTTAGAGATTACATGAATTGGATAACAATGGGAATAGAGATGCTGTATTTCCTCATATGAAGTTATTGGTGAGTTTATAATACGATTTTTAAGGTTAGAATTGTTTATGCTTTTTGAATTAATATTGAGGTCATTTGCATCTGAGTTTATTCGAGTATTCTTTGATATTGAGTCAATTGTTTTGATATTGATGTTAATTTTGTTGCTATTGTTATTGATATTGTTGTTATTGTTATGATCAAGGATACCATTATCATTATCATTATCAGTATCAGCATTTTCATTAATGATATTATGGGTGATGTTGTTATTATTTATAGAGTTATTGATGGCGGTGTCGTTATTTAGATCTGAGTTTATGATGTTGTTTTTTAGAGGATTTTTAAGGTTTCTTAATTTAGAATGGTTATTTAAAGAATCTAGATTGGAGGAAGTATTGATGGCTAAACTTTTGGATCTTGAATGGAAGCTGATTGATTTCGATCTCGAGTGTGATTTTGATCTTGGGAGCAAAGAGTTGTAGGAGTTGGGAGTGTATGCCGAATTTATAGAGGAGTTTGGTGATTCAATAGTGCTGTTAATGAGATTAAGACTATTGTTGTTGTTGTTGTTATTGATATTGTTATTGATATTATTTGGGTTTATGGTATTTTTTTTATTTGTCGAAGTGGATATGAAACTTGTGTTTGAATCAAAACTTGAATCCAAGTTAGTATTGATGTGTAATTTAGAGGGGGAATTGGAGGATTGAGATTTATTATTTAAATTATTGAAATTGACATTTTTCAAGTTATTGATATTATTATTAATATTGATATTATCATTGGTATTGTCATTAGTATTATTGTTGTTAGTGTTGTTGTTAGTATTGATATTATTGTTGTGATTAGTTTCATTATTCATATTGTTAATATCATTTTTTGGATTTAAATCAATATTATCAAATTGAAAAATTGGAGAAGGAGGAATCGAATTCAAATTTGGCAATCTGATTTGGGGAACCAAGATGTTATTCAAATTTTTTTTCTTGTTTGACAGCGAGGGTTTTCTGGCCAACATAATCAATTCCTCGTCTAGATCGTTGAAGTTTGTTGTTGTTCTTCGTCTGTGAGTATTGATATGGCGACTATCATTAGGAACTCGCAAGGACATTTTCGGTTATGGTTGAGTGGTTCAGTATGGGTATAGTAGATGGGCGCTTAATGTGGAACGATCTAAAGACGATATAAAAGAGTGGGATGTGTAGAGTGAGAAGAATAGAAAACCAGTAAAGGATCTATGGAGAAGTGCAGTGGAGATTAAAGAGAGGTTGTTCTTGAGCTTTATAGTGTTTTGATGGAGAGATATGGTATGGCAGTTTGGGGAATGATTTGAATTCCTCTGTGCTTTAAAACACTGATAACACTGGAAAAGATATATTTAGAAATACTGTGTTTTCTCAGAGACAAAAGGGAAATTGAGGCAGAAAAGTCCCAGAATCGAGCAGTGAACGAAAGAATGTTGCGAGAACAATCCCAGAGCTTTTTGCCAGCAAAAAAAAACTTGAAGAGATATCTCCAGAAGATAGACTTGGGCAGACTTGAGCAGATGAGATCTACAAAAAGGTTCTGGCAGCAGTTGGGCTGGAGAAGAATGGCAGAGCAAGAATTGCGTAGAGAGGAGCCTGAAGAGAGCACAGAAAGCGTCCAGCAGAGGCAGCAGAGGCAGCAGATATGGGGGAGAAACGAGAAGCAGCTGGAAAAGAAGCAGAAGCAACAGGCTATTTATACTCGCTAGTTAGAACAGGTAATAAACAATAATTGAGTCTCAGATCCAGAGCTGAGTTGGGTATCCCTTCAAAAACACAACTGGCACTCCTTTGGCACTATACACGTGTGGTGTTGCAGTTGTTTAGCCCTGTAGAAACAGGACTTGTCCAACATCAGTTGGAAACGCCCTCGAAATATCATTTATAACACGTGTCATTAAGCTTTGGGTCGGAACTCACTTTTTTTTTTGAATTTTTTTTTTTTGGATCTGGAGCAGAGAAAAAAGTGTTTCTGTTGGGCGTTTTGGTTGTGGATATTGGCAATTGCTTTGGACCAGCAGCTTTTAAACATGTTTTCTGCCTCTTGTTGGGTTCCCAGGGGATACGCCTCTGAGTTTCCCAGACAGTACGACTTGGACGATGCTGAAATGGAGAGAATTTCCAGACTCGCCCAGCTACAGTTAGATGATGCAAATGACGATTTGCAAGAGGCTCAGCGAGAACAAATCAACTACAATGGAGACTCCAAAGAAGTGACTTTGACCAAAGATCTGCTCCTAGAGAAGGATAGAGCAGACATTGAAATTGACGAAGATCTCAAGGAATATCATTTTGAAGACTTTGATGATGAAGAAGACAAAAACGATCTTATATTCAACAATCTTTCCAAAAATATCGACGACATCAATATGAACGATGATAGCGAAAACGACGGTGACAACATCCAAGAAGATAATACAAAAGAAAACGACGACGATGATTCTCCGGTGTTAACTTCTGAGCAGCTCAAGGAGGAAGAGGAAGAAGAAAGAAAAGAGTTGCAAATATATCCAAACGATAACCTAGTTGTGGCCGGAAGAACTGAAGACGAATTATCCTACTTAGAGGTCTATGTTTACGACGATGGTGCAGGAAACCCAAACCCTAACGACAATGACGACAATGACGATAACAATAGTGACGACCACCTTGAAAAGGGAATGATTCGCGAAAGCTCCTTATATGTCCACCATGATTTTATGATACCAGCCTTTCCTTTATGCATCGAATGGTTAGATTTCTCCAAAAATGATTCCAACAATTTTGTAGCCATTGGCACTTTTGATCCTCAAATCGAAATATGGAATTTGGATTCAGTCAACTCTCAGTTCCCTGATTTAATATTGGGCCAACCAATCACCACTAACAACAATAATAACAAAAGTTCAAGAAGGAGCAAAAAAAATAAAAGAAATAAAAAGAAAATAAAATACCCCTTAGAATACCACACTGGTGCTATCCTATCGTTATCTCACAACAAATTTGATAAATCAATACTAGCCTCAACCTCGGCCGATCATATGGTAAAAGTATGGGATTTAAATGCTGAAAAAGCAACCCGTTCTGTAATATTACACAACAATAAAACCGTATCATCTTCTCAATGGAGTTCAGATTCATCTATAAACTCATCTACTATATTATTAACTGGAGGTTATGATAGCTCAATTTGTGTTTCCGACTTGAGAGTATCCGATGAATCAACCATGTCGAAAAGATGGTCTGTCAATAATTCAGAAGAAGTCGAAAACGTTAAATGGTCTAACGACAATCTACTATATGCTGGTACTGATAACGGCTCCTTGTACTGTTTTGATCCAAGAGTAGAGGGAAAACCTTTATGGACTTTACAGGCCCACGATTCAGGAATATCTTCTCTTCAAGTTAACCCCTTTATTAACAATATGATAATAACTTCTGCAATTAACGAAAAAGCTGTGAAATTATGGAAAGTAGAAAATAATATACCATCATTGGTTTCTTCTAAAAATATGGATATCGGGAATATTCTTTCCACTTCTTTTACTCCTGATTTAGAAGTTGCAGGAAACCTAGCCGTTGGTGGTGTAACTGGTTCACTAAAAGTTTGGGATATCTTTTCAACAAAATCAGCAAGGAAAGCATTTGAAGAATCTTTAATCCAATTACAAAAAAAAGCTTTCTTGGTTGCCAAACAAAATAACAAATCATCTAGAATTGCAAAAAAATACTGGGATACTTATCCTGAGGTTATATTGCAAGGTGAATAAAACTAACAATTGTGTTATATATAATCTTATGTATAATTTTATTTCATTTTTTATACAAAAAAAAAGCTTGTTTTCATTGTATATTTAACTTTTACTATTGTTTGTCATTAACCAATTGATAACTAATTAAAACACCAAAATCGCTCATCGATAAACTTATCATGAAGTTATTCCACGCAAATAATCGTTTTCACTATTCGTAGGAAAATTGTAGAACCATTTTGAAATTTTATCACAGTTTTGTTCAAGATCTTCCATAGTGTTGCTCTCCAACTCAACTATAATAGAACTATCATAATTATCTCTGGCCTCTTCAACAATAATTTCCATAATTTCAACATCCAAGTTTTCTTGAATCTTGCTATTTTTATAACCTCTCTCTGTCAACCTGTCATAGATGACATCAGTTTTACATCTCAAGACCACTACCAAATCAATTAAGGATTCAGGAAATATTTCACAAGCATGCCAATCTACTAATATGCCACCTTCTTCCAAATCATCTTCTATTTCATCCAACAATTTATCCTCGTCAACTATATCACAGTCTCTTAGTTTATCGTGAGCTGCAATGCATTTTCTTTCTTTTGCAATATCACTGATTGAAAAGTGTTTCACCTCAGCCAACATCCCGACAAGCATTTCGCAATGGCTGGTTTTTCCACAGCCAGGCGTGCCGGTTATTATAATATTGGGAAAGTGTCTTTCGGAAGACATGATTGTGTTTAGGAATTGCTAGAAAACTGGTGTAATTTCTTTCTATTCTACTGAAATTGAACCAAAAGTGTCAAACAACAAAAATTGAACCAAAAAGAAAAAAAAAGGCAAGCCGAAAACCACTGGGACGGGTCTTCGCAGCGTTACCCGAACTCGATTTGTAGCTGTAGCTTTAATGTTGAAGTTATAGAATTGTCAGAGGTCTGAGGGTGAGAGACATAAACAATATTTAAGTTAATTTAAGTTACAAATATAATATTGATGAACATAATATAATTTTCCGGCGACTTACGTTGTTTTTTCTTTAATAATAATCTAACAAATTCCACATATACATAGAACAAATATGCTTCCACCAGGTCTAACACAAACGCAAACGGCTCCTAATCCTTTGATAAAGCCAAATAACAGTACTATGATAAGTTATAACAATCCAAATAATCCAAACAACCTCAATAATTCTATTGCCACGAACAATGTCAGTACTCTAAGCAAAAACACCAATAGCACAAATGACCCAATAAAAACAGTGAATAGCGTGAGTGCTGCAAATCAGAATGGAAATCTAGAGACTTTTAAAGAAGAGCTGGAGGAAGAGATTGCAGACATCGACAAATACGGATTGAAAGCATTGGCTGGGTTGATACGAATGGAAAACAATAATCAAACCAAGGTGGCGATTGGATTTGATTTGAATAAATTGAACGATTTAAGTGACTTGGGACCTGGTCAAAAATTGAGTTCGAAATTTCGTTCTCCATGGTTGGAAACTACAAGAAGCGATGTTATACCAGCTTATAAATTGCCTAAAGAAATCATTGAATTGAACCGTAAAAAAAGGTATTTTTTGCCTCCAGTTGCGACTAGAATGAACAAACTCAACGAGGATACGTTGTTTTACCTATTTTATACCAAACCAAAGGATGTGTTACAGGAGTTTTCTTATAGAGAATTACATGGAAAAGGCTGGAGATTTCATAAAGAATTAAAAGTTTTCTTAATCAGAGACCCAACTGCAAGAGTGCTTGAGCAAACTGCGGAAGGTATGAGAACAGTTTTTATATTTTTTGATTTTCAATCATGGATAAGAGTTAAGAAGGAATTTGTTGTGTATTATAATGATCTTTTGGATCTTGACCTTTAAGCTAAACCAGAATCAAAATTAAAATTAAAATCAAAGTCAAAAATCAAAATCAAAATCAAAATAAAATTAAAACCAATTAAAACCATAATAAATTGTAATTATTTGTATAGTTTTTGTTGTGTTTTCATTGTGTTTTTGTTTTGTTTTGTTTTGTTTTGTTTTGTTTTGTTTTGTTTTGTTTTGTTTTGTTTTGTTTTGTTTTGTTTTGTTTTAGTTTAAAGTTGAGTTTTATTTTCATCCTGTTGCTATTTTGCTAATGTTTTTTTGATTTCATATCTTCTATATTTTGATTTAGATTTTATTTGAATCTTAATACTTTGATTTCTTACAAGATTAAAGTAAATTCACTAAACGTAGATGCTGAATGTGTGGATGCAAAATAGTAACATCATGCCTCCATATGTAAAACAAAATTATTGGGCACGTGATGGTTTTTTTGGGTTTTTTTTCTCTTTAGTGAAAGTTGGTGGAAAAGAAGTGAGAGGATTGGTGAAGTTGGATGGAATAGAATCCAAGTTTTTAGTTTTATCTTTTCATTAAAAACAGATTGAATATTATTTTGTTATAATGTTTCGATCAAGAACTGGGATTTCAAAATTAGGTTTAGTTCCTTTGACAAGATTACTTTCAAGTGCTACGACTCCAGTCATTTCATCAGTTCAATCTTCAGTTGCAGCACCAGTTTTTTTATTCAACAGACAATTTAAGATTCTTGATTTGCCTAAACAAAGCAACCTCATTATCAATTCTTTAAATCCCTTGAACGATTCCAACTCAATTTTAAATCCCAACAGGAATTTTGAGAACCAAATTGAGATCAACGATTTCATTATAGATCACAATAGCGATAATAGTACCATCAAGGATTTCCAAAAAAATGAGGGTATTAATGAAATTTCACTAAGTTCAGTTTTAGTCAAAAGAAGACTCAAAATGAAGAAACATAAATTGAAGAAGAGAAGAAAGGCTCAACGAGCATTAAGACGTAAATTGAAGAAATGATTTATTATTTTTGTTTATTTGTTTGTGTTATTTCACTTCATTCTGTCTCAGTTTAATTTTCTTGTTTTATTTATTTATTCGTTTATTCATTCATTCATTCAATTAATTAATTAATCAATTAATTATGGAATAATATTTTTTGTTGATTATCAGAAATAAAAATGAAAGAAAAAAAAAGGGAACAACGATTTCGTGAAAGAAAAACAAGAATTTCTGATTTACTATTGCTATATTTTTTTTATTTTATTATTATATCTATTCATTCCCTGTTTATAGTGTTATCAAATAAAATTGTCAAAATAGATTAGTTACTTCTTTCATCCGAATAGGTGTTTCTCAGCAAATGGGTGAGATGGCCAATACCGTCGAGTTGATGCTATGACTAAGATAAACCAGCTCGTTCCAATCACTTGCTTTACTTTTGGTATTTGGTCATTTTAATTAAACCCTTTATTTGAAATTTCAAATAGCCATAGTCTCACACTCAAAATGCTTCATTTGTAATGGTAGCAGCAGCAGACACTCAAAAGACCAATGACTCTGGGGTATCCAGGTGCAGTTATGGCCATGACTGGCACTGCGAGTTGGTGATCCAGCTGCTGGGCTATCTATGTTGCCATGAAGCCCACGCATCAGCTAATGAAATGTTGGGCAATTGAGATAACCATAGCTGCCCACCATTATCGCTGCCCACCACTATCGTCCCAGCACTAATTGAACCCCATGGAACTAAATCAAGCCCCATCAATATATCAGGCCTAGCTAAAGAGGACGTGCGCTTTTCAAACCTTTTCTCTTATTTTAACCCTTCCTCTGTCACCGATTACCACCGCTGCGGACCGGCAGCCACACGCGTACACACGCAGCCACACGCGCACCATAATGGAGGGACTTATCGGAGACACATACAGCTCCACAGTTTCGTTTGGGAACCATATATAAAGATAAGTGGGATTCGTCTTTTTTTCTCTTGTTTTTTGTTTTCTCTATTATCAATCCAGATATTTCTCTTGACTTCACCCCATTCAATTGCAAAAGTCTTTGGTGCTTCTCTTGCCCTTTTTTTCTGCTTTCTGCGCTGTGTTTGCCTGGAAAACACTCAATTTATTCTTTCCTAATTCAGTAACTGAGACTTTCGCTGCTTTAGCTGCATACTTCTATCTTCTTTTTGCTCTTACCTGTCTTTCTCTTATTCAGCTGCTAATATATTCATATACGCTTCTCGACAATGGTTTCCTCAAAAATTTCTATTCCAATCCCCGACGAGGAAATCCTTCCCAAGGCGAACGATCTCGGTGCTTTGGCCAACAGAATCAACTTTGAAACAAGAAAAAACCACAACAAGATTGACAAGACCATCTCTGTCAAGTTGTTGATTGCCTTAACCGATTACAGAATCTGGAGACAGGGCTTGCAAATCTTCTACCACATGTTCAAAAACATCGAGATATTGATTAACAATGAATTGGACACTTTAGCCTTGAGCGAGGGCAAAACAGACATCAAATATCCAAACTCTGACGCTTTCAGGTTTTCTCCAGACCAAATCCAAAATATTGACAAGGACTTGAGAGTCGCCTCAATATTGTACCAATTCTTTGATCCTAAGATGTACAGAGCTCAAAATCTAAGAAACGACTTGTTGGTCTTTTATAACAACAAAGATTCTTTTGAGAGCCCAATGCATCTAGAGCAAAAGAAATTCGTCCAGCATTTATACTCAACTTTCCAAGAAAAGCCTCATGTGTTGATTGCTTACTGCCATGTTCTTTACCTTGCTTTATTCGCTGGTGGCAAATTGATAAGATCTTCGATTTTAAAATCAACTGGCTTGTTTCCTGACATTGAGGGAAAGTCAAAGAACGAAGTCGTTCAAATGGCAACCACCTTCTTCAAGTTTGATGTATTGGACGAAAACTATTTCAAAATTCGTTACAAGACCAACTACGAATTGTCAACAAGACTGGCTTTAACTGAACAAGAAAAGTTGGATATTATAGAAGAATCAAAATACATCTTCGATACCATCTACAATTGTGTCAAAGAATTGGAAGTCTATAACACTCATAGATTCAATACTAAATTCAAAAAAATGGGTTACAATGCTGCTCTTTTCATACTTTTTATTTTATTCTTGCTATATATCAGAAGATTAGTTCTTCACATCATTTATTAAGTTGCCTTGGTTCATTCTACTTTTTATTTTATTTTATTTTATCTTATCTAATTTTATCTAATTTTATCTTATTTTATCTTATCTAATTTTTGCTTGATTGTCTCTATTTAGTTCCTTATTTTATATTTATTTTCTCATTCCTATAATATATTTCCTAATATTTATTTTTTATTCAATTCACATTATTACTAGTCACCTAAATAAAAAAAAACAAAAAAAACTGTCATTTAAAAAATTACTATGTATGCTTCATCATGCAAGCTTATGCGGCTTTGAAATTTTTCTTTATTTTTTTATTTATTTCTTTTAAACTTTTGAAAATAATTCATTTCCTTACGAAAATTTTTGTTAAAAATTTTTCATTAGAATATAATTATCAGATATATTAGTTATAAACTGAGTTTACTTTTTTTCATTAATTACTGCAAACTCTTATTCAAAGAAAACCGTAATGGATCAAAAATTTTTCCTAGATCTTGATCAATCTTACGGTTATTATCTGATCTATGCCTCATTTAATCAGAAAAAGAACTTACCCCAATGCTATACAATCGATAGAAATTTATCTGCAGATGAAAATATCGACAGATTGGCTGAATTTGCTTTAGACTTGAAAACAACTTCTGCAATCTTATACTCTTTCAAACCCATAATCTTAGAGATTCTATCAAGATGGATCTCCAACCCGGTTTTAGAACAAAATTATCTTAAAAATAAAAATTTCAATTTTGTTAATATCAATGGAATTATCACATTTGCTTCAATCGCAAGAATTGTTTCTCTATCGCCAGGAATTCCTACCTTAATCGATCATTTCTTACTGAATAACAATTTTTTCCAATCAATTAAACAAATTGGCTTGCAAAATATTCACTCAGATCTATTGCAATTGGTTTTATTATCTTACTACAGATTAATAACTTTTGATAATCAAAAGTTTTCAAAACATATTCTCCCAGATCTATTATATGACATAATAAACCTCAATAACACCTCAAGTTTCAAAATCTCAACTATAAATAAATATCTCTCTATTCAGATATTATCTATCTTTATAAATTTAAGTGAAGAAATCAAAAAAACCATGGTAGAATCATTGGACACTAATGATTTTTTAGGCTTTCTCGATGGTGATGAAAACGTCAATTTTTTATTCTTACCTTTAATCGAAGCTCAACGTTTTTCAAATTTTAATTCCTTGCCCGAATCAAATTCAATATTATTATCAAACTATCAAAAACTAGAAAATCAAAATCGAAAAAATTTACTTGCTTTAGATGAAAGATCATTATCAAATTTAATTATTTGTGTATCTGGAGTCTTAATACCAAAATTTTCTTCAATCAACAATCTAAATAATAATGATTCAACCAAAATTGACGAAAATATAGTTGTATATACTCCCAAAATTGATGCTGTTTTGAAAAAATTGGCATTATCCATTCAATCTTCTACTCCAGTCATGTTAATTGGCAAAGCTGGCTCAGGGAAAACTTTTTTAATTAACCATTTGGCTCAAAAAATGTCTTATGATAATTCCATGGTAAAAATTCACCTTGGAGATCAAACTGATGTCAAATTATTGCTCGGAACATATACCTCAGGAAAAGAATCCGGTTCATTTGTATGGAGAGCTGGTGTTCTTACCACTGCAGTAAAAGAAGGACGCTGGATACTAATTGAAGATATCGATAAAGCCCCTACAGATGTGCTATCTATTTTATTAACTTTATTAGAAAAAAAAGAATTGACTATTCCTTCTAGAGGTGAGGTTATCAAAGCAAAGAATGGGTTTCAAATATTTTCAACCATCAGAATAAATAAAGAATTCAATGAAAAAAGCCTCCAAAATCATATTCCAGACTTGATTGGTTTGAGATTATGGAATTTGATTGAAATGGAAGAATTGAATAAAGATGATCTAAAAAAAATTTTAAACTTAAAATATCCATTATTAATAAATTACTGTACAAAATTTATTGAAATGTTTAAAAATATTGAAGAAATCTATCTTAAGACCTCATTTATTGGATTTAATAAGGGCTCGCACTTGAGACTCATTTCTGCAAGAGATCTAATGAAGTTTTGCAACAGGGTTAATTTAATCTTTAAAAACTATAAAGTGACGGACCCTGATCAAATGATTGAGTCCTCTGCTTTTGATGAAATATTCTGTGAAGCGGTTGATTGTTTTACAAGTTCCATTAGCGAATCCAAAGCATTGGCAATATTAATTAATTCAATTGGCAGATCACTTGAAATTTCTACTTCGAGAATAGAATTATATCTAAAAAGAAATGTGCCGAAATTCTCCAATAATCAGCTAACTCTTTCAATTGGGAGAGCGTATTTAGAGAAATATAACAGCTATCAGATAAATAACAAAAATATTGACGATAGCTCATTTGCTTTCACCAATCATTCTTTGAAATTAATGGAACAGATAGCAGTAGCAGTACAAATGGTAGAACCAATATTATTGGTCGGTGAAACTGGTACAGGTAAAACCACTGTTGTACAACAACTCGCAAAATTGATTAATAAAAATATCATTGTGATTAATGTTTCTCAACAAACAGAAACTTCTGATTTATTGGGTGGATTTAAACCATTGAATAATAAAATGATCATATTGTCATTACAAGAAAATTTTCATTCTTTGTTTTCTCTTACATTTTCATCAAAGAAAAATGCAAGTTTTTTGAATATATTAACAAAGGCTTTTAATAAGAATAATCATAAAAGAGTAATAAAAATTTGGAGGGAAGCGATAAAAATGGCCAAAACCGCATTGAAACAAAATGGTCAGAATTCTAATAAAAACAAAAAAAGAAAAACAAACAATTTGAATGATTGGCTTGAATTTGAAAATAATGTCAAAAGTTTTGAACAAACCATGTCGTCTAACCAAAATAAGTTCTCATTTGAATTTGTAGAAGGCTCCTTAGTTAAAGCTGCAAGAAATGGAGACTGGTTATTGCTTGATGAAATCAACTTAGCTTCTCCGGATACTTTAGAAAGCATTTCAGATCTTTTAAATGAATCATCTCAGGGCAGATCATTAATGATTACTGAGAATGTTGATATAGTCAAAGTTCATAAAGATTTCAGAATCTTTACTTGCATGAATCCTGCAACAGATTTTGGGAAAAAAGATTTGCCATTAAGTATACGTTCTAGATTCACAGAAATCTATGTTCATTCACCCGATAAAGATATTGATGATTTGTTGACTATAATTGAAAAGTATATTTCAAGATTTGCTATAAACGATGAGTTCATATGTACTGATATTGCTCAATTGTATATGCAAGCTAAAAATTTGGCTGAATCAAACAAAATTATTGATGGAGCAAATCAAAAACCACATTTTAGTATTAGAACATTAACTAGAACCTTGATTTATGTGCGTGAAATTGTTCTTATATATGGACTAAGAAGAGCGTTGTATGAGGGGCTTTGCATGAGTTTTTTAACATTGTTAGATGAAAAATCCAATGAAGTCTTACAGCCATTGATTCTTAAATATACATTAGGAAGATTAAAGAATCAAAAATCAGTTTTGAGTCAAATACCACCAGCACCAGTTCCAAATCAGAAATATGTCCAATTCAAGCATTATTGGATTAAAAAAGGACTTTTCAAAGTAATTGATCAACCTGACTATATTATAACACCTTTTGTTGAAAAAAATATGCTTAACTTGGTTAGAGCCATTTCTGGAAAGAGATTTCCTGTTTTAATTCAAGGTCCCACCTCAAGTGGTAAGACGAGTATGATCAAATATTTAGCTAACATCAGTGGGCATAAGTTTGTTCGTATAAATAACCACGAACATACTGATTTGCAAGAATATCTAGGAACCTACTTGTCAGATGATTCTGGAAAGCTTGTGTTTCAAGAAGGGGTTTTGGTTGAAGCATTGAGAAACGGCTATTGGATTGTGCTTGATGAATTGAATTTAGCACCAACTGAAGTTTTGGAAGCCTTAAACAGATTGTTAGATGATAATAGAGAATTATTTGTGCCTGAAACACAAGAGGTAATTAGACCACACCCAGACTTTATGCTTTTTGCTACCCAAAACCCCCCCGGTGCTTATGGTGGAAGAAAAATATTGTCAAGAGCCTTTCGAAATAGATTTCTTGAACTTCATTTTGACGATATTCCACAAAGTGAGCTTGAAATCATTCTACGTGATAGGTGTCGCATTGCACCAACATATGCTAAAAAAATTGTTGAAGTGTATAAACAATTATCCATACAACGTCAATCAACGCGTTTATTTGAGCAAAAAAACAGTTTTGCTACTCTTCGTGATTTATTTCGTTGGGCTCAGCGTGAGGCTATTGGTTATGAGGAATTAGCAGCAAATGGTTATATGCTTTTGGCTGAAAGAGTTAGAAGAAGTGAAGAAAAAAAAGTCGTTCAAAAAGTAATTGAGAATGTCATGAGAGTGAAGTTAGACATGGAGAATGTTTATGCCAAATTGTATAATCCAGATATAATGAATTTAAAAAGTTCTGTTGTTTGGACTAAAACAATGAGAAGATTGGTTGTATTAGTCTCCACTGCCTTAATCAATAATGAACCCATATTGCTTGTCGGCGAAACTGGATGTGGAAAAACAACAGTTTGTCAACTTTTAGCTAGGTTCTATGAAAAAAACTTGGTTACAATCAATGCTCATCAAAACACAGAAACTAGCGATATATTGGGTGCACAGAGACCTGTACGTAATAAAAGTGAATTGCAATCTTCGATAGTGGAAAAACTAAATTTTATTTTCAATAAGTTGAACATTGATATATCAAACATAAAGGATTTATCAGGCTTATTAAAAAAATTTGATTTAATATCAAAAGATGAAACCTATAAAAATGAAATCGATGTTGAAACCTTGAATTTTATTAAAAATTGCAAACAAAATTTGAACATATTGTTTGAGTGGTGCGATGGACCACTAGTAAATGCTCTCAAAGAAGGTAATTTTTTTCTATTAGATGAAATTTCTTTGGCAGATGATTCAGTTTTAGAAAGATTAAATAGTGTACTTGAGCCAGAACGAAACTTGTTGCTTGCTGAAAAAGGTTCTATTGACACAAATATCACAGCAAAAGATGGGTTTCAATTTTTTGCAACCATGAATCCTGGAGGAGACTATGGGAAAAAGGAGCTTTCTTTAGCACTTAGAAATCGTTTTACCGAGATATGGGTTCCTTCCATGGATGATTTTGAAGATGTAAAACAAATAGTTGTTTCCACTTTGGCAACTGATGTTGAACATTTATCTAAACCAATCACACTTTTTTCAGAATGGTTTGGAAAAAGATATGGAGGAGGCAACGCAAATAGTGGTGTTATTTCGATTCGTGATATACTAGCATGGTGTAATTTTATTAATTCAACATACCAGAAAATTGGTGCTAAACAGGCTTTGTTAAATGGTGTTTCAATGGTATTTGTCGATGCGCTTGGTACTAATAATACAGCATTTTTAGCAGAATCCAAAATTAAATTGGCTAGTGAAAAACAGGAGTGTATTTCTAAGCTTGCTTTGTTATCCAATTTGGAATTTGATAATAATATTAACGATGGTTTTAAAGTTATTGTAAATGATTCATATTTTACTTGTGGGTCATTCCAAATTGAAATAAAAAAACTTGAAGCTGTGTCGTCTTTTAATCTAGATGCTCCTACAACTTCAAAAAATGTCATGAGAGTAATTAGAGCCATGCAGGTCAAAAAGCCTATATTGTTGGAGGGAAGTCCAGGTGTGGGAAAAACCAGTTTAATTACAACATTAGCCAAAGCAACTGGAAATAAATTAACAAGAATCAATTTGTCTGAACAAACTGATTTAATTGATTTATTTGGATGCGATGCTCCAGCAGAAGGTGGATCAACCGGTGAATTTACATGGAGGGATGCTCCATTTTTAAGAGCCATGAAAAAAGGAGAATGGATATTGCTAGATGAAATGAACCTTGCCTCACAGTCTGTTCTAGAAGGTTTGAATGCATGTCTTGATCATAGATCAGAAACTTTTATTCCTGAATTAAATAAAACTTTTGTTTGTAATCCAAACTTTGTTGTTTTTGCAGCACAAAATCCTCAATATCAAGGAGGGGGAAGAAAAGGTTTACCAAAGTCATTTATCAACCGTTTCACTGTTGTGTATGTTGACGTTTTAAACTCAACAGATATTTCAATGATTGTCAACCACTTATATCCAAATATGAAACCTGATATTTATTCCGGTATAATCAAATTTATTGCTGAAATTGAAGATCAAGTTATTATTAAAAAGCAATGGGGACACGATGGAAGCCCCTGGGAGTTCAATCTTAGAGACACATTACGTTGGTTTGAATTACTTAATTCTAAAGGTATAAGTTCTTGCTACAACCCCGAGGACTTTATAAAAATTGTTATCAGTCAAAGGTTTAGACAAAAAAAAGACAGAGAAAATGTTAACAGACTTTTTAAGAAAATTTTTGGTCATCTTCTTTATCATAGTCCATACTTTATACTTGGAGAAAAATTTTTGCAGTCTGGATTTTCTTTGATACCAAGGAGAAGCAAAATCCAGCATTTCACCAATAGTCACATTCTTTCTTTAGGTTCAAATCTGGAAATTTTGGAGTCAATGATTATGTCTATTAATAATAATTGGCCACTAATTTTGACTGGACCTACAAATTCTGGTAAAACTGAAATTATTCGATATTTGTCCTGTTGTGTTGGCTCAAAATTAGTGGAGTTTTCTATGAATAGTGATGTAGATAGTATGGATATATTAGGTGGATATGAACAGGTTGATCCTATCAAAAAAATCGTGTCTTTCACAACCAAACTAGAAACATTTTTAAGACAGTATATTGCTGAAAGTATTCAGACTTTACAAGCATCTAATGCCTCTGTTCATTTAGCGTTTGATATTTTAAATGAAGTTTTATATTCTTCAATCACCATGTCTGATTTTGAGAACTTTCTCAGAAAAGTTGGTTCTCTTTCCACTTCTGTTTATAATAAAGAGCTTAATGATTATATTTCTGAAGGTTTAAGGCTTTACGAAGAGTTAAAAAACACCAAAACGGTGAATTTTGAATGGTTTGATGGGCTCTTAGTAGAAGCAGTCTCAAAGGGTTATTGGCTAGTGTTAGATAATGCTAATCTTTGCACTCTGTCTGTTCTTGATAGATTAAACTCTTTATTGGAAACAAATGGTTCATTGGTAATCAATGAATGCAGTTTAGCTGATGGCCAACCTAGAACATTAGAACCACATCCAAACTTTAGATTATTTCTTACAGTTAACCCCAAGTATGGAGAATTATCTAGAGCTATGCGTAACAGAGGTATTGAAATTTATCTTGATTGCTTGAATAATCGTTCAACTTCTTTTGATTTGAAATTGTTAGACCAGGTATCTGATTGTTCTTTGCCTAAAGACAAAGATATTTGTTTGAATTTTGAAAAATTAAATATCCAGGACTTTTCTTTTTCTAGAAAACCAATTTCCTCATATATCAATTCAAATGACTCGTTTTTTAGGGCTTGGTCTTTAATGATCGATGCTTTTTATTTTTCATCATCAGAATTGGAAGAAGAATTAAATAATGCATGGATTTCTTGTTTGCCCTTTAAGTTATATTCTTCTACTTCGGCATTAGAAGCTACTATCTTATTTTCTTCTGAATTTGATAAAGCATTGACTAATAATTTTTCAAAATTAAGCGAAAAATTGAATTGTTTAACTGAAACCAATCAATTTTCCAAATTTTATGATAGTTATGCTTTTGCTAACAAATTTGTGACATCAAATTTAGAATTAGATGTCAATTTTTCACAATATCAATCAGCCAACCTTTTTTTGAATAATTATATTTTTGATGATATCAATAAAAAGGTTAATCTTCAAAACAAGTCTGAGCTTATTTATTTTTTCGAGCTTATTTTCCACTTGCTTGAATCAACAAAAAAAATTAAAGCTATTGAGCACAGAGCAAAAACTCTTGCTCCTTACACATTGAATCGTATTGAAACATCGGCAGCAAACTTTTTTGGTCGTGAGATAAGAGATAATTTTAAATTTCCTATATTCAAATTGGTAGGAACTATTCATCAGTTGATTAAAGATACACTTCAAAATACATTTTCAAAAGAGCATAAATTTGATATGGATTCTATTTACAAAAGTTTGTTTGACTTATATGTTATTTTATCTTGTATTTTTATTTGCGAAGATGAAGAAAAATTAAGGGTCTTTTGTTTATTGATTAATAAATGGGTTCAAAGATCTGTAAAGAGGTATAATATAAATGATTCTTTCTTGAAAGAACTTCAACTATTTAATAGGGATTTAGAATTGTCAACAGGGAATTCCATGAATATTATTTGGAAGCATTTTAGAAAAGAATATCCCATTTCGGATAGTTCTTGGAAACAATTTAAAGATTTGGAGGTCCTAGGTAAAGAATATGATTCTGTATGTGAAAAATTATACGAGGATTCTTCCAAATCTATAACTGAATTGAAAAAAGTAATTCTTATAACACAAGATCAAGTTGTCCAAAGTTTTATTAATTTTGAAGATTTTTTGGTTATAAAAAATCAGTTGAAAAATAATATAGATAAGGCTTTGGAAGTTTCAAGTCTGTTTATAAATCAAAAAAACGACTATTTTCAAGCAGAGTTTTATTTATTGCTAACTTTAATGGAGTCTAATATAATGTTAGAAAAAAATAAATTTAGTGTCTCTGATGAGTTTTTCAATTTATCTACACTATCTGGAAAATCAACAAAATCGATTCGTCCTTATATTTCAAATAATATCTTAATTCCTTATCCTGCTGTTTTGGAATCATTCTGGATTTATGATTCTTCATCTTATAAATCAATTGTTTCAGAAGTGTTTAGTTATTCATTGTTTTCAAATATTTCTTTAAAATGTTTGAAATTTTATCAAATCCCCAGTTGCAATCTTTTGCAATCTTTAAGCGAGCTTAATCTTTTATCTAAAAAAGTTGTTGAAAATTCTAACATTGTTTTACAAAATCAATTGCAGGTTTATAGACAGATTTTGATTAACTGGATTATTTCTATTCTTCTTTCTCATGAAGAAACATTTTCTTTAGAACTTCAAAAAGAGTATTGTGAAATTATCCTTGAGTTTAAAAACAATCTTTCCATGAAAACAATTGATAATTTATCACTATTTGTTGGCCAATCAAACAATTTTAAATTTGCTCAAATATTTAACCAATTTTTTTTTTCGATTTTGTCAGAGTTGTGTTTAAATCAGCTAAGCTCTTCTGTTTTGGGAAAATTATGGGTTCTTTTTGGTTGTGCAACAGTACAGCTTTTTCTTCCAAGCTCTCCATATGATCCTGCAATTGAAGATTATGTAAATTATGAAGTTCATAACAGGTACTCGGATATTATAAACAATATTACTCAATCATGGGTAGATATAAGAACTGTTATTAGTGGTGATGAGCCAATAGAAACTGAAAAATATATTCCTAGACTTAATGAACTAAAAGTTCCTGCCAAACCTAAGGTTTTTAGAAGTGAAGAATCTATTGGAGATTTATTTCAAGAATGGAAAGCTTTTATGTCATCTTCTATTGATATAGGGCCAATAAAGTTGTTATTAGATGCTGCTTCTAATAATTCCAAATTTTCAAACCAAAAAATTGAAAATTTCCAGTATAATTCCTCAGAGTTTTTAAATCGTCTTGAAAATAATTTTGTGATATATTCAGATATTAACGATATTCTAAAAGGTTTTATTTATTCAATGAAGTTAGGTTATGATCTTATTAATATAAATCCTCAGAAATCTTACAGTATCTATAACCCATTGCACTTAATTGGTAATTCTGATATTTTGTTAAATGTTTTGAGTGGCATAAAATCTTCTTCAGATCATGTTTTGTTATTTTTTATGAAAATATCAGAATTTTATAAAATTAATAAAATCAATATTTGTTTAAAAGATGTATTATTTCAGGTTTTTAATTTACTTTACAAAAATTGGAAGATTGGCACAATTCAAGAAAAACCTAAGAATGATGGTCTTTACAAATACTCTGATTTTGTTTTAAATGAAGAAGACGAAATTTTAGCTTTGTTTCCTGAGTACGATAATGAAGATTTGCAAAATACATCTGATCAGATTGATGAGACAAAAGAAAAGCTTTCCAAGAAAATTGTTTTTTCATACATTGGAATGTTTTTAGATGAAAAAAATAACATGGATATAAGTGAAGTTGTAAATGAGCTTTTAAGTCTCCATAATAATTTGAAGGACAAAACCATATTAAATGGATCGGATCCATCGACTTTAATGATATTGATTTATCAAATTGAAAATGTTTTATTATCCTATGAAACCAATATCCATGATAATGATATTGACTTTTATTATGGGTCTTGTCCTCAAGAACTTAAAAGATCAATCAAAATTATTGAGAAATTACAGGGACGAATCAATGATCTTTTATTACAATGGCCTGAACATGCCACACTAGGAATTATATTCAGATCGTGTGAAGAGTTTTTGAAGTTTGCAAGCTCGACACCACTTGCAAGACTTATTATGAAGATTGAACAGATTTATACGCACATTGTTGAATGGGAAAAGTATGCACATCAAAAAATTTCTTTAAAGTTGCAAATGAATGAAATAATTGAATTGATTGTCTCATGGAGAAGATTGGAGTTGAAATCTTGGAAATCGTTATTTGAACATGAAGAACAAGCTCAAAATAACGATTTATCCAAATGGTGGTTGCACCTATTTGAAGTTTTGATTCTTCCAGTCACTAAAGAAACCGAAAAAAGTCCTTTGGAGTTTGTTTCAGTTCTTGCTGGGTTTTTGTCTCAATCTTTGTATGGACAATTTTCCAGTCGATTAAAATTGTTAAAGGCATTTTACAATCATATGAAACTTTATGCTATCAATGCTATTTATTTAAACCCACTTTATAATCTTATAGGATTCTTTGAAAATTTTGAACCACAGATAACAACTTATATTGCTAAAGGAAAAAAGAAGTTGGAAAAAGACATGAACGAAGTGATTGTTCTAGCAAGCTGGAAAGATGTTAATATAGATGCTCTCAAACAAAGTGCTCATAAGTCTCATAAAAGTCTTTACAAAATTGTCAGAAAATATAGAGATCTTTTGTCTAAGCCAATTGCAGAAATCATTGAAAATGGATTACCAAAATCGTTGAAAGACTCCAAAAGTAACACTAATTTTTCTTTTGGTGTTAAATCAGCTCAATTGAATCATGGAAGCAATGCCAATATTGAAACTTTGAAAAAATTAAGCACCTGGAAATCGCTACCCAAAATTTTTGAAAACACAGAGAAATTAGATGAAAAACTTTTAGGCTTTAATGAAAAATTCAATTTGGAAGATTTTCCAAATTTATATGAGTTTGCAACTGATCTTAAAGAAAATATGGATGCATTGAGAAAAGAAACATATAGTCAAAAAGAAACCAAAGAAAAAAAGGGATCATCAAGAGCAAGAAAAATGAGATTATTGAATGATACAATTAAACAATTGAAAAGATTTGGTTTAAAGGTTAATATTAGAGCTGATATTCACAAAATGCAAACCTCGTCTATTCTAATTTTAAGTCAAATAAAATCATTTGAAGGGACTCTGTTAGAAAAACTAGATAAATATTTTTTCAGAATTATTGATTTATTACCTCGGTTGAGAAATTCTGTAATAAATTGCAATGAAAGTGCTCCTAAAGCTGAAATTCAAAAAGGACTAGCAATAATCCAAAATCTTGTTTTCAGTTTAAATAATTTTAGAAAACCTTTGAGTAAATTAGCATTTTTCAAAGAGGAATTTGAATCCACACTTAGTACATTTAAAAATATATCTAAATTACCTAATGATGGTGATTTTTTAATTGGTTGTAATGAAATTAAAATTAATGATGAAAATTGCATATTTATAGCCCAGAGTTTCATTCATGTTTTGAGTCTTTCAATTAAGATTATCAATTCTTCGACAAAATTTGCTCCTAACATTCAAAGCAGTACACTTGTTGATATAATAATTTTTGCTAAAAATGCAATGTCTGAATTTTTAGAAAAATTTCAAAAGAATAACTTTGAAATATATTATAATTCAAATAAATTAGCCATTGAACAATTTAATTATTGCATAGACATTTTGAAAAACAAGCTTGAGAATTGGAAATCCAATAGCAATAATTTAAATTATATTGCCAATACATTATTGGACTGGTGTGAATCAAAGATAGGTGCTTTAAATTCAATTAATATTGTTTCAATAAATCAAGAAAATATTGAAGAATTGTTTAAAAAGCATATTAATATCTCTACATTAATTATTTTAAGTTTCCAGGAAATAAATAAATTAAGAGAAACTGAAGTTGCATCGGAAGATGACGATAAATGGTTTAATAAAATAGAAGAAAAATTCAATCGATACTATTCATCGCTTAATTTTAAAAAAATTAATTATCATTTATGCAAATATCTTGAGCAAATAAGTAAGATGAATCAAAATAAAGAAACTTCAAGAATTTTAAGTTTAATTTTCTCCTTTTTTTATCCTGTTATTGATAGATATTATGAGTTAGTTCAAATTATTTGCAAAAAATTTAGCGAAAATTACTTTTACACAAGTAAGGCTTCATATTTATTATCCAATGCGCTTTATGATGTTTCAAGTAATGGGTTTTGTACTTCAGAAGAAGATGAAGATGAAGATGAAAAGGAGTCTGATGATGTTGAAAATGGAACTGGGTTAGGTGATGGAAACACTGAAGGTGCATCAAACAGTAATAAGGATCTAGATGAAGAAGATCTAGATGAGGATGCATTGGCCTCGAATAAGGAAAATGAAAAGCAAGATAATGACGATAATCAAGATGAAGAGGACAATGCAGCGGAGATTGATGGAGAGATGGGAGGTGAAATGGAAGAAGCTCCAGATCAAAATCAAGATGATGAAGAAAATGAAAAGGATGACAAAAATGAAGATAGTGATCTTGAAGAAGAATTGGACAACATTGATGATTTAGATCCAAATGCAATTGACGAGAAAATGTGGAATGATGAAAAAGATGAGGATATTAAAGAGAAAGAATCCAATGATTTACCCGAAAATGAGCAGGGAGAAAAAGAAATGCAAGGAAAAGACGAAGATGAGGATATTGATGTTGAAAAGAAAGATGAACAAAAAGAGAGAGAAAAAGGAAATGATAAATCTAGTGAAGAAACAGATGAAAAGGAAGAAGACGAAGAGGCAAGCGATATTGATGATGTAGGAGAACAAGAGGATGAAGTTAAAAATGCTGAGAATGAAGATAAGCTTGATGATAATGTTAAAGAATCTGAAGTTTTAGAAATTTCTAATGATTTGAATCTTGATGATGAGGATGAAAAAGACAGTGAGAATGAGAATGAAAACAATGAAGACGATGAAGTAGAATTTGAGGATGGTCTCGATAAAATGATGGAAGAAGATTCTAAGGATACAAACCAAGATAATAAGGATGAAAATAATGAAAGTGAAAATGAGGATGAATTAGTCAATTTGGAAAATCATGTCAATGAGGATAAAGAAGATAATGAAGACAATAAAAATAATGAAAATAATGATGATGATATAGGTAAAGATGAAATGATGGATATTGATAAAGAAAATCCAAAGAAAGAGAATGATAAAGATGATAAAGATTATTCCAAAGAGCCTAATATTGAAGGATTAGACGGATTGGATGAAGAAGATATTAATGATAAAGATAAGGAAGATGCATCAGGGAAACAAAATTTTGGTGAACAAGGAGAAGGAAGTGATATGGAAGTTGATAATGAAGAAGAAAATTTGGGAATGAATCAAGGAATTAGTAAAAGCATTGAAAATAAAGACAAAGAAGAAGAGAAAGAAAAGGACAAATTGAAAGAAGAGAATGGTGAGGATAATTTCAATCAAAATGACCAAGCTCGTGAAGATATCAGTAAATCATTAAAAGAACTTGGAGATTCTTTAAAGGAGTTTTACCGTAGAAATAAAGAAATTCAAGAAGCTAGTAATAAGGAAGATGAAAATGATAAAGACAATAATGAAGAAAAATTAAATGAAAAGCCAGATGAGTTTGAGCATTTAAATGGTAGAAACTCTGAGAACGATACCCAAGCATTAGGAGCAGCAAATAAAGAAGAAATTCGATCTATCGATGAAGATAAAGTCATTGAAGAAATGGAAGAGGATTATAGAAAAGAAGATTTGGATAAAAAAAGAAAGGAAATTAATGATAAAGACAAAGTCGATGACAAAGAAAAGAAATTGGAGGATGTTGTGTATGATGGGACAAATAAAGGGGATGGAATAGAGGATAAGAACGATAAGAATGAAGATGAAGAGACCCAAAAAGAAAACGATGATTTGATGATAGGCGAACAATTAAGACTTGATGAAGAGCTGGAGGAATCTGATGAGGATGAAAGAGATCTTTGGAATGATAATGAAAATGAGAATCAGAGTAAGAATATAGAAGATGAGAACACTGAGCCAGTTATTCCGATTGAAGATAGTCGCGAGATTTGGAGACAGTGTGAAATGAATACTCAAGAGTTATCAGGCAGGTTATGCGAACAGTTGAGATTAATTTTGGAACCAACATTAACAAGTAAATTAAAGGGAGACTATAGAACTGGAAAAAGATTAAATATGAAGAGAATTATTCCATATATTGCTAGTGATTTCCGAAAGGATAAGATTTGGTTAAGAAGAAATAAACCCAGTAAGAGACAATACCAGATTATGATTTGTATTGATGACTCCAAGTCTATGGTTGAAAGCAAAGCAGACAAGTTGGCATTTGAGAGTATATGTTTGGTTTCTAAAGCGTTAAATCAATTGGAAAGTGGAGAATTGAGTATTATTAAATTCGGAGAAAAGATTCGAGTTTTGCAGGATTTCAAGGATACATTTTCAATAGAAAAGGGAGCTAGGATCTTGCAATGGTTTGGGTTTGACCAAACAAAAACCGATGTGAAAATCTTGATCGAGGAGAGCAAGAAAATATTCAACGAAAACCGAAGAAGATTGCAGAACCAGGAACTATGGCAATTGCAGATTATCATTTCGGATGGTGTGTGTGAGGACCACGAAAGCATTCAGAGGATGGTTCGCCGGTGCAAGGAAGAGAAAATCATGGTTGTGTTTGTGATTATCGACAGCAGATCGAGCGACAGCAGCAGTGGGAAAGAGTCGATCTTGGAGATGAGCCAGGTGAGATATGTGATGAACAATGGAACAACCAGCTTGAAGATCAACAAGTACCTCGACAGCTTCCCCTTCGAGTTCTACGTGGTGGTGCGCAACATCAGCGAGCTTCCCGAGATGTTGTCGATTATCCTCCGACAGTACTTCAGCGAGCTTGCCAACGTGTGAGCATTGTGAGCATTGATATAAGTGATATAAGCGATATAAATTGTGGTTATAATGAATGTGTAGAGCCCTAGAGGAGAGCCCTGGAAATGGAGCCCTGAATAGCCCTAGCATCCGCATCCGCGCATGGTAGTCGCGGATTATGTCAGTAGTGGGTCAGCCGTGCTCACGTGCGCTTTCTCTTTGGGCGAATTCGCTGTGACTGGTTTTGGGGAGAATTCTGGAGCTGAGTTTCTCTGAAGCATCTGCAGCTTTTGGGGCATTTGATTCCTGTGAAGAACGATTGTTGCACTGTGGCAGCTGTTTGCTATTGTTGTGGTGCTGTTTGTGACTGTAAGACCCTAGCTAGTGTTTTCTCTGGCTTCCTCTGCGAAATTCCAGCCTGCTGATTTGTATCCTATTCCACGCTCAAATCTACTGAACATGCCTGATGTTTATGTGATTCTTCAGATTTCAACCACCTTCGATGACCATTCTGTTGGAAATGCCAGCAGCAACTTGTCCAATTTGAGCAACTTCAACAACCTCACCAACTTGAACAGCTTGAGCAGCTTGGGCGGCTTGAACCTAGGCAACTTGAACAACACAAACAACCTCGCCAATCTAAATCTCAATCTCCATAAAGACGCTGCTGAGATCGTCGAATTGGCCTGGGTTTTGTTGGACTCGAAGACTCTAATTGAACTAAACTACGATTCGGTTTTGATCAAGCCAAATAACACTGCTGTCTTGTCCAACAACATCAGCAGCCTTAACAACCTTAACAACATCAACAACGTCAACAACATCAACTTAAATTTCAATAACAATCTCAACAACAACTTCAACAACTTTAACAGCTTTAACAACTACAACAATTTCAACAATTTCAATAATTTCAACAGCCTTGGTAATATTAACAACGTTAATAGCCTCAAAAACATTCACCAAATTAACCACATCAATAACATTATCAATAAAGGCTTGTCCTTTAGAGATGCCATTACAAAATTTGAAAAATTTTTAAAGGAAAGCTTAATTGAAAAAAATAAAGACTTTATCTTTGTTTTATTTAATTCTTGGGACTTGAAGGTCCAATTATTAAGAGAAGCAAGAGATAAAAACATTGTGTTGCCTTTATTTCTACAATATCCAAAAATTTTCGATCTAAGATCGGAATATTCAAAATGGCAATCTCATCATCCTGAATCAATTTCTTATTCCTCAAATAACTTAAACACAATCTGTGCTGCTCTTGAAGTAGATCTAATCACTGATAACAATAATCCAAATATCACCCAATCAGTTTCAAATAAAACTTCAAACACTAATCCTAATATCAGTACTATTGCAAATACAAATGCGAATACAAATGATAATAACAATAACAACGACAGCAACAATCCTTCTTCTTCTCCCTTGAGCTCACTCTCAAACCCGAATTCATCCTCAACCTCTCCTTTAAATAATGTATCTTTGAAACTAGAAAATAACAACAACTCCCAATCTTCAGACTCATCTCCAAAAAAAGCTCTCGATGAAGCATTCACCCTCACCAGAGTATTGAAAGCCTTGATCAAAAAATCTGTCCCTTTTGCTGACCACTCTGATGTTTTAACCAACCCTTATGACTCTGCTGCCGACATTAGATCCTTTTTATCCGAAAGATCAAACGTCTTATTCATGACAAACTTGCCTTATGATACCACTCAATCAGAACTAGAATCTTGGTTCAACAGATATGGCAATAGACCAACTGCTTTTTGGACTTTAAAAACACCAGATCCCCATAAAACTTTAGGTACAGGTTTTGCTGTCTTTTCAACAAACGAAGAAGCTTCCGAATCTTTAGCCATGAATGGTAGATTGCTTAACGACAGATGTATCGAAATCCAACCTTCAACTGCTAAATTATTAGACAGAGCCTCAGAAATATTAATTTGCTTTCCCCAAAGTAAAAATAGACCAAGACCTGGTGATTGGACTTGTCCATCTTGTGGCTTTTCAAATTTTCAAAGAAGAACTGCTTGTTTTCGTTGTTCATTTCCAGCTTCAGGTGCTGCTCAAGAATCCATTTATACTGGAAATAATAATAATAATAACAATAATAACAATAATAACAATAATAACAATAATAACAATACTAATAACAATAACAATAACAATAACAATACTAATGCAAACACCAATTTAAATAACAACAACTATAATAATGTTAATTTAGGAATGTCAATGATGAATATGAGTTTAAATTTAAACAATTCCAATTCAAATAATAATTCCAATTCCAGTAACAATCCCAATGCTAATAGCTCCAATACTAACAATAACAATAATTATACAAATTATAATCAATTAAATTATTTAAATAATAATAATAACAACAGCTCTTCAATTAATAATAATTCAAATTCATCCGTAAATTCAAACAGCATCAGTTTAAACTTAAATCTTAATGGCCCTAATTCTACTAGTCTTAATTTAATCAATAATAACTTAAGTAACATAAACAATTTAAATAACAATAATGGAAATAATAATAACAACAATAATAACCCAAATAACAATAATAACAATAATAACAATATTAATAACAATATTAATAACAATACTAGTAACAATAACAATAACAATACTGGTAATAGAGTTACTTCAGTTCCATTCAGAGCCGGTGATTGGAAATGCTTAAATGATGGTTGTTCTTATCATAACTTTGCTAAAAATGTATATTGTTTACGCTGTGGCTCTCCAAGGGTTAATTCTTCAATCTTAACAGCGCCTTCCTCTGTTGGCTCACACCATCATTTAACTCATCATTCTTCACATTCTCACTTGAATATTTCAAATCATGGTAATAATACCACTTCAAATTCAATCAATTCAATCAACTCTGTTAGTAATATCAATTATAATTCTACACAATTACAGCCCCAGTATCAGTATATTTCTCAACAGCAAAATTCATATACTAGCAGCAATAATAATACAATCTCTGATTTAAACATTAATAAGCAACCAAGTCCAAAGTTTGGACTAAGTAATAGTTTAACATTAAATAACAATTCTAATATTTCCAACTCAAATATTTCTAACTCTAATATTTCCAACAATAATGACGATTACAGCAAAATTGCAGATCATTTATCTGGATTATCATTGGGAATGTCTAATTTGAATTTGAGTTCCAATTTATTAAGCAATATTCCAACAGTTTCATCAAATAACACTAACAATGGAACAAATTCAATGGTCAATAGTATCTCAAGTCTCAGCACCAATAATACTGGAAGCACTGTTTCTAATATTAACAGTAACAATAATAATTCTAATAACAGTTACAATGGAAACTTGCCATCATTTATTATTAATAATTCAATTAATAATGCCATTCAAAACATTAACAATAGTGTTGGTAATAATAAAGATAACAGTAGCATTAATACTAATTACATTAACGATAATGGTTTATCATCAAAGTCCAATAGTGAGAACAACAATGGCACTGAAAGTATGAATTCCAGCGTTTCCAACTTGATTTCGGTTACTTCAAAATAAGAAAATTATGAATTATAGATTATAATTCACGATTTATAAATATTAAGTTATAAACATAAAGAATAAAGCATATTATACAATAGCATTTTTGATAATTTTTTTAAAGAAAAATCATATTTTTATAACAAAGAGAAGGTAGAAGAAAGCATTGTTTTTTTATTATATAATCAAAAGGTTTTTTTAGGGCTTGGTTGTTCCTTTTTTTGTTTATTTTTTTTTACAAATTCTGTTAGTTTTTCAATCTTTTGTTTGTGTTTTGTTTTTATAGTTTTGATAGTTGATGTTTTTTTACTTTTGTTAGTTTTTTCTATATTTTTTTTATCCAAAGCTGTTTTTTAACGTTTTGTTTCTTTAAGAGTGAAGAAGAGTCCAGAAAGGAAGTGAAAATTTTTGTTAGAAGAAAACATGAAATAATAATGATTATGGTTGTTTGATTTTTTTCAGTATATACTTTTATCTTAATAAACTTTTTTGTTTTATTGGTTGAATTGTAATTTGTAGAAGGTTGGAAAATCTGCCGATTTTTGAAAAAACGGGTGGGATTTAAACCAAAAAACAAACCACAAGAAAGAAACCATCACAGAGCTACTGAAGAGAATCAGCTTCAACAAAGGGTTGTTTTGTGAATCAAGTCGAGATGTTTAGAGTAAACGCCAGAGTTTGTTCATTCAGATGTTCTGTTTTGAACAGTCAATTGACAAGAGCTCCCCGAAGCCAATTGGTGTTAAAGAGAAGCTATTTCTCAGAAGAACATTTGGAGGATTACAACACCTACAACGAGTATAACGAAAAGTGCTTTGACAATGGGTATTCGATCAAGGACAAGATACTATTGAACAGTTTAAATAAGTTTGTGCCCCAATATGGAATCAATGAGAACAGTATTGTCAAATCTATTCAGGATTTGAAGTACAACGATTCGATGAACGTTTTGTTCAAGGAGAAAGAAAACGAACTCATTTACTTTTATTTGAAAAATTCAAGAGTTGAACTAGCCAATTCAATTAAAAAGGACGAAGAATTTAATGCATTAACAAATGAGGATGATAAGTTGAAATATTTAATGAAAAAAAGATTGCTTTTGAATTTGAAATTGGGCGAGAGAAGTTTAAGCGATGTTAACAATGATAAAGAGAATGAACAAGAGTTTCTACAAAAAATGGTTGATTCAGATTACAATATGGAGAGCTTCAATGGATTGAATAAGAATTTAACCAAAGTTTTAAATTATTTAATTTTGCCCAAGAATATTAGCAAAAGTTTAGATGAATTGATGAAATTGAGTGATGATTTTGCTTTTTTCAGTAATGATATGTCGAACGATTTTGCATGGTATTCCAAAAGATTTTGTATTGCTATGATTTATGTGAAGAGCGAATTGTATATGATCAATGATAAATCAAGTGGTTTTAAAAATACATTGAAGTTTTTGGAAGATTCAATTGACAGATATTCTAAATTGGGATATGCTTATAACGAAACTGAAAAATGGGCAATTTTCAATGGATTTTCGTTGATTAATTTGATTAGATCTCAATTAACCAGAAGTTAATTAAGAGGAGAAAAAAAGATTGCATGAGTATTTATATATATACAGCTGCATATATATATATATCTGTATATAGATCTCATGTAGTATGAACTTGATTTTATTATAGTTATTATCAGGCAGCTACTCCTGAACCAATTTTTGATCGTAATCTCAAGATCGCTTCTCTTTTTGTTTCCAACTCAGCCTGTTGAGCTTTGATTTTCAGCTCAACACTGCTGATTTCTGACTGGATGTAGGTGATTCTCTTATTGATGTTGTTCTGACTGTCAGCTAGATTGGTGGGAATAAGAATTGAGCCTATTAGCTTGTACAATTTGTTGCTGCTGCTGCTGGGGTCTTTCTCCAAAATGTCAAACTCGTCCTTCACAATTTTGTTTTCCTGGTACTGTGTTTCTAGCTTCTGTCTGGATATTATCAACTCATTCATCGTCTTCTGGATAACAGCATAATCAGCAGATATTTGCTCAAACTGCTCTCTTTCAGTGGCCATTTTTCACTTCCAACTACCTTCAACCTCGCTGTTTCTCGTAGCTGATTGAGCTTCTTCTGACCATTTCTGTTTGAATATATCTGCTCCGGGTAAAAACTCGGAACGCAGACCGCCGAACAACGCGCCCGAGCCATGCGCCACGCTGAAAACCGTCCAGCCGTGACATATCCGGTCGTCTAGCTACGGCTCCTTACGGCGTCCCGGTACTGAAGGTACATGCATGTACATGCGGAAGACGAAACGGGTCTGTTCGATTTCCCTTTCTGAGTCCTCCTTTTCGTCCCTGCCTGATTCAGTTTGATTAGTTTAACTTAGTCCTGTTGATTTTGTCTTGAGCTACACCAAAACCAGTTCGTGATAACTTTAAAAGATCATACTTCATCTGTCTGGATCATATTCTTTTCTGTTTTAATGGTCAAAATCTGTAGTTTATATTTCCTGTTTTCCCAGCAAATACCCAAGAGCTTTGATATATTTTCATCACTTTGAATACTCAAGATACCTGCTACATAATAATGAATGATTATTCTCTGAGATCAAGCTGATTAATAATCGAAATCAAAGTGTTAGAAAACAGAGTTAATAACAGTTCCCTAATCCTATATCATGTCATGTTTAACTGTGAAGGTGTATAATGGTAAAAACTTCAACCTACCATTTGGTTTGATCTTAAATGACTATGTTCTCCAAAAGATCGCTGACTGTTCTGATAGCTGTAACAAGTCATATCTATTCAACAATATCAAAAAGGTTTCTTCGTATTTAAACAGTAAAAACAACAACCATAGAGAAAACCAGGACCAAAATGGTATCAATAATCAAAACCAGGAACCTAACCAAGGCTTAAATCAAGATCAAAATGAGGATACAGATGACAATGATGTCCAGATAATACCTCCTGATTTAGCTGCTTCCTGTTTGCCTGCGTTGATAGCAGTTCCCAATATTTATCCTAATTCAAATAACAACACCAACAATAGTAATGATAACAGTTCAAATTATATTAAAAATCCATTAGTTTATACTACCATAGAATTCGATAAGGCTGTTTCTTTAGTTGAACCTTGTGCAGGCTTTATAAGAAACCCAATATTTAACAATGTGTCTGCTTTTGATGTTTCTCAGATTTCGATAAACAATGCAGTTCAATCCAATAATCAACACGAATATAACTGCAACTACTTGGTCTTAGTTATCCAAGTCTTTATAAAAATTCCAAATATTCTTATACCCAGGTTTTATTTAAATTCAAAACTAAATTCAAAATCACCTTCACAAGATATCCTATTAGGATATTCCAGGATTCCTTTAGATTTATCTTCGTATAACTCAAAAATTCGGTTATTAAATCATTATTGGTTAAAATTGTCTCCCAATACAAATTATCTTGATAATGATAATACCAATACCAATACTACTGCTACTACTACTACTGCTACTACTTCTAATAATAATAGTCAAATTTCAAGTGGTTATGTCTGTATAACCGTCGACTATAGACCAGTTATTAAAAATTCTCTATTATCCTTACCTTCTTCTTCGAGTTCTAACAACTCATCTTCTCTGGCATTATCTATCGATAAATTTGATTTATTAAAAGTCATAGGCAAAGGTTCATTTGGAAAAGTGATGCAAGTTCGTAAAAAGGACACCCAAAGAATTTATGCTTTAAAATCAATAAGAAAATCGCTTATAATATCGAGAATGGAAGTGATTCACACTTTAGCTGAGAGAACTGTTTTAGCAAAAGTTAAAAACCCCTTTATAACCTCCTTGAAGTTCTCTTTTCAGTCCAATGAAAAATTATACTTGGTTTTAGATTTCATCAATGGTGGTGAATTATTTTATCATTTACAAAAAGAAGGCAAATTTGATTTAAAAAGATCAAAATTTTATATTTCAGAATTGTTCAGTGCTTTAAATGCCTTGCATGAGTTCAATATCATTTATAGAGATTTGAAACCAGAAAATATCTTGTTGGATTATCAGGGTCATATTTCGTTGTGTGATTTTGGCTTATGCAAACTAAATCTTGCTTCTGATGATAAAACAAATACGTTTTGTGGAACTCCTGAATATTTGGCTCCTGAGTTGCTACTAAACAAAGGTTACACCAGGTCTGTTGATTGGTGGACTTTGGGTATATTACTCTATGAAATGTTGGTTGGTTTGCCACCATTTTATGATGAAAAAATCCCCATAATGTACAAAAAAATCCTAAATGACAACTTGCTCTTTCCCAGTGATATCGATGAATTGGCTCGAGATTTAATCCAAAGGCTATTGATTAGGAGTCCTGAAAAGAGATTAGGCAGTGGAGTTAATGGTGTTGAAGATATCAAAAACCACAGGTTTTTTCATGATATTGATTGGGATCAATTGAATGGGAAAAAATACACTCCTCCTTTTAAACCTCCGGTGAATAATGCCTTTGATACTAGTAATTTCGATGATGAATTTACAAATGAGATGCCCACTGATAGTGTTGTGAATGATTACTTGAGTAAAAGTGTTCAAAAGCAATTTGAAGGTTGGACTTATGTAGCAGATAGCAAATTAACATAATGTCCATTACAATCATTAGATCCATTTTTCATTTACTTATTTTACTTATTTTACCTATTTTACTTATTTATTTTATTTTTTTAGAGGGCATTTTTGCAATTTTTTTGTTTTAATTTGTTTTGTATTAACTCCTTTTTTTTTTCTTTCTTTTTTTTCATGTTATGATTTACACAATTATAAAGATAAATCTATATAGCTATCCAAAGAGGAAAGTTAAGTATATATGGATTTTAAATAATTAAATTCGTTGTTTGGTATAACAGTGTTAAAAGTGACATTTCTATCATTTCTAATCATTTTAGTTTCATAAGAGGATCTTTTGCCTGGTTGAATTTGGTTGTTTTTGAATAAATAGTAGATTAATTCTTCTTCGCCAATGCTGTTTTTCTTTTTATTTTCCCAGTAATTAGAACCATCGTAAGTGATTTGAGCCAATTCATATAGGATATTTGCTGTTAAGCCCCAGACATCGTTAATTTTTATAGTATCATTTTGAGCGATGTTATCAGTATTATTTGAAAGGGAATTGTGAATTTTATTGTTTTCATGAGTTTGTTTGATATTGTTATTGCCATTGACATTGACCATGGGTATATTATCAGAGAATTCTTCATCAGAACTTAGGTTTTCAATTTGGTCTAGCCATTCAATTTCGTTATAGGAATTTGATACAGGATAGACGTAGGATCGATAGTTCCAGTTTATGCCACTCCATTTTGTTTTGATGAATCTTTTTTTGATGAATTCGTTTTGTTTATTGATTTTGGTTAGTTGGTTGATATCGGTTAGTTTGTTATCATATAGATCTCTCAAGGGAATTGAAAAGACACTTGAGCTTTCGCCAGGGTTTAGTTTTAGGTGATCAGTGAAATTTAAAGAAGAAACGTTGTATTCATCGAATAAATTTGGGATTGAGTTGGCGGTTGTGTTGTTTTTGATTATGCCAATGCAAGGTCTAACAGCTAGGAAGGTTCTCGATAGGAAACAGGGCAAGTAGTTTAGATTCTCGATTTTGATGTTGAACTTGTTTAGCAAGTAGGAATCGTTTGAAGACAAGCCAATTTCCTCAAAGGCCTCTCTTCTAGCAGTTCTCCATTCAGACTCCAAGCCATTTTCAGCTTTACCACCAGGAAAGGATATCTGGCCAGAGAAGGCGTTGAGAGATCTTGATCTTCTGGTGAGAACCACTCTGATCTCACCGAATTTACCCAAGAACAATAGAATCAAGACCGAGGATCTTCTTGAGACAGGCAATTTGTGGTAGATTGAGGTTTTGACATTAGAGTTGAAATACAAAGGCTCGTAGTTTTTGATGTTTTGTAAAAAAGCAATTTCGGTGGTAGAGTTTGTCATTTGTAGAGAGAAGTGGTAGAGAGGAGTGAAAACGAAGAGGTGAAGGGACACAGAGATGGTGGAATAAGAGGTAGAGAAAATACCAACGAGCAGAAGAAAAAGAAGAGGTTATATACTGGGCGAGGAACTGTCGATAAGAGGCGCTAGAGTTTGTCGAAGAGGTAAGAATTGATTAAAACTGATAGTCCCAAGAAAAGATAGGGAGATAGAGATCATCTACAAGTCGAAGCAGCTCGAGACGTTGTTCATTTACGTTGTTGAGATAAGGTGGGTTTGGATAATCGGAGAGACGAGAATGGGATCAATTGCCAACAACAGAAGAGACTCTGCTGCCTCTGGTGGTCAAGAGGCTGTTTATCTCGAGCACTTCAACACAAACATGAATAAGATTAGCTCAGGAAACGAGGCCATCACAAGAGTTAACTCTGCAATAGTGCTGAATACCAACAGAGCAGAAGAAGCAGAGCAGAAGAAGCACTTTGAAGATTCGGCAGACGAGACCATTCTGATGCTGTTGCTGATGCTGTTGGTGGCAATGGAGCTTAGAAGAACCGTTGATCAATGGTGAAGCATAAAGCGAATCAACCTGCAATCTCTGGCATGTTTTACTGATTGCTCAATCCTAATACACTAATCAACATGGTTTGAAGGCTAACGTTTTCTCAGTGGTGTTGAATATGGCGTTTGATTGGCACTGAGGCCATATCTTGTGGTGCTTCTGGAAGTCTTTTGAAAGTCTTTTGAAAGTCTTTTGAAAATCCTTTTGTGCTCCAGCAGTAGCTGTTTCGCCTAAAAGTGCCACCAAAGGGGAAAGCAGTTGCCTTAGAGGATAGTGAGAATAGTGAGACTGTGAGGGTTCAAGAGCTGGACTCAAACAGACTAGGGATCACTCAACCCTATGAAACCCTGAAGAGATCCTTCACCATCTCCACCATCTCCTCCACCTTCACCTCCACCATCTCCATCAGTTCTAACCTCTCCAAAGCCTTCGCATCTTTATCTGCCTCTGTTTCCTCACTCTGCTCTTCGTGCTGCCGGAACTATCTCCGGTTGACTTCGGCTTTCCACCGGCTTTCCACCGGCTTTTAATGGATGTTTTATGCCCACAAATTCTTGTATGCTGAATATTCTCTCTAAAAATTCTCCTTGACACAAGTTGTTTGTTGCTTTTACCTAGATTTGGTTTGATTTTGATTAGCTTAGCCTGCTTAATAATCTTATTTTTTCTTGTGCTAAGGGTTCTTTCCCCCATGAATGGTCTAAAGAAGCCTGGGATTCTAACAGGAATTTCCATAGTTTTAAAATTTGCTTGATTCAAATCCACAGTTTCACAGTTTTCAGGCTTATTCTATCTATTAAATGGTTAAATCAAAATCTTGAAGATACCAAATGTCTTAAAATATGCCTGTTTTTCTTAAGACGTCTTATTTTGTCATATTCTTCTATGTGTTAATTTGGCTATCACCAAACTCTATTAATGCTTAATTTTACAAACAATACTTTGCTCAATTTTTGCATACATTAATGTGATTTATGCTAATGCTTTAGTATCTTATGTTATTTACCTATCTCTAATCATATTTTTCTTTTGGTTGGTTATTCACTTGGCTCGCCAATAATATAACGTTTTTGCAGAAAAAAATAATAATAAAAAAAATACAACGACAACGGCCAACAATCTTTTGATTATTACTTTTGTTTCATTTTCATCAAATTTTCAATTTTTGAGCTTTTTAATAAATAATCAGTTGGGTTGTTTTTTTTCCCCTTGATCAATTCCCTAGCTCTTTTTTTTATTTTTTTCTTTTCATTAAGATATTCTTTAAAGAAAGAAATAATTTTATTATCGCTCAAATGATATAAAACAAATGCATTTTCTCTGCCTTTTCAATTATTCCTCTTACTTTTTTTTCTCTTCTTTATCATTTTCCCTCATTATCTCTGGTTTTCTAATCTTCACAATAAAAAGAAAAAGAAAACCCTTAATTTTCATTAAATTTCAAAGATGGTGTTGGACTTCATCAAAAACAAATTCAAAAAAGACCAAGCTGTTCAGCAAGTCAGTTCCATCAACGGAAACGACCAATTGGAAAAAAAAAAATCAAATTTCATCGATGATTCAAGAGCTTTTATTGACTTATCTGTCGACCTAACCGCTGAAGAAATTGCAAGACGTCAACACTGGTGGTTCAAAACTAAAATCTTCTTGTGGGATTCTGCTGATAAACATCCTTCTGAAAGATTGTTTTTATTCAAATTGGATTTCTTTCTATTAAGTTCGGCCATGTTGGGTTATTTCATTAAAAATTTAAACCAAAACAACATTGCAACTGCTTACGTTAATGGTATGAATGAATACTACAACATGAACAACAACCAATATAATGTCATGCTATCGCTTTGGACTGCTGGTTATATTATTGGTCAAATTCCTTCAAATCTAATTTTGCATAGAATCTCGGCTAGATATTACTTGGGTGGTTTAGAATTCATTTGGGCTCTTATTACTATCGTCCAAGCTACTTGTAAAAACCTACCACAGATGTATGCTGCTCGTTTTTTCCTAGGTCTCACTGAAGCTGGTTTCTTCCCAGGTATGGAATATCTTATCGGTTCATGGTATTCACCATCAGAATTAAGTAAAAGATCTTCATTGTTTGCACTTTCCGGTGTTGCTGCTTCAATGGTCTCGGGTCCTTTACAACAAGCTGTTTTAACTGGTGTCGCTAAAAAATACAAGAAATACGAAGCTTTTCAATGGTTATTCATTGTGGATGCCATTATTTCTTTTCCCATTGCTTTCTACACAATGATGGTTGATCCAAATACCCCATCTACTACAACTGCCATGTATTTCTCTGAAAAGGATAAATTAATCGCCAAAGAAAGAAGAAGAAGAATTGGAGCCCAATTAAACACTAGACAAAAGTATACCTGGAAAAAAATAAAATCCTTTTTCAATACCTGGCATATCTGGGTTTTTCCAGTCTTATTCTTGTTTTATAACAACAGTTGTGCTGCAATCGGTCAACCAACATTTACTACCTGGATGAAATACGATTTGGGATTACCCCCATCAAAATATAATATCTATCCTACTGCCTTATACGGTACTGGTATGGGTTTCACCATTTGTATTGCTTATGTGTCTGATTATTTCAAGAATAGACTCAATGTTTTCTTTATAGAAGCATTTTTTGTATCCTTATTGGTTGGTTGCGCTTTATTGGCTCATTGGGATATTCCAATTGGATTGCACTGGTTCTGTTATTTCTTGGTTGGTGTTCCTACTTCATGGGGTCAACCTCAAATCTTCTCATGGGTTAATAGATTGTTGAGATATGATGATATGAAAAGAAATTTTGTTGTTGTTTGCACAAATACATTGGCTTACCTTACCAATTCATGGGTCCCACAAATCGTTTGGAATACAAAATACAAACCACAGTACTTTGCTGGTTTCACTTACACGTCAGTTCTTTGTTCTCTAGGTATTATTACTACTCTCATTGCTGCTTACTTTACCCACAGAGACGAAAAACTTGGTATCTACTACGACGATTTGGTTCCTGATGAAACTACTCCTTCTGTCGAAGAAGTTGATACAAAGGATAACTCTTTAAATAAGTCTAAAGAAAATATTGCTTGATTTTTTGTTCTTTTTGTGTTTTTCTTACTTATTTATTTTAGAATCAATTCCAAAAATATCGATAAAGATATTCAGTTACTTGACATGATTTTCCCTAAGGCTCCTTTACTTTCACAGAGATTTTGCTTGATTTCTCTTTTTTCTCTTTTTTCTCTGTTTCTCTCGTATTTCTTTATATTTACTGATTTGTTCTCTGCAAAATTGTGCTAGATGTGATTTTGTTTCCGTAACCTTTGTGCTGCAATAATAAAAGTATTGTTTTAGATTGCCATAAACTACTGGCCTAGATTACTAATGCCAGAGCTAGAAAGTACTCAGAGAATCGAATAACCGAATAACTTCCAGCTGTGTAAAATTGGCTAATTTGGCTGAAAAAAGCGATATGAGAACATCCCGAACACGAGTGAACATGCGGCTGCCGACGCGCATCGTAATTACGTCACCGACTTCGAGCCGGACGTCGCCGAACACAAACAACCTCTGTTTGGATTTTGCTCTGTTTGGCTTTAGATCATCTCTTGATATGATCTCTTGATAAGTTGTGTTTGCTAACACTCTACTCTCTCCAGCTGGCGTCTACGATACAACTGCTGCCTGCCTCCACTCTACAACAGGCTGCTATACTTCATCTTGGCTTATATGGACGACGACGACCCTTTTATTCCTGGGCTAGATCCCAGAAAGAGACCCCAAACTGTTTTCAAAACACAGCTCATTCTTTCTATCTTTCTTGGGCTAACAACTTTCCTCATTTTCTGCAATTTAAGATCAAGATGGCCTCAATTGTATGCTGTTCGAACTCTAAGGAGAAACGATATCAAACCCTTGCCTAAAAACCTCTTTGGCTGGATCAAAATATTGTACCAGATACAAGATGAAGATATCCTCGCTTATGCTGGTTTGGATGCCTTTGTCTTTTTGGGCTTCTTCAAAATGGCAATTAAGATTTTTACTACTTTCTCTGTGCTAGCTATTTGTATTATAAGTCCTATCAGACTCTACTACACCGGCAACTATGATCGTGATGACATTACTTGGTCAACCACTGGCGATGGTGATGATAACCAACCTCACAAACCTGAGGATCCAGACGACCCAGACGACCCAGATGATCCAAATAATTTTTCTCCCTATCTCTGGATGTATGCAGTCTTCAGTTATATCTTCACTATACTAGTTTATTATTTTTTATTTGATCAAACCAAAAAAGTCGTAACAATTCGTCAGAAATATCTTGGTTCTCAAAATTCAATCACCGATAAAACCATTCTAATTAATGGCATACCAAAGAATTTAGTCAACAATAAAAACTTGTTGAAAAATCATATTGAAAAACTTGGTATTGGCAAAGTCAATAACATCTCAATAGTCTACAATTGGAATGAATTGAAAAGACTATTTGATGAAAGAAACCAACTCATAAGAACTCTAGAAGTATACTACTCAAAATACTTGGGCTTGAATATATCAGTTTACAAATATAAAAACCCTTCTGTCACTCCCAAATTTTATCCAGATGTTATTTCCAAATTGCAATTACACTCAGCGTCTCAAATTAGTATCAATGAAACCAACGATAGCGACCACGATAATGATCATGATCATGCTATTAATAACAATAATTCCAACAGCATTGCTAATGGTGATATCAACAATAAAAGAAAAAAAAATCCAATCAAAATTAAAAATAAAACTAAAACTAATGATTTGGAAAATCAATTTTTGTCACCTTCACAACATCCAAACAATTTTCAAGAATTAAATAGCTCTTCAAGCTCAATTATTTATTTTAATTCAACCCATAATAAAAATAATATCCCAAACACTACTAATATTACTAGTCTCGGCAATGATAGCGACGCCCTAATAATCCAAACAGATGATGACAATAATCATAAAAAAATAAATGATGTAAACAATTTAAGAAAAAGAAATATGAAAAGACCAACTATAAGACTTGGTTTTCTAGGCTTGTTTGGAAAAAAAGTTGATGCCATTAATTATTATGCCATTCAATTGAAAAAAATTGATAGCGAAATTATCAAAATGAGAACTAATTTAGATGATTTTAAACCCACAAATTCAGCATTTATAACAATGGACACTGTAGCATCAGCCCAAATGGCTGCTCAAGCAGTTTTAGATCCAAAAGTTGGTCAATTGATTGCAAAATTAGCTCCTTCTCCAAATGATATCATCTGGGAAAACTTTTCAAAAACTTATTTACGAAGAATTATTCAAGACTATTCTATTACTTTTATTATGGTAATAACCTCTTTCACTTTGGTTTTCCCTGTCTCTTCAATCGCTGCTTTATTAAATTTGAAAACAATTACAAAATTTTGGCCACTTTTAGGACATTTGATTGAAAAATCAAAATGGGCAACCACCATCGTTACTGGTATCTTACCTCCAGCATTATTTACTTTATTAAATGTCTTGGTTCCTTATTTCTATTTATACCTATCTACAAAACAAGGTTTTATATCAAACACAAAAATTGAGCTCTCCTCAGTTTCAAAAAACTTTTACTATATTTTTTTTAATTTGTTTTTTGTTTTCACCTTTGCGGGTGTTGCAAGTAACTACTGGTCCTTACTAAGTGATACAACAAAAATTGCTTATTTATTAGCTAATTCTGTCAAATCATTATCTCTATTTTATGTCGATTTAATTTTATTGCAAGGTATTGGTATGTTTCCTTTTAAATTATTACAAATTGGTGATGTATTTTTAATGTCAATTTCAAAACTTTTTTATTGCAAAACTCCAAGAGATTATAGGTCCATTTATTACATACCATCGGTTTTTGATTTTGGCTTAATATTACCCCAACCCATTTTAATTTTTATTATAATTGTCATCTATTCCATTTTCTCTACAAAAATTGTTACAGCTGGTTTAGCCTATTTTATTTTGGGCTTTTATGTTTATAAATATCAATTAATGTATTCCATGGTTCACCCACAACACTCGACTGGTCAAGCTTGGTCGATGATTTTCAGAAGGATTTGCATTGGTTTAGTTATTTTTGAGCTAACAATGGCTGGTACATTGGCCTTAGAAAATGCCTATATTTTGGCAGCATTGCAAATCCCATTAATTGCATCAACATTAATGGCATATTATCGATTTGAAAAGGATTATTTTCCTCTATCAAACTATATTGCTTTAAGAGCTATTAAATCTAGACCTGATAACAATAATTTTGATGGAGTCGATGAAAATAATAATAATTATTCAAGTGCGACATCAACTCCTGTGAACACAATTTCCAGCCGTTATTATGATAATCCAAACATTCACCATACAGACTCTGAACAATCATTAAGTACTTCGGATTTAACGAATTTTGTTCAAAATTCATTGCATAAAAAGAAGAGTACTCTTGATGAAGAAAGAGATGAATTTCAACAATACAATTATCCTTATTTAACGGACAAGTTAGAAGGTCCGTGGATTGGATTTGATAAGGATTTGATCTATGTTGTTGATTACAAGGACAGTGAATTCGATAATAATGATATCAATGTATTAGATAATGTAGATCATATCGACGATCATTATATGGGAGAAACAATATTGAAGGTTAAACATCAAGTGGCAGAATGGAATTAGGTAATTGGTTTTTTATATTATAATTTTTTTAACTTTAACTTTTTTAACTTTTAATTTATATTTTTTTTTGTCTAAGTTTTTCTTAATTTATCTAAAAAAAACACTTTTTTAAGTGATTACTTACAATTATTTTTAATTTGTTTTAAACATTCGCTAATGTATTCTTTAAAAATATGTTTAATATTTATTTTTTTTCAAGATTTTTGTATTAAAACCTATAAATACTACTATAAAACTAAAAAATAATTATTTGATATTTTCTCGACTTAAGGAAAACAGCAATTGGTTGTGGCTCTTATGAAGTGGAATGTTTTTTTTTATAATCTAAAATTTGATTAACGCTATCAACAATAGTTTTCTTTAGAGGAATTAATTTTACACCAGATAATTCCAAAGTTTTGCTAGAATCATAATATACATTATTTTTGTCGAGTTTATCAATATTTGATGGAATACCCTTTGCAATTTTTCCATTTAAAGCTGGAAAGTTTTCATTGATTAAATTTAATAATTTTTGATCACTAAATTTTGATTCAGCGATAAACTCTCTTTTACCTTCTAACTTGGAGTTTTCCAATGGCAAAACGTGGAATAAAGCAACATCTCTAACATCAACGGCAAGTAGAAATCTTTTGCTAAATTGTTCTGGATCTGTTTCATCATCCTTTGGAGTCGTTTTCAACAATTTGTTGATAACTTCAGCAGAAGTATTTAGAGTTTCATTTTTTAATGAATCCTCAAATAATTGGGGACCAAAGATAAAGGGAGGATTAACTGAGGTCAATTGAAAGTTTGGTTTCTTTTCCTTGACGAAATCCCACGAAGCCTTTTCAGCAACCTTTTTTGAGATAACATAAGCTGAATTTTCATTATTATTTGAAGGATCATCCCAATTTAATGGATTCCAGGTTTCTTCAGTGTGGACAAAAGATTTGTCACCAAGCTTGTCACCGTTTAAGATTGCAGCAAAAGAAGAAGTTACAACAACATTAGTGACTTGTGGAGCGTATTCCACAATACTGTTCAATACATTCAAGGCACCATCACGAGCAGGATTCAAGTAAACTTCTTCCAATGGTTTATTAAAACCAAAAGAAAAGTTAGCAGCTGTGTGAATTACATATTTGATGGATTTGTCAGCCTTGAAAACTTGATCAAATTCTTCTTTGTGAGTAATGTCCTTAACAATTACATATGATAGTCTGCCCTTTATTGAGTCAGAGTATTTCTTGTTGAAACCAGCTAAAACTGGATCAGCTTTTTCTTTGGATCTAAAAGTGGCAACAACAGTGTAACCTTTTGATAATAATGTGTCAATAACATGTAAAGCAACAAAACCGGAACCACCGGTAACTAAGACAGATGATTTTGAAGACATGTTAAATCAGAATAGAAGAGATTTATTGGAATGAATTGAGGATAAAGTCGAAGATTTAGAAGATACTGCCGAAAAAACCAGAGAATAAGGAGCAACAAGAACTAAAACACAGGATCAAGGAAGCCTTATATACAAACTGGAGAAAGTTAATTGAACAAAGCTCAGAGCAACAATCCCATATCTGTGTATTAGAAAATTAAACGTGAACAACGAATATTAACAGCATTTTGGAAAGTTGCTGTTTCGATATCAAACCTAACCCCAATTGGATATTTCGTCTTTTCCACATCAGAAGCACAAATAAAGTTTCTGGCATAGGCACAATCATGCACAATTAACGGATATATGCAATTTCTGCGTTATGATCACGTGCATATAATTACACATGCACCAATATCGCTTACATCCCAAAGTAGTAATTTCCAAAACAGCTGTAGCCGACAGAGCTCACATGTCCAAATCGGGAATTTGCCGAGATACAAAAACACAAAACGGTAAAAGCAATCTTTGCAACTAAAGAAATTTATATTAATGTATTAAAAGACAATAAAGAAAATAATAATATACTCAAAGAAAACATAATTTTAAATAGTACAATAAATCAAATTAAAAAAATCTCAAAAAAGTAGACAAGGAGGTAGACAAGAAGGTAGACGAGAAAGTGAAATTGCTTAATATAAAATAAGTTGATTGTTCTAATGTAATAAGAGGTAAAAGAATTGAACAAACAAAAAATAATTTAATTGAAATCAAAAAAAAATAATAAAAATAAAAAAAACATTACATTCCATCCTAAGTATAGCTGATATTATAAAAAAACATCTCTATCAAAATTCAAAAATTAATCTCAGCAAGCTAACAAAAAGATCCCATTAGATTCAAACTCAATTGCTCTTTTCAAGTTTCGAGCCGTTTTCTTTTGTGTTTAGAGTTTGAGCATTATTTTTTTCTTCTGAAGCTGTATGACTGTTTTCACTTGCTGTGGGACTGGTGTTGCAAATATTGTCATTATCGCTCGAACTGCCCAGACTGATATCAATAATACTTTCTCTTCTCTCATTTTGGCTTGAGGACAAAATATTATTGTTATTATTACTGCCCTTGGTATTTAAGATATGTGATTGGGATAATGGCTGCGATAATAGCTGGGATTGTGATTGATTATTATTTGCCATAGGGCTTGCTTTTGAGCTTTCAATTCCAGTGTTACTTTTCTTTGATTTGTACCTAGACTTCCACATTAACGATATCTCGCGTAGTTTTTTCTTCTTTTCTTCCTCATCTGCCATATAAATCGGCTTAGGATCGTAATATTGATCGCATTTAATATTGATTTTGGAGCAATTTTTACAAACTGGTCGGGTCTCATCGCATTTTTTATGTCTAATTCTGCAAGTCCAACAGCCAGTCTTTGATCTTGGTGAAGTTGCTATTCTCTTTCTAGTGAGTGATGGCTTCAAGAAAAATCCTGGTGTTCCACTTCCATCATGAATTGGAGAAGCTGCTAAGGAACTTGATGATGATAGTGAAACTATTTGCCCAATTGGCGAAGTTAATGTTAAATTACTCATAGCTTTTGTTGGTGACGATGGGGGAGTTTGGTATGGTAATGAAATGTTCCCCAAATCATTATTATACTTCAAGTTAGAAAGAAATTGTGAGCTAAGATTATGTTTAACTGGCGATGTCGATCTTGTTCTTTGATGAAATGGTCTTCTCATTGGAGACTTTGATCTACTTCTTGATCTGTTTCTATTTTGAAGTGGTGAATGTAAACCAGGGCTTAAACACTCATTTGTGCCATTCAAAACACTCGTTTCGTCAATAAAAGTTAATTTTTCATTAAGACTTGGAATTTTTTTGTAACTTGATCCATATTTAGATATTTTTGAACCACTATCTAATATTGCTGGTGGACTTAATTTTGGAATTGAAGAAAGTTCTTTTAAATGTCTAATTGGTTTCATTTTTGGCAATTCAAAGTGATCATTATCCTCATCATCATTAACCCCCCTAATGTTGTTTTGTTTTCTAATATTATCAGGATCATTGCCATTTTTATAATTATTAATCTCAACATTCGACTTTAAAGTTAAAGGTGATGGTAATAAGGGCGATGATGTATTACCTAGTATGTTATTCTGATTAGTGAAACTTTCCATAGATGAAAAATTAGGTTTTTCACAATCCATCATCAGAGTATTCATGATAATTGTGGTATCGCCATCATCGATAAAAGAATCATCATTATTATTATAGTTTGATTGGTTTAATTGCTTAATATTAGGGTGTGGAAGTGAAGTATTTTGAGAGAAATTTGCTATATTTAAATCCATTTTTTTATGTTTAGGAGTATTGAGATGATAATTCAAATTATCTTTATTGAGATCTGAATTGAATTTATCAGATTTAATATTATCATGTGGAGAGCTTTGAATGATTTTTTTTTTCTCGTTTGAAAATGGAGAGCTTTGATTATTATCTGGTAAATCAAAATCGATTATGGACTCATTGAAAAATTGGTTGATGTTGTTATTTAAATTATTGTCGCAGTCATTAGATTCACAAGAATTGGGAGTGTTGTTAGCGCTGCTAAAATCAATACAATCATCAAATGACAAATATTGATCAATATCTTGAGAAGAATTGCTCGAATTTTTATTTTCCAAGAAATTTAAGTCGTCAATATCTTTTTGATTTAACTGATTTAATTGGGTTTCAGTTAATTGATCGAATTGTTTTTCGATTTCCAATATTTGTTCATCAGTGATTGGATCAAGAGTATTGGTGAAGTTTAGATTATCTGAATTTGTATTTATGTTTATGCTCTGATCAGATAGCATTGAGTTTTGAGTTTTTGATTCATAAAAGGGATAGTTTAAAGATTCGAAACTATTGAGGTTATTAAAGGAAACATGATTTAGGGTTGGGCTTTCTTGAGAAGAAAAATCGCTTATATTAGTCTGAATAGCAGGACTCATAATAGCAGAGACATTGCTAACTTGTCTTGAATGAGTATTATAATTTATGATTGGGGAAGTAAGTGTTTCTGGTAGAATATCGTTTGGTAGTTGGTTGGCTAGAGTCGGAAACATTGAGGAAGGATTGATATTGGGGGTAGAATGAACCGAGAAAGAGGAGCTATTATTTGGTGTGTTGTGGGCATTTAGTAGGTTTTTCTGTTGGTTATTAGAATGAGATTGGGCTTGGACTTGGACTTGAACTTGAGCTTGGGCTTGGACTTGTGCATTTTGTTGTTGCTGTAAAAGATATAATTGTTGCAATTGTTGTTGATATAGAAGGCTATTTATCAAGGGGTTGTTGTTGGTATTGGCGGTATTTGTTGTGGTTGTGTGATTTGGGGTTGTAGTGTTATTATTATTATTGTTATTGTTATTAGATTGGGAAGAGTTTGAAGTAGTATATAGATTTTTGAGTTGTTTTAGTTGTTTGTTTTGTTGCAATTGCTGGTAAGTTTGTTGTATGAGTAAGAGTTCTTTTGCCTTCATTTGAAGAAGCATGTTAAATTCAAAGTCATTTGAGGGCAAAGAGTTTGCAATGTAGTTTGCAGTGGCATTGATGTTGTTATTTGGATTGTTGGTATTTGAATTGTTGTTGTTGTTGTTGTCTTTGTTGGGAGAGTTGTTGATTGAGTTGGATGAAGTATTGGCTAAATCTAAAGGAGATTGTTGAGACAGAGACTGTGAATGGGACAATGAGTTTGAGATTTGATCATTTTGATTTGGGTTGATTGAGTTGATTGAGTTGATTTGGTTTAAGTGGTTAAATTGGTTGATTTGTTGATTGATTTGGTTTAGATCGCTGATTTGTTGAATTGAATTTAAAGAGTTTATTGGATTTAAGGGGTTGTTTATGATTTTATTGTTGTTGAATAGATTGTTTGGTTGAATGTCGGATAAGTTTAAGTTTAAAGAAGTATTTGGAGAAGTAAAGTTGTTGATATTTGATAGATCGAAATTATTAAGAAGAGTTGAAAAATCTGAGATATTGTTGTTGTTGTTGTTGTTGTTATTATTATTATTATTATTATTATTAATATTATTATTATTATTATTATTATTATTATTATTATTATTATTATTATTATTATTGTTGTTGTTGTTGTTGTTGTTGTTGTTGTTGTTATGATTATTATCTAGGTCTGAGTTATTAAAGGAGTCGATTAAGATTGATTGAGTTTGAAGAGAATTGATATTATTTAAGTTGATATTATTTAAATTAGAGAAATTGTTTAGATTATTGAGATTAGTAAGATTGTTAAGGTTATTTAGGTTAAAACTAAGAGGATTGAAATTGTTGAGGGTGTTGAAATTATTGAGATTGTTGACATTATTTAGATTGGATAGGTTGTTGATATTATTATTGAGATTGTTTAGGTTATTGATACTGTTGAGATTGTTTAGGTTGTTTAGGTTATTGATGTTGCTGATGTTGTTAATATCATTTGATAATAAATGAGATTGAGATTTAGGTATAGCCTGAGTTCCATTCATCATCTTTACAAAAAGAAATACAAGGTAGTGTGAGATAGTATAAAGTAATATGAGAGAGTTGTGAGATAGTGTGAGATAGTGTGAGATAATATAAGATAGTATAAGATAATATAAGATAAGATATAGGAGCTAATAAGAAGAGATCAAATAAAAATGAATAAATAACCAAGAGAAATTAAGATGAGAGCAAAAAGAAGAGTAGATGGAAAAACACCCTTTATTGATAAATTCTGGAAATAAATATTAAGCTTAAGTTTCTCTATGGTATGGTGTTGGAGTGCAGGTTAAAAGGCTTGATTATGAAATAGTAGAATGGATAGATATAATGGATAGATATAATGGGTTATAGTAAAATATTGGAGGATATTTAAAGGTATTTGGAGATTGAGGGGGATGTGAAGTGAAGTGAAGTTATTGAATATTTTCTAAAAGAGAGGATTAAAAAAGAGTTGGCGATAAAAAGGCAGATATGTTAGTAAGTTGATTGTTTGATTGTTGAGGTTTGTGGGAAGGGAGTAGATAGCAGTAGATGGTAGTTGTGATTAGATAATAATAGGTATGATTGAACAAATTGAATATAATTTGTTTTATTGAGAAACAAAACAAACAAAACTGAGCGAAGGAAAAAAATAGGCAAAAAACGCAGCTTGAAAACAGTTGAAACAGCAAAGAAAGCAGAGAATGAAATTTCTGGCTTGGGATCTGGAACAGAACAGAGATTGAGTGGGAAGAAAACAGATCGGTTGGATTGAGCGCTTTTTGTGGTGCTTGTTCTGGTTCTGGGGCTGATGCTACTGCTGGACAACGCTGCCCAGCCCCAGCTTGTCCCCAACGAGCCACGCGCACCAGAGCCACGCACAGCACCAGCAGCACCAGCCCCACCCTGTCGCTGCTGCTGCTGCCACTGCTGCCACTGCTGGAACTGCTCCTGCCCGATTCGGCACAACGTAAACACCCAAAAGTAAACACGCAAACATAAACAGCGGACGGTGCGGAGCGGATGAGCGCGGATTACGAGTGCGCACGCATCTCAATGTGTGTCTCATGCGGTGCTGCTTTCACGCGTGCGGATGCATTGGACCGCGCTGCTTGCAAACCAAACCAGTGCAGTGGTTAGCAGCTCCACATTCCACAGTGGTCGTGACCACTGCGAGAAATACACAATAACCACTGGGATGGATGACCTCTTCTGTCTCACTTTAGGCTGGAATGAGAATAGTGGTGGTTATGGTTATCGAGTTAAAATATCGAGAGTATAAAAATGGACATTATTCGCTTGGTTTAAAATTCACCTCAATGATTCAAATGTATTTAGTTTTCTTTAATTGTTATTCTGTTATATTATTATATTATTATATTATTATATTATTATATTATTATATTATTATATTTAATTGAGTATTTAGTTATTTAAAATATTTATTTCATATCAACAACTGCTCTAATGCAATCACCGCCATGCATATCATGGAACGCATCGTTGATTTGATCCAATTGATGTCTGTGGGTGATCATGTCTTCAATTTGGATTTTGCCCGAGATATAATCTTCAACCAACCCTGGCAATTGAGTTCTACCTTTGAATCCACCAAATGCTGAACCTCTCCAGTTTCTACCAGTGACTAACTGGAATGGTCTTGTTGATATTTCTTCGCCAGCTGCTGCAACACCAATGACAATCGAGGTCCCCCATCCTTTATGACAAGCTTCCAATGCATTTCTCATCACCTTAACATTACCGGTACAGTCAAATGTGTAATCACAACCACCATCCGTCATTTCAATTAACTTGTCTACAATGGTAACATCCTTGGGTAATTCCAATGGGTTAACAAAATCCGTAGCTCCGAATTTAAATGCCCAATCTTTTTTCTTATTGTTGATGTCAACGACAATGATCTTTCCAGCTTTGTTGGTAACAGCACCTTGGACAACTGATAATCCAACACATCCAGCACCAAAAATAGCAACGTTATCACCGGCTTCAACCTTGGCTGTGATTGTGGCTGCACCATATCCGGTAGTGAACCCACATCCTAATAAACATGTTTTATCCATACCAGCTGTTGGATTAACTGCCACAACAGACACATCTGCAACAACAGTATACTGCGAAAATGTGGAACACCCCATAAAGTGCAACAATTCTTTACCCTTGCATCTAAATCTCGAAGTTCCATCTGGCATCAATCCTAACCCTTGAGTGGCTCTCACTGATCCACACAAATTGGTCTTTCCACTCTTACAGAATTTACATTTACGACACTCAGCAGTATACAACGCAATGACATGGTCTCCAGGCTTGACGTTGGTAACGCCCTCACCCACACTTTCAATTATACCAGCACCCTCATGGCCCAAGATGACTGGGAATGCACCCTCAGGATCAACTCCAGACAAAGTATAGGCGTCAGTATGGCAGACACCAGTATAGTGGATTTTGATACGAACTTCGTGAGCTCTTGGTGGCAACACTTCAACCTCTTCAATTGATAGTTCCTTGCCAGCTTCCCATGCAACAGCGGCTTTACAAAAAATTGATTTCCCAACAGTGGACATTGTTATCAAGTATTAGTAATTAGTGATCAGTGATTGTTGTTTGTTGATTTGTAGAAGAACGAAAATCAGATTCAGATATTGGCTCGATGCAGAAAACAATTGACTTAATATATATCCTGGAGAAGCTCAGTTAATTCGAATTTGCCGCTTCAGGAATAAATGAAAAATTTCATTATCATCATCCATCACCATTGTGGAGGTGGATATTATTGCCCAAACGGTGCTCCTCATGCAAGTCAGCACTCAATACCTGCCCAAGTGAGCGCCCAATATGCTGCGCTGATTCAGCCCACCCAATCAGCGCATCCAAATACAAAGGGCAAAAATTTCACCGTTCTGCAAAAAAATTCGCGGCGTGATAACTGCCCGATTAGTACGTGCTAACCAACAAATTTCCCTGCCAGCGCTACTAACCGGTGCGCACGCTAACGCAGCTGCAGCTGCAAACCCGCACCAGTGGAACAGAGCTGAGGTTATCGAAAGTAACTGCTGAGTCAGCACGCGTGCAAAATACGGAGAGTGGCGGTGAAGACGATTCTCTGCCTTCGGAGGTCGTTTTCTGCTTCTTTTGCTTCTTTTGCTTCGTGTGCTTCCTCTGCTTCCTTTGCTTGCCCTGCCTATTCTGCCCCTTCTGCTTTCTCACACCTCTCACACCTCTTCTGCTGTGCTGCTCTGCTGCTTCTGGGTGAGAATAACTCTAATCCCAAGGCTGCATCGCGACCCAAAAAAAGCAAATCCCACGAAACACCCATTATCTTTCATTTGGCAGTATTCCAACTGAATTTGCTGAGAATTTGCTTCCACAAGCTTCCTGCTCCAGGCTGCTCTAATTAATTCCATCTTATTCACTGTTCAAGCTTTCTTTTCCAATTCTTTTCCAACTCTCTTCTCTTATTCACGATTTAGGCTGTTTCATCATACTTTGAAATTAGTTTGGTTCTTGGTCCTTATTCTCTTTCTTTTATTATCTTAAAGGAATAATATTCTTGATACCTTCAAGCCCTCTAATATCTTATCAGAGACATCTCATTTTTCCTGCTTTTTTCCTGTTTTCTCAAATCCTAAACAAATCACTTTACAATTTTATTAAAAACTTATTAATTACTTTAATCTTGATATATCAAACTCATATCTAGCGCTACAGCCTAATTTAATCTCTCTATTTCATTATCTTTATCATCCACCTAAAAAAAGAATCTAAACTAGACCACTCCAATATCCTTGTTTAACCTCTTTGCTTCTTTTTCACTTCGCTTCCCTCCCTTCCTCTCTTTCTTTCTCTCCTCTTTAACAGAAAATAAATACTGTATTTTTAATCTACTCTTTTTTTTTTTTGAGGACTTTTTATAAAAAAAATATTCCATTTTATTTCATTTTATTCCATTTTATTTCATTTCATTCTTATTTAATCATTTTAATTCTTACTTGCTCTATTTATTTAGCACCTTTAATATCTTCACCTCTATATCTTTTTAACCTTTTTAATTTCACTCTATTACTTTACCATTTTATCTCAAAAATTATATAATGTCTTTTATAAATGATAAAGTCAATTTGAAAAATAATCGGGTTTCTACAAATTCTAAAATTACTAAAAAAAATATCACATTAAAAAATACATCAAAAAATACACCAAAAATTACTCATACTCATGATAATAGTAATAACTTAATCAAAAAAATTATACTAAATCCAATTCACAACAATGATAACAACAACAACAACAACAACAACAAAAACAATACAAACCAAAACACTCAAAATAAAATCGTAAATGTTGTGACCAATAAAACTAAAATAAAATTTTGTCCTGATACTATTCTAACAATCTCAAATTTCAAGTCAAACTCAACAATCTTAAACGATTCAAACACAAATCACATATTAAACTCTTTATCCAATTCCATTGACAACAACAACAACAACAACGACAAAAACAAAAACAATAAAATCTCTAATAATACTTTCAACAACTCAAATAATGAAAATAACAATCATATCAACATCAATATCAACAACATCAACTCAAATGACAACACCAACAACAATGACACTATCAATAACATCGGCTTGGGCAACTTGTCTCTTATCAACACCATCAACAACATCAACAACATGAGCAATAACAAATTCTTAAAAAGATCAAAAACAGGCTGCATTACTTGTAAAATAAGGAAAAAAAGATGTGATGAAAATAAACCAATTTGTGGAGATTGTAAAAGACTTAAAAAAAATTGTGTTTGGGCAAAACCTGGTATGTCTCTTCAACAAATAAGAGAAATTAAAAAAAAAGTAGAACTAGACGAAGAAAAAATTAAATTGAAGAAAAAAATCGATTTATTAAAGAAAAAAAATAGTTTACCAAATAAAAAAAATGATGACGATAATGACAATGATAATGATAATGATAACGAAAATGATAATGATAATGACAATGATAATTACAATGAAAATGATAATGATAATGAAATTTATAATGAAAACTATAGTGAAAACTATAGTGAAAATTATAATGATAACAGTAATGATAATCATAATGATAACAATAACAATAAAGACAACATTAATGATAATAATAATAATGATAATAATAATAATAATAGTAATAATAGCAATAGCAATAATAACAATTACATCGACAAAAACCCCAGTAAACCATTAAATCACCACAATTCCACCTCAAATCAAAATCTAAACAACTTTGATCAACAATCCACGAATAATATCAATAATCTAAATTATAATAACAACCAGATTGATATTGAAATGTTAAATATCAATCAAAATTCTAAAATAACCACAAATGGAAATAACATAAATAATATAAATAATATCAAAAATCCTAATAACAATCCAATAAACGATACTGATTTTCATAATTCTAATAACAATAAAATTAATAATGACAACAATACAAGTCATATCAACTTTGATATTATCCGATCTAATGATCAATTGATTCAATCAAACCACTCCATCAATTCAGCCAGCAATTTTAATGATTTTAATCATATTGCAAATCTTGATCATTTTGACAATATTGATGATGTTGATGATATTATCGATATAAATACCTTAAACCAAGTTCACGATACTTCGCATGATATCAGCCTGTTACAGTCTTTAGACAATGAAATTTTTTTCACAATTAATAACCATTATAAAAATTATAGTCGCAATCGCAAAAATGAAAAAAATATTTCAAATGATCAATATAAATTGATTAAAAACCAAAGAAATGACCATAAAAATTTAAATGTTGTTAGTAATAATAATAACTCTTTTTTTTATCAGCACCATCAGCCACAACAACATGATAATTTTCAAAAAAGCTTACAAAACAATTATCAAAATAATTATAATCAAAACAGTAATTATCAAAATAATGACTATCTAAACAAAGGATATCAAAATAATAATAATAACAATAATAATAATAATAATAATAATAATAATAGTTACTCAAATAATAACTTTCTGAATAATTTTCAAAATAAGAACAACTTTTCAAACGACGAATTTTTGAGTAATTTCCAAAACACTTCTTCTAATCATGAATTATTTGCTCCAATCCAAGATCAAATGCAAATTCATAGAAACAGTACAACATTCTCATTTTTTATTCCAGACAATCATACACCTTTTCAACAGCGGCAAATACCCAAACCCAAGTTTGATTTTACGCCATTATATCATTTGCCGAGTAATTTATTCGATGTTTGCCCAATTGGAATGAGATTATATGATTATTTTCGTGATAAGCTAGCCAAAATTATTTGTATCTCGCCTCAGTCAAATAACTATTATTTGTCAATTTTTTTACCAATGGCACATTCCGACCCAGGGGTATTATATAGCATAATAGCTTGGTCAGCATTTCATTTAGGTGGAACATATGAAGATCTTGGGCATTCGTATTTAAAGAAAGCATTGGACCATATTAAAAACAATCCATTGATAAGTAATAATGACGATGACGATGATGACATCAATTATAATAATCAATCGGTTAATGGGAAACCCAGATCACTAAATGAGAAGGATTTTTTGATACGATTATCAAATTATTTAATATTATGTGGAGCATTAATCTGTGATGGAGATGTTAAATTATGGAGAACATGTCTTGAATATGGATCAAAATTAATTAAATATCAAGGAGGATTTTTAAAGTTAATTTATAGTAGTTCGATTCAAAAAAATTGGTTGGCCTTGAATTTTCATTACCATGATATTGCATCTACTGAAAGAGGGACGTTTTTTCCTTCAGAGTATCGTGTTTTAACTAATAATAATAGCAAATATAATAGTAATTCTAATGGGAATAACATTAATAGCGGTAATGGTAACAACAATAACAATGGTAGTAATAGTAATGGGAATAATAGTAATAATAACAATAATAATAACAATGATAATGGAAAAACTAATGAGGATAAGGAACCACTTTTTAATTTTGATGATAATTTCTCAACATTGACAATTCAGAGTCATAATTTAATGGGAATTGATCCATTACATGGATGTTGCCAACCATTATACCATGTCATCTCAGAGATCAATGCGCTAGCCTTGAAATGTAAAAGGTTGATGAGACAAGTGCCTGATGAATTAGTTGAATATCCAGACAACTTCAAGGGACCATATTTACGTCATCAACAGAAAGGCAATAATAAAGAGAATGATAACAATTTGAATGATGATAATAATTCTGTTTCTAGTAGTAATGAATCATATGACTTATATAATAACCATTTAGAAAACAAGTATAATATGAGAAGATATGAGTTATTGAATCAAATTATGGATAAAAGTTTTGAAATTCTAAACAAGATTGATAACTTGGTGCCAAATTTTTCGGATTTAGAAAAATTGGATAAAAAAGAATTAGAGTTGCAATTAACATTATTTGAGGTGTTTCAGTTCACTTCAAAGATCCATTTAAAGCAAAGTGTCTTGAGGTTAAATTCTTCATGTATTGAGATTCAATTTTTGGTGAGTGACTTGTTGAAGAGGTTAGACATAATTTTAGAAACGTCAGTTGAAGGATCATTATGTTTTCCATTATTTATTGCAGGAATGAATTGCACCCGAGAATTGGATCGAAACTTGATGCTAAAGAGATTTAACGATTTGATTGATAGATATCGTTGCAAGAATGTGCCACGGATAAAGATGATTATGGAAAAAGTTTGGAGTTTAGATTACAATGGAAGTAAAAACATTGATTGGTACGATGTTGTGAAGAAAGTTGGATGGGAATTGAGTTTTGCTTAGTTTTTGCTTATTTGTTAGTTAGTTTGTTTTTTTTTGTTTTTATTTTTGTTTGTTTTCTTGTTTGTTTTTTTTTATTTTTTTGACCATATTATGCACTAGATTATGTTTGTTATTTTATATTATCAGTTTATACATTCTAATTTATACTATATTAATATTATACTATAACATGAACAGCAAATGAAGGTTCGGATCGGACAGTAACTGTGGGTGTTGGATGTTTTTCCGAAAACTGCGTTATTTAACCAGTTTTATTGTGGTGGGTTTTAATTTTGAGCTCTTCTTTCTACAGTTTCTACAACAGTTTCCAGTTGGCTTGGAGAAGAACAAAGACAAAACCAGCGAATATAGGTAAGTGCGAGGTTTTTGCTATTACTGGAGTGTGTTGCTGCTGGAGGGTGCTGAGTCCAGGCCAGGAGAGCAGTCGTCAGGAAACATGCCCACCACGAAGCGTAACTGCCTATGCTAATATCCATCGCCATGCCCTGGGAATGCTGATCATGGTCAAGAGATACAAAATAGGATCGCAGCTAGTGTGACAAGTTATATAACAATGGGCCTGCTCTGTCAGCATTTCATGGAAGTGTGAAACCATAAACATAGGCAACTCAGCAGATTCAGCAGTACCAGCAACTCATTTTCAACCATTAACATTTTCTAACAATTGTCGTTGTCATCACTCTTTATTTTGGCTCAAAATGCATTTTGCTATTACAGCATCAGATTTAGTAATGGGCAACCGATTAGAAAACTTTAAAACAGTATTTTTCTATGTTGTTCTCTTCATATTAACAGTTGAATATTTCAAATACTGGTGTGCAAGCAACTATGATAGAATACACTGCAACACTTCAACTTCCATTTATACTCAGGATGGTGTCAACGAATTCAACAGAGTAGTCAAGGTGCTTTCAACAGGAACCAGTGCTTGTGACAAAGATGCCCAAATATCAACAATCAACAGAAGAATTCTAAAAATCTTTAAAAACTACAACAGACCTCAGGTTTATTGCATCAACAAAAACTGGGATTCTCTTGATGGAGCCGTTGGGTACACAACAACAATCGAAGATAAGGAAAAGTTAGCTGCTCTTTGTGACGATGAATTGCTAGTTTTGGGCGAAAGCTTGCTTTAGAAGTTAGACTCCATTCTAATAGCAATATCTAAACCACCATATTCACCATCTTATATTCATCTTATATCTATATTTCTTATTTTCTGCTTATTAACCTTCTGATCTCTTTATCTCTTTAAAACCAAATAGAAAATGCTTCATCACCTGACTTTTCACGTGCTTTAGGCTTTTTTTTCAAATTTTTTTTTCAGTTGAAAAATTTCTTTGGCTTTTTTGGTGAAATTTTCAGTTGAATCTCGACTGGATGAGTATTTGATTAGTTTAGCCATCAATTGTTCTTGTGTAACAGTGTATAGCTCGAGATATAACCATGTCTTCTCAAAGTAACCCAGATTTCCTTCTTTTTGAAGAATCCACCGGGTATGCCATCTTCAAGGTCAATTTGTCTCAAGACAGTATTGGCAACAAATTAAAAGAGGTTCAACAGCAGATTAACGATTTATCCAAATTTAAAAAGATGGTGGAACTAGTCTCATTTGCTCCCTTTAAAGGTGCTGCTCAAGCTTTGGAGAACGCTACTGATATTTCTGAAGGTTTAGTATCCGATTATTTGAAATCAATTATCGAATTAAACTTGCCAAATTCTAATAATACCAAATCAAATAAAAAAAGACAAATTATCTTGGGTATATCTGATAAAAATTTGGGTCCATCAATTAAAGAGTTTTTTCCTTATTTAGATTGTATCTCAAATGAAATGGTTCAAGATTTATTAAGAGGTTTAAGATTACACGCTTCTCATTTATTAAATAATCTTCTAAACCAAAATGATATAGAAAGAGCTCAGTTGGGTTTGGGACATGCTTACTCAAGATCCAAAGTCAAATTTTCTGTACAAAAAAACGATAATCATATCATCCAAGCAATTGCTTTATTAGATCAATTAGATAAAGATATCAACACTTTTGCAATGAGAGTTAAAGAATGGTATGGATGGCATTTCCCCGAATTAGCTAAAATTGTGCCTGACAATTATACTTTTGCTAAATTGGTCTTATTAATCAACGATAAATCTTCATTAAATGATGATTCGTTGCACGATTTAGCTGAAGTTGTTAATGAAGACTCTGCTATTGCTCAATCGATTATCGACAATTCAAAGATTTCGATGGGTCAAGATATTTCAACTTTAGATATGTTGAATGTTACTACATTTGCTAAAAGAGTGGTTGATTTATTTGATTTCAAGAAAAATCTATTTGAATATCTAACAGACAAAATGCATACGGTTGCACCCAATTTATCTGAATTAATTGGTGAAGTCATTGGAGCTAGGTTGATATCTCATGCAGGATCGTTAACTAATTTATCAAAACAAGCAGCATCAACTGTTCAAATTTTGGGTGCTGAAAAGGCTTTGTTTAGAGCATTGAAGACTAAAGGTAATACACCAAAATATGGATTAATTTATCACTCGTCATTTATAGGTAAAGCTAATGCTAAAAACAAGGGTAGAATTTCCAGATATTTAGCCAATAAATGTTCAATAGCTTCAAGAATTGATAATTTTTCCGATGAACCAAATTCAATTTTTGGAAAAGTTTTAAAAAAACAAGTTGAAGATAGATTAAACTTTTATGACACAGGTAAATCACCATTAAAGAATACAGATGCCGTTAAGGAGGCAATAGGTTTGATTAAAAAGGATTCGACTGGCGATGATGATGAAAAAGATAAGGATATAACCATGGGAAGTATAGATGGACAAAGTGACGCAGAAAGTGATGAAGAGGACAAAGTGGAAAAGAAGGTTAAGAAAGAAAAGAAAATTAAAAAGGAAAAAAAAGAAAAAAAGGATAAGAAGGACAAAAAAGAGAAAAAAGAAAAGAAGGACAAAAAAGAGAAAAAAGAAAAGAAGGACAAAAAAGAGAAAAAAGATAAAAAAGAAAAGAAAAGTAAAAAGAGATCATTAGATGATAGTGAAGGTGGTGAAAGCTCAAAGAAGAAGAAAAGCTCTAAAAAATAGACTAAACAATGTTATGATAATGATGTAAATTGACATTGAAACTTATAATTTTTATTTTTTTTCTATTTACTTATTTATTTATTTACCTACTTTTTTTTACTGTTTGTTTACTTATATCATTTACATATTAATGTACTTTAATATTATACATATTATTTTATAAATTGGAGTGGACAATTAAAAAAAAAAAGATTAGATATACATTGAAGAGGAGTTAATTGAGTTAAATGAATTTGTAGAGTTGAGAAAGTTTTTCTTATATATGAGAAATTGAGAATCATTTAGGTGAAAGTAGGAAGATAAGAAATCAATTGATAATAAAAGAGAATCGATTGAAACGATTTCGAAATTTTTAATACCATCTGAATGCAAGGCTAAAATTAAAGCATTGAATTTTTTATTTAAATAAATTGAGTAGTTTAAAATTGAGGCTGAAATACCTGAGATATAATGAGGAGGATTTAAAAACTTGAAGTTGTTTAACTTTGATAATAATAAATGATTGTTATTGAAATTGGATAATATGTTGTTTGATGAGTAAATTTTATTAATTAAATTATCGTAATTTAAAATTGATGGAGCAAAAGATAGAATAAATTTTGGATTCAAATAGTTTAATAAAAAGGAAGCTAGAGAATTTAAAAAGTAATCATTAAGATTGATGGTCAAGTAAGGTAAAGTAATCAAATTAAAGTGAATCTTGTTATTATTTGATGAATCGAATAGTTGGTAAATTTGGATTTGAATATTGAGTAACGATAAAGAATTTTTATTGAATGGCTTTGAAGGATCAGTAGAGTATAATTGTTGATCCTCATTGAATTCTGTATCATTAGCGTCGTCAAAATCAGAAGTGTTTGGGGTTTTGAAAGCAGCAGAATTAGTTTTATGGTTATTTTTGATTGAAATTGTTGAAATCAATTTTTTTTGAAAAGTGTTAGGAAGAGAGTCAATTAAAGTGGCCAAATTGTAAGGCAAAACAACCAAATCACTCAGCTTTGTCTGATCATCGAGAGATAAGTCTTCGACTACTTCAAAGCTAGGCAAATCTTCTTTGGTGAAATCGTCAGCAATATCGTCTTCGTCGTCGAGGTTGTGACGATTGGAAGGAGGTAATTCAGACCAAGGTTTGAACTGGGGGAAGTTAGTAGAAGGTCAATTGGTGAGCTGCAAGGGTTGTTGATATACATACAAGCATCTTGGGCAGTTGTAGGTCAATTGGAGTGCACTTGTTGTCTGGTTGCTGTTTGGCTGCTGTGTTTGCCAGAAAACTGTCACCAGAAGAAGCAAAATTTGCCTCCAGCTCAGATCTAGAACCTGTGAATCCACCAATGTGGGAACACATCAACAGCACACAATATTGAGTGTTAATGCATAACAATGCTGCTACCTTGTTGTGGTACTACCGTTATGGTGGAACATATACACGTGATATAATGTACAAATACGCATAACACGCGTCATTCAGAGCTTTGTTTTTGCCGACTGGGAGCGAAACAACAAAGGCAGCAGAGGCAGCAAAGACAACAGTGGCAAAGGCAGCGGCAGCAGCACCAGCAGCAGAGAAAACAGAGACAGCAAAAAAAGCAGAAGCATTATCGTCATCATTTGCTGCTGCTGGAAGACAATAGAACAGGGTCCAGTGAGAACAAACCACAGTGGCCCAGTTCCGGCCGATTTCCGCTTTCCGCCTGCGAAAACCATTTTCTCTCACCAAAATATTTCAGATATTTCATCTTTTATCTTTATCTTCTCTATCTTCATCTCTTCAGCTCCAACTCTCGTCTCTTCTCGTAATTATATTCCTCCTTCTCTTTGCACTGGTACTGCTATTACCTCTGGTGTCTTCTCACTCTCTGTTTCTGATTCTGCCTGTTCTCGCTCGTCATACTGCTATTTTTTCCTTCTCCTGCTGTTTTCCTCCTTCTTTTCCTATGGGCAAATGATACACTCGACACCATTCAAACTACCAATTTAATAATTAAATTATCTTTAATTTAAATGGCTCCTAGACCAACACAGCTGAATTCTGATTCACAATCACAAAATATTATCGAAAGCGATCTCAGTAACATCCAGTTAACTTCTCAATCTATCAATATAAGTATTAATAACCATAATAACTTTAATAACCCCAACACACTTAATACTTTCAATACTCTCAATACTCTTAATACTCTTAGTGATATTATATCTAATCAGTCTCAAATCAAATCACAACATCAGTCTCAAATTCTGTCTCAAAATTCGTCTCAAAATTCGTCTCCAGATCTATCCCAGAATGATTCTCAAATTATAACCCAAAATCAAAATCAAAATCCAACTCACATTTTGAATCTAAATGAGCCCCAACCCCAATCGCATCAAACGCTTCAATGCAAACGTAGATCTAGAAGAACTACAAACACAAATAGATTAAATTCAATCAACGATAATGATATAGATACTCCCCCAATCTTTATCCCATCCTTAAATTCAAGCCTAAATGCAAATGCAAATTCAAATGCAAATGTTAACATGACTATAAGCTCAAAAAAAAAAAAAATAACGAAAACTGTTAAAAATCAATTTCAAAATAAATTGAAAAATAAAAATAAGTCAAAATCAAAAAATAAAATAAAGTCAAAGAATAAAATCAAAAATAAATATAAAAGTTCAACTTCAATCATAAATTCAAATATAAATGTCAATATAAATCAAAACCAAAACTCAAAGCTAAACTCTAACCCAAACTTATTTTTTAATCCAAATATTAAACAAAAAAATCCAATAAATAATCAACTAAATTTTGTTAAATCCTTTGATATCAATAACAATATCTTCATCGATGGCAAACCCAGAGAAGAAACAGATTACAAAATATTTTACTCAAATTTAAATCAAAATCTACCCTTACCAGTCTATATCAACTTATCGTCAAATAATATACTCTTCAACTTAAATTCAAACTCCCTACTAAACTCCTTCAAAAATACCCAATCAACCATCCCCAAAAAACAAATCAATCAAAATATCACCAGTAATAAATTTAGAGAGATACCTTCAAATAAGGATTTCCCAAAAAATTGCTATGATTTAATTCAATTTAATCTTGATAAATTAAAATACAAAAATTATAAACAACTGAATAAACTTACAAATAAACAGCAACAAACAAAAGTTTCAACGATTGACCCTAATTTAAAAACAAAATCACAATCAGCACCTCAACCAAACTCAATATCAGAACTTAATCAAAAAAACGATAACGTAATAACTGAAATAACTCCACTGATATTTGAAGACCCTGAAAACTGCTCTTCAACCTATCTAGACTATATTATTACCAATAATAAAGAAAAAATAATTCAAAATGAAATTAGAGATGAAATTAGGAATGAAATTGATAACGATAATGACAACCCCGATGAAGATTTAGAGAGTAATAACGATAATGGCCTAAAATCATCATCTCATTCAATAACTAGTATCGAAGACCAAGATCAAGATAACTACTTTTATGATCCCTATTCAAACTTTTTACCCAGTTCTAAACAATATTCAAAATCTTTAACTTCATTATCTTCTGATTCCTCTCCTTACGATTATTATTATGATTATTCTCAAAAATATGACAACCCCATCATTAAAATATCAAATGTAAATCAAATTTTTCAATTTGATCCCTTAAAACAACAAATCTATAACCAAAATTATAATCAGGGTCTTGATCAAAATCTTGATCAACTCTTAAATTCCAACTGCTCCTATGCTATTCTTGCAAATGAATCCCCAGAAGATCAAAAAATTATAAATGAATCTCTTTTCGAACAACAACAACAACAACAATTACAGCATTTTAATAATACTTTAAATTTTTATAACAATAACCTTAGCTATATTTATACAAATAGTTTTCAATATCCTTTGCCGACAAATGTTCATTTTGATCCTTTTTATGCCAATAGATCAATATCAATAATTAATAATAAAAATAACAATAACAATAACAATAACAATAACAACAACAATAATAATAATAATTTCAATTCCTATAATTATACTAATCATAATCATAATGACAACTTTAATGAAATTTCTGAAACAAGCAGTACAACCACGTCAAGTGTTACAATTATTAATAATACAATTAATAATACTATTAACAGTAATACTGATAATATTCCAAATATATACATTGATAGTAATATCTCTGATTATGAAGTAAATCCAAACTTGAATCCTAGTTTAGTTTCTATTACCAATAATAACACTTCTATCCACAATTCCAATAATATAAACCCATTAACCAGATATACTGAAAATTCAAATTTAACCAACAATAGTTTTTATAATAATAATGTATCAACCTATATTTCAAATATAAATTCATCTTTGACATTTAATAAAAATGATAATTTAGATTTCAATAACTCCCAAAACTCTTCTGGTAGTGAAAGTGATAACATCCAAATTCAAGTTGGAATTTCCCAATCAAATAATATCGATAAATTTACTGAAATTGAAAACAGTACTTCTATTGATGGTTTAAATGTTCAAAAAGACTTAAATGAAAGAATAACATATAAATCCCGTATCCCTTCTCCCGAAGTTACAAAAAACTCAGAGAAAAGTGATTTAATTGATGGTAATCAAAATGAAAATGAAACTACAAATCAACTAGGTGAAGATAATCAGCTTCAAGTTTTGGGAGTTCCTACTATGGAGAATTTGGATGTTTTAATGCAAAACAGGCCACAAGCACTCTCTGTTGCACCCTCTGTTGCACCTTCTGAAACTCCTTCCATTACTCAATCATTTTCTTTTGATTCATCATCTAAAAGCATTAAAAATTCAAAAGAAGACGAAACAGGAAATCTTGTTATTCAAAGAGATTTTAAAAAGTTTGGTTTTAGAAATTTAACTAGAAAAAGATTTGAAAAAATACCAGAAACTTATATAAGAGAAACAGATGCTGTTGAATTGGATTTTTTCTCTGTCGATTTTAATCAAAACTTTGATTTAAAGCTGGACACATTCAAAAATTATTCATTTCAAGTTGTATATGATATGGATGAACAGGACGATTTTTATTTATCTATGATCAACAAAAGAAGATTAAAAGTTAATCATTGTTACATTTCACATGAGCTTTTTGAAATAGTTATAACGTTTTTGGAGAAACAGTGGCATTTACTTTCAAAGAGAATTCCACCAAAGCAAAAATATTTTGATATTGGCCCTGACGCTAAAGAGTTTCAGGATTTTAAAAATCTAAAGCCTGGAAAATATAACATTGCTGTCTTGAATGCTTTAGTATATGGGTCAGATGATGGAGTTTGGTGTGGACCAGAACAAGATCAACCTTGTGCTATTTGTTACGGAAGTGAGTGTGATAATGCTAATCAAATTGTGTTTTGTGATGGATGTGATATTGCTGTTCATCAAGAATGCTATGGAGTTGTCTATATCCCCGAAGGACAATGGTATTGTAGACATTGTATGACAGCTAAGAAGAAAGAAGCACATTGTCAATTTTGCCCTAGTACTACAGGGGCATTTAAGCAGACTGAATCTGGAGATTGGGCTCATGTTATTTGTGGATTATGGATACCAGAGTTAACTTTTAAGAGTCCAGTTTATATGGAAACTATTGATAATATTGAAAATGTTCCAAAAGGAAGATGGAATCTTACATGTTATATATGCAAGCAAAAATGTGGAGCTTGTATTCAATGTGCAAATAAAAATTGTGCACAGGCTTATCATGTTACATGTGCTAGAAGAAGTGAATTATTTATGAAACATAATTTGGATGCTGGAATGCAAAATTCGTTACATTTGAAGAATTTCGTTAGCTTTTGCGATCGTCATACACCGACGACTTGGTTGGAGAACCATGATATCAAAGAAGGTATTAAAAAAACAAGGTTATATTATCAAGAAAATAAAAAAGATGAAAACAATCGAAGTCGAAATATTGGATTGAATGATTTCAGCAATATAATTCAACAAAATAGCTTAAATAATAAAGGAAAAAACAAGAAAATAGTACAAGAAACACCCAAGCAGATTCACTTTGTTACTCATACCCGAAAGGCCTTGAAAGATTCCAACAATAATATTTTAAGATGGGAGTCATCGATTGGAACTCCAATTCTTCCCAATCTTATATGGGAAAGACTAATAAAACTACTTGAATATTTTCAAATTGATGGCAGCGCTAAATTATCTAGTGATTTATGCAAATACTGGGCATTAAAAAGAGAAACCAAGACAGCACCATTGATTAAACTTCATGATCCTTATACTACATCCAATAATATTAAAATTGAAGAAATACCTGAAAAAATTGAGATGGCTAACTTTTTAAATGGGAACATTAACAATTTAATCAAAATTTCGGATGATATTATCAAGAGACAACAGTTGACATTAGAAAAGTTTGATATTGATCTTAAAAACATTGGAAATATTTACTTCCCTGTTATTAAATTGATAAAACCTGTTTTAGAGGAATTACTCAAATTAGATGAAGAAAACAACCGATTGTTATGGGAATTTAAACCATCGATATTTAAAGGAACCAAATTGGAATATAATATCGATATCTTAAATTTGGAATCAATTGTTTTGAAGTTTAAACTGAATCAATATAGTCAGAGTCTATTAGAGTTTAATAATGATATCAAGATTTTATTTGATAATGTGAATAGATCCAAACAAAAGACCAATAAAGTTTTAAATTTGAAAAAACTATTGAAGGAAGTGTATATTCCCAAAGTTTATCCCAAGTTGGACGAGTTAAAAGAGTTTGAATATAAAGTTATTGAAAGCAATGAAAAATCAGGTAGTTATCTTTCAGCATTTGAACAAATATATGATATCACCGGAATGAGTATAGAAGAAAAGAAGCTTTAATAAAAGGGCTGATAGGGTTGAGAAATCAATTGTTTGTTTTGTGGGCTACTCTTTTGCATTTTTAAAACGTTTAATGTTGCTTTATTTTTTGTTTTTCTGATTGATTTTTACTATATATTACGTACATATACTATATTTTTTTTTAGTTCTGTTCATTTTACTTACTTTTCATTGTTTCACTGATCATCTAGTTAATTTATTTTGTATAATCTATTCTATGCTCTCAGATCTGTTCTAAAACAAAAACATGTTCTAAAACCATAAAAAGTTTGATCAACTGAAACAAAAGAGAAAAAACTTTACGCAGGGACCTGTCAAATAAACATTTCCTGCAATCATGCAGAAACACCAATCCGGAAGTATTCACATTTCATCTTGAATCAATTCTAAAAGTCCTCCATCACTAAAATCAGGTTTTTTTTTGTTTTTCATTATTACCAAATATATTATTAAAAGTGTTCTATTTGTGTAATAAAAATTCACTCAATTTACGGATGAACTACAGTTCCCGTAGAGTGGCAACAATGTGTGTATTGATTGTGCACACAACAATCGCTCCATCCTAGAAAATAAAACTTATACCATTTATAGCTAAAAACCAACAATATTTTGAACAAAAAACCAGATGATTTTAAACAAAAAAAACTACAATATATGTTAATAAATGAAAAAATAATGGATCCATTCAGTCTGACTTCCATGATCCTACAAATAATATCTATTAAAAGATCTATTAAAACAATTTCAAAAGACAAACTTTTACAGAATAAAAAACTTATGTAAAAATCAAAAAAGAAACCAAAATATAATAGAACTTGTGAGAGAATTAAAAACAAATCCTGAAAGTATATTCATTGCTAAGAACTATCCAGCAAGAAATAAAATTAATAATAATAAAACCAAAAACCCTATTAAAAAACTATATAGCGCAGTTAAAAAAAAGATCAAGCTTAATAAGTCAAATCAAATTTGGTTATTCTCCCCAGCTTAGATAGTGAATCAAAAACATCAAACAGAAAAGATTTGAGTGGTTTTATCAGCTTTCGAAAAATGATGAAAGGTTACAAATCAAATGGATATAAAACCTCAGATCCAAAACTCAACGACCACGACGTCCCGGATGATTTTGATGTTAAAACACCTCGTTCACTCAATGATGTGGGTACGAGTGCAGGTGGCAACTCAAATCATAACATCAAACCTTCCACCTTCAATGATTTGAATTTGGCAATTTTTAAATACACCTTACTCATTTAGTGTAATATTACAACAGATTATCCAAATCAACATGGAAGTGTATAAAATGGCTATTTTGGTAGTTATTTTGGCAGAAAGATTGAGGAAATATGAGAATGTTCATCCTGGAAAATTTCCAATCATTCATTTTGTCGAATCCATAGCATTCCAATTTTTGTTTGATAAGTAACAATTTTATATCGAATTTTTTATGCTGCCACCACCTCAGATAATACGTTTGAATAAAAGAGTTGATGAATTGGAAATTGTGATATATCATGATGTTATTAAAATCCCTTTGGAATCTCTAAAAACCATTCTTCAACTAGACGAGTTTGATTGTGATACTGATAGGGAATTTAACCAACTAAAAAATATATCACTAGAAATTTTAAATTATCTCTTGTTAAAATAATTCAAACTGTTTTCAATTGGAAATTATAAATCTGAAACAACCTCTGCCCACACATTCAACATGTTAGAAAATATATAAAACACTATATTAAAATTTAACTCACACAACAATAACCTTTATTCCATTGTTAAATCATACCGAAATGCCATTGAATTGATTGAAAAGTTGTATAACACTTACCTCCCTGAATAAATAAGTTATATCAATTTAATATTTCCGGGCTTCCATTTCATCTGTATTTTTTCTTTTAAATAATCTTTTGAATAATACTCTGGATTTTAAAGGCCTTTCTGTTTTAATTGAATCATCTTGAGTTAGACCACCATATGAACAATTATTTAAGTGCTCAATAGGTGAGAGTATTTTAATATCATTATAAGATAGACTCAAAACTTTTTACTTGGTTAAACATTTGAAATCTTTTATTTTAGATATTTGGTTATTTGATTAAACGACAAATCAATCATCATCAAAGGTAATAATTTTGTGGAAAATAGTTTTATTCAAATATCATGCATTGACATGCATGATATCAAACAAATAAAACAGTGCTTTTATCTTTTTCATAGCAACACTGAAAATTCTATTGCTCTCTGGATTGTTTGAACAAAGAAAAACCTTTTGTATTTATCTTTACACATTAAAAAGCGAGGAAGCTGGATATGATGGGATAAGCGAGTTTCTCGGTGCTCCCAGACAATCTGTCAATTGTGCGTTAACAATAGACCACCGACGTGGAGATGTATACAGATATATTTGCTCCCCATATTTTTGATAGCATTTGATACCTTTTCACTCAAACCACCAAACTTTGCTGTCTGTCTATAATGGTGCCAATCAAACTAAAATAAGAATGTTTTTATCAAAAGAGCCATAACTTAATGACTTTGAGAAAACCGATTGATAAAGATTGGTTTTGCACAATTTCAATACAGTCAATCGCAGCCCAATATAGGACGCCAACATTGACAAAGAATAAAATGTTTTTGATGAGATACAAACCGGATGTCGCGTGACATTTGACCGAACAGTAGTTACGGTATATGGCGTAAATGTAGTCACTAATGAAAACGGAAAAATGCATTGTAATTATTTCATAAAAACCAATTAAACCCTCAATACTGGCAGAGACCAGGGAATTGGTAATTCTTAGCACAAATATGGTGCCGGGAAATTGTATGACGGATGTGAGATCCCGACACAGAATAACTAAGGATTATCATAATCTAATCGTTCTTTTCTTGCTGCTAGAGGAAGAAGAGCCCTGATGTTGTAACGAACTTATGATATTGATTAAGGTCTATAGAAGTAATTATCTAAAGGACGACAAAGACCAGCAGAACACCCTCTTTTATAGGTGCTATCTGATTTTTTTGTACATCTCCAAGTTCTCTTATTGTTTTGTAAAGCTTATGAAATTAATTTGTCATCACGAGCAGTGTATTTCAGCTTTTGCTTTGTGAAAGGGGATCTGCTTTTTCTTCTTAACTTCATCTTTATCTTCAACTATTTTTAACTACCTCCAACAAATTTGATCTATTTCTCATCAATTGCTTTGAAAACACTGAAATCAATGTCTGTCTCTGCTGTGGTGCCAATGGAGTCTAATCCAGAAGTCTTCACTGAGTTGGCTCACAAAATTGGGTTATCGAGTGTGTTAGCCTTCAATGATGTTTACTCCTTGACTGATCCAGACTTGCTTTCTTTCATTCCTCGACCATGCTTTGCCATCATCTTGTTATTTCCTATAACTGAATTTTACGAGACTGAAAGAAAACGAATCGACTCCCAGTCTTCTGAACTATACAGTGAGTTTGGTGAAAATGAGAAAGTATTGTGGTTCAAACAGACAATTAAGAATGGATGTGGTTTATACGCTTTATTACATTCCATAGGCAATATAAATGATGAATACTTGCAAAAGGATTCAACCATTTACAATTTTTTCAAAGAAGCGAAAAATCTAAATGTTAAAGAAAGAGCTGATTTGGTTCAAGTGTTAGAAAAAAGCTATTCATCACTTGCCAATCAGGGCCAAACTGAAGCACCTGAAGCTCTGGATGATGTTAGCCTACATTTTATATCCTTTGTCAAAAGTTTTAAAAACGATCATGTCTATGAATTAGATGGTAGAAGAAACTCTCCAATTGATTTGGGTCAATCAATTTCTCCTGAGAATACGGATGTCTTATTAGAAAAGAATATTATTGATAAAATCCAATATTATATGGATAATGCTGATGAGGCAAACAAATATAATTTTTCCATGATGGCCCTTGTTCCTTCTTTTTGATCACTAAATAATCTAACAACTTATCTATACAATTGTTAATTTAAAACACCTCCTTTGGTTTACCTGTACATTAGATTTTTCCCAGAAAAAAAAAGAGAAAAAAGAGATAAAAGAAAAAAAAACATAAAAAAAGTATATAAAAGTATATATAATTAAGGAAAAAACCAGATTAAAAAAAGACACAACATAAGAAATGGAAATCAAACAAGTAAATTCAATATTTTTAAAATAACAAAGTAAACTGTTCAAATAATTTCCAACTAAAATAATCAACAAAATGCAAGTTCAACTTCAAGTTCCAGAAATTTATTTCAAATCCAAAATTATATTCATAATTTTATTCATAAAATATAATCATGGTAAAGTTCAAAGTTCAGATTCAAGTTCACTCCAAAAAATCTAGTCAAATGATGTAAAATAACATGAAAAAAAGATAAAACAAAATCAAATGAATTAAAATAATATAAATAAAACAAAAAAAACAGATTTAGAAGAAAAATTAAGATTTTTATAAAAATTTTCTTTTTATAGATCACATTTGTCCCTTTATATCGACTTTCTTACATAATCTCATTTTTATTTCTTCAACTTTCAATCTTGCTTGACGACAATCCAAATAAGTTACATTATTATTATTATTATTATTATTATTATTATTACCAGTAGTAGTAGTCGTCGTAGTGGAATTTTCCTTTTTATGAGCATCAAATATAATAAAATTTAATAAGTCATAACTTGATAAAAATTCTTTTAAACTATCTTTGGATTGAAAGGATAATTCAGTGATTAAAAAGTCAGTTGAAATCTTTTGGTATATTTTACAAAAAATAGATAAAGTTTTAATTCTTTCTTTATTTAGGAAAAAATTAATTAAAATCAAGAAAAAAGTCAAGTTATAATATTTTTTCTTTTTAACTTCATCTATTGTAAACGGTTTTGATAGTTGAATTTTGAAATTGTATTTTTTTTTCTTTTTATGAGTGGCTTTATTATTGTTAGTATTATTATTACTATTATTATTATTATTGTTGGACTCGTTTTCGTTATAGGTGAAATTATTATTATAAATTTTGACAAAAAGTTCAATATCTTTGGGGATATTTGTTTTTAATAATTTATTGAATTTATAATTTTGATTGACTAAATTTGAATACAATTTGAAAAAGGCGTGGTAGTTATTTGTATAAATATAGTGGGATAATTCTAAAGAAATTGAGATGAAGTAGTAATGAGATTTAAAAATATGGATTTTTTTAACGTTTGACTGATTTAAAGATAATCTAATTTTTGATATTTCTGAGAAATTTTCAATTAAAATAAAATAAAGAATTCGATAGGATAAATATTCGAATTTACTTAAATCGTTTGGTAAAGTGGAATAAATAGATTTTAAGCTGGTTAAGCAAGATTTAAATTCATTTAAATCATTATTTAAAATTGCAATCTTTGAATGAGTTTCATAAACGTTTTTAGTTAGTTCATTTTGAATTGATTGGACAGTTAGATCCTGTCTCATTGATTTAAATTGGTTCCAAAAATAGTTATAAGGAATATTTGGTTTATTATTGTTGATTTTGTTATTATTTGAATTGAATTTTTCGAGTAGTAGATTAAAAGTTTGGTTTAAGATTTTTAAAGGTCTAACTTGGGTTGGGAGGATGGTTGAAGAAGAGTTGTAATAATTTTTCTCTAGATTTGTATTTAAACCGACAATGGGAGTTAGGTTTTTAGGGTTAATTTCCTCAGATTCCTTTTGAAAGTGCTTATAAGGGTCAAGTTTAAAAGTTGTTGTTGTTTGTTGTTGCTGATTTTGGAAAATGGGGTTATTTGGATTACTATTTGTTGCGAATCTTTCCAATCTTCTTCTTTTTTTCTCTTCACTTAGATAAAGATGATTACCAGATTGCGGCGAAGATGTGATATCATCTAGAATGGGTCTTTTATTATTTGCATTTATTGAACTTTTGTCTATTTTGTTAATATTAGTATGGTTATCATTGTCTTTGATTAATTTTTTTTCTAAATCATAAACCAACTGTAAATCGTTAGATTTAAAATTACTATGAATATAGCTATTAAAAATTGGCAAAGTTTGAATTTCCCAGTTATTTAACCACATTTTTTTCTCTTTTATTGCTTTTAAGATCAAATTTTTTAATTGAGATTGCATTTCCAGTTTTTGGAACTCATTGAAATTAAAAGCATCAACCATATTGAAACAAGCCATCGAGAAATTTTGTAAAGAATCTGGGAAACCTTCATTTTTGTTTTTGTTTTTGTTTTTATTTTTATTTGGGTCTGATGTGGGACTGGAATTGGGATCTTTGGGGTTTGAGCTGGGGTTTAGAGTTGAACTTGCATTGTTGGTGGTGATGGTGGTGATGGAGCTGGAGCTGCTGGTGTCAAAGGAAGCAGAAACTGGAGCTGGATTGACCAGGGAATGGAGCGAGGTTCGTGGCTGGATGGCGTTGTAGTACAATTGGTTGTGCTGCGACATGGCTAGAAGAGAAACAGATTAGTAGATGAATATACAAACCTTGAAGATAGCCGGTGCTTTTTCTCTTTCTTATTCTCTTCTCTCTTCCTTCTCTCTTTCTTCTTCTCCAAAAATGTTTCGGAAGACCACCTGATATCCTCATCGGGTCGTGCCTCAAAACAACAAAATCACATGACGCGTCACAAGCCCAGAAGAGGGCCCTGCCGCATCGGGCGTGGAGATGAGGTAAAGATGGTGTTTGTGCTTCTCCTGGAGAAAAAGAAGGTGGTTCTATGCTGACTTTGCTAACTCTGCCGATACTGCTGACTCTACTGGAATGAATGAGGCGTCGCGTACTGGTTCTGCCACTATCTCCAAACTAGGCCTGGCTTTGGCCGACTTGCTGCTCTCTGCTGCTGATGCTGCTGTTGATGCTGCTTCTACATACAAACCTGGTCCAGACGACTTTCAGCCCATAAAGGTTTTGGGGAAGGGCTCCTTTGGAAAGGTTTTGCTAGTTCGTGAGAAACTCACTGGGAGGCTTTTTGCTCAGAAACAGCTCAAGAAGAGCATCATTCTTGATAACTCCAAAAACGTTGAGCGAATCATCAATGAAAATGAAATCTTGAAAAAAATAAGCAACCTAAATGACAACATCAATAACAATGACTACAACCCATTTCTTGTCAAGCTATACTATACGTTCCAGGACTCCACTAAAATCTACTTTATTTTGGAATATCTACAAGGTGGTGAGTTGTTTAGCCATTTGCAAAAACAAAGAATCTTGAGTGAAAGAAATGCTAGTTTCTATGTTGCTGAGATGTTGCTTGCTTTGATCCACTTGCACCAAAAAATTGGAATTGTTTACAGAGACTTGAAACCTGAAAACTGTCTTCTCAATCAAAATGGCCATCTAGTCTTGACTGATTTTGGTCTCTCCAAATTCATCAACGAGAACACTGCCGGTGCTCATTCCAGCGATAAATGCAACACTCTTACTGGCACCCCTCAGTACATGGCTCCAGAGATACTTATGGGAAAGCCTTACGATAACTCTGTTGATTACTGGTCCTTGGGATGTGTGGTCTATGATCTTCTCACTGGTTCTCCTCCCTTTCTCGGCAACAACAATAAGAAGATTATCGACAAAGTCATCAAATCCAAAAAAATAAAATATCCCTTCTACTTGTCACTCGATGCGAAGGACCTTCTCAGCAAATTATTGCAGAAAAACCCTACAAAGAGAATGAACGATACGAAGATCGATCAGTTAAAAAAACATCGCTTTTTTAGGTACATTGATTGGAACATCATCGAAAACAACCACCTTTCCTTGACACCCCCTATTGTTCCTATTATCACTGACCCCATTCTTGCTGAAAACTTTGATTCTCTGTTCACACAAATGCTGCTTTCCCTCACTGTCCCTTCCTCCACCTCTCCCTCCAACGGCTCAAACAATATTGCAATGGTTCTCGACGGCTACAACAACCCCCAAAGCGACCCCGACAACCCATTTGATAGGCCCATGCACTTTCGCAACTTCTCCTACACCACAGACAACTACTTGGACTAGAGCTGATTTTGCTGCCAAAACTATAAACAATATTTCTCCATAAAACTTATAAAACTCATAAAATCCACAACATCAGAGCCTGCGAACACATGCGAACACATGCAGAACCCTGCTGAAATACTGTTAGATGGGCATATGTTACCCGGTGCGTTTCCTCTTTCTCTTTTAGGTTCCAGATATACTCAGCTTTTTTATTCTAAATTCTAGATACATCTTTTCATAAATAACCATTTCATAAATAATCCCTTATATAGACCAATCAATCTTTTTTCCATCTATTTTACGTCTTTTGCACCACTCCACCGCAGCAAAATAGATGTTTGTTTGCCATGTCTACCATATTTGGCTCTACAACAACTGCTTCATCCTCAAATAACAACGCTAAAGCCTTAGCAAAATATAGAAAAAGACTAGATTTAAAAAATAAAAACAATAACCAGAATAACACTCAGAATTTCAACGGCAACACCAATAATAATAAACTGATTAACAATCAAAATTCAAATAACAATATAAATAGTTTACAGTCTATAATCACAAATAACCTAAATTCCCATGAAAATTCAACTCATAATAAACCTATCAATCTTAATTCAAATCCCAACAACACCTCAAATATTACTAAAAACAACCATATAATAACTCCCATAACACCAACAAAATCTCTTATTGTTTCCTCAAATTCAACTTGGGACCTTGAAAAAACCTTGCAAAATTTTAATGAAAATGGCTCATTACCTCCAATATTATCTCCAACTTTACCCCCTTGGACTAAAAATATATTAGATATCCCTGATGATGATATCAGTGGCAGAAATAACCATAAAAAATCTTTGTCTAACAATTTCAGCAGAAATGTCAACCATAATAACAACAATGAAAAGAGAAAACTACGAAAAATAAGCTCAAAATTGAAATTATCTATAAACCCAAACCAAAATGACATATCGGATTCTGATGATGACGATTTACCTAAAATTTTATCTCCAACTATTCCTTCTATATTTAATTCTCCGAACAATAATAATGCAAATAACTTTACTCTTAATAACAATAATAATTCAAATAATAATATTATTCATCCTCTACCTAAAAAGATAATAAAAGTTTCCAATCTGGAAAACAATCTAATAAATTTTAATAACATTCCAAATACTAAAATAAATAAAAATAAATACGTCTTAAATATTCATAATAGATCTTTAAAAGTAATACTATATATACCCCCTTCAAAATTATCAACAATAAAAAATAAAATCTCTACTAAATTGAATAACAATACAGACCAAGAGTCAAAAAAACCCTTACCTTCAACAAAAAAATTATCCTCCTTTAAAAACTTAAAACAATCAATTTCAAAACAACTTCAACCTCAATCTCAGTCTCAGTCTCAGTCTCAATTCCAATCTCAACTGCAAAAACGTAAACTTTCAATTTCACAATCTAATCTCAATAATATATCAAATAATAATTCTTTTGATACTAATAATAATGATAACAAAAATATTGGAATTAAATCCGGTTTATTATCCCCAATTCATATAAATTCAGTCAGAGAAAATAATAACAATAGCAAAAGCAATGCTATTAATAATACTCTTAACAATAGTCTTAATATTAAAGACAAAGAGAAATCTACTGATAAATTTATTGACAAGTCTATAGAAAAATCTAAAGACATGAAACAAAAAGAAAGACTTAAACCAAAAATAATTGAAAAGGAAAAAGAAAAAGAAAAAGAAAGAGAAAATTTGATTTTAAAAGAAAATACAAAGGATAGACAAAGGGAAAAAATAAAAGATAAACCAAAGGAAAAATTTAAAGAAAGAGTAAAAGAGCAACCAAAGGAAAAATCTAAAGAAAAACCTAAAGATCAATCCAAGGATATATCCAAAGAAAGATATAAAGAAAACCCCAAAGAAAGAGAGTTTTCTTATCCAAATCCAAACTTGACTCCAAACATAAATAATAATCTTAGAAACATTACTGCTGTTAGTTCTCCAACTAACTCGATCTCATCAGTTTCAAGAGGAGAAAGAAATTTTGAAAATAAAGATTCAACTCGTAGTATTTTATTAAATAAAAAAAAATATTGGTTTGAAAAGGCAAAACAAAAAAAAGCAGAAGTTGACAGAATTAAAACCGCATTACCTCCAAACAACAAAAACTTTCTATTATTTATATCATCTAGTTTAGATGTTATATTAACTTATATAATAGCTTATAATTATGATGAAAGAGCTCTAAATTTTGAAAAAAGATTACCAAGCGAAAAAAACTGGAAATCATTACCACTTCTTATTGATGGAATTATTCAATTTATTAAATCAAAAAGAGATATTATTCACCCTAGAATTTTGGGCCTTTGTTACCAAATTAAATCTGCGATACTTGAACATATGAGATGTTTAATTTCACAAAGAACAACTAGATTGGTTAAAAGACAAGAAGAATTGAGAAATATTAAACAAAGAAGAAGTGAGGAAAAAGAAGAACTTGAAGAGATCAATGATAAGTTTATAAGCTTAATGCCAATTTTGTTATCATACTCAAACAGTTCTAAAAAATATTTGTTATTGGGTGAAGAGTTTTTAAGTTTCAAGCTTTTAGAAACAACATTTCCTCGAACATTTTCTCGAAACTTAAATTTTCAATCTCAATATTTTAAACATATTCAAGTTTTAAAATTTAATGGTAAAAATACTATTAGCATGATTGATTTTTTTGACAATAAAAATAATGATGGTAATCAAAATCCTCCTGATGATTATTTTTATTTACCATTTAATAATTATTTGAGCTTACAGCAAGTTTGTGCTTATTCTTATTCCATAATTAATGAATGGGTTCAATTAGAGAACATAACGAATTTCAATTGGTCTTTTGATAATAAAAGAAATAGTTGATAATAAAAGGTTTTTGGTTTTGTTTATAAAATTATTTTATTCTTTTTATTTTTTGTTTTTATTTGTTGGTTTATTTCTATATTTATTTTTTTGAAGAGATCACTTTTTTTTTGAAAAGCCTGTTGCTAAAGGTTTATTATCTTATTTTTATTTTTATTTTCATTTTCATTTTCGTTTTCATTATTTTTTTTTTGTTTGATTATACATACAGTGATGATGGTTTCGATATTCATGTTTAGTTTTATTTTCTATGATTTCTCATTTAATAATTTTGATAGTTTGATACATATTTAATTGATTCTTTTGTATTCTGTACAAATCATGTATTGTTAGTTTAAAAGTGTCTGTTTTGTTTTAGGTTTTTTGGCTTTGAATAGTTGATTAGAAAATTTTGATAGCTCTTGATAATTTTTTTTTAAATATTCTATTAATACTATTAAGTAATAAGATTTTAAAGTGGTTTTTGTACTATAGTAATGAAATATATAAGTATGTATTTATTGAATAATAATAATAATAATAATAATAAAAGGCCAAGGAAAACGAATATATGATGAATGAGACAAGATTAAAGTTGAATTTAAAAAATATAAGGATATATATTTAATATAATTAAAAGTAAAGATAAAAAGCATTAAAAGAAAAGAAAAAAATCAAATTAGATCAGATCAGATCAGATCAGATCAGAAAAAATAAGGCAAGATAAAATTAAATAAAATAAAACATTAGAAGCGTAACAATATATATAAGGATATAAATAAAAAACATTACACAATCGGTAAAAAGAAAGATGTAACAAAAAAAAACCAAAATAAAAAAAAGGATATGACCAATAATATAATGAAAGAAGAAAGATAATGAAAAATTTAACGTATAATCAAGAAAAATATAAAAAAGAGAAAAAAACAAAAATTATAAAGATTATAAAATTTATAAAAATGTTTGAAAACTATAAAGATATAACAAAAAAAAATAACATCATTAATAAAAATTTTTCATATCCATTGATATTTCATTATACCAATATTCATTTGGGTTCTGATTTTGGTTTTGGTTGTGGTTCTGATTTTGATTTTGATTTTGAATTGGGTTTATATTTTGATTTGGCATTAAATTTGAATTTGAATATGAGTTTGAGGCTGAATTTTGGTTATTTTGGTTAAGTTGGTTCAAATTTAAATTTAAATTTTGATTGTTTGAAAATTTAGATTGGTTCGAGTCATTAAAAGCATCAAATGCGAAAGCAGATAGTAAATCTTCGTTTTGAGGATTGATGTTAATAGAATCAAGACCATTATTGTTGAGCATGTTATTGTTATTAACGTTGCTATTGTTACTGTTATTATTGATATTATGGTTGTTATTGTTATTGTTGCTGCTATTTAAATCTAAATTTGGGATTGGCAAATCCTTTAGTTCTTTAATTTTAGCCACAATATCCAATTCTCTTTCTTTCTGACTTTTCATGACATGATGTAAATGGTTGATGTAATCTACGGTTTTATTTAGGATTATCGCTTTATTTGGTTTAATTTCTTTGCCATTATCATCGTAGGCTAATAGAGACTTTGGTACTAAGGTACTCAATTCTTTGATTCTGAATTTGATATTATCTCTTCTTTTTCTTTCGACGGCATTATGAAATTCCCTTCTCCTTCTTAATTTCTCCTCTTTAGTTAGGGGTTGTTTTTGTTGTAAAGAGGAAGATCTTATTGAAAGTGAGTTAGTAGCAGGGGACCTTAAAGTTGGAGATTTTAAGGCGTCAAAAGAGGAGGGATCAGGATATGGAGAATGAACATCTAAAGAGCCGCCGTAAGAGGAGGGAGATAGGATGTTGTTTGTGATTGAGTTGTTGTTGTTGTTGTTGTTATTGTTGTTATTAAAATAAGATAGTTTGTTTTGAGGATTAGCATTGAAGTTGATGTTGATGTTTTTAGAGTCATGGGGAGGCGATAAGTAATTAAAGTACATGTCAGATAAGTTATTTGGGTTGTTGATGACAGGATGAGGGCTTTGATAGCTATTGAAGTTTTGATTATTGTTGTTGTTATTTTTGTTTTGATTGTTAAAATTAAATTGAATAGGAATTGAGGGAGAATTGTTTGAATTTAAGTTATTAAAATGGCTATTAATGTTATTGCCATTATTGTTATTATTGGCGCTGTTATTATTATCATTTGAGTTGATTGTAGTTAAGCCAAAATTATCAAAATCATCCAACTGGTTCAAATTTTGAAAATTATTATGGAAATTGTTGTTTTGGTTAAAATTATTGTTGACGTGGTTTTGGTTAAAAGATTGAGGGTTAATTTGAGGAGAATTTAACGAGTAGTTTATAGGCAAGTCCAGCAAGTTGTTGGAAATGGGATTGAACTGAGGAGATAAGAGGTTGTTGAAGTTGTTGTAATTATTTGGATTGTTGGGATTCATGTTGTTGCTGGGAGAGGTTTTGGCGTTGGTGTTGGTGGTGTTGGGAATATTGGCGTTCCTGTTGGTGCTGTTGCTGCGTTGAAGATGATGGGGAATCTGGTTCAAGCCAGCAAAGTCAAAGGGCGACTGTATAGGAGAAAAATGGTTGTTGTTCATGGAAAACAGCAAAATGAATATGCGAAAGAAAACGTAGACAGTGGTGTCAAAGACTGGATATGATTAAACAGACTCTCTCTGTTTGTCGTTGGTGGATTGCACTGTTTTATCTGATTGCACAGTTCTAATTATACTCTTTTGATTATGCTCTTCTGATTATATTCCCACATCCAGAAACGGAAAACCGTCTCTCCCACCGCGTCACGTGAGATAAGCACGTGGTTTACACCCGCCACACACCCCACGTGGATGACAGAGCGAGATGTCTACATTGCGCGCAAGATAATTGCTTTGCGCGTGGCGCGTCTGCACACAGCACACTTGCAGAATCTCTGCGGTTAACGCGCAGCCGCACGCGTCAACGGAAACTGTCCGTCAGTGCGACGGACTTTGTGCGAAAAGAGTCCGTGCGGAGAGTAGAGGGGAGTGTGTAATAGCGGTATAAAAGCGGTATAAAAGCGCGACACAAGCGCAAAACAGCGCTGGACTAATTAAATTGCTGATTATATCTTTAAACATCTCTTTCATCTTCTTTATCATCTCTGTCGTCTCTATCTTCATTCCAATCTCAATGTCCTGTATTTCGAGTGCTGCTTGCATCTTTTGCAAAATCATTAAGGGAGAAATTCCTTCCTTCAAGTTAATTGAAACCAAATATGCCTATTCTTTTCTCGACATCGAGCCTTGTTCTAAGGGCCATGCTTTAGTTATCCCCAAATATCATGGTGCTAAATTACACAATTTACCTGATGAATATCTACATGATGTTCTCCCCATCTTAAAGAAACTTGCGATTGCCTTAGAATATAACATTGACTCTCCTGAGGGCAAGTCCTACAACATTTTACAAAACAATGGTAGATTGGGACATCAAGTCGTTGACCATGTTCATTTCCATTTAATTCCAAAGAATACTGAAAAAGATGGTTTAATAGTCGGTTGGCCTGCTGAAAAGGCTAATTTTGATGATTTATCTTTGTTACATAAGGAATTGTTGAAAAAATTAGAAGATTAGAATATCTAGAAGTGTGAAGTTTATAACAAAATAAAATCAAAAAATTAGATAATTAAATTTGATAACTAAATTATCAATTTTTTCTTTGAATAAACAATCAAATATATAAACATATATAAATATATAAATATATAAATATATAAATATAATGAATTAATTTGAATTATGATGAAATGAATTGAATTGAATTGAACTAAAACGAAATGACCTAAAAGATTAAACAGTAAAACAATAAAACAGTAATTTAACTAAAATTAAAACAATTAATGGAATGCAACATTAAAACTTAAACTTAACAATAGAACTTAACAATAAAACAATAAACAGTATTAAGCAAATAAAAAAAGCAAACAAAAAGCAAACAAAAAGAAGCAAGAACAAAAAAAAAAAAAAACAGACAGACAGACAATTAACTAATTAATTAATCAATTCTATTCCAAAACAAAAAAAAAATGAATATAAATATTATCTAGAAATGCAAATTTCTTTTAGCTTATTTGCAAACTTGAAATGGATGTATAAATCTCTCTCTCAAGGGCGTGATATTTCCATTTATAAATGATGAGTTACTCCCATTATTAATACTATCAACCAAATTATTATGAGTGCCAACACTACTAACATCTTTGGGAGTAATATTGTTATTCAATTTAGAGAAAGATCTCTTGACTTTTAATGACTTCTCTTTAAATTGAAATATTGGACTTAAAAATATTGATGTAACGGATTTATTACTATTATTTGTACTACTATTATCATTATATTCCTTTGATAATGGTGACTTGCTCTTTAATGGCGATTTAAAATGCTTTAAAATCGGTGCCTCAAATTCTTTCAATTGTTTAATATCATATTTATTATAGCAATCATTTTTGAATTGGTTGCTATACCCACTCTTAATACTATTATTATTGCTACTAATTATAGTACTACTATGTGAATTTTCCTTAGTCAATGGTGATACCGTTAAATTGTTATTGTTATTGTTATTGTTATTGTTGTGGTTATTAGTATAGGTGTAATTATCTTTACAACTTTCTTTATTATAGTAATATTTTGGTGAAACATCTTCATTATATGATACTTGAGAATAACTTGAATCGTTTGAGCAGTTTGATGTAGATCTTTCAATTATCATTGAATTTATAGAACTACCAGTTGAGCCATATTTAATTGGGCTCTTTATGGATAAATTTACAGATTTATTGGATTTATTTGATATAGCTGGAGACAATGAGGAGCTAATTAGATTGCGTTTTTGAATGATTTGTGAAGGCAATGGTGGTGGTAATAGGTTAAAATTTCTCAATGAACCCATTGACGCTGAGTATCGAACTGATTTATTATTGTTGGTGGATGTGATACTGTTATTGCTGGGAGTGATATTTATGTAGTTGTTTATATGGTTATTTATATGGTTATTTATATGGTTGTTTATATGGTTATTATTCAAGTCTTCGTATGATTTGGAATTTGTATTTTTCAATTTTCTTTTTATGAATTCTTCATTTTTAATCTTTAAATGATTTTTAATTGGAGATAGAAATGGGGCTAAAACATTGTATAGATCTTGAATGCTTATGACTAAATTCCAATCTAAATAGGTTAAGATTTCGATTTCGATTATGTTGATTTCCTTTATGGTTAAGAAGCCTTCAGTGTATTTGCACCAATGTTTATTTAGTGGTGAAGAATCATTTAGAAACTTTGCAGCTAAAATGAGACAGCCAATGAATAAGCGATGAGGAGTTGTATTATTTCCATAGACCTCACTGTAAGGTAGTATATTTCTTAGTCTTATGAGGTAAACTAAAGAGGACATTAGGGTTGGCACTTGGACATTTGAATGTTTGATTAATTTTTGAATAAAGAATTTGAGAGAGATCTTTAGGGAGGATTTGAAGGGCAATTTGTCCAAGTTATCAGTTGGAGATGGTGGAGGAGATGGATATATGTTGTTGTTATTAGCATAGGGATTGGAGTTGATTTTGTTGTTGATTTTGTTATTGATTTTGGCTGTGTTATTGTTATTGATTTTATTGAGGTAGTTGAGGTTATATTGGGGTTGAATTGGGCTTTGTCTTATAGGTATTATTGATAGGGCAGTTGTTGCGAGGTAATCTATCATTTCAGAAGAGACATGTCTTCTTAAAAAGTAGTTAAGAGCAGTTCTATCAGACATGGTGAGGGAAAGAAGGAGGAAGAAAAACAATGAGAATATGAGATAGTGAATAATGAATATGATAAGATATGATAAGAATAAAATCAGAGTGAATAGATTTTGGATAAGATTGAATGAAAAGTATAAAAAAAAAAAAGAAAAAAAAGAGGATGAAGGAGGATGAAAAAGGAAGGAATTAAAAATAAATAAGAAAAGTAAGGAAATCAAGGAAATTAAAGTGATTTGATGAATAAGAAACGTATTTATAATAAAGGAATAAATGAACAAGTCAAAGAGGTAAACAAATAAGGAAAGCAGATGTAAAGTAATAATAGCAGTTAATTAATTGTATAAAAGCAATATGATTAAGAACTAAATTAAAGCAGTATCAAGTTGAAGATATTTGTTTATGAAATGTTAATCTAATGTCAACGTTATGAGAAATAGAATTTAAATTTGAACTAAATTAAGATAATCAAAAAATGATCAAAGGAAAATATAAAAGAAAATTTAAAAGAAATTTTCAAAGAAATCTTAAAAGAAATTTTCAAAGAAATCTTAAAAGAGATTTTAAAAGAAATTTTAAATATAATTTGGAAAACGTTTATGATAAAATATTAATAGTATTGTGATAACAGGATTTCTGATTTTTGTTTTTTTTCTGTTTTAATATAATATTAGGATATAATATTGAGATGTTGAAGGTTGAGCAAAAAAAAGATCTACCATTAAGAAAAATAATAAGTTTAATAAAATGACTTAATTTAGTAATTAGGAAATGAGGAAGGTTCCTGGTAACCTGATCCCAGTGTTGGCCCAGCTGGAGACGAGCAGTGGAGCAAGAGGTAAGAGAGTGCTATGATGGGAATGATTATCAGTCAATCTATGACCAAACGTGTAAAAGGTTGAGTTAGGAAAGTGCTGGAGTTTTCACAACAATGGAGCAGTTTTGATGGCAGCAGTGATAGCAGCCCAGATTAGGACAGAAAGAAGAGGAAAGCAGAACAAAGCCAGTTGGACTATGACCTAGTGAGACGATACTGGAATCAGGCAGCCTTATATAACCAGCAGAATGAAGAAGCCCCAACCCAGGAGCAGGAGCAGGAGAAGCAAGTGCTCTAGTTGCGTGGGTATTTATATCAGGACTTTATTAATAGACAGTAGCAGTAGCCAGACCTGACTCTTGACTGGCAATGCTGTGCTCAGCTTGAGCTTAGCCAGAGACATCGCTATCAGCTCTCAGAGAATTGGACTCGCATTTAGGTTCAAGCTAACCATCACAGAGCACTTGAAGGGTTGGGCGTGCTTCCTCTGCTGCCGGTGCTGCTGCTGCCTCTGGCCTGCTGGCCCGTGTTGTCTATGGTCCCTTTGCCACTCCTGCCACTCCTGCCGCTGCTGCTGCTGCTGCTGCTCCTTCTTCCCAAGCTCCTGCCCTCGCAATGTTAGCAAACCTGCTGTAACGTTTCTGCAAATTGCCTGTAAATTAGCTGTAAATTCCAAAATCCTAATCTTAACCAGTCCTGATCAGTCCAGCTGTTTATAGTTCCATAGTCCTATGGTGACTTGGTTTGAGGAAATTGCAGGCACAACTTTTCACTTTTAGGTCAGTTTTAAGGACTGGAGCATTACGTTTCGAGTAATTCACGATCAAACACCAGCTCTTGAACGCAACCAGATGTTAGAGTTTCTCTTATATGCTATGTTCAAATCTAAATAATCCAACTACTTCTGTTTTTTCATGTTAATTCACTTTATTTTATTTTACTTTATTTTGTTTTATTTTATTTTACTTTATTTTGTTTTATTTTGTTTTATTTTATTTTATTCTATTCTATTCTATTCTATTCTGCTCGTTTTCCTGGATTTCGCTAGTAATGACATGTTTAAATGAGGGAAATTAATCGATTTTCTTTTCTTTTTCTGTTTTTCTTTTTTTTGTTTGGTTATATCCGAAATCATCTTCGTGTAACTACACTATATACCACTGTTGCTTGGTTAACTTCGCTGTTTGCACTATCAGCACTATCAGCTTACTGGTTCTACGCATTAATCCTCTTGTTCATTGCTTATGGAGCATTGGTACATTCCCAATCGCTGGGCTCATAAGCATTTGGCTGGTCAATTTCCCTAACTTCCTCTGGACTTAATTCAAAGCCGAATACATCCAAATTGCTCTCCAATCTTTCAATCTTGGATGTCTTTGGGAGTGGGATATTTCCATGTTGTAAACTCCATCTAACCAATACTTGAGTCGTGGAAACATTGTGCTTTCTCGCAATTTTCACCAACGTTTTGTCCTTAAATCTACCCCCATGGTTTAACGGAGCATACGCTTCCACTAATATATCTTGACTTCTACAAAAATCTGCCAACTCCTGTCTCATAATCCAGGGAGAAATCTCAATTTGATTAACAGCTGGTTTGTATTTTAGCTTATCCCATCTCAACAACTCTTCAATATGCCTGGCCCCATAATTACTGATTCCAATACTCTTCACGATTCCTTCATCCACTGCCTCTTGCATTGCTCTCCAGGTCTCTAGCCGCTCTTTAGGACCACATAATGGTGAGTGAATCAACAACAAATCAATATATCCCAACCTCTCTACTCTTTTATAACACCTTTTAATTGCCCTCTTAGCGTTGTGATACCCACACTCATCGTTCCACAATTTCGTAGTATAAAACACCTCTTGTCTCTTGTTTGCAGATGGATTCTCATCAATCCACTTGAGGATTCCCTCACTAACCTCCTTCTCATTATCATACAACACTGCTGAGTCGAAATGCCTATATCCAACCTTCAATGCGTTGTAAACAACTTCACTGGCAATATTATTGGGAATTGCCCACGTTCCTAACCCAACGGTTGGAATATAGTGTCCTGATGATAATTTGGCTAATTTTGGAACTTGAAATGACATTTTTATAATCACTACCAATCTCAATTACTACTAGATTCAATTAAATTGATAATTTAATTAATTAATTATTTATTTATTTATTTATTTATTTCTTTATTTCTTTATCTCTTGTCTACAATAAACTACAACTACAAAGCAATCTCAAATTAGGGAGCAAATCTTATATAACACTCCCTCCCTTTTCCCTTATCAAATGAAAAAATCGCATTTAATTCGCTCTTTTCTTTCCCGCTAAAGATTCGAACCCGGCTCGAGTCAATTCTTACATTCTCATTCCTTCATCTGATCGATTTCTTTCAAAATAAAATGTCCTTCAACAAATCAAAAAAAAAACATAAAATTAACAAAGAAATTTACCTTCTTATAAATAAATTATTGTCTTTTATTTCTCCTTGCCTTGCTACTGTTTGAAACATCAACCACCCACTCACTATTTTCATAACCAACTGCAATTGACCATAATAACAACACAGAACACCAGAGCACTTCTAACATTAAATCCACACAATGTTTCAAATAATCTGTTTTTTCAATTGTCCTTTCAAATGTTGTCCAAAAACATGAGTTGGTTTTGTTGATGTTGCTTTATTCAAATTAGGATATCAATTTCAACTAATTCTAATGTTGTAAAACCAAATCTCGTTTTTCCTTAGTATGGTCTTTTTTTAAAAAGTCGATCACCTTATTAGTCTAAATTTTATATGAATTTTATATGAATTTTCTTCTTGTTTTCAAAAATCCCTTTATAGAGACCAAAAGACACATATTCTGCATTAACAATAAGACCTTTTGTTTTATCTCAAAACTTTGTTTCTATGGAAATTCAATCTGTATCTAATCTGATGATTGTATTTGCAATGATGATTAAACTTTATTTATTTTACTTCGATTTTATTCAATTCGTTTTTTTCAAATGAAATTAGAAGATTCCATGGAAGATGGGAAAGAGAAAAATAAAAAAATAGAAATAAAAAATGAAATTTTATTCCATCGCGAGCAACCATAAAACAGAAAATCCTGAGATGAATAGATTAAAAAATTAAAAAAAATGAAATTCAATTGATATTTAATGTTTAATTTTATTCTTATTCACTTCGAAATTCGAATTCACTTTCTTTTAGTGAAGGGGCCGAAAAATGAAGTTAAAAAAAATAAAAAACGAGAAAAAAATAATCAATTTGAACCAACTTTGTGGGTTTATGCAATTGTACGCTTTTGTGATTTTATCTACTGTGGTATGCATCTGAAAGCTTATTTGTATCGAGTGTAGGATTAACATATCAATAGGATTATTATTTTGTTGTGTTATAATTGTACACTATCCTTGACATTTCTAAAGAACTCATAGATTATCTATATATACTCTATATAAATGGTGAATAAAAAAAAAAATAAAGCGTTTAATTGGTCGTTAGTTTAATTCATGCAAAAGATGTTATTTGTTGATAACCCCATATTTCTTTTTATCGTATCTAGAAGTTCTTCATTGCTTGGGTATTTTGAAATTGTTATCACTTGGTTATTTTTATTGAATTCTAACTTGCTGTCACTTTTTATGGTTTTGTTGGTTTTTTTTAAATTTTTTATGTTATAATCAATAATAAAATCGTCTATTATTAAAGTATCTTCCATTCTACTGACTTGAATTGGAAATTTAGCAAAACTTTTATTTTTAAGAAGATTGTTCAAAGAGTCAACATTTTCATTGTTCTTTGTTATTTTATTCTCATTACTGTTGTTATAGAAATTGTTAAAATTAGTAATGTTGTTGTTATTATTATCTATAATATTGATGTCAATATTTTTTTTAAGTTTTAAGGATGAGGAACTTTTCTGTTTTGAGGAATATATAAGGGTTGCTCTTTTGAGACTTTTTTTAAATTTTGATGGCGATGGTTTTTCCTCATTGCTATTGTTAGTTTTATTTGTATCACTGTTAACAATTGTGTTGTTAGAAAATATAGAATAGTTGGTATTTGATTCATCAGAAGTGTATGATTTAGTTGATTTAGTTGATGGGATAGATTTACTGGATGAGATGGATGTCGTGGATTTGGTTTGTTTGATTGATTTTCTTTTTAAAGAAAAGGAATCTTTTAAAGAATTAGATAATGATGTTGATAAAGAATTTGAATGAGAGTGTTTCCTTTGATTGATATTATTATTTGAATTAATGTTTTTTTGAGAATTATTGGTTACTGAAGAGTATATTGAAGAATAACTATTGGGGCTTTTGGTAGATGGAAAAGAAGAAAAGATTTTAAAATCGTTATTGATTATATTGTAAGAGTTATCCAATTGAGAATCAGGGGAATCGAAGTTTAGAATATTATATAATTCAGATTCAATTAAACTTGTATCACTATTTTCATTGTCATTATCATTATTATTATTATTATCATCATTATCATCATTATCATCATTACTGTCCTTACTATTCTTATTATTGTTCTTTGTAGTATTTTCATGAATATAGTTAAAACTATCATCAATCAAACCAGAAAACTCTTTTACATTTCTAGACAAGCTATCCTTTGAGGTATTTATAAAAGAAGAAAAATCCAACTTTAAATTTGGTCTTGGTTGATTCATTTTGAGTGATCAATATAATGTATTGTGGTGGTAATTTAGTTCAGTTTTTAAAATTGTGATTGTGTAGTTTTTAATATGAGTTATGAGGTTTTTTCAAAATAAATGAAATTAATCATGGGATGAAAGATGGATTTATATAAGAAAATGTATATATTTAAATATGCTCAATTCAAGATACAAATCTAAATGAAACACAAAAGATTAATATGGCTATGAACATGAATCTAAAAGAAGAATTAAATAAAGAATTAAATGAGAATTAAACTCAACTAGAAATAAGATTTGCAACAAGTATTTAAATAATGCACTTCCAAATTAATTTTTCCAGTGTATCCCCAAATTAAAATAAGAAGCTACTATTTAGGTGAAGGGTCTTGTCTGGTTGTTCAAATTTTAATGGTGGTCGTAGTATTTTCTTTTTAAAATCAATATTAAAAACAAAATCTGGAACTCAAACTCCAATTCAAACCCCAATTCAAACTGAAAGATTTTACATGTTTTACATATTTTATTAACTGTATTGTACTATCAGTGTACAATATTTTGCTTTATTGTGTTTGAGAAGTTTTAGTATTTTAAAAAAAAGCAGTCAAACATTAAATACGGATAAATTTGAGATAATATGAATATAGATGAATAAAATTTAAACAAATGGTGGATACTTAGAAGATGCATACAATATATATATATATATAAAGACAAAAGGTTACATTGGTATAACGTTCATGGAAAAATAGAAAGATACATGAGATAATAACAAAAAGAGTTGACTTGGCTGTTAAAGCCAATACGAATCAGGGAAAAAAAAGAGAAAAAAAGAAAATAACAAAATGATACTATTCAAACAAAAAAAAGTAATATAATAAAAAGAAAAACAAGTGCAGATTAAAATTGAATGCAAAAAAGAAATAGATAAATATATAAAACAAACAGTGCTTCTCAAACCAAAAAAAGCGAAAAGTAGGTTTAAAGTTTGGAGCTGCAGTCAGAGACCAGCTGTAGGGATGGCACCTTGTACTTACTGAAAAGAGCAAATTCAGCACGTGAGGAAGTGAGGAAGAAAAAAGGAAACCAGAAAAAAAAAAAGAGGAGGGTAAGAAGCCTGGGATGGATAGACACAAAAGGAGCGTTGGGGATGCTGTGTATTCTCTTCGACTCCAACATATTTTCCACTTCCCGCCACTAAACCTAGGACTAATGCGGTGCTGCTGCGTGCCGGCAGTGTCGCGGTATTAACTCCTGCACGCGCGGGAAGGAGAGCAACGGATCCTTTAATAATCCAGCTGTGTGCAGGGAGGCTGTGGCCTTTCCAAACCAAGCAGCTGGTTCGCTTTAGGAGCACATCACGCGCTTTTCGCGGCGGGCCTCGCGCGGCCTATGTCGGCGCCAGAATGGCCAAAGCCGGCCGCGGCCCGGGCCAGCTCCGGCGGCAGAAGCAGCAGAGGCAGCAGAAGCAGCGACCGAAACAGCAGCACCAACCCCACCAACAGCCCCTGCGACGCCTGCTGACTGCCGAATTTTCTCTTCCTTCTCTCTCCTTCCTCTCTGCTTCTTCTCTTCGCTTCCCTCCCCGTCGCTTGAAGCCTGCATACTTAAACTCACCAGATACCTTCCTCCCTCCTAACCTCAGTCACAACCATCACAACCATCACCACCTTCAACAGACGCCATGAAACTATCGATATCTGCTCCCATTTCCAATCTCTCCAACAATCAGATCCTCAACAAAAGTGTCGTTGACAACTCCTCCACCTCCTCGCTTGCCTCTGCCTCCCCTGTTCTTCTCCTAGTCAACTATAACTTCACTGCTCAGAATCCAAAGGAATTGTCTGTCAAATCTGGCGAAATCCTCAAGCTAATCTCTGATATTGATAATGATTGGTGTTTGGTCAAACCAATTGGAAGATTAGGTGGTCCTGGTTTAATTCCAAAATCCTATGTCAAATCAATCTCCATTCAATCTTTAGATCTCACCAACCCTAATTCTACTAATAATAATACCATCACCCAAAGTAACAACTACAGTTACAACTACTCAAAGAAAAAAAAATCCACTTCATCAAACAGCATAGAAAGTGATGTATCCTCAACCCTATCAACCTCTGATAGTATTCTCAGTTTAAATCAAACCAATAGGACTTCAAATTCAACCACATCCTCAATCAATAACCCCACTAATTCTACAAATCCTATTAATAAAAACAGCAATAACAATAATAACAATAACGTTATTCATCGTTCTTACCCAATCAAAATTACCATTTCAAATCTTTTAGTCCAAAAGAATAGCTTCTTTTACATAATTGGCATCCTGCTAAATAATAACTCAAAAAGATTCATATCTCGTAGTTACAATGATTTTCATGACTTACACCTTCAGTTCATCCATTCTTTAAACAATATCCCCAATTTAAATAATTTCCAGTTACCACAATTTCCCCAACTACCTCAACTCCTTCAATCTCCTTCTTACTCCCCTTCTAATGCTTCTATTCCTTCTTCAAACCCAAAGGCCCTATTTGATCTAATCCAGCCCTTGAATTCCTATTTAAACAAAATCTTTTCTCAAGATAAATTAGCTAAATCAATCAACAAAATCCTTTTCGATTGGTTATCTCCACTATCAAATGATCTAGAAATTGATACCAATCACCCTTTATATTTTGATTCAAATTCTTATTTCTCTTTATCAAAAATTATTGATATGATTGCACCTTCTTCATCTATTTTTAATCCTAACAATAACATCCCAAATTTTCAAAAACCTTTACCTTCTTTACCTCCATCTCAATCTCAATCCCAATCTCAGTCCCAATCTCAGTCTCCATCTCCATCTCACTCTCCATCACAATTTTACAATCACCATAATAGCAATATTACTACCATTAAAAGTACAACTCTATACGCCCAAGCCCAAAAATCTCTCTCTTCTCCAATGCTATCCCATTTTAACCTACCTAAACCAAGCAATATCCCTTCAAATCATCTGCACTATAATCAAAATCAAAATCAAAACCAAAATAACTATAACAATTATAACACTCATAATAATCTTACCCCAAATTTACAACATTATTCTAACCATTCTAATAATGGTTCACTTAATTCATCCCCAACCGAAAAAAAATTTCACCACCTGTTGAAAAAAATCTTTAGTCAACAAAAAAATCAAGTTCAAATTCAAATTCAACAAAACTCTCTTGAATCTCTTCCTCTTCCAAATTCCGTTCCTCAAATTCCATCTCAGCCTCGCTCTCACTCTTACTCGAATTCTCACTCAAATTATCAACCTGATTTTCAACTGCCCACAAACGATCCTCAACACACTTTAAGAATCCCCAAACTTCGAAAGGATTTTTCTCGTTCATCTCCAAATATCCTCAATTTAACCATCTCCTCTTCAAAGGCAAACCACACCAACAACGAAAATAATCTTCTTCTACCAACCGGGTTTTCCCCAATCGCAGCATCCCCATTATCTTCAACTTCTTTTAAACTAAGGCATAGCAGAAATAAATCGTTAAACTCAATTCTCTCAAATAATTCCAATATATCAAGCAATTCAAATCAATCAATTTCTTACCCCCCTCATCATTTGTCTCATAGAGCTTCTTCTTCTTCTTCAACTTCAAAAACCGTCTCTATTCAAACCCCAACTCCTATCTTAGATCAATTTTTAGATTCAATTCATATTCCAAATTCTACTCCCGTTTCTGCTTCTGCTTCTGCCTTTGCTTCCACTTCCAATTTTAATTCAAATTTCAGTTCACACTCACATTCAAATTCTATTTCTACCTCAAATACTTCTCCTCCTCCTCCTCCCTCTCCCCTTCATAAAAAGGACCCAAACTCAATTAAAATTAAAGTATTTTATAACAATGATAATGATATCGTTGCTTTGAAAATTCCAAAGGATTCAACTTTAGATTCATTAACTGAACTTATTAAGAATAAAATCAATACTGACGAAGATATTTCTATATTATACAAAGACATTACTGGTTATTATGCCCCTCTCCAATCTGATAAAGTTTTAATGGCTGCTATTTATGGTGATGATCAAAAAATCTTATTAAAAGTGGAATTTTCCTAATAACTTTTCTAATAAATTTCCTAATTTTTATTTTATTACCTATTTCTCATAATTTTTTTTTTTCAATTCAAACTATCTTTTTTTTTACTTTTATTTTTCAATTTTTTTACTTCTTTTCTTTTCTCTTATTATGTTTTGTGATTATTTGTGTTCGTATTCTTATTCTTACTACTTTATTATTATTTATTATTTATTATTTATTATTTATTATTTATTATTATTCATTATTCATTATTTATTATTATTAGTACTATATTTCTTTGTCTTTTTATCTGGTGGTGATTCAAACTTTGAGCTGTACTTATTTTCTTGGAACTAACTATATCATTTTCTTTTCTTTTGATGTTTAATCAGAGCTATCTTTTACGTTCTAGTCAAAGCTATCTTTCACTTTCTAGCCTGTTTTAGAAATTTTATCAACTACATTGAATTTTGTGTATAGAATATTGTTCTTTTATATTTCAATATATACTTCTACTTTTTAAACTTCAGTTCCCAGATGAAACTGTGACATAGTAATTATCTTCTAGTTGCTATTCTTTTTATATCTTTATGCTTTTTCGAATAACTCATGAAATAGCATACTCTCATTGTTCTATCTCCAGTGAAAGGTTAAGCTTCTTCCGTCTTCTTCAGCTTTTCTCCGATTTGTTTATCTCACAGTGTTGGTGTTATTATTTACCACCATAACCTTGTTCTCACAGCTCTCACAAAGATGTCTTCTATAAGAAGAATTGATGCATGGAGTAACGACTCCTTGGAGTACTTTTTATCTGTTGGTTTTAGTTGCGACGAGATCTCTCTCTTCCAGTCTAACTATTACAATGAGGTAAGCTTTATCCATCTCTTTTTTTTTTATTAAGCAACCCTTTGTTACTGGTTACATTAATGACTAACTTTTTGTTTTGTAGAATGTTTTTGAGGAATTGGAAAGAGTTAATAGGAAAAAGATACCCTCTATATCGTGCTTTGATGGGTCTAGCCAGTTTGGCACAGTTGGAACTGGGCATAATAATGGAACAGTCAAAGTGTTCAGTATGACTTCTAATTATGAAGATACATCATTTAATCAGAATATTCCTAGGACGTGTAATTCGATCTCATTTAATACAAATAATAATATTGCTATAGCTTTAGATAAAACCCGAAGTAATCCCAGTTTATTGGTATACGATATTAAGGATAATAAAAAAAGCGTTTATAATAATCTTATCAACGATGGGGTTTTATCAGTGAAATTTCTCAATAAGATTCCTAATAGATTGCTAACTGGAACACATAACAAGTTATTTCAATACGACATAAGGACACCAAGTTATAGCAAGCCGACATTTGAGATTCGAACGAAATATACTAATGATATAACATTTGATCCATTGATTCCTTACCTTTTTAGCACATCATCGGAGGATGGGCTTGCAATTTGGGATACAAGAAAGATTACAGGGTTGGTTGAATTGAATCCGAGTTTGAATTCGAATTTGAATTCCCATCTGAATTCCAATAATAGTTATGGTTATAGTCATAATCATAATCATAATCATAATCATAATCATAACGGCAATTCAACACAACTTTCTAATGGTGATGCGAATTCTGGTATAAATGCAAATGGCAATTCGAATTCGATTAATGCAAATTTGAGTTTTTTCCATGAGAAAGTCCATGTTTCGAATACTTCATCGTCTACGATAGTTGATTCTAATTCTGGCAATCAAATTTTAAAGCTTGATTTTTCCGGTATGAATGTGGATAAACAACAGAGTTTTTGCTTTAGATATTCGTCTACTAATAAGCTTGAAGTTTCGAGTTTATATCATAAATTTGATTCTGGAAATCAGAAAAAGAGTACAATACGGCGATATTTTCTTTCATTTGCATCGGGTGAAGATAAGACAGGCAAATTGAAGATAGATAAGGGTGTTGATGGCGATAAGAGCAAGAAAAAAATGATTAATATTGAAAAGTTGTATGTTAATAAGGTGTATGATGTGAATGATAGGAATGAGTTGGGGAATTTTATATCGTTTGATTATGCTAGGAATGGGAATTATTACAATTCTACAAGCGTTGTTTGTTTGAAGAGATCTGGAAATGCAATTCGGTATTCGTTGGTTGAAGGGCAAGATTTTTGCAAGTTTTCAGTTCGAAATGATATAATCACGTCGGGGCCATATGGATTGTTTGTTTCTAAGATTATTGAGAGAAATAATAATTATTACCAGAGTATAGTGATTGGAAACGAGAAACGGAAGAAGAAGAATTCGGGTGAAGCGATATTGAACAAATTGAGAAATCTGGGAGGCTTGAGTGAGTTGGAGGAAATGAAGAAGATGAAGAAGTTTGAGAACTATAATATGGTTGAAAATGAGCCAAATCGAGAGAATTTCAGTGTTGGATCCAATGATATGATGAATTCGCCATTATCACCAAGGGTCAAAGAAGAGACTATATTTCGGGAGGAATCATCTAGGAGCCATAGTAGTGTGTTGGAAAAGGATTCATCAGTTACGATCCGAGTGCTTGCCGAGGCTGGATACCAGCTTGATTTTGAAATGAACCAGGATATTATCCGGAGTATTAATTACGGGTCAGGGTCTGAACGAGTGTCGGAAGGAACTGTGAACGAGTTGGAAGTTGTATGGAAATGGTTCCATTACTGTGAAAGAAACCGAGAACTTTTCAGCTACAAAGGGTATGATTTAAGCTTTTTGGGAGTACGAGATATCTGGGAGGGAATTGATGATACGTACGGGTACAAGTACCAGCGGTTATTGAAAAACAAGAGATTCAACGGGACGTTCTTCTCGAATGTGAATCCGGAGAGTTATTTGGATGCGATCAAGGGGATATTGATCAAGATTGATAATTTGAACAAGAACATCTCGTCAATAGAGAACAAGAACAAGAAGTTGCAAAGAAAGTTGTGCTTGTATCTATTGGATGCGTATGATAGCAACCAGGAATTTGTGCAAAAGGTTGAAAAGTTGAAGAACAACGAAGAGTGGGCAAAGGCAGCGGGAAGAGCAGTGTTTCGCGATGACATTGAATCAGCCATCCACATATTGAGGTCGTCGCAAATACAAGAGTACAAGATATTGGCAGCGGCAATCTCAGCGTACTTTTCGTTCAACAATGGAGTGGAGTTGGCAGAGACCAACACCGAGTGGAAAAACCAGTGTCGAAAGTTGGCTACAGAGTTGGACGATCCATACTTGCGAGGAATATTTGCGTACATTGCTGACAGAGACTGGTCGCAGGTTCTCGACGAGCCCTCGTTGCCGTTGAAGGAAAAGTTGAGGATTGCATTCAGGTTTTTAAATGGGAAGCAATTGAGCACGTATCTCGAGACGATGAGCAAGGAGATGAGCAAGATGGGGAAGTTGGAAGGGTTGTTGTTGTGTGGGTTGACGATAGATGGGATCAGTCTCTTGCAGAACTACATTGATTCGAGCAACGACCTCCAGACTGCAGTGCTTCTCAGCAGCTACGGGGTGCCCAGGTACTTTGAGGACGAGCGAGTGGGATACTGGGTGGAGTGCTATGTGCAGTACTTGAACCGGTTGAGGCAGTACAAGTTGAGGGCCAAGTTCGACATCAAGCGAAGGCAGTTGAGTGTGGACAGCGTGAGTGGCGAGGCCAAGGTGGTTATCAGACCCAGGCAGTTGTTCCTCCAGTGCTTGAAGTGCAACAAGAGCGTGTTCGACAGCACGCTGGGTCTGCGTGAGAAGCAGGGCAAGCAGAGCAAGACGCAGGGCCACTACAAGTTTGCGACCCAGCGGCACGGGCCCAGCGGCGGCAGCGCAGAGAGGATTCTGTGCTCCAACTGCAACGCGCCCTTGCCGAAGTGCGGCATCTGCCTCCTCCCCCTCGGCTCGCTGGCGACAGACCACCGCCAGTGGGCTACCATCTGCTTGAGCTGCCACCACGGTATGCACTGCAGCCACGCCGAAGAGTGGTTTGCAAGCCATGTCGTGTGCCCTGTCGCCAACTGCAGTTGCTGCTGCAAGTTCCGCAGCACGGCTCAGCCATGAGGCCTGAGCCCGAGAAAAAGGTGCGACCTGCCGGTGGGCGCTCGGCCAGAAATAGCACCACAACGGTGTCCTCGCGCTCTGATCTCCTCTGCTCTTGCCTCCAGCTGGTGATCTGCCTTGAACTGTGCTCGCTATTTAAAGATACTCTGCTCTCCCACAGCCCTCGACTCTTTGTTCGCTGGATCGTATTTATACTCAAGGTTGTAGCTTCAAGTTAAAACAATGTCAATCTGAGGAAGGAGCTTATTCGCCAGCAACAACATGAAGACCTCTATTCCTCCCAACTCCACTGGCTCCTCGTCTCTTGAGGAGATCAGGTCGAAATTGCTCAAAGAGAAAATGATTATCCAGTCTTCGCTCAAGATGAAAAACAGTCCCAGGGCCTCTGCCAATGTTAAACAACGCTGCGACAGCGTTATTGCTCAGGCCCAGAGGAACATCAGGTACTACGAGCAGTCCATCATCCAGCTCCAGGCTCGTATCAATCGAGCCTCTCTTCAATTCCAGATCCAGCCAATGTCCACAAGTGGTTCCATGAAGAGAAAACCTCCTCCCTTTGATGTTCCTTCTTCTCACTCTCCACTCTCTTCCACCTCTAATTCTCCTTTCTACAATGCTTCTTCAAATATTCCTCCCTCCTTGCCTTCAAAAATCCCCCTAGATAGCCCCATCACTAACAACAACAATAAAAACACTTCAAATAACACCATCACCACTCTTCCCAACCAAAACTCAGGCGATAGAGCAAACAGACTATTCAATCCAATGTACCTAAACAGATTGGATCTTGTCAAAGAAAACAACCCTTCTTTGGGTCATAAAATCGAGTACATGCTCGAATTGTTAAACTACAAACTACAGGTCGAAAACAATCTCCTACTAGCCTCTCTCCGGTTCCAAGAATCCTACAACAAACGCTCAAACTACATAATGGTCAATCAAGCTAAAATTCATGTCTCTGAATCAAAAAGAAAACTTTACCTCCTAAAAACTGCCCTCAAAGTATACAAGGATTTACACATCAAAAACAATGAGTTTGACAAAGATATCAAACTAATGAACACAAACAACATGAGAAAACCCTTATCCGGTATTTTGAAAGTTCACATTAACTCCGCCATAAATCTAATTCACAATGACGCTGCTCAATCTCCCTACGACAACTCAACCAAATCAAAAATCGTCTTTAGAATCGACGGCAAACAACTCAGTGAAACGCCTCAAATCACAAATGGCCTCTGGAACTCAACATACACCTTGAAAATTGCCAAAGGAAACGAACTAGAAATCTCCATCCTTGATCTAAAAGACAAAAAATATGAAGAAATCAGCTACATCTGGTTTATTCTTAGTGACATTGTAGAAGACTTGAGAAGAAATAAAGTCAAAAATCTTAACCAAATCAATAACTGGTTGCCTGCAAATGAAACTGGCAGCTTCAAAAATCCCTTTTTAATCAACGATAGCTCAACTATTAACACAGATTTCAACTCTTCCACTCCTACTCCTACTTCTCCTACTTCTACTTTTCCACCCCAATTCAATCAAAAAAGAGATAGAGATTCCGTTGATACCATCCACTTTGAAACAAGAAATATTCTCCCCTCTGATATCTCAAATAAAATAAAATTCTGCTGGTTTGAACTTGAACCCTATGGAAAAATTGAACTAGCTTTTGAATTCGATAGTAATCAAAGCTCAAATTCAAAACCACAATATAAACCTAACCAAAACAATCCTAAACTTCATCATCGAATAAACCGTAAGGATGCTTTGTTCGAAAAAAAAGAAAAACCCTTAGTCAAATTCAATCATGAATTAGTCAATACTTATATAAACACGATCGAAAGATGTTTTCTATGTAACCAGTTACTCAGATTTCAATGCTGGAAATGTAAAAATTGTCATTTGTTATGTCATCTGGATCAATGTTCTATTAATGTCGTTAACCCCACTTATTGTACTGCTTATCATCCACAAACTGCACCAATAGCACCAATAGCACCAACAACAACATCATCATCAACATCAACAATTACTCCAACAACACCGCAAAATCAATATCAAAACCAATATCAACCCCTGAATCAATACCAACCTCAAAATCAATACTACCATCCAAATCAAAACCAATATTCCAACCAAACTCAATCCCAATATCAAAACCAATATCAATATCAAAATCAATACTACCCTCCAAATCAAAACCAAAATCAGTACAAAAACCAAAATCAAATTCAGCAAACTTATCAACTCCAAAATCAATACCCATCTAACATTGAAAACACTTTCCCGATTCCCTATCAATCTACATTGCAAGACAAATATCAGCCTCCAAACAATCAGAATTTCTCAAATCAATCACAATTCATACCTCAAAATCAAATTCAGGGTTATGAAAGATATCAACCTGAAAATTATTTTCAAAATAATCATGCTCTGAATTATAATGACCAAAATTCACAAAATAATGAAAATAATGCAATTTTAAGATATAACGGAAACAATGAAAACAATGAACATAATGAAAATAATGAAAATAATGAAATTTTAAAAAACAATGAATTAGAACCTCAAGATTTTTTAAGTACATCCTTAACAAACCACTCAGATATTTCTACCATGACTAATTTGAGCGCCGAAGTTTTACCTCTTCTTCAATTGCCAAAAATAACTTTATCTAAAGATTTTGATTTAGAAAACTCTGCAGAATATAAAAAAAATTGCTATGAACTCAATAAATTTGATAAAGAGTATCAATTATGGGCCGGGAAAGACAATAATTTAGTTTTGGAAAAAGAAAATGACACAGATTTCAAGGAAGATGAAACTAATCACAAGAAAGTATTTAACATGGATGATCTAATCAGTAGGGTTGACTCACTTCAGCTTACTCAAAATCCAAACCAAAATAAAAATGAGTACTTTGAAGATGAAAATCAGCAAACTTCTGAGATATCAAACAATCCATTTAGAAATGATGAAGACACCTTTGGTAAGGATAATATACAATATGAAGGAAAAACGATTGTTTCTGCCAAAGTTGATAATGAGGTTAAAATTGAAGATGAATTCAGATTTGATAACGTGTTTGATAATGTATTTGATAATAAATTTGATAATAAGGTTGAGAAAAAATTCGATGAAAAATTTGCTTTGGTTTCTTCTCAATTAACCAAAGTGAAGACTAATGAAAAACAAAATTTTCAAGAGGCTTTTGACGAAACTCATACTAAGAAAAAACGAAAAAATAGATATCGTGTTAAGGATTTTACATACATCAAAGTTTTGGGAAGAGGACAGTTTGGTAAAGTCATGCTTGCTCAATCCAATAGATCAAAGAAACTTTGTGCGATTAAAATGCTTAAGAAGAAATCGATTGTTGATGATCACCAGATAAAGGAACTTAGACAAGAACAAAAGATGTATTTAATCGCTAATAAATCAAATAATCCATTTTTAACAAAAATGTATTGCTCTTTTCACACTCGAACTAGAATTTACTTTGTAATGGAGTTTGCCTCCGGAGGAGATTTAATGTTCCATGTTCAAAAGGATAAATTCAATCTAAGAATAACTCGTTTTTTCGCCGCAGAAATTCTTTTAGGATTAAAATATTTGCATGATCAAGGAATAGTTTATCGTGATTTGAAGTTGGAAAACATTTTGTTAACCAAAGATGGGCATATTAAGATAGCAGACTATGGTTTGTGTAAAGACAATATGGGTTACGGAAATTTCACAACATCATTTTGTGGAACAGCTGATTACATGGCACCCGAATTAGTTGAGGTTAAAGATTATGATAAATCTGTGGATTGGTGGGCATTTGGAGTCTTAATTTATATAATGGTTTTGCAAAAGACCCCCTTTGGAAATTTCTCTGATGATGAATTGGAATTGAACAACTCGATTTTATATGATGAGCCCGAGTTTCCTCCAGCCATGCCTTATAATCTTCTAGATTTAATAAGCAAACTATTGGAAAAAAATTTCAGAAAGAGATTGGGAAGTAGTGAGAGAGATGCTCTCGATATCATGGAACAGCCATTTTTCGAGTCAATCGATTTTGAAGAATTGATCAAAGGTAACGTCGAGTCTCCCTTCAAAGTTAACGTTGGAGACGAAATGGAGGCAAGCAACTTCGACGATGAATTCACCTCTTTAGCTGTTAACCTATCGCCAGTTTCCTCAATCACAGAGACTGAGCAAAGAATGTTCAGTGGGTTTTCTAGAGTCTGCGTTTCTGAGCTTTAAATTCTGGAATTTTTTTTGTTACTTTTGTGCTTTTTTATTTCTTTTACTCTTTGTTAAATCTATTTCACTTCCAAAGGCATTTTCGTTTATATAATGAATAACAGTTTAATAATTAATATCAAGACAATGAGCACCAACCCAGTTCTGTTCTGAATCTGGTTTCACGTAGCATTTATTCTCTGAGGCCTCCAATTGGCTTTTCCCGAATGAAGCACAAAACAAAACCACTGCTTCTTTCTCTCACAAACTCGTGGAACAACACAGTACTATGTTCATCAGCAAATCAAGCTGTATAGGATTTGCTGATTCAAGAATATTTGCACACTCTCCTGTATTCCAACGACATCGTTTATGTTTTACCAGAATCTGCAGCCAGTTTGCCCCTATTGATTACAGAAAGCTAGGTGAAAAGTATGTTCAGCGCTTTGGTATCTATAATGTCTACAACTTAGCCGCCAGAGATAAAAGATATTTGCAGCAACTTCTGATTGATTTGATAGAAAACTGCAGGAAGTTGGAACACACTTTGTTGACTGGTTCAAGAAACCAAGTTGCTACACGATTTAACAGAGGCAATAAACCACAACTGAAGAGCGAAGCTCCTGAGAAAGTAGACGATTTTCTCTATGAATGCTTAACAAAAAACAACTCCATTAGATCGTTTCTCTTGGATAAGGATAATGAATTTATTCTTAGAAAGTATCTCATCACTGATCCAATACCAAAAAATGAAAACACAATTAAAATGATATCCAGCTATGTGTCCCATGCCATTAATCACAATGCTCCAATAAGTGAAAAGTTGATATATCTATCATTGAGACAGCTCCTCAAAAATGAAAAGTCAGTCCCTTTTGATAATTTTATTTCTTCCTTTGAAATAGTCGATTTATTGTATGGAAAGGATTCAAACTATACAAAGTTTTTGAAATCGAAATTTATTGCAAATTTTATTATCCCATTATCGGCTGTTTCGATTATACTTCTTCCTCTATCACAGATTATATTTCTTTCATCAACATACCTAAACATTGGTTTAATGTTAATTCAATATTCCATGAACATTGGCTTTTTTTTACTCTTTTCTTCTAATTTTTTCTTAAAACAAACCTCTAGAATAAAATGGTTAAATGGAACAAATTGGTTTCGTTGTATAATACACCAAAACGAATTGTTAATGATTAATAGAATTATTACTTATTTTGATGAATTTTATGATTTGAATGTTGAAAATTATCATTTAATCGGCTCATCAAATAGTTCAAAAAATAATGGCTTGAAAAGCCTCAACCACTTTAGAGCAAATAACAATTTCAATATTGAGTTTTTCCTTGAAAATCATATCGATGACATTAAAGAAATAAACTCAATTGATCAGACAAAACCAAAAAATGAAGAAGAACTAGAGCTACTTAAATTTATAATCAAAAATTTGAGAAATAGAAAAATGATTTTAAGAACAAAAGAAACAGAGAGACAGTTTTATCAATTTTGGTCTACAAGAGGTGAAAATTTTGAATGGATTGAACCAGATCAAGATCCGGCTGAAATGATTTTATTAAAAATGTATAAAAAATAAATCGTAAAAAATTATTTTGAGAAATGCATATACACGTTTCTTTTATCAGTATAATTTGAAACATATATAAATAAAATTAATGGTTATATCTTCGGTTTCCTCTTCCACGGCTCGGGCGACCTCCACTATCGTATCTGCTTCCATAACTAGAGGATCTTTGATAGTTTTGTGAGTAACCACCAGGATTTCTTTCTCCTTTTGCTGGAGTTCTGTTTCGATTATAACTACTGCTTGGTTTTGTAATTCTAGGCTGATGATCTGGTTGTTTTTTAGCATTGTTGGGCAATGGTTGAGTTTTTTTCTCACTGGTATCCCCACCCTCAACAACTTCAAGCGGTGAATTCTTTTCAGTAGTTAAAACATTATCCTTTGTTTCCTCGTTCTCTGAAGGTATTATGGAAGCTGTATTTGCTGGAATATCCAGCAATGTACTAGACAGTTTGACCTTCTTTAGTTCAGTAGGGCTTTCTGATTTCGGTACATTAGACAATGGTTTTTCAGCTGCTTCCTTATCTTCTGGTTTTATTTTCAAAACTGATTTAGCAGGTGGACTAACCAAATTTTCTTTTTTTTCTTTATTAACAGTTTGCAACATAACATCCATATATTTTTTCAGGGGTTCTTTTGCCTCATTTTGGGATAATCGCGAAGATGATCTGGAAACTATAGAGGATGATTTAGGACCAGTTGGAAACTTAGCTTCTGTCTTTTTGGAGCTAACTAGAGAATCTTTCAGAATCTTTCTCTTAACTTTTTGTTGCCCTTCATCCGCCTTATCCATTTCATAAGATTCCAACATATGAATACATTTTTTTTCACGAGATCTGATAAGGACAATTAACGCATTTGCTGCCAATTTAATATCTTCTCTTTCATCCTGAGCAATAGTTTCAATCAAATAAAGTAATTTTTCACAATGATCCTCAATAACAGGATAAACCGTAATGACATTTTTAAGGAAAGTTATAGCATTTCGACGATACATATAATCATCAGTTTCAAGAGCAACACTTATATCCCTCAAAGATAGAGTATGAATTTCCAACAAATTTTTAAGGAATTCCTGATGACTGGTCGAACTTTCATCATTAGAAATTTTTCCAAATTCCTTTTCAAAGTTTTCTTTATTTCTCCAATTATCTAAAGATTGGAAAATTTCGGAATAAAAGATTCCAAAATTTTCGGCCTCATCAGGAGTAAATGTAAATAAAGAACAAGAAATGATCCCTTTAAACAACACTTTTAACACTCCTAAGTAGAATTTTCTGAACCCTAAAGACAATAATAATTTTAAAAACTTTGCGCAGAATAATGCATCAAGTAAAGAGTGAATACTACGAGGGAGGATACAAGACTCAAGAAATTCATCAGTTTTATTTGTTAATGTAACTTCATCTGACTCACCGGTATTATTTTTAAACCAACTATCTTTTTCGTTTTCAATTCTTTTCATAGAAAATTTATAGTGAATTTCATGTTTGAGCATACTATCTGGAAACTCCTCCAAAATTCTTTCATACTCTTCTTTCAACTTCTTTTTGGCGTCTATTGAAAAGAGAGTGGCTTCTGGATCATTTTTCAAATTATTCATGTCATCAGTTAATCCACTTATGGAATCTTTAATATGTTTTTGTTCCATTTTATATTTATCCGAAGGAAAATTTATATCATAGAGAGATAATTGCCAAAATGTGGTATAGAAACCAACTTCCATAACATCCCAATTCACCAAAGATATATTCAGTTTTATCATCTTCATTATTGGGTATAAAGTTTTTGTCCAAGGTTTATGCTCATTTAGCTCTTCCTCTTGAAATTCTCTTTGAATGGATTTGGAAAGACTCTTTCTCCATAACTCAAAGGCCCATTCAGTGCTGACACCAAATACTGAAATTAATGTGCTTAAAGGCATAATATAACTTTCTATTTGTTTAGTATGCAAAAAATAATTAATAGAAGACAAGTAACTGTGGAGTAAGGAACTGGTTTCATCATTTCTATTGGCCAAAATTTTGTAATGAAGGTTTTCATTTTCGAATATTTGAGTCTTGTGGTAATTAGTTAGTAAAATAAATAACTCGCTTATGGCATCAAGTTCAATCAAATTGTTTAATAATCTTAGTCCTGATCTTTTAGATATATTTCTATTGTCTTGAATATTGCTAAACACAATATTTTGCAAACAAGGACCACATCCTAAATATTCAATTTGCAGCAAAGTAAGATTAGAAATGTGTTTAATCCCACTCATGTAGTTTACCATCTCTTTAAAGATAACTATACCAGTGTTATCACCAGAATGAAATTTCTTTAATATAAATGTGTAAAGAGTTTTTAAATCCACTTTGGCATATCTTTGGCATAATTTTCCAATAAAAGTAACTAAAGACTGAAGCCATTGTCTATCATTTATACCATCATCCTGAATTGAATTTCTGTTGGAAGTCAATCTGATCAATAATACAAAAGTTAAAACATCATAACCATAATCAGTGAAATATCTGGCAGCATCAACAATTAGGTCTATTAGGTTGTCGTAACTCTCAATTTGAGTTACAATAACCTCAAAACAAGATAAAGGATTAGCGTAAGAAATTTTTGCTAATCTTCTCATCATTGGGTGGAAATTTGTCTTTGACAATCTTTTAAGAACATCTTTAGTTTCTTTTTCGGCTGCATTGCAAGCAATTTTAATATCTAAATCTTTTTTCCTTAAAGTTGAATTTATTCCTCCATATAAAGAAAATCTTTTATCAAGTGGGAATTTTGCCATTAATTTGAATATTTCTTGAATAGTGCAAGGGTTTTCTTTTATAAGTGGCATGGCAGGAAATATGAATTTTCTAAAAAAATCAAACCACTTATTTAATTTTGAGTGATAATCATCTTTTGGCGTGTTGTTTAAGTCATATAAACCAATTCTAACTAATTTAGTCATGAGTTCAACATCCTTGTATAAGTTGACACTAGAAAATGATAAAAATTCGTTGCAAACAACAAATAAATCTTCAATAGTTTTGATTTCAGGGATTTTTTTATTCCATTCATGATAGAAATATACAAATTTTTTATTTGTGTGAGATTTTTGCAAAGAAAATACCTCGATTGTAGTTATTAGGTAGTCTTCATATTCAATACCGTCATCAGATCTAGTGAATGCAACTCTTTTAGGAACCAAGAGTTTTTGAATTAAATCTTTATCTTGAATTGAATGAACTTTTTCATATAAAGGTTTAATTGATTGATTCATCAAACGATGAATAGCAGAAGCAATTTCAGGATCAATTTTAGGTAAAAAGGGATATTTAGCTAGTATAAATATTGAAGGCCAATAAAGTCCGCACATTAAAAAGACTTTTAATAACTGATATTTATTATTTGTTTTCAAAGAATCAATAATTTCTCTGTACGGATCTTTTGGCTCTTTGTTCTTTTCTCTGCCTCTTGAATCGTTTCTTGATGTTTTATTAGAAGAGTCTGCTTCTTCGTCATTCAAGGGAGCAGCCAAAGCAAGTAAGGATGCGCCAGCTTTAAAGGATTTATCTTCCATGTATGCTTTATATTGAGATTCTATTTTTTTCATTGCCTCATCATTGGGACTTAAATAAGAGTAAATTGCACCGAAACTTATAAAACCTTCTTTTATCAAAACAGCAATTAAACATTTAAAGGTTTCTGGCATATCTCTTCCAAGAAAAAGATAATTGTTTAGTTTAAAACCAATAAGTTGAGCAGCAATATCACAACCACCGGTTGAAAGATTCTCGATGCATGATATATCAGAGGGAACTAGTGGCCACCAAGAAGATCTTTTCAAAAGTTCTATACAAAAATGATAGTTTTTTAAAATGTTATTAATATACAAGTCCAATATAATATCAAGAACCCTATTAGGATCCAAGCTGAAGTGGCCAATTAAAGATTCAATAACTCTCCAAGTGTAATCCACCATGTAAGGAGCATCATCTGAAGAAATTGCTTCATATAATTCAACAATCAATTTTGAATAACCTTCAGAACATTCGTGTAATAAATTATATCTTTTTTGGATATATTGATCTCTCAAGATAACAGACTCCTGCCTTTTCACTTTATTGAGGTTTATGTTATAAGTGCTACTGTAATATTCAGAAGTTAGATGAATTGCTAGTAATTTATCATTTATTGAGAGCTTTGCAAGAAATGAGGATAAGCTTTGGTTTGGAGGGAACAAATTCAAGACATTGATGAATAATAGAGAAATCAGCTCAGTTTTTTTTGGATCATCATGGTATTTAAAAATTTTCTCTAGAACAACAATTGCACTGGTCAAATTCAAGCGATCGAAATTTCTAATGGAATAAAGAAATTCGTAAAAGAGATCAAAGAGAGCAGTTGGGTCCTCATTGTAATCGGTTAAAAATAGTTCTTTGATCAAAGAATCTGAATAGGCCTTGAGATTCTTAGCCTTTTCTTCGGTCAAATATTTCCATTCAGCAGCCATCATCGTCTCTTGCTGAATCAGACCCTGTCTTTCAGTACCATTGGCTGTAAGAGAAGACATTTTGTAGACGATATGAGCAGTAGTTAGCTGGTTTTGCTCTTCTCCTGAGCTTGGATGAATTGGTTTGAATTGCATTGTTTTGTAAGAAAAATCACGTGACACGAATGTGCTTTTTGAATTTATATTCCTTTTCTATGCTGGAGGTGGGATGTTAGTCCACAATGGTGGATTGCTCCAGTTTTTTGTAACAATAGGTTTGCATTCATGAATAGACAGAACTGGAGTCTATTGTGTAGCAACAAAGCTTGCTTTTATTCTAGACTACAACAATATATTATCAATTGCTTTTTGATTACTTAACCAAATTATTTTTGCAAAACGCTTCTGTTGTGCAGTTGGCCGAGCGGTTTAAGACACACCCATTGGAAAATGGGTCTTGTGCTCGAATTCGATAAAGCAATTTTCATAAGGTTAATCTGAGCAAAATAAACATCTGATGAGGTTTAATTATCGCCGCGATAACAGAAATACCGAAATAGGAAATGTACCCGATTAAGCAATTCATTAGACCTTATTTCCACGAAAGACCTAGATCACGACAGGATTCTAAACCAATTTGTAAAGTTTTGAGGTACTGAGTGAAGCACTTGTTGAATTTGCTCAACAAAAAGTTACAAGTGAAGTTGCTGGAGATGAGTGCTTTTGTTTCTTTGGATGGTTTTGAGATAGAAGATGAAGGTCTGGAGTGGTGGTACTTGACCATTCAATTGTATGTTTTCCTTTTGTGCATACGGAACTGATTGTTCTTTTGGTCAAAAACTAACATTTTATATATCTGCAGAATCATTTCACCGAAACACCGAAATAATGAAGTTTTACAAAAGAAAATTCTAGAAACAATGGACTACATATCATGGAGAACTTTGATATCCAAAATATTGAAAAAGTTTTTTGGTATAATGGGAGAATCAACCCCAATTGATTATTTGAAAGTTATAAACTCGCCTAATTCCTATCTTTTGTTCATTAGGATTCATAAAGATGATAAGTTGCTCTTTCTAAACTCCATAATGTCCTCTACATTTGAATTGGATTTTTTGGGTTTAAACGAAGTGACAGATGAAAAGATCTATGCTAGTATGAAAATGGTTAATGAGACAAATAATCTCGAAGAATTAACCAAATTAGCCAATATTAACATTACAAATCAAAAACAAAATTTGATAATAAATGAATGATTGATAAAACACAATTGAAACTTGCTAGAAAGAAAACACGATAAAATACAGAAAAGAAAAAAAAAGAAACTAAATGTCTAATTTACCCATTTGAAAAATCCACAATTAATATCAGGATGAACCTCACTATGGTTTTTCACATTGGAAGTTCTACTACAACACCAAAATTTCTTGCCTTTGTTTTTGGTGTTCTTACAAGTTTTTAAAACACATTTATCATTGTGTTTGCACACAGGAGGCTTGCCATAAACACCTTCAAAAACCCCTTTGGTATTCATATTGAATGATTTTTGAGATTGAATAGAACTATCTGACTTGTTTTCAGCATTATTTGGAGTAATGGATGAGTCGACCTTATCATCTTCATCGTTAGTCATATCAATAAATTCTATTTTGTAATTACTATTCACCAAAGGATCAGTCATGAACAATGAGTTATCATTCTGTTTTTGTATTTCCTTAATTTTCGAAATGGGTTTGAAGAAGCTCTCAATAGGTTTTTGTCGCTTGTTTTTCTTTTGAACTGTTGTCTTTTTATCTGAATATGGAGTTTTACTTTTATTAGTGTCAATATTATTTGTTAACTTTCTACTCATATAGACATATTTTCTTTTTGGCTGCGATGCATTGAATTTATTGATTGAGTTTAATGCTAGTGTATTTAATTTGGGTTTTTCATTTACTTTAATAACCTTATTATCAGCATTGTTAGTATTATCATTCTCAATATTCTCAACTACAAAAATACCATCATTTTCGCTATCATTATTATCATTATTATCATTGATAATCTTAGTATTACCATTCTTATCATAATTGCTTTTAATGTTGTTATTATTTATATTTGAATCATTTGATTTTTTGATAATATCTTTATCAGTTTCAATATTATTTTCTATAACTAAAGGTTCTTGTTTGAATAAAATTGAAGTCTTAAAGCTTGGTTTCTTGAACAATGAGTCAATAATTGAAATTTTGTTCAATTTGTACCTTGTGTTGGCTTCTAATTTTGGAAAATTATGGTTATTACTTTTGGTTAAATTTTTATGATCACTATTACTATTATTGTTATTGTTATAAATTTTTTCAGTTATTGTAAAATCTGAATAAATTGGACAATGGTCAGAACCATATAAGTGTGTTAATAAATTTGCAGTATCGAAAAAGTTATCAAAAAATGATTGAGAAGTTAAGATAAAATCTATTCTTGATCCATAGTTAATGGGGCGATGGTTTAGTTGGGTATTCCAGCAAGTGTATAGTTTTAATTTGTTTCCATGTTTCTCCCTTATAACATCATATAAGATTTTATCTAGAGATATTGTGTCATAAGTTTCAGAAGAACCGTTATCACTGATTTCTTCATTATCCAGAATGAGTAGATTACTTTTTGCATTATTTTGATAAATGACCTTTAGATTTTTATCTATCTTAACATTTTCGGTTAAATTTGAATTAATTATGATTGAGTTTAGTAATATTCTTGAAATGTCAGATTTAATAAAGGAGTCCAAGTAGTCTTTATCGAAATTAAAATTATCAATATTGCAAGCATTAATATTAGTGGGATTGCCATTACTAGTGGTCTGAGAATCTTTGATTAGTAAATACTCATTTAAAGAATCAGCTCTATCGAATAAATCTCTTGAAATATTGATATCTCCCATAATAAGGACTTCTTTGTTTAATGTTTTTTTCAAAATTTTAATTCTTTGGATCAAAACTCTGATAAAATTATATTTGAAATTTAAACCGTCTTCAGAATTCAAAGAGTTAGCAGGACAGTATAGGGATATTATGATCAAATTTAAATTCAATTCTAAGATCAAACAGCGACCTTGAGAATCTAATTCCAAGGCTTCTTCAACAGACAAACTCAAAGCATTTAAATCTGGATAACCACCAATTAAACTTGTTTCTTTAAAGCTATAATCAATACTGCTATTTTCATACAATTCCTTATATGAAAAAAGCCTGTTCCTGTTTTTCTTTACGTTATCATTTAAAACCCTGGGGTTATAATCGTAACAAGGCAATAATCCAGTTATACCTTCTTCACATTTTTTGATTCTGAGAAAATTTTCAACCATTGGTGAATCATCTTCTGTGGGTTTTCTAACGTATAGGCCAATTCCCGAGTAGCCCTTTTTGCTGGTAGGCAAAGAAATAAAGGAGTAGTAGTCGTCAATACTTGGAAGCAAGCTAGCACTCACATTTTCTTTGTTGATTTTCAACTCTTGCAAAGATATAATGTCAGCTTTTAAAAACTTGTAAAAAAACGACATGTTCTTGGAGAACGAGCTCCAAGGATGGTAGTTGAAGAGGGTTCTGATTCCATTGACGTTGAAGGACAAAACCCTGATGGTGTTTGCAGTAGCCTTTGAAGGAATGTAGCAGTTCTTCAGCACTTGCTCGACAACAGAGACATCGACAGCAGAACTCATGAACAATCTTTACTGGTGGAGCTGTTTCTGTGATGAGCTAAAGAAATTCATCAATAAAAAGCAGGAGAGAGACCGTGTTTGTGGGAGCCGGAAAATTTTATTGGATTTTTCAGGTGGAAACAGATCAAAAGGAGCTGGAAGAGAAAGAGGCGATAATGTGGAAGAGAAGTGTTGTAGGAAGGTGTTTGGGATGGCCAGACATAGCAGGAGCTAGTTGGGGTAGTTCTGCTGCCTCTGTTGCCTGTGCTGCCAGTTTGGTGTTGCATTGTGTGCAGCAGCGAAGTTATTCTTCACCCAAGAAAATCAGGTATCCGATTTCAATGGATAATCGACGAAGGTTAAATGGAAGGGTGCGAGACAAGATTTACAAGTTGATAAAGTCGTCGTCGTCATCATCATCATCATCATCATCATTGTCGTCGTCTGGCTCTGGTTCTCCTGATTCTTCTGCTCCTGAGTCTTTACCAGCAAAGAAAAACAGTTGGGTTCTACCTAGTTTTGAGAAGCTAGATCAGAAAAATACAATTGAAGGCAAGAACACTAAAAAGAAAAGTATCAGTGAAAATAAAAATACCACTATAAATAGAAATACATTGGAGAATGATAGTGGAAGTGAAAAACTTTTATCAAAAAAGAAAAAGATCAACAGCCATGCTGAAAAATTTGAATTTGTTAACAAAATGGATTTGAACAAAAATAAAATCAATGTGGATAAGATAATTGCGTCTAATAACGAATACAGTGCCGAAGAAATTCTTAAAGAAAAACAAAAGCTTAAAAGATTGTTCAAAAATAAATCTACGCCTGAGTGGATGAAAAAACAATTGACCTTTAAAATTAAACTCAAGAATGAAAGGTGGAATCCTCAAAAGAAATTGAGCCGAGAACAAATGGAAATGCTTCGAACAATTAAAACAGAGGACCCTAGTGTTACGGTTAAAGAGCTAAGTAAGCTTTATGGGATTTCGCCTGAATCAGTTACAAGAATTTTAAAATCCAAATGGAGACCAACAATTGAAGAAGAAAATAAACAAGAGGAGAAAAGAAGGAAACGACTAGAGGAATACCATAAAATACAATCTAAAACCAAGGATAGATTATTTAAGAAAATGGAGATAAATCAGGAAAATAAACCTGGTGATTTGAAAATAGTTGAGAGAAGATATAAAAGTAGAGCCTTTGAACCTCATAAGAAATCATGGAGAAATGAAGAAATATAAAACCAGCTAATAACTGAATAGAGTGGTCTCACCTGTAAATAAATAAGTAAATAAACAAATAAACAAATAATTAATTAATTAATTAAATAGTTAAGTTGGAATCAAGCAATCCTAAATTTTAAGGTTAGTTTTAATGAATACATTAAAGTATGTATGTATATATAAAATGATTTTTTATGATTTCAACCGTTAATCAATCAGCAAGATAATCTTTTCTATTAGCAGTACGAACAAATCTTCTCAACTGCCATTCAACATCTGCATCTTTATTGTCTAGGGTACCTAATCTTAATTCATACAATCGCATTTCAAATCTTGGACCAATTTCTTGTATTTCTAGATCATTTCTACTTTTGATATAGGTATGCTGTCTTACGTTTATGAAATCACCATCGTTATTAAAGGTTATTAATCTGTTGCTATCGGGTTTGACACCTGGAGGAAACAAGTTTTTTAGAATAGTTGTAGCTCTCACACCTAATTTTGAAGTGAAATTTTCAAAGATTAGATGGGGATACTTTTCGGATTGATTTGAGGCGTTGGGGATATCGTGTCTCAATACGACATTGTGCAAAGAAAAGAAAGCAGTTGGACCATGAGGAAGGTGGGAGACAGTTAATGAGGTTGGAACACCACGATGTTCGTGTAATATGATTATATCTGTGGCATTTGCAGCTTTGCAAGCGTTAACAAGACTGGACATGATGTAATTACCTCTGTTTAGTCTTATTGAATTTGGGAAAAGTAATTTGACTTCTTTGCTGAACTGAGATAGCTTTGTGGAAGGGTCTCTGGAGGTTGTGATTATTATCTTAGGCTCGACAATTCCACTAGAGAGAGAGTATTCGTCGTCTATTAAGGACTGGTCCTGAATTGATTCGTCATATATAAAGTCTTTTTTCAATTTTTCATCGTCGGCTATTTCCCTGGGCAAGGGTTTTCCTAACTCCAAGGCCTTTTTCAACTTGAATCGTTTTTCAACCAAGGAGGCATCCTGGAGCTCCTGAGCCTTGCGATACAAGTATTCTCTTCTTTCTCTTGCTTGTTTTCTTATCATGATGACTAGTTGTCTTTTGCAACTGAATCAAACAAAAAAATTTCAAATAAACTTCAAAACCAAAAAACCAAAAAAATAAAAATAAAATAAACCACGTGATAAAAGAGTTTTAGTACCATTTGAACGGTGGAAAGTCACGCAGAGAGGAACCAAGCACACGGCGCCAAAAGCTTTGAAGTTTAATTATGTTTTTTGACGCAAAAAGAACCTGAAGGAGCGATGGAAAGGAAAGAGAAGATGATCGAGTAGAAAGACTCAGCAAAGCTCAGCACAAAGTAACGTTGCTGTGAGATCAAAAGTAGTTGCAAGATGAGCGAGAAGAAAAGCTATTTGCCCACCCTAGAAGACGCCAACAAGTATGTGGTTTTCAAACAAGATCTGTCTGCAGGTTTCCTATCATATTCTGAGATCGACCTACTAATAATGTTCATTGCCTTTTCTTTCTTCTTTTTTGTGCAAGCAGTCCATTGTCGCCAGAACAGTTGGAAATATTGCACCAGCAGGTGGTATCGGAAGGCGAGCTAGCCTCCATCCAGTCGAAATTCAATTATGCTTGGGGGTTGATAAAATCAGACAAAGTCGACGACCAGAGAAAGGGCGTCAAGTACTTGACAGAAGTGTTCAAAGACTCACCACAGAGAAGACGAGAGTGCCTATACTATCTAGCGTTGGGCTCGTACAAGTTGGGGGATTACTCAGACTCCCGAAGATATGCTGAGGCGTTGGTAAACCATGAGCCAGAAAACTCGCAAGCCCTCAGCTTGAAGAGGATGGTGGAGGACAGAATAGCCAAAGAGGGCTTGATTGGAATTGCCATTCTCTCTGGAGCAGTTGCTGTTGGTGCAACATTGATTTCGTTGATGAGGAGAAAACGATGAGGTGCCTGGTGTTGGTTGAGTGATGTTTCATGAATGGGAGCTAGTTGCCCTTAGGATGTTTTGATGTTTTATATACCTTCTGGTTTATGTTTTATAGTTGCTAATGGACGTTCTGTTCAGGCTGAAAGCTCCCACGTTGCAGCCCACGAGCACAGAGCTGATGGTTCTGTTGCCTGTGCTGCTTCTGCTTCCTCTGAAGCATGTAGAACAAGCCTCTTTGTTGCCTGCTTTGTGTTTGCGATTCGCATTGCTTTTTGCTGCAAACTTCAGGCCAATCAGCTACTCATCCAGCTCCTGAACCTCCTTCCACTCGCTCCATCGTTGCCATAATTTCGTTATATCCTGTGTATATCCTCGCTATATCCTCTATCTTTAACTTGTTGTCTTCTAAGTGACCCAGCTTCCTCTGTTCCTGCCCCCACTATTCACTTCTCTGCCTTCTCTGCCTCCTCTGTCGCCATTTGCTCTCACCACACCTTTTCCTCTTTCCACATCCTTATAAATCTCGCACTACACTATTTGTCTCAATAAAACCACTACCCATCATAATAAGACACCTTTAACACCATCTCCATCCACCAACACTACTGAATTTAATACTCATTACGTTATCGCCATATTTGCTCATTTCTTGTACAGATTATCTGCCTTTTTTGCATTGCTTCTTTTGTCTCGACACCAGTTTTCACTTGTGTGAAACGTTTTTAAAATTTTCATTGCATTGGATCAGCGAGACCATTGATCAACCACCACACTCTACAAATAAAATAAAAAATCAGCTCAATACTTTTTGTTTAATATTTTTTTGATTTTTTGTTTCTGTTTTCTTCGTTCATTGGTTTATTAGCGACTGGATTCAACTTAATCTTCTGAAATGAATGCTTCAACTATTGCTGTGCATTGGCACGACGATTCTCAGCCAATTTATTCCTGTCATTTTCAGCCAAATAACCAAAACACTCATTCAAAAAGATTAGCAACTGCTGGTGGTGACAACAATGTTCGCATCTGGTCTTTAACTTACTCAAACGACTTCAAACAAATCACCTCCATTGAATATCGCTGCACTCTATCAAAGCACACCCAGGCTGTTAATGTCGTTCGTTTCGATCCAAAGGGCCAAATCCTAGCCACTGCTGGCGACGATGGTGCTCTCTTGATCTGGACTCTATCCGATAAAATCATCAAAGAATTTGGTTCAAACGACATCGACCAAGATGACCAAAAGGAATCCTGGATCTTAAGACACTCCTTAAGATCAAGCACCTCCGAAATTTACGACATAGCTTGGTCTCCAAACTCCCAATATCTTCTAACTGGCTCAATGGACAACATCTCAAAGATCTATAACGTTGTAACTGGCCAATGTGTAAAACAAATCGCTGAACATAACCACTATATTCAAGGTGTCGCTTGGGACCCAAAAAACGAATTCATTGCAACTCAATCTGCTGATAGAAGTGTTCATATCTATTCTCTAAATTATGACAATGCAAATAACTTATCCTTAACTCCAACCACTTTTTATAAAATCTCAAAAGCTGATTTACCTGCAAAGAGACAAAACTATCTTTCTCTAAATACTACTATTCCTACTACTAATATCACTGCAAATAATAATCACAATAATAATAATTACAACAACAACAATAACAACAACAACAACAATAATAATAATAATAATAATAATAATAATAATAATAATAATAATAATAATAATAATAATAATAATAATAATAATAATAATAATAATAATAATAANTAATAATAATAATAATAATAATAATAATAATAATAATAATAATAATAATAATAATAATAATAATAATAATAATAATAATAATAATAATAATAATATCAATAATAATATCAATAATAATATCAATTACGAAAATAATAATGATACATCTATAAACCTCTCCAATACTACATCGACCAATTTAATCAATAAACCACTGGAGTATCTTAAACCTCAAATCCCCCAGTCTCCGAAAAAAGATTCAAACCATGGCTCAAGAACTATCACCCCAATTCCTTCTCCAAGCCTATCTACTGCTTCCTTAGTCTCTCCTTCTGTCTCCTTCACTTCAATTAGCACGTCAATGAACCCTCCCTTGAGCAAAAGAAGACTATCTGCTTCCTCAACAGGCTCAACTTCTTCCTTTTCTACCGCTACTCGTTCTGCTTCTCCAACTCCTTCAGCTGCTCCTCCTTTACCTGCTATTCGTAAAATGGATTTACGCGATTTTAGAAACAACTACAGCTACAATTATAACTTCAACTTCAACTTTACCCTCAGAAATTCTTTATTGTATTATTCTGAAACTCTACAATCCTTTTTTCGAAGACTAACTTTTAGTATCGACGGAAGTCTACTATTAACTCCCTCGGGCATTTTCAAAACTTTTGTTTCAACTGATAATATCGACTCAAATGCATACTCATTTCCTATTCTTACTTCCGATAATAATAATGATAACAATCACTTGGACACTAGTCCAACTAAACAGCAAGAAGTCATCACAAACACTGTCTACATTTATACAAGAGCAGGATTAAATCATCCTCCAGTTGCTCACTTGCCAGGCTTAAAAAAACCTGCAATTGCAATATCTTTTAACCCTTACTATTTTAAATTAAGAAATAACTTTATCTTATCCAATATAACCCCCAAAGTTGACTTAAATCTTAACGGCTCTTCAATAATATCTAACAACAATAACAATAGTAACAATAATAATAATAGTAATAATAGTAATAATAACAAAAATCATAATAAATTTACAACTCATAAGAAAAATAAAACTACCTCACATTCTTTATTCAAATTACCTTATAGAATGATTTTTGCTGTCTCTACACAGGACTCAATAATTATTTATGATACCCAATCTCTAGAACCTTTGGCCTTGGTAGCTAACCTACATTATTCAACTTTTACTGATTTAACATGGTCGTCTGACGGTTTAACATTAATAGTCTCCTCAACAGATGGGTTTTGTTCTTCTGTAATTTTTGAGGAATCTTTTTTGGGTGAGAGATACAGTGAGGATAACAGTAATCATGAGAATGAAAAATTAAATGATAAATTTTCTACCGACGATAAAAATACCGCCAATACTATTAATACCACCAATATCACCAATACTACTGCCAATACAAATAATAAGGATTCTGTAAACCTAGATCAGAAAAAAAATGCAAATGCTTTAGGAATTGTTATCACTAAAATAACTGAAAATCCTATAACAGGTTCACCAAAAAACATACCTAAAACTGCAAAAGTGATAACAGCCATAAAGGAAATGGAAAAAGAAAAGCAAACTATAAACACATTGCTAATGGAAGCAAGTAATACTAATAAAAGGAGTGGTATCACTGAAGGAAGAAGAGAAAAACATAAAAAAATAGATGATAAAAACAATAAGAATAATAAAAATAAAACTGGTTTGAAAACCATTGAAAAGAAACAAGAAACTGGGGATCCAAAAAAGAAAAAAAGACGTATTGCACCAATTTTGGTTGAAAAAAAATAGAATTACTCAATTTAATATAATCTAATCTAATCTAATCTAATATGAAATGAAATGAAAATTTGTAGTTTTCGTTAGGCTTTTAATGATTAAACAACTTTTCTGTAATAATCGAATTTTATAAGTAGTTTCAACGGCAAAATTATATAGATTAATAATTAAATGAAACAATAAAATTTGATGAAAAATATTAGTATTTATTATTTAATAATTTTCATTGTCTTAAAATAAAAAAATGCGTAAATAAGAAAAAAATATTAAAGATGAAAGTAAAAAGAAAGTATAAATGGCAGCAATTAACTACAAAATGAAATAATTCTATGAAATAGTAATAGTAATAGTAATAATAATAGTAATAGTGATAGTGATAGTTATAACAAAAAAGGGAATAGAAAAGAAAAAGAAATTAAAAAAAACCTGGAATTTTCTGAGGATTATTTTTTAACCAGATTCAAAAGATTTAATTTTTCAATGTAGAATTTTGAACATAACGTTTTCTGGCCTTTTCAATCATTTCAGCCTTTTTTTGTTTCAAATTGAGAGCTCTTTGCTCTTTAGTTGGAGCCCAGCCAACGACAGTTTTATTCAAGTCTGTCGAATGTGAGATATTAGTACTTTGGGTAACTTTTTCAGGAACTGCTTGATTTTTTGTTGAGTTTTCTGTTGATTTTTCTGTTGATTTTTCTTCATTTGATGGTGAAAATGGTAGATTTCCATTTTTAAGGAACTTTTCAACAGTTTCCTCAATTGATCCAGTTTTTTCTAAATCATATCTAATTTGAGCAACGGATAGTTGGGGAGCTAAAGTTTGAACAACCTCAATCATATCATTATTGACAGCACGACGGCGTTTATGTATTGTATGGTTTGGGTTTGATTTTGATTTATGTTTTGAGCCAGTTGACAGAGATTGAGCAGAGGATTTCGCTGGCATTGTTGGAATTCCTGAATCTGATGTGGAATTGGTCTGTTGTTGCTGTCTACTAGATTTTGGTTTCAAGCCTGGATCAGCAAACCACTTTATGAGCACAAAGACAGCAACCAAGACAGAAACAAACACAACAGAAGAGACGTCCATGATTCACACACAAGTTGATAAAGAACAATCAGCTAAGCACCAGCAATTAAACAAAACAAACAGTAAGTTATAGGTAAAGGAATAACGAATTGGCAGCTATCAGTGAGAAAACCAACTGAAAAGAAGTTTCCAAGCTGCGCTGCATCCGACATCCAGCCAGTGCGAAAAATCGACTACAAACATCCAACATTTATTAAAAGATACAGCAACGAATAACAGTATAAGAGTATAGAGGGTATAAAAATAAAAAATACAACAGAAAAGAGAAGAGAAGAGGGCTAGTCTGTGCTGAACGACGATGCATTGCCAAAGTCTAGTTTGAATGCCTTTCCTTGTGTTGTACATCAGTAAAGATGTTGTGTTAGTAATTGAACAGCAGACGTTATACTTCTTTATTGATGGAGTGATACATACTTTCGTTTTTGATTGTGTAGATAAAATTAGTTATAATCTCGCTCTCTTTGGTGTTTTTGCTAAGAAAGTCCTTTTTGACAGCACTTGCCAACTCTTTTTTCGAAATTCTATCTTGATGTCTTGCTGTATAGGTCTTTTTGCCTATTTCACTACCTAACATAAACCCACTAATGCTCATGGCAGTTGGAACATCAAGGTTATATTTCAACCTGTACTTTCTTAATGATTCAATGGGATAGCTTTCGAAATCCAAGGCATGAGGGGTTTTTTTGTCCTTTGGACCATTGGAGTTGATATGCCTGGCTAAATACTCCTTTTGAGCCTGGAGTGCAGCAGCATTTCGTGCTTTAGCTGAGGTCTTGTTGGAACCTGAGTTGTTGTTGATTGAATTCGGATTCAGATTAGGGGACTTTTCATAGTCAGATATGACGGATGTTTCTCTGTTGTTTCTGGCCATTTTTTATCATTTATGTGAGTGGGTTCAATATACCAAAGTGAAGAAACCAAAGTGAAGTGGGCAAGATAGAAAGAATAAAAGTGCCCATTCCAACATTGTCCTCATAGCGAATTATCACTCTGTGCCTTTTTCCGATAAAAAACTTTGACAGTTGCACGCGAAACCAGCACTGCGGGACTATTCGGTTTTGCGCGTAGTCCGGCTAGTCTACGTACTGCATGCGTAATGTCGCGTATACAGGCATGATTATATCTATCTTTCTATATTCCTATTTGGTCTACACAGTTTTGGGTGTTTTATTGGGGTAATTGCCTACACTTTTTGCTTTCTCTGAAACAATCTTCTTAGCTTTTTGGATTAGAAGCTTTCATCATCTTGTCTTTCTAGTCCACCATCATATGTATAGGTTTGTATTAGCGGCAAACGGTCTAACCTGATTGCATTGGCTTCATTCTTGGTTATTCTACGATTTCTTTCGGTTCCATCAGTTCCATCAGTTCCATCAGCTCCTCCAGCTTCTTCAATTATGCTTGCATTACCTACATTTATGGGTGTTCTGTATAAACTCTCTGAATTATGAATCACTGGTTTTAAAGATTCCCTTAAACGATAAATAGAATTGTCGTCAGAAATATAAAGAGAAGAGGATGATGAGGTATTCAGTTCACTTTGATTATCATTATTATTAATACTACTATTATCAATACCACTATTATCATCTCTGTTATTTTCAGTAGTATCACTATTAATGTAAGTAATATCACTACTATAATAAGTAGTATCACTATTAATATTATCATTATTATTATTATCAATATTATCGATATTATTAATATTATCAAAAAGAGTTATATTATTTTTTTTCCTTTTAGTTATAAATTTAAAGTCGATAAAATGAAAGGGGTTTTGATCTTTATTGTGATAGAATTTTGATAGAATTTTTTCTTTCAATCTAATAAATCTATTACATCTAGCGGTTTCTTTCTCTTCCTGTAAATCAGGATTATTATTTAAAATATTGTTTGGAGAGAGTAAGTTTTCATCGAGGATATCATTATTATTCAACTCTGTTTGACTTTTGTTTGTAAAAATTTCACTAAACCTCATTTCTAAAATACAAAAGATTTAAACAAATTAAGCAATACTTTGCAAAAATTTTAGACAATTAAAATATTTATTTTTCAATTTTCAAGTTGCACAAGTAGTTGAGAATTTGCTTGAAATGTTTTTTTCTTTTCTCTTGATAAAAAATTCATTTTTATAAAGAAGTAAATAAAAGAAAATATAACCTTTATATAATATTGTTCATTGAATTAATAAATATTTTATTTTTTGTTATTAATCTGTTTTTCCCAATGAAAATTATAATCAGCATTATCAAATAATCAATTACCATGATTAAACAATCAAATTTATCAAGTTTATCAAGTTTATCAAGTTTACGAACATTTGAAAAAAACTGAAAACTGAATTGTAATTTGTTTTTAGTTTTCTAATCATGCTCTTTGTTTTCTCTTTTTTTTAAGAAGATTCTTTATTATGCCACATTTAAAGCCGGGGATGTTTTAGTTTTTATTGTTCTTTGGTGCCTTTTTGACACAGATCTACAATGCTTCTTCATGCACAACGGAAAAACCGGATTATCTTTTAATTTTCTCATGTATTGACTACACACTTAAAAACTATTATACTATTCTTTTATCATGTGGTGCTTATATCAATGTCTCTCACTAATATACCTTCATTACCCATATTTAGACTTCCTAATATTTCAATACTTGAATTGGTAATATCATATTCGGAAAAATCATTGCCAGGGTCTTTGGAAGCAAATGGTGATTTTCCGTTAAATTTTAGAATTGAAGAGGATCCTCCATATAATATATCATCTTCTATTCCAACTCTATTACAAATAATAACATGAGTTGACTCGTTTTTATCTTGAGGTAAATAAAATGATTCGATGGAATTTTTATAATAGATCGTGTTAATAAATGGAAAAAACCTTAAGATCCAATAATTCAAATTTGAATAATTCTTTTTAAAGTAATCAAATTTTTCATTTTGAGTATCAAAATTAAAATTATTTTTCGTTATTGTGTTTGAATTGTCACAATTGTATTCAATGTTGGATTCATTTCCATCTTTCTCATAAGCATCAAATATGTTTTTATAATAGTTTTTTTTCTCATTCAATTGATTTGATTTTTTATCAGGAATTAATGATGGGGAGCTTGAATTCAACCATGCCATTGGACATAAGATCAAAGAACAATGGTTTGTTTTGCAAAAAGTTGAAAATTCAAAATCCATAAAGGGTGCTTCAAACTTATAAGGGTTTAAATCCATACAAATTCCTATTGATACATTAGTCTTTTTGGTATTTTTATCATTGGCACCTTCGACCGAATCACTTAAATTAACAGGAAACACTTGAAATCCATTGGGATTCTCCTGACAATCCCACTGGTAATCTGTGTCATATAAAAAGGATTTTCTATAATTGAAGGCGACGGAACCATTGGGATGAACTAAACATGTGGAATTGAAGTTTTTGCCATTATGTATTTCAGGATATCCAATTAATGTGAAACATTTATACTTGTTTGATAGATCGATAGCCCAGCTGATTGAGGGACAATCATCAAAATTATTCAGCTCAATGCCCTTTGAAATATTTTCCAAGTATGGTCTAATATGGTCTTTACTGGAAAAGTTATATCCAGTCAATGAAAACTCGGGCAAAACAATCAAATCAAGTTTCTTTTTGGACAAGCTATCATGTTTACTGAAGTAATTACTGAGTATCAGCGATGCTCTCTTAGCATTTTCATTAAAGCTGCCGATTTTGGGATTTAGCTGAAGACAAGCTACCCTAAACTTCATCATCCTGTATATCACCAAGCGATATTCCTGAAGTATCCTCCACAATCTTCCAATATCTCCCCATGTCCCGTTGTCTGTTCGGACCCAAATCCCGGATCACGCTGAGCACATGACACATAAATCCTAATGTATGGGTCTTTTGCTGCAGGTCTGAAAACCATCCCAACGGTGCATGTACAAATATGCTTTTTGCTGCACCAATTATGTTGCATGCATATGCTCACATGGTAGTCATTGAGCTTTCGGAAACTGGAGAAGATGGCAGACGAAAGAGTTGTGCTTTTGCTTGACCTCTTTCTCTCCAGCTCCATGTTCTTTGGCTCTACAAAATGGACAAATTAAAGGACTACGACAAAGATTTTGTCAATGAAGATCGTATGTGTGCCATAGGCAATGACAGCAGGCTCATTTGATGCTCATTTGATGCTCTTTGGGCCTCTCTGGTTTGGTTTGTCCTATTTCTGCTGCTTGCCTGCTCTATTTCTCTGCCCATGTACTGCTACTAACTTTATTGTCTTGCTGTTCATTAGATATTGATGCATTCATAGATGCTCTAGAGTTTGATGATTCTAATTCTCCCAAAAATGGTACATTTGCATCTTTAGGTCTCTCCAGATCATCAACTTCTTCCTTGAACTTATTTCACTCCTTTCATCTCTCTGGGCCAAGTCAACGCACTGATTCTGACAACATTATTCAAAAATCCGATGAAAATAATGACAAAACAGATAACAAGAATAATATTAAACCAGATAAATCCAAGAAATTAAATAATGGCGATAAACCCCCAGAAAAGATTATCTCAAAGAGTGATTGGTCCCCAATATACAATGAACTTAATTCAAACTCAAATAATGTTAATTCCGATTTAAATTTATTTGATCTAAAGAAAATAGAAAACGACATATCCACTAAAAATGATTCCAAAAATCAATTTAAACCTCACTTGAATAAAAGTGATTTAATAATACCAGACGCTTTTAAACAAGGCTGGTCCTACCAATTTTTCAGTTGGCCTATTTTATTATTTGCAATTTGGTGGATAGGTCTATTAGCATTTTTTTATTTATTTATTAGAATTTACGTTGCATTATTTGAATCCTTCATAACTTGGAGAGGCAAAAGGAGATCCTTAAGAACAAATTTAAGAAATTCAAAAAATTATAAAGAATGGATCAAAAATGCTTTAGCTTTAGATAATTACTTGAATTTAAATAAATGGAAATCAGATCCAAAAAATTTTTATTACGATTGGAAAACTCTACTTAAAATCGTTAAAATCCTAAAAAAAATTAATAATAATCCCAGGCACTTGGATTCAAATATTGAAAAATTAGTTTTAATCTTGCAAAATTGTGTTAAAACTAATTTTGCTGGCATTGAAGGCCCAATATTATACTCTCAAACCTATTATAACACGAAAACTTTAATTGAAGATTACTATAATCAATTGCAAATATCTTTAAATTTAATTATTAATTCCGATAAAATTGATCCCATAGAGAAATATAAAATATTTAAACATTTTAATTCAAACTATGGTAAAACTGCTTTATGTCTTTCAGGTGGTGCATGCTTCTCTTATACACATTTTGGTATTGTCAAAGCCTTGATAGATAACGATTTATTGCCAAAAATTATATCAGGAACAAGTGGCGGAGGCCTTGTTGCTGTTCTAACTTGTACTAGAACAAACAAAGAACTAATGGACTTATTAATTCCAGAATTAGCTTATAAAATCACTGCTTGTTCAGATCCAATTTCCGAATGGCTTCCTAGATGGTGGAAAACTGGTGCAAGATTTGATTCTGCTGATTGGGCAAAAAAATCTTGCTGGTTCACTTTAGGAAGTTTAACCTTTAAAGAAGCTTATCAAAGAACAGGAAAAATATTAAATATATCAACAGTTCCCTCAGATTCTCACTCTCCTGTCATTCTTTGCAATCATATAACCTCTCCTAATTGCGTCATTTGGAGTTCTTTGTTGGCTTCATCAGCTGTGCCTGGTATTCTCAATCCTGTGGTTTTAATGATGAAAAATAACGATGGAAAAGTTGTACCTTTCAGTTTTGGTAGCAAATGGAAAGACGGTTCATTAAGGACTGATATTCCTGTTGAAGCGCTAAACACTTACTTTAATGTCAAATTTTCGATTGTTTCTCAAGTTAATCCACACATTGCATTATTTTTTTATGCTCCAAAAGGTTCTGTTGGTAGACCGGTATCAAGAAGAAAAGGAAGTGGTTTAAGAGGTGGCTTTGTGGGTGCTGCTCTAGAAAATTTTTTGAAATTAGAAATCACAAAATGGCTAAAATTGATCAAAAGTCTCGATTTATTGCCTAGAATAAAAGATCAGGATTGGTCTAATATATGGTTACAAAGATTTAGTGGGACCATAACATTGTGGCCAAAAATTAAGATAAAGGACTTTTATCATATATTAAGTGATCCAACTCCTGAAAGATTAAAAAGCATGATCCAAAACGGTGAATTAACTGCTTATCCAAAATTATTGTTTATTAAGCATAGGTTGTCCATTGAAAGATGCATTGAAAGGGGATTAAAAGAATCGAGAAAGGAATCGAAATTTTATGAAAATAATCAAAGCACACCAACTATCAATCCTGAAGATTTCTCTGCAGCCGATGCTCAAGAAGATTTAGACAATTCGGATCATCTTGAAAGTTATGACTCAGAGGTTTTGAAAACAATGTTCACTGATGGGCTTGGAATCTCAGTGAAAACAAATTCAAATGAAAGTCATCAAATTTCTAAAGATGATAGCTCAATTTATGAGTCAGAAGACATTTCTGACTTTTCTGATTATAGCTATAAAGACGATATTGAGGAAGTTAATTCTTTTGAAAATCCAGACACATTTGCTAATAATAATAGCTCAAAAACCCACGTTGAATAACAATTTAATAATCAAATCAATTAATTAGGTTTCTTTTAAAAGCTATTTGATTTTAAATTTCGCTGTAAAGAAAAATCAATATTTAAGAAAAATTAATATTCAAGAAAAATAAAACAAAATAAAGACATATTGTCAAAGTATAATTCATTAGCAGTTCTATTAAATATTTATTAAACAATGAGCAATAAGCAATAGTTGTAATCCTTTCCAAAAAATTAAGTAAATGTTATTTGAAACACAAAATGAATTTATACTAATAAAAACCAGATAATTATATAAAATGCAATTTAAAAGCTCAATAAAAAACAATAATAAAAATTGTAGGTATTAAAACAAAAACCACAATAAAATAGGGTTTTCAATAATCTTCATCATAATCTTTAGCTCTAAAATCATCCTTTGGAGGAGGTCTCCTGTTATGGAAGTCAACAGCTTGGTTTTCACTCTGCTGTTTGACCTCAGGCAACTTAGGAAGTTTTGAATCTATTTTTGGAGAAATGTAATCTGAATGGCTTTTTAATTTATCATTTGCTTCGTCTACAGAAATTTTTTCCTCGATAGAATCTGACGATTCTTTCTTACTAATATCGATAACATCTTTTTCTTTATTAATATCACTATCCATTTCGCTTGCAACCTCAGAACTATCTGCATTTTCTAAATTATTTAAATTTTCCTGAGAATCATTAGGATATTCGTTTTCGACAGAAATTCTATTATAAAACCCATCCAAGTCATGGTTTGTTTTCATAGAAATTGATTGAGCAATATTTTCAATTGGATGAATAAATTTTTCATTATAGTCATATTTTTTCCCTTGTTCCTCAAGTTCTTTTATTTTATCATGTCTATAAAAAAATAAATCTTTCAAATAAGGTTTGAATTCAATCTTATCAATAACTTTTTTATTTGATTTTGATTTATCTAACGATTGCCTTTCAGCAAAATGTATTCTGGTTATATCATGAGTCAAATAAAACTCTTTTAAGATTTCTTCATCAAATAGCAATAATTCTAAAATCAAATCATCGCTATTGCTTAGATCCTCCAATTGTTTTGTGAAGTTTTTTTTCTCGAACTTTTTACCTGCTTTTATTAATTGGGAATGTTGATGAGTTAAGAATTTTTTTATGGACATAATTGGAACCCACATTCTTAATTTTGAGATGAAATAATGTCTATTAAATTTTGTTAATGTTAATGAATTACTTTTATATTCATTTAACAATATTGATTTGTAATCGTTTGGAATAAAACCTTTTGTTCCTTCAACCAAGGAAATTTTCATTGGAGAAATGCTTGAAAATAAAACAAAATGATTGTTTCGACAATTATAAATTTGCAAGTTATTATTAATTTCGAATCTTTGGGCAATGGATGTCAATCCTTTGACTTTTTTATCCGGATTACCCAAGAAATCATAATTTTCGGTATCAGAAAGATACTTTCTATATTTGATGGGTAATCTTGAGCTTGTTAAAGCCAAACCAGTTATATCAACGTACATACCGGTGTCAATATCAATGATTCTTGAGTCAATATTATTTTTACCATTGCCTTTTCTTCTATGGGTTATAAAAGAACCACAATCAATATAGTATTTTCCAAATCCATCGTTCAAATTCTCAATAATCAATGAATTGTTATAATATTTCGCTAGTTTATCCAATTCAGTTATTGGCATTTGAACATCAATATCGTTATCCCAATTAAAACTGTAACCGTTCCAATACCATGATAATAGAGAACCATGGGCTATCCAAGCTACTAAATTGTTTGAATATGTAAATTTAAGCCAGGATCTTAACATATGATGTAGAATTATTCGGATTTCATACTCAGACTTAATTACGCCATTGAAAAATCTCCAATCATAGTGACCACCGGGATTTTTAGCACTAACTGAATTTTTGATTATTGGAACCTCGTGGAAATATTTTAATAGTTTTGAGGGTAGAAAAGATAAAGAATACTTTAGAGATTGATAATGCAATAGCTCGTTGTCAGGTAATTTAGAAATATCCTTTGATTCATATTCTTCTACAATTTTTTTTGGTTGATAAAAAAATGAGGATTTATCTAATTCAAATTGATAATTTGAATTGATTTTAAAAAAATTTGGATCAGGAACTGAGTTTGGAGGAAAACTGCCAATTAATTTGTTAAAGTAGTTTAAAGGATTAACTTGCAAATTAATAGAAGTTGTTTTTTTTTGAATATTATTGCCTAAAATTTGATTTTCATAATTAAATAGCAAAGGTTTAACCATTTCGTCAAAGTTTTCAATTAGCTTTACAGAATTTCCTCTATTTTTAATGCCGCCATTTTTAACTTTGAATACATAGGATTTAACAGAGTTTATGGGAGTTTTTGTTTTCTTATTATCATTATTATTTTCGTTGATAATATAGTCATCTACTAAAAAAATAATTGAAGATGGGTTTGAAGCAAAAGAGTATAAATAGGATTTTCCTTGATAAATTTTTGATCTTACAGAAGATTTTCTTGACCATCTATGAATGTTAAAGCCTAATTTTGATTTTAAATTTTGATTATAATTCGGTATAATTTCTTCAATATTATCATCATTTAAGCAAAACAATGAGGGATCATTAAGATTTGGAATTAAAGGTATTGGTAATTTATTATTGATTAAATTGATAATTTTTGAGTTTTCTATAATTTCATCAGGAGTTAATTTTTGAAAGTAATTATCATTTTCAATGATATAATCATCCTGGAGAAATGAATAAATGGCTGGGGGTTCAAGTGGGATGCTTGAACCAACGTACTCACAATTATATTTTAATTTTGCTTCTGGGTCAATATTTGGATCGTTATTATAGAGGATGAAGGGATTTAGATCAGTTAAATCTATCCAATCATACCAATGAAATGGTAGCTCTATATCATAGGAGTGTTTTTGAGCAAGATTATTGGTGTTCTTGTTTAATGTAATTAATTGTTGATTAATGTAGTTTAGATAAACCGCAAGAGTGAACCTAATGTCATACTTGGAAACTATGGGTAGATCGTAGTTCTTGATTAAATTAAATGAGGCAAGAAATTGGTTGATATAGTAATTTGGAATGTTTGTTGAAAATTTTGTCTGATTTAAATTTAAATTTGAGTTTATATTGGAATCAATATTTGGATTTTCATTCGAACTCAGGTCAAGAATGTGGTTGCTTTTTTCTAAATTATTTAATTTTTCAATCAAGATAAAATCATCAGTTGGGGATTTTGATTTCAACAAATTTATTATATTTGAGAAATCTAAAAAATTAAATAACGAGTTTTTATTTTCATTTTCTATACTGTTTTCATATTCATCTTTTTGAGTATTATTTTCGTTGTCATCCTGTATTGGGTCCTTGTTAATGTTATTTGATAGGTTTGATATAGAAATAATTGAACCAATACCTGGATTTGAAAATTTGTTTAAATTAAATAGAATGAAATAGAATAAAAATAGCAATAAGAAAATTGAAAATACTCTTGATCTCCTCAATCTATTCACTATCGCAAAAAAAGCCATTATAATATGAGTTCAGTAGAGCAACGCATAAATAATAGGATCTGAAAGCAGCTGGATAGAAGTAGATTGATCTGAGACTGATTTGATGGTATTATGGAAAAAAATAGCAAGAGGAAATTGAAGACAAATTGAATGAAAAGTATCCAAAAGCCTTAAACAGCCCAAAAGAAAGAGACAAAATGGTGTAGTTTATCTGAAAATATCTTCTTTCTTCCTAACATGTGTAATCATTGGCGAAGAAAACTGCAGGTATGCGTTTATCTGCTGGTGCTGCAGCCAACAGTGTCTAACTATCCATAAAAAACAGGTATTTTTTCAAACAATCAACTGATAGCACTACATTAGTCCCACACTCCAAGGGAGTTATCTGATAAGCCATGTTCATGCTGCAATGTGTTTGCTGTGTATCATATATGCATATATGTGCATAGAACAACCGTGTGCGTAGATATTCGTAAAAAGCTCGTCTTGAATTGCGTATGATCATTGGAGAAAGTCCGTAAATATCCGTTTTCATCTTATTTCGGATTACGCTTTCGGAATGTCAAATGCTGATTCCGTCAAAGTTTCAAATTTTGGGAATTTCGATAATTTCGAGTTGAACAATTACTCACCTTAATCAATTGCAGCCTTAGATTACGTTCATCAACAAAATGATTTGACAGTGCACTTTTATTCCTGTTTTTGTTTTCAAATCTGCTTTTTTTATTTTACTCTTATTGTATTTGAATACCTCAAATGAGTCGTTTTGCTGCTGTGAAAAGAGTTACCAACGAAACTTCTATTCAGATTGTCCTAGATATTGATGGAGGCCCAATCACTGTTGAGGAATCGATTTTCAAAGGCGACAAAAAAATCAACTATGGTGAGCTAATTCAAAAAAGCTCAAGCTCTGGCTCAACCCAATTTATTTATATTAATACAGGTCTTGGTTTTTTGGATCATATGTTAAGTGCTCTATCCAAGCATGCTGGATGGTCTATAGTCATTGAGTGTATTGGAGATTTGTGGATCGATGATCACCATACTGCTGAAGATGTTGGTATCACTTTGGGGTTGACATTCCATAAAGCTTTGGGTCATGTCAAAGGTGTCAAACGTTTTGGTACTGGTTTTGCTCCATTAGACGAGGCTTTATCAAGATCTATTGTTGATTTATCAAACAGACCATATTCTGTGATTGAATTGGGTTTAAAACGAGAAAAAATCGGCGATTTAAGCTGTGAAATGATTCCACATGTTTTGGAAAGTTTTGCTCAAGGTGCTTCAATAACTCTACATGTAGATTGTTTAAGAGGCTTTAATGACCATCATAGAGCAGAGAGTGCTTTCAAGTCGCTAGCGATAGCATTAAAAGAAGCAACTTCCAAAACTGGGTCAAATGACGTTCCCTCAACCAAGGGTGTTTTGTTTTAGTTAATTTTGATCAATCCAAAATTTATTTCAGTCAAAATGTATTTAAAATTATACTATATACATATATTGAATACTTGTTATATTTTAAAGCATTAATTTTTAGGTTTTCCAGGTTTTCCAGGTTTTCTTAACATTGATATAAACTTGTTAATAAAAACTTTTTTATTTTCTTCATTTTCATCACTATATATATAAGCTGATTTATCAGTATGAATATCATTAACAATCCTAGAGTAACCTTTGGTAACTCTCTTTTTTGTTTTATTTATTTGAACTTCGTTTTTATTAAATGGTTTACCGAATAAATTAACTGCACCATCAGCATTAATAGAACCAGTAGCAACATTTATTGGAATCATAAATTCTCTTTGGTTTTCCCCGAAAAGGTTTTGAAAAATGTTTGTATTATTAAAAGGTCTAAATGTAAAACCAGCACCAACACACATTTTGTTTCCAGATAAACCAACAGATCTACCAGGGAAAATGGTTGATGAAGAGTATCCATCAATATCATTTTTTAATCTACCTTTAAGATTATATGATAGTCCACCGAATCCTTTAATACCATTTTGATAATTTTGGAAAATGTCCATGTTATCATTTTTTTCATTTTTTTTCATTTTTTCTTCAAGAAAATTTAAAAGTTCTTTAACCAATAATTGCTTTTTATTAATATTAGAATGGGCTTGAAGATATAAAGATGGATTTTTTTTAACCAAATATTCTTTAAAATCATATCTTAAATTTTTAAAATTTTTGTATAATTTTTTAGCATCACTGTTATTCTTAACAGATTCAGGGTTGATTAATTCTTGTATTTGACCAACTGCATTGTAATTAGATATAGTAGAGTTTATAGATGATGAAGGAGTAGGTGTGTGTTTATAATTAGACAAGTTTTCTGGGTTCATAAATAAAGGATTTAAAGAATTTGTTTCGTTTTCTCTGATTAATGGGATTTGCAATTCTTGAAATCTTTTTTTAATCCAATGAAAACTACCATTTTTTTCGAAATTGGTCATATGTTCAATAGTGTCAAATTGATCAACAATGATATATTTGCTCTTAATCTTGGATGGTAATGCTGATTTTAAACCCCATTCTCTTCGATACAAATTTGCAGAAGTAGTTTGAATGATCTGATGAGTTGGTACGGATTTGGTTTTAACAATATTAAAAAATGATTCAACTTTGGGAAGTTGTGCTATTCTGGAGTTTCCCAAAAGAGCTTCAAACGATTTGAAAGACATTTTTTATGAATATAAAAGTCTCTATTTTGCCTTCAACTCCTTGATATAACTCAGTATAGCTCGATAACTCAAACTTTAGATGCAATAATTTCTTTGGATTTTCAGCAAATAAAAAATGTCTATTGAAAAAAAGACCAAAAACAGCAAAAGCATGTGACCTTAATAAGTATAAATATTTTACTTGATCCAAATAAGGCAGTTATGGCATCATGGCCGAGTGGTTAAGGCGAAAGATTAGAAATCTTTTGGGATTTCCCGCGCAGGTTCGAGTCCTGCTGATGTCGTTTACTCTTTTTTCTAAGAGTAGTAATTTTTTTGGAAAATAAAGGCACTTCAAGAAATATATTTTGAATTGAACCAACTCGTGTAGGATTTTCTCCCTATCATGTTTATGTTTTCCTACGAATTGCTTAAAATTGGGTAATTAGTAGCAGTGGTTTTAATAATATAATTAACGCTCTTTATACATGTCCGTGCTTCTGATGCTGGCTGGTTTCAAGACCAAAAAGTGAATGGAAAAACAAAAAATAATAAAGGTCCAACTACAGAGAATTATCAATAAACTAAACTGTATCATTAATGAATGTTTGTTTTTCAAAGTTATTTAAAAGAATTTCTTTTCCAAGTTCTTTTCGCTAAACTCTTTTCTAGAAACATATTTGAACGGCTCAATTTCACTTGGCTCGTCTTTTTTATCAATTTCTGGTTCATTTTCCACATTTAGCTCCTTCTTTTCATTGACAGCTTCTGTCTTGATTTCGTCTTTCTTTTCTTCTGGTTCTTCTTTCAAGATTTTGGCGAGCTCAGCCAGGAATTTATCAAAATCAAACTCTTCTTCTGCCTGAAAATCCTTTTCCTGCATCTTCTGATCCTTTTTATTTGAATTTATCAAACCAACTTCACTTTTTTTGTTTCCTGAACGTTCAAACATCAAATTTATAAGTTTCAATCTATCGTCGATATCCACATACTGTTTTTTAACTTCAATATCTTCAATGATTTCTTTTAAGATTTTTATTTTCATCTTATATCTTTTAGTGACCTCCTCATCTTTCCTTTTAATGTCGATAAGATTGACCAATTGAGATGCCAATAATACAACTAAAAAGGATGGATATATATACGACCTATCAATCTTGATTTTGACTCTCTTTTGGTTTATGCTTTCTTGGTTATATTGGACTCGACACCTAGAAAATTTTCTGCTCTTGGAAACATTATCGAATATGGCTCGACCTGGTTTTATTCTTTTGTAAAAGATTGAAAACATCTCTGATTAAAATTAAGAGTTCTTCATCTCTAAAAGCTGAAAATATTGCCAATCACTGCACGTGCTTTTAAGCCGAAAAGAACCAACGCACCGGTTCCATGCTGTTATACGCTTATATATGCATGCCAATACGAGCTATAAAAATTGATTACCTACGAAAAATCTAATATAAATATACACTATTACACACAATTACAATCTTCATTGAACTTCATGGTTTCTAATTTCTCCTTGAGAGACCTCTTGTTCTATCAGCGCAAATTGGTATCCACCTGTGGTTTCTTTATTAACTGAAGATGTCAAAACCTGTCCGTCTTTTGCTCCATCCACAGTAACAGTATTGACGTCAACATCAACCTTAATTTTTGGTTTCCAATTGTTGTATGCATCTCCACCTTGCTCTTCGAGTATTTTGAACCTTTCTTCAAAATTATCTATTGATTTTTCGTCTTCAATGTCACACTTCCAGCCATATATACCTTCCAATATTGTAACAAAACTTTCAAGTTTTTGTTCTTTAGTTCTCTGTGGTGTCTTTTCTGAGTTTTCTTTACTATCTTCATCTTCAGTTTTATTTCTACCTTCATCTTCATCTTCATCTTCATCTTCATCTTCATCTTCATTCTCAACTTCCTCATTATTGTTAATGGTGTTAAATACCGAATACCTTGTAAACTCATCATGACTGCCTTCTTCAAAATATAATTTATAAGAATCTTGGGCAACACGAACTTTCAATTGGGAATCTGTATAACCTTCAATTTGATCCTGAGAATCGTCATCGAAATTAGCCAAAAATGGCATGCAAATTTTATTTGCTGGAACCCCCTCAGTTGGATGTGCCATTATATAACTTGTTAAGTAATAATTCCATTTTTCTTCATCGTTCTTATGATTCTTCAAGGTCAAATCATCCAAAGCAACAAATTGAATAGTGACATGATCATTTTTGTTATCGTATTCAATTCTAAACATATTTTCTTCAGCTCCCATCAACTCTCTGACCCTCATTCTATAAATAATTTGATCTCTAGTTGCACTTCCAATATAATTTTTATCCAACTCAAATAAAACCATCATTTCTGATAATTTATTATCGCAAATTATTGTATGAATATGCTTGGATAATCCCTGAATGACTTTATCAACTGTAAATAACTTAAATGCTTTATTACGGTATGCTTGTCTTAATGTCTCCTCAAACCATTGTCTTTCAATTTGTCCCTCAATTAGCCTGATCGAAAGCTCAATTGTTTGTCCATATGGATTTTCTCCATTCAATTCATAACCCATGTCTTTTAATTGAGATGAGAGTAATCCTAGATCTTTGGCAAATTGTGTATCAATACGGCTAGATATTTCCTTACTAGTTTCTTCATTCATTTTCTTCAATTCTTCCAATCTTTCATAAATAGTCCTTAAAAATCTAAAAAATACATAAATTTGCGTATTGCAAAACAAATTAAAAACATTTCTTTGAGAATTAGAATTTAATGATTCATCCAATTCCAATGTTGCTCTAGGATTAGCTAATGTTTCAATCCATGACTCTCCAGCTTTAGCAACCTCATCAGATATATCAAGTTCATCATGGTGATCTTGAGATGGTGAAGCTGGACTGTCACTGACATCTCCTCCTCTTCTGTTTCTTTTATTACTTCTTTTGAGGACATCTCTGAGTAAGTCAGAATCACGGTTACGTTTTTTATTTCCAGTAGAGACTGGAGTCGTAGATCCTGCAATACTACTAGAATCTGTTGTAAAATTTTGGAATTTTTCAACCAATTCATCGGGCAATTCAAAGAACAATTTTAGAAAACACGAATAAAAATTAATAATTTTTTCTTTGTCTCTGGTTGAGTAAGGATTATTATTATCCAAGTACGCACATAACAATTGGGAAATATCAATAAAAATCTCTTTATCTTTGAAATCATAATCTAATTGATTTTGAGGTTTAGGTGTTAATGGATGAAGTTTCTTTATGGAGTTATTTTGCTCAACTTTAATAGCATTGATTTCGGAAATTAGTTGCTTAGTAGTTAATAATTTTTTATCGGCTTGTTTGAAAGTGAGACCTAAATGGTCTAAACTTTTATGAAAGACTTTTTGTTCTTGTTCTCTCCAAATTTTATTCCATTCTCGATGAGCCTTTTTCCATTCTTCGTCTTTCTGTTTTAATCTTTTTAAAACAATTGGAATGGATATTGCTGGTTTTTCGTGTAAAGCGTCTATTACTTCAAAACCTTTATCTTTATCATATATTTTTCTGATAACTTTTTTATAAATAGTTATTGATGTATGACCTAAACCAGGCTCTAACTTGAAATTCTCTTTCTCTCTTTGGGGCATTGAAGCGATTCTATTTGCGATTGTTTCCAAAGTTTGGATTGTTCTTAAATTTGCTTCCATATAAAAATCATATTCATGTCTAGCTTCTTCGATATTAAACAAGACTTCTTCATATTGATTTTTGCGATGAGCAATAAATCCCGAATCTTCGGAAGCCCAAATTGGATGACCAACCCATTCATCATTACAGACTTCCCAGCACAACTCATCACGGCCAGAGCAGGGCATATAAGTTTCAGCTTTTGGAAGTTGTCTATATGAGGGACCATATGCTTTACATAAATCTAGTTGTAATTTATGTTTTTTAAAATGGATATCTTCGATATTTAAAGGTTCAAGACCATCATAACCAATATAATTTTTGAACCAATCAAATAATTCGGGTTGAGAACCAATAAAGCTATAAATTCTTTCAACAAGAGTAATTTTGTCAATTAAATTTTGAGTGAAAAGGTTAATTAATTTCAAAAAATTATTATAAGTTGGTCTGTTTGAAATGAATTTTTTGCATTTATCAAAAAAGGCCAACTCTTCAGTTAGAGCAGTCTTTTGAGGAGGAAGTTTTTGGATTGGTTGTGATTGAGCTTGAACTTGAGATTGGGATTGTCTTTGATAAGATGGGTTATTTAGATAATTGGGGTTGGGTAGGATATCGCCTCTTTCACTTGAAACAGGATATTGATCGTTGCTATTGTTGATATTTTGTAGAGAAATATAATTATTATTTGATCTTCTGTTATTTGGGGCTATTATAGGATTAGCAATTGGAGGAGGCTGAATGGAAATTTGTTGTAATTGATTAGCTTGCTGTAATTGTTGCAGGACCTGATTTTGAATTTGAATTTGACCTGAAATTGAATTTTTGGATGCCGAGGGAGGAGGAAAATTTCCAACTGGTGGAAGATGAGAATTAGTAGGGGTTCTTAAACCTTGAGGAATTTGGTTTTGGTTTTGGTTTTGAGGTTGATTTTGATTTTGATTTTGACTTTGACTTTGATTTTGACTTTGACTTTGACTTTGACTTTGATTCTGACTCTGAGGTTGATTTTGAACTTGATTTTGGTTTTGGGAAGGCACAGGAGAATAATAAGATGAGTAAGATAAGTCCTGTTGTTGAACCGGGTGTTGTTGTTGATGGGATTGAGTTTGCTGATATTGTTGAGATAAATTTTGATTTAATTGCTGCTGTTGCTGTTGCTGTTGGTTGAAAGATTGATAATTACTTTGTGGAAGACTAAATTGCTGTGGACCATCGTAAGGTATAAATCTTTTAAAGTCTGCTAATAAATCAGGATCATCTCTGAACAAGTTTGTCACCTCATGATAAACTTCATAGATTGGTTTATTTTCAGTTTGATAATTCTGCAAAGTTTTCAAAAACTGTTTATAAATTTCGGGTTGATTGGTAAAACGGACTTTAACATGATTGACATAGTTGATTGCATCGTTCATTTCGACTTGACCTTGAATTTGTTGTTGAATTGTGGATTGAGTTGGATGATAGATCTGAATTTGTTGTGATTGAGATTGTAGTTGCTGTTGCTGATGCTGTTGCTGATGCTGCTGCTGCTGCTGCTGCTGCTGCTGTTGTTGTTGTTGTTGGATTTGCAGCGTATGAACTTGAGAAATTTGGGGTTGCTGAGGTTGGGGATGCTGAATTGGATGAAGAGGCATTTGTGGTGGCACTTGTTGAGCTTGAGTTTGAGTTTGGACTTGAGAGGAAGAGATTTGTGACAGAGATAGATGCTGGGGTTGGGATTGAGATTGAGATTGCTGAGGGATCGAGGATTGAGTGGTTGTGCCTCTTGGAGTGGTTACTCGAATCAAATGAGGATCAAGAGGATCTGTCGAACACTCAATGTGATAACCTGGAGGCAAAAAGGTGTTAAAGCCTTGGATCAAGTTGAGATGTCCACGAAATAATACTGATACTTTGTCGATAACGTCCGGGGTGTCAATCCTGTTAAAAAAAACAAGCCAAAAGCAAAAAAAGCAAAGAAGATGTTAGTGAGAAATCCAAAGGAGCTGAAAAAAACAAAACAGCAACATCGAGACAGCAACACCAGAGCAGGAGAGCAACGATACATACATTTGCCCTTTGAAGGCCTTCATAATGTCCAAGAACTGGTTGTAGACATCGGGCTGGTGAAAAAACTGTTTTTTTACTTGCTTTAAATAGGCCAAAGCATCTGTCATGTTCAAGATTCGAAGCAAGGGCTGGTCCTGTGGTTGGCCATTCATTTCCTGTGATAGCTGGAGAAGATATATGAGCTGTGCCTGAAGAACTGGAGCTTTTTTGCTTTTGTATCTCAGTGCCTTTTTGCGCAGGGCTTACCCGCCAGGTCACGTTCCATGCCGGCTCCACAGAGATGGACGCTGCGGGTGTGCATATGCACGCCTCATCTGGCAGCGCACTCCAAGCCCACGAGTCTGGTAGCCACGGCGAACCCGAACACCGCCATGAAGGGAATGCCGGCGTACACGATCAACCGCCCAACCACCTCCACGTCGTACCGCGGCCGCAACGCGACGCACGCCGGATAGGTGCGGTTTTTCAAGTCCAAGTCGTGCTCCAACTCCCTGGCGTTTTTGCTAGTCGACAACACCTCATAGTAGTCGCTCATCGACGCTGGGCCCTGTTTGTCGTCTAGCTTTCCAAAGGTGAGATCGCTCTTGGAAATGTTATCTTTGGAGAGTAGATTCTCGTAAATCGTCTCGTACTCCTTTTCGCTTGAGATTCGGGAAACCGGCCTGAAAAACCTTCTGGGAACGTAGATGTTGATCTTCTTGTAAATTCTGGGTAAGATCAAGTAGATGATTTTCTTAGAGAACGTTTTCCAAATCAACACCAAAATTGCTCCTAGCACCACCCTCAAAATAGACCCAACCAACCCCAATTGATCATATGAATAGTATGTCGATATCTTGCTATCCTGGTACTCAATTGGCAAAACGTACTTGGATTTAGAATACAACCAATGCGTAATCTCCAATCCTGATACAACTCCAATAAATGCAACAGAGTCGTCAAAACATGGGCAGTCGTCAACGGGCTCAGCATGGAAATGAATCAATATACCAGTTATACTTATAATTGAAACCGGAATCAAAATTGAAACCAAACCAAGTTTTAAATCAAAATTAAACACAAAATTGTCCCAATGCTCTTTAATCAACAATCGAAATATAACACAAAATATCCCTATCAAAGATCCAAATAGTAAGTCTAAAAACCCATGCATCCCACAATAAATTCTACCAAATAAAAGTGAAAAATAATAAACGAAAATCAAAAATATCGAAAAATATTCTAAAATGAATGAGTCATTGTTAATACTATTATTATTATCAATTTTGTTGTTTTGAATTTTTTCATACAAATAAACCAAAAAAATCAATGCAGCGCCCGTCGCATTTGCTGAATGTGATGACGGTAATCCATATTCCTTTGCTGTATATCCTGACATTGTGATCCGATGTACAGGAGGTGATCTTGGTCTAGGTAAACAAAAATAATCCTTCAAGCATCCTGTGAAAAACACCCCAAATCCTAAAACCCAAACTAAATCCCTCGTCAACTCGGCTGATCCAAACCAAATGGGTATTGGTAAAATTAAAACATAAAATGTGTGAGCAGCCAAATTAGCAGTCCACGAAAAATACAAATCAAAAACCTTGCAACGTAATAAAGACTGGATTTTGAACAAAATTGGGGTTTCTGCTCTAATTAATGGCAATAAAATCGACCTAAACCGATAACGAAATGGTGAAAATTTAGACTTGTAATGTTCGTCACTCTTATTTCCAGCATCAATGTTAATAACAGATCTCTTTCTAGGTCGATTTGTTCTCTGGTTCGCAGTAATAGTTGTGGAAGAAGAGCTTGAGCTGGTGCCCTGGAAATCCACAACAGAGAATGGCATTATCAAAGAAAATTAAATATAAATTACTGCTGCACTGGAACCAAATGCATTTCAACTCCCAAACAGCAAACCGACTCTATAAAACTGCTTATCTTCTCTTCTCATAACGTGAACAATTTCACACTTCAAGGTTTGCCTGGATTGAGTTTCCGTCCATCTACGGAAAAACACATCCGTTCCCGGAAAAAACAATATCTGCAGAAGCTGGTTTGGACAGCATTTTCTTTTTAGGAGAAGAAGCAGAAGAAGCAGAAGCAGAGATCCCATTGCGTTTCAACACCCTCACAACACTCTCACACAATGCTATCTGTAAATCGCCAGCAAATAAGCCAGCTTTTGCAGTTTGCACTAATCGTCTCCAGTGCTTTTATGATCTGGAAAACTCTTTCTGTGATAACAAACTCAGAGTCTCCAATTGTCGTTGTATTGTCTGGCTCAATGGAACCTGCCTTCCAAAGAGGCGATATATTGTTTTTGAATAATAGGCAGACCTTTGTTGACGCCGGTGATATAGTTGTTTATCAGATCAAACATAGAGAAATTCCAATTGTTCATCGAGTAATGAATCAACACTCAAACTTGCAAAAGTTAAAACAGTTTCTCTTGACCAAAGGTGACAACAATCCCGTAAATGACTTAAGCTTGTACAATAGAAATCAACTATATCTTAACAGAGAAAAGGACATTTTGGGTGTAGTCAAAGGTTACTTGCCCAAAGTTGGCTATTTAACTATATTTATAACTGAAAATGCTTACTTCAAATATACCTTACTAGGTTTGATGGCCATATCTTCGATTTTACAACGTGATGAATGATAACCTTTAAGTAGCACTCTTTTAACAATAACAACATTTTATAGCTTAATTTGATTTAATTTAATTTAACTTAAATCTAAAAAATAAAAAAATAAAACAATAAAATAAAAGAATAAACAGACAAAAAATAAACTTAATCAAAAGGTGTCAAATATGCTTCAGCAATAAATCTCGATCTTGCATTTAAAAATAACTTCATTTCACTGATTTCTTTATCAACGTCTTCCATGAATTCAATGATAAAATCAACTAACTTAAATTTCAACATTTTATTTGTATGGTAATTAGTTATCAAAAAACTGATATCATATCCCTCAATTGGATTTCTTCTTAATATTAAAAATTGTTCAGCTCTTGAGGTTAAAAATCTTGTAAATTTATGAACCAATATCTGTTCAATTTCATCGCTTTTTTTGATTTTGATTGAAACTCGAACTGAATTAATACTTGGTTCAATCAAAGTTTTTTCGTTTTCATTCCTCGATATTAACATTGGATTCAATAAAACCTCTCTAGTTTGCTTGCTCTCGATTTCAGGTCTATTGTGCCTTTCAACAATTTGTGACGAAAAATCCTCCAATGTCATTGCTGCTGTCAAACTGCTTCTTACAGCAGATAAATATGGTCTTAATGATTGTGACTATTTCATTATTATTCAATTCAATTTAATTCAATTTCCATCAATTTAATTTATCATTATATCACCTTTTCAAACTCTTATTCTCATCAAATGAATTTCAGATATTTTATTTTTTTTTGTTCAAGTTTTCTCAATCTTGTTTTTTTAACTTCCCCTATTCCTACATAAATCGAAAAATCAATTGATGCGAGTTGAAAAAAAAATGATAAATTACGATTAACCAATTTGATCACAACACTGTTAGTACCCTAGTAATGGAATATTAGTTTCTAGCACTCAATTACTCACCATTTTTCCTATTAAATCTTATATTCTAATCCTACTTATTATCCTATATGAGGTTCACCAGATCACAGATGGATAACAATACGTATCGGCTTTGGTTCTTTTATTTTTCACTGACCGCTTAGCTAAGCAAAAACCCAAAAATCAGGTACCAATGCATTTAGCCGTTTAAAAATGCGTCATATGCATAAAAACCAAATAGATGGTTCTAACCCATCGCAATGGTGAAAAGGAAGCAAAAACAGCAAAAACAGCATAAGAAGCACAAGTTCTCAATAGTCCAACTCCATATTAACTAAATTATTGTTAAAGGCACTGCTCACTTTGGTTGACATGTTTGCTGCTGCAAATCTTCTATCTCTTGCTTCTCTTTCCCTTCTTCGTTGATCTTCTATTAGTTTTTCTTTCATCGATCTAATAGATATATTGAAAATAATTTCCACTTCTTTTTCGATTTGTTTTTCAATATCAATTTCGTTATCCAAATCACTTTTGTTTTTTTCCTCTATTTTCTCTTCATCAACTGGTTCAAACAATTCGGGATTGGTTTTGATTAATTCAATCAGTTTATCAACAGTAGTTAGCTTCTCGTAATTTTCGCTGTACAACACAGTCTGGTTTCTTGTCAAAAAATCTCGAAATTCTAAATATTCAACTTCTTTCTTGTTTTTTATATTCTCATAAAATTTATTGAATTTAATTGAATTTAATTTGTTAAGACTATCATTTGCTTCTTTATAGCAACAATTTGCTAAAAAATTTCCAAAAATCCCCTTTCTTTCCAAATACCTATTAATCACATTTTTCTTAATTTTGAATACATCACTGATTTCTTCATTTATCAAAATCTCATAAATCAATCCAATATCTTTTTCTTTTATATTTTTAGTTTTTTCATTTTCCGATATCAATTTTAGAAAATATTCTTTGATATTAACCATATTAAATCTTAGCGTGTTTTTATTTATCAATTTGAAGTTTTTCTCCAACAACAAATTAAAAACAATATCTTTTTGGGCCCTTAAATTTACAGTTTTTTCTTCAACTACATCCAAAAATAATTCCAATGGCGTAGATCCATTGCGGCCACATAATTCAATAAATGCTGGTTCATCTTTAATCAATAAATGAAAATCTTTAAATTTAGTATTGACATCAATCATATTGTCTCCAGAACTGTATTTTTTTAATATTTGATTTTTAAAATTATCTCTAGCAATTCTATCTTTTCTATAGTTAATTTTGTCAATTTTTTTAATTTTATTTTCAAATTCCATTTGGATTTCTTTAAATATTTCTTCATAAGTATTTAACAAATCCAATTGAGTCAAGATTTTAAAATTTTTATTTTCTTTAAATCTTGCATCGCTTTCAATATAATTTAAAACAAATTTCCAATTATTTTTAATATTGATAATGTCTCTTTTAACTAAATTGACTTTGAAATAATCTTTTAGTTCAGAAATCGCCTGTTTTTTTAATTCATTTTTAGCTTTAGATTGTTCGTTTCTTAGCTCGCTTATAAAATTATCAAAACATGTTTTTTTTTCTTTTTCAGAAATAATAGAGTGCAAATAAATTGGTTCATCTTGAATCAACCTTTTGATTGTTTTCCATCTTGAATAATAAAAAATCTTGCCCTCTTCTTTATAATTGTTTAACATATTTAAAAAAGCTTTATTAAACTTCTCCTTGGAATTATTTTCCGCCATTAATTCTTCTTCTGTTCTGTTAATTAAATATTCATGAAATAGTCTTTGTCTATCTAATGAGTTATCGATTATCCAGTATCTTTTGTCATTAATAAATTTTTCCATAATTTGTTTGAATGACCATGTTGCGTCCACTTTATTTTCCCTTAACATTAACGTGTATTTAGTTTTGCCATCATCATTATAGACAATGGAGCTTGAAATATTAAGTAACTCATTTTTATCTTTAAACAAATTTAACAATTCTGCTTGAAAATCTCGCTCTTTTGTTACTTTATTTTCCTTTTTCTCTATGCCACTAGTTTCCAGAATATGGTTGTTGTTTTCAGTTGTAATCTGATCGTTTTCCTTTTTAACAAACACATTTCCATTGTTTCCCTTTGCCTTCTTATTGACATGTAAAAGATTTTCATTGTCATTTTCTCCTTCTTCTTCCACACCAACCCTTTTTTCTGCCGAAGATATATTTCCCAAGTGCAATATCTGCTCTTGTTCCCTTTCAGATAGTGAAATAGTCTGAGGAATTGCAGTTGTTTGGGATTGCGATTGCTGCTGTTTTTCTTTCTGGATCTTTTGAACTGCAAATTTTACCTCCTCTGGAAATTCCCAGGTAGTGACCTTGGTGACTTTATTGTAATAGTATGGCTTGTTGTTGTTTTGAGCAGACAAATACTTCTTCCAGTTTGAATCCACCAATGCCTGGTCGATTATTGAATCATCATAGGAAACAACATTGGGCACAACTGGACCCAGAGACGAAGATTGGGGTTTTGTCCAGGAAGTCGCTCTGGTAATTGTGTTGTAGTAATATGTTCTTCCCTGGGGATCTTTCAAATCTTTCCACTCCAGACTATCCATTCTACAATTTAATGATTATTGGTGCTAACAACCAAAGTCTTTTACTGGCTTACTGGCAAAAAGCAGTTGTTTCAATAGCGATCAGCTCAATTTTTTTTTCCAGAATCCGCGCATCGAACAAAAAACTAATTCTAATTATGATTGATTAAAATCTGGAATTGCAATAATCTGATAACAATGAGCTCGAGAAAAAGAGAGTATTTTAAATCTGACAGCAGTCGAAGCAGCAGAAAAAGGCTCAGATTTGACTACAATTCAAGAAACAGCGACAGAAGCAGCACTAAAAATGACGATAGAAGCAGAACAATCTCCACTGCACAAGACGATGCCTTTACAAAGCCAAAAGCCAAAATCCAAAGTCTCAACAGTTCAAGAGACTCTCTTTCAAGTTCAAAGCCCAAGTATATATATCCTGCGAGCAATGATTCGAAGCAAAAGAAATCCACTTTTGCTGAAAGAATTGCAGAAAGAAGAAGACTACTCAATGGAGAAGGCGAATCACCATCTGAGACTGCAAGACCCTTGGGTTTAAATGTCGAGTTACATCCTTTATTAAGGGAATCTATCGTACTGAAGAGCGAAAATACGAGTTTTACTGAGAATGAGAATGCAAAGATAAAAAATGCAAAGCTTCAGCAGAAATTGAGACCTGGTGTGTCAAAATTTGATTTGAATCCCTATTTTGATCCCAATGATTTTCAGGTCAAGGACCCCTCGATGAAGAAAAAAAAGAGGCAATTGGTATTTAATGAAAAAGGGAAATACATTGATAAAGCTATACAAATACGAAAAGAAATTGAGGAAAAACAGCAAAGGGAAAAGGAGTTACTTGAACGAAAATTGGATACTGTAAACAACCCAATTGAAAGCTTGGGTGAATCAAATTATCAGCCTAAGAAACCTCCTTTGGTTGAATGGTGGGATTATCCTATTTTATTACCCAATACAACTTATAATGACTTGAAATTTGATGAAGAGAGTAAAGAACTTGTCAATTTGTCTGAAAAAATAAAGAGCGAAAATATAACTCACTATGTGCAACATCCAATACCAATAAACGCCCCTTGGGAGAAACACTTGCCACCAATGAAACCATTATATTTGACCAAGAAAGAAATCAAAAGAATGCGAAAAAACAGAAGACAGGAAATATACAAGGATAAACAAGACAAAATTAAATTGGGTCTTGAGCCTGCTCCACCTCCAAAGGTCAAGTTAAAGAATTTAATGAATGTGTTGACAAATGAAGCTATAAAAGACCCAACTTTGGTTGAAATGAAAGTTAAAAGAGATATTGAATTGAGAAAATTGAATCATTTTAAAGCCAATGAAGATAGAAAACTATCTTCAGAACAAAAAATGGAAAAGTTCATGACAAAATTAGAAAATGACAAAAACTATAACGGTTATTTTACAAATGTTTACAAAATCTCGAAATTGATTCATCCTAAGCATAAATTTTTAGTTAACGTCAATGCCACTCAATTAAATTTGTTAGGCATTGGAATAATCGTTAAAAACGAATTTTCTTTAGTAATAGTAGAAGGTGGAAATAAAGGCATTAGGTTCTTCCAAAACTTAATGTTGAACAGAATTAAATGGGAGGAAAATGTTGAACCCAAAAAAAAAGTCGAGACAGCAAAAGAAAACAGAAAAAGTAAAAAAACAAGTGAAAGTGATCTCAAAATTGAAGATTTAACAGGAAATAAATGCGAATTAATTTGGAAAGGTCAAATTAAGGATTTTCATTTTAAAAAATGGTCCTTGCACGAAGTAAAATCTGAAGACGACGCAATAAATTTATTACAAGCATATAATGCTGATAACTATTGGCGAGAAGCAAAATCCAGTAATGCATAAATTTTGTATTTAATTTTTTTTATTTCGTTTTTGTTTTAAAAGAAAAGAAAAAAAAAATATTGATTGAACATTTTTCTATTAAGAGTTTATTTGTTTTTTTATATTTTTTCAGCAAAACTAGTGCCATTTGATTGGTGATAATTTGCTGTGTGTTAGTGGTTTTAGAAACATAAAAAACCCAATAGCACCACCTATCAATAAAAGATAATAAACCGTTTTCATTGAGGTCCTATTTGAAGAAGGCTTGAAACTTGGAAATCCCATATAGTTGCAAAAAGAATGAACAACAAAACAGCTCCAAACATTGCCCATTCTTAAAAATACATAATTTGTGAAAATACCAAACAAAGACGTGTAGGCGAACTGGGCTAAACAGACTTTAACGATGAACAGCTTTTTATAGGTACTTGTGCTGTAAAGCTCATACCCATGGTGCAAGTGAGCAACACCAAAGTATAATGGTGTCACGAATATTAGCACATCCAACCCAATTTTATTTAGTGGATACAAACAACCCAATATACAACTTGTGTAAACAATTTCTTCGGTAAATGGCCCAACAATAACGTTTCTAAAACCCCAGATGTTGCGTGTTTCTAAATAGAAATTCCTGATAATATTTGTTCTTCTTCCAAATTGATTCTTTTGCAAAACAACGTAATCAAATAGAGGACCAGCAAATAGAATAACTACAAGAAGCAAGCTTTTAGCAGTATTGTTCATAAACACAAAAACGTAATCAATTCTGAAAATAAAGGCATCGTGGGTGTACTTCAAGCCAGGAATTATTCCCAAAACACTAATACCATGGACTATGTTATGGACCACTTTGAAGTATGTCAAGATAACTGGCAATGCTGCAATCCAAAACAACGACAATATCAGCACTTTTTTGATTCTTGTTCTCACAGCTATAGGGTCGTTTCTTGTTGCTGGTGGTTCTCCTGCTGCTACTCTGGACCTGGGAACAACATACAACACCAACACGTAGGAAACAGCTATGAGAAAGGACAAGCAGTAAGCGAAAGTCGTGGTGTATTTTATTCTCATTTTGAACTCAGCAGTTGTCTCAGCAGATAATTGTATTCCAGCAAGGTCTTCTATGAACAGCTGTGCAGTTATTCTGAAGTTGTTTTGTGATTGCTCGTTAAAAGTCTAAACGGCCAGATCAAAGAATACCAGATTCTGCGTATGCTGTTTATGCTGTTTATGCTGATATTGTTTTGCTGCTTAAAAGTGTTTTAGGGCAGTCAAAGCACATAATTGTAGAGAAAGAGTCTAGATCCCCATTTAGAGCTAGGTCTGTCGATGTCCAGAGCCTGAATTACACTTCTACAAAGTACTGGACGTTAAGCTGAAAAAAATAAATTGGAATGATGAGATGTATACAACTAGTTTACAAAAAATCATAACTAAGTGGACTATTCGATTATTTCTTCCGTTTCTTCGATAATTTCTTCTTTAATCTCTTCAATAATTTCCTCTTCTATAGGTTCTTCGACAGGTTTGACACCCAATCTTGCCAATTTTTCATGAGCATTTTCTCTCCATGATCTCCATTCTTCCAATAAGCCACGACGTTTCAAAATCAATTCTCTTGTAGCTTCACTGGCCTCCATAGCATCAATTTCATCGAATTGAGCAGAATATTCACGCAATTGTTTACGTACTTTTCTCTTATTGTTGGCAGTTAATAATGATGCCGGTCTGGGTCTCCATTGGAAATCTTTAAAGTTGTCAATCAATTCAGCCTTGAGAAGATGCCCTGAAAAATCATAAAGTTTATAACCATTCTCTACAGGATGTCTCCATATTGAAGACCAACCGGCAACAAAACGTCCAGAAGGATCCCATGCAAGATCTACTAAACCAAAATGTTCAGCAAATCCAATTTGCTTTACATTAGCCTGAACAACTTTGTTGCTTTTGTTTTCGTTATCAGTTAGACCTTTATTTTCAACATAATCAAAATCAAAAAATTCAATTTCTGGTTTTGAAGGTAAAATTGTAGCTACTAAAACAAATCTCCCAGCTGGAGACCAGAAAATAGTATTTGAACGTTTTTTGCTCAAAGATTTGACGGCTTGATATTTTTTAAATTGAGCCACAGGAGGAGCAATTCCTCCTTTTCTTTTATTTAATAGAGAAGCGTTAATCTTAACCTTTTCAACTTCAGGTGCATAAAATGACACAGTATTTTTAGGTAATGGATTGTCATCGGCTTGTCCTGGAGTAGAAATTGTTACAAATCTTTCACCCTTTGGTTCCCAAGCAAAATTTGTGACCAAATCTTCAACATCAAGATTTTCAACAGGAATATCCTTTCCAGTTAATTGGAAAAACTTAAAATTAGTAAATAAAGTCTTTCTAGATTTAGTATGACGATCAACTTTACAACATAAATATTTCCCTTCACTTTGCCAATGAATTTTACAATCTGATACAGAAAAAACATTGACAGCTCTTAGAACTTTTTTTGTAGGAATTTCCATTATAGCTACTCTAGCAGGTTGATTTTCCAGTTCAGGAGTCCAATAAGCTAGAATGTTTGATAATTCTTTAGTTTTTTTATTTATTTCTAAAGGAACACCGGTTGGAGCCCATTCAAAATCAACTATATCAGGCACTTTAATGATTTGTTTACCTAATAATTCCATAGTTTCAGAATCATAAACTGCAATAGCACCTGGTCCAGCTCTTGCACAGTATTTATCGTCATGACTCCATTTAATAAGGGGCCAAGGTAGTTTTTTAGAACTTTGTAATGCTGTAGGTAAAGCAAATGTTTTTTTGGGCAATTCAGTTAAAATATCCCAGATTACTAACTGGTTGCCTTCATCTTTGGGCAAAAATGGGAAATTTGCTCTATTTGCATGATCTTCAGGAGGTAAAGTAATTGGATCAGGAGATAAAGTTACTAGATATTTTTCATTTGGCGAGATATCAATTAATCTGACATTAGGATGGAAAAATCTACCTATTTTATCAAACTCGGATCTACCCCAAGATTGAACACCTTGAGGGTGAATTGAAAATAAAAATGATCCCAATGGAGAAAACTTCACAAAAGTACTTGTCCAATTAGATCTTGGTGGAACAACAGGTGAAGAATTGTTAAGTTTATTGTTCCAAAACACGCCAACTGTATCATCTCTGTGCAATAAAAATTGATCACGACCAGCCTTATCTTTCAACCACGATCTAATATATTCAGATTCTTGGAATGGCGGAATTTTAGGTTCTTTGAAAGTGCTGGTTAATTCAGTATTTCCATATCTATCAATGTCAGACAATTTATTTAAAAACAAACGATGCTTAGCATCCAATTTTTTACCATTCAATCTTTTTATAGCAATTTCAGCTACTGAGGGATTTTCAAATTGGACAAAACACCAACCCTTTGATCTGCCCTTTTCATCGGCAGGAATATGGAAAGATGAGTTTTCGTGGAGCTTGCAACCAATAGAGGTAAACAACTTTGTCAAGACCTTTTGCAAGACAGGAAACTTGGTCTTTGGAGCGATTGGAATACCATCGATAACAACGTAGTTATCAGCATAGGAGTTCTGCTCAACTTTGTATTTTTCCTCTAGATCAGAGTAGTCGATATCGTCCAAATCAAGGAGACTGATATCAATTTCATCATTAACAGCCATGCTGTGCTATGTGTTATATCTGCCTGTAGGTATACTGGCCCTAATGTCTCTGTCTCCAACAACAATTGTCTGATCTGTTGTGTTTTAAAAAATTTCAGTGCTTTCCTCAAAGAAATCCAGCACCAAAAAGAAAAATTTTCAATGTGGAAAAAAAAGGCCGGGTAAAAATAGCCGAGGCACGTGCAAAATGCTTCCTGTGCTGTGTGTGCTGCTCGGGCCATCAGAAATGGCGACTATAGTATAATATACATTAAATTACATAGAAGGATAAAAAGCATAACAGGTGGTCTAAGAAATAGCGTGAAAAAAATAAACAACCAGTCCCCAACCCCAAAACTTGGAGAAAACTATTATTAAAATTATTGAAATTAAATGATAAAAATCTCAGAAAATCAAGGTGATTGAGACAAAATAAAATGCAGATGGAAATAAAAACAAAAATATAAAGATCGTGGTTGTAACAACTTGATAACTGATTAGCTGGAAAATCTTTTGACAGATCCTTCACCAATTTCAGATCTTTTTCTTTTGTGACTTCCATTCTGCCCAGGATCTGTTAATATTCCATGCCCGTTGTGGGGAGTATTATCTGCTGTAATAGATTCCATTAGAGCAGTTTGGCGAATGTTATAGGTTTTATTACCATTAATTTTATTTGCCCCATTTGTTTTCTGATGACTTTTAGCAGAGTGTTTCTCATCATATTTTTTCAAAAATTTGTTCATGTACCCCTCCACAAACACCTTGACTTTCTCCCTCTTTCCACTGCTTAACTCATGGACAACATCATCATCAGAGTGTCTCTTTAATTCTTTATCTACCAATATTTCGACAATATCTTTTGCACAATTCTTTAAGTTTGCATGTCCAATCACTTTTTCATGTTTTTTAATCATATTTGGCACATATTTTGCAAAAAGTGATTTCCATTTATATTCCAATGGATTTTTTTTTCTACTGCTGTTATTGTTATTGAGTGAAGACAATAACGATGAAGTTCCTCCGCCGCTGAGATTCTCTTGATTTGGAGTATTTCTTCGACTATTTGATCCTGATCTCTGTTCGTATCCATTAGTTTTACTAATGTGTCTTTTACTGTTATGACTCCTATGACCCTTGTGGTTTCCATTTTGATTTTCAGAATTCAGGCTTGATTTAGTTCTCGCCTGTAATGCTCGAAGCTTAGATCTTTGACGTTCAATCTCTTTTAATTCTCTTTCTTTTTGATCCTGTTCTTCCTTTTGCTGTTTTATTCTTAACAACTCATTCTCTTTTGCCTCTTGAAATACCTTTTCAATTTTTTCTTTTTCTTCTTTCTCTTTAGCTTTTAATTTCAAGTCCTTTTGGTATTGTTCTAATTGAAATAGCCTAACTTGTTTTTCAAAAAACTTTTGTTTTTCAAATTCAGATTTTTTAAATCTTTTCTCCTTTTGAATAGTTTTCAATTTCAAATCGGACACCCCTCTTTTTTTAAGTTCCTCTTCTTTCCTTCTTGTTGCAACAAATTCATTATATTTATTTATATCTGGTCTTGTGGTGCTCTCTTCTCCAGTAATTGAATTTTTAAAATATATGGAGCCGTTTTCTTTTTTAATTCCCCATTCCCAATTTTCCGGTAATCTTAATCCATCATGCATAGTATAATCATCTTTAAACTTCTGCCGATAATTTTCTTCATTAACATTGGTATTATCGTTACTGTTATCATTGTTGTTTTTATTATCGTTATTATCGTTATTATTATCATTATTATTAGTGTTGGTATTATTATTGATATTATTATTATTATTATTATTATTATTATTATTATTATTATTATTATTATTATTATTATTATTATTATTATTAGTAGTAGTAGTAGTAGTAGTAGTAGTAGTATTAGTGTTATTAATACTACTACTACTACTGATAGTATCATTGTAATTACTATCATTTTCTTTTTTTTGAATTCTAAAAGCAATTTCTAAATTATCCCAATCTTTTAATAATTTAGAGCCCAATTCTTTGATATTTTTATCCTTGGTATGTTCAATGACCGATTTAACAATTTCTTCTACATTTGAGCTTACAATTTTATTTTTAGTTATTCTTGGCCATTTTAAAAAGATTTTCAAGATTAATTCTGATATTGTGTCTGATTCCTTTTTCAAAATTGAGCCTAATGTTTTATAACCATGTAGTCTAATGATTGTATAATCAATTTCCTGTTTTTCAGTATTATATAATCTTTCTAATAGTTTAAGTGTAATAATCTCATTTTGTGACTGAATTAAACCTGATATAATTTTAGGAACAGATTCTTTGTTATTTAGAGGTTTAATTTCAATTGAATTTAGGAAATTGTTGTAAATATTTTCACCTTCTTTGATGAGATGTTTGTTATCCTTGTACCATTCTCTCTGGTCATCATTTGAAATATTTAAGGCTTCAACGATATTTTGAGGCAATAAGGACATTGCATCAGTTTGAGTTTTACCGCCAATAAAACCTGAGCAGTTTGGTTCATTGCAATAACAAGGTTGAGGATTTGCACCATATCTATCTACATTATAATCAAAAGTGATTTCCTCACCTTTGTAAATTTTTCTTTTTGAGAAAATCCCCATTCTTAATTTTGACCCAACAACCCATTTGTCAACGTAAGCATTGGGATTGCAAGAATGGTTAACAAATCTCCCAAGACCACCTTTTATGGTTGCATCAATAAACTGATTTTTTTGTAACATCATGAAATAAAAATGTCTGAAATTTCTTCGGTCATAATCTAGCATTTTTTTTTTAAAAGTGTTTAAATCAATCACTTCACCAATATATTCATAAATAAAAGTATTTGGATTAATATTGCCATTTGCTCTAACACCAAAGCCCTTTTTTTCTGTTTGGAAAATGGAGATATCAGAGTATTGTTTCCTTTGGAATCTTTGGTTTGCACATTGAGGACCACAACGTAAACAATTAGATGAACATTCAATAGAGGTTAATCTGTTGATACAATCACTATCTTCACCACAGGGTAGGACGTTGTCAGCAGTGTCGTGGGCATCACAATCACAGGACATATCATCCTGCCCACTGAGCCCCAACGAAGTGTTTTTATAAGTGCACTGCTGTAATAAAGTAAAGGTCTTTAAGGCCTCATCAGTCTTATCCTGATATTTTATATAGGAAACGAGGCCGTTTTCTGTGTGAACAGTTTCATGAAGATAATCATTAGTCTTATCGTTAAGATTGGCGTTATTGGATAGCAGATCAGTCAGCTCAGACTTCAACCTCAGGATCTTGAACCGAGCAAAGCTGATGTTGTTGTTTATACTGGGGTTTGGGGTTGCACTGAGATGGTTGTTATTGGCCGTATTGTTGAAACTCAGCTTGATGTTATGGTCGATGGTATCAGACAAGATTTCCTTGCTGGAGTATCTGTCCTTGGTAGAAGGTGGTAATTGGGTGGTGGGCTTTCTCGTAAGACGCTTTGCCATTTTGCAGTTATTAATGGAGTGCAGTCGTCGACAAGTGATAAAAACAAGAGAGGATTTCAGTTGGCTAACAAAAATTTTAATACACTACCATTTTGAATACCATCATTTTTCACATATTGGCCGAAATACTCACAAAACGGGCAGAAGTGAGCCGGAAATGAGTCGGAAATTTACAGGAGATTCACAGGAATGACAACAGTCCCGGTTAGAACAGACCCCTCTACTCCAGGGTCTTGCTGCACTTGTCACGCGGGAACACGTGATTGTTCGCTGGCCACAGCTGGCGAACATAACGCGTGACCGCACTCATCGTTTGCGAACACCAGCTCCTGTGGGAAGTCGTGCTGAACACGGCTGGGCCATATATTGAAAGCAGCTAACAATTGCAATGCTTTACAAGTTACCATCGCCCAATTTAACCACTTAAAACTTATGGTAAAATTTTCTGATTTGCTGAAAATTCATTCAATCTTTTGTTAAATGCTAGCTTGATCTTCTCTGCACTGTCCTCACTCCTTCAGCTACTCTCCTCTACCTCTCTTTATCCTTTGTCTCGTTTTTATGCTCCAACATGAATAATTACTCCTCTGAATCCACCTTGGCTGCTAATACCGCTATGAACGCAGCAATAGGTGCTTCATCTAACAACACCAGCACCATCTCAGCTTCCAACAGCAGCAACTCCAGTTCTTCTACCTCAAATAATCCCAGTAGCAAAAGCAAATACGTCTATTTTGTTAGGAAAACTGACAACATTCCCAAGAACACTTTAGAAAAAGCTGCCTCCACCAAGTTGAAAATTGAAGACTTCTACAAGAAATCTGTCCAACACGCTATAGAAAGAAATAAAAGAAAAATAGCCTTGGAAAATGAGTTTCTAAACGACATTTCTGTTGCAAAAAAAAATAGAGAAGCAAAGCTATTACTAAACAAGGAGACTCAATTTATCAGATTAAGAAGAACCAAACTAACGCTAAACGATTTCAGAACCATCAAAGTCATTGGAAAGGGTGCCTTTGGTGAAGTCAGATTGGTTCAAAAAATTGATACTGGAAAAGTCTATGCAATGAAAACTTTATTGAAATCTGAAATGTCTAAAAAAGACCAACTAGCCCATGTTAAAGCTGAAAGAGATGTCTTGGCCGGAACTGATTCTGAATGGATTGTCTCTTTAGTATACTCTTTCCAAGATTTTCAATATCTTTATCTTATAATGGAATTTTTACCTGGTGGTGATTTAATGACCATGTTGATTCGATGGGATGTCTTTACTGAAGACATTACCAGATTTTATATGGCTGAATGTGTCTTAGCAATAGAAGTCATCCACAAATTAGGCTACATCCATAGAGATATCAAGCCTGATAACATTCTTATAGATATTAAGGGACATATCAAATTATCCGATTTTGGTCTAGCAACTGGTTTCCACAAGACCCATGATTCAAACTATTATAAAAAACTATTAGGAGGAATTGTACCTGAAAATGCTAATATAAATACCAATACAAATATAAATTCTCAGAACACTAACTTTTTATCTCCATCAAATACAAACTCGAGAAATTCCGTAATGGTTGATGCAATCCATTTGACAATGAAAGAGCAAATGCAAACTTGGAGAAAATCCAGAAGATTAATGGCCTACTCAACCGTTGGAACTCCTGATTATATAGCTCCTGAGATTTTCATTCATGAAGGTTATGGACAGGAATGTGATTGGTGGTCACTCGGAGCAATTATGTATGAATGCTTAGTAGGATGGCCTCCTTTTTGTTCAGGTACACCTCATGAGACTTATAGAAAAATTTTGCATTGGAAAGAAACATTACAAATACCTGAAGATGTTCATTTATCTCCAGAAGCCGAAGATTTAATTTTCAAATTATTAACCAACTCTGAGAACAGATTGGGTAGACATAATGGTGCACTTGATATCAAATCTCATCCATTTTTCAGAGGCGTTAATTGGAAGACAATTAGACAAATTAAAGCACCTTTTATTCCCAAATTATCGAGTATTACAGATACAAGATTCTTCCCAACTGATGATTTGGAAAATGTTCCAGATAGTCCATATTTAACAGCAGCTGCTGAACAAAGAGAGCAAAATAAACAAAATGGTGGCGATAGAAACGATATCAAAAATGAATTACCATTTATTGGCTATACATTTTCAAGATTTGATAAACTTGCAAGAAATGCTCTATAGAAATGTTCTATAGATATGACTATTAATGTTATTATTTTTATTAAGATCAGTTTGTTTTTTTTTTGTTTTTTTTTTCTGAAAATTTGTATAAAAAAATTTATAAAATTACAAAATTTATAAAATTAAACTTTGTTATTGTTGATGTCAAAAAAAAAAATAATAATAAAAACAATAAACAAAACCCCTGTTGCTTATGTTATAACAAGAAAAAGAAATTACTACTATTTAGTTTATTTTACCTTATTTTAGTTTATTTTAGTTTATATGATTTTATTTTTCCAGATATTTTTAGTGTTCTGAATTTTTCCTTTTTCGTTTTTTTTTTGTTGTGTTTTAATTTTAAAATTTCTTTTTTGTGTTTATGTTTTTATTATTATTATCATTATTATTTTTATTTATTTTTATTTTTATTTTTATTTTTTAGTTGCTCTTCGATTGAATTCGAATAGATTTTTCAGTTCTATTTATTGATAATTGACAAGTATTGTTTTTTGATAATATCAGTTGTCGATGATTTGAATATATAATTACATTTTATAGTAAATGAATATTGTCAAGTTTGAAAAAAAAAGTATCTATCTATAGTTTAACCAATAAAAAAAAGGATAAAAAAAAATAAAATTAAAACTTGAACTAAAAAAGAAGTCAAAGCGATTAAAAAAAAGAAAAGAGGAAAAGAAAGGAAAGAAAAAGAAAAAAAAAGGCACTTTAAATAAGTCCGAGAGTGTTTAGTTGTTGTTTTGTTTTTGTTGTTAGTAGTAAGATTTTTTATAATATAAATATGAGAGTAGAGATAAAATATGCAACAAAGAATTAATAAATGAGAATTGAGAATTAAACAAAAAAAAAGAAATATAGAAAAGGTGTTTTAAAGACCAAAAAACATTTTACACTTTTCATATACTAAGAAAGAACAGGCAACCATGGGAGTTACTTTTAGATAACCAATGGATAAACCGACATAGAAGCCTTTTATACCAGATCCGTGCCATATTAATTTAGCAGTTTGCTTTATGGTCATGAACTCACCATTTGAAGTAGTTATGGCACCTACTTGCATTCTTCTTCTGATAACTTCTAGAGGATAAGCAGCGGTTTGAGAAGCCAAACCAGCCAACCCACCTGCTAACAATTGAGCCCAACTTTTCAAGGGTTTCTTTTCATAATGGGGATAGATTAGTTTTTCTTCTTCGATTTTGTTTTCTATATTCTTCATGACGGGATTTTGAACAGTATAAGGAGCAAAAAGATGGGATCTAAAGATGTCATGGCATAAATCATAAGTCCAGAAAGACACACCAGCGTAGGGAATCATACCAAGAATAGTTGGGGTAAAACCTCTGTAAAAATTTGACAAGCAAGCCAATTGATTTGGTAAAATGACATTGAATAATTTTAAAAAGGGATTGTGAGATGTGGCTAGAGGAGGGTGTTCTTTTAGGATTAGTTTTACTGTTGAAATTAATCTGTGGTTATTTTTGAAGCCGATCTGATTTAATTGATTTATGGGGTCGATTTGATTTTGAGAAGGATTGTAATGAATTTTTTTTGTTTCAAAGGCCAAACGGACTCTTAATAAATCCAAAGGATAAGTAGCAAAAACACTTATCATTCCACTTAGAGAGCCACTTAGTAATCTTCTAATGTTTGTTTCGTAGTTATCATTTGGAATAAGGATATTTCTAATTTGTTCGTAAAAAACCCATTTAATGGCAGCATAGGGAAAGATTCTTAATAAAGTGGCAGAATGGCCCTGAAAGAAGCCTATGAGGCCATCGTTAAAGTAGATTTTATTTGAAGCTTTAAATAAACCGAAAAAAGAGCCAGAAAACTGTTTATATTCAGGGTTTGCAGTCTGGAATAAAATTTTGACACGATCTAAAGGAGCTATAATGGTTTTGGCACAGGAACCAGATATTCCACCAGCTATAGCAGTTTTATAGACATACTCTAGCGAATTTTTGTCTTTTATTTTGTTTGTCTTACTGAGTTTAGTCTTTATTATATCATTTTGGGTTAAATTTGAGGGATTAACTGGTGTTGAAGGTATTAGGTCAGACATGGAAAGTTGGTAGGAAAACGTTGGGCAATATGAGAGAATATTTCTTTTTATTTATAACATTTAGAGAGAAGAGGAAGCAAAAAAAAAGAAAAGAAGAGAAGAAAAAAGTCTGCAAAACAAAACAAGAAGAAAAAAGAAGAAAGAAGAAAGAAAAAGAGCAGGTTTTTGATAGTAATCTGATTATATCTTCAGTCTCTGAAAGCCCTTCACAGCTATCAGTGTCTTTCCTCTGATCTTCTCAGTGCTGCTCCAAAACGCTCGCAGATGAGCAACCCAGAAATTTGCACATGATCTGATTCGGCCCTCGCCCGCGTCGTGTTTTTGTCCTGTTTTTCTCCCGCTCAGGAGCGCGCCTCCGCCGCTTTGAAGGAGCCGTCGTGAGCTGGCCAATCAGTGCGCGCAGTTTGGTCAGGAGGTCATTGCTCGCCCGCTCACCGCCCCACTGTGGTTGGACAGCTGCCCCGCGGATATCTGCAGATAAACACCCGGACCCGGAACCGTGGCCGCAGCACGGCGGACGACAGTATGAGCGGTGTTTTGCCTCAGGGAACGGTCTGCGGTTCGAGTCGTGAGCAGAGACTTTAGAAATTCAGCTATTCAAATTCAGATTCAGAATATGAGCAAGAGAAGAAGAAGCACAATAATGAGCATCAAGATCAAGACCCACTGGCCATTTTCCTTGAGCTTCCTGGAAAAGCGTCTAAGGTTGTTTCGTGCCTTACTGAGTCTTCGTTGCGAGTTGTCCATGAGGCTCTCCACGTCGTTCAAGATCACCAACTGCGAGTCCAATTCGTCGTTGATTGTCAAACCAAGCTCTCGTTGTCTTCTCACAGACTCTGCTAAAGAGTCCAATCTGTCATCCTGAACCGTTAGCAATTGTTGCTGTTGTGCAAAGAGTTGGTGGTTGGCGATGCTGCCGAAACCTTCAGAGCTGGTTGAACTGTCTAGGCTGGCGGTGCTTGAGGAGTCTGTGAATAGTTCATTGTCATTGTTATTATAATTGTCATTATCGCCACTATTACGGTTATCATTAGTGCCACTAGTACTGGTATCAATGTTTCTGCTGTAATTATCCTTATAGATGCCCTTTGCTGGTGAGTCTTTATATGGCTGATTAAATGTTACTGGATCATCTTCAATCAAATTGTCTTTGAATCGAACGCTTTTCTTTTTCAGTATATTTTGAACGATTGGCAATTCCTTTTTATCAAAAAGGTAATCATTTAAATTTATAAGTGAATCCAAATTTTCCAAATTATTATTATTACTATTATTACTATTATTATTATCACTAGTTTGTTTGATTAATGTTTTTATTATTAAATTGTAATCAAATACTTTTGCATAAAACTCTTCTTTTAATTGATTTAAATTTTGATAATTACTATTGTTATTACTACTGCTGTTAACATTTGTATATGATATAATTAGATTATTTTCAAATGTTCTTAAATTTATTAATATCTTATTCAATATCGATATCAAGTCATTATTATCGTTTAGTGACGGACTGATATTCAATTTTTTAATATTATTTCTTTCTTCGATTATGATATTACATTCTTCAATTAATAGCGTTATTTGTGATAGTTGTAGATTAGTCATTATAAGCAAATGTGAACGCAAATGTATATGTGTATTATCAATGATACTCTGGGAATTATCTATACGTTATTGATTAACATTGAATGGCTACTATCTTATTACTTGATAAGTAGTTATCCTTTTGATGCTGTCTAAAAAGATTAGAAAAAGGAGAGTTGCCAAATTTAGATCCAAAACCCACCTTCAACTGCCAACTTTGCAGCTTCTTCCACTAAAACGGAAAAACAAGCACGCGCACCAAATCCGTCATAAAGGTTTCTCTTCCAATCACATGATTACTGTCACATGACTGTTTGTCTCGCGTGACTGATGTGGTTGCACGTGTATATATGGTCACATGCCTTTATGGGTTCAATTCCCAACATGAATTCAGAGTATTGAGTTTGTATTAGAATGATGCTGTTAATGAAATACTTGGTAGTGTAGTTTCAATTTCAATTGCATGTTTAGCAAGTGGTTCAATTACCATGTCCATCGCTATTTTAATTCTTATTTCATTACTTTTTAATGATTTTGTTTTCATTGCGAGTAGTCATCGCTATTCACAATCCTCATTACGGTCATTTATTATTCCTCAACATCAGCAAATACCAAGTACATTTTATACTATTCGTAAAGTATTTACTATCTAGTATTGGTATTAAACAAAAAAAGAAATCTATACGATTCTTTGTCTTTTTGGGTGATAATTTATACCCATTACTATTGTGCTATTTTGCCCTTGCATTTATAACCACTTGATGAAAATTTACAAAATTGAAATGTAATTGGAATTCAACTAAAATGCAAGGAAATGGTGATTTCATCTTTAAATTTATATAAATTATTTTACATGTGTCTTAGATTTAATTTAATTTGAAAAAACCGATTATAGAAAACTACAGAAAATTAGAGAAAATTAGAGAAAATCAAATAAAATCAAATCAAATAAAATAAAATTAAAGAAAATCAAAGAAAATCACATTCATTTCTCTTATAAACGAAAAATGAAAACAGTTATTTATTTCTATCCATTTATACGCTAAAGGAATTTATGCTTTAAAAGTGCTATTAAGTGTTATTGTATATCAGATATAATGGATATCTTTTATTACTAATAACTTTCCAAATCCATTTTTTTTTAGTCAGTCCAAAAGTTTTCACATTTCACAAAATCAGCTTACCTTCGCTAAATATCACATATACATTGTATGAAAAAAAATAAAAGTAAAAATAATAAAAATGGTAGGCAATTTACAATGGTAGTTTAGTTTATTTTTTAGAGAATTTTGTGTTAGATTACTTTTGAGTGTACTATGATGATAATTGATTGAAATAATTGATTGAAATAATTGATTGATCATACCCTTTGATTCATATTTCCTCTACTTAACTAAAATATATGGCCTTTTTTTAATTTCAAGTAGTTGTTGTCAATACAAATGTATATCTCTTGTCCCTCTGAAATTGAAACTAATTACATATATGTGTAAATAGAGGAGTTTGCGCTCTGAGTAAAAATCAGGCTGATAAGTAACCGCCCTTAGATTAATGTGAGCAAAATGAATAACAGATTTCCCTACATTGATATTGAAATCAATAAAGGTCGATACATGGGAGTTACGGAACAATACTGAGCTAAAACAATAAGTATTTGCAAAGGATTAAATATGTGTTAAAACGATTAGGAAGTTAATAAGAGTGGATTAAGTAGTTTTTCTGGATGGTTGAATTTCCATACTCACATTGAAAGAGACACTGAGATACTAAGACAGTGACCGGTATTTCTTAGTGTACATGACGCCGAACACTAAACCCTGTTGGAAGTTTCAGCATAAAGTTTTGCATAAAACAGGCAGTTGGAGCACCACAGATTTACAAATTGACGAAAAATATCAAAGGAAATGAAAAAATGCTAAAGATAAAAACAATTTGATATTAGGTAATTGATGGTGCTTGATCGTGATTAATAGTAATTAATGGTATGTAGTATTAGCCGTTCATTAGCCATATGCTGTCACTACAACAGGCGGATAAATGTAACCACATACTGTTTTATAGAGATGAAAACGTTGAATTTACACTCGAATGAATCGCAATGATTTCAAATTGGGCAACAAAATCCAACTCTTTGACAATTGAGAGACTTGGAAGTTGTCTTAACATCAGAAACACAAAAAAAATTGCAAAACAATATAAGAAAAAAGGCGAGAACTTGTTCTGATAAAAAAACCAGGCTAACGGAACTTGTTTTGCGGTGAAATACACAACCACTCAATAATATAAATTATTTCAAGCAAATGGTGGGCACGATAACCTGAATTGATTCTAATAGAACAGAACCGATAAGATCATAGGACGATTTGATTATAATATTGAAAATTGTCAATTAATATTTTAACTGCATTCATCTAGAACAAACTTGACACTTTATCTGTTAGCAGCGGAAAAATGCCAACTGGTCAGCTGACTGTTTTAAAAAACCAAAATATATTTGCACTAAATCAAAAATTGCGCATTGATATACCAGTCTCACCCCTCTAAGAGAGTAGTTTTTCAATCTGCTGTGCAATGCAAGTGCAATGCAAGTGCAGTTACACCCGTGGTGTACTCGGTTTTAAATCCTTAGCCGCTTTCCGCAGCAAGGGATTGCTTCCAAGACCAAGGGATTAAAACCTGGTGCCCACCCCGCCAAACAGGGCCCTTCAGCAAGAACAGCTGTTCTGAGGCTCAGAAGCAGCCGCGCTGGCCCCGTGGAAACCAGTCTGAGAGCACTGTTTGTACAACACAAACAAAGTCACGGCCGATCAGCGGCAGACAGACAGTTGCATGTCAGACAATTTGGATTAAGGTTTGACTAATGCTGTACTTACATGGTACTCACATTGTGTTCAGATCCAATTAAGAGAGAGCCAAGACTGGGTGAGTATTTCTCTGATCCTGCTAAGAATCAATTAAGTCTGCATTTAAGACCTAATAGAGCAAGCAAACTCTAACTCTAATGGCACCGCTCCAACTGTAAAGCCTTTAAGAAAAACTACCTCTGGCAAATTCTCCTTACAAAGTGATCTTTTCGGCTTAGAACGTCAATCTTTTTGAGACTTATAGTGTTTCTTCTGTCTGTTCAAAACCGATTAAAACTGCGCTGTTTCTTCTGCCTTCTCACGATCCTTTAAAAGAATAGCTGCTCATGGACTTGTTCTGTCTTTTCTTCTTGCTTTGCTCTATTTCTCTAGCTTTTAATCATATCTCTTAACTCGCTTCCTTCCCAAGATTCTCATTTCGCAACTTCAAAACTCCAAAACTCCAAAGCTTCAGATAAAACTTCACATTTGCACTTCACTCAATAAAATTATACCGATATATATCACAACATCCATCCTATTGTTTTAGCCCTTAATCATTTTACTAATCTGTTAACAAACTCTTGGGCTTTGAGCTAATTTTTGCTCTAATTTTACATATCACTTTGAATCCTTTTAACTCCCCAATTTTCCTCTTTTTTTTCTTTTCCTTTCTTTCCCTTTCTTTTCTCGTCATTATCTACCTATCCATTACCAACTTTCATCTCCTGTCATTAATAGCTCTTTGGTATCAAAGCATTTCTTGACTTATCTTTGATTAATCTAATTTAATTTAATAGATATGCTTAATAGAAATATGTACGAAGATCTTGAGAAAATCCAGCCTATACAACCCATGTCAACAAGCTCTTACTTGGATGCTTCAGAAAGAACAGAAGCTGAACCTCGAAAAAACAGGTTTTTGACAGCAGTCGACAGAGTAACCAGCCAATTCAAACTAGAAACTAGAGGTGTTCAAAGAGTCGAAGACGATGAAAGAACTGATACCTCCCTTTGGTCTGCTGCTTCCATGTGGGTCGCAGCCAATTTGGTTATTTCAACCTTTGCCCTTGGTGCTCTAGGTATAACTCTCTTTCAGCTCGGTTTTTATCAATGTGTAGTAGTTATCATCTTCTTCACCTTTCTAGGTGCAATTCCTTTTGCTTTTTGTTCCATTTTCGGCTCCAAATTCGGTTTGAGACAAATGATCTTATCCTCCTTCTTTGTTGGAAGCTTTGGCATGAGAATTTTTGCTGCTATCAATTGTGTCTCTGCTGTTGGTTGGGGTGCTATCAATATTATGACTGCTGCTCAATTGTTACATATCGTTAACAATGGGGCCTTGCCTCCCTGGGTTGCTTGTATCATCATTGTTCTTATCACTATCATTGTCACTTTTTTCGGTTACAGGGTTATCCATTTCTTTGAAATGTACGCCTGGATTCCCTCGTTTATTGTCTTTATCATTGTTATTGCAAGAATGGCAAGATCTGGAAACTTCACTGAAGGAGAATGGGCTACTGGTAAAACTGGTGCTGGTAACGTTCTTTCCTTTGGTGGAACTGTCTTTGGTTTCGCCGCCGGTTGGACCACTTATGCTGCTGATTATACCACATACATGTCTGTTAGAACTAACCCATACAAAATATTCTTTGCTGTTCTTGCTGGCCTAACCTTTCCTTTAATCTTCACGATGATCTTGGGTGCTGCCTGTGCCACTGGAACCTTGATCGACGAGGATTGGGCTGAAATGTACAACAACAACTCCATCGGTGGTCTTCTTTATTCAGTCTTAGTAGTCAAATCTTTACATGGCTTTGGCCAATTCTGTTGTGTCCTATTAGCTCTATCAACAGTTTCCAACAATATTCCCTCGATGTACTCCATCGCGATGTGTCTTCAAGCCGTCTGGTCCAAATTCAGAATTGTTCCCAGAATTGCCTGGACCATTTTTGGTAACTTCTTAACTTTGGCTATTTGTATTCCTGCCTATTATAAATTCTCTGATGTTATGCATAATTTCATGAACTGTATTGGCTACTATACTGCCATTTATATTTCAATGTTGCTATCTGAACACTTCATCTACAGAAGAGGCTTTTCTGGTTACAATCCCGATGATTACCTTGATAAATCAAAATTGCCAATTGGTATTGCTGGTACTTCGGGCTTTATTTCAGGTGTCGTTGGTGCTGTTCTTGGAATGAACCAAACTTGGTATATGGGTGTCGTTTCTAGACAAATTGGTGATTATGGTGGTGATGTGGGTTTTGAATTGGCTTTCGGATTTTCCTTCGTTATTTTCAACATTGTACGTCCTATTGAATTGAAATATTTCGGTCGTTAACCAAAAAAAAAAACATAATCAAAAAAATATCATAAAATAACCAAAACTCGAAAATCACTTTAATCAAAAACAATCAATTTGAAAAATAAACTTGAAAAATAAATTTAAAAAATAAATGAAAAAAAAAATAAAAAATAAAAATAAAAAAAATTAGAAAAGTTAGATAATAAGAAAATGAAATTAATTCAGACATTAAATAAATTTCTTTTACACTAATAACTAATTATACCAGAAAAAAAATATTAAATTTTTTATTTCAATTATCTATTCAATCGTTTAATCTTAGTTCATATATAGTGAGTCCATCTAATATGTAAATGTTTTGTTAGCTACCTTCTCATTTCATTATTTTTTTTGTTTATTATGTTTATTATGTTTATTATGTGTTTTTTTTTATTTTTACATTTTTGCTTTGATGGTCCAGAATAGTCTTTCAGTTCACTTTTTTCTTGTTTGGTTTTTATGTTTTACAATTGTTTCTTATATTCTTTTTACTTCTTATTGGTTTATCTACTTCTGTTGTATTTTTATAGCTGCTTTGTTATTCGTCACTCTATTTCTCTTAATACATATATATATATATATATATGTGTAGTTTGCTTTATAAATATTATAAAACAAATTATATTACTAATGTTTTTCAAATATTCTCAAACAATTATCTTCTGAAACAAAACAAAACAAAAAAATATATTCTACGCTATTTTCATTCCCAATAAGGTTTATATTATATGAAAAAGGGAGGTTCAAGTTTTTTCAGGTTTTTTTTTACTTTTACATTTGTTTTATAGTTTTTTTTATGCTTTTTGTTATTTTTTTATTTGACTTTTGCATTTTATTTTACCTATAGCCTATTAGATCCTGTTCAAATGCTAAAAACCTACTACATTTATTCAGTGCTTTAAACCAAATTAATTCGTAGACCAAAATAATAAAACATACAATTTATTATATATAGATGAAGAAAAAAAGAAAAAAGATACATCATTTTTAACCAATCATAGAAATAAATCAAAAAAAATTATAAAAATAAATTGCTCATAGGAAATAAAATTTAATATACACCAAAACTGATAAATATAAAACATAAATATAAGTCACAAAGAATAAAAAAAGTAACGAAAGTACTTGAAAAATGGAAAGAGAAGACAAATAAGAACTAGCAAAAATGAGATGCTCAAAAAAAAAATTAAAAAATAGAAAAACACTATTCATATTTGAATCTTAAGATTATAACAATTATAATATAATAATAAATAAATAAATAAATAAATAAATAAATAAATAAATAAATTTTGAAAACATTGAAACCATTGAATACACATTTTGCTGAATGCCATTAAATATAACTTGATTTTTTGTTTTTTTAAACCAACTCCCGAATTTTTAATTCAGACGCAAAATCATTAGTCTTTGTGACAGAATCATTAAACAAGTAATTATCTTTTGATCTCAAGAAAGTATTACTATCCATACTAAAAGTTTTGTTTTCACTAGAATCTAATTTCCCAAATTTTTCTTGGTACAATTTAACTAAATTTTCCAATCTTTTCCGTTCAGCATGTTCAGTAGTAATTTCTTTATAATGATCGTTACTTAAATCTTCAACCATTTTCTTAAATTCTGACTTCAAATGAGAAATTATTGGTAATGTATTACCAGCTTTAAGAGACGGTTTTACAGGTAATGAAAAATAAGAGTTGTTGTCACTGCCTTTTGGACCTTCAAAGTCATTATATTCGTTTATAGTACTGTTATTAGCGCTATTGTTATTATTTGAAAAAAAATTCGATTGAAAATATGGAGTCGAAGGATTTGATAATGGGGAATCTTTAGTTTTGATTCTAAAGCCAGTTATTGGAGAATATAATAAACTTGAATCTCTTCTAAAAGTTGTTCTTAGTGTGTGGTTAACAATTTGAGTAGTATCTTCAGAGGATATAGAATTGAAACTTTGAGTTGATCCTGCAGAAAATGATAAAGAAGAATCATGGTTCGGATAATTTACTGAATTTGATGAATTTATTGAGTTTAAAGAATTAATTGAATTGATATTTAAATTATCGATTTTTAAAATTGTCAATTTTTTTTTCAAGGAATTATTTTCTTTCATTGTTTTCTTTAAAAGAGAATCTAGTTTATCTTTAGTAACTTGGATATCTAGTAATTTTTTTGTAGTATTTTCCAAATTTTGGATTGAATTTGATAATTTATTTTGCAAATTTGCATTTAATAAATTAACATCATTGAGAGATTTTGAATAAAATTCCTTTTCATTATTGTATTGTTTAAGAATATATTTTTGAGAAAATTTCAAATCGTTTAAAGCTGTTTTTAAGTCATTAATTTGGTTTATTAATTGATCTTTACTAAGGTTGGTTAAATTGGAATTTGAAAGATTATTATTGTCATTTATATCAGTATTATTATCTTTAATTTTAATTTTAATTTTAATTTTATTATTATTATTATTATTATTATTATTATTATTATTATTATTATTATTATTATTATTATTATTATTATTATTATTATTATTATTATTATTATTATTATTATTATTATTATTATTATTATTATTATTATTATTATTATTATTATTATTATTATTATTATTATTATTATTATTATTATTGTTATTATCAGCATCGTTTTCTTTATTGTTATGAGTATTAATATTGGTGGTAAGTTTTAACTTGGATAGTTGGGTAGGAGAAGAGAAGGTTAATTCTGTTGATGTTGTTGAGGAAGGAGAAGTTCTTGTGACAAATGTGTTTTCATTTGAAGCAAGGGATGTGGAAGAAGAGTTTGTATGATATATAGGCAAGCCCGATTTATTTTTAGAGATGTCATTATCGGTGTTATTAGTAGTGGTTGTATTGATATTATTGTGGAATAGAGTGTCTATACAATTTTGGATCCATTGAGTTTTATTATCAATTTTATTATTAATTTTATTATCAGTTTTATTATCAACCAGAGAATTTATTGGTAAGCTTATATTACGTTTTGCAGCAATTGAGTTGATATGAGCAAAAATTTTGTCTAGAGATTTTAGATATAAATTGTTTTGAATAGATTGAGGATGAATTAAAGGGGTATTAATTGAGTTGAAGAACTTTTTGTCATTAGAAAAGAGAAAAGAGTTTGATATGTTGTTGATATAGCCGAGTAGAAGAGAGTTGTAATAGTGATTTAATAGAGATAAATTTTTTGAATTGATTTGTTTGTTGATTGCATTTAAGTTTGAGTTTGAGTCTATAAGTTGGGATAGTAATTCTAGAGTTAAATTTTCATCATCTTTATTGTTATTGTTATTGTTATTGTTGTTGTTTATGGATAGTAGAGTATAATTTTTCAATAAATTGATTGAATTTATGAAGGAGCCATTTAATTGTGATTTTTGGTTATTTAAAAAAGATAAAGAGTTTTTAAGATCTAAGATTTCAGACAAGGAGAGGAGGGTATTTTGAATATTATTTTGGGCGAAGTAATCATTTAAATTGTATATTGAGTTTTCTATTAATAATTTGAGTATGAGAGTACTGTTGTTGTTGGAGTTATTATTTTCTATTGATTGGAATAGATTTAATAAATCATCTGATAGTGATAAGTTATTGTTATTATTGTTATTATTGTTAGTTTTGTTATGTTTATTTTTATTTTGATTATCATTATCATTATCATTAATGCTATCGATTAATTTATTATCTGAGTTTGATATCAATTGGTTTATAGCAAAATTGGATAAATAATTATCGAAAGAAGAAGATAAGACATTTTTAGTCATTGAGTGATTTGAGGTATTTACCAAGAGGGAATTATTTTGAAAAGAGGTATTATAATCATTTTTAAGGAAATTTAATAAATCTGAGTAATTAGTGGATTCAAATTGAGGTGAATTTGGATTTAAAAAGGTCTTATTAATATTTTCATCATTTTCGTGATTTTCGTGATTTTCATCATTTTCATCGTTTTCATCATCTATATTATTATTATGAGTGCTATTTGATGCAAAAGATTTAAAAGGAGATTTGTTTAGTAATGCTATTGATATTGAATAAGAGTTTTTCGTTAAATTTAGGTCTAAAGTGTTATGATAGTTATTATTCTGGTCTAAGTGAGTTATATCCTTTAAAGGTAAATTAATTGGAAACAGGTCCATTATGAGATTCAGCGCATATGAGGAGTGAAAAAGTGTAAAATACAATAAATTGAGGGGGAAATTATACAATAGAAGATGAAGCAAGATATGGAAGAACAAATGAAAGTGAAATGAAAGAAAGTGGAAGACAATAGGATGTGGAATATAATATCATACAATGAAAGATTATGACAGATTGGAAATTGGAAATTGGAAATTGGAAATTGGAAATGGAAAATGAAATAAAATGTCCCTAAAGGTTTCAAAGGTTGAAGGTATAAGTTTGAAAAGTCCCGGCACAGATTCTCGTTGGAAACCAGATTCGTTTCTTTGTTTTCTCAGTGGAGTGTCGCTGGAGCAGAACAGAGAACAAAAAACAGCAGCACGACAGGATCCAGAGCTTCTTCTGCTGAATTTGAAGGAGTTTGGGTGGAATTTAATCAGAAATTAATCAGAAACGAGAAATTAACAGGAAGTTGAAACAGCTGAAACTGCGTCGTTCAAAGTCTCACAAGTGAAATGGTGTCTCAGCCGGATCCACACGGATGGAACACTGGACGACTCAGTGCTGATGTAAGGATCCGCTAAGGATATGCGCGGATATTATAGACGGATACGGTGGTAACCACACACAATCCTCTGCCGTTAATATCCGTGCCGTGTAGTTTCAAACGGTTAAAAAATATACACCTGTATACGGATACGGAAATTCCGTTATAGTGGCATCATCCAGCAGAGAGGCGCGTGGAAGACGCGCCGGAAGCAGAAGAAGCAAACGAAGTAAACGAAGCAGAGGAACAAAACGACGAACCAACGCAGCAGAAGCAGCAGAAGCAGCTCTTTGCCACTCACAATGTTCTCCAACTACAAGTTGTTATTTCTGGTTCTCTGGGCTCTTTTGATTTTTCTCTGCATTGGCATCATCTTCTACTTCAACAGGCTTTTGGGCTTGCTCATTTCCTTTGTCTTGAAGCTCGTTCTCTGGAAATTCTACAACATCTCCATCACCTTCCAGTCCTTCAAGCTCTCATTCCTAGTGGGCTCCTGTGTTTTTAAGAACTTGACCATCGTCACCAACGACTACACTGTGTCTGTTCTCCATGGCAGCTTGGTCTGGCGCTACTGGTTGAGAAACACAAGATTCTCGCGCTACTTCTTCAATTCTTCCACCTCTTATGAGTCTGAATTAAATGAAAAATTACCCTCAAAGTACATCCTCAAGCTCAATGGCCTAGAGGTATTCTATTACAACAGATCTGATTTATATAATCAAATATTAACCGATTTCTCAAAGAATTCCAACAGTAATAGAAACCCATCTCATGATGATAACACTGATAAGGAAAACTCTGATTTTGATAACGATAATGATAATCGCGATCACAATACTAACAACAATCACAACGATATCAACGATAGCAACAATAACAATGAAAACATTGATAAAACAAAACAAAACATAAAATTAGATAAAGAAAACTCAAAATATTTAAGCTTCATATTAAATTTTCTTCCCTTATCAATCTCAATTAATAAAGGCGCTTTAATAATAGGTAATAACCTCACTTCTTCAATTTTAATCTCTTCATTTAATGATGCAATTGGCTCTTTAGATATCTTATCCTCTTTATCTCAAAACGATTTGTATAATCAATTATTAATCTTAAATTTAAACAAATTCAAAATCACCATAAAAAAAAACATATCCTACAACTCTGATAATGATACTACTGCTAATGATAATGATAATGATAATTACAAACAAAACAATAATAATAAAAATACTCTTTTAAATAATGACTTGAAACTCAATTTCAAAAAAAAAAAAGTTAAAACAGTCATAAATTTCAACTCAAATAAAAAAGATTTAATTAATTACCACACAAATAATAATTCCCAGTATAAAATCAAAAAAAAGAAAAGTTTTAATAAATTATTCAATTATAAATATTTATGGCCAAGTTTCAAAAAATTATTCAATTATAAAAATAAAAATAATAATAAAAACAAAAACAAAAACAAAAACAAAAACAAAAACAAAAAAAATAAATCTTCCTCGACAATTTGGAAAGGTTTGCCACAATACCTTCATTATGACCAATTTAACCAATCCACCCAATCTTTTCAATCTTCTAATAATAATGATCAATCCTCTCTATTTCAAAACTCGGCAAATGACTTATCACTTTTAACTAAAAACGTTGAATACGCTATATATTCAACTCTATTAGACGCTCAGTCAATTCAATTCAACTATTATTATGATATCCCCAAACATTCAATTAACGCGATTGCCTCGCAATTAGATACTCCTCCTCAATTTGGCATAGACTTAATAATATCAAATTCTATAATAAACTATGGCCCTTGGGCTGAAAGACAAAGAATATCTTTATACAACTTTTTTTTTCCAAATCAAAATAATTATAAAGATTTGGTTTATAATAATAACGCTAATGATAATATTAACATAAAACGGGAATACCAAAATTTTAAAATTAATATCAATTTCATAGATAAGGGCTCCATATTAAGAATTCCAATGAAGGAAAATAGTAAAGATATCGAATTAATCAAACAATATCAAAAAACTCAATTAAACAAAAAAAAGCACCTTAATCTTAATCGTAACCTTGATTCGGATTCGGATCTGAATCAGAATTTAGACCCTAATCTTGATTTTGATTTTGATTTTGATTTTAATTCAAATTTTTCTTCTATAAATCATCATAATAACGATAAAAAATCTCAACTTGATTCGATCTATTCTCCATCAATAACTACTCAAAACTCTTTAGATTTAAATTCCCTAGATTTTGATATTAAAAGACCCTTTGCTTGGCTAGAATTAAAATTCTCTGCTGGTTCCTCCATAAAAATTAATTCAGATATGATATTAAAACCAGATGGCTTTAATTCCAATTTAATTTGTAGATTAACTGACCTTGAACTAAGTACGAGTTTAAATCATGATATCTTTTTAAAGTGTTCAGAACATAATTTAAACTTAACAATGAACTATCCTTTAAAGTGGAATGATACGAATAAATGGACTGTAAATAACACTTCAAGAGATATTGAGATTTTTTTATTAAGAGATCATTTCACTTTATTAACTGATTTACTTTACGATTTCACTACAAATAACACCACTCCAAAAGAAGCTTTAAATCAATATAATCTTTTTAGACCCTACCTCTATATTTTTAACTGGAATCTCATAGGCAATTCTGCTTTATATTTAAATATTAATGAAAAAAACATTATAAATAATCCTCTAGATTTTGATAAAAATGTTTATTTATCAATCAAGACAGATGAAGATATTTTAATTCAGTTGGAAGTTCCAACTTTAAGCATCTATCCCAAATCCACAACAATTCATTTTAATCTATTCTCAAAACTTTTAAATCTCAATATTGAAGCCCCTTCTTGGCACACTTTTAATAGTTTTTCAAAATCTAATAAGGCCATGAAATCCTATAATTTTAGTGTAGATGGTTCTTATACCTATTATAGTAAAGTTGAGTTGGACTTGGTTGATTCAATTATAATAAATTGTAAAGGTGAAAATGTAACTTTTATTGCTTACGGTTTTTCCGTCAAATACATTATGACTTTTATTGAAAACTATTTCGGTGAAAATATCCATTTTAAAACTCTTGAAGAGTATAAAAATTCCTTTAATGATAAAGATCGAAAGTCTTTTGATGCAAATAATCAACAAAAAATTATCAATAATTTAAAATTTACTCCAACTTTATCAAAAAGAAAACGAAAAAAAATTGATGAATTTCAAAGAACCGAAAATGAGATCGATGTTCTATTTTCTTTTTGTGTTGATGATGGATGTCTAATTTTACCAAATCATATTTATGATTCGGATTCTCATATGTCTCTAAGCCTTTCAAATTTCGATGTTGATATCAGGTTTACAAATTATTATATGGATTTACAGTGCGATATTTCTCCAATAAATCTCAAATTCATGAAAAATATTAAAACTAAAGATTTGTTTGAAAAAAATTTAGGCTTTAAATTACAAAAGAAATATGATATGTTTATTGATTCTATAAATGTTCACGGCCATAGACTCTTTGGCTTGCCACCTGATGAACCCACATATGTTTGTAAATGGGATATTAAAAATGGAGCAGTTATAATAAACTCTAGTGGAAATTTTTTAAATGAACTAATCAATTCTTTTAAAAAAATTGCATTTGGATATGATGATATCGAAAATTCATCTTTGACATCTATCCCTATAGTTCATGATGTTACATTTTTCACTTACTTCTGTCCTCTGGTTTCCATAAAATTATCTGATGATAAGGATTCGGGGCTTGTTTCTTTATTTTTAAACAAAATTTCTGTGAAATTCAATGATTTGGCAAACAATAAATATAGTTCAAGGCTAGATGTTAAGGTGGACTCAATTTCACTTGAAATAAAAGAAAATAAAAATGATTCACTTTTATATGGTGGTTTAACAACTTCTCTTGAATTAACAAATTTTGGAAGGAAAAAAAATTTTATCTCGGAAAGTGTGTTACAACAGCAACATTTACAAAAACATGATGCATGTTTTCATCGATGTCCCTTTTTTTTAGCAACCAAAAATCGCGATGATTTTTATTTAAATTCCTATCATGCTATTTTTCCATCTTTACCTATTCCTGATATTTCCTGGCCTTTGAATTCTTTCACAAGTGAAATAGTTCTTGAAAATACTCCGTTTTCTTCTCTTTCTTTATTTGATGATTATTCTAATAGTGAGGAAACATTTCTTTTGGAAAATGATAACAGCTTTAATCACAATTTCATAAAAGAAAATGCGAGTTCGGAACATTTTTTAAATGAAAATAATACATCAAAAAAGCCTAATAATACAAAAAGACTGGAAAAAAAAGAAAACGAGTATTATTTTGGAGAAAGCACAGTGCCGAATATTATCGAACAAAATTCTGAAACTGAAACTGATAGCTTGATTATTAATTTTGCAACTACCAACAGTTTTTTATTGCCTTCTTCTTTTGAAATAGTTTTGGATGTACTTGAAAGCTTTCTTTCCACATCTTTTGATAGTATTCTAGATAATTTGCAAATTGATACTGTGGATGAACTTATTGAGATGTTAGAAAAAAAATCCGGTATAAAATTTTTTAGATTATTGGTTTCCTCCTTTAACTTTAAATATGGTGAATTTAAGGTATCTTCTGTAAAAGAGTTATTTACAAAAGAATCTTCACATAAGATTATTGAGTCACATATCTCATTTAAAGTAACTGACATTTCTGTGTCACTGAAAGAAAAAAAAGTGATTGTGAAAGAGTCAAAGAATATTATGGAAACTCAAGACGAAACAACGGTTGCCGCTAATGTAAAACAAATAATATTGAATATCTATAAGAATGACATTGGAGAATCAGAGAATATTTTTACATTTTTGTTAAATGATATTGAAGCATGGTATACTAACGATTCTAAAGTGAAAAACTGTTCATCTTTTAGTTTGGAAAATTTCAATATTTTAATCAAAGAATCACAATTATACTGGTTAGAAAATTTTTTGATATATTTATTTGAAAAAACTATTTTGTCGACTAGGAAATTTGAATCTGTTTTTTCGAATCAAAAAAAAGCAGAGATTGAACTACTTTACAAATTGTCAACTGGTAACTCGGAATATCCTGTTCAACATGATCCAGCTGCGCTAACAAAACCAATGTTTATATTTGGTTTATCAAAAAATCATATCAGGAATAGTGATAGCTGGAGATTTATAACTAAATTGCGACATATTTTTTTAAATTTACCGAGCCAATGGCATCAAAGGACTTTAAAAGTTTTTGATTTGTGTCTCTGGGAGGCACCAAAAGACTCAAAAGAAATAGTAGCAAGATTTTTTTCCGATTGGAGAAGTTGGGAAGATTTCAACATTGAAGAAAGTTACATATTCAAATATGTTTTTGAAAAATCGACCAAACTGAAAAACATAGAAGAATTTTCTTTTCGAGCTTACATTAAAAATTTTTGCATTCGTTTAATTTCTGACAATATGGAAAACAATTATATTTTGCTAAATCATATTAATATTCAGGTTTCAAACCCCAGTTTTTTATTAGAAGGTTTGAATTCATTAGAAATCCAACCTGGAGCCAAACCAGAAAATTTTAAAATCAACATTAGTGTATTTTCTTCTTCTATTAAAATATCTCCTCTTTGTTTCAGTTTGATCAAAGCATTTAAGTACATATCCAAATCGAGTATTTTTCAGAATGAGTCTAAGACATTAGTTTCTAGTGAGAAAAATAATAACAAAGAAATTAAAAATAACAGTGTTATTATTGCACACGCATTATTTTTTATTGAAAATCTGGAGCTTGAGATTTTGATCGATAAAACTTCATACAAATGCAACTCACTAGACAGTTCACTTGCTTTGTTTTTATCTTTGGATTTTTTGCAAAATAAATTTTCGATGGTAAGCAACTACACATTAAAGTATTTTGATTTTTATATTTTACTCAATTCTTCTGTTTTGGGATTTTATTCTTTTGAAGAGCTTTTACTTGATTTTGTGAATGAAAGTTCATCTGAAAAAGATATGAAAAAATTGGATATTAATTTGAAAACATCTTATTTGTTATTTGAAAAAAATAGTGATGTGTATATTGAATTTGCAGACATCTTTTTGAATAATGAGTTGGATATTTTTAAAAACTTAAATCTCTCAGATGCTGATAATGAAATGCATCAAACGGAGACCTCAGATTCAAGTCCCAATTTTTTTGTTGAGAATATTTTGAATTCAAATTGGATAGTTTCTTTTCAGATAAACCAAATCTCATGGGAACTTGATCTTTTTTCTTCAATTGACTTAAACGGATCAATTTCAAGAATATCTAGTGTATTTTATTTTGTGAATTCGCTTTTAATTTTGGACTTTTCACTAGATGATATAACTAATAATTTTTTGTATAAAAATGATAATGGAGAAAATATCAATTTGATTTATTATTTCCACAATTCTTTTAAGTTTTTAACTAAAACAAGATGTGAATTTCTCATTTCTATTAACAAATCTATTTTTGATGTGAATATTTTTTCTGGAAAGTCATTGTTGAAAGTTCCTGATTTACCATATATTTTAAAACTTTTTTTTGAAACACAAAATGATTTTGAAATCACTTTCAATAAATTTTCTTCTTTTATTAAAACAATATCAGATCTGGAATCTGAAAATGGTAATAAAACAATGTCAAGTGATTATAAATTCAAACTTTCTTTTATAAGCGAAATTATTAGATTGTCTTTTTTAATTGAAGATTGTGAATTATTTATTGAGCTTGAAAGCATAAAATCTTTTTGGCAGAATTTCATTCAAGAATCTAAAGCAGATAGCAAATATGATAAAGACATTTTTTCTATTGTACCAATCAATGGAGTATTTGATTTGTCTTCAGTTCATTTTTCTGTTAACAATTCCATTATCTCTAAAATGATGTCGAGAATTATTGATATAAACTTTGAATTTAAGCTAAAAAATGTCAAAACTGAAAATGACTTTAAACAAAAAATAGAAGCGGAATCTCAATTTGCTCGTATTTATTTTAACCCATTCGTCTTAGTCAAAATTTTCCAAAGTATAGACATCTTATCTTCTATTGCTGAAAAATATCAAAACTCATTATCACACACTTCTAACTTTAAGAATTCTACAGAAGATTTTGATTTGTCTAATCCAATTGAAACACTTTTTGGGTTATATTCAATTCATTTTTTCTTGCATAATGTTTGTTTTGGATGGATATTTGATGAAAATGATAGTATTACTGCTCCAAAGGGCATAATAACAGGTTGTAGTGAGGCATTTATAAATTTAGAAAAAAACAAGGGAATCTTTAAAACAAAATATGGATTTTTTGGGACTTCTTATGGTTGTTATTCTGATAACTTTTATTGCCCTCCTAACAAAAACATTGACGAAGGTCAGAATCGATCGTTTTTACCCAGTATTCAGGTATTTTATGATGTAAAGACCAACATCAACAACAGTAAAGATGTTGAGTTTACTGTTTATGGAGAGGAACTCGATGTGAAATGTTCATCCGAAGCAATTCCAGGAGTTTTGAAAAGTTTTTTGAATTCTGTTGTGCTAACTCAGGATCTAAGTTCTAAATATCGAAAAAGGACGCTACGGGTGTCTTCTGTTAAAACTGAATCTGTTGATAGTAGCATGTGGATTCAGTTTTTGGGTCTTAAATCTTTGAAATGTCTAATGACATTTGCTGGTGGGAACATTAATATAGTTCAATCATCGTTTGGATTGAGTTCGGGTTCTTTGAATCTTCATTCACCCAAGGTTCAAATTTTGGTTGAGTATAATAGCAAAACTTTAAATTCCTTACAAAAATTATTATTGAAATTTATAATTTTTGATTCTGATAACACATTGAATGCAAATAGTGTTCCTATAATAATTGACATCTCCTCAGGAATTAGATGTTTAATGAAGCAATCACGGCCAGTATCAGAAAACCAAACCAAAAAAGCAGAAGTTAACTTAACTGATAAAAAATCTGAAAATAATGGAATAAATTTAATTCGGATCTTAAGAGATTTTGATTTTCAATTTTCTTTGCATGTTAAACCTCAAAGAATAAGTTTGAGTTGCGAACCAACAGCAAAAGTCAAAGCAATTGTGTCTACTAATAGTTTAAAGATTCAATTTAACACAATAACCAAAGATCAACAGACGGATATGATCAATGGCTCGATTTTACTTTCTGGAATTTCTGCTTCTTTACAACATATTTATTCGAGAGCTATTAGTGGATCTGTTCAAATAAAGGAAATTCTTTTAAATGTAGCCTTATCTGATGTGGATTCAGTTAGTATTTCTTCAGCAAATATTTTTGCGGATAATTCATATTATGTCAATATCAAGCAATTAGAAGATATTGATATGTTTTTGAATATTTGGTTTCCCAAAGAACTATATAAATCTGATTCATCGAATGAATTAGCAGAGCTAAAAGTTGAAGAACCTAGTGATTTTATTGATCAAAGTTTGGCAAACAGATTGCATGAAGTAACTACAACCTATGCTTTTCCTTGGACTATTAATTTCTTGTTGATAAATACAACAGTTAAAGTTGATTTTGGCCAGTCTTTGGGTATTGCTTCATTCAACTTGGATAGATTTTGGTTTGTTAGCACAAAGACCAAAGATTGGGGACAAAATATGACGTTGGGATTTGATAATATTTTCTTGGTTAGTAAAGGAAGATTAAGTGGATCAGTTTTACTTGAAGATATTAGATTGAATTCAGTTATTTCTTGGAGAGAAGGCTCTAAAATTCCACTTATCTTAATATCTGCAGGAGTTGAAAAAATAGAAGTCAAGATTGGATTTGATTATCATTGTTTTTTCATTGCTAATATTCAAAAACTATGTGGTAATATATTTAATCAAAGAGATAAATTAGGGGTTTCTCATGATCGTTTAGTTGGGATGGGTAATTGTTCAGTTTTAAATATTTATTTAACAGCTCTATCAGCTTCTAATTTTCTGGATATTTATTCTACATTTTCTCGTATTTCTGAAGATAATAAAACTTCCTACAAGGATATTTTAGATGATGAAAATTTGAACAATGATCAGAGTTCAACCAAGTCCAAGAAATTTGCAGATGAACTACTAAAAAGTATCAATAGACTCAAAACTGAATTAGATGTTACACTTGGAAAAGTTTTGATTCACATATATCCAAGCTCATTAATCGATTCTCAAGTATTGATATATGAAGCAAGTGATGCTTTTGCAAAATATTCACAGGATGAAAAGAGTTATGATGGAATTATCAATCTTTTTGAAACAGAAAAACTACAATCATTGGATCCAGATTCCGAATATAACTTTCTTGAAAGCAAATTAGAATTGGTCATTAATAATTTTTTTCTTAAGCTATCCAGTTTCAAGAATCAAATTTCTAAAGAAGTTTTTAATGATTTGTCAGTTTCAAATTTTGTTAGGCATTCAGAAGCTGCTACTGGTGGGACTATTTTTATATTTCCTTCTTTATTGATCTCAATGGTAACGGTTGATCAACTCAGTCGCAGCAATGTGGTTTATTATAGTTTCAACAGTTCGTTTGGCGGGAAAGTGGACATTAGTTGGAATCTTCGGTCAATTAGTTTTATCCGAGAAATGTGGACAACCCATTCGAGAGCATGGAGCTCTAGGACATCAGTCAAATTTGTTGAAGAAAATGAGGAAAAAGATAGAAAAAATAAAGAAACAGAAAGTAGCGAAAAAGAGATACTAGTTTCAAGTGAAATGAAAAACAATATACTGGACGAATCTGAGATCAGTATTGAAGACGTGAAATTGGATTCAAGATATATCTACGTTCCAATAAAGCCACTACATATTGAAGCACCCCAATTGAAAGATCTTGGAGATGCTACACCTCCACTCGAGTGGTTTGGTCTATACAGGAAAAAATTTCCTCTGCTCACGCACCAGTATGTGATGATAATGATGAACAAAATAGTTGACGAAGTCGAAGCGAAGTACGCCAGCAATCTAGGCAAAGCATGATATAATAAGGCAATGTGGTATAATATAGTATAATATAGTATAATATAATGGTTATCTAGAGTGAGCACGTGTAGATGTTCTTTCAGGCTGGAGTTTGAAAAACATAATCGATCAGGTTCTGTGTTTAACTTCTTGCTGATTTCGATTAGATGCATTGAGAATGGCATTGTTGGAGCAGATTCGAAGGAAAGTGTACAAGTTGGGTTTGGTTCCCAAGATCACCAAACGCTTGCCTTTGATTTCGTTTCTTCTTGGAGTCTTATCGTGTATTTGGATCTTGTACTTGCCTGTGGATGGCCAATATAGAAGAACATACATATCAGAAAATGCATTGATGCCATCGCAAGCATACAGCTATTTCAGAGAGTCGGAATGGAACTACGAGAGAGGTTACAGAGACGAAATACATAAATTGAAAGATATCGAGAGCATATTTGAGAGAAACAAGGTGATAAGTGAGTGGTTGGAAGCAATCGGCTTAAACACAGCTGTTCACCAATTCCATTATAATGACGCAAATAAAACTGCTGGACATAACTTATATGGTTTATTCCATGCTCCCAGAGGTGATGGCACTGAAGCAATGGTTCTTGCTGCTTCATGGAACACTCCTGATGGCGAATTTAATGAAGGTGGTGTAGCATTAGTAGTTTCATTAGCCAGGTACTTTTCCAGGTGGTCAATATGGTCAAAAAACATTATATTTGTAATCACAGAGGACAGTCATTATGCAATGAGATCATGGGTACAAGCTTATCATATATCATTAGATTTAACTGGAGGCGCAATTGAGGCTGCAGTTATATTGGAATATCCAGGCGAACATGATTATTTCAAATACGTTGAAGTAATATATGGGGGATTGAATGGACAATTGCCAAATTTGGACTTGGTTAATACCGCTGTTTCTATAACGGAACACGAAGGTGTAAAAGTTTCTGTTCAAAAAGTAAAAGAAAATGAGCTTAATAGAAATGATTACTTCAGCAGATGCAAGGTATTGTTGAGTGGAATAAAAGAATTGGCATTTGCTGGTCTAAAAAAAACAAATGGATGTGAAGCATTCAGTGGCTGGAGAATACAAGCGTTGACTTTGAGAGCTAAAGGATATGGTGGAGGTGCCGATATCACCACTTTTGGTAGAGTCCCCGAAGCAATGTTTAGATCAATTAATAATTTATTGGAAAAATTTCATCAGTCTTTTTTTTTTTATTTGATGTTATCTCCCAGAAATTTTGTATCAATTGGTACATATCTTCCATCTGCAGTTTTGTTAACAGTCAGCTTTGGTATATCATCTGCATCCATAATTCTTAACAGTAAACATTCAGAGAGTCAAATACTTATGGTTCTTCCAAAGTCATTTGGGTTATTTACAATATCATTTTTTATATCATCATTATTGGGAGTTTCATTGATGTATATACCTGTGAGCCCTGATATTATATTTAGAGTGTTGATGAGTTCAGGAATAATACTATCATCACAGTCATTAAATTATTTCAATTATGAAAACAATATTCAAAACAAAACCTTTCCCATGATAAGGATAAAAATAAATCTACCATTAACTGTTTTACATTCACTACTCTCAATAACGTTGCTATATACAAGTTTGGTGATAACATCATTGCTTGTGGTTCACTTTTCAATAGCATTTTTGATAGGCATATGTTTGCTTCCACTAACTTTTGTGCGTCCATTGAGGATTGGGAGCGAAAGCCTCAAGCTAAGATCATTTGTCAATTTTCTCTGCTTAGTTATATCTTGTCCTTGGACGATAATCTTAGTAATTGGAGTGTTGGATAAAGACTTTGGAACACCCTTCAAGGTGATGGAGGGACTACTAACCTCATGGAGAGACTTTGAAGTATGGACTTGGTTCATTATCACATTTGGATGGCTTCCTGTATGGCTTGTGTGCTGCCTTGTTGGTTGCTCACTGCCCACAAAAGTTGCTGGAACTGCTGAAACTGCTAAGGTTGAGGAAGCTGTTGCCAAAAAGTAAGTTTAGCCGTGTGTTGGGTGTTTGTCACGCCTGGCGGGTAACTGTTTTTTTTTGATTTTTTTTTTTTTGGTGGAAAAAATTATCTTTAGTATTTCTATAAAGGAGATCTTCAGTTATTGTGTAATTTCATAACTATTGATTAAGTTATTCTAAACCAAACACCAATAAACAATAGCTACATCATGTCAGCCATATTCAAGGCATTGTCCGAGAAATCGTCATCAAAAACTAGAACATCAACTAAACAGAGCTCTATCAATAAACAAAAAGTGTTGATTATATCATCAAGAGGAGTAACGTATAGACATCGCCATTTAATTAATGATTTAATAAGTTTATTGCCTCATTCAAAGAAAGAAAGCAAAGTTGATTCAAAGAAAAGATTGGATGAATTGAACGAAATTGCAGACTTGTACAACTGCAATAATATACTATATTTTGAAGCAAGAAAACATCAAGATTTGTATTTATGGTTATCCAAGCCTGAATTTGGACCCACATTAAAATTTCATATTCAAAATATTCACACATTGGACGAATTAAATTTTAGAGGAAACTGTTTAAAGGGATCCAGACCAGTTTTATCGTTTGATAAAAAATTTGATCAAAGCATACATTTTTCCATAGCTAAAGAATTGTTCATCCAAGCTTTTGGTGTTCCCTTGAGCTGCAAAAAACGAAAACCGTTTATTGATCATGTTATGACATTCACTATTGTTGACAATAAAATCTGGGTTAGGAATTATCAAATAAGCGAAACTAATGCTGCTGAACACAATTTTGACAATCAAAGTAAAGGGGAGTTGAAGATTGACGATTTGTCATTGATGGAGATCGGGCCCAGGTTTGTGATGAACTTGATAGTTGTATTGCAAGGCTCGTTTGGTGGAAAGAAGATATATGAAAACAAAGAGTATGTCAGCCCAAATGTGGTCAGAAGTCAACTCAAACAACAAGAAGCTATTGCTGCGAGAGAACGAGCTGACAACGCTCTCAGGAGAAAGATCAAGAAGAGGGAGTCTGTGATTACTGCTGATCCATTGTCCAACGAAGCCATATTCAAGAACCGGTTTGGTCTTAAATGATTCTATGTACTTTTTGTAATGACATTGCAATGCGATTTATTCATGGAAGACTATTTCTGTTCGTATTCTGGTTGTAGTTTCTTGCTTTTATAGACGTATGAAGCTCTGTCCAATTATACATGCCGATATATAAGTTTCAATCAATGCTCGGTATTTATTACTACAATTTGATTACACAAGCACGCTGGAGCTGCATATTACTGCGATATTCTGCAACGCCCTCTTTCAAGCCATGAAAAGCCCGTCTTTACAGCGGAGACGCGAAAAGCTGGATAAAACGCGTCGTCCCAAACAAAAAGAGACGACGATATTCAAACACCAAAATAACTCTCGAACTACCTCTCTAGATCAGCTTTGCAAATATAATGCAATCATGTATATTAAAAAGGTGTGTATACTTACTTGTCTGCCATTGCCTAAGTGCCTGTTTGGCCCGAATTACTAACACTGCCAGTTTAGATTGTTATTCAAGGGTTTAAAACCTACAAGAATGCAACCATCATTGATGCCTTCTCTCCCCATCATAATGTTGTAGTTGGGAGAAATGGTTCAGGGAAATCCAATTTTTTCACTGCAATTAGATTTGTTCTATCTGATGCTTACACTCAGATGTCCAGAGAGGAACGTCAGGGTTTGATCCATGAGGGTTCTGGCACTGTCATGTCTGCTTACGTTGAAATTTATTTTGATAACTCTGACAAAAGGTTTCCATTGGACGAAACTGAAGTTGTTATCCGTAGAACAATTGGTTTGAAAAAAGATGATTATTCTTTGAACCACAAATCTGCTCAAAGAACTGATATTATGAATTTACTAGAGAGTGCAGGCTTTTCTCGTTCCAATCCTTACTATATTGTTCCACAAGGTAAAATTACTGCGTTGACCAATTCGAAAGATCCCGAACGTTTACAATTACTAAAAGAAGTTGCTGGTGCCAAAGTCTTTGAACAAAGATTGAAACAGTCTTTAAAAGAAATGGCTTCAACAAATAAACAAAGAAAGGAAATTGACGAAATGTTGACCTTTATTGAAGAAAGATTGGCAGATTTAGACTCTGAAAAGGATGAATTAAAGACTTTCCAGTCTTTAGAAAATGACAAAAAATGTTGCGAGTATTCACTTTATGATCGGGAATTGACATCTATAAATGATTCAGTTGAGGCAATTGATGATGAATATACTACACAAATTGACGGCTCGAGTAAATTTATAAATGATTTAGAAAAAAGAGAAGCAGTTATTCCTCAATTGGAAGAAACACTTTCGGAATTAAGATCCTCAATAAATATACTTAAAGTTGACAAAGAACAATCAGAATCAGAATTACATTCTGTATTAAAAGAAATTGCTGAGATTAATGCAGAAATTCAGGAATTAGAAAAGACATCCAAAAACATTTCTAATCAATCTGAAATAGAATCTCTAACAAAAAAAAGACTTGAAAAGGCTATTAAAGAGAAAGAACAAAAATTGGCTCAATTAAAACCATCGGTTGGACAAATATCACTGAAGGAAAAAGAATTAAGACTAAAATTAAATGGCTTAATAACTAGACAGAGAGCCTTATATTCAAAACAAAATCGTTTTTCAACTTTTAAATCCAAAAGCGAAAGAGATGCTTGGCTTAAACAAAAGATTGATGAACTAAACTCTCAACTGAGTTTAAAAAATAAAACTTTATCATCATCAAAAGATGATCTTTTACAAAATGAAAATAATTTACATGATATAATATCTCAAATTGAAAATTTAGAGCTGTCACTAAATTCGGCAGGGGCTCATAGAAAACTTGAAGAAGCATCTAATATATTAAATGAAGTTAAAGAAAAATATACAAATTTACTAGACGATCGTAAAAATCTATGGAGGGAAGAGGCTCGTCAAAGAGCGATAGTAGATTCTGTAAATGAAGAGCTTTCAAAGGCTAATAGATCGGTATCTGAAACAATGGATAGTTCCCAAGCCTCTGGGTTACTGGCGGTTAAAAAAATTGTTTCAAAACTTGGTCTTGTTGGAGTTTATGGGCCTCTTGGAGAATTGATTGAAGTTAATGAGAAATATAAAACAGCGGTTGAAGTTATTGCAGGAAATTCATTATTTCATGTTGTTGTTGATAATGATCATACAGCATCAACGGTGATGGAAGAATTAGTTCGATCTAAAGCCGGCAGAGTGACATTCATGCCATTGAATCGATTAAAGCCCAAAGATGTTGTGTATCCTAATAGTAATGATTGCGTTCCATTAATTAAAAAGATAGTATATGATGAACAATTTTCGGTAGCGGTTAAACAGGTTTTCAGTCGGAGTGTTGTTGCAATATCATTAGAAAGAGGATCTGAAATAGCAAGAGAATACAAGTTGACAGCGATTACACTTGATGGAGATCGAGCAGATAAGAGAGGAGTGTTGACTGGTGGTTATAGAGATCAAAAGAGATCTAGAATAGATGCGTTAAATGCGCAACGTCGAAGAAAGATAGAGACAAATGAATCTGAGAGAGGATTGAATGAGATTATTAAAAAAATAGAGAAAATTGATAAAAGGATAACTGACGTGAATTCTGAGGTTAATTTAAAAGCAGCAAGATTTGAAAAATTGAGAAGTGAAAGAGAGCCATTAAAGATTGAATTATTAAAGTTGAAGAACAATGAAAGGATAATAAAGGAGAATATTAATTCATTACGATCAATGATTGAAAATTTGGAGATAAGTGACATTCAAATTCAATCACAAAAGAGTGAATATGAAAATGAGATTAGGAGTACATTTAAACAGGCGTTAGATTCCAAAGAGGTTTCAGAATTGAACGAATTGAATTTAAATGTTTTAAAGTTGGAGAAAGAGTTGGATAAAGTAGCAAACAAATTGTCTGAGCAAGAGAGCCAAGTTACAACGATTGAAGCGGATTTAAATGAGAATTTATATCCTCGAAGAGATTCGATTTTATTAGGAAATGGGAAAATCGAAGGTCTTAGAGGACTTCTGGGGATTGAAATGGGATCTCAAGTTGATTTTAAAGAAAAAATGGATAAGGAACTTGAAACACAAAGAGTGAAGTTGGAAACATTGAGAAAGCAAGTCAAGGCGATAAGTAAACGAGTTAAAGAGATAAGTGGTGAATTAGAAGAGAGTAATAATGAATTGAATTCAAAGGAGAAATTATTGGGTAAAGCCAGAGAGTCTCAAAGGAATATTTTAAGAAAATTACAAAATTTTCAAAAGAATTCTGAAAAAAATATTTCAAAGAAATCCGTTTTAATCAAAAGACGGGACGATATTCAAAGAAAAATAAGAGAATTGGGGGTTTTGCCAGAGGAGGCATTTTCCAAGAAATATTCTGAAATGAATGGAGACAGACTTTTAAGAAAATTGAATCAAATGACTAAAGAGTTGAGCAAATACAGTCATGTAAATAAGAAGGCGCTAGGGCAGTATAATAATTTTACGAAACAACGGGATAATCTTGTGGAACGTCGAAAAGAATCAGATCGCTCAAAAAAATCTATTGAGGATTTGATAACAGCATTGGAAGAGAGAAAGGATAATGCAATCAGTCGGACATTTGGACAAGTCTCGAAGGGATTTTCTGAGATCTTTGAGAAATTGGTTCCTACAGGTGCAGGAAAATTGATTATACAAAAAAAGGCAAATAATGGGGATGGAAATGGAAATGGAAATGGGAATAGTAATGGTGACGATAATGATAAGCTTGATTCTATACTTGATAATTATATTGGAGTTTCTATTTCTGTTTCATTCAATTCCAAATCGGATGAACAACAGAGAATTGAGCAATTATCAGGAGGACAAAAATCGCTATGCGCGATTGCACTAATCTTGGCCATTCAGAAGTGCGACCCAGCACCATTTTATTTGTTTGACGAAATCGATGCCAATCTCGATGCTCAGTACAGAACAGCAGTTGCTTCGTTGATCAACGAGTTGTCAGAAAGTGCGCAGTTTATTTGCACGACGTTCAGGTCTGAGATGTTGCAAGTGGCAGATAAGTTCTTTGGCGTGATGTTCAACAACAAGATCTCCAGGGTGAGCGAAATCAACAGGGACGAAGCAATGTCTTTTATCGAGGGCCAGCAGCAACGAGGCTAAGAACGCTGTGGATGGGTGAGAAGCTTTTGCTAGTTTATACCATCTATACTACCTGTACTTTGCAAATGCAAGTTGTTGCTCTTGCCCGATCGGGACGCGGCATGTACCTGCAACACCAGGCTTCTCTGCGCGCATCACACACTGCATGCGTCATTTCTGTTTCAGAGGGAAATTGTCGCATGAGAGCCTTTGGAAACCGGCCAGAGGGCAGAATGGGTGAGAAATCGTCGCAGAAGAAGGGCAAGGCTAGGCAAATCAGAAGAAATAGCTGCCTGAAACCATCCTACTTCAGGAGAACAGCTGGGAGAGGAGCGAGGGTAGAGCCGATCAGTGGTGATGTCGTTGTTTGAGCTTCCAGCGAGTGTTCGCTGGGGTATGTTGATGGTTACAAAATGTGCGAGCTTGTGGAGCGAGAAATGGGCAATATATAGGCAATATAGGCAATATAGGCAATATGTAGGCAATATATAGGCTCTCTCTTCCACTCCTGCGTCTTCTGTCGTCTTTTCCACCAAGCAACTCTTCTCCAAGCAACTCTTTTCCAGTTACTCCTTTAATCTCACTCAGTCGCTCTTTTCGGCCCACAGCATTGTATCAGTTGTTGGTATATTATTCTTTCTCTTCCTCCCTTTCTCATATCATTCATACAGTTCACTGTCATTTCTTTAATAACTTATTTATAATCATAATCATAATCATAATCATAATCATAATCATAATCATAACTATAACTATAACTATAACCATAACCATAATCGTCATCTCATCTCATTATATTTTCATTTGAAAGCACTCCTGCTCTCATAATTCAAATTCTGTCTCTAATTCAACTCAATTCTCACACTACACTCACCAAATTCCCCCAGCGCTTAATTTACTATACCAAAATCTTGATCCTTCAACCTCCAAGCACTTGATTTTAGACATTTATTCTCAAAATGTTCTCAGTCTTTTCAGATTTAAATTTCCTTTTAACTCTATCCATTTTATTTCAAATCTCTTTGGCCACTTTACCGGTAATCGAAATCAAAGGCAACGCCTTTTGGAACTCTGACACAGCGGAAAGATTTTATATTAAAGGTCTAGATTACCAACCTCGTTCAACGAATGCCTCTCAAAGTTTTTATGATCACCTAGCAGACAAATCCACCTGTGAAAGAGACATTGAATATTTCAAAGATTTGGGAATCAACACCATCAGAGTTTACTCCATTGATAACTCCCTTGATCATGATTATTGTATGAATTTGCTAGATGAAGCTGGCATCTATCTTATCCTCGACATCAACACTCCAGAGGCTTCAATTCACAGAGAAGGCCCTGAATGCTCTTACAATATGTTTTACCTTCAATCTATTTTTTCCACTGTCGATGTCATGGCCAAGTATGATAATCTTATTGGCTTCTTCGCTGGTAACGAAGTCATTAATGATCCTTCAAACACCAATTCTGCCAAATATGTCAAAGCAATTGTTAGAGACTTGAAAAACTATATTTCATCTCAAAATTATAGAAAAATCCCCGTAGGTTTTTCTGCCGCTGACGTCGTATCCTTGAGAGAACAAATGAAAGATTACTTCTATTGTGGTGATGACGATGCAGCTAAAATCGACTTTTGGGGTCATAACGTTTACTCATGGTGTGGTGAATCGGATATGGAAGCTAGTGGTTTTAATGATTTATTAGATTTGTTCGAAAATTACCCAATTCCAAATTTCTTTTCGGAATTCGGTTGCAACACCATCTCCCCAAGAATCTTTCAAGAAGTTCAAGCAATTTTTTCCTCTCAAATGTCAAGCGTCTTTTCAGGAGGTTTGGCCTATGAATATTCTCAAGAAGACAATAATTATGGTTTAGTCAAAATCACTGATGGCAAGGTATCAACTTTACCAGACTATGATTACTTGAAATCAGAATTTGAATCCATAAATTTACCCAGTGGTGATGGTGATTATTCAAACTCTAAATCTTCAATATCCTGTCCAACAGTCCAAGCTGGTATTTGGGACTCTGATAATGATTTACCAACTCTAGACGACATTGATATCTTCTTCTCAAATGGTGCTGGAAAACACCTTGGTGCTAACGCTGGAGACACTAGATTTAAATGCTCGTCTAATTTCGATTATAATAAATTCTCATCCTCATCCTCATCTTCATCTTCCTCTAAAACAACCTTGTTATCAGTAAGACAATCCAAGACTTCTCAGTCTCAGACTAAAACTATAACATCCTCTCTTTCTTCATCAACTTCATCCACTACCATTATAAAAGTAGTTTCCATCAATTCAATTGCTGATTATGGTGGAATCGCCGTTGATAATGACGTCGATTATTCAAATCAAACCGTCATCTACTCATCTTTTAAAACTGATCTTATTGCATTAGGCTCTAACATAACAACCATTCATCCTCCTTCGGCTACAACCACAGCTGCAACTGAATCTATTAATCATATAACTACTGCCGGTTTTACTTCAGATTATTCAATTCAAACTGTTAATAACTCTAATAAATTAACTGCTCCAAGACTCATTCAAATTTTAAACTATATTTTAAATTTATTTTTTTAAATTAATTTAAATTATTTATCAAAAAATTTTTGGCTTTAATAGTTGGTTGGTTTTTTGGTTTTTTTTTCATTTTGCTTAACACTTTAGAAAAAAAAACATTATCATCAACTTGATCAATGTACTTTTATTATATTAATATTTGTAAAATATATGTAAAAAAAAACCTTTTAATTTTTTTCATGCTTGTTTTTTTATTTGCAATTAAATTTATTCCGATTTTAATAGCTGATTTTTAATAAAATTATTTCTTTTTACTTTTTTAAAATAAATTGTAACTCGAGTAAATAAAAAAAAATCATAAATAATATATTTTTGTTATAAAATATTTAATCTTTATTTCTATTTTTATTTTCCTTATTATTATGTTTATGGTCATGTTTACTTTTTCCAATTCTCCCTTTTTTATTAATTTTGTCTTTCGATTTATTTTCTTTTTTATTCCTCTTTTTTTTAGATTTAATGGAATTTCTTTTTGCAATTTCTAATTCCATTTTTTTATCTAAAGTAGAATATACTTGAGTTTTACTGTCATTAGCATCAATGTCAATATCAAAACCAGTGCTATTAGTATTGTTAGACAATAATAAATTTTCACTTGGTCCATTAATTTGATTAATATAATTCGAATAATTTTTGAATACATGAAGATAATCTTGATTCTGCAATTGCCAAATATCTATTGAATTGTTTTCTCCCGCAGTGAAAATCATTTTGTTATCTGGTTTATCATAAGGAATATAAACACTTCGAACAACTTCATTATTGTTACAATTTGGTATAATTATTGGGTTATCATAATTAATTTGGTCAAAATTATTGAAAAAATGAATTTTAACATTTTGATTATCATTAATTGAACCTGAAGCAATAAACCCTGGATAAATGTCAACAACATATTCGCTATTCAATTTTTCTCTTAAATCACCAAATTCTTTTGGTTTAGATTCAACCAACTTATCTTCGTTACCTTTTGAAAAATTATTAATCTCGAAAACAGAAAACTTTTCAACATGACTTAATCCATAAAAAAATTTTTCACTAAGAAAATTACATGAGTGAATTGATTCAAAATTAGCTACTTGATACAAAGCATCCTCTTCTTCTTGGATCGATAAATCATATAAATTTATGTATCCATCTGTTGATCCAGTTAATAAAAAATTCTTATTGGTTGGATGAAAATTAATCGAGGTTATATCGTCATTATGACAGTCATAGTAGGTTTTAATAGGAGCAGAAAGATTTCTTAAATCATAAATATATAGTTCAGCGTTATGATTGAACAATTCAGAACCTATAGCTAGCTGATTAAATTTTGAATTAAAAGAAATAAAAGGATTTTTATTGCTGCAAGAGAGTTCTTCAACTATACCATTTGACCGCAAGTCGAAAAACTTCAAATTTTCGTTTGCTGAACAAGACCCAAGAAAATTAATGTCGTCGTTGATTAGTTTGCAGCAGGATATCGAGTTAGAATGAGGTTGAAAAGAATGAACAGCTGCTAGTTTTTTCAAGTCAAATATGTTGATGGAGCCATTGGATAAGGAAGCAGCGAGTAGGTTCCTCTCCTGCACTGGTACCAAATCGAGGACCCAGTCTCTACAATGCAACGAGTGCACCAAATTAACACTGCTAGCCATTGAGTGTGCAATGTTGTAGGTTCTGTTTGGTGCAAATCTAGCTTTTGTCTCTGCTGCGTCTGGTGGTTGTGCTGCTTTTGCTGCTTTTTTTTCTGCTGAACTTTTATTTCCAGAGGATGCTGCAGGAAGCTGTTGGCTCCAGCTTTGTGGGTTGTTTTTTGAAAAATTTTAAACTGCGACGAAAATTCAAGCTCTGAAGAAGCTGATTCAAAACCCAGTTATCAACCAGGAAATATCTGGCGACAAAACGTTGTTGTGCTGCAATTGAAAAGATGTTCAGAAACAAAAGAACTTATTTTTCAGCAGTGACAGCGCCCACTGCAGTCAAAGTGAGAAACAGCAAGACGCTTGACACATTTGCAGTGGAGTCGTTGCTAACTGAGTTTATCTCAAATGTCGAACTGAGACAAAAGATGGTATTGCTCTCAAGCACACATTTCAGTGATCCTCAAGATACCAAAGATGAGACGAATCCAGTGTCATTAGCTACCCACAGCAGTTCGGTTTTGAATAGAACAATTTTGACCCAATTAAAGAGAGTGCAGAGGGAGTTAAGAGGATTACCTCCCACTTTGGAATTGCCCAACACTTTCAATCGCAATAAAAACAGCAAAAAGAACAAGCAACCAACTGTTACAATAATAGAAAATGAAACACTATCCGATATTAACGAGAAAACTAGCACAATTGAAATTATCAATATTGACAACAATGCTGGTGATGATCAACAAGAGTCCATTGAGAAAAAAGTTAAACTAAATCAAGAAGTTTCGAACAGTAGAAAACGTCTGCGTTCTCACGATGACGGTCACAATTCTGGCAAAAAATCAATTTCAAAGGAAGAAAGAAAAAGAAATAAAAGAGAAAAGAGAAAAGTTGTTAAAAAGAAAACTATTGAAAAAAAAACACTCAAAAACAAGCTAGAGGCTGAAGCTGTAACTAGGAATGAAGATGTTAAAGTTAAAGTGGAACCTATAAAGAAATAAAATATTTTCAGTTCAACTGATCATTATTGTATTTGTATGTTTATATTATTATTTTTCTTTGTTGATTTTACTATATTTTATTAATTCTTTGTCTCGTTTTTATTGTGCTGTTTTCCAATTTTTTTTTCATTTTTTTAATCGTATTTTACTAATATCAAAAGGGTATAAAGAATATAGAAATTAAAAATAAAACTAAACTAAAATTAAATCTTGAACACAAAACAAAAAGAATTAAAGTGCAAATAACTTGAACTAATCTATTGGTTTTAAAAGGGAAAACAATTTTTCAGAAAGTTAAGCAATTCACAAAGTTAGTCTATAAAAAAACTAATCACTTTAAAAACAAAACAAAACAAAACAAAACAAAAACAGAAAAAAACGAAACAAAAAAAAACAAAATAAATAAAAATATTAATTAGAAACAATAAAAAATTAAAACAATATAACAACCGAAACAAATTAATAACAAAACTAATAACAAAATTGTGTAAAAATCACATTACCGAATTAAATAATATTTCAAAATTGATAAGAAAAAAGAAAGTTGTGTAGAAATAAAACTCAAGTATAATAGAAATTGGTTGCTATTTCTTTTAAAGAATCATAGTCATATAAACCTGCAACAGTATCGTTTTCATCTAGTTGTTTAGTGATATCGTCAACATCGTGAATTAATTCTTGATCAAATTCAGTTTCATCATCTTTATCAACTTCTGGAGAAGCGTTTTTAATTTTATTGATATCAAGTTTAAAATCGAAATTATTATTTAACATTTCTTTATCATTTTTAATCAAAGTATTGAAATCTCTATTAGTTAAATTTAGAATTTGAATATTTTTTCTTAAATCGACTAATAAGTCGATTTGTTCTTGGGTTGGGTTTGAGACTTTTAAATCATTAATCAATAATTTCAAACCATCTAGCCAAATAAATAAAAGCTCCTTTGTATCAGTGTAAAATGTCAACAAAGGCTTACTTGTCTTTGAGCGGATGACAACTTTTCTGAAAATTGATCTACTAACGATATTGATTAATCTTGATCTTGATGAGATATTTGTTTTATTATTTTCTAGGTTTGAGACATCGAAGCCTCCAATTCTTGTCTTGTCAATTTTAATACCGTCTTTATCAATATAGGGTATGCTGCTGGTTCTTTCTTTGAATTCTTTATAGATAAGGTTATTTCTATTTGGAGATAGAACTAGGAAATAGACTTTGGGCCTTTTATTAGTAGAGTTTAGTTTTAAAGGATTTTCAGAGTAGACCCAGGAGCCTCTAGTCAATTGCAAGACTCTTTGTTCCTTGACGAAATCGTAAACTTGTCTGGCTAAGTTATTGTGAAAGGGTTTTAGTTCAGAAGACCATTGTAGGTAGTGTAAGTTTCTGAATTTAGCCAACTGGATTTTTCTCAATTGGTCATAAGTGAGATTTGACATTATGAACAATATTTCGTCGATAAAGTTTGGATCTTCTGGAGATAAGATGTTTGAGGTTAGTAAGTTGTTTAGGTAATAATTTGAGTTATTAGGATTGTTGTTATTGGCATTGCTATTATTATTATTATTATTATTATTATTATTATTATTATTATTATTATTATTATTATTATTATTATTATTGTTGTTGTTGTTGTTGTTGTTGTTGATCGAGTTATTTGAAATTGTTTGCAACGAGGCTCTGATGTTGTTGTGATTAATATTTATTCCATTGGCGTTGATATTGATGTTGCCATCGGAGTTTTTCATTAGAAATTGGGAAGTCATTGGGTCAAAATTGTCCAAAGAAGTTAAGTTTGAGTTTGATTGTTTTTGTAGACGTTGTTGTTGAAGGAAGAGGAGATTTTGCTGAATAAATTCATTAATGTGTTGGAAAAGAAATTTGATTAGGTTCATGATGTTATTAAAATCATCCAATTCAGCGTTTGCATCTTTCCAGATTCTCAAGGCATTAAACATGGCAGAATAGAAGAAATTGTCCCAAGCGAATAGGTATTTTTTCAAGTATAGATAGTTGTAGTTATCGGAAGCGTTTGTGTAGTAGGATTGCTGACCGAATTTGTTCATGAAGGAGTTATTGTTCATGTTATTGATATCTTCAATGTTTATTGAAGTTTTTGGTTGGTTGTTTGGGGAAGAAACTAGATTTAGATTTGGGGTTGATGTCGATGTTGAGAGTGAGTTGAGAGTGTTGATGTTGTTTAAAGAATTTGATTTGTTGGGTTGGGAGGAGGTGCTTTTGTTTGAATCAGTGCAAAAGACTTTGATTAGTAGGGAGGAGATGTATTTTGAGGCAGTTGGGATTGGGAAGCAGTTTGAGTTTTGAATGAACATTAGTTGTTCGAAGAATAGTTTTTTGAAGTTTAGGTTTGGGTCTTTTAGAAAGATGATCAAGTTGATTGCGTCTAGGATGGAGTAGTTTTTGATAAAGTAGTTCAAGGGGTCGTTGGTGAAGCCTGATTTGATGTATATTTCATTAATTTTTGGTTGTTTAATGGGGGTGTTGTTGTTGATCATGGAGGAATGGTTTGGGTCTAATAGGGAGGTTGAGTTGAGAGATAGACCTGAGATAGATCTCGATAGGGATTGGGATTGGGATTGGACTTGGGCTTGGGATGGGGATTGTTGAGATTGCGATTGAGTATTGTGAGAATCGTTTAGTGTTTTTGAAATAATGTCCAAGAGTTTTTTGACTATCAATTGATGAGACTCAAGGGATAGGTCTATTGATAGGTTATTTAAGAAATTGTTAATGTTGATGAAACAAATAGTTAGGTCATTTAGTTTAATATTTAGTGGGTTAAAGTTGATGGGTTGTGAGATAGGTATTGAATTATTTTGGATATTTTGGATATTTTGAATATTTTGGATATTTTGGTTATTGTTATTATTTTGGTTGTTTGTATTGTTGATGATTTTGTCATCGTTGATGCTAATGAGGGTGTTTAAAAAGCCATTTTCCTTGATTTTCAAGAAAATGATGATGAGGTAGTTGATGTAAAAGTTCTTTTTTAGAATGAGACTGTTGCTTGCAGAATCAGACTTTTTGGACAAGTTTTGAATGGAATTTGATAGTCTGTAGAGGATTTTGTTGATCAAATCAATTGTTATGGTGATAAGCTTTATGTCCTGGGTGTACAATCTTTGGGTGATGATGTCAAAGATGTTGAGGTTTTTGATTAGGGAGTTCAATATGGGATCAAAAGAGTTGATTAGGAGGAACTTGGGAAGGTTTCCATTCAAGTAGAAGAGGGATATCTTGAGGATGGATTTGAAGGTCTCAGAGCTGATGTTGTTAGAGATAATCTGGAACAAGCTGGTGAAGAGGGATTCGTTGAAGTTGCTGAAGATGGAGTCAGACTGGGGGAGGATCTCTAGCAACTTGTTCAAGACAACGATGGCATTAACCTTTTCCTGCTTGTCGTTGTTGGCTGTGATGTGGTACTTCAAGTCGTCCAAGTAGGTGAGAGAGGACAGTTCGTCAAGCTTAATGGGAAAGGAGCTGGTGGCAGCAGACCCAGAGGCCAAGGAGGAGGCATTGAGGAAGTCTGTAATGTGGTGGTTTATGGACCTGGTGTTTTCGTGGGCAGGCATCGTGGAGGTGGCAGCAAAGGAGACTCTAAAAGTGGAAGCAGAAGCAGCAAAAGCAGCAGAATATCAACAGTGGAGATCAAAACTGATTTGTTTCATCTGTCGAGCGCGCGTTGGGCGTTGGACAGCAAATCTCAACGGAAAGAGCTCCGCGCGACGGACAACGGAAACGCGCTCAGGCGTCCCACATGCACGGGGCGCACGTGATTGCGCACTTTCACGTGTGACGTATATAGAGCGGGCAACAGAAGAAGCAGCAGAAGCAGCATAGGCAGCAACATGAACACGAGATCAAAGAAGCAGAAGTTGCAGGACATTGGCGATATCGACAGGGTGTTGCGGGCGTTGGAGCTTGGTTCGGGTGCAGCGGTGGATGGTGACTCTTCGTGCAACTGCATGGGCCTCAGACATCCTTTGAACGAGATCATCCCCAACTGCTTGAACTGTGGCAAGATCATCTGCTTGAAAGAAGGATTGCGACCATGCTCCTTTTGCCACGAGCCGCTAATATCCTTGGACGAGAAGTTGAAGATGATTGACATCTTGAACACCCAAAAGTACTCGTTGATGGAGAACAAGGGGAGCAGCAATAGCCAGAATACTGGCAATGCTGGCAAAGGCGGCAAAAAAAAGAGCATCAAATTGTCCATGGGGAAGGGAACCAAATCGCTATTCAATCAGCAGGATATCGCGTTCAAACGAATTGAAAAGCAAAACCAGTTGGAAAAGGCCAAACAGAACTTGGACAACTTACTAAACTACCAAAACACCTCAGAGGAAAGAACCAAGATCATCGACCAGGTAGCCGACTATGGATCCAACAATACCAATTCGCATGCTTGGAGCTCTTCGTTGTCCACATTGGAAAAAATATTACTATTGAAAAAGCAACAGCAGAATTTGAGAAAACAAAAACTACTAAGTGACAGCAACTCTGGCAGACCAAAACAAGTTCTCGATCTATCCATTAAAAATGGGAAAGTGATCACAAGATACCAAACTAAAGAAGCAGCCAGCAATGATAGCACATACTATGACTCAGACGACTTGGAAGACGTCAAAATGAAGAATGAAATTGGGTCTTTGGAAACACAAATCAAAATCGAAAATTTAAGCAGGCTAAATGAAAGCTGCAGAAAAACATGGAATTACGAAGACGACCAGAAACAATGGTTGCAGAAGAAAGAACAGTACAAGAAGATTCTTTCAGAAGACAGCCACAGCAGCTCTGCTTTTGCTGTCTCTGGTGCTCCTGCTACTTCTGACGCAACTAACCAAAAATTCAAAAGGCTTCAGCTCGACCCGCCCAGCTCTGCGGATTCTGCTGACTCTGCAGAGATCAGCAAAAGAAACGCTCCTGCGCAGCTTCTGGCGCTTTAATTCCAACACGTGACCAACTCTTTCTGCACCTTTTATTTTTTTATTTTTGCTTCGGCGCTTAATTCTCCATCTCCATCTCCATCTTCTTTAATCTCTCCAGCATGGCCCACAGACTCGTTGCAAATCTTTCCAGAGTCTTCATCACCTCAGCAAAGGTTTTTGGCACTGCCTTCACCAACGCTTACAAACAAGCAGCTGTTGCTTCTGCTGCCAAACAAACGTCGGTTTACTCCCAAAACGAAAACCTATCGAAGGCTCAAAAGAAACTCAACGAACTAACCATAGATTACAACGAGTCCTGCCAAATATTGGACATCGACCCAGCTAAAACTGAAGACCTCACACTCGACCACATTGACGAAAGATACAAAACCCTCTTCAACATCAACTCAAAGGAAAACGGCAGCAGTTTCTATCTCCAGAGTAAAATCTATCGGGCAATGGAAAGATTGAAAGTGGAATTGGAAATAAAAGAGGAAATAAAGAAAGAAGAGGAAAAGTCAAACACCCCCCAACAACCTCATATAAAAAGCTAACCACTCCAATAACAACAACCCTTTTCTTCTCCTTCTTTTCCTGCTCTATTCCCATCTTCTGTATATACGAAAAGTAATAAATCAATCTCATCCACACTACCTGATCCGGCCACGTGAACTTTCATTTTTTATTGTAGACAGATAATCACTTCATAATTTCTCTCTTTCTCTTCTCTTCTCTTCTCTTCTCTTCTCTTCTCTTCTCTTTCTTTTATCATCTTCAAATCACCTCTTCTTTCAACCCAAAATCAGCTTATTGATCCTATTCCACTACTTCAATATTCAACTTATTGACCTAGTGTGCCGTTTGCAAAGATTCTCTCACCACTACCCCCTGTTAACCTCTCCTCTTTTCAACTTTTGTTTGATAATTAGTTTCAATCAAATCAAATACACCACCAACCGCCAATGTCTACTCCTGCTGAAAAATTAGCTGCTCTTCATGCCGCCGCTGCCGCTGCTGCTGCTTCTCCTTCTCCTTCTCCTGCTTCTACCCCTGCTTCGGCTCCTACTCCTGTCTCTCCTGACCCTGTCTCTGCTGTTAATGGTGCTCAAACTCCCTCCCTTTTAACTTCAGTTGATGACAGCGATTTGTCTGATGTTGATTCTGACTTGGATACCGCAAACTCCACTGAAACATCTGCTACTCAACCTCCTTCAATCAACGATGAAAACGAATTTCCAACTTTAGGTTCAGTTCCCTCGTTATCCTCTCCAAAACCAATCTGGGGCCCTAAAATGAGCTCTGCTGTCTCTTCCACCTCTAGAACTACTACTACTACCACCTCCTCTTTATCTTGGAACAAGTCTTCCAAGTCTGTTCGTATGAAATCAAGTTTAATCCAAGAAGCCTTTTCATTGGATTTCAAATACCTTTTATATCTTTCCAATAAACCTGAATTAAGCAAAATCTTATCCGACATCAAATTCGAATCAAAATGTAACATTGAATGCACTTCCTCTCAACAAACAAAAAAAAGAACTTTTCTTATCACCGGTAGCCCAAACAACGTTCAAATTGCCAGAAAATTGATCTTTAGAAAATTCACCAAACCAATCAACGACCAATTTTTCATCCCTTCAAAATCAAGATCAATTGTCATTGGATCTCAAGGAAAAAACTTGAAACCAATCATCGACAAATACAACGTCAAAGTTAACATTGAAAAGAATAACACCAACACCTATCCTCAATCTGATGACTCAAATGAAATCGACGACACCTTTGGTGACCAAACTAAAGTCACTATCGAAGGTGATATTCAAAGTGTTGCCGATGCCAGAAGAGAAATTGAAGCCATTGTTAATGAACACACAAAAGTATTATCTGCAAAACTAAAGGTTGACCCATTAGTCTTGCCTTTTATTCAAAATGAAATCTCCAATGACCCTTCTTTTGATTTATCTGATATCGACATCACTTATCCTCATAACACCACTTCCTCCAGTACAAACCCGCTTGTCAAATTACTGGGTCCAAGAGAAAAAGTTATTAAACTTGCCGACCAATTGAAAGATCTATTCAACTCTTTACTTTTAAATATCATAATTGAAGAAAAAAAAGCTCCAAAAAAATTACATAAATTTATCAACACTACTGAAATTTTTAACGAATTAAATGTCATTGTTGAAATTCCATCGGTGGACGACACCTCAAATGAAATTATTAGATTCATCGGTCATCCTGATAAAATTAATAAAGCAATTGATAAAGCTAAACAATCTTCTTCAAACCACTCCATTTCCTCTCTTAACATATCCAGAGCTCATAACAATAATGTTTTACACTCTAGATATTTAACCATTTATTTCAATTATATTGATTTGTTTGACCAAATTTCCGCAGAAACAGATACAAGATTGTATTTTCCATCTTACAAATCTCTAATTGAAAACGACAATACCAAAGAAGTTAATATTGAAATTGTAATTTCAAGAGATAGTCAATCTGCTGCTCAAGATTCCTTTAAAACAGCTAAATCTTTAATTGTTTCAAATGTCAACAAAATTTCTCCAAAATCAACTTTCATTATTGACGACGTTGATATTTTTTTCCATGAAAAAGTCTTATCTCTAGTTAGTACTTTAGCCACAGATTTGAAAGTTTCAGTTATTCCATTTGGCTTGTTAAATAAAGATATATCATCCAACAAAATTTTATTAATTGCTCAACCATTGGAAGATGATGATTTTGGTCCAACTGATGATGAATTAAAAGATAAATTTAATCAAATTAGCAATTTATTATCTCCCTTGAGAGAAGCTGGCAAAAACATTATTTACGAAACCCTCAATGTTCCAGATGATGAGCAAGACAACGTCAAAGGTCCAAATGATACAACCTTAAATTCATTAATCTCATCCTGCAACGGCAACAAAATCGAAATTCTTTTCCATACCCCAGCCGAAAATGAAATCACCCTTCACGGCTTGAAAAGTGATGTTAATAAGATTTCTAAAGATATCAATCAAATCTTACAAGATGCCAAGGATTACAAAGAAGCATCCTCATATTTTACTGAATTTCAATGTCCTTTAGCAATTATATCAAGATTGATTGGTAAAGGGGGTGCTAATGTCAACGAGCTCTCTACAAAATATGGTGTCAAAATTGAGTTGAATGAGGATAAAAACGATAAAAACTCAAAAGAAGTGTTGGTTAGAATCACTGGTATTAAAAGGAATGCAGAAGAAGCAAAAGTCGAAATCAATTCATTAAGTAAAAAATGGGGTGATGAGAAAACTGTAGTTATTAATATTCCACAAAAATTCCATAAAGCAATTGCAGGTCCAAGTTGGGTTTATGTTAACAGATTACAAGATAAGTATGATGTTAAAATCAAATTTGGACGTAATGAAACCAAAAAAGATGAAGTTACAATTAACGGACCATCAAAGGGTGTCAAGAAAGCTCAAGATGAATTGAAAGAGTTGTTAGACTACGAAATTGAAAACGGTTTGAAGAAAGAAATTATTGTTCCAAGGAAAGCTGTTGCAAGAATTATTGGTAAAAATGGAAAAAATTTAAACGCATTAAAAGATGAATTTGGTGCAGATATTAATGTTGTTTCTGAAAATGATATCAAAAACCTTAAAGACAAAGACTCTACTGATATTAAAAACAATAAAGAAACTAAATCTACTTCTAAAGACGATAAGGCCACAATTCAACTTGTTGGATCAAGAGAAGCCATTGGAGAAGTTGAAAAAAGAATCAAACAGATTGCTGAAGAGATTCAAAATTATGTTGAAAGGGAACTTGAAGTTGATCCAAAATACTTTAGATTATTGATCGGTCGTAACGGTACCATTAGAAAAGAAATTGTTGCAAAAGCTGGAGGTCTTGATGAAGATTCTGTCAGATTATTATACGTTCCTACTCAAAACTCTGGCTCAAACAAAATTTCTTCGCATGGTGATAAAAAAGTGGTTGATAAAATTATAAAAGAAGTTCAATTAATTGTTTCAAATGCTGAAAAAAAGAAAACTGTTGAATTGGAAGTTCCAAAAGAAAAACAAAGATTATTAATTGGACAAGGTGGATCTGTCAGAAAAAATTTAGAGAATGAATTTAATATCAGTTTATTCATTCCTAAAATTAATGAAAAAAGTAATATTATAAAAGTTATTGGATTATCTCAAGATATTGAAAAGGCTCAAGTTAAAATTAGCAGTTTAATCAAAGATAAATTCGATGAAACAATCGAAGTACCAAGTAAGTATCATTTATTACTTTCAGAAAGAGGTACAATTTTCAGAAAATTGAGAAATGATTTTGGAGTTTCTGTAGAATATGGAAGCATGGTTAGAGAAGCCACTAAGCTATCTGATCCATTTGCAATTACCCCAGAGGAAGTATTTGGTGATGGTAGTGAGGATACTAAATGGACTATAACTAAAGACCAGGAAACCGTTGATAGTAGTGAAACCGAAGATGTTGTCAACATTCCATGGATGATATCCGGTAAAGATAGTAAAAAAGCGAAAAAGTATCTTGAAGATCAGTTAGAAATCATTAAAAAGTGTAACAGAACAGGTTACTTTTATGTAAAGAACTCCAGTTCTCTTGGAAAAGTTGTTGGTTCTGGGGGGTCCAAAATTGAAAGTATTAGAAAGAAGAGTGGAAGTATTATTTTTGTTCCAAGAAACAATGACAAGATCAATAATGTAATTTATTTAAGAGGTACCGAAACCCAATTAGAAAAAGCCAAAAACGGAATTCTCGCTGCTCTTAAAAAATAGTTGCCAAATGAAAAGTTCAGTTCATTTCAGTTCGACCATCAATTGTTTTTTTAGTTAGTTTATTTTTTGTACATTTATTTGCATTGCATGAGAGAATTATCAAGAGAAACGGTCTCTTGACGTAAAGATAACACCAAATTAAATAGTTCAATTATCAATAGTTACAAGGCTGTTGCCGGTGTCTTATTGTACTCAATAAGGACAAAACTGTTGGTAGATACAGTAAAAAGAGATGTAAAAAATAAAAATTTATTATTGACAGTCTCAAATCCAATGCCCACGAACTGAAAAAAAATATGCCACAAACTGTTCCAAAAAAAAAAGTAAAACCATAAAACCACATTATTGTACAAACAAGTAAATAAAAAAATAGAAATAGTGTATAATATAAAACAAAAAAACCATAAAACAATACTATCTGGTGGATAGTTGATGACAAGAGCATCATCAATGTTTGTAGTCATAGCAGTTATCTAGTACTGGCTCAAAAAACCTTTTCTCTATATCAACACCATTTTCATTTTGAACAATTTTCGATACCACTTTAAAGTAAATACCATTCAAGACTACCAATTTTAGATTTGGAAAACTATTTACAAAATAACTTAGATATTCCTTTAGGCTATGGATAAAAAGAGTAACGAATAGCTCATATTCATTGAAATTCGGGTTTGCCAGCAACTTTCGATGAGTGTCATATAGCTCCTCTTTCACAGAATTTTTTATGTCATAGCTGAAACATCTAGCAAAAATTAAATAGTTCAAATTGATTTCGTTTTCAAAATTCGAGGCATTTAAATTAGCTTGAACCTCAGCGATTAGTCTTTTATAAAAATCCAGCAACTTTTGGGAAGAATCACTTTTATAGGGAATTATCAAACGTTTCAACTTTCTTCTGGTCAATTTGCAATGATAACATTTGCAGCTTTTTAGAAATGTTTTTAACATTTCAATGTTTGTAATAAAAAACTGTTGAATAAAATTTGGAAGGATTAAAAAGCGGAGTTTATGAAAAGAAGAAATTAAAGGGTCAAAAAAACTTGTAAAATAATAATTATAAGCTTTTGAAAAATTCTCTTTTAAATTATAAGATATTTCAAAAAGATTTTTTTCTGAAAAGTTATCAGCAAAACCGTTCATATATTTAATTTTATATTTATCAAATATAGAGTTCTCATTAACACCTGTTTGGTTTTCATCCATATCCTCTTTAACCCGAAGATCAATTTCTTTATCCAAAAATTCGAATTCAGATTCATAATCATTGAATTCAAAGTCTTCATCTATTAATCTTGGAGTTTTATTGTCAAAGGTTTGAGTTGAAGTCGGAGAAATTTCTTGTAACTCCAAGTTGTTATTTGTAAAAACAGATATTGAAGAACTGGATTGGTTGTTTGATGAAGAAGAAAATATTTCGCTTTTTCCAATATTCAAAGGATTAAATGTTTCAAGCAACAAGTTGCTTTGCCCATAATTAAAAGAAATGTTAGAAGTATCAACAAAGTCTATACTGTTTCCTTTATTCAAGCTTTCATGTGCGTTTTCATTAAATTGAGAAAAAAATTTAAATACATTCTTTTGACCAGATAACCGATTTGGATAATTTTCAGCTTTATTAATTTTAGAGAATTTCTTGTTGTAAAAAGCACTGTGATGTTGTTCTATAACGTTTAAGGGTGATGTGTCTTTTAGTTTCTCTGTTGCAATAAAATTGCTAATAGACTCACAATCAGAAGAAGTGCTACCAGTAGAAGAACGATTGTTGCAGCTTATTTTGTCTTTACAACCCAGACTTAAAGAAATATCATCGTTTTCATGAAAATTTGTAAGAGTATCTTTTTCATTATTCATATAATTATTGTTATCAGTAAAACTCCCTGTAAGCTTAGTGTAATCATCAACTTTAGCTTTCTTATTTTCCTTTTTAAGTAACGACATTGATTCATCAATATTCGGGTTATGATAGCTTGGCAATTTGAGCTTTGACAGTTCACAATTTAATCCTTCAAAATTTAAATTGCAATTGATTGTTTCTGTTTTTGAAAGAGTAATTCCTACCATTTTTAAACCCACATCTAAATCTTTCATTTCTGTTTGTTTTAATTGGGATTTTGACATAGTTTTTAAAGGCCAATTAGAAAGAAGATCGCTATTGAATGCATTGAAGTATAAATATTCTAACTGATCCAACTTTGAGATAGAATTTTGAATAATAATGTAAAAGTTTTGAATATATTTAAAGCTTAGAGTATAGCGAGCATCAACTTCAAGTATCTCTGTGTAATTATCGGAATCACAATCTGAAACACTTTTTGAAGTTTGATCAATAACATTTGTATTTTTTGGCATTTTAAATAGATTTTGACTTTCAGATTTTCCTGGATCTTCAAAGGAACTATTTACAAAAAGTATGTTTGAATCTTTCCATGGAAGAATTTTTTCATTTTTATATATGGTTTGAGATCCCACACCAGTGCAATTGGAAGATAGAAAATCAAACGCATCAACTTCTAAAGTGTTGTCGTGCTGGATTCTATAACTTCCAAAGAAATCAGATTTATCTTCGTCATCAATAAAATTTGTATCATCAAAAAATACAGGTAATGACTCGTTTAAATCTAATTTATTTTCTGCAAATTCGAAATCACTGAAAACTGTACAGGATCCAATTGAGCTTATAAAACTGTTATCGGGAGCAACATATTGCTTTAAAGAAGAGCCAGACGCTTTAAAATTATTGTTTTCTTTATAGTCGTAAAAAAAGGCATCGCCATTCAGCATCAGAATATCAGAATTATTCAGTTGATTCAGATTTTTATAAAAAACATCACCGTTATTTAGGTCATAAAATTCCGAAATATTGTTGTTGTAAATATTGAATCTTAACGCCAATCTTTTCAAATTAACAAATTCAGAAACCAAATTTTCAGTAACATATAAAAAAAATAAATCGCATTGGCATCGAGATAAACTTTTATTTATCTTATTATTAGTATTTTTATCCTTCTTAAAACTTGAAATGTGTTTCGCATCACAATTACCAAGGTTTAAACTGCAGTATTCACTCAGACAATATACATTTAATTCAAACTTTCGTAATGAAACAGATAATAATTTTTTAGTTAAATTCTTAAGCAGAGAAAACAAAGAACCAAGAGCCTTTGTATATATTTTTTGACCTTTTTTTTCTTTGTTCATGGTATTATTACCCTCGGTATTTTTAAGAAAATTGGAATGATTGCTGCTGGAGATTACATTAGTGTCTGAATTTTGCAATTGTCCGTTGCTGTTATCCAAATCACTTGATACTGGTTTTTCATTTATAATATCGCTTTCTCTACTGATTTTTGATCTGTTTTGAACATGAAAATTTTTTAAAATCAAGGTATTTAAATTATTGAAGTTGAACTTTTTTTGTGCTAATATATTTAGTACTTCTATACAGTCACTTATAGAGTTTTTCAAAGATTTATTTCCGGTTTCAACTAAATTATCGTTTCGGTTATTAAAACTGAAATTATGAATGCCATTGGTGGATTGGTTTCCTATATCTTCATTGGTAGGTTCTTGAAAATGCTTCTTGATTTGAGAATTGTGTTTAGGGGAGTTTTGTGGGACAGAAATATCCTCTATGTCATCAGAATTTCCAGGATTGAGAGTTATGGTTTCGTTTTTAAATGTATTAATTTCACTTAGTAATTTTATAGAACTTGAATCAACCATGACCGAATGAAAACTAGAAAATGAAGAATCGGAATCTAAATCAGGATCAAGATTATTGATCTTCTTGATATTTTCATTTATTAAATAATCATAGTCAATTAATTCAATTCCATCAGAGTCAGAACCAGAAGCACCTGTATCTGGTAACGAAACTACATTACCGAAAAATTCAATAGCACTTTTCTTACCATCTTCATCGTCGGAAATATCAATAATTGAGGTATCATCTGAGATGTCAACCAAAATAGGGCTAGAGCTACTAGAAAATTGTTCTTTGTTATCTTCCAGCAGGGTTTCTTTATAAGGGATAAGATTATTTGAGAGATTTTTTTGAATTTTTAATGGAATTTTTTCTAGAGATGTTCTGCTTTTAGTTTTAATTCTAGTCCCATTTTCAATGTTGCAAAATTCAGTATCTGTTTCGGTTTCATTCTGACTTACCGATCCAGATTCGCTCTCGCTTTTATTTTTGCCAATGATATTAGGATCATTATCAGTTTCATTATTAATGTTGCTTCCACTTGAACATTCATCATTATAATTGATATTATGAATTTCAGAATCTGAACAAGTGCAAGAAGAAATACTTGAGATTAAATTGGAATCAGTGAATTCATCAATATGATCATTGATATTATCAAAATAATTGTTGATGATTAAACATTTGACGTTACTAAAATTTTTTAAATCATTCAAGGCAAGAATATAATTTGTAAAATCATCTTGGGATTGACCATTTGTTGAAGATGTAGATTTCCAGTTTAGAAACAATGTTATTTCAGTTAGGTATTGAAAATTTAAAAAATTGAGTTTCAAAGTTCTTGGAAAGCCAATAAAGTTATCGGAAAGATTTCTAAGGTTATGGAAAAGATCTGGATTTTGAACTAATAGGTTGTATTTAAACTTGTTGATATTTTGAAAATAGTTATTATAAAGATGAATACCATTTTTGTTTCTTGGAAAGGAATTATAGTGAGAACCAAAATTATAGATGTAAAGGTAAAATAAATCTTTCAAGTTTTCTAGGATTGAAAAAAGGTTTCCAGTTTGAATACTGTTTAGTTCATCATAAGAGGACACTACAATCATTTTGGTTAGGTTGGATAAGGATGGGTTATTTGATAGAGATGAGAAAAGAGATTTTAGATGATTTGGAGAAACATAGGTGAAATTTGAATCTAGGTATAAACCTCTAGCAAAAATGGGCATTATAATGTGTTCCTTTTTTTTTTGTTTATTGGATAGAACAGCATTTGTCTCTCGTCGTTGGATGAAATAATTTTCACGATTTGTTGCGGAAACAATGTATTGAAATTGATGTCTTGCAAAATTTCCTCTTATTAAAATATTTCTGTATAGTTTTTCCAGGGAAAAGCTGTAAAGTCTTTTATTGGCAGCTGCTAGACGTCTTAGGTCGTATTGGTTTAAATAAGAGATAACTTTTCTTAGAATATCCTTTGGAAGATCAGCTAGGGGAATTTTCTTTTTCTTGGATGACATCTTTTTATTGTTATTAGAAATCTTTTTCTTTTTGTTATTAATATTATTAATATTATTATTATTATTATTATTGGTTTTCTTCTTTTTATTAATATTTTTCTTCTTTTTATTTATATTTTTCTTCTTGTTAATAGGTTTCTTTTGTTGGGTAACAATTTTTTTCTGTTGTTTTTCCTTTTTCTGTTTTTCAGGCAATTTTTGCTGAAATTTTAGAAATCTTTTAAGGTCATAGCGAAAAGACACGATATAAGATTTTAATTGATTAGAATTTTGAGTCGTATTGGGAAAATTGGAGATAAAATCAGTATCATTATCATTATCATTATCATTATCATTATTATCATCATCAGATTCGGAAATGTTTATGGGTTCTATATCAGATGAATCAGATGAATAGATTTGTTTATTTTCCGGGTGTGTAATGAGCGTTTGCTGTCCAGAATGATTCTTTACTTGTGGCAGAATTAAATTTGAAAAAAAAGTTGAATTCAAGGTTGCTTCTGAGCCCGAGTTTGAATCTGAATCTGAAACAATTATAATATCAGAATCTGAACAAGAAAGAGAAACAGATCTAATTATAGGGGGTTTATCAATTGGATTAGTGTTTACTTTCGGTGATTGATTTGGAGTAGTTTGAATATTAATATTGTTTGGGTGGGTGAGTGATAAATGAGGAAAAGCCAAACAAGAAGCTATTTTGGAATTAATATTGGTGCTGTTGTTTTGAATAATATGGTTGAAAAAGGAAGAAGAAGGAGAAGATGATGATTTGTTGTAAATTGAAAGCTGAGCAAGATTATTGGACGAGGATTTCGGTATAGCTGAGATTGAAATGTTTTTCTGAATATCGATATTAGTGTGGTTGGAAGTATGATCGGAAGTGGAACTGGAATTGTGATTTGTGTGATGAGGCATTTGGAAAATGGATTGGGGATGCTGGTGAAGAACAAAAGCTTGGGTTAGATGAGTCAGTTGGTGTGAGAAAACAGCAGTTGGAGAGAGTGTAGCATTGTGAATGGAAAGAGCAGAGATCTTCTGAGGTGTCTTTCTTCTGTTGTTTTCCGGTAATTCAATGAGATCAAGGCCAGAAGCAACGCTAAAATTCATAGGCCCAAGCAGCAAAACCAACACAGAACGAAGATGAACGAAGAGAGAGAGCAGCTGCTGAGGAAGGAGAGGTGAAAAGAAGTGATGAAGCAGAAAAGAACTGCGAAACACACAAAGCAAGGAGCAGCGCAGCCCCAGGCACAAGAAGCAGCGTCATGCCGGGTCTTGCTTGATCTTGCTGCTCCGATGCCACATTTTCAAAGAGGGCTCCTTCTGCTGCTGGAGCTGCTGCTTCTTCTACTGCCTTTTTTGCATCTTCTGCATTGATTTCTACCCTTTTCGAGAAGCAGATTTAGCGCCATCCGCGACTTGTGCTGCACTTGTTCTGTGGCGGTGGAGCGGTAGTACATGATTGCCGGTTACTCAGGTAGAAAAAAGTCTTTAATGTTTGAACTTTAACCGCAAACCTCCATCCGATTAGGAAACTACTAACCAGACTACTGTCACTCAATAAAACAATCAACTCACCATCGGAGGCAATAAAACCTCAACATATCAAATGCAGACTCTCAAAACGACAAAAACCCTAAAATGTCATTAGCAGTAATCCCATAACTACATCAGTGCTGTAGAGAATCCATGGTTGTATATTATGATAAAGAGGCATATAGAAATAAAGTCGAGGGGATTCCAGCCTTCTTTTATAGAGGGTTAGACCCCTTGTGCTGTTTTACGCGCGGACCTCCGTGGGTCGTAACCGTAGGGCTTCCTGTATGTTGTAGCGAATCCATGATAATAAACTAAGGTGAAAAACAATATAAAAAAAAAAACGAAGAAAAGATCGCCAGCCCCTTTTATAGAATACCGAGTGAGATTACGGAGCGTCACGGGAGCAGACTGGTAACAGACATCGAAAGATTAAATGTAAACATCCGGGAGGCTCACAACGGCCACGCGTAACGCGGTCACCACACCTCAAACGATCGGGTCAATGCAGTCTAACATTTTAGAGAACCTGCAACGACCGGTCGCCTTGGCCGAGCGGCAACCAGGTCTGCAGGCGAAACATGGTCTCCAAGAATGCGCTCACGGACTCATTAAAAATGGTTCGAACCCAACCATAGGCCTGCAAAACAAACGTTCTCATGTGACAAAAATGAATGGTTAAAAAGTGGTGAAATGTGCGTTGCCCATCCAAAACAGATCTAGTGTCTTAAACAATGAAGCACAGCATGTTCCTCTGCCTCGTGCGTCAAAACCCACGGCAGGCCAGTTAGTTGACTTGCCTGTTTAAAAAAACTTATTGTTCCAAACCACTGATCATGCAACTTTCATCAACTCTTACATAATAACAAAAGCTGATTAATAACAATAAAGTAAAAATTTAAATGTGATAACTTATCAAATCCAAAACAGGTGCTATATGATAGCAACTTCAATTGCATAAACCAAAGAAGACAAAGCCCAAAAATCAGCTTTTAACCGTTCAGAAATATTTCAACCACAGTCAAACACCCAGAAAACAATCAGTACTGTAGCATATTCAACCAAAATCAGGCAAATGGTAATAATGAAATAAAACTAATCGACGCCAGCAACAGCACCAACACCAGCAAGAGCATATTCACTAGAGTATCCTCACTGAACAATTCAATGGCTCCCGGCGTGGTCCCTCAGTCCACACATCATCGATACGTGTGAGATCACACCTTAAAGCTTCAAAGCGTCACTGCACATCTTTGGATAGATGTGATTACTGACTCAGTAACAACTGAGGAATTGGTGATTGGTTCAACAGCTATCGACTATCTTGACTGAAGTCACATCAGAGTCCGTATCTGGTTCACTAAAATTTTAACTTAAATAATTTGTACTTATCGTAAAGGAAGCAAAGCTGATGACTGTGCTTCAGTGTAAATATAGCTCCATGTCGCAAATCAGCAGCACTAAATGAGTCTGGTTGCTTTTGCAGCAGGGTGGCCTCTGTTTAATGACCGATAATCCAAATTTACAAATCTGTGCGCCACAACAGCTGCAGCATAGTCCCCGTTGTTGAAGGCAACTACCACAACTGATTAGACACATTGCTAAAGTTTAGATAGCAGATTTGAGTAACAGCATTTTAGCATTCAATGCCTGCAGCGTAAATGGATCACAGATGGCGCATCAGGGGACTTACGAATAGCCGAGGCAGCAAACACAACGGCAAACAGCGTTCAGAATTGTGCGACTACGTCCGGTCCGCAAATTGATTGCTAACGTGATGCGTTATCACCTTTATGCTCAGACTCATAGGATTGATGAACCATTTATTGTAGAGTAATCATTACTGGTAAAATTTTCCAACATCTCAGTTTAATTTTAAAGGGATGGATCACCAGTCTGACGTAGGTTCTCAACGCTATCAGCATCGGAAAATAATTTAACCACTGTAACGATTAACAGCATGTCGCTGCTACTCCGAAATCATTCCCATTTGATTCGACGCAGCGGCGCTTCTTGTTAATAATTTTTACCACACTTTATTCAGCTGCGGCGCTTCCCAGCTACACTAACAGGTGAGCGCTGAACAATCTCTTCTAATATCAAAAACATATTGATTGTGTACCAAATTTTCATTTACGCACAATTCCAATTTTCGGAAAATACTTAACAGTCACCATCACGGGACGCTTTCTACTGATATTTTCAGCCTCGTTAATCTTATGCCCAAAAGTACAATTCACATATTTTCCATGGTGTTATATGATTTTCGATGCTGCAACACCAGAATAAGCGTTATCACTTTTAGCCTTAGTGACTACAAAAAGTTTTTTTATGTAATCAGTATTTTCAGCCATGACTTGAGGTTCCGATCGACAAGCAGCTTTCCAGATTAAGTATGCAGCATTTGGTTTGGCCGAGCCATGCAGTAGCTGACGAAATAATAGATTGAGGGAGCATGAGCTGTATATAACTCCGATGCTGTACTGCCTCCCGCAAGTGCATCATTCAGACCGACACATACATCGTTAATGGAATGCGGACCTCATCCATTATGGAAGAGGAGAGTGGAACATGACCATTTTTAATCGCGCCACCATTCAGAACATCACAGTTGCGACATTGTTGACAGGGACAAAAATGAAAACAAAGCCAGCAGTACGACCGAAATGAAGAGTTGGCTAGCCGAACCAATCAGATTTTGCACAAATATGGGGAGCGGCACCGGACTCATAATAGATCTGCTTGAGTGACAACATGACCTTGGTAACTTCTTTCAGCAATTGAGCAACCAGGCTTTAAAAAGCTTTGGAGCCATCCACATCAGCCACAGCAGCAGATACATCGGCCGCAACTAATGAGCAGCAGAAAATGGAGCTTTCATTCAACGAATCAGCATCCAGATTTCCAGCCAAAAGCTTCGAATCATCAATTGTTGAGCTGCTCCTGACAAACTGCTTCATAAATATCATCTTAGGGTATCTGCCGTCCTGGAAAAGAGCAGCTTACGCAGTAGCGGTTACTTGATCAGCACTGTAAAACTTCTGATGATTGCAATGAAATTCATCGAATGATTTATTGAATCTTCTCCTGTTGAACAATTTAGTTTGCCACTTAAAAAAAAATAAATGACGTGTGGAGCTGCTACAAGCACCTTCAGCACCTCTGGCATCGAAAGACGTCTGCAAATTAAAGTAATACTTGTTGGACAATTCATTCACTGTATTGCACGCTTCTCAACACAACAAAAAGTAGTCCGCCAGTGATCAACGTATGGCAATCGAAATTCACAGTAGTAATAATACTCTCTGGATTGGCAACGTCGATCAAATCGTTACGAATGACGCTGGCTGTTTCAAGCAACAGGCATAACTGACCAGCTTTGAAATGTAGAGCCGAGTTTTACATAGTAACATTGACTACTTCAATTTGTTACTACTGACACCTGCCCCCTATCATTGGCGATTTGGTTCATGGCTTGGTGTGCGATTCAGTGATAGTATATTGACATGAGAAGTAAAAAAGCAAAAACCATGCAAGGATTGTCGTTTTTATTTATTAAAGCTGGGCCTTAATCACAAAGAGCCACTGGCGCAGAACGGGTAACAGACACCAATACAGCGAATGTCAGAACGCGGGAAAAAAGCTTAAGGCTATTGTTATAAGCTCGCGACAAGGCACCTTAATCGGCTACGACAAGCCGTGACAGCACGGATGCTAGCCTGCTCTTTAAGATGATCGAATACATTCATTTGCGCCGAGCGTGGGGGATGATGAGAGTCGGATTTGCTATGTTGTCGACCGGTCTGCACCAGTGGCGCCCTGTGATCCAGCCCAGCTGGAATACAAACGATTGGCAATTTTTTCAACGATAATTATTGTTTGTTTGTTTGGTTTTTTGAGTATGCCATCATGAATAAAAGCACCAGCCTATGTGCAAAATCACGATTGTGTACTGGCATGAATGAGCCAATAAAATAGAAGCAGCTATCGACTGGAAGTGGGAGTCCGTCTCGAGCAGCAATCCAGCTTTGAAGTTCGATTGAATAATGCTGCATCACTCAAGAAATGCCATTGCAATGATGTGGATGCACAATTCATTGAAGCGTTGCTCACTTGCATTGTCCATGAAATAGGTTATTTGCAGATTTCTCTTTGCTGCACTAAAAGTCTGCTATACTGTGGGTGGTATCACCAAAAAAAATTATTAAATGGGCAGACGCCGTTCAATTCTACAGTTGTTGGGCTTCGATCATTAAAGCCAACTAATGAATCAGCGGCAAATGACAAATCACATTATGAGATAAGAGCGGCTACAATAAATGGCTTAATAAATTGAATTGAAATATATTGAACGCCGGCAATGGTGATTTTGTCGCCGCTATTGGGTTACCGCTTCAGCGTCAGTCCTTTCTAACGGTGAAACGGCTTGTACGCACTTACCGGTCCCAACAAAGATACAGATATTCATGATGAAGGCTGGATTTATCATTTTAATGATGACTGCTATGCATATCGATTATTTGCAGCAGTGCTAGTATTTGTTTGTAGATGCCGCTCAAATGGCTACAACAAGAGTGATTGAGATGTTATCGAGGTTGTTTATATGGATAGATAATATCTAAGTGTATGGCATTTTGGGAAAATTCGGCTGGATCATCTGCTCTAACCGGTTCTCCTACTGTTGTGGCCGTTCGTCAGTCTGTCAAAATTTAACAGTCGCTGCTTGCTTGCTATTTGAAACTAACTAGCAAACCGACAATGAATTAAAAATAATTCATTTTTGAGTGTAGTGCCCTCAACAAATCTGTTCTACTTTGGAGTGGCTTAGCAATCTTATTTTTCACTCAGCGCACCTTGCAGCAACTGCCGACACAATCAACAATGTCGGAGATAATGCTAGTTGGATAACATTGCATGATAAACCATTCCAGCATGCTTTTATAGTTTTGGACGCTCAAGTCCATCATTGATGTCTGCTGCGACATACCACGAAACATCGAGCACATTCAAAAATAGCTGTCGTTACTTCAATTGGTGCGTTAACTAGTAAGAAAGCCGCTTGGGGATTATTGATATGACTCGTTGCCTGATCTGCTGTTGCGCAAATTGCTACGAATTGTGTTGATCATTTAAGTGATGCTGGACAAACTCTGCCAAATCATTCGGCCACAACTCTCGGCACTTCTGTTGGAGATGAGTGAAAATGTGAGCTCTGGCTGAAGTGTATGACACCGTGTTTATTTGTAGGTCGACTACAAAACAGGCCATTGCAGCAAATGGCTTTCATCATTTTAATATTGATGAGCCAATGCCATTTGATGCTGCTGATGAAAGTCGTTACCATCTAATATTTGTTCCTGATCTGCCAAAATACTTGGGTGCTGCTCCAATGTTACACGATCATCGTCTGTGGCGGTGCTATAAAATTATATTGAATTTATTCAACAACCATTTGAGAAAGCACTTCATATTCTCATATCTGATAACTAATTTGCCTCAAAGATGTTCAAAGCCGTTCTCTAGTCAGCACCGATCAACCATGAGATGACTGGTTTTTCTGCATCTCACGAGAATTGAGTCGCTTCTTTTACTCAAATGAAAACCGTGAAAACCTAAAACGTAATGGTAATTGCTATTACTGGGACTGATTATCAATTAAATGAAACAATGATGAGTGCAGTGATGTGGATGAGTGTCGAGTCCAACAATCCAGTATGACGGATAGCAACCTCTTTTACCCAATTTTTGAGAAGTAATCTGGTGCTGCCGAGCTACAACTGCCGGCTTATGGCGATTGTGCTATATTCCTCGAGCAATACATGCAAACACTGCAAGGTTGGAAAGCAGCGCTCTCTGCCTTTGTGCGCTATGACACACGTAGAGTTGATCAACGCGTGACAAATCGGTATCACAGATGTTCTATTGTAAGATCAACTTTTTGCTTCGACGCAACGAAATTTTCTTTTAATTATTCATTTCGTCTAACCAATAAACAAAGAAATTATTTGTGGCTGCGCTTACAGATATTTTCGCTAGAGTTATCAAGAGAAACATGTGCACTGCTGTCAATTGCCAAGTCACACAACTCCAATATGTACCATCTAAGGATCTTGAAGGCTCTCTAATAATAATGATCAACTCACTGATCTCAAGTTGAATGACAAATTAAAAAATGGTGTCGATGACAATGAATAGATTAAAGACGAGCATTTTGAATTCAATGATGGTAATATTCAACCTCTTGACGCTAGCGCCGCAGCCGAACATAATGGCAAGCGAATTGCTAAGAAAATGAAAGTTCGTCAAGAACAACTAGATGAAATTGAACAAATTTTCGAATGAATTACCAATATTTTGAAACCCACCAAGAAACCCCGAATTATTCGCCTATATTTGGGAGCCGTCGATATGTCTCAATTTGTGTCCACACACCTTTGTCTGCCCTAATCAGCTAATTAAGTCGTTGCTCAGAGCTTCCAGCAATGGATGAGCACATTAATCTGTGTTCCTTAATTTTCGCTGTGCCAAAACGTATGTGGGCTGCGGTTTGGAATTCGCAAAAGAATCAGCACTATCAAGTAATGGGTGTAGTGACAAGCTAGTTGCAAATCGACTACATTAAAATGAAAGCATTGAATATACTGACCAACCAAATTTTCTAATTTTTTACGAAAATGTTACTGACCAGCTGGCAATTGGCCCATCAAAAGCATTAGAGTATTATTAAATCGACTTTCCAATTGCAATTTTTTATTCTACTATCCACAATTAATTCTACATGAAACAAACTCGAAGACTTCTCAAAGCTGCGGATCATATAAATAGTTGGAAATCTAACAATTTATATTTGGGACACAATCAATCATGGATTTGTTAATAAAAAAACATGAATAATGAATTGCAGTCGTTTGGGTTTAGCGTGCTGTAGCAGAAAATGATCTGATGCATTTTTTAGAAAAGAAGCACATTGCGTGCATCAATCCTATGTGGCTGATCATAGCATTGGGGACTTATATAAACTATTGGTCAAGCTAATCAAAATCATATGCAAGCTCGTGGAGAAAATATTGCACTTTGGAGCTACTGAGGGCTGGTTGGCTTGTCTTGATGTGGTCCGAATGACACTCGAAATCTGTTATCCGTGGAGACCTACGTCAAATATAGGTAGAGCAGATTAAGACAGATGAGTCAGAATTTCAAGCGATGGCAATGGTTTTCGATCTATTCAAAGTCTTACTCGAACCCAACGGCTCTGGGTGGCTGTGAAATCCAATTATTTTACTGAACAATAATCATTGGCCTGAGTTCTCTACAACTTGTTTGCGGCATTATGCGGCTTGTTGCAGTATCTGATTTGGTCCATTTGAGTCCCATTATAAATATGCTTTTTAAGTGGTATTAGTTAAAATTTCAGATAAATGATCTCATAACCATAATTTGTTGAATGGCAACCTGTTCTATCACCTGGATTCAGCCGAAACTCGCACAAATACTAGGCTAGCAGTTCAAGCAATTGGAAATCATATTACTTTGATATGGTGTTCATTAATCAAAGTAGCTTGATTCAACTGAAGACAACTGTAGTTAGGTGGCTTCTATGGCTGGTGAAACGTTTCAACGTTTACGCACTAATTTTGTCAATGAAACAGTGCGTCAACCGCGCATTCTTAAATGTGCTCCAGAAAATAGATATAATCCCATTGTTTTGACGTAAAACCAACGGCGCAATGACTCCCGCGAGCCATCTGCCCAGTCATGACATTTACAAGTTTATTTCAATTTAGCACTACTTTTGAAGATCGGTGTGCAATGCTGGATTTACTCATCCATGAGTTAATACTACAGGTGATTTTCCCGACATGTTGGGCAACACCATAAACGGTGTGATGTTTAAATGTTTCATTAAGCGGATTTGCTGAATAAAATGCTGTAGAGTGGGGATAGGTTTTTGAGATCGTCGCGGCTTTATCTGATAACCATTTACTGCTGGATTCGCTGCTGGATGTGCTACATTATCGCACACATCTCTCTCATTAGCTCTAGCCATTCCAATTTTATTTTGGTAAGATGTTGATCGTATCACTGATTTTCTGTCGGATTTTTAATCAATTTCAGTTGTGAATATAAGAGACTTGTCTTTGCATTGAGTGTGTTCACTCTTTGATTGTTTCATTTCTTTATTATTGATTAACGTTTGGATGCTTTAGGAGTCCACATTTGTGGGGTGAACAGTGGTTAGCAGAAGTAGGAGTATACGATAAAGCAAATTAATGAGCTAGCCAGGTATAGGTTTTTATCCACAAGGCCAAGGAACTTTTCATGCCTTATTGTTTCCAGGGTTAGAAGAGTTTTGCTTGCCCAACGCACATCGCTGTATTTTTGAAACACCGGTATTTTTCACTCTATATGTACTCCTTTGGAAGTCCGTGGTTGGGATTGAGCCAACTCCACTGCACCCGTGAGCGGATCCTTGGAGATCAAGTAACGCACTCACACTTGGTCCAGCTCGACCAACGTGAACGGTCGTTTGCAAGTTGTCTAAAATGTTGGCTCGATCGTTTGAGGTCTGGTTACCGAGTTAAGGGGGGCGGTTGTGAGCTTCTTGGATGTCTACACCTGGTTTCTCGCTGTCTGATACCTGTCTGCTCCCGTGACGCTCTGTGATCTAACCCAGTTCCCTATAAAAGGGGCTGGCGATCTCTTCTACGTTCTTCTTTTTTATATACTTATTTACTTTAATATATTATCATGGATTCGCTACACCAGTTTTGATATTCAATTTAGGAAAATTAAAATTCAGTTTTAAGGGCTACGAGTTGAAAAGTTTAACAAGTTTTTGGCTATCCAAGTACTGCCGGTATAATTCACCGTGTTCACTTTTCTAATTTAATCCATACTCACACCAAAAATTTCTCATCTGTATGATAGCTGTTTGTGGTTAATGTCACAGGATTATGGCTATCAAAATTTCGTTTGGTTGAAGTTGAACACCATACCCCATATTAATTACTTTTCAATTTTCATATTAGGAGAAGGAATCGTTGATAAATTTTTTGGAGTTCATTATTAGTTTGCTTATGGGATCAATAAAACAAAAAATATTTTATAGCATATTTATACAGTATAGGAAATAAAGCAATTCCTTTTGATATACCATTTTATTTTTACAAACTGCGACCCAAACCAGTTTTTTTGAATTCATTTAATCAATCAGTATATATCCCACCCAAAATTCTCAAGCAAATTAGAGGAGATGATTGTTTGGTAACTGAATATTGGCATCATCAAATAACTGGTTTCATTTACCTGGTCTGATAATTGGTCTCACTTGGTACCAGTTTGAACCTAGTGAGAGGGTCATCAGAAGACAATAACATAGCCTCTTCATTTACCCAAACATCTTTCCTCCTATTTTGAGTGTAATTATCGATGTTATGCATAAACCCATTTTCACGAACACTCTTTTTTTCTTATTTTACAGCTTGATAAATCCATAGATGTGTTGATGTAATTGCTGGTAAAATTATCCACCTCCAATCAAATTATCAACCAGGAAAAGAGATCCACAATTTTGGCGTTCGGATTTTCAGTATTATTTTTCCATTTGAAAAATTTTCAATCCAAAGCAATGCCCAAAGAAAATCAGGAACAGAAATTAAACACAAAGGAACAAAAATTTGGAAGAATGGCTGAAGAAGTAAATAAGAAAGACATCGATACAAAGGCTGAGGTTAAACCCGATCTTGATGATCTCTCAAACCAAACTGTTCAATTTAGGATAATATGTGGGTCCTATGAACATAATATAATGTGCATCTCATTGTTACTAAGGAAGAATGTTCCACTGTTTCAGCCAATTTTCCATTTAGAAGCCCATTCTTTGTCTATTAAAGCATTGGATGCTGCCAAAAGATATTTGGTATCCGGCGGTAATGACGAGCACATAAAAATATATGATTTGCAAAAAAGAAAGGATTTGGGCACTTTATTGTCTCATCAAGGTTCTGTAACCTGTTTGAAATTTTTTTCAAAGCAAGGGAAGTGGCTTTTATCCGGATCTGAAGACAGCAAAATCATTATATGGAGAACAAGAGATTGGGAAAGTTTTGGTGTTTTAAAAGGGCATACAGCCAGAATTAACGATTTAGCAGTTCATCCCTCAGGAAAAATTGCTATTAGCTGTGCAGACGATAAAACAATCAAGTTGTGGAATTTAATGACAGTTAAAAAGGCAGCAAATTTAAAATTGAAATATTTCCTGCAAAATGGTCAATTTGTTAGATGGTCTTTGAATGGAAATCATTTTATTGTTTCTTTATTGGATACTGTTTTAATTTATGATACAAATGCTGCAAAAATTATAAATCAATTGAAATTTAAGAGGATAACAATAATGCGTATAGAAAATTATGAAATTGATACCATTGAGTACTTAGTTATTGGTTTAAGCAATGGGGAAATTCAATTTTATAAGTTATCTGATTTAGTAAAGAAGCAAAAAATTGAAAATAATGAAGATGAAAACGAGAATAATAGGGAAGATGAAAACGAAAGTGATGAATATGATACCAAAAGTAAGAGAAATGCCCAAAAAGATGAAATTATAAGCATGATCCCATTGGATTTAGAACCCAGTTATAAATTTATAGGGCATACAATAAGAATTAAAGATTTGAAATTCTATCAAGATTTCTTGACAAAGAGAAAGTTTTTGGTCTCGATATCGTCAGATGGAAAAATTGTTGTTTGGGATCTTAGTATTAAAGAAGAAATAGCAGTTTATAAAACAGATGAAAGATTGAATTGTTTGACAGTAATACCTGAAACAATTGAAAAAATTGATACAATGAAAAAGAGAAAATTATCTATCTCACAAGAGGATTTGTACAATTATAAAACTGATAATGAAACCGATGGAGAAGAAATAAGAAACATTTTATTGAATAATAATGAAAATAAGAAAAACGATAAGAGAAATAAAAAACCAAAATACAAAAAACATAAAAAAAGTAAAAAAAATAAAAATTCAAATAAGAATTCAAAAAATAAGAATCAGAATCAAACTTTTCCCAGTAAGCCTGCTATTGAAATAGAATAGTTTTATACGTAAAAATAGTTAGATTATATATTTATAATCATAGTCATAGCATTAGTTAAAATCATAATAATATTAAAATGAATATTTGTAATAATCTATAATTTGTGTTGTCTCCTTAATTCAGCAACATGTTTTTTAAACAAGCTTTCAGCTTTGACCCAAACTCTAGCGGTTTCTTTGTTTGGTAATTCTAATAAACTTGGTAATAAATCATGAGCAAAAAATTCACTTGCTTCTCTTGGTAGCAAACTTGGTAAATGATCAATTGAAATAACAGATATTTTTGAACCCTGAGTGGTTTCCACTAAAACAGTTGGATCATTGAAAACGGTTGCAATCCTATAAACAGGAATTGGGTTATGAGGGTTTGTAGTATCAGCAGATACATCAACAATTGTTCTTAATTTTCTATCTTTTGCATTTAGTAAATCATAGTTGATAAAAGGAGGAATTGGTTTTGATAAATAAATACAGTTGATGAAAATATCAGAATCAGCAATTTCTTTGAATGGACCACCTGGTTTGGTTTCTTCCAAATCCCATTTTTTAATATTTTTATCAGGAATTCCAACATCTTGTAAAAATTTAATTGCACCTGAACCACATCTACCTAAAGCACCGATCACTAGCACTGTTGGCTTTTGGTTATTTGGAACAGCTGCAAGGTCGTTCTTAATATCATCAATTAATTCGGTTTCGTTTGGGTATGCAGAAACAGCTGGTAAATTTTCAGAGTCAGAATGAATTTGTTTGAAAGCCCAATCTTTGACACCTAAAGCAGCACCAGCAAAACCAGCGTAAAAACCAAAAGCAGCAACTCTTCTGCCTTGGTCATTTTCTAAAAATTCTAAATCATATAACAAACCATTTCCTGCTGGAAATCTTTTAAGAACATCCTGCCAACCAGCTTGTTTTTTGTAACAATGAGCAAACTGGATGTGTGTGTGAATTAAAGGAAAGGTTTCATCAGGTAATTCTTTCAAACCAATGATGATTCTGTCTTTGGGAGCAGTTTTCCAAGAACCCTCAGGAACAATGATAGCACCGGCATCTTTATATTCCTCAATGCTGAAAATTGATTGAGAGGATTTTTCAACGTAGATTTTAAAGCCAACTTCTAGGAGTTTTTTGACTGAACTGGGAGTCAAAGCAGCACGAGCTTCTAAAGGTTTGGTTTCAGCCCTTAAATGAAGAATAACAGGAGCAGACATTGTGAATGTGTAAATGAAGTAGAGTAATGAAAAGAAATAAAGAGTGCTTGAGAAAAAAGCAGCAGCTAAGTAAAGTGAAAATTTTAATTGCTTAAATACCCACAGACGAAGAGTTGACAAAGTGACTCACATTTTTCATCTACTGTCTTCTGCGTGTCTACAATCTATACGCATAAATATGCATATTACTGCTACTTATGTCTTGGTCTGTGAGGAAATTTTCAGGTGTTTGAGAAAACGCCAAAAAGAACCACAGATGTGGGTAGGCTATTCTTAGTATGTCATATCACATGCTATTACGTAATAAATACACAAAAATCGGTATGCATTTCTATGCAAAATGTGCATGGTAACTGCTTGACATGCATCACCATCTTTCCAACTTTTGAGAAAAGAAACACAAATAAAATAGAAGAAACATCAGCACAAGTCTGAAGAAGCAACGTCGATGAGATTTTCAAAAGTCATTTACACCGATGTGTCCAAGCTCCATGCTAGAGCTCCCAACAAGAGCAAGCCTTCTTTGTTAAAGCCCACTTTCCTCCAAGGCCACTCTTCGAAGCTATTCAAAACCATCATAGACAGTGACAATATCGAAATGAAAACTGTACAGAGTATATTGAGCCAGAAAAGGGTGATCACCGACTCTCCTGGTCTTGCTGATTTCGAACTACCACTGCAATTTTCTGAAAACTATAAGTCAAATGTGTTGGCATTCAAATCTGACAATCCTTTGTTACATATTTCAGATTTCCAGAATCTATTTCTCTCTTCCCATATTGATCGAGGATTAATGCAAAATAGTACTCCTAAACTAAGTATATTCAAAGGAAGAAACAAATTCAACTACTCATTCAACAATTTTTATTTTTTGATATTCCTATCTCACAAAGAGGCTGGTGTCTTTGTTCTTGAAACTCTTGACAGAATGCTAAATGGCAGAAACTTTTCAGAAAATGTGTCTTTTTATAACGTCAAATATGAATTAAAAAATATCATATTTCCAATATTTTCGGATTCTGAGCAGGAGTATAAATCTCTAATAAATGAATATGCTAATGATCCTAAAGTTCTGGCTTTTGATCTCACAGATAAAAGATTAACAGATAATTTAAATAAACGACAAAGATCTCTTTTGATTACTGGTTTCCCATATTATATGGATAAAGAGTTTCTTTTGGAAAATAATTTATGGGAATATGATGTTTCTCCAAATTTTAATAAATCTGTTAAAAAATTATCAAATGGAAACTGGGTTGTCACTTTTACAAACACTGAAGATCCCATAAGATTTATAAGGAAATATAATGGTTTCTATTATGAAAATGATCCGACCTTTAAAAGAGTATTTGCTGAAGTCTTGGATTAAAATATCTTTTTAAAAAAATAAAAGAAATTTGAAAAATTAACTAAATTTTAGAACATAATCTCATCCATTCTATTGTAATGTACATAAATAAATAAATACATAAATACATCAATACAGAAGTAAATGAACAAAACATTCAGGCATATGATATCAAACTTTTAAACCAATCCTTAAGTGTTTTTGTATATTCAGTATTCTCATCCCAAACAATCCTATCAATTTCTTTTCTCCCAGTATCAAAATCAATTTGATCCAATTTTTTTATTCTAGTTTTAAATAATTTTTTATACCCAAAATACATTAAAAAAAAAAGTATTATAGCCCCATATGATGAAATAAATGATAATGTATCCCACCTACTTCTTAAAAAATTTGTATATCCCATTAATAATGCGATTATTGATGATCCAACTAATCCATAATATGATAAATAAGGCTGAAATGGCGATCTAAATGGATACATTTTATCTTCCCTGCTTATTATATCCGGTCTTAATTTTAAACCATAATAATACCTATTAAATGATAAACACATCCCAACCCAAACCAATATACCTGAAGTACAAACAAAATTTATTAAATATCCAAAAACACTTGTAGCCTTCTTATCAATACAAGCATAACTCAAACAACTAAACAATCCAGAAAATATCACAGATATATATGGCACTCCACTCGCAGAACATTTTTTGAAAAATTTTGGTGCTTTTCCTTGTATAGCCAAAGAATACAATGTTCTACTAGAAACATATAATTGTGATGAGCCTGATGACAAGGCAAAAAAAACAAAAAATCCATTAATAACACTTGAAAATGAACAAATATCTGCACTTTGAAATGCAATTATCCATGGGCTTTGGTTTCCATTTGAATATCCTTCCCAATTCAAAAAATTTGAGTGGCAATAGTTTTTATCAACAAGTATTTTTTTCGCCAATTCCTCATTCATTTCAATTCCACTGACTGTGTCATACCTTAATAATCTAGGATCACCAGCAAATATATTAAGGCTAACGCAGAAAATAGATAATACGTAAAAGATAAGAATTCTCCAAAATACCTTTTTGGTTGCGCTTTGTAATGATTTTCTTGGGTTCTTCGCTTCTGCTGCTGCTATACAAACGACTTCGGATCCACTATAGGAATAAGCAGAGATTAACAATGTGACTAACAAAGAAAGAAATCTGCCTTTGTTTCCCCCAATTCCATTTAAAGCACCTCCAGTTCCATTATCATCTAAATCAAATGTTGGTCTGAATAAACCATATATTAAGTTTCTAGAGAAATCTGATTTAGAATAGTCCCAATATTTGAATCCAACATTTGAATTTAAAGGGGGAAGTGCACCAGTGTTTAATAATATCATAGACAATAGTAACATTAATATAATTCCAGATTTGATAAAACCACCAATATATTCCAATTCACCAAACACTCTAACATCGACTAAATTTATACCAAAGACAACCACAATAAAAAAAGATATCCAACCAATTATTGAAGTACTTGGTAAGCCTAAATATGGATAATATGTTAGCATGATTGTTCCAGCAGTTATTTCAGAGGCCAACCCAAAGGCATAAGATGCCCAATAGCACCAGCCCAAGCTGAAACCAAACGCATCATCTATAAATCTTGAGGATAAACCAGAAACACCATCAGCAACAGGTAAAAAACTTACAACTTCGCAATAGGAAAGCATTGCAGCTAGCACTACAGAACCTGTTATTGCAAAACCAAGAATTGTTCCAAGAGGACCAGCTATTGTAAAACATTTTCCTGATGATAACAATAAGCCATTTCCCACTGCACCACTAAATGCTATCATTTGTAAAGTTCTTGAGGATAATTTTCGTTGAAGTACATCACGATTTTCATTTATTGAAGTGTTATCAGATTGCACATTGTTTGATTCATAGTTATTAATGGATGTTCTCTGAGTGTTTGAGCTATTGTTTTTCGAAGAATTTAGTTTACTGTTAGCATGAAATTTATAATTGTTATGACTGTTTTTTGATCTGGAGTTATTGGATGGTACATAGTTTGAATTGTTGTCTAATAGTATTGAATGAAAATCGTAGTTATCTTCATTATCAGCAAATGGAGATCTTCCCAAACCCAACTCTATATTTTCATGTATTTGATCATCAGAATGTTTTGTTGCAGTTGAATTCAAGAAAAGATTTTTATGGAAGAATTTGAAAGGATTGGTAAAATTGTGGTTTTGTATATGATAATTCTTTTTAAAATTGCTATTTCGAGTTGGGAAACGATTAATAGCATGAGAGTTTGCAGAGCTTTCAGTATATAAATCTTCAAAGTCTATGTTATCATTTATAGGTAGTTTCAAGCCAAATTGATTTCTATTCATAGCTTTTAGTTTGTATATTTCATTTAGTGTTTTGTCTCTAAGATAAGTTTCCTTTTCCAAGGAAAGATTATATTGTTCAAAATCAGATAGTTTTTTAGAATTTTGTAAAGAAATGTTATCATTTTCATTTTGAGAGAGGTTGTCATTTGATTTGTTGATTGAATTTGCATTAATTATAGTTGAGTTTATACTTGTATCTATGCTTGAGGGGAGTTTCTTTTGTTGTTTATTTGTTTTTGTATTATTTGTATTATTTGTAATATTTTCATAAAGATGAGTGAAGTAGTATTTATCAGAGGAGGTGTTGTAGTCGACTTGATCAAAAATTTTGACCAATTTTTCCCTGATTGAGGGTGTTAAATTGAATGGGTTATTATCATTTTCGGTACTATTTTTTTTATTAGCAGAAGTTGAGTTCTTATCAAAAATATTAGTGCCTATTCTTGCTAGGGACAAATCAATAGAGGATAGACCCAAGGAATCATTTGAGGTGTGGTTATTGGTGTTGAAATAGAGATGTGAGGTTGAGTGATGGCTGTTATTTGAAGAGATTATATTTTCACTGGGGAATCTAACATCAATCCTATTCTGATTAAGGTGGGCATAGTCTTTCGTTGATATAGAAAAGGAAGATATATCAGACGTTGATAGACGATTTATGTTGAATTCGATATGGGGATATTCGTCTTGGTATTGTTGATCTTGCTGATCTTGCTGATTTGGATTGGGCAACTTATTTTGGATATTATTGTTCTTATTATTGTTATTTATATCATTATTATGTAAATCAGTGTCCAGAGGGGTGTCGATGCCAGGCATTGAAGTGATCTTTTTTAAACTTGGGCAAATATGCTTGTAATAATGTAGAGTATAGTACTGGACAGAGTATGGAAATTGTAGCTGGGTGCACTTTTTCTGTCTGGCTCTGTATTTGATTGTTGCTTAATTCCTGTTCTCGTTCTTCTTCTGATAAAAACTGTGGAGGGAAAATAAACTTTCTGGTCATAATGGTGATTTGAAGGAGAGAGCAATCAACAGCTTCATGGTTTGAAAAGCCACAAGCTGCTGGAGCAGGAGAAGGGGGACATCAGTGTTGGTAGTTGGAAAGAGCAGGTTAGGCTACAATGTTTTACATTTATTGGGTTGAAATGGAGGTACAAGTGTTGAAATGAGACATGAAAGACATAAAAGAGACGATACTGGCCAATAGTAGACGAAGGAGAAGGTTCTACAGCCCAACAGTGAGAACTGGCAGGAGATGTTTATTGAGAGTGTTTATTGAAGGTGTTTATTGAGGGTGTGTACTGCGAGTGTTTGTATAGTTCGTAGGTCCTCTTCAAAGAGCTGGTGTAGTTGTCGTTGGGGCTGTTGAGAGTGTTGGAGACTCTGATGTTGGCCATCAAGGTTTCGTACTTGTAGTACTGGATAAGAGACATCTTGAGCTGGATGGTGTTGGTGTTGGTGTTGGTACTGTTATTGGTACTGTTATTGGTATTGGTATGATTGTGCTTGGATAAAACAATTCTGCCTTCATTAGCATTATCTGAGAGATCATTATCATTATCCGAGAATTCGTCTTGATTGATATTTTGATTGGAGTTATTTTGATGTTGAATCAAAAAATCATTGGCTAGATCATAAAACAAGTATCTTGAATGATTTAAGGTCTTTTGAAACAAAAACTGATGGGATTTCTTATTACTAGGGCAGTTTGATAACATCAATAAAATATCTTGCCAATCAAATAATTTTGCATTTTTAACTAAACTGTGGCTTTTTGTTTTCTTACCTGTATTGAAGGAAATTTGTCTGGATGATGTTGTATGATATTTTAATATGATTATCTTTAGGATTAGGAAATCAATAAGTTTTTTAATTTTTTGAAATATCTTTGAGGGAATCTTGATACTTGGATCAACTATTGGTTGGAATTTTTTGGTGTTGTTTCTTTTCAATTTATTTTGATTATTGAAATTCTGTATCTTTTTGTAAATTATTGATTGGTACAAGACATTTATTTCTGATTCCAAAGCCTTTTCAGGATCAGATAATACCTCAAACTCCACTTCTTTCTCGCTCTCATTCCCATTTTCATTCCCATTGTCCAATTCAAACCGATATTCAGGCTGTTGACTCACAATGCCATTTTGAATACTCTGGAGAATGTCTGGGTTATTATTGGAACGAAACTCTTTCTGCACATCGTCCAATTGACTCAAGGTCGCTATTGTTCTATTAATATCTCTTTGGACCTGCTGTTTCTGTTGTTTCTGAGAAGTTTGCTCCTGAGCGCCTGCCAGTGAAACGCCCTCCTCATCGACATACACCCTGCTGTGTTTGCAGTCAACCAACCTGTCGTAGGGAAGGGGCCAGGCAGTCCAGCTCCTGTAGGGATACTGACCTTGTGTCTTGAGACGAATGAGAAACGAAGAGTAGAGATGCACACCCAAATCGTGTCTGAACTCGTCCTCAATGTTCTCGAGGACCGCAAAGCCCTCGTGTCTTGCTTTGTTGATATCTTTAAGCCTATGTTGCCATGAATTCCCGTGCTTCTTGCTGATGTACTTGGGCATGTTCTCGTGTTGGCTCTGTTGGCTCTGTTGGCTCTGCTTCTTGTGCTTCTTGTGCTTCTTTTTCTGGTGCAAATCGATGCCTTCCACAAACGGAAAAACGTAAACAAACGCGAAAATGCGGCGCCTTTCGCGTGCTTTCGCCCAATTGGGACAACGATATAATGGAGTTGGGTTTGCTTCTTCTGCTTCTTCTGCTTCTGCTGCTGCCTCGATACAAGAACATTTTCTTTCTGCCACTTACTCTCATTTTATTCATTGCTACCTTACTTACTTTCTTATTTTATTTGCTTTATCTAAAATTACTTCTTGCTACTCAATTTATCAACTAGTTTTTTATTCTTTTTGACTCACTTTTTTTTTAGCTTCAATTGCTTTAAACAAAATGTTTTACAACGAAGACTTGCTATTGAAACAAGGTCCCTTGGCTACTGTATGGCTAGCTGCTAACTTAGACAAAAAACTAACCAAAAATCAGTACTTGAACACAAATATCACTCAATCAGCTCAAGTGATATTGAAGAACGCTTTCCAATCTTCTTCTGATGTCTCCATATCTTCCCAAAGAACAAGACAACCCACTACTGCAACTCCTACTACTACTACCACCACTGCTACTAATGGAAGAGTGATTCATCAACAACCAATTGCATTGAGACTCTCTGGCCAGTTACTATATGGTATAACTAAAATCTACTCCAAAAAGGAGAAATTCTTGCTCGATGATGTAACCAATGTACTAACGAATTTAAAAAAAATCTTCAAGCCTTCAAATTTAAATCAAGTCATCTTGCCACCAAATGCTACTATAACAACCTTTAATAACTTGATCTTACAAGATACTATAACTGACACTGATTTGCTATGGCAAGAACCTTTATACTTGGATTTGGATGATTCAATAGCACCAATAGCATCTACGAAGACTAAAACTTATGACCAAAGGAAAAAACAACATTTAAAACCTGATCAACTTCACTTTCAGCTAGATTTAAACCTAGAGGATGAAACTCATGATCTCGAATATGGTAGAGATGTACAAAATCCCTTGTCTTCTCCTCATCAAAACATCTATCCTCTGCCAACAAGTAAAGTTGACGACCTTATGTTTAGTAACGATAACCTAGAAATCGATTTTGGCAATGATTTTGGTTTAAATTTAACTGAAGAGCAACAAAAAACTCCTTTGCCTCAAAAGGGTGATCATTCTCTTACTCTAGATTTTGGTGATCAACCCGGCGACCATTCAATAGAAGCTGGTAGAAGAGCTGCTGCTCCCTTATCTGATAACATAATCCCAGATATATCAGAACCTGATTTAAACCAAAAAGATGCTCAAGATTTCGCAGATTTCGATATTGCAACAATAGATGCCCGAGATTTTACTATTGACTTTCAATTGCCTAAAACCCCTGAACCTCAAACTGCTAAAGAAGATCAGCCACAAACACCCTTAACTCCATTAACCCCAGCTGAAGAAGCTGATTTAAATAATGCTTTACCAATTCAATTACCTGCTCAACCAGAGCAACAACAACAGCGCGCCGATTTACAACTACAACCAATAATCCCCAGAAAAAGAAGAACATACAGAAGAGTAGGTCCAACAAATGCCTTAAATGTTCTCAAAAAATCAAAAATCATCCATGATAGTTTAACTGAATTACCTTCGCTTGCTTCTCAAATATCTGATAATTACATTGACTCTTTAAATAATCTTTTATACCCAAAAATTGATGATTTATTATTCCCTGAAAATAAACTAAACTACATCAATAAGATATCAAATCCTGCTAATAACTTTTTATCAAATAATAACCTATTTAACCAGTTATGGGATGTTAAAGACTTAAATAAAGAATTGCAAGCTGAGGCTGAAGCAAGAAGAAAAATCACTTTACAAAAAGAAGCTAAAAAAGCTGAAAAAGAAACTAAAGCTGCTGGTGCTTTGGAATTCGATTTTGATATGGATATGGATATTAATTTCCCAGAGCTATCTGAAACTCAAGCTCTGGCTCCATCTCAAGCAATTGAAGATAAAGAGTTGGTTGAAAAGGAAAATGAAGAAATTTTAAAAGAAGAACAAGAGAAGGAAAAAGAAAAGGAAAAAGGAAAAGAAATTAAAAAAGAAATTGAAAAAACAATTGATCAATTGGCTGATGAAGAAGATATTATCTCTCAAACTTTTGAGCAAAGAGAACTTGAATCCGATCAATTAATATCTTCATTAGCTCATCCATCTTCCTCGGTGCATTCTGAAACATTCGATGAAGAAACTGCTTCTGTCTCAACTCAATCGTCCTCCAAAATATCTAAAACCACCATTAATATTGCCTCTAGCTTGAGAGAAGAATTTTTTGATTTTGGATCGAATCCTGAAAAGTCAACAAGCTTTTCAAATTTAATTTCAACAAATATTCAATCAACAAATCCTCTCAGCACAATCCCAAAGAAACAGGCAACCAGATGCTTTTTTGAATTATTAGTTCTTGCTACTGGTGATACTGTGAAATTGCAACAAAACCAACTATTTGGAGAAATAGAAATCAAAGGTAAAGAAAATTTATTTTCAAAATTCATTTAATCGGTTTGTTTTTTTGGGTTTTTTATTTTGTCTATATTTTTACTCCTCATTTTGACTTTCGATTGTAATTCTAGTATATTTTTTTTAAGACATTAAATTTTGAGTATTTTAAGTAGATATTTTGTTTTTATGTAAGTTATAAGTCTTATATCATAAAAATTGTAAGAATCAGTTGTTTTTTTTTAATCTTATTTTAAAAGCTAATGAAAATCATAAATTTTTGCACTAATTATCAATATGAATATATAAATATTCTTTTATCGAGAGTCTGTCTACTTTCAACTGTTTATTCTAATAGCATAAGTTATTTTTCACGCTAAATTAACTCATCGCACCTAGAATTTGTCTAATAAAATAAATGCTTAGTATCCATTCAAATGTAATCTTTTTAATTTGTTATTCCTCTGCTTGACCCAAAGGTAATAACACCAGTAAAAGCTGTTTGAACACTTATAACTAGTGGCTTACAATGTAATAGTCAATAATCTTCATTAATATATAAAACACCTATCAAGTCATTACTGTAAATACTGTAAACTAAAAGGAGCAATTGCTCGCAAAATAATTATACAAAAAAAAAAGCAGAACAGTCACTTCCATTTATTCTATCCAATACATTGTCCAAATGAAATGAAAAGAATGAAAAATGTAGTGTATTTAAAAAAATTATAAAAAAAAAGTTGTAACATAAATTGGTAAACAAAATTCTAGCAGTTCTCAAAAAAAAAATACTAAAAAAGATTAAAGATAATTAAAAATAATTAAAAAAATGTGAAGGAATAAACAAAAAAAAATAATCTGAAACAAATCAAAAGTAAAAATTGTTAAGAAAAAAAGCAGATCAATATGAAGTAAATATAAAAAAATTAGGTGTTTAACAAATACTTTTGAAATTAAATAAATTAAATAGTAATTTTTTAAAAGAAACAATAATAATAATAATAAAAACTCCAATATATATAAGTCATCAGTTCAGAATTGCTTTGTATATGCACATCATTAAAATCAAAGTAAAACAAAAAAATATAATACTATTTTTAAAAACACCCAAGCATTTAATTTGAAGCGTTTACCATGTTGACATTATTAGAAACACTTTGAGATTGCTGCTGCTGCAGTTGGTTCTGTTGATTTGAGTTTTGCTGATTTAGATTCTGTTGATTCTGTTGTTGGCCCTGTCCTTGGTTAGTGCCATTCAAGTCTTGTTCTTCTAGTTTGGCATTTTTCATATGTAGAATCAATTGTGATCTTAGTTCATTATAGCATTTATCACTAAACTGAAATTCGCCATTTAAAGTTGCGCTCACAACTGCATTTAATAAAGCTGCTTTTTTTCTTGATGTCAAATTAGTTAATTGAGAGTTTAAGTTTCCACGGTTTGATGTGTTCATTGAGTTGCCGCCATTATGATTGACCATACCATTCATTGAGGCTGTTCTTGATAATATTTGGCCCTGCATATTATGAGTAGAAACTAAGGAATTTATGGCATGCATAGAAGTAGTAGAAATTATTGATGGAGACGATAAATTAGAATTTGGAATGGAATTATTAGAATTAGAATCTGGTGCAGATGACTGTTGTATTATTTGAGTTGGATCCTGATTATTCATGTTATTATTGTTAATGGTATTGTTAGAGTTATTTAGTGTAATAATTGCGTTCATGTCTCCTGCTTCAATTGAATTATTGTTCATATCATTATTGTTATTGTTGTTTTGATCCATAGAACTCAACATGGTAGAAATAATTGGAGACTTGTTATCATTAGTATTATTTCCATTATCATTTGGATAGCCATAATTTGAATATAAGTTACCACGAATGTTGCTATTATTACTTGTATTCATAATTCCACTCAAGCTATTTGAACTTTTAAAGCTCATAGTGTTATTGAACAGATTTGCAAGGTTTCCATTAACTTGTTGACTAGTAGCCGGACCGGGAAATAGATGATAATCTCTCATTAGACTCGAAGTATTAAAAGAACCGACAGATGTGTTATTTAAATTATTAGAATTGAAGCCATTTTCATAACTAGATAGTGTTGGATTATCTGTATTGTTATTATTTAGACCTGAACCCATAGTTGGATAGTTGATATCAAAGTTTTGGTTATTTGAGTTGTTCACTGGATTTAAATTATTATTGTTGTTGTTATTTGCACTAGGATTATTGATGGCGCTGGTATTATTATTGTTATTATTGTTGCTGCTGTTAGTCAAAGTAGAACTGCTATTATTATTCAAGTTTGAGTTGTCGTTTGTGGAGCTGGTACCGTTGTGAAGATTGTTGTTGTTGCCTAGAGAAGATTCGATCAAATCATAAGTCGAAGTATCAAATAGTGAAGAGGTCTGGTTTCCAATCAGTTGTCTGCTGCTGCTCGTTTGTAGATAAGAATTTTGGTTTTGAGAGCCAAAGAAATTGAAATTTTTGTCATTATTGGAAGAGTTATTATTGGGAAAGTAATTTGAAATTTGAGATTTATAATTTGAAGTAAATAAGTTGCCGCCGTTGTTGTAATTATTATTTGGGTTGATGGCGTAATTTGCAAGACTGTTGTTGCTGTTATTGTTGTTATTGTTATTGTTATTGTTGTTGTTGTTGTTGATGTTATTATTATTTAGGTAGGGGGAAATTAGATTTGGATCATTATTCATCATAGAGTTGGAACCATTTGGAGAGGTACTTATAATGCCATTATTGATGTTCATGGAGCTGTTAACGTCGCCATAGTTGTTTGTTGTAGGTTCCCATTCTTCAACGATGCAAGCATCGATCATGTTTATAGAGCTGCCGAATAATTGGAATTTGTTTTCCTTTGATAGGGATAAGAGTTCATCAGAAGACCATTTTTCAGATACAATTAGTTGTCTGATTACTTGGGTTAGTTTGATTTCGTTATTTTGAAAGTCAGCAGTAGAGTAGCGGTTGTTTATGCCGTCGTTCATTGGATTGTTGTTCCATAGGCTTTGGTTTTGGTTCTGGTTTTGGTTTTGGTTAGAATTTGAAGAGATTGAGCTTAGTAGGGCAGCGTCTTCTTCTACTTTTGAGACTAGGGAGTTTGTGTTTGTGTTTGAGTCGAAATCAAGTAGGCCCGAGCTGACCCAGCAGTTTTTGATTAGGTCGGTGTTGACGCTATCCCAGGCGTTTTTGATCATTGACATAACGTCAATAAGAGTTAGGGTATATGATTGTAGAGATAAGGGTTGGTTAATGCCAGATTTGATTTGGGCGTGGATGACAGATATGTATTGCTGTAGGCGATATAAGCATTTGAATTCTCTTATTATGCCTAGTTGCATGGGCAATAAGCCAGTGGAAGTATTGTTGTTGTTGCTGCTATTGTTGTTGTTGCTGCTATTGTTGTTTGGTGGTAGGGGAGAGGATTGGCTGTCATTGTTGTTGTTCGAGCTGTCATTTGGACTAATTAGGCTGTTGTTGTTTGAGTCAGGGGAGTTTGAGTTTGAGGAGTTGAGGGAGATAAAGATGAGTTTGATAAAGCCCAATTTGATGTTGACGACTCTGTGGGAGCCAGCAGTGTCGATTACGATGATGATGTGCCTGTTTGTTATAGACAATCTTTTGTCGAGGACAGCTAGCCAGTCGTAGAACATTGTTGAAGTTAGCCATGCCTTTTTGTTTGATTTGTAGGTTACGCCATATTTGTTTGTGATTTTGACAGGGGGTTTTCCATCAAAGCAAGCCATGTTTTCGTAGTGGCCAACGATTAGGGGTTCTAGTTTCTCAGAGCCATCGCTGTTGGAGGCAAGCATGATGGTGAGTGCATTTGAGGGCGATGAGGCAGAGGGGTTTGAGTAGGTGAGTTTTTTGTCTAAGGGCAATTGGAAGTAGAGGAAGAACTCGTCAAGGGTGAAGATGTCAGATTTTTTGAATTGTTTGAGAAAGTTTTTGAGGAGGTCCTTTTCGGAGAAGGACCATATTTTGAGAGGTTTGATGAGTTCGTTTTCGATGTTGTTGAGGTTGACGTTCATCTTTCCAAGAAAGTGGTTGCACCATTTATGGCTAAATTCACCATTTCCTTCTCTTGAGTTTGCAGGGAGGATTTTCCAGAGGGAGGTGGCAGAGTTTTGGATGATGGGGATGGTTATTGGAAAAGTGTCCCAGACAGACTGGAAGATCCATTCCTGGAGGATTTTTCTGAGGAGGACGTTTGAAGGTTTTCTTCTTCTGATCAATCTGAATTCATGTTCTTTGAGGGCGATTAGCTCGTCTTTTTTGGATAGGATTCTGGAGATGGTTGTTTGGGAGGGTGGTTTTGAAGTGCCATATTTTTTTTTAGCCCAATTAGCGAGATCAGCTTGAGTCATGTCAGGATTTGATTCAGACATTAAACAAATATCAATTTTTTGTTTAATTGTATAACCCATTTTTGTTACGTGAGAACTTAACATTTATTGAAAGCAAGTGAGGAGAGTGTGTGTGTGTGTGAGAAAGAGTGAGAGACAGTAGGTGAGTAAGTGAGTGGGTGGGTAGGTTGGTAGATAGATGGAGGGAAGAGAATAGAGAGGAAGCGTTGAAGGGATTAAAGAATAATGGGGAATTATTAGAGATGAGATTTGATGAGATTTGATGAGATTTGATGAGATTTGATGAGATATGAGATATGAGATATGAGGTTTTGAGATAAGATATTTGAGATTTGGGATGAGAGATGTGAAGTGAGAGATATGAGATTAAAGGGGATGATAGTTAAGAGATTATAGAGATAAACAAGTAGATATAAATTTTGATTGAGAGAATTGATATTTATGTTCTGGAGAGATAATTGAGGAAAGAACTAGATTGTAATTGACATTATATAATTCTTTTCGTTGTGTTTGTAGTTGAAAATGGCAATTTTTAAAGCAGAATAGGAGGAAGAAGAGGAGGAGGAATATTGAAGGTGTTGGTGGTGATATTAGTATGGAAAGCAGGAGTGTATCGAGGCAGAAGTATGAAGGAAGGTGAACAGAAGAGTGGATAGAGTAGATAGAGTATTTGGATATTTGGATATTTGGATATTTGGATATTTGGATATTTGGATATTTGGATATTTGGGTGTATTTGAATATAATGGATGGATATTATAATATATTATTCATTCGCAGAGGCTAAGGGAATAAAAGAAAAGAAAGGAAAAAAAAAAATTTAAAAACTGAGTGTAGTAATTATTATTTATTAATATAGCGAGATAAAAAAAGGTAAAAGTTGAAAGTTGGAAAAGCAGAATGGGCCTATTTAGGTTGGAAAGCGAGTTGAGATGTACGCAGTGCACTCCCTCCTGTGCTGCACAGAGGGAAGGCGCCGGTGGGACCACTCTGGAGCAGCAGCAGCAGCAGCAGCAGCAGCAGCAGCAGCAGCAGCAGCAGAGGGAGAGGAGGAAGCAGCAGCACAGGCAGCAGATCCGGTTCGAGCGCGGAAGTGCCGATCTCTGAACGTTGCTCCCAGTTGACGCTTTCTTCATTTTAACAGCCCTTCACTATAGCACTAGCACTTTAACACTCCAACAGTCCAACGTCAACAGCTCAGATGCAAGGCATCTTGGCCTCAGAAACAGCAGTGCTTGGGTTATGCTTCTACACAACCTGCTGCTGTTTAAATCCGTCAAGCAAATGGACATGTTGGTGCAACTGAAATTTGCAGTCCGGTGTTGATATGGCCCTGGTCCTGCTGTGTTTCCTTCATTTGCTGGTGGCCTTCTTCATTCTTTCTCTCTAAAGGACTGCTGGGGCCCACTAATCGCCACTTTTAACTCGGAAATCTGCCTCCAATTGTCTCTTGCTGGAGCCCAAATTGCAATCTAATCTGCAATAGTCCCTCGATCACTACCTTAATTGATAACTTGTATAATATCCGTAATATTTATATCATTCTTATTTTAGCATCCAGGGTTTCCTCCAGGTATTCTGTTTTCATTTTAGATTTTAACCCAAATTCTAACCCGAATTCTAACCCAAATTCAAATCACCAGGCTGTAAATTACAATCTCCCCTTTACTGCTGTTCTGCATTTTTCATCGCTTTACCTGCCAACTAATCGCTTACCACTCTTTTGAAAAATTCAAACGTATTCTTGCTGCTCTCTGCCAGGCAACCTAAGAAAATACCCCAGAGCTGCTACACATCCTCTATTGTTCTTTTCCACTAACTCGTGCTATTTATCTGCTAATTTTCTTTTATTAGTATTCTTTTACTATTATTTCACACCTATTGTATCGAATAAACGATTCTCTTTCACACCTACCGCTGCTCTTGCAGAATCAGCAATTAGGAGTGGCTTTTACGCTTTTGGCACTTGTTACACTGTTAGACTGCTAGACTGCTAGACTGCTGCACTCGTTGCGCTGCTTTTACAATTACCACCAGCCAAACCTTTGCCAATTTATTAATTAATTTAAAAAAAAAGCCAATTGTATCAGTTGTTCTTACGACTTTTCATCCTAATAATGACGATCGGGCTTTGATCAGCATCCACCAATTTTGTTCCAAAAGAAGAGCCAATTCAATCGCAATTGAATTAGAATTGCATTAGAATTGCATTAGAATTGCATTAGAATTGCATTTCAATTAAAGTAAAATTGCACTGCAAAACAATTGAAACAATTACACTACAATGATATTGCAACACAATTCTAATTCAATTGCAATATATCTATACAATTTCCAAACTGGACTTGTCTTCACTATCTCTATCTCACACCTCTCATACCAAAAAAAGCAACCGTTGTCGCACACAGCATGTGACACTCCCGTAATCTCATCACCCATAAACATGGATGGCACACACAACCACGTAACAACGCACACACACGCACATATGCGCACATATCCACAGAAACGGCACTGCGCCGTTGGTCACGTTTTAGCGTTCCGTCAGACTGATTCGCAAATCGCTCCGGCTTCAACCCGCAGAAAACTGCACCACTATCTTCCCATGTCTTAATCCCAATCACTCCACTAATTTTCCTTCTCTCTTTCTTCTCTTCCCTGATATTCGTATTTATCTAATCTCTCTTTTGAAAACCTGCCTTCAAAAACCCGCTTTCTTTTATACACTCTTAATCTTTCCACTACTATTAATTTAAAATTACAAACTTATATACTAAAACAAAACAAAACAAAACAAAACAAAACTAAAATTATACTAAAATTATACTAAAATTATACTAAAATTATACTAAAATTATACTAAAATTATACTAAAATTAAACTAAAAGAGACCAATCTTTCTACCATCACCACTTTAATCATTACTATACTGCTGCTTAAAATGCTGCTTTAATTAATATGGTAAGGGCGCCATGATCTCACCATACAACAACTTCTTTAACTGCTCGATCGACAACTTGTCCTTATACTTGTCAAAGTCAAAAAAATTGCGAGGTATAGGATTTGCAACCGGCTCGTCGTTCGGATCATGATACAACTTCAAGTACTCGTGTGTCAACGCTTCTTCCACCTTGATTCGCTTCACTGGATTAAACGTCAACAACTTCTCCAACAAATCCAACGCCAACGGATTCGAATTGGGAAACTTCTCATTCAATGCAACCTTCCTCTTCAATGGTAACGATCTAATATACTCTCTTGCTCTTCTCGACTTGATATCCCGAATATCTTCCATCGAGGGCGTCCCCAACACATCCATAATCAAATACAACTGGTTGTGGTAGTCTCGTCCAGGAAACAATGGCTTGCTACTGATCATCTCTGCCAATATACATCCCACTGACCAAACATCAATAGCTGTGGTGTATTCCTGAAACGTCAACATGATCTCTGGTGCTCGATACCATCTGGTCGCAACATACTCTGTCATGTACCCATAATTATCCTCTGACGACGCCACGGATCTGGCCAATCCAAAATCACAGATCTTTAAATCGCAGTTGGCATTCAATAGCAAATTCGATGGCTTCAAATCTCGATGCAATACATTCGCACTGTGTAACGCCTTCAATGCTCTCAATGTCTGGTAAATGAAATACTGGCAGTGATCATCACTCAACTTTTGTGTCTTGATAACTCGGTGCAAATCCGTCTCCATTAGCTCTTGGATAAGATACACTTCGTTGAACTGCTCATAGCTAGCTGGCTTTTGGATATCCAATATACTGATAATGTTTTCGTGGTTAAAATGCTTTAATAACTTCAATTCTCGTAATGTTCTTAAACAAAACATCGTTCTCTCAAATGGTATTATCTTCTTAATTGCAACTTTTTGTCCTGATGGCTTGTGAATAGCTGAACAAACTATCCCATACGCTCCTTCGCCTACTATCTCTATAATCTTATAATGATCCGAGACATTGAATGAAATTTGCCTAGGTTCTCCCATGCTATCTTATAAATATGATATAATATGATATAGTATGATGATATGACGATATGACGATATAATATGACAATATAATATGACAATATAATATAATAATATAATATAATAATATGATAATATAATATGGTATAATCTTATTGGATTAATTTAAAATCTTGTTTATCCTCTATTGCTTTCTCTCTCTAAATCACTTAAATATCCCTACTATTTAAATCCTTAAATAAATTCAAGATCTTTAACTAGTGTCTTTTAAATTACCTAAATATCTTTCTTCCTTATTAACTTATTTGTCTTTATAATAGATTTTCTAGAATATCTCACCTCTTCCAATAGTGCTTTTCTCTTTCAAAATTACTCTAGTCCACTCCCAATCTTATTCCACTGGTATTTAATAGAACCGTAAACCTGTTAATATTGTAGTTCCAATTGACTTATTATTTATCTTCATTTTATTTCCTTTCAAAAGATGTATTCACGAAATCATGAAAATTGAAACATTTCCTATTATTTCCAGTCATTTCCAGTCATTTCCATCTATTTCCACCCATTTTAACTCGTTTCCAATCACTTTCAACCACTTTCAATCACTGCTATACTAGCATCAAATCCTTGCTTCAATCCAGCTCACTCTTCTAGTCGGTAAATCAGTTACAATTACTCCCCCAGCTAATACAAACATTGTCCTCTTTTACAACTCCTCTGCAACTCCCTTACACCTCCTCTTCGCCATGTTCATCTCTGGCTCTCTTTGTGTTTTAAGTCGATATGCCCATACTCCAGCTCCCTCCCCGAACCGCTCCTGAAAGTCGAAGATCATTTCGCGCCCAAACCGAAAACCGCCCAAACCGAAACCGCCCACACCGGGCAACCCCGCAGTCCCGTGCCGGCTTTGCTTCGGTGCACTTTGCGTTTTTGCGGCGCTACCGTGCACCTTACCAAGTCCGTTGCTATTGTGCATGATTCTGTGCATTTTCCTAGTCCGAACAGACACAACAAGTTTATTTAAGCCAACAGTCAAAAGATATATAATAAAGCTACTGAGAAGACGTAGCTGGAAAATACAATATTTAAATCAAAAAAAAATAGAATACAAACAATAGGATACTATTTATGTACATGCAATATAGGGACAATATGAAAAGAATAGTGATAATGTGATAGTGTGATAGTGTGGTTGTGTGGTTGTGTGGTAATGCTGTTACTCAATCTGGAAATGCTTAGCATTTTAAAAATGGCTCCTTTCCCTTGATTCTTCCAATCACTGTGGTTGGGGCATATTTCAAAATCACATTATCATCGTGCAACATTCCGAATGCTTCGGTAGCATCTTGTCCAGCAAAATTAATCAATGCATTCTTTCCTCCTGGGTGCAAATTGTAAAATGATGTGAGATCTAAAACAACATTTTTAACCACAACCCAACAACTCTCTTCACTATTATGCTTAGCGACTTCTTCCATGGTATATTCTTGAGGTGGAATTGTTAAAACTGTGTCTATTTTTAACGGTTGTTCTTCTCTAGTTGAATTGTTGCTATTATTGTTATTATTATTATTGCTATTACTATTGAAATTACCTTGAGAGAAGAAATTTTCAGCTAATGTTTGATTATTAAAACTAACCACAATTTTATTGGGTTTTGAGGGATCTAAATTTAATAAGATTTCATTCATATCCATATCAAAGCCTGAATTTTTATTCATATTCATATTGTTCGTACTATTCATATTATTTGGAGGAATTGGAGCTTGTATTGGCTTTTGATTGGATAAATTTTTCAACAAATACGAAGTGGCAGAATTCCCACTAACTCTACCGAAGCAAACACAAGCCAATAAACTTGATCCACCTAGTCTGTTAAATCCATGAATATTGCCTGCTAATTCGCCTGCTGCATATAACCCATCCATTGGTTTTTCTGTTTCCTTTGAGACAACTCTCGCTTGAGGATCAATTTTAACACCGCCCATTGTAAAATGAACAACTCTGGTAATGATCGATACCTCAAAGGTATCATCTAAACTAAATGGAGTAGCAGAAAAAAACGTTTTTCCAAATGGATCAATGGTTCTTCTTGGATGTTTTACCTTATAGTTTGCGTATTTATTATAATTATCAAATTCAGTTTGCAAAACTTTTTTTTCGCATCCAATTTCTTTAACTAGTTCTTCACCAGTAAATGTTTCCATTAATTTTCGACTTCTATAATGTCTAACATGAAATGGTAGAGCTTTTACAGCCTTTGAGTTCATTATCAATCGGATTGGACCCTTTACTTTAGTCATTTCATTGGAGACATAATCCCTTGTGCCTAGTTCGTCACAAAATCTTTTTCCATCAGCGTCAATCATGATGGCTCCTTCACCTCTTAATGCTTCACCTGCTAAGAATATGAATTTTGAATTTGGATTTTTTGGATTGACTAAACCAGTGGGGTGAACCTGGACTTTATCTAAATCAATACCGATTCCACCAGCGTTAATAACTAATTTTTGACCATCTCCAGTAGCATGGTTACCATTGGTGGTTGGTAAGTGTAATAAATCTGGACGATATTTGGCGAGTAGGGAATCATTGTTTTTATTGTTATAATCAGCTGCATAACCGCCAGTGGCTAGAATGACAGGACCATAAATACTATAAGTTTGAAGTAATTTTTCAAATTTTAAACCAATTATGATATCAGAATTGTCAGGGTCTTTGATTAATTCAATCACATTGGATCTGCTTGAAATATAAACTCTGGATGGATCTTCTTTGGCTAAAAACTCCAATTTTTCAATTAAAGCAAAAGTGATTTCCATTCCTGGAAATCTTGCACTCTTGCCTCGATGAGTTCTTGGTTGAGAGTGGCCACCTAATCTTGAAACTAGAGACAAATCTAAATTGAAATTTTCCTCAAGCCAATCAATTGTAGAAGCAGACTGATACGTTAAAACCTTTGCAAGTTTTGGGTCACCTTGATTTTTACCAGATTTTAAAGTATCATTAAGAAAATTTAAAGGAGAATCTTTAATATTTAAGTCAATTTGGGTATTGGTTAACGAACCATTGATTCCACTTGTTGCCTTGGTTGAATTGCCTCCGAAAAAGGGTTGCTTGTCTAAAAGAACGACGTTGGAACCATTAATAAGACATTGATGAGCAGCGCTTAAACCAGCCAATCCACCGCCTACAATAATTACCTGATTGGAAGAATTGAAGTGGTTGTTGTTAGTCTTTGGAAACTAAAAGTGGTCGAAAAAATGGAAGAAGGAAAAAGAAAGGGATTACGTACTGGATTCTTTGGAAGGTTTTCGAGTTCTAGAGTCTTTGTCATTTTGATCTGAGAATCGATAGGCTAAGATAAGATAAAAAAACAAAGGACAAAGGAAAAAACACAATAAAATGATGAAGACGCTGATAGGTCTTAATATAGTATTGATGTATATATTTATATTACAAATTGAATAAAAAAGAAAAGAAAAATAATAAAATTGAAAATTATTCATTCATCTTGGGGCTATTTAAAGGAATATGGAAAATTTTAGATTGAAATTAGAAATTAGATTCTTATGAATGGGTGAAATTTTGAACATAAAAAAATATAACTGAATAACCGAAAGACCTTATCAAGCTCAACTTTTCCATCTCAGTCAGCGCTGTAGATGATGCTTTCCAACGCACTTCTGTCGTGCTGACGCGCGGACGTTCTGTTTCCAATGGGTGACTCTCACACTGTGAGTTTAGCGGATGCCGTTTCGTCTCTTTTTGAGAGGGAGAGTGTGTGCGTGTGTCTCTGCAACACACGCGGCGGTGTACAGTAGACTGCACACACACGCCTAAGGTAGCAGGGCCATATAGAAAACGATGATAGAGTCTGTTTCTGGTGGAGAAATTGGAGCTGTTTCCCACCAAAAAGCGAATTTTTGCTGGAAAGAGTGTTTATTGCCAGAGAGACTGTGCAATGTTTAGCCAAAATCTGCTAGAAATGAGACCAGCATAGTCAATGTTGCAACCAGAAACCCTCAAGCAGGGTGTTTGAAAATTGAATATCATTCACCTTATTGAATATCATTTAGCTCACTGCAACCACAGCCAGAGATTTGCCGATTCCAAGATCATTATTAAGGAATTAAGAGCAGAGAAATCAACAGAGGACTGTCTGCAAAAAATAAAATAAATAATATTGGAAGAAGCTTAATTTTTTTTTCTATTATGCTCTGCTCCGGCTTCCCATGGACAGTGCTCCATCGCTCTTGGTGAATATACTGTCTGTGGCTCCAATTGTTGGTTTTTTACCTACACCAGCTAATTAGTGGTAATCAGGGACCACAAAAAGCTGTGCTGTGATGGGTTTTTTTGTCTCAGCAACTGGGGAACTGGGAGAAAGGACAATATTATGGGGTGGAAACAAATAAATATGACAAGCGATTCAAATCTGGTAATATGGGAATGTTTATCTTTATCTAAGATAAAGTAATGCAATTTTTTTTGTCTTCTCTTGGGAAACAGCTTTATCACAACAGACAGATTTTTTCAAGAACCGGATACGAAGCTATAGGAAGATATATTGGTGGATTGTTATCAGCTTGGTCAGTTTGGAACATATATAATTACTCCTTCTGGTTTCAAACTCCTAGTAGCAACTGTAATCCGGAAATTCAGTGCAAAAACACAGTACAAGAATATGATCTTATCTCAAGGTGAAGGACTTAAAACCCATAAGAAATTGACAACAATATAAAGTGAATTCAATAGTGGATTTAATAAAGTGAATTTAATAAAGTGAGTCAGTTTAGTGAAATAATTTTGTTTTTTTGTTTTTTATTTGACAGGGTTGGATTGTAATGTTATTTACAGTTACAATATTTTTAATATTTTTTAATATTTTTTAATATTTTTTAATGTTTTACAATATTTTATTTTGTATTGTTTTGTATTCGTGATAGATAGTGAAACTTGTAGGGAATATTCAAATTAAGTTAGTTTTGTATTTATTTAATTTTATATTTAGTTAGCATAAATAGTAAGAGTGTTAAAGGGCTAGAATATTTAGAATGGCCAGATTTTTTTTTTGTTATTCCTCAAATATGTTGAGATTATTAGAAGTAAATCAGTAAGATTTATCAACTAAATAGGTCCGTGAACAAGTAAGTAAAGGAAGAGTGTTAATTTACTTATATTTGACCCTACAGTATAAAGAAGGAAGATAAGTCTTTGATAAACCATTTGGTTCGGGTGTTTCAAAGCTTAACTTAATTTAGAAAAGTAGTAATAAAAAAACAAAATGAAAAAAAAAACAAAAACAAAACACCTAAAACTGAAAGTAAAATAAAAAAGAAAAGAGTTGATTTGATTGAGTTTAATTTGAATTAGAAAATATTAAATATTTTGAAAACAGAGATGAAGATCACACCAACTGTTAGTTTTTTACTTAAACGTAGACCCATCCAGTTGTTTAAATAACACAATTCAGTCAAATTATACCATTTATAAAAGATAAATCTTTTAATGCCTAAATTTGAGAAATTCGAAGGGTATAGTCTTTGTAGTTGAGATAATTTTAGATTGAGATACTCGTTTTCAGAATCTCCAGACTTCCCAGACTCTCCAGACTCTTCAGAATCTTTGGAATCTTTGGTATTAATAATTGTTATATCGGTATAATTATCTAATAATTCCTTTAAATGATCAGGGTTATCAGTGATGACACCCTTGACATAAGGAAAATTGATTGCACAGATCAAATCTTGTTTGGCATTAACAGTCCAAAAATAAAGATCTAGTTTTTTTTTATCGCATTGTTCAATCAAAAAGTTCTTCATAAACGAATCGTTTTTCAAATTTTTGGAAAATAGATTGTTGTCCCAAGTTGAAAGATGAAGAAGTGACACACCTTTGATTTTTAACCCATCGTCTTGTTTATCACTTAGTTCCAACAATTTCAATGAAACCTTGGGCGAGAAACTGATGTTGATGATCTCAAATCCTTTTAACAAGTCGTTTTGAATAGCGTAGGAGTAAAAATTCAAGTCCCACAAACCAAACTGAATCTTGGGAACCCAGAATTCCCTGTCTGGATTAAAAGACAACAAATCACTCAAAATTATATCCAAGATCTTCAAGTTGTTTGACCTCTTGACATCTAGCATGATCTTAAGCTTTGAATTTTCTGGCTTTAGAAACCAGGCAATCAACTGCTTGAAGGTGGGCATCGACTCATGAGGCTCCTTGTTTGTTCTGATGGTCTGCAACTGTTCCAAGGTGGACTCGTAGATGTTCAAGTCGTCAGAAAAGACTCTTCCAGTCTTTGAGTCATGGCAAATAACAACCACTTCGTCCTTTGAGAGCTGGACATCAGTCTCGATAATATCGCAGCCGGCGTTTCTGGCCTGGGTGAAGGAAAGCAAGGTGTTTTCGGGAAATAGTCTTCTGAAGCCTCTGTGGCCAATGCACAAGGGCTTGGAGCTCATTCTGGAGGTGCAAAAGAACAAAGCGATGCCAAAGTTGGCAGGAAGAACAGCTGGGGGCAACGAGGGTTATAAAGGAAACAGACGAAGGCCAAAGATAAGCAGAGGTTATCACATGGAAACATGGTGAGACAAAAGCAGCGTTGGGCAGGGCCAACGTGGGCTGGAGGCTCTTCTCCGGAAGCAGCAGCAGCTGGATCGCCACCGAGCTTCCATGGGTAAGCTACAACTGATGCCAATGGGTGTGAGAAGCCAGAGCCTCTGGGGAAGCTCATCAGCTTGCCCCTTCGTCCTTACCAGTTTCCTCACCAGGTCTTTCGTTACGTCCCTCAGCAAAAAGACTTCTGACGAGGGCTACATGAAGAGAAGGCTCGAACAGCTAGCCGAGGAGTCCTTTTTGGAGAACAGCAAATTTTTCAAGAAGCATGAGAAGCAAATATACATCAGCGAAAAGATCCCCAAGAACATCGACAAGTTCTCGAAGGACAATGCCTTGAGTGCTCCCTGGACTGGCGAGGAATCAGTCCACGATGCCAATCTTAGAATGTTGGTGGATTCCCACAAGCCATTGAAACAAAAGATATCAGGAAATGGGCTTTTGAAGATGCCAATAGCAAAGAGAAAAAGTGTTTCTGATCGATTCTCTGAAGCTAGAGAAAAATCATTGGACTACTCACTATCAAAAATATCTGAAACAAAGTCACCACAAGAGGAGGAAGACGATGGCTTTAAAGAAATGTACAGAGAAAGATTGCTAGGTCCTGAACTATTGGGTCCAACTTCTTTCGCCTCCACCATAAGTGCTATATCCAGTTTGGCCGATGAAAGAATAGAAGAAGCTCGAAAAAGAGGCGAGTTTGATAATTTGCCCAACAGAGGCAAGCCTATGGCCTCTAATCCTCACCAATCCAATCCTCATTTGGATCGAACAGAATACCATATGAACAATATACTAATCAAACAAGACATTGTTCCCCCCTGGATCGAAAAGCAGACTTCTGTTGATCTTCAAATAAAGCATTTTCGACAAGGCTTGCAGAAAAAATGGAGATCAAGAGCCATCAATCTGGTCATTGAGAACAACAAGAATTCAAACAATCAGCAGAAATTGCAAATAATGCAATCATTTGCTGATAACGAAATCAACAAAACTGGCCCACTACTACGAGATCCTGCTTGGGAAAACTCTCAAAAGTCGTCTCTAACACCCACTCTCAGATCCCTTAACGATATCATCAGAGGCTATAACTTGATGGCTCCCATGCCCTCCCAAAAGTTCTATCTTCTTGAGGACAGAGAACTCGAGAGATGCTACAAAGAAACCGCTCCTCATCTCGTTGACGCCTTAAAGAGACACTTGATGGGGGCCTCTTCCTCCACTCCACAGATCAAAATCAACCCAGCTACTTATATTCCACAATCGACAAACACTTCCTCTGTCTCTTCTCTATTCTGGAAAATGTTCAGCAAGTAAAAACCATCTTAAATGCATCCAATCTCGTGTAGAATCCTGTTGATATGTATTTGCAAATATTCACCAATAAACACTTCCACCCAACACCTTTGTGTTAACAAATTATGGCGGCTTAAAAGGTTAAACAGCCTCCAACCACATGAACAAATTTAGCATTTAACCATACTTTCCTGTAGAAATGCTTCTTTTGCTGGAACCTCCTGTTGAATAAACTGTCAAATCACATAGCTGCTGCTTTCCATTCGTTAAAGAAAGACTATCTAGCTTATTATTCATTTGACTAGCCAAGTTGAAATGCTAACCATTAAATCTGGTGTATAGCTTCATATCTTTCTTGCTATGCAAATGATAAATATCAACTTCACTTTGAGAAAAAGATTTATTAAAAACAAATACTTGTTTATATTTATCTTGATATTCTTTTTAACCATATTCAATTTCTTAAAAGTTTTCCTATACCAAGATGATGCTCATTATGCTTTTAATAAACTAACTCGTCCAAGGCTATCTGCTTCATTTAACACTCCAATCGGCCAATCGATCAAATCACTAAATTACATTGATTATTACATTGAAAGTTTTAAAAGTTTTAAAAGTTTTACAATATTTGAACAAAAAACTTTACTAAAACAAAATTCTTTTGTTCCTTCATATTCGTGCTCTTCACTTTCTCAAAATGATTCGATACAGGTTTCTACCCCAAAGATCACATTAACAAATCACTCAAATTTAAAAAAATTTAGAAAAATTATAATGAATTCCAAGTATAAAGACATATTTAGCGATGACTACTCCAAATTCAAAACTGAAGATCAGCTTGTTGATGCAAATTGGTATCAATATAGTGGCTCATCGGTCTTTATCAAAAAATTGAATATCAATATTATGATCAGTAGAATTGCCTACTCAATTATTGGTGTGAAGAATTATCCGATTACAAGTTTTTTATCTGTTCAGCTTTTTGATAATAATTGGAATGAATTGAATTATTTTCCAAATAACATAATAAAGGACAAGTTTCCCACAATTTTAAATATTCCATTTTATTATCATACTAATAAAGGAGCTAAATATTTTGGACCCGAAGATCCCAGGGTTATATTAAAACCCAATTTTATAAACAATAATATTGACGAAGAGCCTGTGATTATCTTTAATATGGATTTAGGAGATGAAATTGATAATATCAGAGCTATGCATGCTTATTTACCATTTCAAAAGCATTTAATTCATTTTCAAATAATCGGGGAAACTGTTAAAAAAAAGGAAAAAAACTGGAAACCCTTTATTGATGAAAAAGATTATCTCGATAATGACCATTTAATTGAAATTAAATATCAAATTGGAGTCAATTCAAAATTTGGGTATATTAATTTTATCTATAATATATCGCCATTAACTATATTAAAATGCAATTTAGACAATGGATTATGCCTAAAAACTTATCAAGAATTAGCTGATATAAATAAAAATACTAATGAAAACAATGAAATCAGTGTTATGAGAGGAGGTACAAATTTATTTCCCATAAAGGGGTTATTAAGAGAGAAATTTAATAATAATTTACAGGAAATATTAAAGAATAAGTTTGAAAGAAAGGATATTTGGATTGGGTTTGCAAAGACCCATTTGAAAAATTGTGGATGTGGTGAAAGAATATATAGACCACATTTATTTCTTTTCAGTAAGGAAAATAGCGAAAATAGTGAAAAAAATGAAAATGAAAATGAAAATAAAAATGACAATGACAATGACAATGAAAAAGAGAAATATAAAATTGAGTTAATCAGTTCAAGCGTTGATTTTAACATTGAAGTATTATCATGGGATGAAGAATTGCCAAATGATCAAGCATGTTTTTCAAAATTCAGTGTTTTAATGCCTAATAGTGTAGCATATTGGGATTTAGTTGATAATCAATATACAGAGGAAGATTATATGGGGATAACATTGTCTGAATCGGATTCCAATGTTATTGTTATACATGTCAGAGGTATGTTAAAGTATTTATTAAATTCTTTAAATAAAGAAGAAACAATATATATAGATAAGAAGTTAGAAAATGATCAAGATAAAGGAAAGAAGAACGAAAAAAAGAATAATCTTCTAGTTGAAATAGAATCAAGAAAGATGGTTGAATGTGTAATTGAAAAAGCTAAAAGGTATTGTGAAGAGTATGGATTTAGTCATAAAAAGATCGAGAATCTTGATTAAAGATTAACAACTAAAAATCAGAAAATAGTAATTTGTAATATACAACATATAGAATAAAAGAAATAGATAAATAAATGAATAGATAAACTAAAATTAATGAAAAGTTAATAAAAAATGATGAATGGTCAATAAAGATAAAATTTGAAAATAATGATATTATAAGTTACAAACATGAATTGAAGAAAAAAATACAGCTTAGTTGAGATCAAGTTTCATATTCTGATTAATGTTTTCTTCTGATGGACTTAATGTGGTTTTGAGTTCGATTTCATTTTTATTTTCGGATTTAGAATTTGAGTCAGCTTGTGCTTGAGCTTGGGCTTGCACCTGAGCTTCTGCTTCTGCTTCTTCTGCTTCTGCTTTTGCTTTTTCCCCAGCTTCAGCTTTTGCTTCAGCTAAATACTCCTCGTCACTTTTTATTTTTAAAAAGTCATTAAGTAAATTAAATTTTGGATGAGATCCATTATCACAACGTTTTCCGAATGGACAAAACCCAGTCAAATAGTAGGGACAAAGTTTTCTTCTGATGTGCCTCTTTTCGCATTTGGGACCCTTTCTACAAAAACCAGCATTGTAATCAGGACATTCAGGTATCTTTGTTTGAGGATCTATGTGAAGATAAAGACATTCGGGAGATTGTGTACAAAACCCATTTTTTGTGAAAAACAAGCACTCAGGCATCTTTCTGAGATTATACTCGTGCAAAAACTCGCAGCTGTCTCCCTTTTTGCAAAGACCTCTTAGCCAATGCTTACAAACGATTTTGTTGTTGAACATGGGACTGACATGTTTGTTGTAGCAGCTGGAGCCATTAGGACATTTACCACCATTTTTGAAAAATTTGCACACTGGTCTATCAGGATCCAACGCCAAGTTGAACTCCTTTCTGAGATACGGTTCAAACTTGAACGAAATGTTCTGGTAGTTGGGCACAAGTATGGAATTCACAGTGGACGACATTGGAGATATATCTTGAATAGCCTCCAGGAAGCAGAAGAAGCTTTTATATCAGATATATGATATCGACTCTGGCACGTGAAAGCTGTCAGCCGCAGCACGGACACTCCTGCGGATAATCCGGAAGCGGCTGTAAACGGTTCTGCACGCGATAGAACGGGCGCACACATATGTGTGATATGGTTACCACACGCAGACCTGAGCTGAAGCTGCTGCGTTTTACTGCTGGGAGACACTGCGTCCCTGTGGCCACAAAGGCAGATAACGAGCGAGGGCCAGCTTCCTCAGGCTCCGCTGATGCCTGACGTTAGTGGAATGGTTCTGAAAAGCGTCGCGAGTTTCCTCTTCGGGTATCTGGCGCGTTAGCCATGGTTTCGACCGTCGTCTTATAAATACGCTTGCAAGTCCTGCTGCGCTTTTCTTTCTCTTATCTCCAGCTTCGTCTTTTGCTCTGTTTTCTGTTTCAGATCTGCTTCCTTTGCCTTCTTCTTTTGCTGTTTTTCTACCAAGATGACTGTCGACCAATCCGAAAGATACAAGTTGATTGAGACCACTGATCCCAAAATCATTAGCTTGTGTCACTCCGAAAATTCCAAAAGTTGGAGGTTCAAATTGTCCACTGATGCTTATGTTCAAAGGGAGTATTTGTTAGGTAGACAGAAGGTGTGCAACCCAAATGATTCTGACGATAAGGACGATCTATTGGGTCTCAAGTACTACTACTTCAAGGACTGTTCTCAGGATCTAATTATAGGTGGCTGTGAATCCCTAGCAAGATACTATTACAAGATCGACGCCACCACCAAGAAACCAACTAGATTTATTTCACCATGTATTGGTGGTGTTTATATTTTTCCTCACTACAGAGCTAAAGGATTGGGTAAAATCATGTTGATTCAATTAAATCAAATTTTATTGCAAAAATATGGCCAGGATTCCTTTTCGACATTATACTCCGAAGTTGGTGATTATTATGATAACTTTGGCTATACCTCAAAACCAATAAACCTCTCAAAATTACCTCCAATTGAACCTCCATCTGTTTATGATGAATCAAACTCCATTGACTCAAATGGTTTCTCAATTGTGCCAATTTCAAGATTCGATTTAAAACCCTTAACTGATATTGATAATGAAGCTTTACAACAAAAATTGTTGTCAAATTTCAATAGTGATCAAGTCACTAGAGTCTCCTGTGTCCCAGATCCAAATGTATACATATGGCATTTTGCTAGAGCCATTTTTACTTTACCTGTCTTGGGCCACGAAAAGCCCTCTCAGTTTGGTATCAAATTGCTTAATCCTAATAACAATAGTCAAATAGTGGGTTTTATTATTTGGACTTATAACGTTCATGGCGATGAAAACGAATTATTCGTAATCAAATCTTTCGTCGATGAAACTAATTTATCAATTGGTGATCAAATTAAAGTATTTAAATCTCTTATCAATTTATCTCAGTATCATGCGTACCAAAAGAAAATGGATTTAATTTTATTATGGCAAAGTGAAATCCCTACTGCAATTAATAAATTAATCCTTAATTGGTTTCAGAATGATTTAGATGGTGAAATTGATCAAAAAAATTCCTCAATCTCAGCAATTAAATTTCATAACAAATTGCAAAATGATTCTCCTTTCATCTGGGAACAAAACCTGAAATTTTGCTGGTTTTAATTCAAAATCAGTTTCAGTTTCAGTTTCAGTTTCTTTTCAAAATTCATATTCAATTTTTTTTTTCTATCTCTTTCTATACAATAGTTTCTATACAATTATATTCTTCTAAATCAATTTGATCAGAAGACAACCAAATAAATACAAATATTCCCTTTTTTTTCTTTTTCTTTTTCTTCCACTATGCTGGAACCCCCTCATATTCATTTTCACTGTACTTACTAATTGTCTTTTTCCATCGTTTTCTATTATTCTGTATTGGCAAATGTTTTTGCATTTTAATAATAAATATCAATAACCCAATCACGAATCCAAGCACTATACTAAATATTGACATCATTAAATTAAAATTCCTATTATCTTTTATCTCATCTAAAAAGTATGGACATTTGGCTTTAGCTCCTCCTCTAACCCAACAATCTTCAACATCCAATGAATTGAAATCAACCCAAAATGAATTTTCAAATTGTTCATAATATTTAATTCTATTACCACTCTCATTAAAATAACTATAACCACTATCGTCACTATTACTGGTAGTAGTAATATTAGTAGTATTAGTAGTAGTGGTATCATTATGTATCCATTTATAACTTAGATTCTCTTTTATATATTTTTGCTGACTGGGTAATCTTGGAACTAAATTTTTATACTCTTCTCCAAATTCAATCTCGCATTGTTCATTACAATTAAAATAACTCACCTTTGATTCACTGACTCTCCAATCAATATCATTATTATCAAGACTACTAATGTTTTTGCCACATAAAACATGGTGTTTATTATAACAATTATCAACAAACCATCCAAAATCTGTAGAAATCGTACAATTATATGCAACTGTACTATTGCTGCCATTGCCATTGCCATTGCCATTAGCACTATTGTCAATGTAGCCATTATCTTCATTTAAATCATTAACAAAATCATCAGAATTATAAATATAGTCAAATACATCTGAAAGCAGCTCATTTTGTAATAATTCTTTTAAGTATCTTGAAGAAAAGGGTTGATCTGTTCTCCATGTCCAAATCGTGTTTACAATTACTTCTGTCCAATTAATTGATGGGTTATTTATTATTATTGAATGATCCCTTTCATAAATCTCTGTAAATTCACTTATATTCGTTCCATCATAGAGAATTATATTCCAATCAATCAATGAAGTATTGACAAAAACATAATCTGAACTTGTTGCATTGCTTAATACAATTGGAATAACCCTTTTATCATCTTCAAATAGAAAAGTATCTACGGTTGGATACTCATAAAAATCAACCCTTCTGTAATCATCTATGGAATAAAGTCTATAATCAAATATCGATCGAAGTTTTGTTGATAAGTTTTTAATTCTTCTATTAATATTCAGATTTATCGAATCTTGTTGTAATTTAAATATCAAAATAATTGAATTCTTAGCTATTTCATAATTTGAATCCTTCAAATACATGTTCACAGCATCAAAAAAATCATCAAGATCCAGATATTGTTCATTTGCTAATTGCCAATTTCTTGAGCTGTCATTCCAAAAGATATCTAGGTATAAAATCGAATAGCCACCATCTAATTTTTGAATTAAATCATCCTTAGTAGATATTATTTCTGGATTAGACACATTTACACCAACATATGGCGTTATATTAATAGTTAGTTCCCTTGAAAGATCTCTTTGACTGATTATAGCTATTGTTTCTTCAACCGTAAGTTCTTTTGTAATGTTCAACGAACTATATAGTTGAGTCATTTTGCTGTCTTCGTCATCACAGAGAATGAATACAAATAAATGGCAAAAACATGCTACCACCCATATAATAGTTTTAAAGTCGATCATTGAAAAATATCATTTATTTATCAAGTATTCACCATTATTTACGGTTTCTTATCAGTAGTTGAGCTGAAATATTTCCACCTCCCTATCAAATGTGTGAATGAAAAATTAAAAACAATTCAACGAAAACGGGAAACCCTTATCATTAATGTAATGAAGCAGCAAAGACACCAGCAACAAGACCCAAATAAGTTACATTGCTGCACATAATTTGTTGTAATTTGAGTTAGATTTGGGGTTACAATGTTTCGAGGTAAAAGGTTACTACTGGTAAATCTTGTTTTTTGTTTATTTGCTATGTACTTTTTTTATACCTGGCTAAAGGTCTCCTTTCAGCAATCTTTGGTGTCGAAGGTTACAGTGTTGAAGTCTTTTAGTGGGAAAAATAATAATTTGAAGACTCCAACGTTTATTCCCATAAAATACGAAGTGATCAAGGGATATTTTTACCAGGACGATCCTTCGAGTATTCCTTCTGATTTCAACTATTTGGTTGACGACTTTGGGTTGATCGCACCTAATACATGGAACCAAGTGAAGTTTGATCTCAAGATTCTTAATGACAATTCTCCTGATAATGTTGCATATAAACTATTGTTTTTAGCGAGACATGGAGAGGCGCCTCATAATGCTGCCAAAATATATTATGGACAGAAGGCATGGGACTGTTATTGGGCTCATTTGCCTGGAAATAGAACCATGACTTGGTTAGATGGGCATTTAACTGAGTTAGGGACTCAGCAGGCCAAAGATAACAATCCATCGTGGAAAAAACAATTGACAAAAGATGCTCCTTTTCCATCTAGTTTTTATTGCTCGCCTTTGACAAGGTCCATTGAAACATTGATTTACACTTGGAACGATATTGGTTTGTTTGCTCCGCCATATGTTCATCCAGTGTTTAAGGAAATGTTGAGAGAAGATAATGGGGTGGATACAGCAGATATCAGAATGAACAAGACATATTTAAGCAAAGTATATCCAGAATTTGAATTTGAAGATGGGTTTTCTGAAGAGGATGAATTGTGGGATCCATATTTCTACGAAAGTAATGAAGCCCATGACGTTAGATCGCACAGATTTTTGGACGATATCTTTGCAAATGATTCGTCTGCATTTATATCAGTTACCAGTCATTCTGGAACCATTTATTCTATATTTCGAGTCATTGGACATGCAGATTATATTGTTGATACAGGTGGAATGGTTCCGGTGATAGTCAAGGCAATTGGACCAAGTATTGAGGGCACAAGTTCCAGTAGAACCGGATTGTTCACTAGCTCAGTTACTTCCATTGCTGCTACCTGGTGCACTGTTACTAGTGAAAGTATTATCGTAACAGCAACATCAAACCCATCATGAGAGTATTTTTATTTCTATTCTACTGAGTTTTTTTATTTTATTTTGTTTTGTTTTATTAATTTCCTATTCATGTTACTGAACTATGTAATGTTTTATTATTTTTTCTTCTTTTGTGGATCTTCAAATTTCAAAATCATTTCCCAGCTTATCTATATATAAATACTTTAAATAGACAGCAAAATCAGCAAAATCCGAGATTGTTCACGTGACTAATTTTGTTACAAGCAAAAACGAAAGGATTGGGATTTTTTTAAAATTTCCACATCGAAAAAGTTTTGGCTAAGAAATTGCAAATGAGTGAATCAAAAGCCCAAGATGACTTAGTAATTTACTTGGATAGAGGTCTTTCTAAGAACGCTGAGCTTATTCATGGAGTCAATCCCGTTTTATTATTTGAAAAAATCATCAGAGAAAGAATTTTGGATACAATTTACTGGAAATTGAATTGTTTTGGATTAACACCGTTAACTATTCTTGACAAAGCAGTTAAGATCAAAATAATCGGTGGACAAGATTCCAATCAAAGACCCTCACACTTTCAATGTTTATTGTTGAAATTACTTCAAATACATCCATCAAAGGAGATAATCTCGGAATATATTAACCAGAAACGGTTTAAATATTTGACGTGTCTAGGCTTGATGTATGCTCGATTGTGTTTTGATTCAATAGACGTTTACGAAACATTGGAGACCTATTACAACGATTACAGAAAGGTGAGGTTTAGACCCAACCATGGTTCACCGGTTATGTTGTATCATATTGATGAATTTGTCGATGAGCTTTTGACGAAAGAAAGAGTCTGTGATTTGATTTTACCCAGATTGCCTAATAGAGAATTCTTAGAAGACGAAAAGGATTTAGAACCAAGAAAAAGCACAGTAGAATTGAATATCGAGTCTGAGTCTGAGCCCGGATCTGGATCTGGATCTGAATGAAGTCTCAACTACATTGAATCTTATCCAAGAGCAATGGTCTTATTGTCACCATCTCGGTTTGTTTGTGGAAGCACCAAAAACCTCAAAAAGGCTCTGGCTTAATAGATCCACCATAACGGATTCTCAGCCATTGCGCGCAATCACACATAAACACGCGTGTTTATGCATGAAGATACGCTTTTACTAAACATGTAAACATGTGATTTCATTGGCTTTCGAGCGAGATTTTTTTCAGCTCCAAAACAACCTTTGCACTACAATTGTTGAGCCAGTTATTTACAAAATCCAGTTCTCCAGCCCACCATGATCAGCAACAGATTAGTGGCAGCCACATTCAGATCTCCTAGGCCAGCTTCATGCCTATTGGATCAAGGCTTTCAAAGACGTCTACTCTCTTCTAGTTTGTCGAGCCAGAATCAGAGCAAATCCACAACCACAAACAATGCCCATAGTGTTAAAGAAACGTTGGTTTCTCCAACCGCATTGGCTTCATCTTCGAATATATCTTCCAAAGATGTTTTGGACAAGACCACTCGTTATCCACAAAAAAAAATGCCTTTGCTTTCAAATTCAAAGTATGAAAGCGACACCTATAAATTACCCAAATGGAAGGAATCATTTATTGAAGCATTTATCTCGCTTTTTCGTTTAGATATGGATAGAATCAGGGCAGGTCCCATAGCAGGCTCAAAATACTATGCAATGTGTAAGATTCAAGGTTTGCATTATAGAAATGAAAAGTTATCTTCGACAGCAAAATTTTACTACGAAACCTTGGGTTTGCCAAACACCTTTTCAACGTGGTATCAAATCACCTTATTGCACGAATGGATGTTATTTGTAAGAATGAGAGCCATGCCAGGAAAGTATGGTCAAAACTATCAACAAAAAATAGTTGATAGAACATTTCAGGACATTGAGCTAAGATTAAGCGAGGAAATGAATATCCATTCAGGTAGAATCCGTGATAGATACTTGAAGGAATTTGACAATCAATTAAGAGGTGCTATATTATCTTACGATGAAGCATTTGTCTCTGATGATATAACTTTGGCTTATGCTCTCTGGAGAAACTTATTTAATGCAAAACAGGATGTTGATTACCTACATTTAGAAGCATTGGTAAGATACATCAGAATGAATTTATACGTTTTGAGCAAATTGTCTGATAGAGAATTTGGCTTTGGCAATTTTACATTCGTCGCACCAAATGAAGTTGTTAAATTATTAACACCAAAAGAAGAAATTGAATTAAGAAAAACTGCCCATAAATTATTTGAGCCTAAAAATGGAAAAATCTTACCAAGTCAAAGAAGTAAGTTATCATTAGATAACTGAGAAAGTGATATAAAAGTACATAGGTAAATTCCAAAAAAATACCTCAAAAATTATTTAAAAGGCTATATGTATATAATATTTCAACTAGGTTTTGTTCAGCGCTTTTTTTGTTGTCCTTTAACTTATTTTTATTTTCTTTTCTTTTTCTTTTTATTTTTTTTTTTGATCGTCTTTTTTTTTTATGATTCAATTTACTTTACCCCATTTTTTTCTAGCCTGTTATATTATTTGTTTATTAAATATGAAACAGTTGATCATTAACTAGTTTTCTGTCTTTTATTATCAGATTCATCTGAATCTTCTTCATAAGTAGGAATCACTTTTTCTGCTTTTTCAATCAACGAAGCAGGTCTCTTTTGAACTTGAATTGAACGAGGAGGAGGATGAGTGCCAACAGGATGAGCTCCGGGTGGATGAACTTGTTGAGGATGTAGCCTTCTTTTTGCTTCTCTTTCCTTTCGTTTGAACCGTATTTCTTCTTGATTGGAAATCAATTCTTGTTTACTTACACCATCATTTATCGAGCCTAAAATCTTGGTAACAACTGAGACATGATTGCCATTTACTTTATCATCTCTAAATCTTAACATTGTCCAAGTATCATTTTTATTTTTTCTTGCTTCTACTATCCGGCCATTAAGAGGCTCATTAAGAGATTTCAAACTTTCCCATTCTTCATCAGTTATTGATAGAGTGCCAAATTTTTCATAACTTGCCTTATTGTTTTGATTATGATTATTATTATGATTATGATTATGATTATGATTATAATTATAATTATAATTATAAGCGATGTTATCATTTTGAGGATTGTTATTTTGTTGATTATTTAACCATATCAATAAATTTATACTTGGTTTTGAATCATAATCAATATATTCGTGATTTGGATCATTAGGATCTGTGATATCTGGATCAATATATTTATTGAAATCTAGTTGAATCTTGAAATCAATTGAATTCTCTTCAGCAGGTTTCCATTTTAATAATGTTTTATCGGTGTTTTGAATATAAGGAGAATTACAACAAGTGAAGATTAAACCATCGGATTTGTGATTTAATTTTTTCATTAAATCAAATGTTATTGAAATTTGATCTCCCAAAAAAAAGTTTTTGAGACTAATATGAAATGGGTAAGTTGATACTAATTTCGATTCAATTATCTTAAATTTATTGAAAGGCTTTATGATGTTTTCTTGAATTCTACCCAATCTTTTATTAAAAGGTTTCAAACAAAGATTTACACCATTTATTGCAAGACAATCAAAGATCAAGTATTTTAAATTTTTATCGTTATCGAGAACCAACTCACCGTCAATAATTGTACCATTATGAAATGTGTTTGGATCATTAGGTTCTAAAGGAAAATGAAGTTGTGGAAATAACACCCGATAGTATTCGTTGGTTCTTGTTATAAAAAAACAACCTTCTTCGTGAAGCGAAGGCTCATATAGCAATAGCATCAAACATCGTAATCCATCAGATTTTTCGCATAAAAAGTAATCATGTTGTAATAATCTTTCAGCGATATGTTTTCTTTCAAAACTGATGGGTTGACTTCCAGGAAAGGAGGTGTTAGAAAGATTCAAAATGCTTTTCACTTGGTATCTTAGCTGTGCTTCGACAGAGGGAGGAAGACGATTACCAGGTATCTCTGGTATGTCAAGAACAGCCATGTTTGGTGATTGTAATTATAATTGTAATTGTAATTGTGTTAATGCAAATCAAACCACCAAATTCAAATGATTTAAGCGACTTATCAGAACTTTAGCTATGCTTTATTTTTCAAACAAATGTTTTTTAAAGGCCGTGATTTTTCTTTCGGTGGCCGTGGTCCAATGGAAAAAAACAGGGCTTCTAGCAATAAATTACGGATGCTCTGTTCGAAGCCTATCTAAAAACTTACCGTTTATTGATTTATATTGATGTTGTAATTATTCTTTATTAGTTGTTTATTGAAGTAGTTATGTGGAAAAAAGTTTTGTAAGTGGAAAAAAGTTTAGTTTTTACCTGCACCAGCTCTGAAGTAAATGATGTCGCCATCTTCGACCACATAATCTTTACCCTTTTGTGCGACTTTTCCAGCAGCTTTAACTAATGTCTCATCTTTATATTCAACAATATCTTGATATTTGGTGATATGGGCCAAGATAAATGTATTCATCAAATCGTTGTGAATAACACCAGCAGCTTGTGGAGCCTTGGTACCTCTTCTGATGGTCCATTCACGAACTTCTTGGGGTCCGCAGGTGAAATATGAAATCAAATCCAATTTTTGTCTCATTGTGGTAATAATTTTTGGTAAAGCACTTTGTGTACCAAGTCTTTTCAATTCTTCTTCCCTTTCTTCATCTGTTTCCATATGAGATAGTTTTTCTTCTAAGCAAACAGAAAATGGTATGATGACATCGTTTGGAGAATATTTGTCAACCCATTCTTTGATTTTTTTTAAATGTTTATTTTTTCTTCTAATGTAGTCCTTTTCGGATAAATTGATCAAATAAATTGATGACTTTGCAGTCAATAATTGCATTTTATTAATGACTTCAACTTCTTTTGATGTCCAGGTTTGGTTTGCTACTCTATGTCCATCTTCTAACATTTTGATGATTTTATTCACCAATATAGCTTCATCTTTTTTTTGTTTAACTTCCAATGATTGCCCTCCTCTTCTGGTGATCTTTTCAACACCTTCAAGATACTTTTGAGAAAACTCAATGTCTTTCAATCTCAATTCATTTGATATAATCTCCAAATCTCTCACAGGATTAACATCCCCTTCAATATGGATAATCTCAGCGTCATCAAAACATCGAACCACTTGGTAAATTGCATCAACTGCTCTGATATGTGATAAGAATGCGTTACCTAATCCTTCTCCTGCACTTGCACCCTTGGTTAACCCAGCGATATCATAGACTGTGATATAAGCAGGGACCTTCTTTTGAGGCTTGTAAATGTCAAACAATGTGTCCAATCTTGGAGATGGAACAATAACTCTAGCTTCTTCTGGATCAATTGTGGCAAATGGGTAATTAGCTGGATTACCTAAAGGACATCTAGTGATTGCCTGGAAAAAGGTTGATTTACCAACGTTGGCCAAACCAACAATCCCAGACTTCAAGTTATTACCTGGACGACCCAAGAGGATCTTTTTCTCTTCAACTGCTTTCTTTGGACCCATTCTAAAGACACAATCCTAACGTCAATTCTAGCGGCTTACAACACTTGTTGCTTTAATTCTGTTGTTTTACTGGTGATTTTTCACTTTTTTTTCCCTCCAGAAAATTCCAGACCCGGCTCTCCAAATCAGGAAATACATAATTCCCGCCAAAGACCGCCGAAGTTGAACACGTGCAGCTGCGATTTTTGAACAAGTTTCAACTTCAGAGCTCAGATCAAAAGAAGAAAACAGCTCTTCTTCTGCTGCTGCTGCTTCCAACCAACTCCATTCCCAATGTCTGCTCTTTCCTACAAGAAGTTTGAGGACAGCGACTCAGGCGCATTGCCTGACAAGATGACCATTTTCCAGGACTGTCTCCAGGCCTTCAATGCTACTCCTGTCAACGCCAAAAAATGTCGACTACTATTATCCAGATTGATGAGATTGTTGTATTCTGGTGAAACCTTTCCTAGTCAAGAGGCAACTACTCTATTTTTTTCCATTTCCAAATTGTTCCAGCACAAATCCTCCTCTTTGCGTCAAATGATTTATTTGGCCATCAAGGAACTAGCCACGATCTCTGATGATGTTCTTATGGTGACTTCTTCCATCATGAAAGATATCCAAAATGGCGATTTGATATTCAAACCAAACTCAATTAGGACTTTAAGCAGAGTTCTCGATGGCTCCACGGTTCATGCCACCGAAAGAATCTTCAAAAATTGTATTGTTGATAGAAATCCAAATGTTTCATCTGCTGCTTTGATCTCATCATACCATTTGATTCCTGTAGCCAAAGATGTTGTCAAAAGATGGACCAATGAAACTCAAGAAGCTGTTTTTGCCCAAAAATATTTTCCTTCAAATCAATTCAACAATTCAAGCAATTCTTCTTATCAAGATTTATACACTTCAACTCCTTCATCCACTTTTTTCACCCAGTACCATGCTTTGGGTTTATTATATATCTTAAGGAGTCATGATAAAATGGCTTTAATGAAAATGATCCAAAGCTTAAGCGGTGTCAATTCTCCTCTTAAGAACTCAATGGCAATTGTACAATTAATAAAATATATCACTAAAATAGTTCATGATTCTAACGACCCTCATTTGGCAAATACCCTATTCCCCAAATTATCAAATTTCTTAAAACACAGATCCGACATGGTTGGTTTGGAGGCTTCCAAGGCAATTTTATCATCCTCTTTATTCACAAATGAACAACACGCAACTGCCATTTCTACTTTACAAGATTTATTATCTATTCCAAGAACTGTTACAAGATTTGCCGCTGTTAGAATCTTAAATAGAGTTGCAATGAAAAATCCTGAAAAAGTCGTTGTTTGTAATGTCGAATTAGAAAACTTAATTTCCGATTCTAATAGATCAATTGCTACCTATGCGATCACAACTCTATTGAAAACAGGTTCTGCTGAAACCGTTGATAGATTAATAAAAACAATTTCAAGTTTCATGAATGATATATCGGATGAATTCAAAATCGTTGTAATCGATGCAATTAAAAACTTATCATTGAAATTCCCAGACAAATATAAATCGATGTTAGTCTTTTTATCTGACGTATTAAGAGATGACGGTGGTTTCCCATTCAAGAGTGCTGTAGTTGAAGCTTTGTTTGATATGATCCATTTCATTCCAGAGTCTAGAGATTCTGCTTTAGAAAACCTTTGTGAATTTATTGAGGACTGTGAATTTACTGAATTAGCTGTAAGAATCTTACATTTATTAGGTCAAGAAGGTCCCAAAACCAAAAACCCTACTCTTTATATTAGACATATTTATAATAGAGTTGTTTTAGAAAATTCAATTGTTAGATCTGCTGCAGTATCTGCTTTAGCTAAATTTGGTTTAATTGATGATCCAACCATAAGAACTTCAATTGAAATTTTACTAAATAGATGTCTTTGTGATGTTGATGATGAAGTTAGAGATAGAGCAACTCTTGCATTAAAATTATTAAAATCAAAGAAAAATACCTCGGATTCATCAAATATTATTGTCTCAGAATTCATTAGACCCTCAAAATTATATTCATTTCCAATTTTAGAACAAAAATTGGCCTTATATATTTCAAAGGGAGCATTTGAACTCCCATTCGATACCTCTTCCATTCCTCAGCTTTCTGAAGATGAAATCAAAGCTGCTGAATATCAAAGCAAAACATCTGTTACTTCAACTGAACCAACACGACCCACTAAATCTAATCGTGATAGCACTATTAATCATTCACCTGCAAATGGTTCCAATGAAAAAAATAAATTCAGTGAAAAGGATTTACTACAACAAAAATATAGTCAAGAAATTGCCTCAATTGAAGAGTTTTCTAGTCATGGTCCATTATTACATTCATCTTCAATTATAGAGCTTACAGAAAAGGAAACTGAGTTTGTTGTTTTATGTGTTAAACATTTGTTTAAGGACTATTTAGTATTACAATTTAATGTTGAAAACACATTGCCATCAATAATATTAAAGATGGTTTCAGTTGTATCAATTCCAAGCAATGATTATTATGAAGAAGATTTTATTTTGCCAATTGAAACATTGGCACCTGAAGCTAAGGGGACTATCTATGTATCGTTTAAAAGACCAGTTGATGAGGAAGGGTTTGATATTATTGCAGAATCATTTTCAAACACATTATCATTTACTACACATGAAGTTGATCCTAGCACAGGAGAAGTCAGTGAAGAAGATGAGGGATTCCAAGACGAGTATCAAATTGAGGATTTGGATCTTATTGCAGGAGATTTTATTATACCATCATTTGTTGGGAATTTTTCAAATATATGGGATGAGCTTTCAAAGGAAAATGAAAATGTTGCAACGTTTAGTTTGAATAGTTATAATTCAACTGATGGAATACAAGGAGTTATTGATAAATTGATTGAAAATCTTTCAATGATGGCGATTGAAGGTACAAGAACGTTTGAAAACAGTTCAAATAGTCACCTTTTGAAATTATATGGAAAATGTATAAATGGTGAAAGAATTGCGGGAGTTATTAAATTAGCATCAAATTCTAAAGATGGTGTAATTGCTAAAGCTATTATAAGAGCAGATTCATTTAAATTGAGCGAAGTTGTTCTTAATAGTGTGGCTTAGAAAAAATCCCACAAAGTTATAGAAATAAAATTGCGCATAAAATTTATCTTATTTTATAGGTAAATAACGTATTTAATTAATTATAATAATAATTTTTATTTATTTTTGTTTTCATTTTTATTTTTTTATTTTTAATCTCAAATTCATTTAAAAAATTTAGGTTAGATAGTGATAGTTATGGTAGTAAAATGAAAATGAAAATGAAAATGACAATAAAAATAAAAAGTAGTAATAGTAGAATTTAGCAGTTTAAATTTGACAAGAAAAAAAACAACAAAATATAAGATAATAAATAAAATAAAAAAACTAGTCAAAAAACAATCAAAAGGACACAACCCATATATAAAGAAAGAAGATAAGTGAAAACATACCCATGAAAAAGTTAAATGAAAATAAGTAGAAAAATAAATATCAAGATTAATATTTATAAGAAAAACAAAAAAAAAGGTAAAAGTGAAAAAACAAAAAAAAAGGTAAAAGTGAAAAGTGTATAACGTAATGAAGATGAGAATATGAAGGAAGAGGAAAAAACAGAAAAAAACAAAACAAAGATAAGAAAAAAAAAAAGAAAAAAAACTTATTTTGAATTATTAAATTAATTGCAATTTTATGTTAATTATATGTTAATAATTTTTTTTTATTTTTTTTTATTGAAGAGTTTAAATTATATGGTACATATAAACAGAGGAGTGAAATGGTAGTAAGAGAAAAAAATGGAGAAATAGAAAGGATATAATATGATTGACATGAGGGTAAATATGATAAAGAAGGATTAGATAAGAATAGGAGGAATATTGTGATGTATTAGTTATTTTGATTCAAGTTTGATAGTAAAGTTTGAAGGCATTTGTTTGTATTTGGATCTTCTCTTAGAATTATTTTAAAAGTTGAGTCACGTAAAGGGTTTGGTAAACAAGTGATTAAGGCATTTTTAGCAGATTGATTATCACTTAATCTAAGATAACATCTTACTACATGTTTTAGTAATCTTGCAGTTTGATGTTTAACAAGTTGATCAACCATTGAGTTTAGTACAGTATTAACAGCGTTAAATCTTTCCATTGTTTGGCAAATGTATTCTAAACCGTTGTCGTCTAGTAGAATTTTTTGGACGATGAAGATAGCTACTGTTTTCGATAATTCAGTTGAGGATTCCATGATTTTAAGACAAAGAGGAATGATTTCAGTGTTTAATAGGAAGGATATAACATCTGGAGAATCGTTTTTAACTAAGGCCCCAATGACACCCAAGGAGGTAAGTCTCAAGTATTCAAAGGATCTTGATTTTGAATCAGTGTTTAAGAAAGGGTATAGGAATAAAGGTAAGTCAGCATTTAAGAAAAGGATTCTAGTATCGGGATGAGAGGCTACGCACTGGAGTAAAGCTAGGGCATTGCAGACTCTGTTGGAAGCAGTAGGAGACAAAGTTGGAGGATCTAGTAGTGGGTAGACCGAGGTGATTTCATTAAGTAGAGAAGACATGACACCAAAGGAATGCCAAAGGACTAAAGCTAAATCGTCATATCTTTCTCTTGTTTTGCCCAATTCTAATAGGGCTTGTTCTTTATTGGGGCCATAAATGAATTCGATAAGCCATTTGTAGACGTTTTTGTCATCTAGGGCCTTGTTAGAAGTGATAGAATAGGAGTCTTGAACTGATAGAGTTGATTGATTTGCAGAAGGGGTAGGTGTTGCAGAAGATTGAGATTGAGATTGAGATTGAGATTGAGATTGGGATTGTAATTTTTGTTGTTGCTGAGATTGCAAGTTAGAATTGGAATTGATTTGTAACAGAGATTGTTGGGATTGTTGGGATTGTTGAGATTGAAGCAGTGGTCTTGGTTTTGATTGAGCATTATGAGATTGAACAGAGTGTTGACCGGCTAGTTGAGCAGCGTTCATTGTCTGTTGCAATTGTTGTTGAGAGACAGGGGTATATTGAGGTGAATGAGAATAAGGATTATTGTGCAAGTTGTTCAAGTTGTTCAAGTTGTTCAAGTTATTTAAGTTGTTTAAGTTATTGTTATTGTTGATATTATTGTTGATATTATTGTTGATATTGTTGTTGTTGTTATTATTATTGTTACCATTATTTGCATTATTACCATTATTTAAATTGTTTCCATTATCGCCATTGTTGCTGTTTGCGTTCTGCGAATTTTGTTGATTGAAGTTGGCCACAAAGTTGTTTAAGTGGTTGGCAGCGATTTGGGCAGGAGTGTCGGGAGTAGAGTAGGAGGATTGTTGGTGCAAGAGCTGTTGCTGGACAGCAATGTCCGAGTAAATAGCGGGACCTCTGTACATGGCGGGTAAGGAGAAGCAGCAGAGTAGAGAAACGAAGAAGCAGAAGAAGCACAGGAAGTAGGAGAAGCTGGTGAAGGAACACAAGATAAACAGACCCACTCGCGAAAAGTGACACAAATCCGCCGGTGGCGTGCACGGCACGTGCAAGGCTGTTTGCGGATATCTGGCTGAGTCAGCACCGAGTCATGTTCTGTGTTGTGACTGCGTTTCAGAGCGTGTGCGTGCGTTTCTGGCGGAGAGAGACTCCGGCCGGAAGCGACGCAGAGAAGGAGCTGGAGCAGCGCAGGTATATATAGCTGGGCTCCTGCTGGCTGGGATCTGGTGGGCTTTTGGAAGGAGTGCACTGCTCAGAACCACCAGAACCGCCAGAAACAGTACCAGAACCAGAACCAGAACCAGAACTGCTGCCACAGTCCAGCTGCTGCGTTTCATCCATCTTCATCATCCCAGCCAAACTGTATTCTGTGGAAATGGCTGCTCTCAGTATGTACCTCTGGTGCCGTATGGCTTAATCTAGATTTATACTTTGGTTATATCGATGCTCTTGCTAGATCTGTTTGCTCTGCGTTGTGCTTTCTCACTGCTTATGCTTTCCTCTCTCCATAGATATACTAACACAGTTTCCTAATATGGCCCTACAGACGATGAACAGTTGTTCGACATCCTTCCATCTTTTCAGATGCACCAGACCTTTATAAATTGTCCGCCAAAGCACTTTCCGACCGGCAGTGCTGAGAATCATGATTCCACTCCTGATGTCAACCATAACAGTAACAACACTACTACAAATGCCAACACTAGCAGCATAGTTGTATTGCCAGATTACCATTCAATCAACAACTCCCAGCTTAGAAGAATCTCAAATGCTAGCTCAATTGATTCCACCAACTCAAGCACCTCTGTTAGCTCGACCGACTCAATCGACGTCCTTGATTCCTCTATCGATTTCGATACCATCTTATCCCTAAAGAAATTAAACAATCCCTTTATCAAACTATCAGTGATCTTGTTGTCCCATCCCAACAAAGTCATCGAATTCGACAGCAAATCCATCCTATACGGCTATGTAATACTCGAAAATACCTCTCGAAAACCCATTACTTTTGACAACTTCTACATCTCCTTGGAAGGCCATATCGTTATCCAAAAGACGTCTACCAAACTAATAACCAAAAATTTCCTTAAAATGGTAGATCTAAGTGGTTCCTGGTCCTATGGCTATATAAAGCCCTCGCTAAATAAACTATCTTACTCCTTTGGTCTGTACCAATATAACACTAAAAACCCTCTCACTCATAAACTAGAAAACTATTACCTAGGTTTACCCTCAAATAGAATCCTTTTGCCTTACACCAAATATAAAAAAAACTTCTTATTCAAATTCCCTTCTTCTCTATTGGATAACTCTTGCCGTCATAGTATCCAATCCCATTTATCTTTGCCTCCATCTTTTGGCATCAACAACCACCAAATCCCAAATTTTAATGATTTGTCCCCGAATATTATATCAGGTATCGATTATATCGATAACCTTAACGGTACCTCCATTTTGACTAAAGATTATAACCATAACAACTGTATCTATTATTTAATCAACGCTAAATTGATCCAGTCTCCCTCAAACACAAAAAATGACTACTATAAACCTCCAACTACTCAAATCACTAAAAATTCACAATATTACCTAAGATTCATTCCCTCACTACCTTCTCCAACTGCTGATTCAATCTCAATTCTAAACTCCAATTTTAACACTTCAACCACTATTATCCAATTGGAAAATTTTTACACCTCGCTATTAGAAGCAAAACAAAACATTCTTAAAATTATTAACTATAATCAAAATCAAAATCAAAATCAAAATCAAAACCAAAATTCTTCTCTCAAAGACGAAGCTTTAGTTGCTCAAAAGGAATTGGAACTATCTCAATTGAAATATCTAGATTTCTTCCATAACCACAACACCGATGGAGAAAACCCATACCATCCTTATCCTACTACTAATGCATCTAATGTCGAAGAAAAATCCTACTACACTACATCTGAGGTTGAAGTCCAAATTCCGATTAAATTGTTTCCAAGAAATTCGATTAAATTATCAAAAACACAAATCAGCTCAATTAACGCTAGGATTAAATTGCCAAAATACCATCTACCTTATATCTATCCCAAAATTCTTCACAAGAATAAGCAATATAAATACGACATTTCAAATCCAGCAAAAAACCCAAAGAGCTTTGTGTTTTTTTTAAATTTTCCAAAAGAGTTGATGAAATTGCCTAAAATCGAAAAAATCAATTTAAATTTAGTTGCGTTAACTATATCATCATTAAGATCTGTCCCAATTAGCTTTTCCCCCTCGATTTTTATGAACTCATATTTCAACTCGTACTCAACTAAGATTCAAAAATTTCACAACGAATTAAACCATTCAATTATCGAAAAATTGCCATCGGATATTCTTTACTTTGTTGAAGCACTCAGAAAAATCAAAGTTGAAAAGGATATTTTTCCTATTTTCAATACGGAAAATTTCGAATCCTCAATTGAACAAGACAATAATCAACTCAAATGTTCAATCAACTGGGACTTTAAGAAAAATATACCAAACCATAAGACCATTATCCCCAGTTTTCAAACTTGCCTTGTTAGCAGATTATACTATGTTGAAGCAAATCTTATTTTTGATAATAAGATGTCAATAAAAGTTCCTATTCCTGTTACTGTTTGTGCTTATTAAGAATTCTATTCCAATATTTTGAATATCTTTTATTATGTGTTTTGTTTTATAAATTTTTTTCAAGCCCTATAGCTTTTTCAAACCCTATTACTTTTTTCTTTTTCTTTTTCTTATTATCATTATTATTCTTATTATCATTATTATTCTTATTATCATTATTATTTTTTGTATTATACTAATGTTTCAAATCTATTTATAAATAAAAAGTTATTTATCGTGGTTATTGAAATTTTGAGTTTTACAAGCTGTTTTATAAGGTGTTTTTTTTTGTATTTATTTGCTTTTTAGGCTTTCTTTGTCTATTTCCTTGTTCTGTGCTAGCATCGATTCTTTTGAAATTTCAATAAAAAAAATAAGTAAATGGGTAAAACCATGAGTCAAAAATAGAAATAATAATGAGAACTCAAACAAGAATGAAATTTGAAGCTTGGATGATACATCTGAGAAATTTCTGAAAATTTTGTGGAAATTTTGTGAAAATTTTGTGGAAAATTTAAAATCTTTTTTCTAACATTTCTTCTTCTTTAAAGCATACATTTGCACTTGAAAACCTGAAGGAAAATTCCAAAAGCGAAAAACTTTCTGTTTTGTTTTGCTTTTTTGTTTGGCGTTTGTGGGTTTAGCAGCAGAAAAGATCAGCCTGCCCAAATCATTTTCTCGTTTTCAATTGTTTAACGTGCATTTGCTAGGCTGATCATAATCCCACTGGGAGCCAGTGAGTTGTATGAGCTAAACCGACAACCAAATAGGTTGTTCTCGCCTCTGCAAAGGGGTTGCAATTGAGTTTAGTCGCCAGCTGCCCATCATCCAACGCTGGCACCAGACTAAACAAGTCTGGTAAAGGCTCTTGAGCAACACCGGAAGGAGCTGAAACAGAGGCAACCACCATCAACCACACCTTCTCCAGCTGCCTCGCACCTCCTCCAACTGGTGCACAGACCGGTGGAGCCCTGCTCCTGGCGTGCTGCCTATTGTCCTGTGGTGCTGTTTCGTCCTCAGATACAGCAGAAACAGCAGATACAGCAGACCCGAAAGATACAGCAGCCAGCGTTTGCTCTTCTCCTTTTTCTCCTTCCTCTCCTTCTTCTCCTTCTTCTCCTTCTTCTCCTTCCTCTTCACACCTCTTCGCTCCACCATCACATCTTCCAATCCCATACATTTTCCGCGTCTAGGCCTTCCACAATAGCGACGCACGTCTGCCTGGCTGCTACCAGACCGCATCGCCTGCTGGCGCGTCTCCAGCCCGCTGCGCCAAAACACGCTCCAGTCAGACCCGCGGACGCAGCCACCCAATGAGCGCAGCGCAGGGCCGATTAGAGCTCGAGTGCGTCACAACTACAACGGCGCGCCAGCTGGTGAGGCCAACCCGTAACAATCTGCGTAAAACCATAAGCGTGCAGGTCTGGGAGTGTAGGTCAAGTCAAGTCTTATTTGGAAAGAGAATGATAGCTGTGATTGGAATTGGAGAGTTAGTGAGTTATTGAGTTAGTGAGGTGAGCTACAGCTGAAGCAAAACAATTGCTAGCAACAGAGTTGGGCAGAGCTGGAGCTGCTAGCCAGTCTCGTTAAGAGCGATTTGGGCTTAGGCTTTTTTTGGTTCAGGAATTGCATCTGTATAGCACAAAAAAACAATATATAAGTCATTTATCCACCTCTACTTTTTCTCTTTCTGTTCTCCAGTACAATCCTCTCTATCTCATTGCGATCTATCCTACACAACGCAAATATTCATATTCGTATTCTCCAAGACATGTCTGCTCCAGCTACTGTATGTCATGATCCAGCTGCTTTTGCTCTAGCTATTGTTTTTGCTTCTCCATCATTCTAGGATTTCTACTAACTATTTCTTTCTCTTTCTTACAGGAAACAAAACCAGTTGAAACCCCAGCTGCTCCCGCTCCCGCTCCTGCTGTAGAAACAGTACCTGCAGAGCCTGCTGTTCCAGTCGAAGAATCTGCCAAACCAGCCGAAGATGCCCCCAAAGACACTTCAAAAAAACCAAACCCATTAAAGAAATTGATTGCCAAATTAAAGGGCGTATTTTCAAAATCTAAATAAACAAGATGCTACTGATCATAACCAAAAATTAATCTTAAAACTACCTAGAATCTTTTTATTTTACAACCACTGACTGTTTTTAATCCAAGTTTTTTTTTCTCTTTCTCTTTATTTTTAGATGGGTGCACTTTTTTAATGTTTATTTATCTTTATCTTTTTATCTTCTATATTTTACTTTTACTTTTTCATATATTCATTTAATAATTAATGATTAATAATTTACTTCCTTCTTTACGTATTTAGATGCCATTGCGTTCTTGCTAATTAATCCTTTTAAGTTAACAAATTAGTACTACGATAAGGTCATATTTTAATTGCACACACTAACTTCAAAATAATGATCATTCAATACCATTAAACTTGTAAATTTTCCACTTCTAATTTTATTGACTCATATTCCCTGATAATCCCATTTCTTAACAACCTCCTAAGAGTCTAATCTCTTACAATTGCCCCCGGTATCATAATTTGATCCACATTGTAATAATTACTCTTCCTTTCTTTCCTTTCTTTCATTCTTTCTATACAATTCAATTTAAAAGCAGGTAGAAAGAAATCTCTTTATTTTTTTGTTCTCATAATCTTATTACTTTATTATTACCATCTTAGGTTTCTTTCCGACTCTGACTGAATTCCTCAATTTGATCTTTCTTTTTTTGCCTTTTTTTGCCTTTTTTCTTCTAATACCAATCTTTTCGTTAATTTCGATCATCTGCAAATGCGTAAATGATTTACGTAAACCACATCGTTTCTTGTTCGTGATAACCGTTCACATTTCGTTATTCCGCTCCGTCTTGCATCGATCAGTTTCGTATCCGTTAGAAAGGAGCGGGTTTTTTATGCGGATTATGTAATATTCCATTTTCCATTTTTTGATTTTCCATTGGACTAAATTTTTCCTTCTTTTTGCAATTTGACTATAATTGAATCGAGATTATTGATATAAACAAGAACTGAATTTAATAAAAGAAGCAAAATAAAAAAAAAGCAAAAAAAAAACTATTCCTCAATACTCCAAGCCTGAAATGTTAAGATTTTCTTCGGCTTCAATAAGGACCCCTTATAAAAATTCTTCCTTGACTTTATTACTCTCAAACTTCTCTTCTTCCTCAATCATTTTCAGTGATAAAGACAAGAAAAAACTTCAGCTCAGTTTCTCTAAAAAAAAAGTAGAAAAATCTACAAGATATAGTGCAACCAAAAGAAGTGCAAATGGTGAAACTAACCTAACTTTTAAAGAATACGTAGCCCAAAAAAAATTTCAAACTAAAGGTATTAATCCTGACGATATTCCTTTATTCAATCTACACCATTTTAAAAATCTTAACAATGGAATATTTCATAAAAGTGATCAATTAAAAACCGGAAAACAAAAAACTAAAAAATCCTCCACTGATTCATCTGAATTAGATGAAAAATCAACTTCAAAATCAAAATCAAAGTTAAAAACAACACCAGCATTAATTGATTTTAAAAGCCTTACTAAATCTGAATCAAAAATATTAAAATTTTCTCCAGAGCTAACAAATACTTTAACTGATTCAGAACTCTTGAAAAATATTCATTATAAAGAATTATTCCACTCACCTATTCAACTCTTTTCAAAGAATGACTCTCAAACTGTTCTAAAAACTGTTCAAGATTCCCTTGATTCCCCCTCAATTCAAAATAGATTGATTTTACTAGGTGAAAAGGGTTTAGGCAAATCAACTTTGCTATCTCAGGTTTTCGCTTATGCTATCTCAAATAACAGTGTCATCCTCCCAATTTCAAAACCAGAACCTTTAATTCAAGGTGATTCTGATTATAATTATATCAAAGATAGAAAATTTTATTCTCAGCCAATGTACCTTAAAAAGTTCTTTAGAAAAATTCTTAAAATTAACCATTATTCCAAAATATTTCAACAAATTGTATTATCCAATGATTACTTACTAGGTGATGCTGTAAAATTCGGTCAATTTGTTAAATTTCCAACAGGAAAGGCAAATCTTTTACAATTGATAGAATTTGCTGCCTCTGCAAAAATCTCAGCTCTTGATAGGTATAAAGCCTTTGAAGCCCTCATAAGTGAACTAAATAATCAAGACCAATTCCCTGTTTTCATTCTCGTTGATAACTTCAATTACATAACAAACAATCCGATAACAATGTACAGATCTCCTGATAATGTTCCACTTAAATTTACTGAATTCCAACTTGGCAGTTTCTTGAAAAATTACATTTCTGGAGACAAATCATTCCCCAAAGGTGGTGTCTTTTTAGCTACATCCTCCGATTACCAAACTACCCAAACTCTCTCTGTTGGTTTAGATTTACAACAAAACAATCCCTATGCATCCAAAAAAGACTTTGATCTTGAATGGGCTGAAATCTTAAGAAGAAATGGAGGTATCAAACCCTACAATCTTAAAGGATTCTCATACAATGAGACTTTAATGTTTACGTCTAATTATTATCAAAATGATCTTGTTATAGCAGCTGAAAAATTCCGTTATGATTTTGGTAATGATGATGCTGAAAAAATTCAAAAAATTGCTTCTCTGAAACACCTTTCAACAAATGGAAATCCTGGAGAATTAAATAGAAGTTTACATTTGCTTTATTTTTAAAAAAAAAAGTTGTTTTTTGCAAACAAGTTCTTTTTTTTATTTGATTTAGTGTATTAATCATTGTAAATAAATATTCAGTTTTAGAAATAATCTACACTTCTCTCACCTCCAGTTGTATTTTTATCTAGAAAACCAGCTTTCCTGTAATATAGTAAAAGAAAGCTTCACACAAAAAAAGTTTGATAGGCAATAGTAACGATTGTTATCGAGTATAAAGAGAATAATTATCTCAGGCGGAAATTCCCACAGAAAATAATCAACTGAGCTTAAAAAAGATTTCAAATTGCAAGTTATGATTTAAGAGGATTTAGGAGTAAGCTGGAATTAATAGATAAACTCATTCTAGACAAAAACTCCTCATAGTCTTCATTTTAGATTCATTATCAGGAAACCACTGTTAACGTATTGTGAGTAGTGCTGTTTTCTTGTTTATATTGCAATTCCTTTATCATTTTTGTTTAAAATGGCTTAACAATCGACACATTCTGGTTCCTTTTGTAGGATTAGGTATTATTTGCATTTTGTTGAATCTTTTATTGGTTTTTTTCTGGATTATTTCAGAATAATATTATCAAATTGCAAATATTCTTGATTCTATGGAATTTAAAAAACTTTGGAATTAAAAAAAAATAATTTCTTTCTATATTGTGAACAAAAAATTGTAGTAGCATTATTTTTATTTTTATTTTTATTTAGTATTAAAAAAACAAAAGTATCTAAGAATAGTTTAAACAGAAAAAATACAAGAAAATACAAGAAAATACAAGAAAATACAGAATATTTAAAACAAAAACTGTAAAATTATATAAACTGTACCGAAATTTATTAAAGGCCACTGTTTTACTAAATGGAAAGTTCAAACCTAGAACATGGCAAAAATGGTGTTTCTTTTGCTGCAGTAGTAGTTGATCTTAGTTTAATCTTTAAATGTGACAAACTTTTTAATTCTTTTATGTTTTTTAAAGCTTTGTGATTGCTTTCTGATAGTCTTATTTGTGACAAAGATTTTAATTTTCGCAAGTATTCGATGTTTTTAACATTTGTATATGATAGATTTATTTCACGCAACTTTGTAAGCTTCTTGAGATTTTTTAATTTTTTGATATTATTATTTGATAAATCTATAAGGTCCAAGTTTTTTAATGATGAGAGATTTTGAATCTTTTTAATATAGTTACTTGAAAAGCCCAAAAAAGTTAATTTCTTTAGCTTTCTCAAATTTTCAATAGTGCTGATAAAATTCTCTGCTAGGTCTAAAGTTTCCAACTTTGTTAATTTTTGCAAATTTTCAATCTTGTTGATAGAATTATCAGACAAATCCAAATGTTTTAGGTTTTTTAATTCATTCAAATTTTCAATTTTTGTTAATTTTGTTTGGCTTAAAGATAGAACTTTCAAATTATTTAATTTTGATAAGTTTTGAATTTTTTCAATCTTGCTATTAGATAGATATAATCTACGCAAACTTTGTAGCTGATCCAAGTTTTCTAGTTTGGAAATTACATTATTGGAAAGATCTAGCATGAATAAATTAGTTAAATTCGCTAGATTTTCTATTTTTTCAAGCACATTAAAAGACAAGTCTAGTATAATTAGGTGTTTTTGGTTCAAGTTTGCAATTTGAGAAATTCTATTCTTTGATAAATCTAATTTTATCAAATTTGATAATTTATCGATATTTTCAATATTTTTTATTAAATTGTTTGCTAAGTTCAAAGATACCAAGTTGGTCAATTTGCTTAAATTTTTGATTTTATTGATTTTATTATGTTCCAAGTTTAAAATAATCAAATTTTTTAGAGAAGATAAATTTTCAATTTCGCTAATGAAGTTACCATTTAAAGATAATTGTTTCAAGTTATATAGGCTTGACAAGTTTTCAATTTTGACAATATTGCAGTAAGATAATTTTAGTGTAGATAGATTAGTTAAGTGGGAAAGATTTTTTAGTTTTCTAATATAATTGAAAGATAAGTTTAAAATAATTAAATTTGTTGATTTTGACAAATGATCAATTTTAGTAATTTTGTTGTGGGTCAAGTTTAAAGTTGATAAACCAGAGCAATCAGATAAAAATTGCATTGAGTCGATAAGTTTATTTTTGAGGTTGAAATGTTTATAGTTGAATAAAGAGTCTGTTGATGAATTCTGGGAGGTATTGTTTTGGGATATATTAGATATATTAGATATATTAGATATATTAGGCATGTTATTGGAATTGGGCAATTGCAAAGTATGGTTTATAATTGAGGTAGCTTTTTCATGAATATCCAAACGTAACAATTTCTGCTGTTCAAGAGTGTTGTATGAATTGGAATCATAAAAGTAAATTGCAAAATTGATTTTTTTTAAAAACTTGAATGGTTTAGTTATTGGATCATGATGAATTTTTTCAAAAGTTTGGTCTAGTAAAAGAATTTCTATTTTCAAATGAGTGAGGAAATGGGATAAATATTGTTCAAATAAGTAAAGATAAGAAAAGTTTATTCTTAAACAATTGTTATTAATATCAGTGGGTTTTTGGTGTAATTCAGTAAGGGTTACTTTTTTAAAAGTGAGATTTAAAGCCAAGTATTTGAGCAACTGGTCGGTAGAAGAAGCGAGGAGAAACAATTTAGGGAATGGTAGTTTCGATAATATGGATTCAATGATGTGAGAAGGCAAGTTGGATAGAATATTTTTGGTTTTAAGGATTTCCAAATTATCTAATGTTTCAGTCTTTTCAGTGGTGTTTGAAGCAAAGATGTTTGAGAATTGGGATAACATTTTGATTATTTGATTTTTAGTTACAATTAAAGAAATTAGTTGAAAGTGGCAGTAGATTTTGATTTATAATGGAGATAATAGAGATAATGATAAATAATAATAAAAAAAAAAGAATAAAGAAAAATGAGAAAAAAAATAAAATTAAACATTATGAGTTTATATATGAAAAACCCAAAGAAAGAATAAGAAAAGCTGCATCAATATGCAGGGTGATGTTTTGACATAAAATTGCTTGTTTTTTTCTATTGTTTAGTTTTTTTTGTTGCGTTATTAAATAATATTTGATTGCTGATTAGTGAAATTTATGAAGCAATTGTTGAACATTGGTTGATTATGTAAGATTCTGGGTGAATTTCTATAAGCAAAAAAAATCCAAAGAAATGAATAATTTTGTGGTATTCCTGTACTAGCTTTGTTTCTATTTTTGAGTCAAACTGAGGCGCGATGAAAATATTTTTGAATAGAGCATACATGGATAATTTCTTGTTTTAATGATTTTTTTGGTTGAAAAAAACTATTTCTAAAAAAAGAAACATTTATACATTGCATTATTGTATTGTTGTATTATTTGGTTCTCTTAATCAATCTATCAAAAAAAAACAATTCCTACTAATAATAATCTCATTGTTTGCAGTATTTGTCAATTGTAATGGTTATCTATTAAAACAACATTTATATGAATAATAATAGCAAATTCGGTTCAAATTAGTTTGATTCAATTAATTTGTTGTATTTCGAGTGGGAAAAGAGATGGCTTTACAGATGAGTTTTGGGAAGAAGATTGAAATGGAATTCATTGGTAGATCGTAAAATTTGTATTTGCGGTTCCGTAGATCGAGTTTCAACTGTTGCAGTACACAAAAAGCGAAAGCCGAAAAAAACTCTGGACTGTAATTGGATGAAATGGCATGGAAACCAGAGCAGGAAAATCAGTGAGAAGCAGCTTCTTCAAAAGCCGTTTGGTGTTTGGTTTTGTGGTTTTGTTCGCATTGGGAGTGAGTGTGTGTTGGATGTCGGATTGACTGTAGTCACATGGCTGTTTCATTTCAGTTTAGCTTGAAGTTTGAAATGAAAGAGTTTGAAAATGATAGATTCAATTTAAACATGGAACTTTAAATTACAACATTGGAACGTTACAAAAGGGAAATTTTCGTGGAAACAGGCAGTGAACATACCACATTGTTTTATGTTGTAAAACAGCGAGAGAAGAGTACCATAAGAATTCTAGAAAGCCCATGCTGTAGGTAAGCACACCATCGTGATATGGTGTTCCGGCGCAAAGCTTTATTGTTGGGTTGATTTCGGGGCTCTGCATTGTTCTATGGATCGAAGATCGAGTGAACTTCGGAGCTGTTTTGGTTCCCTAACGTATCGAGGCCGGAGAAAGTCGTCTCCATTGCAAAGCCAACAGCCATCTGGGAACAGTGTCGTCAAGTGCTGCAAGACTCTGAGAGACATTTGGCAAGCAGGAGTGGGAGAGATGCAGCCTGAACAATCGTACAAGGGCCGACACGAGAATGGTTCGAAAGACAGCCAGGAGGAGAGTTTCACTCTCTGCGAGCCCTCAACGTAAGAGCTACGCAGGGCCTGAGCAGCAGGAGCTGGACCACGTAGCAAGCCAAACGAGAACCACTCAGCCAACAAACCACAGGGTCGACAATTGCAAAACCATTTGAACAACCCGAAACGCACCGGCAGCGGAATGTCTGGCGTCTATGCAGCTGGAGCAGCTGCGACAGCTCCACCAAACCCAGTCTTTTGCGGCAGCAACAGCACAGACGCCCGAAGACGAGGCAGCACAAGCAGCAGCTTCCGTAACAAATGCGTCGTGTAAAGAGCACGAGTGCAGCGGCCCTGAGCACACCTGCTGCACAGCTGCAGCACGCTACCACGTCGGCGTAAGGTTTGAGTAGATACCCGGCCTGTTGATTTTGCACCACGGTGTGCGAGAGCAGTCGACCGGGTAGCGTCCTGCACGCAGCTAGGTTTGCTTTAGGTTTGCCGCATTGATTTGCTGAATTCATTTAAGGTGATTGAACATGTTAAACTTGAACATGAACGCAGAAAATTTATTATAAAAAGAAGATCCATAGATTCAAAATCCAATTCTCTGTAAAAGCCATATTTACACTTGGTTTTTTCAAGAACCTCATTCTCCAGCTTTCCTCTCCAGCTTTCCCAGGTCTTTATCTTCTGTTTCTATTCCATCAGTTGCACTTTGGTTTGACCACCCTCTCAGCCAATCTAAAAGGTAGTGTTTTACTTTCTTTAATAATTTAGCATCTTTTCCTCAACCACACACACTTTTTCCCTCTTTTTTGGTTTTACAAAGGCAAATTTCCCTGCTTCTAATTGTTCTTTTGGATCTTCAGTTTCCTTTTCACCCCAAATCTATCGTTATACACTTTTCACTTCCTTTTTTTCAGTCTCTTACTCTGCTCTAGTCTGATTTCCCTTCTATATACTATACTACACACTATTTCCTACATACATGGGGCTTTCTATCAATTTTAAACAATGACTGGAATTAATCGACCTAAAAGAAAAGCTGCATCCAAAGTTATCAACTACAAAGAAAATAACGACAGTGATGATGACTCCTTTTCCTCTCTTTCTAGTTCTACTCATAATTCTCTCTCACTATTGTCTCAGCCTACTCAATCCGATGTTACAACCCCCCATTTAGATCGCCCAAAAAACACTCGATATAATCAAAATACTTCCTTTCTTTCAGATTCAAAACAAAACCAGAACCAGAACCAGAACCAGAATCAGAATCAGAATCAAAATTATGATCACGATCAACAAAATCTAGAACACGATCTTGACCACGATCTAGACCAAGACCAAGACCAAGACCATAACCACAACCACAACCACAACCACAACCACATCCACGATCACATTTATAACCAAGATCAAAATTCAAACTTATATTCAAACTCGACTTTAATCCAAAAACAATATTTAAACAATAAAAAAATCTTAAATTCAAACACTATATCCCACTTTCCCCCAATATCTCAAACTTCAACAATAACAACAATTGATGAAAATTCAATCTCCTCCTCAAGATCAAACAACACTAGAAAAAGACTTCATCGTACAAAGAATAACGACAACAACAACAACAACAACAACAACAACAACAACAATAATAATAATAATAATAATAATAATAATAATAATAATATCAATAATAATATTATTATTGATATCAATTCAACCACAAATACTACCCCTACCCCTACCCCTACTCCCAACAACAACAACAACAACGATATCAATCCAATTTCTTATAACGATTCTCAAATCATCGCTCATCTTCAAAACAATAACCAACTATCTTACATCCCAAATAATTGGCAGCTTCTATTCAATCCTAAAAACTCCTTTCCCTACCCTAACCTACTAACCGACGTCAAAAATGCAAGATTCATAAACAATGGTAACTCAATAAGATTTAAATCAGGCATGATTCTAACCAAAAACGACTTCATCTACATGGTTGCTTCCCCTGCTAGTGAACCATACTATATCGGAAGAATCATGGATTTTGTTAAAAAAGTAGACAACTCAACCTCAAACGACTCTTCAAATGATCCTTCAGCTTCTTCTGATACTTCAAACAAAGAAGTTACCTCAAATCTAGACAAATCATCAATTACCGAAAAACATTCCACTTCCACTTCCAATTCTTCAAACTCAAACTCATACTCAAACTCAAACATAAACTCAAACTCAAGAAAAAAATCTCATTCAAAAAAAAATACAAGAAAAAAAAATAATAAATCCTCCTATGGATCAGCAAAACCCTCTAGATACTCTGCAAACATCATTGAAGACTACCTAATGAAAATAAACTGGTATTATAGACCAAGAGATATATCAAAACACTCAAATGATTCCAGGCTACTATTTGCAACAATGCATTCGGATCTATGTCCCATCACTTCCTATAGAGGAAAAGTAAACGTTCTTCATCGTGACGAGATCGAGGATATAGACAAATATCGCTCCATAGCAAATAACTTTTGGTTTGAAAAATTGTTTGACAGGTACATGATCAAATTTTATGAAGTACTAACCACTGAAAGCTTATCCAATTTAACCCCAAACTACCAAAAGGCTCTAAACAAACGTTTTAGATACATCTTCATTGAAAATGGCAAAAGCAAAGAACTCCTAACAACTCCAAATAATTGCAAAAAGTGCACCCAATGGTGTTCCCCCGAAGAAAGTATAGATTGTGTAACATGTAACGACTGTTACCATATGATGTGCCTAACTCCTCCAATATACAAAAAACCAAGAAGAGGCTTTGGTTGGAATTGTGCAATGTGCGCTAAAAATCAAGAAATCAAAATCAAAGAAAGAAATAATGATTTCGGTGATAACTTGCTGAATATTAAAAAACATGCAAATAACAATATAAATAACTATTCGGAAATTTATGACAAAGAAATCTCAATTAAAAATGACTTGAAAAACTCAAATTCTCGTTTAACAAGATCATCTAAACCTTTGAATCAAATAGAAGAGAGTAACGAGGAGGAAAATCTCTCTCTGCAAGAATCTGATGAAAAAATACCTAAATACGAAGAATTAGCCATCGAATTTCTCAAAAAGGATTCCACTTTAACCTTACAACAAAGAAGAGCAAAAGAAGAATGGCCTTTTAGATATTTAGGCATGCATGCAAAATTGGAAGACGCATTGGATTTTGAAGATAGACCTTATCCTAGAGTGGCTTCAAGATTGGGAAGACGCCACCAAGTTTCAAACACTTTTATGCCTGAATGGTATAATTGTCCTGTATCCTACTATGACAAAGACAACAACGAAAATCCTTTAGACTCCACTTCTTCAGCCATTGGAAATCATTATGTTCACCATGAAACTAAAAGAAAATATAAAATCAAAAATAGAAAAAATTTGATAACGCGAGATTCTTCAACCCCGGAATCTTCTTCTGAAAAATCCTCTAACGATTCTTTAAAAAATAATATAATACCCTTCAAAAAACTTACTTTACCTAAAAAGTATAAAGATGCAAATATTAAAGATTTGCCCCCTTGGATTCAACCTCGTCCAAAAGGGTACATTGAAAGAGGTCTTGATAACGGATCAAGCTCAACTCTAATGTGGAAACAACCATCAAAAGAACTAGTTGATTGGGAAAAGATTGATGAATTCATATACACTACTTGCAGGCCTGTTGCCGAGGCTTTAAATGTATGCCCCACTACTCCAAATTTTGTGGACGATATTTTAAAAACATTGCAAGATCAAAATTTTGATTTTGATAAAAGTTTTGACATAATAAAAAAATTTACAAGAGTATCTTTAAAAGAACCCACATTTAGTAAAGAAGAGGTTACAAAATTCGAAAATGCTGTTTCTAAGTATGGAAGTGAGTTATATTTAGTTCATAAAGAGGTTAAAACTCAAAGTTTTGCAATGATAACAAGATTTTACTATTTATGGAAAAAGACTCCTAATGGACATTTAATCTGGGATAATTTTCCTGGCAGGAAACAAAAAAAAATCACAGATGGTGTTACCTCAGATCAATCCAAAGCAAACTCTAAGGGTGGCATCTATTCAGTGATCGATTCTGCTGCTGACTCTAATGACGATTCTGCTTATGATATGGTTAAAATTACAAAACAGAAAAGAAATTATATTTGTAAGCACTGTGGCACTAATAAGTCCTTTCCTTGGTTTAGAGCTCCTGGATTTGAAAATTCTGCATCATACCAGCCTGAAGTTATTACAGCATTGTGTGTTAGATGTTCTAAATTATGGAGAAGATACGCAGTACTTTGGGAAGAACCCAAAGAAGTAATGAGAAAACTTAATCTTCGTGGAGGAAATGGGTGGAAGAAATTGATTGAAAGAGAACTTGTTGACGACGCTGAAACGATAATTAGCGAGCAAGAAAAATGTTCAATAAATAATCAAAAATTAGTTGAGTCCTTTAAGCTAAACATGGCTAATCCCTCAACTTCAAAAAGAAAATCATCTTCTAACAGAAGTGAAAGTTTTTCAAAACGAACAAAAAGTTCATCTTCGGGATCTGGCTCTATGATTTCAAATGAATTAAACACTCAATACCACATCTCTGATAATCAAAGTAAACAGAAAAAGCCTGTGAATAAACCACTTAGTTCTGAAGTTAAAGTATCTCGATCCAAAATTGATAATCCGATTCCTGCACAACCGTTAGTTGTTGAACCAGCTGCTCTTAGATCTACTTTTTCAGTTAATGAGTACACTCGACAATCTTCAAAAAAGAACATGGCACCTCAAAAAACTATGATGACCTATGGCTATTCGGTTAATAATCTAACTTCTCACAACCAATCCTCAAATCCAAATGGCCCTTTTCTATTTTATGAAAATCCAATTGGTTTATCACCCAACGTTCAAGCTTCAAATCAGATTTCTCAAGCCAAACCATTCCAGCATAATATATCTCAATTAGATAATGACTTTTCTGCATCCTATAATTATAACCAAAGACAATCAAATGTTTTTGATTTTTATGGCCCAAAATATGATCCAAATTATCCCTATCATTATACAAATTATGATTCCAATACTAAACAGTTTAGAGATAATAAGTATAGATATCAAATGTTTGGAGGAAGTTTTTTAGCACCAATTCTATCACCTCTAAGTAACTCTCAAACAACACATACAAATCCTATGGGAAGTGAAATTACAAATCGTCGGACACTAAATAATTCAAACTCAATGTTTATGCCTTCTAATCATGTTGATTTCTCTCCTTTATTCCACCCTAATTCAAGACCCTGCTCTGTTTGCAGAGTAAATGACCCAACATACGTATCTGAAGTAATAATATGCTTAAATTGCGGTTTAAATGTTCATGCAACATGTTACGGTATAAAACCTGTTCCTGACATTAATATGTTTGAACGAAGATGGTATTGCGATTCATGTTCAAATGATTTGCATCCAATAATTACCACGTATTATAATTGTTGTCTTTGTAATTTAAGAGATGTGGACCATGATTCTGCAATCACTGGATCCAAAACTGCATTTCCAAATGCTTTAAAGAGGACTGATACAAATAAGTGGTGTCATGTTGTATGTTCGTTGTTTGCTCCAAAAGTAAAATATGAGGATGTTCATTCATTACAAAGTGTCCTTAACACCTCAATTACAATGGTCAACAATGAATCTAGATTGTGCTATATCTGTCATATTAAAGGCGGGTCTTGTTATAAGTGCTCGTTTTGCAATGATACTTTTCATGTAACATGTGCACAGGATACTAATAACTTTTTTATTGGATTTGAAATTGTACCATTAGATGTGTACACTCGGATGAAAAATGAAGGCAACTCTTCATATGAAGACAGTGATGGAGACATTTGTACAGACCATGGTCATAAAAAAGAATTCACTGTTGTTGAAATATTAGATAAGGGTATCGTGGGTGTTCCAGTCCCCTCAATTATTTGCAATAATCATCCAAAGGATCAAATACCCAACAGGTTTGTTTCTTTAAGAACTTTAGCCAAAAGAGTTAATTCAAAAAGTAATGGAACTTACTCTTCAATGCCCTGTCCTTTAATTTTGATATTTTTTGAAGATTTTAAAAAAATAACAGACAAAAATCTTAGAGGGCCTGCTAGAAGATACAAAGAGTTTCAATTAATCCAAAAAATTGTGTATGACAGTATAGGGCCTTCGCATAGCATTCGCTCAAATGAAATGCTAACGCCCTCGAAAAAAATCAACAAAACTATTTTACCTCCAAAAAATAACAACTTTTCTTGTTCTATATGCAAAAGCACTTCTTCTCCAAAGTGGTGGGTTGAAGATGATAAAAACGTTTGTCACAAATGTTATCTTCAAGTTCAATTTAATGGTGACGAAAAATCAAGCTTAAAATTTTTTCCAAACTATCAAATTCCAAGGCTTGCCGAGTCTGATAATATTATAATGAAAGAGAATATTTATGGAATCAATTCTATTGATGATGTTCTTAGTAATGATTTTATTCAGAAAATTCAGAACACAGATCCTTTTCCATCTCAGAAGTCATTAAACTCTCATTTTACCCAATCAGGCCATCCATCAATTTTAAACCCTGAAGTTCCACCAATTTATAATTCATATGGTGAATATTCAGAAATTGTTGAAAATGATTCTGAAGCAAAATCGGGGGGTTTTAACATTAATAGTTCTGATCTCACTCATACTACTACGACACCCAGAGTTTCCCATAAAATGTCAATCAATGATATGTTATCTTAGATATCGTGTATTATATTTAAAAATTATGTTATTTTCTTCCACTTTTGGTTGTTTTTCTTCCTCTCTCTACTCTACAATTCACTCTCTAGCATAGTGCCTATATATCAATGATAATTCTTATTAATTACTTATTTTTGTATAATGTTACTTATGTAAATAATGTATCTTCATCTCTTAGATATTCACCAATGTCTGCCTGTCTGAAGGCAACAATTCCATTGGGCTGAAGGTTTCTTGTGTCTATTGTTGATTTGGCACTGACACCAAATCCCAAAGGTATATCATTCATGTTGAAAATCACCACACCAGCATGTTCGGGTATATCATCAGACATTTTTCCAATATGTGCTTTTAATACATTGTTTCCATATAAATAAGGCATTTCACCATTTTGTTTAATCCAAATTTTGTACTTTGCATATTTGGAAATATATTCAAGAGAAGTTATGTGCAATCTGAACTTACCAGTTTTGGTAAATTTTCCAAAACAAATTCCCAAGGACATCAAGTTTTGTCTTGCAATAGCAGTTGCATATTTGGCAATTTTTTCATTGACATAATAGACTCGATCTTTTTGTAATCTAAAAACATGAGGGTCTTCTTTATTATCTATTAAAAATGTTATATTTCTTCCAATGTAGTTTGCCAATTTCTCAAACACAACCTTGGTTTCTTCCTCAGTCAAAGATCTCATTTTCCAGTCAGTTATAAGCAACCTATGAATATTTTTGATCTGGTAGTTGAAAATACTTTTTATGCTGTTTAAAATATTCTGATTCTGTTCATAAACTGAAAAAAAAAGAATCTGCAAAAAAAAATAAAGTTCACGTGCATTGACTTTGAATATTTTTTTTCGCAGTTTCTTCTAAAGAGTTGCAGTGAAATCATTTTGAGCTGGAAAATTGGCTTAAGATGACTGAACAGGATCAAAACAATCTAGAATCTATATCGGTTGGAACTAAAATAGAAAAGGACGTTGCTGTGGCTCCAATTAATTCTGAAGTTTCTACAGAGAACAATGATCTTTCGAAAGCTAGTGAATCTTCTTCAGACAAACAGCTTCTGGAGAACACCAATAAAGCTTCTAAAAGAAAATTTGCGAATGGAAGAAAGAAAAAGTCTGATAATTATAATACCGAAAGAAGAAAGAAACAAAAGTTTGATAAGGAATCGGATAAAATGTGTGTATGTTTTCTATTAACCTTGCCAATAATAACATGAAAGCAAAATAATACTAACAAGCTAAAAAAAAAAAATAGTAAATATGGGGCTCGTGAACCTGCATTAGATGAAAATGGTAATCCTATTCCAAAATCAGAAAGGAAACCAAAAAGAAAAGTTGCTGTTTTATTTGGTTATTGCGGAACAGGATACCATGGTCTTCAGTTCAATGGACCAGAAAAGACAATTGAATCGGCTATCTTCAAAGCTTTTGTTGATAGTGGTGCTATTTCAAAAGAAAATGCTACTGATTTGAAAAAAAATGGGTTTCAAAGAGCTGCTCGTACAGATAAAGGTGTTCATGCAGCAGGAAATACTCTTTCGTTAAAGTTGATTATTGAAGATCCCAATATTGTGCAAAAAATCAATGACAATCTACCTCAACAAATTAGAATCTGGGGTATTGAAAGGACCAATAAGTCATTTGACTCAAGAAAGATGTGTTCTTCTAGAATATATGAATACCTACTACCCACATTTTGTTTTTTACCACCAAGACCAACTTCGCATTTGGCACAGAAAATTAAAGAAGCAGCTGAAAAGTATCCTGGTACTAAGCGATCAGATTCTGAAGGAGATCGGTGGTGGGCAACTGTTATTAAAACTTTAGAAGAGAAAAACGTTACTCAAGAGAAAATTGAAGAGGCTCAAAATGCTATCAAGGATGAAAAGTTTGATGAAAATGATCCTAATTTTTTGTTTCTTAAAGAATTAAAAGCCATTGAAAACAAATTTCGCCGAAGTTACAGGATTTCTTCTGAAAGATTGGAATTGATTAGAAAAGCAGTATCAAAATATGTTGGGCATCATAATTTTCATAATTTTACCATTGGAAAGTTATTTAAAGACCCGTCATCTAATCGATTTATGAAATCTTTGACCGTATCAGAGCCATTTGTTATTCCTAATACTGATACTGAATGGGTTTCTATTAAAATCCATGGACAATCTTTTATGCTTCACCAAATTCGTAAAATGATTGCAATGGCTACATTTATTGTGAGGTGTGGTACTCCATTGAACAGAATCAGTGAAGCTTTTAAAGCTAAAAAAATGAACATACCCAAAGCACCATCGTTGGGACTATTATTAGAAAACCCTGTGTATGATGGGTATAATTCTAGATTGGTTGACTTCGGATACAAGGAGATTGATTTTACAAGATACGATTCACAAATGGAGGAATTCAAAATGAAAAACATTTATGATAAGATATATGAAGAAGAAATCAAAGAAAATCAATTCCATGGATTTTTTGGATTTATTGATAATTACCGTGGTGACCAATCTTACGATTTCATACTTCCAGGAGAATCTGATGTTCAAGATAGTCAAAAAACCGAAGAAGAAAAAGACAATGAAAATGATATAGAAAAAAAAGAGGAAAAAGAGGAAAAAGATGATAATAAAAAGCCATTAGAAAAAAAGAGTCCAGTTGAAAATAATTTTGATGAAAATAAAACCGTTAAAGAAAGTGAAAACTTAGAATCTGTCTCTGAAAGTGCTGAAAAGGTTGAAATAAATGAATCAAAAAATTGAATATTTTGACTGATGATACTGGTTTAAAATAAAAAAAAATAAATTTCACTTCAATTTACTTTAATTTACTTGAAACTTGCTTTTATAGTGTTACTATAAAAGTTTTTTTTTCTTTTTTATATGTTTGTGTAGTAAGAATAACGAAAACCAAAAAAAATTAAATATGGAAGGTAACCAAATTTCAAAAATCCCAATTTCAATTGTCAAGATTCTCAATTTTTAGTATCAATATATCAATAATTTCACTCCATTCCCTCATTGCGCCAACACCGACATCACCACATATTAAAGTCTTTTGAATAGGATATAACACTTCAATCCAGTCTAAATTGTTGGATATAAAATCTAGCTGAAGTTTGGTTATTGGATGTAGATACATAAAGGTGTTCATTGCGGGAGCTATTACCATTGGCTTCTTCGGGTTCCAAGATCTTATAACAGTCGTTAGTAGATTATCACTTAGTCCATTTGAAATTTTGGCCAAGGTGTTGGCAGAAATTGGAGCAATCAAACAAATATGTGCCCATTTTACCAATTGTAAGTCTAGTAAAGTCTTAGTGTTTTTAATTAAATATAGGTTATCAACTTCTCTCCATATTTTGATATCTGAGGGAATCTTAAATTCTTGATCATTCAAAAAGCTCTCTGAGGCCTTTGTTAATATTAGCTGGATTGAAACCTGAGGATTAGATTCGTCTGAGTTGTAATAATCATACAATTTCTGAACCATCAATGGTATCTTAATCGAGGCCACTGATCCCGTAGCACAGATCAATATGTGGATCTTTCCATCTTCAAAATTCCAAAAATTTGAAACATCTCTCTGCGAACGAATTGCCTCAGAGGTAGAAGCAGAATCTGAGGGAACCACCAACTGCATTGAGCCCATTTTCTGGTCTGTTTTGTGTCTCAGAACTAACTGTCGCCACTATTTCTGTCTCTGTTCGCAGTTCTGGAAGCAGAATCTTCAACAAACCGTAAAAAGCAAGAAAAGCAACGTGCACGTGTCCAAACGAGACCAGTTTGGCGGGCCCAGAGGAAGGAACAAAAGCAAATAAACCCCGATAAGAGAAAGGGCATTTATATTAAAGAACGATATGTACAGACTACCAGGCTGGGATTTTTAGACTTGCCAACAGCTATTTGGTGTTTCCACCATCATACTGATCCAAATTGTTGAGATCTATTCCGAGCTCTTCAGCTTTCTTCTCCAACCTCTTTCTTTTCTCGATTCTGGCAGCTTTCATTCTAGCCAATTCGGCTTGGATTTCGTGAGGTTCGGTGGGTATTTTGTTCAAGGTCTTTGGATCTGGCCAAAACCCAGGAACATTAAATTTTTTATCTGTATCTATACCAACATAGTACATTATACTTATGGGAGTGAATAAATAAAAAGCAAACTAGTCATCGGGTCGAAAATCGTCCAAACGTTAGTTCTTATGAAACAACACACTAGAAACAAAAATCTATTCCAATAAAACATACTCTTAATATATCAAGTTTAGCTCTGTCTAACTTGAACTTCAACATTGTGGTCTTTTTGGTGCTGGCTAATATAAATGCAAGGGATTGTCCGAATCGACGATACAAGAGATAATAGCAAAATCCTCTATCCTCTAATATCCTGATCATTACAAATAAAAAGTTCAAAAACCGGTCACGTGTGAGATTTTTTTAATTTTTTCAGTACTATTTTTTTTATCTTTGACAGATCTGGAAGTTGGCTCAGAGCTTTTATATGTTAAGAACATAATGTCTGTTAGCGAACCTCCATTAAAGAAACATAAATCTAGCAAAACTTTTCCTTCAATTGACTCAAAGACAGAACCTGAAAGCCCAAAATCCAAGCCATCTACTGAAAACAAAGTTGAAAATAGCACGATGAGTGAAGAAAAAACTGTTCTTGCTGAAGATAAAAAATTGACAAGAGAAGAAGAAGAGGAAATGTCAAAACTACGTAAAATCTGCGTTCACTCAGGCAATTTCCATGCTGACGAGGCCTTGTCTTATTATATGTTAAAACTTTTACCAAGATTTAAAAATGCACAATTATTTAGATCAAGAGATCCAAAAAAATGGGAAGAAGCCGACATTGTCGTTGATGTTGGTGGTAAATATGATGGCGTTAAATTCTTTGACCACCATCAAAGAGATTTCTACAAAACTTTTAATAATAAACACTATACCAAACTATCATCAGCAGGTTTAATTTTCAAGCATTTTGGAAAAGATGTAATTAGAGCCGTGCTAAATGATTATGATGATGAGAAAAAAATTGACAATTTGTATTTGAAAATGTACAAAGAGTTTATTGAAGCAATTGACGCCAATGATAATGGTATTCATGAGTATGACTTTGATGAACGTTATCCACCAGCTGCCAAATATCATACAAAGTGTGTCACATTATTTTCAGTGGTTGCTAACTTAAATCCCAACTGGGAATCAAATTCTACTGAAGATGATTTCTTCAAATCTTTTTTGGTAGCTAGTGATGTGATGGGCCAGCAATTTATCAACTTATTGCACAACTACAGTTCTTGGTTCAGTGCTTTGAAATTGGTTCAAGAAGCTTTTGATAAAAGATTCGAGACCCATTCATCTGGTAGAATTTTAATATTGGATAGGTTTTGCCCATGGAAAGAACATCTCCAAGAAGTGGAAAGACAAAACAAGGCTAACAACAAATCTGATTCAATTTATTATGTTTTGTTTCCCGATGTAACAAATAGTTGGAGAATTGCTGCAGTTCCAGTCAATCCAACCTCATTCACAAGTAGAAAGGCCTTGCCCGAACCTTGGAGAGGACTTAGAGATGAAGAACTTTCAAAGGCTACTGGTGTTGAAGGTTGTGTTTTTATTCATGCCTCAGGTTTTATTGGGGGTTGTAAGACAAGAGAGGGTACTTTGGAACTAGCGTCAGAGAGTGTTGAATGGAAATAATTACAATTTTAGTATCATTTTATAATTTATTGTTTTTTTTTTTATTCTTATGTTTATCATTATATTATTATCACTATTGTTGTTAAAATCTCTATTGTAAATATATCAATAAATTGAGCTTAAAACAAAAAAACAAGATTAGATAAGAAAAAGATTAATTTTTAAAATTTTAAAGCATGTGAAGGTTAGATTTAATGCGAAAACAGAAACCAATATGAAAAAAAGTAAAAAAAATATATGTTATAAAAGTCCCTTTAATAAAGGATATCCCAATAGAAGAAAAATGTAGTAAAAAGTAATCAATGCCATAACGTCAATTTTGCAATAAAGTAAAAAAAAAATTTTACATTTCTAATATCAATAAAAAAATAACAATTAAAACAAAAATAAAAATAAAAATAAAAATAAAAATAAAAATAAAAATAGTCAAAATATTGTCAGTTTCATGAAGCGGCCCAGACAACAAATGGTTTTTTAGCAAACTTTTTCTTGTCGATAGTCAATTTCCTTGACAATTTCTTTCCAAGTGAGTCAGATCTTTTAATACCAGGGCCAGTTAAAAGATCAGGAGGCGCACCACCTAGAGGACCACCTGAAAGGCCACCTAGAGGACCTGCTCTTGAACCTCCTAGTGGCCCTCCTGCTGAACCACCTAGAGGACCCTTTGGAAACTCACCTAAAGGACCAGCACCTGCAAAAGGATTACCAAGTCCACCCAAAGCCCCAGCACGACCTTTTCTTACAGGTTTTTTAACAAGACTTTTGATGCTAATTTTTAGGCCAGATGAAACAAATTTCTCCCAACTCTCGGGAACAATAAATAAACCAGAATCCTCAATAAATATTGCAACTTTACTACTTTCAATATCTTTTGTAAGCTCGGGATACGCTTGCTTTAAAGATTGAGACAAACCTGCCCAAGTTTTGACATATTGATAAGGAAATTCATAGGTGCCTTTAGTAGTATCATTATAAATTCCGACTCTAATTGGTTTAGGAGGATCTGGTTTTTTTTCTGGCTTTTTTTCTTCTGATTTTGGCTCGTCTTTTTTTTTTTCCTCCTTTTTCTTTTCAGGCTCTGCATCTTTTTTGTTGTCACCATCATTCTCCTCCTCGTCCCAAGGAACCCATGATTGGGGATATAAATGGTAAAAAGGAGTGTATGAATAAGGCATATTAGGATACATTGGATTTGTAAATAAGCTATTTCTAAAGGGGCCATCTTCTGAGGGATAATTTCCGTAGTAATAACCATTAGGAGTGTTTGGAGTTCTGTGAGTAGGAGGTAATTTGGCTGCTCTGGGTCTTCCAGTAGATTTATCAAGTAAATCAGACATTTTTAATTTGGGATGAAAATGAATGCAATGAGAAGACGTGAATTAAATAAAAGTGAATCTTGGTATTGAAAAAAAAAATTATTGAAAAACAAGATTGTCAAACATTAAGATTGCAGGAGAAATGGTGATTTATATGTCTTTGGTATTATTTAAGCTCAACAGATGGTGCGAATTAAGCCCTGGGTGGTTGCTAATAATGTTACCATCCAGTCATGTACGAAAGAGACTAAAGACTCTGTTCTCAGATGGAACCTTTCCAGGTTTTCCAATCTCTCTCCAATCTTTCCCAATCTTTCCCAATCTTTTCCAAACTCCTTCAACTTCCACTGCCTCGAGACCCTCGGGGCTGGTCTGTGCATGTTCATGCGCTGTTCAGCAGAATGATGCATTGGCTACTTCTAGACTTTTTGTGAATCTTCTTTTGATCTCCAAAACAAACCAAGTTGCTGGCTGATTTCACTTGGATTGGTGGGAGAGCTGCTGTTGTCTCGGTGAAAAAGGTGGTGCTTTGGATAATGAGGCTCTGCTGCTGCTCAGGCTGCTCAGGTGGATGTGGAGAACACTCTTCCGGAACTTCAGTGGTCATGACGCTTGATGTTCATATCAATCAATTGGTGTTTGTGCTGAGCACCATTGAAGTTTGAGAGCTGCAAAACCATGACTACCAAATAGCTTGATTTCTAAGATAAGAAGAATTCTGTTTTGATTGTTTTGCTTTTGGTGTCTGAAAATGTTTTGCCATTGAGGAAAAAAAATACAGATTAACTTTTAATCTAAAACAACTGGTTTATCAAAGCATTTTGGGTTGTTCTTTTCTTCGATTCAATGTCAAAAAATTGGGTAATTGCTCATTAATTGCTACTAGAATCAGAAAAGTACACATGGACTTGTTTTTAAGGACTCCCCGAGTAAAACAATTGATATATAATTAGACAGATCATCAGCCAACTCAAAAAGCGTTTTAATTTCAGCTCTTTAACTTGTTTTTTCTTTGTTTTTCAATGATGTAAACTATGTTTAAACCTCTTTATTTTCAAATTCTTGAAATTGTGTGGAATTTCATCTAGATTTGAGTAATTTAACCGGTTGTTTGGTTTGTTAAATGAACTGTTCAGTTTTCTTTAAGGCGATAAGACAAGATTAGAGGCTTAAACCAAAGCAAAAATTAAAAAAACTTACAAAAGAATTAGAGCAAGACAGCGGAAACTTATTTATGGTGATATATAATCATTGTTGAAAGAAAAAAAAACAATGTATTTGGTCTTTTTAATAGATTCTTTTTTTTTTTTTGAACCGATTTTCGTGGTTTGGTGGCAATACTGTAGACTCTTTGAGTTAATCAACAAGCAAAATGAAAATGAAAAGTTGAAAGTGTCAGTATCAATGTTCAAGAAATACTATCCACTTTGTTTAATTTTGATCCTGTCTTTATTCTACTTTTTTTTGTAATTTTGTAATTTTGTAATTTGAATGAAGTATATTAAACTGTATTTTGTATAGCTTTATAGGAAATAAATGTATATAATTGTAGAGTAAAGTAAAGTAAAATAACATAAAGAATCATTGACAATAAAAAGTAAATGTTTAAGAAAAGAAAATAATTTGAGAAAAAAAATTAAATATGCAGATATGAATTCTCAACAACCAAAAGAACAACCATATTTATAATTAAACAATTTGGAAATATCATAATTATTTATATAAATCACATTAATAGAATTGATAATTCATCTATTAAATATTAAATATTATTAAAACACTTAAAACAAGCTTAATATTCAGCCAATCTAACAAATTTTCTCTGTTCAACACCAGCAATTTGTTTCTTTGTACTAAGATCAAGATTTTCAATGTTATTAACGTCGTGAGTGACACTTTTAATCTTATCATCATTTCCAGTGGAATCAAAATAACCATAACCACCTAAAAGATAATTCTTGGCCATTTCAAGTTCTTTGTTGCTTGTAACAACTTCTTTACCAATTAGTTTTCCAACAGTTTCGAGACTGTTACTTCTGGAACATGAAACACCACCCATAGAAACGGATTCTTGAAGGTTGATCTTGTCAAATTTCATATTGTTTAAGTTGGATAAGATGCTTTCTTCTTCTTTAAATTCATTCCAAATTCTCTCAATTTCAATGTAGTAGGAGTTTAAGGTATCAAGGAATCTTTGTGTTTGTCTGTGTTTTGAACAGCAGCAAACAGTAATGGAATCATCTTTAATGATATAAGCTAAACCGAAACCATTTAAAGAAGTTGGACCAAAACCAAATAATCTTAAAGATGGGTTACCACAATTGGAAGTGGAGATGATGGAGTCGTTTAATTTGTCCCAACCAGCATCAGCAAAGATAGTTGGAAGGTCCTTAGAAGCAGCTTCCTTTGGAGGAGTGATAGTTTTTTCAACATTGTCATCAACAACATATCTTTTCCAGATACAGTATAAAGCATACAAGTGTCTATCTTGACCCAAACCCATTGAGCATTCTCTTGTTCTAGTGCTGTGTTTGCTACAAGCAGCTTTCAAGTAGTTGATCTTTTCCAAAGCAGTTGTGTTAGCTTCAAAGAATTTTTTGACGAAATGGTTTGATTCGTTTGAGACAGTTCTGATGGCTTCAGTTCTACCATGTAAGAAACCCTTTGTCATGGCAGGTTCATAGGTACATTCGACTTTACCGTAAAGAGCGTAGTAGGTGGCTTGGAAGGACATTTGAAGAAAAGCATCGGGAGACATGCCCATTTTTTTGATTTTATTGGCACCATAGTGTTTAAATTCCAAGACCTTGAATTCGTTTTGTTGGATTAAATCGGATAACCTTGTTTCAGCGAATCTTAAAGCAGACGACAATTCTGAATCAATTTGCCAATCCAATTTTCTTGGGGTGACAGTGTAGTTTGAGATGAGTTCGACGTTGTTTTTTCTTTTCAAGATTGAGCTTTGAGTGTTTTCGTTGTCAGGCCATAAGCTTGGAGCGTTTTTGTTAATTGCCTTAGCGAAACCTAGAATGGAGTCTGTGTAGATATCAGAGACGAATCTCAAGACGGTGTGACCATCAACGCCAGTATGTTCAAAATTGATACCGGCTTTAGCGTTTTTAGTAACGATGATTTGGATTTTGTCGTACCATCTGTTGGTACAAGTACCTACTTGAACACCATTTTCCAATTTGGATAAACCACACAACATGTTTTTTGAGATTTCAGGTAATGATTCTAATTCAATGTCGTCAAGACAGACGATGAATAAAGCGGAATCGATGATTTTTAAGATATTGTGGTTGGTGTCATCGAAATTTCCATGATCGTCGTAATCGTTGGATAATTTGTTTCTAATGTGAGCCCATATTCTTCTATTTTCAGTTGTGAGAACACCAAAGCTTGATTTTGCAACATCAGTGATAGAGGTGTGGGAACTGTCTTCAACAATGGCTTTGAAATTAAGCATGATGTCAGCTTCGGATAAGAGCAAGTTGTTGTCATTGTCGAGAACATCGAACCAGTAGAATTGGGATCTGCTAAGAACAATAATGTGGTTTGAGAAATTGTCAGTTTGCATAACACAACCATCTGGAGTTGGGATTCTTGCAGTACCGAATAATTTTGAGTATTGGTACATACAAAGAGCTCTGTTGTTTCTTAGTTTGTCAATAGGTAAATTTTCTTTTCTAATGGCTTTGATGAATTTCAAGGAGGAGGTGGTCAAGGAGGCAGCTCTTTTGACCTGGTTGCTGTTGTTGATTGGGGTTGGATCATCTTCGAGCAAGAAAAAAGGGTTGAGGTTTAAAACGACAGGAGAGTCGTAATTCAAATAGGAGTCATACCAAAATTGTTCAATATAGGAAGGTTTGTCTTTTGAATAATCTCTTAATTGATCATCCAAATATTTGGAGAGAGGGCTGGTGTAGAAATCATTAACAGCCTTTTTGGTGATTTCGTGTTCTTCCTTGGTTTGTAGAGGCTCCAAGACTTCGAGATATCTGGCACAGGTATCTTTTAAATCTGGAATTGGTAATTTTTTGATGGAGTCTTGATATTGAAAAGTTGTTTCGGTCGTCATATCAGCAGAGTGTATCAACAAGGAATATCAGCAGGAAAAATAGAATAGTAAAGGAATAAAAGAGAATGGGAGCGTTGGTATTGCTGTTGAGAGTTGAGAGTTGAGAGCTAGAGTAGAAATGGAAGAGAGAAAGATAGAAGATAACAAAGAATATTTATATTATTGTAGAAAGCAGGAAAAACGGACTACGGCAGAAGCGAAGATAAAAGAAATGCAAGAGTATATCATTGAAATATAATAAAATTCACAAACCATCTGCAGAAGAGAGCTTTGATAGCTGGGTCGAAAAAAGAAAAAAGCAATAACCAGAGAGCATTTGATTCTTTCTGTCTTTATGACCATACTTTTCTCGAGCCGGCTGCTTGTAGAGGCAGGTTCATGCGGAAGAACGCGGAGATTGTAGCATTTGTGCTGGAGAGAAAGAGCCACAGCGACGGGTGCAGCGCTCGATATGCAATGGGGCATGGGCAGTGGGAGAAGATGCGCGCTTCCAGATCCGTTTAAAGGGAGTTTTTGCAGCGTTTTTCCTTCAGTCCGAACATGCGTGCTTCCATGGCTGGGGTCACTCCTGGCCTGTAAGGGCTTTTGAGGCTGGAGCAACACTGAGCACCAAAGCAACACTGAACCAGGGCTTCTCTTGTCGCACCTCTGGGTCTTAGCAGGGAAGGATTTCTGCTGGAGGAGCTGGGGGTATGGCGCTACAGGTCCTGGGTAGTCTGGCTGTTCCTAGTTGTTCCTACAGGCTTGCAGAGCATTTGTGGTAGTGAGTATCGCTGGAGCATCGCTCTCTTCGATGGCCCTCTGCCGGATGAATAGTTCCACAATGGTTTCTTTTTGGCTGTGGCATAAGAAGCTTGATTCTGGCAATGGAAATATTTACAGACTAATCCATCCCAGTTACCATGATTGGATTCTGCTCATCGCCCATTTGCCAGTTGCTCACACCCATGCAATCCAGATACCTCAATCCACTTAACGCAATCGCTGAGGCTTGTCTGATTGGCTGGTCGAGGTGTGTCAAAAACAACAATTAGGAACCAGTTTTCAACATGTGTTTAAATATGATAGAAATGCAGGATCATCTACAACGTTCTTCTCTCAACTAGTGAAATGTCTGTGTCTTGAGTGGATATTTTCAGCAACCAACACTTTTCTCGTGCCAACAAAGCAGCTATATCTCCAGATACTGCCTGCTCAGCTACTTTGTTGGCACGAGACCACCGAAAATGACCAGACTGCGGAACTGCAGCTGCTCATTCCCGCTGCTACCATCACGACGGTACTGCTAGCCGCGCCGCCAGCCGTGCACTGCGGTTGTGCACGTGCTTTGTGGGGCAGAGGGCGAACGAAAGGAAAAGCATGAGGAAGGCACCCGTAGCGGTGGCACGCTCCCATCTTCCGCCGACGAACAATGGACGTGCTGCAGATTCCCCAGATTATCCAGCTTTTCGAGACCATCCAGCACAATAGGGCAATACGTCTCAAGGCTTTTGTGCCGACAGCAGCAGAACTGTTGCAAAACGTCAAATCACAAACCCGTTGGAAACAGTCTCATCACCGCCGCCATTTCACCAATGATCTTGCTGCTCTGATTTCTTTTGAAAAGTTTCTTGCAATCTCATCTCGATCACTGTTATATCCTCGATTGTGTTCATTGATTCAATTGACCCAACTGCATTTATGTCGTTAATTCATACCCACTTGTTTCCAGTATCGGTGAACAAAAGAACAGAAAAGATTTCAAAATAAGCTTATTGAACTAACAAAAACTCATTAAAGTAAAATAAATTAAAATAAATTAAAATAAATTAAAATAAATTAAATTAAATTAAATTAAAAGAGAATAAAATAGAATAAAAGTTTTCATTAGTCTTAAAATATTCTTGGAATTGTTTAGGAATTTTGCTGCTGATCTAATTGAGCAAGTCTCAATGCTTTATTAACTCATTTGCCCCACAAATCAATCGAATTATGATATGATATTAAAAATTCAACCTCACTGCTTCATCTATCTGAATTAATTCAATATTATTTTGAATTCATTCTAATTTATTCCAATTCATTTCACTGTTTATTTTATTATTCCATCATGTCTTAAATTTATTAAAATTTAGTTTTTTACCTTTTTTTTTTTGGAACCCGAATCTCAATCAACTCACTCACTCACTCAATTTCAGTTTCAATTTCCCACTAGCAAATTCTAACTCCAGAAATTTTATTTTTAAAAATTAAAACAAAACTAAAACAACTGAAAATAATTATCTTTTCTTAATTTCTTACTCCTATTTATTAGTTTCAATCTTTTAAAATCATCTCCGTATTTCATGGGGTAAATTATGGGTTTTCGGATATATCAGGGTTGAATTTTAATCTATCTTAATTTATTACTAATAAATCCAAAATCTTCTAGTTCCAGTTCCATATTATCATAAGATTAATTACATTATTCAATTATCAAAAAAAAAGAAAAACAACTTTTCTTCTCGCTCCAATTAAAATGATACAAGGTAGGTTTTATACGGTCCCGCATTTCTGGCTTTTAATAAAAATAAACTACACATTTTTCTCATCAAGTACAATCTTCTAATCCAATTAAAAAAACTAAATATATAGATAAAAGAACAATGCTACTTGCTCGTTCAATTTCAATTATGAATTCGGTATTTAATAATTCAATTATTTTTGCTCTTTATATTTGCAAATCCAATAAAAGAGAAATCATGCAAAACTACACAGATTAACGCATAATAACGCAACTTGAAGAGTTTTTTTTATTTCAACCTGATGGATCTAGTAAACTATCAATATTAACAGTATTAATTAATTAATTAATTTGTATTCTTCAATTCAAAATCACACTGATCATATCAACTTTTTATCTACATCGATTTTAGAATAGAGAATACGGTATGATTGTATATCGTGGTGGATTATTAATTAAAAGAGGGAGAGAAAAAGAAATGGAAAAGTAGATATACAAAATGATTTTGGAAGTGGATAAGACCAAAGAAGATCAAAACTCCAATTACTACGCTCATATCTATTTCCTAAATATAATCAACAATTACAATGCTAAGAATGTCAAGAAGTATCTTTCCCATATCCATCTTTTGCACAAGATGAATTACAAGCACACGAATGATGGAAAATATGTAAAAACTTCTGCTTTTTGTTCTCGAAAAAACGTATCGATTGAAAAGCTACATCAAAGTATTTCACCCATAATGAGTATCCATCACTTTAAAAACTTCCAATCTTCTTAATTCTTTCTTGATAATAAAAAGGAAAAAGAAGAAAAAAAGAAGAAAAAAAAAACCCAAACAAATGAAAAACTTTTCCTATCCAAAATGGTTCACCATTCCACACCACTGGTTTGTTCCACACCACTGGTCTCGTGCTTTTTCACCAAATCAGCAATTTATTATCTTGCTCCTTAACAATATCATCTTCATTGATAACATTATCTATCAAATATATATCCACACACAATAAACAGCTGAAAGTTAGAAAAATGTTTGGAGTTATTTGCCCTGGAAGACAAGGTATGTTGTTTCATCTGCTTTTCCTGAAAACTGTTTGCAACTCTCTTTGCAGGTTTCATTTACAAATATCTAACATGATTTGCCTGTAATTGTATAAACTATTTTAGTTGAAATTGCTCAACAAATTGAACAATTCCAGTATCTTGTTAAAATTGAAAAGTCTTCAAAAATATCTCATATAACATTATTTATTTTGCCAGATATCCAATTTGATCCTAATTACTCTGCTTTGATTTATTTTAATTTGGATCATAATAATATCAATTCCACCAATAGCATAATTGCTAATTCTCCTAATGGTAATTTTACATTATTTGGAAGTTTATCATTAGAGAAACCTTCTGCGATTTTCAAGATCAATTCCAATGCAAATAAACAAATTCAAAATCAAAATAGTTTGACTCAAATTGATGATGTAGACATGGATTTGGATAATTCAACTTCAAATGTTAATTTAAGCTCAAATTTTAGTAATATCAATAATATTGGAATTATTGATAATTCGTATATAATAATTGGAATTTCAATTTCACCAAATTCCGAAGCTATGAATTTATTGCAACAGATGAAAAACTCGCAATTAAATCAACCCAAATTGTTAAATGACTCAAATCAAATTTCAAAACCAAATTTGAATAATGAGGAGATTGAATATTTATCTAACAAAATTATATCAAATTGTTACAATTATCTAAGTGGGTTTGTTGACAATAATGGGAAAGTTTCAATAATGAAATTTAACAATTGGTGGGATAATTTTAAAAACAAGTTAAAAAACAATCCAAATTTTTTAACTAAACCAAGTGATTGATTTTGTTTTATGTTTTTCAATAATTTAAGTTTTTTATTTTTTTTTATTTTTTTTATTTTATTTTATTTTTTTTTTATTTTATTTCATTTTGTTTTATTTTATTTTTTGTTGATATTTCAATTGAATTTGCTATTTAATTTCTAAAAAAATTTTAATAAATTTTTAATAAACTAGAGTTTAATAATTCTATTATGAATATAACGAAATGTTATCAGAATAAGAAAGAACGAAGTAAAAATAAATAGTGAAAAAATAATTAGTATTATTGACCCAAAATTTAACAAAAGTAGAATAAATAAACAGGAAAAAATGGATAAAGAGAAACAAAAACAAAACTTGAACAAAATGTAAAAAACGGCAAAAAATAAAAATAAAAATAAAAATAAAAATAAAAATAAAAATAAAAATAAAAATAAAAATAAAAATAAAAATAAAAATAAAAATAAAAATAAAAANAATAAAAATAAAAATAAAAATAAAAATAAAAATAAAAATAAAAATAAAAATAAAAATAAAAATAAAAATAAAAATAAAAATAAAAATAAAAATAAGACAAGATATAAAAAAATAAAATAAAAATATGTAGAACTTAATAAAAAGAAGTAAAAAATAATAATGAAAAATAAAAAGAAAAAACAAGCTGTGAAAGAAATAAACTTATTTAAAACTAAGAATTTTATTAAGATTAATATTAGCTTATTTGAGGAATGAGATCTTCTATTTTTTTTCAATTTTTTTCCATTTTTTTTTATATAAAATTGATTTGAAAGTTATATGAAGTTAAAATATGTTTTTTAAAAATAAAGAAGAGAAATAAAAATTGGAACAAATTGAAACGAATTGTAATGAATTGGAATGAATTAGGATGAGATGAGATAAACGGAAGAAAAAGCAATAAAATTGATTAAAGTTAATTAAAATCGATTCTAATTAACTTTGTCAGCAATTTTTTGTTGTCTTCTTTTCTTTCTTTCTTTTCTGGCGATTTCCTGTAAATCATCTTCACTTGGTTCATATATATGCCACACAGTGTAATGAGGCAAACCACCTACTTTAAAACCAAAATCTTTTGTCATTTTACCAAAAGCTTCAGTTTCAGCATGATTTTTATAGGTGAAAGCTGGAAAAGTAACACCTTGTCTAAAGATTCTTGCTTTGGCTAGGATAGAAACACCACCAACACCATCCATATCTACCAATTGGTCAGGATTACCATCTGAATCTCTTAAATAAGCCAAATGGACTCTCCAAGTTGGATATTCAGCGTAGCCTTCGACTATAACATCATCTTCTTGCAAAGTTTTGGCCAATTCTAAACCCTGTTCACTTTCGATCCAGGTATTTAAATCATAAGGTTGTTCATTACCTAAAAATTCTGGAAGAGGTCTCCAAACGTTTGGCACAACGACATCGTAATCATGTTTCATTAAATCTTGAATAATTGAGCTGGAACTTTGTTCAATATCAGCATCTCTCCAATAAACCCAGGAATGGTAGGGTTTTAAGGAAGTAGATACTAACCAATTTCTTGCTCTGCCCATTAATTTTCTTCGAATTCCTTGGACTTTGACATCGTGCCTATCAGAGAAACCTTGACCTATTACTTGGCCGAAATCTTTTCTAAAAATTTGAACGCTTCTAAATGGATTATTAAATTCAGAATGATAAGGTGGTTTAAAGGCGTTTTGAATCTTTTCAACATAATCAGGGTCCATGTATCTTAGATATAGATCGTTTGTACCTCTTAATCTCCTATTTCTTTCTTTTATAAGATCATCTTGTTCATTTAATAAGCTCATAAGGGTCGAATTTTGTAGATGCATTGTATACTCAAATAAAGTATCAAGTGTTTTATCATTTTCTGAGCAATCCGAAACAAGAAAAGCTAGATCGATTAAACGGTGAGGATAATCCAAGTCCATGAGATGTTTGAACATGAGAGGCAAGACATGTTGAGCATTTCTTAGTGGAATACATAATAAGACTAGTTGATTATTATCTTTTCCAAAGGGAGAGCCTTGAAAATCATTTAAATCATAATAAGCGACAGTATTACGATAAATCTTTTCCAATTCTTCATCTTTTTCTGAGTTTTCTTTGGACCGATTATTCTGAGACTGACTATCTGGAGATTTATTATTTGAATCATTATTTATATCATTTTTATTATTTATGATCTGATCTGATGTGACGGTATAGTGGTCATAATCATCATCATTTTTGTTATTCTGAATTGCATCAGTATTTTCAATGTTATCATTATCATTATCATTATTAATATCATTGTTATTATTTTGATTCGATGTTTTAGATGAATCAGGGTATCTTAATTCATTGTCATTTTTTTTAATATTTATATCGCTAGAAAATTTGTCTTTTAAAATTTCGCCCAATTGATCTTTTTTGTCCTTACGAAAAATCAATACTAAAAGAAACAATATTATTATCAGATATACAATTTTGGACAAACTAAATCTTTTGTACTTTTTTATGGGCCTAAACTTATCAGTTTCCGACACATTGGTGCTTTGACGAGTTTGCAAAAAGTTAGAACAGAGAAATCTCGAAAAGAAATTGGAAGTGGTTGAAACAGATTTGGGAAAAAAAAAATTCAGATTGGGATTGCGATACATACTAAGGTAGGTCTGATTTTTTGTTATAAGAGTCTCTTAGTCTCATTGTGGGTGATGAGAATATGTGTCAAAACTGCAATTGCAGAAGGTGCCGAGTGATTAGTGATTTGTGAGAGATGGTTAATGAAAAGTGTTTGAGGAGTGTTTCGCAACTGATCAGAAAGACCACACAATCGAATTCAACAAAATCAATATAACAAATAACAGAAAGCAAAAAACAGTCAAAACCAGTGTAATGAAGGAAATAAAGAGAATACAGAGAATACAGAGAACAGAATAACAGAATAGCACTTTCTAAGCTCCTACAAACACAATCGCTGGAAAAATGTCGCCCAGGCCAATCAGGTCTAGACCCGTGGAGAGACCCAAACGTGTTAGTCACGCGATACAAGAGCCAGCGGGAGGGTGCCACGCGCTGCTGCGTTGAGAATGCTGCACAGACTGCATACGCGTTGCTAGAAAGGAAAACCATGCAGACGGGTCAAAAAACAGAGACTGATCTTATCTCGGTGTAAACAGGCCGTGTGGTCTAGTGGTATGATTCTCGCTTTGGGTGCGAGAGGCCCTGGGTTCAATTCCCAGCTCGGCCCTGTTTTTTTGTTCCCCCTCCTCCAACAGGGGTTTCAATCGGAAGCAAGCGCTGTTTTGGTGTTGGAGACAATTCTGTGGTTGAAGGAGAAGGAATGACGGAATGACTATAGATGGAAGGTATAAACTGCAAAAACAATATGAAAAAATGGCGATTAAAATTAAGTGCGAGAAAGGTGGAACTAAAAATTAAAAACAAAACTAAAAACTGAAAACAAAACTGAAAAAATTGGAAACTAAAATAAAAGTTAATTAATAGTGTGGTAACAAAATGAGCTATCAAGCATTATGTGAAAATTAATTATTAATGATAAATTATTAGATATCCATCCAATAACTATTGAATTGAAAGGGTATAGTGTCATATTGTTTTTTGGATTTAACTGTAACCAGTGCAATATGATGTGATAGAGCTGTAAAGCAGATGAGTGCAGTTTAGTTGGAACAATTGAAGCAATTGAAACCAGGTGAATTCAATTATTGACATTCATCGACCATCTTGATCCAGTCCTGAACAAACAATGATGTCCTTTTATATCTTTTCTCAGCATATTTTTCAAAAATTGCTTTGTGGTTTTCTTTGGCATCGCGACAGCTATGCAATAACACACTTGCTAATGGTTTCAATTGCTCTTCTGTATATCCTGAATAATAAATGTGAGCAGAGGTCCAGCCTCCTCTGTTCAAAACAAATCTCGATAAATAATGCGATCCTGCTGCCAACCAACTTGGTAGCGATGCAACAAATCTATAATCCATTATGCTGATCTCAAGGAAATATTTTGCTAGCGTTCTTGTCTCATAATCGTATTCATCTGCCTTTGATGTTCTTCTTAAAAATGACATTGGTCCTGGCCATCCCATTTCAAAATTCAAAACGTTGATCATGAACTTTTCTGCCTGTAGTAATTCATCAATTGAATATGCATCATCAACCATATATGCAATTTCCTGAACTGATGGACAATTAACTTCTTCGTATTTAGCTGCAATGAATAACGCAACTGCTCCAACCAATTGAAATCTGCTTAACGATACTCTTCTTTTAGATAAAAACCGATCAATATAATTCACTGCTAAAAACAATGTCTCAGCCAATAAATTAAATCTTCCATGAACCTGAACAATCCAATCAACTAACAATCCCCTCATATCCCATTCAATTTCAACTTGATTATCCATATAATTAGCGTCTGGTTTTAATTTATTTTCCAAATCATGCAAGTAATTATAAATTTCTGGAGCATATTCTGCTACCATTGTTGGATCATAGGTATCATCGTCACTCATATCTAGTGATTCATTATAATAGTATTGGAATACAGAATATAATTTATAATCGTTCTCTTTAGAGATTTTATGGAATAATGGATCAGGACAAATTTTATCTAATAATTTTTCATTTTTGTTATTATTATTATTGTCATTATCGTTATTGTTATTGTTATTGCTATTCCTATTTTTTTCATCTATTTGGTCAATTTTTTCTTTATCATTTATATTGTTACTTATTGATTTATATACATTTGGATTTGAATCTTGAGTTTGATTACTAGATAATTCACTATCGGTTTCACTATCATTATCTGTATCGATATCATTTGATGATATACTGTCTTCACTATCGCTGTATTTACTGTTATTGTATTTCTTATTATATTTTTTTAAATCTTCGTTTTCACTATCATTATCATTATCATTATCGTTATCATCATCGTTTTCTACATTATTTTTTCCATCATTATTGGAGATTGAAATTTGGGTATTTTTATCAATTTTTTGATAATTGTCATTAATTAGGCTATCATTTGGATTGTAATTTTCAAATTGAATATTATCATTTAAATAAGGAAACTTTTTAAAGTTGGACGAATTTTCAATATCATTATCGATATTATCGATATTATCATTATCACTGAGTGGATCGATTTTTTGATATTCAGATAAAAAAGAAATGTTTAGATCGGTGTATTTATATTGATATTGATATTGGTAATTGTTTTTCAAGATTTTAGTGTTATTGTTACTAATTTTCAAGATTTTATTGTTATTGTTACTATTTTCAGTTTCATTATCAACGAATACTTGAATTGTGTGTTGTTTTTTGCTTAAATGGGTATTTAAATTTGTGGTATCATTTTTATTTAATAAGAATGATTTAACGTTATTTGACACAGTATTTAGAGCTTTTCTCTTTGGGATTTTAGGAATTTTGTTGATTATATTGTCATGGTTAAAATTTTGTATGTTAGAGGTATTGGAGGTATTGGAGGTATTGGAAGTATTCGAAGTATTCGAGATAACTTGGGTAGTTGATTTATTCATTATTATTTGGGTATTATAGAGTGATAAGATTAAGAGGTAATAGGAAAATGAGTGAATAAAGGAATGAATTTTGTTAATTGATGAGTTAATTAAAATATAATATTATGAAAGACATATAATGATTCTGTAGTATAATTATTTGATGGTTTAGTGGTTTAGTGGTTTAGTGGTATATTGTTTTAGTGGTATAATATGGTATGGTATGGTATGAAATAGTAAAGATAAAGATAAAGATGAAGATGAAGATGAAGATGAAAATGAAAATGAAGAATTGAGATTAAATAGATATACGATTGGATAAGAGTAATAAAACAGTTTGAGAATAAGAATTAAGAATTAAGAATTAAGAATTAAGAATTAAGAATTAAGAAATGAGATTTGAGAAATGAGAAAAATATTGAGAGGATATGATTATGAGAATAAGAATCAGTAAGATGTCGTTTTAAACAATTGATATGAGATATATAGAAGATAACGAATGAATTTTGAAGCTTGTGGACATTAATTATTAGTTATTAATTAATTAATTAGTTAATTAATTAATGAATTTATTGTAATTTGATAGTATAATTTAATTATGAGATTAATAAAAAGAGGAAAGAAGAAGAGGAAAAGAATCTCTTTTAAAGAGAAAAAATACAATAAGAATAGAATAGAATAATAAAGTAGAATTCAAAATAAATAAAATAAATAAATAAGTAAATAAATAAATAAGTAAATAAATAAAGATATATATATAAATAAGAAAATAAGTAAATAGGTAAACAAATAACAAGTGAAGTGAAAGAAAAAAAAGAATTTAAAGAGACAAAAACCTCATTTTATTCAATTTATTCAGTTTATTCATTTTCTAGAAATTATTTTTAAATTTTGACAAAATTTTGTTAAATTTTTGTTAAATTGTGATTAAATTTGTAATAAAATTTTAGGATAAAATGATAAAATGATAATAAAAATTTAATGGATTGTAACTTAAGCGTGATTGTTTTGAATTAGCTCTATGTTGAAGTAAGGTTGAATAAGTAATGGGAAATAGAGAATAAAAGTTATTGAAAGTTAGTGAAAACTAAGAAAAATGAAAATAATTGAGTCTTTGAATGATTGAATGAGTAGATAATGTGGAATAACAAGAGATATTATTAGATACTATTAGATATTATTAGATATTATTGGACAATATGGAATATTGTTGGATGCTATTGGACAATATGGGATAATGTAAGATAATACTGGATAATATTGGATAGTTTTGGATAGTATTGGGATTAACAGGATTGTATTAGGATTAACAGGATTGTATTAGGAGTATTGAAACTAATAGAAAAGAAAGTATTGCTTAGTTAGTTAATTTTAAAAAAAAATAATTAGTATTTACATTCATTTGCTCAAGATTGCAAGGAAGCCCAAATTGTGTTTGATAGTCTCTCCATGTCCCTGTGTTTAACCATAATGTGCATTATTGAAAGTTGTTGCGAGCTGGTGAAAGTTGTCGACGATTGTTCAGAGTTGTTGAGAAACATTGGGAGATATTGGGAGTTGTGTTGAAGAGAAGATGAAAATGATCAAGAATTGGAAAAAAATGGAGGTGATAAGTGATAACTGGAACCCAAAATTGGAATGTTGCTAAAAAAACTGGTCATTTGTAGTAATTGCTGAATTTAATTTTGAATACAGTTCAATTTTGAATTTGGATTTATCTAATTTTTCAAAAGAAATAAAAGTCAAATTAAAGATAGTTCTGCAGCTGTTATAACATTTACAGTAAAAGGCTTGTAGGAAAATGCATCTTTTTATTTCCAATTACCAGAAAACCTCAATTTCAATCGATTTCACGTATCTCCCAATCAAAAAGTATAAAAAGCACAAGAAGTGATAATAATTATCAAAAATTATCAAAATATGCTAAAAAGTGTTTGAAAGTGTTTAAAATTGTCAAAGATCTTCGCTGCTTTCCTACTCAAACTACCCATTCTTAAACCATTCTTAATCTTGCTCTGTCTGAAGGTTTTTGTTCTTGCAAACTGAGACCCGTAGGAGTTTGGTAAATTGTTGCAAAAACCCGCTCTTGCCAGCACGTGTGGTTCCGGCCATGCATCGTGACTCAGAGTGTCCTGTTTGTGCGGACATAAAAGCCATATTGTCTTTTATAGGCCCTCGTGATTTACTTTTATATCCCAGCGACGCCTGTAAACACAGGGATATGAGCGGCCGGCATGCTTGCCTGCAAATACTGCTCTTTCCACCTCTCCGACACGTGCTGCAGCACGAGCGCCATCACCGGCTCTGCGCACCAGCGATGTGGGTGCTCCGACAACGCCGTGGCTGGCGGCGCTGCACCGCACACACCGCATATACTGCATGCGCTACCTCAGTGCTGGCTCGCGCGGTGCAGAAGAATTCACTGAAATTTGCTACTCTGAGCGCTCCACATCTTTTTGACTTCTTCCGCGCAGGTTTCTATTTTTACCCTTTCTGGCCCATTTCTGGCATCCATACTCCGGTGTCATCTGTGCTGCTTCTGCTGTTTCTCGATCTTCCACAGAATGTTAGATAGCGTTGAGTATCACCACTGTTATTTCATCTTGCAAAACACCATCGGCGCTAGCTTCGACAAGATGACCACTGTTTCATCTTAAATTGAGCAGCCGGGATGCAAATGCCTTCTTCACGCAAAACACAATCTCAAAAATGCTTCCCCAGTTTTTTCTCTCCGTTTTCTTTTTCAACCCATTTACACGGCACATGCAGCATTAATACATGCGTGTGCAAAGTAACACATCCTAAAACGCATGCCTACGTAGTTGTGCTGCTTTGGCTCGCCATCTGTGTGGATGCTGCTTTTTCGCTGTTTCACACTCTACTTGCAAGCTAATATACTTCAATGGGACCTCATTTTCTTATATTTTCTATTATCTTCCTTTTCTATCTTCACTTTTACCTCTTTCATTTATTTTGCTTTCATTAAATTTTTGTTTTGGGTTTTTTTTGCTTTGGGCTTCCCAGTGTCTGCTTTTATTGTTTTCCATAGTTTCTTGTTGCTTCATCATGAGCCATCTGCACCAACGATCCAGTTCAATTTGGAAAAGAAGCTCTCTTCGTTTCAATATAGGTGAAAAGTTGAACTCTCTATTTTCTGACTCAACTACCCCAAGCAATTCTAACTTTTTAAATAATTTAAATGTTTCAAATATTTACTCTTCAACTTCAAACCAATTCTCCAATAATACAACTTTAAACGTAAACAATGAGCAAAACACAAATTTATCAATAAACACCAATTTAGATAAAACTTCAAATCAAAATACTTCGCATAATCGACGAAACTCTTTAAAATTAAAACTATCTCCAAAGATCAAACATTTCCATTTACACACTCCCGCTAACTCTCCTCCTTCAGAATCTCCTGTTGACTCAAAATTCTCAAAGGATCATGATTTTCATAACAATCAATTGGATTCACAAAATATCAGATACCCTAATCGTCACAGTTTATCTATATCAAGATCTGATCTCCCGAGAAATGACTCAAAACTATCTCTAGATTTACCTACTTTACCACCTTTTAATAGTAATAGTAATAGTAGTATAAATATTATTGATAATAAAAACAACAATGAAAACAATAACAATGATGATAATAATAACGTTTATTTAAATATATCAGAAAATAAAATTTCAAGAACAAACTCCTTTTTACCCAATTCTACTGCCACGAGTTCAATTCTCTCCAGACCAAACTCCTATAGCAGTAAAACTTCTCGTTTAAGAAGAAAACCACCCACAGATACTGACCATAATGAAATAAGTCAGCAACAAGAATCATTAAAGGAAAACGAAAACGAAAAAGAAAAAGAAAAGGAAAAGGAAAAGGAAAAGGAAAATTCTACCCAATTAGATACTACCAATGTTACCACTAGTATTACAACGACTTCTCATGATAATAATAAAATATTACCTTATCCAAACATATCTGATTTGGAAAATTTAAACAAAAATTTAGACCAATTAATCGTAGATAGCAACTTAAACAACAAAAGTAGTCAAGGCACTCTAACAAATTTAGTTACTAATTCAAGTGATATTTCAAATGTTTTTCCTTTAAACTTGGATTACTCTTCTCATTCACCAATTATTTCTACTACGATCAATTCTTCTACCACTGATAATGGTAATAATGGTATTAATAACAATAATAACACAGTTGAAGATGATAATGAAGATATTCATAATTTAATTAAAGAAGATCAAAAATTATTACAAAGTGAAGTAGAAATATTAAAATTTCAAGAAAAGGCTTTAAATTCTGTTCACCCAGTCGATTATAGAATCAATTCTCCATCAAAAGACCATTTCAGTAACCAACAACCAAATTATCAGTCGACTAATAATCAGTTGACCAATAATCAGCCAATTAATAACCAACCAACTAATAACCCAAATAATAATTTATCTATATTACCCTCAAATTTTAATCAATTTGATAACCAAGATGATTCCCCCAAAACCGAAAGACAAAGACAGTTTTCTCTTGGCCAATCCTCCGATATCACAACTGAAACCTATATCTTGGGTGATACTTCATCTCAAATGACCTATGACCATAATACTTTAATATCAAATCAAATCAAATCACAATTATCTCCCCAAATTCAGAATAATTACAATGATAACGTCAGTTATGTGTCAAATGATGAAAACCCCTTTACTTTTTCTTCTGATGATGATGGTGATGGCGACGTTGATAATGATTCGCTACTATTCCAATCCCAAAAGAAATCAAACGAAATATCAATTAGAAACACAAAATTTTCTTTAAACAGTGACTCTCCTCCATTTATAAGACCTATGCTGCCAAGAGATAATGCCTTTATAGATAGAAGACAAAGCAGGTCCACTGGGTATTCATTCGACCAATCAGATGACGAATTGACTTTTGAAGTTAAAAAACCAACATATCACGGATATTTGGACCAAAATACTGATCATAATAGAAAAATGGTTATCATGAACAACGTCACTGATGACGAAAATGACAAAAGGAATATCAGCCAACCCCAAAATGAAATTGAAAATCCCACTCTGTTGAATATACCTTCTGATTTATTAATTACAAGTTCACAATCGGATTTGAAAAATTTGTCACCAGAAAAAATCTTCTCCTATGATAGAAGAGAAGAAATGACAGCTCCACCGGTTACTTATGCAACAAAACCACAGTATAAAGGAGTTTCAAGAAGACTTCCTCCTGGTGTTGCACCATTGTCTGTTGGAAATAGAAGAACTTATTCGTCTTCAACTTTTGTGGCACTGGAGGAAAATCCAGTGATTTCGAATAAAAATAATGCAACAAGATCTTCTCAAGCTTATAATCCACAAGTTCTGCAAAATTCTTCAAATATTGATAATTCAATTTATATTGATCCAAATAAAGGTAAAAAGTCTTCTTACATTGAAGAATTAAGAAGTAAAGCTCGAACCGCAAATTGCGATATTTCTTATAAAAAATGGGGTCTTCCCCTAGCTATTCGATTGGTTAATAAAGACCTGCGTATTTCAAAGGTTTCACTAGATTCTAAATCTACTTATTTTCAAAATGATTTAAAACATTTATCATTACAGCCAAGACTATTAGCTTCAGAAGTTGAAAACAATGACGTGTTCAGCGATCTTTTGTCAATTAAAAAAGAAAACAGTCTATCAAACAAACGAAAATCTTTGGAATCTAACGTTTTAATCAAAGCATTAAAAGATATGGGTGATTCAGGTATTCAAAAATCTCCATCAAATGTTTCCAGTTTTGTGGATAATAATAGCTCCGATATTTTGGGAGATAAAACCACTATTAGGAGCAGCCACAGCTCAATTTTAAAATCACCCAAAGGATCAGGTACATCAAGATATAACAGTATAAGATCAACCATGTCATTTTCAGAGGGAGGAATGAAGCTATTTATTGCCAATCCAGATGTCCATTCTGATAGTGATTGATATATTTTCTCAGTTCATCCAGCAGTCAAATCCCGATCAAAATTTTAGTATTCCTGTTTTGTTATATCTACTTTCATATATAAATCTCATGGTCAAAGTAAAGTGGTAAAATTGTTAAACTCTTCTCGCATTTTCCCTTTGCACAAAACCCCAAGTATTAAGAAAAAACAAAAAACAATTAAAGATATGTGCAAAAAAAACGTGTGTATGTATACATATGTATATACTTAGTGATACATGCGCTAAAATGCTTAGCTTTCTATATGTTATTCCGCATTGCAATGCAGTTTCACGCAAAGAATAATTTATCAACATTTATGACTATAATCTAAAAAATAAATCCCATCATTTGAAATCTTTTGAGATTTTCAAATTGTATGGAATTCCGTAAGAATCTCAGAAAATAGTAAAGAAATTGTTTTAAAACAAAAGGAGCCTTGCCAGTCCAAATCAATCAACACATAGTCAATACACATCACAATAGACAATTGGTTTATTTCGTTTTAGATTGTTTCAAATCTCAGCACAAACGCTACAAAACAATTTATGCCAGTAAGCCACAATGTTTGATTAGACAACCACCTTTTAGTAAGAAAATGGTGATGCAAAAAAGTTACAATAAAAAGCCTACGCATTATTTTAATCGAGAAAATGACAAAAACAAAATGAAGTGGCTTTTCTGCAATCCATATCAGTTACGTTACTTGAAAGTAGATTCTGCTATTGCAAGTTTACCCTATTCAAAGAGATACAATTCTTATCTTTGATCACCACAAAAACAGACCCAAATTTGTGGCTTCAAAGCTCAAATTTTCAAAGAAAAGAGAAATTGAAAAACAGCGGTTACCCGCACTTTTCGAATTTAAAATTTTACTCATCGACTTTTCAGCAATAAAAACGAGTTTTTTTTCGTCTTTTTTTTTTCTTTTTGGATTTTGATTGAAATGATTAGAGAAATCCCATTAAAAACTCTGTAGTTCTGTTACTTGATCTCGTTTTTTAAAGAGAATATTCAAAATGGCTGAAGAAATTAAAGAGGTTTTCGATACTATTTTAGTATTGGATTTTGGTTCTCAGTATAGTCATCTTATTACTAGACGTCTTAGAGAGTTCAATGTTTATGCTGAAATGTTACCATGCACTCAAAAGATTAAAGAGTTAACCTGGAAACCCAAAGGTATTATTTTGTCTGGTAGTCCATATTCTGTCTTTGCTGATGATGCTCCTCATGTTGATTTGGCTGTTTTTGATTTGAATGTTCCAATTCTAGGTATTTGTTATGGTATGCAAGAAATCGCTCATATTAACAATACTAAAGTAATTAGAGGAGACAAAAGAGAATATGGCCCAGCTTTGCTTCAAGTTGAAGATAAATCTTGTCCATTATTCAAAGATGTTGACCACTCAAAAGTTTGGATGTCTCATCATGACAAATTATCTGCTTTACCACAAGGTTTTAAAGTCGTTGCTACCTCTGATAATTCTCCATTTGCTGCCATGGCCCATGAAACAAAACCAATATACGGTTTACAATTTCATCCTGAAGTTACCCACTCAGTTAAAGGTAAAGAATTATTAAGAAATTTTGCTCTTGACATTTGTCAAGCTAATCCAAACTGGAGTATGGAAAATTTCATTGACACTGAGATTTCAAGAATTAAAAAACTTGTTGGTCCAACTGCTGAAGTTATCGGTGCTGTTTCTGGTGGTGTTGATTCAACTGTTGCTGCCAAATTAATGGCTAGAGCTATTGGAGATAGATTTCACGCTATTTTAGTTGATAATGGTGTTTTAAGATTAAATGAGGCTAAAATGGTCAAAAAAAACCTTACAGAAGGTTTAGGTATTAATTTAACCGTTGTTGATGCCTCTGAAGAATTTTTATCAAAACTAAAGGGCGTCACTGAACCAGAGAAAAAAAGAAAAGTAATTGGCAACACATTTATTCATGTTTTTGAAAGGGTTGCTAATGAAATAAAACCCAAGGATGGAGATGAAATTGAATTTTTATTACAAGGTACATTATACCCAGATGTTATTGAATCAATCTCATTTAAAGGACCATCTCAAACCATCAAAACACACCATAATGTTGGTGGGTTATTAGAAAATATGAAACTAAAATTGATTGAGCCTTTAAGAGAGTTATTTAAAGATGAAGTTCGTGCTTTGGGTGAATTATTAGGCATTCCTCATGATTTAGTTTGGAGACATCCATTTCCAGGACCAGGTTTAGCCATTAGAATACTTGGAGAGGTTACACCATCTCAAGTTGAAATTGCAAGAAAAGCCGACCATATTTACATTGAAGAAATCAAAAAAGCAGGATTATATAGTCAAATTTCCCAAGCATTTGCAGCATTATTACCTGTTAAATCAGTTGGTGTTATGGGAGATGAAAGAGTTTATGCTCAAGTTATCGCATTAAGAGCTATTGAAACCACTGATTTCATGACAGCTGATTGGTTTATTTTTGATGCCAGATTTTTGAAGAGAGTTGCCTCAAGAATTGTGAATGAAGTTGATGGAATTTCAAGAGTTGTTTATGATATTACTTCTAAACCACCAGCTACTGTTGAATGGGAATAGATAAATATATTAATGAGAGTATTAGAATTAGTTACCTTTGACATTTAAATTCATAGAGTTATCATCTATAATATAATATAATAGTGATTTTTAAATTTTTTTATTTTCGTTTTCATTTTCGTTTTGTGTTTCTTTCTTTCTATATAGTATAGAATAATATAATATAGATTATCAAATATTAAAAAAATAATGTAGGAAAATGAATCAAGAGATAGATTTTAAATGATTTCCTTTATACTTTTTTTATTCTTAGAACTATAGAGGTTAAGTAATCACCATCATCGGATAAAGTTAATAGGAATTGCTCATTTGGATAGGATTGGATGTAATCTAGATTATTTATGATTGGCTTGCCATTAATATCATTGATTTTATACCACTGGTTAAAATTAAATAATTTTTGGTCTTTTAAATCAAGGGTTTTAAATAGAGCTTCCTTTGAAGACCAGCTTGAGGTTAAAATTTTAGAGCACATATTAATGTCATTTTTTTGTTTGAAATTATCAAATTTGATTAATTCGAATTTTTCATTAAGGATTCTTTTTGAGAATTTTGATATATAATTACTTGATAGCCCATTTTTTTGAATGATTTTAGTGAATCTGGATAATCTGATTAAATCAGTGCCAATTCCCAAAATGATGTGATTAGTCATTCCGTTAAAAAAAAGCAAACAACGAGAAGTAAAAAAAAAAGGAAAAATATTTATTTTGATTGGTACTTTTCAGAGTAATATAATTTATTGATATTTAAGTTAAACTTGAAGTAAAATTTAATGAACTATATATTATCAGGAAAAAAAAAAGTTTAATTGATGAAGTAAAAGATTAGTACCAAAAAACGAGTAAAAAAGAAGATTTTAATGTGTCAAATCACATGAATACAGGATAAACAGAGTGAGTACATATAAAAGAGAGGAAAAGTGTCGCATGAGAGAAATAAAGTCGAAAAAATTGAATAAAATTAAGTGAAATGGAATATTTATAAATAATAACAGATAGTCTTTTTGATGTGTTTTTTTTTTAAAATTGTTTCATATTTTTTTTGTTCTTTAATGGTTTTTTCATTGGGCTGTTTGGAAATCGAAGATTGGGATTAAAAATTGTATTATTCTCATGTTGCTCTAAATCTTAGGATGAAATTGATGACAACAGCAACCAATAGGAAAAAACACAACATTGTTGGGCCAAATCTGTCATCATAGGGACCTGAGCCTCTTTTCCTAATAGCAGCAGCTCTCCAGTGATAAGTGACCAAGGCATAGACCATTGTAAACATTGCGACCAAAGTGAACAATGAAGCACTTATTCTTCCGATTTTGTCACCAAAATTCAATAAACCAATGGCCAAGGAGCCCAATATAACAGTGAAGTTCAACCAACTGAGAAAAGTTCTCTCGTTCGCAAAAAAAACCTTTGGCTCGACTCTTGTCGGCAAGGCAATTCTCTTGCCTGGGGTAGTTTGTAATAAGACTCCTGACATGACAAAAAGTGTGATAGGGTGTGTGTGAAATCTGTTGTGAGAGAGTTGTCGATAGCAGTTGCAAGAATGTGAAAAATAATGGAAGACGAGAGAGGGAAAGACAGTAAGGGCAGCAGAGTCCTGGGTATAAGTAGCAGCTCCTTTGCAAAGGATAAGAAGCAACAAAGTTTGTGCTGCGACTTTTCGGCTGCTGCCCGATGCGCGATTCCTTGCTGGAAAGAGAAAGCCGGGCCCACGTGCCTGGTAAGCTGTGCGGGTGCGTGAGAGCGCGTGTGGGTGCAGTAGGCGCCCCGGTGCTGGTTCTGGAAATTGTGGACTGAAGAGGTCTTTGCTGGAGATTCACATCAGAATCAGCAGAAGCAGCAGAAACAGAAACAGAGCAGCAGAAACACAATGGCTCACTTGACTATTGCTTCGGATGCTGCTAACGAGAAGCTGGCCCCTGTTGCCAAAGACAAGGTGGAGGCTGCTATCAATAAGGTATGAGCACATCCCTATCCAGACACTTAATGGCCATGCTAACCATCGATATTACAGCTATTCAACAAATTGGACACCTCTGACGACCTGTTTGCTCGCACCTTCATAGACCTTCTATTGGATACTCTCAAGGAATATGCTATACAGTACAAGTTTTTCATCAATTTGAACGCAATCTTAAACAGTGCTGACACTAAAAATATTAATGTCAACATCAAGAACTCCTTTGGTTCGCTTTGGGATAAAGCAAAAGATGGTTATTATAATTTCAAGGTCTCTCACACAAACAACAACAACAGTAACCAGTATATAGTTTCAGTGGTTTGGGTTTTTGTGAGTTAATTATACTCCAATTACTCAGTTCAAATAGTTATTTATGGTTTCGCTCATATCATCAATTTCCCTCAATTCCTTGACATTCGAACTAATCTTATCCAAAATTTCATTTAAACTTTCTAGTAGAGGTCTCAATTTTTCATCTCTGATGGGATTGTAATTGAAAATTTCTTCTTCAAACTCACTTAAATCTTTAATATCCCCATTTTCTTTTAAAAATTTATAATCATCAAAATCCAATTTAATTATTTCATTTTCATTGTTCTGAATGTTTAATTCAACTTCATTATCATTATTATCTTTCGTAAATGTCCCAATTTTTTGTCTATTAACCAAATTTTCTTGTTTTTTTAAGTTCTCTTTCATCTCATTTAAAAAATCTTCATCGTTTTTTATCAAAATTTTTTCCTTATTTAATCGTTTTTCTAACGTCTCCAATTGCTGTAAACTTAACGAATAATTATTCTCTAAAAATTTTATTCGTCGATTCAAATAGTCCAAATTGAATTTACTAATCTCATTTTTGAAATTGTCAGATGGTAAATTAATCTTCTCTAACACCTCTTCAAATCCATTTATCAATTCATATAACAATGCCCTTCCTTTCTTCTTGAACCCATCTAATTTGTATTTGCTTAATGAGGGCTCAACATGTAATTTAAGTATATTAATTATATTATTATTAAACTCATCTGTTGGTGGATTCCATAATCTTTTAGCTAGTTTTTTATTTATTCTTTTTTTTTTAGTTATCATTTTTATTCCCTTTGGATCAAATTTCAAATTCAAGTCATTAATTTTTTCATTAATTTCCTCCTTTGCTTTATCTTCAATCTCAATTATTTCATTTTCATTTTCATTTTCATTTTCATTTTCATTTTCATTTTCATTTTCATTTTCATTTTCATCTTCATCACCACTACTATTATCAATCTCTATTTGATCATTAGAATCATTCAGTTCAATTTCCTTATTATCTCCATCATAATTATCAATATCATCACTCTCTTCTACTCTTTGTTTCTCTTTTTTGATTCTCGAATTCATTGTTTTCTTCTTTTTATTTCCATTTTCATTTTGATATTGTCTTTGATTCTTATTACCATTTCTATCTTTACCTATTTTTCTTGTTCTTATTCTTGTTCTTGCCATTTTATACCAATCAATAAATTAATAAATTAATAAATTAATAAAATAAACAAATTAATAAATTGACTAACAATCAAAAAATTAATTGATAAATAATTTAATATTCCATGCATGTTAAAATGAAATCATAACATTATGAAAAATTGAAAATGTCCCGCAAGAGATAAACAATCATAATTTTTGGAAATTTACGCAACTAAAATAAAACTAAACAAAAAAAAATAAAATTTACAAGCCATTTAAAATAATTTTTATTCTAAATTTTTACTGTATATTAATCAAAATTAAATATAAAAGGTATAAATCATTCTAAATGAGTAATTAATAATAATTCAATGAAAAATTTCAAAGACTAAAGAATTAATAGAATGAAATTAAAAAAAAAAACTTTCAAAAAAAATCTATCAAGTTATGAACTTCCATGATCAAAACTTAAAAAGGATAAACACCATCAAAGACGCTACGTCTAGGTTCGTATTCATTGTCTAAAACAGGTTTTCCCATATCAATCATCTTACAATAGTTATTGAAAAAATCACTGACGGTATCAACAAACCAAGAAGTGTTATTTGGCTTTAACCAACTTAAATGACCACCTAAATCAGTACTAAGAAGACAACAATATGGATTAGCTTTAAATTCGTTCCATGGCAAATGAGTTCCAGTAACTGGATCATCTGTGGAGTTAATTGATAGTAATGGTGTTTTGATTTTGGGTAATCTGTTAACGGGAGAACTCTTTCTATAATAATCATAAGCAGTTTGAAAACCAAAAATAGGAGCAGTGAATAATGTGTCAAACTCAGGCAAATTTTTGGGTTGGTGTTGCTGTTTATACTTTTCATAATGAGGGGATTCTTTCAATTCGTTATAATTATTTTTAATGAGTTTAAACAAGAAAGATGTTACAGCAGGTGAGAAGATGTATTTTCCTGATAATGAGTCATGAAGGTGATAACTTGAATCAACCATATCCCATGGATTACCAATTGTAACAGCACATTCAACACCGGAATCTTTTCCAGAATATTGACCGAGGTAATTAACAACAGTAACAGAACCAAAAGAGAAGCCCATGACAAAAATTGGTCTATTTGGAAACTGTTTTTTCAAGTTTAATATCAATTGTCTCAAATCATCGGTTGATAAACCACAAAATAACTCTGGTGTTGTAATCTTGGATCTTCCACAACCTCTGCTATGCAAGCAAATAATCTCTTTGAAGACAGATTTGGTGTAATACAATTTTTCAACAAACTGTCTAATAATGGGTTCATGAGAGCCACCAGCCAACCCATGCAAAATAATCAACATTGGTTTTGAATCATCAGAGGGTGCATCCTTCTCATGAATTTCTTCTTCACTGAAAAATCTGGTTCTGGGATGCAACCTTGGCCAGCCTTCAGGATGAGTTTTTTTTTCTAATTTTTCAAATTCCTCAGTGGATAGATTTGGATCATCGATTGCATAGTCCAAAGAAGCAGTGCTTTTGCCATCTAAGGAGACAAGAGTTCTTCTTCCATAGTAGACCTTGTAGCTGTTCTTGAAGTCATGAGTGGACAAATAAAACGTCTGAAGAGCACCGTTAAACAACAATGGGTTCAAATAGAATCTTGCTTTGTCTCTGAAGGCTTTTGTTTGGTTAATCAACTGCTGGAAAGGTATGACTTTGGTGGAATCGCTTTCTAGCGAAGAGCCATCTTTCAAAGGAAGCTTGACTGTGTCTGAACAGTACTGGCGAACAGTTCCACGAAAACCCCAGGACAACATTGTTGGAGAAGACACACAAAATATAGCAAAGTTGGAAACACAGCAGAAGAAACTCAGAACAGTTTTCTGGCCTTTTTTCTGGAAGTGTTAAAGACTTGTTTTGTGCCGAGAAGCCGAACAATAGTTGTTATGCAACTCTTTTTGTCAGCTCTTTTTGTCTGTTCGTTCGCCTGTTCTTTTTTTCTTTCGTCCGTCCGTTCTTTTGGTCTCATTTGTGTATTTCTACAATATATACTCTGCTGGTTTCTGAAGATGTTCTAGAAGAATTGCAGCTGGGTCTGGCTCTGCTTGGTCTTTCTTCTTTTTACTGGTTTTGGCTTGCAGTCAAACTTCCTTTTGTCTAGAATTCTTTCCGCATAGCTGAGTTTGGGGCCAAGTGTTTTTGTTTCTTCAATATCAAACTGTTTTTTTTCATTGTCTGGGTCATTTTCTTGTTTGATTCTACCAGTTTTTGACAATTCCTTTACAGATATGATTTCAATGTCGTCAGTTATATCATCGATTTCATTTACAGTATTTTCGGTTTTTATCTGATTACTTTCTCCATTTTTTTTTTTGGAATGAAGAAGTTGAGTAATGTCAAAATTGTTTTTCGATTTAATACGATCGGATGAGGTTGATCCTGTGCTTTTTCTTTTATTTGATTTTTTTGATACAAATTGATTGATGGTAGAAGAAGAAGGCAGAGAAGAAGAAAAAGAAGAAGAAGAAAAAGAAGAAGAAGAGAAAAGTGAGCTTTTAACGTTTTTGCTTCTCTCTCTTTCCAGTTTTTCTTGTTGAATTTCTAATAGTTTTTTGATTTGATTTTCTTTTTCATTTTTTTGAAGGATTTTATTGTTTTTTTTGTTTTCGATGATATCTTTTTCCAACTTTTGGGCTTTTAGATATTCTTTAATTTGGTTGTTCTGTAAATCGAGAAATTTATTTCGAGTGATTTTGTTATTTTGAAGATTCTCAGTGGGGTCAATTTTTTTGGAGATAAAACTATCAATTGAAGAAAAGCCATCAGCTGGTTTAAAATTGGCTAGATGCAAGCTTAAATTTTGGCATGGGTAAGGTTTTGAGCCATTTGAGAGAATTAAATTTTCAAGTTGTCTCAAAAGGTTTAGAGAGTACTTGTATATTGTCTCTTCTAAGTTTTGTAGTGATATTGTTGGCAATGGGCATTGTTTTGAGTGGGATGATAAATTTAAACTTGTGTGCTGAACGGATAAAGTTCTTGGAAATCTTAGTTTAGTGGAGTTGGAATTAGAATTGGAATTGGAATTATTTTGTTGAGATGATGATGATGATGATGATGATGATAGGAACTGTTCTTCGTTTAGTTCTTCGATTCTTTGAACTAGATCACCGCAAAAAACTTTGAACCATTCATCAGCATCATTGGAGTCTTTGATGCTACCTTTACGAAAGTTTTTTCTTGAGCACATTGACTTCAAGTCTATTTTGGGGGTTACAGGGAGTTTGTGGTTACCTCTGATGATGTTGTAGAGGGTGAAGGCTAGGTTTGAGTCATTGTCTAGTAGGGCATTTAATTGGGGCAAAGAGAAGTTGTCTCTAATGAAGGAGATTGATTTTGAGGTTGTGTTTGGAATTTTTAGTTTGAGAGCGATAAAGTCGCCGGACTTGCCACCAAAGCCTCTAAAGTCTCTTATGGAGAAGTTTGTGAGGAAGTGATTAATTGCCGAGTTTCTGATGATTGATTGGTTGTTTGGTTTTTTAAAGTCCGAGGCTAGTTTTGCTATTGATTTGACCTTTGCGATGCCACAAGAGGTAGTGTAGCCTAGATAGGACTGGATTTGGTTTCTTAGTTGTTGAGTTAGTATTGATGCGATTAGGAAGAAGATGTCATCCCAATCATTGATAAATATTGTTTTATTATTATTATTATTATTATTATTATTGTTATTGTTATTGTTATTATCATAATTTATTTCATCAAAAGATTGAATGATTTCACCATTAAATTGATAAAAATAGTCTGGTAAAGAATCAGGAATTTTAGGTAAATATTCATTAGTATTGTTATGATTATTAAGAAAGTTTGTTGGAATTAATTGAGGAAATAGAGTGATAATTTTTTGATAAATCAATTGAGATAAATCAAGAAAACACTCATCTATACTAGCTTTTTCGACTTGATCACAAAAGTTTTTGAAAATCTTTAATAGTTTTCGACTTTCTCTTCGATATGGATCTAGAGAAACTTTATAAAAGGCCGGATTGGGAAAGTCTTTGGGATTAGTTGAGTTTACGGAAGTCCAAAAGTTGTGGCCTTTTTTAAAGACAGCAGTGTGAATAGGCACCAAGTTGGGACATTTAAGCAAGGCCTGTTGGAGAGTGTCGCCTCTGGAGACTCCATAGCTTTTGGCAGAATAAGAGACAGCAATTAAGGAATGCCACTGGACACAGACAACCGGATCATCTTGTGTGAAGCCATGTTTGATCTGTTCGACCTGGGAAAAAAAAGCGTTGACGTCGATGTGTGCGATAACTGATAAGGGAGATTTGAAAGCCTTTGAGGGATCAGATAAATCGGTGAAGTTCTTCCAGGTGAAAGAAGAAGAGGGACGATCAGGGGTTAAATTGTTGACAAGTAGGGTGTAGTTGGCAGAGGTTCTGTAGTTTGATTCCACCTTGGGTTCAGGGAGCGAGTCCTGGGAAGATTGAGCAGAATTGAGGTTGGAATCGTCGCTGAAGGAGAATGAGTGATTGATATCGACGTTGATATCGGCGTTGTTATCGACATCGTTATTGTTAACATGAACATCGTTAACATGAACATCGTTGGGTGACATTGTTTCCATCCACTAATGAGTCGATTGGAAAGCAGCTTGAAAAGTCTGGAAACGAAAGCAAAAGCAACAGAAGAGAAGAGTCTTCCAAAGCTTTCGGAGGCTCGTTTCGACCCAGCAAGACGAGATTCGATCACGTGGCCCAGAGAAAGCAATCCCGCACGCGCAGGGGAGGGGTGAAGTCGTGACACAGAGCCCTGGAACAAGCTTTGCGCAGTGCTGGTGCAGCAGAACCACGACAACAGCACAGCAATCGCACACCAGCAGAAACACAGGCGCCGCTGTGACTGGTCCGATCTGGCCAATCACAGCGCGCCGCTGCGCAGTGCCACGAGCAAGAGCAGGTCTGTCCGGATAGTGCAACTGCTGGAGCCAAAAAGGTTTGGTGCTGATTGTGGGGTGCTTGAAAAAACCAACGTCGGTGCAAGTTACGGCCATCACGCACCAGACAAAGACTCCTCTATCCGCATGCGTGTCCACTTCAACGGTGCTCAGTGCACGGTGGCCGCGCAAATTGCGCAACTCCCACAGCTCGCTCAGCTCGCGTTTGCCCGGCCAAGCGCGGTGGCCGCATTTGACCACACGCTGCACGTGCTCAGTGCTGCAGCTCCCGCTTCAGCAAACCGCAGAGCTTCTCCACAGGGCTGTGCCCGATAGAACGGGTGTGTGTGCAGGCGTGTGTGTGCAGATCTGCAGGAGTCTGCTCCCGCACAAACGCACTGCGGCTCCCAGGCGTTGCAATCCTGTTAGTGCAAGCGTGTATGCATCCGGCTGCGTGTGTCAATTTTAAGGCTCCGACGCTTTGTCAAGTGGCCCGTATCCCGTTACGGGAGGGACAAGCCAAAAGTGAAATTTTAAAAACATCTCCCAAAGAAAAATTTTCTATCCTTTTTCCTGATTTTGCTGTGTTTATGTGATTTGTTGTATTTATTGTATATTTACTATATATTTGTTATATCTATGTCTACTTATCGCTCTTTATCTTTGCTCTTTCTTACTTAATCCTCTCAATCTGGCTTTCTTCTCGAGTCTCTTTGCTCTCTAATAGCTGTTATATGTTCCCCAATATCGCTCCCTCCTCTGCTCAATTGCCTGCTAGTGATCTCTCGCCCTCCATTGCTAGTGGTTCTGCTTTCTCCAGCTCCAGCTCAGTCCCCAATTCTACAGCCCACACAAACACTGTTTCCACCAACAACTGTGCTTCTTCTGCTTCCACTGCTTCCACTGCTTCCACTGCTTCCAACACTATATTCAATTCCATTTCATCCCAGTCTCACATCCGTAACACCATCCCCAAATATAATGAAGCCCTAGAGAACTCCTCGCCCAGATCCTCTATTTCAAATCATTCTGCTCCTTTCTCATCAACTATAAATACTCCAATTCCACCACCCACCTCCAACTCCAACTCCAATAACAACACTCCCATCAATCCATCCTCAGCCCAACCAAAGTCTCTCAACAACAACTACTCCAATCTCAACAACTACATCGACAACATAAATTCAATTTTAAACTACAAAATCAGCCAAAACTCTCCCACCACCACAAAAAACTACTCTCTAGACAAAATGAACAACCCAAACCTATCCTCAAATCTCTCCAACCTCTCCAACCTCTCCAATCTATCCAACCACTCCACCTCAAACACCATTACCATCAACAATCAATCAAACCACATCTTCAAGGACAATGAACGAAACAGCATAACCTCTCTTTCATCCTCATCCAGCGGTTTCAACCTCTCTCCCCCAACTTTGCCTGCTCTACAAAACCTATCCACCCTCCAACCTCTCCAATCCTCTCAAAACGATTCCAACAACTCCACCAACGACAACGACAAATCAATCCTATCCCAAACCTCAAACAAATCTTCAATCATATCCTCAAATTTACAAAATAACTTCTCCAATAACAACAATCTCATTATCAACAGCAACAACAACAGCAACAACAACAACAACAACAGTAGCAACAACAACAACAACAACAACGACTTGAATCTATCCCTTTGCAAAACAAACACAAATGGCGCTACCAACATCAATCTATCTGATTCAATTTGGTCTCCAACCTCTGACAATTTCCCTTGTTTAAATTCAAATTTTAATAAGAACTTCCTCAACGATGATCACATCAATAGAAGATACACTCTAGGTTCCTTTCAACCCCCACAATACATCAATCCATCTAAAAATAACCAAATCATCCAAAATATCCCAACCACTCCAACCAACAATCCCACAAATAACAACATTAACAACATTAACCAACAGTTTGATCTATACCAAAGACTCTCCTATCCAGATATCTTAACCCCATCAAACAACAACAACAACAATAACAACAATAACAACAATAACGATTTCTCTAACATAATCTCTTCTCCCTTATCAACTAACGCAAACATCATTTCCTCAAGGTTTCAAAACAGAAACTCAATCAGTGCTGGTAGCGATAGCATCTTCACTACTCTTTCATCTAATTCTCACCCTTTTAATTCTTTAAGTTTATCTAGTTCTCAAGAATTACAAAAACCAAACAATTTCAATTTCAGCAACCAACCTCAATATATCAACAGCAATATCCCCAATAACAACCCCAATAACAACCCCAATAACAACCCAAACAATAACCCAAACAATAACCCAAACAACAACATCCCAATGTCGCCTTCTGTCACTTCCCCTTTCTTTAAATCAACTCAACCTCAATCAACCTCCTTTAACCAAAATTTAAACCAACCCTTCTCCAACTTTAACCAAAATTTTAATTCTTTCTCCCAATTCTCTCAATTCCCTAAATTCTCAAACGAATCTCCTTCTCCTTCTTCTTCCTCTGCCTCTTTTAATCAACAAATCATCAACTACTTTTCTAAAAACCCCCTCTCTCTAATTCAAAGATTAACATACGAAAATCTACAAAATCTAAATTACCAAAAACTTTTCTCAAAAAATATCGGTCAATTACCAAAATTCCTATTACCAATTAATAACAATCAATCTAAAAATGATCCTTCCTCAAATAACAACATCAACAACAACAACGACAACAATGATGATGACAATGACAAAAATAGCAGCAACGCCAGCCCAACTAATAACTCCCCCATGAATAAATTCTTTGTTTCAAATCTAAATTCGAATATCAACGACATCAGCAAATGCTTAAACAACATGTCTCTCAATCCCTCAAATTGCAATCACCAACTACTCCTAATCGCCTTTAAAAATGGAAGATTAGATATCTTCTATTTACCCTCATCTTCTCAATATTATGGCAACATCAAAGTTGGTGATCTAGTTCTCGTCGAAGCCGACAGAGGTAAAGATCTAGGTAAAGTTGCATCAATTGATATTTCAATTGATGATGCAAGATTAATTAAAATGTTACAATCTGAAGAACAAATTGAAGCCTTAAATAATGAATCAAATAATAATAATAATAATAATAATAATAATAATAATAATAATAACAATAACAACAACAATAATAGCAATAATCATAACCATAATAATAATAATAATAACAACAACCATAACCACAATAATAACAACCACAACAATAATAAAAATAATCATGAACAAAATGAAAGTCAAAAAATCCCCTCTGCTCAACAACAAATCCCAAAACAAGTTTTAAGAGTCGCTCAATATAACGAAATCTCTCAAATCTTACACAAACAAAACGACGAAATTAAGGCTCTACAAATCGTTCAATCAAAATTAGCTTCTCATAAATTACCAATGAAAATCCTTGATTCAGAATATCAATGGGATAGAAAAAAATTAACCTTCTATTATATTGCTAATAAAAGAATTGATTTCAGAGACCTCGTTAAAGATATGTTCCGTATCTATAAAACAAGAATCTGGATGTGTGCAGTCTCTTCAACTGACCCATCTTTAAAAAATTCTATTAATCAAGACCAATATATGAACTATAATACTATCGGAATGAATATCAATTCATCAATGAGCATGAACATGAACATGAATATGAACATGGGCCATAATATCAATAACGATATGGCTTTAAATAATATGAATATTTTAAATAATTTTAATAATAACAATAACAACATTATTAGTAATAATAATAATATGAACAACATGAACAATATGAACAATAATAATGGCTATGATCTCGGGTTTAATGGTATCAATAATAATAATATTAATAACCTTATGTATAATTTCGATCAAAACCAATTATTAGATCAAAGAGGGTCATTTAATTCAGTTGGTTCAAGTAACATTAGATTTAATAATAATGTCTTATCATTTGGTAGCTTAGATAACTCTTCAATTCCTCGTCCTCCTCAAAGTGCTCCAGAAATTTATGGAAATAATAGTCAAAACTTAAATGCTTATCAATCTAATCAAAGCGTCAATAGTGGAAACGCTACTATTATTCCAAATTTATGGAACTCTTCTTTTTCTAAAATTTAATAATTTTGGCTAATAAAATAAAATTTATTAGTTTTTAAAATATTCGGTTTTTTATTTTTTTTGTCACTCAATTTTTTATTTTATTTCCTTCTAACTCAAACTATTCTTGATGAAAACAAAATTTAAATTAATTTAAACATAAAACTAAATATGTATCATATACTTTTACCTGCAAATATTTTTTTTTATCACTCAAAGTTTTTTTCTCTCATTTAAAATTTCTTTCACTCACTAATTGTTTTTAATTATCATAGAAATATCAATTTCATATATAAAGAAATTAAAAAAAATCAACAAGCTTTTAAAAAATCAATTGAAAATTCAAGGGAAATGATTTTTTAATTTGATAATATTTTTAAAACCAAATTGATTTAGAAATATAGAAAATTTAGAATAAAAAAAATTGGATTTATAATATAGATTGGATTTTCATGGGTTTTTTATCATCAATAAAAAAGAAAACAATAAATTTTCTTGTTTAATTTACAATATTTTTTAGTTTTTTTTTTCAAAATCTTTTCTTCTACTCCTACTCCTACTCCTACTCCTACTCTTCCTTCTCCTTGTTAACTGAGATATTGTCAGATTAAAAAATTTATATTCATTGACTATCATAGTTTTAATGCCAACAATTGTTTTTTTTTGCTTGAAGCTCATCTTTTTTTATAAACTCCCGAGATAATTTTTTATTTTTATTTTTGATTTTACTTTTCTCTCACTTATTTTTTTCCTTTATAGTAGACTTATAATATTTGTTTATGTGAATCTTTGTCCAACTTAATTATACTTTGCTGTTGTTGAAGAATTCATGTATGCTGTGATACTAGATAGTATTTGTGATGACCTTACGAGATGGATATTAAAATGTTAGAAGCTTTTCTTATAAAACACTTTTCTTATAAAATACTTTTCTTATAAAATAATTTTTTTATATACCACTTTCATATAAAACACTTTCATATAAAACACTTATACAGAATAATTCGCCCTTCATCTCCTTCTGTAGCATCTCCAGCTCTGCTTCGATCGACTCGTTGAGTCATCAACTCGAAACACAAACTCGAAAGCACGAACAGACAAAGCATCCAGCTTTGATGCTCTTTTCAACAAGCTTTTTACCAACAGCCCTCTTCTCTGCTATTCTGCTGTTTCTGCTGCCCCAAAGACTCTTGTCATGTTAGGTCTGATCCCTGTCCTCAGAACAGCCCTTCACAGGCCTGTTTTCTCCAGACTCAACTCGTCTTTTGCTATCTCCAATCGCTTCTTCCAGTTCAACGACTGCAAAGAGTTGCCAGATAGAAAATACCCCAGTTTTGTTGCCAACGAGTACTCGAAGTTGAAGAACATCAAGTGGGCCACCCCATTGAACAACATCTTGCTTGTCAAAAAGCCTAAGGATCAAAATGTCAGGCTAGCAATGGTTAACTTCATCAACTTCATCCACGAAACATACAGTACACAGGACAACAAGGTCAACATCATAGTTCCCTACGATATTGCTGATGAGCTATCACAAGTCTCGACAAAAGAGCCCAGTATATTACCAAATTCTACTTCCTCTGCAATTGAAATCTTCACCTCCCAGCAGATCAACCAGATTATCGATAAGACTGATTTGATGGTCACTTTAGGTGGTGATGGCACAATTCTCAGAGCTGTTTCACTATTCTCCAATCTGTGTGTTCCTCCCATATTGTCTTTCTCTTTGGGCACTTTGGGGTTTTTGCTTCCTTTTGATTTTAAAAACTGCAGAGAGGCCTTCAATGCTGTCTATTCCTCCAATGCCAAAGCCATCAACAGGTCAAGAATACAATGCCATGTTCACAACCAAAAATTATACGCCATGAATGACATTATAATCCACAGAGGTTCTCTACCTCATTTGACGACAATTGATATATATATTGATGGTGAGTTTCTCACTCAGTCGACTGGTGATGGAATAGTATTAGCCACTCCAACTGGCTCAACTGCTTACTCTTTAAGCGCTGGAGGTTCAATTGTTCATCCCATGGTTCCATGTCTCTTGCTATCTCCAATCTGCCCAAGATCTCTATCGTTTAGACCTTTGGTTGTTCCATCGACTTCGCACATCATGATCAAAATGAGATCAAGGTCTTTGTTCAATACTCCAATATCCAAAATTAGTGTTGATGGTGTTCTACTAAAAGATTTAAACGATGGCGATGAGATTCATATCGTGAATGAATCTGGCGCTATATTTCAGCCCAATTATAAACAAATCCTTGAATCAAACAACAATTGCAAGTACAGTGGAATTTACTGTATAGCTAAAACTGAATATGACTGGACTAGAGGAATCAATGAATTATTAGGTTTTAATTCGAGTTTCAAGGGTTTCGGTCGTCGATAAAGAAGGAAAAAAACAAACAAACAAAGAACAATTGATTTTAGGTGGTTTGAATATTTAACTGATCAAATGATTAATAGCATTTAATAAATAATTTTTTTTATTACATTCATTAAAAACTTTTATTGAGCTAATATAACATAATAACATAGATAGATATGAAATTTGGCCAAGAAACAAAAGTGCCATAGTGAAAAATAGTATAAATATATAAAAATATAAAAATATAACAAAATAGAAACAAAAATGACAAAAAAAATAACTAAAGAATAAATGAATAGATAAGTAAACAAACAACTAAATTATTAAGAGGTGATGATAACCGAAATACTATAGAAAAAATATTTAAATTTGAAAGACTAAATTATAAATTATAAATTTTTATTGACTATTTTGTTTTTTATCAGGAGGGGGCGATATGGTATTTATATTTATTCTACCATTTGAATTTTTTTTGAAAACTGTCATTCCTGGTATATTATTCATTTCAACATCATTATCATTATCATTATCAGCATTGACATTAGCATCAGCATTAGCATTAGCATTAGCATTAGCATTATCATTGGTTTTATTATTATTATTATTATTAATAGCAGTAGTAGTGGTAGTAGTAGTAGTATTGGTTGAAGAATGACTTTGAGGAACCTCATCATTATCAATATCCATTTTTTCAGGATCATTTTCTTTTTGAGTTAAATTTTTTGAATTATTTTCATAATTTTTAGAGTCAATACCCTCAGCTTCATTATCTTCTTCATAATATTCATTTCTTGGTTGAATTTGATTATCACGAGCATATTGAGAACCACCTTTGGTATCAAGAGAAGGCTGAAGATCTTCATCGACATCGCCTAAATCTTCTGGACCATTAGGAGTTACATGCATTTGAACACTTGGAGCATGTTTTGTGCGTTCTAAATTTTGAAATATTTGCAACATAATTTTGTCCAAGTACTCAGGAGTGTTGGCATTATACATATTTGAGGGCCTGACATCTAATTTATAATCAGGACCGTAATATTCATAATAATCATTATAAGGTAATTCGTGTGGCAATATTTCGTTATTTAGAATACCAGTCTCAAAAGTCCAAGTTCTCGAAACATTTCTCATTGTATAACCACCACCTCCAACTACCATGAGTGGAATATTGAAGGACTTGACATAGTTGACACAATTGGCATGGCCTCTCATTGAGAGGTTAAAACAACCCAATCTATCACCAGAGAGGGAGTCACCACCAGTTTGAAGAACAATAGCTGAAGGTTGATACCATTCAATGATTTTGCCAATTATTGGTTCAAAGACAGATTTGTAAGTTGCATCATCAATACCATCTCTTAACGGGACATTTACAGCATGATACTTGCCCTTTGATACACCGATGTCTCTTAGTTCACCGGTTCCCGGAAAAAATTCACCATACTTGTGAAAAGAGCAAGTCATTACTCTATCAGTTGTATAAAAAGCTTCTTCGACACCATCACCATGATGGACATCGATATCAACGTACAAAACTCTAGGATGGTATCTTAATAGTTCAATGATACCAAGAACGATATCATTCAAGTAGCAAAAGCCGGAAGCTTCAGATTTTTTAGCGTGGTGTAAACCACCAGCGTAGTTAATGGCAATATCACATTTGCCTCTGTTAAGTCTTGCAGCACCTTCCATTGAGCCACCACCAGAGATACTGCAATATTCGAACAAACCATCAAATACGGGGCAATCTTCGCCAACGTTGAATTTGGCCTGTTCTTTTTGAAAGAATTCCAAATTATCAGGAGTCACTCTTGATAAAAAGTCTATGTATTCATCAGTGTGGAATTGGCACATTTCTTGTTTTGTGGCAGGTTTGGCACGATATATTTCCATTTTTTTGTATAGGCCATAGTTCATGATCAAAGAATGGGCCATTCTTATCCTATGTGGTTTCATTGGATGGCCTGCGCCATAGGCATAGTTTCCAACATCGCTGTCGTAGAAATAGGCCACACGCTTCTTTTCGCCAGGAACAGGAGCTATAGGATCAAAGGGCTTGAGCTGGTAGACCATGATAAGAAGAGAGAGAAGGGGGAGGAAATCAAGGTAAAGAGATGGTGAAATTGAGTAAAGGAAGATGAGTTGGGATAGAGGAGCAGGTATATAAAAGGAAGGTGAAAAAAGAAAGAAGCATTGTTCGTGAATGGGAGGGTGCACGAATCGCGTGTTATGTAATCAGCGCGAGGATTGAGGGAGTTTTGTGTTTATTGGGAATATTTAGAGTAGAGAGAGTAAAGAGTATATAGAGTAGGAGAGAGTGTGTACAGAAGAGGTTATTCGATGAGTTCGTAGAACAACATATAGACAGCTTCATTGCAACTGAGGACGTGGGACTCAGTGACTTCAGAGACTTCAGTGTCTGAGATTCGCCAGTATGGTTTTTTGAGGGAGGATTGTAGGAAAGATTTCTTTTTTTGTTTAGATTTTAAAGGGCGTTTATTTTGAGATTCGATTGAAACGCCTTCATTTTGTTGATTTTGGTTTTCTTTTGAATCTTCTTTTGAATTTTCTCTTGAATTTTCTCTTGAGTCAAGAATACTTGTATCATCTGAATCCTTTGTAGAATGTGTTAGAGAGGAAATGTTGCTTGGTGGTAAGTAGCCCGGGATGGAATTTTTGTTAATTTTTAAAGAAGAGGATGCCGAGGTGGGATTTGATTGAGCGGTGGTGGTGGTGTTGTTGGTGTTGTTTTTGTTGATTTGGATTAAGGAGGATAGATCGATTTTTGGGTCGTTGTTGGAGTAGTTGTTTTTTGATATTTTGAGGAAAGATGGTTTGTGTCTGTATGATTCGTAGTGGCCGGCATTGTGTGTTCCAGTATGAGAGATGATTGATTTGAGGGTGTAATTTGCGAGTATGTTGTTGTTTGATAGGTTTAAAGAGGAGTTGAAGTAGATTTTGCAGGAGTTTTTGTGTGAGCTGAAATCGTTTAAGAAGATTGATCTGGAAAGGTGGATGATTAGGATTTTTGGGAATTTTGAAAAAAAAGTTTTTTTGATGATGGTTGAAGAGATGATATTTTTAGAAGAGGAAGAGGAGGAGGAAGGATAGGGATTGATTGAAACGGGAAATTTGTAGTTTGAAATAAAGTGGTTTAGGTTGTCGGCTGTGGGTATGTCATCGTTAATTTTGCAGTTTTTTTCAAATTGAATCAATTGATCTAGTCTTTTTTGATTGGAATGATTGGAATGATTTGATTGATTTGATTGATTTGATTGATTTGATTGATTAGATTGATTAGACTGATTAGATTGATTAGATTGATTGTATTGTTCGAATTTGATGATTAGTTTGAGTTTGCATTTTAAACAGGAGTAATCGCTGATTGATTCTGTGTTGTTCAAGTTGATGAGATCGGTTAGGTTGATTGAAGATTTGTTTTGAGGTAAGGGAATTGAATAGATGTTGAAGTTTGAATGCTTGATGTTTGATACTTGGAGACAAGATAAGCAGGTTAATTGAGTTGATAAAGTTCCTTCAAAGGGAAATGAAATATTAGCGCTAATGTTATTATCAACATCGTTATCAATATTAGGGTTACTGTCGGTGAAAAATTTTGACTGAAAGAGATATTCAGTTTGCAAAGTTTCAATGATCAATTGTAATAGTTCATGAGCGTCGTGCTGATTTCGTGAGATTCTTGAATTAAACAAGGTTTCTAGAATGTTTAGAAATGGCCAGACCGAGATTGAGGTTGGCTTGTAGATTTGGTTCTGGAGGATGTTTACCATTGACGATAGAGACTGGTGTAATATGGGAGTGTTCTTGTCAATTTGGATACTGTGTTTATGAGCATGGGTATGAGTATCAGCATTGCTATCGCTATCGTTATCGTTATCGGTGACATCGTCATCAGGTGTATCATTAGGTGTATCGTTATGGAGCTGGTTCGCAACAAAAAACCCGTTGAAGAGGTTGAGATAAGCAACTAGAGAAGGCAAGGCGGCCAAGGACTGCAATGTGGAGTTGGCAAAGCAGTCGTTTCTGTTGTTGATGAAGCCAGTGGTGTGCTTGTCAGGTCTCTTTGCAGTGGAGCTCTCTTTGGAGCTGGAGGGTTTGAGCAAGGGTATGGAGGGAGAGACTACATAGATGGAGGCGAGGAACAAGAGGGAGTATAGGATCATAAGGCTTCTGTGCTTGGGCGAGAGAGAGGACCAGTGGGCAGCAAGGGAGAGAGCACCTGAAGGCCTCAATCTGGCGAGAATCAACTGGTTGCGCGAGGGCGAGAAGAGAGAGAGCGAGCAGAACATGGCGACACTGCTGTGTTGGAAGCTGCTGCTCGTTATATTGCGCTCGCTAGGGCTGGACCAGCTCCGACTAGGGCTCCAGCCCGTCCAAGCCACACCCATGGCAAGCTATAAATAGCGTGTTTCAGCTGCGCGCCATGGCGGCGGTGCAGCATGCGCACCAAGAGTGTCCAAGACCGCTAAGACAACAAGGCCTCTGCTGCCCGTGCGGCCTGCTTTTCAATGCCCGCTGCTGCCGCTGTCTCGCGTAGGCGTGCATCTTATCTTGCTGTTCCTGCGCTCTGGCTCTTTTCGACGGTTTGCTTCCTGCTCTTGTTTTGCTTCCTCTGTTTCTTGGTTTTCTCTTCACCTCCACCTCGTCCATCTCATGCTGCGCTTTTTCGGTCGTCTTCACCAACCACTGGATCTTCCTCTCTTTTCGCTCGTTTTCCACCACCAGCAATTCTTCACTCCCACTCTCTCTGCTCTCCATCCTCACTATACCCACGCTGCTCACTCTTCCACTGCCTGCACCATTTCAGTCTGTTTCGCTGTTTCACTTCTCCTTTGTTTTCTGTTTTTTTGCATTTCCCTTTTTGTTCTTGTCCACTTCCATTTGGTCTGCAACTTTTGTCTCTCTTAAATGGAGCTCTCTTCGTTCTTTCTACCTCAAAATGATCCTTCCAACAACATCCCCAACATGAAAAAAATCGACAACAATCTCAATAATCTCACCTCTCTAAAACACTTGACCAACAACAAAAAATCTTTCAAAATTGGAATACAAATTGACAGCAAAAAAGAAATTAAATTCAACAACAATGATTTAATTAATACTAGCCATGATGATGATTCAACTTCGGTTTTTACTATATCAAGAAATACTTCGCTATCCTCCTCCAATAATACCGTCACCAGTCATTTTAACACCAGCACTACCGCTGATAATAATAACAATATTAATAACAACAATAGCAATAATAACAATAATAACAATAATAACAATAATAACAATAATAGCAATAATAACAATAATAACAATAATAACAATAATAACAATAATAACGATATTATTCTTAATAATGACGATTCTTCTATTAAATCTTTATTCCTATCCACTCCTCCTTCACCTTCCGCAAACACTTTTCAAAACTACTCTCTCGATTTCAACAGCAATCCCAAAAGTTCTTCCATATTCGATAACAACATCAACACCTTGAATCTAAATGACCACTCCATTCAATTATCCCCAATCACTTCCTCCCTAGACCCTCCTCTATTGCCAAACAAAGTCCATCACAGACTACCTTCCAATTTCAATTCAAAAAGAAGAATCTCTTCTCTACCCCTACTAAGCAGCCACTTTAATAACCCTCTAAACAACCTAAACAACCTAAACACTTCAAATTCTGATTTATACTCTCAATCCTCTTTCAACCACATCAACACTCACACAACCACAACACCTCCTCTCTCTTTGAATAATAACAATAATAAAAATAACAACAATCACATCTCCAAAAACACAACATCCAATCCAATCACTAACGCCGACATCAAAAACGCAAATCTAAAATACTTCAAACGTATTCTCAACGACTACAAAAAACTAGATTCTGACCTATCCAAATTTAATTCAAGAAATGGCATTCACAGAACAAACCTCCTAAGACTCTCCCTACTCTCCTTTCTACGTCTAAAAACTGACGACATCTACAGAAGAGTCCCTCTAAAATACTCCTCTTCCCCTGCCACCCAGGGCGTCCTCATCTTATCCAAATGGTGGGAAGCCTTACTCTCAGTCCTATCAAACAACAAACACCCAGTCTCCTCTGCTGATAAAGCTGCCTACCTAGAATGTATCACCAGAATCCTACCCAGATACGAATGGAAACTAACCTCAAATTTCAACTCAAACATGCCTTCAAACATGTACCTCACCCTCCTATCAAGAACCCTATCTTACTCTATCAATCGCTTGAATCTAAAATCAATCACCCTATCAACTTCTGCCTTTGTGGGAAAAATCTTCGCCTATTCCTTCTTTTACCTCCCCAACGTCTCAAATGCCTTGCTTTTCCTACTAAACGTCAAATCTTCCTCAATTCAATCCATCTACAAGAAAAAATTCTTAAATTTATCCAATATCCAGCTAAATGACCTATCTTCAATCCAATCAATTTTAATTCAAAAATTCCCAAAATCAGTTCACTACCTAATCGATTTAAATAAAATTATTAACTCTTTATCCTCAAATGGCCCTCAAACCTTTATCGCCAACACCACTACTAATTCCAATCCCCATTCCAATTCCAATTATAATAACTATAACTATAATAACAATAATAATAGCAAAAATAATAGCAAAAATAAAAATGATAAAATTTTGAATGCCATCTCTCCACCAATCCATCCCGTTAAAGGTATCAATGATCCCACTGGCTCTTGGGTATTCAAATGGTCAAACAACAACAGCGAAGTATTTGCCTCATTCTTTCGTCACTATCTCTTCCTAATCTCAACCTTTATCGTAGACGACAACTGCTCCTTTCCAATCAACAAATCCCTAAACAATTACAACTCTCTACTTCTATCCCCGGGCTTTCTCATAATCACTGCCCATATGTATGAAATCATCACTTCAACCATCTCTCTATCCTCTTCAAAATTCAATTACCCCCAACAAAATAAATCTTCTTCAAATAAATTATCTTTGAATAACTTCTCTCAAACCTCAAACTCAAACTCAAACTCAAACTCAAACTCAAATTCAAATTCAAATGGAATACAACTAGAAACAAGCATAACAATGTCCTTTTTAAATAACCAATCCGACATATCCCCAATCAACTCCATAACAAAACTATTTCAAATCTTACGCGATTTCCTATACAACCCCTACGATATCAATGAAAGAGGTCTAAGTAACCTATTAATCCAAAATTTACACTTCCTACTAGAAACTTATGCATCAAATGTCACATCTTATGACTTTATCAAATCTGGCATAATCCTAGACTTAACTCAGGAATTTATACTCAACGTCTGCTCAATAGATGAAGATGACCAAAATAATGATGACAACATCCTACTCAATAACAATTTTAACCAATACATTAATTGGGACTTTTGGATCACCGCAATAAAATCGTTACTTCGAACCTCAAATATTAATTCTCAACTAAAGGCCTTTTCTTTTTTATTTAATATATATGACTATATTCCCAATGAATATGCCGATTATTGCGATAACCTCATGTCTTCATCTTCCTCCTATAGCAACTTGTTTAATAGTTTCAATAATTTCACTTTTAACCAAAATAATCAATTAATTAACGACCCTGATCAACATTACTCAAAATGGATCGTCAACTCAAAAGAGAGCTATAAATGGAAAATCTCAACCTGGTTATTATCTATAAATAATTGGAAATTGTTCTTTTGCCATTGGCAACCTTTAGTAAGATCCTATTATATCCGCTTAATTGTCTGGAAATTAGCTGGCTTGTCTGATTATAGAAACTATTCCTCTTTCGATGATACTGAAGAATCAATCAAAAGAATCATTAATAATAGATTGAAACTATCTTATGATTCAATTGCTACTTTGTGTGATTGGGCAAAAGTTGGAGCCTGTATAACGCCGGAAATGTATTCATCCAACCCAATCTTAAATCGAAAAATAACAATCGGTCCAATTTCTTTTATTGCTGGTGGCTCATCATTATCAAATATGAATAAAGTCAACAATAACGATAATAACAATAACAACAACAGCAGTAATAAAAAAATCAACGATTACAATAATATTAATATCAATGATAATAACAATGGCAATCACAGTTTACTGAAGGAAGATATTGAACATAGATTGATAAATACAGTTGTATTCAACGATATTGTCCCATCTGCAAGTACTAAAAACTTTAGGAAAATCCATTCATATGAAATCTTTGATGACGCAGTTTATAGTTTCTCACCTAGTTCATCTGCTTTGCAAATGGGCGTGACTGGAAGAGATAATAACGATGAATTTTTTGGAAATAATTTTTCATCATCTCAAAGTATTTACAGTACATCAAATATGATAAGCGGCCGGTTTTCATCTAATTTTCTGAGTAATAGCACCAATCAATCAGTAAAAAGTAACAACATTCTATCATCTATTGGAGCAGCACTAAGATTCTTTAGAAGGAATAAAAATAATTATACATCATCATCATCATCATCATCATCACCATCACCATCATCAACTTTCTCTAGTTTTGGCTCACCATCTGCCAATTTACCAATGGGTAGTTCAAGAAGTCGTATTACATTTAGCAACTCTGCACCACTGACACCTCAGACTCAAAGAATGAGTAGAAGATTAACGTTTATAAATGGGTTTAAATCAGTTCAATCATTTGCATCTATAAGCAGTTCCCGAACCAATAGTTCTCGAACTACTAGTTCTAGATCAACAAGTCCAAGTATTTTATCATCAGGGTTTTCAACGCCATCATCGGCTACATCATTTGAAGATTTATCAACAACATCAGACGATTCTTCAAGTTTTTTGTCTAAGAAGCGTTCAGGAATTTTGGGAAATAAAACATATAAAAAATTGGGAGCGATTGCCGAATCACCAAATTCAATGAATACTATTCCATTGCCTCCAGAATTTCATAAAAAGGCACCAGATATTCCAAGACCATCATTTAAATTTCAATTGGTATTTTCGGAAGAACAGATTCAAACTCAATTGTCAATAATAAACAGCAGAAACAAAAAGTTTTTTAATGTTAATGAATTTAAACAGAATAAATTTCCAGAGTATCCAAGTTTGCCGTTTGATAAGAAAAATAACTCGAGGTTATATGAGAATCTTGAGACGGATGATGAAGACAATGAAGATAATGAAGATAATGAAGATAATGAAGATAATGAAGATAACGAGGACAGTTATGATAGACATGGTATTATAATGAGCAATAGAAACTCACTATCAACCTATCATCAAAATCCCAAAATGTTGGAAAGGAAAACTATAATATCAATGAGCAAAATATGGGGAAATGCTGGAAAATCAATAAATGAGTGGAATGAAATTGTTGGTGAATATGAAGAATTTTTGAGCAAGTCAGCAAATAATTTTGGTAAACTGATGACGCGAAAAGCTGCTCCATTACTATTAGCAGAAGCTCCAGAGAATAAAATTAATGCATCCTGAATTATAACATAGACTTGCTTATGGTGTGTGAAACAGTCTAATAACTCCTCATGTTTTTTTATTTTTTTAGTTTACTTTTGATCTTCTTGATCGTTAATGCTTTAATTCTTCAGTTTTTTTTGTAATATTTTAATTTTTTCCATCGTTTAATTTTTTCTTTTTCTTTTTCATTTTCATTTTCATTTTCATTTTCATTTTCGTTTTCGTTGTTTAATTTTTCAATTTTCAATTTTCACTTTTCAGTTCTTTTTGATTAACTTTTTTTGGATAACTGTAACAATAAAGATATTATTTAATAGAGCCATCGATAAGGAATCAAACCCATAAAGTACAGATGCATGCATAGTAGCACTTTGAGACTATATTTGTTTTGCCGAGAAGTGGCAGATTTATTTAATTGTTTTTGAGTGTAGGAACTGTTATCAAGAGGAAATGGTTGGTATTTATTATTTTGTTGATTTGAAAAACATTTCTTAATCTTGCTCTCAAGAAAAAAAGAATTTACTTTCATTTCTCGTCTCCGTTCAAAGTAAGAGGATGGGGCAAAGGAGTTGTGTTATAGTGTGCTTTTTATACCTTTTTATTTTGAGGAGAAAAATGGGATGTGATTTCTTTTTTTGTTGAATTTGCAACTACGATTTATATGCTTTAGCTAAAAAATCAGAAATTTTCGAAAGATCACAGCTGTTAAGTTGTTAAGTGGAACAGATAAGAAAAGATAACAACGGTAATTCAGGTAGGAGGGGAAACATTTGCAACAATTGTGCATTGCAGTTTCTGATAGGAAAAACAGATAACAGGAAAGGGTCTTCTACGGCCTGATCTGAGCAGGCTCAAAGCAGCTCCAGCGTGGAAATCAGAAGATAAAGCTTCTTCATTGATTTTTCACCAGATTCCTTGTTGCTTCTTCATCCAACTTCCTTACTTCTTCCCGCCAGTTCTTCTCCTGCCGAAAAACACCTACTGCACCTGCCGACGATGATCGTGTGTTGCCGACGCGTTGATAGCGAGCGCAAGCCGGCGAGCCTTGACATCACACCGTCCGCACCCGCTTGGTATGGGACTTCTGCAGCTTCTAGCGCGCCCACAGAACGGGATCCCTTCACCGCACGGAACAGGTCCAGCTGGCCATCGGACATCCGACTTGCCCCAAAAGCCGGCGAAAAAGCTGCTGGAAATCTCGATACCTGCGCCGCACTGTGATTGGCTGGTGCTTGCTCCCAGAACATCGTTGCCAGCTGAAAAGATAAGAAGCTTTCACTGCAAATCTTCCTCAACGTCTCATATAAAAGTGGCCAAAATGAAGCAGATCAGTTATTTCAACATTACTTTTTTTTTCTCATCTTCCACTTTCACTCTCACAACATCCAAATCATCCAATTCCCAATTGCTACTCTATCCAAATCTTTTTTCAAAAAGAAACTCGTTTTTTTCGTTATTTAATCCAATTCTTGCTTATCCTTTTCGACTATCAATATTCTTTTTTACACACCCTTTTTTTTCTCTAATTGAAACAATTGACTACACACAAACATGACAATCACAAATAACACAACTGGCTGGACTGTTCAAGAATGGAAAAAATTTCATTCGGAATCAACTCCCGATCATTCCTATCAAGTGCTATCAGACTTGTTATCTTCTTTAGCAGTCGCTCCTGCCGATCCTGCCTGGATATCTATTTGCACCAAGTCTGAATTGAAACATCAGTGGGCAATTTTACAATCAAAATCAGACAAACACAAATTGCCTCTATATGGTGTTCCTGTGGCCATAAAGGACAATATCGATGTCAAGGACTTTGAAACAACTGCTGCCTGTCCAAGTTTCAAATACTCTCCAGAACGCGATTCCACTGTTGCCAAATTGCTAAAGAACGCTGGTGCCATCATCATCGGCAAAACAAATTTGGACCAGTTTGCCACCGGCTTGGTTGGCACCAGATCTCCCTACGGAAAGACTCCCTGTGTGTTTAGTGACCAGCACGTCTCCGGCGGCTCTTCTGCTGGTTCTGCTTCGGTTGTTGCCAGAGGCCTCGTTCCGCTAGCATTGGGCACTGATACTGCAGGCTCCGGCAGAGTTCCTGCAATGTTGAACAACCTCATTGGTCTAAAACCCTCCAGAGGCTTACTAAGCTGTTCGGGTGTGGTTCCGGCGTGCAAATCCTTGGATTGTGTTTCCATCTTCTCAACCAACATCTCTGATGCTCAATTGGCCTTAGATATCTTAGCTCAACCAGACACAGAAAACGACCAATACTCCTCCTCCTTTCCCTCCAATCCTTTACTCAAATTCCCAACAACTGCTCATTCTCCTTTGAAAATCGCTGTTCCATCAGAATTACCTTGGTATGGTGAAGTTGAAAACGAATTATTGTACAAAAACGCTATACTAGATTTCAAAAATAATCTCAATTGCCAAATTGACTCAATTGACTTTGCTCCTCTTCTCGAACTAGCAAAATGTCTTTACGAAGGTCCCTGGGTTGTTGAAAGATATGTTGCAACAAAGGAGTTTTTCCAATCAAACCCTCCTTCTGAATCCATCGACCCTGCTGTTTCCTCAATCATTGCTTCTTCAAAAAAATTTACCGCCGAAGACTGTTTCAATTTCGAATATAAACGTCAAGCAATTTTACAAAAAGTCAATCAAATTATCTCGAAATACCCTGTCTTGATTGTTCCAACTGCTCCATTGAATCCAACTTTTGACCAAATCGCTCAACAACCAATTCAAGTCAATTCTCAACAAGGTACTTGGACTAATTTTGTCAACTTGGCCGACCTATCTGCTTTATCTATTCCCACTGGTTTCAAAATCAATGGTTTGCCCTTTGGCATAACTCTAATTTCTCAAAAATTTAATGATTATGCTCTACTAAACTTGGCCAGTCAATACTTAAGCGCTCTCCATCCAAACAGATTCATTGGATCCCTCAAGCATAAATTAATCGGCGACGCTGATAAACTAATCTCAAATATCCCTAAACCAGATCTATCTAAATCAATTAAATTGGCCGTTGTTGGTGCTCATTTAACTGGCTTTGAATTACACTGGCAATTGGAAATCTGTAATGCTTCCTTTATCGCTGAAACTAAATCTTCATCAAACTACAAACTCTACGCCTTGCCCAAAACTGGTCCAGTAGCAAAACCCGGCTTAAGGAGAGTAGGCCCCACTGAAAGTGGTAAAGAAATCACTCTTGAAATTTATTCCGTTCCAATTGAAAATTTCGGAAAGTTCATCTCTTTAGTCCCTGAACCTTTAGGTATTGGCTCAGTTGAATTAAAGTCCGGTGAATGGGTCAAATCTTTCATTTGTGAAGAAATCGGCTATCTACAAAAGGGCACTAAGGATATCACAGAATATGGTGGCTGGAGAAACTATATTGAATCAACTCAAGCCTTATCTAAAGCTAAAAAGAAACCATTTGAAACTGTTTTAGTTGCAAACAGAGGGGAAATTGCTGTGAGAATTATCAAATCTTTGAAAAAATTAGGTATTCAATCTGTAGCTGTTTACTCTGATCTTGATAAATACGCTCAACATGTTGATGATGCTGATATCGCTGTATCATTACATGGCACAACCGCCGCTGAAACTTATCTCTCCATTGATAAAATCATCAAAGCAGCAAAATCAACCAACTCCCAAGCCATTATTCCTGGTTATGGCTTTCTCTCCGAAAATGCAGATTTTGCTGATAGATGCGCTCAGGAAAATATCGTTTTTGTCGGTCCATCCTCAAATGCTATCAGAAAACTAGGTTTAAAGCACTCAGCCAGAGCGATTGCCGAACAAGCTAATGTTCCTTTGGCACCAGGTTCTGGCTTAGTTAAAACTGCTGAAGAAGCAGCTTCAATTGCTGAAAAATTAGAATATCCTGTCATGGTCAAATCTACTGCCGGTGGTGGTGGTATTGGTTTGCAAAAAGTCGATTCGCCAAAAGATATTAAAAGAGTCTTTGAAACTGTTCAACATCAAGCTAAATCCTACTTTGGTGATTCGGGTGTTTTTTTGGAAAGATTCGTTGAAAATGCAAGACATGTTGAAGTTCAAATTTTAGGTGATGGTTACGGAAAAGCCATCGCTGTTGGTGAACGTGATTGTTCTTTGCAACGTCGTAACCAAAAGGTTATTGAAGAAACTCCGGCTCCAAGATTACCTGAAAGTACTAGACAAAAGATGAGAAAAGCTGCTGAACAATTAGCCTCTATTTTGAACTATAAATGTGCGGGTACTGTTGAATTTATCTACGACGAGAAAAGAGATGAGTTCTATTTTCTCGAAGTTAATACTCGTTTACAAGTCGAACATCCAATTACAGAAATGGTCACTGGCTTGGATTTAGTTGAATGGATGATTTTTATTGCAGCAGATATGCCTCCTGACTTTAGTCAAAAAATCGTCGTTACTGGTGCCTCAATGGAAGCAAGACTTTATGCAGAAAACCCAGTAAAAAGCTTCCAACCATCTCCAGGTCAATTAACAGACGTTACCTTTCCTGAATGGGCTAGAGTTGACACTTGGGTTAAAAAGGGCACCATTATTTCTTCAGAATATGACCCAACATTAGCTAAAATCATTGTTCATGGAAAAGATCGTAACGAATGTTTGCAAAAATTACGCCAAGCTTTAGATGAAACCATTGTCTATGGTTGTATCACAAATGTTGACTATTTAAGATCAATTGCCAATTCTCAAATGTTTGCTGAAGCGAAAGTTGCGACAAAAGTTTTAGATAGCTTTGATTATAGTGCCCATGCTTTTGAAATTCTTTCTCCTGGTGCTTACACAACTGTTCAAGATTATCCTGGTAGAGTGGGTTTGTGGAGAATCGGTGTCCCTCCTTCTGGTCCAATGGACAATTATTCTTTCCGTATTGCCAATAGAATTGTTGGAAATTCTAAAAAATCTCCTGCTATTGAAATTACTCTTAGTGGTCCAACTATTTTATTCCATAATGAGACTGTCATTTCTGTCACTGGTGGTAATGTTTCTGTTGAAGTGAATGACGAGGTTAAATCTATGTGGGAACCTACCAATATCAAAAGAGGTGACAAACTAACTATCGGAAAACTAACAACTGGTTGCAGATCATATTTAGCTATAAGAGGCGGTATTGATGTGACAGAATATCTTGGATCTAGATCAACATTTGCTTTAGGTAATCTTGGTGGTTACAATGGTAGAGTGTTAAAACTTGGTGATGTTTTGTTCTTAGGAAGTCAGCATGAAAGTGCTGTGGGAACTTTGCCTACACCTGATGCTGCACCATCATCAGTTCCATCAAATCTTATTTTAGATCTTCCAGCAAAAGAATGGACTGTAGGTGTAACTTGTGGTCCTCATGGAGCCCCAGATTTTTTCAAACCAGAATATATTGACACCTTTTTCAAAGACCAATGGAAAATTCATTATAATTCAAACAGATTTGGCGTCAGATTAATTGGTCCAAAACCAGTCTGGGCAAGACCAGATGGTGGAGAAGCTGGTTTACATCCATCTAACACACATGATTATGTTTATTCTATGGGAGCTATTAATTTCACTGGTGATGAGCCAGTCATTTTAACTGTTGATGGTCCTTCACTAGGTGGTTTTGTCTGTGCTGCTGTTGTTGCAGAATCAGAAATGTGGAAAATTGGACAAGTTAAACCTGGCGATCTTGTCAGATTTGTTCCAATTTCTTATGATACTGCTAGAAAACTAAAAGAAACTCAAGATAAATGTATTGAAGACTTATCAGGTAAACTTCCAACCTTAAACAAAGATAACGTTCTTTCCAAGCCTGAAAATCCTGTTCTTGCTGAATTACCAGCAACCAATAAGAATCCAAGGGTGATCTACCGCCAAGCTGGTGACCACTATATTCTTGTTGAGTATGGTGTCAATGAGTTGGATTTGAATTTAAGTTACAGAATCAATCGTTTAACTAACATGGTTGAACAAAATAAAACAGTTGGAATTGTTGAATTATCTCAGGGTGTCAGATCTGTTTTAGTTGAATATAATGGTTATGAAGCTTCTCAATCACAAATTTTAGAAACATTAATTGCATATGAAAAAGAAATGCTTAGTTTTACCAAATGGAAGGTTCCTTCAAAGATTTTCAGATTACCCATGGCTTTTGAAGATAAAAAAACATTGGCTGCTGTTACTCGTTATCAAGAAACAATTCGCTCCAATGCTCCATGGTTACCTAATAATGTTGATTTTATTGCAAGTGTTAATAATATTAACCGTTCTGATGTTAAGGACATGCTTTATTCAGCTAGATTTTTGGTTCTAGGTCTTGGTGATGTGTTCCTTGGAGCTCCTTGTGCAGTCCCTTTGGATCCACGTCAAAGATATTTAGGAACCAAATACAATCCTTCTCGTACATTTACCCCAAATGGTACGGTTGGTATTGGTGGTATGTACATGTGTATTTATACAATGGAGTCACCAGGTGGTTATCAATTAGTTGGTAGAACAATTCCAATATGGGATAAACTTTCTCTAGGTGCTCACAGCACAAGTCCATGGTTATTAACTCCATTTGATCAAGTTGAATTCTATCCGGTCACCGAAGAACAAATAGATATCATGAGTGATGAAGCCAGTCAAGGTCGTTTCAAGGTCGACATAGTTGAAAGTGTATTTGATCATGGAAAGTATCTTGAATGGGTTCAAGAAAACATAGATTCAATAAAGGAGTTCCAAGATAATCAAGGTGGTGAAAAAATGCAAGAGTTTAGCAGATTGATTCAAATTGCAAATGCTGAATTAGAAAAGTCTGGTGGTCCAAAAAATCTTGAAGAAGAAAAATTTCCAGAAGGAGCTGAAATGGTATACTCTGAATATTCAGGAAGGTTTTGGAAACCTTTGGTTCAAGTTGGTGATGAAGTCAAAGAAGGACAAGGTCTTATTGTTGTTGAGGCAATGAAAACAGAAATGGTTGTGAATTCACCAAAAGCAGGTAAAGTTTTCAAAATTGTTCATGAAAATGGTGATATGGTGGAAGCTGGTGATCTTGTTGTTGTGGTAGAATGAATAATTTAAGGATCTTTATTTACTACCAATTTATATTTTATTTTATTTTATTTTATTTTATGTATTTGTTTTATGTATTTGTTTTATTTTTTTAACTTTTAGTTGAATAATTTTTTGGGATGTTCTGTTATGAAATATATTTTTATTATTTAAAAGTGATTTGAATAAACTTTGTATTGTATCTAATACTGAAAACGCAAGAACTTATTAAATACAATTGCTCAATTTTTTCAATTTCTCGAAGTAAAATCAATGAAAATAACCAATGATTCTTGAAAACAGTTTTTAAAAGCAATGTATGACTTAAAAGTGCACTTGAACAAGAAAGTTTTTCAGTTTATGAGAGTAAATAAAGCTTTGAAAATTTGCTAGTGTCCGTTGCCTCATCCATAATTTGTTAAATCTTTATGTTAATTTTCAATAAATATATTTTTTCTAAATTTCAATGATATATATAACGGTTTTGGTAGTTGATTTGTTGTTTTATTTTCGTCTTTTCCTAATTGAATATTGAAAATGAGTATTCCAGAGGTTGTGATTTGTCTTTAATTTACTATTGTCTGGATTATAAATGGTTTCATCATCACTATAGCACAATTAGTGAAAAAGAATTATTCAGTTTTTAAGATGATTCAAGTGCATTTTTTTTTCTTCGATTGAGTTGAATTGCAGGATTATCTCTTTTATTTCTTTAGATCCAACAGGTTTTTATTCAAATAAACTCACAATCAATTCTTGATGATTTTTTAGAGTTGTCAAAGCTAGATGAATCTGGCTTTGTATCAAATTTTATTGTATTGAGGATAACAACTTAATCTATTGTCAGAATCCATTAAAAACTCATATAATGAACCATCTTGAAAACAAATATTTTTTTCTCAGTATTCCAAAAATTTACTAGTTGATAATTGTCGAAATACAAATAAAACTCTTCTCAGATCTCATCTTTTAGGGTAAATAATATATTTTGGTTATCATCTTAGATAAGAGTAAGTTTGGAGCTATTTGTGGCCAATTTGAGACTGTTATTATTCATATAATTTTGACTATTATTATTCAGGTAATGCTGACTAGTGTTATTATTAATTTTAGAAATCTCATTATTAGCTTTTTGATTTGAATTAAATATTGAATCAAAATCACAAATAATTTTTTCATTTTTTTCGTGTGTTAACATTGGAAAGGTTGTCTTTATAGTAAATGGTTTTATTCAAATTTTTTATCAGATCATCTTTACCTAAATTATTATCTAAATTATTATCTAAACCATTATCAAGATTTTCAGATTTATCTTCCATCACAGCAGAATCAGTTTTACCAGGTTCAAAAATTCGAGTTATAGGTTTGAAGAATTTATTTCTCTCTAAAGCTGGTTTTGAAAATAGTAAATTGGTAAGTAAAGTCAAAATTGTATTAAATTTGATAATTAGTTTTTTTTCATAAACATTGATTAGTAGAACAAAAGTAAACTCGACAATATAACCAAATAAAATTTCTTAGTTGCAAATTTGCTCTGTTGAAATAATAAATCTAATTGAGAATTTTTGAGTAATATATTTTTCTTATCAAATTCGATTAGCAAATTGTAGTCTTGTAAAAATATGGCATCAGTAGCAGTTCCTAGCTTAGCAAATTGGTTTAGAGAAATAAAAGCAATAATATCGTCATGAAACTCAATTTCTGCATCAAACAAGTCAATCCTATAATTATAATGAGTATTTAAAAGAAGTTTAGGATTTAAAGATCGAATGAAGGATTTCTTAATTGAAAAGAATACTAATTGCTTGGGACGTCTTCTAAATAAAGGAATTGAGTCCCGAGAGTGCAAAGAAAAGAGTCTTTTATTATTTGTTGCTGGCCATACTCTCTCATTTGTTTTCTTTCTGATATCATTATCTTTATCATTATCTTTATGATCGTTTCTAACGCTGTTATCACTCAGGAAATCGTCTCGATTAGCTTTTAAACTATCGATAAACTCATTCGATACAAAAGAAAGCTTTACCATAACTGGTTCGTAATCGACGTCACATTGATCTTTAAAATTTGGCAAAACATCTTCAAATTCTAGCTTAATTTTTAAAAGTTTCGTTAAATCAAAATACTTGTAGTGCTTTCCATTTAGACCTGATTCTCGTTTGCGAAAAACTCTTGCTAAGTCCTAATAAGATAAATGGGGATTTATCGTTTGATTCATAATTAAAATTTAAAGGTATTATTTTTGAGGCCAAGTTTGTGAAATCAAAGATTTTAGTTAATTTTATATTGTAATATATCTGAGAAAAATCCAATTGGATGATTTTAAGGGTTTCATTATTTAAATGATAGTTGATTTTTTGTTGATTTTTTGACCAGGTTATATCTGTGATGAAAAACGACTTCAAATTGTTTCAAAAAGAAAAATAATGAAAAAAAACAACTGGGAGTAAACATGTTAATAGTAAACTGGATAGATGAATATGACTTTTGAAGAACAATTATTTTGGAGTCTATGTTGGCAAAGTCAAAAAGAACAATTGGACAGTTTTCTTGTTGAATCGATAAAAAGAGATATTTGTAAATTGGTTAAAAACCAAGGAAATTCCCCAAAATTATTCATAAAAATGACAATACCATAAAATGCATTTTTATATAGTTGAAAAGCTATTTAGTTTTGATTTACTTTCAATCTATACTTTTCCAGGTCCTAAGTTTCGATAAATACTATTTCGAAATAATTATTTATGAAACTGGAAACTGGTTTCTATTACTGTTTATAAATGGTTTAAATAAATTACATATAAAATCCAAATAAAAAAGCCAAACATTGAGTGGTTCTATTGATCTTTTGCTAACTATTCAGCAAATGTGCGAGAATTATTCAAAGTTCCAAAAATAACTAAGAAAAAACTTCCTATTTAGAAAAGAAAACCATCAAAATCAGAATTATCAAATAATAATAATAATAATAATAATAATAATAATAATAATAATAATAATAATAATAATAATAATAATAATAATAATAATAATAATAATAATAATAAAACAACAGCAAATACAAGTTTCAACTAAATTAAAAGAAGTGAAAAATCATTGGAAACCAACACATCATCGTTGATTAAATCATCATTATTTTTATCATTATTGCTATTAGAAGTTGATGAACATTTGTGTTTATTTTGGATTATGAAATTTTGATTTGTAGTAATGTTTTTCAAAACTGAAAGATTAAGCTGCGGATTTAACATAGCATGAATTGTGTTTTGGAGATCAATGTCTTGCTTTGGATTAGATTTGTTGCTTTGAACTGGTTTATGACTGCTCTCAGAATAATCAGGATACTCAGCTTCTGCAAATCTTGAAGTGAGAGTATCTTTCGCTGGTTGTAGAGCTTGTTTAGAACGAGCTCCCCTGATTCTTGGTTTGCAACATTCTTGCTTGATGGGCTTTGAATCTGGTGAAAAATCAGTGGGAGAGTGCTTATTATTATCATTTGATGGCAAACTATTTCTAGATTGCAGAGAGGTAAATGAATTTGAACTCTCTTTATATTGGCTGCAATTAGTTATAGTATCTGCTCTAGGGATTGTGTTCACATCATTCTTTTCTGCAGCATTAATATTGCTCTGATCATTTGGAGCATTTAAAGAATTTAGAGCACTTGTGGAGTTGGAAAACTGACCAGCGAAAGAGCTGTTGATGTTGAAGGATTTTAAAGGATCAGAAATACTCTCATTAGAATCTAAACTACTATCATTTGAAACATTGCTACTAAAATCAAAATCAAAAATAACTTGGTTTAAAACAGTGTGAGCTCCTTTTGTAGTGTTATCTTGTGCAATCTGTGAAGTGTATGGTAGTGTTAAGTTGGGACCATCAGTTAGTGTAACTTCAGACGTATTTGAAACCAAATCCAACCCATTTTCTGCTAAGAGTTCAAAATTATTTTCTTCAATTGCTGAATCGTCATAATTGAATGTTCCAACATGATTAGCTCCATGAAAAGTAGTTATTGAATTATTATCAGTCCTGAAGTTATCATTATTGTCTTTTGATTTTGTACTTGAAGTGGAGAGAGAAGCAACTGTTGAATAAATTTTCAGTTTCAAATTATTGCCAACTCTCGAATTTCTTTGAGGGGTTCTATTTTGATCAGTTACATTGTTTCCTTTGTGAGTTATAGATAGTAAAATTTCATTATCCGATTCGTTTGACAGACCATTGGTATCTGAATTATAATCGATGCCATTGGCCATTTCATTGTAAATTTCTTTGGAATCAGCTTCTTTGAAATTAAGAATTAAAATGGTTTGTTGAAAAATCTCGATAGCTTTAAAACTGGGTATTGATATTAAAAATTTGATAAGTGAGATTAATGTTGTATTAAGCTTTAGGATTAGAATTTCCCCATAAACATAAACTATTTGGAACCAAAAGAGAGCTGATAGTGTAAATATATAAAATTCCCAAGTTGTATTATTTTGATTGTGAAATGACAAATTTAAGGTAGAGTCTATGATGAGTAAATTGATTTTATTGAATTCAATTATTAGGTTATAATTATTTGTGTATGCTTGGATAGGATTGGTCTCGATTTCTTTAAAAGACCATTTGATAAAGGAATTGAAAGCAAGAAAATCACTAAACGAGTCAATATTTTCGTCAAACAAGTCTATATTGTATTTACGACGACGATTAGGAATGAGAGAATGAATAAATGATTTTTTGGTTACAACAAACACTGAAGAATCGTCGTACTCAAGCAGAGAATGGTTTTGTTTAGAATCAAGCGAGAAAGAGTTTTTGTTCTCAGTTATTGGCCAAATTCTGATGTTGTTCCAATCTTTTTCTGTATTAATATTGTGAACAGGTTTTAAATTGTGAAGAAACTGGTTTGGTATAATGGATAGTTTAATCATAATGGGTTCATTTTGAACATAGTGATAATCATTTGAGTTTGGTAAAAGATCAAGGAATTTTAGGTTGATGTTATAAATTTGATTTAAATCAAAGTGAGCTTTTAGTTTTGGAATATATAAGGTGTTTTCTAAATTCAATAGTATAAAGGGAGGATTATCAATTGATTCATAGTTAAAATTCAAATGTATTGTCTTTGAAGCAAATTTTGTGAAAGAGAGGATATTAGATAAAGTTATGAGTAGTATGAAGAGTATGTAGGGGATAAAGTATATTACTAGATATTGGAGGATTATCAACTCCAGCAAAATTGAAAATTTCATTATTTATTAGTAATGCTATTGGTTTTATTGAAGTATTAAAAAGTGGGAACGTTTTGATTGATAGATTGAATAGTAAATATATTTATTGTCCATTGGAAGCTCATAGAGAAATTAAAACTAAATCAAAGATTAAGGAAATATTACATTATTATTACAATAATGAGATATAACACAAAGAATGAGTAACAGTTAACCAAAAAAAAAAGGAATAATCAAAATCATTTTACAATAGAGAGATTAATTGAGATAATCGAATGGAAGCTAAAAAATTGGATAAATTAAGGAGAGTTTTTAGAGGCTACTTGAGTGAAACAATTTTAGATCAAGATTTAATCAGAGTTAAACTATTTCAAAATTGATCAAAGTCAAAATTTAAACTATATACGATGAAAGTAGATTTAATTAATTCTATAATATACTAATGTTTTGAGAGAATAGTATTTGAGTTCCTAGATCTAGTGTTTTTGTAGTAATTGAAAGAGATGATGAATAATAAGTAGATCAAGATGGAGACGAACCAAATTAGGGAGATGCCAGTGATATAGGAGAATACTTTAAAGTTATGGAGATAATATCTTAAACCTTTATAATTTAAATTGATTTTCAAAATTGAATTTATGTTATCTAAGATGATATTTGGGTTGTTGAATTCAATTAAAACCGAAGAATTTTTCAAAAATGGCAAGTTTTTGATATCAAATTTGTAATCCCTTAATAAGTCTAAGGAGTAAGAGTTCAAGTTCAAATCATTATGATGATTTTTGCTGTTGAAACTAGTGAAATAATTGATCAAGTTATTTGGAAAATTGTAAATTATTGGAGGTAAAAAGGATTTCAAAATTGGGGGTAAGAACTGGTTTTCAATAACATTATTATTGTTGTTGATACCATTGTAGTTATTATGGTTGTTTTGAGTGTTTGAACAGGATACTAGGAAGTTGTGGAGTATCGAAACCAATATGTTGCCATTGTTATTAAGATTGTCGTTGACGAGAATAGAGCTGGTTAGAGGCCATGAATTCACGATCTGAGAGGCCCTTGCATAGTCGGTATTGTCGTTGTTGTAATGTTCATGAGTGTGTGTAAAGTCTCTGTTTTTGTTATTGTTCAATTGATAGTTTAGAACCAAGTCGTCCACAAGTTCGTTGTTCAAAATGGAAAACTTGATCATCAAAGGCAAGTAGGCGAACTTACTGAAATCGCAGTAGGACTGGAAGTTGAAATTGAAGTTGTAGTGGTTGTTGAAGGTGACAAGGTTTAGAATGCTGTCCTCTATGTGGTTCAAGTCGACCAACACAAAGGGCGAGACCCTGTTGTAGATATACTCATAGTTGAAGTTCAAGGGAACGATGATGGTGGGAATCGGAAGAAGATAGTTGTAGATCTTGTCAAAGAGGAAGAAGGACCAAAACAGAAGCACTAGGAAGATGGAAACGCCGGCCACAAAGGAGTAGAGGTATGCCCTCGTCACAGTGAAGGGAAGGCTGTAGCTGAAGAAGAACATGGCTGGAGCTTCTCTTCATTGCTAACCTCCTTCTGGGCGCAAAGGAGTCTGATTATATCTGCTTCCCTTTTCGGCAAACGCTGCCCGGCTTTGCCTTTTGTGCGTGTTTGTGATTGCTCCTCTGTTGCTTCTTCTTCTTCTGCTGCTGCTGCTTCTGCTTCTTCTCCTAGAGCTCTCTGTGCCCCCCTACTCGAATTGATCCCACGATGTCTCTCTATTATACTATGGTATGTTTGCTCTCTACTCTCGCCCCTATACACTGTACACACACTAACCCATCGATGTGATCCACAGGTATTCGCTATATTGGTGACCGAAATGGTCCTCTTTGCCTCGTTGTCATTGCCTTTGCCCAGCAAGCTCAGACGACCATTGTTGAAGACCATTAGCCAACCGTTTCAATCCAAACAGTTCAAGGTCGTTATGAGGTGTATATTGGCCTTCATCTTGCTTTTGTTTGTCGATGCCTGGAACAAACTTTCTGCCATTGACCAGGAGCTCAAGCTATCTGAATCAATTGTCGCTGGCACTCCAAGAAGCGAAATCCAAGCTAAGAAATTCTATGCTCAAAGAAACTTGTATCTTTGTGGATTCTCCTTGTTTTTAACTTTGATTCTCAACAGAACTTACTCCTTGGTCGCTGAATTGATCTTGACAAAGGATAAATTAAGAGCCAAGGGCATTGACCGATTTTCCGATAGCCCTTCTGCTGTTCAAATCAAGAAATTAAAAAAATTAATTGAAAAGAAAGATGAAGACATTGAAATCTTGAAACAAAAGGCAAAGGATTTATCCGGACAATATGACTCTTTATAACTTCCTTTTCTCAAATCTATTGTTTTATGATTTCATAATCTAATTTATCTAAATTTAAGCTCTAACTAAACTGAAATAAACTGAAATAAACTTACTTATTTTAATATTAAATTTACTATATATATATATATAGACAATACTATATATAAATACATAATAACTACTTATTGAAAAGAAAACAAAAAAAAACAACTCATAAATTTATTCTTTAGTATCATACGCACTACTTTTATGTTTTGGCTGAAATTGAAAATCCTTATTTGCTGGCCCTAAAAACATCTCACTTATCTTGATCCAATCTTTATAATCTGATGAGCCCAATAACGTCTCCATCTCATCTCTTCCTCTCCAATTTGGTGGTCTTTCATTCAATTTACTTGGCAACCTCTCCAATATTCCAACTGGAATATATCGATGAAAAAATGAAATGAATTCACATAAAAACCTTCTACTTAATCCAACTCCATATTCATCACTGCCCCAATGTTCTAACGCCAACTTGGAATACTCTTTTAATATCTCTAATCTTTCAGAACTACTCTTATCAATATGTTGCCTTTTATCGATTTCCTCAAATATCCAGGGCTTAATCAACCCTCCTCTAGCAATCATAACGCTATCAACTCCTTCTCTTGCCTGATTATTATAATAATCCTCATAATTATATACATCCCCATTTCCAACAAAAAACACTTTACTATCATCTCTCAACTCTTTATCTTCCATCTTAGCTAAATTCATTTCCTCAACAACTTTACCAACTTCTGCAATATAATCCCAATTACTTTCTTTAGTATATCTTTGTTGTCTTGATCTACCATGCAATGTAATCACTTTGACATCTGTCTCGTTAATCAATCTTTTAACCAATGGTATGGCAGTTGGCTTATTGTCTCGAACTCCCATTCGAATCTTAACTGTAATGGGAATTTCATCTGAACATGCATTCATTCCTTTTAAAATTCTAATCAATCTTGACGGTTGATCCATCAACGCAGACCCAGCTCCTGCTCTATATAACAAATCAATTGGACACCCACAATTTAAATTAATCTCAGAAACAGACGTCAATAATTTAGATATAGCTTCACTAGCCTTACATGCTTCCCAGTGTTTAGCTGTAGCTATTTGAACCCCAAACCCAGGATATTCCGAAATATGTGCTTTTGGTAATGCCCACTCACTATTAGACCCTTGAATTAATGGCAATGCTAACGCCATTTCGGAATATGTAATATCTACATCATAAAGCTTTTTCAATAATCTTCTAAAGGGTAAATTTCCGACAGTTGTAAGTGGCGATAAGATTTTCTTATTGTTATAATCTAATTTTTTTTTTTCACATGGTAAAAATGGTGGTTCAACATATTCATAATACTTTTGTTTGGTGTTTTCAGCCTTTTCATTTTCATTTTCATTATTTTCATTTTTCTCGTCTTTATTTTCATTTTCATTATTTTCATTTTCCTTGTCTATTTTCTTGTTTTTGTTTTTTTCCTTATCTTCTTTAGTGGTTTTATTAATTATATTATTATTCTTGGTTAAAATATTCAAATATGGGATAAATTGTTCTGATTTTTCAAATTTATAGTTTTTTTTTTGTAATTTGTATTTAATTTCGCCTTCAAGACAATTGATTTCCTTATCTGTTTTAGATGTTTTCTCATATTTTTCTAAATCTTTAACTAATGTTTTAGTCTCAAAATTAAAATGACTTGATAGCCAACGACATTTCAATCCGGCTGGACAATATCCAATGGCTTCAAAAACTGGACAGGCTCCCTCAATTTCCTTTTCTTTAGATTTTAAATAAAAATCAATATCATGAGTATTTCTACAATTTTCTGCACCAAATTTACACTTTCTATTTAAATTGTCTGGATCAATTAAACTTGAACACAATCTAATAGTTTCATGTGGTTGACGTAAATCTCTATTCTTATTTTGTCCTCTTTTCTTTTGCGATTTTTTAATATTTCGTTGTTTTTTTTTATTGAACTTATCGCCAGAGTCATTTACCGATAAGCTTTCATATTTAGGATTATTGTTGACATTTCCTTCCATCTCATCATCATCAATCGCTGGACGAATGACATTTTCAATTATATATTGTCTCTTAATTTGAGCTACACCCTTGATGTCCAAATGACTGTTTGATCTCTTAAGGGATCTAGGTTGAGATTCTAATTCGGTTTTTTTTTCACTGCTGGTTTCCTGTGTCATTTTCAATTGTCCAAGTGCTTCACTTTCTCAATTATTTCTTCAAAAATTGTCCACTGATAAATCTTGAAACAGAATTACACTTTGAAAAAAGTCAAAACAAAAAAATAGAAAAAAATAAAAAACTTTTTTTCTCCACCAAAATCTGAAAAATTTCGACAAAAAGCGGTCCGCAACTACCTTCCTAAAGCGGATAAGCAAAGAAATTTCCAAAATTTAAATCATTTTCTTTAACAAGAAATTGGCGAATTTTATCTTTTGAACTGTTTTTATCGTTGTTATCGTATCATCTCTATTATCTTTCGACCATCTCTTGAGGGTGAATATATATATTGTTCATGTTATTTACCTATCATTCTTTTGGTTTTTCTCTCTTATAGATATATCACAACATCATAATTTTTTTTATTTTTTCCATAAAATCACACCAATTTAATATAATTTCCACTCTTAGTATGACTACAAAAGTTTCTCCATCTTTTGCTAGAATTTCACCAAGAAACTCAGCTCATAATCCAATTAACATATTCAAAGAATGCAAAAAACAAGGCAGACCAGCTTTCATATCGGGGCCAATGGTCCGATATTCTAAACTACCCTTCAGAGAGTTGGTTCGTAATTATAATGTCGATATTGTGTATTCTCCAATGATTTTGGCTAGAGAATTTGTGAGAAACGAAATAGCAAGATGCAGTGATTTTACCACAAATGATAAAGATCGTTCATTGGTTGTTCAAGTTGGTAGTAATAATGTTGTCGATTTTCTTAGATTTATTGAAATGATCCATCCATACTGCGATGCAATTGGACTAAACTGCGGATGTCCAGTGAAGGAACAAGTGAGATCAGGAATTGGAGCAGCGTTAATGTCAGAGCCCGAAAAAGTGGCTGAAATGATAAAGGCAGCAAAGGATAAATTCGGAGATAAAGTCACTCTTGAGACTAAAATAAGAATCCATAAAGACATACAAGAAACAGTGAGATTTGTGAAAATGGTGGAAGCAGCAGGAGTCGATTGGATAACAGTTCATGGAAGAACCCAGACAACTCGGTCATCACAACCAGCCAATTTCGAGGCAATTAAAATCATAAAGGAATCAGTATCAGTTCCAGTTGTTGCTAACGGTGACTGTTTTTCATTAGAAGACGCCCATCGAATTGCAAATGATACAGGTGTCGATGGTGTTATGGCAGTTCGTGGTATATTAGAGAATCCTGCAATGTTTAGTGGATATAAACAGGTGCCTTGGGGTGCAATTGAGCGATTCTTTAGCATAGGCGTATCATATTCCTTGCCCTTCAGAGTGTTTCAACATCATTTGTCAACTATGCTTGAAAGTCAAATTTCCAAACAGCTTCGATTGGAATTGAACAACTGCAAAACTCTAGTTGAGTTGATTGACTGGTTTGATGCACACTTCATGCTTCGAAGGTCCACAGAAGAAGGCTACGGGAAGGGCGTAGAGGTAGACTATTTGGTCAGACCCAAGGAAAACGAGTGCTCATTCAACTTGTAACATATCTCTAGCAAACACTGAACATCTTTCAGTTTATTTTCCAGTTTGCTCCATTTTTTTATCTTTCATCGCAGGTTCAGTTCGGCAAATATCCAGCTTTGTGGATCAAAACCATCAGAGAGGGTCAACTTCCTCGTGCTTAGAGCCCTGATTTTTTTGGGGGAGTGAAAAATCAAAAATTTCACTATGGTTTTTTGAAGAAACCTTTCTCTTCAGAAAATACTGCTGATGATGTGAGCAAGAGAGTAGGAATAGAACTGTTATTAGGGTATGTTTTATTTCCAGTGTTGAGAAGCAGAACTTTGAAAACAATAGGTGATGATACTTTTTATTTTTGTTTGAGCATTAGTACGAAGAAATCGTTTTGATTGATTCATTGCAATGAACTTTACTTGTTTTATAGTCATAGTTACACTGATATTTATTGTTTTCAAATTGATTTGATTTTTTAACTTACACAGCTTTTGGGTTTTTTATCTTAATAATGATTACTAACAATATGATTTGTTTTATTCATATAGATTTGATATTATATAAATCTCTAATACATTACATATTCCACTAGTTGTTTTTTTTCAAAGTTCCACGTTGTAGATTTGTAAATGCGTTTATATTTTAAATTTATTAAATGAAAATTTATCAGTCTTAGGAAAATACAAAAAAAAGAAAGAAAAAAAAAGGCAATAACAATAGATTTTACAGAGCATTTTGAGATTATCATTAATTAATTATTTTGGAAAAATACAATATACATTTCATAAATAATTTTTAATGTAATATCTTCATATTATGTTGTATTATTTCATTTTAGTTTTTAGCTTTTAGTTTTTAGTCCTAAATTAATTTAATTAAAAATGTTTGGTTATTGTTTATTATGACAGACTGAATAAATAAAAAATGTATATTATATTATAATTATGATAATTACGATAATTAATAAATAATTTATTCATCATCTTCGTCAACAACAACAGTTTCTAAACCCTTAGCAGAAGCAACAAAAACTGGTTCAACATAAGAAAATAATTTTTCAGAAGCATCTTCTTCTTCGTTACGTTTTCTTGAGATTTTAATTCTTAATCTGTATGGAACACCTTGAATACCACGTTTCCAGATTTCTTGATTTAATTTTGGATCAATACGAACGTCTTTTGTGCCCATATGTAAAGTAGCAAATTTTTTAATTTCTTTAACAGCCTTTGGAGCACGTTTTTTGAATTGTTTTCCAAACAACTAATAAAAGTAAGAGTTAGTAAATGTTTTAGATAAAAAAATCTCCTTTTCTTTTAAAAAAGAAAAAATCCATAAATATTATCGGTTATCAATAATTATTCAAAAAAAAAAAAAAAAAATTAATTATGATTGAATAACAGTAAACAATTCAGAATTTTATATTAAAAAATTTAATTAATTGTTTGTATGATTTTGTTTTGAAATAAAAAGTATAATTATGTTATATTAAAAATTATCATCGTGTTTTTGAAAATTTAATATTGCAAAATATTTCTTATTTAAAGTTTGCTTAAATTTACTCAATTACTTAAGTATTTAATTTTATGTGATTTTCAATAATCTTGTTGTCTTTAGTGATTGTTCGGTTGAATTTATCAAGAAAAAAGTTTAATAATAAAAATCAGATAACTAATTTGAAATTCATCAAATTTTTGTTATGTATCTAATTGCAATTTTGTATTTTTTAAATCGTATTTCCAGCTGCAGTTTAACTTTTTATTTTTTTATTATTCAATGTTTTTATTTTTCTATTTTTTTATTTTTTTATTTTTAATTTGTTTAATTTTTTGATATTATAAATCTTTATCTCAGAAAAGTAAAATAAAGAATAATTGTTTATGAAGTTGTATTTTATTAAAAAAACTAAGGACGTTTGCCTATCTTTTAAAAATGGTTTAAAAATGATTTAAAAATACTATCAAATTAGAATTATTACAAAAATAAAATAAGATAATTGGATAATATTGAAAAATTAAAAAATTGAGTAAATAGATCAATTTATGTGATAATTAATGGATTTTTAAATAATTATAGGGAGTTTTGATAGAGTTTTGATAAATTTTTAATAAAATTATTATGAATTTTAATATATTTAGAATGATTTTAGTGAATTTCGGTAACTATTGATAATAAGATTCAATTGATTTTTTAATGATAATAATGATAATGATAATGATAATGATGAATAATTGATAATGAAAATACGTACTCTTTTGTGGAGATTGATGGTATATTCACAAGTGACAACGTCTTTGAGAGCACTTCTATTGTTAGACATTTTTTATTATTTAAAAATTATGAATTATATTTGATTATATTTGAATTAATTTTGTCAACGATAATATATAATTGTCAATTTTTAAGTAATTGATTGATATTGGAGATTGATGAATGAAGTAATAGAAAATTGGAAATTTGAAAAAAAGAAGGTGCCAGAAAAAAAAACAGGTAGCACGTGCACAATAAGGTGTATAAAAGCAAATGTATCACGCTTTTCAAATACTAAATGAGAGTAATTAGGAAATAAGAAATTGTATTTGTACAGGGTAGTGAATTTGAAGAGAGATGACGTTGTGAGCGATGAGATATGAAAATCAATAAGTGCAAGCGTGATTGCAGTAAAGCCCTATTAGAATACACATGATGAGCGAGAATAGATGAGGGCTGCATTTTGAAGTTGATTAGGGATATTTTGTTGATAAGAAGGGTAAAATAGATAAGAGAGAGATTTATTCAAAAGTATATAGTTTATTTAAATTTTGTTTCCAAAAGGCAGTTAGGAATTGGGAATAATCAAGAGATTTTAATTGGTCAGAATCAGGAGTGAGGAGTGGATGAGTTGAAGATTGATCGTTTTTTAAGATATCTATATGGTTGTTGAAAGTTCTTAAATCCAATTCAGCTAAAGCGCAGAAACAACACAAAATTCTGCCAGTTATTCTAGTTTTTTTATGTAGCTCTAGTAGGTTGTCTATTGAGGATATGGTTGGTGGTGATTTTAAGGGTTTGATTATATCGTTGTCTAAGATTGGGTTATACTTTAATAGGATTTTTTTCAAAGATAGAATTGAGTAGTTTGAATCTAGATTTGAATTGTTTTGAGATGAGGAAGAGGATTGAAGTGAGTTTATGGATAAGAGTTTGTTGAAGTAGTATTCAGCGTTATCGTAATCACCATGTATGAAAGAGATTAGAGTTGATAATAAAGCAAAATTCGAGGATAATTTTAGTTCATAATTAGTCAAGTTTTCGTCATTATTATGCTTATTATCGAGTGATTTGAAGTTTGAGTAATTGAGAATTGAGTTGGAGAAGGATATAAAAGTCAAGTAATCTCTTTTCAAGATTAAATCAGCAGCTATGTTATAGGAGATAATATGAATCTTTAGATGATCAATTAGAGACAGATTTTGATTATCGAGGTTATTACTGAGGGTAAACCTTAATTGCCATATGATATCATATAGGGATTTGATGAAATCAAAGGAGTGGTTTAGTCTGAGGATTAGGATAGATAGATTTAAAGGTAGTAGAAAAAGGGAGTTTTTATCGTTTAGTAGGATGGATAGTCTTTTGCTTTCTTCTCTTGCAAATTTTAGATGGTTGTTGGCAAAATTGTTTGAGAGGATTAGCGAAGACAATCTGATTTCCCAGATGCTGAATAGGGTTGTCTTGTTATAAATTGAGATGTCAGTGTCGGCATTGGCGGATGAATTTGCAGTGTAGTTGGAGAGATAGAGTTTTGTCAAGTCGACAATGTTGAGGAAAGCAAGGAAGGCCTGGTTGTTGTCGGCAAGGATGTCGTTGTAGGCGAGACTCAAGAGATGGTTGATCTGGAGCACGATGGAGGAGGCAGACAAGTGAGAGGGAAGAGCGACCTTGCGTTCAGTGTGCGGAATGAGAACCAAGAGATTGGGGTCGGCAAGAGCAGTGACAATGGAGGCCTCGATGTCAATTGCACCGGGCTTGTTGCTGGAGGTGCTCATGACGGTGCTGCTGGGATGGTGTCTGTGGTGCCTGTGGTGTTCCTGGTGTCTCTGGTGTATTTGGCGCTGCGACGCCGTCTAGCCAGCCGAGAACCCTGAAGCGCCGCCCCGTGGGCCGCGCTGAAACAGAGTTGCGCGTTTCGGAGCGGGAGTGTGCGTTGACCCGCAGCAGCACGCGCGGAGTGAGCGGCCGCCTTCTGGGCTGATTCCGCGCATTTTTGCCTGTGAGTCGGCTGGATTTGACGGAGATGGCGCGAACCTGCCAACAAGCCGGGCAGTGAGGCCAAAGGAGGCCGGAGCTGTCTTCTGACAAACGACGCATTGGTACCATCTGCCTATGCTGTTTTTGTCGAAAAGCCAGACGATTGGAGAACCGCACCTGATATATCGCTGTTTACCTACCAGTCATTTCCCTTTCCACTTTCATTTGCTTTACTTTGTCACTTTCTGCTTGGGTTCCTTTTCCAGCTTTCCTATTGTCGTTTTCACTGATCGTTTTCCTTCCTATTTTCCAATTTAATTTACAATTGCTTACCTTCTCCCATCTCAGACAACAATCATCAGATCAGAGTTTCATCCCTAGCAATAATCGCAAAGCTGTCTATTTTCGCTCACTTATCCTCACAAAACTTCTTATTTACCTCACTGTGAAGCCAACTTATCTGCTATCTAATTTCAATTCCTTTGACTGTATTTGCAAAATTTTAGCCAGGAAAAGTCAATAAAGGACATTATCACATTATCATTCTAATAACTTCAGTTTATCACTAATAAACAATAGCCCTTTTTTTTTCTCTCTTTCTCTCAACACTAATAATATCAATTCAATCTTTCATCCTTCGTCCTTCATCTTCTAACTAAAATCTCACTTATTATTTTTGTTTTCTGTCTGTTTGTTTTTTCTCTTTAGTCTATCACCTCTCTTTTTTTCCTATAGTTTTATTTTTGACTCCTAATTTAATTATTCTACTTAATAATATTTATTATATTTATTATATTCAATATTATTCCTCATTATTTAAATCCTTATTTAATATTGAATTCATTTATTATCCAACTATTCTTAACTATTACATTACTCATACCAACCACTATACAAATCAATCAAAAGAATAAAAAAACAACAAAGAAAAAATTATTTTCACATCAAATCAGATCAAAATTATTTAATTATTGTCCTCTATTATATCTCATTGTTACACTTATAAGTTTAAACCTACATTAATAATTTAATAATTTAATAATTTAATAATTTAATTTAATATTACATTGAAATATTAACATTAATATTAAAATTATATTGAATATATTGAAATATTAATATATTATTACAAAATAACAATATTACAACACATCAAAATTAAAATTAAAATTAAAATTAAAATTAAAATTAATCGCCTACTCACAATCTCTTCATTTCTTTTACTTTTTTTTTCTCTTATAATCAACTATTGATTTTATTGTAATATACCTTCATTCTCACATATCTATCCATCTAATATCCAATAATGTCTACCAGAGTATGTTATACTTTTTTTTTATTTTATTTTATTTTATTTTATTTTATTTTATTTTATTTTATTTTATTTTTTGTTTTGATTTCCTATTTATCTATTCATTTTCTTAATAATCACCTCTTACTAACCATCCATCTTTATCACTCTATCTTTTTTCTTTCTTCTTTTGTTCTAGGGAAATATAATCAAAGAATACAAATTGGTCGTTGTAGGAGGCGGTGGTGTTGGTAAATCCGCTCTAACCATCCAACTAATACAATCCCATTTTGTCGACGAATATGATCCAACAATTGAGGACTCCTACAGAAAACAATGTCTAATAGATGGTGAAAATGCCCTCTTGGACGTCTTGGACACTGCTGGTCAAGAAGAATACTCTGCCATGAGAGAACAGTATATGAGAACCGGTGAGGGCTTTCTTCTAGTCTACTCCGTCACCTCAAGATCCTCCTTTGAAGAACTCATCACCTTCTACCAACAAATATTAAGGGTCAAAGACTCAGATTTTGTTCCTGTCTTGGTCGTTGGTAACAAGTGTGATTTGGAAGATGAAAGACAAGTCTCCTACGAAGAAGGCGTCGCTCTTGCTAGAACCTTTGCCTGTCCCTTCTTGGAAACCTCTGCCAAACAAAGAATCCACGTCGAAGACGCCTTCTACTCGTTGGTAAGAATCATCAGACAACAAAATGAAATTGTCGACAACTCCTTGAACTCAAACAACATCAACAAAAACAACCTCAATAACTCCAATCTCAACAACAACCAAATCAATAACCTCAATAACAACCAAATCAATTCAGACCCTGATTCAAACAACGACCATGGAAGAAACTTGCATCACAATCATCAACAACAAATAGATGACGACTCAATCTCTGGTCAAAATGGCTATAATGAATCAAAACATGGAAATATTAATGATTCAAGAGATAAAAGTGGTTGTTGTATTATTATGTAAAAGATCAAAATCGAATCAAAACAACTTTTATTTACTACTATCTATCAATTAATAATAATAATAATAATAATAATAACAATAATAACAATAATAACAATAATAACAATAATCATAACCATAATAATACTTAAAATACTTAAAATACTTACAATAATCATAAGAAAAATAATATTGAAAATACTTTTCTGAACTTTTATATTTCTTAATCTTGTTTTTCTTGTTTTTTTTTTCTTGTTTTTTTTCTTTGTTTCCTCTTTCCTTTAGGTTAAATCAATCTGCTGTTATCTCAATTACTAAACTATTTTTCTTGTTTTCTATAAAAAAAGTGTTTGATTTTTTTATTTATTTACTTATTTATTTATCTACTTATTTATTTATTTATTTATTTACTTATTTACTTACTTATTTACTTACTTACTCACTACCTATCTATTTTTTGACTGATTAATTCCAAGATTATATTAATTTTGTTTAATTTACACTAATTTATATCAATTATCTGACTTTATGTTTTTCTAATTTATTTTATCTTGACTATTATTACTTGATATTTATTATTATCTACTTGTCTATTTTTTTTACCTCTCTGTCTTTTTGTCTTACTACTTTTTTCTTTCTCTTTCTCTTTCTCTTTCTCTTTCTCTTTCTCTTTTTCTTTCTCTTTCTCTTTCAATTGGGTCTTGTTTTTTTAATTTATTTGTTTCATGCTATTTCCATTATCAAAGTATTAATATACCAGCACCAATTGCCTTTCCACTGACCATTCCAGTGACCGTTAAATACTTGCCTAATACTTGTCCTACCACCACTCCACTCAGTGCCTTATCTTCGCCATTTTCTCCCGCCAAACAACCACCTTGTTTATCTTGTGTTTCTCTCTAATATCAATCCACCTCTATATACTTAATAATATCACACTTGAAAATACTCGTGCACTGTGTCCCATTCTTGTCCCGATCCACTGGCTCCACATTCCCGCCCTGCTCACGCATGTCCGCATTGCATCATGCATGCCATTACAATACCACTCCTGCAGACAATCTCGTGACACGCATCACACTGCACTCTTCTGCACCACACCGTGCCAGAGCTGTTTCCAAAAATTGTGCATTTCCAAAAAATGGGGAAGCGATCGTAGTTGCTTCAAAGACTAAAATTCACTGTTTCCTTCCGTTTCTTCACCCAGCTTTGAATCTCCTTCTGATTGTCGTCTTTCTCTGCTTCTTCTGCTTCTTCTGCTTCCTCTTTCTCACTCTCCCGATCTTCTTCCTGGCTTTTATCACCATCCTCTCCCTCGCTCCATCTCCCCTGTCCTTTCAAAGAGCCCCATCTTCAACATCTCCCTATACTATAGTTCATACTCACTCCCAGATCTTATCTCCCTGCCTCTGTCCTTGGTACTAAAATTCGTTTCTACTCTTCTTGCATTATACTTCTATCAACTTTATTTGTTGTTTTTCAATTTTCCTTCATTTTTCCTCTAATTCGTAACAAAGCAAAAAACAAAAAAAAAGACAAATTTTAAAAAAAAACAACTCTCATCCTTTTAAAAAAAAATCTAAAAAAAAATCAAGACTTGATACTTCCAATTTCCTGCAAAAACTATTCCAAAAAGCATCTTAGAAAGCATCTCAGAAAGTATTACAAAGGTATTTTTAATTTATTCTCAAACAAGTCTACCTCAATAAGATTCAATAAGATTCAATAAGATTCAATAAGATTCAATAAGATTTAATAAAACTAAATAAAATTATATAACAAACCATCAGTTTTAACCTAATAATATCTCTCTTATTTCCAATATCAATATCACTACTAGCAGTAATATCACAACTGTTATATTCCTATCATATCATACCATACCATAATATCAATAATCAATACAACAGTTATTAACCATAATCAACTATATATTGTTTTAATTATCCTCCTTATTACTCTATCCCACATATCACAGCCCACCACACTTAAAATTATCCACCTAATTCCCACCTAATCCCACTTGATTATCAACACCATCATGTCAAATATAAATTCAGGCAATCTAAATAATCAAAATTCAAGAAACATATTAAATCTATTTGATAATCCAATCAATGATAATAAACCCGTTAATTCAAATCTAAACAATAACAGTATTAACAATATCAATAACAGTATTAACAATATCAATAATATTAATAACATTAATAGCATTAATAGCATCAATATCAACAACATCAACAGCATCAACAGCATTAATAATATCAACAGCAATAGCCAAAATAATACAAATCAAACCCAAAATAATAATATATCCTCCTCCTTCAGGTTACCTCCAATCTCCTCCTTATCAAGACATAAATCCCCCTTAAACATTTCTCACATAGGGATTCAAAGCTTATTAACTACTGACTCCAACATCAGCAACATCAGCAACATTACCAGTAGTACCCCAAGATTGTCCAACTTGTCTCCAATTTCAATCTCTAATTCAAATTCAAACTCAAACCCAAACTCAAGATCAAATTCAAACTTATCCCTAGCTTCCTTAAATAACAATATCTCCAATAACCATAATTCTAAAACTAGATCTCCTCAAAATATCAATATCAATGTCAACAATAACACAAATAATATCAACTCTCGTTCAATCTTAAATGATGAAAATACTTACTACCAATTACCTGCTGTTCCTTTCAATGCAATTGACAGAAGAAAACAAAATCTAGATATTAATTCTTCTACCAATCCCATAAAAACAACCCCAATTTCTAATTCCAATTCCAATTCCAATACAAAAAACTCAAACAACTTGAGATTACAACAACCTCAAAGATCTCAACCTCAAAGAAGAACTGGCTCTAATAATATCAACAGTCTACTAAATAATGATGATGACGACGATATCTCTCATAATATCGTACTCAAACCTTTAAATCTATCAAACAACAACAACAACTCTACTAACAACTCTACCAACAACTCTACCAACAACTCTCACTCTCATCATCATCATCATAGAATAATTATTCAGCCAAATCCAAATCATAACTTACACAACATTCAAAACAATATCAATATTAATAACAGCAACAACAACAAAAATAACAACAACAATAATAGTATTACCACCACTACTCCTACCAATAATAATAAAAATAACATTCACTCAAATTTATCTATTTTATTGAACTCTTCTTCATCATCCCAAAATATCGCCCCCTCAATATCAAATATAACAAATCCTCAAAACTCCCTGATGAATTCTTATTCTCCTTACCAACCATCTTATCAATCTCATTCTCAATCACAATCTCCAAATCAATCCTATACTCAACTCAATCTTCAACCGCTGGCTCATCAATCTTCTCTTTCACAACAATACAACAAAACCTCTCAATCTTATCAAAACCAGCAAAACCAGCAAAACCAGCAAAACCAGCAAAACCAACAAAAATCAAAATCACAAAATCAAAATCAAAATCAAAATCTATATTTATCAAATACTCAAAATTCTCAGTTCAATTCATCACCTCAGTATCAAAATCAATATCAAAATCAATTAAAACAAATTCCTCAACCTGAACTCCAATCTCAATCACACACACATTCTCATTCTCAGTCCCATTCTTATTCTCAATCTCAATCTCAGTCTCAATCTCAATCTCAATTACAATCAAAGATTTTAAATCCAAAATCATCTCAATTGCTTCAATCTCCTCTTCAATCTCAGTCTCAACCTCAACCTCAGAATCATTATCATTCCCAATCTCAAAACTATTCGAATATTCAACCTCAGCCCCAACTTCAAAACCAAAGTCAATCAAACAACCAACTGGACTTATATTCCAACTCTCATCAGTCACAGAGAAGTAATAAAAATCTAAATAAACACTTTCAAAATAACATTTTGAATCCAATTCAATCGCTGAGTAATCAATCTAATGTTTATTCTCAAAATCAATCTCATATTTCAATCAACAATCAACAAAATCAGCAAAATCAACAAAATCAACCACAACCACAACCACAATCTCAATCTCAATCTCAATCTCAATCTCAATCTCAGTCTCAATCACATTCATTAAAACCTTTGCAATTAACAAGTATATTACAATCACCAAAGCAACAACAACAACAACAACAACAACAACAACAACAACAACAACAATCACAATCACAATCACAGCAGCAGCAACATCAATTAAAGCTCCAATCTCAAATAAAACCTTATGAGCATCCTTTAAAACCATTGCTTAAAGCAAACCCAAAACAAATTCAGCAACAAAAAATTATTATTGAACCATATATTAAACAGGAAATTATAGTGGAAAATGATGATATTTTAAAATTCGCTTCAAAATTTCCGAGAAAACATTTAGGTTCAATTTTATACACAACTAAACCAACAATTGAAACATATAAAAATTTCAGTATTGACATCAACGCAAATGAAAGTAATATGCAAGAAACGTTTGCCCCCCTCATTCCAGAATTAAGAAGCTATATTAATTGTTTATTAACTATTAGAATACCCCATTATTACTTAAATTCTCTAAATAATCCAAATTTAAGTTTTAAAAGTCGACCATTATGGGGAACAGATATATACTCTGATGATAGTGATATTGTTGCAATATTAAAACATTGCGGCCATATTGATGAGGATAGTAACGATTATTTTCAAAGCAATTCATTAGTATCATTGGATAATGCTACCTCGTTGATTCCTCAAGTTGATTTAAGAGAATATAGAACATTTAAAAAACTTATTGGTAAAACCAAAAGAAAACAAATCACTCCTGGATGTCTTACAAACAAATTGAATATAATCAATAACAATTTAAAATATATTAAGGATAACATTGAAATTTCAAAAGATTCCAGTGAAATAAAAAAGAATTCAAAAATTACTGCAAATAAAAACGGTAAAAATAGCAAATTTGGTAAAGATAGCAATACTTCGAGTCATTTGTATAGTTATCAAAATAGCAAAAATCAATCCGATATATCTGTGGAAGTAATAATATTACCAACTTTAAAGGCCTATAAAGGATCATTTAGAAATAATCTAAATTCAAGAAGCTGGAATACAAGCCATGATGGTATGTCAATTGCAATTTATTCTGTGAAATTCGAAAACTTTAGTAAAGTTCCTTCAAATGAAATTAAAAATAATGAAGTAGTGTACAATAAAAACTTGGTGAATATATTTGAAAACATGAGTCAAGATAGAATCAAAAGAAAAATAATACATGAACGATATATATTGTTTAAGAAAATGTTTGATGAATTTAGTGGAGACTATAGCGATGAAAGCTCTGATAATAAGTCGAATAACGATAAGTCATACTACAACGAGAAGATCAAACAGATCAGCAAAGAATTTCACCCAACTTTAACTGAAGAGAATAGAGCAATTAAGAAAGTCAAAGTGAACTGAAAATTGAAACTGTTTAAATAGTTTATATATGGATATTTTGGTAGAATGATTGTATATTTAATGTATATTTAATGAACTTTTGATCAATTCTCTGTGGAGATTTGCTGATTTCGGCAAAGGAATGGGATTATACTTAGTTATTTTTGCAATGTCCTGATTTGGAAATTCTTTACAAATTTGGGCGACTTTGCTCATCGCGGAGATATTTCTGTCAAATCTTTTATTTTTTATTTGTCATTGGAAAAATGTCAAAAGCTGTTTCGGGAACAGAATAATGGAGAGTAGCTCTATGGGCAAGAGATGTTTGGAGGAAAAAAGGGTTTAGGAGTCTTGCTCAATGCAAAATATGGTGCATGCAGAAAGAACTCAACAAGAAGTTCAAGAATTGGCCGAGGATTTAGCAGTTCTTCTGTTGTTAGATATGACAGAAGCATTGAGCATGAGACTTTGATTGATAATGCAAGAACAAATATTAAAGGTGATTTGGAAAAGTTTGATAGGTCTTCATTCATCTTGTCTGCGTATTATCCTAAACCAACAAGAGATTGTTTTATGGCAATTAAAGCATTTCAGTTGGAGGTGTCCAAGATTAACAATTTTAAGAAAAATGTTAATAGCTTTAGTATTGGTGATTTAGATCTAATTGATTTGAAGTTTAAATTTTGGTATGATAATATATCCAAATTATATGAAAACAACTCGTTGTTTAGCAAAAATGAGATTAGAAAGACATCTAAACAACCCATTTTATTGTTATTGAATGATGGAATTAATAAAGGTCTCAATTTAAACATTGAATACTTTGAAACATATTTAAATTCAAGCAAATACTTGATTAAAAACAATTACCAATTCAATAGTGTTGATGACATATGCTCTTTTGGGGAGGGAACTTATTCCCAACTATTATATTTACAGCAGTCAATGCTATTATCAAAGATAATTTCACCATCCAGTATAAAATTATTAGAGAAAAAGAATGAATTGCAAAACCTTATAACAGATATTGCTGCACATATTGGGCAAAGCAATGGAGTGGCTACAATGTTAATGAGATTGAAATATTATAGCAAAAAGAATATTATAGTATTACCAATAAATTTAATGAGCAAATATGATATTTCACAGGAAGCTTTGCTTCGATATCTATATGATAAACGAAACAACAAAGAAGATAGTAACAAAAAGGATAACGTTGATATTGCTTTTGAGAATAAAATTAAAGATATTGTATATGAAGTGTCTACGGTTGCTAATGATCATTTACTAGCAGCTAAGTTCAAATTAGAAAAACTAAATGAAATGATAAATGAAGTACTAAAAAAAATCGATGAAAGCAAAGATAATAAAAATGACAATAATGTCAACGATGATAATTATTTAATATTAAGACAAAGCAAAAATTGGAATAAAAAAATTCCTGACGCAATCTTTGTTCCATTTTTAAATTCGATTCCAATTGAAATTTTTTTAAACAATTTACAAAAAAGAGATTTTAATTTAATCAATTTGAATGAAATGGAGACAACAAAATTATTAGATACAAAATTTAATCATTATAAATTAGTCTGGAAATCCTATTGGAATTATCAAAGAAGAAAAATATAATATAATATAATATAATATAATATAATATAATATAATATAATATAATATAATATTAGAGAATCATAATAAATAATAAAGTATTTAATATTAAAAATCACATTTATAACTATGCTGTGATCAATATTTTCAAGAATTGAATCAAATTTGTGTTATTAGTTAGATTAGGAATCACTCAACAGATTCAGTCTGTATATAAGTTATTTTCATTTTAATAATTGAATTTTTTTAAAGTTTCTTTTAGACAAAACTCGTTTTGATAAAATTTAATTGTAATTTTATAAAAAAATGTAAGCTTAAAATCAATAAAAAGATTATATTAACTTAAAATAAAAATAAATGCCTTCAGCCAGATTCGAACTGACGATCTCCTCATTACTAGTGAGGTGCCTTACCAACTTGGCCATAAAGGCAGCTATGCTGTGAAAATTATTTACTCTTATATAAAGTATATTTTTTTAAATACATTATGATAAATTTGAAAGACTTATGAACAACTGGCATAGGTTTTTTCTCGATAAAAACTAAATTTTGTTATGAATATATTTATAATGAGGAGTTGATTTGCTATGATAAATAGTATAAAAATCAATCATAATATTCAGCTTTATGGATCTCTCAGACAGGTTCAGTGATCATCGAAATAGATGAATAAGTAAATGAATGCTTTTTTATTGTGAGCATGTTTGCTTTTACTTCGGCTCTAAATTGGGTATATAGAATAATGTTAAAAGCCAATTCTATTATTATGTTACTTAGTGAAAATATCATTGGATGTGTTACGAATAAATAGTAAAACGAAAAGAAAAACTAAACGCAATTGTTAAGACAGAAATTATAAATGTTCAGATCGAGTTATTTTTATGTTCGACAGAACTTTTGGAATTTTAGCAATTAACTATAATTTGAATGATTTATTATTTTAAAGTAAGGTAATTGAAGTGTTTTGGTTTGAACAATTCTCAATAGTTTTTTAAGTTCAGCAAGTATTTCAATTAAAGATACTGTTGATTTTTAGGTCAAAAACAGAAGGATTTTTCTGTGTGTTTATGCAGGGATTATTTATTGCTTATTTAGTCTTATTTTTGGTTCTCAGTATTTTTGATGTTTATTTTCTGTGATATTAGTACCGTTGAGTCATGATTACAGCAAAAGTTTCAGTTAGTGATCACTGATTTAAAAGTGCATTTTTAGGAAATTAAAATAATTTCATCACCAGAAATTTACTAATTCGGATAAATACTGCAATGTTTTGAAATTGAGTGACTTTTTTTTTCCGCTGAATTGACTTGTTAAATTACAATTTTCTATTATTATTTAAATGAGTTTGCACCTTTAAAGCATTTTCTAGTTAGTTTTATAAAAAAAATCGTTTTAAATAAACATGTAAGATTTTTTATTTAATTTCAACGTAATAATTGCTTTAGAAGTTGAAGTTTTTTTCCGGTTGTCCTATTCGATTATAAAAAAAAGGGTTATCAGCCTTTGAGCCCTTTTGTAAAAGAATTTACTTAGTCATTATTAAATATCCTAAAAAATTCCAAGCAAACATAAAGCTCACCAACTAATGATAACAAAAAAAATATCTACCAATTTAAAATGTTTTTTTTCAAGTTTATTGACCTATTATTGTTATCCATCAAATAAGGTTTGAAGTTCCACAGGGTAACGCTCAGAAATAATATTCTGTTCTGTTTTTGTTCTGTTTTTGTTTTAACTCACAGCCATGCTCCAGCTGAGATATAACAAGTCCCAGCAGTGTCACTCAGTAGCCCAATATGTCGACTTTGAATATACCAATGGAAGATGAGATGGATGTGGACGATGAATTGTTGGAAAAGCCAGAAAATGAGGACCAGAACAAAAACGAGCAGGCCAACAAAGACGCAGATGCTCTGAAAGACTCCACCAAGCAGGCGATTAAAGATGAGGATGATGACGACAAATCTGCTGGTCCCAAGTTCAATATACCCATTTTGCCCGAGTATTCTAGGAAAGATAAGACGCTAAAGGAAATATTGGAAATGATGGATGAATACGCCCCTATCATACCAGATGCAGTCACAGACTACTATCTTGCTAAGAATGGGTTTGAATGTTCTGATAAGAGAATTAAAAGATTATTAGCATTGGCTACACAGAAGTTCATCAGTGATATAGCTGCTGATGCTTACGAATACTCTAGGATCAGGTCTTCTTCTGCTGTTTACAACTCAAGCAATCCTCAGGTTAGAGCCAGAGCATTAGCTGCCAGTCAGCTTGGTGTGCAAAACACTACTAGTTCTTCAGGCAATAACCAAGGCAAGATTGTTTTAACAATGAATGATTTGAGCAGTGCTTTAGGAGAATATGGTTTGAATATAAACAAGCCAGATTTTTATCGTTAGTTTCACGTTCAAACCAACTTCTCCATCATTTCTTTTCTTATGTCATTATTTTTTTTTTTTTATTTGATTATTTTGGATATTATTTTTAAACTTCTAAACATATTTTATTTTTTCTACTTCCTTATTTCTGATTCGATCATTTATTTAAATATTTACTCTGTATACTATCGAGACAAAACAATCTAAAGCAATAAACAGAAAAAATTAGAAAAAATTAGAAAAACTAAAAAAAAAAAAGTATTATGCAAATGTAATTTTTATGCTCGATTTAATCAACAATATCAGTTGTACTTGTGAATTGATTATCATTTAATGGTAACGGAATAATATCTTTATCAATCTCCAAATTGGTAATTTTACTTAGAATTTCTTTATTTTGTTCTTCTTTGTATTCTTGAAATTGTTCTTCATTATCAAATACTGCTGCAACACTAATACATCCACATTTATCGAAAAGATCTAAAATTTCATTAGCTTCGTTTATTGGAATATTTTCAAACACTTTATTGATTTCAATTAAAGATTGTGTTTTGAGAGCTTTTTGCATTATAATTGGTATTTGATTGAAATATTTACACTTTTCAATTTCTTTTGGATCATCCGAAAATTCACTAGGTAAAGTGACAACTAATTCGCTATCTGGATCCATTGATTTTAATTGAATGGTTTCGACACCTTCAGCTTCGTCATCTTCAGCATCATCCGATTGGTTTTTAGAGGGAGAATCGTCAAATACTTCATTATTAGCATGCATATATTCACATCTATTCTTTATATGAGTATAAGTTTCTTCAACATCTTTTAAGAAATTGTATCTTGCAGGACTTGAATTCATTATTTTTGGAATCAATTGTTTAATTATCTTTTGTCTATTGAAATAAATTTTTTTATAATTTGAATTATTTATGGTGGAGTTATCATTTGAAGGCCCAGCTAAGGTAGCAACAAATAATAAGATTGAGGATTGATGAACCATTTGTCTAGCCTTTTCAAAATCTCCATCAAATTGGTATTTAAACGCCTTCATTAATAAAGCGTTTTTCTGATTTTCAGAGATAATCCAGGGGTGAGCATTTAAAAATTTAGCACTTGCGATATAATTATCTGGATCAATATCTCCAAAAATCTGAGTATCTGGTAATATCTCAAAATTATCTTCATGAAATTGATGATCATTTGTTTTAGAAGCAGATGGCACATCTGGTGTTGAAACAGAGGTAGCTGTAGTGGCTGGGGATTCAAGCTGAGATGAGGTATTGGTATTTTTCACACTGTCACTGGCGGAATAATCGGTTGATATTGTTGCTGGCAATTCTGCTGATTTAGCAGAATTGATATCAGGTTGTGTGTACTGTGTGAATTGTTTAGCAGAAGAAATTGGCTCTACTTTTGTCTTATCGGTTGAAATTGAAGTTGAAGAAGTTTGTGATTGAGATGGGGGTTTCAAGTCAAATTTATCTTTATTGAAAACAGCTTTATCAAAACCTGTATGGATATCGTCAGAGGTGATATGTGCCTTAGCTTCTTCTTCCAAAGTTTTTAATTTTGCCATGTTCTTTCCATGGACATCGTCAATTTTCTTTCTATGATTTATGACCAAGGATCTCAAGATTTGTTTTTTTTCGGATTGATCATTAACACTGGGATAATCCTTTTTCAAATCGCTCATCAATTGGAGAAATAGGTCTTCGATCATTTCATTGTAGGTTGGGGAATCCTCCATATCTTCACTTTTGTTTTTCTCTTTGGGATCAAAGTGAGCATTTAAAAAGCTGTTTCTTTCTGAGGTTGAGTATAGTTGGTCTTCGTTCAATTTTTCCAACATTAAGTCGACTCTTTTGTTCAAGTTGATGTACATTTGGTTCTGGATATTAAGAGTCTTAATCTCGATGTTTCTCTTTGCCCTCTTTTCGTGGATATCTCTTTGCTTCCAGCGAATAAACGATCTTTTATCGACATTAGGATGGCATTCGATGTCGCTGTCGTCTGATAGTTCAATACGGTCCCACTTGGAGTAATCAAGAGCCATTGTGCACTGTAGTTGTGGTAGTTGTTCTGGTGAATCTGCTGTTTCTTCTTGTTCTTGTTCTTGTTCTTGTTCTTCTTATTCTTCTTGTTCTTCTTATTCTTCTTATTCTTCTTATTCTTATTCTTCTTATTCTGTTATTTATCCACGCTTCTTTCTAGCATCTTCCAGAACCACAAACGGGTAACGGCCTTCCGTTTCAAAACGAGCTTATAATAGCGGAAAGTTGTTTTATTCAGGTTGTTTTATCAGTATTGTTGGTTTGTGGGAAATGTCTGTTGGAATTCCAGTAAAGCTTCTCAGTGAGGCACAGGTGTGTATTGTTTTTGGTTTTTTAGTTTGCTTGTTTAGGGGAAAGGCTTGTTACTGACATTTAGAACTCTTTTGGTTGGATTTTGCAGGGTCATATAATTTCTTTAGAGTTATCGACCGGTGAGATATATCGAGGCAAATTGCTCGAGAGTGAGGATAATATGAATGTTCAATTGAAAAATATCACAGTGATTGCAAGAGATGGTAAAACGACTCATTTGGATCAAGTTTTTATTCGAGGATCGCATGTAAGGTTCTTCCAGGTTCCTGATATGTTGAAAAATGCTCCAATGTTCAATGCGAACCAGCCTAAACCTCCGGCTCCAATTCGAGGTCCTAGAAAGAAGTAAAACAGTAGAGTGGGCATATTGTTAAGCTGGATTTGAATTTACAATTGGAATCGGCAAATTTTGAATTTAGATTTGAATTTAGATTTGAATTTTAGTTGGAATTTTAGTTGGAATTTAAGTTGGAACATAAATGGAAGTCGAAATGAATTAGTGTTTTACTTTTTGGCTGGAAATTTTGGGGAGTGTTCTATTATTTTTAATTTTTATGTTTATCATATGTTTAATTCATTTTATTTGATCTTGTATTATATTGTACTAAATTTTAATTAAATTTTAACTAAATTTTTTTTGTGTGTAAAAAAAACAACCGATTTTTATATTAATAATAATATTATTATAAAGTAAATCATGAGATGCAAGAATTAAATTGAATTGAATATCAATAAGCTCCAAATGAACAGTTAATTTTAAAACAAAAAGATCAAATCCGAAAAGCTTTGCCAAAAAAAAACCCGAAACTTTTAAAGTATATAATTGTGTTTATGAAGTAAAAAAAAAACCAAAAAGAAAATGAAAAGAAAATGAAAAGAAAATAAAAAAAAATATAAAAAAATATAAAAAAATATAAAAAAATATAAAAAAAATTCAAGAACAAAATATATATAATCATAGTACTATTAATTATAATGTGGTATGATAGGGTAAAATAAATTATGAAATTTTATAATGTATATGGTAAACTAACAAACAAATTGAATTTAAATCAACAAATAAAAAAGTCATAAGTCATTAAGAATAACAATAAAAGACAAATTAAATAAGAAAAAAGATTAGAATTTAAGAGATTAGAAAAGTATAAAAGATATTGATAATAATGATGATGGTGGTGATGGTGATGGTGATGGTGATAGTAATAGTAATTGTAATTAGCACAATTCATAGGTGGAAAAGTTTTTTCTGCTCCATGAATCGAAATCCCATTTATGAATCCCATATTGACCTCCAACTAAAAGATGAGTTCCTTGTCGATCATTTGTAACACATAAACCGGTAATGTCATATTTTGAAATTGAATATTGGTCTCTTTTTTTGTTGTTGTATTTAAAATCAATAGATTTGTTAGTGAGACTGTTGTGTTCTGGGACTGAGGTGTCGTTCTTAATATTGATGTTATCGTTACTGTTACTGTTGTTGTTGTTGTTGTTGTTGTTGTATAGATTGTAGAAGTTAAGATTTGTGTTTATATTTGAGCCTAGGTTGTTAATGTTATTATGATAAAAGTACTGGTTGTTGTAGCTTTCATAGACATCGTTGCTATTGTTGTGGGGTATAGTGTTGTTGATATGGGATGTATGATTATTATTATGTTGGTTAACCATAATTGGATTTGAAAAATAGTTTGAAGGCAAGATTTCACCGGTATTGTTTTTGATTTTAGTGTAGTCTTTAATTAAGGGTAGATTTGTATTTTTGTTATAATCAGACTCGTTGAATTGAGAAGGTATTGATATGATTTTATGGTTTTCCAAGTTTCTTAGATCAATGATGTGGATTTTGCCCATTGTTTCGGATAAGAATAGAAGATCGTCTTCGATATTGCTGAATTTAAGGCATCTAAAGGCGCCTTCTTTTGTGAATAGTTTTCTTGTTGAGTAGATAGTGTAGAGAGGATTGTTTAGATTTCTTAGATCATAAATTAGAGATCTACCATCTTGAAAAGCAGCAGCAAAATAGTATTGGTTGGAGTGGAAATCTAAAGAAAAGCCAGAATCAGCTGGGGTTATTATGTTTTTAACGATTTTGTTTGAATTGTTGTCAATTATTGAAATGTTTTTGGAGTCACCACAGGTTAGAGTTATGTTGTTTTTCAAGGAGGTGACAGAGGAATTTAGGTTATAGCCAATGTAAATTTTGTTTAAATTGTTTATAATTCTATTGTTTTGGATTGAAATTTTGTACAAGTTCTTGTCGTTGTTGGATAGCAAAGCATTGTAGAAATTGTTGTTTAGTTTGAAGATATTGACCGAGTTGTTGATCATTGTGCCGATTTCAGTTTCGATGGTTATGTTTAGGTTTTTGTTGAAGATTGATAAGGAGCCAGTAGAAGTGTCAGCATTGATCAGGCCAGCTACTAGGAGTAGGCCATCCTTTTCTTTTAGACATTTGGGGTTGAATTTTAGATTTAGGATAGTTGAAATTTTGTTGTTTTTCAAATTAAGGCATTTGATTGATTTGTCAAAAGGAAAGTAGATTTCATTTGGACTAAGAGTTGAAGGTTGGATCAAATCGCTTAATTGCCAGTGGTGTTTTGATATTTCAGTGGGATAAAACTTGTGATTTGGTAAGATGTAAGGGAAGTTTTTGTAGTATTTTAGATTTGGATTTACTTTTCTTTTGTTTAATAGATTCAAGCTATTTCTTTTCTTTATGGAGTCGACTGTCATTGTATTATTGAGGTTATTGGGATTAGTAATGTTACGGTTATGGGTGTGGATGTGATTATGAATATGGTGGTGAATGAAATCGAAATTGAAATTGAAATTTAGGATGATATTGGTATTGTTGTGTCTATGGTAATTACTATTACTATTGCTATGGCTATTTTGGGTATTTTGAGTATTTTGGGTATTTTGGGTATTATGGTTATGGTGGTATCTAAGCTTATAGAACAAGTAAAAGGACGATATTAGTATAACAAAGATGGAAAGCGATAAGATTAAGAAACTGTTAGGGAGACCAAAGATATATTCATTGAGTTTTGTGTAGCTAGAGGCAAAGCTGAACATATAATCGGAAACACCAGATTAAGGAGAGATACCACAGAGAGCGAGCAAGAAGGATAATTGGCTATTATATATCAAGCAGAGGATATAAGTTGCAGATAGATCAGTATTGGGTAGTATTGGGCAGTCTTAAAGGTGAGTGTGGATTAGGAAAGGGAGCCTGATGGGGTCGGCGAAGTGGAGTCACAAACACCGGAAAGAGCCAGAAAAATGCAGCACACGCACCAGAAACAGCACCTCTGGGAGCAGAAACAGCACCAAAAACACCAGAAGCAGCACACGCAGCACAACCACCACTTCCTCCACAACCACCTCCGATAGACGGTTAGCTTGCTTTCCGCCCTCTCCGCTGTCCGTGCCGGAGCGCTTTGCTTCTTGACCCGCGGCGGACGTTCCGGACCCGCGAGTGTGCAACCGGCCTCTTTGTTCTGGTGCAGCCAGCCCGGCGCTGCACGCACAGACCCTGCACACACAGGACGTCCGCGCGCCATCTGTCAAGCACCGGTCTATGCACTCATCGCTGCACCGGGACCTCACCGGATCTCGTTCCCAGTAGGGTCTCTTCAGCGAGAACAAGGCAGAACAGTCTTTGTGCAGCGCAGAACGTCCTGCCTACACAGGGGATGGATAACGGAATAAGTCAGACCGATCACAGATGAGAGAAAAAGGGAGCAAAAAGGAGGAAAAGCTTTGAATAGGGACTCGAATGGGAGTCATTATTATCGATCACTAATAAGCTCCCAGAATCTATATCCCATAATACCATAAATATTCTATATGTCCTATATATCCCACTTTTCATAAATGTCATAAATGTCCTATATGCTATAGTCATACGGTCAAGATCACAATTTTGACATGCATACTTTTGTGTTTATGGTTATCCACTTATCTGGCAGAGTCTCCTTATTCGCCAGAAGTCTTAGAACCTAAACACCCAGTCTTGCTGGTTTAAGTCGTCGACTATTCTTTGCAATCCCCTTTTATTCTCAGCATCAAAATTCTGCTCTGGCTCTCCCTGATACTCTTCATCATTTTCCTCATGGCAGTTGTAACCAGGAACCAACCGACTCACCGGTTTAAATGATCTTAGGTGGATTTTTTGTATTGTTCTTTGCGTACTGTTATATTCGTCATTGATATCTAAAAACTGGTTTATCTGGATAATTGAAAGGTTTTTGAAAAAATCGTCACTCAATGAGTTTCCAAATATCTTTCGGAGCTTTAGTGTGTTTTTTCTCTCCAATTCCTTTAACGAATCTCCATTTCTATAATCATCGTTGTAGTCATTATTGAATATTTCCTCTTTTGAATATCCAGGAATTGATACTATGACATCCACTATCTTATCTTCATAATTATGTGCATTAGTATTTGGATTTTTCATATTTGGATTTGGTCTTGATTTCGCATGCTTGTTTAGCAAGTGATTCTCAAAGGTATCATTTAACGAGAAATTCATTGAAGAATTCATTGACGAATTCATTGATGAGTTTATAGAAGAATTGAATTTCAAAAGCTCATTTGTATCATTGAAACTAAAACTATAATCACTCAAATCGTAATCATGAAATTTATTATTAAATATTGATATATTGTTTTTATTTTTGGTTTTGTTTTTATTCATGTTATTATTCATGTTATTATTCATGTTATTATTATTAGTAGTAGTATTCTTCTCATTATTATGTTTACTTAAATTAAGGAGATTGTTGTTGTTATTTAAAATATTATTAATCTGTTTATTCTTAGTAAAACCATCCTTATTATCACTTTTTTCATCGTGATAATCAAAATCATCAATATCAAAATCATCATCAATATTGTCTCTCTTAAATATCAATTTCGATATATTTTCTGCTTGTTTGAATGCTTGCAACTTTGAGTTTCTTAATGGTAACCCATCACTGAATACTAAATACTCCTCATCACTATCGCTATCATCCTCATTATCTTCTTCATTATTAGTATTGTAATTATTAGTATTGTAATTATTAGTATTGTAATTACTATTATTATAATTACCATTATTATAGTTGGCATTTCTTCTATTCGTTTGATGCAATTGTTCAATTTTATCTAAATGAGTACTCAAATTCAATTTGGAGTTTTTGTTCAAAAGATTTTTTGTTTTATTGTTTTTCACATTACTGAGCTTCTGTCTTAGCGAAAATATGTGACTTGAATCATCATTAATATTTATACTATCATATCCCTCCAATTCGTCATCATCACTATCTTCCTCCTCTTCTTTATCTTCCTCTTCTTCTTTTTCTTCTTCTAATAAAATATGTTCTTCACTATCTCTATTGAAAAATTCATCGTCTTGAAGTTGATTCGGATTGTCGTTTAGATCCAAATACTCATTGTCTTCATCACGATTAGTCGGCACTGAGTTCTTAAACCCAATTAAATTCTTGGTCTTTGAAAATGATTTTGCTTTAGAAAAAGTCTTTGTTTTCGATATCAATTTGCTCTTTGTTTTCAATTTTGACTCAGACGTCCTTCTTGGTGGAGTAACAGTAAGGGCAGCAGATGAACCTGATTTAGTAGCTGATGTGATTCCTCGAAACAATTGTCGTCTTGAATCTTGCCTTTTATTAGGCATTTTATGAACAAAACCTTCACCAGAGAATATATATAATAAAGTAAAATACAGTAAAATACAGTAAAATACAGTAAAATAAAATAAAATAAAATAAAATAAAATAAAATAAACAAAATAAACAAAATAAACAAAATATCAAGCTAAGCGATCGATAAACAAAATTTCATCAATAGGAAGAGCCGAAGGGTCTCAAAATGGAAACGTTATCTATGTGCTCTCAATAACCTCCACCACACCCCAGTATTGCACTGATCTAGCGACTTGGAGCTGTTTGTTAGAACTGTTTGTTAAAACTGTTTATTAGATCTATTTATCAAAACTGTTTATTTACTCTTCTCCAGTAGATTGTTCCAATGAAAACTTCTGGCACAAAAACACCGATTTCTGCACGTGCAGGCGGATGGATTTTTTTTCCCAAAGAAGAGCTGAGCTACTAGATTCATTGCTCAGCGAAAGCTATCAGCTGGATAGGATTTAACTTAATTGGGTTTCATTTATCGTTTCTTTTAATGGGCCATAGGATGGTCTGTATCTTAGGGGATAGTATGGAATAGCCATTTTTTACAATATAAATATGCTCAATCCTTCTTGTTTGATTCTACAAGTCCAAGTTAGCTCACCACAGTACTCAATAACTTAATTATTATTGTGCTAGATACAAACATAAACTTCTGTTCTTCTAATCAATTCAGCTCTAATAATCTATTTCCAAGATGCCAATGTTATATAAACCAAGAAAGGATGGCTACGAAGTCAAACCAGCTCAAATTCCATCCCCAGGTAACAATTCATTCTTGGGTGATATCTTCACCTCAGATGCTCCATTAGACAAACAAATCTCATGTGGTTTTTACAAACAAGAAAAGGGTGAAAAATTGGTTTACACTTATAGTTATGACGAAATGAAAGTTATTTTGGAAGTTGAAGGTACTTATACTATTACTGATGAAACCGGTTATAAAGTGACTGTTTCTCCAGGTGATGTCTTTTACTTTAAGAAGGGCACTACCATTGAATTTGAAACCACTGGTTATGGTCTCGCTTTCTTCTGTGGTTTACGTCCAGCTGATTCCGGTTAACTATCTAGTCCAGTAAATTATAGATTATAAAATTCAATATTCCTATATAGCGACTCATTTAATATATAATCATATTCATAATAGTTTCTTGTGCATTTTGTAATGATAAGTGAATTTTTTTACCAAAAGTCGAAGGTCGAAAGTCGAAAGTCAAAAATTGAAAGGATTAATTCCTGCTTTTAGAAATGTTATAAAAAATTTGAATCATAAATTTGGATCGTAAATTTGAAAAAAGAAGGTCTTTATGAGTGGTCTCATTGAAGTCATGTGAAAAACGCGTGATATTTCTAAAACAGATTTCAAGAAAAGTGTTTTTTTTCTCTAAATTGATTGATTTTTTTGGACAAGAAAAGGTATTGTTGAAGAGATTTCGAATTAATATTATAAAGATGGCATATAATTTTTCAGAAGAATCCAAGGAACGTATTATTAAAGTGCTAGGAGCTACCAGAACGATGGTACATTATACATGGGTTCCATTTATTTTGTATTTAGGATGGAAAAGCACTAGTAATAAACCCAATTTAATATCATTATTTTCTCCATTACCTTCAGCATAATTAGCGTTAGTTAGAACAGGATGGTGGGAGGTGTGATCATCATTATTACAATTAGGGATATGTGATTTGGTTGATAATTTTATATTATTTTTTATCATTTTAGTTGATTCTAATTTATTTGTATATAGGAAATTATTAGTGGATAATAAAAAATCATTAAATCCAAAGCGGATAATTTTGAAAAGTAAGATTACACTTTGATTTAAACTGAAAATTTTTGATTAAATTTTCATTTTATATTATATTACATTATATTATATTTACACTATATTTAAATTATATTTATATCAAATTGTATCGTATTATATTATACCATATCATATCTTATTACATCATACAGTATAATAGTAAATAAATGACTAGTATAAAGGCAATAACTCAAAAGAGAAGACAGGTTTATAAACCTATACTAGAATTACCATATTCAATCAATAATAATTACTGGCCAGATAATTCGATATTAAGCAAAAACATCAATCAGCTAGATAATCTATTGGACAATTTGTTGATTATTTTGAAACCCATAAAGGATTACTACACTTTAATTGATTACGAGAAGCAAAACAATATTAAAAAGACTAAAAAAAAGGAAAAGAGTAATGATGCCATAGAAGAGAAAGGGAGTGGTATAACCAGGGAAAAGCCCGAAATATTTAACCATATAACGATTGGATTTAACTCGACGATTAAATCATTGGAAAGACAGTGTTCAGTAAAGCATTTGCACAAGGAAAAAACAAACAGAGATAAAACAAACGATCAAAGGGAAAATAAGAGAGAGATTTCAATTGATTTGGTGTTTGTGTGTAAAAACGACATTCAACCTCAAATACTCACAAATCATTTGCCAATGCTCTGCTACAATGCCTCGAGTCTTTGCGGCAAAAACATCAAATTGGTGGAATTGCCGAAGAACACCATCGACAGGATGTCGTCGTTCTTGTATCCTGGTGAAAATGGAGCCAGCAGCGGCAGCAACTACAACTACGGAGGCATCATCGGCATGGAGGCTAGCTACTTGAAGAACAGCCCGCTGGTCAACCAGCACAACCTCAGGATGTTGGAGGACATTCTCCTGGAAATCGGCAACGTCAGCATCAGCTGGCTCAACGCCCACACCTTGCGCTACGCAAAGCTGAACATCAAATTGCTCAAAACCAGCGCGCCGGTGCTTCTGAAGACCAAGCAGCACAAGCTGCAGAAGCTGCACACGCGCAAAACGCTAGACCCACCGCTGCGGGTCGGCAGCTGAGCGGCGCCTACGGCACTACCAGAGCGACGGCTCCCGCATCCCGTGCCACGGCGGTGGGTCTGTTCCGGAATGAGCATGCGGAGGGAACGCAGTGGAGGAGCTCAGAGGATACAGAACTTGCAAACAGCTCAATCCAACCAGCTTATTGTTCTCACCAATATATATCTTTTAAGCTGCTTTCTTTTCCACCAACTAGCCTGATTACCCAAGTCTTTCTGCTGTGTTTCTAGCTTTTGTCTTCATGGGTTCATGTGCTTCCAAAGATGCCTCGCTCAATGATGGCTCCTCCCACTATGCCTCGCGTACCAAGGGAACTCATCTAAACCATAATCTCTCCAGCGACAATAACCAGAACCAAACCCATCCCAATCTCTCTAATTCCAACAACATCAATTTGAATAACACAACTGGCTCGACCTCTGTGGATTCAAATGAGAAAAACTACTCCAACAACTCAATCGACAACAATGGCAACCCTCAACATCGACAGCAAAACACCTATCCAAACTCAAATATATCAGAAAATTCAATTCCCAATAACACAAATATCAACGGCTACAACAAAGCACAGGTGCCATCGCTAAATGAGTTGAATCCTAAAAACAGACCCGAAGCCAAAGTCTTACTATTAGGCTCTGGTGAGTCTGGTAAATCAACAGTCATAAAACAAATGAAGATTATTCATCAAGGAGGTTACTCGGCAAAGGAACTATACGACTACAAGCCATTTGTCTATAAAAATCTATTAGATTGTGCAAAGGCAATAGCAACCGCCTATAAATCCTTTGATTACAAGTTGGATGACCTAGATGATTTGGATACTAATGATGTTCATAATACCAAAGTCACCTCAGATAAAATTGTCATTAATAATACCGATAATATCGATATTACCAATATTAATAGTATCAATGGCATTGATGATACAAATAACGCAAATAATATTGATATTGCTAATAATACCAACACCAACACCAACAACAATTCCAATTCCAATTCCAATTCCAATAATAATAATAATAATAATGACAACAATCAAGCTTCTGTTCATTCGATTGATAATCATGAATTATTATCTCCAACAACACCACTATCACTAGTAAATCCATCTGTTTCTCTCTCTTTAACGATCCAAGATTTAGATTTCATCTTAAATTCAAATACCCCAACACAACCAAATGAACCCTTTGATCCAATATTAGCTTTTAAAATTTTTAAATTATGGAAAAACTCTCAAACTGACCAACTAATCAACGACCATCGTAACGAATTCTACTTGATGGATTCCGCTAAATATTTTTTTGAAAGTTTATCCCGTATATCCTCTCCTGATTATATCCCAACCTCAACTGACGTTCTAAGAACCAGAAAGAAAACCTCTGGTATCTTTGAAACAAAATTTCAAATGGGCAACCTAAACATCCACATGTACGACGTTGGCGGCCAAAGAAGTGAACGTAAAAAATGGATCCATTGTTTCGATAACGTCTCTCTCATCATATTCTGTGTCGCCTTATCTGAATACGATCAAGTCCTTCTTGAAGAAGACTCTCAAAACAGATTAGAAGAATCTTTAAATTTGTTTGATTCGGTAGTCAACTCAAGATGGTTTGCGAGAACTTCAATTGTCCTATTCTTAAATAAGATCGACGTCTTTGCTGAAAAATTGCCTCAAAGTCCTCTAGAAAATTATTTCCCTGATTATGCTGGTGGTCCAGATATCAATAAAGCTGTTAAATATATCTATTGGAGATTCTGTCAAGTTAATAGATCTGAATTAGAAATACGTCCTCATATAACTCAAGCAACTGATACAAATAATATTAAAGTCGTATTTGCTGCCGTCAGAGAAACTATTCTTGAAAATAGCTTAAAGGATACTGGTTTACTATACTAAAATTATACCAAAAAAATAAAAAAATGGCAGTTTATATAAAATTGAAATAAGAAAATAAAAAACAAACAAAAAAAAAGCAAAAAATAAAAAATAAAAAAAATAAAAAAATATAGCATTAGTATCTTATCTTATTTATTCAATTAATTTTACTCTCTTTCACTTTAAATTATTTTACTTTCTTTCACTTTAAATTATTTTACTTTACTTTACTTTACTTTATTTTATTTTATTTTACCTTTTATATTTTGGGCCAGGCAACTTGTTCTTTTAATACTAATACTAATATCAATATTTTTATTTTTTTTTAATATTTTAATTTATCTTTTTTTTTATCATTACTATTTATTATTCTTTTTTTTCTGATTGTTTTGAACTCTCTTGTTATTTAATACTATTTTATAATTTTATTTTTCCAAATTGAATTTTTATGGTATGATTACTTTTGTTTAATTTTTCATTATTTTTCAATTACTTACTGTGTTTAGTCTAAAATTTTATAAACATGACAAAAGCAAATAATTTGAAAATAATAATAATGTGACAATTGGATTGATATACATAATAAATTAACAAATTATTTGCTTTTGTCATGTTTATCTTCATGTTTCTATTTTTTTTTATTTTTGTTGTTTTTTGTTGTTGGTTTTTTATTTTTTGTTTTTTTGTTGATTTGTTATTTTATTAATTTTACTGTTATTCATAGTGCGTTGACGTTTTATTTTGTTTTTCATTAATTTATCAAATAGTTATTTTGATAAAATTAATCATTCACTCATTTATTCATTTATTCATTTATTAATTTATTAACTTAATTATCTATTTATTATTGATGATTAATTATTGATTTTATAATCTTATAATTTGTTTTTTTTATTAATTAATTACAAAATAAAAAGTGTTTCAAAATGATAGCTGGTTCTATTAAACAATGTTCTCAAGTTTATAAACAACAATAATGTAGATACAACTTAACATATCATAAAAGCGTTGAAAGGATAAAAGAAAAGATACAAACTGAAAAATAAAAATAGAGGTAGAAATATAAACCCAAACAAAATCCAAAACTTTTAATTAAATGAAGAAAGAAAAAATAAAAACAACATTAAAATACTAAAATATAAATATATAAAAAATACTAACCAATTAAAAAAAAATATGAAACGAGAAATGAAAACTGAAAATGGAAACATGGGTTTATTCTTTAAAAGCTCCATTACCTGATGTGGTATTCGTTGACAATGGAAGAGTGGTTGAAGGTAAATCAGATAGTTCTATATTGGTCGAGTTATTGCTTTCATTGCTGGTTATTATGTTATTATCAATACCACTTTCTAGTTTTCTACTATCTTTATTATTATTATTATCATTTTTATTAGCAGAAGTGCTTTCATTATGATTATCAGTTGAATTTATTGAGGATTGACAACTAGAAGTTGGAGTAATTCCAACCGCCAAAAGATTATTATTATTATTGGTAATAATTTTTTTCCCATCAAGATTTGGGATACCGATTTCCAAATCTATATTATTTTTAATTTTATTATTACTATTATTATCATTATTATTATCATTATTATTATTATTGTTATTATTTGGCTTTGGACCGTATATCAATTCATCAACGTCAATAGTTTGAGTTATTATGCTGGCATTATCATTGAAATATTCACCATTTTGAATTAGCTGTTGTCTGAAGTCATGTTCTCTACCATATTGATGTAATTGATCAATTCTGTCCAGTCTTTTTTTTTGAATCAATTTTTTATGCAAAAAAGTTGAAATTAATAGTGACAAAGTTGAGCCTAGAAAATTGAAGAGAATATCATTAATATCGAATTTTCTAGTTGAGGAAATGATATTTTGGAAAAATTCAGACAAAATGCTGGCAGTAATTGAACAAGATACAAAAGTCACCAATCTCAACTTTTTTGTGGAATTTGTATCAATTGTCCAATAAAATAGGGAAGTTAAAATGAAAAAGACTACAAAATGTAGTAATTTGTCATTTGGTAGAGAGATCTCAGCTAGACCAAGATACAAGGCAATGAAATTAGCAATTATAAAAGCTAAAGAAAAACAAGAAATCAAAATTAAAAAGAGGTTAGTTGCAAAGAACAAGAATCCAAAGAAAACAGCATCCAAGATATAAGAATGACAGGAAAACATACCCAGAAGAACAGACTTTCTTACCCTCATTTCAGCAAGTAAATATCACTATCAGGACAACAATTAAGCAGCAACTAGATACTCTCGCACCCAGTCATTAAAAGCGATATCAGCAACCTGATTATATCTGGATTATAACCTGATGGATGTTCGCTGCAAAGCCATTCTGATGACAGTATGTGCTTTCACGCGTGTGCATGCGTGATTAGTAGGGTAACTAAACCAGTGGGATGGGTCTAGTTTTTTTGTGCTGGATCTCCATTTGAAACAATCAAAGAAATGGACAGCCGAAGAGAATGTCAGCAAAAGGAAGCGACTGCAATAACTCATGGAAAGAATAAGATTGCATTGAGACGAGGGTTTCAAATATTATGTTTTTTTTTGGACACAGGACTGAAAAGCACCTCTGGACGAGTATTGAGAGTTGAGATAGTGGAAGCAAGATAGAGTTTTGAGGAAATGATTACCACAATGGGAAGAAATAATATAAAATTGATTTGGTTCTTCTTTTGACAAGTAGAACCAATTAGAAGATAATATAACTACAAGTAGAACTAATTTTAAGATATTATGATTTCCTAGAGCAAATCTAAATATACACTAATTACTAATGTTATTTTATAGTTTTTTAACTGTTTTCAGTCGAATTGTCGAAAATTTCGTGAAGACTAAGTGATGGAATTTATGTAATTAAAATGAAGACAAAAAGTATTTAAGTGGAGGGAATTTGCTTGATATTTTTGATTCTAATTCTAATTCTTTAACAAACTGTCAATTCATCTATTTTCTACTATAATTAATCAGTTATATTACACACCAACTACTTTAATCAATTAAATTAAATTAAATACCTTTTCAAAATGCCAATGTTATACAGACCAAGAAAAGAAGGTTACGAAGTAACCCCAACCAAAATTGGTCCAACTTCATTTTTAGGACCAGATGTTTTTGTTTCTGATGCTCCAGAAGACAAACAAATTTCTTGTGGTTTTTACAAACAAGTTGAAGGTGAAAAATTAGTTTACACTTACAGTTATGATGAAATGAAAGTGATTTTAGATGTTGTTGGTACTTATTATATTTCTGATGAAACTGGATACAAAGTTGAAGCTCAAGCTGGTGATGTTTTCTACTTCAAAAAAGGTACTACTATCACTTTTGAAAACATTGGTGGTTATGGTTACGCTTGGTACACTGGGTTACGTACCAGAGATGCTCTCTAAGCTATCTGATTTTCAATTCAGATATTAATCATTAATTATTCATTTGCGCCTCTCTTTTTTTTTTTATACTTTAGATAGAAAAATCACAATAAATTCATATTCTTGTTTTTAGTTTCTGGATCAAAAGAATCAATGAAAAAAAGTAGTTAGAGACCAGAATTGAGGGACTTGCGTTTTGAAAAACGATGAAATCGGTTTTTGAGTCATTACAAAGATTGGTTTTGGGTATCTTTTTCGAGATTTCCATTTTCTACCACTTAGAAGACATTCAAGAGACATAAGACACATTGATACGTGAAAGGTCTCGGATTGTTAATAGCAAAAATTCACTGGGACCATTCTAGTTTAGATTCATTTTTGGGCAATTTTTGTTTTTTATCATCCTTTTGTTATTTTATATTTATTAATTGAATAAAATATTTAAGCACAAAGTGCAATTAGTAATAATATAACAAAAAATAAAAAAAAATGGACTTCTTAAAGCCTTCAACAGTCTTGGACTTGGCTAATATTCGAGATGCATTAGTCAGAATGGAAGATACAATTGTTTTCAATTTAATTGAAAGATCTCAATTTTACTCATCACCATCGGTTTATGAACCCAATAAATTCAAGATTCCTAATTTTAAAGGAAGTTTCTTAGATTATACATTATTAAAAACAGAGATCACTCACTCAGAATTACGAAGATACGAGGCGCCAGACGAATTGTCATTTTTCAAAAAGGAATTGCCCAAACCTCTATTGCCACCAATTAATTATCCAAAGATTTTAACATCGTATTCAAAGGAAATTAATGTCAACAATGAAATTAAAGAGTACTATGTCAACAAGATAGTGCCAGTTATCAGTGCTAGAAAAGGAGAGCAATTGGAAAATTTGGGCAGCTGCACATTATGCGATATTGACTGTTTGCAATCTATTTCGAGAAGAATCCACTTTGGTAGGTTTGTCGCCGAAGCGAAGTTCCAGCAAGAGACTGAGCGATTCAAGAAGTTGATTTTGGATAAGGACATTACTGGGTTGAACGAAGCCATCACCAACCAGGCTGTAGAAGACAAAATCTTGGTGAGATTGATTGAGAAGGGAAAGGCGTATGGAACAGATCCCACGTTGAAATACTCGCAGAACATTCAAAGCAAAGTTCGTCCTAAGCTGCTCGCCCAGATCTATAAGGACTGGATTATTCCTCTCACCAAACAAGTTGAGATCGACTATCTCCTTCGAAGACTCGAGGAACCAGACACCTTTGAGACAGAATCTGCTGAAGAAGGAGACGACTCTGCTGCCTAGAGACAGCACGACCCGTAGGTCTGGCTCTGTTGTTACATGGTTGTGCGTACATGTACATGAACACGCACACACGCACGGCTGCTCACCTCAGCTCTGTCGCCGCCTCCAGCAATAAATGTTCTGAATCCAACCGCCATATCGCTGTGAGAAGTTTCTGCTTCTGCTTCTTCTGCTGCTTCTGGGACCCTTCTATGTGCTGTCTGTTCTCGCTGTCTGTTTTTGCTGTCTTTTTCCTCACTGCTTTTTGTCAGAATAGCTTGCAAAAATTCTGCTAGCCGCCACCAGCGATCTCAAACTGTTATCAATCTTTGTCTATTGCCTTTGGTCATAATCACCACTTATCTCTATTCTCTCATATCCACATCTTGATGGGCACTCAATTATCTTTGCTCACACCCACAGCTCCTACTGTTGCACTATCCTCTTATATAGACGTTCTTGATGGAATACAGTATTTTGATCAGCTAGGCAGAACACGATTCTTAAAAACCATAAAGGCTGCTGATCAAAATGGCTACTTGATTGTTAAACTACTAATCAAACCTGATTTAAGTCTTGATCATGCCTCCTTAAATTCAATTGATTCAAATAACATAATTAAAACTGACTCAATTACCAACAATATCCTAATTTCAAATACCACTACTCTCAATCCAAATAACTTTGATAATGGAAGCAATAACAATAGTAACGATAATATCGTCATTATAAATTCTAATAATGCTTCTAACATAAATAAAAATTTAACATTTAATAGTGCTAACAATAATAACAATCTAAATTCAAACTCAAATCAAACCACAAATATAAACATAACTTCAAAAATTGATGATCCAAATAACTTACACGATTTGAATTTTCAAAAATGGATAAATATCCTACAAAATCAAAGAAAAATACTATCAAACATTCCAAGTGCAATTCCCTACACTAAAATAGTCGAGACAGAAAAGGCTTGCTATTTGTTAAGACCCTTTTTGTACTCGAACTTATACGATATAATAAGCACAAGACCCTTTTTAGAAAAAATAGAAAAAATTTGGATAACATTTCAACTATTATCAATCTTATCAAAAATTCATGAAAACGATATAACTCACGGTGACATAAAATCAGAAAATATCATGATAACAACTTGGAAGTACTGCCTCTTGACCGATTTTGCTCCTTTTAAACCAATATACTTACCAGAGGATAACCCATCTCAGTTTTCCTTTTTTTTCGATACTTCTCATCGAAGAACTTGTTACTTGGCTCCCGAAAGATTTCTATCCAAAAACGAAATCCAAATCCAAAATCAAGCTCAAGCTCAAAAATTAAACCTATTCAATAAATTCAAATATAAGATCAAAAATAACACAATTACAAAAGAAATGGATATATTCAGTCTCGGCTGTGTAATTGCTGAATTATTCCTTGAGGGCAATCCAATTTTCACTTTAGCTCAACTATTTAAATACAAGAAAAAACAATACACTCCAAACTTGAATTCAATCGATAACATCCATATAAGAAACTTAATAACCTCAATGATCAGTTTGAATCCAAAGGACAGAAAATCTGCAAACTACTATCTTAATGAATATAAAAATAAAATCTTTCCCTCCCATTTTTATAATTTCCTAAATGAATACATGAAAAATATGTCCGAAGGAATAAACCTTGATGACGAATTGAAATTTAATGACAGATTTCAGGAATGTGATTATAGAATTGAAAAACTATACAATGATTTCGATAAAATTGTCTACTTTCTTGGTTTTGATTACGATTTTAATCAAAAGCTGTTTGAACTAAATAATAAAAACTTTGCCAACGAAAGAAAAATCCTACCTATTCAACTAAACCTACCAACTCTAAAGGGCTACACCCTAAAATCTACTTCTCAAGTCAATTTACATGATGGTTCCGCTCTAATCATTTTAAGTCTATTATTAAGCTCAATAAGAAATACATTCCTAGCTTCAAGTAAAATTAAAGCTTGCGAACTACTTTTAGCATTAAGCGAACGAGTTAATGATGAAGCAAAATTAGATCGTTGTTTACCTTATTTAATCTACTTATTAGATGATCCATGTCAAGATGTTCAAGTTGCTGCTCTAAAATCATTTACCAAATTATTAGAAATGGTTGATTCCCTAACACCCGTCAATGTTTTCCTATTCTCAGAATATATAATTCCTAATCTTATAACAATGCTAAGAAAGGCCAATCCTTATGTTAAAATGTTTTTTGCTTCATCTTTGCCCAGCTTGGCTCAATCGGCTTCAAGATTTCATGATATGATTCAATTGATGAAATCAAATGTAATCAACTCCTCAATTGATCCAGAAACTGAAAATGGTATACTTACATCTGATAATGTTTTTGACGTATCTAAAATCTCTTTATCCGAAGATATTGAAGAATTTGTAGTTTCCCTTTTAACTGACACTGATCCTTATGTTAAAATTGCTTTTTTACAAAACATTATTCCCTTGTGTGGCTTTTTTGGCAAAGAAAAGACCAATGATGTTATACTAAGTCATTTGATAACTTATCTTAATGACAAGAATCCTCAATTAAGAATGGCCTTTGTAGATTGTATTGAAGGCATAATAATATATGTTGGCCCATTGAATTTTGAACAATATGTATTACCACTATTAGTTCAAACTTTAACTGATCCTGAGGAATTTATTGTGATAAAAGTATTGCAAAATTTTAATAAATTAGTAAAACTTAGATTAATAAGAAAACCTTTTATTTGGGATATTGCCAAAACAGTATCAAAATTAATATTGCATCCAAATGAATGGATAAGACAAGCAACTCTACATTTAATAATATCAATAGCAGATAGTTTGATTTTTGCTGAAAAATATTGCATTTTACTTCCGTTAGTTAAACCCTTTTTCAAGTACCACTTTACTGAGTTTGATTGGAATACTTTGTATCCAGCAATGAAATCTCCAGTGACAATAGCTGTTTATAAATTATCGTTAACATGGTCTCTAAAAGCAGAAAAATCATTATTTTGGGCGACAGATAAAGGCAGCTTAGACAAGAACTCATTAAGCAACAATGGTTTGACTTTTATGGCTAAATCATTAGAAGGAATGGTTTCAAGATTAACAATAGCGGGTAGTAATAATGGAACAAATGGCAATCAAAATAAAAAAGCGCAAAATGAAGGTCTCATAACTGATAACGCTTCGGTTCCACTTTCTTCTGATGATCATAAATGGATTGAAAAATTAATACTGTCTGGATTTGAAACAAAAGATTTATGGAAACTAGCGACATTAAGAGACTATTTATATCGTGTGGCAAGATCGTCAACAAGAATGATATCAGAAAATGATTCAACTTTTGAAATCCAAGATGAGCTATTGAGTCTTGGTATATATCCTAGAAATGTATTTCTTGATGGTATTGATAAATCGGAAGCGTTTGAAATGGATTTTGAAACTGAAGAAAGTGACGAAATGGAAATTACCAATTCTTTAAGTAATTTTAACAGCACCAACACAATTCCAACAGTAACCACATCAATAACAGAATCCACTGCAAATACTTTAAGTAAAATACCCACATTGGGGCTTTCAAAGCCAATTCTTGGATCTTTATTATTCGGAGTTAAAAAGGCATCACCATCTATTTCTGAAAATCAAGAAAACGTTTATGCAGATTTGGAGCAGTTAACTTTGGAAACAGATTTTGGAGAATCTAGTTCTGATTCTAAGATAGTGACATTAAAACTTCCACAAACTTCAACTGTTGCAGGAAAAATAACTCATACGTATACTGGAGATGATCCGAACATTTTGAAATTTCTTAATAATATAAAAATTGAAACTACATTGGATGATTTCCCAGAATTCGGAGCTGCCTTGTCAAACATACCAACTAATGATTATCATATCTTGAAGAATGTTTCAAATTGGAAACCAAAGGGTTTATTGGTAGCGCATCTTTTGGAACATCAGGGCAGTATTAATTGTGTTGTAGCTTCACCAGATCACAGCTATTTTGTTACAGGCGGTGAAGATGGATATGTCAAATTATGGAATACATATAGATTGGAAAGGGATGTGAAAAATTCATCTAGTTTATCAGCGAATTTGAAATCCGCGGTTTTAAAAATTGTGTTCATTGAGGATAGAGATTGTTTTGCTGTGTCAACTGAAGATGGTTACATCAAAATATTTAGGGTAGGTATAAACAATTCTCGAAAGGGTGGAAATAAAATGAATGGCAAAGCTATGAACAAACCAATTTTGAACGAGAATGAAAAGAGTGATAAAGAATTTACAAAGCTTATTCTTATCAGAAAATATAAACTAGCAGCAAATGAATATGCATTGTGGCTTGATTTTTTAATAAATGAAAGCAAACCGTTGCTAGTTGTGAACTCACCGTTATCTAAGATAATTGGTATTGATATAAGAACCATGAGTGAGGCTTTTGTGTGGGATATTCCACTATATCAAGGATATCCAACGTGTTTTTGCATTGATAACAAGAAGGGATGGTTGCTTGTTGGAACTAGCGATGGCTACTTGAATTTTTTTGATTTGAGATTTGAACTAAGAATCAAAGTATGGAGGTTTCCAAGTGGGTTCCCAATCCGAAAAATAAGCGTTTTGCCCAACGACTTCTCGATAAGACGCCATAAAAACCGATTTGTTTCAATCATTGGGGGCACAGGCGAGTCTGAAATCACGATATGGGATATATCCAAAGGCCAGTGCTGCAATGTGTATTGCTGCTCTACCAGTTCTCAGCCAGGCAACTACTTTCTTGAGGAAATCGAAGACTCTGAGTATGATGGAGGGAGAATTGAAAAAGGTCTAGGTCGAAAGCTCGTCAGAAAGTTGGAAGCAGATAACAGTATGACAGCCTTCACGTCGATAGAATTCCATACAGCAGACTACATGAAGCACTTGTACTTCATCAGTGCCACGAAGGAGTACAAGATTGTGTTTTGGAATGTGAGTTCGCCAGAACACTCCAAGGTGATCACAGGCCTCTCGTTGAGCGAGGACATTCCCAGATTCACCTCGTCGCAGATAAACCCTGGATTGACTGTTGTGAGCGAGATCAAGAACTCTGGCACCTCCAGCAGCGCCCCTGGCAGCAAGAGAAGGAAGAGCAAGCTCTCGAGGCCCTCGTTGATCTCAGTGGAGCAGCTCGAGCTCGTGAAGAACCATTTCAGTTGCATCAACGACTTGACTGTGATTGTGTCGCCCTTCATCATGATCGTTTCGGTGGACCTCAGCGGTGTGATCAACGTCTTCAAGTAGGGCTCTAACGGAGTTGATCCGCGCAGGGCTGCGTATAAATACGAAAAGTTTTTCTTTCTTTCTTTCTTTCTTTCTTCTCGCTATGTATCTGTTGAACAAGCATTTGCTGGAGACTAGGCGATTCTTTGGTGTAAAAGTAAGTTGCCAGAATTCTTCTTTTATTTCGATGCTAAGAAGCGCAATCCAATGATGACACTTTTTATTCTTGCTTAGATTCGTCGGTGAAAGCTGATTTCTCATAGACTACAACGGTATCTGAGCGATTGCCTCTTAGCTGACAAATAGCACGAAGTTATCGAATTTAACTTTACTAATTATTATGCAAAGTTACTAATATAATTGACTCCATAGATGGTTTGAACATGTCTAAAAGAAGAAGAAATTTAAATCAACTTTATCCCAACCCTTTGCCTATAAATGTGTACCAGTTTCCGGTTTTATTCCCACACAATTTGATCTCGTGGATTAGCTACGCGTATTCTTACTATAGATTTGTCACTGCATCGCCAAAGCTAACTAAGTCAGATGTCTTGATTGTTGAAGGCAACATTCATCAGGTCAAGGATGAGCAGGACCAAAAAAGACTCTGGTGCAATGGGTTTTTTGGAAAGGGCATTCTCAGCAGAAGTGAGCCCACATGGCATGAAAGAACTTTGGTTAGATTGGGCTTAAAAGAGAATGCTGCTTATAATAGCAATAATAAAAACCGAAACAAAAGCAAAAATAGAGATAAAAAGAATTTGGCGTCTGAAGATATTACAAAGCTTAGAAGAAATGAAAGAAACTTATATAAAAAGCAAAGAGAAAAACTAGAACAAGAAGAGGTCCAACTTAGAAAACAATTGGATTTGGCAAGAGAAAGTGTCGATGAAAGAAAAGTTGTTCAAGCTAAATTAGATAAGTTAAAGGAATTGAAACTAAAAGTTTCCGATGAACAAAAAACCTTGATTAAGGAAATAAATGAGGAAATTAAAGAGCTAAGACCAGAAGACAAGAAACTAATCAATGCTAAGGAACACGATGTCAATCAATTGGAGTATTTACAACTTATGCCGGTTGAAACATTTTTCTTATCATTTTCGTTGGGCTGTGTTAACGTTTATGAAAAGAAGGAAATTTTTCTCAAGTTGCTTTCGACGACTGAATTGTTTTTGAAATCTGTTAAAAGCTTAAAAGCAGATGATAAGTTTATAATGAAATATGTTGTCTATCATAATTATCGATCCAAAGGCTGGTGTGTGAGATCTGGTATTAAATTTGGTTGCGATTTCCTAATTTATAACAAAGGACCCCCCTTCTCTCATGCCGAATTTTGTTTAATTGTGTTGCCCAATTATGTTGATGAATCTAAAAATCGACATGTTAGCAAGAAATTCAGCTTGCTAAGTGGAATTAACAGAGTCATTGGCGGTGTTAGAAAATCAATGATCTTAGTTTATGTTAATATCCCAGAAGATGAGCAATTTAATAGGGTCATTAATAACAGAAATGAGAATGATCTGATTGATTTTGAGAAATTGTTCAAATTGTATAAAGTGACAGAAATTATGTACAGCAGATGGCAACCAAGCAGAAACAGAGATTAGAAATTTTTATATATAACTGATTTTATATTATAATACATATGTATATATACTTAAATTAATCAAATTAATATTTATTAGAATAGTAAAATGCTATACCACCGTTAAATTATACCTCACCTTTCCATGCCTGAATAACCCATCCACAATCTCTAACGCCTTTATGTTTTTGTTTGGGACCTTTCACTGGATCGTCATACAATGCCATCAATTTCTCATTGTTGACTGCAGGTTTGGAAATACAAACAAAATTCTTTTTATCAGGTAATTGGCACTTTAATTGTGAAGATGGAAAAGGACATGGGCAATCTATTGGTTTATCCACACATGCTTGTGTATCAGGACATAAATAACCTTTGCAATCAGCTATAATTAAAATCAAAATGAAAACAAAAGTAAAGGTAAAGGTAAAATGTTTTTTGAACTAGTTAGAATCAATTCCAGTTTGAAAACCAATATGGAGTTATCAGATAAATTCATTACTTACAATTTAGAAACTCAACTTCAAATGGAGTCTTTTCAGGTGCAGGCTGGCCTTGACCACCCCCAAAAAAATCAAAAAAATCAGCGGCTACTAAAGAGGAACACCCTAGTATAAATATCAATGAACGAATTGTAGATAATATGCTGATTACTCTCATTTTTGCTGTATTAATGCCAATATCTTTACGTTGGAGGAAATTGAAGCAAGCGAAGCAAAAAAATACGTAGCCAAAAAAAAACCGATGCGAAGAGCTCCAATTTGAGAATGGCTGGTGTTTAAGGCTGACTATTATTATGTAATGTGGCGGTGGATTTAGAGACAAACACGCGACACGAAAACCTTTTTTTATTAATTTGTTTTTTTGCTCGAAAATGTTTTGCGCTTGTCGAACAGTTGCGCCCAATTTGTTCGCAAAGCGTCCGGTTCGCTCTTCATAATTTTTTTATTTAAGGTTTGGACGCGTCTCAATTATTCAATATAAACAAAAATTACCAATTGGCTTTCTGATTCACACCTGTTTAAGATTTGTTATTGGGGATTGGTATTTTTGTAGTTATAAACACTGCTGAATATTTTTGCTAGAGCATCTTATGTTTTGTATGTGTTTACGATTTTCAACATTCATCTATAGTCTATATCCTTATTTATCAGCAACAAGAACGAGAAAAGTATATCAGATAATTAAAAAATCATATTCATTTACTTAATTTTTTTTTTATTTTTTTTTTATTAATGCTGTTGTTTACCAGATATTCATTTATCACAGAAATATAACATGTATCTTAATCCAACGGATTTTCCAAAAGCTTTAAATGATATTAAGAAAACCTCATTATCTCACTCAACCTGTAAATTAGTTATATTTGTTTCTTGTTTAAATATAGATGCTCTATGTGGTGCAAAAATATTGGCTTCTTTGTTTAAGAAAGAATTAATACCATACCAATTAATTCCTGTTGTTGGATATTCAGAATTGAAAAACCATTACTCAAAATTAGATGATGACATAAACAATATTATACTCCTAGGATGTGGTGCAATGATTGATATAGAAACAATATTAAATGTTGATCCCGATAATTTTTTAGTTGACAACAATGATCTATACGACAATTATTCAAATAGACATTTTATCAATAATAGAAATAAACCGAATAAGGAAGTTTATAGAAGAAAAATATACGTAATTGATGGTCATAGACCCTGGAATTTAGATAATATTTTTGGCTCCCAAATTATAGTATGTTTTGATGATGGCTTGATTGATCAAGATTTAGTAGATCAAAAACATGCTTATGAAAGCTTAGTGGATCTACAAAAAGACGATGAAAGCGAAAATGAAAATGAAAATGAAGATCACATAATTGAAATAAAAGAACCGAATAATGATAAAGAGGAAATTATCAGTGATAGTGAAATTGAAGATATCATCGAAGTTGGAAAAAAACAAAAAATTAATACTTTTAGAGATAAAAATGATGAGTTTGAAATCATATCTGACTTTGATAGTGATGACGAAATTGAACAAATACCAAATAGCAGAAAAAGAAAATCTTCATTTGATTCTTCTCAGTCTTCAACTCCAAATTCAAAAAAATCAAAATCTAACAACAACAATGAGATCAACCAAGAAAACAAGCAAAAAGAATATGAGGATGATATCAATAATGAAGATGGTTTTGATTTAATCAATGAAGACACTAAAGATAATGCTGATGAAAAAACAAATAAAAAACCTACCATCTCTAAAAAAGCATTAGTAATGAAAAACGAACAAATTATAGAGGATTACTACTCTCAAGGTTCAACTATAATAACATCAATTACAATCCAAATATACTCGATGCTTTCATTAATAGATGACGACATTTCAAATGATATTGATATTTTATGGTTATCGATTATTGGAACAATGTCATTAGATAACAAATACCCACAAATATATAAAAGACTATATCCTTTACTAAGAGATGAGGTTATTAGATTGAATCCGACTGCAAGTTCCAGTGACTTTAACAGTAGTATGAATAGTTCACTTAATGAAGTTGATTCAAATTCAGGTTATTCATATTTATCTTCAAATAAAGCAGATCAGTCATTAATAAAAATGGATAAGGATTATCATTTATTTTTACTTCGACATTGGTCTCTTTATAATAGTTTTTTTTATTCTAATTATGTCAATTCCAAATTATTACTATGGCAGGAAGAAGGTAGAAAAAAATTAAATAAGATGTTTGCTAAAATGGGAATATCTTTGCAAGTTGCCAATCAAGATTGGTTATATATGGATATTTCTGTTAAGAAAAGATTAAATCAAATTTTCGTTAAGTATCTTGGTTTATATGGTTTGGATGAATTAATTAGAGATGGTTTTGTGAGAACCTTTGGTTATAGAGGTTCAATAGCTGCAAGTGAGTGTGTTGAATCTTTAACGTCGTTACTAGAACATGATAATCAAATTTTTGAAGAATACGAAAAAGAATCAAATAAAGAGAATTTGAATCCTAACAGCAGAGATAGTAATGATGATTATAATGAAAATGATGAAAATCTTATTTTAAACAATAATAATAATGAAGATTATATCAATAAAAGAATAATGAAAAAGGAAAAAATATGGATAAGCAATTTTTGGAAAAGTTGGGATGCATTAGAAAATAATAATATTAGTAAAATTAAAAATGGGCTAAAGTATGCCAAACACTCCCAGCAGATAATTTTTCGAACCGGAATGTTGATTATGGACAAGAAATTATTAAAAAACCTACGAGTTTTCAGATTAGTTGTATTGAAAGATGGTAGTGATTTAGAATTTTTTAAAAATCCATTGATGCTTTCGAGGTTGGGGATTTGGATTTTGGAAATATTGTCAGAATATGAATTCTCGCCTCTTTTGCCATTAGTTATTGCTACTCTAGATGTTTCTACGGATACATATCTTGTAATGGGATTGGCATCGATTTACCCCAAGGGAAAGAAAAGAGTAGATCTGGCAATCAGTTCAAAAGAAAAAAACAAGCAAAAAAACAAAAACCACAATAAACATAAAACGAGAATTGAAAATGAGGACGACGATGATATAATGCTACTAGATGAAAATAAGACAATGTTAAACACATTTAGTATAGCCTTTCAACAAGTATCGGAAGCTACTGGGGCTAAGGTTAGAATTGATAGTTTTGAAAATTCGATCATAGAGATTAGAAAGGACGATTTGACACCATTTTTAGAACGTTTAACGCTCTGTGGTCTTATATAGATTGTTTTTAGCACTTGATATTGCTTCTGAATTAATTTATACCTGATTTTATAGAACAGCTCTGGAGATTGAAAAGCGATTGTTAATGTCAAATTTTAACTTTGGAATATTCTGTAATCGCGAATTTTTGCTAAATGAGTCAATGCAGGTCGTTGTTTTTGGAGCAAAATTAGCATTCAGGGACCAATAAAAGAAGATAAAAATAATCAAGAGCCAGAAAACAGCAACCAGTAATCAATATATTTGAAATTTGTGATCTTTTCAGTGCAAACACAGCCAGAAACAACAACAGCACCAGAAAAAAGCAGCAGAGGCAATGACAGAAGAGGGAGAACTACAATTTATCGATATCGAGCCTCCAACCGACTATGTTCGAGTTATGAAGGATGTTTCAGCTGGTACTTGTGGTGGAATAGCCCAGGTTCTTGCTGGACAACCATTCGACACGACGAAGGTGAGACTCCAATGTGCTCCTCCAGGAAAATACAGTGGGGCCCTCGACGTTGTGCAGCAGCTTTTAAAAAACGAAGGGATATTGGGGTTTTACAAGGGCACACTAACACCATTGGTGGGAATTGGTGCCTGTGTTTCGATTCAGTTTGGGGTGAATGAGTTCATGAAAAGGTTTTTCAGAACCCAGAATGTTTCAAAGGGATTGGGGGAGAACACTTCGCTATCTTCGTTGCAGTTCTATCTCTGTGGAGGTGCTTCTGGATTTGCCAATGGGTTTTTGGCAGCACCTATTGAGCATATAAGAATCAGGTTGCAAACACAAACATCAGCAAATGGATTGTACAATGGGCCCATTGATTGTATTCGAAAGATCCATCAGCAATCTGGGTTTGCTACCGGTGTGATGAGAGGATTGGGGCCCACATTGATCAGAGAGTCTCATGGAATTGGAATCTATTTCATGACGTTTGAAGCGTTGGTTAAATATGACACCAGCAGAAACCAGATTGATAGAAAAGAAATTCCTGGGTTGAGGTTGTGTCTTTATGGAGCAGCAGCAGGTTATTCGATGTGGTTCACGTCCTATCCAATTGATGTTATCAAGACTAAGATGCAAACCGACGATTTGTCTAATAAGGTGTACAAGTCTATGTTGGACTGTGCCAGCAAAACCTACAAAGCTGGAGGAATCAAGCCATTTTTCAATGGGTTTTTGCCAACAATATTAAGAGCAGGGCCAGTTAATGCAGTTACGTTTTATGCGTTTGAATTAGCCATGAGAGCCCTTGGTTAAGTGAGGTTGGAGCTGCATTGTTAATTTTATAAATTGTGTTATAAAATATATTATAAACTATGTTATAAACTATGTTGTATTTAATGGTAATTGGTAACTTGATTTTATTTCGGAAATATATAGTGCAAAAATAAAAAAAAAGGATTAAAAGAAAAATAACATGAAATATGTCTATAAATATGTGATAAGGTGTGAAATTTAAAACAGTATTAAGAAAGTATATAAATGAACACTTAAAAAGCCAATAAGGAAAATAATAAGGAAAATAATAAGGAAAATAATAAAGAAAATAATAAAGCAAAAAAATTGAAAAGTTTGGAAGAAAAAAAAACAAGCCCAGCTCTATCTTTTTGAAATTATAAAACAAAATTAAATATAATAAAATATAATAAAATTAAATAAACTAAATTGAAAGTGAAATAAAACAGCTTGAAACTTGGAAATAAAAACAAAATTAAAGTAGTTCAAAGGACTCGCTCATTCCCCCATCAGGAATATGAGCCAACTCTAGTTTTGAATTACACTGAATATTCAAATCTGGTTGTAGATAGAAATAATAGCCAGTGATAACGCCAATCGTTTGATTAAAGCAGATATAATAAAAGCCATCAAAGGAGCAGTTTTCAAGGACCTGGTCAGGATCAGGAAACAAAAACAACTCCTTCCATCTCATGTAAACATAGTTCTCGTCCAAAAACCTTCTGTGAACATATAACGAGTTGTTGTGTGTCTCTGCTTCGACCTTTGCTTTCAAATCTCTTCTCCAGGAAGGAAACTTGGACCAATGGTGAACATCAATGGCATCGTTGGACACCCAATCAGGCTTTCGGGTGAGAAAGTTGTACTTTTCGCTTATGATCTCGCCAACAAAGTAGGTGGTGAACTTGTAGTCGATTGAGGACAAGCTCTTGATGGTGAGCAAGCCAGCAAGCGTTGATTTGGTCAAGTCGACGTCGACAAGCTCGATGGTGACTTTGCTCCTGGACTTGAACTTGGAGTTGAGCTGAAACCCACAGAAGGTGGAGCCTGGTTTCAAGAAGGAGGTTGTTCTGGGGATGGTTTGGTCGTAGGAGAGTGCTTCAGAGGATATGTTTACTTTGGTGCCAGAGCTGTTTCTGGAGGAGGAAGACTCAGATTCGCCATGCATTTGCTCCCTGGGTTCGTGATTATGGTGCGAAAAACAGACCTTTGGTACTGCGAGAGCCTCTGTTGGGCTGTTTTGTGAAAGCAACGAGCCTTGAAACAGATGCCGGAAAGGAGTTTGGTGGTATGGCGACAGAGGCATGGTAGTTGTATCTACAAGAAGAAGAACAAGAAAAAGAACAAGAAAGAGAGATCAAATAGGGAATATTCAGAGTAAAATGTAGGATTATGTGATAGAACTGGATCTCAAGCGATTCAGTTTTAGGAAATTATCCATAAGCTGCACCGAAAACCTAGTAGACCAATATCCTGACCTTCTTTTGCATTTGGAAGTGTGTTTCGAATCTTTACGGTTTGTACGTTTATCGTTCTTGAAGCAATTTATTCTCGATTTCGGTTATGAAAGCATAGTTATATCATTATCAGCAGCAAAACTATTAAATACAGAGCCATCGGTGTGATACTCTTTTAATACCTTTCTATGATAGATTTTTTCAAGATAATCTAAATGATTTTTTATCCAGGGCTTATTAAAACAGCCATCGCAATCGGGTCGGTTCCAATGGTTGATTCCTAACAAGCTTTTCACAAACTCTTTGGAATTATTGGTCACTTTCAGCCACTGTGGTCGATTGAAGTACAACTTCCCCTTCATTGTAGCCTTTATTATACTGGCTTCATTACCATCTTCATAAAATGGAGATATTCCACTAAGTATTATATGCGCTATTACTCCTAGAGACCAAATGTCGCATTTTTTAGTATATCCAGTTTTGTTAATATAGCTCACTCTATTTTTGTTGTTCTGATTATTATTATGATTATTGTTATTATTATGATTATTAATGTTTAATGCAAAACCAACTTCAGGAGCACAATACTCAGGAGTTCCCACAATCGTATGCATTCTTTTATTGTTTTGAGAAACTTTTGCAATACCAAAATCTGTCAAAATAACTCTCGTTCCAGGCTCGGGTTTGTGAAGTAAAACATTATCTAATTTCAAATCTCTATGGACTATATTATTATCATGAAGATATTTTAACGCCAACAACAATTGGTATATGATTAATAAAGATTCAGGCTCAGGCAAGGCAATTAAACAATCTCCCTTTGCCAAATATGAAAATAAATCGCCTCCACAGATCAATTCCTCAAATATATAAAGTTGATTGTTTTTAATTATTGTTTCATGTACTTTTATTATATTAGGATGGTTTAATTTTTTCAATATTTTTGATTCAGTTAAAGATACATTTTGTTTCAATATCTTAACTGCACAAAACCTATTTATATTAAAGTTAGCGTTAGTGTTAGTGTTAGTGTTATCACTATCACTATTCTTATTCGCTTCCCTAATTCTATTAACCTTATTACCATTATTACCATTATTACCATTGTTAATATCACTATTATTGCTGATCTTTTTCGTCATAAATACGTTTCCAAAAGTCCCACTCCCAATATTAATTGAAGAAATAAACCAATTTTTAGAAACTTGAGCTTGTTTGAAATTTTGATTATTTCTCAACATATGCTTGAAAATTGGTGGATAGAAAAATTTAGCCTTAAACCCATTCTTAATCTCGATTTCATCGTTGTTACATAACAACCCGATCTGATTTCGCCCCAATTTTTCTTTGTTTAGGAAAACCCCATTCAAACTCTCGTCCTTTATATAGATTAATGGCAACGAATCATCGTCAAAATGAATTGACCAAATTGAGCAATGAACAGAAGAAATATAATTATTATTTATAACCAAGTCGTTACTCGTGTTATTTCTACCGATTTTAAATATCTTGTTTTTGGTTATTTTAATTGTAAAGCTATTAAAAAACTCATCTTCCATTTCATTAGCAGTAGACGTTGATGTAGAACAAACCGAAAAATCCAATATATGTGGTTGGATAGACTCAGGATCAATGATAAACATCCCAGAAACCTTTCGTTCTGCAAAAGAGTCGTTAAATATAAAATCACTGACATTGTCTTCACTGTTTGTGCTATCTGATATTGAAATTGTCATTGTTTTTACTGTTTTTTCACAAATTGTCGCAAGGCACCAGAAGCGTTCTTTCAACAAAAACAAATCAAAACCAACAAAAAAAAAGGGAATACATTGTCCTATTTATATCGTTGCAATTTGGTAATTTCTGTTCCCAAATCACCAAATACAACAACACCAATGTTGTAGGCTCCCCAAACCTTATTTAAGATAAAACCAAACCCGCGCTGCTGGATCCAAACCACCATTCTGGGCCCAATATCCAATATGCATATATATGCATTGAGTTCTAGAACCTTCTGGAGAAAAATTGTTTTTTCCATTGTTTTCACTTGAGATGTATAAAAGCAAACCAGTTCCTATCAACAGTCTTATTGATTTCAACATTATCAGCTTACAATGGAGAAACTTTTGCAGTGGTCAATTGCCAACACCCAGGGAGATGCTCAAGCCAAAGAAAGAGCAGGAAATCCTGATCCCAATGCTTTGGCCCAATTACTTGGAAATGTTGTTGATGATGTTACGTTGATGAGAGAAAATCTCAAAAATGCATCCAATCCTGAACTTTCCTTGGAAAATAGAGAGATCTCTCTAGATAATTTCGAAATGTTAATTGAAAATCTCGACAATGCCAATAATATCCAGAATTTAAAACTTTGGGATCCATTATTAAACCTTTTAAATGCAAAAGAACCTTCAATTAGATCATTGGTTTGTTCAATCATTGGAACCGCTGTTCAAAATAATCCAAAATCCCAAAAAAATTTTACTTCTTATGACAATTCAATCAAAAAATTAATTCAAATATCTCTCGATAAAAGCGAACAGACATCTGTTAAAATAAAAGCTTTATATGCATTATCTAATTCATGCAGAAACTTCGAAAAAGGTTATGAATTATTTGAAGCTGAAAATGGTTGGTTAATAGTTTCCGATTTAATTTTTGAAACAGGAAAAAATAACCTTTTAAATTATAAGTTGCAATTAAGATTCTTGTCCTTATTATCATCTTTATTATCAACAGCTTTCAATAAAAAAAAAGAAAATTTCATTCAAAATGAAAAAGTTATACAAATTTTAACAAAATTGGCAACTCAAAATATTGAAAAGATAAGTTTCATTGATAACTCCTTAAACATAATCGGTCAATTGATTAGCCATAATTACAATTTTAATGACCAAGAAAAAAGTCATATTATTACCTTACTCGAAAACTTAGATAATGTGAAAAATGAATTATCAAAAGAGGATTATAAACTTGTTCAAAGTTTAACTGTTTAGTTTTTTAATATTTTTATTTCACTATTTTTATGGTTGCACTTTTTTTATACTGGCTTTCAATTCCTTTTTATAGTTACAGCGCTTTATTGTTTAATTTTTTTATATTATAATATAACAAACTTTTCATCTAAATGTAATTTTTTTTAATTATTTAAGATCTCGTTAGGATCATTTGAAGTAAACAATTTTTTTAATGAAACATCAAGTGAATCTCTCGCGAGTTTTTTACCATCAAACCCTTTTCCCAATCCATCACCTTTAATATATGTTTCCAGAATAGACATTAAAGATGGAAACTTTTCAGATATGTTTTTTGAAATATTATTCGTCATGAATTTAAACTGCTGAAGAGATTTCAAATAGCAGTCGTTTGCATCTCTTCCTGATCTAATGACACCAATATTTGAAAATTCACTATTTCTCATATTACTATCGTAAATTTCAGAAGAGATTGTGTAAGTAAAAGATTTAATCCAGTTGATTCCATCCTGACCACTACTGATCGGAAAGAAAGACACTTTTAGCTCAATTTCAAGTTCAATCAAAAATAACTCAATTTCTTCTGCTGTCATTTTAATATTCTGTGGTACTTCCTTTTTTTTTGACAATTTGCTTTTATTGTTACTTGTTATTGAAAGCTCTTCAGATGTGCTCATTACTTTTCGAACCCGAGAAGCGTAACTTCTATTGTCAGATGTTTCAAGTTTTCTTAAATGAGTATTGAATCCTTCAGCAATCACTATAATCAATTCAAACTTTCCATTCGTCTTTAAACTTATAATTTCCTCTTTTAATACATTATTTTGAATTTTTTCAATAATTTCAGAAGCCGAATAATAAAGTGCTGCAATGTTTTCCTTTTTTTTGGTTTCAGCAACAGGAACAAAAATATCTCTCTTAGAATCATACTCGGATACTATTTTTCTGGTCCAGGTTATTAAAGGTAACTTGTTATTGGATCTCAGTGATTTGATTTCAATTGGGTCAAAAAACTCGTTGAGATTTGCATTTTTACTTAAATTGTTAAAAATAGACTCCTCAATATCCATGATTATTTCGGCTAAACAATCTTCTTTAGTTTTAAGTTTATTTATTTCTTTTAGTAATTTTTTATCATAATTAATAAAATCAGAATTTCTTTCATCGATAGATCTGGGAAAAGTTTTTGACCGAGTGGCTTTAGGGGTAGAATGATTAGTGTTATTTGATGTTAATTTTGGTAAGCATGGCACTGTTTTTGTTCTTGTGCTGTTTTTCAAAAAGTTTGAAACCTTTTTATTTTCAGGAGTCCAAACAATAGGATCAGAATCTAAATCAAAATCTAGGGCTGATTTACTTTTTCCAAATAAATCAGCCAAAAAAATTTTATCAAGTCTTGTATTTTTGGTTGATTTTTTTGAAATTGGAGTATTGGTTATTGGATCTGAATTAAGTTCTATTATCAGTATATCGTTTGGAACTTTTAAACTAGAATTTTCATTTTTATTATTATTTGATAGATTTTTTGGTAAAAAGTTTTTTATTCTGGGATTCAATAAACTAGGATCTTCTAAAAATGATATGCTATTGTTTACAACGCTATTATTTCCCTGAGAACTGGAAAATACTTTTATTGGAAATTGTTTTTTGTTATTATCATTAATTTTTTTTGGAGATTCATGGTCTATTATTTCTTTCTCTGGGGGGTTTTTCTTTCCTCTTTCTTTTCCTTTATTGTTAACTTTTTGAGTTATTCTCTCATTAAAATTATTGTAAATCACTCCATCATCGTATTCATAATCAGGTTCCAATCCTAGGCTGGAAACTATATCCGAAGTAAAATCAAGCAACAAACCAAGTGATTTTGTTCTGTTTTTAATCCTTTTGGAAACTGGCGAGGAATTTGTACTATTTGACTTTCTTTTAACAGGTTTTAACAAACTTTTATTTTTATCTTTTAAATTTGTTGTAGGGGAATTATTTTTGAGTTTATCAGCATTTCTATCATTAAAAATAGCTGAAAGCGTTTTCTTTGATGAATTGAAAACATCTGAATCTAGATCTAGGCCTCGATCTGGTGGATCTGAATCAGATAAAACAATTAGCGTATCAGATATTCTATCATGATCAAATTCGCCCTTCTTTTTAAATTCTGCTGGTGTTTCATTCAATATCTCGATTTCCGAAAAATCCTCGCAGACTATATTTGATTTGATGTAGTTTGGATTTGAGCTCTCATTTATATTCAGGCCAATATATTCAATTTCATTTTTATCATCAGATAAGCTACAGGCATAGATAGACTTTCTTTGTACAGGAGAACTTAGAGGATTATGTTTGGATATATCATGTTCAATTATTTTTTTAGAAAAAACACTTGGTGTTTCATTATTCTGTATTTTTTTGGAAGGAGATGATGATAACAGACCTTTAAACATTGTGACATCGGAATCATACACACTTTTACAAGATTTGTGTTAATATTGTTCTTTTCCAGACTGCTTGTCCAAATATAGTGATTCGTGATATACATGTAATACATACAATAGCAATGAATGCTCTTTAGTTACTTTTGTTGCAGTGGCTAATTTATCTGCCTCCACATCAATAATTTCGTGTTGAGACATTCTCAATTAGTATCATTTAAACCAGTCTTTCTTTGAAATGAGAAAACAAATACTTTAGCTAAAATGGTCTGTTATGTTTCAACCTATCTTCATAGTCAATAACCTGGAAACTAAAAGGAAGCTTCAATTCTACCCAAACCTGCAGCTTTTATTTTGTGTTTTGATTTTCCGAAATAGATGGAAAATATAAACAATAGCGTTTCTTTCAAAATCCTGCATCCAAAGCTTTGTTGAAATATTGATCTGGGAATAATAACAGATTATTAAAATACTTTTATTGTAAAACCTTTTATGGTACAAATATAAAAAAAATCAAGACAAGTTAAAAAGCCCAAAAAAGAACTGAGAATAAATATTAGTAATATCTATCAAACTTCAAAAAAAAAAAAATTGAAAAGAAAAAAAAAGGAAGAAAGTCAAAATAGATTATATAAAATAACAGGAAAAAAATGCAGATTTAGTTATCTGTGAAAGGAGGCCATTGGATAATGACACTCTGAGATTTGGAATATGATACACATAATCTATCTGAGTTCTGACTCCATGATAAAGCAGCAATAAAATTGGAGTCATCGGAATTTTTATTTTTTTGATTCTCGTCGACAGCAAGCTTATCATTTAGAGAGCCCTCTATGTTATCTTTATTTTTGTTGTCAAGATTAGGATCTTGGTTGCAATGATATTGTGCCACAGGTTTAATTCTTCCAATCCATTCACCAATGAAAATTTTATCCTTATTGTCATCATCTTCATTCTCTATATTTTTTGGCTCAATATCCTCGGATTTAGCAATTGTTTTCTTAATGTGCTTAATTTTCTTAACCAATGTCTTTGGTGAGACATCCCATATAGATATGATTCCATCCATACCACCAGTCGCAAACCAATTTTTATTTGAAGATAATACACCACAAAATATGGGGATGCCATTCAAGATGGAAAGTAGAATAGTATTACCAGTGATAATATCCCAAATCCGAATAGAACCATCTAATGAACAACTTACTATTAGTGGGTTAAATCCACTTAAAATTATTTCAGAACTTAACCATTCTGCGACTACTATGGCTTGAGAGTGGCCATATAAGACTTGAGCACTTGAAAATGAATCACCTTTCCAAATTCTTATTGTATTATCATCAGAACCACTAATTAAGAGCTGAAGTTCTTTGCTGTATGATAAGCATCCAATGGATGATGTGTGACCTTGTAAATAACCTACAGGAATCATTTCACCAACATTCATTATTAACATTGAGCCGCTAATTCCAGGGATTAAAAATTTAGTTCTATCAATCCAACAGGCGTCAACTCCTAAATTTATGTCTGAGGATAAATCAGTTTTATCTATTGGATTGTTTTTATTGTTGGAACTATTTTGTGAGTTGAAGGGATTATTGTTATTGTTATTGTTGTTGTTAAAATTTATATATTTTTGATGTTCATTTAGTAAAAACTCATAATTTATATGCTGTACGGAAGTACCAGTATTAACATCCCAGATTATAGAAGTATTATTGGTATCAATTGTTAAGATATAAGAATTATCCAAGTTCCATTTAATCACCAAAACAGGATTGTGATGTAAATTCATTACGTTTCTTAATTTTCCCTCAGCAGTCCATAGTCTTAATTCGCCATTTTCTACAGCAGTTACAAGATAAGGACCCATTGAAGACCAAGATATGGAGGTTATCTCTTCACTTACTAAAGTTTGATTTGCAGTAAAATTTGTTGATGGATGAACTAAAGACAATTCCTGTAATATTTGAGTGGAATCCTGAGAGACGACGACGATTTTTGAAGTTGCGTTATTTTGACCCCAAGCTAATACAGTATTTGCATTTGAATTTGGATTCCAATCACAACATGTACTGGAAGAAAATTTGATTGAATCTTTTAATATTATTATCTTTTTTTTCTCTGATTCTGATTCTTTTTCAATTAGAAGATTATCATTAATTTTTTTATCAGTTGAGTTTTCATTTTCATTTTCATTTTCATTTTCAATTTCAATTTCGATTTGATTTTCACCTTTATCTTTATCTTTATCTTTATCTTTGTCTTGATTTTCATTTTTAATTTTCAATTTATTTTTATTTTTATTTTTATTGTTGACTTCTTTGCCATTTCCATTATTAATTTTATGGTTGGTTTGATTTTTGGTTTGGTTATCATTAGCATTTTCATCTTCTATTTCCATGTCTTCTACTATATTAGAATTGAGTTTGTTATTATTTTTATTTTCTGTTTTATGGTCGTTTGAATTTTGGTTATTTTTATCTACAGAATTATTATTTTGATAATTTTTATTAGTATTTTTATCAAAAGTATCCTGGAATTCGGAATAACTTTCTGGGATTTTGTCATGATTGTGATTTTGATCATATTGATATTCATTTTCATTTTGCTTTTCGTCTTCGTCTTCGTCTTGGTCATTTTCATTGTCGTTGTTCAATAGCCTAAATCTTCCTTTAAATTCTAATGATTTGTTTTTCATCGAGTCCTTTTTAATAGCACCAAATAAAGAAAAAGAGCTTACGACTTCATCCTTAGACTTCAATTCACCATTTTCGTTGACTAAGGATTCGTCTTCGCAATAAAATATGCCCTTTTGCACTAGATTTATCAAGCAGCCCAAGGGAATGATCTTGCAATATTTCTCTTCCAATTCATGAATTCTGGTTTCCTCCTGGAGAGCAAACGCCGATATTTCTAGACCAGTTTCCTGGAGATACCTCCATATGAGATAGTTTAGTTCATCACTAGTAATTGTCATTGATGATCACTGGGCCAGATTGATTTCGAGTGAGAAGCATCAAGCAGAATTAGAGAATAAAGATACGAAATAGAAATATCTACCATTCTGTGGTTTCTGTCAGAGGATGCGGATTACGTCAGCCGGATGATCTCCATGTGCGGATGGACATGCGGATCTGGGCGGATGTTGCAGATGCGTGAATTAAGTGCTGAAGAAAGAGAGGAATCGAGCAGTGGACAGAGAAGTGTATGGTCGATGGATGATATTACGGGAAAGAGCTTCTTGACCACCTCCAACGAGACGTTTCAGGTGCCTGAGGAGACTCCCTCCTTGTTGACAGTGATCATAGAAACAGACCCCATACGATGGAGGCGTGTGATAAAGAGAGACAGTTGCAAAGATCCGTTGAGAAAGGTTATCAAGGCCTTGATTGTTCACTTGAATGCCCACATTTCGTTGAACAACTCGAATAAGGTGGCGGTTATTGCTGCTCACGAAGGCAAGGCTAAATTTTTGTATCCTGATTTTGGTGATTTCAGCGACAGTGGCAGCAACGGAAGCAATGGTATAGCGAAAAATGGACACAGCAGCAGTCATCAGTACTTGAAGAACTCGAACATCTACAGGCAGTTCAAAATAGTGGACGAGAGTGTGCTAAAAAACTTTGACAAGTTGATAAATGAGGATATTAGTGCTAAAAACAGTGGCAGTAGTGAAAACAATGGTACTGCTGATAACAATAACAACAAAAATCAGGGGCATAAAAATGTTATTCCTGGTTCAATTAGTCTTGCATTGACATATATTAATAAATTGAAAATGCTTGATGATTCGTTATCAATCAAAGCGAGAATAATAATCATGGGAATTTCAGATGATTCATCATTACAGTATATTCCATTGATGAACTGTATATTTGCTGCACAAAAGATGAGGATTCCGATTGATGTTTGTAAGTTTTCTTCAAAATCAACTTTTTTACAACAGGCCTCGGATACTACAAACGGGATATACTCATTTATAAATGATAACGAAATCGACGGGATAATTCAATATCTATCTACAACATTTTTTATTGATCCGTCATTAAGAAAATATATTATATTGCCTACTGATGTGAATATTGATTTCAGGGCGTCGTGTTTTCTCACTGGAGAAGTTGTGGATATTGGATACGTTTGTTCAGTTTGTTTATGCATTTTAAGCAGGATTCCCGAAAACAATATCTGTCCAACTTGTGATTCAAAATTCGATTTAAAGATATTGAGTAAACTAAGAAGAAAACCTGCATTTGATTTAAATCAATTTAGGAAGAAAAAAAAATTAAATCCCAGTAATAATGGAAATGGTGGAGATACAAATGGGACGCCAACTCCAGTCTCCACTCCTTTACCTTCAACTCCAGGAAATTAAATTAAATTAAATTAAATTAAATTAAATTAAATTGAATTGAATTAAACTAATTGTTAGATTAATTATTAAGTTGATTTATCAATTGATAAATTGTGAATTGAAAGTAAAGATATGTAAATATATATTGATTTATTTTTTTTTAAAAAAAGTGTTTTTGAAATTAAATTTTAACATTAAGCTGTCGCAGTGCTGGTGGCACTTGAAACTACTGAAGTCACAGTTTCAGCAATCTTTTCAGCAGTCTTACCAATGATTTTGGTTGATTTTGGAACAGGAAAGATAAACTAAAAGACAACGGGTTAGTAAGTCAGCTATAGACTTTTATAGTACATACGATGGGATATTATAGAATAATAAAGGAATTTTGCAATTCTCGAAAGCCAAATACATACATCAGTGTAGCTAGCAATCAAACCGCCAAAACCAAAGGCTAAGGACAATAAAGGACTTGCAGCATCTTCTGGCTGTTTTAAATCGTGATGGAAGGTCAAGTAATTCTGGACAGCAAAGGTGAGACCACTCCAGCCTAACAATTTATTTTTCATGAACATAGCAGCCATTGGCATTGATTGGATCAAAGTCCCAGTTGGATTTGATCTGGGTTCGAGTGGGATGTGCACATATCTGAGGAGGCATTAGTAGGTTGTTGAGAGGAGTATCAAAGGCAGAACTAGAAAGCACTGCTGCTGTGTAACATACTGAACAACCAAGTCTTCTCTTATTGGTGATGGAGGCATCTTCTGTTGTGTCTGTTTTGTCTGTTTTATCTATCGCCCTATTGCTCTATCGCTTTATCGCTCCTCTTTATCAGTGATCTGTTATCATTTCATTTCCCTCCAAGAAGCCCTAATAAGCCCTAGAAAGCCCTAGGGCTGCGGCTTCTACATCAATACCCGCAACAGCTGTACAAAATGCGCTTTTCTCATTGTTTAATATCACAAGTCCCCACAAAAACGCAAACCGTACACGTGTTAATACCCGGCCTTAACTGTTCCCATATTTACGCTTTCGTGTTGATAAGTGCCAGTGCAAATATAAGAAAAGTGAAAAAAAACAGTCAAAAAAACAGTCACTTTTTTCCCTTTTTTTCTGCTTCCATCAATTTATAAAGAAATTAATTTTCTACAGAGTATGTTTACAATGTTTTTTCATGTTTTTTCTGAAGTTTGGCTTCCATCCTCAAATCAATGTAGCAGATCCTATCAATCACAGCAATAAACAACGTGTTCCATCCACTTCTTCTCTAGTGTTTTTGTCAATGTCTTTGTTAATATCTTCTTGTGCTTTCCTGTAATCTGTTGGTCTTGTCTCTTTGCTATTCTCACCAACTCTTTGCTGTTTATAATTTTACTAACAATGTCTATTTCCCTTATTAATTGTAGATGTCTCATCAAGACAGTAATTCACCATTTCATATAGATGAGCATGAACTGGGGTTTCAAGAAAATGCTTTGGCTGATACAATTGCTGAGTCTTTTATGGATCTTTTTGACCAAAATCTGACAAATGAAGATGATCAACATACTGATAATTATAACATTGATAACCACAAAAATAACGAGAATAGTCACAGTAATGGTAGCTCTGATCATTTAAATGAAAATCATAATTATGTCGATGATAATTTTAATGATAATAATTCAAGTGATCAGATATCGAACACTAATATAGAGCTCGATTCAAGTTTGAAATCGAGGAAAGTTCCATCCTTTCATGATAATCTTACCATAGACCACTTAGGCGTATCTTCCAAAATAAACAATGACCTTGGGAATTTATTTGATGATGTAATTAATTCTGCACTTGGCTCAATAAATATTGATTCTAATGAGAACGAAATGAATCAAATTACTGAAAGTGATGGAAATAATAAAATTAATGAAAGTAATGAAAGTGATAACAGTAATTTTCATATTACAGATACTCCAAATGAAAATGAAAATGAAACTAAAAACATCGATAATAGTATTGAAACTCCATCTCAAATTTCTTCTGAAATAAATATAATGCATCCAATTACTGATTCGCCATTAACAAACAATAAAATTATTCAAAATGATAGTGATAATGATAATGAAAAAATCATTGACAATAGTCAGCCTAAAACCAACGAAAAATCACTCAACCAACTAAACACCGATAATGATAATCATAATAATGATAGTCTTCCCAAAGATAACCTCAATAATTCGTCTTTAATTCCCAATTTTGATTTAAATAGAGCAATATCTGATGCTCTACTTGATTTATCTGAAAACATGGCTAACCAAATAGAATCAAATGAAGAAGAATCTCAAATTGACAAACGAAATGATAATCAAATTGATACCACCAATAATGATAATCATACTACTAATAGTAACAATGAAACCAAAAATTCTTCTATTAATCCTCAATCTTCACAGGTAATTTCTTCAAATCCTTTGGAAGATGTCATATCTAATGCACTTAAGGAAATCTCTCTTAATCTCAATTCTCAAAATGACCAGAATTACTCAAATACTCAAAATAACAACCAAAGTGTTAATAACAAACTGCTTTTGACTCAAGAATTCCCAGAAAATGATGCACTAGCTTCTGTTATCAATGATGTTTTCAAGGATATTTCAACCTCGAATTACCAAGAACCAATACTTGATAATACTGTAATTTCAAATTCAAAACACAAAATTTTTCAAGATCCATTAACAACTGCAATTGCAGATGCTTTAAAAGACATAACAATCAATGCTGATGATACCATAACTGCGACAACAACTTCTGGCGATGCTTTATCGTTAGCAATTGCTGATGCCTTTCAAGATTTATCTGGAACCTCAAAAATTACAACAATAAAAAAGTCTAAAAAACATCCCGAAAATAAAAATAACAAACAAGCTCAAAAGCCAAAAAGAAAATATACTTATAAAAGAAAAACGTCAGCTAAATCAAGACAATATATCAATAATTCTTTATTGCAAAATGCTATCGCAGAAGCTTTTGATGATGTTTCTCTTCATATGATAGACAATCAAGAAAATTTAATCACACAAAATGAGCAGTCAGAATTAGATAAAGTAATATCTCAAGCACTTGAGGATGTCATTGATATTTCCTCTACACAGGTGTCTTTATCTAATACAAACAAAAAATTGGATAAAAACAAAAACTATAATCTTGATTCACTTAATTCCCAATCTTTATCTGGTAAAAATGCTATGGCGGGAAAGAAGACATATAATCTTGCTTCTGAACTATTGGCTCATTTTGATATTGATAAAGCTATTGAAAATGCTTTAAAATCTATCAAAAATAAAAATGATGGGAGTCTCAAAAATGACCACTTAAATAATAAAGAAGTTTCAAAGAAAAACCAACCTATTCCATCTACGAATCCAATTGAAAGCATTTTAAATAATACAGGTTTGATGAACTCAATCTTTCAAGATGCTATTGAGATGGCTTCTGATATGGGTTCAAATAAATTATCATCTTCTTTACTTTCTAATTCTCAAGATATATCAAAAATCAATGATAACAATCTTAATGTCAATAATATTAACATCACAAATAATAGCAATAATAATTTCAGTAATCATAACAATAATAACAATGGTAATAATATTAATAATTCAGATCTTTCTTCTAAGAAAAAGCTGGCGCTATCTATTGCAGAAACATTAGCTTTAAATCGATCTTCAATGAAAACACCAAACACAAGAGATTATTCCACGATTGAATCTATTGAAGATATAAAAAGAACAGAACAAGCCAGTTCTCAACCTAATTCTATGAAACAACAGCCTAAAAAGAGAGTTGGTAAAGAAAGTTCAGTTTCTCCAACTTTACCTACAAATTCTCCCGATATAACTAGTGATTCACCAAATTCCAAAAAACCTGAATTCCCTACTTCAAATTCAAAGTCACTTGTTACTCTGGGTGATTCCTCATTAACAAGAGAAGCTATTGAAAAAGCTTTTCAAATGATTATTGAAAAGAGAATGCCTGATAAAGAAAGAATAAGATTTGACAATAGGGAAAGAAAAAAGAGATGGAGGGAAATAAATGCTGATAGGAATAAAGATAATGATTTAAGGTGTAGAGTGCATAAGAAAGCTGATTCTTTGTTTGGAAAAGAAGATTCTGTGAAAAAACAAGAATGGGTGATTGAAGAATTTAATAGAAGGAAAGCTAAAAGGCTTGAAAGAAAAGAAACTCCAAAACCAAAGTCTTCTTTACCAAGTACAGGTTTAATTTTTAATAACAGTACAAACTCTAGTATTATTGATATTGACCCTCTACTTAATGAGCTTGCAATTTCAACAAATGGTTCTAATAAAGCCGAGTCTCTTACTTCAATTCTTTCTGAATTTATATCAAAGATTGTAAATCAACAATCCCAAGAATCTCCATCATCGAACGCTTCAGAATTTGTGTTGGGAGTACCTCCAAACTCGATTTCTTCTTTCAAAGTTAAAAGCTTGACACCAAACATAAATAATTTGGTTAAGGTTTCGCCTCCTAGTAATGAACCTGATCTAGAATTAAGTTCACTTGTTCAGGGAGTAGATCCCAAAGAATTAAAAGAGACATCATCTTTCCTTCCATCAAAAGATAATGATAAAATAACTCCTGATCCCTTTGTGCCATCAAATTTGGCAGCTAGGATTGCTAATATATCTTTATCGTCTATGATACCTGCAAAGAGAAAAGCTCAAGCTGAAAACACAAATAACAAAAGACAATCTATTTCTTCACATGTTGATAATGAACCGCTGGTTGAAAATAGCAAATCAAATGGTGGTTCTGTAACTGATGAAATTGATAGAAAAGAGAAGGAAGCTGAGAAAGTAATTGAAAAAGAACCAACGATGGAAAATATTTTATCATGGGCTTCTAAGAGTTCATTTAAGCTCCCTTCGTATAAGAAAAAACAACCAAGTATTTCCAAAATTGGTATTAGTTTCTCAGGAATTTCAAATAGACCTAGTTTGCCATTTCAAAGGCCTACTGTTTCTAAAAACAGTGAGTCTGGCGTAAGAAGGAGGATTGGTTTTCCATCCTCACTTTTAGGTTTAAATAGGGCTCCTGCTATTTAAGTTAATGATAATGATGATAAATTTGTATTTTAGTTTAATTTTAACTTTTTATATTATATTTCTCAGTTTTTTTTTGGTTTTTTTTTGGTTTTTTTTCATTTTTCACTTTTGTTGTAATATTTTTTAGAAAGAGTTTTTATATAGTAAGTTTTATTTTATTCAAGGCAATTTTAGGAACGGATTTTGGATATATAAATTTAATGGGCATGAATTCTTTCTTTTTGATTATTTAATTATTTGATTATTATATTTATTTTTTACAAGTAGTGACTACTCATATATAAAAGGATTAAAAGCAAACTGAAAAAATACAGAAAACAAAAGAAAAAATTGAGATAAATATAGAATAAAAGAATAAAAATCGGAAAAAAAAGTAAAACTAACAGAATCAAATAGAAATTAAATGAAAATTAAACAAAAGAAAACCAAAAGAAAACCAAAAAAAACAAACTATGATATATGATATTTAATAGATAACAGTTAATTTCGAACTAAACTAGTTGTCTATAAGTCATGGAAGCAATATGACTATCATAAAATTCATAATAATTAATGATTTCACCATTAAATCTACCGTAACCATTTTGTGGAGGAGTTTTAAACAAACTTTTTATTCCGTTATCTAAGTTATCATCATTTAACCAAAAATCTAGACAATTTATTTTAAAACCATTATTAAATTTATTTTTCTTTAAAAAGTTTAGTCTATTTTTGTTTAAGAATAAACAAAATTGGTCTATACCTGTGACTTTTTTAAAAGATGAGCAACAAGTGATTTGTTTAGAGTAGCGCTTAATATGGTGAGAATTTGTTGATATTGAATTGGCAGAAGTTGATTGGTTTGAGAGAGTAGAAGTCAAGTCGTTCTCGGTTGAATTGACTATATCATTTGAATCACTAGAGAAATCGGGGGGAACCGAGGAGTAATGATAGTTTGAGTTTGGAGCTGAAGCGTATTGATGATCTTTTTGTAATTCATTTGCTTCATTGGTTGTTAGGTTCATTGATATTTGCCAAAATTGAGTTAAAACTAGGAAGAAAATCCAAGTGCCTTGAAAACAAACAAAACATAACAAAACGAAAGAGGAGAAGGAATAATTATAGCCATAGCATAGTTTATCAGATAGGATTTTGCATTGTGAGTAAGGCAAATCATAAGTATCGTTATTGCTATTATAATGAAGAAAATAAATTGATTTAAAGTGATTTAATAATAGGAAGACGTATAACCAGATATCCAATTCTAAAGATAAGATGAAGAATAAGAAGGATTTATGATTTGTTAAACCGATATCGTTATAAACCCAGGGACAATAATGGTCATATCTTGCAACGACATTTTTGGATATCATGCTGTATTTACTTCTTAGAGGTTTTCTAATGTATGTTCTAATACAAAAGTTTTTTGAGTCGAATTTTCCAATGTCAAGTAGATCTGTTATATTTTTCTGGATTGATTTTGGTTTAGGGATTAGGCCAGGGTTTAAGAACATCGAGTTAAAAAAAGCAAAGACCATTGCTGATATGAAAAGAAATAAGAAGAGATTTGTTAGAGGGTATGCTGAGGAAGTGGTTGGTAAGACATAGAAGAACCAAGAACAAATAACATAAAAACTAGTTGAAGAGAATACACCAGATAAAAAGGGAGATTTTATTAGGGAATTTTTTTCATTCAAGTAATTTGATATTAAACTTCTTGTGAAGATTGTTATTAGAGATAGGGCTAGTATTAGTAGGAAGATAATTAGTAGTGGGGAATAATAATAGTAGGTGCCAAATTGATCAAAGGAATCTTTATTATAATTTAATTCTGATAAAAAATAGAGGATTAAACCCATTGCTAGATAGGGAATGAAGAAAGTTGAGATCTTTGCTATTTTTTTGTGTTTTAAAGAGGTGTTAAGAAATCTTTTATTTAAAGAGCCAGAGGAAGGATTTCTATCACATTCTATGAGAGCAGTTTTAAAATTTTTGATTGTGTTCATTTCTTTTGCAACTATAAAAGGATCTTTATTTTCTATTGTTTTCAAGGATAAATCAGCATTGTTATTTATAAGATTTTTCAAGATTGAACGATTGCCCTTTAGTAGGGCCCAATGTAGGGGAGCAAAACCGGTATTATCAGGGAGATTAATGTTGGCATTAAAATTCAAGAGAAAGTCGACAGATAATGAATCACCTTGATAACAAGCCCAGTGAAGTGCGGTTCTACTGTTTGAATCTAGTTCGTCAATTGGGATTCCAGTCATTATTATTATGTAGATAACGAGCATTATATTTGAGGAGTGAACTGCTAAATGAAGAGCGTTGAAGCCCTCAGCATCTTTTTTTAAGGGACTGGCACCATTTAGAATCAAGTAGTGGACGATATAAACAAGACCATATTTGCAAGCCCAATGTAATGGAGTAGCGTTTAGATCGCCGCCTTTATGATCTACTATTGCACCCTTTGAAATAAGGAATTTGACAATGGAGAGTCTGTTGTTGATGCTGGCCCAATGTAGAGCAGATATATTATCAGATAGGTAAGAATTGACGTATTTTGGGTTAAATTCCAAAAGATTTTGGACAGTTTTCAAATCACCAACCTGACAAGCCTTGAAAAGTAATTTGAGATCTTTTTTGTACTTTGAATTCAAGGCAGAAGCATTTGGATTTGAATGAGAGCTGGAATTGGAATTAGAATTCGACTTAGAGCTAGAATTAGAGCTTGAGTTACCAGCATTGTTGTTGTTGTTGTTGTCGTTATTACTGTTATTATTAGATGTTGTGGCTAGGGTTGACTGGTCATTTTGATCTGGCTGGTTCAAAGTAGTCAATTCGGTTTCTTCTTCCATTATTGCAGCAGGTCAGAGAATCAGTGAGCAGGCAAAGAAAGAAACAATCAGAATATGAGCAGCTCGAGCTTCAACTAGACTTTTTGGAGCTGTTTATGATAGTTGATCAGAATCAGGCTGATGCCACCGGCTATACGTTGAAAAAAGACAGAAAGCTCACCGCTCAGCCATCAGTGACGCTTCTCGTTCTGGTCTCGCCCAGGCACGTGCACTCCGATATACCACGTGTTTTCAGACGTATGTCCGGAATACAACGCCTCTGTATGCACGTTGTCACAGCAAGTCAACGCATGTATCACAAGAATTCGCAGCAACATGCATCTGTCCTCCCTACCACCAGTGCGGATTCAGCTTAGTCAGCGGCACCGTGAAATGGCTAGACACCGCCTCCGAGATGCGGCACGCTTAAAGATGCTCCTTTGGGAAATAGGGTATAAGTCCAGCGCTGTGCTGCGATTTGGCTTTTAAACCACCAATGTTGTTGAATTGCAAGTGCAGAAGGTGCTCTGTCGCTCACAATGACTGATTCTTTGTATCCCAACAACCTCATCGAGTCCCTTGACCACCAGTCTGACTCCAATGATATCTTTACTATTGAGCCTGTTCAGTTGCAGTTTGAAATCGCCAACTTGGTCTCTTTAAAAGTCGCCAACAACATCCTAGTGTTCGCCTTGAAAAATGGCAAGATCTGTCGTATTGATTTGAACCAACCCCAAAATGTCGATGAGATCCAATTGTTTGAAAACGACAAAGCAAACGACTCAAAGGCAAAAGCAAAATCAATTGCTCAGAACAACAACTCAAAGAATATAAACAAGATTAACAACATTTTCCTAGATCCGAGTGGTAACCATTTAATTGTTTCAACCACAAAAAACGATAACTATTACTTGAACTCAACCACCTTGAAACCAAAAATTCTAAACAAATTTAAAGGTGTAGATATATCATATATTGCTTGGTGTCCCATCAAACTAACCAAAACAACTGCCGCTAACTTTTTAATTGGCACTAGAAGTGGGCTAATCTTAGAATCAACTTTAGAATACTCCGACGAATATTTCAAGAAAGATGATAGATTTCTTAAAACTGTCTGGAAAAATCCCAAAGTTTCAATCTCAAATCCTTCCTCTAATCCTCTAAATATTAAATCTAATATAATTGGCACTAATAACAACATTACAAATAACAAAAACAATACTAATAATAACTTGAATTCAAAACTAAAACCAATTGACGGAATATCAATTAAATATCTTAAAAATTTCAATAAATTCATTGTAATAATAACCACTGGCGATGATATCTTCTATTATAACTATAAATCTCCCTTTAACAATCTCAACAACTTGAGTTTAAATCAATCCATTTTCCAGAACTTTTTCAAAAATGAACCTTCTGATTACGAGAGATTCGAGGACTTGGGTTTAATTAATGGTAACAAATTTACTTCAAATTTCTCTTCTTACTCATGGGTTACTAACACTGGAATCGTTTATGGTTTAATAGATCCTTTTGAAAATTTATCAAGCTTATCAAGTTTATCAAATTTTTCTTCATCTTTATTGTCCTATGATGATCATTCCAATTTTAATACCTCTACAAATAACCACCCAGCAATCTCAAATTTCTCCTCCTCCCCATTAGCTATCAATCTACCCTCCAATTTCCAAAATAATATCAAAAATAACCTTTTATCCACAAACAAATTCTTCAATAACTCAAAAATATTGCTAAATATCGAATTGCCTAAAAATAAACACAAGTTTAAATCTCTTTTACTATCAAAATATCATCTCATCCTATTAAGAGATAAAGAAATCCTCATTATTAACCAAATAAACGATCAATTGGTCTCCCATAAGCAATTGCCAATTTTAACTGATAATGAAAGATTTATTGGTTTATCTGCTGACTATTATAATCTACAATCAAACTCAATAACTTACTGGCTATACTCAAACTATAACATCTACGAAATCGTCATTAATAACGAATCAAAAAATATCTGGAAAAATTACCTAGAAATAAATGAATTTGATAAAGCGTTAAAATCAATCAAAGAAACAACAAATGATCCAATTAACAAGGATATCATCTTACTTAAAAAAGGTCAATATCTATTGAAAAAAGAACAATATCTTGATGCTGCAGCAATTTTAGCTTATTCAACTGAGCCTTTTGAATCAATTACTCTAAAATTAATCGATGAAAACCAATTTGACGCCCTAAGAAAATATCTCATTATAAAACTCTCAATTATTTCAAAAAAGGAAAATTATATGCAAAAAATTATGTTAAGCAGTTGGATTGTAGAACTATTTTTAGAAAGACTAAATTCAATTGATGATTTAATTGCTTTAAGAAATAAAGAATCCATCTCAAATTTGAGTCATGCTCCAAATGACAATGAAATTACAACTGAGGATTTAGCTTCACCAAGTAATTTCATGAATTCAAATCCTGAAAATTCTATAAGATTTAAAAAACATTCAAAACATAATAGTAGCATTTATTCTTTAGTAAATTTGTCTCTAAATGAATTGGTCAAAACTAAAACAGATCTTGAAAAATCTTACCAGAATTTCTTAGTAGATAATAAGGATAACCTAGATAAGGAAACAATTTACCAAATTATCACTGCTCATAACCGTCAAAGCGAGCTCTTGTTTTTTGCTAATATTATTAATGACTATGATTTTATTCTTAATTATTGGATCAACCTTGAACAATGGTCAGAAGCCTTGAAAATTTTATATAAAAAAAATGATCCCAAAGTAATTTACAAGTACTCAACTGCTTTATTGGCAAATTATTCAAAAGAAACTGTTGATATTTGGATTCAGTTTCACAAAATTTTAAATCCAATTAAATTTATTCCTGCTATTTTAAGTTACAACATGAACAATAATCAAAAAATTAAACCAGAAAATCACCAAGGTTTGCGCTACTTGAATTTTGTGACAAACACTTTGAAAAATACTGATACAATTATACATAATACTTTATTGAGTATTTTAATTACCTATCCCGATGTTCCATCTTTCAATCTATCAAATACTTTGAATAATTCACCTTCTACTAATTTTTACAACCTTAATCAAAACAAAACACTTAGTCTTAAACAATCAATTGCTTCAATTAAAGAAACATCAACTGTGCTTAATATTGAAAATGAAGTGTTTACTTTGAAGTACTTGCAACAATTTAACGATGAAATTTACTATGACTCAGATTTTATCTTAAGATTATGTCTTCAATACAAAAAAATTCAAAGTGCTATTCATATTTTTTCGATTTTAGAAAATTTTCAACAGGCTATTGATCTATCATTAGAATACAATCTAATCAAACTCGCCCGTATTATTGCCGACAGACCAATCGATAATCCTCATCTTCGAAAAGAATTATGGTTAAAAATATCCAAAAAAATGATTGAAAAAGCATGTTATGAGAGTGTTGTCGATAACTCTATTCAAAACGTCACATCAAAAGACAAACCTGATGCAGAAGAAATGATTAACAAAAATAGCATAGAAATACAAAATCTTTTGAAGTTTTTGTTATCAAATTGTGACTTGTTAACAATAAAAGATCTATTGCCTTTATTTCCTAACTTTTTGGTTATTGATACTTTCAAGAATGAAATCATCAAGAATTTGGAAAATTACGGCTTGAAAATGAACCAATTAAATCAATCCATTAACAACACTCTCAACATCTCCAAAAAAATCAAGACAGAAATCACAAATTACCAGAAGAGGTTCTCTATCATTGAGCCAGGTGAACAATGTTCAACATGCAGATATCCATTAATTATTAAAAAATTCTTTGTTTTCCCTTGTCAACACTCGTTTCACGCTGATTGTCTAATCAAAAACATTTTGAGCTCCAATGATTATAAATTGAAGAAACAAATTCAAATGTTACAAAGACAGTATCAAAACAACAAAATATCTACTGTAGGGGATACTGGAGAAATGAATAAGAAATTCTTGAAAAGTGTTGAGCTTGAAAAGATTCTATGCACTAAATGTATCTTATGCAGCGATATAAATATTGACACTATTGATGATCCTTTTATCACAACGAATGATAAAGTTGCACTGAAAAATTGGGAAATTTAGTATAAAAAGAACATTTTTAATTTTATTAATAGTTTTTTATTTCTTTATTTAAAAGTTTTTCTAGTTTTAAACGTATTTTTGTCTTCTCTAATATACTCTCAAATGCTTACAAGTTTTCTTTTCGGTTTTAATCATTTCATTTACTGCTTCAAATTTTTAGTTCTCTATATATGTTTCTCACAATATAAAATTTCAATTTATGAGTTTATTAAGAATTAAAACATCCGTATGTTGTCTAAATTTTGTTAGTAAAAAATCGTTCAATTTGGAAAACTAAAGCAAAATATAAAATTTTGATGTAATACATACTGAACTGCTTTTTATGTTTTTGTCGACCAATTTCACAACACTATCAATAATAATCTTGGGGTCTGATCTTTTTTTGACAATTGTAATATAAATTGAGTTTAAGTTATCCATAGATTTCAGACTTAAATTGTATGAACTATTACCATAGGTATTATCGAAAACTCTTTTAAAAAACTCAACGTCTGATATTAATTGTTGAAGACCAGAAATTGAATAAGCAGGCACATTTTTATAACATGCGAATAACTGTTCTGTAATATGATCTTGCAATTCACTCATTATCTTTGGAATCAATTTATTTGAGATTAATATTATTGAAGAATGAAGCATAATCAAATAGGTGAGTGTTTCATATATATAGTTATTTATTCCTTTTTTTCAAGAAGAAAAATGAAAAGAGAAAAAGTTTGTGTTAGTAGATTAATAACCTTTAAAAGAAAACAAAAAAAAAACATACTTCTTGGAGGCGTTTCTGTAGACCAATTATAATTTGAAATACCTTTCGCAAGCACAAGACTCAATTTCTTCTTTTTTTCTTCGCAATAACTTTCAAATACAAAATTTTCCATACTGGAAAGAATATTCCAAATGTCCAAAGATTGGCCAGTAAAGTTACTTTTAAAAATTTCATCATAGAATTTTATAGTTCCAGGAACTATTTGGTTATTTAACTTTAATAAATTATTTATGGTTAATAACTTGACAAGATCAGTAATAGTAGCAGTGTGTGAGTCAACAGAAAATAATAATTTTGAGGATTCTTTATTTTGTTTTAATAATTGACCATTTTTAATTCTTTTCAGCAAAGAATCTAATAATATTTTTAAACTTTGTAAGAACATATCATGAACTAGAGAAAGGAATCTTTGAGATGGGTAAGATAAAATTTGAATATCGGAGTCTAAGTTTACATTGTCCAATTCCTCTGAAGATTTATTGTCATTAATAAAAGAATTTTTTTTGAAATCCTCAATCTTCTTTGAAAGATGATCTTTGATGTATAAAATATTTTTTATATTGGATATCATGATTTTTTCATAATTAAAAATGAGATCAGGAAAGGAGTTTTTACTTAAAATGTTTTCTTCAAGGTTATCCATATTTAAATAGTATGATAAGGATATTGATAAGGAATGATGTTCAATTACGTTAAAGGCGGAAGAGTCATTAAACCAAGTAGCACAAATGGCTTCAACAAAGTAATGAACAATGTTTGAATGAGTATTTTGAAGAGTTTTTGCAGAATCGTTGATTTTTAAATTTCCTAGCTTTATGAAGGAAACAGATATGGAGATTAAAAATTTATTGAGGTAACGTAAAGTTCCAACAGAATTGGCGAATGGGGGTAAAAAGCCATATTCAGTTAGAGAACTGGGAGTTAAATTATCGGTAATTTTGAAAACTTCTAGCGAGTATTTTTTGGAAAGAATTTGATTTAGATCCTTTTGGGTTGAGCTGAAAAAGGCTTGTAATTTTGAGCAAAGCAATTTGATTAGATTTTCAGTATTTCTTTTAATATTTGAGATTTCATAATCTTGTAAATGGAGATGAACTTCAGATTCATTTTGATAGCCCCTTGGTAAAGTAGATTGAAGTTTACGGTTTAAAAATAGTTCGCATTGGTTCCAAAATTGGATGATTTTGTTTGATTGTTTTACTACCATGTCATCTATTAATCTTTTTATAACCAACCACATTTCAGTGACATTTGTGGAATCGACTAAACCGTGGTTTAGAGAGCTTGAATTGTTATTGTTAATTCTATCAGAAGATTTATTTTCATTTGATTTTGAGTCATTTTCGTCAGCATCATTTGAAGTGCAAACCGATTGTATAAATGAAACATCAGTGGAATTTGTAGTATTTAAAACAGTTTTTTGAAATAAAATGATTTTTTCAATAAATTTTTCAAAGACTTCATTAATTTCGTCATAAATAGAACGGTACTGTGAATTTATCCAGGCAGTGATAGGATTATCTTCGACACCTAGTTCCAATAATTTTGAGATGAGATTGATGTAATTGTTGTCGTTTAAGTTTGTTTTGGATAACAAATCCCAAGTGTCCTTTCTATAGCTGTCGACTATTGCTTCGACTTCTTCCCAGATTCTGTCCAAGACTCTTTGAGAATGAGCCTGTGAGATTGTGAAATTATCAGGCAGTAGCACATCAGTGTCAAAATGATTAATGGTGGCAGAATTTGGAGTGGTTGGGTAGATTGAAGTTGAGATAAAATCTTTCCCCTTTTTATAGTCTTCGATTAAGGACTCGTAGTCGTCGCTTTCAATGTAATTTAACAAAGTCTTTGGCAAATCAAATAGATATTTATTTTGCTCAACAAATTTCAAAGCAGCTTTGATGTGTTGCTCTTTTTGTTTATTATCAATGATTGGTTTGATGATGGAGGAAGCCTTTGCATTTGCCAAATTCAACGAGTCTTTCAAATTTTGTAATTCGTTTTTTTGAACTAGCGATTCATTTGAATCATTTAAACCATTTGAATTATTTGAATCGCTTAGACCAGAGTGAATGAACTCCTCGAAAACCCTGTCTAGACTTGATTTTGCCTTGACAAACCTGGCAAATTCTTTTTGAACCAAGTACTTTAGTTCTTCAGACTGTTTTGCAATGGAGGATTCCAAGTAGTCCAAGGAGTTGTTCAACTGATTGAAGCTGTCGTTGTTGTGCAAAGTCTTTAGAAACAATTTTGTGTTGAAGTTCTTTGAGCTGATGAAGAACTTCTGCTTGATGTCGTTGATCCTGTTCAATTCGTCGACTGAGGAGGTGGCAAGAATGTTCTTCTGTCGCAAGATGTCTATGGTGGAGTCGTAGTAGCCCAAGGGATCAGGCTCATCAGCAACCAGAAACTGGATAGACTTCTGGTCGTCAGTGAGCTTCTTCAATAGCACAGCAGCCTTATCAACGTCCCTAAAGTCCAGCTCGCTGTAGCTGAAATCAGCAGAAATAGAGTCGTCCCACGACTGGGGAGAGAGAGTCGAGAGCTGGTAGAACTTGAGGAGGGTGTCGTCATCAGGACCCTGAGCTGTTTCTGTCGCAGCAGAAACAGCAGAAGCACCAGAAGCAGCAGAGCCTTCCATGGTGGTGTCGAAGTGCAATTGGAGCAGCGCTGTTCTTTTGTGAGCAACGCCACGCGCCCAAAGCCATGCTATGGTCGACGAAGAGCTGTTTCTGCTGTTTTTGGTGCTTTTGATGCTTCTGTTGTTTCTGTTGTTTCTGTTGTTTCTGTTGTTTCTGTTGTTTCTACTGTTTCTGTTGTGTTGCTCCTGCTGCTTCTGCTGCTTCTGCTGTTTTTACTGTGCTGTTCCTGCGCTATTGCTCCCCCAAACTGCTGCTAGCTCTCTGATCCAAGATGTTCAAAGGAAGAAACAAACTCAAGAGCGTAAAGAATATAATCAAAACTGCTGGTGATGTGGACTACTCCTCCCATCTTTCCTCTGACTTGTTTGATGTTATCCAGTTGAACAGTTATGGCTTCTCCAACACTGGCAATCTCTGCATGGGCTTCGATCCTGTTCAGAGCTTGCTCGCCATCTCCAACAGCGAATACATCTACGTTTTTGGCCAATCTCATGTTCAGGTCAGCTTCAAAATCAATGCCCCCATAGTCGATCTCAGGTTCATCAAGGGAGTCTTCTTGGTTGCAATTGACGCCAGATCAAATGTGTTGGTATTTTCTCTCAAGTCCAACAGGTTTTTGACCACCTATTCTGCTCCAGGCAAAGTAACTGCCATTGAATCTGATCCTTCCTTAGACTATCTCTTGCTTGGTGTCTCCAGTGGCATGATTTACTGCTTCAATGTATCCACTGGTAATGCTACTTCCTTTCATTTGCAAAGCTTCCAAAGACAAATCCTAGCTAGAAAGCGAAAAAATAATAGAGCATCTGTCAGCTTGAACTCTCCTGTGAAATCAATTCAATTCAACCCAAGAGACTTTGGCTCGATTTTAATTGCTTACTCTGATCTTGCTGTCGTCTACTCTGTGTCCACAAATAATCTCAAACTAGAATTGTGCTATGAGTTACAACCTGGTGCCCCAGGGGGGAACAACTCCAATCTTTCATCTTACAGATACCCTAAAATAATCAAAGCTTTATATCATCCAAATGGTTTAAACATCTTAACTGCCCACGACGATGGCTCCCTAGTATTTTGGGATGCAAATTCGGGAGAATTATTACAAGCAAGATCTATCTTTGATATCAATATCAACATTCCTCAAAACCAAAGATTTGCTGCTAACCAAGAGACTTTATACACAGAATTCACTCAGATTGAATGGATCTGCGAGGAAAACCCAGAAAATACTGCTCTACTAATTGTGGGTGGTGATTCATTTCAAAACTCTCCTGTTGTTAACAATAACATTGTAATGATTCAATTCAATACCACTCCAAAATATTCAATTACTTCCTATGAGAAAATGGGCGACTTTTATGCCAATCCAAAGCATTTAAAAATATTTCCAATCAGTCAAGAATTCTTAATATCAAATTTCTTATCTCTTCCAACTGCTTCTCCTTATTTTCATGGTAACCATGCCCCAGAATTCATCCTAGTATCTTTACAAAATGGTGACTTGGAACTATTAAAATTCCCCCAAGGTACTTTGGAATATTCCTCTTCTCTTTTATCACCTGCAATCTCTTGGATTCTCCCTAAAATTTCGTACTTAACAGCAACCCCTGTTCCTAGACCTCAATGGTTGGGAATTGTTGAAACTTCAAAGCTAAATAAAAACCACCCACCAATATTAAAAGGTGGCTTGCCATCAAAGACATCTGGTAGAATATATGCTCAAAAATCTGTTTTATTTACTGGTCACAAAAACGGCGCAATAAGAATATGGGATGCCTCGAATACTGAACTTGATGAATCCCAAGTCCTTGAAATTGACACCACCTTTGGCTTTAATAATTCTCCAAAAGCAGCAATCAATCAAATATCTTTTTCCGCTGAAGTCGCTGAGCTTACATGTTCGAATGAAAATGGTGATGTTTTTTTTTACAGATTTGGCAAAAACACCAATTTTACTCCTCAAGTAACCGATAGCGATTTAATGGCTTTATCAAGACAATTCAATAAAATTTCTCTAAGTAAACAGAATCAACCTAAATCACTAGTCGACATTTCTCATATAAAGCCTCCATATATTTATCAGGGGTTTTTACCTCGAACTTTTATCCCTTCTACTGATCCAAATATTCAAGTCACCTCTTTAGAAAATTCAGATATTGGGTTTTCAGCTGTTGGCTATTCTAATGGAGATATTCTTATTACTGATAATAGAAATAATCCTTATATACTTTTTATCGATAATATCAACAATGGTATGATCAAACCAACATCAAACAGAAATTCCTTAAATTCTCAAAATCCTTTTGTCAGCTTTTTTCAATTTTCAATTTCTAAAGTTGAACAAAATTCAAAATATTCCTCTATTTTATTGTACATTGGGACTTCAATAGGTCAATTAATAACTTTTGAAATAATTCCGGCTGATAATGGTTCATTTCAATTAAAATATGTTTCATCTATCGAATCAAATGATGGCAAAATAATCAACATCATTCCCCTAGATAGTTCTGGAAAATCTACTGTAGCAAGAAATGCTGTTTTTGAACAACTTTCTCTGGGAATTTTAATTGACAGTTTTATAATTGTGGTCTCTGTAGCTGATGTTAGAATATTAAAATCCCCTCTAGTGAAATCAAGTCACAAATTGTTTAACAATTTCATTTTATCTGCTCATATAACAATAATGAATTCTTCACCTGATAAAAATCTTTTGAATTTTGTGTTGGTTTGTCTATTGAAAAGTGGAATTGTAGATGTTCTATCTGTTCCTTCACTTCTGTCAATCAAACAGCTTAGATTACCATATAATTTTGATTCTGATTTAGGTTTTCAAAGTGTCATTTTACCAAATGGTGATATTGTCGTTCGTTTTACTGAAAGTGAAAGTATCTTGATCAACATTGCCAAAAGAGGAAAACTTACTGATCGAACTGATTTATTGTTCAATGATTCATTAAAGGTTCCATCTAGACCTACAATAAATGCACTTCAATGGGCTCGTGGTACTAAATTAATATCAAAAGAAGATTTTGATTTGATTATTGGAGGAGATCCTGCTGCTCGAGCAAGATCCAAATATCCTGAAGAGACTGCGATAGCTAAAAACATTATCACATCAACTGCAGTGGATAGCATTCTTAATATGAATGATAATGATGATGATAATGGTAATACCCAAGTAACCAGAAACTCCAATAGAAAAACTAATCAAAACTCATATGCTAACAATGTGTTAAAAATTGCGCAGACTGGATTAGATAATTTAGGTGAAAGTATTAACAACCTTGGTGATTCTGTTAGTCAGAGTATAAATGAAAATGTTGAACAAACAAAAAATTCAATGATGAAATCTTTTTTCAAATCTAAGTTTGGTATTTAGGTTTACATTTATTAAAAAATTACTCTCTTTTTAATGTAAAACTTTAACTATATAATAAAATTAGTTGTAGTTGATAAAACAAAAAAAAACTGTTTTCAAAGGCTTATAATATATACTCAAAAATAGAAAAGGAAGATATCAAAATACTATTGTCAAAAAATGGCAATATACTATAATAGAAAACTAAAATGCGAGAATTCAAAAATTCAAAAATTCAAAAATTAAAAGGGGTTGAAAAAACAAGAATAGAATTTCTAATTTTATTACTTATAATTAATAAGTTGAATTTAATCTAATCTAAATCATCAGTAATTGAATCGGAAATTGAAGGATTTTGTTCATTATTGGAATCGTCATTTGAGTTTGGGTCAGTATTTGCAGGTGTATTTGTATTTGTAGTAGTTACATTAGGAGATTGATGGTTGTTTTGAGTCAAATCAGACATCAAAGGAATGGCTCCAGAAAATGTGCTAAAAACAGCTCGAGTTGCTTCACCATTTAAAGACTGTGATATAGCTTCACCTATTCCGGATGAAATATTTTGAGGGAGATTGGTTGAATTGAGAGCACCAAGTACAGATCGTAAAATATCATTAACTGCAGTATTTTCTGGGGCATTGGCGTTATTAACGCTTGTTGTAAAAAAAGTTCTGCTAGTATTATTATTTGTATTGTTATTCGTATTATTGTTTGTGTTTGTGTTTGTGTTTGTGTTTGTGTTTGTATCTGTATTTGTATTTGTATTTGTATTTGTATTTGTGTTTGAATCGGAAGTTTGATTATCTAAATTTGAATTTGGAAGTAAGATTTGAGCAGTTACAAAATCAATGTCGATGTCAGGATCAGCTTCAGCTTCGGCTTCAGTTTCAGTTTCAGTTTCAATGTTTTGCTGCAGATTTGAATTTGGTTGAGAGAAGAGATTTGTATTTGATTGAGAAACAGGATTTGTATTTGGTTGAGAAACAGGATTTATATTTCTATGTTGATTAGCTGATTCAGTTCTTGAGTTAAAAGATTGAGACGGATTTGAAGAATTGACAGCAGGAGTTAAACGAATATTAGGATTAATGGGGAAAACACGACGTACTTGAGCAGTTGGCGGAAAAACAGGCATAGAAGGGTTGGAATTTAAAGGCAAGGCCAATGGGTTGGAATTAAGATTCAAAGGATAGATAATCGAGTTAGAGAAACTGGGCTGAATATTTGCATATCTGTTTAAAGGATCTAGATTATAATTCAGAGTAGCAGAAGGATTTGGATTATTTGGAGGGATGAGGGTATTTAAAGAATATGTTGATCTTGTATTGTTTGGTCTTGTATTGTTTGATCTTGGTGGAAGTATGTGAGAGACAATAAAAGGGTGGGCGTTATTATTGTTGTTTTGATTATTAATATTAATATTAGTATTAGTATTAGTATTAGTATTAGTATTAGTATTAGTATTAGTATTAGTATTAGTATTAGTATTAGTATTAGTGTTAGTGTTATTGTTATTGTTATTATTTGTTGATGAATTATTCATATTATTCAAAATATTGAAATTTGAAACATCTAAGCCACGCCTTCTAAGAAAAGGATGAATTGATCTCTTTATATTTTCAATTTCTTCAAAGGGATAACCTTGTTGTCTTGCTCTTTCTTCAGCTATATAGAAACTTGATTGTAGATGATCTCTAAAAGAGGGAAGGCATTGTGACTTTAATTTTTTAGCAAAATTGCATTGATCTTGGACTGAAGCATTTTGTAAAAATCTTGGTAAGAGATAGCCGTTTGAACATTTAATTGCTCTAGCATATAGTTTCAAAGAGTCTAGAGATTTTCCAACGTATAATAGAGAAAAAGCTAGTCTTGCGATTGCAGCGAGAAATAGTGGTTCAATTTTGATAGCTTTTCTTAGATCAGAGATGGCTTCATCGTGGGAGTTTAAGGCAGCAAAAGCAGCAGCTCTATTTGAGAGCAATTCAGCTGAATTTTTGTCTAGAGCTAGAGCTTCAGTATAGAGGACCAAAGCAGCAGGATATTTTTTATGTTTCATTTTCTGGTTGCCTTTTTTTCTTAGTTCAGCTATTCTTGATTGATTGAATGAAATTGTGTCATCTGGCGTATGTTCATTATCATCATTATAATCATTGTCATCATTATCATCATTATAATCATTATTTATGTTATCATCGTTATAATCGTTATTTGTGGGAGTATTGTTGTTATTTATTGTATTTGATGAAGAGGTTTGATCAAGAAGAATTGAATCAGAATCATTCAAAATATTTGAGTTCATTTTCCAGGGAGATGAGGAATAAAACCTGAGTCTGGTTATTGCACAATTGAAAAGAGCTGAGTTGAGATGAAAATCAGATAGAAATAAAATAAAAAATAAAAAAAATATATCTAAGAAAAAGGAAAAAGAAACAGAAGAAAGGGGTCACGTGCGTGATTTAAAACTGGAAGAAAGCGAACACAGATAAATAAAAGTAAAATTGGATTAGATTGGATTAGATTGGATTATTTTAGATTAAATTATATATTATATTAGTTTATATTAGTTTAGAATAGTTTTTTGTGTGTTTAGGTAATGTCCTTTTGAAAAAGATGTCATTGTGGAATAAAGAGATTAAGGGGGCTAATTCCCGAAGTGTGAGAGAACCAAGTTTAAATCGAGAAACATGTTTAAGTGCAAAGGGAGTTCGAACATTTTTGAAACTTTCAAGATTGGGCAGTGATGATATTCTAAGACAACGATTAAACAGCGTTATTGACAAGAGTCGAAATATAGAAGGAGGCAAAGAGGCAATATGTGAAGGATTTGTGAGGGATATTATATATCCTGCGTGGAAGAGTCGAGAGAGGGCTATTGAGTATTGTTCGGAAGAGGTTAAAACGATGGGAAGGGAGATTGAAGAAGAAGAAAAGAAAACAGGAGGCAAAAGAGGCGATGAAGAGCACGAGTACAATTTGAGGATAGATCCATATGCTGAAAGAGATGGGATAAGAATGGATAAGAAGAAGTATGAGACAATTGATAATTTAAGCAATTGGCTAAATAACGAGACGTTGATTGAGGGTATTGTCCGAGATAGAAGTTTGGAGATATTGGGGGATACATGTTTTAGAGATACAGTTGATTTGGAAGGCGATTATAAAAAGTATAAAAAGAGATGAAAAAGAACTTGTTAATAAAAATTATGTACTATAGAGAAAAGATAATTCTTATTGTTATTATTATATAACAAGTGTAAATACTTAAGTGATATAAATTATAAATAGGATTTAAATATTTTAAGTAAATCATCCACCTTGGTTGAGGATTCAATTGAAGGATTGATAACACCATCGACCGAGATGGTTGGAGTAACATGAACCCCATTTTGTCTTGAAAATCTGGTAAAGTATTTCAAATTGTTGGTGATTTTTGTATCTAAATTTTGGTGAACTGGCTCATTGTCATTTTTGTTTCTAATAAACAAGATGTTGTAAACTTGATCAGCAGTGATTAGGTTGTTGGTTGATAACTGAACTGCATTTGCTAATCGAGACAAGATTTGATTTTTGTTTTCATTTATAACGGCGGTATCAAAATAATCTCTTTGATTTTTCATTAAATAAAGAGCTACACTCCAAACCTGATCGGGCTGGATCTGATTAACAGCTAGAATGGTCTCCATTGTAAGAGCTGAGCCAATTGCATGCCATGGTTGGACCTGGGGTCTTAAGATGAACTGGAACTGGTTTGGATAGGTTTTCTCAATCAATGGAATGAAATCATTGTACCAGTTGATTAGTAATTTAGCGCTGAAGGGACAAACAAAATCGATAAAGATGTCAACAGAATGGGGTCTGGAGGTAGCAGCAGCAGCAGAGGAGGAGGAGGAGGAGGAGTTGAGAGCAAAACCAGCTAATCTGGAGGGAAGTGCCATTGTGAATTGAGAAGAAATAAATGGTTATTGGTAAAAGATCAAATGGTTACTGGTAAAAGATCAAGAGCAAAAGGAGGCCCTTTATCGAAACCAGCGGAGTGAAATGGCACTTTAATACAAAACCCAAAAGCCCGACCCGAGAGGCAGAGACCGTACAGATGGTCCCGCTGATTAAGGCCATCTGCAGACAAACGCCGATTCCGCCACTGTGGCTTGTTTGTATGTTATTGCCACCACGGGCGTGGATACGTTTCAGTGCCGAGCGGGGTCCGGCGAGCTGCACGCGGGCCTGCCTATCTAAGCGTGGTATGTCCTACTAACTCCACCGTCCTGGAGATGAAGCGTACGCGGCCTAACGCAGGCAATGCGAGCATAGACCGGGTCTGGCTGGGCAGAAAGTGATGAAAGAATTGGCACTGGTACGCAAGTGCAGTCTTCCGCGAGAAACAGCCGCGGACCAATCACAGCACGGGCTGTAATCGAGTGTAGAGCGGAACAGCCCCTTAGAGCTGACTTTTTTGCGTGGATCTCGCATGCACTAGTGCGTATTCGCTAGCGCGGATGAGCTATCGTGATCCTGATGAGAGAGGTGCCAGAGTGCGGAATCGCAGAATGGGTTGAAAAAGGAGAGCCGGGAGGGTAAGAGCGAGAGAAAATAGCCGAAAGAGAAAGGCACAAAAAGCAGAGAATGGAGTAAGAGAAGGACGAAGAGAAGAGAAACATACAATATGCTTTGTTTGGATATTCATGTTATTCTCTAGGGAATAAGACCCACAGGCGTTGGGCAGAAGAAGATCAAAGCATTAAAAGAGATCAAACATCAGAGATCAGACATCAGACATCAAAGAAGGTCCTTTGATATTGCCAGAATCTCAGAATCTGCTTTGGAAATCTGCTTTAGAATTGCCTTTGAGAAACTATGTGAGGATAAGCAACGAAAACCTGTGGCAGAATCATTAAGTTCCCTGACCCAATATCCATTTACTGCGATTATGGTTATAATTATGGTTGTAATTATAATTTGATTATGATTATGGTTACAGCTATAATGTAATCACAACCATAACCATAACCATAACTATAACCATAGCCATAGCTGAATGTCCATCATTACGAATTAACAAAAAGGCCTTTACCAACAATTAATCGTGTTGCTCGCATTGGGCTTGAAAGTTTTCTCATTCATCACTTGATTGGAATTGCAAATTAACATTCAATGGATTGCACGATCAAATGAATTTCACAACACCATCTTTTTGCATTCAGTTTTATACTTGTAACAGTATTCAAAGACTAGTCAATCTTTAATCTAATTAAATAATATTAAAAGGAAAGATAATAGTCCTTTAAAACATCGCTTCATTCTCTTTGTGTATTTTGAATCGGAATAGCACTGGAATAGCACAGAAATAGCACTGGAATATTCAAAAGCAGAACAATTGTTAATTGCCATATATAATATGTGATATATCACATATCATGTATCTATTAATTTACATCTAATATCTAATATCTAATATCTAATATTTATATCTAGCAGTTATTAGTCAATTACAAGTTTAGTCTTTCAAACAATAGTCTTAGACTTTTATTGTCTTACAAAGATAGACGATAGAAATTTGAGAGCGATACTTTTTTATTAAACATCATTAACCATCTTATTACTTCAGGTAAAACAAATAAACCTATTTATTTCATTTAACATAAGTTAATTCTCAAACTTTTTTATCATTTTTAACCGCTATTTAATCCATTTGTTTAATGCTTTTGTTTAACACTTATTTAATACTTATTGATTATACTTGTCGATCTAGCTAGCCTGTTCATAATACACATACCATTAAGAGTAAACTCTATCAACCCAAATTTCATCTAAAAATATTAGTATAATATTAGTATAACATTTGTATAGTTCTAAACAGTTACTAATTTGCTATTCATTTGCTACTCAATTTCTACTTTCTCATTCTGTTCCTATTCCCTTTTCAATTATTCTTCCAATTGCAATTTCTTTTCCCTCACTATGATTCAAACATTTGAGGTCAATACTTTTCCATAATTATTATTTTCTTTAGTACTGCAATTGTAATATTAATTATTTAACTTACATAAAAGTAAATGTTATCAAGCTATGAGTTTATGAAACTTATGAAACTTATGAAACCTGAATCCTCTAAAGCCTTTGATTAACAGCCTTGTACGCTTTCTCTGTTCTTTCTGGCTTCGTTCTTTAATCTTTTCCAAATAATATTCTCCAACAGCATTGTCATATTATTTGCCACTTATCTTTTGCCTCTATCTCTTTTCAAACACCTCTCTCACTTCACATTCCTCCATCCTGTCAACCTGCTCTTCGATCTCCCAGACATCTTCTCAACAACTAGCTCTTCAACAGCACATTTCTGCTCTCCAGCACCTTTTATTTGCACTGTTCTCTTTTTCCTCTTCTTTCGCTTTTTGGGTTTTTTCCTCTGAAATGCCGCAGAACCCGGTTCGATCCCCTCCGAGCGCCCTTTGCTCCACATTTAACGACCCATAGTAAATATTAATGAGATTAATTGTAATTTGATTTTAATTTGATTGTAATTAATTGTAATTAATTGCAATCCAATGATATCAATAGATCAATATAAATATATTGATACATTGATAAACACCCTGAGCTCCCTGAGTTTGCAATTCGCGATTCCTCTTCATTGGTTTGTCTTACTAAGCTATGAAACAGTGTATTAACTTATTTGTCTATTGGAATAATCTGCAGATGAACACTGCTATATTTTGGTTATTTCATTTTTATATTTTCTTATTTTCTTATTTTCTTATTTTCTTATTTTCTTATTTTCTTATTTTCTTTATTCATTTTCCTATTTTCTGATTTTTCTGATTTTTCTGATTTTTCTAATTTTTCTGACGATTATTTGTGAAAATTCTGTTTGATTAATCCAAATGTTTCCATCTTTTCCCTTTCTCATGTATTATCCCATCTCTAATCTTCTTATTTCTTATATGTTTTAAGTAATTTCGATTCCAATATCGTTTGCTTTTCTTTTTTTTCAGCAATTCCTCTGTATTTTTGACTCCTTCGCTTTATCAATATCTTGCCTATAAACTTTTTCTAAACTTTTATTCCTAAGGTTTCCTCTAAGGTTTTAGTTATAAAGTTTTTTTTATAAACTTTCGTGCTTTTTGATAAATTTTAATAAAATTTTATTAAAATTTATTAATTCACCATTAAAATCAAATTAAATCCCACTGATTTCTTGCTCCCTTCGTCTAATTCAAACAAAACTTCAATTTGTTCTTTACTACCACAACCATTACATCTCTTCTTCAGGTTCAATTACTTTCCCTCGCTTTATTACCAATCATTAGTATCCACTCAAAGCGACATCGTTGTCAAGAGACAAATTCTCCAGTCTTCATTCTTGTTTTGTTCTTGTTTTGTTCTTGTTTTATTCTTATTCTTTGGCTTCTTTTATCTCTTTCGCCCTGTGTTATGCTGTAACAATCCTTTTCCCACCTTCAAATGTGTTTCTCTAGCTGCTCATTCACCTCAAGCTGCTCATTCAACCTATTTCCCATTCAATGATCGTCGACTGGCTCAAAAATACCAATCTAATTTATTAATTAGGCAAATTTGGATCATCACCATAGAAATTCGCTTGAATTTTATTTGCCCTTTTTTTCCACATTTCATTTTCTCTATTTCATTCTTTCATTTTTTCATTCTTTCATTCTTTCATTCTTTTTGCATTGCACTAATTTGTTGATTATCTTGATTATGTTTATTATTTTTTTACAATTCTGCAATTCAAAACTTTCATTTTCTTAATCATCTCAAAAAAAAAACCTTTGCTTTCTTGATTCAACAACTAAACTAAACTAAACTTTCGTATGTTGTAATTATCTGGTTTTTTTGCAATCACCTTCCAATTTCTTTCATTTGCCTTTTATTTTTACCTGAATTTTATTATATCCAGAGTCCATTTTACAGTTATTTATCGAAATTTAATCATCTCATTTCAATTTATCCATTGGAAATTATCTTTTTTTTTTCTTTTTCTCTTTCTTTTTTGGCTTTTTATTTTTTATCTTTCCTAATTATTATTATTAATTAATTAATTATTACGATTAATACGATTAAATATATTTTATTTTATTTTATTTTCTTTTCTTTTATGATATGTTTTTTATAGTTTTTTGTAGGTTTTTTTTAATTTCCCATAACCAATTTTACAAATTTTATTCTGTTTATTTATATTATCCATTTATTTGAATGTAATTATTATTATTATTATTATTATTATTATTATTACTATAATTATCATTATCATTTCATTTCACCTTTTTTTTCTCATTTTCTTTTGTAAATAAAATTATGTATCTAATACAAGTTTCCCACTATAGTTTCAATTATATTCAATGCATTTTTATTTATTTGTTTATTTATTTTAATCTGGTTATTTTATTTTTTTTAATCCTTTTTAATCTTTTAATCTTTTCATTTTTTTTTATTTTTTTATTTAATCCTATTTTACAAAATTCTAAATCTATATAATTATACTTCTGTTTCACCTCTTATTTTTATCTTTACAGGAAACTCTAGAATTTTAAATCTTTTTGACTTTTATCGATATCTTCTTTGCAATAATATAAATATCTTCATTATCCCCATTACTTGAAAAAACTTTAAGACAAATTTTTTATTTAACTTTTTGTGATTAGAGCTTTCAGACAGCCTTACTTTACTTAGTGAGAACTTCAACTTTAGACATTTATTTATATTACTTAGCTATTCCTACTAAATTTTAATATTAAGAAATTAAGAAATTAAGAAAAAAAAAAAAAAAATTTAATTATTTTTCAAACTAAAGTTTTGAATTATTCGTTTCTTTCAACCTCTTCATCTCATCAGTATCTTTATACTTCACCAATCTCTTTAAAACTATCATATTCATTGATATTGACCACAATTTCCATCTTATTTGTTTTTTTTGCTTTTTTTCATATCTATTCTCCTTCTTCGTCTTCATCATCTTCATCATCTTCATCATCTTCATCATCTTCATCGTCTTTATTTCCATACCTTTTATCTTCTTACATTTGCATCTAGAACAATTGTCTACTTCTTTATATACATTTTCATCTTTATTTACATTTACATTGACATTTATTTTCTTATACTATTCTCATCTATATTTTTCTTATCAACATTTCCTGTATCTTTCTTCAAAAAATGAACTCTCAAATAACTCAATCTCCAGTCAATTTAACTGATCACTCAGTAAATCCATCAACAATCTCTTTAACTAATACAAACAATCCGGCTGCTGTTAAAACTTCAAAAAATTATAATGAGGGCATTGCTTCAAACGAACAATCTCATTTTCAAGATCCAATTCCTCACAATCATACTCATGCTCATAATCTAAATTTACACCAAAATAGTCTTAATTTGAACTTGAGTCAAAATCATGGTCATAATCATAGCCAAAATACTATGATTACTAACACAATCATCAACAATAATCCCAATAATAATTACTTGACTCCTGTTTCCACTCCAAATAATCCAAATAAAGATATTCAAAATTTCCAACCTCAAAATCAATCTCAACAACCCCAGTATCCAAGACAATTACCAACTCCATCAATTTCCGAAGATGGTCCAATGCAAAGTGTTTTTCAAAAAAACAACATTGGTTCAATTTCTTCAAATAATTCTCAATCTAAATATTACATTTATGATACTCAACAATCTTTAGTTGATAGAAAGGATTCCCAAAATTCTTTAATTGGTCCTAACCATTATGGTTCAATTTCCTTAGCTTCTGATCACTCAGGTTTTAATGCTAATTACTCAAATGAGTCAAAAATCATTCCATCAGTTGGAGAAATGATTAATGACAATAGTATTAATAATAATAGTATTATTAACAGTAATATTAACACCAATATTAATAGCAATATTAATAATCTTCATAATATTACCAACATTAACAATATTAACAATAATTTTAATAACAATTTTAGACATAGAGCTAATACTATGGTATCAGCTATTGGTTTGGGAACTGATCACCATACTCACCATCAAAATATTTCCAATTGGCAAATTCCAAATCAGAACCAGAATCAAAATCAAATTTCGCCCAATAGATGGTCACCAAATCAACAAACACAACAAAACCAACAATTTGGTACTGAAATAAACAGAAATATATATGATAATGGTAATGGTTATCATACTGCTGCCACAACCGCAACCACTACTAATGTTAATAACAATAGTAATAATTATAATAACAATCATGATTCAAGACTATTAAGAAATAGTTTCCCCAATCCAATGATGGTTCCAAGCAATGTACCACCAATTCCGGAGATTGTTCCAAAATTAGTTAGAACTTCTACCATTCATAAAGTTAAATATGGGTCATCAGATAGCGCTCAACAATATCCTAAAGTTCAAATTCAAATCCAGGGAGATTTAACATCACTTGAAAAAGATTGGACAGAAGCTGAACGTAAAGTTAAAAGAAGACTCGTGAAATTTAATTGGAGATTAGATGGAGTTCAATTAACAGTTGGATTTGAGCCAATTTCTAATGATAATTATGAGCCAAGCACACCAGTGATTTCATGTTTATATTGGGAAGAAAATAAGAAATATTATGTCACATCAGTTGACTGTATTTCACTTCTAGAACATTTTGTCAGCACCAAATTTGCAGTGGAAGAGAAAAATCGAATCAGAAGAAATTTACAAGGGTTAAAGCCATTAACAATTCAAAGAGCAACTCCATCATATTCCGAATTTTTTATGCAAATTATGGAATATCCAGCACCAAGACCCAGAAACATTGAAAAGGATATTAAAGTGTTTTTATGGTCGTCATTACCAGAAGCATTAAGCAAAGTTTTAAACAAGTATTCCTGTGATTTTACAGAGAGTTCAGTTGTAGCACCTGCATCATATTATCAACTTTCACCATATCCTCCTCAATATTATTCACAATTTGTCATGACATCTGGAGAAGGCAATGTGATGCATCCAGCTCACCATCAACAACAACATCAGCAACAGCAACAGCAGCAACAACAACAACAACAACAACAACAACAACAAAGAATAGCACAGATTGTTAATCAACAACAACAACAACAACAACAACAACAACAACAACAACAACAACAACAACAGCAGCAGCAGCAGCAACAGCAGTTGCAGCAGAACTATATTGCAAATACCAACTCAAATCCAAACACAACTGCAGCTGCAAATGAAAATGAAAATACCAGTGTCAATGTCAATATGAATTTAAATTCTGCTCCACAGCTTCATGGAATTTCTCATGAGAATTCTAATGCGATAAATGAAATTTCTAACTCAAATTCCAGTCCAACCAAAAACAAAGAAATTAATGTGCCAACATCAGCTCGTTACCCACGTCAAATACGTAAAAACTCTGTTCAAAATCACAAAATTCAAAAAGTTCAGCAAATTCAAAAAATTAACACCAACAATAGAGCTCAAAGTGCAAACAAAAATTCAATTTTAAAACATTTCAGTAACAACACTAATAGTAACCAAATACCACAAGCATATCAATATGCCAACCATCATCCAGCACCAACACAACAAGTAAACAATCAAGTTTATCAAAATATGAATAACAATACTATTGTTAAAACCAATCCAATTAGTCCCAACATTCAAGTTGATCAATGGGCATCTAATTTAACAGACATCAAAGCTGAAATCAAGTCTCCAGCAGCCGAAAGAGGCGTCCATAGATTTTAGTTGGTTTAAAAGTTAAACCATCAAATAATTTAGATTATATTTTTTTTTCTTTTCAATTTTTTTTTCTAAATTCATTTTATGCCCAAAAATCACTTCAAAAAATGAAAAAAATGAAAAAAATGAAATTTTTCTTAATTCTTTTGTTTTTAGTTCTTTTAGTTCTATATTTATTTTTTTTATTAAATGATGATAAACGACATTTACTGATTTATGAGTAATATTTTTTTTAGCACGCCTTTTTTATTATTTCTTGTTTCTTCTTTGATTCTTTTCTTTCCTTTACAGTCAGTTGTGGTCAAACAGCACCCAATTTCATATACTTCAATACAATACTTGTTATACTATAGTAATTTCAAGCAGCAAAAGCAGCAAAATCACCAAGGCAGAAAAGACCTATCTCAGATTAAGCGTCGAGTCACGTGCTGTCTTCGAATCAGAGGGCGTCTTTTCTCGAGCTGAGGCAGAAGCACAAACAGCAAAAACAGCAAAAGCAGCAAAAGCAACACAAACAGCAGAGGAAGCACAGGCACGATGAGCAGCTTGATGAGGACATGGGCCAGGCTTTCACAGGCTCCCAGCACAAGGCACATCACCATTTTTCATTCTCCATCGAAGGCTACAGTCGACAATTTTCAGCAGAATGCTGCGAGCAGTGGGCCCTCTAAGGGCAATGATCTTGATGGTGGTGTTGATGATGCTAATGGCGCTTTAGTTGATTCAAAGGCTATTTTTGATGAAAACCCAGTGTATCAGACAATTGGTGCACCTCCATCTTTGGTGTCGATCAATGTTCCACCTTCGGTGCCTATTTACCTTAAAAAGGGAAGCTTATTAGCTTTATATTCCAAGAATGTCGATAATAAGAACATTAAGAATATAATCTCCAATTCAATTACTGGAGAAATTCAAATTATCTCACCCATTCGTCGTTTTCTTTTGGGTGGGTTTCCATCAATTTACCAAAAATTGATATCGACTGATCCATTCACTGCATTGATATCGTCAAATATCAACTCTAAATTAAAAAAAAAATACCAGACTTCTTTTAGAATTATTCAATTGAATGGAACAAAAGATTGGGCAATCTTTCCTAAGAATTCTTTACAATTATACTATGGATCTTCATTAGTAATTAAAAATTTACTTTTACCAAGAAAGATTTCAAAAAAACTATCATTACTCTTGAATATCCCTAAAAGTTCGAAAACTGGTTTATTTAAGTTTTTAAAATCAGGCTATACTTTTGTTACAGGAAGAGGTTATATTGGGTTGACTGGATTAGGAGAGATTTATAATTTTGAATTGAAAGAAAATGAAGAAGTATTAGTATTTAAAGATAATCTATTGGCGTTGACGATAAATGGACCAAGGGATTTACGAAACTTAATCGTATCACAAAATTTATTATTAAATAATCAAAGTACTTTCAATAATCAAAATAATATCCATACTAAATATAATCAAAATTTTTTAAATTTTAAAAACGATTTGTATAAAAATGAGAAAAAAGAAATAATTAGGGATAATCAATACATAACCTTACTAAGATTATTAAGAACTAATAAAATTTCATTAAATTTAATATTAAATTACTTTAAAATTAAATTCAAATTACTCAAATTTTATTTCAAAAAATATTCCTCGATTTTTTATTTATCGACTTATAATATAGTTGGCGGTAATGGTGGATATATTAAAATTATCGGACCAACAAATATTTTATTACAAACTAATACAGGAAAGGAGTTACCAATAAGTTCATTTGCTAAAGTAAGTAAAGACGATTTAAAGACTATTGAAAATGAGATAAAACTTGAGCAGAACCAACAAAATAAAGAAAATTCTGAATTCAATTTAAATGATAAAAATCATAATCAGAACCAGAACCAGAATCTTAAAAATGGAATTGATAAAAAACCAGAGGACTATTTAAGTTATGTAACCATTAAAGATGGTAAAGTCGTATTTGAAAGTACCCCAGACTTTTCTGAAACTGTTAAAAAAATTGAGAATTTAAATAAACAAAAATAAAATTATTAAAAAATAGATAAGCACATAATTTTAAAAACTATGTATATACAAATAAAATTAAATTAAATATAACTAAATACTTTAATATTCATTATTTCTTTTTTTCTGTTTTTTTTTATGTTGTTTGATGTGACTCTGTTTCTGTTTCTGTTTCTGTTTATTTTATTTTATTTTATTTTATTTTATTTTATTTTATTTTATTTCATTTTATTTTATTTCATTTTATTTCATAATTTTTTATCAATTCTTTATCACTTATCTTTTTTCTAAAATATTTTAATTAATCAATTAATAAATAAATTAATCAGTAGCATTGCGTTTTCTTTTTTTATTTGAAACATTGAAATTATCGTTATCATTTATATCAGGAGTGTTTGTTTTACTATTCGCAATATTTATTTTAACATTATTTATATTAGCCAGGCTATTCAGATTATTTGAATTTATTGAGTTATTACTGTTGTTATTGGAGCTATTGCCAGTGTTATTTGTATTATTTTTAGAATTATTATTATCATTATAATTTGAGTTATTTGAATTAGAATTGGAGTTAGGATTGGAGTTGGAGTTCGAATTGGAGTTTGAATTGGAATTATTTGTGGTTGGATTTGGATCTGGGTTGTTTTCTTTATTTAATTTTTCGATATGTTTGATATACACAGCACTGCTAAGAGAGAAGATTCTGTCGTCGTCAGTGAATTGGTTTTTCTTGAATCTAGTAGAATTTGAATGATGGTGAGTTGTTCTTGTAAAGTTCTCAAATCCCTTGATCAAATTTCCAGATAAATTGTCACTCAAGTAGATGGTTTCCTTATCAAAGATATCGTCCTCAAGATCAGTTAGCTTTTTGTCGATGGTTCGCTTTTTCAATATGGACTCGTGTAACTCTTTCCTGCACTTCTCGTAGTAGCCGAGCTTCTGCTTGTTTTTGTCTGACATAGCAACAGGACAAGGCAATAGAGGTAATGTTGAAGCTGTTTCCTCTGCTGCTTCTGCTGCTTTTGGTGGAGGACAAGAAAGTGCTGACGTAAGCAGAACGCGAAAAGTTCCAGCGGTGCGGGTCGAAAGATCTTTTCACATTTGTGAGATGTTTACTTTTGGTTGAGAGGATTTAGAAGCAAGAGAAACAAGAGAAGAGAAGAGTAGACTGGTAGCAATGGAGTTTCCTTATCCTTCAGTGATAATAGAGAATGGGTCGTCGAGAACTCGCGCTGGGTACTCCAACGAGGACTATCCCTCAGTGATATTTTCCTCCAATTATGCGCAGAACAGTAAAACAGGAAAGACCTTTATTGGAGACGATATCTTTTTGAAGAATCTTGATTTCAATTATGAGAATTTGGAGATATACACGTTATCAGATGATAATGGGTTGATATACAATTGGGATCATTTGGCGCAGAACTGGGAATATATTTATCGAAACTTGAATATCGAAGACTCTAAAGATTATCCTTTGATCATAACCGAACAAGTTTGGAATTCGTTTAAAAATAAGAAAAAATATTGTCAATTGGCGTTTGAACAGTTTGAAGTACCAATTTTTTCAATCTTCAAGAAACCATTGTGTAATTTGTTTGGGTTAGGGAAAAGTACGGGATTGATTATTGATATTGGAAGCTCGATTACAAATATTAATCCAATATTGGATGGAACAATTTTATTCAAAGGATCGGTTCACTCAAAGATTGCAGGAAACTATATTGATTTGCATATACTAAACTATTTAAAGAAAAACCATTACCATAATGACTTGGGCTCAATTGTGCCAAAAAATTTAATTGGTCTACCTTCAAACAAATATACAGAGAGTTTTAAAAATACGTTGATTACAAACGACTTGATCTTTAATTTCAAGAAACTAATCTTGAGTGCAAATTTAGACAAGATTTCAAATAAGTTGAATTTGAAGCAAAATTTCAATAAACCTAAAAAGAATTATATGTTGCCCGATAACAGAATAATCGAAATCAATGAAGAACAAGTTGAGTTAGTTGAGCCATTGTTTCACCCTAAACCATATACAAACTCTATATTGAGTTACCTTTCTAATGATAATAGCGTGAATGCTACTGGTAATGGAAATGGCAATGGCAATGGAAATAGCAATAGCAACAACAATCCATTGCTAAATGAATCAGGGCTAATTAAGTTGATCGAGGACTCGTTGAGAAACATCGAAGTGGCAAAGGAAATCTACCAGCAGCTATTGAAAAACATTGTTGTTGTTGGAGGAAGCTCGTTGATTGAAAATATGGAAGAACGAATCAAAAACGAGCTCAGGCTCACACTTTCTAATTTTGAAATCGAGACTTATTCGCCCCAGGACACTATTGAGAGAGAGAACTCGAGCTGGATTGGTGCCAGCATCCTCGCCTCAATGAACAACTTCGACAGCTTTATCAGCAAGCAAGAGTACGAGGAGCTAGGAGAGGACTTGATTGTAGAGCGATTCAAATGATCCAGCACATAGTTTGCTTGCCAATGGCAGTGGTTACATTACATAGACTATCTTTTACGACGTTACTCCGATTCCGCTGCCTCTGATTCGACCAGTATGCACGTTCCTGCAACATGCGGTCTATATACACCGAGACCACCGACCCGGGTCGCCCAAAAGCCAACAATAATTGGCACATGCCAAAAGCTCCGGCGCTCAAAGAGCTCAGCAAGAGCTGAGGAAGGTGAAGAAGAGCTTCAGCTGAAGCAACTGCTCCATCTCCTGTTCAGACATCTTCTGTTCAGACTCCTTCTGCTGCTCCATATTCTGCTGCTCTGCCAATGGCTCCCAGGCACGCCTCCAAGAAAGCCCATTCTTCTGTACGCCCAAAGACTGCCACCATGCCCTCCAACACCCTCACCCAGCTTGCTTCTGATGAAAAAACCTCTCTCAAGCACAACGACAAGACTGGCCCCAAGCCAACAGCCTCTAAACACAATGCTGTTGGCACCAAAACAAACACTCCTGCTTCTGCTTCCAGAAATGCCTCCTCCAAGGGCAACACCCTAGAGTTCGAAAAGAAAAAACAAAACTTTTTAACACGAGCTCTTTCGACTTTTATCATGATCTTTGGTTTCTTTGGTATAGTAATTGGTGGCCATCTCTGGACTATTTTGTTGGTTTTGGTCTTGCAAATCTTGACTTTCAAAGAAGTTATCTCAATTACCTATGAACCTGCTAGATATAAGAGACTTCCTTACAACAGGTCTTTGAATTGGTATTTTTTAGCTACCTCCCTATACTATCTTGATGGTAAATTCTTGATTTTTTATTTTAAACATGTTATTCTCTTGGACACCTTTTTAACTCCCCTAGCTACTCACCACAAATTTATATCCTACTGTCTTTATGTTCTTGGTATTGTTTTATTTGTTTGCTTTCTTCAAAAGGGCTACTATAAATTCCAATTTGCCCAATTATGTGCTACCCATATGACTTTGATCTTGGTAGTCCTACAAGCCCATTTCATCATCAACAATATCCTAACAGGTATGTTTTGGTTCTTCTTACCTGTATCCTTGGTTATTGTTAATGATATCTTTGCCTACATCTGCGGCATAACTTTTGGTAAGACAAGATTAATTGCAATCTCTCCTAAAAAAACTGTTGAAGGATTTGTTGGTGCTTGGATCTTCACTGTTTTATTTTCATTGTTAATTACCTTCATCCTATCTCCCTACAAATACATTATTTGTCCCGTCGACGATGATTTATCCGTCAATATAATTAAAGGTTTAGACTGTGAATTGAACCCAGTTTTCATTCCACAGGAATACAGAATCCCCCCAATGATAGCAGAAGCCCTACATTATTATTCAATCACAATCAAACCAATCTATTTTCATGCAATTGTATTAGCTACTTTTGCTTCTTTAATCGCTCCCTTTGGCGGCTTTTTCTGCTCGGGTTTAAAAAGAGCCTTTAAAGTTAAAGACTTTGCTGACACCATCCCTGGTCATGGTGGTATAACCGATAGAATGGATTGCCAATTTATAATGGGCTCTTTCTCTTATCTTTATTACGAAACTTTTATTTCAACTCACAAAGTCAGTGTCAGTTCCATATTACAAATGGCTGTAGTCAACTTGGATCCTGATCAAGTTACTCAATTAATCGATTCCTTATTAAATTATCTTCATAAATCTGGAAGATTAAATTTAAATAATTACAATCAAATAATAAAATTAGTTAGTGAAAGCTCACCAAGAAAGCGATAAATAATCAATAAATGAATAATCTCATAATTGAATTGCAAATCATACGAATCTATATCTAATAGTTCAAATGGTACAAACAAAATCAAACAAAATCAAACAAAATCAAAAAAAAAAATTAAAAATCAAAAAAAATCAATAAATGGAAATTTTTCTCATTCTTTTTCTTTCGTTTTGTGAATTAGTTTATTGTTATATTTCTTTGGAATCCTTATCGAATTCCATAATTGTTTTGTTTAATATATACTTCAGTTTATTTCACATAAATCTTTTGTGGCTGGTTTCTTCGTTTTTTTACACTTCAAACAAAAAATAAACCAAATCTTATCATATACATTATTCTTTACTAATTTTTAAAATTTCTTATAATTCTCTATAGTTTTTAATTTTCAATACGTTAAATAATCTTATAATAATATAATTTCACTAGTTTAAAATAAGAAAAATAAGTAAAGTAAATTGAATTATAACAAAAAAAAAAGAAGGTAACATATTAAAAGCCATAGTACACTATAATAATAATTATAATAGTAATCATATTATTAATATTAATATTGTTATTGATATAAAATTGATAATTTGATAATTTTTATTGAATTTGAAAGCATTGATATTTCCTGTATTTAATTACAAATAATTCCATAAAATTTATAAATTAAAATTTATTTTATATTGTATATTTTATATTTAAGCAGTTGGTTTGGCTTTTGGAGCAGCAACACCAATTTGGAAACCATTTTTAAATCTTCTTGTAACATGCTTTAAATATTGCATACGACCAGTACCAGTTGTATGTCTTCTCTTAGCCTTTTGACCCCAGTTATATGATCTTAATTTGGCAGCTGGATAACCACAGGAAGAACAAGTTTTCTTTTGAACATGGTATGAACGACGTCCACAACGGTTACATAAAGTGTGTGTTTTATTGTGACGTTTACCGAATGATGGTGTACCCTCTAAAAAAAATGTTAGAATCTTTTCAATATCAATTATATTATTGGTTTTCCATCAAGTAAAATGATTTAATTTAGAATTTGTAAATAAATTCAAGGTTTTGAATTCGTACATTTATTATAAAACTAATAAACTAAATGACAAAATCAAATTATTCAAGTATGTTAAATTTTCAATTTTATAATTCTCAATTCAATAATCAAATAGTATTTTTACTTTTTGTTTATTTGATTTAACATTGATTTAGATATCAAAATTCTTAAATTATATGAATAAACTTTAATTTATTTTGCTTGATTTAAAAGTTGAAAACTGTTCAGTATTATTTATAATTTAAAGTGAAGTGAATTTCAATGCGTTTGATTAAACAAATGTGATTATTCTTAATACAATTAATTTTGAATATAGATTATTAATGAAATATAGAATTGTTCGTTTTTAAACACAATTTTTGGCTCATTTAACTTCAACATATTATTCTGATATATTCAATATCTCAAATTTATTGTTTTTTTGTTGTACTATCACCCATTTTCTTGAAATTACTGCATTGTATTAAATTAAATCAATTCAATTTTCATTCATTTTATTCAGTTTTATTGGTGTCTATTTGGTAAACCAAATATTTTGATTACTTACTTCCCATTTTTAAACTATATTATGATTACTTTGTGGATATTATTTGGCGAATACAAATGCTGATACCTATATTATTCAATATAATTGAGGTTGATTATGATATTTTCTATTTTCCCTTACTATCAAAAACTTGGAAGGCCCAACTATTTTGTTACCCTGTGCTTATCTGTATTGGAGAAAAAAACAGTCACAAAAAAAAGAAATTATGAGCCCCGTTGCTAATGGTTGCGAGCGCATGAATAAAAACCGTGATGTTATCAACCAAACCGGGTAACTTAAAATATCATCGCTGATAACCGTAAAGTCCATGCATTAATATGCAAGATCAGTTTTGAAAAAAACATCAAGTTCAATACACTCTAAAATTTAAAAAATAATATCCAAAAATCAAGTTTTTACATAATATATTGATAAATCTAAATTAGATATATAAAAAGCTCTTTTAACCTTGAGGTGCTTTACTCCTATTGTCAATACTGAATGGGTTTTACATATAATTATTAGTACAATTATTAGTCATAATACACTAAACTTATTGCAAATCAGTTAAGATATCAGAATCACCAGCTTCAATAATAGCTAAGACACCAACTCTGAAAAGTTTACCACAAGCAGTACCTAACTCATTGTTACCACCTTCAAAGTAGGAAACTGTAGTTCTGGACAACATAGCATAATATTCCAACTCAGCTTTTCTTAAAGTTGGTGTGTTTTTAGCTAAAACAATCAACTTAGCCTTACCTTGACGTAAAGATTTAATGGTTGATTTATAACCTAAGGTATATTTACCTGATTTAATAACTAAAGCAAGTTTAGAATTGAAATTCTCTTGAGCTTTTTTAACTTTTGGGGCCTTTAAAAAGAAGTTAGTATACAAAATTATAACTTCTATCAGTAGCTAACACAATCAAACTGATTGTAATATCATCAATTCAAGATTAAAATAAACACTTACCATCTCTGCGCTTCTTATTGTAACTTTTGCACTCCGGTTGTGTGATGAAAAACGAAATGGTTAAGAAATACAAACTTGAAGATTTTTAATTTATATTTCAAGCCAAACTTCTCTCCAATCACATGTCACTTCCATAAACAAAAACCCAGTCACACATTGCTCCACACGCTCACAACCGCAGTTTTTCTGAACCAGCTCTGTTTCTGTGTCCGGTTTGCTAAGTTTGTTTTTCTGAAAACCGGACACTGCTGAACTTTCAGTGCAATACAGAACGACTCATTATATTCTTCAACAGCAAGGAGATTAGAAGCAATATCTTCAAGGAAAGCAACTCCAATCCCATCAATTAGACAAGGTATGTTTTCCAGTTCAAACAATCAAATGAAATTAATAGATGAAATATGATATAGTACACCCAGATGAAAATCATATTCCCCAGATTTAACGAGAGAAGACAAAACACTATTCTTTATTTTGATAATTTCCAAAAGTGTTGATCAAGAAGTCTCTAAATTTACTATTTAACATGAAAATGAATTTTGATTATCAATTGAAATAAAATACATTAAACCGCAAATTTACCAATTTCCAGTGAAAGAACTTAAAGCGCACTAAGATGAGGAAATTTGCAAGAAAATAGTTTCAAATTCCATATTAATAATTAAACTGAACAATGATATTTTTATTATATTGAATGTTTTACTTTTATTTTGGTTTGTTCAGCAAGAAAAAAAATTATCTTATCTTAAAAACACATAATTAAAATTATAAATTGGATCAATCATAAAAATTTCAATCACAAATATTAGTTTAAACATCAAGAACAATATCTAAAAATTGATTTTAAAAATATTATAAATTACTATTATAAAGGTTATATTAAAATCTGTCTTTTTTTCAATTCAATTTACACCACATAATTCATTTTGTTTTATATTGTCTATTTTTTTCATTTCGAGAATATGGATTCAATATAAATTATTTTATTTATAAAGTTGAAAAAAAATTTAAAAAAAAATTATAAAAGAGCTTTTCTAACATTTTTAAATTCATTTTTTATATTTTATTTTAATTAAAATTAGTTAAAAATGAAGACTGAAATTTGTGCTTTTTCCGGTTCAAAAATTTACCCAGGTAGGGGTATTCTTTTTGTTCGTGGCGATTCTAAAATTTTTAGATTCCATTCATCAAAATCTGCTTCTTTATTTTTACAAAGAAAAAACCCAAGAAGAATTTCATGGACTGTTTTATACAGACGTCACCACAAAAAAGGTATCTCTGAAGAAGTTAGCAGAAAGAGAACCAGAAAAGCTGTTAAACACCAAAGAGCCATTGTCGGTGCTTCTTTAGAATTATTAAAAGAACGTCGTTCTCTAAAACCAGAAGTAAGAAAAGTTGAAAGAGAAAAACTTGCCAATTTAGAAAAAGAAAAAAAGAGAGCTGAAAAGGCCAAAAAAAGAGCTGAAAAAGCTAAATTAGCTGCTAAAGGTGGTGCTGGTTCAAAACTTTCTAAAACACAAGCTAAAGGTGCTTTTACTAAAGTTCATCCCACTACCCGTTAAGATTTCATCTGTAATTTATTTAAAATAACTATTATAAATTATTCTTTTCTTCAGTTAATAAATAAATAATGAATGGAAATTGGTTTTGTCATTTGTACTTCAATTATTTTTTTTTTTTACTACTACTGTTACCTTTTTGATTTTCTTGATTTTTTTTTCTTTTTGAAATTTGTATTATTCAAATAACAAAATTAAACTTAAATTATTTATATTACAAAATGATAAAATAAAAGAAATAACAAAACTAGAAGGTGAATATTAAAGTTGATTGTTGAAAATTGAAAACTAAAGAATAGAATAAAGACCAAAAATTAAATATCAATAAAGTTAAAGAGTGAACATTCAAAGATAAGATTAGATAAAAAAGGATATCAGATAAAAAGATTTCAAAACAAAAGAACATAACTGTAAAACAAATATTTAGAGTGATGAGTACTTGGAACTATTTTTAACTAAATGTAAAATCTTTCCAACTGGGAAAATTGCGAATTTCCTTCAAAAGCAAATTTTCTAGTTCGTACATTGTTAGTTCTCTACCCATACCAAAGTCATCAAAATCAAATTCACCCTTTGGTATCGGTTCAGCATCTGGTTCACTTTCGGGATTATGAAATTCATCCAAATAAGGATGGTTCAAAGCTTCAGCTGCAGTGATTCTCTTTTTGGGATTAAATTGTAGCATACTTTCCAATAAATCGATGGCATCAGGATCAAGATGAGACGAGAATATTTTTTTGAATTTTAATCTTGGGGAATATGCTAATGATTGGATATACATTCTTGCGGATCTTGATCGAACAACTTCAAGGTCTTCGCCAGTTGGTGTTCCAATGACCTCAAAAATAAGCTTGATTTGATTGATGTAATCTAATCCAGGAAAAAATGGTTTGCGAAGAACTAATTCAGCTAAGATGCAACCAACAGACCAAATGTCAGAAGAAGTTGAATATTCAGAATGACTTAACATAATTTCTGGAGCTCTATACCATCTTGTTGCTACATACTCAGTCATGTTGGTATGGTTTGATTCATTTGTAGATGAATTATCGATTCTTGAAAGACCAAAATCGCAAAGTTTTAAGGTGCAATCCTCATTTAACAATAAATTTGATGGTTTTAAATCACGATGAATAACATTAACACTATGCAAGGCTTTAAGAGCCTTGAATATTTGATAAATTAGATATTTGATATGCTTTTGAGATAAAACAATATCAGAACGAATAACTTTATTCAAGTCTGTTTTCATCAATTCTTGAACAATAAAAATCTTAAAGATATTAGTTTTCTGCTGAGAAGTAATAAAGGCATCTCGAATAGATATAATGTTTTCATGATTGTGAAAGTGTTTTAAAAATTTTATTTCTCTTAAAGTTCTTAATGCAAACATTATTCGATGAGAAGGAACAACTTTTTTAATTGCAACTGGATACTTTTCCATATAATAGCCATCAGCTACAGTACCATATGCACCTCCACCTACTTTACTTGAAAGAGAATACTCTTTTGGAATTTCACCAAATGAACGAATCAATTCAGCCTTTTTTCTGTATGCATTGTATTCTTGATTAAGTTGAGATCTTTTGGGGTTATTGTGATTTTCAACATTTTTATTTTTAAAATTAGCCAGACTTGGGGAAGAAACGATAGTAGACATTTTAATAGATATGTTATAATAGAAAAGAAAAAAGAAAAAAAAGAATAAGCTAATAACGATTATCTTTTTCTGAAATAAACAAGAGAGCTACTTGCAATGAACGTCTGGAAAATGATATAAATATATATAATTAAAAATATGCTGAGTTTCCAAATTAAACCATCTATAAATCAAGTTAAAACAAATGTGAAAAATAGATTTTGTGTACCAGTTCAGAAAGATGAAGACCATTGAGAGATCAATTAAGGATAGGTGGGATCTTTTTGAGATCTTTTTGAGATCTTTTTGAGATCTTTTTGAGATCTTTTTGAGATCTATCTGAGATCAAGTTAGCAGAGTATTATAATTATGATGCGATAAGCATCAGGAAAAACTTCTTCAACCTCAAATAAAAAGTTCAGAGAAAGTGTCAAATCAGCACTGGTGAAGGGGAAGAAAAAGAAATAAAAGACCAAGAAAAATGCCTAAAGTGGAAGCATCTGAAACACTTTCTAATAATACCAAATAAAGCTTACACAACGCAGGAGGACGCAGTTTGATGAGATTTGTGGTCAAAAAGTCTGGATTGTGATGGAGCAAAAACCTGTGAAACATGTAAGAGAAAATTATTCGCTTGAGGTTATCAAAGTTTGGAGCAAAGATCTGTTTTTAGATGCTATGGAAGGGACCAATGTTCACTGCCACACTCAGCCAAAAAAATATTATTGCATGTGACATTTTCTGATCAAAGCAGGACATCTGTTTTAACAGGATAACAAAATTTAACACTTCGTTTTCAAAAATGGAAGACAATCAAAGCATATGATCATGATTGTTTATTGATTTTCCTATTAAATTAAATATGCATCCAACACCCACAAAAGAATTCACACTTATCACCACTATCCAATTATATCCAACAACCATCATAAAACAATAGAATCAATTTTTCTCCATCACCTTGTATATTATACCATAGTAATGATATCACATATGCTAAGTTGTAACAATTATGATGTTCGATTTCTTTGTAAAAATTACCAACCATATAACAGCCCACATCTTAATTTATTGGTATACAATTTACTAGAGTTGGAATAACAACATTATACCATAACGTTTTATGATCTTGGATATTATAAAAAGAAATCACTGGATTATTCAGAAAAATGCTAAAACTGTCTAGATGGCCACTAAAATATAAGATACATATGGAATATTTAAATCTACCAAAAACGTGACAAATTTTGACCAAAATTCGATTTTTGTTATTTAGAGTTTTGAAAGAAGAACATTACTATTTCAAGTAATTCCTGGTTAGAGACAGTCCAGTTTAAGAAGGTCCAAACGAACGTAAATTTTCTGGCAGACGTTCACTCGTGAAATTGTTCGAAACTCGCGGTAGGTAGACGGAACAGACCGGTATCGTGTGGTAGTCGGAGTTACGCAACCGAATTGTAAGATCCGGTCACTTTACATCAGAATCCAATCAAACTTTTAATTAAAATTGAAGTGTAACTAAAAGCAAATGTATTGCTAAAACTAAAAGTATGAGCAAAATTAATTAAAACTAAAAACAAATAAGTTGTACAGATCAAATGGATTTTAATCTTCCAATCACTGTTATATATTAATACTCGATAACTCATGATTTGCATCAGTGTAATTTTACTTCTCTTTTTAAGCTCCTGAAAATTTTTCATTCATTTACTAAAATTCGTAAACTTTACTTCCTCGACTTTTAATGTTTAAGCCAATAGTTTGTTTATCCACTCTTATTTCCATTCCTATTTCTCTCCACTGACTTTTATATCATTTCTATATCTAATATCGCTTTTATATACAACATCAGTTTGCTACTTTCTATAAGCCTAAAACTCCATTTTCAACCTGATTTTTAACTTTAATTCGCTAATTTCGAGTTAATTTTTTATTTTCTGCTTTATTCCAATTTTATTTGATGAAGGCAGTAAACTTCTTAAATTTAATGAAGCTGATGAGTTTAAATTGTAATTCCAACTTCTCGCTAATTCAAATTGCCCAATGAAGAATTACCCATCTTTTATAATTCACCAAACCCATACACTCCTTTCTGAAGGAGCTGTGAAAAAATTGAAACAATCTTAAAACAGTCGAATTCGATTTGAACTCGTTCAAAGTGAAATACCTTGTTAATTTAAAGCAATCCCAGTATTCGTAAATCAAATAAAGGAAAAAAAATCGGTTTTCGGAATTAAATTTCACTTCATTTTACAATTTTAATTCAGCTATCGTATAATATTGCAATACTTTTCAAATAATATTATAATAATAATATTGTAATATTTTTTTTATAAACCCTTTATGAATTGGGTATGAGCAAATTGTGAATCAAATTTGAATCAATTATGAACCGATTCTTTATCTGCTTTGGGGTCTTGACAGCACTCTCAAAAGAAATTAAATATTATATAAAGATTTTATAACCTTTGTATAATTTGTATAAATTTGAATAAATTTGAATAAATTTGAGTAAATTTGAATAAATTTGAAGTTTGTGTACAAATCGTATAGAAAATTGCTATCTTTTTGAAATCTCCCTAAGATAACAGCCAGAGTAAAACAGTTGACTAATTTATTATTTAAGGTATTAACTTATTATTTATATATATAGAATGGAATTGAAAGCCCATAAAAAAATTAAACAGCTTTAACCAAAATGAAAGGCGTGCATTTCAAATTAATATTAATTATATTAATTATATTTTACAATTTACCAAATACTGTGCCTGATATTTTGTAATAAGACCACACGTTTATTAGACTGTCGTGTAAATTAAAATTTCTTTAAAGAGAGAATAAAATATAGCAGGATTTTATTTTATTTTATTTTATTGTATTTTATTTTATGATTGCCAACAATATGATTATATAATATACTATTATTTGGAGTTCAGAAATAAATGATAGAATAGAATAGAATAAAATAGTACAAAAGATAAAGTAATAGAAATTAAAAAGTCATTAAAGTCAAGAAATAAATCGATAAATGAAATAATTAAAATAGTAGAGAGAGAACCAAAATACAGAACCTAGGAATAATATTAAAAGAAAAACAAAGAAAAACAAGAGAGAAAATGAACTGATAAAAATATGAGATAAATATATTATAGCCTTAAAGAATGATTATATTGAGCATTGATAGATAAGTTTATAAGTTGATACAGCTAATATAATTGATAGGATAAGATATAGGATAAGGTATAGGATAAGATATAAGATATAAGATAGGATATAGGATATAGGATATAGTAAAATATAGGAAAGAAGTGGGATTACAAACCATTTTCTTGTAAAACTTTAACTAATTTGTTTAATTTTAATTTGGCAAAGCCTTCAGGATAATGTTTATCTGAAACAAACATGATTAGATATTTTGAAGATGATTCCAAATCATAATGGTGATTTGAGTTATCTTCTGATTCGTCATCACCATTATAGCCATCATTGTTATAATCAGGAAATTCTTTTGAGAATTTTCTCTGTTTTTTGTTAGGTAGTGAAGAAGGAACTGTGTAGGAGGAAGATTCTGAGTATGATGAAGAAAAAGAGGAGGATAATGAGTAATCCTTTGAAGTAAAAATATTGTCAGACAAATCGTTAATGACCAAGTCAGTTTCTGACTGGTTTGATAGTTTTTTGAATAGATTCAAGTCCCTTTGAAAGAGAGTTAGAAAGATTTTTTTGTTATTCAAATTGAAATGTAAATGAATTGGGGTTTTAATTAAATCATTATTAAGTTTATTATTATTGAATATATTAGTATTTTTATTGTCATTGATATTTTTATTGTCATTGATATTGATATTGGAATAATTTAATAAATTTTTAAAGTAAATTTTAAAGAAATTATAAGCATAAAAGCTAATTAAATTCAAGAAAATTTGAGAATCCATTGTTAATTTGTCTTCCATTAAAGATCTGGCATTATCATTCATTTGAGGATTAGAATCATTTTGAGGAGGATTTGAATCTGTTTTTTTTTCAGTTGAAAAAATTTTAAATTTTGATGTGAAAAAACTACAAATTGATGAATAAATGGAACCAGTACTATTATTGATAGTAGTAGTGTTTTTCTGTTTTGTGTTTTTATTTGTAGCTGCGCTACAATATGGATATTTATTTTGTGAATCCAAATCAGATAAATCAATTTCCTGGTCTTCTGGTAAATACTGTTTATTTATATCATTTTCACTAGTAGATGAGAGATTTAAACTAATAGTAGAATGTATATTTGTGGAAGAACAAGTGGAAGAGGTCCTTTGTTTTAGAGAATCCTGATAAACTTGATAGTTTAGATTTTTAAGTAATAAATTCATGCTATTGAAATTATTTTGAGCGCTGATACTTTGGTTGTTTTTATTTTGATTCTTGAAATCGATTTCCGACTTTGCTAGTTTTGAATCTAGTGAAGAAAACAAGACTTGACCATCGTTATCGTAATCAATCAAAGATAAGGAATAAGAAGCATGGTCTGGAGTCAATGGAGATTGTTTTAAGAAACTGGAGAAAAGCTGGCTGATCGCCTCACTTTTGATAATCATAATGTCCTTTGTAAATACCAGTATAGTATAATTAGATGTGTGGTATAGTGTGAAGTGGAGTGGAGTTGAAGGGTATGGAATAGATTATCAGTATAGATAAGGTAAGGAGATGAAATATAATATAATGTAATATATGATGATAATATAATATAGAAAACAGTAAATGGAGTATAAAGGTCTAATGTAGCAAACAGGAGGAAAGCAGAAGAAGAAAAAAGATAAAAACTAAAGTATTTATATTAGTGAAAAGAATAAAGTAATAAACTTGTCTTTTTTATTTTAATTATACTTTTTATTTTAATAATATTATATTATATGATAATATTTTAATTTTTGCAAGTTAATTGCTCCCAGTGATTTTAAGTTAAGGTTTCAGCATTTTAGTTGTGAGTTTTTGAACAATCAAACAATTGATTACCAATTAGAGTTTCCCACTTCAAAGCACAAGACCAGCCTACGGGAACTCTGGGTAGTTGCACTCTAGTTCAGGCACTCCCAAACCCAACCAGCTTTCTGGTTCCTCTTATCTTCTCAACAAGTGATGATCATTTTAGACAAATCCCATTCGGGCAATATCTATCTCAATGTCCCATTTAAGCTTTGCCAACATTACGTCGCAACATTTGTGTGTACAGATTACTGCATATCAACAACTAGCACGCATCTTTTTTGCATATATTTAGCGTTTATTTGCGCAACTGCTGCTGCAAATGACAGTAATATGTCAGATTATGAATAGTTCCGCGAACTTCTGCATTAAAAATGCACCACCAGCCACAGTTTTCTTTTGAACAGGATAGCGCGCGCTACTTGAACACGATGGGCAGGTGAACTCGGCACAAACCCGTGCGTTTTTGTGTTGCACCAGCTCTGCACCAGCGCCATGGAGACCAGCGACCTTCTCTGAAGTCCAGCTGGAGACTATTGCTTGAAGGATCCCATCGTGGGGGCGTGGAGGTTGTTCAAAGGAAACACTGTGAAAACTGTGAGAAGAAAGCTCCGCTGATTCAGGCTTTTGTGGTAAAGAAAAGGAAGCTGATGATCCATCAAATAAGGTTTGCAGTCGTCGTTATCGTCACCAATAGAATCGCTGCTATCTCTACACCGGTTTGTTCCAGTTTGTGTTATTGGAGCATTTCCGTCAGCACGGAATGCACAAACAGCGACCATTGCCATCAGATATGATAGATGCACTTGTTCTTCCTACTGCTGGTATTATTACTAATCTCACCCAAGATGCTGGTGCTGGATGATAGAAAATAACTGCTATTAAGCCCATCAAAGTTTTACATTTTCCATACCTCGATTATTTGTCTAAGAAGTTGACTCATTATCAGTCCTTGCAACTGATAGCAATCGCTGTTTCCATTAATTGGGCTTCCCAAAACTACAAAGGCATATGTATCACATTGTATTTTTTCAAAGGCAGGTTTACATTAAGCAAACTGTTTTTTTTTTGGTAATTTGGGTTTTATGATTATTTTTGGTTTTTGTCTTGCTTGTGATCTTTGTGCGAGCTACATTTGCTATGATAAATGAACTGAATGTTGTAATAGTGATACACTATCATCAGCAAGTCCCTTTGTTGATTCAACCGGAGATTAATTCCAGAATTCATTTCTTAAATCGTTCAGTCAACCTAGAAATCGCACCCATTCCAACAACATTTATCGGTGATTAATAGTGACCCAACTATCATTCTTATCCTTTCCAGTTTTCCTTATCTAAGTATCTCATGATCAGCTAGCGTCTAAAGGTGTGTTCATTCGGGAAAGATATTTAGAAATTTAGCAGAAATCACTGATCATGGGCTAATCAGAATAGACACACAGCTTGCAACAGTCCTACGCATAACATTGCGCTTTCAAAAGCCCTAAAGAAACGTTTGGGCAGGCTTTATAAATAGATTTGTGATCGACGAATTTTCCTACATTTGCTAAATTTTGATAAATTTTAGTGGCAAAATTCTTCAAATTTCTAGTCCCTTTTATGAGAATCTTAAATGGTTGTTGAGCTAAAGCCACATCACAAGGAAGCAGAGTCACGCTACCGCAAAACCCCTTACGCGACGCGCTCCATTTGCTACAGAGACCCAATCTCTTACTCAGATCTTATGTAATACTTTTTTGCATGGCGTGTCTCTTAATGACATCACACAAAAGAAAGCCTGCTCTTATCCTGCATTTAATCTACCTCTGTCAATCTCGATTCTCAGGAGCTGAGCTGAGGTCTCGATACGCTATTTTCGCAAAACTTCTCCGGGAAGTTGCTTTTTCTATGCAATTTATGTTGGATACTGCCAAACTCGCCCAAATTACAGCAGTGTTCAGTGCGAAAAATAGAGCAAGAAAAAGAAACAGCTTATTCGTTTTTTTTATATCGCACTTTTTCCTTTACCACTAATGGACGTATATTCTAAAACAAAATAAGCCCAAAATCCAGAAACCCTTTAAAGTTAATACCTATTAATACTATTCTTCTTTTTTAATTCGCTCTTTTCTTTTCAATTTACTTGTTTTTCTTTTTTTTTGGTTCATTTTTCGTTTGTTTGAATTATTTGCTTTCATTTAAGGTATATTACTTCATATTACTAAATTCCAAGGTGTTTTTTATTCATTTCCGAAAAGTATATTATAAAAAAACACAAATATCAATTATTCTCCCTTTTTTTTTCTTGACCATTTGCTATGTTTTCTTCGTCTTAAATAGCCGTAATATCGCCATTTTCCTTACAAAATTGTACAATTCTAAAATCTTTGCAAATCTTTGCAATTTGTTTTCTCTCGTTTTCTGCTATAATTTACTATTTATAGTCCACAATCTATAAAGAATAGACAATTGGTTTTTCATCTCTTTCTATTATATTTCATCATCTTTTCTGCCATCTTATTTCATTTGCCTTATTTTCGTTTGCTGTCTCACTCTCCCTCAACACTATTTTAGTCCTCAATCACCTATTCCATATTTAATACCCTATACCCTAAAACAGAAATTTATCGACAATCTGATCACTATACATTAACTATGCCTACTACCCCAAAATTTGAATTTACATCTAACCATACCTCCCCATCTCCTTCTCAATCATCATCCATTTCCTTTAATTCGCCCAATTATAATAATAATAATAATAATAATAATAATAATAATAATAACAATAATAATAATAACTCGCCAACTCCCACTACCAAACAACAAATTGATTACTTCAGCTTTTCACCAATTGCTGATAATGATAGCACTACTAAAAAATCAAGAAAAAAAACTGGTTTTGTAACAACTCCCCCAACGATTCCTGAAAATATTCCTGTCACACATACTTCAAATCACAATCTACCTGTTTTCAAATCAATTGAATCCGATTCAAATTTGAATTTAAATTCAATTTCAAATCTAAACTCAAGTCCAAATCAAAATCAAAATCAAAATCAGAATTTTATATTTCCTAATATTGATAACAGTATTAATGATAATACCATCAGCACAACAAACAATAATTCCCCAAATTTAAGTCCAAATTTAAACACAAACTCAACTTTAAATGCAAATTTCATCTCAAACATCAATTTCCCTCCTACTCATTTGAATAAAAAAAAAATTCAAATTGAAAAAAACTCAAATGATTTATTAAACAAAAATCTAGTCAGTGTAAACTTACCCGATGAAATTTTAAACTACGATTCTAATAATAATAATCATAATAATAATCACATTGACAATGATAATGACAATGACGATAACAATTTAAATAATATCCGAAACAATAATAAAAACAATAACAACAATGACTTGAACATTCATTTAAATAATTTTGCTAACCGAAACCAAAAAGACTCTGACTTAAGATCCATAAACTCGGATTTTGATTCAATTGAAGAATCCTCATTCATGAAAAATAATTCAAATCAAAATCAAGATCCCAATTCCAATTCTAATGCCAATTCAAATTCGAAAATCCAATCAAACACAAACTTTTCAACAAATACAACTTTTGTTGAAAACGATCTAATTAACCCTCATAAATCTATTGGCGAAAATAATACTCATAACACTCATTCTAATAAAAAACAAAAGCTTTCAAATTTTTTCAAATCAAAGATCTCTGCAATCAAAAATATAGATTTTTCCACTAACGCGTCTCTTGCCCCTGGTGCCTCCAATCACCACGATTCAAGGAACAAAATCACTGATGAGGAAAACAATCCAACTATAGATAATAATAATGGTAATGGCAACAATGACGATATCGAGCTCTTAGATTTGAATTCCCAAGCTAAGAAATTTATACAAAATCATAATTACAATAACAACGACTTCAAAAACGAAAAGAATCTGGATTTTTTGGATTCAGCTCCAAATATCAATCAATACATAAGGAGCAATAGAGGAATTTATGGAATGGAGGATATGAATTACTCCACTTATTCTTTTAGGTCATCAACAAGCTCATCTCTTGATTCTAAAGATGATATTCGTAATCATCATAATCACCATCATAATCATCATCATAACCGTGATGATAATCATGATAATAATGATAACGATAATGATAGTGCTTTTTCAAGTTCAAGTTCAAGTTCAAGTTCAAGTTCAAGTTCAATGCAAGAAGATTACTGCCCCCCACCAAAGAAAATCCAGCTTGGGGTTTTAGGGTCGCTTTTGAAATTGTATCAAAATCAAAATCAAAATCAAAATCAAAATAATAATTACTATCATGATGATCGATATCGGAATGAGGTTTATAATAATGGAAATAACCATTCTAAGCATCGAAGATTTATGTCATCTGCTTCTAATTTGCTTAAGGGTAAAGAGAAAAAAAACAAGTCAACGGTCAATTTAGGTAAAGCTGGAGATGAACCAGATAAGAAAACCAATATAAAACTTCCCGAGATTAATTTAATTGATACTAATAGCCGTAATAGTGAGGAATCTAAAAACGAGAATTCAAATAATAATAACAGTAATAATTCACCAGAGGTTTTTCTAACACCAAGAAGAACATCGAAATCGCCAGCACCTTCAATATATAAACATAAACGAAATAATTCATCAATTTCCCTATTTTCAAGCAATAGTAATATACCTGTTTTTGAACCAACGTCGAATAAGAGCAAGTTTAAGTTTGAGAATTTCAATGGAGAAATAATAAGTGATAAAAGCACAATGTCTCGACCTTATATGCCCAAGAGAAATTCAGGAGGCAGCTTTTTTCACAACAGAAGGTTGAGCAAATCAGTTGAAGCAAGAATCACAGTTCATATCGCCGATGTGTTGCAACGACAAAGGTTTATAATTCGGTTGTGTAAGGCGTTAATTCTTTATGGAGCTCCCACGCATCGACTTGAAGAGTTTATGATAATGACATCTCGAGTGTTGGAATTGGATGGGCAGTTTATGTATATGCCAGGAACAATGCTCATGTCTTTTGGAGATGCATCAACAAGAACTTCCGAGATGCAGTTGATCAAGAGTCCCGAGGGATTGAATTTACACAAACTACAGGAGGCTTATGCGATTTACAAAGACGTTGTTCACGATATCAAAGGAGTGGAGGAGGCATCAAGAGATTTGGACGATTTGTTGTCGTCTAAACCATTATATTCGCCATTTTTGTGTGTTCTCATTTATGGATTTGGCTCAGCAATGATTACGCCTATGGCGTTTAGTGGAAGCTGGCAAGATATGCCAATTTGTTTTATTATTGGGTTGTTGGTTGGATTTTTGAAGTTTTACGTGAGTCCCAAGTCACATTTATATTCGAATGTGTTTGAGGTGTTTGCATCGATTGTTGTTAGTTTTATTGGAAGAGCCTTGGGAACAATAAATGATGGACGAACTTTTTGCTTTTCTGCTGTTGTTCAAGGGACGTTAGCATTGATTTTGCCTGGATATATTATTTTGTGTGGATCATTGGAGATTCAGTCTAGAAACATTGTGGCAGGAACAGTTCGGATGTTTTATGCTATAATTTACTCGTTGTTTTTGGGTATTGGTATAACATTGGGAGCAGCGTTGTATGGATGGATAGACAGTGGGGCTATTTCTAATTTGGAATGTGCAAACAGTGTGAGTCCATGGTACAGGTTTATCTTTGTTCCAGCATTTACGATAGCATTGGCCTTGGTGAATCAAGCCAAGTGGACCCAGATGCCAATTATGATAGTGATCTCTGGAATTGGGTACGTTGTTAGTTATTTTGCATCGATGCATTTCCAGGACTCGACTGAGTATACTAGTGCGATGGCTGCGTTTGTTATTGGTGTTCTGAGCAACTTGTACTCAAGGGTGTACAAAGGACTAGCAGTGTCAGCAATGTTGCCAGCAATTTTTGTGCAAGTTCCAGGAGGAATAGCATCAAAGAACACACTTTTAGCTGGTATCCAAAGTGCAAACAAGTTGGTGATTAACACAACAAGCACAACAACAACAGCAGCAGCAGCAGAAACATCATCCAGCTTCAGCGAGGCCAGCAGTTTGGCCTTTGGGTTCACAATGATCGAGATTGCTTTGGGAATTTCTGTGGGGTTGTTTGTTTCGACCATTGCAGTGTATCCTTTTGGCAAGAAGAGAACACCCATCTTCACATTGTAAGCTATTCCGAGATATAGACAGATATAGACAGATATAGACAGATATAGACAGATATAGACAAGCATAGAGATAAGCAGGAAAACCAGCACAACGGAACTGCGGCGCAGTCTGTGGCGGTGGACAAGGGCTGGTGCAGTACGGAGCGGCACGGATCGGCACGGATCAGCTGCCGGAACGAACTCATCCACCTTGATCAGCAAAAGCACCACCACTGTTAGTGGACCAGGCCTCACCTCCACCATGTACAGCAGCCAGAACAACTCCAGGCTCCACCGGAAAGTGCAAAACTATCGCCAAACCAGGTCTTCCAACGCTGCCTCTGCCCTCGTCTCCAGAAGAAATGCCATCAGGAAGGAAAACCCCTTCAGCGAGTTGCTGAACCTGCGATACAGCTTGAACTCTCCTCATCCTGACGTCTTCCCACTCTCTGGAATTGCTGAACCACTGTCTCTGCTGCTCACAAATCCCTTCGAAGACTACAGCAACAACATCAAAAGATTCAGCCAGGCTCACTTGCAAAACGATCTCAGCGATGTTAATGCTTACGACACTTTTCTATCCTCTTCCTCTTCTCCTGTCTCTTCTCCTGCTTTTCTCAACTCCAGAAAGAGACCCTTGCCTGATAACTACAGTGATGTTTACTACACAATATACCCTGATTTTATTCCCTGGCACCATACACCTATTGAAGACTCCATAACCTCTTCTCATCTAGATAAAGGCTTCGTCGAACCTTCTCCCATAAGAAATGAACTAGCTTCTGCTGCTTCGCTAGTCATCCACTTGAAAAATCTAAATGATCTATCGAATAATCTCCTTCAACTCAAAATTGTTAGAGATAACTACTATGACAAAATCATTGACAATTCTTCTTTCCAGCCTCCCTCAAGAGTAACGCTAACTGACTCCAAAAGAGAAGCATGGTTAAGAGATCTCGCCTCAATTAACATCCCCCTAAAGAACTTGGCTGAAAAGAAAATCCCCTATGGAATCAAAAATAGAGTCCTCATAGACCAGATCATCCTAAAAAGAGTCCCTATATCAAGAGCAATTTGGCTCATCAAATGCGTAGGTCTAAATGAACTAAAAATCATAAAAAGAAAACAAAACTTACCTATCAATTCATACCAACTATGGATAAATGAATGGACCTCCCATCTAACTTTTTACCTAGATAACATCTTATCTCAATATTCAAACGCTTTTTTCAATTCATCCTCCAAAAATATCAACATCAACGACCAATCAAACACCACTACTTTCAATAACAATAATAGTAATTACAATAATAACAGCACTATTGATGAAAAATTATTAGACTATTTATCTCTAAACTTAATATCCTCTCTAAAATACAAAATTTCCTATATTATAAACCTTATCTTCAATCTCTTTTATGAAAAACTAATAAACAGAAACATCTTCTTCAATTGGTTAATAAACTCTTTCAAAAAAGTAGAAAAGGAATTTGAACTAATCTTACTACTACAACTAATCAAAATCTTTTCAAAATTCCTAATTCCCAACATAATTAATAACAATACAAACAATACAAACAATACAAACAATACAAATAATACAAACAATACAAACAATACAAATAATACAAATAATACAAATAATATAAACACCTCTACCTCAGATCTATCTCCAGAAAATACCGACATCCTCTTATCTTCTTTATTTCAAATCTTAATATTCAAATACGATTTTATCTTGAATAAACTATCCCTAAAAAACTTATCCACAAACCAAAATTTCAACCCAAATACCTCAGTCCAACAGAACTACTCAAACATTAACACTCCCAACAACAATAACAACAACAACAACACCAACACCAATAACAATAAATTCTATTTCTCGAATAATTCCATATATTCCCAAGTAAATTCTCCCACAACTTTTGGTAATAGCCCTATAAACTTCAATTACTCTTCAAATCTAGACTCCTTCTCAAAAATTATAGATGATGCCTCAAAGGTCAATAAAGAACTAAACCTCAAAAAACTATCAATGCTTTATGACATTAAAAACTTGATCAATTTCTTATTCCTAAAAAAATCAGACTGGCTAATAATTCAAAAAATCGACCAGCTTTCCCTAAAAACTTGGAACGATACTAAAAATTTCCTTATAAAATACGATATACTAGATATACAACTAAAACCTAAAAATAAACTAGATTATAAAAATATCCAATCCCTAATCAATCCTGATTCAAAAATTAATTCAGACTTTAATATAACCTTCAACGACGTCAATTATTATTACTATTTGAAAAAGAATTTTAACTTCCAGTCTCTAAATTTTGATGAAATACTAATTCTACTAAAAAAAGAAAGATTCAATGAAATTTGCTTTAAAAATGATTGCCTTCTAAAACCACTTAAACAAAATAAAGATGATGATAGCGATACAGATACTCAAACTAACACTTTAGATTTTGATTTAATCTTAAACAGGAGAAATCTTACTAATAACGAGCTTTTACTACAGAAACTCAATGATTTTTTAAATAAAAGAGATTTTTTCTTACAATCTTTTATATGCCATGACCAAGAAATTTATGACTCACTAGTAGACCTATCTCTAAAACTAATTAATAAAAAAGATGCACCTCTTAATTTGTTTTTAAAAAATGATCAATTTAACCTATCAAACTTGCAAAATAATTTGAAAAAAAATTTCTTTAAATTCCAAATTAACCAGCTAATTATGCTCATATTCGATAATTATTTTCTAATACTCAAAGAATTGCACTCTTTATATCTGAAATCTAATAATAACAATGATAACCAAATTGAATCAATTACAAATCAAAAGCTAAAAATAATACGACAAAACATAAGATTAATGCTCGATTGGTCTGTAAACAATTTCGAATTGGGTAAATTCAATTTTAATGCTTCAATTGGAAATTGTGATATTGTATACGAACACAAAATTTTAGTGGTAGCAAAAATTTTTGGAAGATTTTTATTTCAATGTCGATTATTTTTATCAAAAATATTTAATGGCCAAGTCAAAGATACAAATTTGAAAACTCAATCAAATAATATTCAAGCCACTCCAAGAAATAATTTTGGTTTAAAAGAGAAAAAAATTATAATGGGCAGGATAATCGAATTTCTACAATCAGAAATTCTAGATTTTCTTCTTGATATTGCAAACTCTCCAGAGGTTCCTTTTGAAAGTTTAAACATTTTTGAAAATTTAGATACAGAGTTAGATATTTCTCAATTTAATTTAAATGGAATTGAAAACATTACTCAAAAAAATACAAAGATCTTCACAAGAGCACTTATACCATTTAAACCAATAAACTTGAAGTTTTTAGTTCTACTTATCAATCATTTAAGTCAGTTTAACCTATTTTCAATTGATCTTTATTCAAAAAAGTTGATTTCATCTGGCATGATATATGACATTGAATCACCTCAAAAGATGAGAAACTCTAATTTAGTTCATTACTTGATTTTGAAAAACTTAAAGTTTGCGAGAACATCTAAAATTCACATTATTTTTAAAAACTTGAAATCTAAAATATTTAATGATATTAAACAGAACAATCCGGTTAATTCAAAAAGTATAATAGATCAACTACTTGAGCAACCCGATATAGATAATGATTTTTCAAATTGTATTACCAAAGCTGAAAGCATAATTGACAATTCGATTATAAAATATGTTTTTGAAGATGGTCTTAAAATCCCAACATCTGATTTGGAATACTTGTCAAAGTTGGATATTGATAAAAAAATAAGTTTAGCTGAATATTTGATGAAATCATTGGGCAACTTTATGCTTGGGGAGAACTATGAATTAATAAATAAAAGTATTAAAATCAGTTCAAATGAATTAATTAATCAGGAATACGGCTCAATGAGTTTCTATCAAGGTGGAGAATTTTATGTGAAAACATGGAATATTACCAGCGAGAAAATTTGTGTTTTATTTAGTATCTTTGAGGGATTCTATTCATTGGAAAACTTTTTTAGTTTAATTAAAGAGATTTTTCTTATCTATAATTTTCAGGATGACACTTTTTCCAATCAAAATTTTAACTATTTAGCGTCTCCCAATTCCATTCAATTATCAAGACCTTTGATGAATGAATATGAAAACATCAAGATATCTAGTCAGGTAATTATCAAACTTGATTCAGAACAATTTTATGTTATATTGAAAATTTTAGATAATTATAAAAGTGTGATAAATTACTATTCAGATAACAGTATTTCATCTAAGCTGGCTAATGTTCCAAAAGTGAAAAATCCAACACTCAATTTTGTTGACTTATTCAGATTTTTTATTGATGGATATTACAACTATACATTTAATAGTCAAAATTACGCTCCTGACTATAATTTTCTTTATTTATTGAAACGATTTTCGAAAAAATTATCTGATTTTGTTGAGGAATTTTCATCGATATCTGAAATGCTCTCACCAAAAGAATTAAAAGAAGTGCTCAAAAACAGAAATGAGGATAACAAAAGCTATTATTTATCAGATGAAAATCATTTTGGTCTTGTCAGTGAATTGCTAAAAAAATTAGATGAGCTAATTTCTTATGAAATAAACATGAGCAGACAGCCGGTTAAATCTTTAATTGATTCCTTTACTTTAAATGACAATGTCAATAATTTTGGTATTGACACAAGAACTTTATTTTCGGATAATTTCAATAATTTCGATTATAATATTCGTAATATTTTTATGATGGTTTTTAATAGTCCTGAAAGTATAATAATATCCAAAACAGATACAGAAAGTTGGAAAAATTTTAATAGCAATTCAAAGAATTTTAAAGATTTGACAAATTTACTTAAATTAGTGAAAAAATTAAAAGCTGAATTTTTCTACAATTCTATCAGCAATTTTATTAATTCATTGATATCAAACTCGTTACTAAGTGAAAGTGATAAGGAGAAAGAAAAATATATCAAATATCTAAATATATTGTTATGTTTTGTTTTAAATAACTTTATTTCATTGAAAGAGCTTATAAGACTAATGTTTAAATTATATTTGAAAAAAACAAATGAGAAATTTGCTTTTGATAATCAAACCTGCCGAATAAAAGAAACAAGTTTTTCGTTTATTTTGGATTTGGTTTTTAATGACTATGAAGATTATGTTATGTTAATTCAGAACAGACATCAATTGAATTATTCTCGAAATGAATTATTTAAGGTTGATCCATTTTTAAATATTAATTTAGGATTAATTTTTCTTAAAAAATTGCCTGAAAATAATTTTGGATATCACACAAATGGATTTCACAATAATAAATTTTGTTTAGTTATAGAAAACATTAAAAATGGAGAGATGAAGAATCACAAATCAAAGATTTTAAAATTATTATTAGAATCGCTAACTTTTAATACTTTTGAAACTATAAATTACTTGATTAGAAACACAATAATTGATACCAAAATTATCATATCACTATTTATTCAGGTATTATTTTATCCTTATAGACTGTTTGGGATTTTTGATTTTTATAGTTTGAAAAATCACGAAGATACTGAAACGGATTATTTGACCATTGACTCGAAAAATGTATTGATTATTATATTTATTTTAGATGAATTTAATATAGTGATTTGTCAAGCTATAATCTGTCTTTTATTGAGTCAAGAAGAAAATAACAATAGAAAAATAATAAAGGAAATCATTTATAAAGTTTTGATAGGCTGTGTTTTAAATAATATTGTTGAAAATAAGGTAAAATTAAAAGTATTGGAAAACATTTTTAATTATTTAAATGATATCTTGAAAAAAGAAATATTAAATGTGTTTTATGAAATTTTTTTGACTAGTTCAACTCCTTTTCAAATGAGGTTAAATTTTAATGAATATAGTAATTATAATAATAATGATAATGATAGTCAGAGCCCTGAAATTTTAAATAAATACAGAATAAAAAAATTCAACAATTTAGCACCTTACATTTCTTACTTTTTAAATTCAGGTTTAACTATTTTTTCTAATGAAAAAAATATTGAAGAAAAATATAATGAAACTTTGGATTGTGATAATTTAACCTATTTAAAGAAATCAAAAGAAGATTTCTATTATTTGAACGACGAAAATACCATTAATTTAATTAATAACGGATTTCAGAACATGATTATAAGCTATCAGAAATCTAAAGATAAGATTACCAAAAACGAAGTTTTAGTCGGGTATACAATTTTTTTGAAAATTATTGAGTTAAACAAAAATTTGTTTATTCTGAACTTGGTTTCCACTAATGACAAAATTAAAAACAAGTATAGAAAAATTATAATTGCCTTTCAAAAGATTTTAAAAATTGATTTGTTCAAAACATATTCTAAGATAAACGAGCTAATCAATGACATAATTTGCCAAATCAAAACTGGGGTTGAAAACTATGCAAAAGAAAAGAATATTGAAGTTGATGGAGACACTAAAAGTTTATTGAATACAGGCAAGAGACAAAATCAAACCCGAAATGACATCAACAACGTTAAAGATGAAAAAGAAGTTAGCAATGACAATAATGTTTGTGAGAGTGGATACAATAGTGAGTTGGAAGATCATAGCACGGTTTCTTCAAGATTTCTTGAGGCAAGCAAGTTGACTAATGGCATTGATAACACAAAATTCCTAAATGAAAGTCTGATTTATCATAATAAAGTGTACTTTGAAAATTGTATCAAAAACGATTTTAGTGAAATCGAGCAGTATTTCAGCTCCAAAGAACTCGAGGTCAATGAGATCCACGACAAAGAGTGGTTTTTATTTGATAAAATCAACAAGAAATACCTCAATTTGAGCATAAAACCATTCGATCTACTAGAAGAGGCCAATAAAGATGCCACTCTCAACGATGGGGCAATCAACCTTCAGCTATTTGATGCCACAATAGAAAAGGAAAATCCCCTCTAGACACAACAGGCAGGGGATCGCCAATATACTATTCTGCACACTATCCTATACATTTTTCTATACATAGCATTGTAATATTTTCGCATTGTATCATAGCTTCCTTTTTGATAGCAACCATTTTTATCAATACAATTCTCATCAAAGCACTACAAAAACGCCTTTTGAGGTTATACCTCTTTGATTTCCGACAATATATCCGGGAGAGCTCGTGACCGTAGTCAGTTCCGACTTGCACATAGCATATATTCTCTGGGGTTTTTTCTGCTTCTGCTGTTTTTGCTGAAAGTTGCCAGTAGTTGATAGCTGCCAATGTTTGGAACTCCTAAAGATGGGGGCATCCATAAAAAAAGACCTGCAAAGAAGCCCATAGATCCAGGTTTGAAGACCAGCAAAGGCAGAGCAAAGATCTTTGATTTTTCTGCTCCACGAAATAGTTGTGTGTTTCAGAGAATCAAGAGAAAGAACTTTTATCGACCAGAATTATTTTACTCCTCTCCTTTTTACAAAAAAATTGTCCCTTTATTTTTGAAAGACTTGAAAAATTCGGTTTCAATACTAGATGTTTATGGCAATGTCGGATTGAAGTGGCACAACAACAACTATGTCTTGGTCAACAACTATCCAATTCAAAATGTGGAGATTTTTGCTCAAGTGGTTGACATACAATTTAGGGATCTCAAGTCGAAATACTCCAAATTTAATGATAACAAAACTAGTAATAACAGCTATACAGTTGATAATTTGTATTTCATAGACATTGATGATTCAAGTGGTTGTAATAATTTGACGACCTGCACCATGAAAGAGTCCCTGTATGTTAGCTCAATTTTGGAGAATAAAAGTGAAATATTTAGAAATTGCAAAAGTCCAGCAAATCCAAATTCATCGTACTTATTGATAGGCAATTACATTAAAATTCATGGAAATGTGAATAATAAATTCAGAAAGAAAAACAGAGCCATTGAAATTTCTATTCAGAAATTTTTTTTATTTTCAAAAAGTTTGAATGATAAATCCCATTCAAAAGTTGAAATTTCCTTAGAAAAAGAGCTAAAATTTTGGGCTAAGACATTAAATGTCAGAGATTCAATATTATCCCAACCTTGGGATGTTAATAAAAAATATAATTTAAATTGTTTAATCGATAATGATGATGTTCCAAGTAACACAACCGAAAATTTAAATTCAAAAAATATTAATCAATGTCAATATAAAGATGATAGCAGCAATAGGAGCAGTGAGAGTGAAGATGATGATATCGTATTTATAGGTCAAAATGAAATAAATACAGATCAACATATAAATCAAATTTTTCAAGATAAAAATTACATACTAGATTATTCTGATTTTTTAGACATAATATCTCTACCAAATACTTATTTACATTCCTCCTTACTTTCTTCTAAAAATTTAATTTCTGTATTACTTTTAAACAATGACTCAATTATTAATATTACTAATTATCAGTATGAAGTTCTTAAATATTTAATTATTATTATTACGAATTTATCACTGGAAAAAATGCAAAATAAAAAAACTAATATGGGATATGATATTTGTACAAATAATAAAAATATGCAAGAAAATCATACTAACAATCAATTGATATTTCTAGAGGATGCTTATGGTGATATGGTCCTTTCAAATTTTTTGGATTTGCTAACTTTAAGATTAAATTTAAAGGCATTTCTAAGTCCCTCAAATGATTTAATGTTAAATTCTAGTTTGTTTGATGACACTATGTTTTTAGATTTAAAGGGCGATTTATTCAATAAATATTTGGAATTTTTTGTGAATAATAAACTTATCAGTTTTTCAAAAATTAGGATTAATTTAAATGAAAAACCAATAATACGTTATGAAAATTTATTACATATATATAACAAATTATTATTGTGGCTAAAACAAGTATTAAAATTAAATTATTCGATCTACTTTAAAAAATTTAAATCTTTAATACTAAAGTCAGATGAATCTATACCAATTCCAAAGTTAATTGAAACCTTCAAGTTAAAATATAAAGATTTTAATAAAAAGATTTTTACAACTGAAGATAATAATTTATTTAAAATACGTTTATTTTTGGAATATATTGAAACGACCTTATTTATTAATATTAAAAGCACTGATTTAGGTATTATAATTCAAAAATTAACAAAATGGGTGATTTTTCAGAGAACAGAGTTAAAAAAACTTGAAAAAAACTTGATTTATGATTTTATTATTTATTTGAGCGATAATCAAAGTATTTGCTCAAGAAACAAAAGTTTCAAATTAATAAAATTTGAAGAAAAATTGGAAATGTTTAAATTGTTGACTTGGACTTTTGATAAAAGAGAATTGCATTGGAGTTTATGTACTAAAGGGTAAGATTTAGAGTTACTATGTTGAGATTTTATTATTTTTGATCTTAAAGAAAATATGTCTATTAATCAAAACAAAGAAAAAAAGAAAAAAAAGAAAAAAGAAAAAAGAAAAAACAAATAAAATAAATAAATAAATAAATAAAAAAGCTTTAAATGTTTGTTTAAAAGAATCCTATGCTTCCCGGAGTAGTATAGTGATTAAGCAAATTATGATTTATATCACTTCCTTTGATTGTTTGTTTTTCTTCTAAAGTATTAATTGTTGATTGTCTTGTCGACGGTTTTGATTGTTCAGTATTCAAATATATATTTTTTGAGTCATCATGAGATGAAGGGTTTGATTTAATATTTTTATTTGAATTTTGGTTCTGGTTCTGGTTTTGCTGCAACATTTCTGAATTGTTTTCTGTGTTTATTTTTTGATGAACACAATTTCCTAACATATTCATATGACCACAAGAGGAACATATATTATTTGAATTAATTTCAATCATGGTAGGTTTTGCTGGATTTTGAATTGTGTTTTTTGGTGTTGAATTTGCGTTAATGTTTGGGTTTTGTGCATATGTTTTTCCATACGAAGTAATTGAATTTGGATATATATGAGGTTTTACGAAATGGTTTAAATTAACTTTTGGGTCGCTACCTGCGATAACATTATAAAATCCATTTTCAGATACAATTAGATTATTGTTGTGATGGCCATTATGGTTGCTATTATGATTGTTAGTAATCTGAGTGCTATTACTGTTATTACGATTAGCGTTATTGTATAAATTTGAATTGTTGGATAGGGGTGTTCTAAGATCGTTGTTCAAGTTGTATCTTGAGTTTGAGATGGGGCTTAAATTCATTATGTATTTCTTATTTGATGTTGATAAACCGCTTGAGGAGATATCAGACTGGCTGGAACTCATAAAATATTCAGCAATCTTGAGGTATTTGTAAGAAGCACTTTTGAAAGACAAAATATATTCTATGAAAGAAGATTTTAGCCCGGTATTTATTGATCTAATATATTGATCATCGACAATTTCCATTGAACATTCCAGTTCTTCCAAAGCTTCTTTTTGCAAAGAAATTTTCTGAGATTGACCAACTTTACTTTCTTCAGCTCTTAATTTTGATAAAGATCTATTTCTCTTTAATTTCAAGTTGTTGCTTTTCTGTTCTCTTTTTTGAACATTGATGAATTGTAACCTTAAATTTTCTTGCTTTTGAATTAGTTCTTCATTCAATTCTCTTTGAATATCCAAGCATTTTGAGAATTCAATTAATAGTTTTTTGCTCGTTTCATTTGGAATAATTGCAGACCAAGAGTTTAGTTCATTGATGAATTCGATTTGATTTTTAACTGATTTTTTCTCGTATTTAACAATTTTCTTTAATCTATTATGCAAATTATGAGAGGAGGATTGAACTGGCGAACCACCCATTCTATTCATAACTTTAGAAATGGGGCTATAAATTGAGAAAGCTGATAAAGTTGAATTTGGAGTTGAAATCGAATAGTATTTTGTGCTGCCACTATTGGTATTGGGGTTCGTATTGGAACTGGTATTAGAATCGCTATTTGTATTATTTATATAGTTCAGATTATTCTCTATGTTTGAAAGTTTGTTTTGATCGTTGATGGTGGCATTAGAACTGCAGCAAGTTGACATTTCAGTTAGCAAAGCCCAATGAATTATTCAATATTCTTGCAATTGATAACCCTGGTGGAAAAAATTTCACCACTGCTGTCTTTGACCAGAAGAGCATTTGAGAGGAAAACCCATCCTGAACCAAAAAAATGATCAAACAAAACAATATAACTTCTTCGGACACAAAAAGTCCAGTGACCAGTGCTGTGGGTGCAGAAAATGGAAAGCGCCATAGAGCTGGAGTTTTCCTCGGCTTTTGTGTTTCAAACCAAGAAATTCCCAATTGGGAAACAATATAAAACAATCAGTGCACAGGAAGAGGTATATCAAGACTGTTTTCGTGACTTGCTCTTTTACAAATTTTGCAGTTGTTTAGTTTCAACGCTGAATTCAACTGCTAGACATGGCTTCCAATTTTTTAATTTACCAGGATGAGAGAGCATTGACTCAAAGAAAACAAGCAGAAACTAATATCAAAAGCGTTAGGAATAAAAGTGCCAACAATATCGATCAGAATAAAAAGGTATTAGTTCCAAATTATGCCTTGCCAACAATCGCATCCAAAAGATATGTATCAAGCATTGAGAAAAGTAAAAGCACCAGCTCCACTTTCAAAATACCCCAAACCAATGGTCTTCCAAAACGAAAATCCTACTATAACTACAGTAGTCGATCGAAGTCAAACACAATCCATCATAATAGAACGAATCCGACCCTTCTAAACAGTAACCAAACCAACAATAAAAGCTATACTCTCAACAATTCAAAATTGGCAGCAACTCCGGGTAAAGAAGCTCCTTCTTTCACAAAACTATTTGATTTATCACCAAAACGATTTGATCATGTTCAAAAACATAATATAACTGTTTCAACTAATTCTAACCCAATTAAAGTCCGAAATCCATTCAAGGAAGAAAGTTCAGAAAATTCTTTGTTAAATGCAAAATCTTCATTCAATGATACTTTGAAAATTAAAAACTTTTCTTCGATAAATGATTTAAAAAATCTTGATTTGAGAAATTATGATCATTTAACTGATGACAAAGAAAATTTAAATGCTGGTTCTTTATTAAATACGAGTGGAGAGTATATTCCTAATCCAACCTTGAGGTGTTTATCCCCTCAAAAATTAAAAGCCAGGGTTTCTCCATTAAAGGAAACAGTAACTCAATATGAGAAGATTTCTTCAGCAAATTTAGCAACCAAAACCAATGCCGATGATTTGAATAGCAGTCGTTATCAAAAGATATCAAACAGTATGAAATCATTAAAGGGAATTTACGAGAATCTAGTTGAGTTTGCTGCCCCTATTGATTCAACTAATTCATTTATTTCCAATTTTAATTCTGGTTTCTCATCATTCGATTATACTCATGAATATAACACACCTTATTATTTTTCTCCAAATTATCTAAGAAATTATGCAAAAGATAAAGAAAACCTTTCGAAATACGAATGGGAAAATTTTGTGAACAGTTACTCGAACATGTTTGATACATTGATGAATCGGATCAAATGTTTTCAATTTGACTTGGATAATTTGCTTTATAAAATAGATGAAAACACAAACAAGGAAATGGTTGTATTAACGCAGCTTATGGGAATTGTGAATAAAATTGAAAATGCAAACCTAAAAAATGAATTGGAAAACAAGATGGGATTATTATCAGCAATTATCAATAACAGTGATAAAATACAAAGTTATCCAATGGAATCTGTTTCTTCTATTGACTCTTATTTCAACAATAGTTCAAACGATGCATTATTTGGTAGTTCACTTGGCGATAATTTTACGCTCAACAAGATGAAATACCTCAACAGTGCTTTCGACGCCGATACTGCTGGAAGCATCAGCAAGAATAGCATGAGCAAAGCAAAGAAAGATGGCATTGAGAGCTGTATGGCTGCAAATTGTTTACCAAAAGCTAGGACTGAGCAGCAATTTCTCTCGCCATTGACCGATTTTTCCAATATTTTTTATTCTCCCACATTTGACGAAGAAAAGAACGTTGAAACAAATGAAACTTACGGATCAAGTATCAGTGAAACTAATTCCATTGAGAATTCATGTCTGGCCAGTATTAACTTAAAGTATAATCCGATAGGTGATTATGAGGCTTCTTTTGTTTCTGGGAATAAGTCAGATAAAGAAAATATCAACCTAGAAGAGAATATTAACCAAGATGAAATTTCAACGGATCATGGTATTAAATATGAAGATGTAAAGAATAAAGAGCTTGACCCTGTTGTAATAAAAGCTGCTTTGGCAGTAAAAGAGAATTAAATTTAAAAGTAAAAGTAATATGATTTATCATGATGAAAAATGCAATTTAAATAATATAGTATAAATGATCTTAGAAATAATTCTATATATGCTTTTTTTTTGTGTGTGTTTTAAATAATAAAAAGTAATAAAAAATAAAAAATAAAAAATAATAAAAGAATAAAAGAATAAAAGAATAAAAAATAAAGATGAAACAAAATGTTTTTTTTTCAAAGTAATTTTTTTCAAATAGGTAATTAAAAAAATAAAATATTCACAGGATATGAATCAAATGAGTAAATGGCTAGACAATAAAATAAAATAACAGAATAATAGAATAATGAGACAATGAAATAATGATTTTTAAGCCAATTTGTAATGTTACTGTCAGTTTTTATGAGGGGATTTTTTTTATTTTTATTTTTATTTTTATAATATTATGAGGATACTTTACCATCATTTACGAGCACTTGATAATCAATGATTGAATCGGGATTATTTTCAGCTCTTTTCCAAGAAGTTATTTTTTTTTTGTTTTTATCTAGAGAGAATAATCTGACTTTTCTGGAGAAGGCTATTTGGGGGTTTCCATAACCGCCTTCACCAGCAGCGGCGTTATAGCAAAGCCAGATATCGTCGTCGTGTGGAAGAGAGCTTAGAATACAGCAGTCATTTGTGTGCTTGTGGCCGACGCTAACAATATTGACGAATTGTCCTAGGATTTTTCTGGTTTCTGGGGAAGTTTCAGTGATTAGTTTTTCCTTTTGGTTATATTGGCCTACGACAGAGAAGGGGCCCTTTGGTCTATATTCTGGGATTGGGTAGTGGAAAAAAGCCAAAGAGAAGGGAGAATCGATATTTTTGTAGTTTTTATTGATTTTATTGTTGTTATCGTGTAGGATTTTGATGTAGTCATTTTGGAGGTGATTGATTTTGTTTTGGTAGGAGTCTAGGATGTAAATCTGGGCGTCGCCATTGGATATATCAAGGAGATAGTTTGATAGACTGCCATCTAGGTTGATCGATTTTTTTGTTAGAGAGAAAGGTAGATTTGAGATGTAGTTGAGGATTATTTCTTTGTTTGTAGAAGAGATGATGTCGTTTGAACCAAAGGTGAAGGCAAAGGGGATTTGGTTTGATATTGGGATGGAAAAGACTTTTAGGATGGTTGCTTCGAAGTCGATTTCGTTGATGTTTTGGAAGATGTCGCCGGTGTAGACGATGAGGTTGGGGGATTCCTTTTTGACGATTTGGTTCAAGAAGGAGAGGGTTCTTTGGTCAGCTTTGCAGGAGTTTAGCTGGAAGTTTGATAGTGGAGGATAGGAATCGATGCAGCGGCCGAAGTCTGAGGAGAAATGAAGATCAGATAATTGTAGGATTTTGAATTTGTTCCAGGAACTGAAGTTTAGGATGGGTTTTTGGGATAGAGAGGATAGGTAGTCGATTCTGCTGTTGGAGGCTCGATAGATGGATAAGTTTATGGGAAAGTCGTTGTCGTTGTTGTTGGAGGGGATATATAGTTTATTTTTAATTTTGAACCAGCCGTAGTTTGATCTTGGTTCGATGAAGTCGTTGCCGTAGAAGAATTGAATTGAGTTGATTGCGTTTCTGAGATTGAGGTTGTTGAAATTATGTTTCTTTTTTTGGATGATTTTGACCCAGATGTTGTTATTTTTGTAGACCCATGGGGAGTAATCGATTGAGACTTCGGTTCTTGATTTGGACTTTAAATTCAGGTTTGAGAGAGAGTTGATGTATTTGAATAGCTGTGGCGGCAAATTGTGGGTAGAAGAGAAGGAAGAGGAAGAGGAAGAATAGGAAGAGTGAGGTTGAGATGCAAAGGAGAGGTAGTTTGATTTTATGGAGTTGTCGACGAAGATGTCGAGAATAATGTTGATGTTGTCGTAGTCAGTAATTGAGTCGATATGGGCGATGGGAATTTTTTTGACAAATAGGTATTTGTTGTTAACAGAGAAAAGAGAATTTGGCACAACGCCATTGAGGTTGTAGTCTGAATATTTGGTTAGAATCTGCCACTTGTAGGCGTTGGAGAAGGTGTAGGCGTCAAGAGAATGAAGGGTGGTGGGGTCGTGGGAGATGTCTCTGCCGGCGATGGTGTCTCTGATGGTGGTGGAGAAGTAGTAGAAGTACTTGAGAAGGTGGTTGTTGAGATAGAAGTGGAGGAGGGCGAGATGGTTGAGGACAAGAAGGGGACAAAGCTGGCAGTGGAAGAGGAAGAAGCAATTTGCCACCGAAACGTCGGCTAGGTAGAAGTCGTTGAGGGAAGAGAGGTCGTTGAGGAGCGAGGCGTACTTTGCAAGCTGGGCCTGGGAAGCAGCGGCAGCAGGAGCAGCTCTGTGGCTGAAGCATGCGAGCAAGAGGAGGAGGAGCACCACGAGCGCGAACGACGACGAAAGCACCTTCCGGAGGCGATAGCGGTACGTGTGGTAGTACGGAAAAAACCTCATGCTGTGCTGCCGGTGCTGTCTCTGCTGCCAACAGCCCTGCTGCTCTTCTCCCACCCAAATCCCACGGGCCTGGGGCGCGTGCGCATGCGCGGTCACACAGGTTCCGCCGCGCTGGCTGCCGGCCTGACTCGGCGCGGCGCGCGGCGTGCTGCCCGCACATGCGTGTGCTCACGTGTGCGGTGTTTTCTGGAATTTCACACCACCAGAAGAATATATATAAGCTGCATTCCCTGGTGCTTTTCTTTTCCTCTCCAGGTTTGCACCCATCGCTATATCTATCTCGTTATATTCCTATACTTCACAAGAACACTGGTGTTGTGTAACAATCCCAACTTTTGACATTCCTTTACCATCTTCTCCATCTCTTGCCTGTTGTTCTCGCTCTTTAGTTTATCCAGCAGCAAACCCACCATCTCACTGTTAATTTTCCACATTTTTCAATCATAGTCATAGCCTTACCCAGAACCATTACTATCATCATTATTCTGTTATATTATATTTTATTATAATCACTCCTTTAATACCTTTCAATCCACACACCATCCACTCTCGCCACTCTAATTCTCTCCAACTCACCCTAATCCACTTTCAATTGCAATATTTCAAAAATCTTTCATTCGTCATCCAAGCATACTTTCATCTTGAAATTGCATTAATACCATATCCCAATTCATCTCATTTCAGCCATGAAACACTCCACCATTCTCTCCTTAATCTCCTTAGTATCCTCCTCCTTAGCTGCTCCAGCTTACTTGGACCACTCCCACCACATCCACCGTCGTGATGCCGGTCCAGTTGTTGTTCATGTCACCGAGACAGCTATAGTCTATGTCGATTCAAAAGGCAACATTATCACCTCCACTGAAACTCAAACTGCCACAGAAGCTGAATCTGACACAACCGATTATGGATTCAACAACGTCCAAACATCTTCCACCTCTAGAACCACTTATTCCTATTCTACTTCTGCTTCCTCTGTAGAAGACTCCAAACCTTCCACCTCCACTCTTTCAACCGCATACTCTTCCACCTCTTCTACTACCTCCTACTCTGCTCCATCTACAGCATCATCCTACTCTTCCTCCTCCTCTTCCAAATCTTCAACCTCTGCAAAAGCTTCTTCTACCTCCTCCTCTTCCGATGGTTTAACCTCCGGCATTGATGGTGACTTGTCTGCCTTCTCAGGTCCTTCCTCCAAGTTTGTTGATGGCACCATCAAATGTTCTGAATTTCCTTCTGGTCAAGGTGTCGTTGCAATTCCATGGGTTGGTCTAAGTGGTTGGACAACCATCATGAACATGGATGGCGAAACCTCTTTCTCCTGTGAAGATGGCTTTTACTGCTCCTACGCCTGTCAACCTGGTATGTCAAAGACCCAATGGCCCTCTGAACAACCTTCCAATGGTATTTCCGTTGGTGGTCTATACTGCGACAACGGCTACTTGAAGAGATCAAACCAAGACTCTGACTACTTGTGTGAATGGGGCCACGACTCCTCTTATGCCGTCAACAAACTAGACAAGGTCGTCTCCCTTTGCAGAACTGACTATCCAGGATCAGAAAACATGAACATTCCAACTCAACTAGGTGCTGGTCAATCCAAACCAATCTCCGTCGTTGATTCTGACACCTACTACACCTGGAAAGGTGGAAAGACTTCAACCCAATACTACGTCAACAACGCCGGTGTCAACGCTGAGAATGGCTGCATTTGGGGTACTAGTGCTGGCGATGTTGGTAATTGGGGTCCTCTCGTTCTCGGCGCAGGCTACACAAATGGTGTTACCTATCTCTCTCTTATCCCCAATCCAAACAACCTCGTTGCTCCAAACTACAGTGTTGAAATCTCTGCCTCTGGTGACTCAACTGTTGTCGGCGAGTGTTCTTACGTAGATGGTGTCTATGTCGGTAGTTCCACTGATGGTTGTACCCTCTCAGTTACAAAAGGCTCTGCAAACTTTGTTTTCTACTAATCATTCAATCAATCATTTTATTATTATTATTATTATTATTATTAATTTTCATATCAATCATATTAATTTTAAAATTATCAAGATCTCTTAGTTCATTTATTTGTTTGTTTATTTGTTTGTTTTTCCTTTTGTTATCTTCACATCACACTATCTGCGCTGTCACTGTCTACGCTGTCTACACTATCTACGGTTTATTGTTTCTTCAAATTTAAATTCAAAAAAAAAAAAAAATAGAAAAAGAATTTCTTGTTTTACCTTTTTTTTATTCTTCATTATTAATACAATTAATAAAATTATTGAAATTTACTAAATTTTACTAAGTTTGCTGAAATCTTGGAATTGCTTGGTTATTTTTGAAGAATTGAAAAAAAATGAAAAAAATGAAAACTTTAAAATTGAAAATTTACTAAAAAAAATTATCAATCGAAATCCTCTTCTTTTTCTTTTTTTCTTGGTTTTTCCTTTGTTTTTATTCCATTTTTATTCTTTTTCTTGTGTTCTTTTGTTGTCTTTCGTTTGTTAGGCTTTTGTTTTATGTTACTATAATATAATATAATGTAATATAATTCAAAACTTATAAACTGATTTGTTTTTTTCATTTTATTTCTACTTTCTTGTTGGTCCTTCTTCAAAGTTCTGTTTTTGTTTGTGTCTGTGTCTGTGTCTGTGTTTGTGTTTTTGTTTTTTTTGTTTATTAATTATTCTTTTAATTACAACTACTATCACCATTACTATTACTATTACTATTACAATTTTATAAATTTTGTTTTGTTTCGTTTTCTCCTTTATTCAAAATTATCAACTTTTCAATGGATTTTGGTAAATCAGGAATTTGTTTTATAGCTAATTTACTAATTTATTTATTTTTTATCTAAATTTCATTTATTTTTTATTATCTATTATATATAAGAAAAAAAAAAGCAATACATATAAAATATTGATCTAATCTTAATTCTATCATATCAATATCAATATCAATATCAGTATCATTTCCTTTTTAAGAAGAAAATAACAAATCCTACTCAACCACTCAATTGACTCTTGTTTCCTTCTCAGTTCCCCTATTTCAAACCACATAAATTACGTTGGTCCATTTTCTTTTGCTCTTTTTTTATTCACTTACTCATTACTTGACTCGATTCCAGCTGCAAAAAGTAGAAAAATCACCGTACTGTTCATGTTGGTACAAATTTATCACCAATTGTATTCACAAATGGTTTTATCGTCTATCGAGTCTATAATATGACATGATATGGTGTAAAGTGAAGATAATCTGATGAAATTAAAGATAATCTGATGAAATTGAACATAATCTGACGAATAATCCGATTTTGTATTAATGATATAAACTGTCATGAATTCCATCAATGCTTGCAACCAAACACCTTCTATTTGACCATTTTGAGAAAAAATTCTCTCGAATGGATATGGTTTGTTAGCAAAAATGATTTTAAACAGCGATTTCAAACATTAAACAAAAAACCATACAGCCATAGTAAACCCAGAACAAACAAAAAAAAGAGGAAAACAGCGAAAAAAATACAGTAAAAAGCAGTGAAAAAAAGTGGAAAAAACAAAAAAAGAACTCAAGTTTTGTTCATCGTAAATCGAAATCGCTCTTTTTTTTGCTTTTACTCTTCAGAATTACCTCCAGAAATGGGACTGTCATTCTCAGCCTACAAGCAAATAGTACTTGCTGCACGTGTCAAACCGTTAAATTAGGCCTTTGAGTTTTTCTGCTGAACAGAATATTCAGCAAAAAGCTTTTTCATTTAGTCTGTAAAAATTCTTGAAAACTGAGAAAATTCAAATCAAATTCAAAAAATTTCCTTGTTTTTAGGAATTCTAGAGACTCGTGTCTCTGAATGTAGAAAATTGCAAAGTTTTTGGTATTGTTGACCACATGAAATCAGCAAAATCAGATTGAGTGGAAGCTTTTCAAGATATCGTAGAGATATGAAAAGATTTCATCTGTAGAGAATGAAAAACAAACAGACAAAGTGAGACAACAGGTGGAAAATTTGTCCCACTAGATCACGACTTTCCCAGCTTTCCCAGCTCTCATTGCTCTGTCGAGACTCGCAACCATTGTATCATTTTATACCCATTTCCACCTCTTCTGAATGTCTCTTGAATGTGCTCTGAATGTCTTCGCTTGTGGGCTGGATCTGGGCTTGTGCGTTCGGTCTAGATCTGGTGAGTGAGCTTGGATGCTATTTAGAGTTGCTATTTCCGCGAAGTTGTGAAGTTCCATCTTCGACGCTTGAACTTCACACAACTGGCCACTGGGAGATAATTTCTGCATTTGCTTTCGGTCCGTGATGTGATTTACAGCCTGTTGATAAGTCAATGCAAGGATTGTGTGGGATTCGGGCCCCAAAGTACCTTTCCCACACTTTCCACACACAGAGTTCTATGCTTGAAATGCTCAAGTGACCCGTTCCAGTTAATACAGGTGCGCAGTGAGGATTGTATCAATAAAACCGTTGAACAACTGTTTGCAACTGGTCTGTCGATGTACAGAAAACAGTTTTTTTTAACTAACATTGTAACATATAAGGTAGCTAGGTTGAAGTCATAAATAGTGCTTCATAAGTATTAATACTGGATGTAACTCATCAACTTAGTAAATAGGCTGCAATTTAAAAATCAAAAGAACACCAGCAATTTCTAGTGCTACCTGTTTTTCTAAAGAGGTAAACAAACACTAGCTGAGCAGCTAAACATTTTTTTCGATTATAGTTGGGGCTACTAAGCTTAAAAAGAACCTGAGATATCAAATTGAGGAAACAGGAAAATGGAAATAAAATTAGAGATATGTATTTATCGTTTGAACAAGTTTCTGTTATTTACAATTAATGTTTTAAAATGAATAAAATAATAATTATGGTTTTTTCATACTCTATATAAATAATATGATCAAGGGTTGATATTACAAGAAAACTAATTGGCTGGGGGTGAGCAATGACTGACTCAATTAATAATATGGATTCAATATTGGTTCTAATCACCTCCAACCATCGATTTTTAAAACGTCGAATTGAAGATAGTATGACAGCAAATCATCAAGGCCAGAAGAACTGACTCTACCAGCGATATCATGATCTTTGCCTAATTTAAGACAAATCAGATAGAAAAACACATACAGGACGTAAAACTTAATGGGTGAGCACTCACAAAATCTCAACATCATATTAATTAAAGCTAAGTCGCACGGAGTGTTAGCAGCAGGTGATCACCTTATTTTGGTGCAAGTTTACAAGTTGTGCCACCGAAGATAGCATGCCTTTTTGTGGTCGTGCACCGTAGAGCTCGCCTCCAGCAGCAGCCGCTTGGGGTGCTTCTCCTTCCTCTCCTTCTTGTGCTTCCTGTGCTTCTCGCCGACCTCCGGGCCCAGACCCTGCTGCAACACACGGCAGAGATGCGTCCGCATGCCGATCTAGGCACGCTCACCGCGCCTGAGCGCGCTTTTAGACCCGTTGACTATGTTTTCCAGCTGCCTGGGAGCATTTCGAGCTGCCTTGCTCACCTCCAAAGTGTAAATATAGTTGAAATGAGAGGACTATAAGCAGCAATATATTGCAAGAAAACACTAGAAATCTCATTATATCTTGCCAGAATTAGCTGAATTTCAAGAGCACTCAGATTGAATTCTAGAAATCCCTTTCAGCACGTCTTTTTTCCTTGGTTTTTCACCTATAGACATTAACCTTACGATTTTCACCAACTATTCCACCTTCTTTTTGATTTATATCACCAAATACTGCACTAAATAATTCCCTAGCTTCCACCAGCGTTGATTAAGATTTCACTCATAGTTATTAGACTTTTTAATAACTAATAATTATTATTTTGCAGATTAGATTTTAAACAGTAAAATAATATTGAGTAATAATTTATTGTTTTAAGACTTTTATAACCACTGTTAACTGTCATTTTTTTCTTACTATTGCTATTATTGCAATCTTGAATTCTACCAATTTGATTGATTTTATTATCCTTGATTATCAATTTTCAATTCTCTGCTTTTACGCTTTTAACCTTTTCAAACCTGAATTTCCCAAATTCTTATATTTAAAGGAATAGCGTGCTCTTCAGGTGTTTTCTTTTTGTTATTTCAATTTCTTTTAATTTCTTTTAACTTACTCCAACTACTACCTAATTGTTAATTACTAACTGTTATTATCAATCTAATACTAAGATTAACATTAATATTACCAATACTCTATTGCTAATATTGGTGATACCACTACTAGTTAATAGTTAATAGTTAATCAACTAGTATCCTCAATATCCTCAATATCCTCAATACCTTCAGTATCCTTGATATCCTTAATATTCTCACTGTTTTCTCACTGCTCTCACTACTCTTAGTACCCTCAATTTAAAATTGCTTTTTTTAACCACCTATTAATTATCTGTTAAATTCCTAAAAGCAAAATTAATAAAAAAAAACTGGAAAAAAAAAACACATTTCACATTTATCAACTTATAATCAAAAATTCTCTCATTTTTTCACATCTCTTAATCACATACAAACAATGGTTGTAAGTACTAACAATCCACTTATTTAAACTCTCATCAATTTTTTATCAATTGCTACCTAATTTCATCAACTTCCGTTTATTATAAAACAAATTACTAACTCACTCTTAGGATCCAAGTCAAATATTGAATATCCTAGTTTTGGGTGCTTCACAATCCGGAAAATCTTCTCTAATTTTACAATATGTCCACTCATTTTTCCCTGAAGAATATGACGCAAATATAGAAGATACATATACAAAGCGTATTGCAATCAAAAGTACTGCCATAGCAATCAATCTATTTGATGCTGCAGATACTGGAGAATACTCTGAAATGAGAAACCAGCGAATTGATAACGCTGATGGAATTATTCTAGTCTATTCGGTTTGCTCCAAAAATTCCTTGGATCGATTACACCAACTTTACGAAGATATCACTAGACATCGCGATTTTTTGCCTCCAATTGCAATTGCTGGTACTAAAATTGATCTTGAAGGTGAAAGAGAAATCGACGGAATCATTGGTGAAAAATTGTCCAAAGAAATCAACTCTTCATTCATGGAAGTTAGTGCAAAGGGCAATATTAACGTCAATGAATTTTTCACCGATTTTGCAATTAAAGTTTACGAAGATAAAATTAATAAAATAAACGTAAAGGAAAACGAGAAAAAGTTAAAACAACAACAATCTCAACCTCAATTGAAAATGAACCAGAATTTTTCAAATACAAATTCCTCGTATAATGAGCCAGATCATGATAATCCAAGAGAGAAAAACTATAACAATTTAGACAATCAAGAGGAGCCAAAGCTGGATAAAGGCGGTTGTTGTATTATTATGTAATTTTTGTTATTCTTTATTTTTTATTTTTTTTTTTTTTGATATTAAATTATCAATTGTTGTTTATCTGTTGATTAGTTTTTTGTTTACGTTTACATTTACGTTTATTTGATTTATTTCTCTGTCTGTTTCTCACTTGATCTCTACGTTATTTTACTTTACGTTATTTTATTTTTCCCTATTTTACTCTTTTATCGCTTGGTTTTCCCTTCTCTTCCCTTCTGTTTTTTCCTTATCTTTTGTTCAAAGGAGCCTTAATGAATATTACGCTATAATCCAAGCCTTTTTGACCGGATATTTGCTCGGAAATATAGACCGGATGTTTATGTCCCGAGCTGTCACCGGGATAAGGTTTGAATCCAAACCACCGCTGTGGATCTCCTTCAGCGTGCATATAACCACACTCCAAACCTTCTCTATTGAGCTTCTCGATCTAGCAATTTCTGGTTCTTCAAAACCCAACTCTTCTCTGGAGCATTACTGTTCTACAAAAGCAACATTTTCTTCCTATATCCTATATATATTCTTGACTGTGCTCTTTGCTTTTCTGGTTTCTTTTCCGGCATGACAATAGACACCTATCTAGACTTCACAATGAATACAGATCCACGAAACTCAGCAAGAATCGAACAAAACCCTTTGGACGAAATAGCCACCACTGCCTATGGGTTAGGTATCGTTTTTGGCATTGCATTAGCTTTGCTTCCCAGATTGTCCTCTTCCTCTATAACAATATATATAATGGCATTGTCCGGTTTCCATTTCCTCGAATATTGGTCCACAGCAAGATACAATTCGTCCAAGGTCAATAAAGACTGTATGTGTCCATAAAGCTTTCTTTCTTCAAGTAAAATACCATAATACTAACTTTAGGTTTTTACAGCTTTTTTACTTTATAATGGACATACTTATATATTGGCACATTTAAGTGCACTTGTGGAGTATTTCATAGAATTCTATTTTTTTAGAAGTTATAAAATTTCCAATTCTTTCAGATTGATTCAATACTTTGGTTTTTTTTTACTTTTAGTAGGTCAAATATTCAGAACAACTGCCATGGTAACTGCTGGAAAATCCTTTTCTCATATCATTGAAACTTCTCACAATCCTCAACATACTCTTGTCACTAATGGCATCTACTCAATTTCAAGACATCCAAGCTACACCGGTTTCTTTTGGTGGGCTATTGGTTCTCAACTTTTCTTATTAAATCCCTTATGTTTTTTTGGTTTTTTATATCTTCTCTGGACTTTTTTTTCTCAAAGAATAAGATATGAAGAATCTCTTCTAATCAGTTTTTTTAAAGCCGATTACCTTAACTACAAAGCCAAAACTAGCACTTTAATTCCTTTTATTAAATAATTTGAAATATAAAACAAATTTTGAAATTTTAAATACACATTTATTTTTATTTCAATTCCTTCCAAAGAAATTAAAATTAACTTTCTATTAAAAATGGAAAAAAAAAAAATTAAAAGAAAAAAAAAATCGTGAAAATTAAATGTAAAAATAAAATTCAATTGAAAAAAATAATACACTATAAAATAAAATAAAATAAAATAAAATAGAATAGAATCGTTAACAAAAATTCAGCCCATGATTTTTATTTTTTGTAAGGAGGTTCTTCCTCTTCTGATGAAACATCAATAATATCATTATATTGTCTTTTAGATGGATTTTGGGATTCCAATGGTTGATTCACTAATGGTTGCTTTGACAATGGTAAATAGTTACCGTTACTTTTATCATTATTTTCATCAACTTGATTAGATCTTTCAAAATTAATTGGATTCAATGTTATTTTCCCGTTAACGTTGTTATTAACCTTATCAGTACCATTGTTATTAGTATTATTTTCTTTGTTTGTATCCAATAAAAATACAGAATTTAGTAAATTGGGATTTAACGAAATCCCAAGCATACCTGTATTTTTATTTAAACTTCTATTGGTAACTAAATTCGGAAGAGCAGGCAAACTTGGTAGGGATGTTAGTTTTGGCTTAGAAGGTAGGATTGGTGGAGGTCCAAACCTTGAAGGAGAATACTGCTTCCCATTACTTTGAACTCTTTCTCCTGTTTCCAATATCAGCTGAGAAACAGTAGAATACCTGTCTTTTTCCAAGCTTGGAAGCACAATATTTGTTGAATTGTGAGAGCTATTTTCCGAGTTTTGTCCCGCTTCACGATCTTTCTTTTGTGGTAGAAGTAAATTTGGAAGGCATATATTAAGAATTGAAGAACGATAATTAGAAGTGTTTCTGGTTTCTGTATTGCTGTTACTCGTGAGCACAGAATTATTCCTGTCATCCTGATTCAAGTTTGAAAAATCTGAGGAGTTTCTATTTTGGTTAGAAGAAAATGAATTTTCCCTAGTTCTTGGTTGCAAAGTTGTCTTTTTCCAAAGAGAATCCAAATTTGGTAAATTAGCAAATCTTGTAACCTCGTTAGTAGTAGAGTTTGAAGAACTGGTTGTTCGATCATTTGAAGTAGCAAATCCACTTAACGTAGTCGGACTATTATTGAGCAGACTACTAATTGAAATTTCATTACTCTTATTATTTTTATTATTATTACCATTAATATTATTATTGTTATTATTATCATTATTATTGCCATTCGTATAAGTATTAGTATAATTGCTCACATAATTGGAATTATTATTATTATCATTGTTTCTATTATCATTGTTTCTATTATCATCTTTTCTATTATCAGTATTATGGTTATCTATATTTCCGTTTTTATTTATATTTGAATTATCTGTATTGGCATTTTGATAAGTCTTGGACTTATCGCCGCTATTCAGATTGTATAAGTCGCTCTGAGTAGAATATCCACTATTTCGATTGCTTTGATTATTTAAATTCGATGTAGATGATCCGTAATATTTATTGCTATCACGGTTAGAATAATTATTGTAATTATTAAAGCTGTTATAAGGATACCAATAAGAGGATGTATTTGTTCTTGGAGCAAATGTTTGAGATCTGGTATTTGATACCGGATGATTGGAGTTTGAATTATTGTATCGAGAAAAGTATGAAGGAGTTGATGTTCTTGTAGGAGAAATAGGATCATATATCAGTTGGGTATTTTTCCGGCTAGGAGCAGTTGGAACAAAACGAGAACGATTAGGAGATTTTTTAGATGTAGTTGAATTTTTATTTTGAGTTGTATTGTTATTTGAATGTAAAGTAGGTATCAAAGGCGGTAATGAAAGAGGAGGAGGGGAAGCGGTTTTTCGCATTACAGTAGCTAGTCGATTAGGTGAATGAGATAGTTTTCTTGTTGCATTATATGAAGTCAGTATTTTGTCAATGTTTGGAGCTGATTGATATGAATCTGGAGAAGAAAGCCGAGACAAAGGACTGTCTTCGGATATAAGATTTATGAGATTAGAAGAAACTTCAGCAGGTGTAGAAACTGCAGTGTTGGGCGAGGTTGTTGTCGATAGCAAAGTAACTTGCTTATCAGGGCCAGATTGAATCGTAGGAATTGAAGGAAATATAGAGGTTATAGCAGCAGGATTGTCTGAACCAACTGTGGAAACATTGTTTAAGTTATTATTTGAAACAGAGCCAGTGGATGCTTGATTTGTATTTGCCAAAATGGTGTTAGGATTTTTATTAGCAGTAATGGGCTGATCATCAATATCAGAGAATTCGTTTTCTTCGTCTTCACTATCAAGTGAAAAAATCACTATATCATCATTTTGTTTTTCTGAATCTAATTCTACTGTTTCTGAGGTTTCGTTTTTTCCATCATTTAAATTTTCATTGAGATTAGTGTGGTTATGAGAATGGGGATGATTTTTAAAATGACCATTTTGCTTAAATTCTTCTTTATCAGTCTCTTTTCTAAAAGACCAAGAACCATCTTGATTTAATTGTACAGAATGTATTTCATCATCAGTTTGTTTTATGACTTCTTGAACATAGTCATCTATAGCTAGATCATCTACATTAATTGATGTTGAACAGATAGGACAAGACCAGGTCTGTGCTTGTTCTTGTAGCTGTAAAAAGTTTAAGCAGTCAAAGCATTGGACATGAGTACAATTTATTGATTTTGCAGGATATTTCATTCTAGCATAGGTTAATGGACAGATTAAAGATAGAGATAAAGATAAACCAAGTAAGTCATCATCCATGGCATAATCTTCTATAATTTTATTTTTTGTTGTTAATTTTAAAACACGAGGGTTTGATTTTCGAATATTGGATAGAATTTCTTCACAAGATATTATTTCGACAATATACATGAAGACTAGATAATCGTCTTTAGAAAAAGCGTAGACTAATTCAAGGATATTATTTGCAGGAAAATCTCTGACATATTTTGTTAAATTAGCAGGCTTTGCAGTACCTGGTTTGTCCTTTATTCCCTTAACATTATCGTCTATCAAAGATTTATTGAAATGGATTTCCAAAGGATGAGGAAATTTAATGTAAACATCATTATTATTCTGAGATTTTAGACTATCGTAGATTCCACTGAGTAAAAACAAACGATAATTTGGATTTGATTTTAATGAGGTTTGGTCTTCGAATGTTAAACTGAATTCTACTTTACAAGTTCCTCTGGTGTCAGGGGCCTTTGAAGCTAATTGTGGAAAATTACGAATTAATTTTTTTAATTTGAAGAAAGGGCTTTTTTTAAAATAGATCCAAGGTTTTGGAGTATATGGAGAAGGATGATTTTTTTTATGAGAGGTAGAGCTTGTTATTATGAAACCAGAGCCTAATCTGTTTTGTGATGGATAAGTTGAAATGCCTGTGAATCTCGTTATAGGAGTGGAATTAGAGCTTGAATTTGAATTTGAATTTGAAATTGAAAGATCATTGCCATTATCTATTGCCATCAAATTATTGTTCAAGTCACTTGCAGCTAATTCACGATAGATCTGAGTATGAGATGGAATATCGTAATTATTGAAGGCCAGATCAACAAGTTTCTGAGCAGCAACAAGTTTTATTATCTCAGCTTGAGGTTCATTTGAAGGTACGCGAAAGAAGCCTTTGATTCTGTCTTGTAGATCAGCTTTTCTTCCAGACTGAACAAGAGATAGTGATTTTGCGAGTTTTTTTAGCGAGCTAACTTTTAATGACTTAATTTTTTCAATTGTTTCCTGATTGAATTCAAAAAAAAAATAAAATAAAATAAAATGAAATAAAAAGATCAAATCAAATTCAGATAAAATCAAGACAGAAATTGGATGAAATTGGACAAGAGAAAAAATTGTTAGTTGAGGGAAAACTAAAATGAAATAAAAAAAATACTAATGTAGATCTAAACAACAGCAAGTGTTGCCAGTTCATAGTTGTGTAGATCAGTAGGAAACACAAGACACATACCATATAATCATCGCCGGTGAATGTGTAATTACTCATTATGAATGGATAGAAGAGTGAATATATGTTTCCATAAAAAGCCTGGTTGAAGAAAACGACTATAAAGTATAATATGAGAGAAATCACAATTTAGAACCAATACTTGAAAGAAAAAAAAATAATAAGGATGGTGTGAAAGATGAGTCGCCTGGGTTTGCTTTAAAACAAGTTAGGCTCAGTTCATCGCAGACAGAAAATCCTTCAGAAACAGCAGAAGCACCACCAAAATGCAGCTTCAGCCCGAAAATGGGCGCTTTCTCAGCTCCAAATTCCCAAAGCAGAAAAAGCAGAAAAACCTTCATTGCGGCACGTGAATCCTGCCCAAAACAGAAGTAGCCGTGCATATGCACAACACTGTGGATACAGGCGTGCACACACGTGCTGGCGTTATGTTGTGCGGGTACATGTATAATGTTGCAAAAACGCTGATGGCCGCCGCCAAATGCGTGCATGCACAGGACTGTATACATGTGTGCGTTGGACCGCGTTATTGCTGCAGGTTTTTGGGTGTTAATTTTGCAACGAAAATCTGTGTAGTTTCCATTTTTCTCTGTTCCTTTTTGCTGCAATTAACCATTTGCTATTTTTCCCTCCAGCTCAGTTTCAATGTCGAAAACTGATGTAAAACCTGACGCTGCTTCTTCTTCTTCCTCTGCCGCTGCTGCTGGTGTGTCCTTTGACCGTTCTGCTGGAAAAAATGGGAGCTACACTGCTCTTCTCAACTATTCTGGCGACTTTCTTGATGAAGATAACCCAAATGAGACTGACGAACGTGAGAGTAACGAGAGCCTTTCTGAAGAAGACGATGATGAGTCTGATGAGAGTAATAATCAGCATGATTATGGAGGCGATATCAGCTTCAGTAACTCCATCAATAACAATATTACTAGCGCAAATCACAATCTTGCAAAAACTGCCCCAAAGGGCAATAATACTAAGGACAATAAAGCTGATTCGATCAGTATCACAAACGAGTCAAATGACTCTATAGATTTGAATGATTTGAATTATTCTTCCAATAAAGCTCATAATCACCATAGCGATGCCAAAGACAATGTCAAAAACAGCAATAATGACAGCGGTAATAATAGTAATATTGCTAATAATAATGACAAAAAGGAAGTTACAATACCCAATGATTTTTTTAAAAACCCAATATCGTTTGATGATTTCTCTAATGATATATTGCCAAATCTAAATGATTTGAATCCGGCTCAGCTACTAAATTTGCAGAAAAAGCTCTCGAAAGATTATAAAAAATTATCTCTAGATTTTAATCAAATTAGGCTAAAAAGAATCGATTATTTAATCAGCTTGATTGACCAATCAAAATCAGATTTGACGAATTATTATCATAGCTATGAAAATTTCATTGAGAATTTAAAGACAACAGATGACGCTCACAATTTCGATATTCTATTAGATAATGATATGAAAAGCCAAATTAATTTAATCGACAATATTCCAAATATTCCAATTTTTAATTCCTCATTTAATGAACTAATTTTACCAAACTTGATTGAATTTAAAACAAATAAAACAAAATATAACTTAGAATATAATTTGATTAAAAAAAATACCATTGATCAAATTTACCTTATTCACCAGCAGTTTTTATATGACTATTTTAATAAAAAGGAAAAATTTATCATCTCTTTGAAAAATGATATCATTTATTTGAAAAATTTGAAAAAAATTAACAACTATAAAAAATTATCAAATTCTAAAAATCAAGATTATTTATTTAACAATTTCAATAAACTAACTCATAATAAAAAAATAAGTGCTTTTAATACTGAATTTTCTTTATTATCAAGAAAGAGAAACTATTTATCATCAGCTTCCACGATAAATAACAGCGATAGCACCACAAACCCTGATGTTATCAATAACAACAATAACATTCATAATAATAATAGCATTAATAATAATAATAATAATAATAATAATAATAATAATAATAATAATAATAATAATAATAATAATAATAATAATAATAATAATAATAATAATAATAACAATGATAACAATAATAACAATAACAATAACAATAACAACAACAATTTAAGTCTTCATATCAATCAAAACGGTAATACTACTTTGTATAATAATAACGATAATAACGATAACAATAATCATAATAACACCAACAGCAATAATAGTGGCACCGGCAGCTCTATTAATAACAACAATGTAAACATAAATTCCAGTATACAGAATAGTAATCTTGAAAAACATATTCATTCATATTCAAACATTACCAATGAAAATAAAAGGCGAAAGATATCAATACTTACAAACTCAAGTTTTGAAAGTTCAATCAATGATTTGGATGGCCAACAAAACCAGGATGATGAAGATATTAACAAAATAAATTCTATAATAAATTACTACTATTCAAAGAGTTTATCAAAAGATAATGCAAATGCAAATGCAAATGGAAATAAAAGTGCAAATGGAAATGGAATAAAATCTCCTTCAAAAAAGGAAGGCAATAATAATCGCAAAAACTAAACATTATATTATATCATATTATATTATAATATATTACATTATAAAACTATTAAAATTATTGAACGTATCGAATGTGTTGAATATGTTAAATACATGGATATGATTTCGTCTCAATCAATTGATATCAAAAAGAGAAAAAAATAATATTTCCAGATTAAAACTTTAAAAGATTAGTTATAATAGTTATAATAGATAATTAATCCTAATTCAAAGTAGTTTACATTGATACCTTATATATTATAATAAAGACAATGTTTTTTTATTTTCGGTTATAAAAGCAACTAAACTTTAAAACCATTGATACTATTGTATTCTTCTTCTTGCTCAATTACTTTTTGGGTTGTACTTAGTAGTTTTTTAGCTGATTTACCAATATCTCCACCATCAGAAATTAATCTTTCACATTCAGCTACAATTCGATTAGCAAAAAATTCGGTTAAATATTTTCTCCTTGTTTCTAAATCTTCGCAAGGAAAGTTGACTTTATTTGAGTCAATATCATTAATATCAATATTTATTAGTGAATTACGATCACTATCAGTTTCAAAAAGTTTTAAATGAGAGAACATTTTTGGATTTGGATTGTTGAAATTGATCAAATATTTTTCTGTCAACGGATGACGAAAATTACATCTGTTATTATTTTCCGTTTTTTTGTTTGATTGGTCAATTTCAGAATATAATGCAGCATTGTTTATCAACTCTTCTAAAGTGGATAGGTGAAGAGACAAAGATTTTTTAAAGTTTGAATTATTTTTGTTGTTTATTGACAATGGAGCAATGGCATTGTTCTTTGTCAAAATAAGAGGCCAGTTCAATAATATGAAGAAGGACTTTAACAATTTCAACCAGTTATTTTTAGCAATGCTGTCCAAGCAATTTTTTTGTTTTGAAATTAAAAGATTCAAAATTTTGGTTGAATCATTTCTGATTTGCAAGTCAATGTGGGTCATGGCAGTCAATATATATAACACTATCGTGTTACAATTTAGCTGGAGGTAGACCGCAGATATAACTTCAAACAAACAAAAGGCTTCTTTTCTAACCAAAGAGTCATTATCAATAATCAACTTAGAAACTGATGCTATGATCTGCTGAATATATTTCTGGTTTATAGAGAACTTGACCAACCGGGGAAAGTTGTTCTGGATAAACACCAACGAGTCCTTTCGCTTCTGGGCAGAAAAATGATGTGTCAAGCTGATGTTCCTGACAAGCTCGACCTCAAAGGACTTTTCCACCAACGCAGACTGCGATGGCAATCGAATGGATCTTGTGGAAAAGGAAGTATCAGTGTAATTTGTTGGTTTGGGCTTCAACTTGCCTACCTTCAACTTTGGCTTGACAAAATCCTTAGCCTTTTGAGCCTTCTTTCTCTTGGAACCCATGCTCTAACCTGACGAGTCCAAAACACCCAAAACACCTAAAACCTGTTACAATCCAACAAGAATGACTTCAAAGCCAGAGAAAGATCAAAAAGCCAGAGAAAGATCAAAAAGCCAGAGAAAGATCAAAAAGCCAGAGAATGATTTATAATCTTCGATAGGAAAATACCTGCAAAATCTTTTAGGCTTGTTTCAGACCCAGTGCTGCGGATCCGGGCTGGAAAATTTTTTGTTCCTTCCAGAATATTTAAAGAGCTTCTTCTGTTTCTCCCCAGATTCAACCATCAGCAACCATTGTCAGCACTTGCCAGCTTCACAACCCCTTTGCTATCCCCAGCCTAAACCATGAGCTCCAGAGCATTGAGAAAACTAGAAAAGCAGTACCAGCAAGAGCACCCTCCCTCGGACCACTCAGGGCAAGAAAGCGATATCGAGGATCAGATAGTCAAACCTGCTTTCAATCCCTTTGACTTACTCATGGATAATGAGAGCTCAGATGACGAAACACATCAGGACCAGCAAAACATTGCAGACAAAAGCCCAGCTATAGAACCACATCCAGAAGAGTCTCAGGAAAACCAATCCAACGTCACTAACACAATCGCAATACCATCCTCAAAGGCAAAGAAAAAAAAGAAAAAAAAGAAAAACAAGAACAAACTAAAAGCTCGAAATCCAGTCAATGCCAATAACCAAAGTCAAAGTCAAAGTCAAAGTCAAGGTCAAAATCAAAATCAAAATCAAAATCAAGTAAAATCTAAAATAAATGATCTAGATAATATCGACAAGATATTGCAAGAGTTCCAACAATCCAAAAACATAAAATTACACAATTACAGTAGCCATAGCAATTTATACGACAACAAAGGAGAAAATAATGATATTCATAATGATTATGATAAGGATAACAGTTTTGTACAGTTAATAGACCCTCATTACATGTATTTCAACATATCAAAATTAAACCAATCAATACCTTTACTACAATTTGATATTAAAGATTTGGACCCCGATAGAGAATTTCAACAGTTATTTGGAAAATTATCATTAGAAGCAATCGAAGATGCTGAGTCTACCACCTCCACTTTTATTCGTCCCGAAGAGCTAAAGCTCATTAAAAGATTACAGCATCTAACAAAAGGCTGGGGTGGTAAAGATAGAAGATCGATACCTGGAACCTCGAGAAAATTAGCATTAACAAGAATTAGAGACGATTGGTTGCCCACCGTTAAAAAAGAAATCTCTATGATTGAATTCAGGAAAAACGACATTTTAAATTTGGTGAATTTCAATGAAAGTGATCTTCAAAATGATTCATTGTATGAAATTAATAATAAAATCATCTCTCAACTAAACTTGGGTGTTAAATATTTCAAATTCGATAAAACTATCGCCACAAAACTAGTCGATGCAAATTTTTTTTATTCAGTTATGGTTAGACCTGACCAAGAATCTTTAATTAGTCTTTTATACCAAAATCCTTATCATGTTCAAACCATCTTACAAGTTTCCTCCATCTTATCAAGAAATGGTCAAAAAAATGAAAGCAGTTCGTTGATTGAACGAGCTTTGTTTGTTTTTGATAGAGGATTGAAACAGAATTTTGAACTAGGCAAAGCATTATCGAGACTCCCCTTTAATTTTTTCTTGAATCGACAATTTTACCTAACATTATTTAGACACATTGTTTCACTAGCACAAAAGGGCACTTTTTATACTGCACTAACTTTCTGCAAGTTGTTACTATCATTATCGCCAGATGAAGATCCATATGGAGTTCGTTATTTCATTGATTTTTATGCTATAATGGCCGGTGAATATAAATATTTAGTCGATTTTGCAAACAATGGAATATCAACAACCTATGAGAGATGGTATACACCAGGAATTGCATTCTCACTATCTCTAGCTCACTTGTTTTTGGATAACAAAACAGAAGCAGAAAAAACACTAAAATTTGCATTTAAAAAATACCCATACACTGCCTATCAATTGCTCGACAGAATTGGCAAAATCAGTGATATCCCAATAAAAAACAGCAAAATCTCCACCATAACACCAGAAATAGAAATAGCAACAGAAACGTACTTGACCAGAGCAGGCTTGTTATGGAATGAGCCTGGCCACATAGATTTCCTTGCTAAGAACTTGACAACTTATTTTCACAACTTGGCTTCAAGTGTCGAGATTTACCAGAACCTCAACAACGAGATCCCCCGAAACTTGATCAGACATGCAATTCTATCAGCAGAAAGCAGTGTTATGGGCAGGCTCCCCAGAGAAATATGGGAGATGGAAGACATTTATGACTTTGATGTTCTTCCTCCCAGTGATAGCAAATCAGAAACGTATCACGACTTGGTTGACGACGAAGCTATTTCCAAAGTCGTCCAGTCAGACCAACAAGACGATGCTCTTCTAGATGCTGCTATGCAAATGAGCATCGACCACCAGCTCCAGCAGCAACAGGTGCACCAATAGCACCAGAAGCACCAGCAGCATATCTGTCTTTTTTTTAACTAGTTATATTATTATTGCTCTTGCCACTATATAGTCTCACCTAGATTTATCTCGAAGCCCCTTCAATTTTACTTTCGCAGCAGCCTCAAATTGTCTTTAATAAACAGTACCATAAGCATCACAAACACCATCTTCCCATCCCTCTCCAGCAATATCTCCTTATCAGTAACTTTTCACTCCGCTCAGCAAAACTTTCAACCGATTTCCATTTGCTCAACTCCAAAGAAACCTTTTGCAAATCGCAAGCTCGCAACTCAGTGTTTTATTTGGCCTAGAACAGAGAGATAAAAGGACATGGTTTGCTTTGCTGCGTTGTTATAACTGAAAATTGAATAATAGACACTCGACACAAGCATATACTCCAAATCACTCACAAAGACATAGGCAGCATTTGATAGATGGATCAGGAACTGGAACCAGTTGTGGGAAATATCAACATCAAGAAGAGAACCATAACCAAAAAGACACCAAACCAGGCTCGAGGAGGTTCGAATAGTGTAAATAATCTTTCATTCAGCACCAGGTACACCAACAGCTTCTCGAATAGCACTATTCCCAGCAGTTTTATAAAGAGACCTGCAAACATTCGACGCCAAATCAAGCGATCAAGGTGGAATTTGGTTTATCTCATCAGAAGAATTAACTGGCTACACACCACCATTATCTTGTTTCTTCCCATAGTTGGAAGCATTGTCTCTCTTCTTTTTCAAGTCCCCATAACTGAAAACACTCTTCGCTTCACCATCTTTTACTATTTTCTAACTTCACTATGTGTAACTTCTGGCTATCATCGACTATGGGCTCACAGGTCTTTCGAAGCCACTAAAGTGCTATCGTTGATCTACGCTGTTTTTGGCGCAGCAACTGGTTTGGGTTCAATAAAGAAATGGGTTGCTCGTCATAGAGCTCACCATCGATACACAGACACTGAAAGAGATCCTCACAATGCTAGAAGAAGTTTGATATACTCTCATATGGGCTGGATGATATTCAAACCAAATCTAAAAATTTCCTCCTCAATCACCGAGTTATTGAAGAGCGACGACTTGAGCAACGATGCTATCATAAACTGGCAAGAACAAAACTACATAATACTATTTGTGCTAACGAGCATGATAATACCAGCTGCAGTTGCAGGTTATTTTTGGAATGATTACAAAGGTGGTTTACTATATTCAGGCATAATAAGGTGCATGCTTAATCAACAAACTAGTTTCACAGGCAACTCCCTTTGCCATTATGTCGGAACACAGCCATACGATGATAAGAAAACCCCAAGAAATAACTGGTTTCTTACTTTCTTGACTTTTGGTGAGGGGTTTCAAAATTTTCATCACAATTTTCCTAACGATTATAGAATCGGCATTCATTGGTACGAGTTCGATCTAACTAGATTTCAGATTGAAATTCTATACAAAATCGGTTTGATAAAAAGCATCAAGAAAAACACAAATGATGCTATCAACCAGTGCATCATACAACAAAATCAAAAAATCTTGGACAGACACAGAGCAAAACTAAACTGGGGCGTACCAATAAAAGAGCTCCCCATAATTTCCGAAAACGAATTCAAAAGGTTAGTCAAAACCTCCTCTAGAGCTTTACTCATTATATCTGGAGTTGTTCATGATGTTACTCCAATCATTAATACTCATCCAGGTGGCAGTCAATTGGTGAGAGCTTCTATTGGAAAGGATGCTACCACAGCATTTGAAGGAGGTGTTTATGCACATTCAAATGCTGCCCATAACTTGCTAGCCACAATGAGAGTCGCCATTATTTACGGCTTTCATATTCAAAATCCTTCAAATCAGTTAAAAATTGCAACAATTCGAAATTCTCCATCAGCTACCGCAGGAGCTGCATAAATAAGATTATTATTTTTTTCTCTCTTTTCCATTCGTTTCTATTCTTGTGTTATATTCATTCTTAAATCAGTATTTTCAAGCTGTTAAACATTTATAAGTTTTATAATAAAAATATTCCGAACTCTTATTCACTACTTTTCACTTTTTCATTTTGCATGAAACAGAAAATGTTTGTTTTTACTTTTTTTATTTAACATTTCCAGGTTTTTTGTTTTGTTAGAAAACACTAGATTAGTAGAATGTAAATATCTGCGATAAATTTAATTAATAAATTCCTATAAATTTTTTTTTTTTTTTTTTCAAATACTATATAAAACAACAGAACTTTCACAAAACAAACAACCATATAAAAATTCCCCAGTCATAAACCCATTTAATTTGATGGATTTTTAAGTAATTTGACAATTTTTCCAATTGCAATCGTAGAACCTTGATCTCTTAATGTGAACCTACCTAGTTGTTGATAATCTTCATATGTTTCGACGCAGACAGGATCTGCTGTTTCAAGAACAGCAATAATTTTCATACCTCTTTTAGCAAAAGCTGGTGCCTTTTTAGATTTTTTATTAGTTCCTTTCTGTAAGTGATGTAGTAATTTTACAAATGTAACTTCTTCAATCGCAGCATGAATATGCATGACACAAGTAAAACCAGCAGTTAAAATAGACTTCAAGTCAATTATAGCGATTTCAGCAGCAAATCTCCTAACAACCTTGACTGGAAATTTGGATGAAGATAACACAAAACCTGGCTGGATATCTTCTTCTTCAATACCCTTTAATTTTAATCTGACTTGTTCACCACAAATAGCTTGGGTGACTTCTTGTTCAGATTCATTGAAAATTGTGATTACTTCGACGTTTATCTTATTGGGCATAATTACTAGTGAAGAACCCTTTTTGACTAAACCACTCTCGATTTTTCCTTCAACGATTGTACCCAAATCTTTCATTTTACCGGCAATGGGCAACATGAAGGGAGAATTTAATTTCTTGTTTGTCAATTTGAGACTGTCCAAAGTTTCTAGTAATGCAGGACCAGTGTACCAAGGACATGATTTGGGGTTGACTTTTTCTTTTATACCATCACCAGTATAACCAGAAACAGGCATGAATGTGATGTCAGTTTTAATATTGTAACCAACAGCTTTTAAGAAAAGAGTTAATTTTTTGACACACTCATCGTATCTTTTTTTGCTCCATTTGACAGTAATATCGTCCATTTTATTTATGACAACAATTAGGCTGTTGACACCTTGAGTCTTTGCTAAAATGGCGTGTTCTCTTGTTTGACCACCCTTTTCGAAACCTGCTTCGAATTCCCCCTTTCTTGAAGAAATAACCAAGATTCCAGTATCTGATTGAGATGCACCAGAAATCATATTAGAGACATACATTTTATGGCCAGGGGCATCTAGCAAAGTGTATCTTCTTTTGGCAGTTTCAAAGTAAGCTCGACCAACCTCGATAGTTTTTCCATCAGCTCTTTCTTCCTTGTTGGTGTCCATGACCCACGAAAGATACCAACCTTGTCTGCCAGCATCTTTAGCTTCTCTTTCGTATTTTTCAATTGTTCTCTTATCAACAGAACCTGTTAGGTATAACAAGTTACCACCCATGGTTGATTTACCAGCATCAACATGACCCATGAATAGGATAGACATGTGGTCTTTACCGCCGTATAGGTCCTTAAGAACATCTTCATCAACTTCAATATCATCAGATTCAACAATTTTTTTGGAGTCTACAGCTTTTTTGATAGTGGCTGTAGGTTTTTTTTCAGATTTTGAAGCAAGATCAGATTTTTTTTCGGGTTTTGGAGAAGATTCTAGTTTTTTATCAATTTTAGTAACAGGATCAGGTTTTTTGTCAGTTTTGAGAACAACTACAGGACTCTTTTCGGCTTTAAGAACAAGCACAGGTTTCTTTTCAGTTTTGAGAGAAATGACATTTTTCTCAATTTTTTGATCTTTGGTTTGTTCAATATTAGTTTTGGGAGCAGGATCTTCAAGTTTCAAAATGAGTGGTGCTTGCTGTGGTGATTGTTGCACTTGCTGTTGTAGTTGTGGTTGTTGATTATTGTAATTGTTATAGCTGTTTTTATAGTTATTGTTGTAATTATTATAGTTGTTGTTGTTGGGATTTGAATATTTGTTATTATAGTTTCTGTTATAACCGGCTTGTTGATAGTTGTTTTGCTTACTGTAGTACTGTTGGTTATAGTAAGGCTGTTGTTGCTGTGATTGTTGGTAATATCCAGACTGTGGTTGTTGAGCATATGGTTGGTAACTATATCCACTGCCATAACCACCAGGAGTGAAGGCTTGAGCCTGATTTGGATTGAAACGTCTCTGTTGTTGAGACTGGGAGGATTGAGCAGACTCTGAGCTTTGGGAATCGCCAATCGACTGGCCTGCAAATTGGTTATTCAAATTGGATAAATCCTGGCCGTTACTCATATTGGGGCTGTCTTGGTGTTTTTGCTGTGCACAATTACGATTGCTGGTTTGGTGGAAGATAAAGACAGTGTTTATGGTGATAAAATTTTTTTGTGCTTTAAAATTTTTCAGGTGCTCCGTTACTCACGCAGTCTCCACGCAGACCTCACGCAGCCTTTACGCACCAGCTAGCGGAAACGGGCGTAGTAACGCTCTTCCTCAAAGCGGTTTTGCACGCGCTGAAGAACCTCCGGGGGATACACGTCCTCGGGTGTTTCACGGCCGCTGAGCACGCGTTGCTCGTGCTGTAGCTGCTCCTCTCGAGTCATGAGTACAAGGTTCTGAGGCGAAATCTCCTTTGCCATGTCCCAGCGCGAGAGTGCAAGCCTGGTGGAATAGCTGGAGATGGCGGATTTGGCCCTGAAGATCTCGTCCACCACGTAGACCACGTCGTTGAGTGAGAGAGGCACGCGCTGCTCCTGGCCCCCGAGCCGGGACTGCTGGGCGGCAAGGGTGTGCAAGATGCCCTCGTATGTCTTTGCTCGGTTTTTGGTGACGCCCTCAATGGGCTCAAGGGGATAGCCGGTCAAGTACGTCAAGAGATACGAGGTGATGGTCAAGCCAAAGATTCCAGGCATAGGCCCCAACACCGGCAAGATCCTCACTCTAAAGTCCCTCAATGGCGTCAACTCATCGACGTTTCCTTTCATGTACTCATCTTCCGGCAAGGGCAACAACGACGCTTTTCTTGGATCTGGTTTTTCTGCTGAAAACACCACTGTGATTCCTGAGGCAATGCCTCGTTTCTTCAATCTTCTTCTCACCGACCTTGCCAACGGATCCTCTCCGGTGTTCGAAATATCCCCGATGTTAACCGTCGTTGGATCACTTTTGCATCCGGCCCCCATGCTCGAAATGACATTGATCTTCTTTTTATGGCAGTACTCTAGTAAATCAACCTTGGTGTCAATGTTGTCAATACAATCAACAACAAATGTGGGCGACCCTTCCAACAATCGTTCTGAAGTTTCCAAGTTCCACAACTCATTGATTGTTTCGATTTCACACCATGGCGCCACTTTCAATAGATGCTTCTTTAACGTCAAAACCTTTGAAACACCAACATCACTCAACGTGGCAACAGCATGTCTGTTTAACGATGACAAAGTGACCTGGTCAAAATCAATTATTCTGATCTTGCTTATTCCTGATCGAACCATCATTGTAGTCACCCATGATCCAACTCCTCCAACTCCAACAACAACTATAAACGTATCCTTTCTCAACTTGTTCACGCCTTCTTCTCCCAAAAAAACATAGTTTCTCGCCAATTGTTCTCTAATCAAATCTTCATCATATTCACCACCAAATAGATTTTCCTTCTTCTGTAAAGCAGTAGTGTCTTCATCTGCTGATCGGTTTCCATTGTTTCTCAAATATCTTCCTACTACTTCTACCAAACCACCCGTCACAATAGCACTCACTAGTGCTGTTAGCCCTATAACTTTAAAACTTGAACTCATCATGGATTATCTATTTTCTCTCAAAGTTATATTTCCTTCATACTTGGGGGAGTTCTGTCAAGTCATAAATTTACAAATAACTTTTCACTTTGAAAAAAAATTAAAAAATTAAAAAAATAAAAAAAAAAAAGAAAAATTAAAAATAAACGAAAAACTTATTTAAACTTTATGTGAATCGATGCGACATCATGCATGGACCACAAACACGGGCCCCTGCTTTGTTTACTTCAATCGATAAAAGTCATTGAATTAGATGGTTTGTGATTAAAGAAGTTCCTGTTGTTAATTATTATCAGTTATTATCAATTGTTATGAGATACAATGGATTTACCCAGTGATTTGAAAACCATCTTTCTCGGTTGGCTAGAAGAAGAGTTTTTGAATGCTCACACTAAAAATCAAGACAATTTAACTGCTATCTATGGTAAAGCCTTGAAAAATTTAAGGAATTCAGATTTACCAATCAAAAAACCAATTGATTTAATTCAAATCCAATATGTTGGCAACAAAATCGTTGCAAAAATGGAGAAAAGACTCCAAAAATATTGCAAATTAAATGGTTTCATATACCCTCAACCTGAATCGCCTCTGAAAAAAAGATCTTGTCCTGATGATGATCAACCCACTAATTCTAAAAAAATAAAGAAAAAAATTACAAAAAAATATGTTCCAGCTAAAAGATCTGGTGCTTACGCAATTCTAAAAGCACTATATCTTTATGATAGAAATCTGAATGGCATGACTAAGGACGAAATCATCAGAAAAGCTGGTCCATTTTGCGATAAAAGTTTCATCCCAAATCCCTCTATAAAAAACTTTTATTCAGCTTGGACTTCTTCCAAAACTTTACTAAATAACGATCTAATAAAGGGTGTTGGAAGACCAATTCACTACTACCTAACCGAAGAAGGCTTGCAATTAGCTGAAAATTTACATAAAGTTGACGAAATGGACAATTCTGATGATCTTGATAACCTAAACGATTTGACACCACTCGATCAACATTATAACAATATTCATGAAAATCAACCAAATAGCCATAAAAGCAAATTCGATTCCTATCTATTTTCAGACCTCAATAATCAAACCGGCACTAGTACCTCAGATGGTATCAAGCTCAGGCCCATAGATCCTTATCCTTCTTATAATCACAAAATACCTTCCAATGATATTATAAATCAACAAAATGCAATCCCTTCCTCAATAAGAAAAAAACTAGATAACACTGAATATGTAGTATGGCAACCCTCAGACTACCAAGTCTTATTCTATCTAGACAATCGTGAAATAAGAGCTAAAAATCAGAGAAATTATTTCTATGACAAGTTATCTGAAATGGGTATAAACGTTCACATTAAATCTTTAACCCTAGGCGATGGCTTATGGATTGCAAAAAATATCCACAACCATGAAGAAGTAGTTCTTGATTTTATATTTGAAAGAAAAAGGCTTGGTGATTACGTTTCTTCCATTAAAGATGGAAGGTTTTATGAACAGAAATCAAGACTAGAAAAAGCTGGTTTAGAACACTCTTACTATCTAATTGAAGAGTTTAATTCAACTCATTTTTCAAGTATTTATTCCCACATGGAAACTGCTATTAGAACTGGGGTTAGCCAAACAATCACTCAAAATAAATTTCTTCTTAAAAGATTAAAGGATTCTGATGAAACTTTGATTTTTTTAAAACGACTAAACAGTGCAGTTATTCGATATTATAACAACAAAAAAATCGTGGTCATAAAATCAAAAAATATTGAAACACAAAATAACTATAAGAATAATTTAGATCATTTTAAACATCATTTTAAAAAGGACAAAGACATCAAAGTATCCTATAATTTTGTCACTTTCCAGGATATACTCTCAAAATCCAGTATGATGACTGTCAAAGAAATGTTTATTAGAATGCTAATGACAATCAAGGGTCTTTCACTAGAAAAAGCAATAGTAATTCAAAGCTACTTCGAAACTCCCAAAAATTTATTAGAGTACTACAAAACAAACTCAAAATATTTAGATGAAAAAAGCTTAAAAAGACTTTTAAATCAAAAATTTAAAAATGAAATACAAAGAAAAAATATCGGTCCCAAGTTATCTGAGAGTATATATGAAGTTTGGGGTAAATTGAATTATTAAACTATTAGTTTTTTCTTTGTTTTTTTTTGGTTAATTTGGATCTCACTATACTATTTTATAAAAAAGAATATTTATATTACAATTGTTATAAACTATTTCAACAATTGATAGTCCTAAGATAAAATTTTTTTGTCATAAAAAAGTCATAAATTAACAAAAAGGAATAATCATACAAATAAAAAAAACCATGAATAAAAAAAAATTGAAAAATGCTTTTCCGTAACTTCTTTATGCTAAAAACCCATAGTCAGTATTTACTGTCCAGAAGTCTTCATCTGGAGCTCCCCAATTACCGAAAGTACTATCCAATATTGACTTGACTGGGTTTGATGAAGCACCATTCGGTATATTAATATTCATATAATTATTGTTGTTTTTTGTTTGTCGTGCGTTCACCTGTTGATTTTCTTGTTGAGAAGGATCAATAAAGTTTCCATTTTGATCAAATAGACCATTGGGTAAATAATTTGTGGCAGCATATGTATTAGTCACTGGGCCACTTTCTTCATTCCAAGTTGATATATTGTTAATCATGGCATTTGTTCTTCCGATAAATGGGGTTAACTGGTTTTGCCAATTTAGTGCAGAATTCATAAATGATGATTTCTTAGGTAAAATGTTGTTGATTGCATTGTTTAAACTGTTATTATTTATGGCTGAATCATTTTTAGCATTATTTATTGAATTATTATTTTCAAAACCATTTCTAATAAGAGAGTTATTATTAATTGCATTGCCTTTACTAGCATTATTATTATTATTATTATTATTATTATTATTATTATTATTATTATTATTATTATTATTATTATTATTATTATTATTATTATTATTATTGTTGTTGTTGTTATTGTTTATGCTGTTCATGTTGTTCATATTGCTATTATTATTATTGTTGTTGTTACCGTTAATAATAATATTATTATGATTATTATGATTATTATGATTATTATGATTATTATTATTGTTATGGTTATTATTATTATTGTTATGATTATTATTATTATTGTTATTAATATTATTCGTGAATGAATTTTGAGTCATATTATGTGAAAATTGTATTTGATTGATACTTGCTGGAGGTGAATTAGTTAATAAATGGCTCAAACCCTTTGGAACAGTGGATCTTTGTAGATTATCTTGTTTCCTTTGTCTTTCAACTTGTTCTAATCTATCTTCTTCACTTTGTTGTCTATGGCTATTGGCCACAACATCATAATGACTGACTGGACGTCTCACAATTGCAGGTGCCAAACCAGGTCCATTATAAATTATTTCACTTGAATCTGCACCACATCTTTCTATCAAATTTCCAATTGTGACGCCCATTAGCTGGTCAAAAGTATCTCTAAAACTTAAAGCAAATTTTGATCGTTCTGCCATAATATATAAAGAAACAGAACATGCTCTTAAATCATCAAGACCGGAGAACAATTCTTTGTTGACAGTTGGTCTAGTGTGCCTTGAATTATCACCTAAAGCCTTTCTTCTCAGATCGTCTTTGTTTCTTGTTAGCCAAAGACAATATAACAAAGTTACGCCTGCAACAAACACAGTATGGATTGCCATGGTTGAATGACCATAGGCGGTTTTTTGGTGGAAAATCTTGAACAATTGGCAAATCTGACCAGCAGCAGCTTGACATTCTCTGAACAATCGATCTTCAGGTTGCATTAATTCTAAATAGGGTTGAATTAATAATCTTACGGATCTGAAATAATAGAGTTTCAAAGTTTCGTTTTCAACATCTCGTTGAACACCTTGACATTCGTTTCTCCAGACACCCAATTCATTGAAATAATATTCAACTGTTGGTAGTTGGTCTTTATTGGGAATTGAGTCATTGTTGTTGGAGAAAATATTCAATTTTTCTACTAAATTTGATTCTATTCTTCTTAGTTTTATGGATTGGTTGATGAATTTGATACCATTGGAAGGATGTTGAACTCTTGAGGGTTCATATTCAAAAAGAGGAATATCTTTATCTATTTGTGATTCAGGGAATGAGTACTGTTTTCCTATAGAAACCGAAATCATTCTTTCTAGGAGATAAACGCACCAAAAGACTCTCATTTTTTTATCTTTATCGTAGGGAGAGCAATTGATGTAGGAATCAGATTTATGCAAGTTTAGATCAGTTACGATTTTCATTGTATCACAAATCATATCATACAAGCCAAGGGAATCCTTATCGGTTCTAATCAAGTATAGAACAGTTAGAACATAAATTTCGATCTTATCATAAGCGTTTAATTCTGAGGCAGCTACTTTCGACATGTGTCTTAAGGAGGTTGAAAAGTATCTTGCAGGAGGAGGACCAGAATATTTGCCAGTTGTCATATGAATGCAAGAACTTATGGCAAAGATTAGCCACATTCTACAGCAAGCGAAATGGAAATAATTAGTGTTGTTCATGTAGCCTGTTAAATCATTTTTAATGTAGCTGTTGTGAAAATTGAAGATTTCGTTTTCATTCAAGAGAGGAAATTTGAATTGGAGTCTTGTAAAATGAGTATCTAAAAAGCTTCTTGATATTTTTTCATCTATATCAAAGACAGGGTCGTAATTTAGGAAGGATTTTAGGTTGTAGTTGGCTAACATTGAATTTTTTAGATCGATTGAGTCGACAGATAGAAGGTATTTTTCTTTAAAGTGGTCATCATTTGAGATGTTGAAATTGTCTAAAGAATTGTTCAAATTGAGTTGAATTGAGTTTTGATTTGATGGATCGATTGGGATTTTGGGTAGTTGGCGTAGGGAATTGTTGAATGAGGACATGGGAAGTAGTAGGTTGTTGATAGAGGATATGGCATTATTGAGGGAATTGGAGGAGTTGTTGGGAATAGAGAGAGAATTGTTCAGAGATGAAGAAGTTTGGGATGAAGAATTATTGAGGAGAGGAAGATTAGAATTGGGAGAGTTTTCATTTTTCAAGATTTGATCTTGATGTTGATCATTTTGGGTTGGATTGGGATTTGAATTTGCTAGTTGGACCAAAGCAGATAAAGGAGCATGGTTTTCAATAAATGGAGAAATCTTTTTGTATTTTGCTAGGGCAGATTTTTTGTTTATTAGATCTTCCTTTTCAAGGAACTTTTCTAGAAACTGGATTCTTTTTTCTAGCATTATAGTGTATTGGTCCTTTTCTGGGGCCTTTTTCAAGTATTTTGCAGGTTGGATACATTTGACACCAGCTTTTATACAAGTTGTGCAAGAAGGTAGTCTGTGATCGCATTTTTGTTTTCTCTTTTGGCATAAAAGACAAGAGGTGGAACGACCCTTTTTATCATTTTGAAAGCTGGTGGTACTGTTGATTTGTTCAAGAATGCTTAGAGTTGAATCTCTTCTTCTTTTTTTATTTTTTGATAGAGATAGTTTAGAGATTTGTTTTGTAGAGTTAGTATTAATGTCTGTTATAATTGCAGTGTTATTATTGTTGTTATGGTTGTTGTTATTATTGTTGTTTGATTCATATAAACTGAAAGGAATCAAATTGTTTGAATTTGGATTTGAATTTGAGCTCGAGCTTAAGCTCGAGCTTGAACTTGGACTTGGATTAATATGAATATTGTTGGTAACCATCATAGATATGAAAACCCAGATATGGATATAATATGAATAGGATATGAGATGGTAGTAAAGTAAGGAGATAAGTAGATAGGCAAGTGAATAGGGAGATATAAAGAGGAGGCAATGATATAAAGAGATAACGAGATAGTGAAGCAATGGTTTTCTTTTAAATTTGTTTCTATGTTTTTATTCAGTGATGGCTATGAATATGGTAAAAAGACTGAAATCGTGGAGTTACTGGGAATCCTTAAACTTTGTTGGACGTTTATTGACAGATGCAGTGGTGAGGGAGCTGAACAGGCAGAAGAAGAAGTAGAAGAAGAAGCAGCAGCAGTGGGACCAAGAAAGCAGAGAAAAGGCCAGTGGAAGAATATATCTACATCCAGTTGATATCCAGTTGTTGTCCAGGGTTTGGTTATCAAAGTAGCAAAAGCGACAGTGAACAATAAACCAAAGAGAAAAAAACAGTTTTGATTGTTTGATTCATTTTGGGCGATTTCATCACGGACTGGCGAACACGACCAGACGAGCGCCAGCACAGTACCAGCTCCGGTGTGCTCGTCTTCGGAGTTGGCAGCTGCAGGCGTCCGCGTGTGTTCGCTAAGGTTGCCATGCCGCTCCCCTCTGGCTCTGGCACGCACGGTGTGTGGCGGACGACGGGAAACACACGCTTGACTGCGCAAAGGTGGGGTCTGGCCGAGCAGCGCACCCGCAGAAACGGCATACGGATGCCGAATGGGGTGTATGGGGTGTGAGAACGGGAATACAACGTGATGACCACGTGTTAATGTTAGTCGCCGATTCTGCGGATGCGCTTATTTGAGAGGCAAGAAGTGACGAAAGAGAGGGAAGAGAAGAGAAGAGATGAAGGAAAAGTAGCAAATGGATGGTGTTTCTGTGAGGGACTTTATAGGCTCGACGTTGAGAATAACCATCGACAACGGTGCTCCTTTGATCAATGTTGACGCTAGCGACAGTACTGAAATCGACGAGTTGGTCAACTGCCTGAGAGTGGTTGAAGGAACTTTGATAGCTATTGATAACGATCCCAATATCCTTTTAGACGAGGTAGTGGAGCACATTTGCAACGAGAGCACCAACCAGAAGACGACAAGAAGCTTGGGGTTGGTGTCAATTCCATACCAGTCGATAGCCAGAATCGAGTTGTCTAAGAGAGAGTATGAGTTGATCAAGAATTCTCAGCGAAGAACAACATTGTTTGCAGGTTTGGTTGGTAAGAAGTGATAATCGATGGAGAAATAATTATTTTGCTACTTTTGTGTATATACATTATCTTAAATATAGTCAATAATCAATAATCAATAGTCAATAGTCAATAATTAGTAATGATAAAAAGAGAAATACAATAGAAATATAATAGAAATACAATAGAAATATAATAGAAATATTATAAAAAGATAGATATAAAAAGATATATATATAAATATAAACATAGAAGAAAACCCCATTATATAACCAAAATTTGCAGTAAAGAAGTAAAATAAGGACAAAATGATTTTCTCTAGACCAAACTGTATAATAGTAAATGAAAAATAAAACAAATAAAAGGATGTATATATATATATATGTATATATATATAAAGGGAATAAAATTCATAACTGAAATAATAGCCATTAAAGAACAAAAACAGGATAAAACAAAAAGAGGACAAAAAAATAATTAATTAAAGATTAGTTAATGCAAATCATTTCCATATCAATATAAATCATCAGATTAGATGGATAATATAACCGTCATTTTAAAAAAAAAAAAATTCCTTCAAATTCCTTTAAAATGTCATTTCTTCTTCTTCACTATCAGATCCAAAACTTTCAACTGATGACAAGTCATCATCTGAATCATTATTAATATTGTTATTATCATCGTCGTCATCGTCATCATCGCTGTTATTTTTATTGATATTCTTATTCTTGTTTTTGTAATTATAAACATTGTCGGATTTAAATATATTCTGGTTCGATGCATATTTCTTAACATATTCTTTGATTTTTTCGTTATAACTTGCTTTATCGTTCATATACAAATGACTGGCATCCCCATTCAATGGATCATCGGCATTGGGATAACTTAATAGTTGAGGCAAAAAAATTTCAAATATATTAAATATATCAAACATCGGTGACCATGTTTGATTTATGACATCGAGACAAACTGATCCTGAAGTTTCATCTATATTGGGATGATAAATTGTATTGGTAAATCCAATTGAGGGTGATTTGTATGGATAATCATCGGGCAATTCAACATGGACTTTCCAAACTCCTCCTTCGTACGCAGCTGTTTAAAAAAAAAGACAAATAAATGAATGCAATTATTGTTAGTATCAAACAGTTTCTCTTTCTCTTTCTCTTTCTCTTTCATCATATTCTATTTTATTCTGTTTTAACTTACTCGATGGTGGTCCGAGAAATTTGACATGAAACTCTTGCAAATTGTCATTTACCAATTCAACATCATAGTTTGACATCAAGCTGAATGGTAATAGTTAGTAAAAAAAGGGCTCGTTCTTAACATATCACTTGCTACAGCAATATCGATAATAGAAATATAACATACAGATTGCTGACATCGTTTTGAATACGACGTTTTGAAGAACTATCAAGCAAAATACATGTTAGTATTACCACTGGATCAACAAAGAAAAAAATGCAAACCAATTAGTTAATTCACTCATGGAACCAAGTGCACTGGATAAGATCCTGCAACCCCATCACATACCTCATTTCAAAGTAGGGGATAAATAAAGTAGATGAAAAAACTAGAAACCAGCTGGCTTGAAACGCAGACTTGAAAGTGTATCAAAAAGGGGACAGTTCTTCCACTGATACTGAGAGCAAGGAGATAATAGCAGACTTATAGAAAAGAAAAAGAGGTGAGAGAGTGTGCTTTATATACTCTTCTCTCTATCTCCAGCTGAGTATAAAACACTTGCTATCGCTCCAGAATTGCCCAATCGGGCTATTACTCAGGGCCCCCCAGCTATCCGGCTGCTTTCCGCCCCTATCGCAAGCGGAAGGCCCCAACCACATCTGGAAGGGCCCGGAGTCTGCTGTTACAAGAGGCCCGGCCTCATTGGGCCTTGTTATGTGTTAGTTTTGGGGCTGTTTCGAGCTGTTTCAGAGGCAAAAGCAGCAAAAGCAGCAGAGCAGAAGCAGAAGAAGCACTTCAAGAAGATAGAGCAGTGGAGGCAGTGTCTGGTCTGTTTGGCGATAATGCTTTCTGTCTCGCGAAGAGGGTTTCTCTGCAAACCACCCAGTGCTTCTCGTTGGTTCACCTCGCTGGCACTGTTCCTCAGCAACACCACCACCAACAACAACAACACTCCAGCAGAGTCAAACACTACTGACGATATTGACCACAAGTACTCTCGAACTGTGTTGCTCCCATCCACATCTTTTCCCAACAGATCCAACAAGAAGTTGATCAACACACAACTATTGCCCACAGTCACCGATAGGCTCTACAACTGGCAATACACCACTCGCAGCAACAATCATCTATTTATCCTCCACGATGGCCCACCCTACGCGAATGGCGATTTACATCTAGGTCACTCAGTCAACAAAATCCTAAAGGACATCATCAACCGATACAACGTCTTGATTGGCAAAAAAGTCTACTACAGACCAGGCTGGGACTGCCATGGTTTGCCCATTGAGCTAATGGCTTTAGACAAAATTTCAAAAAAACTAAAAAAAAAGAAATTGGATACCAAATCTTTCACTCCTGTCAAAATCAGAGAGATAGCTGAAAAACATGCACTTCAGCAAATTGAAAACCAACGAGCACAATTCAAATCTTTTGCTATAATGGGCGACTTCGATAACCCTTATCTAACTCTATCAAGTGAATTTCAATTAAACCAATTGAAAATTTTTTATAAAATGTTTCAAAAAAATCTAATCAAAAGAAAGAAGAAACCCGTATACTGGGGTTGTGAAACCAATACTGCCTTAGCCGAAGGTGAACTAGAATACAATGAAAACCACAAATCAACAGCTACTTACTTGCTTTTCCCTTTAATTCATTTCAACGATGATTTTAAATCCTTTTTGCAAAACAACAAAATCAACTTCAATAACGAAAACCTATCCTGTTTAATTTGGACTTCCACACCATGGACAATCGCCAGTAATAAAGCAATTTGTATCAATCAAAAGCTCAATTACTCTCTCATCCACTCACCTGAACATGGCTATTTGGTAGTCGCTGAAGATTTGGCATCTAAAATTTCCTCTTTAACTTCTTCCGAATCATCAATAATAACTTCCTTTCCAGGCTCTTTACTCCTAAATAACAAATATAAAAACCCATTAATAACTGATGATTCCATCAACTCATTTCCAATTATACATGGTGACCATGTCACAAATACTGCCGGTACTGGCTTAGTCCATACTGCTCCTGGCCATGGTAATGATGATTATTTCGCTTGTCTTAATAATGGTATAACTGACATTTTATCTCCAGTTGATGGTAGCGGTCGTTACACAAACGAATTGCCAAATGGTTTCGAGGTTTTAATTGGCCATAAAGTTCTAGGTGAGGGCACTCTTGAAATGTTGCGTCTCTTGCATTCTCAAAAAATGATTTATCACTCACAAGATTTGATTCATTCTTATCCATATGACTGGAGATCAAAAAAACCAATAGTCATACGTTCCACCCCTCAATGGTTTGCTGACTTGTCCAACATAAGAGAAACTGCGACAGAGTCATTATCAGACGTCAATTTTGTTCCTCAAAGAGGTTTAAATAGATTGACTTCTTTTATCAAAAATAGAAATGAATGGTGTATATCTAGACAAAGATCTTGGGGTGTTCCAATTCCTTGTTTTTACCATAAACAAACAGGCCAATTTTTAATGAATCAAGATACTATTACTCATTTAATTCAATTGCTTCTAAATGGCACCTCTCTAAACTCTTGGTTTCAAGAAGAAGAAGATATCTCATACTGGTTGCCAAATTCCTACAAATCAGAAGCACATAATTACACAAAAGGAAAAGACACCATGGATGTCTGGTTTGATTCAGGTTCAAGTTGGACATTAATTGAACTGTATTTAAACAGCCAAAATTTATTAAACTCCAGAAAATATCTAGCTGATGTCTATTTAGAAGGCTCAGATCAGCATAGAGGCTGGTTTCAGTCCTCTTTACTAACCAAAGTCGCTGCAGGTTCTTTGTTACCTGAAAATAATCTTGACATGTCTTTTGATAAACAGGCACCTTATAAGACAATTATCACTCACGGTTTTACTCTAGATGAAAAAGGTCAAAAGATGTCCAAATCAATTGGCAATACTATTTTACCAGATGAAATCATACTTGGAAAAAAAGGGCTTAAACCACTTGGTATAGACGGTTTAAGATTATGGGTTGCACAATCTGATTTTACTCACGACATTTCAATTGGCCTAACTATTATGAAACATGTAACTGAAAACTTGATAAAAATAAGATTTACATTTAAATTTTTATTGGGCAATTTAAATGACTTCTCATATGAAAAAGATGCCATAGAATATGAAAATCTTAACCTAATTGACAAATATTGTTTATCAAAAATTTACAATCTATATCAAAATGCTCATTCTGAATATTCTGTCTACAACTATAAAAAATTGATTCAGTTGATAAACAATAATATAAACATAACTTTATCTTCATTATATTTCGATGTATGTAAAGACAGATTATATGTGGATGGTATCGATAGTCTATCTAGAAGATCGGCACAAACGGTTTTATTTCATGTTTTAATGATATACTTGAAGATTTTATCTCCTATTTTGCCATTGATGACTCAAGAGGCCACCGATAATATTCCAATAGAAATGGCAAAGATTTTTAAAACAGATGGTTTCTTTTCCGCTTATCAAATTCAAATTGAAGATTATTTTAATGAAAAGTTCATAAATGGAAAAATCGAATCATTTATCGATGATTACGTTTCAAAATTAAAGGACCAACTTTTATTGATGCTTGAACAAGGAAGAATACTTAAGACAATTAAAAATTCACTAGAGTCTCAAGTTCAATTGGTTATTAAATCAGGGAGTGAAATGGTTTACTGGAATTTACTTGAGAAAGAAATGGGTGAAAAGGGATTGAGCGATTTACTTTTAGTTTCGAATGTTAGATTTGTTGAAGAGATACCAGAAACAATTGATTCAAATTTATTGTATGATTATAGACAAACTTTTGAGATTGGAGGTGATAAATTTTTAGCAAGAGTTCTACCTTCAGAAGATTTTAAATGCCCGAGATGTTGGAAATATACAGCCAAAAAGGAAAAAACATTATGCAGTCGATGCGATGAATTAATAGACTGAGAATTTGATGTATTTGAAATTAAAAATATCATTTGTATTATATTATTATTGTACATAGAATAAATTACATATTATATATAGTTGTATATATATAAAAAATACTTGCATAAGTAGACTAAAAAATGAGAATATTTAAACCAGCAATTGTGAAACCGAAGCTCATACGAAAACAGAAAAGAAATAAACTGAATATTAATAGTGGAAAATAAAACCAATGTTATATGAACGAAAAACCCTTATTTTTTTGTATTTTTTTTTATTTTGTATTTTTTGGATAAATGCAGATAATTAATAGCCAAGAGTGACCTTTAGGATGAAGGTTGCAATAAATGGAATTGAAATGAATAAGATTGGATATTGACACATTAAACAGAGAGCAAAAGAATCCAATTGAAAATGATTATAATTTTGATCTTTATTATCAATATCATCATTATTGGAAGTAGAAGGCGTATAAAAAGCAGTCAAATAAATTTGTGCAGTGAAACTTGGTAAAGACCATATTAAAACTATTACAAAACATAGCATTTTTGAATTTGGATCAGCAGTATCCAACCAATTGAAATTATTTAATAAACCAGTTACCCATGTTATTCCAATAATTGGAAACAAACATAATTTTATTATTGCTAAGAGAACAGCAGTTCTTGAAAATTTTTTTAAGATTTTGTTGGAAGTGTTAAATTTTAATTTACCCAAGCTACCACCTAATAATAGTAAACCAATTGGAACTTGGGCTGAACCAATATAATAGGTAAAGTCGATAAACAATTCTAGAGGAGGCTGATCATCGGGAGCATTTGGAATATTAATTGAATCATCTTCGATAAATAGTACTCTGACCCATGGTATCAATGCGATTGTTAAGGAAATTAATAATGAAAGTGCAATAGGCTGTAAAAAATTAGAGAAAAACTCGTAAAAAATGGTATAAAGAGTGTGAAGGATTATCTTTTTTTTACTTTTTTTGGTATTCTCATTAGTATTATCATTAACAAGAGCAGTGCCATTATTATTGATATTATTAAAAATTTCGTGTTTTTCGTTTGTGTTTTGAATGGGTATGGAGTGATTATTATTATTATCGGTAGTAGTAGTAGGTGCAGTAGTATTAATAGCAGCAATAGTAATAGAAGATTTTTTGTCTACTTTTTTTGGTTTAGTTTCATTAATTATTCCAATATCAGTAATTATAGACCTTTGGTCATCATTATAGAAGTGATTGATAGGAGCAGCCAGTTGTTCAAGTGAAGGTAAGGAAGATTGAGAAACAACAGTTGATGCAGATGTGTATTGGTAAATATCTTCAGGGTGAAGATCAATATTTGAGTTACTAGAGATTACAGCTTGAATTGGATTAGTTTGGTTATAAACAGTTGATCCAGAGTGATTAAAGTCAAAATTATCATTATCATTATCATTAGTCGGTTGAATGTTGCTAGTTATAATTTCGTTGACAATTAATGATTTTTCTGGATCTTTATTTTGAATTGATTGTCTTTTTTTATCTTGAATAAAATCATATTGGATTAGTTTATAGCCGCCCAAATTAAAGGTTAAAAACACCAAACAAGCCATAAAAATACAGATATATGCGATTCCTTTTTCGCCTTGAGATTGTGTGAATATTAAACCAGAGGACAACGTCTGAATATAGGCAATTGGTATATCGCTGACATTTTGAAACATGCAAGCGGCTATAAAACCACCTTTAAATCTTTTGGGAGTTAAGTTTAGCAATATGAAAGGCATGCTTATGAGGAAGCCACCAACGTAGAGCAAAAAGGAGGATAAGCATATTATTCCAATGGCTTTCAAGTCGTCGATTGAAATATTGGAAATGACTTTGTTAAAAATTAAACAGGGTATCAAGATGTTTAGCATGATGGTTGATAAATGCTTTGTAGTCTCGACATTAAGGATGTTTTTCTTACCAAGATAGATACCACAGCCAATGATAAGATACATCTTAAGAATTGGTTTGATGCAGCACCATATCACAGCACCCAACGACAACGACATTGATTTCTGAATTATAGAATTATTGAATTATTGAATTTTTGTTGTTGTGTTAATCTCGATGGAAAAAAAACAAAGAAAAGATGGAATAGAATCAAACAGAAAAGAGAAGATAACAAACGATATATCAGAGGCCAAAGAGGATCGTTAGGCAGAAGTTTTCCAATAACAAAAGAGATTTGGCAATAAGCAGATTTGGCATTAAGCAGAAGTACCACAAATATAGTACTTCATTTTGGTGGAAAACAGCAAAGTGGTTGTTTTTATATTCGAGAGAAAAGTGTTTTTGAAACCCAAAGCAGTATTGCGGCAATAGGCGGTGTAAAAATTCGGTTATGCGGCTAGAGGCACCGTCCATTACCGAGAGAGCTGGATAAACTTTTATTGTTGAAGGAGGATTTCTATTGTTGCTTTTGTTGCTGTGCTTGTTTTTGTTGGGCAATGAGATCAAGGTCGAGGAGTGATGTGTTGGAGCTGGGCTACATGTGTTTGGCGACGGGAGATAAGAGGAAGGTGGTGGGTATAAATAGAAGTGGTGCGAATATAGGATTTATTAGGATTTATTAGGATTTAGAATTGTTAGCACTATATTATTAAAAGTATAAGATTTATAGGGTTTGTGCTTGGGAATGGTTGAGACTAGACCGCAACTCTTTGAGCAATTTTGATGGTATCGGCTAAAACACCAGCGGCTGTAACTTCAGAACCTGCACCTGCACCTTGAACAATCAATGGGTTGGTGTATCTTTCGGTTTGGATCGAAATGACATTGTCAGAGCCTTGCAACGAAGCAAAAGGGTGAGACTTGTCATATTTAGCAATACCAACAAACACCTTGTTGTTCACGAGGTCGACGCTACCAACAAATCTTAAAACTTTACCTTCATTTGCAGCATCAATTTTTTGTTGTTTAATTTGGTCATCGAAGTTTGGCAATTGACTCAAGAAATCAGCCGTTGATAAAGTTGGAGAGGATAATTCTTTTGGAATCAATGATTCGATATCCAAATCATTCAATGAGTTGATTCCGAAACCAGAAATTCTGGCCAAAATGATAACTTTTCTGGCGACATCTAAACCACCCAAGTCATCTCTTGGATCTGGTTCAGTGTAACCTAATTCTTTGGCTTTCAATACAATGTCACTGAATTTAATGTCATCAGACTGAGAAAACGAATTGAAAATAAACGACAATGAACCAGAAAATATACCCTCAATTTTAATAATTTTATCGCCAGTTTGGATTAAATCGTTCAATGTGCCAATAATTGGCAATCCAGCACCAACAGTTGCCTCGTGGTAGAGCAACGCAGTGTCATTTTTCTTTCTGGATTCGTTGAATAGTTGTTCCCATAACGAGTAGTTGTCAGAGAAGGCCTTCTTATTGGGAGTTGCAATCGAAATCTTGTTTTCAAGAAATTTTGGATAAGATTGTGCGATAGCCAAACTTGATGTGTTATCGACTAAGATGGTTGGTAACTTAGTGATCGAGCTTTGCTCTTTCAAAAACTCTAGCAAATCGGGAATCGAAAGCGATGGAGTCTTTGAGCTTTGCAAAGCAGAGGCCCAGTTGTCTGCTGAAAGTCCAGTTGGAGCTTTCAAAGATTGGTCAGCATTACCAATGTAAATGACATTGTATTTAATTGACGAGGACATTCTAAGCAATTGGCTCACAAAGGCAGAGCCAACGACACCGGTGCCAACAATTGCAACGTTAACAGACTTGACCATTTCGACAACAGTTCACAGCTACTCAATACCCAGGTAAATATGATGGAAAACAATCTCCTCTACGAGTTATATACCATCAGAAACAATATAAGGATAAAAGATTTTTGCGATGAGTCAAACTGGCCAATGATATGGGGCAATTTCACGTGTGCTGCTCATCTTCTGGACCCAGAACTTTGAACAGCTTTCGGTCGAAGAGCCCTCTCTGCAGACGCATTTCGAGTTGGTGGCACTGCAAAAGAGCAGAGACATTTCGAGCTGGGGTACTGCTCTTTTGCACTGTGGAGATTGGCAACAGAGGAAGCAAAGGAAGCAGAGGAAGCAGCACCGAAAGAAGCACCATTGGCTGACCCACACCACTGGCGACAGGGGCAAAGGAAGCGAAACTTCGAGAGCGAATATTTTGAGGCCTCTTTTCGCTATTCCTCTATGGGTCGAGCAGATAAAGCAGATATTATCCAGAGCGATAAGAGTGTTGGTGGAGGTGTTTCTTCGGTAGTATACAGCCCTCAATTGCACTGGACTACTGTTGTGCTATTTCTGGCCATCCCTTGTTCCTATGTCTTGCTCACTTCCTTTTCCAATGGCAAAGATGATAAAAGTATCTATAGCTGCCAGATTGTCCAGTCCCAACAACATCTTGCTATTGAGAGCAAGAAATTGCATCAATTACTACAACTCTGGAAATCTCCAGTTTAAGAGGTCTTTTTTGAATATTCCGGATCTTTCAAATTCAAATTCAGACCTAAATGGCAGCAATGGTGGTGCAGCCACTGGTTCCTCTGGCTCGGATTTTAAAGACAATAGCGATGGTTCTCAGCATTATTTGATCAAGAAGAAACTAAATCATCCTCCCGAGGTTCTATTTGAAGTTGTTTCGGATGTTTCTTCTTATCAGGAATTTGTCCCATACTGCAAAAAGTCCTTTATCTCGAAAACAGATTCAGATAATTTGGATTTGCCAACTGAAGCTGGTTTAAGAGTGGGCTTTAAACAATTCGACGAAACCTTTGTTTGCAAATTAAATTGCTCCAATGATTCCAATAAAAGAATCGTTATAGCTGAGAGCTTATCCCATTCCTTGTTTGATAATTTGTATACAAAATGGATAATACTAAACGACCCTACAAACAATTCAAACAAATGCGAAATCAATTTAATTCTAGAATATAAATTCAAAAATAATATTTATAATATGGTTAGCAAACTTTTTGCACAATCTGTCACTCAGATAATGCTTAGAGCTTTTAATAATAGAGCTGCTCATGTTAGAAACCAAAAATCATTAGACCAAAATAATAAAAATTAATACCAATTAATAGCAATAAATAAAAATTTAAACGAAAACAAATACAAAAAACAAACTAAAAAAAACTTTCAATACCCATTTTCATATCATATATGCCTTTTTTTTTTCTTTTTTTCTTTTTTTCTTTTTTTAATCTTTTAGACCATTTATACCGTCTACTTGGTCTATATATTTTTACATAGAGTATTGTTCACTTACAAATCCAATATCATGCCTTTTGGCCCATTGTTTAAAATCGCTATTCAATGATTTTGGTCCACACGAAATTATCCATTTCCCATTATATTCTATATCACTGATGATATTTGCATCATTAGAACTACTGGGACTTTCGGGATCATCTAAAAGTTGACCCAAGCAGACATTTAGATTTGGTCTTCCATAATGAACTTTAATAGGTTTTTCATCAATTGGCTGATTTTCATACTTATGAAAATTGTCATCATCTTCATCTTCGTTTTCGTCTTCACTAAATCCAAAATTCCCATTGATGGGGCTTGAAATACCACTTTGACTTTCAATATCTTCAGGAGTACTTAAGCTAAACAGTGGAACATTTTCATTTTCACTTTTCCATTTACCTCTTTTTTTGTTATTGTTTTTAGAACCTTTTAACAATTCATCTTCAATATTAAATTCATCAAGATCAATTTCTTCCAAATCACCTTCGTCAATTCTATGTGAATCTGATAACTTTTTGTAGCTGTTGTAATTAATACTTGACGCAATGGTTCTTATAGTCTGTATTCCTCTCATTGACATTTTTAAAAATGATTGTTTTTTAGGACTACTAATATTATTGATATCATTGTTATTTGAATGAATAATGTTTTTGTTAAAGTTGTCTTCGTTATTACCAAAAGAAGAATTTTGTCCGGTGATATAAATATTAACATTAAACTTTTTATTTTGTTTCAATAAACCTAATTCTTTTAATACATAAATATCATTTTTGTTTCTTATCACCCAAATAAATTTAATATTAAAACCTTTGGTATGGAGTAGATCGTATTTGTTTTTTTGAAGTAAATACTGATAGATTGGTAATCCAAATGAGATGCCGGAGCCTCCACAAACAATTACGCTTTGCTTGACTTTATTAAAGAAGGAATCATGAATTGAAGAATATGGGCCCAATAGTGAATAGTTTTTATTCAAATCAATTTCAAATTTGGTTTTTTTAATAATTAGCACAATCTCTTTATTAGATGAAATTGTATAAGGATGAGATGGAGCAAACAAATTAAAAGGATTTTTTTTAAAGCTATTTGCAAATCTTATATGCGAACCAGGTATCCATTGCCAATTTAAAACCGAATTATTGATGTAAACTAGAATCAAATTGGATTTTTCGTTTTTCTTGATTGTGATTTCATTGGAAGTGTTTGTAATTAAATTTGACATAAAATATTTGTGTAGTGATTGATAAAGCAATAAAATAATTGCAATAGCCGAATAAATATTCACACCAGGTCTTGCATGGAACGAAATCAATATCAATGTTATCCAAGCGACTAAATAATGGAAGATATAGAACAAATCATAAAACCTGGATCTAATTGGTTTCAACGATATTGTCAAAACAAGAGAAAACAATATAAAAGTTATGAAACCCAAGAAATTTAAAAACTTGAAATTCTTTGCGATAAACAGTTTTTCCATTGACCATTTGACAAAATAACCAACTCCATGAGCTATTGAAAAAAAAATAATCAACCTTGAGATCCATTTGTGTAAATTTGTTAAATTTAGGTAGTTCAATTTTGGTAGAGGAGATGGTTTAAGTGTCAAAAAAATGTTAAAGGGAATCAAAGCATAAGACAACCTTCCAAATCTCTTAATCAACCCAATGTAGTTTGATTTCTCAAATTTGATAAAACTTATGCCCAAGATTATGACAGACCAAATGAGAACTTGTGCATATAAGGGCAATTCATTCAATTTTTTGACAAATCTCTTTTTTCTAGCTGATATTGATAAGCGATTTGCAGTTAAGTGTATTCTCACATATAAGAAATTCACGAGAAATAAAAGCACAGTGTAGAAGATTGAAGCTGCAAATATCATGTAACCGTATTTGACATTGGCATGATGATGCCCACCATGTCTTTTGGCTAGAGTTTCTGTTATTGATTGCAACGAAGAGCCAACTGGAGCCATTGGAGAAGAATCGCAGCGTTGAGAGTCGATGAGATGGAGGAAGGAAATGAGAAAGATCGGAAAGGAAGGAAGAGGTTATATATCGGGTTCAAAGTGATACAAAAACAGCACGAGAAGAGCTCCACCAATGAGCTGTGTTGCTTACTCACCTTCTGCTCAGGCAGCAGAAGCAGCAGAGAGGTTATGGGACTTCGATCTACACAAAGAGAAGTTGTATCAGCAATTTCTATTAAGAATATGTACACTTCATACAGGCGGGACAAAACTAGCTAATCATTTCAAGGGCTTTATAACATCGTCGACATTGGTGAAATATTTTTCGTAGAAGTTCAACTCATCGTATCTTCTTGGATCCCCAGGTCTTTTGGCGACTATACACCAGAGAGTCCCAAACTGGTGCCTTTTTTCTTCAACGATTTCGACCCCTGAATCATCTAAAATTGCACCAATATCTAAATTAGCTCTGCAGCCCCAAGTGCTCAATCTCTTTGGAGCTCTTTTATCGAGGTAGTTATTGAGACTGCTATATGTACTTCTGCCATGTTCTAGCAAAACTAGTCTGCCTCCAGGCTTCAATAGTTCTAGCATGTTATTTATTGATTTCACCGGATCTTCATGTGAACAAATACCAAATGATTCAATGATAGTATCGTATTTGACTTTGTGGGACTGGGAAACCTTTTCTATCTCTTTATTTTCAATTTCCTCATTATCATGATTATGATCATGATTATGACCATGGGTATTGCTAATGGCATTGCTTTCAGTATCTGTATGACTATTATTTTCAGCAGTGTTTCCAGCTAATTTGAGTAGATCTTCAGCTCTACCAACCACAAATGCAGCCTTTTTATAAAATGGAAACTTTTCTCTAAATTTTTTGTTTGTTTCATTCATCATCTTTGGCGATGAATCAAGGTAAGTAATTGAATCGATATTTGTGGGCTTAAGATATTTAATATTTCTACCGGTACCTGAAGCTACTTCTAAAACATCACCATGAGCGTTTTTCATCAACCATTTTCTTCTTGATCCAAGGCCTAAGAAAAATTCCTCTGTTCCAATCTCAGAATCGTAGCTCGATGCCTTATCATCGAAAAACGGCGAGGTATCTCTTGCTGGTAACATTCTTTTCATGTATTCTAGATATTCAGGCAAATCATCGTTATTAATTGTAAAGCCATTAAATTCTTTTGTAGCATCAAAATGTTCAATAAATTTTTTGTTCTTGTTTTCGGGATTTGAATAAAATTCGGTTTCTTTTTCTTTTAAAATCTCTTTATAAGCATTTAATTTTGGTATGTCTCTTTCTCTTAATTTTCCAGTCAATTCTTTTAATCTAATATTTTCATATTCATTAAGATTTTTCTCGAAATCCTTTATCGAATAGGTTTTAAGATTATTACCTTTATCATCTTTTTCGAAACTTGAGTTTAATTTATATTTCTTATTATTCAAATTGGTCAATTCTTTTTGTTTGATGAAAATACCATATAAATGGTAGGAACCATATAATATAAACACAGCATAGGCTAAAACTAAATATTTGGTCAAATTTTTATTGAATTTTTTGGTTTGAAAATAAGCGCCCAATCTGACCATTTTTGATGGGTCTTTTAATTTTTTATTTATCATTTCTTCATGAATTTCTTCATGAGTCTTTTTTCGGCGAACATAGAATTTACTGTTATCATAACTGATATAAGGATCTGTGGAGTTTGATCTAATAAACTGCTTGTTGGAAAAAGATATTGGAATTGTTTTGATTGCAATTGGAGCACTGGCTGAAAAAGCCGAAAGTGGATGGTTTATTTTCAGATTTATTAACCTGAATAGCTGTTGATTTCTCTGTTTGAACATTTTTTTAGAAGAATGATGTATGGTGTTTTGATCAGATTAGTAAGTGGATTAACATAGCAATACACTACAGGCGAGTCAATATGGCATTTAAAAAAAAAGACTGGAGAATAACTCTGGGGATTGAAAATATGGTGGTTTATTATATCTGGTGATAAAAGTGGAAAATCATGAAAAAATGGCATTGGAAGTCAGGTGTTTTGACAATTAAAAGAAGAAAGCGATGGTAGCGGACAAAAAATTAATATATACAAAATGATTGAAACAAATATATAGAGGATGGAGTTTGGTAGCATCAGTAGCCTCTTCTTACAGCAGTGTTTACAGTGTTGATCATTTTCCTGAAATTTTCTTTAAATAGCTTTCTATGTCTTTTCGATCTATCGAGTCTCTTGGTCTCACCACGAGTATAGTGAACTTTCTGGTTTCTTGACAATTCTCTGATATTACTTAATCTTAGTATACTGTTTAATTTGGAATATGCAGAACCAACATCGCCAGCACGAGTAAGTCTAACTGTTCTTCCAGCTATTGGTCCAAACATAGGAAATTTTGCAGCGTCATTTTGGATACTAGTCATGTCAGACGCCGATAGGAAGAATTTGGATTCATCAACTTGGGGTTTAGAGGTATTAGGATCAATTTGGTTAATTGAAACTTTTTTATCCAAAGTTTTTTTTGAAGCGTTTTGTTTTGGCTTGAGTTTTGATTCAGCTTGTTGTTTTTTCGTATTTTTTGAGGCATTTGCTATAAAGGTTAGAATATCCAAATCACTATTTTCATTATTATTATTGGTGTTCTGTGGTTTTGTGGATTTGGCTTGAGCTTTTTTGTCGTTTTTCCTGCCAATTCTTGTAGTATTCTTAGAAAATAGCTGGCCTAATATGTCGGTTTCAATATTGCGCACAACCATGGTAGATTTGAACCTTAGCGAAGACACCACATTTGCTGAAAAGGCAGAGCTGTAGCAGCCTCGTAGCACGTCGTTTCTAGCCAACATAAACATCTTCTGCACTCGCACTCTAAAATATGTCTCCAGAAACATCAAAAGAAGCACCAACACCAAAAGCTCCTTCCCCGAAACACCTCAAAACAAAATTTCACCCACCAGAAAAAAAAGCACGTGACAAAACAGCCTCTGATTGGTCCACAGCAGCTTTTTTTATATATTCAAAGATAAAAGAAGAATGCCCACAACAAAATGGGTATGAAATGACCACGAAATGGGCTGCAAATGCTTTGTTGAGGAAGAACTGGTATTTCTGGTGCTTGCGAGGAGAGCCAGTTTATTGTACATGCACTTGGGGAATCAATGTTTATTTTAAATTGACTAAATTACCTTGTTGTATGTTCTACTGCTCGTCTGCAAGTATTCTTTTCAACCTGATCTCATTATCAGGGCCATTCTTTGAGTTGGTCAACAAGTCTCCACTCAATCTAAAAACACTCACATAACCATCCAAGCTTCCAGTTGCGATATTACTGCTGTTCTTGTCCCAGCAAACCTTGTTCAAACCTGAAACTGCTTCATTGGTGATAATTTCCGAGAGACTTAGGCTGTTGATTCCATCTGAAATGTCTTCTTTACTAAGAGCTTTGTCAAAGTCTCTTGGTCTTATCTCATGTATTGGGGAAATCAAGTCTTTTGTTAAGTCCCAGATTTCCAAAACATTTGAGCCTCCAACAGAGCAAAATTGTGATGTATTATTTGGACGCCATTTCACATCCATAACCACATCGTCTCTTTTAATGTCAAGTACAGGATCTATAGTGTCGACCAGTGAAGGATCAATCAAGTTTCGATTGCTTGAAGAGCTTGACGATCCAAAAATATCAGGTTTGGATGATGACAAATCTGTGCTGGAAGAATACTTCCATAGCTTTATACTCCAATCGTAGCCAGAACTTAGAAAGAAATTTGAAAAATAATTGAATTTAGAAGGATGAGCTGCTAGACTTGTTATCGCTGAAAAACTATGCCCCGAAAATATGTTCTTCAAATCAATACCAATTTTATCAATTGCTGAATTATACCTTTTAACACGATAAATTTTCCCATCTTCGCATCCAACAATCATTCCTGATATATCAGAATTCAAAAAACAAACTGAAGTAGGCGCTAGTTCATCATATCTTGACAAAAAACCTGGGGGTGATCTTAGATATATTGGCTTAGTTACTGGTTTTGATAAAAGATATGGCAACCAGGTACAAATAGTGCCATCTGTGCTAGCGCTTATTAAAGAACCAGATTGCTTATTATCGAGAAGAACATCAGCTTGATCACTATTGTTATTTGTTTTGGAAAAATTGCTTGATTTTATTGCAGGAGAATCAGAAACCCTAATATGATTTAATGAAAATACCGGATGTGCATGAGCATCATTCGAGCCATTTCCTAATGGTGAAGAAAGGATTGGGCTCTTTGAATTGGCCCTCAAATCCCATGCAAAAACTTTACCATTATAACCACCGCCAAATATAATATGAGGAGAATTCTTTGCAAAAATAGCTGAAATAATTGGAGTTGTTGAATAAAATATATACTCAGGAGTATTGCTAGTGTAATTACAATTCCATATCTGAATCACAGACTTGTGGCTGGTTAAGTCATTTCCACTAATATTATAATGATCAAGAAACATGTTTGAATTTGACAATGAGTTCGAATACGCTGATAATAATAGCTCTTCATGAAACAGAGAAAAATCCAATGCAGTTACTGATCTATTCTTTGAAATATTTTTATTATGAAATGATCTTGTTTGATGAATCTGCTCATCTTCATCATCAATATCTAATTCGTTGGAATCTGAATTAGAACTGTCAATCGCATAATCTTTTAACAAATGCCTGTTATCCTCATTCAATGTCCTGTTTACTATTTTAAAACTTCTATTGAGAAATTGATTCAATTTTTGATCTTTCTCGTCTTTATCTTTTTGTTTTAAATTCTCAAGAAATTTTTCAACAGGCATGAAGTTTTTATCATCGTCGTCATCCTCATCAATAAACGATTGCAAATTTCTAGAATTGGATTGAGACTGTTTTAATAGTTCTCCCTGTCTTTTCAATTCTCGTTCTTGAATCTCTTTCTGTATTTTCTGTCGTAATTTAACTTCCAATTCTCTTTCTTTCTGTAGTAGTTCCTCCTCCTCCTGAAACTTAAAATCTATAGTTTGAACTGACTTGTCATATGTGTTTTTTCTTTCTTTAACATCATTTTTAGTAAAATCTGTCTTTTCTTCTATTTTATGGAACAGTGAAGAATCTGCTTCTGTAGTGAGAGGTGACTGAGAAATCAAATCACTGTCAGTTTGTGTTGAGGTGGAGACAAATTTGGCAGACCTGTGTTTGAATTTTGAATCTGAAGTCGAAGAACCAACTAATTGATCCACTAGCAAATTTATGCTGTGGTCATTGAAAATATCCTTTTTCTGATTTATATTCGACCCCAATGATGTATTAGAAAATGAGCTCGCTGTAGAAGTGGACGATTCTGCTATTGAAACAGACGACGATATGGAGACTGCCCTGCCAGAAATATGGACATTTTTTTGTTGTTGCTGCTGTTTTTGCTGCTTATCTAGTTCAATTTGCTTGTTCTTCTGAGCTTCGAGATTCTTTTGTTGTTTCTGTTCTCTGAGCCTTCTCAATTCCAATAATCGCTGTCTCTTTGCCTCAATTTCACTTCTTCTGGTTGACATTTTTTGCATAGAAACAAAAGAAACTAAAAGTTGAGTATGTAGATTTTGAGTTTTTATAAAACCAATCAATTGATGATGTTTTGAATGTATAGAATTGTTTCCTTTAATATATCGACAAGCTATCTGTTGGTGTTGGGTATTTGTTTATATTTTGATGAATAACGGAAGTTTCAAAGTTAGAGTTAACTTTTTACAGTTTCTATTGTTTTTTTTTATTGCAAACGATAGTGAATAATTGAAAATAATTGAAGATAATTGGAAATAATTAGAGATATTTCTTAGCAATCGGGAGAAGAGTGGGAGTAGTCAAGATATAAAATGGATATTGATGATATTTTAAAAGAGTTAGAAAGTGATATTAATTTGAAAAGACCCAAGTCTGTAAATTCAGCTAAAATAAAAGAAGATGAATACAAAAAGTTGGTTCAAATTTGGATATCAGAAAGAATGTCACCAGAGCTACTTCCCTACGAGAGCGAGTTAATAGAGACTATTTTAAAACGATTGCGATCTCAAGTAGAGATAATCGAGTTGAATTCTATAGAATTGGAAAAAAATGACAAAGATATCAAGTTGAAGTTGCTCATCATAGAGAGCGAGATTGAGAGAATCAATTTTTTAGTTCGATCGTATTTGAGGTTGAGATTGTTTAAGATTGATGAGTATAATTTGTTTATAAATAATTCAGATCAAGAGATGGTCAAGCTAAGTAAAAACGAATTAAACTATATGGTTAATCATTTCAAGACGATTTGCCAGTTATACAATGACAGTTTTTTGAAAAATGTGCCAGAACATTTACAATTGTTAGATGATGAAAGTGGAGGGATATCGATGATAAACAAACCAGATTTAGACAAGATGGTTTTCATAAAAGTGATAAATGAGATAGCAGAGGAAATAACAGTTGGAGAAGACGATAAGGTTGAGCTAGAGAAGGATTTTATCTATGCTATAAGATATAGATCAGTTAAAAGATATATAGATAGTAAAGACATTGTATTGATATGACTTGGTGAAGATAAAGCGTATAAGATGAGGATCAGATATCAAGGAAAGCAAGAAATTTTATTAAGTAAAATATACAAATATAAATATTAATTAAAAGTATAAATAAAAGGAAAACAATCAAGAAATAAATAAATCGGGTAAATCAATCAATCAATTAATCAATCAATAAGATAAGATAAGATGAGATAAGATAAGTGAAAAGAATTTTGAAAATGTAAACAAGAACAAAAATGAAAATAGGATAAAAAGAAAAAAAATTTAACAGATAGTTGATAAAGGATCAATATTCAAGATATATAAAACTCCAAAAGATAAATAAAGCCCTTTAAATTGATAAAATAAGCAGCAAAACACAGTAAAAGCAAGGCAGATAATAAAATAATAAAATAATGAGAATATTATATGAAATTACTAGATACACTGAATAGTAGTGGAATTGATGATGATAATAATGGTGTTGACTAAATATATAGTTAGCACCATGTATTATCATTTATTGTCATATATTATATTCGATATGTTATATGTAGTGTGTGTGTGTGTGTGTGATATGTTATACATTATAAGTTATATATTTGTTTTGTGATCAAAAGGTTGGCTATAGCTTATTAGTTCAGGATCTATTAGAGCTTCAACTGGTTTATTTATTTTGATGTTATTGTGTATGATCTTTGAAGAGTGGAGAATAGATTTTGGATTATTTTCGTTATCGTTATCGTTATCGTTAATGGTATTGCCATTTGATGATTGATTGGGAGAGGTTGAATGATTTGTGTTGTTTTTTATTGTATTGATAGATGAGTCAGTGTTATTGACGTCATGAAGGTGATCAATGTTATTGAAGATATTGAAGTTTGATTTATTCTGTTTTTGGTTGTTGATCAGGGCGTCAATTTGATTGTTGTTCTGATGGAAATTCTGGTTATGGTTATTTATGTTATTTTCAATTTCGTTTTCTATATTGCCGTCGTTTTTGATATCATTATCATTGTCATTGTCTATATTACTTTCATTGTCGTTTTCGTTATCGATTTCGTTATCATTTTCGTTATCATTTTCGTTATCGTTTTCATTATCGTTTTCATTATCGTTTTCATTTTCATTTTCATTTTCATTTTCATTTTCATTTTCATTTTCGTTATCACTATTGTTATCATGATCTATATCATGATTATTGCCATGATCTATATCATGATCATTGTCATGGTCTATATCATTATCTATATCGTTTTCGTCATAGTTTTCATTTTGATTGTCTGTATTGTTGATATCGTTATTTATTTCTGGGTTATTACTAAAAGTGGACATGGTATTGTTCATATTTTTGATTGCATCTTGTATAATTTTAAAGTCGTCTAGTAATTCACTATCAGGGTTTATAATTGAGTTATTTGTGATATTGTTGTTACTGTTGTTGTTGTTGCTGTTATTATTATTATTATTATTATTGTTATTATTATTATTATTATTATTATTATCATTATTATTATTATTGTTTATATCGTTGTTTAAAAGAGGATTATGAAAATTGTATAGCAGATAAAATTGGGAGGCTTCTAGAGGATCCTGAAAGGAAATGTTATTATTTATGATGTTATTATTTATGATGTTTTCATTAACTTGGTCTTCATCGTCATCGTTATTGTTGTTATTAGCAGTGATGGTAGAATTTGTGGTACTAGCGTTAGTATTGGCAATATTATGGGTGGTATTGGGATTATTATCAGTGGAAATGGAGTTGTTTTGGGTGTTAGAATTGGGGATGGCAGAATGTTCAAGTTTGTAGGCAAAAGGGATTTTTGCGCTGAAGAGGTTCATGTGTTTTGACATGTCCAGATAGGAATTTTTTTTCAATCTTTTGTTCATTGAGGAATTGCCCATGATTGCCTCAAAGTTGTTTAGTTTGATGTTGATGTTGTCGTTGTCGATATCATTTTCGTTGTCTATATCATTGTCATTGTCGATTATGTTGTCATTTTCATTATAATTGTCGTTATAATTGTCGGTGTCGTTATAGGAATGGTTGTAATTGTGGCCATCATAGTCTGTGAGGTTTGAGATGATGGTGTTGTTTGAGAGGTCGTGGGATTCGTTTGGGGCAAGGAATCTGTTGTTGTAGGTATTTGGGTTGGGATTGATGGCGATGTCGTTCAAGGAGTCGACTTTTCTGTATAGTCGTGGGGGGTGTCTTCGTCTTTTGTTGGGGTTGACGGATAGGTTGTTTGAAATGTTGATTATGTTGCTGCTTTTGTGGATCTGGCTTGTGGTGGTGGTGGAGGAGGAGGAGGTTGTTCGTAGACTAGAGATGTCGTTGTAGGTTGTATCCAAGGTGGAAGAGTCCTTGACGTAGTCAGCAGAGGAAAAGACAGTGGCATCAGGCGAGTCCTTTAATTTTTCAATGTAGATGCACTCATGGTTGGTTTTGAAGCAATTAAGACAGTAGGGCTTGTTCTTGGTGCACTTTCGCTTGAGTTTTCTGCACTTCTGGCAAGCGTTGAGGGCCAATAGAGGTTGGTTGGAGAGCTTGTCGAAAAAGATTCTGGCATTGAACTGGCTGAGGACCTCTTGTTGTTTCAAGGCAGCATTTCTGCTGGTGTGGCTCAAGGACTTGACGTGAAAAACAGAGGAGATGTTAATGTCTGTGGTCTTGCTGTTGATGGAAATATGGGAGGAGTTGCGGTTGTTGATGTTGGAGCCATTGGAGTTGCTGTTGATGTTGATGTTGGCATTGTGGTTGGAAGCCGTTGAAGAGCGGTGGGAGGACGTTGAGGTGAGGGCCATTTCTAGCGCAGAGAAGGCGGAGGACGCAGCGGAGGGCGGTTCACGCAGCAGAGGCAGCAGGGGAAGCAGCAGGATCAGGGCAGACAAAGCTGGAGAAGCAGCAGGGGAGGGCGAAGGAGAAGGAGAAGAAGAACAGGAAGCAGGTAAAACAAACACTGCTTTTCTGTTTTTTCTGCCTGTTCGGATCTCGCGCCCTCGGCCCCGGCAGTCTCATCCCGTGACCTTCACGTGCGTAGACTCAGCTTAAGAGCAACTTTTCTGCTTCCTGTGCTGCGTGTGCTTCGTGTGCTTCTCGTCTGCCATGATTTCTGCTGCCTCTGCTGCCTCTGCTGCGCGCGCACTCTGCCGCTCCTTGCCGCCCTTCCTCGTCCAGGGCCCTGCTTTTCCCCTGCTCTCCTCCTCCTCGCTCCTCGTCTCGTCCTCTTCTGTTGTCTCGCCCTTCTTTGCTCCCAGTCCTCTTCTCTCGTTGCAACGTCGTTGGAAGGCCAGAGGTAACACGTATCAGCCCAGTACCCTCAAAAGAAAGAGAAGGTTTGGTTTCTTTGCCAGAATGACCTCGCGAACTGGAAGAAAAATCATGCAACGAAGAAGGAGCAAAGGTAGATGGTACTTGACTCACTGAATCGCATCTTCTCCCTCCCACACCATATGCTCATTCCTACCCAATGGATTGGTTATTTGATTGATTGTATATCCATGTACATAGTTTCTCAACATTTTCTTTTCCTCTATTCTCTATTCTCTTCTCTCTTCTCTCTTCTCTCCTCTGTATTTTCGTCCTAATAAATTCCAATTAGAGTTTCACTCCGTTACCCGCTCCAGTCTCGACATGAAAAAATGAATTTCAACCTCACAGTTCAACATGACGACAAAAGTAAATGATATAATACAAATCAACCAACCAACCCCAGTGTGCCTGCTTTGGCTTGTCTCAATTTTTGTTCCTCAAAATGATTTCCTTCTCTTCCTCTTCTTCTATATCCAGGTACATTTCCCTGGCGAATATTCTCAGCAATATCCGATCCTTTTCCACTCTAAACTCATATCTTTTTGCTTCCGAGCTTTCACAACAAGTCATTGCCAGGCAAAAACAATCGAAATCAAATAAAGAACAAATCGCTAAAAGAAAACAGCAAAGGTTCATAAGACGTCGTTTACGAGCCCGTTTGTCGCCCTCCTTGTCCCCCTTTTACATGAAAATACCCCAAGCTTTAAGATTCCTAAGAGCTGCTGAAGTCGGTAGATCTCCCACCGAAGGTACCATCTCTGTTAATTGCGACATTGTCATGGATAAATCTAGTATCCCTCTAAACTCATCTGTCAAACTTCCTCACCCTTTGAAGGAAATCAACATCATGATCTTCACAACCAAACCTGACCAAATAAAACTATGTGAGAATTTATCAAACATCAAATACATCGGCGGCTTGGATTTAATTGAAAAAATCAAAAACAACCAAATCGACATATCAAATATCCACAAGTCTTTTGCAACTTCAGAGATGGCTACTCCACTAACTAAAAATCTAGCAAAAATTTTAGGTCCAAAGGGCTTACTACCCTCAGTCAAAAAAAACACAATCAACGATGATTTATCAACCTTTCTAGATTCCTCTCTATCCTCTGTCCCCTTCAAACAAAAGGGTCTCTCTGTATCTGTTGCTGTTGGTAGATCAAACTTCTCTGATGCTCAAGTATACGAAAATGTATTAGCCTTCTCAAAGGCTGTTCGTGATGCCATAACCCAACAAAAAGCTAAAAGACCTTCCATCCTTGCTCAAGCAACCATCTCTACTCCTCGTGGTCCAGGCATTGTTATTGATTTCTAATTTCCTTTTTCTAATTATATATTTCCATTTATAAATCTTGTATATATACTAATTTGAATTAGCCAATCAATAATAAAATCATCATCACCATCATCACCACCACAAATATAAAATCGTCCATATCATGCATGTTGATGCAAACAACACATATAAACGCACATCACATGACATCATCCACAATCACGGTGCCCTCAGATATCACACCACGTGATACAGACCTTATAAAAACTTGTCAAAATCCAGTTTCGAACTATTAGATCACATCAAATATAATCAACCATAATTAACAACTACAATTAATACTTATAACTAACTAGCACAATATTCAGAATAATATTTCAAACAGCTTTTACAACATAAATGTTCCCACAATGCAAAATAATAAATCCTCTTTGCTGAAAGACACTAAACAAAACATAAACATCCGTATAAAAACTTATCTCTCTTTTGTCTTCACAATACTCTTCATTGGAACTCCAATATGGCTTTTAACAACTTCAATTTATAGAGCAGTTTTGCCAATTGATCAAATATCAAAATACAATTTCCAGAATCTATTGACACATAACAACATATCCATAAACATCCCCATATACATAAACCTACCTTCCTCTGATATGGATTCCTTACTCTCAAATTCTCAAACAATAATTAATAACGACCTTGCTTCTCTAATCAAAAACTCTCAATTAACGAACCCAAATCACATCTATAACCATCTAAATTGGTCAATTACTCTAAAAAACCTTAAAAGCCAACATCCTATCCCTCAAATAGACAAAAAGAACAACTATATCCTAAATCTAAAATACACTGATGCAAATGAAAGCTATTTTATTTCACCCTTTTCAAAGGAATCGACCATCTACTATACTGACAATATTGTAGCAACCAACTATGTTGCTGATTTTATTTCAAAATTTATACTAAATCACCTACTTGAATCTGAAATTGATTACTACTTTCCTCAAAAAAAACAAGATGATCAAAAACAAGACACAATAGCAATTCATGCTCCAAACTATCATTTATCATTTTCATTACTATATGGTGATGGTGACGATTTGAACTGGGATATCCAAAACGCCTTTGATACTTATTTAAAACCTTTATTCAATCATTTGTCCTCCTTCACAAACTTAACAGTTAATTCCCAAATTCAGTTTTATTCTCAACTATCCTTCGAGCCAACCTTTGATCTATCCAAAAATGCTTATATCTTAAAACAATCTGATATTGCCACTTTTATTAATCACGATGATTGGAATTTAGATAACTCTTTAATATCTTCAAATTCTCAATCACATACTTCTTTCATAAACTTGATTCTTTATATTCCTTCAAAGACTTACTCCCCATTACTAATCCAAAATTCAACTTCCAATTCTTTCATTATCCCACAATATGGTGCTGTCAAAATCCTTAATTGGAATACTACCCAAAATGGCCCAAATTTATCTAAACTTGATTTGCTTCCAGTAATGGAAATCTTCACTTCTCATATTATTACTCTATTTGGTTTGCCCAAATTACCCAAATCTCCCTATATCAGATTTGATATCTTAACTAGGTTTCTATCAATTCAAAACATTTTTAAATCAATCAACAACCTATCTTCTTTGATGAATTTATCTCAAAGTCTAAAAAATATTGCAATTCCGGATAAAACCCTATATCATGTTCAGCAAACTTTAAATCTAATTGACAAAACAATATCTTACTTGAATAATGGAAACTGGTCTATTGGTTGTAAAACAAGTAATGAAGCTTTAGTTCAAAGCGATTCTGCCTTTTTTGAAAAGGAAATGGTTCAACAAGTTTATTTCCCTGAAGAACATAAATTTGCTGTTTATTCTCCATTATTGGGACCCGCCCTCACCATATTATTTATTGGCTTAATTAGAGTGCTACAAGATTTTCGTTAATTTTTTCACTGTTTTTTTTCTTTATTAAAATTTTTTTCTTTAATTTGCATTATTTACTTTAAATTAGAAATTTTTTATTAGAAATTACTAGTAAATATTTATATTGTTTCGATTTATAAATTGTAATACTTATGTTTGTTTTTTCTTTTTACTTTTAGTTTTATCCTCACTTGTTATCCAACTGGCATCTAAACCTTTACTTATTAACAATTCAGTCACTAATTTAATATGAGACCCTTGGACTGCCACTTCCAAAAGATTAGGATTTTGAACGCAAGGTCCAATGGTCGTTGAACCTGAACATTTAACTCTTAATTCTTCTGCAAAGGAATCTGATCGAATGAAAAATTTCTCAAAATTTGTAATCTTTGTAACATTTTTTCTTCCAATTTTAGTTTCTGCAACAATTGACACCTTAGGAGCTTTTCCTCTTGTTGGCGAAACCTCATTTTCATCTTGATCCGGTTTTAACACTCTATAAAATTCAGTGAACCCTTTTAACAATTCATTAAATATTTTATCTCTGCCAATAGCCTTGCTCTTAGCAGTCTTTGGAAAATTAATGATAGAGCTTAAAGTGTCGTCTAGAACAATGCTTCTTTTATCATTTGGATGAAAAAGCTCTTGTTTATTAATATACTCAACAAGTATTTCTCTCAACTCTTTATTTGTATAATAACCAATAAAAGGTTTTCCAACTGCTTGAAATACTCCTCTAGTTTTTGAAACTGGTTTCCATAGGGTTTGTAAGATCAATTTTCCAGGTTTTTGAGATTTATTGCCATCTTTACCATTTGCTGCATTGCTTGCACTAGAAGAATTATTGTTGATTTTTTTGATTCGATACGGAATAAATGTTCTGATTTCTTCATTATTATCTCTATTTGACACGCCAGTAATTACAAGATCATCGCCTTTTCCTTTTAATTTTAGAAAATTTTGCTTTTCCATCGCTTTTAAAAATTTGGCACTTTTTTTCCATGAGGTTTTCTTGATTACTAGAAGATTTGAGTTTGAAAGAACTGGTAAATTTTTTTTAATATGAATATCCATAAAGCTTGAAGCATTAATAGGTATATCAATTTTATCTTGGTATAAAGTTTGAAATAATGCTTTTTTGAAAAAATTATCAGTTTCTTCTATGGTAAGTTTATCTGCAATTTCAGCTAAACCTTCTATTTCATCCTTTTCCTTTTCCTTTTCCTTTTTAGTTTCAGTTTCAGTTTCAGTTTCAATTAAATTCTCAAAACCAGTAGATTCATTTTTTGAATTGCTTATTTCTGATTTATCTTTAGTCTCAGATAAATTTTCATCTTCAATCTCATTTGAATTGATATCTTTGCCTTGAACAATTTCTTGGCCTTTTATGTTTTTTTCGCAATTTTTATTAATTGAAGTTTCTTGATTGGGAGTTTCTGAATTATTATAATCTTTAATTTCAATAGATTTAGGGATTTGAGTTTCGTCTTTTGACAACAACTTGAGATAGTCATCAAAGTGATGAATTATTTGAACTGCGATGCCACTTTTACCAATAACGTCGTCATATTGGTGTAAATTCAACAAACATTTGCCAACTGCAATACAAACGTTTGGTGATTTGTAATCAGCAATAGCAACAAGTGCATTCTTTTTACAGGCTTTGTCAAATGGAGGGAGTGAGCCTGGCAACATTAAATTAGCACCATTTTTGATGTTTTTAATCACAAGTTCATGAGTGAAGACAAAGGGCAAAATGTAAGGACATTTCCATAGAGTAAAAACAGTTGGAATGTAATCAACAAAATTTCTGGTTTTAAACCACAAGACGTTTTGTCTTTCATCAGTATAAAGTGTGCCTGTAACACCTCTTTCAGACTTGAAGTTTGAGTTTTTTGTTATAGTTGGAAAAACAGTTTTCTCGTCTTCCTGGTGGATATTGTACTTGGAGTTGATGAGACTAAAAATTCTTCTTCTTTCTGACGATTTTAGGTTGGAAAAATTTTTGACCTAGAAATCAAATGGTTAGTTATTAATGTGATCAGGACAACTAGAAACATCTAGAAAAGCTCATATTAAATCAGCATACATTGGGATTTTTTTTGAAAACAGTTTGTAATGAAGGATCTAACGACATTTTGAGATGGTTATTTGCTGGGAATCAAAAACAAACCTTTAATTCTCTTTGCTGGAGTTTTTTTCCCATTGCTGAAAAAGTCAATTTCTAAACCGCTTTTTTTTCTCGCAAACAAAAAACACCTCCATCAAAAGTCAAATTCTATCGAATTCTTTGGAAACCAATAGATATCTACCGTTACTTTAACGTTATTTTACTGGATGATTGTTTGGTTAGTCCATTTTGATTGTTCTGAATCTGCGTAACAGGCTTCCAAACAAATATGTCAAAGAACAATAGCTGTGTTGCTGATTACCAAACTGAACATAATCCACAATCTACTTCTCTAGTCAACTACTGCCCTTTTATGAAGATTTTTTTTGAAAACCACTGTTTATAAACTGTATTTTATAGTATTTTGATGGTTATTAACACTAGTGTGTAATTTAAATTAAAAAAAACTCATTTATGATGCAATTTCATCAATTTATGGTTAATTTCATAATAGACTCGAACAAGAAGAATCACTAGGATTATGCAATTTTTTGATTTAAAGAACACTTTTGCAAAACAATTTTTATATTTGCAAGCAAGCTAATGTTATTTTGCTTGAATTGATTCACGTTTGGTAGAACAATGAAAAAAAAGCCATTCCTCCAAAAGACCTACATATTAAAACAACATAATTCCAGTACTAAAATTAACATAATTCCAGCACTAAAATCAACATAAAAAGCTCTTTATTCAATTGAAAAGCCAAAACTGCCCTGGCCTATTGTTCTCAAACACCAAATCAACCATAAAATCTTCTTCTGTGCTGTGGAAATATGCAGGGTCTGTTCAATAAATCTTGTTTTACGGCTTTCCAACTTTTTGGTTTCAAAAACCGAAATAAAAAACACAAAAGAAAACACAAACAAAAAGCTACAAAAAATATTCTTTTGCTTAAAATCAGAAGTTTTGAAATTAAAAACACAAAGAAAATTGATTGCAAGTATATCGTTTCAACCGAAAATATAAATTAAATTAAATTAAATTAAATTAAATTAAATTAAATTAAATTAAAATAATATAATAAGGATCAATCAAATGCTAATAAAATTCACAAACTAAAATAAACAGAAAAAAAAGCTCAAATTATCTCAATATAAAAATTGGGGTATATAGTAAATATAATAAATATAATAAATATAGTAGGTATAGTAAATAATTAAAAAAAATCAAAGTAAATAGATAAGAAACTAACGATAAATAATCAACAGTATAACATATTTTACCACACAATGTCTAAGAAAAAATTATATGAAAAAACAACAAAAGAAAACAAAAAAAAATTAATCAAAAACCGAGAATAGTTTCATTATAATAAATTTAAAATGAAAGACTGTTAGAAAAGAAAGCTAAAAAAAGTAAAGAGTAAAAAAAAGAATAAAAAAAACAAAAAAATAAAGAGTATCAACAAAAATATAAAAAAAATACACAAAAACCAAGGAAGAACTTAAAAAAAATTAAAACATTTTTCTATCTCTAAGAAAAGTGTCTTTTATTTACATATCTAATTGAGAGTCTTCTTCCTTTAAGCGGAAAAGATTAGATTGTGTTTGCCCACTATGAATGTAAGTAGCAAGGTATTTTGATGAAGAAAAAGAACGGGGCATAGTTTTACCACTTAACTGTGTCTTGCTCAACAGAGGAGGAATACTAGATCCATCTCCATTTTCATTTTTGATTGTAGAGGCTGATTCATCTCTTGTGATTAAATTTGTAAAAGAAATTGACCTATCCACCAACTTGGCCAAATAATCATAAGATTCATCATGGAGTAGTACTGGATCATCAAATTTAATAGAATTTAATCTTTGAACTTTATTAATGTATGTTTGCTGATCGATACCTTGGATATTTAAGTCACTTGGAGAATACCATAATGGCAATCTTTTTTCTTCGATTATTTCTTCTTTTTCCACTGGTTCACTCCTGACTTTATCTTCCAGTGAAAATGATTCCGATTCCCCAAATGAATCTTCATCATTTTCTGAACCATGGTGAAATTCTTCAGTATTTTTGTACTTAAAAACTTCTGGTGTTTTCTTGACAACTTCATTTTTGATGAAAACGTGCTGGGCCTCTGCTATTACAATTGATCGTCCAATGTCTGTATCCATTGATACTTTACTTTTTGATGTTGACGTGGTTATTGCTGGGCTGTAAAATTGGTTGGCGTTATTATCAACTCCTCCATTAGTTTTATTAAAGATCACATTTTCATGGTTTTCATAATTTTCTGAATTTGGTGATTTTTCAAGTTTAACAAAATTTTTGTCTTCATGATTGTCCGTTGAAATATTTTCATTTGAAATATTTCCATCATCAAGAGAAGTTCGAAATCTGTATCGAACTGGTTCATCCGACCCAGCATCTGATATTTCGTTTATTGATTCCTCAAATGTATGATCAAAATTAGTAGCATTATGAAACTCATTGCTTTCTTCAAATGCCTTGTTTAAATCGCTACTAATTTTCTTTCTTAAAGTAAGTGAGTTGTGTCTTTCAATATTATCCACATTTAAAGAGAAGCCGCTTTCTTTAGAAGCAACAAAATTATTACTAAGATCAGAGCTGGTCCCCATTTCATTAAGAATCTTCTCAAATTTAAAGTCATTAAAATCTGGACTGAAATCTTCAGGTGAATCAAGAGGAGGTAACCCATCGTTAAAAGGGTCCAACTTGATTGCGTGATTCATTATGTCATCAGTTACATAGTTATTATCTGTAATAATGCTTTTGTCAACATCATCCACTGACTGGAATCCAACTTTCAAAATAGGTGTCCTGAATCCTTCAGTTTCTTCTTGCATTTTTTTGTCATCATTTTCTTTCTTTCTCAAATCTGAAATAGATAACTTTTTGCTGTGAAGACCGAGTGATTTAATACTTTTTGACGATGCTATGTTTTTGTTGAATGCTTGAGTGAGAGTTCGTAGAGAAGAATTATCTCGACTGAGAATCCAGTTAGGAGTCGTGTCATTTCCAACAACTGATTCATTTCGTTTCAATTCATAAATTCTAGATTGTAAGTCAGTTGATTCAGCTCTGATCTGAGGTTGAGCAAGAGATGAAAATGAAGAATTGTCTCTTGCAATTTTCCAATTTGATGAGACTTTATTGACTTCCCATGGAGAAAAGTCTTTCATTGTAGAGCTTGCAGGAAAAGGTTCTTGTCCTATTAATTTACTAAAATCTAGTTCTTCTGGCAAATCTTTTTCACCCGACACAATTTCTTTATTTATATCTTTTTGAGTCAGTGAATCCTTTCCATTCAATTTATAAAAAGCAGAAATTGAAGAATTCTCCCTAGCCATGATCCAGTTTTGACCATTGTTATCTTCATCTAAAAAAACACTTGATTCAATAAACGTGGCTTCCTTTGCGCCCATCAAATTTCCAGGATCTGAATGCTGAATCCTTTTGTTAATAGTCCTAGAACTCCCATCAAATTCATTTGTTATATCGCGAAATGTATCACGTTCTTTCACCTTTCTGGTTCCAATTGTTAACTCAATGTTGCTGGCAACAATGGTAGGATCTGGCATTCTAACACTTATTTTTTTTATAGAAACTGGGGAAGGGGGTTGTGGTAAAATGCCTTTCTTGGGTATCAAATTTTCAAGATTTTCAGAATCTGGTGTAGGAGGTTCAGCCAAATTGCTTTGTTTGGGTATTAAGCTGTCTTCTGGTGTAGCTGTTGGCGTTGGCAAATAGTTTAATTGCTGGAGAGGAGAATTAAATGTTCTTGAGACCCCCAATGGGTTTTTGGAAAGCAACAGTCTAGATTGGGAGGTCTCTAATGATTTTATAGTTGGTGCTCCAATTAATTGGGATATTGGTGTCACAGATCTCGATTTGGGCGTATTCATAGGTATCATTTTAGTTCGTGCTGTTGGTGTTGGTGTTGTTGGAAAAACAGGAACTGATCTACTTTTTCCATGTGTTGATGATAATGATGTTTTTTTTTTCACTGACATTTCAATAGAATGTCTTGATTTAGGTGTTAATACCGAGCTTTTTCTATCTATTGTTGGTGTTTTCATAGCATCGTTCAAATTCATATTAGATGCTGTATTGAAAAATCTTGTTATTTTTCTTTTGAGTTTTTTAGGTTCATGTTCAACATTTTTTGCCTTTGAAATATCAGTTAAACTTGCTTTATGTGTTTGAATTGATTGAGTTGATTCTTTTGATTTGTTATAGGAATCTCTAGAAAAAGACTGACTTTCTTTTTTTTGAATTGAACCGTTTGAATCTTGAGTAGAATCATTTGCTATTTTATTCATAGATGACTTTCTTGATTTTGAAGACCTGAATAAACGGCCAAAGAAACTTGGTGATTTAGGAGGCATTGATGGTTTAGAGTCATTATTCCTTTCCAGTAATCTGTTTTTACTTTTACTGTGTAAAATATTCCTTTTATTTAAGTCCAAATTTGGAGAGCTTACTATACGTTTTTTATTTTGAATAGTATTGACTTGCTTAATTTGGCCAAAGTCACTTTCACTAATTGGTCGTCTTCTTACAACGGTGCCAGAATTTGATACTTCTGCGTTATAGTTCAAATCCGCTTTAGGTGTTAAGTTGAAATTATTAGCAATTTTTGCAATTGGAGATTGAACTTGATTTTTTTGAGCACTAGACATACTTTTATTATTTTTCAGAGACACATTTGAGTTATTAACACCGTTAACTCTTTGTTTTATGTGATTTAAAGATTTTGATTTTGGTGTTGTCTGAACATTATTTTCATAGTTGTTTTTATTGATTATAGTAGATTGACTTCTCTTGTGCGCAAGATTGTTTGAATTTGAATTTGAATTTGAATTTGAATTTAAATTCAAGTCCAAATTATTTCCATTGGTTTCATTCTTAATTTTGGTTTCATCGATGTCATGTAAGTTTTTACTAGTATTAATATCAGGCAAGTTTGTTTTTATTTTTATTTTGCTTTCTTCAGATTTGAAGAAACTGCTGTTGATTGTTGAAGAAGATCTTTGATTTATGGTTTGAGTAGAATTGATGGAATTTCTCAGACTTAGCCTTTTTTTGTCGTTTCTTTGAATTGAGTTGGATGATGTTTTTCTTGAACGAGAAGCTTTTGAACAGTAGTATTTTAAATAGTTTGAAATTTGAGAATTTGAATCAATAAAGTCATTTGTCAAAGAGGAATTGCTAATTGAAAGATAGTTTGAGTATAATGTAGACATTTCTTCAAGTAAAAAGCGAGACAAGTCATCAGAGTTTATAATAGAATTTATTATAGAACCATCAATGGTTAAACCGGATATTTTAAGAACGTCATCACTTTGATATTTGACGGATAAACCGGCGTACAAGTTGTGCTCAATTAACAATTTTTGATCAATATCTATATTTAAAAATAAGGCAAATGGAGATTTTGATTTCTCTGAGTTATAGACATTTTGTTCATGTGCAGTTGAATAAATAGAGAAATCGTTTTTCAAATATTTGAAAAGATGAAAGGGAGAGCTTTTGTTTAGAATTTTAGCTTTATTGATTAATTCTATGATTTTATAGCCATCATTTAATTTATTTGGATCGCTTAGTTTATATTTTCTCATGTGTTGGGTTAGCTCTGGTTGATTTGGATCCAATTTGATTCCATTTCCAGTAACAAAGAACTGTAAAAAGACACCATCGTTATAGGTTGAGGGGAAAACATTTGAAATATCGGCCCAACCAGAAACTTTTAGCTTTGGGATATTTGTAATTGGACTTTCATTGATTAGGGAATTCATTAAGATATCTGATATTGATGGGGTATGGATATTGTCATCATAATCTTCATCATTGAGTAGATCAAAATGAAATTGATTTTCGTGGTTTTCATTATCATTATTATTATCATTATCATCTCTGTGATGGTTATTATTAGTATCTGAGTGGATTGTTAAATTTCTTGACCTTGATCTTAGTTTTCTTGATTTTCTTTGTTTTTTCTTGATTTGGTTGTAGTAGTTTTCGTCTATAATTTTTAGGAATAGAATGTGATCGCTAAAGATGATGGTAATTTCATCTTTCATATTATCTACAGACATTAAGTTTTCGCAATCGAAAATGGATATGACTCTTCTGTTTACCCAACCGTATTGAAGGTCGATTGGCCAACCATTTGCTAGTTCAGTTAAGATTTTTCCAGTTGGAGTGAAGACTCTGCTTTCATAAGGTTTTAGTTTATCGTTACCGAATGAGTCTATTGTTTGGATTGATGAGTTGTAGTATTTTGATATTAATTTTTTCATCATTAGAGAGTTTTTATGGTTGTTGACTTTGATTTGATTTGTATTTCTATTAAAGATGTTATTGAGGTTGTTGAGGTTGTTGAGATTGTTGAGGTTGTTGAGGTTGTTGAGATTGTTGAGGTTGTTGAGATTGTTGTTGTTGGAGTTGCTGTTGTTGTTTGAACTGGTAAAGGTGTTTAAATGGGATATTTTTTCGTTGATTAGTCTATTTAGAATTAGTTTTAGTTTAGTCAAGTTTAAAGAACCGTGGATGATTGTTTCAATTCTTCTTTTAGTGAAATAGGAGGTATCAATCCTTTCAGGAATTTGGTGATGGAAGTTGTCTAGAAAGGAGGATAGTTGGTCATTAAAATTTCTTGTTGCAGCTTCGTGTCTCATGTAAGCTTTATAAAAATAGGGGATTGAGGTGCCACAGGCCTTTATGATTTCAAAGGAGCCATAAGGTTGAGCCGATTTTAGGGCGTCTAGGAAGATACAGTTGATTCTTGTTACTTCGTCGATGGTTGGAGGGAAAATTGAATTTAGTTTTGATATTGGTAATTTATCGATGCCATGTTCCAAGACTTTGATTCTTAGTGGAATGACAAAGTTCTGTAGAAAGTTGACCAAATTGATGGTGAAGTTTGTTTGGACAGTTAGTAGTTCCTGGCAAATTGAGGATATTAGATTTGAATCATTGAATATTGAGATAAGTCTTGAATTTTGGTAAAAGGAGAGTGGTTTGTTTGGCGGTTTGTAAATTTTATCAGTTGATTCAGGGGAGTATTCAGTTAATGGATCAAATAACTGGTCTAGTTGGTCGCCCAATAGGAATACTAATTTGTTGTTCTGTTTGATGGATGAATTGTCGTCGGAATAGACTACGTCGAGCACAATTGAGTTGATTGAGGATTGTTGGAAGAGGCCTAGTCTTAGTAGCTGTTGACCTAGCTGGACTGGGGACTTGTTGATGATTAGGTTCATCTGGGAGGCCATTTCACCAGCGGTTGTTTCGTCCCAATCGAAATTGCTGTTATCATTAGAAGAGGTATTGTTATTGTGGTGGTGATTTGAGGGAGGGGTGAGATTGTTTTTGATGGAGAGGTTTAGTCTCAAATTGTCGTTTAAATTGGCGTAGGCTCTTAGAGAAGTTATGGCTAGGGATCTTCTGACATTTGAGTTCTTGAAGACAGGTAGTAGATTTAGCACAGCAGGATAGTATCTGGATCTCTCGTCTATAGTTAGGGAGTTGAACTGGGATATTCCGTGGTTTGATATCAAGATGGTGCTTATCTTTTCAGTTAAGGGGTCTTCGTAAACAATTGAGATGAAATTGCCAAAGATCAAAGCATCAAAGCCAATGAAATAAGCAGCGTTGGGAATGATTTTCTCCCATTCCGATAGTTTTCTTATGTGAGTCAAATCGTTACTCAAGTAGATCCTAAGGGATTTGGAAGATCGGGAGGACTTCAACAGCTTCAAGGACTTTGTTGATTTGGAGGTGTTATTGGAGGAGGATGGTTGGTTCTGGGAGGGTGTTATATCATTAGAATTGGAAGCAGAGGTGGAGGTGGTGGGAGAAGTGATAATATTGTTGGCGTTATTATTGTTTATGTTATTGTTTATGTTGGTATTAGAGTTATGCCTACTCATTTCTCTTTAAAGACATGAAATAGAGATCAAGAACATACAAAGATGGATGTGAAGAAGAAGCAGAAGAGGACAATATAAGGAGAGTAGCAGAAGGGCAGAGGAGGATTGGTGGATTGGTGGATTGGTGATGGGCAAACAGAGGAAAGAGGAAAGAGAATAGCTGGTGAATGTTTTAGCTCCTGCTTGTTTTTCCCAGTAAATAAATACCACATCCACTACTGCGATTCAACACCTTAAAATTCAAAACAAAAAATCAAAACAAAACTTGAATTTTTCGCCAGCCGGCGCAGCACTCACGTGCAGGACCGGCACCAGACTTCCGAGCAGACACAGTGGCAGTTCCGGTGACACCAGCAGGCTTTTGGCTATTCCTGCTCTTTTCGAAGGGTGCCATTGGCTGGCCGCAGCAATTGCGAGGGGCCCCACACCGTTTGCGCGCTTTCTGCGTCTGTGGTGCGCTAGGGGCCCGCATTGCCTCGCTGCAGATCACACCCGAAGTGCCTCCTCAAAACTGACACATTTCCCATTTTTTGGGTCGTGATTATTTCCCCTTCGGGTCACCCTTGGCCAAACAGAAAAGTGGAAGAACAAAACCCTCCTTTTGGGCCCAGCATATTCCTAGCTGAGGTCTGTGTTTGAAGTAGTTCTCGCTGGATTTGTAGCTTTCACATACCTTCTCCCAACTTTATCCAACTCTATTTTTCCACATTGCTCGACAAAACGCAAAAGATTAAAAGTCGAGATGCTTCTGCTGCTTCTGCCCCAGACCCATTTTCCACTCCACTGAGGCAAAAAAACCTCCAACATGTCCGGAATTATCGAATGGTTGGTGTCCTAATGAGGTACTTTGCATGTATCTTATTCCTTAATTGAAGTCTAATTAATCACTCTCCCGCAAATTAAACTCGCTGCAACACAAGTAGCATAACCCAATTCCACTTTATTTCCTCATTTTGCATTGGTGCAGGGTTCTCGAAAAACCCGTCTCTCCGCCGCATCACGGACACAAGAACCTGTTCGCAGTCACCGTAACTATTACGAAATTGTCTTGTCTGTTAACGAACCCAACCCTGAATCTATTTGCAATGCAATCCGCTCGGTTAGGGCTCGTTTGGCTTAAAGATCACGTGAACAAGCTGTTTTTTTTTCCTGTTGAATATCCCAAGCTTTGGAGAAAGATGGAGCATAGATTCGTGCAATCGCCATTACTTATCTGCAAAATACGACAATTACTGGCTATTTGATTCTTTTGCCTGGCAACCATGGACGACGATGACGAGCTTATCTACAGTGACGATGAAGTCGAAGAACCATCCTTGCTGCAAACTAAAAATGACGAAAACCTCAATCTCAGCCTAGATTCTAAGGATAATATCATCCAGAATCTCATCAACAAAAAAGATGATTCCAGCAGTCTCATTGATAGCACCACTACTAAGAAAAGCGATATCAATGTTGACGGAAAAGATAAAAACAAAAAACAGACTCTCGATCTTGATCTTGATCTTGACCTTGAAAATGATAATGATAATACTAATACTGACACCAAAAACGAAAATGAAAATGAAAATGAAGCCCGGGAAAAAGATGGTGATGACGAAGGCGGTGACAATGATGACAATGATGACAATAATGATGATGACAATGATGATGATGACGACGATGACGACGATGACGATGATGAGGATGAAGATGAGGAGTCGGATATAGAATTAATCATAGATGGCCCCTTAGATTCTGCAAATCCTCTCTCAACTGCCTCCCCATTGAAAGCTTCCACTCAGCTTCATACCAAAGAGGATTCAAATCAAATCTCTTCAAAAATAGAACCAACAACAATTGCCTCAAATGACAATATTCAACTTTCCTCAATGAACAACATATCTGCTGGTCTCAACATTGACGAAATCGCCCAACTAAATGGTCAACCAATAACAACTCTAAATCTATCCCAACTAAAGGAAAAACCCTGGAGGTTGCCTGGTGCTGATGTAGCTGATTACTTCAATTTCGGTTTCAACGAAATCACTTGGATAGCCTATTGCACAAAACAATCAAACTTGAGAAAAGAATTCGACCTCAACGAATTCCAACTAAAATTAAATCTCAACGGCATCAACCAAAATAACCCAAACTTGCCTCTAAATAACAACCCTTCAAATCTAAACTCTTCAATTTTAAACTCCCTAAATCCAATGGGTTTTGGAATCCCTCATCCCTTTCCAATGTCCAATTTTGGTAACATCAACATGTCTAATCCCTTAAACAACATAAATAACTTGGGCAATCTAAATAACTTTAATAACTTGTCCAATTTCAATAACTTGAACAATAATCCCAATACCCTCAGCACACTCAACAACCTCAACACTCTTACCAACAACAACTCTAACAACAACAATAATAATAATGACCCTTTAAACAATCTCAGCATAGGCTTACCAAATATCAACATGTCAAATATCAACATGCCAAATCTTATGAATCTATCCAACATGAATCTACCGAATATTAATATAAATAATGATAATCATGGTTTGTCCAGTTTGCCCACAATTCCAGCAAAACCACTCTCATCTAGCAATGCAATCTCTAATAATAATCTTAATAATCTTAATCTTAATAATCTTAATAGTCTTAATAGTCTTAATAATCTTAATTCAAATAATAACTCAAATATTAACTTGACTAACAATTCAAATAGTAATTCACTTACCAACATCTCTACTATTAATCCCAATAATGCCCCTAATAACGCTACAAATCCAAATAATATCACTGCTAGCAATATATCTTTGCCGAGTATACCCTCTGGCTTGCCCAAAGTTCCTAGAGTAACATCTAGTTCCAGCAATGATCAATCCCATTTAATCTCAAACAAAGATTCGAATTTTGAAAATGAAAAAAATAAATCAAAAGAAAAGGAAAAGGGTAAAGATAAAGAAAGAACTAGAGATAAAGAAAGATCAAAATCAAAACTAAAAGATAAATCCAAGGCTAAAGAAAAATTGAAAGCAAAAGAAAAAGAAAAAGAAAAAGAAAAACAGAAATTTGATCCGGATCTTGCAAATGACACTGCAACACCAAATGATAAATCCTTATCTACCAAGAAAGATAATGAAAATGATAAAGGTAGTCGTGAAAGAGAAAGAGATAGAACTAGAGACAGGGAAAGAGATAGAGAAAGAGAAAGAGATGACAGAGATGTTAGATCTTACAGAGATAGAGACAGAGATAGCAGGGACAGAGACAGAGACAGAGACAGAGACAGAGATCGTGATAGAAGACCTGGAAGTTACAAAAGAGATTTTAGAGACAGAGACAGAGACAGAGATCGTGATAGAAGACCTGGAAGTTACAAAAGAGATTTTAGAGACAGAGACAGATACAGAGACAGAAGAAGAAGATGAGAAGAACAATGAAAGAAAAGTAGCATTTCACCATCAATTCTCTCAATTCATTTTATTTATTGTCTAAAGATCATTCAAAAAAATTTAGTCTTTAGTTCATATCTGTATTTTAGTTTTTAATTAACTTGTTTTCATATGTTGTTTTTTTAAAAAAAATTTGGATCAATGTAACATAAATTAAAAATTAACTTTGAATCTAAATAAAATTGTGTGAACATATAACAAATTATAATATGTAAAAAAAACTAACAGTATCAAAAACTTGAAAAAAAGAACTTGATGATTTTATTTCAACTAATGAATAGAATTGAATGTGAAAATAAATAAAAAGGTATTAAGAGATTAGAGTGACTGAAAAAAAAAAAACAATTAAATACTCGTAAAAAACCTTTACTTCTAAATTTAGAACTTTCTAACCAAAAAAAATACCTCTTTTTATTAATTTGTAATTATTAATAAGAAACTTTTTGTTTGTTTGTTTGTTTGTTGTCTATTAATTTATTTAAATGATTGACTATCTTCTTTCTACAACAAAAAAGTGTAAAGATAGATATGCTGCTGTTAAGAAAACAAAAAACCAACCAATCAAAAAATAAATATCCATCCATAAATGAGCAACATTGAAACCAAACGTGCTCAAAATTGTTGCACCAGGAATTTCAATATTTATGCCATATTTAGTTTCTCTTAATATCAAACTTTTAACTTCATTGATAGTCAAACTCTCATAGCCATAGTGAAATGTTGACAAGTATTTTAGCCAATTGATATTTGTAGTTAAAGAATCGTTATTAATGAATAACCCAGAGAAAAGCATTGAAAATAATAAAACTAAAACACCAATCATTGTTGCATTACCACTTTCTTTGATTAGGATGCCGATGATTAAGGTTTCCATTGATGTTGTGAGGTTAAATAAAATCAAAATAATGCAACACTTAATAAAGCCATTATTTTCCATATTTAACCCGACCAATGGATATACAATACATAATAGTATTATTGGAGGGAATAGCCTTAATGGCAAAACATCACAAAGAATTTTGCTGATGAAATAACTGACTGTATGATAATAGTTATTTGATCTCTCTCTAAGAAAAATAATTCTTTCAATTGAAAATGAATGTAAACCAGTTAAAGTTGTGAAACCGAAAAATGACAAGACGAAAAAGAATAAACCCAATCTATTTTGGAATCCACTAATGTCATTTGAAACATCAAAATACAAAAATCCAATAAAAAATGCCATCAAAACATTTAATATATAGTTTAATAGCAATAGTCTTGGGTTTCTGTACAAGTTTTTGAATGTTCTAGAGCATAAAATAATAACTTGATTAAATATAGTAGCCTTTAAATAGTTATTTTTAAATATTAACAAAGAAGCAGTGTTTTCAATGTAACTTTTATTGATGTTTTCAATTTTCAAATGAATTTCTTCAGCAGAGACAGAGGAGTTGAAGAGATTACTTAATTTAGAGCCATCAACTGGTTTATTTTTAATTAATGATGGTTCAGTACTGGAGCTGGTACTATCTTCGTGATTTCCTGTTAAATTGATAATTTCTTCACGATGAGCAGCATAATGAGCCCACTCTAATTGGGTGTTAGAAGTGGCGGTATCATTTCTGGCCAAGGCAGAGTGAATCAAGTCAATATCGCGCTCTTCATTATTTCCAGTCAAGAGATTTTCTTCATCAACATCATTTGTAGAGTGAACTGAAGGTTTAGAGTTGTTGGTGATTGAATCTGATGTTATATCGATTAAATAATCAGCAATGTTATAGCCATTGGGGCACTTGTAGCCCATGTTGGCAAAGACGTCATTACATTTAATCATGTCACCGGAATATACAACATTACCTTCAGATAATAAAAGCAATTTGTCAAACAAAGCAACAACATTACTTCTTGGTTGGTGAATAGTGAAAACGATTGTTCGTTGATAATCTCTGGATAATCTTACTAAACATTCCACGACTTTTCTTGCATTGTAAGAATCCAAGCCTGAAGTTGGTTCATCTAAGAAAAGAATTGAAGGAGAAGTTACTAATTCACAAGCAATTGCAACTCTTCTTTTTTCACCACCGGAGATTCCTCTTTGGAAATCGGAGCCTATAATACGGTCTTTTATACCCAAGATTCTTAATTCGGATAAAACTTCCAAGACTCTTAATTTTTTAGCATGAATTGACATTGATCTTGGTAACCTTAAAAGTGCAGAGTTTAAAACAGTTTCATAAACAGTTAAAGTTGGAATCAAGTAGTCTTCTTGGTCGACAAAGCCAATAATTTTTTTGTAATTGCGTTGATTTAATTCTTGGCCATTGATTAGTATTTTGCCAGATTTTGTACCATCTTTATTTTTTCCGGCTAAGATATCTAATAAAGTTGTTTTACCTGCACCGGATCCACCCATTATGGCTAACATTTCTCTTGGTTTAACATAACCAAAAACGTTTTTAAGAATAGATTTATCTATTATTGAATAAGAAACGTTTTCAAAGGTTAAGGAAACGGGGATATGGTTATTGATTAGGGTATTACTTTCATCGTCATCATCGGAGTTCAATTCAATACCATTGCCATTGAATAAAGGAGATTTTTTGATAAATTGAACAGCTAGAAAGAAAAAGCCGAGGGTACCAACAGCGGATAAAGAAATTAACAACAAACCATAAATGGATAATTTTTTTTTTTCAGGTAAATGGTAGCCAGGAATTTGAGAGTAGTGAATGCATTCACCGGATTCGCAATGTAAAGTGATATAGGGATCACCAAATACGTTTGAGATTAAATCATTCATGCTTGGTTCCGAAAAGATGCAAGTTTTCTTCTCTAAATCACAAGAAAAATCGCCAGGACCTTTGATTGTTTCAGTTAGGAAATCTGAGATGTCGATTGAGCCATCTTCGCCACAAAGCATTCTGTCAGGCAAACACTTGCATCTAGCATCTTTGCAGTTATAGTGAGTTTTGTTTTTAAGTAGATCGTATTCAAATTCACAATTTGACAAATCGCAGTAGAAACTTTCTCTTTCAGCAATCCAGAATTGGAACTCACAGGCATCGGAAGTTTTGTTGCAACTGAAAGTAACTTGGGGTTTTTTTCCTTGTAAGATTTGAACGATTTTCTTGTTTGTAACATCACACATTTGGTTGAATTTGTTGACGATCATACCATTTTTGTAGCAAGTACCTTTTAAACCGTCGGGCATAAAGGGATCGCAAATATCGTCGACTAAACAAAGGTTGCAGTTTATACCACTCCAGCCTTCTTTACAATCGCAAGAACCTTCAGTGTCGTTACGAATGGGACGATATAGATTGCCATCGGATAATGCACCACATAAAGGCTGAGAACAGTCTACACCACCAAAGCCATCTCTGCACTCACATTGACCAGAATATTCGTTGCATTTTGAAAACTGTTTGCATTCGTATAGTGGCAACATACAATTGAAACATGGAGGGCAAGTATCATTGCCATCGCCATTACCGGGCTTTCTGATGGGTCTTCTTGGAGAAACAGTTAGGTCTTCAACAAAACCATTAAATATAGGAGATGTCAAAAGGCCATCGTCACTGTAGGTATCTATTGAAGCAAAAGAGAAGTCTGGTTGGACATTGTTTGCAGCTGCAGAAAGAGAAGAGAATAGTATTGGAGATAGAAGTATCGGTAGAAACAACAAGGGGCTCAATATCATGTTGTTGTGTTGTCTAGTTAGCGTTGTGACGATTATTGATAGGACAAGAACAACGTAAAAAAAAGGAGTAATTGGGTATTTGAAGATAACTTGCTATTGAAATTGGAATCAGATTAGAGAACAGGAAGAGTATCGGCAATAAAAGCAAACCAGAACGAGCAAGAGAGAGATGGTCTGTGAGCAGTTTCTGGGAAGGTTGAGTTGGAGTTGGAGTGGAGTCTCTTCGCTTGTTGCTGGAGTCTCAGTGGGTTGTAGCTATTTGTTGAGAATCAAACAGCAGCTGTTCCACTCTCGAGAAGCTGATTCTTCAGCACTTTGAGGGAGATGCAATCAAAGCTCTCATCCATCTCCGATAGGCAGGTTTTCGCCAGAGTTGTTGTTTGCAGCCTCAGCTGGCGAAAAAAAAGCCGGTCTGCGTCCATATCCGGTGTCTCCGCAGAGAAACACGCGGTGATTTGGCAGCAATCAGAGGATATCCGTGGAGGATCCGGATCTCAAAGCAGGAAATTATCGCGCCGAGAGGATCCGGATGGTCTGTGCGACGAAAACCCCTGCGGCAGAGAAAGAAACAGACGATGGTGGAGCAAAGTCGATGGAGAAGCAGAGATAGTGGAGAAATGAGCAGCAGAAGCAGCAGAAGACGAAGAGAGGGTGGTGATTTCGTGTGGTGGCAGTTTTTGGATGGTGCTGAGGTCACTGAGATGAGTAAAAGGATGAGGATGAATTGGATTTGCCTCCACCCTGAGATAGATATAAAAGAGGCTCTATCTCTCCACTGGCTCCATTCTTAGATAGTGGTATCTGCTGCTGTATCTGCTGCTTACAATGACCAAAGAACAGAAGAGCGAGGCCCAAGTGCTTGTGGGATCAGAGCAGTCGACTGTCGAAACAGCTGGAGACAAGGTCAAAGAGAGTGTCCAGGAGAGAACTGAGCAGGTTGTTGAAGAGCCAGAAGATGAGTCCTTTCCAGTCAAATTGTATGTCTACGACCTATCCCAGGGCATGGCAAGAACAATGGCCCCATCCTTCGTTGGAATAGACATCGAAGCAATCTACCACACCTCCATTGTCATTTATGGGTTGGAGTACTTCTTTAGTCGTGGTATAACCTACTGTGTGCCTGGCTATTCACACTATGGAACCCCAATTGAGGTGATAGAATTTGACAAGACTTTCATTTCACAGGACATTTTCAGTGAGTATTTGGGCGAGATCTCCTCCATTTATTCTGCCAGTACCTACAACTTATTCCACAACAACTGCAACCATTTCACAAACGATTTGGTTCAATTTTTAACTGGAAAGGAATTGCCAAAGAAGATTTTGGACTTGCCTAAGAGAGTTCTAAGCACTCCCATGGGCCAATTTTTCGCTAATTTATTAGATCAGCAATTGACCAATTATGCAACTTCAATGGGTTCAAATGAATCTCATTTTGATTATAATAATAGTGATTGATTAAATAATGAATAGGAATAGGAATATGAATGTGAATGTGAATGTGATTATGGTTATTCAAAGAAAGAAAAAAAATATATAAAAAATAAAGTATATACATACATTTAATAATGTATATCAGCTCATTATTAAATTCGTTTTTTTAAAAACTTTTCAATATATTAATTGACCAATAAAAAAAATAATGAAAAAAAAAAAAGGATATATATAAAAAAAAAGGGGATTGTGGATTTTATTAACCATATAACATATAAGTTCATTTGATTTAACTTTATTTATGGCATTTTTAATGCTATTTTTTACTTTTACTTTTATTTTTGTTTTTATTTTTATTGTTTTTATTTTTATTTTTATTTTTTTATTTTTATTTTTTTTGTTTTTGATATAATTTAGACTGTTGATTGAATTTTTAATTGTTTTTTTAATAATCTTCAACTATTAGATTTCTATAATCTATTTTAATTTTATATAACTTTAATAAACTTAAGCAATAATTAATTGAAAACATTTGGCCGATTTTCATCAATCAATTAATCATATACTTGAGTAATCATTTACTTGTTGTCTTGGTCTCCTTTTTTCGCTTATTTCTTTTAAGTTGACGAAACTATTTTCTTGAAATTTTCAACTTCATCCCAACAGTTTAATGGTCTGCCTCTGTTTTTCTTTAAACACGAAATAACAAGACTTCTATTTTGAACAACTTGTTCATCGATTCCTGGAGTTTGGAAATGTCTGTGCGAATTAATTTCTTCCAATTTTTTAGTCAATTCATTCAATTTCTCGTCCAATTTGCTGGATGAAAAACCGGGTTCTTTATCTTCTTTCAATAATGCATCATTAGATAACTTTTCCAAGTTTTTGATTGCATCTTCTTCCAATTTTTGTAACTTCTGTCCAATCTTATCTTGAATGTATTTCTCAGTGTTTTGAGCTCTGGTATAATCACTCTGCAAAAAACAACAAACATGTTAGCAAATCAGACGCCAAAATGAAATCGTAAAAAAACAAAACAAGAGATAAATGCTGAACCACTTTGGCAAACTTACCTCGATGGAGGAGTCCAATTGTTGCAAAAAAGAGGCAGAAAAATCGACAGGAGTGGCAGGGGTGAACACCTTGGTGTCGCTGCTGAGCTTTGATGATGAGGAACCCATGGAAACTGTCTTTGTCGAGGCTGTAGTGCTGAAGTGTCTGCTTTTGTTTCTTCTTTGGAGCTGGAGCTTTCTCTCTGATAATTTCTTTGCCTACGCTGAAAAACCGCCGCTGATTGGCTGGAAAAAAAGAGACTTCCCGGACGGGTAACTGCCTTTTTGGGCTGAGATCATCTTCAAAAAGCAACTTCAAAAAGAGATTTCAAAGAGGTTTTTCTGATATTTTCGCTGCTTTTGCTGTTTTTGCTGTTTTTGCTGCTTTTGGTGGACTGCAAATGGTGTCGATAACTGATTTTATACCCCCTCCTCTTTTCAGCTCGAAGGATTTGGACACTGGGCTGTTGCAAAAGAAAAAAGGCCTCCGGTTCTATGATCTGGATCTAGAAGACATTTACGCTGACTACGAACTATCCAATATTTTCCACATTGACAGCTCAGACATCAAAAAACTCAATATCAAGGACTTTGATGGCGAGAACACTATAAATTCTCATGGTTCTAAAGAGCCACAGAAAAATATGACCTCTGTAGTCAGCTACAACCATAATAACCAACTTCTGAGACCTTCAGTCTCAAAGACTATGCAAGAAACCAAACAAGTTATAGATTCTATTCTTAATGAAAAATTAAATGCTAAAAATCCAAATTATATCAAACCAAAAAACTCAGATTCAAATTATGTTAAATATACCCCCACCTCAATATTCTCCGAAAATAACAAAAAAACAACCAGAATAATCAAAATAATAGAGAAACAAGTCGACCCAATGCTACCTCCCAAATGGAAAAACAATCAAAAGACTCCTTCTTTACCATTAAATGAATCAACTCCAATTCTTCATACCACTTCTTCAAATAAAATATCAATTGAAGATCAAAAGTTCTGGAAAATTCCTTCTGCAATCTCAAATTGGAAAAATCCTAAAGGGTTTACAATCGAAATCGATAAGAGATTAAGCTCTTTGGGCCCAAATAAAAATATTAACAGTGATGATAATGATGATGATGACGATAATATTGATATATCAAAAAAACTAAACAAAAGATTTGTAGATTTGGCTGAATCATTAGACGAAGCTGATAAAAAAGCTAGGGAAAGCTTGAAACAAAAAAGAGATTTAAAAATAAAAATGGCTCAAGAAGAAAAGAAAAAAAAAGATGAACAATTAAAACTATTGGCCTTAAATGCTAGACAGCGCACTTTAACAAATTTTTCATCCGAGAATGATTCAAGAAACAATTCTCAAGAGATTAGAAGAAGAGAAATTTTAAGACAGGAAAGATTGAGATTAAAACAAAAGGATTCAACCTCTTCTAAACTAAATGAAAAAAGACTGAAACATTTTATAAAAGACAATGATAGAGATGTCTCAGAAAGAGTTGCTTTGGGTTTAGCCAAACCAACAACTCTTGAAAATAAAAATGATCCCGATGATATCATTGCACCACAATTCGATTCAAAATTTTTCAATAATGCTCCTGCTCCTAAAAGATTAAACTCAGATGAAATTTATGATACCCCCTTATTTAATACCCAGGAAGCTATAAATTCAATTTACAGACCAAAAATCTCCAGAACTTATCAAGATACTTCATCAAATACAGAAGACAAGTCAGAAATCGCTAGAAATGAATTGAAAAAATTGAAAAGCAGAAAAATTTTCACTTCCTTATCTCAAATTAAAGAAGGTCCAATTCAATTTACTAAGGACTCAACTTCAAATGATCAAATTGGTGATAAAAGAGATAGTTCTCAATTCAATAACACTACTAGAGAAATTAAGAAAACCAAAAAATAACATAAAATAATATAAAATAATATAAAATAATACTTACTTTCGGAAAATAGCTAAAAAATTTAACACTACAAAGAAGAATAGGAAAAAATAATATAAAACAACAAAATTTTTTGTAAATTGATATAAATCAGCAACCCCAGTTTTTTTTGTTTTTTTTGCAGCTGTTTTTTTATTAAACCAAAATAGCATAAACCCTTTTTTTAATAAAATTTATAAACAAAAAGAAAGGAAAAGGAAAAAAAATAAGAAAAAAAATTTAAATCGAGGTTTTTTTTATTTATTATCAACCTCCTCTTTAGCATCATGAAATTCATTTTCATCATCGCTATTAGTATCAGTATCCTGAGTCAAATCTGGATTAACATTTCTATCATTATTGCTTTCAGAATCATCGTCATCGTCATCGTCGTCGTCATCATCATCATCAGCCTGGTTGTTTTTTTCGTTGTTCCCATCTTCATCATCATCATCTTCATCATCTTCCTCTTCATCAAAATCATCAGGTGGGCCTAATTTTTTGACTAATATATCAACAATATCAGTATATTCTCTCATTCCACCCATGGAAATTGTTTGATTTCTGCTGGAAATGACTTTTTCAACAGGTCTTAAAATTTGAATATAAGGATAATCGCGTTTGATTAAATCCAATTGGATTTTTGTAATTGGATTTGAAAAGCTAAAAGAGTTTAAAGCCATTGCCGAAATAATAGGTTTTTGAGGGTTCCAAGTGTTGATTATTAAAGATAGTAAATTGTCGGATATCCCATTGACAATTTTGGCCAAAGTATTAGCTGATAAAGGAGCTATTAACATTAAATCTGCCCATTTTCTTAATTCCATATGCAAGATTGGTTCTGTTTGGAATTTATTGGGAACATTGACGGTATTGGTTTGATTTTGATCTTGATCTACTTGATTAAAAGTATGAGATTTTAATAGGTTATTATTTTTATTCAAAATATTAATTCTTTTAATATTCTTTAAACGGAAATAATAATTGAACTCATCTTCATCAATCCAAATTTTTTTAATACCGATTTCATTTAATCTTTTCCAATTTGATTTTTTATTAGCGAAAAATCTCGAATCATTATGAGAATTTTTAGTGCTATTTTCAAGTTCATTTTTGACATTAATATTAGTGTTATTTTTTGAAAAAGAATTTGTATTAATACCGTTAATCAATCCTTTAAAATCTACTGAGTCATCGTCCTTGTAAGAATCTTGTAAATTCAAGATTTTCAAAGCCCCAGAGGTTAAAACCAATTGGATTGATAAATTATCCTGAGTGTAAATTTCGAATAATTTTCGAATTAAAGGTATAATTTTTAAAGCTGATATGCATCCAGTTACACCAATTAATAAATGTATTTTATTGTCATCTTTTGACGGAATATATTTATTTATTGGATTTAATAGCTTAAAATTGTTATATAGTGATTCATTTGACGAATTTATATTTGACATGCAATTGTAGCTATTAGTATTAATATTAAGATTAGTATTAGTATTAGTATTAGGATTAGGATTAGGATTAGGATTAGGATTAGGATTAGGATTGGTATCAGGATTAAGATTAAGATTAGAATTAGGATTAGGATTGAAGTTAATATTGTTATTTTTACTGTTGCTGTTGCTGTTATTCTGGTATAGATTCTCATTTTTTGAAGTATAAATCGAGTTGTAACTGGTTGAATTACTATTTAATCTTAAAGAATTTATATTGTTTATAAGAGAATTTACATTTGCACTTGTTATAGTTCTGTTTGACAGATTTGTGGGATTTGTTGGATTTAACTTAAGTGAGTGATTTGATTTTAAAGAAGAGTGTCTGCTCATGTTTCTTGATGATCTTCCTGATCCATCACCATTTAAAATAGAGGATGTGGTTGAAGGATCATTTTCCTTTGCAGTTAAAGGTTTTGCAGAAGGAATTCTTGAGCCTTCGCCCCCATGAATTGCATGTCTTTTTTCTAAACTTTCATCTAATAAAAATATGGGGTAATAATCTGAATTTGGTTTGACATCCTTTGAGATTTTGAGGTTTTTATTTTCATTTACACTTTTGTCTTGAGTGAAAAAGTCTTTATTATAAGATTTATCATTTTTGTTGTCATTTTTATCATCAGAAAAATTGATTTGATTGTTGTTATTTTGATTAGTAATATTGTGGTTCAAAGAGTATAAACTCGACGTTGAGAGGCAAGATTTGGGCAATTTCTCATGAGAATTGTTGACTTTTAAAAACAAGGGGACTCGTTTGACTTTTAATTTCGAAGTCGTGTTTGATCTGGGTTTTGTTTTGGGTCTTTTGTCGGTTGGAGAGACATTGTTGGTTGTGGGTAGAGAGGTTGTTGCTACTGTGGAACCAGAAGCAATGGTGGAGTCCAAAGAAGATATTGAAGCAGAATCAAGGTGATTTATGGACATTATAGCTGTCTGAGATGTGGGATATAGAGAAACACAGAAAATAGGATATACAAGAAGAGCACAGGATAAGGATAAAGGGGAACAGGACGTGGAGATAATAAATAAAGTGCCAAAACAAGTTCTGGACAAATATAGAACAAATTCAAAACAGATTTAGAACAACTGAGGAAAGAAATCAAACAAACTCAAAGGAAGTCAAAAAAACATCGAAGCTTTTGAGGAATCAGAGGGAAGATCCGCCGGGATGGATATATCCACGGTTGCGGATTGCTGTTTAATCGCTCATGCAGAAGCCGGCACAGTGTGCGTTGTTGCAATACAGACTACGACATTGCGCGAAATAGCACATGATAATACATGTGCCATCCACACTACTGGAAAGACCACTATTGTGGATTGTCTGCATGAATATGCAGATTTGACAGCGCCAAACTGCAGCATCATTCAGCATCGATATAAGTGATATAAGTATATATTCTACGGGCCTCGGTGGTTGTTCATCTCTTTTTGTTTAGCGAGCAACGATTTGGAAGGATTGACTGTAAGATAATTCACAATAGTCAGCAAAAATGTATCCAATTGTCCAGTTGCCATTTAGAAATTGAAAAGCATGCTCGAAAGTGATAGAGAATTCACCACCAGTTTTCACAAAATTTAAAAATTATCACTAAATATTTATTAAACGACTATCACTTTTTCAAAACAGATATAAACACCATGTATTCAGAAACACCAAGATTCAATTGAATAAAAATTCAATCGTTTAGTACCACCATTAGTCTTGTAAATTTGTTTTTGTGAGATGAAAAAAATTAAAAGAAAAACTATTCTATAGCTTTCATTGGCGGCATGTTCGTTTTTGCACAGAACTTGATATAATCAATTCCAAAATTCAATTTGAAAATACAGGTCAGTTTTAAACAATGAATTTTCTATTTTCAGATGTCATTCCAGCAACTTCCTAACAAAAACAAAAAAACTTTGATGTTAATAATCTGCTTTGAATATATTATCAAAAAAAAAAACACAAATTAGTAATAAACAAAAAAACAAATAAATTAAACTTAAACTTGATAAAACTTGCACGCTTTTGAAATTATTTTTTTCTAACTCAATTACTTTTCAATTGAGAATCTATAATCAAAAAATCCTGATTCCTCATTTTTTCCCCTCTTGTTTTTTCTGCTCTGCTTCTTTGTGTATTCTACCATACCACTTTTTTCAACTGATGTTTTGCTATTGGTAAATTTTATCAAAGTGTCTAGATACTCAATAGCTACTTTTCCATGCTTGAAATCTTTAGATAGTGATTCCAATTTAGAATAATATTGTTTGTATAAGCAAATATAATCTTTCTTTTTGACTAATAACAATTCCCTTTGATTTTCAAAGTCAACTTTATTTCGAAATCCCCTATTATTGAAATTATTTATATTTGGATTCTCCTCAAAAGTTTGAAAACTATCAGGAGAGTTATTTGTGCTGATGTTGGATAATATTTCGAGATTGGACTGAGAATAAAAATTATCAAAATTTCCATTAACATCCCTTATTTTAATGCTAGTATCAATTTCATCTTGTTGAATCCCTTCTCCAATGCCATTGTTATTCAGATTCTTCAATTTATCAACAAATTTTATTTCGAGTCCGTTTAATTTTATTAACAAACACATCATTATTCCAATAATAATCAATGATTTTGTAGTATTAGAATACCAAAATGACATCAAATGATGCTCTCCCAAATTATCTAAAAAATTCACTAAAAAATCATTTAGAAACATCTCGCAATTTGTTTTCACTTGTTCAATTTTATTCCTTGTATCATCACCTGCATGAATTAATTTGTCATATTCTTCAATAATCTTATTTATAATCCTTCTATAAATTAATAAAACTAAACAATAATATGTCAAATTCAATGACCCATTAAAATTTAAAACTCTTTTATTGGTATTTTTAATTTTATTTTTTTCACTGTTCGATCTGTTATCGTTTGTATCTATGATTTTTAAAAACCATGGCAAATTTTTATACCACTCATGTAGTCCATTAATCAATCCAGTTGATTTCAAAAAAATTGGTTCAAATGAATCGAATCTAAAACTCTTCAAATTATAAATATCATTTAAAATATCGTTAATATAAAATGACAAATTAATCATTTCTCTAAATATTAAATCGCCTGTGCTATTATCAAATATCTCTTTAATTACTTTGTTAGTACTTGGGGATAATGATCTAAAACTTGTGTTTGAAAAAATTTCATCGCTATTTTGCAAATTATAAAGTTTGGTATTACTATTATTATTGCTGCTGTTATTACTAAGATTATTATTGCCAGGGCTACAATTGCTGTTATTCTCATTTTTATTCTCATTTTTATTATCTAGTTTAAATTCATCGTGAAATAAAAAAAAATTATTAATCAAGTCTTTATTTTCTTGCAATTTGTTTAATGTTAAGTTGTCTAATAAGAAATCTTCATAATCTAATTTTCCAATAATCCAATTATTTGAATGAATATGGCTTGGTCTAAATTCTAATAATGCATATAATTTGTCAAATAAAATTATAGTCCATGAAACGATTTTACGCATTTTCTTTTCCCATATTGGTATAGTGGTCCATTCATTTGCAGCAATATTCAATCCAATTTCTTCACTTATATTTGTTATTTGACAAATAATTTTCCAGTTGTTGTTCAATAAATTTAGACTTTTGAAATTATAATTCAATAAAATTAATAAACCTTGAACAACTGAGAAATTTGGAAGGTTCGATAAATTATTGTCTTTAATCAAAGATAATGCAATTTCTTCTAATTTATGAACGTCTGGTTTTTTTTCACTTTTTTCGTAATTATGTTTTTTATCAATATTAATAAATTGATGGTCATCATTATTTAGTAATAAATCATCACAATCCCAATAATTCAATGCTAGAAGATAGACAGCACATAATAAAATTGGCTGAAATTCTCTATAATTCCTTGAATATTTTTCAAAGAAAACATATTTTGATAATATTGGAAAAATTGGATGAACAATTTTAAAATATAAATTAACAAGATATTTACCATTGGGATAGATTAATTTTTCTATTTCATCACATTGTAAATAATTAATTTCGATTACATTTTTATCATTATCTATTATTTCAAAGAAAACGTCATAAGATATTTTACGAATTTGAATGTTTGGATCATCTGCTAATGTGATTTTTTCCTTTGATAAAATAGAAAATTTATTTTTTTCCTTTTTAGTATCAGTGTTAGAGTTGTCAAATTTTTTTTGATTTGCGATCAAGTTTTTTCTTTTTCTTTTTTTATTTTCAGTTGTTTTATTAGATTCAAAATTTTGATTTTGAAGTGAATTATCATCGGATGGGAAGGATAATAAATTTGTTTCAATAATTGAGGAGTAGCCAACAAATTTTGTAGATTTTGGACCTTGTAGAGCTAAGGTCTTTCTCATTATAGAAGGGCCACTATATTTATCATAATCCTTAACAGGATTCGGTAAATTATTTATAAAGTTTGATTGAATGAAATTTTGAGAGGGATTTAGATTTATTGAATCATTTTTTATATCTTTAGTGAAAGTGCAATTTAAATTTCTTGTAGTACATTCAGTACAAATTTTTGAATTTAAAGGAATTAAACATTTAGATCTTCTTTTTTTGCAAGCATCGCAGGGCTTCTGTCTTTTACTTTTTTTATTATTGTTATTGTTATTGTTTTTGTTATTATTAGTATTATTATTATTGTTATTATTAACTGATTGATTTTGATTTAATGAAATGGAATTTTTGATAATTTGATCAGTGTTGATTAAACTTGAATTTGCTTTTATTATGTTATTATTGACTTCAAGTGAGTTATGTAAATTTGACATTGAATTTTTAATTATATCTTCATTTAAATCAAAATTAAATAAAATTGAATTTCCATTATAATTGCATATTTTCCCTCTTTTGGTGCATTCTAAACAATTTCTTGAATCATTTGGGATTACACATTTAGTTCTTCTTAATCTACAATCATCGCAGGGCCTGAATCTTGAGTTTTTCTTTTGAAAGTTTAAATTATTCAAAAAATCAGGTAGATTTTTTTTATTCTTTGTATTATTTTTTTGTACTGTTTTTGAAATAGGATTCAGGGGTATAGAAGGAGATAATGAGGACGATGAAGATGGAATATTTAAATTGAAGTTATCAGGCTGGGACATGCTGGAATTGAAATGCGAATTAACATTGTAATTTGAATCCGAAAAAAAGGTTTGATTTGGATTTGGGTTTGGATTCGGATTTGTTGTGATGGTATTATTTATCATGTTGTTGTTGTGGATAGAATACTGGAGAAAGTCAAAATTTAGATTCTGATCAAAGAAATCAGAACCAAAGTTGTTGTTTAGACCACTGGTGATGAGACCACCAATGTTGGCATTGTAGGCAAGGTTTGTTTCATTGATGGTGTTGGTGTTGTTGGTGCTGATGGTGCTGATGCTGTTCAAGGACACTGAGGAGCTTCTTCGCTTCTCCTTGATGAGCTTGAAGACGTCACCTAGGGGGTCCAAGCTTTCAAACTCGTCGTCTTCATCGATCTCAATATCGTGGTTGAGAAGAGCATCGTCGTGGCCTGTGTTGCCAGGGTGGGCGTGGAAGTCCCAGGAAGTTGGATCTGGCATTGTTAGGGAAGCAGGAGCAACAGGGTGTGTCGCAACACCTTCATAACGCAGCAAAAAGAGAGACAGCAGAAGAAGCAGAAGAAGCAGAGACAGCAGGAAGAGGGAGCATCGATCGACGAGTCTTCTGAGGCTCGCTCCGCCAATCAGAACAGAGCACGCCGCAGAGATAAGAGAATGAGGAATGGAGCATGTATTGTGATGAGATAAATAGATAAATAGATATATAGATGGGTATATAGATGGACAGCTCAGACACCAACACCCTTGAAGATCAAGATCAAAGCACTGTCGCTTTCGCCTCCTCCAGCCAATCGTTCAATCCTGTCCTTCTTCACAATTTGCACCTTGTCGTCATTGAAGTAGAACCAGGTGTTTCCTGTCAAGTCCTTGAGGTCTCTAGAAAAGAACTGGTAGTGGCCAGAATCAGCAGAGGCTCCTTTGTGTGTTACAACGCCAATGAGATCGTACAACCCGGTAGGATTCTCGCCCTCAGAGTAAAACTCGTCGTTTTGATAGACTTTTTTGAATTTTGTTAGCCATTTTTCCTCGTTTTTCTCAAATTCCTCGTTTTCTCTTTGAATTCTTTTGGTGAAATCCATCATTAGTTTTTCCTTTTCTTGGTTTTCGAATTCTTTGGTTTTTCTAAATTCAACGTATTCGTCGTGTTTATCTTTGTTGATTTTTCTGATTTTTTCTAATTTAGCAAAACGATCAGATTTAATGCTATCGTCATATAAATCGGTTAAATCTAGTTCCAAAGGAAAAGTGACTTTTCTTAAGATCTTAGCTTTCTTACTAATGTCTCTTTTCCAATAAAACCTAACAAAATTTACTAGCAAGAATTTAGGCAATTTGGTGAACTTTTTTTGAATTTGATAATTGGCGTTTCTATCGAGGTCTTCATTTCTTTTTGTAATAATTTCCGATAAATTTTCAATTAATCCAGCTTTTAAAAAATTTGTATTGATGTTAATGTGGCAATTTAATTTTAAAGAATCCTCATTGTTAATTTGGATATTTTTAGGATCATCTTTTTCAGCTTCAGGTAATTCGATACATTTTGTAGTCGACTTAAAATTTATATGGAAATAATTCAAGATAAACTCATTTGGTAAAGTTTGCTCCAAGACCGATAATATTTGGGAAAGACATTCATCTGCATCTTGTTGTTTATATGTTCCAAGATTTGACTTTTCAGCAAATTGAGGAAATAAGGATCTTAAATCAGTTAGTAGGATAAAGGGAGTTACAAAGAGGTTTTTTATCAAGGATTTATCTTGAAACTTTGAATTTAGAATTTGATGTTGCAAATTTAAATCTTGGAATAATAATTTCAATTTATAAGTGAAAATTTGATATTTATTTGAAGATGAAGATTTTTCGTATTTTAGGATTTCGTTTCTCAAGTCTTTACAATTAAATAAGGCTTGGATAATGGCGTTGAAATAACAAGTATTGCCTAAATTTTTCAAACCAAAGGGCTTTTCAAATGGATTTTCACCATTAAATTGAAATTCTTTATCAGCGGTATTTCTGTTATTCTTATTAAATTGGTTGTGAAAATTTTTAATAAATTCATTTTGCTTTTCGGGTTCAGCTGGTTCAGGTGTTCCAATGACTAAAATCGATTGACTTTTCTTTAATTTTAAATTTTTTAATAGATCAGTATCTTTTAATTTCCCAGTTTTCAACATAACTTTTTGGCGATGTGGTTGAACTTTAATTAAGGAAAAGATCTTATTTTTCAAAACGATACCATGGTCGTTTAGGTTGATTTCAATTGGATACGTTTTACCAGAATGTCTGATTATAACTGTAATAATTGTCACAATAACGGTCAAGTTTTGAAGTTAGTAATATTAATTGCGATACTAATGACGATTATAATTGCAACAGCAAGTTTCGAGCCTTAAACAGCGAATCGAGTGAAGGACATACCAGGTAATACATTTGGGTCAGAGGACATTTTTGCTTTTGAATTGGAGGGAGTTTTCATGAATTAGATAAAAGGCAATACACTAAAAAGAAGCAGAAGCAGAAGCAGCTTGATGGTCTGTGGTGGTTGGGTCAATTACAGCAAAGCTGGATGTGTTTCAGAGGTAAGAACCACAAGAAACAAGAAAGACGAATCTGCTTCAGCTTCTGGAGGCAAACCGCCCAAAATAGACACAGCGCCAGCAGTGTGGGAAGTTCTCCAGATCAAGCAGTAATAAGCGCCAGTTCGTTTATCGTTACCCTGACACACTGTAATCCGTAATCGGTACGGAATATTTTGTCTTTACGCAACGTCGGCATATTACGGATCACGATGTTTGACGTAAAACAGGCAATTCTTCTTTAGGCCATGATTACAGTAAGTCCCAATAGAGCAACACCCGATTGGGCAAGTGGAAAATTTTGAATTCTTAAGAGGTTGCTGTTACTTATCGCTTTCTTTCTCTTTATCTTCATCTTTATCTCCATCTTCATCTTCATCAGTTCCTGCTGCTATATTTGCCTGTTTGTTGTAGAATGCTTTCCAAGATACTAATATTCACTGATTCAGGCTTCATCTTGTACAAGTATGAGCATCAAAAAGTCCCTGATTCCATCATAAACCACTTTATCCAGTCCAATTTGATTTCCTCGATCAACAGATCAAACATCAACAGCTTCAAAGACAATGCTCCTGAAAATGATGTCCATGATAATCACACCCACAACAATGAAAGTGTCAATAAAAGCAACACAGACGGCTCTGACAACATAGATGATGCAAATTTAATCGAAACCTATACTTACAAATCATATAATTTAAAATACATCAAACAGCACTCTATGTCTTTGATTTTTTTAATAGTCTATCCCAATATTATATCAATCAACATCAAAACATTGTCAAATTTTTTTAAAATCTTGAAAAATCTCTTTTTAAGTTTAATCCACCAAAATTTTAATAATGACAAAATTGATTTATATTATTTATTTAATCTCAAAAATAATAAGGATTTTTTGAGATTTCAAAACCTTATTCAACTGAAAATCAAAGAATTTAATAATTCATTTGAGAAAAATCAATCACCAATAAATGATTCATTTGAATCTGAAAATACTGCCATTACCACCACCACGACTACTACTATTACTACTACTACTACTACCACTAATAATATTAATAATAATAATAATAGCGATAATAACATTCTAAAGGATAAAATTAATGAAAAAATCAATTCTTTATCCGAAAAATCTTCTAAAAAGAAAAACAAAAAAATCTCTACAAAAAAAAATAGAATTTGGGGTGATAATTATAATATAGATCGTGATGATCCAATCTCCAAATCTTTAGATTTTTCAAATGATAAAGATTCCTCAATCTCCAATTCAAACTCAACTTCAAACATAAACTCAATTTCACCAAATTCAAACTCAAACTCAAATTCAAACTCGAACATGGACTTGAATAATTTAAATCAAAATTCGATTAAAAATAATTTCAAAAATTCCCAAGGCTTTAAAACATTCAAAGAAATTAATGATGAAATTGACGAAATTATCTCTTCAAATATTAATTCCAACTCTGATATTTCTTCAAAAAATAACAAATCCTCCTCATCATCAGCATCTGCTTCAACTTATTTAAAACCCTTCAGTTTCTTACAAAACTATATTGGTGGGAAAACAATAACCAACGCAGATATCACTAAAACAATCGAATTACTAAATAATCATTTAATTAAAAAAAATGTGTCTCCAGAGATTGCTTCAAAGATTACTTTAAATATTCAAAAAAATCTACTAGGCTCGAAAACTAGAACTTGGGAATCTGTTGAATTAACCGCAAAGAGATCCTTAGCTGAAGAATTGCAAAAAATTTTAACTCCAAATACTTCAATTGATTTATTACATGAGATTCAATTAAAATTGAATTCCAAGCAAAAAAATCCTTATGTAATTTCAATAGTTGGGGTTAATGGTGTGGGAAAATCAACAAACTTATCAAAATTGGCATTTTGGTTACTACAAAATAATTTAAGAGTGCTAATATGTGCTTGCGATACATTTAGAAGTGGTGCAGTTGAGCAATTAAAAACACATGTTAATAACTTGAAAAATCTTTCAATTGATGAAAAAATTAAAAACCAAATTGAGTTATTTGAAGGAGGTTATGGTGGATCAGATTTGGTGGCCAAAATTGCAAAAAGTGCAATTAATTATGCAAAAGAAAATCAATTTGACGTAATATTAATGGATACAGCTGGCAGAAGACATAATGATGCTAGATTAATGGCACCACTACAAAGTTTTGCTAGAGCTGCAAATCCAGATAAAATCATTATGGTTGGTGAAGCATTAGTTGGTACAGATTCAGTTCAACAAGCAAGAAATTTCAATAAAGCATTTGGAGCAGATAGAACATTAGATTTTTTCATTATTAGTAAATGCGATACAGTTGGAGATTTGATTGGTAGTATGGTTAATATGGTTTATGCAACAGGCATTCCAATTTTATTTGTAGGAATTGGACAAACTTATACTGATTTAAGAACACTCAGCGTTGATTGGGCAGTTAGGATGCTAATGAGTTAATGAGTTTAAAAAAAATCATTAATAATTTTTTTTTTTTTTATAACTTTCAAAAATTAGTATTAATAGCAATAATCGAATTATGTATTTTTTTTGTTAAAAGTATAAATAGATGAGTGAAATTGGAAATAAAATTGGAAATAAAATTGGAAATAAAATTGGGAATACAATTGGGAATATGAATTTTATAGATCTAAGATAAAGTACATGAACCAGGAATATTCAGTAGAAACTAATAATAATGTAAAATATGTTAAACAAAAAACAAAAAACAAAAAATTAAACAAAGGAGTAAATAAAAAAGTAAATAAGTGAAAACCAACCTTTGAATTATAAATGAACAAAAAAATAAAAACGTATGGGTAAAAGTTTCAAGTTTCAAGTTTCAAGTGTTAAAAACCATAGGAACTAAAGAGACATATCATGCTAACAGTACTGACAAAAACACCAACACCAGGAATAACAGTTGAAGAACCGGGTGTGTTGTGATTATAACTTTCATTTTTATTATAATGATGTTGATAATTTTTAGCCAAGTTATGTAGGTTGTAAGTGTACTTAATTTGATTCTCTAGGTTGTCATCGTTACTGTTGAAATTTTTGTTTAGGATATCGTTTATAGGATCATTTTTAGAGTTATTTGTGCTAGTATTAGTATTATAGCTATAGCGTTGATAGTAGTTGTTTTTGTTTATATTGTTAAAATTATGGGAGTAATTAGTAAAGTCAGAACCATTAACTGATTGATTTTTGAATCTGTTAATTTTTTTATTCATTAATCTTTGTTCAAATTTTAAATGAGTCTTTAAATGCTTATCGTAATCGAAATGGGGAACATCATAGTTTGAGCCAGAATTTGGCTTTCCAGTAAAATGAGAAGAGTTTTGGGAATGGTTTGAATAGTTAGTTTTTTTAAAATTATAGGTGCCACTGGGATATGAACGGTTTTTCATTGAATAATTTTTAGCATTTGAATAATATTTATTTTTTTGAATGTCATAATCGGATCTTCCAGTTGACGTCGTGAAATTATTTAGAGATAAATCATAAGTTAATTTTGAGCTATCATCACTTAAAACTTCATAGCTATTTACTAATTTGATGAAATTGTCATTATTTAAAGTTTTTTGATCTTCAGAGAGATTTAAATTTGGGTTATTGTTTATGATATCAGGATGGTAGGTCTTTGATAGAGTTTTGAATTTTTTCTTGATTTGCAATTTTGTGGATGATTTGGGTATGCCCAAGATTTGATAGTGGGTTAAATTTTTATCAGAAAAATCTAGTAACTTAATATTTTGAGTAGCACTGTCATTGGTGTGATTGTTGGTATTGTAGATGGTGGCATAGTTTCTGTTGGAATGGTAGAAAAAAGTGTTGCACTTGATAAGAGATGAGGTTGATTTAAGTGACAACATGGTTAGGGAATTGAGAGTTGTGAGTGTTTGATTGTGTTCTGAAGAAGTGGAAAAAAAAGACAGAAGAGAGGAAGTATTTATAGAACAAGAAACAGGAAATAGTTGGAGAGAAAATGAGCAATTAACAGAGTGGATAACAGCTCAAATGTTGAGACTCTTCAAGTTGATGAAGAGATAGCGAATCTATCACAGAATAACGAGATATTTATGGGGTTAAAAATTGATCAAAACGGGCTTTTGCTTTTAAGCGGATATTTCACCCTCGGGTATCGCGACCTCCCGGAGCCGGAACTAGTTCACGGCGGTTTTTTCGTCGTCGGAATCAGAAGCAAAAGAAGAGGAATCTGCTTCCAGAGCGTCGTCGCCAGAGTCGTCTGTAGAGGAAAAGTCGAAGGAAATCCAGCCAGGCCAGCCGAGCTCATCGCGAAGAATGCTTTGTATCTTTTCAATAAGGAACTTTTCCACCTTGCCAACGTTTCTCAACACCGAGGTGTGGTTGTTGTTGTTGTTGTTGTTGCTGCTGCTGCTGTTGTTGGGCTCGCCATTACCAATTTCAGACTCGATTTTGATGTTCTTGATGATGTCAATTCTGTCGTGTTTGTTGTTGAGACGGCTGGAGTTGTAATTGTAATTGCTGAAGTTTTGAGATTGGCTTGGGTTCTGGCTGTAACTTTGAGCCAGGTTGGGATTATTGTGGGGCGTGTTGTAGTTATTGTAGTAATTAGTATATTGGCTGTTGTAGAGATGATTTGGGATTTTGAAATTGTTTGTATTTGGGGTGAATGAGTAGCCGTTGTTTATGTTGAAGGAGGAATTTGTTGTTGACATTGAAATTGAATTTGCAGACAAAGAACGATCTCTGTCTTGAATAAAGTCATTAATATTGCTATTGGGAGGAGTTGGGACAGGGGTAGGACTAGAAGTGGAAGTAGAGGCAATATTTGGTGGAGTGGAATTGGTAATTGGGTCATTTATATCACATAGAAAGGAAAAGTTGATTAATCTTTTGCAATAGGATAATATTGCCAATGAATGAATCACCAAGTTTGTTAGTTTTAGCTTCACAGGCAATTGAATAAAACCGGGAAAGGGATAGTTTAGTAATAAACTTGCAGAGATTTCGATTGACAAGTTTCCCTTATAATCAATTTCGATGATAAACTGAATATCGTTTGGATCATTTTCGCTTTTTAATTTTGACTTGATGCTCGTTGCATTGTCACTGTTGATGTTATTGCCATTATTACTACTGTCATTGCCAATCTCGTTGGATATAGAGGGAGTAGGATTGGTCGAAGTATCTAATGGAGGCTCATCAATGTTGTTGATACTGTTCGTATGGCTATCAGCAGCAGCAGCAGCATCGCCATTGTCTCCACCACTGCCATCATCATCATCATCATCATTGTCGTTGTCGTTGTCGTCGTCGTCGGTATAGAACTCAGGAAAGGGATCGCCTATGTGTCTGATGGTGATTTCTGGCGGAATTGAGCCCAACTGAAAATTTGTGACACAGACGTCTGTGATGTATGGGGGGAAAGAGATGCTCTTGAACTGGCGGTCAAGAAACTGCTGGAACTGCAAATTCAACTCAGCATCAGTGGCAAGCTGGTCCCAGTTGATATCAAACGACATATTGGCAACGCTGTGCTTCCAACTGTACTTCCAACTGTGCTGCAAACTCTGCCGCCGCTCAAAAAGGCGAAAGCCGCTGTGGCGAGCCCTAGGGCTGTGAGTTGCCACTTGCATGGGTCAGCATGGCATCAGACGTCCGATTAGGCGCATCTGCGTCTGAACGCCTCCACTTGCGCGTCCTGGCGCGTGCCGGGAGTTGACACATTTGGAGGACGTTTTGAGCCATTGTTTAGGTCTTGGAAGAGCATTGTTATTGTTTGTTTGTGTCCCACTTTGCTGTTTCTGCTGTTTCTGCTGTTTCTGCTGTTTCTGCTGATCTGTCGTCATTCTCTCACCACTCTCGACGTCTGCATCTACTGTCTGTGTTTGCTGCTTTTACTGTCATCAGCTATCTTATCCTATTCCTACCCTATTCCTATCCTATTCCCATCCTCTTCCTCATCCTCACCCTTCTCCTTTATCACTGGTTATCATCTCATTAATTGAGTTAATTCATAATTTCCTATTTTTATGAAATTTGTTTTTTGCTAAATTCAGAAACCTATAACCAGAAGCCTTTTAACTTTCATAATACCAGAAAAAAGAAAAGGGAAAAACAAGGCTATTATTCACTCTAAAGCATATTAATCAATTTTAAAATTTAAAGGGCTTATTCTACCTATCAACTTTTTATAAAAGATAATCTTAAGCTGAAATTTTCTTTCTTTCGCTTCGTTTTTATTCAGATTCAAAAATTTATATTAAGATATTCAATTCCTACTGTTTTGTCACTCCAATTATCATAATTATTGTATTTATAAATTTGCAAATTTATAATTACATAATTACATAATTACATAATTCCTTTTATTGTTTTTCAGTACAAATATTTCAAGTAGCATTACTCAATATTGAATTTTATTTCTCTCCCTTTTATTTGCTTTTATTCACTTTTATTCACTTTTTTTCTTTATTCTTTATTCTTTATTCTTTATTCTTTATTCTTTATTCTTTATTCTTTATTCTTTTTCTTGCTATTTTTTTATTCCATTCTATTCTACTTTATTTCATTTATCTTCATCAAAAAAATCTAAACTGCTTTATTAAATTCTCAATCAGTCTATTAAACTAGTCGATTAGTCTGTTAAAATGGCTGTCTTGGGTCTTCAGACTGTTGCTTTAGCCTTTCAAATTGCTTCTTTTGCTTTCCTATTAATCGTCGTCTTAACTGCTCCTGTCACTGATGTCCTATCCATTGCCGATCATGATAACTACAAATATGGTATCTTTGGTTATTGCGACGAGTATAGTTGTTCTGATGCCACCTTCAATTACAATCCAACTGACCTAGTCTCTTCCCTGGATACAGATGAATGGGCAATGTCGAATTCAATTAGATCTTCTTTATCAAACCTATTTATCATCCAACCAATAGCCTTGGGAATAACTTTCATCTCTTTAATCATCCTCATCCTAACTCACATCCATTCGTTAACTCATTTACCCAAAATCTTCATCCTCGCAATAATCTTCACTCTATTATCAACTCTCTTATCTTCCTTAATTTGTATAGTAATATTCTTACTATTTTATCCAAACGTCACCTATGGTTCCTGGATCTTAATTCCTGCTGCTGTCCTAAACCTCCTAGCTTTCATTCTAACAATATTAGCCAGAAACATAAACTCAAACAAAAACTTCAACGAAAACACTTCAGTAGACTTGATCGATGACGAATTTAATAAAAAAGTAAACAGCTATTCAAACTTGAATTATAACAATAATTTTGCTTCCTCCTCAAACTCTTTACCTCCTCCTCCTCCTCCAATAATCGGCAGTTTCAATGACAATATCAACGACACAAACATAAACAATAAAAATGCACTTGGCTCAAATAATAACAGTGAAAACACTTACTTGAACGTCTCCAAACCCGACGACCATAAAAACTATCAAGAAAATTTATCTGCTAGAACTCTAACCCAAGATTCAGCCTATGAAGAACAAAAAAGCAATGTTAATGATAAAGTCTCGCTAACTGACATTTCCAAACCTTCTTTCTCAAAGACTACTCCTCCGGTTCAACCTTCATTTAATAATAACTTCAACAACAACAATAACAATTCCATCACTCCTATTCACAATGGCCCTACTTCAAATGTCAATGCTCCTATTATCAATCCTGCTTTTAACCCTTATCAAAACCAAAACCAAACTCAAAACCCTCATTCAAATTCAAATTCAACTTTAAATCTCAATAGAAATCCAAATCTAAATTCAAATCCAAATTCAATTCCTAATCCAAATATTAATATGAACATGAACTCCAATTCCTCATTTGGTAGACAACCAAGAAATTCTCTTACCAGAGCAAATCAACCTAATTTTATCTCTAATCCTGATATGACATCCTTCTACAACTCCCAAAATAATATCAACAATGACTTCTCATCCCAAAATGATCCTTATCCAAATCCACAAAACCCTGCTCCTTATCCCACTGCTCCTTATCCCACTGCTCCTTATCCCACCAATCCTCCATATGCTTCTCCTTCAAATATTTCAAATAACCCTCAAGGGCAATTCAATAACTACCTTCCCCAAGATCCTTCATCTCCAACAATTCAACAACAACCTCAAAATCTCAATCCAAATGCAATTAATCCAAATTCTCCAAGTCCTGACTTAAACAACAACATAAATGAGGACGAAAGATCTGATGGTGAAAACTCTGATTTTACCAGTGTTTCTCAAAGACCAATCAACCCTCGTTACTACCAGGCTCAACAACAACAACCACCTTATTATCCTCCCCAACAACAGCAACAACCACCACCACCACCACCACAACAACAACAGTCTTATTATCCTCCTAATCAACAACAACAAGGCTACTATGTTCAACAACAACAACAACAACCTTATATTCAAGGCCACAGACCATCCTCAGGCAGTGGTTATTATCCTCCTCAACAACCTCAATTCCAACAACCACCACCACCACAACAACAACAACAACCTTCCAAACCTCAACTGTCTAGTGTAGATATTGTTTTGAACTCAAATCCAGATTTTGATCTCCCAGGAACTGCTCAAAAGCCAAGGCCTGGTCGTAGGTTTGTTGCTGGTGCTGGGCAATTGCAAGGAACTAATTTTAGACCAACATATAAACATCGTCCAAGTCTGAACATATCAAATATACCTCCTGCTTCTTTAAGTGGTGATAGTCCTTACAATTTTAGATAAACTATGTATCTGATTCTAAAGTGAGAAAACATAAAACAAATGGTTACATGAAAAATTTTAAATTTTTTTAATCAACTTTACTTTCAATTCAATAATTTTAATATTTATGCAACCTTATTCATTAATGTATATTAGATGTATGATATTTAATACATTTATTTACCACTTTCCTCAGTTTCAATCAAATCTATATTTCTACCTCTTTCCCTCCTTTTTTTTTTATTTTGTTGTGTCTCATTTGGTCTTAACATTATTTATCGCCTTTTGAATTTTTTGAATTTTTTTTTATTTAAGATACGCCACTTAATTATAATCGAAGACAAAGTTTCATGCTAAAAGTTTCTTGTGAATTATATTCAAAGTGCATTAACATGTTTTAAATTCTTAGTTTTATATAATCGAAATGATGCTTATTTTCATTTTCAAGTAATTTTTCATAAAAAACAAAAGATGTTAAAAATATTAAATGAGTTTAATTAAATTTTTATAATTTTTTGAGATTATTTTTGTTGAAGTTTTCAGTTACTTTTTTTAATAAATTTAGTTTTATATTTTATTTTATTTTATTTCATTGTTATCTTTGAGAATTTTTGTTGTGTTTTTTTTTGTTTTCTTCATTTTACAATTAGTTTTTTATTTTTTTTTCCGTCCAATAAATTTTTTCAAATTAATTTCGTTTCAATTCTTATTAATTTTTAATATCAGATGTCATTATAAATATTCAATTCTAGTATTAATATAATTTACAAAATTTTCATTAAAAAACCATTAAAAAAACTAAAAAAACATCAAAAAATATTAAAAAACATTAAAAAAATTTATAGATTGCTCTAAAATAAACGACTGAATATTATATGAGAAAACTTTCTATTTGGTTTGCATTATTAAAATTATCAGATTCTAGGTTAGGCTTAGAGTCCTTATGGTCATTCTTCCCTTTGCCATCATTATTCGATCCACTATTTCCTCCTCCTCCTCCTAGATGTTTATGCGGTTTTGTAATCACCACTATCAACAAACCGAGAACAAGTAGAGACAATAATAGAATAATTTTACATTTCTGAGTCCTCTTTTGAAAATTAGATGCTTTATTCAACTGTTTGTTAGATTCATGAATTTCTGTTTTAACATTTTCTAAGTTGTAATCAATTCTATCCAATATTGTGCCCTGATCGATAACCATGTTTTGCATTTCTTTAAATATAGCAGAAACCTCGAGTATTCCCTGTGCTAATTTTGATATTTCTTGTTCTCTTTGTCTTATTAAATTGGCGGAATCATGTTTTTGTAGTACTGTTGAAGACTCCTTTAATGCTTGTCTTGAGTATTCTTCCACTTCTTTTGTTTCAGTTTCTAAAGTGGCTAAATTTGAACTTGAGATAGTTGCAACACTTTTGCTGTTCAAATTTGCATCAAAATCTTCCTGTTTAAGAAACTTTATATAGTTATTCTGTAATTTCCTAAAACTTGAGGAATATTTTTGGATTTTCAAAGCATAATTCTTTTTTATGTTTTCTATCATTATCAATTCACTCTTTTTTTTAATTAGTTTTGTCTCATTATTGGTCTTTTTTATGGTATCCAATTTTTTGACCAAACCGTAGCAATGCTGGAATTTTCTGGTGATTATGTAGTTGAGTTTTTCAATTTCTTCTTCGTCCATTGATCTATCATTGAAACCAGGCAATATGTTTTTCTTGTATAGCACAGTTAATTCTTCGATTCTCTTTGATATAAAATGTAGAGACTCGTCGAGCTCGCCATTCATGTCCAAAAAAGCAGGAGGAAGAGTCTTCATTTCAATCTCCTCTGGCCCATTTTCTATGCGATGCTCATCCAAGAAAGGATCATTTGCGTCGCTATATCCATCGTTATTTATCAAGCCCTGCTCTTCCTCAAGCAAAGTGTCAAACCTATCAGACAAGGAGCTGCTATGAGGAAAGGTCCGACGGTAGGACAAGTATAAGTTGGTTCTGTCTCTGAACATTGAAGCGTATTGGAGTAAACAAGCACAGTGCCTCTAGCTATTTGCCTTCAGTAGTATTCCAGTGGTGCTCCAGCAATTAGTCTCTGGGTAGTGATCAGTCTCTGGGTAGATCAATTTTTGAATGGTGATCCACTTTCTGCTGAATCAGCTCTTTGAACAATCAGAGCGATGTGTTTCCGCTACAGCCTCAAATGACAGTATCCCGCTTCCACAGGGATCGAATGCAGAAAGCGCCGCATGCACGCCGCGTCTACACACAAACGGCGCATGCGCATCGGGGCGGGCAGCACAGGAAGAAGAGATATAAGATAGAGAGATATAGAAAGAGATAACAGGAAACTGAAGAGATAAGGCTAGGGCTTGTCCTTGTTCAAGTGGAACATGTTCTTAGATAGGTTGACGAGGGAGTTGCTGGTTTTGATGTGTGGGTGTGGGTTTGGGTCACCATGAGGGCCTGTTGGTGTGTGTGCTGGACTGTGTTGTTTCTCCATGGAAGGTCTGTCTGAGTCGTTGGCCACTGAAGAAGAGGTGTTGCTGGAAGACGAGTTATCGCTTTTAGACGAGTTGTCAGAGCCCAGAGAAGTGTTGCTTAGGACGTGGGCAATTCCAATGTCTGGCTGAAGGTTGTTGGGTATGGTTAGTATCGAGCTGGTTTTGTTGGAAGAGGGAAGTTTTCTGGAATTCATGAGCGAGGTGAGCTGATTAAATGAGCCAAAGCTATGATGGTTTTTGGTGTACTTTTTGGTATGAGATACTGAAAACGATCTTCTGTTTCTCACAGACTCCTCGTACGATGGCGCTAATATCTTTTCAAATTGATCGCTCTTAATGGCGGTTTTATAAGAAGGTACTTTTGACAAGTCTGTCCAGGAAGAAAATCTTGAATGGGAGTTGTTTTCCAAGGCACCTGGAGAATGAGGTAAAGAGCATGATCGCAAATTTACTGGGATACTATTGTTAACATCGATAGAATGACGATTGGTGCTGAAATAGTCGCCTTCATGTTCATTTTCTTCGATTGGAGAACCCAACAAAAAAGTAGCTTGGCTACCAGACCTCTTGTTTGTTACTCTAGTGTTTTCTTCTCTTTCATTGTCTTTGTCATTATCGTTATCTCTTTCTCCCTCCAATCTCAAGTTTTGTAATTTTCTGGTTAAATGGCTAGAAGACAAATTGTGAGATGAACTGGCCATGTTTAAATTAGAGCCTGACGGCGTTATTGCTGCAGAATTGGAACCTGATTCAATTGGTGAGCACAAATTGGGAGTTGGAACATCACACCAGAGTCTATCATAAACATGTTCACCATAATTGGGAGGAGCTATAATTGCAGTACCAAAGGGAATTGGTTTTTGAGGATTGAGTACATCACCAAATAAAATTTGATCGTCCGTTGAGTCCTTTAATGAATTTGTAGTGTGATCATTTTTCTTGAACAATTTGTCATCAAAATCGGTGAAATTCTCGTTAATATCATGTTTACAAGATATTGCAACATGGGGAGATATAAATAGGATAACAGGTAAGGAAGCTCTTAATTCAGAGACATGACCATCAGGATTTTTCAAGCCAATGTTGAATTTTAATTTGTGACGAACTTTTAACTGGTCGAGGATATGGCAATCTTGGGTGATTTTGGATAAACTTAGGGGCAATTGCATTAAAAAATCGATTGACCAACGATCATTTGATAGAGTTAGTTTGTTTGAAAAGTTTTGATTGATTTCAATGGATAGAGGCTCGATTAAAGCAGTGGAAATATCATGATATTGGTGACTTTTCGGTTCTGGGATTTCATTTTGAACGAGGATTCTTTCATGATTACGGCTATGGTTAGGACTGTGGAGGTGAATGTATTCGATTAGAGTGAATTTTATTCTTGATAATTTTAAACCTTTTAACAATGGAATTAGATTTAAAGTAATTGGAATGGCCGAGCCGATTGCGATTGCTCTTGAGGGAATGCTAATTGAGTATTCTATTTTCTTGGGCCATGTATTTTCTACAGCCATTGTTTCAGCGAGTTCTAAGGAATCTGGAGTTAGGGTTCTTATTACTCGTAAATGTTTTGTAGCAGATATATCCTTTGACAATTTTCCCTTATGAAGGGTGCTTTGGATCTTATAGTACAAGACAGCGTTTTTAAGGCCTAGAACACTTTCTGGGATTGTTCCAGGAAGAACAAAAGAAAAGGGGAATTCATAGTTACCTTTTTCCAAGAAGAAGGAGGTGTTATTGTTGTGATGATCATTGTTGAGGTTGTTGAGGTTGTTGTTTGAAGTTGAATTATTTGAAGAGTTGAAATTGATTGGATTGGAAGAAGGTTGGTTTACAGGTTCGAAAATAAAAGGAGAAGTTAAAGTTGATAAGGACATTGAGGAAGCAAAAGAAGAAAATTTAGATTTTTTGTTTAAATTTTTCAAATTTGTTGAGGAATTTGAGTTTGAATTTGAATTTGAATTTAAATTTAAATTTGAATGAGAATGAGAATGAGAATGAGAATATAAATTTGAATTCTTTTGATAGTCTTGCAAGTTTTTTAAGAAATAATTATTGTCCAAATAGTGTTCATATAAAGTCTTTTGCGAATAAACAGGTTTTTTAAATTCGCCATTTATAGTTTCATAAGTATCAAACCATCTTAATTTCAAGATGGCAGAGATCTTTAAGGATAGTTTTTTAAAGTGAATTGGTTCCAAGACCGACAAAACAATTGTGCCGGTGAGCAAGTTTGAAGGAGCAGAAGAAGATGGGCCTTTTATGATTACAACATCGTATTGAGTTCCATTTAGTCTTATTTCGAATAGAGATGTTTTCTTGTTTGTTCTTGATAGAGAGTGCATAATAAAGTAATGAAAAAAACAAGTTGTAGCGAGAATGAGAGAAGTCGATTGATAGTAAAAGAGAAATAATGAAATTTTCAGAAAAAAGAAAAAAGAAAAAAGATCTAGAGAAGATTTATGAGCTGAATTTAAAGAAATTGACTGTATTAGTATTGAAGTTAGTATTGATATTGATAAGTAATATCAATCCAAGCGATGGTGAAATAGCAGTTGGGATGCAATTATTGGTATAAATATAAATATAAATATAAATATGAATATGAATATGAATATAAAATTTACAGGAACTGATCTCCAGACCAAAAGAAAAAAAAGGTTGAGGGAATAACGTAGAGAAGAATAGAGATAGAGATTAGGGAGGAAGAAAAATAATGATGGTAGTATTAATATTCGTTTACTGTGGTTGATAATATATGAGACCCATAGGAGAGAACGCGAGTGATCGCAGAACACTCACAATGTCAATTAATCCTTAATGGATTATTTATATGATTGTGAACATGATTCGGTGCAATAAGACTGCAGTCATAAAGATTGCACTAGATAGCGCTGTAGAGCTAACGCACGCGAAGCCAAACCCTAACGGCGCTCCCCAATAGAAAGCCTAGATAATGGCACCAGCAGTAGCCCAGAGATCCAGTGCAACGGGCTGGGAATGCTTCTGTTTGCTCCTCCAGCAGAGGGCCCTATCCGAAGCTCCACTCCCAGCTATCTGTGCTGCTCCAGCCGCCAGCCGAGCTGTTTTCTCTTCCTCCACGATAAGCTCCAACTGCTCCGAAAGCTATTTCCGCCGGCAAGATCTCGTGACCCTGTCGGCGTCTTTGAGTGCGTGACGTCAAAACGCGCGCCGGAAACGTCCCGGAGACGGCCGAGGATTGTGTCACATGTGTGGTGTCCGTGCTTCTATCCTTTTTCGATTGGAGCACCGTCGGAGTGGCGACGCTCTCTGCTGACATAACGCTGCTGTTTTGGGAATTGTTCTGAAATCTTTTTTTGCAGTGAAAAGTTCTGCTGAATCTCCTGCTCAGTTTGATCTCAAAGCATTGGCAGCAGAATCACACCCATGACGAGTATTGGTTCCAAAGTACGTCTGGCAGCTCCTTCCATAGACCCTGTTGTGTCTGACTACACCATTGGCTATATCCAGCATGTCTCCAACAGCACCACTGACAGTGTTGCATCCCAACAATTGGATATCAAAGCTGAATTATCTTTTGTCAACGATCTTCTAGTCAGTGCTGGGGGAAACCCCAAGAAAGTGTCCCAGCTTATATCGAGTCTATCTGCCGATCTAGAGACACAATTAAAGGATAACGCAGAAAAATTGAATCTCACCGGTGACACCTCAAAGAGACTATTAGACATCAATTTACTAAATAGTCACACTAGAAAGGTCAACAACTCAATGGCCCTTATGGGTGCCACAAGAGATATTGAACACACTGGAAGAAAAATAGAAACTAGAGTCGATAAGAAAAAATTAGAAAAAGCTGAAAGAAAAATTGCTAAAAAAGTCGCTAAAAGAGACAACAAATTTGTTAAATACGAAGCCTCCAAATTGTTAAACGAAACCCAAGATGAAAACTACGACGAATTTTTCCTCAAAATCAACCCCATCGACTTTGGTTCTGGTGCCGGTAAATCAAAAGATATTAAAATTGAAGACTTTGATTTATATGTCGGTGCAGGCCAAAGAATCCTTTCCAATGCTACTTTAACTCTAAGTTATGGCCGTAGATATGGGTTGGTAGGTCAAAATGGTATCGGTAAATCAACCCTTTTAAGAGCTTTATCAAAGAGAGAACTAAATGTCCCCAAACATATAAGTATCCTACATGTCGAACAAGAATTAAGAGGTGATGAAACAACTGCCCTACAATCCGTTCTTGATGCCGATGTTTGGAGAAAGCAATTACTATTTGAAGAAAAAAAAATTAACGACAGATTAAATGAAATTGAATCTCTAAGAAACGAATTCCATGAAGACTCACTAGAAGTTAAAAAACTAGACAACGAATCAGGCGATTTACAATCCCACTTGGAAGAAATCTTTGAAAAACTAGAAGAAATGGAAAGTTCAAAAGCTGAAGGTAGAGCTGCCTCAATTTTATTCGGTTTAGGCTTTTCAACTGAATCTCATTCAAAACCAACAAATTCTTTCTCCGGTGGTTGGAGAATGCGTTTAGCTCTTGCAAGAGCTTTATTTTGTAAACCGGATTTGTTATTGCTTGATGAACCTTCCAATATGTTGGATGTTCCTTCCATCACTTACTTGGCCAACTATCTTCAATCTTATCCCTCAACTGTTTTAGTTGTCTCTCATGATCGTTCATTTTTAAACGATGTTGCAACTGATATCATTCACCAGCACTCAGAAAGACTAGATTACTATAGAGGTGCAAACTTTGATTCCTTTTACGCAACTAAAGAAGAAAGAATGAAAAATGCAAAAAGAGAATACGAAAATCAAATGGCCTATAGAAAACATTTGCAAGAATTTATTGACAAATTTAGATACAACGCTGCTAAATCTTCTGAAGCTCAATCTAGAATTAAAAAATTGGAAAAATTACCTATATTAGAGGCTCCGGAAGAAGATAAAACAATAACTTTCAAATTCCCTGACCCGGAAAAATTATCTCCTCCAATTCTTCAATTACAAAATATCACTTTTGGTTACTCAAAGGACAATTTATTGCTAAAAAATGTGGATTTTGACGTTCAATTGGATTCAAGAATTGCATTAGTGGGTGCTAACGGTTGTGGTAAAACTACTCTATTGAAAATTTTAATGCAGCAATTAGACCCAATAGATGGTATTATCAGTAAAAATCCAAGATTAAGAATAGGTTATTTTGCTCAACATCATGTCGACTCAATGGACTTAAATTTATCAGCTGTAGCTTGGATGGCTCAAAAATTCCCCGGCAAAAATGATGAAGAATATAGACGTCATTTGGGTTCATTTGGTATAACTGGTACGTTAGGTTTACAAAAAATGGAATTATTATCTGGTGGTCAAAAATCAAGAGTGGCATTCGCTGCTCTATGTATGAATGAACCTCATGTTTTAATTTTAGATGAACCTTCAAATCACTTAGATACTTCCGGTCTAGATGCTTTAGCTGATGCCCTAGATAAATTTAAAGGTGGTGTGCTTATGGTTTCGCATGATGTTTTCGTCATTGATAAAGTATGTAACCAAATTTGGGTTAGTGAAGATGGTATTGTCAGTAAATTTGGTGGCTCGATCTTTGATTATAAGAGATACATTTTATCTGAAGCTGATTCAAAGGGTGTTGTGAAAAAACAATAGATCCGCTATTATATATGTATTTTATGAGTCTATAAAAATAAGCATTAATGAGATTTTTATTTAATTCTAAACCAAAACAAGTTCGGCTTTTCTTTTACTAGTTCTTTCGTCAAAGACAGATTTAACTTGTACAATAACTCTATCAAAGACAGCAACTGTTCTTTTAACATTTTTCTTGTTTTTAAATGATAATTCAAAGTTATCCTCATCAAATACGGCCGAATTGGGATCTCCCAAACTTTCTAATTTAATTAAACTTTCAACACCAAATTTAGGAACAAGCACAACTATCCCATTGGAAAAAATCTTAATAACATAACCTTCTTCAGAACTTTCGTTGTTTTTCATAACTTGGCCAACATAATATTCTATACTAGCTCTTCCAGCAAATTGAGCATTTCTGTGTCTCTTGTTGATATTTTTTGCTATTAAATCCATTTTATTTTTATCTCTATGGATGATATCCAATGATTCATATCCTATAGCAGCAGCCAATTGTCGATGAGCCACAACATCACAATAACGACGAATTGGTGAGGTAAAATGAGTATATATATCTACTGCTAAACCATAATGTTTAAATTCAGGATAAGAAAATGAGCCTGATATAAAATATTCAGCAGCTAGCATGCAACGAGTTGACATAATTCGAAGTAAGGTATTGAAATAGGGATCTTTAGGATCAACACAATTATCTAATGAATCAGCCAATGCTTTAGAGTTTTCTAAAGAAATGTGCATATTTTTTCGAACTTTAAGCATTTGATTTAACAAAGTAAAATTTGTTGCTGGGGGATCACCATGTCTTCTTAACATTGCAGTTTGTTCAAAGGAACTGTAAATTTTTCTGGCAACAGAGATATTGGCTAACAACATAAACTCTTCAACAAGAGAGTTTGTGGCTAATAGTTTTTTAACTTCTACTTCACTGGGATCATAGGTTTCACTATCCATGTGAACTTTTACTTCGGGGGAAGCTAGGTTAAGAGCACCAGCATCCAATCTTTTCTGTTTTAGTTTGATAGATAGTTGAAGCAAAGCTCTCATTCCGTTTGTTAGTTCATCTTGGTTGTTTTTGTCATCTATTCTTAATTGGGCTTGTTCATAAGAAAAGGCTTCTCTGGATTTTATTATAGATTTTGTGTAATCAACGTTGATGATATTAGCATCATCATCCAATTCCCATATTACGGAGAAAGAGAATCTGTCAACATAGGGCTTCAAAGAACATAAATCAGTTCCTAATAGTAAAGGAAGCATGTCGATTCTTTTATCAACAAGATAGACAGAAGTGGCTCTTGAAGCACCTTCAGCATCTAAGGGGGTATTTGGTTTCACAAAATGAGTGACATCGGCGATATGAACACCAACTTCCCAGTTTCCATTTGGTAATCTTCTTGCATGTAAAGCATCGTCAATATCGACACAACCTGGAGGATCGATAGAGCAGACCAATCTATCTCTCAAGTCTTTTCTTTTTTTGATCAATTCGTCAGCATTAAGATCCTGTGGGACTTTCCAGCTATGACCTTCTTTGGGAAGACAGTCAAGGACATTTTTGCTAAAGGGTTTGTACTCAACGCCGTATTCTAGTAATAAAGCCTCAGTTTCAGCTTCTACACTCTCGATTTCACCCAAAGAACGAACAAAGTGACCTTGAGGGTATTTTGAGTTTATTGGCCAGGAATCAATAGATATGACAATTCTTTTTCCAATCAATTCTTTCATTCTTCTGGTTCTAATACGAACTTTTGGTAGGGATTTGTCCATCAACGCGACAAAGCAAGATTTTGTAGAGTTTGATTTAAGGTCGTTTAAATCAATGGAATGGGAAGAAATTTGGCCAACAAAAGGTCTCCAGTTTCTTTTAACTATACCGACAACTTTAGCAGTGGGCAAGATGACAGAGGATTCAGAGTTTGGGTCAGCATTTTGGGTCTTGAGAGCTTCATAAATTAAGAGTTTTCTTTCTGTTTCAGAAATGGAGATGGTTTTGTTATTTTTGTTATCTTCGGAGTCGTCATCATCAGCGTTATCATTTGCATTTACTACGTCATCTTCCATGATTAGAGAAGAGGGTTTTTTCCACTTTTCCTTGGGCAATAATTCAACAACTACCTGGTCACCGTTGAAAGCTCTGTTAAGAGATTCTCTTCCAAGAATTAGGAGAGGTTTAGACAAGTTTGGGACTGAGACTTGACCCTCCAAAAAGTTGTATGGGGAGACATTGACAATGCCTTGATATAGAGTTGCATTTTTGAGGCCACCCATCAATTTAGCAGTTGAGTAGTATTCGGGATAGGTTATCTGGTGTTTATTTTTGGAGAAGTCATTGGATGGTTCGTCGTCGTAGTTTGGAATCAAATCTTTCAAGTCGTTTGCGTTGGGAAAGTAGTCGATATACTCAAATAGAGATTTTGATAAAATGCCTTCTTTTTTGGCTTTTTCTCGACTGTCGCGATCATTGCAAAGAAACACAACCTGAATCGGAGAATAGTGGTCTTTATCCTGATAAGTGGAAAGGTGCAGTTGGAACCATTGGCAGAATTGTCTTATTGCTCTATCATTTCGATCGTTCATTGATTCGCTGGGGTTTCGATAGACGTAGCAGTCCTGGTGAAAATCGTTGTGGAACACAGCAAACCTCTTCTCATCGCTTCGAACAAGACTTCTTATTCTTGTGTATATTGGAAAGCTTCGGTTTCGCACCTCTTCGAGCACGGTTTGAGGAATCACCACATCGAAGAAAATGGAGGAGCTCTCGATCAAGTCAATGGCGTGGAGAATGATGTTGGTGTCAAGCACCAAGTAATGGTGGGCCAAACCCTCCAAGCTCAAAGGGGTTGCTGAGAGAGTGAAGTGAACGAAGTTGCCCTCAGGATCTGGCTTGAGGATATTCTGGCAGTAGGTGCAGCCCTTGGAGAGACAGGGAATGTCGTCTCTCAAGTAGTGCTCTCGCACAACCTTTGAGGCGTCGCCATTTCTGGAACGCACAAACACCTTCTGTGTAACGACCAAGCCATTGGTGAACAGTCTCTTGCTGGGGTTTTCGATGGCCATTACTTTGTGTTAGCACTGATTTCTTCCCCAGAAACAGCTCAAATTTTTCATCTCCAGCACGAGATCCGAGGAGGCACGTGACTTACGATGCACAGACCCGACTTCCGGGCAGTGTCTGTTTTGACAGCAAAAGCTGCTGTTTCTGGAGCACAGTTCAGCTCCTTCTCTGTTGCCAGAATCTGCGATGCCTGTCCACAACAACAAAATGGCCCAGTTCAGCGACAAGCCCAACTCGGTGCTCTATGCCCTCTTCAGCTTTCGCAAGACCACCTTCAGTCTCATAGCAATCCTCACCTACACTGTTATCGTTATCTTGGTTTCCTACTCATCAGCCCTAGGCTCCTGGGGCAGCAGTGCCAACAACCAGCAATGGGATGGAGACTCCTGGAACGACTTGCAAATCCTTTCCCAGTTCCCTCATCCCTACGACTCCCATGCCAACGACGACGTCTACCACTTTCTTCTCGACAAAGTTCGCTACTACCAGTCGTTGAATCCGGACCATATACAGGTCGAGAGCGACTTTGCCAATTCGAGCTTGTTCAAACAAAAGGACGTCTTCAACAGCTCTTCCACCACTGCCAGAATCATCTACTTTGAGAGTGGAAACATATATGTCAAGATCAAAGGCCTGCAGGGCGATTCCTTGACTGACGTTTTGATAAGTGCTCATTACGACAGTGTCCCCACCAGCTATGGAACCACCGATGATGGAATGGGCATTGCTTCAATGCTAGGAATACTCAATTACTATGCCACTTTTAAAATCAAACCACTCAGAAACATCATTTTCAACTTTAACAATAATGAAGAATTCGGCTTGTTGGGTGCAACTGCCTTTTTTAACCACCAATGGTCCAAAAATGTCGAGGCCTTTATCAATCTTGAAGGAACCGGTGGAGGTGGTAAGTCAATCCTATTCAGAACCACAGACTACAACATTGCCAGATACTATAAATCTGTTCCTTCTCCATTTGCCTCCTCTGTCTTCCAGCAAGGTTTCAGCAATGGCTTGGTTAAAAGCGAAACAGATTACAAAGTTTATATCCAAAACGGTTTGAGAGGTTTTGATATTGCCTTTTATCGGCCAAGAGACTTGTACCATACCAAAAGAGACTCCATTAAATCAACAACAAAAAGCTCCCTATACCACATGCTTTTCAATTCTTTAACTTTGTTGCAAAGTTTGTCCAATGAAAAAAACTCCTATGATAACGATTCTCCTGATTATCACAAAACTCCTGCTGTCTTTTTCGATCTAGCTGCCTTCTTTTTCATTGTATTTCCCTTGACTCAATTGTATATTTTAAATCTCGTTTTAATTTTTTTCATCCCCACCATAATTGGCTTGTTTTTATTAATCGTTTCTCGAAAAAATACCTGGGTTATCAAAGACCAACTATTTTCTTCCATAATAAGATTCCCTCTTTCCTTCATCTTATCCTCAATAACAACTTATTTTCTATTGTTTCTCCTTAAACGTTATAATCCCTTAATCATCTCCAAAGATTACTATTTGCCTCTACTAGTCTCAACATGCACTTTTATCTTTATCAACTATCTGCTATTGTACCTTTTTGATAAATTTCTGAAAGTCCACGACCAAAAACTAATGATTCTACTAGAATTAACTATAATCACTTGGTTATTGCTCATATTTGACACTTTTAGAATCCAACCATCAAAATCAAAAAATACTGGCGAATATATCCTGACAATATGCTTCCTTTGTCTCTCAGTTCCAACTATTTTTGGTTTATTCATTCTTTCTCTTAAAAAGAAAATCCCAAAATCCTACAAAAACTCTTCTTCCTCCTCTCCCCAATATGGCTCAACTCGTTATCATGATGATATAAATAACAGAATCAACGAAGATTTCGATGATGCCTCAGTCACCGAAGACGAAAACCAGGAAAATTATGATGCAGATGATGATGACGACGATGACGATGATCAGAATAGAAATATTAATGACTCTGATAATGAAATCATCGATAGAGAATCTCAACCACTATTATCCAATAGAGACCAAAACCAAGGAAATAGCACTTTAAGCCATTTTACAGCAGTTTCCCACAACAACGAACAATCGCCATCACCATCACCATCAAATCATAAGATATTCTCAACTTTAAACTACGATTGGTCAATTCAGTTTTTATTGCTAGTCCCTGTTTTTGCCTTCTTTGTTTATTCAATCAGTATAAGACTACTAGAAGGCTTAAGCCAAACTGTTCAAGAAAGCGACAATTCAGTGGCTTTCCTATTCCAAGCCATCTTTATGATTTCAGCTTTATTAACTCTTCCATTATTACCATTTGTTCATAAAATCAAATTTTTTATCATTGGCATATTTTTTGTAATAATTGTATTAGGAAACTTATTCCTAATCAATGAATATCCCTTTAGTTATGCAAAACCCTTGAAGGTCCGCTTCTTACAAAAAATCAATTTGGATACAACTGAAAAGAATTCCAATATAGTCATATTTAGTAAACAAGGTTTTATGAAAAGTATATTGGAGGATTTGCCATCAGTAAAAGCTAATAATCAAAATGTATCATGCGAAAATGCTGGAGATGGAATGGAAAATTGCTATTACAAAGGATTAAGCCCAAATTTAATATCTGGCACTCAAAAAAGCACAGCTCTTGATGATTTATTTAAAATTGAAATTTTGAACAACAATAGCGGAGAACAAAACTTATCACCATATGAACCATTAAAGGCAGATTTATTGATAAAAGTTAAAGATAATAGAAACTGTGTTTTGTCATTCAATTCCACAAAATATAAGAGCTATTTGTATGGAAAATCCCCCTTGAGAACAGTAAAGATTTTCCATGATAATAACCAGTATCAAAATAATTCTGCTCTAACCTACATGTATAGTTTACCAACATATAACACTGATAGCGAAGAAAAAAACAACAATGAGTATCAGAAGTTTGGGTCCCAAATGAATCCTGGATATTTTCGAGATGAAGACGGAAACGAGTTGTTCAGATGGTTCAAGGGCATCGACGAGGTTCAATTGCATAAAGTTGACTGGAATCAAAGCAACTACCATATCGAGTTGCAGTGGCTTCCTAGGTGGGTGGACGAGGATGGCATCGACTGGAATCAAGACGAATTGGACAAGGAAAAGGACAAGAAGCTCGGTGTCGAGGTGAAATGCTACTGGGGAGAATACGATCAGCCTTCAGTTATCGATGGCAAAGTGCATCGAAAGGTGCCAGCCTTGGACGAATTACTTCAGTATGTCCCAGACTATATCACTATCACCAACAGAATGAAGGGGTTGGTGGAGTTGACCAGACACTTTGAACTCTGATTTGCTGGTTGTATACAATGCTGTGTTTTGTTTTCATGTTGACCTTTGTTTATGTTTGTTCTTTAGTTCTTTTTGTGACTTTTATTTCTAGCTTCACTGCCCTTTGAATTCTAATATCGTTTTGTTTTGCTCTTCCAGCAATATCCCCATTATTATATCATTATTATATCAGCCCCAGCTCCCGAAAAGGAAAAAAGAGGGCTTGTTACCCGGCTTGCAGCGAAAAACCAGAAAAGCTACAAATAGGAAAAGAAATAAATATTAAAGCTGATATACTTGAAGGAAAGATCGTTCAGACAATATACTAAACAGCCTGCAATCCACCCACAGCGACCTTGGAACATGTTGGCCAGCATTACAGCTAGATCTTCTCTTGCAAAGCCTCTTTCCTCATTGCTAATAAAGAGCAGTGGGCTCTCAAGAAAATTTTATTCTACAGTACAGGACAATCAGATCTTGGTTTCCCATGATGGTCATGCTAGAATTTTGTCACTCAACAGACCTGAAAAATTAAACTCTTTGTCGTCGAGTATGTGCAAAGAGATAAGCGAAAGATTGGTTGAATATTCAAAATCAAACCTAAATAATTTGATTATATTGAATTCAACTAGTCCCAAGGCTTTTTGTGCTGGAGGAGATGTTGTTACTGCCGTTGAAAATATTAATGCCAAAAATCCTAAAGCAGCCTGTGAGTTTTTCCACCAAGAATACTCGTTGAATTATCTTTTGTCCATATATTCAAAGCCAGTAATAACCCTTATGAATGGTATTACAATGGGTGGGGGAGTTGGTTTGTCAGTTCATACACCTTTTAGAATTGCAAGTGAAGATACCAGATTAGCCATGCCAGAGATGGATATTGGATTTATACCAGATGTAGGCACCTCTTTTTTTCTTCCCAAATTGGATGGCTCTTTAGGTTATTATTTAGCATTGACTGGTGATGATTTGATTGGAATTGACAATTTAATTGCAGGTACTGCTACCCATTATGTGCCAAAAGTCAGAATTCCTGAATTAACCAAAAGATTAACCTCATTAACTTATCCTAATGATTTATTACAAGATATCGGCAATCAACCAAACATTTCAAATCTTTCACCTCAAACTAAAGAATTTTTCTCGATAACCAATCAGGCTATTGAAGAATTTTCCGATTCAGTTCCTGAAAATCACAAATTCAAGTTGTCTAATCAAGAAAGACATTTAGTCGATAAAGTGTTTGATTCCAATTCTATCTATTCTGCATTTGAAACTTTAGAATCATTGATTATTAAAGCCGAAGGCTCTGAATATGCTGATTCAAAACCTTTTTTGCTTGATTTAAAAAAAAAATTAAATAAAAAATCCCCATTATCTCTTTCACTTGCTTATGAATTGTTAAACAGAGGTTCAGAATCAAATAATTATGACAGCTTGAGAGAGGAATTAGTAGCTGCACAAAACATTATTCTCAAGTCAAAATCTACTGATTTTGTTACTGGTGTCACAGAAAAATTAATCAAAAAGACTAATTCACCTCTCTGGAAACATAAAAGTTATAATGATGTTCAAGTAAAGGATGTAACTGCACTCTTATCAACCGAAAAACTTCCATTCACTGAACTAAAAAACTATATTAATGAAGATAATGCAAATGTTAAATTTTCCTCCTATCCAGCAAATTTTGCATTGCCATCAGAAAACGAGGTTAAGGACTATATTACAGGCAATGACGGCACCGGTAGAGACTATGCCGTTACTCTGAAGGAAGTGTTTAATAGATTTGCGCTAAAGTATAACGATAAAGCTGGTATGAAGTGGAAGATTAAAAACATATTAGAAAGAAAAACCAGGCCAAATAAATTTGACAATCAATATTTAGAATGGAGTTATTGAGTTTGTTTTCATTAATGATCTGAAAACATGCAATTTTTTCCTGTTTTTTTGTATATATAATCATGTCTAATTTTAAATTTATTTTGGTTTTAAATATTATTCTGAACTGTATTTGCATGTTATTGCAAGACAGAACGAGTATACCAAAAAGGCGAAAGGAGTAAATTTTTGATATAAGCCATAAAAAGCACCTCCAACGAGATTCGAGCCTGTGATCTTCTGCACGTGCTTCCAAATCGTGTTTTAGTTTGAACAAAGTAAAAATATAAAATATAAAATATAAAAAAACTACAGATGAATGGTCGAATCTTACGCTAAGAAATGAAGAATCAAGAATTAAAATACCATTGCATGAAATTGTATAAAACATGTAAATCAAAAACCATAATAAATTATAATGAAATAAAAATAAAGATTTCAAACCATATTGTAAACGATCATCAGAAATAAAACATAATATTTACATTGCAAACCACTTCATAAAATAAGAAAAAAAAATTAATGTGAAAGAGAAATTATATAAAAACTATCTCAATTTGGAATATTGATTATTTGTTTGAGCTATAGGATAATATGGACCATAACGGTAGTCATTTTGTTGTGATGGTGGTTTATTAGCACGAATAGGATCGACTGGTGATTGCTGAATTTGTTGTTGGGGTGGCATTGGTTGAGCCATACCAGTATGCATGTTTGGTGTTGAAGGAGGAGGAGCTGAAACAAACTGTTGTTGCATATTAATTGGGGTATATTGGTATGAACTAATTGAGCCATTGGGAGTTTGCTGTGTAGGAGAGTTTTGTGCCATTTGTTGAATAGGTTGAATTTGAAGGTGTGGTGGTTGTTGTGGTTGTTGTTGAGGCTGTTGAGGTTGAGGTTGTTGAGATTGAGGTTGAAGTTGGTGATGAGGTTGGGGTGGTGGTAAACTGGTTTGCATTTGGATCTGCATTGGGCGTTGATAACTATTAATTTGCAAGTTTTGTTGCGAATGAATTGGCATTTGCTGGAGCTGAGGAGGTTGAAGGGCAGGCTGTTGTTGCTGTTGCTGTTGTGGTTGTGGTTGTGGTTGTGGTTGTGGTTGTGGTTGTAAAGGTTCTTGAAGGGGTAAAGGTTGAGGTTGAGGTTGAGGTTGTGATTGAAGTTGTTGTTGTTGCTGTTGTTGTTGTAATAAAGGCATTTGTGGAGGAGCAGGGTATTGTAAAATTTGACTATCTGAGGTGAATCTTGAAATTGGTTTAGGGTCAGATCTTTCTCTTGTGGCTAAGGCAACTCTATCTTGAAATGAAAGTATAGTCAACTCTCTTACCATTATAACTGGAATACCGGGAGGATTGCTAGGTTCAGGAGGGGGGCCTTGTTTTCTAGTAGCAGCGTGTAAAGCTTGGGCCCTTTTTTCAAGGAAGCTTGCCATTTCTGTTTCGCCAGCTCTTTTAGCATTAAAAGCAGCTCTATCACAAGCATCTGCAGCATCTTGAGTTTGATCATCACATCTTTCATAAACTGCAGATAAACCTTGCCAGGCATTGGAAAGAGCGTCGGCAGAGGCCAATGGATTGATAATGTCTTCTAATTTTGCAGCTTGCGAAAAGGCGTATAAAGAATCCTTTAACTGACCAATTTTTAGATAGACAGTACCCATTGCTAACCAAGGCAATGGTGAGGTTGTACATTTTGTTAGAACAGTTTGGAACATCGAATAAGCCATTGAAACATTTTCAGTCATGAAATGAGCATGACCAACAAAGTAAAAGGGTAGGAAGTCAGCAGAATATATTTCACTCGAGTTATATTCTGGCAAGATATAAGGAGATAATAGATCAATGACTTTTCGAGGATTAAAAAACTCAGCGCTGTTTAATAATAAAAAGGATTCAATTAAATCAAAACGATAGTTTGCCTCTGAGGAAAAGCCCAAGATACTTCTAGCGTTGTGGATTGTGTTTAAAGCGCCAGTTGAATCATCAGAGCGATGTTTGGCAACAGATAATGCACACCAAAGATCTATTAGGTTGTATAATTCGATTTCAGTTGTTGGATTTATTATCATTTTGTTTAGTTCTTCTATAGCTGTGTTGGTGTTTCCTTCAGAGGCATAAATATTGGCTAATTCGCTATGGCAAGAGTTTGCTAGAAAAACAGAATTTGAATCATATCTGTAATCAGATGGAAAAAGAGATAAACAAGTTCCAAAGGCTTCTAAAGCCTCTGATTTTGAGCCCATGCTTATAAAGACTTTGCCCTTTAAGAAGAAGATTTCGGGATCAGTATCGCAAATTAGCAGGGCCTTTTGTAGGACGTTATTTGCTTCTGTCGGGTCATCAGATATGAGGTAACATCTTGCTAATTCTACAAGTAAATTTGAATCATTTGATAGGGTTGGATATTGGCTTATAGCATTTTTCATGAGAGTTAATACCTTTGAGCAGTCAGAAGTTTTGCTATTTATGGAGGGATTTAAACGATAGGAAGTAGCTAGAGTACAGATGGCTTTACCGTTGGCGGGATTATGTTCCAAGGCTCTTTCACAAGAAGATATTGCTATTTTAAATTCATTTAGAGATAGGGCGAAAGAAGCAGTATATGCCCAAGTTTCGGATATACTTAAGGAAAAAGAGGATGAATCATCTTGTTGAGATAGAGTGATTATTGAGCTGTTGTTGGGAGAGGTGTTTTGACGCTTTATTCTATTCTGCGTAGGATGAGGAGATTCGAGTTGTCTGTGTTTTGAAGGCATTATAAAGGAATATATTATAGATAATTAGATAATTAAAGGGTTAAAGGATTAAAGAATTGGAGTGTCTTCAAGTTGTTTTCAAGTTGTTTAATTGTTTTTAAGGTGTTTTCAAGGTATAAAAGCTTTGTTTGTGGATTATATTATATAGGTTTTGTTATATTATAGTTATAGAGGTGGTTATAATATTGCAGGATGGCAAGACGGTTTGATTGCAAATGAAATGTAAGATTTTAAATTAATAAGATTAATAAGATTAATAAGATTTATAAAATTTATAGTGATGAATGAAATTATAAAAACAAGATCCAAAAAATGAAACTAAAAAAAAACAATAGACAAAAAATTAGGAATTAGAAAATTAGAATTAGATTGTTCAAAGAGAAGAAAAATAAAAAGGTGAGAAAAGCGGAAGAGAAGTAGAAGAGTATTTATAACAAAAAACAAATCAAGTTTTTGTAGCAATATAGTGGGAGAAAGTATATAAGATTAATGAAATAAATGGATAATAAATGAAACAGATAATTTAAATTAAAATGCGGAATTTAATAACAAATTAAATTTTCTGATTGAAAGAGAAATTAAAATTATAGAAAAGTGAAATGAAATTGAAGTAAATGCAAATCAAAAAGCCAATTGAAAAGGAGGAATCAAAGTTTTTTGCTTTAGTGTTTTGGTTGTTGGAGATTAGTGCAGTTACTGTTTAGAATTTAGGATTTAAGATTTAGGGTTTGAATTTTAGAGGAAACTAAGGTTTGTGTGATTGGCACGCATAATTGTGTTTGGATAGTGCGCTGAACTGCAGTTAGCTGGATATGCGGTTGCAACGAGCCACGTTCGGGCATCTAGTGCAGTGGCTCAAACATGATTATGCAGAACGGAGACAGCAGTGCAGTGCGGTAGTGCACAGGATCTAGCACACATTTGTTGTGTCTTGCTGCTTTGCGCGCGCAGGCTGCCTGGAAATGCAGCTGCCAGACATTTTGAACCAGCCGACCAATTGAGCTGCGGCTTTAGCCTCAGGTGTTCCATTAGCTTTTAGCGCAGTTAACGCAGTCGAGTCACTGTGATATACGAGCGTATACAGCCAGAATGCCGGTTTCCCTCATAAGAGTCTCCATTCGATTGGAGGCCCCCCTTTTTTGCTCATGTTAGAATGAAATGGTTTTGCTTTTAGTGGTGGTTGTAGTCGTGTAATAAAATTCTTCTTTCTCTTCTTGATGATCTTTTAACTTGTATGTTTAATGATTCAATGATATTTAAAACTTAATATTTTTGGTCCTTATTACGAACAGTTGTTTCGATTATTTTGTTAGTGGTACATAATTAGAGATTGGCCGTATTTAGCACTTTAGCACTTTGGCATTTTAGTCTTTCCGTAGTTCAGCATTTCAACAATTATTTAGATTCATTATACTTAACCTCATAATGAGGGTTTGGCGGCTCAGACCAGTATGAAAGTAATGTGAATGTTGAATAGATTTTTATAAACTTTTGTGAACTTTTGTGAACTTTTGTAAATTTTGATCAATACACGGAAGGTTGTGAAGTGAAAACTGAGAGGCTTTGCCGTAAACCGCTGGTGGACACATGGAAAGACTGCAAAATGCATAAATCAAGATTGAATTGTCCATTAAAGCGATTATCTTTTTCGTAATTCTTTTTAAAAACAGATTTTTTACAAATTCAAGAAATTGGATAAAGGAAACTGGGATAGATGTTTAGTATGTGCAATAATTTTCAGAGATACGTTTTCTTAATATAAACCCTTAGGATGTTGAAAGATTTTAGATATTTGAGATATCTGAGATATAATATGATTCATTAATAGCTCATGGGAGGAAAGTAAAAGAATAGTTAAATTTAAAGTGAATACACGCAGCCAAATAACAAGAGAGAAAGACAAACCAGAAATAACAAAAAATAAATAAATAAATAAATGAAAATTGTAAACAAAATAAATGGATGGATAAATAAATGGGTGGATGAATAAATGAATAGACAAATAATGAATAGACAAATAATAAAAAGAGCCAAAGAATAAGTTGGAGAAATAAACGAAATAAATAGGCTAGATAAAACACTAAAAATTAGATTGAGACACCAAAGGCTATCGCTGTTAGTAACCAAAAAGATGCATATTTGTTGTGATTTTAATACATACTTTCAGCACAAGTATTTTGGTTCATTTGTGATAACCATTAAGATAAGTATCAATTTTAAAAAAAACAACAAAACAGACTATAACAAAAAAAACACCTTAAGAAAACAGCTTAAAAAAATATTATAAATTAGTAATAAGTTGTACTAAAGTATATCCTGACTCTTTTTTTGAGATAGAACAAAATTGAGGTAATGAACAAAGAGAAAAAACTAGTGTGACTTTATCACACTTTATTTAAAATGTTGGAAACAGCTGGAAATGTTTTGAAATCTATTTGAAAACAATTGAACATGATTTGAAGATGAATCAGAGATCACATGGAGATCGTTTGGAGACCATTTCGAGACCGCTTTGAAAAAATAATAGCCATTTGTGATAAACGAAAGCAGTCTTTCCTGGCATCAGGAAAAAGAAACATCAGACAGAGAAAAGAAAGTTGAGAGTTTGGGAAGTAGACTTGGATGTCGTCTTGAATGCAGCAGCCACGCAGTGTACAGTGCTGTATGTACTTGTCAGCGGAGAGACTTGCTGGTCACTGACCTATAGGAGCTCAGAGCGGATGGCCTGCCCGAAAGCGGAAGTAGGAGTCAGAAAAGGTACTGGTAGAAAAGTGTATGCATCGCGGAATTAGAGTTTCTGCTCTGCATACCATGCATATAAATGAGCAAATAGATCCAGACTGCTGGTTACCTTCCGCTGGAAACCGCGAGGCAAACATTAGTAATACACATCAAAGCAGAAAAAGCGCCAAAGAAAAGTAAGAAAGAAAGAAAAGCAAGAAAGGAAGAGGAACAAGAGAAACAAGAGCGTTTGAGATGAGAAACAAAGCAAACAAAACTCGAGTGAGACTCGTTTAGGATCTAGTCAAGGGGAGAAGTATTGGTAGCAAAAATGTGATCAATATTATTTTTGTTATAAATACCTAAATGCAACTATTTTTAAAATAATAATTCAATACAAAATATCCAACAACTAGACACAAATCAAATAACGAAACAATAAAAAATAAAATTAAAAATAAAAATAAATAATATAATATATAATAAATAATAAGTTACTTTATTGGTAAAAGATTTCTTTATTAGTCTAAAATGGTTCACTGGTTTCTGAAAAAAACATCTTCCTATTATTCCCGGTGCTCGTTTAATGGGTTGATATAATGACTAAAAATCAGAATTGTATTCAATAGCAATAAATTGGTAATAAATTGGTAATAAACTGGTAACAATAAAAAATAACTAGCTTTGAGTAGTATTAAAACTGATAAATAATAAAATTATAGATTGGAAATATTAGTATTATTAAGTTTGCTAGCGTAACTTTAAATATTGCAATAAACCTCAAACCATCATCATAAAATAATAACTTATTGTGATTGATACAAGTGTTATAGCTAGTGCAAGAGACCAGGAAGAAGCAAAATACGATACACAACTGATTATACTCATAGCCAGACTCAGACTCAGACTCAGACTCATATTTATGGATTGGTGTGTCTGAGCTGCGAACTGTATGAGCTGCTCATTAACCACAGGCAGATAACAACACAACCACTGAAACCACTTTTCAGTACAGCAGTCTTCTGGCTTTTCACAGTTTTATATTTCTAAAAAGGTTTATGCTGCTCAAGTTTTATGTTTTTTGTGTTGTTTACAGGTTTTCATCATCGAACTCAATATGCAAAGTGCAGTCAAAGCACGAGAGAAACTGACTCGTGACCAGATTAGTACCAGAAAAACCATTCAAATTCACAGCTTATGAAATTGCAACGCCTGTTTAAGGCACTTGCAAAGATCCCAACACTAGAAGATTGATTACTGAGAATTGTTATTTAATATTATTTTATATTATTTTATAATACTTTATATATTATTTTATATATTATAAAGATGTGATTATCATAGGTATATATACGGGTGGCGATGGCAATGGTAATGGGGTTATTATATGGCTATTCTATTTCACTTGTTTGGCCTGTATATTTGATTTATCTGGTCAGATTAGTGTATTGATATATTTTTGCAATTAGTTAAGAAATGAAGACTATCGACAAGAGATTCAATTTAATCTGACGAAGTCACATATATTAGTGTATATTTTCAATCGTTTAATTTCTTTTTTTTATTTATCCTCTTCAATCAATAAATCAGTAAATAAATAAATAAATAAATCAAAAGAAATTATTGGATCAATAATATGGCAAATTAATTGATAGTTATCCGTCTCTGAAGCTAGTTGTGTATATAAATACGTTATACAATTTGCATTTCACTTATATTTATATTTATATTTATAAAAAAAGAATATTATTGTAGGTAGCTGGTACTAGTTATTAGATGCCTTAAATTGAGATTCTTTATTGGAAATCAAATTAAATTAGATAAAACATCTTAAATAAAGTGGCAATGTATGCGTAATGCTAATACAAATTTAATATTCTAATATTCTAATATTGTAGTATTATGAGTTAATTTAAACCAGTTGCTTGTTGATTGTTGGTTAGTTTGAAGAAAAAATGCAATAAATAAATATTAATTACACAATAATTAAATAATTAATGAATGGTAAATGGTAAATTGTAAATGGCAAATAGATACAAGCAAATACAAATAAGCATGATAGCTCTGGAGCTAAACAATTTTCATCATAAAAGGATCTTCTGTCATTTTTGTTTGGCTATGGAAAATCCCTCTAGCAATTGACTTTGTTGAGATTGTCGTTGAGATTGTCTTTAAGATTGTTTTTAAAATTGTCTTTAAGATTCTCTTCAAGATTCGTTTTAAGATTCTCTTTAAGATTCCTCATAAAAATCCCAGAGCTCACAAGCCCACGCTCACATGACCCCAAGCACAGAAATACACGGACGCGATTTGACAGCCGTGCAGACTGAGTTTTGCTAACAAAATAATAGAAATTAAGACAAATTCATATCAAAACACAGACCATAACACAGACCATAACAATAGTGTAATCCCAACAAACACTCTTTTTTGCCTGTTACCACTTTGCCAGTGCTAGCACAGAGAATTTGAAATTAATGTTTAACCTTAATGGCTTTGGAATCTACTATCTGCTGATTCTCATTTCATAATCTACCTGATGATGCAAATGTAAATGATGTCGTTTTTAGGGATTGATCCAGGTTAGCAAACTCCAAGTTCAGTAACATCTCGCAAATGATCAACAACTACAACCTAACAAAGGACAAACTGCCATAGCAATAACCATCAATAACCATTGATATCTCTCCATGCGCAGCTATACCAAATCAAGACCAGCTTTGAACTCCTCTTTGCTCTTTGTCTACCAGAAAGTGCTGCTGGTACACCAGCTGGGCTAGAATGGGTTATTATGGACTTGCATGACTTTGTATGAGAAGTCATAACATTCAACAAGTTTGAGAATAGCGTTTGGACCGACAGCCACGTGCTGCAAGAATGCGTGATGATACATGCTAGCTAGCGCCTGTGTCTGAATGTTAAGCATTGTTGTCTTTCCCTCTTAAGGTTTGCAGCGCACAGTCACACCACACGCGCGTGAGCCTGTCTTGTCACTAATTGCTAATCAGCGCTTGCAAAGCATGCGGTCGCGCGTTCCTTGTGCTTCTCTCACGTCACAGACGCTCTCTCGGTGTGGCAGCTATTGGCCGTGCGTTTCCGTTGCTAGCTTCCGCTGCTCTGCCCCCGTTTTTCACCTGGCTCTGTTTTGGTCCCACACCCAGTCATTCTTTTCGCACTGCGCTGCTCCGCCAGCCAATCAGACATTTCCTGTATATTCTCCGAAAAAGAACGAGTGAGAGAAAACAAAAAGAAAAGCAGGTGCATACAGACCCATACCCATGAATCAATTCCTGCTGACTCAGCATCGCATTCACAGTGACTCAGCGCTGACGCATCTGAGCTTTTTCTTCTTTAAAGAGAGAAAAGGTTCTAGATCCAGCGTGCTCACGTGCTCTATTGTTCTCTCTTCTGTTTATCTTTTTTTTTCAATTATCGTTTTTTTTGAATTAAATTTTTTCCACTTTCCAGTTTGCCTTTCTCTTCTCATTAGCTTGATAATGTTCAATTGGATGCAATAACTGTAGTCTATCGCCAATTATATCTCCTTTCCACCACTTTCTCTTGTATCAGACAGAAATGAACTACTCCAACTTTGCTGTATGTTCCAACATTCTGCCATTTGCATACATCTATCCTCTCCACACAACTTACTAACCTTTTTTCCAATCTTCATCTTACTTCAATCTAGTTCGCTGATGATGAGAAACTACACCATCCTCAACCATCTCTTTCGCTAGACCCATCCCTTTCTTCTTCCAACTTATTATCCTCCACCAATCACCCAATTCATTCTCAGTCCTCATCACAATCAAATTCATCTAACAATAACAATCAAAACACAAAGACTCATAACAATAGTATCTCCAATATTTCAATCAATTCCAATTCTTCAGCCGCTAATATTAACAACACTAATATTAACAATATCAACACCATCAATAACATTGACAATAAAAATACTGTTGCAAACAATAACAGCAACAACAGCAACAACAATAACAACAATAACAACAGTAACAACAACAATAACAATAATAATAACTCTGGTTTCAATTCTTGGAGAAACTCAAAAAACCTCTCTTCCAATTCTGCTAATTACTCGTTATCAAATCCCGCTGCTGTTTTGCCTCCAAATACTTCCTTATCCCAAAATCAAAACATTAATTCAAGTGATTCCTTGAATATAAACTCTTCTTCCTCAATACTATCATCTTATAATGACCATATAACCAGCAATACAAGTAACAACACTCCTACTCCCACTCCCACTCCTACTTCTGCTTCTATTACTTCCACTAATAATAATAGTAACAATAATAACAATCCTAACGCCAACAATACCACTAACAATAACTATTCAAATTTACTTCTCAACCAACAACAAGTTGGCTCAAATGTGGCCTATAGATCCGTCTCATATAACCCAAGTCTATATCTAAATAAATCAATTGGCTCTTCCTCAAGTAATCCAATTAATAGCCTTAAAAGTTTGTCTACTAACAACAGTAACATAAACAGTATAAATAACATGAACACCATCAACAACATAAACAATATGAACAACATGGGCAACATGAATAATTTGATCAATTCAAATCAAAACCTATTGAACCCAAATAGCTCCATTAGTTCAATCAACTCAATCAATCAAATAAATCAAATTAATCCGATAAATCAAAATAACCCAATTTCCCATCATGCAAACAGTCTAAGCTCAAGCATGATGAACATGAATATCAATAATGTTCCTTCTTTCAATCCTTACACTTCAAATAATTTTGATAATATCTCATACAGATTATCCCAACTCAACACAAATTCTTCAATCAATAAAAATCAGTATTCTAACAACCAAAATATCAATAGCAATAATAACAATAACAATAACCAAACCAATAACACAAATAGTAATCAAAATAATGACAATAACTATGGTGCCATGAATAATCTCAATAATATGGTCAATATTAACCCCATGAACAATTTAAACAATTTAAACAGCATCAACATGAATAATAACAATATAAATAATATGAATAATATAAATAATATGAACAGTATGAACAATATGAACAATATGAGCAATATTAATAATTTGACTAATATGGGTAATATGGGTAATATTAATAACATCAACCTAAATAACCTTCCAAATCCAAATAATCTCAATTTAAAATTAAAACATTACAGCAACAACAATAATAACAACAACAACAACAACAATAATAATAATCTTACTTCGAATACCTCAAATAACCCTAATAATAATAATAACACTAACAACTCCAATAGCTCTAGTAATCCTAATAATAGTAATATTTCTGCTCCCAATAATATTACAAACATCAGTCATCTCAATTCTAATAACAGCAGCAACAATCACAATTCGATTTCGTCCAATCAAACTCTTGATTCAACCGAAGAACAAAAGCTAAAAATCACTCTTAAAATGAAAGAAAATCAAATTCAAAAATTAAATCAAGAAATTCAAAGATTGCAAGAATCAATGAGATCATTAAATTTACAAAACTCTCTTTCCATTTCCTTAAATAATAATGTAATTTCAAAAAATTCAAAAGATCTTTCTAATAATAATAATTATATCGAAATCCCAACCCATTTAAAATTGATCTTTCAAAAATTAGTCGAAAATCTTCAGGATAAAGAAAAAGAGCTCGAGGATACAAAATTAAGATTGGAGTCTTTAATTACCGCAATTTCTTTAAATCCTTCCAATAATTTATCTTCAACAACTAAATTTGGTCGATATGACGAAGAAAACTTAGCTCATAAAATTATAATTAGACTAAAATTATTAAACGATGAAAATATTCAATTAAACAAAATGTTAAGTTTTGGAAAATCCAAAGAGAAGGATATTAAAATCGGCTTATTAAATGTTGAAAATGAAAAGTTAAAAGAAAAAATTAAAAACTTAGAATTAAAGTTTCAAAACCTCGAATCAAAAACTTCAACTTCAATTTAACTAACGTTTCTTTTGTTATTTAATTTAAAATTAATTTACTTTTGAATCTTTATATTTAAATAATTTTTATCGTTTCCTTATCCATAAATATAATCAAAACAGAAAAAATTCAAAAAACTCAAAAAAAAAAAAAATATTGAAAAAATATTGAAAAAAAATTCAAAATACTGCTATTTAAAACGAACAATTGGCTATATTATTATATTATTATACTATTATCATAATTATTATAATCATCATAATCATCATAATCATCATACTTACTATACTTATCATACTTATCATACTTTTTTTTGAATTATAATTTCCAAATTATACGTTTTTTTTATTCAATTTTATACTGCTTTTTTTGCTAATGATTTCAAAGAAATAATTTATATTTTCAATTTTTTCAATTGCTTTTATTCAACACTTTCATTCCTTTTACTTTTATTTTTTTATTTTTTTTTATTTTTTTTTATTTTTTTTTATTTTTTTTATTTTTGAATTTGCATTATGTTTTTTGTTCTATTTTTGACAATTTTGCTGGTTTTACAATACATTCGTTTTATGATTGATAATTTTTTACCACTCTTTGACATTTATAATTGGATTTGAATATTAATTCAGTGAATTGCATGAAACATTTTTGGTCTTGGTACCTGTCCTTTTATTTTTCCTCTTCCACCACCTTTACTCTATATGTTCTTCTCACCTCGTCCTGTTGTGTTTTGATCACTTATTAGAAAGATAGTGATAAATTTGCGTTTTGAATCCGGGACACGCACCCCGACCAGACCCGACCCAAATGTCCGCGCTTGCAGGGACAGAAAGGGACACATTCCAAGGTTTGCCCATGGCTTTGGTTTGTGGATTATAAATAGCATAGCGCTGAGCTGGATGAGATTGATGAGCAGTTGATGAGCAATTGATCAGTGTGTTTAGAACAGCTTTGGGCAGAGTGAGTAGATGGATGAGCTGATGGGTGAGATGGATTACATTAAACGTGCAAAGAAAACGTTGCAAAAATACGAGGATTTGGACGATTTGAAAAATTCAGTGCTATCTGGGGAATACAATCCATTGAACGAAGAGATATTCAGCAGAGTATTGTTATGGAAAGCTGTCTTGTTGTTCAACTCGTTGGATATATCGAGTTGGAGCAAGATTTTGAGAGATTCTAGAAATGGGTATAAGAATTTGAATCAACAATTCCAACCACCATACCATAAATTGTCAGAAGAGTCAGAATACTATTTGAGCAACAATAAAAACAACAATGAAAATGTGGCAAATGGTAGCAATATTAATAAGATCAACAACATCAACAAGCCTCAAAAGTTGGTTAAGAATGAAGTTGACAAATTTGATAATCCATTAAGCTCACTTACCAATACTAAAGACAAGAGGCAATTTTTACAGTTTAAGAACGATTTAATCACGTTAGAGACGATTATTATCGATGTTGAAAGATTATTCCCTGGGATTACAATTTTCAATGAGTTAAAGTTGAAGAAAGAATTGGTCGAGATATTATATGTCTGGTATAAATTGAACGAGAATATTGGGTACAAACAAGGCATGCATGAGATTTGCGGATTGATTTATTTGGTGTTGTATAAAGAGTCTTCTATGTTTGTGAGAGGTGAAGGTAATGGAGATCAAGATAATGGAGACCAAGATAATCAAGATCAAAATCAAGATGATGATAAGATTATAAGAGAAGTTTTTAACCCGGAATACTTGGTCTTTGATACATTTCAAATTTTCATTAATATAATGATTTATCCGCAACAATCATTTTATATTGAAAAGAATTTTCTTAATTGCTGTTTTAAATTCAATGAAGATTTAAAAGAGATTGATCCTAATCTTTACTATATATTGATTAAGAAATTAAAGATTGAATCGTCTATATGGTTAATTCGATATTTAAGGTTGATTTTAATTCGAGAATTTAAATTGAATTACGTTGGAGTAATTTGGGATAATTTAATATCATTTAATTATGACATTACTAAATTGTTGCCGTATATTATTATAATGATGTTGATTAAAGTAAAAAAGGAGATTATATTAGAATGCGAGGATTTTAGTGAAGTGTTATCGTATTTATTACATTATCCAATTGATAGGTTGTTTAGCGAAGATAAAGAAACCAAAGGTATTATTAAATTAAAAAGTGAAGAGAATGGGTATAATCGGTATAGAAACTCCAATGATATACTTGAATTTAAGATTGATAAAGAAAAAAGTGAAAAGATGACTGAGTTGGTTAATGATTCGATATTAATATTTAATTCTAAACAGGAATATTTCGGGGAGATTGGAATTGCATTGAATGAGAAATATAATCATAATCTACAGAAAAAAATCAATTTATATAATGATAACAGTGTTTTTACAAACGAAAATAAGAATAGAAATAGAAATAGAAATAGAAATAGAAATAGAAATAGAAATAGAAATAGAAATGGAAATAATAAGAGTGGAAACCATGGAAACCATGAAGAGGCAAGTAATCATAACAATCATAATAACACAGCTCTTGATGATATTAGTGATTTCATTGATAATTTGACTAATGGAACTAACGTTAATAATAATATTTATCAAGAATTGAGCAAATCGGAAAAAGTGATTAAAAGCAATGGTAATTTTGGCAACAGCTATAAAAATCTTAATCAAAAAATTGGGAACTTTCGACTTAGTAATCCCCTTTCTAAAAGCGAGAAAGGACAGAGAAATGGATATGATATCGATTTGGAAAGAGTTAGAATGGAAAACAAGTTACAAAAAAGAGTCCAACAAATGCTCAAGAAGAAAAGCAGTCAAAAGAGCAAAAATTAGGGTACAGAGTTATTTTATTATTTAAAAAGAAGCCTATTTCAATGTGATTTAAATAATTTACAGTCATATACAGTCATTTACAGTCATTTAAATTTTAATTTGATTTAATTCCAATTCCAATTCCAATTCCATTTTCATTTCCAGTTCCAATTCTAATTCCAATTTAATTTCATTTCAATTTCATTTCATTTATAACTCACTTGAATTCACTAAATTGATTAAAACACATGTTGGTCTTTTCAGTTCATTTTCATTTGTTTAACAATGGATAGCATCAAACCATGGAGGTCGTTTTGGCACTGGCTTGTCATTTTTCTGTGCCAGCGCGGCGGGTGGCAAAGGCACAAAATAGCAGCGAAGTTCCCTCACAGCGGTTCGGCTGCAGCGCCGCACCGTGGGTGCGGGAAAGCATTGCACGTGTGCTACCCGCAGGTGCTATTTATAGTTTGAATACTGGCGGGTGTGTGCACATGCAGAGTCAAGACGTATTTTAAAGCGGTTCAATGCATTACGGAGTCCGTACGTCATAATCCATGACTCACTGTCCAAGACACAGGTCTTGCACACGCACAAATCATGTGTGTGTCAGCGCAGTGCGTACCTTTGCATGTGTATGGCGGTAACGGCGTCCCAAAACTTCTCTTTGCTCGCCCGATCAACGCAATTATGGAGTCAAAAAGGCCGTATTGAGAAACTGTGCAATCTGGACAACATCAACAGGACCAGTCAGAAAACACTTCAAGCCAGTATGCCTTCAGAAAAGATCAATAGGCTGCCAATAGTTGTTGATTTCATCGACTCTACTAAAACTAGTGTCAGAAAGTGATTAGAGAAAAGTGGTTAGAGGAAAATAGTTAGAAGAAAGTAGTTAGAGAAAAGTGGTTAGGTTAATTAAAAAGGAACTAAAACAGGGTTGAGGCCTTTTACATTTTTTTTTCTTTTATATCACGAGCGCAAGGGCAATTATTGTCCTATGGACGAAGGTCGCAAATTAACAGAAAAAGCAATAACGAGTTATTTTTGGTATTGTGGGATATTTCTTTTCTAATTTATAAATAGGAAAACAGGAATCTATTTTGGATGGAAAGAGATGACACGTAGGGAATAAGAGTGATAAGGTGACAAATATACTGATAGAAAATGCTCAGGCTTTTGTTCAACACTTAAAACAGCAAGGTCTTCTCGCATAAACAGGATCACATGACGTGTAAAGCCACGTGAAATTCATTTTTATTTCTAACAGTTATGAGCGAGTGTCTGTGTTTACACGTGCTCGGGTATGAAAGGAAGAGCAAAGAACAAAACACACAAGACATGAAAGGGATGTTAGATATGGCAGAGCTAAAGATAAGGTGGAACCAAAAAAAATGCAAGGGGAGCAAGAAGTGTGAGAAAAGTATGGGGAAGCCCTACATTTGCAATTACGAATTATTGTGAAATTAATCCGTTGAAAAATTTCATATATGAAAGATAAAGAACTGGATGGAAAGCGGAAATTTAGTTATGCAAGTAGCGATTAGAAGTAAATGGTTAAGGAATTGAAAACAAATAAAAATCACTCCACTGGTGATAGCACATATATGGAATTGCCAGTGTAGGATAATATGATACTAAGATCCTCTGATAGTGAAGCACTGGAACCTAGTTGACTTATTTTTTACTCCAGATTTTCCAGTAGTCTGGTTTTTTCTCAAAATTAGTGGGATTGATTGCTTATGGTATGGAAATAGTTTCGGTTATTAGCCTGCTGCTGAAGAGTGAAAAGAGCTACCAAGATAAGATACCAGATAAGAAACCTTAGTGGGAGCATATGAATATGGGATCAAGAAGACAATACAGTATATGGTCGAGTTGTGGCCGAGACGTGGTTGCTGCTTGAGAATATTTCCTAACAACAAAGAACTGTCGCCGCACATGACGGCTATTGTTTGCAATGCTGCAAATGATATACATTTAGTGCAATTATGCTTTCTCTACGCTACACTGCCATTGTGAGGTCGCTGTGGTCTTTCTGGAGTTGTTCCTTCTGCTGCTTTTCTTTCACGCTTCTCTTGCCGTCACTCCCCAACACGCTCGAGTGACCGAAATCTGGAGGAGCGAGAATGCGATGCGTTTTCGGAGAGCGGCTCCACTCCGCAACCACTGCTCGCAGCACAAAAGCACCATCACCGCCAGCACAACCGTTTCCCTGGCTCGTTGGGCTGCATGCATTTTGCAGCATTAGTGTGCATTTGAGCGCGTTTGCAGTCCCTGCGCCCAATCACACGCCACTGATAGTCCTGAAAAGAAAGCAGCACAAGAAACAGGCAGCAGGCTCCGAAGCAGCACCAGCACCAGCACCAGCAGCCGGCGCGCGACCAGCACTGGCCTGCTGGCGGTGGTGCACAAGCCGGGCGTGGACCGGTTCCGAAGCAGCGATTCCAGCGATTCCAGCAATTAAAGTATTGGGTGTGGTAATATTATTTGGCACTGACCGCGTAGTTCCGGCTAAACAGCGGTTGCGATCAGCCATTTGCCCTGTTCCCAAAAACAACCACAAAGCGACACATCCACTCGCTTTTGTTTCCACCTTGCAATGTTTTTCATCTGGGTCTAGTTTTTTCTCATTTTCTTTTGATTTTTTTTTCTTTCTTTCCTTCGCTTTCTTATCGATATATAAAGAACTGCTCTTTCTCGTTTTTTCTGTTTCCTTCTTTCTCTGTTTTATATCCCTGATTCCCATTTTCTCTTGCATTTCTCTTTATAACTCTCTATTTCCCGTTACATATCGTTATCAATCACTACTAACATATACCAATCACTATTCCCTTTTCCCACTTTCTTTTCCACTTTCTTTCCCAGTCTTTCCTACTATAATGAACACAATTTATCATAATAGAACCTCGTCTGCTGCGAGTGATGTTGATCCCTTCTCAATTCCTGATGTTTATTACGGCCCCAAAACTGATCCATCCAGATCAAGGCTAAATAGAGTCAGAACCTTTTCTGTCCACACTGTCAAACCACTCAAGTTCTCTTCATCTAATAATAACAATTCCTCAATTAGCTCTGCTGCCACCAGCTCTTCCAGCTCTACTTCCTCAAACTCTTCTCCCTTCAATTTCAACTTCAAACTCAAAAGAAGATCAAGTCAAGATGAAAGGACCGTTGTTAATCGAAAATTCCTTATCACAAACATTGACGCAACTTTAAAACAACTATTGGAAAACGAAGACACAGACAAAAACTATCAAATCACTATTGAAGATACCGGCCCAAAAGTCCTCAAATTAGGTACCGCCAACTCTAATGGCTTCAATAAATTCGATATCAGAGGCACTTACATGTTGTCAAACTTGTTACAAGAATTAACCATTGCTAAAAGATTCGGTAGGGTTCAAATGATCTTGGATGAGTCAAGACTAAACGAAAACCCAGTAAAAAGATTAACAAGAATGATCAGAACACAATTTTGGAAAGCTCTCACAAGACAATTGGACAATAACAATATCGCTGCAATGGCCAATGACACCAAAATCGATACCCCAGAGGCAAAGCTTCCAAGGCTTTATATTCCTCACTCTTGCCACGACCAATTCCAATTCTTTTCGGAAATTGCTGATTCAAATCCCCATTTCAACTTGCAAGTCGAATACTTGCCTGAATTTATTACCCCAGAATACGTCAAATCAATCAACCATAAACCTGGTTTACTAGCCCTAGCTATGAGAAAAGTTTACGATCCAAATACTGATTCATTCACCCTAAAAAGTTGGCCCTATGTAGTTCCGGGTGGTAGATTCAATGAACTATACGGCTGGGACTCTTATATGATTGCTCTTGGTCTCTTAATCGACAACAAAATAGAACTAGCTAGAGGCATGGTTGAAAACTTCATCTTTGAAATACAACACTATGGCAAAATCTTAAACGCAAATAGATCCTACTACCTTTGTCGTTCTCAACCCCCATTTCTAACTGACATGGCCATAAAAGTTTACCATAAATTAATTGAAACAGGCAACGATTCAATTGAATCCCTAGACTTTCTAAAAAGATCCTTAAATGCTTCAATAAAGGAATACAACACTGTCTGGTGCTGTGCCCCAAGACTAGACCCCAAAACTGGTTTATCAAGATACAGACCTGATGGTTTAGGTATCCCCCCAGAAACTGAATCAACTCATTTCCACTCAATCTTGAAACCTTATGCTCAAAAACACAACTGCTCAATCGATGAATTTCAATCACTATATAATAGCTTAAAGATCCACGAACCAGATTTAGATGAATATTTCCTCAACGATAGAGCCGTCAGAGAATCCGGTCATGATACAAGTTATAGACTAGAAGGTAGATGTGCAAACTTGGCTACCGTCGATTTAAATGCTCTATTATACAAATATGAAATCGATATTGCCACCTTGATCAAAAACGTCTTTAATGACTCCTTTTTAAACTATGAAAATAAATTTGAATCTTCCCAAATTTGGCTTCAAAGAGCTCAAATCAGAAAAACTGCTATGAACAAATACTTGTGGAATGAATCAAAGGGCATCTTTTATGATTATGATACAATCCTAGAAAAACAATCAGACTACGATTCCGCTACTACTTTTTGGACTATGTGGTCCGGTCAAGCCTCTGACCATCAAGCAGAATTAATGGTCAAACATGGTATCCCTATGTTTGAAGAACTAGGTGGCCTAGTAGCTGGAACTGAAGAATCAAGAGGCATAATCTCCGTCGATAGACCAAATAGACAATGGGACTACCCCTTTGGCTGGGCTCCTCATCAAATGCTTGCTTGGGTCGGTTTAACAAAATACGGTTACGCTGAGGTCGCAAGAAGATTGGTCTACAGATGGCTTTATATTATGACAAAGTCTTTTGTTGACTATAATGGTATCGTTGTTGAAAAATATAACGTTACAACTGGTACTGATCCTCATAAAGTTGATGCTGAATATGGTAACCAAGGCGCTGATTTTAAAGGTGTTGCAACTGAAGGTTTTGGCTGGGTTAACGCTTCTTATATCTTTGGTTTGACATTTTTAGGAAGTCATGCTCAAAGAGCCTTGGGTACTTGTACTTCTCCCGACGTCTTCTTTTCAAGATTATCAGCTTCAAATAAATCAATCAACTAATTAATTAACTAATTAATTCTCATGTTTTTTTTGGGTTTTTTTGTTTTGATTTATTGATTCTAAAATTGTCAATTGTTCTTTATTCTAATGACATAATCTCATGATTGCTTTACTATTATTATCACTATCATCATCATCTGCTATAACAATACCTCTTATTACTATTATTAATATTATTATTATTCATCATTGAAAACTTAATGTTAAATCAATTTCCTATCCAATAGTTTTGGTTTTAAATTTTATCATTTTTATTATTATCACTACTTTTTGTTTTATATTTTGGTTGCCTTACTACATTATACTATATTATTAGTTTTATTATTCATAAGAAATTTTTTTTTATTTTTTTCTCATTCTTGATCTTCTGTTCAATTTCAATTTCAATTCTTTTAGTTTTCTTGCCTCTCTTTTGGGTAAAGTTAAAAGCCTTTTCCGGCTCTTTTACTATATATTTACTTTTGTTTTTTTATAAAATTAATTTTACAATTTATATTTGAAATACACACCATTCGATTTTAATTACACCATTCAATTTTATTTTCGCCATTCAATTTTATTTATCCATTGATTCAATGGACCCAAAAAAGATTGTTTTGGTGGCTATCAGCAATTTCTTCCCCCACAAAAAAAGCTTATCGCAAGCATCAAAGACAATTTTTCTGTTTTGGGAAATAAAAATTTTGTATTAAAAATATTTTAAATAATTAAAATAGAAATAAAAATAAACATAAACGTAAAAATAAAATCAACATAATAAAAAAGGGAAGAAAGAATTTAAATCGAAAATCTTGGAAATAATATACAAACGATAAAGTGAAATGATAAAGTAAAAACAGATGATAAAACCTAATACTAGAGCAAACCGAAAACTCTCGTTACTCAATTGCATGATTTAAAGTACAAAATCGCTTCGGATAGCAGTGAAGATAGATCCAACTTCTTTACCTGCTAAGAGACCAATCGCTAAACAAATTGAGAAAATGATTAATTTTGAGAGCGAAATAAAATCTGTTGGGAAAAATTGAAAACAGTTTGAACAATTTAAATAATCCAACACCACTTTTTTAATCATTAAAAAATAAACTCCGTAATAAAAAAAACACAAAATAAACATTGTGTAGAAAACATGGTTTACTATGAAAGAAATAAAAAAATAAACAATTTTAAAAGAAAAGGTCAAATAAAAGACAAACTTTTTCAAGATTTGAATAAAATTCATCAAAAATGAGTAATTGATATTATTACCATCACTGTTTAGTTTTTCGAAAATTTTATCAAATTCGTTTAAAGTTGAGGAGAATTTGTTGAAAAAACTTAAAGTTGAATTCTCAAAATTGGTCTTTTGAGCTTCTATATTTTCAATAGTATTTAGCATAATTTTATTAATTAGACGAGTTTGGTCGATTGTATCATTATTTAGTTTAATTATGGTTGAGTTGAAGTCATTGACAAAGTTGTTGAATTGGTTTGAAAATGTTTTTGAATTTTCATTAATTAAATTGAAATTTGATATTGAATTATTGATGATATTATTTACGTCGTTAAAATGAACTGATTTAATTTCATTAATTTTATGGATATATTCTAGATTATTTAGTTCATTTGAAATTTCGTTTAAATTATCAAAGATGTCTGGCAAAATTTCATTGAATAAGATTTGGTTAATTTGGGATTTGAACAAAATCAAGTTATCTTCGATTTGATTATTTAGATTTAAATTAGTGATTAGAGAGTTGTTTAAATTCTGGTTAAAATCTGATAGTATTTTGTTATTGAAGCTATCTGATATATTCATGTAATTTTTAAAATTGTCTTGGAATTGTTTGATTATATGAATTGAGTTGTCTTTAAATTTTTCATATTTTATAAAATTTTCATTTAGTTCTTTGTTGAATTTATTGTAAAACGTTGTTAAATTTAAGTGTAACTGTAGTATTTGGTTTTTCTCGTATGGTAAAGATTGTTGAGAACAGCCATAGTTGACTAATTTAAAACAAGCATCGTAAGTGGTCCAATATTGGGGTGATTTAAAAATTTCTTGAATACAATTGTTATGGTCTGAAGTATATTGTTTAGATTCGTATTTAATTAGGTCTTCTTCGAATTTTTGAAGATTGTGGTCTTGACTATCATAGTTATTGTTATTGTTATTATCGTGTGAATAATCGTAGTCGTATAATTTTTTGCATTGATAGGGATAGTCAATTTCATTAGCTTTTAATTGACAAATAGCCAATGATAAGGCAGCATAAGATTTGATTTGGCCAGTCAATTGATCATAGTCATAGGTGCACTTTTGGATGATTGGATCCAAGTATTTAAAAGTGCATTCTGAATCGTAATCGTAGTTTTGTTTTAAAATGTCCAAGTCCTTGATGGAAGAGTATTCAAAGTATTTTGAGTTTAGTATAAGCGATTCATGTCTTTGAATAATTTTGTCGATCAAGTTGTGATTATCAAAAGGAGAAAAATTCTTTGTGTGATTGTCGTCGTCAGTGCTATTATTATTATTATTATTATTATTATTATTATTATTATTATTATTATTAGATCTACTTTCATCTCTGAGATTGTTGTGATTTGAAGTGGAGATTTGTTTCCAGGACAAGGAGAAAGAATAGGACAGAGCCAATATGAAGAATGAGTAGGGAATCCAAGGCAATCTCATTGTGAGTATAAACAGAAAATTGAAACAGAAAAGGAGAGGAGCCAACGAGGGCTCCATAGAGACGACAGAGAGGATGAGAGAGACATTATATCTGATTGTAATTGAAGGTGTTTTGGAGAAAGTGGTTTATCAGTGGTTTTATCTGGGATTATATAAGGCATGTCTAATTGGGACGGGGACCCAGAGGGGTGGTGCCGTGAAAGTGTTTGAAAAGAAGCGATAAAGAATTAAAAGTGAAGAGGGAGAGAAGAAGAGAAGGGTGGTGGGAAAGCGTTGAACGATGCAAGAAAGGTTACAGAAAACGAGGTGTATAAGTTATAGACTATAAAAAAACAATCGATAATAACCAGGAAGATATAAATCAGAAAGAAAAAAGAAGAAAAAGAAGAAATAAGGAAGCAAAACAAGAGTAGAGTGAAACTAAATATGGAAGGATGTATCATAGATTTTTCTTTGATGAGTTTTCATCTTCTTCGAATATCAAATTGTCCTCATTATTACTGAAACTATTACTATAATTGTGGCCATTATGGTTATTGAAGCTGTTATTAAAGTTGAAGTTGTTGAAATTATTAAAGTTGTTGTTGTTGCTATTATTGTTGATATTGATATTATTGCTATTAATGGAGTTATCATTAAAGTTATATTCATTTGAGGGTATATTTAAACCTGCTGTCATTGAGGCTCTCCTTGAGTTTGGATTTGAGTTGAAATTTGAGTATGATAGCATTAGCGGTGTCATAGATATCTCACCATTTGGGGTTTGAACAGGGTTTAATTTTGGGGACAAGTAACCGAAATTGACATTGTTGATGTTGGTTATGTTGATGTTATGGCTGTTATTATTGTAGTTATTACTGTTGTAACTGTTACTAAAGTTTATGTTATTATTATTGTTATTGTTATTGTTATTGTTATTGTTATTGTTATTGTTATTGTTATTGTTATTGTTAGTGTTGAAATTATTTATTGGTATATTATTTATTGAATTTTTTCTTGCAGAGCCAATGTTAAGGCCATTGAAATGAAACTCGTTTGTAGGACTTAGAGCTTTAGTGTTACCAAAATTGTTATTGTTGTTATTTATTGAGTAAACATTGGAATTTGATAAAGACAAATTGCTGACCGAGGTTGTCAAGTAGCTGGTAGGATTCATGTTCACATTCAATCCTGAATGTGGATTTAGATTTGGATTAGGATTAGGATTTGATAGCAAAAAACTGGTGTTGAAAGATGAGGATAAAGATTCGGGCAAGCCCTGACCTGATAGCATGTATTTCGATGGAGAGCCAGTCACAGATGTTGGACCCAAGCTTGGAGAGTCAGGAGTGCCAATTATTAGCTTATCATTTTGTATTATTGGGTTGTTTATAGGGATAGTCTTGGGAGAGGTGTAGGACTTGGCCAAGTTGGAGGAAGAGGGAAGTCTGGAGCTCAATAGAGACGATGAATGGTAGTGCTGGTGTCTCTTTTGATGCGTGGATTGTAAGACATTTCTGGACCATTTTAGATTGTTGTTTGTCAAGGAGGATAGCTTGGAAGTGGAGTTGGAGTTGGAGCTGTTTAGGCCAGTGAGAGAACTCAAGTTTGAATTTGAAGTTGAGTTGGGATTTGCATTTAGGCCTGAGGCTGTTTCGTTGATGGGCTTCATGGGGCTTCCAAGAGGATCTGGCAGCTGGTCAGGACGAGAGTCCTCCACGACGTTGGAGAGACAGGAGCTATGGTTGGAGAGGTTAAGCGATAGCAAGGAAATGGTGGAGGAGGTGGGCACTATCCTGCCATTTATCTTGGTGTTTTTGTCGACAGAGGTAGCCACCAAGCTTGGGGACGTCAACTGGAACTTGGAGTTGCTGAGGTTGATGTTTCTGGCGTTGGCGTAGCGTAGCTCAGGTGAGCTGGAGGAAGACCTGGGGGACCTGGGGCTCGAAAGCACGTCCTCCACAGACTTGACACACTTGTTCAGACCCATCGCTGCTGCTGCTGCTGCTGCTCTGAGCTTGTTTCTCTTCTCTTCTTCTGTCCTCCGTGCCCTCTGCACACGTGCCCAGCGCTTCTCGTGCTTCTCGTGCTTCTTCGCCCGCTGCCTCCTTTGCTGCTTTTACCTCCCACCACCATGTCTGCGTTGTCTCGCCCCTTGCTCTTGTGGTTGTACAACGTCTTGCAGCCCGTATGTATGTCATTTGCTTCTTCTGCTTCTTCTACTGCCCACTAACACCCACCAGGAATACTCAGATGTACCCAGAACCTACCAGGACACTGCTGTCGTCCTTCAGGCCTTTCCCTCCTTGAGAGCCAGAACAAAGATATACACCTTTTCCAATGGCACTGATCGCTTGTTGTTGAACTTGCATGGTACTGTGCCCTCCTTCTTCAATGCTGTCTCCTACAAGATTCCTGTCGAGATCTGGTTGCCTACAGACTACCCACTCTCGCCTCCCACAGTCTACGTGGTTCCCTCCAGCGACATGATCATCCAACCAAGCAACTACATTGACAACAATGGCAAGTTCTACAACCCCTACCTATCCAACTGGTCTTCAAACAGCCAGACTCACACCCAAAACTCGTCTTTATTGCAGCTATGCAACATTCTATCAACCTGTTTCAGCAAACAGCCCCCATTATACTCAAAGCCCAAGAGCTTGAACACTCCTAATAACCACTACCAAAACCACACTTCTCCTCCAGCAACCCCAGTGAAACCTCCACGACCCACAAGCATACCTTCATTGACTTCCCTAGTGTCTTCTAATTTAAACTCTCCTCCTCCTCCTTTACCTCGCAAACCGACCTCAAACCCTGCCTTGCCCCCAAAGCCATCTTCAATTCATTTAAATGCTCGTTCAAATGTTTATTCAAACGTTCCTCCAGACTTACCTGGAAAACCACTTTCTCATTCAAGAAACAATTCAACTTCTTCCCTACCGCCAAGACGTCCTCCAAAACCTATAGAACTCGAAATGAAAAGACTATCAATTCAAAATCAATTGCCAAATCAAAATATACAATTCCTAGAACCAGATCTACTTGACAGTGATGATAATCATAACATCATCAACAACAACAACAACAACAACAATGATAACAACAATACTGACAACGCTAACGCTAACACTAACACTAACACTAACACTAACGATAATAACCAATTTGATTCAGAAAAACAAAAAATCTTAAAAAATATTCAAACCTCTCTAGTCAACTTGATTAAATCAGATTTTGACCCCTTTGTTACCATCGCAGACTCCCAATTACTCAAACTCAAGAATGCCATATCTCAACTAGAAAACTTGTATAAATACGAAAACGACTCTCTAGTCTACTACAAAGAATCCATATCAACAAACGAAAAAATCCTAAATGAAAAAACCCTAGAAGCCCAAAATGTCATCAATACCGCTGACACTTTACCTGATCCAAACGTTGAAGAAATCATCTGCGCTGAAACTGTCCTCTTCAATCAACTATATCACCTAGTATCAGACGACACTGCAATATCTGACACTCTATACGCTTTAAACAAAGCCTACGATTCAGGCAAAATCTCCTTCGATTCCTTCTTAAAATACTCAAGAAATCTTTCAAGAGATCAATTTTTTAAAAGAGCTCTAATAAATAAAATCGTCAATCTATCTGGTCTCGATGATTCAACAGACTACTAATGTTAATTATAGAATAAAATAATAAAAAACTATACCTTTTTTTATATTTTTATATTTTTATATTTTTATATTTTTACATTTTCACATTTTCACATTTTTATATTTTGAAAACCCTATTAAACTACCAATCAACAAATAATAAAAAATCTAAGTTAAGAAAGAATAAAAAGTAAAATATTACAAAATCAAGACAACATCAAGATATAAGATAAATTAAAATAACTTTTTTTAATTTTTAATTTCTAGTCTCTAATTTGTCTCTAATTTCTAATTTTCAATTTCTTAAGTTATTTTCTCTTCTGATCTTTACTGATTTAGCCAAATTCAACAAAACCTTTTCGGTATCTTCCCAACCTATACAAGCATCTGTGATCGAACAACCGTATACCAACGCATCTTTCCCACCATCTTCTTTGCTTGGAACATCTTGTCTGCCTGCAACTAAATTACTCTCAATCATTAAGCCACAAATAGCTTCCGAACCTTTTTCAAGTTGTTTGCAAACATCTTGAGCAACTAATGGCTGATTATTGTGGTTTTTATTCGAATTTCCATGTGAACAATCAACCATTATTTTGGGGCCTTTGTGATTTTCATTTATAATCTTAGCTTTTATCAATTCTTCTTCAGCTTTTTTAACCGATTTCTCATCGAAATTCGTTCCCGATTTCCCGCCTCTTAAAATGATAAATGTATCATCATTGCCTTCAGTTCCAACAATAGCTACAATACCGGGCTTGGTAACAGATAAGAAATGATGAGGATGAGCAGCAGCTCTTATAGCATCAATTGCAACACCCAAAGAACCATCAGTACCATTTTTGAAACCAACAGGAAAGGACAATCCTGACGCCAACTCACGATGCAACTGGGATTCAGTTGTTCTTGCGCCAATTGCACCTACTGAAAATAAATCAGATAAAAATTGAGGAGATATAGTATCCAACATTTCACCAGCAATTGGTAATTTTTCAGTCAAATTGACAAACAATTTTCTTGAAATTCTTAATCCCTCATTAATATTGTATGATTCATCAATGTGTGGATCATTAATCAAACCTTTCCAACCAACAGTTGTTCTTGGTTTTTCCAAATAGGCTCTCATGACAATGTGTAATTCGCCTTTGACTCTATTATTCAATTCATATAATCTATCGCAATATTCTAAAGCAGCTTTGGGATCATGGATTGAGCATGGCCCAATAACAATTATCAACCTGTCATCTTCGCCATTTAATATTCTGCGAGAATCGTCTCTACCTTTAAGAATCACATTTTTCGAGGTTTCAGATAATGGGAATTGATGCTGCAATAAATCAGGAGGAGTTAAAGGATCGTAACCTTTGATTCTCCAATCTTCTAACCTTGAACGGTCACCAACATGCTCGTTTTCAAGAAACATTTTATACTGAACCATAGTTGAAATGAAAAAAATAAAAATAAAAATCGGAAAAATTTTATGAAAATTAAGAAAAGTTAGTATGATGAAACTAAAAAACAATAAAAAAACTAGAATCAAGAAAAGAATAGGAAAAACAGAAACTATTGAAAGAAATCAATTTCCGATTTATTTTTTTGTTTTGTTTTTTTGATATTGGATTTTTCCAGGCTCTTTCCAAATATGTCGGTCGAGAAAATTGTGTGGAGCAATAAACATTTTAAAAGCTCAACTATTATGAAGAAGAACCACAAACACCATAAAATTAAGAAGATTACTCTCCATTATTAAACCATTTAACCATTTTTTTTTCTATTTTCTATTTTCTATTTTCTCTTCTCTTCTCTTTCTCTTTTCTGCGTATCCTTAACATTTGTTCTCTTTTAATGTCTTTTGAAACACAAAACCCAGATTAGATTTGATTAGATTAGATTAGGCTACTTACAACCATTTTGAAATAGATAATCTAGATATGTACAGATAGAATAAGACCTTGTCAGCCAATAGTAATTTACAGATAAGTAATAAGGAGATGAAAAGTAAAATAATATAATACAAAATTAAAGCTTAAATACGTTCAAGATGGAAAAAATTTTGAAGATGAGAAACAAATTTTTTTTGGCAGCTTTGAAATGTCGAATTTAGTCATAGTTGCAGAGATGCAGAAACAGGAGAAATCGGACGCAAAAAAGGAATTGGGCGGTGGCCAGGTGCGATAAACGTGGGCTGGCCCTGCAAAATCAGAACGCCGGCTCAACACAATTCTTGTAGATGAGAAGAATTTACTGGAATTACAGCCATCTTGTGATAATGTGTATATTAAAATGAAAATCAGATAATCTATAGAGAATAACGACTATTGGCAGCTCGAGACGCACAGGCTGGGTGGTGCCAAAACGATTAGTCTAGTTGTCGTACTTTCCAAATTCCGAGATCCAGTATTGACGCAAATGTTTTCTCTCTCCAATCTTGGTGATTTCAGCCACTTCTTCGTCAGTTAATGAGAAGCTATAGACATTGGGAATTTCAGCAAATCTCGTTTCGTTGGAGGTAGTGGTAATTGGCAATACTCCTTTTTGAATGGTCCATCTTAGCAATAATTGGGTTTCCGACTTGTTGTACTTAGCACTTAATTGCTTTAAATATGACAACAACTTATCTGTTTTTTTTTCTTCTTCGGATAATTTGTACAATGGAGCTAAGGGAGAATAAGCTTCTAGCAAAATTCCGTTTTCTTGAGCAAAATCATAAATTCCTGGTGTTTGATTTTGCAAATAAGCACTGTATTCAATTTGGTTGACTTGTGGTTTATATTTAGCTTCTTCCAAGATTTCCTTTAAATCTTCGACTGAAAAGTTTGAAACACCAATGTTTTTGACTAAACCTTCCTCGTAAGCCTTTTCTAAGTATTTCCATGCTTCGACTTTGGAGAAACCATGGGTTTCCTTTTTGATGAATGGAGCATGTAATAAATATAAATCAATGTATTCAATTTGCAATCTTTTTAAACCGGCTTTAATTGCTTCGTATGGATTGGCTTCAGTTGATCTTGCTTTGTAACTGCCATCACCAGCAAAATATTTATTGGTGATCCAGATGGATTCTCTGCTTTTTTTAATTTTTTTTAATGCTAATCCAGTTTCTGAATCTGTGTTATAAACTTCAGCACCATCAATATGAACAAAGCCATAATCAACAGCCTTGACCAAATTTGAAACCAATTTTTCATCAATTTCATCTCTACCATACTTGTACCACTTGGTGCCAGTACCATAACCAATTGCTGGAATTTTAGCATCAGTATTTGAGAGTACAAAGTGTTCACCTGTAAAAGCAACCATTGTTTAATAATAATAGAAATTGGGGTGATATTGAATTGAAAAAGATACGAGAAATTCGAGAGAGAAGAAGAAAACAATAATCGAAATTGTAATTCAACGGAAAATATTCAATTAAAGGGTAATTGCTAGCTCAATTGAATTTGAAAATATGGAGATTCGATTTATCTTTTATATGAACTGTATAATTATCTTGGGGTTACAATAATTACTAATGCAATTCTATGATTACCTCAGTAATTGAGATTTTGTGTGCAACAGCACCTGATATAACATAACTACTGGGATATTCTGTCATAATCTTTGCTGTGGAGAGCAATTCACAACTGTGATTTTACCTGTGTAAACACAATTAGAAAGCTTGCATCTTACAAAATTATGCAATTAATTGGGTTTTCACTGTTTCACAAGATTGTTTATATTATACAGGCGTGTGTATGTGTGTATATGCATGTGTATGCGTTGGTATCGTTCATATATTTTATTTTTTGTATTTCTTATGTTCTATTTTCTAACATAAAACTATGAAGCAAACGACAAAGAAGTCTATAAATTAGATTCATGCTTGTTTTTTTCAAAGAAATAATTGACTTTCCATTCAGTGCCTTTTTTAGTTCCCAAATGGTCAATTATATCTTTTTTATTTTTAAGATCAAATCGTCTAATCTTTGACAAGATCTCATCATCTTTTGGTAATGTATAATTATAGGGATATTGATCAAATTTTTTAATTGAGATATCTCCATGGGCTAAATCTGGGTAGGGAATATTGTCATTAAGTTTTAATAAATAATCGATTTGATCCTTTGAGATATCATGAATTGACTCGAATTTCCAAATTGGGTTATTTGTCTTTAAGATTAGTTTTTTATTAACACCTTCGTTAAAATCGTTTAAATTTTTATTGATCATAATATTTTGTGCACTTATTAGTTCTTGTTTTAATGCATCATAATTATTTGAATTAGATCCAAGTTTTAATAAGTTAAAGCTTAATTTTAAGGATAACAAAGATTTGTCGCCTTTTAATAGTATGTCTAAAGTTTCTTGATAAAATCTATTAGTGGCTTTATGTGATTCCAATTCATTGAACAATCCGTCAATATCATTTTTAAATCGAGTGAATAATTGATCAATTAATTTTAATTCATGAATTGAATATTTAAATTTGTGATCTGATGGAATTGTATTTGAATAATTCTCTAAAACATTATTGATTTCGTTATAAACCCCATCAATATTGTTATAATGAGATAAACTTAAATTAACTAAATCGTTTTTAACATCGTCAAACTTCTCAAAATCAATGAAATGAGTAGCAGTGCCTGCAATTAAATTATCATAACCTAACAACTGTTCACCTGTTAATGCTAAATAGTAACCCAAATGATCATCTAATTTTGGTAATAAAAATGTGGTACCAACATCTGGAAAAAACCCGATAAACATCTCAGGCATTGCAAGTCTGGTTGTATTGGTAGCAATTCTAAATGGTGTATGACAACTTAATCCTACTCCACCACCCATGGTAATTCCATTGATAAACGAGATAATAGGCTTTTCATAACAATAAATCGTCAACAAATAGTTCATTGAATATTCAAAATAAAACAATTCACAGCTTTTCAGGATATCGTCGTTCAAGTTATTTGTGCAGCACTCAACAACATCACCACCTGCACAAAAGGCCTTGGGAATGTTTGATTGAAGAATAATCAATTTGATTGAAGGATCAGAATGAATCCTGAGTAGTTCATTGAAAATCAATGAACACATATTCAAATTCAATGAATTGAGCTTTCTTGGACGATTCAATGTGATAATTTTAACATCATTTTTGGTCTCAAACAAGACCTCATCTTGAACAGAATTTTTAGTCATTGTGGATACTGGCGAAACAATGAAAAAGAGAAGAAAGAAGAGAAGACCAATGCAATTTATACAATTCAGCAGCCAACAAACTAAAGCTCATCAACCCGAGATAACAACCCAAAAACAGTCTCTCAGCAGAAAAGTCCCCAGCTTCCTTTGATCAGACGCTTTTGCTCTGTGGAGAAGAGCTAAAGTGCGTCGCTTTTGTGATGGAGATAAGTGCGTGTGGTATTGCGTGTTATACTGAACTACAGCGCGTATCATAGTGCGTGATATAGTACGTGACAATGTGCGTGTGCCGCAAAAGTGCGTCGGGATCTGGAAAAAAGAAGTGGCGACTGACTTTTTTTGATATAAAACGAAAAAAACTTCTCTTCTTGTCGTTTCCACAAAGTTTATTTATTTGCTTTTCTGTCTATCTGATTACATTTTTCTATCAGCATTGCCCTTTCGACAACACAATCAGTTATTATTACGGCTCAATTCGATAGTATACTCTTCAAGAGAGCCAATTGACCTAAAACGTTTGCTTCATTGATACAAAAAGCTCAGAAATTAAACAATGGCAGAGACTTTAGACAAGTCCACTACAGCTAATGCCACTGGCAACCAGCTTACGTCTTCAAATAACAGTAATGACAATTCTAAAAATGACAATATGCTGGAGTATCCTGAAATCTTGAAAAGAAAAGGGTTTGTTCCAAAGGATTTATCTCGATCAACAAAAAATCCTGGAAAAACTGGACTATCTACCACCAGAAATTTAATTCGTTCTTATGTTAACCCTAGTACTTTAGTTAACGATGTTGTTGATTTAATTCCAGGTCATGATAAATCCTCAGAAGAACCGAATTTCAGAGAAGTCTTAGGTTACTATTTTTTCCATTCAATTTTATTTATTATGTTATTCTTTTTTTCTTTTTACCGCGGTGTTCAATATGTTGGCAATAGATTGAAATTGCGTTTTCTATCCATAGCTTATAATCCTTCCAAATCTCCTCAAATAATAAGAGATGATGTCTTGAAATTACCCAAGATTCCCAAAAGAGTTTCCTCTGTTTTAAGCTTGAAACCTGATCAAGACGAAGGTGGCGGTGTTGAAGGTTTAATTAATGATTCTTCTGAAATAACCGCTTGGTGTGTTGCTGCAGGTATCCAATATTTATCAATCTACGAGTATAATGGCGTTTTAAAACAAAGAGTTCCTGAACTAAGACGTTCAATTCATAAAAAATTATCTCAATATTTTGGTGTTAACTATGTTCCAAATTTTGTCGTTAAAGTTCCTTGCTTAAATTTGACTTTTAATGGTGTTGATGATGACTTTGATGTCCAATCTCAAGGTTTTAACAACAAGCCTGTTATTGAAATTAGCTTATTATCTGTTCGTGATGGTAGATCAACTATTGTCGATTTAACCAAAACTATGGCTGATTTGGCGGTCAAAAATGAATTGGTAGTTGACGATGTCACAATCGATTTAGTTGATAAACAATTGACTAATCTAGTTGGTGTTGAACCTGATTTAATCATCTTATTTTCTCCAAACTTAGATTTACAAAGTTATCCACCATGGCACATTCGTCTTAGTGAAATCTATTGGGAACCCGATAATGATGAAGTCAACTACTCTGTGTTCTTAAGAGCTTTACAGAAGTATTCCACTTGTAAAGTTAATGTTGGAAAATGATCCAATGATTTTGCAAACAAAACATTAATCTGCTTGGTTTTCGTTTTATTTTATTACATTTTATTTTTCATTTCTTCTTGTTGCTAGATTCTTGAAATGTATCATTAAATTACATTATACTATTATATTATTATAGTTTGCATAGTTTTTTTTTTATTTTTTTTATTTTTATTTTTACCCTTACTTTTATTTTTGGTTAGGATCATCGCTTTAAATTATTTTGCATTTATTATATTGATACTTTACTTATTCACTTTGCTATTATACCAATTTTGCTATTTCATTTTATTTCTAATCTTTTTTTTCTCTTACTTGTTAATTATTTAAACACTAAAAGTTTACTTTTATATACTATCAAAAAAAAAACAAAAAAAAACGCTTCTTTTAATATACTACCAAAATCTAAAAACAATACATATACATTTAATACTTTAAATACACGCTTCAAGCAAAAAAAAATAATGGAAATTTATTAAAACATATGGATAATAAAATATAAGATAAAATAATGGGATAAAAAAACCGAAAAATTTAATCTAAAATTTAATTTCATTTTTTAAATATCTAAACCTTTCTGAATAGCAAAACTTTTAATCAATTCAGAAGTTGTATTAACCTCAAGATCTTTACAAAACCCAGTAATGCTAGCAGAAACTAATAAGTTTGTAAATCTTTGTGGTTCATTTGGTAACTTATAGATTGATTTCCAATCATTCTCTAAATCAATTTCCTTTTGACCATTTTTAACTCTATTAGCGTTTTCAATCTTGGATTTGGCTTTCCATTGTTGAATTTTTTGCAATTCTCTTGATAATTGTCTTTGATAATAATTGTAGTTATTTAAATCATAATGATAAGAATCAACTGAATCAAATAATTTATCTATAATTCCTGTAGAATATTTCGAGTTATTTAAACTTAATGAGTCAAAACTGTTCGAAACAATGTCATTATTTTTATAAATTTGATTGTAATCTTGAGTATTTAGTGATGATTCATTTTCAGATAATAATTGATGTAACATCAATGAAACTAAGTGAGAGTTATGAATCGAAACAGGTAATTCTTCAAAGATATTTTCATGAGTCAAGTTATTTTCTAATAGCAATGCAGTGCTAAACTTGTTGGTACTATTATTTGCAGCTTTATAAACATTTAAAAAGGCTTCACTTAATCTGAAGGCTCTTAACGATAAAACAGAATTAGTATTAATTTTGGATGAATCATGAATAATAAGAATTGCATTAGGGTTGCTTCTTTGTAATGATAATAAAGAATCGATAATATGGTTATTGAAAAAGTTTGAAGAAACCGAACATTGATACCAACCTATAAATTGAGCAGCAACACCAGTATTCTTTGATAATTCAAGTAATTCATTTTGAAATCTTTGGTTGGTCTTCAGTTTGAACGAAGAACCTTCGATCGACTCGTTGTATATAGAATAAGGAAATGAGTGAGAAACAGTTAAAGTTTCATCTTTATCTACACCTAGTAATGGACCAGAAACAAGTGTTGGATAGTAGTCAGTAGCATGTTTAATAATCTTTAAAGCAACACTGCTTTCTATTTGAACTACATTAGTAGTTGGTGTTGAAAACTCTTTCACTCTATAGAACTAGCTGTTAGTATAAAATGTTTGTTGTGAATCAATAAAAAAAACATTTCTGCCGACTGGAAAAGCAAATAAACATACTGTTTTGTATTGGACATCTTTCTACTTAGATTATGATTGGAATACAGCTTCTATCTGGTATCAATTAGCACTTCAACTGAACAAATTTGAGAGTTTGATTTAATTTTTTTCAAATTAAAACACCCAAACATCATATGAATCACGTGTTAAATTATATGCGCAAATATATGCTGAAAGTGCATTCACTTGCAGTCTTATCTAATTTCTTACATACTATTCTATTTTATGCTTTTTTTAAATTATCTTCAACAATCTTACAATACATTGGTTATATCCAACTGTGTAGCCGTTATTCATGGAATGCTTCATTGTCTTAAAAGTATCCCCTTTCGCTTCATTTCCAATGCCTTCTTGTATGGGGGAGCTGTGGGCATTTGCACAGGATCGAGACTAGTCGTCTGCTTTCCCTCTTCAATGGAATATGTAGCATCTGAATCATAGCTGGATAGATCACCACAAGCAATAAATGGGGCAACAACTCTTTCTTCAAAGGGCAAATTGTTTTCCAAAGACTCGCTCAATTTTGCTCTTCCTAAATTAGCATCTTTGAAAAACTCCTCTGTTGACTGATTCAATGTTAATTTGGGTTTCCAGTCTTTTTGTGGTTTGTAATTAATGCACACAATAAAGGATTCTAATGATGTACTTCTTGATGATCTTGGTTTGGCACATATTACTTTTTCAAATAAATTTCCAAGTTGTGAATATAATAAATCGATATCTCTACCTCTAAATATTTTTGCAACAAATGTTCCCCCGGGTTTCAATATACACGTCGTTAATTGTAACGCAGACAATATTAATTGAGCCTGAATATATTCATCGATATCGTGCAATCCTGTGACATCTGGAGCTCCATCACTGCAAATGAAATCTGCCAATTGCCCATTAAATATTCCCAAAATTCTTTCTAATGTCTTTGGATGGGTTATATCGGCTTGAATACATTCAACGCCAGGTATTGGTGACATTGGTTGCAAATCTACTGCAACAATCTTTGATGAAGATGAAGAATCTATACAATTCAATTTTTGAGATAGCACTTGAGACCATGAACCAGGAGCTGCACATAAATCAACCACATTTCTAACACCTTCAAATAGATTGAATTGCTCATCCAACTGGAGTAACTTAAAAGCTGATCTTGCTCTCCATCCCTCTTCTTTGGCCTTTCGGTAGTACAAATCTCTTTTATCTTTACTGCCCTTTCCCATATTTATTGATTTTTTTTATCGATCTTGATTGTATTATTTTTTTATCATGCCGAAATTTAATAACTTTTTATTTTGTAGTGAAAAATACATTTTTATCACATGCTCTACAATCACTATATGCAAGATAATAATTGGTACAATAAAATGTATATGAAATACTGAAAAGAATGAAGTGACGTTGATTGAAAAAATAATAAATAATGAATGGCTATAATCTATAAAAATGAATTGAAAGCTATATGAAAAGAGTTGAAAATGAAACAAAATTAATAAATAAAATTGAAAAAGCATATAATAAAAATATAACTAAAGAATGAAAAGGAACAAACATATTACAACAAGGAATGAATTAATCAATATTGATAAAAAAACCATATAAATAAATGTCCAGAATGATTACTTTTTTTTTGTGTGCTGATAATCTATTAATGTATTGGGTGATTTATTGAATATTTTATTAAACAAAATTAATCTAATTTTTGTAGTTTTTTCTGTTTTTGAGAATGATATAAATTGAGATAGTTTTGATTTTTTAAACCGATAAAATAAAAAAGTAAAGTTAAAAAATTAAAAAAATAAATAGATGAATCAGAGGTTGTAACAGTAATATCACCATCGCACCAATTATTTACAGGTATGCAACTTAAATATTGACACCATGAACAATTTCCGCCACCATTTTTAAAAAAATTGATGGATAAAAGTACAAACCATAAAATGATTAAAACTAAAGAAACAGTTCTCAAAACACACCAAAATATAAAATACTTGATATATCTTTTTTTTAGAAAATTTGATATTTTTGAATTTGGTTTTGAATCATCGTTGCTATCATCGTAAGATAAACTAAGAAAATTTCTTGATATGACATGGCTTCCTTGATTGGGAATTGGAGTTAACATTGTCTTTGGTGGTATATATCTATACTCTTCTTTAATGATAAAATTAGGGTCTCTTAATAATAAGATGCTGCATAACAAACCTATAATAAAGCCACCAATATGTGCAAAATTATCTAAACCAGGTAGTAAACCAAGAAATAAAATTAGAATGATTTCAAAAACCATGACGGATAAGATTATTCGATAAGTTTTCTTTGAGTAAAGAGCTTTGTTGAATAAGAATAAGTGGTGAAATAAATTAGTAGCAATTATTCCAAACAAAGCACCACTTGCACCAACAGATGAAACACCAGTTTTACTGTAATTTGCACCAAAAATATTCCCAGATATTCCCGAAGCAATATAAATGATCAAAAAAGTTAAAGAGCCGATTTTTTTTTCGACATCAGCGCCTAATAAAATTTGGAGGAGTAAGTTTGAGATTATATGAATGAAACCAGCATGTAAAAAAATTGGAGTTATAATTCTCCACCATTGGTCAGGAAGATAGCCCAACTCATCATCAATTGTATTTGGTGGTAAACCACCCATTCCACATAATTCACTTAAAGAACAAACATCTGTATCGGTAGTAGTTGAATTAGGACAGGGGAATAGTATGTCGTTTACATTTGTAATGCCTTCAATTTCTTGCATACAAGGTCTAAATCTGGAGCCCATATTAATTTGAACATAAGAAGATGGACCAAGCATTGGATTAAAAGAAGGAGAAGTTTGTATGACATTTCCGGTGTATTTTGAATAATTAACCAATTCAGCAATGAATACAGCTGTTTCGACTATAGTAAAGAAAACAGCTACGTAGGGAAAAGTTTTCCATCTTGAATTTTTTTTATCAACTACTTGTTGATCGCTGATTATATGGCTATTATAGGTGTTGTTGTTATCGTTATTGTTATCATTATTGTTATTGTTGTAGATATTATTGTTGTTATTATCCAAGAAAAATCGATTTTCTTGAATATTATTGTTATTATTGAAATTGTTTCGATTATCAGATGGAATAGCAGAAGTGGGATTAAAAGTTATAGGATTGGTTTCATTTGAGTTCATTTTGCTGTGGTTGGGATCTTGAAAAGGATTTGACATAGTTGTTCTAGATCTTGATAAATTTGGATCGGATACAAACGGATCAGATGTTGGGTACGGAGGATTGTTGGTACTATTGGAACCATTGTTATAGGAGGATTGATTATAATTGGAGTAATTTGGATTATCACCAGAATAGTTTTTTAATAATCTGGATTGGCTCATGCTAGGATTAGTATCAGAACTACTATAACTATTAAAATTATTGAAGTAGTTGGTTGCTCCAATATCACTGTTATTTGAAATATTTGAAATATTTGAAATATTTGGATTATTTGGATTATTTGGATTTGGGTTAAAATTATTTGTATTTATAGTTGAATTAAAAGATGGATCAGTGAGAGACACATTGGTGGAATTACTATTATTTAAGTTATGTCTGGGGTTGTTCAAATGAGAATATTGAGAATTGAAATCTATAAAAGATTTGGCATTGGGGCTATATAAAGGACTATTATTATTGACAAAAGAATCAGGAAATGGAGAAGGACCTAAATTAGGAGGAGGTTGAATATTGGTATCTTGTGGTTGGCCGGTGCTATTTAGTTGATTCATGTTTGCAGTGGGAGTTGGAGGCAACTCTTTATCTCTTTCATTCGAAAGAGGATTGTAAGGATAGTAGTGGTTCTGGTTCATTTGAATATGGAGTTGTAAGTTGGAGGTATCTTGAGAACTTATGAGTTGTCAATACAAAAAGCTAAAGTAGTGCAGCGAAGTGAAAAACGACCAGAATAGATAAAAAGAAGCAGAGTGAAGGTAAAGCAAGACCCAAAGAGAAGTGTGGTAGCAAATCTCTCGCTGGAGAAGATGTGTTTGGTGAAGAAGAATAACGACAAGAAGCACAGACCTCTTCACAGTAAGAAGCCAATGCTAGAGTGGTATTATACTGCTATTGTATTACAATAGCAGTATAATACCACAGCCCTGGCGTGCTGAGCTGCTTTTTTTCTGCACAGGAATGCGCTATGACTTGACATAGCTTCCTCTCACAAACTCTACAATCCTCGTTTTTGCCCTGTCTGTACGGGATGTGATACGAGAGCAGTTTTGCACGTGCCTTTATTTTGCAAAACTGTTTGTGGAAACGGGTGTCTCAGCCTGAGTAGGACCTGTGCTATTTTTGGGACGAAAGGCTGGGCACAGGAGTGCGATGAAAGGATGAGACCGTTTTGGTGAAAGGTTCTGGAGAGAAGATCAGTTTATCGGTGTACATTTGTTCTTTTAGTTTATTTCAAGTTATATCAGTATCTCATCGAGCAGTGAAGTGGTGGTGGTCTTCCCAAAGTACCAAAAATACGTGAATTTCAATTCATATGGTGGTTATTCTGTATTGTCATGTTCTGCTGCTTTAATTGAATGTTCAGCAGTCACTGTACGAATATCTTGATTGGTGATTCCCAGCTTCTCTGTACAGATGTTTGAATGATTTTGGCTGATTTTAACAGGTTGTACCAGGGTTTTTAACAAGCTTTACAAGCTAAATATGATTGTGTATGGCTGATTTGGAGAATATATTAAAGTGACTATATCAATCTGGGTTTATAATTGAACAAAAATGAAATAGAGTTTGAATTTGCTACTTTGTTGAATTTCTTTTGCTAGCGACAAGTCTTTCGATTTTACTGCTTTAAAATTTTATGTTTTGCAGCTCTATAAGATTAGTAGGGATAAAAATTAATATTTAAAACGATTCTTCTCCTTGAAAAAAAAAAGGAAAAAAAATCAAAATCTAGCAACCAAATAATCTATTAATTTACTACAACCGACTATAATTAATTAGAATCATTCTCATTTACATCAAGTTTAAAAGCCTTTATTTAATCAAAAATGAACATTAAAAGACCATCTCAACCTCCTCCTCCTTCAATCCCTGATGGATGGTTAGCCGTATGGGACGAAGAATATCAATGTATGCCCATCTTTTTTTTTCCAAATCGAAAACTGTTCGATCTAACATTTTGTCCTCTTTCATAATCTAGGTTACTTTTATGTCAATAAATATACAAATGAATCAACTTGGGAGTTACCAACACGAGTCCCTCCACAACATCCTCCTCAAACACAAACAAGATCACAATCCCAAGAACAATACTACCCAGCCAATACTCAACAAGTGCAACAAATACCACAACAAGTACAGCAAGTACCCCAACAAGTGCAACAACAACCTCAAGTCCAAACTACCCCTGTTCAAACTGGTCCAAGTAAGGGTTCAATGGTGGCTGCTGGTGCTGGTCTCTTTGCTCTTGGTTCGCTCAGTGGAAGACGTCGTCGTCCAGTTGCTGTTGTTCCAGTCGGTGTCAGACCTGGCCGAAGAAGATTCTAAGGCATCTAACATTATCTTTTTTTTTCAATTTTTTCTATCTTATCACTATCTTTTCAACACTTCGTACTTATATATTGAGATCTATCAATTAATACATTCCTTCCTTTTCAGTTTATTATCTCCTCATGTATAAATCCTGTCAAAAAACAAAACAATAGAAAGGAAATGGCTGCTGATTATCGGTGCATATACCCACATGAAACTAAATTCATTTGCATTTGCTTATATAAGCAGACCAATTCATCTAAACTGCAAAATCACTTTGAGTATCTATGGCTAAAAGATGTTCACAATTATTCTGTTTTATTGCACCTTGATCTAATATTATTGCAGCTTACATTTAATTTATCAAAATGTCTACCTATGAAGGTTAGTTTTGCTATTTTGTGTATTTTCCTTTCTTTTTTGATTACATACTAACTTGTTTATTTCTTTGAATCTATATATTGCCAAAGACGATCATAATATAACAAATAGAAGGAATAACACTAGATCAATTGACCATCCAACGAGAAGAGAATATCGGCTTCGTCATCAAAACCAATTGTTTTCATCTCAAGATAATGAGGAGTTGAATTTTCGTGATTCTATTAATAATAATTCAAATGATATACTAAATTTAATTAATGTTTTATCAAACATGGCGGACAATTCAAACAATACTTTGCCAACCGCAAATTATTTAATTGATCAATTGCACGATATTCTAAATGATGACACTCACAATTTTAACAATAAGGGAGTTTCACAAGAATTTATTGATTCATTGGAAAGAATCTCTAAAAAAAAACTAAAGACTAATGATTCCTGTTCAATTTGTAGAAACGATTTTTTAAATGACCCATACCCGTTGATTGTTAAATTAAATAACTGTGATCATATTTTTGATTTAGAATGCATTGGACCCTGGCTCAAAATAAATCCAACTTGTCCGATGTGTCGTAAAAACGTCAATGAAAAGAGAACAATCGAATTGCCTACCAAAAGTAGAAATTCAAACAATAACGATGGCGGAGATGGTGAAGACAAGGAAGACGAGGAAGACGAGGAAGACGATGGCATGAATATGTATGGTTAAAAACTGATTAATAACTCTTACTAATGACCAAAAGAATGCTCTACACATGATCATTTATTTTGTATTATTGTAAATATTAATCGCATCATAACAGGACAATAAAATACATATTTAACCTCTCCTCGCATTGCAAGTACCATTAAATGGCTCATTCAGCAACAAATAAAAACCGCTATATATGGCTTTCCAAACCCTCGTCTCGAGTGGAATGACACGGAAGGTAAACGGAACTTCACAGACCTTAAATATGTAATTTAAGCATTATGCAGCAATTTTTTCTTAGCAAGACCCAGACCCTTATTAACTGAAAGCTAAAACCGTTTCATGGGATCCGATCCCTGAGTCCAGGAGACTTTGAGGAGTTTTCCAGCAGGCTTTGGAATCCTTAAGGAGGCTTCACGAAGCTCTTGCTGGCCACAACTTCGGAATTCTACACTAATCGCCAGTATCCCAAAAAATAAAATGAGAAAATAAAAAAATGAGAAAATGAGAAAAAAAATCATTTCTAGATGCATACATAACTTAGAAAAAATAAAATAAAATAAAATAAAATAAAATAAAATAAAATAAAGTGAAATAAAGTGAAATGAAGTAAAGTTGCCAGTATGAGAAGTAGAATAGATAGAGTAGATATATTAAAAAAAATAATATTAATACAAGCCTAATTTAAAAAGATAAATCAAATAAGTTTTTACCAATAAAAACGTTAAACAAATATAAACATTGAAATCCAGAATAAAAATAACGTTAAAAAAACTCATGCCATCCGTAGACTAGGACTCAGACTAGCAGAGGTAGCTGGACTTGCAGAGCTTGCAGAAGGAGAAGCAGAGGAAGAACGTTTGTTTCTATTGACATCCTTTGGTTTAGAAACCTTTAAAGTTTTCTTCTTTCTTGATTTGTTTTTTGGATTCAAATGAGTTCTGTAATGTTGCATGCAATTATCTTGTCTAGCAAATCTAGAGTCGCATCCAGGATATGGACAAACATGTTTTCTTTCGCCTGTATGAATCCTCGAGTGTCTTGCCAAATGGCCAGAAGTTGTAAAACTTTTTTCGCAAATTTTGCATTTGTATTTTCTTATCAATTGAGAGCTAGTAGTTGAAGCATCAGAAACATTCGAAGAGGAAGCGAGTCCTGTAGAAGTTGCATTTGAAGTCGAGGTACCTCTAGAAATGGAATCATCGAAAGTGCTTGAAGGAATGATTGAAAGAGTGTTTATTTTACCATCAATCATAGTGCAATTTTTGTTGTTATTATTGTTGATAGCATTGGTATTAGTATTGGTACTATGTTCGTTATTATTGTTATTATTGTTATTGTTATTATTGTTATTGTTATTATTGTTATTGTTATTATTGTTATTGTTATTATTATTGTTATTATGATAGTTACAGAAACTAGTCAAGTCATTGAAATTATTACAACTGTGATGACAATGATTTATAGTATTAATCTCGCAACAGCAATTGTTTAGAACATCAGAAACATTAGGCAATCGATAATTTGGATGCTGACCAAACAGAGAATCAAAATGGCCTGGGGTAGAGACAAGGCCACTTTCTGAAGAAGTTGGCTGGTCAATGGGTGGGAAAATGTTGATCGGTATCAAAGCAGGTAACTTATGGCGTCTATCATTTAAAATATTGTTAATTGGTGGTTGAGGGCTTGAAAACTGGTTGGTTCGAAGTATTGAACTGACTGGTGGTAGTGAGCCACCACTATAACTTTGAGCTGAATTTAAGCCACTGCCTGAAACCAACAAATTGCTATTAGAATTGATATTCGAGATAGAATTAAGGGGTGTTAGCGAATATTTCAACAACGAATTATTGACATTGATATTAGAGGTATAATCTGGGAATTTTCTTCCAGTAGAATCATTATTATCGTTTTCATTATTATTTATAACATCTGAGGTTTCAGTGAAATTGCAGCTCATGTTTGAGTAGGAAGATAGTGAGGAAATAGAAGTAGAGGGAGAAGGTGAAACACTTTGAGAAGTGAGAGGATGAGTATAATGATAGTAGGCTGGAGTGTTTGTGGTTGTACCGGAGAAGAAAAACAGGCTATTTTTGCTGTATTCGGGGAAGATACTATTACTACTACTATTATTGCTATAAGGGTTTTGTGATAATTTAGGAGAACTGTAAGAATCAAATTTTAGAGCATTATTGAACATTGTTACTTCGATTTAAAGAGAATTTAGCACAAGCAGAAGATAAAAAATATATAGTGATTATAAAACAAATACAGCCTGAGTTAGTGTATTTTATATAAGATGAAACGACCAATGGCCAAAAAATAGTAGGAAACCAATAGCTTATATAGCAAGGTATGAGAATTATAGTTGATGCTGTGTGGTTTAGCCTATTTCTTTGCCAAGATATAAGGAAAAACAAGAGCAGGGGAAGGAATCTAGATAAAGAAAAAAAGGGAAAACCAAGCTTGCTTTATATTTATATCATTTTGTGTAAAACATTTTTTGTATTTTTTGCATCTTTTGCAATTTCTACGGTCAGTAGAGTTAGCCACTTTCCTCTTACTCAGGCCTTGGAAGTGAAACATCTCGCATCTTTAGGGGAGTGCCTGTAAAAGGGGCACCCGTGGAGGTGATCGAGATATCCGTGCTGTCCGAAATGAGCAGCGTGCTGTTTAGCAAGTCAAATGCAGAGCTGCGCGCATCGCTGTATGATGGCATAACCATCCAAGACCATTTATTGGCTCCTGTACAGAAAAGCTTGTATTGACCAAGAAACTATGAAAGGGCCCAAAACCCAAATCAATGGAAACAATACATATGTGCCAAGTTTTTTTACTATACCCTTACATTGCCCCTTGGATTTTCCGAATCCCATGTAGCTTAGGGCTTTCTGCTACAGACCCTTCCAAGCAATTTTTTCTTGTTTAGTCTTATTCTACTACCCGCTGACGCTGAACATGCTGCTGGAACTAATTCTTGATAAGCTGTGGTTGCACAACCATAAAGCTTTTTGCCTGAGCTATAATGGCTATTCTGAAAAACAACTCAACGACCGGTTAATACGTGGTGCGCCATACAAATTAGTTCTTCACCACATTTTGCAAGGTATGGCTTTTGTGCACTCGTTCCATATATTTCTCAACTCTATGATGCTACAGTCTTCAATACCAAGAAATATAACAGTTTGTTTTTTGGGTTTTAAGCCAGCCCGGTATTGGTTTGGAGATATAAATAGTTGTGCTACTTTGGTATGTCGGAAGGCCTAGGATCTCTTGTATGCTCACGCTACTGATAAATTATGGCTGTATCACATGGATTACACAACTATTACCCCGGTTTCCTGCATAGGTTCTAAGAACTTCTGTTTTGCTTGCAAATTCTGTCATCGGATAATTAATTCACAGTGGATTAATGCTGCTTTTTGTGCTATTGGCCTTCTTAATCTTTCCAGTTTATCCTTTTTTTGAATGAGATTGACGCTTAGTTAATAATCACAAAAGTAATGTTAGTGATGTTAGTGGTGATGATGGAGTGCCAATGTTGATAAGGATATTATATGGTCCTGTTTGCTGGTGGAGTGATTACATCAGGGGTAAACTCTTGGCCAAAAATTCTGTGACATAATCAATCTAAAGACGTTTTTCAAATCCATTTCACATTTGCTCAAAAATACTTTTAAAATACTTTTTTGCTCTCTTCAGAAGTAGCGCTCTTCATCTTTCTGTCGATATTTCTCAAAGAGTTGAAACATTATTTTTCTTTTGCCAATAGGAATAATCAAAGCTGCGACAATTATAGATTTAAAGCTGGAATATTAAGTAGCTAATTAAAGCAATAAAAACAGTAACAAATTTTTACTGGAATAAACAAATAGGTAAACAAATAGGTAAACAAATAGGTAAATACCTATTTTAATGCTAGATTATTCATTCATTCTCATAGAAGTTTATGTATTAAATACATCCAAACACCAAACATCAAGTATAATGCGAGCGCAAATTTCAGAGCTACTTAGAATTGTTGAGCTATTTGATGCCTACTTTCAAGTAAATAAAAATAATATATTTAGAAATCTTAAACCCACGTTTTATTCATATACATTTGTATATTCATTTATATTACAGTCTTAGTGGTAAATATTCTTGATTGGGAACTTCCTCTCTTCTTTATAAATCTCGTGTTTCTGCCCATTTCATTGCACTTCATCTACTGGCTAATATAAATTTATACATCCAAAAGATCTAAAACAGCTATTATATCTTTAACCATTGGGTGAAATCATAAATATAAATTCCTTTTTTCCCTTGAAAATTATTTCAAGCGAATTCTTAATGTTTTCTTTTCTTTTCTTTTCTTTTCTCTTTCTCATCATACCGTTTTGATGGAAGCAGCGGGTTTTGAATTTGAAAACTGCTCTGCTGTTAAGAATGTTCTGCGTTTAAGAATTCCTGATCTTGGTAAGCTTATTTTTCTAAACTATAATTTGACTCGCATTTGCTAAACTCTACAACCAAGTATCGAATTGCCTTTGTGCAATCCTTTACCCGACTTTCTGTGCTATTTTCAAGGTTACGTGAGTGTGCTATTTTGCAGAATTCAGTATCATCGCTAAATAAATAACAATTATATCAACCTGTATATAATTTTTGAGGATTTCGTTGTCCGGGAGATCACTTAAATGAATCAAAAATAGTTCAGGGATCATACTCTCCTGGATACAAAACAACCCTTTTATTATTTTGTTACACAATTTTTACCTACAAAATACTAAAATCAATTACTGTAATCTTAATTTGATAAATCTTTGATCTTTGTTCAATTTATAAGAAAGGTTTTCCCAATTGCTTTCAAAAATTTCTTAAAATTCAAATCTACTAATAGCACTCAAATTGCTAACCAACAGACCTATTTTAACCAAAGTCAATGTGTTTCCAAACAATTCCGTCTGAATTCTAAAGATAAGAATATGTTCGCTCTTCATCTCCAGCAGCTCAAGACTTTTTTCAATATTATACAAGCATCCAATACAGACACTCTAAAATCTCTCAAATAGCCTTGAGCTAAAACCCTCACTTGCTCATTCGCTGTTTTCTCCAATGCCCTGCGTTGCCGGATTACTTGGCATTTCTTGTTGCCTAGTAACTCAAGCTTGTAGAATTATTGATTTTCCGATTAAATAAAACCTAATTTTCTATCCAGGAAATATGGTTTTTCTTTTGGTTGATTATGGAACAAGGGCAAATAATTCGATTATAATTGGATTACAATTAGAAGATTTAGCATAGCCAACTTCAATCCACATTGAGAAATGGAACCTTGGATTTTTCCATTTACATTCATTGATTTCAAATGCTTTCCTTTTCTTTTTCTTATTTCCTGGCTTAAAAATCCAAGAAAAAAAGGCCAAAAGTAGGCTTTTTTTTCGCGGAGCTTTTGAGAAATCCAACCATTTTATTGAAGTGTTTAACTGTTTGTTTTGCTATATATCCTATACAACAAAAACGTAATTGAATCAGATGAAGAAATAACTTCTTCGGTTACGGAGTCATTACAACGTATCATTCGGGCCGGATTAATATGATAGTAATTTTCTAAAGAACCTTTGAACTTCAATCCTCTATTTTTAGCCCGTGCCTCGCTTTCGTTTTCTTGCGATTCTCTTACCTGCAAAGCAGAAACCCACCCATTTTGCTCATTCTCATCATCGCCATCATTATCGCTGTCATTTTCACTATCATTTGTTTCATGTTCGGTCTTGTCTTGCTTTTCTGCCTTGTCTGCCCCTAAATTTGTTTCAGGTTTTTCTCCCATTTGATTACAGTCACATTCTATCAAATCGTGCGTATTACAGCTGGTCTCCAAATCTAAGGAGAATAAGTCTTTCAAATCAATCATGTCAAACAAGTCATCCTTAGAATCACTGCTATGATCAAGAAATTTGTCACTCAAATTGATTTTCATCAATTGTCTTTGGAATATTTTTTCGTCAATACAACCAGTTGTAAGAAATCTATATATGAAAACAGGTTTTTCTTGATGATCTCTATGGATCCTAGCCATTGCTTGTAAATCGATAGATGGGTTCCAATCACTATCAAATAAAATCAATCTTGAAGCCCCAATTAAATTCAAGCCACAGCCACCGGATTTTGACGACAATAAAAAAGTAAAACAACTTTTTTGAGAGGAAGTATTAAAATCATTAACTATTTTGTCTCTCTTATTCTTAGGAGTTGAACCATCTAATCTTAAAAAATTCATATTATAGGAATTTAATAGTTTTTCTAAAACATCTAATGTTTGCGTGTAATTAGAAACCAAAACTAATTTTTCATTAGTTTCATAAAATAATTTTTTTAATAATTGTGACAAAACAATAATTTTACCACTTCTATAAACTAATTTACTTATAGATGAAATAATTTCGTCAGTAAGTTTTTCTGAGCAAAGCTGGAGAAATAATTTATCATTTACGACTAAGGAAGGTGAGTTGCAAATTTTTTTAAATAAGGTAATTAGTGCTAAGGATTTAGCTTGATTTTTATTAGGTTTGTAATTGATATCATCGAGATTAATCATATCAATGAATTTTTTTGATTTTATAATCATATTAAATAATTTAATTTGTAAACTGGTTGGTTTGATGAATAAAATAATATCGGTTCTTGGAGGCAAGAAATTAGTTAAAATTGAGTTTGTTCTTCTTAAAGTAAATAATTTTGAGATTTTAATTAGCTCATTTGAAGCATCTTCACCCAGTTTAATTTTTTTTTTATCTTTACAATTGAGATCTCTTGATCGTAAGATTGGTTTCATGTAATTTTTTTTGAAATCGATAAATGAACCAAAAATACTTGGATTGATAAAATCGACAATAGTGAAATATTCTTCAAGATCATTTTGAATTGGAGTTCCAGTCAAGATAATTTTTTTGGAGATTTTTAAAGATTTTAAGATTTGTAGAGATTTATTTGAAATATTTTTCAAGCGATGACCTTCATCGCATACTAATAAATCAAAGGAGTTATTTTCTAATAGCTGGGATTTGATGGATAATAGTTTTTCATAACCTAGGATTAGGACTTGATAGACTCTAGTTTTAGCAAACAATTTAATATCATTTTTATCCTTTGAAATATTTGTAGTATTGTTTAGAGTTAGAATTGAAATTCTGCTCATATTTAACCATTTTTTAAATTCCTTTTTCCAATTTCCGATTAAAGTGACGGGGCAAACTATTAGGATTTTTTTGATTATTGGGTTAAATTTTGAGAAGGGGGATTGTCTTAATAAAGTCCAGATTAAAGAAATTGTCATTAAGGTCTTTCCAAGACCCATTTCGTCAGCTAATAAAGCACCATTTCCTTTAAAGTCTCTAAAACCCATGACACACTCATAGAGAAACTTCACGCCATCTCTTTGGTGTGGTCTTAAAAATCTTGATAAGATTGGATCTACCACTACATCAATAATAGAATTTGGATTTGTTTTTAAATTTTGGAGAATTATTAAAGGAGGATGGTTCATAACTAAAGCATTTTTGGAATTGGGATCAAACAATGGAGTTGTATCATTTTTGGAGATGGTTAGAGCAGCATTTTTTACATTAAATACTGGTTTAAAGGCGTTATTAATGGTTGGGAGTGGTTTTGAAGAAAGTTTAGTTATTTGAGAGGAGGTCAATTCAGCAGTGAAAGTGGATTTTAAAAAAGGTTTTGTCAGTGGTTCTGCTGAAATTGGATGTACAGAATAAGAGGTTGTGGAAGATGAGTTTGATAATTGGGGATGATTTCCTGTTGAGATTAGGTTGTTTATTTGATTCAAGTCTTTAATTTCGTTATCTATTTCGACTTCAAAATTTCCAATTTTAATAACATCATCAAGTTTAAATTTATTTGAAGAAGTGGTAGCGGAATTTTGTAATTTTGAGGTATTTGAATTTTCGAGAAAGGATTTAAAAATCAACCTATTATTTTTGATTATTAAGAACCCATCGCCTTCCCAAGTTTTGTGTTTTTTCGTTGATTGTTTTCTCCAAAGGACGTTAAAACATTTTGGATTAAAAGTGTCGGCGTTTATATCAGAGAATGAAAGTTGATGTAAAGGAGTAATTTTTTTGTTAGAAACAGTGTCGTTGATAGTATTTGAGGAATTGGAAGAAGAGATTAAGCTCAGGGACCTCTTTAGGGGCAATACAGTTTTGTAATTACCAGGTCGTGGGGGTTTAAAAGGTTTGTTGGAGTTTACGTTGTGAAGGCCATTTTTATGAGAAGATAAAGGTCTGTTATACATGGTATAGGGCAGGGACCATCTGTAAAAGAAAGAAGTGTATTAAAGAGAAATAGACAGAAGAAACAAAAATTCGTGAAAAAATAAACGCTGATGAAACAAAGAAACAAAAAACCTGAAGATGATGAAAATGAAGATGAAAAAGATGAAGATGAAAAAGATAAAGATGGTGAAAATGAAGATGAACGGCTAGTTGATCGGAATGTCCCGACGGTTAAGTTCGTCTCCGAGTTTTGGAATTGATATTGCTAGGATACCATCGGTATAGTTGGTGATGATCCTGGTGTCGTCAATACGAGGCGAGTACGGCAACGGAATGTACCGCTCGAACTTTCCAGTGGCACGCTCGATCACACGAATGGAGCTGCGAAGTGTACGGTCGTACTTCGATATCTGGCCAGACACGATGAGGGCGTTTCGGTCGTAGTCAAACGATAAACGAATGTCCTTTGTGGAGGCTCCAGGAACAGAAATATAGATCATGTAGTTGGTTTCAAATTCCAAGATGTCGATAGGAGGACAGATGTCGAGCTTGTTCTTCTTCATGTGGTAGGGGTTGATCAACGTGGCCTCCTTGAGATATGCCTTTCGTGCTTTGGTTCGAAACTTGATGTCTCTATCTATTATATCATTCACTTTGTATTTGGTGAGGATTTCATCTCGAGCCTTGGTGGAGTAGGATGAGTGCTCACTTAACGAGCTGAGAGAGCTCATCTCCGAGCCATCTGAATAATCACCTTCTTCTTCCATGTTTTGCCTTTGAGCCATTGGGTTCATTGGAATTGGCTGGCCCATTGGAATTGGCTGGCCCATTAGATTTGGCTGGCCCATTGGATTCATTTGTTCTAACTGTTGTCTGTTGGGGAGTCCAAACAAACCATTCTGGTTAGGTATTGGTTGACTTGGTGCATTACCCATGGCTTCTAGTTGAAATGCTAGTTGAGGATGTAACTGTTTGAGGAGCTGGAAATTGTAAAGATCCCTTTGTTCTTGTTGTAAACGCTTTAAAAACTCTTGGTTTTGTAGTTGTTGTTGTTGCTGTTGCTGTTGTAGCGCTAACTGTATATAGTTATTCAATAGATTTTGCTGTGCACCTTGTTGAGGGTTTTGCTGAAATCCCTGGGGAACCTGGTGTTGGAACTGAGGTTGAAACTGGTTGGCAAATTGAGGCTGTTGTTGTTGCTGTTGCTGTTGAGGGTTGAATTGGAAAGGAGGTTGTTGAGGAAACGCGAAATTGACTTGTTGGGGAGCTTGTTGAAGTTGTTGAGGAACAAAATTGGGCACTTGTTGAGGAAACTGATTCATTATAAATCCAATTCTATAGTTTTGTATAGAGTTACCAGTGAATGCTTAAGCAATGGCTGACTATGGCTTCTTTGGGGATCACTGAAATTGCTGAAAAATTACCAAACAAGAAAAGAAATTAAGATGATCTCTGGTCCCAGAAGAAAACAGTGCTGCGATAATTATTATATATTCCAAACTATTTCCTAGCTCTCGTTTAACTGAATGTAAAGAAAACACTCATAAACAGGCAAAATAGGCTTTCTCCTACACTATGACCCTAATATTTTCATTTTTTTCTTCGTCTAATTCCCACTCTTACTCTTTTTTCTCCTCTGAAATTTAAAGAGATCAACACGAAAACTCGCAAACAATAAATGTTCATTCTATATTTGCTATGTGAAAGCACTGATAGTGATCAGTAATAATTCATAATTGTAAACTCGACTTTCTAATGGTTTACTGACTACAGCAAGAAATATGCCTAAAATATGCTCAAAATGCCTTTCATTGATTCATTAGGAAATAATTTCGTTAAATAAAATACTATAAACCACCAAGTCAGATGTGAAAACTCCAAGACAAATAAAATAAAATAAAACCAAAGCAGTCTTGCTAGGTAATTTTTTAAAAGAGTGTATCAATTAATAATAAAGTAATAAAGAAATAAAAGAAAGTAAAAACGAATGGAATAAAAAGAAAGAAGTAAAAAGAAATAACAAAGTAAAGTAACAATAGAAATATGCTATCTTATCACAGGTCAAGTAAAAAGTAAAGAGGTTCTATTAATTGAACTAGGATTATAATGGAAACTTGCTCTCTTTCGAGGCTTTTCATCATCTTCATTATTTTCAAACAATTCATCCATATTGCTAAAGATCCCATTTTCTGAGAAATAGCTGTCATTACAATAGTTATAATTGATGAGTTTCTTTTTCATTTGGTAACTTGGTGAAATGCTCTTCAATTTCTGGTTGGGGAATCGAATAGTCGATTGGCTAATACTATTATGAATGTTCTGTTCATTGTCCAGATCAATATACTTATGTGAACAATTGCTAATACCATTGTTATTAATTGCGAGCAAATCATTTATATTGCTCTCAGATATCTCTCTTTCCAACTGCTCATTTGTTATAGTTGATCCTACAAAGATACAATTCTTATTGTTCTTGATTGATAGTTGGTTATCATCATTATCACAAGTAATACTTTTATAATCAATAACGTCAAATTCGAGATTAGATAGAGAAATCGTTGAAAGCGAAGTTGATTTTGGATGATTAATCTTATAAGACCTATTTTCATTTGAACTTGGAAAATACAAAGATTTGGGAGACCTTTGAACAAACATTGAACTATGTTTTCTTTTGATTACTTTATCATTATTTTTATTATTATTTTCATTTTTCAGATCGGCTGATAATGACTTAATTGAAAATAAAGAATCATCAGCAGGAATGGAATTGGAATCAAATTTAGTAACAAATTGATAAGGCTTTATCACTGACTCTGAGTTGATTAAAACTGGACTGCTTATATCGTGCACTCTGTTTTTATTATCATTATTATGGTTATTATCATTGTGAGACTTTATTCTAATTAACAATCTCTTATTATTTGATTTCTTTTCTTCTTGAGATGATTTCAAAAAGAACAATCCCTTTTTGCTCCATTGAAGAAATTTTCTAGAGATTTCATTCTGAAGTTGAGTGTTTTTGAATGAATTTGTAGTTGAATTGGAAGTTTGACTAGAATTGATTTTTGTGAGAGAAATTGAGAATGATTTTGGCCTTGATCTTGATTTAGATTTAGATTTAGATTTGGATTTTGACTTGTCATTATTTTCAAGAGCATTTTTCTTTTCTGCGATTAATACATATTCTTTTGTGTCTTTATTTGCCTTATCATTAGACATTTTATATATATATATATATGTGTGTGTAATTAAGAATTAAGAAATATTGTATATTGTGTATTATATATGAAATTGACAGTATATTTAATACCTTAGTATTAAAGTAAAAATATTATAAATGAATAGATAGTTGTTTTTTTTTTAAAAAAAAAGGGCAAAATAACTGTTTTATCTATTTTATTGAATCTGGTTTTTTGAACAAACTGGAAATGAGGTTATTGAAATAACTATTTATATTAGATCTAGATGATTATCTGGTTAAGATCTGTCTAAAAACAAAAAATAAAGAATAAAAGAATCGACAGGAGTATCTTCTCAACAGGCAGAAAATAAATTCTAAAGCTAAGCTCGATAGCTGAAGCACTGATGAAATTGCTTCATAGTTCAAAATTATTTGAGGTGTAACGAATCAGGAAAGTTTTAGTTAAAAACCAACATCATTTTTTTTTAAATCTTAACTCATTCACTAGGGTTAATAAGCTTCAATGTGAAATAGCCTCAATTAAGTAAAAAAAAAAAAGAAAAGAAAAAGAAATACTCATGATAACCGATTAAAGTAAAATCCAAATAGAATTCAATTAAAATAGCCAGTAGCAACAACAATCAAAAAGGTGCAACCCCTTCTTTTTTTCTTTTTTTATCAGTGCTTGGTTTTAAGAAGAGCTGGAGCTTCCAGCAGCATTGGGGTGTTATTCCAAAGTATTATATCGAAAGCAGGCAGTAGTAGATCTGGATTATGGAATAACTGGAACAACATCAAAGCAGGATGGAGTTTTACCATGATTCGTGTTTTGGCAGCTGGGTGAAAGAAACTAGTCAGAAATCGAAGAAACCAAATAGAAACTTTACAAAGGGTGTTTGTTGTTTCTCGTTTTTGTTTTTTCTTTGAATTCCCTTTGGTTCTTTTTGATATCTTTTTTTTTTTGATTCTATGAATTCGTAAATTTTGTTGAAAAGAAACAACGAGAAACAGTTTGAAGGTGAAAAAATATAAAATTACTTTTTTCACCTATTTGTGGAACTGTGTCTTTGATTTGGCGCCAGTTTTGCCCACACATTAGAGCTTTTTAACCGAATTATGTTTAACAATTGCAACTACGGTTATGTTTACAGGTGTTTTGTCTCTGATTTTTTCTGATTAGAGAAATATTAATTACAACTATTGCCATGGTTATAGCCAATGTGTGTGCTGTTTACTGTGGTGATACTCTTTGCCCTCCAGCAAGAGACTTGTTGTTGGAGAAGATAAGTGATACAGCAGATGAAGTAATTCAAATAGTAGGCAATCTATCATGTACCATTTGGGATGAGTTTTTATATTCAATGTTATGGCGTGTATTGTATTTGTATAAAGTGGATAATGTAGAGTAAAATGAGAAAACGAGAAAACGAGAAAAAAGAAGCAAAAAGGACAAGAAGGACAAAAGAGAAACCAAATTTTGATTGGTTTAAATGAGGATAATAAAGGTAAAGGTAAAAGTGTATCAAATTGAATTAATTTTAAATAAGTATTGGAATCAAAAAAGAGAAATGTAAACTGAAAGGGGGAATTTTTATAAAATGACTAATTTAAAATTAAATCATAAAACTAGAGTTTATTATAGCAAACTTAAAATAAAACTACTGTAATAAAAAATGATTTAAAATGATTTAAAATGATTTAAAATGATTTAAAATGGTTTGGAATAATTGATAATAATTTAATAAATGGGTTAAAAAACTTTATCCGATATTAAGTTATATCGTGAGTTAAATTATAAATTTGAAAATAATGAATCAGTTGAATAAAATTTTTTCTTGTGCATTTTACCATTAGTGTTATTAACATTGACATTTCTAATATTGACATTATTGGTATTATCACTATTCTCACTACTTTCACTGTTATCATTATCATTATCATTATCATTATCATTATCATTATCATTATCATTATCATTATCATTATCATTATCATTATCATTATCATTATCATTATTATTATTATTGTTGATCTTTGAATTTTCGTCTTTGATATTACTCTTTTGATATGCTAATTTAATAAGCTTTTCCTTTTTGTTTTGATCTATGATTGCATCTTTTTCAGAATTTAGAATTTGATCGATTTCAGATTCAGATAAATTGTTTGATTCCATTATGACTCTTTTTTCGTTTTGTAAATTGTACTCATCAATTTCTTTATCGAATTGATAATCCCATGTTTTCAATTTGGTTATAAGGTTATATTTGTGATTATGCTTGTTTTTTTCCATTATAAGAAATTTGCAATGGGGAATATTTCGCAAATCTTCAAATTCTTCAACAGTCCATCTGAACCATTTCATTAAGAAGACTCTTGCCCAAATTCCATGAGTGACTAAGACTAAAATCGAGGGAAATTTATCGGAGTTGAATTGTCTAAACAATGTCTCATTAAAGCCTGCACATCTATCAAAAACGTCGGCAGCACTTTCACCGTAGGGAATTCGATAAAAAAAGTGGCCATAGTTTGCTCTTTCTTCCCAAATTCTTTCCATTTCATCAGACTCTTGTTGAAAATTACCAAAATCTTGCTCTCTCATTCTAGGCTCTTCATGGATTCTATAACGTATATTACTTTTGCTTTGATGATCCTGATTTGAATCTGGATTTGGATCTTGATCAGGTTGAGTATCAATCCCACATCCTTTTAATATACCCTTTAGAGTTTGTCTTGTTCTTTCATATGGAGAAGTATAGAACAATATTGAATCGTCTTCTTTCAAAAGCTGTTTCAATTTTTTTCCAGCTAACTCAGCTTGCTGTTTGCCCTTTGCAGTCAAGGAAACTTTATGATTTGGAACATATCGATTGACACTTCTATCGCCTATTGTAAAAAAAGCAAAATAAAGACAAATAACAATAAATGATTAGTAAAAAAATGACCACAGATACTAAAAATATAATAAGATATAAATGTCAATGAAAAAAAACAAAACACTTACAGTTTCCTTCAGATTCTCCATGACGAACCACAATAATCAACTAATATAACAATGTATGAACCATTAGTAGTCTGGTTACAAAAAAAACAGAGCGCAGAACAACATACCCTAGGCCTTCCCATTATTCAAGCAAACGTCTAAACCCAAACCAACAAACAGGTTGTGAAATATATTGGTATCTAAAGGAAAACTGGCTGCAACTTATAAGTAGCAAAGAGAGATTCAAAAAAAAATTTCCAGCATGGACATAATTACCATTTTTTCGTTTTAGAGTTTGCAAATATTCCCCAAGTCGGTTCTGGTCGATTTGCGTGATGACCAGCATCCCCGCCGATTTCAGAACACTCTGCCACAGTTGGCTGGCGCACTCACCTGATCCACTATCAAGATAAGCCATTGCACCTGTGGAATACTCTGCACGGTGGAAATGCGCGGTCAGCTGCAATACAATGCATGCTCTCGATCAGATCGGTGGGCAGCAGCTGCTTTGTCGCCAGTGATGTGGACGCATTCTTGATTGAGCAGTGCTCCGGGGTAGTGTCCGTGCGTTCGCGTGTGTGTTCGATTGTTCGCTAACAACTTAGGGTTCCACCACCACTTGGTTCCATCTCTTTTTATTCAATAATACAAACGGTTATTTGGTCAATTCCACGAAATAAAAGAGATTGCTTTTCCTTTACTTGTTGTTTTCTTTGCAAACTCAATTCCAATTATTAGACTCTCTGTGCTTCCTTTAGCTATTCTACCATTTGTACTCAATCGTCTGTCGTATCTTGAAACTTTTATTTGACACTATATTGTCTTCGTCTTTATTATCTTCATCATCTTTCTTCTCCCAAAATGGCTCGTACTTTCTTTGTTGGTGGTAACTTCAAAATGAACGGTTCAAAAGAATCAATCAAGTCTATTGTTGAAGGCTTAAACAAAGCTGACTTGGCTGACAATGTTGAAGTTGTCATCTCTCCTCCTGCTTTATACTTGTCTTGGGCTGTTGACCACAACAAAAAGGCTCCTTTAGTTCAAGTTGCTGCTCAAAACGCCTTCGACAAATTAAGCGGTGCATTTACTGGCGAAATCTCCGTTCAACAAATCAAAGATGTTGGTGCTACCTGGGTCATCTTAGGTCACTCTGAAAGAAGAACCATAATCAAAGAATCCGACGAATTTGTTGCTTCAAAAGTCAAATTTGCTTTAGACAATGACGTTAAAGTCATTCTCTGTATTGGTGAAACCTTAGAAGAAAGAAAATCCGGTGTTACTTTAGATGTCTGTTCTAGACAGCTTGATGCTGTCTCAAAAATCGTTTCTGACTGGTCAAACATTGTCGTTGCTTACGAACCTGTTTGGGCCATTGGTACTGGTTTAGCTGCTACTCCAGATGATGCTCAAGAGACCCATAAAGGTATCAGAGACCATTTAGTCAAAACAATCGGTCAAGAACAAGCTTCCCAAGTCAGAATCTTATATGGTGGTTCTGTCACTGGCAAAAACAGTTCTGAATTCAAAGACAAGGTTGATGTTGATGGTTTCTTAGTTGGTGGCGCTTCATTAAAACCTGAATTTATTAACATTATCAACTCAAGATTATAATTTGCTTATATATACTGATTTCTTCTGAGTCTATATATATAGTCTATTTACTTTTTACCTTATTAGTCAACTTATATCTCTAACACCACCCAAATAAAATTTTAATTCTTTTTAAAACTTACAGGTCTTAATTGTTTAATAAAATTGTTGATTATAATGTTTTTTCCCTCTTCAAAACTCCAATTTTTTAAGCTTTTTAAGCCATTCGAATTATCTTGTTTTTTTTTCTCTGTTGTTCAGTAAGTGAATATTTCATATTTTTAATTTCACTGATTATATTTCCTCATAAACTCATAAACTCATAAACTTTACATTAATATTAATCTTAAATACAGAATTTACCTTAATTTATTTAAATCAAGCAATTTTATTATTATTTAATTTCTTCTGCATTACTAAAAGAATTCAAATCATTTGGATTTTTAAATAAAGTACTACTAATTCTAAATTCATCGTAAAATTTATCAATTTTAATTGAAAAATCATTTAATCAATCTTAATTTTAAAAATATTATTTAAAAATTCATCAATAAAATAAAATAAAATGAATATTTCTGGTTTTTTGCCAAAAAAAACACAAACTAATTTACAATAATTAAATCAAACATTATAGTTAATCAACTAACCATAAATTATTGACCAAAATATAATCAATGGAAAAATCGGTCAAGAAATCTGCATTATTTTGCACTTGAGTTGATTTCAATGATTATAAGATCTCAATATTTTAAGATTAAAAATTATCACATTGCTCATTTATTTGCTTCAAGCCTTTCATACAAAAAAAATAAAATAAAGCTGCTGCAAGAACAAAAGATTCCATGCATATTCATGTATAACATTGCTTGTTCCATTTTAGGTAATAAAAATTATCATTAAAAGAATTTTATAATATAAATAAATTAGTAGGCTTGATATTTAAGTTACTCATAATCCCACTTTCTTTATAAGAAGTTTTCTTTTCATTATAACTTTAATTTGAAAAGAAAGAAATTATAAAAAATTTACTAAACTATCGCAAATTCTTCCTAGCCAATTAATCAAATGCATTTTTACCTTAATCTAATTTTTCTACCTTGTTTCAATTTCAATTTAGACTTGAATTAAAAACTATTAGCTTGGTTAAAGTTTGTAGCCTTTTTAAAATTTCATTATTCAACAAAATTAAAGATCTTAGTCGATTTAATCCACTCTGATTTTCAGGTTTTATCATTTTATTATTTAATAAGTTTAAAACTCTGATAATATTATTATCTACCTTCTATTTTTCTAAAATTTTGTAGTCCTTCTAGTTTTTCATCTATTCTAAAAAATTCAATTCTGTTTTCAGATAAATATAAATATTTCAAATTTTATAAAAAAAATAAAATCTTTGAAATTGCAGAGGTTTTTGATTTGACTGAGAAAATCTAAAACCTCCAGATATTCTTGTTTGTTCAAATTCTTTACCATCAAATCAAGCCCTAATTGTTAATGCAAATATTTTAATTGATCTAACTCATTTTCACTTATAAAAGTGCCGGGTTTATTTTTTGTCTAATTTAAATCAATTAAAGTGCTTAAGTGAATTTCAATTTTGAAACACTCAATGATATGCTTTAATAAATTCAAATTGATTAAGGGCCTGAACCTTTTCAAAATCTCAACTTTAGAAAATTTGTCTTTAACCAAATTAAGCTTTTTCAAGCTATTTAATTTAGAAAAGTTAATAAAATTATAAAAAATATTTAAGCAAAATATCGTTTGAAGTGACTACTATGATCATCAAATGTTTTATTAAGAAGTTCAATGATTGTTTGAACAAATAAAGATTTCGTAAATCTAAGATCAAATACTTTCTAATGTATTTTACTGTTTTTTTCTAGGATCGTTTTTCCTTTGATTCCAATTATATTAGATAATGGAGAATATACTGTCGATCTATCTGATTTAAAGGAGAAATAAATAACAATATTTGATCGATGGACAATTCAGATAATATTGAATATGTAATGGTAATCTATTTAGAAAATTGTATCAGTAATTGACACTTTTATTGTTATTTGTTTCTAAGTTCATTTTATATATACCTGATAATATTATAAATCATTCTCATCATTTTAAAATCAATTCTGATTCCTCTGTTTAAGAAAAAACAAAAATTACCAAAATATTTAGGCAATTGAATATATTTATCAAAAATACCATTAGTATTTAAAAGAACCTTTCAAAAGTAGTTATGTTTTTTTCGTAAAATAATCTTGCAGAAACGATTATTGTTTGTTTTAAAACATCGTTTCACTCATTTCTTTTTTTAATTTTTTATTTTTAAGCTTTGTTTTTGCCTGTTTTTCATTTTATAAAATTAATCTTGGTTTTTATATTCGATTTTGATTATCTTTGAACCAAAATATTCTATTGCAGTTTTAATTTACTTTTGTTCTTAGTATTCACCATTCTAAGAAAAAACATCAAAAATAAATTAAAATTAACTGACTAATTATAACAGCTAAAAAATTTCTTAACTACAAACTAAACTTGATTATAAAAATACTTTATTATAATATATAACTATTAAGCAAAAAAAAGGACAAACTGAATTTGATATTAGTTAGATTTTTGTAAAATAAATAAAAGATTTTTATAGATCGTTTTAATTAAATTTTGTTGTACTTGATTGGAATTTCATCAGTATTAAAAAGCTCTGAAAGGGTTTCTTTCCTCATGTATGATCAGCCGAAGAAATTCAACTGTTGCACTTTTTTCATCATAAAAATCCTAACAAAGTACTGTAATATATCGGAATTTCAATAATCACATACCTAAATAAAAAATTGATTCGTTTATGCTTTCTAAAAAGTTAACACAGAAGAACAAAGGAAGTCGGAAATAATGAAAACTTTTCGCTTTAAATATCAGAAACCAAAACGGGTAACTCATTTTGTTTTTTTGGGCCAATCACACAAAAGCAGGTGATTTATTCAACCAATTTTCAAGTGGTTTTTGTAAAGCCTCTAAAATTCTGAATATTTTTTTTGGAAATGTCTAATTTGTTGAGTGCCTTTATGATCCAATCTTTTGAAGCAAACTCAACAAAAAAAAAAGAAGTTTCTTACTCTAAAATTAGTACATATAATAAAAAATAAAAGTGCTCACTGCCGGGTTTGAACCAGCGATCCCCGCATTACGAGTGCGATGCCTTACCACTTGGCCAAGAGAGCATATAAACATTTGTTTTTCAAAGCTCAAAGAATAATATAAGTTATTTTCAGCAAAAAGCTGCAGTTTTGTACATATAACGGCACATTCAACATGATTCATAATTCTAGTTCTGTGCTTATTTTCTCGTCTCTCATCGATAGCAACTTCAATAGTTAATTCTTGTAGCTGCTCTTTTATTTCTTTTATTTTTGCTAACTTTAACCTTAAGCAAAATGACTAATGATCATCTTCCCGATGCTATATTTACCTCCATTGGAATGTTTATAATCGATGAAATCCATTTTCCACCACCAAAACCTTCACAGACAAATGTCATTGGCGGAGGAGGCACTTTTGGTGCCATTGGCTCTAGGATCATCTTATCATTGAACAATCCTCGATTAGTTGGTTGGATACTCGATGAAGGTTCTGACTTCACAGAGGAAATGAGGAATGAAATCCTTAGCTGGGACACTGGTGTCATTGTAAGATCTTCATCCGAAAGATTGACCACAAAAGGTTGGAATATGTATGGTGAAAGAGAATTCAGGTCTTTCAAGTTTTTAACTCCGAAAAAAAGAATTGACATAAATGATATTGTTTTATTTAGGTCATTAAGAAATTCGAAATCTTTTCATTTTATTTGTTCCCCAAAGAGATGTAGCGAAGTCTGTGCTCAAATGTCACAGATATCAGCAGCACCTGAAAGCATAGTCGTTGCGTGGGAACCCTTGCCTGATGATTGTGTTCCAGAGAATTTGCAAAAGTGTTTAGAGGCTTTAAATGATGTTGATATTTTCACCCCAAATGCCGAAGAAGCTTCTAGGTTTTTCCAAATAGATGAGCCATCAGATTGTCTTAAATTAGAAGAGCTAGCTCATAAATTTCTTTGTTTTATGTCTAAAAATAATACATATAACACCGGTTCTGGGGTTGTTTTGAGGTGTGGTTCTAAAGGTTGTTATGTCGTTTCCACTAATAATGTTTGTAAATGGTTACCTGCATACCATGATCCAATACTAAATAAAAATCCAAAGGTAATAGATCCAACTGGAGGAGGAAACTCGTTTGTTGGTGGTTTTGCAACTGGATTTATTTTATCGAAAGGTGACTGGGAAATTGCTGGAATATGTGGCAATATTGCTGCTGGTTTGGTAATTGAACAAATTGGTACGCCATCTTTAACAAAAGGACCAAATAATCAAGCAATTTGGAATGGAGAACCTTTCAAAGATATAATCTTTAATTATTTGAAGATTTCCAATTCAAGCATTTCTTTTGATCATCTTTTAAAAGTACTTTCTGCCAGCAACTTTTAACAAGCTTATTAAATTAAAAACCCTTTTGATGATACGAAAATTCTCAAAACATCTTATATTTTTATTTAAATTATTATTGGTTTAACAATTCAACAACCTTTGTTGAAATAATAGAAAATCAGGAAATTTTGAAAAGAAAAATTGGGTTTTAAGAATGAGATTTAACAGCTGAATTAGTTAATCCGAAATAGAAGAGCAAAGAAAAAGAGTTAAATACAACAACAAATAATATTTTTATTTTGTGAGTATTTCTTTTTAATAATTACTTTGTTTTTGATTTTCAAAGTATCACAGTTTTAGTTTATAAAAAGTGATTTTTAGCTAACTCTTCTAATCGAATGAGAAGAAAGTAGTGTTTAATTAAAAAATTTTTAATCATTAAATGAGGACAGTTTTTAATTCCAAAAATCTCAAAAAATTACCAAATTTTTTACATAATTTCAATAAAACTCACAAATTGAATAGGATAAATATCTTCTTTGAACTATTAATTGACGATAACTGGGCTTTATTTGAGAGGATGAAACATTTTATTTTAGTATCAAGAATAAATTATTTTAGGATTAAAAAAATGATAATTTAGTATTAAAATAATTAGTTTCGATTTAAATTTTTGAGAGGGATAAAATAAAATAAAAAGTGAGACAGAATGATATTAGCGATCGTTTTAATTTCATTAAATTAAAAAATAAAATGAAACCAAAAAATCAAAAAAAAAAAAAATAGTTAATCAGACAATATTTCAATTCATCATTTTTTTATAAATGATTGGCTTAAAAACCATTATCTAAGTTTTTGATAAAAACATAATGATGTTTGTTTTAAAAACAAAATTTAGGGCAAATATAATTTATCTCGATTGGTTTTGGTTTTATAAAAAATAATGTTTAAAATTTTCTTTACCTATTTATTGATTTTGCTGTAATAGAAAGATAATTATTTGGTATTTGGTTTTGAATAATTGGAGTAAAAAATTTGAATCATATTTTCAATATGGATTGAAAAGAAGCGATTAACTAGAAAATCAAAAGGCAATTTTATAAAGTATTCTAATATAATCAAAAATATATTGGAGTAAACAATAATCCTTAGAAAAGAGGGAAATATTAATTAAAAACAACAGAAAGAAGACAACACGGAAGAAAAAACCAACAAATTGAGTTAAGATTGTTAAAATAATTGAAAATTCATTTATGCATATTTATAAAATGTAGCCCTGGATGAGAAAACTTTATCGTGAATAAAAAAAATAATAACAATATTAGTTACAATAAAACTGTCAAACTGCCTCTCAAAAGAGGTTCAAATATAAAAATATATGAAGAAAATTCTAAGGCTATGAGGATTATAGATTTAAAAATAAGAGCAGATATAAGGGTTTCTAGAGCCTTTTGATTAAAACGAATTACGCTATTAATACAGTTGACTACATAAAAGCAGATATAAAGATAAATTCCAATGGCACTCCATGGGTCGTTAGATTGAATCACAAACTTTATCAATTATTATAAAAATCATTTATCAAGTTTTTATTTGAAATTAAATGTGTAAAGTTACTATTGTCGTGCAATCGCCCCTTAAAACCTCATTTCTTTAACTTTTAAAAGAGATAGATAGTTGTATCAGTTTTGCATCATAATATATATTATCAATATAAACATAATATAGTTTGTAATTTAGTTTGTTGAATGCAAAGAGCGCCATCCCAAGAATAAATTGAAAATTCTAACATGATATTTTATTCATGATATTTTTCATAAACGAAACCTCACAAGATTAATAAATGTAACTAAATTTATTTTTTGCTTTGTTTTTGCTTTGTTTTGAAAGATACGTGGGTTCTCTCAATATAATATTAGAGGTTATTAGAGATAATCATAGGCTACGGGTGCATTATTTTACTTTTATGAATTGATCAGTTGAACGAGAAATGAAAGGTATTAAGATATTTGGTTTTATGTTTTAAGATTTGTTGCGGATTTTGAACTAAAATTAAAAGAAACTAAGGAACTAAGAAAAAACGAAAGGCAATTGGCTTCAATTTTTGTTTAAAGTTGATAAAGCTGATTTTAGATATGAGAATGTTGTGAAAAAAATGCTTTAGGAAGCTTAAAAGATAACAGATTTCGTCCGAATAACTCAAATCAGTGATAAATGAACAATGAAAATCCTGCTTTTTTGTAGTTCCGGGTTGCAAAACTGGGATTGTGTGGAAGCACTGAATTTGATTTAAACACAAAAAGATAAGACTTTATATTTCTTCTATTTTACTCCCAAATCTTGTTTTTTTTTGCTAGAATAGTGTCTCGCCTCATGAGGATGAGGAACCGTCTATTGTAGTTAAGAACTGCAAAGTAAGGACATTTGCCCGAGCTGAATGTTTTCCTATTGTCTGTTTATTGTCTGCTCACTGAGTGCTCTCACTGAGTGCTCTCAGTGCCCTTATTGTTGCTCCTGGCTGTGATTGGACTGCAGTTCTATTGTTTACAAACCAGATAACGTCGCTGAACCTTAAAGACAGATGGTACAGATGAGACAATTAGCGGTTTTGTTCGTATGCCAAATTAGTTTCAAAACCTGCCTACCAGCTGCTTGGTTTTCTTGGCTGCGTTGGAGCATTTCTGAGAAAGTTGGGACATAATCCCTGAATCCTGTTTTTTGGGTCTGGAAAATTCCCTTAGCTACTTGAACTTCTTCTAACGCCATACTGCGCAGTTAGCCTTTTGCAATATTTTTTAGATCCTGACCAGACTGGAGCAATAGCCTTGTTGATATTACTTAACTACAATGACAGCCAGTCCTAGCTGCCGATAGGATCTTTTTGAAGCTTGAAGTTTGAAGTTGATAAAGCAAATAATCAGCATTGGTCAACGCTGTGTGATATTATTATATAAATCACCAGAACTTTCCGGGTTTGTTGGGATAATACTCTTTCATTTTATTTTTTTCCACGTTAACATTTATTTGATAATTATTGATAAGTCGAAATTAGAACTGTTATTATTCGCAGAAATATATTTGAGATAAATTTTTATGTGTAAATAATGGCAGATATTGAAAAAAAATCTCCTGCAGTTTCTATCAATGATAGCACCAAAGCAGCTGCCACCTCTCCTTACGAAGAAAAACAATTAACAGGTTGGGAAAGCTTCAAAGATGGATTTAGAAGACACCCTGATTGTACAGTCATTACTCCTGATATGACTGAACAAGAAAGGCAAATTGCTGCTACCATTAATTCCCCTTTACAAAGAAAACTTAAAAACAGACATTTACAGATGATTGCCATTGGTGGTTCAATTGGTACAGGTTTATTCGTGGGTTCTGGTTCTGCTCTTAGAACTGGTGGACCAGCAGGTGTGTTAATCGGCTGGATTTTGGTTGGTACCATGATGTTTTCAACAGTCCATGCTCTTGGTGAGTTAGCTGTAACATTTCCAATCACTGGTGCTTTTAACACCTACGCAGTTCGTTTCATTGACCCAAGTTGGGGTTTTGCAATGGGTTTTAACTATGCTCTTCAATGGTTTGTTGTTTTTCCATTAGAATTAGTCGCTGCTAGTATTACTGTCGATTATTGGGAATCCGATATTAATGGTCTTGTTTGGGTTACTCTTTTTTGGATTGGTATTGTTTTCATTAATTTTTTCGGTGTCAAAGGTTATGGTGAAGCTGAATTTGTATTTTCAATGATTAAAGTCATTGCAATTATTGGTTATATCATTTTAGGTATTATTTTATGTGCTGGTGGTGGTCCAAGAGGTGGATACATTGGTGGTAAACACTGGCAAAATCCTGGTGCTTTTGCTAATGGTTTCAAAGGTGTCTGTACTGTCTTTGTTACTGCTGCTTTTTCTTTCGCAGGTACTGAACTTGTTGGTCTTACTGCTGCTGAAACTAAAAAACCAAGAGAATCTTTACCAAAGGCTGCAAAACAAGTTTTCTGGCGTATTACATTATTTTATATCATTTCTTTGACTTTGGTTGGTTTATTAGTTCCATATGATGATGAACGTTTAATTGGTTCATCAAGTGTCGATGCTGCAGCCTCTCCATTTGTTATCTCCATTAAAAACGCAGGTATCAGTGTTTTACCAGATATCTTTAATGTCGTTATTATGATTGCTGTTTTATCTGTTGGTAACTCATCAATCTACGGTTGTTCAAGAACTTTAGCAGCCTTAGCTGTTCAAGGATTAATGCCAAAACAATTAGGTTACATTGACAAAAGAGGTAGACCTTTAGTTGGCATTATTGCTACAAGTATCATGGGTTTATTAGCTTACTGTTCAGCCTCAGATAAAAAGGATGATGTCTTCAATTGGTTATTAGCTTTGTCTGGTCTTTCTTCTATTTTTACTTGGGGTACAATTTGTGCATGTCACATTAGATTTAGATATGCTTTAAAATGTCGTGGACGTGATCCATTTGAAGAATTAGAATTTACATCAGTTGCTGGTGTTTATGGTTCATGGTTTGGTTTAATTTTAAATATTTTGATTTTAATTTTTCAATTCTGGGTTGCTTTATTCCCCCTTGGTGACGATCCAAATCCAGAAGTTTTCTTCATGAGTTATCTTGCTTTCCCAGTTATTTTTTCATTTTACTTTGGCCATAAATGTTACTCAAAGAACTGGAAATTTTATCTTTCTATTGATGAACTTGATCTTGATTCTGGTAGAAGAGAAATTGATATTGAAGTCGTTAAGAAAGAAATCGCAGAAGAAAAAGCTTCAATTGCTCTAAGACCTTGGTGGTACAGAACCTATCGTTTCTGGTGTTGAAAGTTTTTGCATTCGCTTAAAATCAAACAGAATTTTTTTTTTCTTTTTTAATTATTTAATTTTTATTTCTACTTATGGTTTCTAATGATTATTTTCTCTTATTTTGCTTTATTTTGCTTTATTTACTTTTTTTTTATATAAATTTCCTAAATTAATCAATTTTCTTCAATTTTAATTCTTTTGTATTCGTTATTTTTTTTGGTTTCAAAATAAAATTTCAGTTAAATAATTAGATTATTGTATGTTTTCAAGTAAAATAACAACCAACTTGAAGACTTCAAACTCCAACCAACCAGTCGTGCCAATCAATCAGATTTTATGCAATTTGATATAAATTGTGGATGTATTAGATGATAATTTTTGCTTAGGTGAGATGGGGTTAAAAAAAATTTGTGGCGATTACTCACTATCATCAATTTATTAAATGAAAAAAAAACATAAAAAAACCTGAAAACATTCAAAACATTTAAAACATTGAAAATGAAAATTGAGATATTGAGATATTGAGATAGGAAGATCGTTGTTGATATTATGAGGAATCTTAATGCAAATCTTAAAACCAAAACATGAGAAGCCGTGCATGGAAAGTACTGTCTAAGACAATGCTTTCTATTCCTCACGATACAAACCAGAAAAATAGAACTGATAAAAGTTTTCTCAAACAAAAATTCAACAAAATACCTTCAGTCGAAATATATAACTCCAAGTAGGGTAATTCTGTCCTTATATTTCACAATTTGGTTGATTAATATCTTTTTTCAAGCACTTTAGTACTGATGCCAGTTACTGAGTGAGGTTTGGGTCTAAAAATAGGTAAAACTTAGAGCTGAATTAAGATTTTAAGCCAGCATCAATACGCATGGATTCGGAAAAACTTCAGGAAAATCAGCTGTCATTATTTTTGTGTTTGGTCGGTTTTTACCGGAATTGCAATTTCAAACCTAAATCATGTGATGCATTGTTCAAGTTTTGATTGAGCCAATTGAGATGATATTACTGGGGAAGGCAATTGGAATCAGTGAAACAGGAGAGAGCATTTTTTGAAGATGGAGTATAAGTTGCAACAATTGTATGGTGGGGCTATTGAATCAGTTATTCCTGGTGGGTTGCTTGATGCTTCGAATTTTCGACAGGTTCCTGATACCCAAGAGGTATTTGTTAACAATAATAATTCTCTATTACAGAAGGAGGATAATTTAATAATCGATTTATTGGAACCAGTTCAAGTCGGTAAGGGCCTTCCAGATTCTCATGCAATTGTAATTCATTTTGAAGAGATATCAAAGTTGAATGAAATCTCAAATGAGTGGAAGCTTTTGGGTATTCAAGACACCACTCAATCCCTAGATAAGGATCTTGTAAATTCAAATAAGGGGATCACTTCCTATTTAACAGCTGGGTTAGAACCGGCTTTGAAATGGGGGAGATCGAATCCAAGAGAAGATTTTTTACAACCAACTCTAGTTTTAATACTAGGTTTGATAAGATTGAACGATGTTCTTACTGATGTTACAGTGAGTTTAAATATTCCATTTATAAAAGAAGATGAGTTAATTTCTTTGAAGGAGTTTTACAGGTGCCTTGAACTAAACAACAATGATGGTAATGATGCAAATAAAAGTGGTATAGATTTGGTTACTATTAAATCCGACAATTCCCTAAAGGATTCAATTGCATATAAAAGAATTGAGCTAGGAAAAGAAGTTGTTTTAAAATTTATAGCTAATTTTAAAATTCATGATACTTCATTGTTTTGTTAAGTGGTATTTAAAAAGAAATTTTGAAAAATAAAACCCTAGGAATAATATATACTATACTATACTATACAATAAAATAATTTGATTGAAGGTTGTTTTTTTTTCTTTTGCAAAGAATTAATGCTAAAACCCTACGATGCGTATGTAACAAAAAATTGAAAAGCAAAAAAAAACAAAAAAACATAAAAAATACAAAAAATATAAATATCGGAATGAAAAACTAATTATATATATAAAACAAAAAGAAAAAAAAGAGAATCAATAGTGAAATTGATAGTAAAATGATAACTGAAAAATCACAAACCCTTCCATAATATAATTTAATTTTTTCTTAATTTTTTTCTGAATTTGTTGCCAGTTTGTAAACAAAGCTAAACTCTAAGAAATTTTTTAAAAAAAGCATAATTAACTTTCTTTCCAGATGTTTTCAAAATAGTGTTTTACAAAAGCCAAAGGATCATCTTCATCTTTAGCGCCCATTATTCCAATACCAGGGCTAAAACTAGTAATGGGTAGAACTAATACATCAGAAACTAATTTTGGGACTTCCAATTTAGTAAAATCCTTCCATGTAACTTTTGAATAAATACCACTTTGAACGTAGTCATTAAAGTAGGTGAAAATAACGTCAGTCCATACTCCTGCACCAGTCCATCTCATTATATCTAAATTTGTATTCTTTGTGGATAAATCTAAATTATTGATCTTAGCTCTGTCTAAAGTAAATTCTGTGATTTGAGCAATAATTTCTCTGAGAATTGGGTGGCCAGGTTTTGCTTGGATTGCCCATTGACAAAACTGCAATCTTCTCGCATATGTCTTTCTCCAATCAGGAGTATCAGGATCACTTTCAATTCCAATGATTAAACCAATTTCATTAGGAGAAACATTTTCAGGGATCCAGTTAGGAACAGCTTGTAAAGGCAATGTATCAACATCGGCGTAAACACCACCTCTAGCAAATAACAATAGATATCTAAAAAAATCCATCTTAAGAATAATAGAAGGTAATAACTCGTATGCTTGTATAATTTCAGGAATATTCATGTAAAGGTGGTGTATAATCGCAGCAGAAGTATCATCATTGAATAGTTCATGAACAAAACCGGGGTTTTTAACAGCCCATTGAGTTTCTCCTTCTTTAAATTTGTCGCCAAATCTTTGATCGTTTAAACCATATTTCCACGTTTGCCAAATGTAAGCTGGGAATTTTCTATTTTGATCATAAGGAAATAAAAAAGCCAATTTCTCTCTTAGTGACGAATCAACTGGAGGCCTTTTTAGTTCCATTAACTTTCTTTCAAGGTTTTTTCTATCTTTCTCCAATTCTTTGATTCTTTGCTCCTGTTTGTCGAGCAAATTGTTAGCAATATCTTCTAATTTTTTAGTTAGTTCTTCGGTTTGCTTTTGCTGTTGCTGGTTTTGCTGGTTGTTTTGTTGTATACTGTTTAAATAATTTTCATTGAGGACTTGTTGCAAGGTTAGATTGGTATTTGAAGTTGAGGAAAAGAGCTTCAAAGAAAAATATAGCAAAGAGAGTATTGCTATAGATATGATTATTGTTCTCTTTATTACTGTGGTCTTCATTTTGTGGTCTTGGAGATTGGCAGCAAGGAAAACAAATATCGTGAGCAACCACCTAAAAAATCAATAAGAGATGGTTCTAAATAAAATATGAAAACAAAACTACGTTTTACAACGAAAGCTGGAAGAAAAACGAAAAAGGCACTGTTCAGTTTCCGTTGTCCGTTTCCGTTGTCCGTTCCACGTTTCAGTTCGCAAGGCAGGCGCAGGCCCAATGACGCAGAATAGACGCAATACCGCAGGAACAGCGCAGGCAGCAGAAGCTAAATTTTGAAGAAGCTTCCGGTTTCTAGGGAATTTCTCGTCAGCAGCGATTGCAAAACCTCAGAGAGCCTATCCTCAAGGTTTTGGTGGTTTCCAAACACAAACTCCTGGTAGCTTTTTATCTCCGAAGCCCACTTGTTGTAGTAGCCCAATTTCTTTTCGAGTAGATCCTCCTTTCGATTCAAGAGCTGCTTCATCCTTGTGTTGCTGTTTCTGATCAAAAGAGAACTTAGTTTATCAAACTGGTGTTTGTTTTGTTTTACAGGCGAGCTTTGTTGCTGTTGAAGATTCAAGATGGTCTCCAATTCAACAGCCTCTTTTTGTGTCATTTCTTCCTCCGATATAATAGGAATTGAGGACTTTATTTGTCCGAGCCAGTTGGTGGCTTCCTCTATCATGTTTTCTTTATACTCATCAAAATCATTGGTCGCAACATATGAGCCAAATATATCCTTCAAGAGCGAATCCTCCTGATCTTTCAAGCTTTCTCGATTTTTTGAGTAACCGCTTCCCTGAGATGGATTGATTTCAATATTGATTTTTTCGTTCAAATTTAAGAAATTGATATTTGTATTAATTTTATAAAGACCCTTGATACCATTTAATTTATCAACCCTTTTAATCCTTTCAAGTACCTGGATAGCCGTGATGTTCTCTGGTAAAATTGGCTTGAATTCTTTACTTTCTTGGTTATTGTTATCAACCTCAATAACGTCATTAACCATATCCAATTTTATATTGCTATTCAAAAAATTGCTTTCAATCATCTCAAAAATGAGATCGTGTAATTCCCATTTATCGTTTAGTTCAAATAATTTAACCAAAAAACCAATTTTGATTATATTGAAGCTTTTAAAAAAATCTTTTAAAACCTTGAAAATGATTGAATCGAAAATTTTTGGTTTAAAGTTTTTCAAAAAAACATTATTATTAAAAAGATTGTTACTATTAATTTCATTTTTGAATTTTAATATCTGATTCTCTTTGTAATAATCATTAGCCCTTAATAATGATAATATTTCCAGATCTTTAGAATCCCTTATATATGGTTTTAATTCTTGACTTTCAAAGATATCAATCTCAGATTTTGATAAAAATTTAAGAATCAAGAGAAATTTTAAAATTTCTACTTTTTTAGAAATTGATCCAGCTTCATCATAGTTCTTAAAACTTTCAGTGAATAGTTTCCTACTTTCAGTGAATTTATTCTCTAGAATATAAATCTTGCCCTTTGTTTCTTCAATGACAGCAAGGGTATTTGGATCTGGAATAGTTGAATCTATTTTCAAGGCTTTTCTGCAAGTTCTCTTACAGTTGGCAATGTTATCAACAAAATAATCGGTGCTTCCACCAAGATAAACTTTCAATTGAATAGCATAAAGTTGTAAAATAAGATTCAAAATAGATGTATCGTTCGAAGCTTCTGCTTTTTCAATCAAATGACCAATCAACTGCTGAGCTTCTTTATTTGCGCTAGAAAAATCCATTGCATTCAACTTTTTGATGTTCAAGATAATATGTAAACCCTCACTTAGTTGAGATTTATTCTTGGGCAATAAAGGCAATTCATAAAAGCTTTTTAGAAATAACGCATTGTCACTTTTGCTATATCTCTCGATTATTTTTTTAATTGAACTTTCAAAATAGGAGGTTGAAATGTGTGCATGCAAATCAAACAAATACTGGTAAAATTTCAAAAGGTTCTCAAACTGACCCAACGCAAAATATATCTTCATCGACTGTTTTATTGACTTGAAAATCCATACCAAGTGCTCTTCTTCTAGGTTCTCTATCTCGTCTTTGAAAGCGCCATCGTTATCGCTAGCACCACCATCACTGGACTTGCTGTAGATTATTTGCCTGAATGAGTCCAATGCACCTTCGGCGTTATATTCCTTCAAAGACTTTGCTGTGTAGTATCTGGCTTCGAAATCGACTGATCTACTATCGTCGTTCATTTCCTCGTCCTCGTCCTCGTCTTCGTCCTGGTCCTCAGACTCATACTCGAACTCGTAGTCCTCCTCTTCGGACATCATAAAATCATCGTTGTCTGACATCCTGATAATCCAACCCACTGCGACGTTGCACCAGGAACAATTGCTGTATCTAACGAAGATAGATCCTCCTCACAAGCTGTTGAATGGTGTTCGAGGTCTGTTTCAATTTGGGCTACAGAAGTTCAACTCTTCCCCTGAGGCCAAATCTGCGGATCCTACAATGCAATTTGTTATCAGTTATCAGTTATCAAAAATAGTAATAATAATAGTAATAGTACATGTTAAAGTCTGGTAAATCTCTTTAAAAGACTGGAGTCGTCCACCAAAAGACCCAACTCCTCGAGAGAAAGCAGCACTTGATACATTTGCGTATTTATGTTCTTCAAGCCGCCTCGAAATTTGCTGCTTAACGTCTGCTTCGATATATTGGCTGGCAAAATTAGCAAGTCCAATGAAACCATTCTTTCCCAAGCATCTTTGCAGGCGTCCTTTGAATAGATCTTAAATCCTATTAATGGCTTCATATTATCATTGGAGTTGGTATCAGTTTCAAACACGAAAGATGACGAATTCAATGCAGAAGTTTGAAACTGTTTTGCTCTTTCTTCATTCCTAAATTTGGCTAGCTTGTTGTATTCATCATAAACTATATTGAGACTCACCAACGACATGTCGTTTTTAAGAATAATTCGAGCCCCACAAATTAAAAGCGACAATTCCAAGTCACTCAATGAACTATTGAGAAATAATTTCAATCCCTTGCCGTCAAATTGATTATTACTGTTAACATTGAGATAGAAGCTGAAATCCTTGTCTTTGGGAAAAGGATTTTGAATCGAAACATTTGATATTGGATATAATGAAATGTGATTGATTTCCTTGATGTTTTTTGTAGTTAAATAATTGATCACAACCTGTTTTTTCAATTGCGTGTTTACTTGTTGGGAACTGTTATAAAACAACTCATTAATATAATCATTCCATAATAATCCAAATTTTTTATTGATAAACTCTTTATCATTAATTTCATCAATATTTAAGCACAAATTGCTCCTAATATCATTCCAAAAGTTTTGAAGTCCATAATTAATATCCATTGTGCTTGATGAAGTTAAAAACCTTTCATCTTTTTTATTTGCACTACTGTTATTTGAGTTTCCAAAAAAATTTATTTGTCTTTGAGAAAACCTTGATCTCACCCTTTTCTCTAACATTTCTAATGATGAAATTTTGGTTGTTAACCCAATAACCGCTATTGGAATAGTATTATTTGTTGAAAAATCAAATAAATTATATAATAAGGATTGTCTACTATGAAAAATAAACTCGTGGAACTCGTCAAGAATAAATACAATCCCCATTTGTTTCTCAACATTTTCTCCCTTTTTGTTTACGGAATTTTGCCCCAAACTTAATAAAAGTGATGAAAAGGTTTCATTGATAGATTTTTTCTCAAATTTCAGTTCTTCCTCATAGTTTTTACTAACTTCACCAGTATACTTGTCCAATTGTCTTGCAATTTCCTTTACTGCCATCTTGTCATCTGTTTGAATAAGCCCAGATAGCCTTATTTCAAAATAATACCGATTCCCATTGACATTGTACTTATTATTTAAATCTTTTAATACATTGTCTAAAACTAGAGATTTCCCTGATAAATGCGGTCCAATCAATAATAAAGAAGTACTATCTCCATCCCTAATGGTGTGTTCAAGTGCCGTATACAACTGCTCATATTTCAAAACTAAAGAGTTTTTATTACCTTTGTTCAATGGTCCCAGTAGTGTAAACGGAAAAATTGAATTGAAATTCAGTATATTCTTAGATAATAATTTTGATAACAATTTATTTTTGATGTAGAGAACATCTGACTCAGATGGCAAAGTAAATTTTCTAGAATAAAATGATTTCAAACTTTTGAGAAAAGAATGTTTTTCATAATCAATTTTTTTATGAGCTTCAAGCAAAAACCTTAAAGTTTCATTATCCTTGATCAAACTTGAAACCGTTAATTTCAGATCTCTATGATAATTCGAAATTAATCCATTATTTTTATCGATTATATTTTTTAAAAAGTTTTCATCTTTTGCCATCTCAGTATCAACAGCTTCGCTTGTCAAGTTTGAAATAAATTCTTCGTATTCTTGGTCACTTTTCCCATTATCAGAAGCAGGAAAATGACTAAAAATATCTTGAGTTATATCCACTTGCAATTCATTCTCATTTTTTTTAATCTTTTTATAACCTCCCAGTTTCAGAGACTTTTTTTTTGGACTATTTTTATAATCCTTTTTATTTTTCAAAAATTTATTTGTAGAAAGAAATGGAATAATTCCACCATCATCATTTAATGAAATAGTTTCGTCTTTTTCTGATGTTTTGGAAAGACCAATACCTTTATTTTCATTTTCATTTTCATTATCATTATCATTATCATTTTCACTATCATTATCATCGTTACTAATTTCAAAAACATCTTGGTTGTTACTATTATCTTTATCATTATTATCATTATTATTATTACTGTTATCATTATGATTATTAGTATTATCCGTGCTATGATTGTTATCATTGTCTTCTTGATTATCATGACTATTATTTTGACTGTTAGTTCTACCGTTTTCAGTATTGCCATTATTGTCATTATTATCGTTATTATCATTATTTTCACTGTTATTATTCTCAGTATTATCACCATTATTATCTTTATCATCATTATTATCTTTTTTATAAACTCCAACAATAAATATACAATCATCATCTGAATCACCGTCTGAGTCGTCATCTGATTCTGAACTATCTGAACTATCTAAAGTAGATAAAACAGATATGCTAGGGATCTTAGAAACTTCAACAAACTTTCCTTTATAAAGAAAATATTGTTTTGCTTGGGGATTTCTTCTATTATTAAATTTTCTTGATGGCAAACAATCTATTAAGGGTATTGAGTCAATTGGTTTTTTATTATCTTTTGAAAGGCCAGACGTTTTCAAAGTTAATTTTTTAGCATTGTGATTATCACTGTCATTATCATTACCATCGTTCATACTGTCATTGATAATGTTATCGACAACCTTTTCTTCTATTTGATTTTGGACAATGACTTTGGCATTTTTAATCAAAAAATCATTAGATTTAGCATTGATAGTGGGTTTTTTTTGGTTTAAATTTGAAATAGATTTTGTGTTATTTTTAATTTTGGAGCTTGTAGTTTCATTTATATTTAATTTATTATCTTTTGGAACATTAATTATTACTTTTTTTAAAATTTTTTCATTGGATAAGGGAGTAAATTTTAATTTTTGTTCTGGTTTAGGCTCTGATTTTGATTTTTGATTTGTATCAATTTTAGATTTAGAATTTTTCAGTTTTTTTGAAGGCTCGGATAAATTTATTAAAAAATCTCCAATACTGCTAGAGCTTTCATCACTTGAAGATAAGTCAAAATCAGATTGTAATGAATCGTCTAAAATCTCCGGTTTTTCCTTGTAGGCTATACTGCTGTTTATAAGTAAACTGCTATCAAATTCATCGCTTTCAATAAAAAAATCAGTACTCTCATCAGATTCTTCGCTAAGCTCCGGAAAGTATTCCTCGATAGACTCAATAGACTCATCAATATACTTATTAGTAGACTCATCAGTAGACTCATCAATAGATTCTTTGCCAATAGATTCTTTATGAAAGGCTTCTGTTTGATCTAAACTTTCTTTTTCAATGGTTTGGTTTTGTTTGATTTTTTCATTTTCCTCATGTTCACAATTCTTTCCTGGAGATGGAGGTAAATTGTTAATATTGTATTTGAACAGCTTGTTATTCCTATAAATAATTTCCTGGCTTTTATGTTCTATATCTTTAATTCCTGAAATGTTTTTTACGCTTGAAACATTTTCAAAATCATCAAACTCAGAATCATCATTGAAAAACCCAGCAGGCACATCCTTATTTGGATTTAATGATACACCACCTTTTAAGGAACGTAATTTCTTTGAGCGAGGATGTTTCTCTTTTCCCTTTATTTTAGCAGAGATATTTTTTCTTTTCTTGCCAGTATTTCCTTCAGCAATCTTAGACTGTAAAATATCCAAATCATCAGAAAGCAATTTTTTTTGGGCACAATCCTCCAGAGAACTTTCAGGGGCACTGGTTTTAGCTGGTGATAAGTTTATGTTTTTGGTGTTTACTTTTTTCTTTCCTGAGTTGTTTGCAGAAGTCAATTTAAGACCACTGTTTATCAAAGAATTGGTTTGGGAAATTGTGCCTGAGTTCGGATTTGGGTTTCTCTTGGGCATTTGTTTAGACTCACTACTTGCTTCTAAAACAACAGTCTTCGGCAAACCATAGTCATTCTTAAAGATATTCTTTCGAGACCTTTGGGAGTTTGGCTTGTTTCTCAAGCAGTTGGAGCTGATATGGCTGTTGGAAAAAGCAGAAAGCTCAGGCTGTGAGGGTGGAAACTCCAACGCTAGTTCTGATGGCCAGTAGCCTAGAGAAATACTGTTTTTTGATTCTTGCGAAGACAGGCTTTTCGAGGACACTAAGGATGCCATTGGCAATCAATACACGTAGAGGTGGGCATTCCACTATAAAAGATATCTTTCTAAACTCTTCAAAGGTTTTCTTTGCACGGATGGAACGAATCGGGCTTTTGTTTCGTTGATTTGGAGAAGAAAAGACCAAAACTACACTGTTGAACGTTATGAATCTAAAAATTTATTCGAGAAAACTATAAGAGAAAAGTAAGCAGAAAACCACCAATGTGGTGGTGGTGTTTATCAATCATTTATTGGCACTTTATTTCAATTTAATACAAACAAAAGGAACCTCAACGTCTTCTCCTTCCAAATCATCAGCACAGATTTCCAAAATTATAGTTTTGGTTTTGTCGTCAACCTTGTTCTTGGAGAACTCATTGATCAACTCAGAGATCTTCATACCCATTCTTGGTTTTAATTTCTTGGGTGGGAAAAATGATGCGTAAAGCAAAGAGACTTTGAAGGATATCATTGTTATCTCTAAACCTTCTTTCTTCTTGAAATAGTGGATTAGCTCTTTCAATGTTACATCCCTCTTGATAGTAAATCTATCCCAAATCTTATCATACTCCTTGTTATTATATTTGTCCTTTGGCGACCTGATTGGCTCAGAAAATCCAAAGAAAGGCAAGGCCAAGTTAATAAACCCGTTTTTGTATTGTTCGATGTCCCTTTTGTTATCAGCAACTTTGTACAATTCTAAACATACTAACCCAGAGACTAAAGCAGTGGTAGTAGCAATAGCAGGAATGATTTTTCCGGCAACCAATTTTGTCTTCAAACGATCAACTGGCTCAATGAAATAGTTTAATGCACGGCAATTAGAAGCAGCCGTGATAAAATCAATATGATAGTTGCCATCATCATCTTTTTCAAAAACTGTCTCATTCAATCTGTAGCCAGCTAAGGATGAAGGTGGAGGTAAATCAGCAGCAAGCCTCTTAATTTCATCGTTGTCAATATCATCCGAACTATTTGGATCAGGCTCATTGTCGCTTGCTTGGATTCTGACATTGGATTTGGGAGAGAATGGCTTAATAGTTTTTTCAACTTCTGAAATAGCTTTAGCATACAGGAAGATTTTGGGTTTTTCATTTTTATCGCCAGCTAACCCGTAATTAGAGGCTCTAATATTGGCAGCAGCGACAATAAAATTAAAGTGATCTGGATTATTAATATCGAAGGTTAAAGGTTTGGGAGCTCTCTTCGAGCCGGACCAGAATGGAGCTCCTTGAGTTGTTTTAGAGTCTAAGGGGAAATTATATAATAATTGCTGAATATCATTATTGAATTTTTTTTCAAATTCCAACCTTGCCCATTTAATACAATCATCAAAAGAGTATGGTCTTACTTTCAAATTATCGCGGATCGATTGTAAAGTGCCTTTAATATCAGCACTTTTCTTTAAAGTTGATTCAACAAAATCCTTTTGGGAAAGATATAAGTTAACATTTTCAATCGAATCAGAAAAATATCCTTGGAATAAAGATTTGGCCCAAGCAATTGTGTGATCAATCTTATTTGGGAATGATCTTAAAGTACACAAGGGAATTGATTTCTCTGGTGGATCTTGAGATGATGAGTAACTCTCAGTCAATGAGGGAATAATTACTTGAGTGTTACCTTTGGTTCCTAAAGTACCACTTTCTAGTAATGGTTTTTTGAAAAACACACATCTTCTGTCAACATAAGTTCTAGCTTCAACATTATCTAAAGCATTTGTAACAAGATCAAAACTATTCCAGAGATCATCATTGAAAAAATCTTCAGTTTCTGATCCAACTTTTTGAATGGAATGAAAAATTTTACCAGTTAAATCTGGGTTCATTTCAGCAACAACTTCAATGGCCACTTTGGATTTACTTTGATTAATATTGTGGGGTCTAAACAAGAATTGTCTGTTAAGGTTAGATTTTTCGATAAAATCGTTATCAGTAACAAGGATTGAGCCCTTTGGACCAGTACCTAATCCCATCATTGACCAATTTTTCAACATTTCACAACCAATTGCACCAGCGCCAACAAGGAAGGCTTTGAGATTTGTAATTTTTTCATGAAATTTACGACCAAAGACAGCAATTTGATTATCGTATCTTGAACCAATTGGTTTACATTCTTCTTCAGATCTTGAATAGATTTTTGGATCAGGTAAAGACTCTAAGGAATCGAAATACAAAAACTGTTTTATGGGACGGAATTTACCGGAACAAGCTTTTAAAGCTTCTTGAGCTACTAAACCACCAAAAGTGGCAACCATTCCAGGTATATCACCTTGAGCTTGAAATGATAATTCTCTAATTAATTTTTCATTAACTTTTTCTTCGCCCAAAATTTGAGGATTTTGTTCAGATAAATTTTTAACTAAATGCAATAATTCATTTGAGTCTTCAACTGAATGAGGTTTTGGTAAGTTACCTTGATGTTTTTCTCTAAATTGATGTAAAGCTTGGAAACCTAGATGTAATTGAGAAGGTCTATCAAATTTGGCAAAATCAGAGATGAGATATTCAGGGTTTGATAGCTGATTAAAAAGAGTGTCGAATTTAATTGTTGCAGGCACTTTAACTTGAGTGTAAATACCACCTCTTTTGTAGCCCGATAAATCCTTATCAGTTAAAATTTTGAAAGCATAAGGGCCTAAAACTTCAATTTTGTAAGGAGTTCCATCGTTTAGAGAGGTGATGCTATCAGAACCTAGAATTTCGGAAAATTTGACATAATCGCCATCTTCTAAACCGTGTCTATTATCATCCAACATAGTTACACTTCCATCTTCTTCAATGTCAGACACAATTCCAGAAAGAGGTTCTTCGCCAGTTTGATCGATAACAGTAAAGGCATTACCGAAATCAGTAAAAACTTGACCAAATAAACCCCTTGTGTCAGTTGAGATAAATTTGATATCGTTTTCGTGAGTAAAATTATTGATTAAGACTTGTTTTTCTAATGAAATAACACTACTTGTAATGATAACCACTTGAAATTGAGACAAAGTTTTGAATTCTAAATCATGGATAACTTGAACAGGAACATAACTATTCAATTCATTTAGTTTGACAAGTGAGGCTTCATCTCTTGGTAATTTTTGATCGATAGAAGATTGTGACAAGAAAAATTGAGTTGATTGATCTAAAACTTGTGATGGTTCAGGATCGTATAGACATAGTCTTTTAACACCAGCTAAAACGATATTTTTGGCAATTTCAACACCTAAACCTTTTAAACCAATGATCAAAACAGATGAGGATTGCATCTTAACCATTGCATCTTTACCCAAGACATATAGTTGACGAGAGTATAAGGATTCATCAACAGAACTAGTTTGGGTGGTATCAACAGCAGGTTGATCTTCTTCTTGAATTTCGAAATTAGAATCTGACATTGTAGACAAATCTTCAAGTTAATAAGTAGCAGAAAAGAAAGAGAAAAAAATGTTAGCATATAATGATGGTTTTAAAAAAGAAGCTGGAAAGAGGTTAATTGAAAACCCCAGCAGAATGATTAATAAATGACGCTGATGGTGATAGAAGTTGGGTGGTAAAAAACGAAGTTGAGCAGAATAACAGCACCAAGTCCTTGAGAAGCATCAGCCATCGTTCAGGAGGAACTTACAATGTGTAGCAATATATGTTTAATTGAACAGAGGATTGTATTGTTTCTCTAATCCAGGATTGCAACTCACGCAGTTGGAATTGGTGAATTAGAGGTAGTAAACTCTGGCTGGGAAAGAAATGAAGCACAATTTGCCTTCAAAACCAATCTCATCACCAGCTGTGTCAGCGCTGAGTCAGCATCCAACACCCTGTGTGGGCGTTCAGAAGGAAGAGCGAGGGAATTAGCACCATCCCATTTCAACATTTCAAGCACAAAGGCAATGGTTGAAGAAGTCTGGAAAATACCTGCAATATATTTTTTTCCTTTGTTGACATAAAAAGGGTTGGCGTTTGTGCAAAGAAGCTCGATGCTTTTTGAACACAATACTCATTTACAAGCTTAAAATTACATGTTTATGTGTTGTTGATTTTATTTTAGCTCTAGTTCTCATATGTTGAATGTCAAATGTTTTGAATGATAAAGTGTAATGCAAATTTGAGTATTTGGTTTTGTGAAAATAGAAAATAGAAAATAAAATTTCTTTATCTTTTTAATTGGCAATCCAGACGATATCAGGAATATGAGGTAGTATTGCTTCTCACATTCAATTAAAATTAGACCTTTGTTGAAAATATTATTTAATCTTATTTGGTTTTATCTTCAAAATATACTATAATATAAGCCGAATTGAGTTATTATAATTTATTTTGTGGTTTAAATCATTTGAAAATCTAGAATTTATTACAGACTTATAATATGGTTATATTAATTACTGTTAATGGTAATAGAAAAGGATTGCTGCAGGGACCTATCTATGTTTGCGTATATATGCCTGACATTGCTGACGGGTCTTAAAATTAAAGAGCATCATTTTGTAGGTTAAGTAATTATATTTGATTTTTAATTAGAGTGAATATTGTATCAGCTTTTATTGAATTATATCACTGAATTGCCTATATTTGGCAAGAATGATTAGTTACTTTTTTATGATATCTAGTTTGTGTTTTGATTAATTTGGAAAAAACACTGGAGGAAGTTTGATTATAAAAATAAAGTTGACTTTACGTGATATTTTCCTATCTGTATTTGTATTTGTTATCTTGATTTAAGAAAATAAAAGTAATGCAAATTAATAATGGTTATTGATAGTATATATTTATGATAAATGATAGAAACCAATTTTAGGATTTTAATTCTGATAAAAATGAAATAGTCAATTTCTGCAATATAATCAGTTTTCAATATGTTAAATAAATAAGCCTTCTAAGCTAGTACTTTGAACTCTGATAAGAAACAACTAATAAGTTCAACTACGTTTTCTTTAAAAAAAATTGACTTGATCTTAAGTTTATCAATACAATTAACTCCAATGCCAATTTCCGGGCTAGATTTTTGGAGAAGATTTTTCAACAAGAAGGAGTTATGTTATTTTATTCAATAGTCAATCATTAATTACTATTTTCTCAAGTAAAATGTCTTTATTTGGATATTGTATTGAGATTTTTGTATCACGAAAAAATGAAAATCATTGGCAGCGAAAACAATCATTCATAACCTTTGTCTTTTTTAATTAATGATTCTGTTTCAATTTTTAAACTGCAAATAAATTCTCTTGTTAAATATGTTAAACTTGTTATTGATAAAAACATTATTGATAACTGATAACAGAAAAATACGAAAAATGAAAATATTTGTTAATTGGGCTTAAAAAAGACATTAGAAAATTATTTAAGAGCCGGGACATAACAGGCAGTCTTTTATTATTATTAAATTAAATCAATTGGACTCGATCAATAAATAGGAAAAGTGAACCAAACAAAAAAAATACCCAAAACCCGAAAAAACCAACTTACGAGAAATAATAAAAATTATTAAATACAAAAGAATTAATAAGACAATTGGGATCAATGGACAGTATCCTTGGGGTAAAGTTTGGGGTAAAGTTGAAAAAAAAACAACACCCAAGCAAGATGGAAAAGAAGTATTGTACATTGAATAATTTCATCTCAAGTCAGACCATCATTCACTTTGATAAAAAACAGTAACTCAAAATTGTTGAATGAACAAAGCTATTTCATTTTGCATTTGTTTAATTGTGTTTTTTTTGGTATTTATCAAAACAATTGGACTAACGCCAAATTCCAATAAGCTGTGATCATGGAGCCAATCCAGACTAGCTGCTCAGCAGAACCTGTTCTTTGTTATGTAGCACAACCAAATTCAGAATATAGCTTAGCAGCATTCTTTTTGTGTTGCAAGAATTGGACGCAAAGAGTGTTGCATCGATATGTTTGTCCAGGAAACAACAGAAGACGAGCAATACTTTGGAATCAGATAAGTGATTAACTCCAGATAGAGGACTAGCACCGTAAGCGATTAACGCAATCAGCACCAGGACTGAAACCTCGTCTTCAGGCCGTTCAGAGCGTGCTCCGGCTCGCAGCCGCCGTTTTCCACGCGCCCGCCACGCATTTTGCACGCAAAAACGGCTTTGTATCGAATTGAGGAATTGCAGCAAGGGAGGCGCAGTTCTTCTCAAATAGCAATTTCCAGAACAGGATGCTTCGAAACAAGCAATGCCAATATAGGTAATAATAATATTTTTCTGTGATAGGCACGTGCCCAACAGCTTTGAAGTTCATCAAACTCCGAGAGATGGTGAAGGACTTTAAAATCGGCCTTATTAATCGGGATCATCAGCAACAGATATAAAACAGGTCTGTTATCTTGCAATTTTGATAGCTGTGATAGAAGAAGATTGAGAATAGTAGACTTTTGGGGTAGCCTAGAAACTTGTGGATTTAATTTAAATTATTGTTAAAGATTTGAAACATGTGTAGGCCAGCTAATTGTTCTAATTGTGGTATGTTTTGTTGTATTAACCCTGGGTTTGTTTGACCTTTTTCTTTTGAATCACATATCTAATAAGTATATTGTATAAATTGGTATAGGAGGTGGTTCCTGGACAGGATGTGGAATGCATGTGGCAAGTGCTATGTCTAGTTACAAATCAAAGGATGAATGGTACGCAGTTTGTTTTTTTGGGTTTAATCTCAGTATTATTTTGATCACAAAATGATTATTACTAACACTTTTTGAACAACTTTTTCTCTTTCTTTGGAAATTTTATGAAGGTGTAAATGTAGTAGTCTGAATGAATATCCCCCTAAAGCTGAAAGTGCTAACGGCTGCATTGTTGTTTAATTGAAGATTATGTATATGATATACGTTAGGATAAATATTGGTGTGTTACGTTTTTTTCTTTTTTTCTATGAAAATTTATGGTATCTAACTTCCGGAATCATTGATTATGATTTTGAAAGCTGAGTTAAGTTCACTTATTAAAACGTTCTAGAAAAAAAAAGGTTATTAAATTTTATTTTTTTTTGGATTTAATGGAGCTAAAAACAAAAAAAAAAGCGTATCGGGGATATTTTATTGAAAACCAGATGAAATATATTAGTGTTTTACTGTTGTGCTAGCGTTTTTATTTCTTTTTCTTTTTCTTTTTTTTTTCCCTTTTCCTTTTCCTTTTCTTTTTCTTATTCGGTTTATGATTTTCAATTCACATAAATTATCTCAGAATCAGTTGTTTAATTAGCTAGTTTATTAGTTTGAAATAAATATATGTAACAGATGATTGGATATGGTTGAATTTATTGCAGTGATTTGTTGATTAAAAAAAAAACGAGAAAATAGCTCAATTTAAAATTCAAATAATTTCAAATAATTTCATTTTAAATATTACTATAACTATAATGATGTAGATAGAATTAGTTTACCATCAATTTAATAATTGTCTTTTTAATGATTTGAAAGTTTTTTTTATTGCAACATGGATAATAAATTTAATTTATAATAATCAAGAATAGGAATCTGATGAAGGTTCAGAGTTTTGCCAATTACAAAATTTTGAAAAACAAACCCGAAATTTTGTAGGTTACGCGATGACCCTGTACGTTTGAGATAGAGTTGTGTAGGAGTGCTGAGTCGAACCGGATTATATTATGGGAGGTTGAATGTGTAAGTGAGATAGACGCAGTTACCCTCTGCATGGGGAATGCTTTTTTAAATGGCGAGACCGGACTTTGATAAGCAACTAAAGAGAAGCTTGATTAATGAGTATAAAGTGAAGAGGAATTGTACAAATAATTAATTAGGTTATTATCATTTGATAGATTATCATTGATAGTTGATTAGATAAATTACAAGGTTTTTCTTTTTTGACAGGAAATAATAAACAATAAATAATAAAATAATAAACAAAGGATAATAAATCAATTGACATTGGAGAGAAAATGTGCAAACCAGCAAGGTGTGTTATATGTGGTAAGTAGTTGAATAGATCAAAGTGAAGCATCAACAAAGAGCAGTTAATTTAATTTAAATTGATTGAAGTTGATTTAGTTGATTCAATTGAAAACAACTGAAAACAATTGAGAACAATTGGCTAACATTCTTTTTTTTTTCTTATTGGATAGACAAAGGATCATGGATTGGTTGTGGAATGCATATTCCAGTTGCAATGAGTTCATATAAATCAAAAGATGAATGGTAAGTTGAAAATAAAACGATTATTCGGAAATAGAACTGAAAAATTGGTTTTAATAAATTTGTCTCTTCTTTGTGTCTTTGTTTTTTGTTTTTGATATTAATAAAAAATTATTTATATTTAAATTATTTTTTTCTGGGTTTTTTCTTGTTAGGTGCACTTGTTTAGCTAAAGATGGGTCTAAAAGTGAATATCCTCCCAGATCAGGAGAAGGTATTTTACCAAAACATAAAGAAAGTTGTTCGAAAAATGATAAATACAATTCAGTTGGAGAAAATTTATAGGTTTAAGAAGGAATTAAACTTTACAGAGCTTAATTGAATAAAAGAATTGTAAAAAAAGAGAAAAAGGCAAAATCAATCAGCTAGTGTTTTTCACTCTTTTCACTCTTTTTTCTTTCTCACTCTTTTTTTTCACTCTTGTTTAATTTTTTTTTATTTTTTCGTAATTAAGATTATTTAACATTTGTTAGATCTACTTTTTTTTTGATGGATAATTTAAATCAAACAGCCAGAATAGTATTTATACTAAATCAACCTAAATGATGAGTCTAGAAACCAAAGAAGTTGATCTAAAGAAAAGTTAACTTGACTTTAAATTGAATTTAATTAAATTGAATTTAATTAAACAGCCAAAGTGTATTTGAATTGAAAAAAAAAAAATCGATCAAAAACGCAGTCGAAAGTACCAATTTCCATTTCTCATAATTGGATTTATTGTATTTGAATATGAAAGAGCATGTGACTTGAGTGAATTTAATTGAAATGTGAAAATGAATGCGGATAAGAATATTAATTGGAAAGAGAAAGTTTAATTGATACAAGTCAAATTGGAATATTCAATTAACAATGAAAAACATAAATATGATAATAACTAATAACTAATAACTAATAACTAATAAATAATAAATAATAAATAATAAATAATAAATAATAAATAATAAATAATACAGTAAATAGTAAATAATAAATTACAATAATAAGATGATTTAATGTGCTGGAAATCTTGAGGAGTGATTAACATGGGAATACATCAACAAGACTCAGAGCAGGCCAAACTGGGACGAGATTCATAAGGGGAAAGAAGAGAGTAGAGAGCAGAGGGAAAGCAGTCCGTTTGCGGGCGAGTGCAAAAGCGAAAGGGCTGAGGCTTCCGTTTTGGGCATTCCTGTTTTGGTTGTCCCACGCCTGCCCAAACAAGAAAAGATGCAGAAGGCGAGAAAGAGAGAACGGGAAGAGAATAACGCACGCACAAGGCTGCGGAGGGTAAATGAACACAGCTGCTGCACAAGCGCCCGTTTTTTGAGGGGCTCAAACGCCCGGAGAGCAGAGCGGAGGCATGAGGAAGAGCGCAGAATTCCCACACGCAGAGCCAGAAAAGTGACTTTGGCGCACAGAGACGGGAAAAAGCCGCAAAGCGGCAGCAGTGCAAAGAGCGTCAAAACAGAAGGCGGCGTAGATTAGAGCGGGCCCTCTGACTCTTGGACTGACGAGGAATAGGCTTTTGTCGTGCGTCGCTATATTGTTAAATGAAAACAAGAATGAAAAACTCACACATTTATAAACATGAACACCAAAACTGACTTTGACTGAACTGAGCTCAAGACAACATTTGAGAAAATTTAGAAATATTTGCAGAAGGTTAGGGAAAGCTGAAAATGGCTAGGAAACTGCAATTATCGTAGAATTCAAAATAGTTTCATGTTTATATATACCTTGGAAATTTCTTGTTTTTCGTTTTGATTTTTTTTTCAAATTTCTTTTGTTTTAAACTGAATTAGTTCAAACATATATTACATATCGATTGCAATTAATTATCATTTCATATTTACTATACATCAGTTTTACATTTACTAAACATTTACTAAACATTTACTAGACATTTTATTAGGCATACAATTGTACTGGAAAATAAACAATGACAATTACTTCTATCCCATCTAACGGCGAGGCTACTATCAGGAGTATCAGCTACTCATCATCAACGGTGGTTACGGTTCCTTCCTCTCCTTCCTCTTCTTTGACCTCATTTCCGTCTCATACAAGCGATACCTTATCAAATAATAACAATAACAATAACAACGGAAGCAGTATATCGTTTGGCAAGAAAATCAAGCAGGCGTTATCAAGAACCAATTCCTTCTCTCGTCCAAAGTTGTATCGCCATGAAAGCAGTTCTAACAATCTCTTCAAACAGTTTTCCAGTTCTAATTTAGTGAATCACAGTCATGGGAACAGCCACCACCATGGGATAAACTTGAACCTCAGCATTGATCCACTTTCAGCCAACTATGGAAATTTGCCAGCAGTGCCTTTGATTCCCTTGACGCCAATATCGCCACGCCAACGTGCCAATTCAACGCCAATTGACAATTTGTTTAATAATAGTAACAACCTTATTAGTAACAACAACAACAATGCTTCTAATAATAATAATAATAATAATAACACTTATATTAGTTCTGGTAACAAGTTGAACTACACAGGCAATATTAACTACAGTACTACTGCTAATAATAACAACATTAACAGCCAGGATAATCTACAATCATTGCGAAAAACCCGTAACAATACAGTTGGAACCCCAGCCGAATTGTATTCAAATTTCCACACCAATTCCTCCAATGGCAACAGCCAACTTAATAACAACACTTTTTTCATTGAAGACTGCAACTACTTTGACCAAATTAACCGAAACTCAAAGACTTATGATAATTGTGAAGAAGATGACGAAGAAATAATCTACGCTGATAATATGGCTTCTTCAATCTTAGAAAGAATCGACAACATGAATGCATTTGATGAACAAACGATCTGGAAAATTTAATTAATTGTCAAATTGATTAATAAATTACATTTTTATCTTATATTATACCTCATAACAATAAATTATATCAATACTTACAATACTTAGGGTTATTTAATTCATTCTTTTTTTTTTATTTTTTTTATTTTATTTTAATTTTTATTTTTTTCATGTTGCAGAATTTAAACAAAGTTTTTCATTCTTTCCCTTTTTTTCTCTCTATTTTTTTCTTTTCTTTTATTTTTTTTCACACCAGTTTGATGATTGATTTTGATGATTTTTTTTTTCATGACTTGGTAATAACTAAATTGGGCTTTTTTTCCTTTATTCTGTACTTTATTTGGTTGATAATCTTATACTTTTACAGTTCATACTTTCGACTCACAAATAAATAAAACTTCCTAAACAAAAAGTTTTTCTTTCTTTTTTTCTTTGATTTTCAATATAACACCCTTACAAGGATCAATATAAGATTTTCAATCATAATATGGAAAGTTAGTCATTGAAATCTTTGGCTGTGTTCTTCCCACCAATCGCACGCGTTACCAGAGATGGCCTGGAACTCCCACACACAACCGCTTCAAACCTCTCGCATCCACGCTCGGCAGAAATGCCCGCATGCGTCCACCGAAACTCGGTACACCGCTTGTCGCTGGAAGCGCGTATGATCACATAATCATCCACTGCTGTGGAGTCAGCAGTGCACCCGCATTTCACTGCGTGCAGATCACATGCCTGCGGGGCCTTTCTCGTGATCTTGCAGGCCCGTTTGGAGCTGCCCGATTTCCGCGGCCGGGCTGTGATTGGCCCGCAAGCCCAGGACTGACCCGCTACTTTGGACGTGCGCAAAAACAGCTTTGGTGCGATTGCGTTTGGCGCTGTTTTGATTCGATCGCACTCAATCACTCGATCATTGCTTAGAAGCTCTTGTGCAAAATTTGCCCTTCCCCAGAAATAAATTTCACATCATCAGAAGCCAAAAGCCTGCTCTGAACAGTCACACTCCCTCAATTCTGCTGCTCGTTCTTCCCTCCCATTGGTGCCAGGCCTAGCAGCTGACAGTCGCTCTTCCAAATGTGCCACACCACTCGCTTGTTTACACTCTTCTTGTGTTTTGCAGCTTATCCTCTTTTCCTTCTGGCTTATCATATGAATTTGTCCTTCCCCGATCCGGAACATTGTGGCTAATTGGACCTATATCCGGCTAGCGCCACACAACAGCCACCTTTGACGTCTGTTGATATATAAACTCTTTTTATTTTCTTTGCTTTCTAGGAAATGTAAAACATAACCCAAAAAAAATTTTTTTTCTTACCTCTTTTATTTATAATTGCTGTTCCTTCTTCTCCAATCAAATAACAACCATAACAACAATAATTACTTTGTCCATCCTTCTAAACCAAGCAAAATTACTTGCCTACCACTCTCTTGCCTTTTGTTTTTTCTTTTTTCTTTCTCATCTCGTCTCATTCTCTCTTATCTTAATAACAATGAGCAATAATATCGCCAACCACACTGATAATGCTGATTTTGAATCTCAAGTATTAATCAGCTTGCCAATTGATTCAAAACAAGATAAAACTGATAATACTAATAGTTCAAAAATCGATTCAGACTCAATCAATAAAAATAACTTGAACATAACCACGACAGAACTACCAAACTCTTTACCAAGCTCAATACCAAACTCAAGAAGATCTTCAACTAGCTTAACTAACAAAATTGACACCAAGTCTATTGTTTCTGCTGCTACTAATAACAAAAACAGCATAATGATCTCTTATAATCATGCTCCAAGCAATTCTTCTTCTTTCTCTCTATCCTCCTCATCCTCAACTGAAGATGTAAACTCTCTTCACAAAAATGTCATCAACCAAAAAGACACCAATTTCGACTTTCCACAAACTAACAAGAAAAAACTAAACTCAATTCAAAAAAAATTAGTCATCCCATTTCACAGAATCATTTTGGCAATGCTCGACCAAGTCTCTGGCAAAAATCATATAGCAAAAGTCATTCAATTCACCATAAGACTATTGCTCATGTACTCTGACCACATTATCAAAAAATACTCAAACAATAATATCAAATTGAAAAATTCCCTCTTCTTAAGAACAAACCTATTACTCTCAACCCAAATCTTCTATAGATTAAAAGATGCTCCTCCATTTATCTCACTATACAGACAATTCCTAAGAGTGGGTAAAACCCCCTTTAGATTCTTGGATTTTTACAACTATTTTTCCTCAAACACTCTTAAGAACCCAAATGCCAAAAATATAAATAACAATAACTTTCCAAACTTCTTATTCTCCGATAAATTCCTATCTCTATCCATAGGAACCTACTATGGTATCTTTGATGAAATTTCCCTCTTCTTTAAGTTAGGTATACTAAAGGATAAAAAACTAAAAAAAAGAGTATCTTATCATGAATCCTTTTCCTGGTACTTGGATATTCTTTTCACTTTGAAAAATCAACTTCGCGATTACTCCATCTTGCAAAATAAAAAACAACACCTATCAATCGAGAAAAAAATTAAATTAAGAACTCTATACCATTCAAGAGATTTGGTATCCTCAACTTCAATATCCTCAAATTTAACCAACTCCTTCTCATTCTCTTCTCCTTCTCTACATAACAACAGAAATCCAAGACGTTCCACTTCCATCGATAACTTGAAGCACATTGACGAAAAACTAGTCCAACTTGATTACGAAATCAAAATGATGAAACTATCGTTATTAAAAACGTTATGTGATTTTTATTTTGATTCCGTTGATTTATTCAATTTAAAATTTAATCCTTTTTTCTACACAATCTCGGGTTTCGGCGCAGGGTTTCTCTCTGCTTTAAAAGTTTATATTGAAACTAAAAGAGATTTGGAAAATAAATAAATCAATAAATAATTGCACAAGTATCCAAATCACCAAAATTCATCTTTTCAAATCCTATAATACCAAATCTTGTATTAATAACAATATTGTTTAATTAGCCTCTATTAAAATATTTTTTTTTCACTTTTACAGTCTTTCTCTTCTCATGCTTCTATTCTTATATCTTATTCAATCTGCTATTTATTTTACTTTTTACTTTTTATTTTTTATTTTTTATCTTTTATCTTTTATACTGCCTCTAAAATTCTCATTCTACATTAGTATCATTTTAAATTGAACTTTTTATCTCGCACCAAATATATCACGTAGAAAAGATAAACAAGTAAAAATATATATATAGATTGAAAGATAAAACATACTATCTAAGGTACAGTGTCTGAAATTTTAAGCACCAACTTTTGACAACTGATTTTTTTTTCTTGCAATAAATCAAGTCCCTCACTGACTGAACCTAACCCTTTGGGCAACAATTTTAATGGCCCATGTTTTAGTTTCCCTTGGTTAATGTAATCTTGTGCAAATTTCATAAAAATCTTATTATCTTCAACTGACGATGCATCTGATTCAATAAGAATATCTTCGGTCAATTGAACTGGTTTCCCATTAAGTGGATACATTAATGTTTTAGTTACTTGGACATTTTTTTTTAAATTTTTAATCTTCTCTTCTCCCAATAAATTCAAATTATCAATAATGATCCTTTCAACGGTTTCATCGTTTGAAGTGGCATCGTGAGTAAATTGAATAGTATGTGAATTAGCAATTGCATCGGTTGCAATAATAACTTTGTCGTTAGTCTTTGCCTTGATTTGTTCAACAGCATCAGCGTCATGATAATCAATAACAATATCGGCACCCAATTCTTTCAATAACGCTTCGTTTTTCTTCGACGCAACTGCAACTACATTCCATTGAAATACATGTTTAGCAAATTGAATAGCAATTTGTCCAAAGGATGTAGCACCACCCCATACTAAATAGTACTCATCATCCTTCAATGTCTTTTCCTCAAATGATCCCTTTAAAAAATGAAACAAACTTTGTCCAACAGTAACAAGAGATAAAGTAATCGAGGCAGCAGCTTCAAAGGTGTCGATATCACCCACACAATCCGAGCTCTTGCTTAAGAGACTCAATGTCTGTTTGTACTTGATTGTGAACTCTGGATCGACCACGCAGTAGTCAGCAAAGGCTCCATTATCTGGTGTATCTCTGCTTAGCCCATGGAGAGTCGAAGAGACTTGGTCACCAACTCTGTAAATATCTTTTAAATTCTCTCCCACTTTAACAACGACTCCAGAGCAATCAGAACCGGCTACTGCATTATTAGGGCCCCAACCAAGCTTGACATGTTTCCAATCAGTGGGATTTAAAGCAGCTGCAACAACTCTTATGAGAAGCTGATTGTCATCATGAATTGGAATATTAGCGATTTCGACATTGAGCTTTCTGTTTCTGTCAAGAATAACAGCTCTGTAAAGCGAATTGGGTAAACTCATGGTGAATGGCAAGTAGATTGTTTGTTCAAAAGGTCTTCTGTGAAATAAACAAATTTCCTCCAGAAACCATCTCTTTATATCCCTTTCCAGCTATAGTTGCTTTGTGGAGAGAGGGTTTTTCCTTTCAATCAGACTTTTCGGCCTGGGTTCGCATTTTTGGACAAAGCAAGCCGAAATAGTATGCAGTAACACGTGTATATCACATAAACATTGTTTCTTTTGTCCAGAGCCCACACCTGCAAACTTCGGATAGGCTGTGTTTGAAACTCCAAGAACTATCTTTGCTGTGATCAAACAGAAATACTTTGGATTATCCCAACAGCTCTGTGGAAAATGTCCAGAAACAGTGAAAAGGCTCAGTCTTTATTGTTCAAATACCAGGAGTTCAAGGCATTGGAGAAGGGATACATCAACATCAATCGATTGAAGAGACCCAGAAATGTCAAGTCTGTGAAAGATCTAAAATTGTCTGAAAAATGGAGAAACCAAGTGCTAGGTGAAATATCCAGAAAAATCACTTTGATCCAGGATGAAATGCTAAGTGACTACCAGATTCGAGACTTGAATGACGAGATAAACAAGTTAATGAGAGAAAAACTTGCTTGGGAGTATCATATAAAAGAAATAGGTGGTCCAGACTACATTCGATTCTCCAAAAAACAGAACCAGAATTACAGCAATGAGTTTGTGATAAGAGGCTACAGATACTTTGGAAGAGCAAAGCATTTGCCTGACGTCCAGGAATTGATCAAACAACAGGCCACAGAGAAACAGAGTAATTTGAAGATTTTTGAGAACGAAAAATCAAACAAAAAATTGATATATGAACGACTAAATAGAATCGACGCTGAGTACTATGGGTTATATGAACATGATGTAAATAGCGAGATTGCATATTCAATAAATAAAAACCAGAAAAACATTTACGATCAAATACTGGATATTCTAGGCAGCGAATATATTGCCAATGATAACAAGTACAAAATAATGCAAGAGAACAATTTGAAAATATCAGATTCTTTAGAAAATCTTGATTTGAATGACCATACCAATCCCGATGGCAAGAACTTTTATAATGATGAATTGCTCAATGCTGAAGATGACTTGTCTAAAAAGTTGTTCCTAAAACTTAAAAATAACTACAATTCCAACGATAAATTGATAAATAATTCCGATGATCTTTCAATAATAGACATTGACAATGATGAGGACCCTCATCAAGTGCCCACTCTTCAAGAAATTGAAAATTTTATATTGAATAGAAAAAAAAAATTAATGAAAATTGAAGTTAATTCACGATAATACATATACTGCATTAATTACAAAAAAAAATACTTTTATTAAACCATTGAAACCCAAATAACTAGTCTATACAAAAAAAAATAAAAAAAAACAAAAAAAAAACAAAAACAAAAACAAAAAAAAACAAAAACAAAAAATCCAAATGAAAATTGAACTGTCTATGAAACTAAAAATCAATAACTGAATTAGGGTTTTATTACAAAAAATTTACAAAAATTACAAATAAAAAAAATTTTATCATCAGAATGAGCAAAAAATAGCTGGAGATTATTGAAAATCCAACATTTTCAAGTTAAAAAAACAAAAAAAAACAAAACAAAACGGTTTGTTTAAAAATAATGCAAAAATTTCATTATTTTTTCTGAAAGATTTTTACTATAAGCTCGGTTTTCTTCCCAAAAAATTTTATCGTTTTCTTTTCTACCAATATCCAATTGAATCTGATCTAACCTTAATATTTTGGTGCCATAGCAATACTTGTATCCGAAATAACAAAGAATGAAAAGCATAAGGGAACCATAAGTAGTAAAGAAATACAATGTATTCCAGGCATGCGGGAGAAAGAAAACAAATCCAGCACTAACGACAACAAATATTCCCCCAAACATTCCAACATAAGCATTATATGGTTGAAATGGTGATTTATACGGATAAAAATCGCTATCTCTTGATATCAAGTCGTCTCTTTGTTTTAGTCCATAATAATACCTTAAAAATGATAAACACATTCCTGCCCAAACAATCATTCCTGCAGTTGAACAGAGACTCATAAACCGCTGAAAAACCTTTCCAGAATCATGTTGGACAGCTAAAAATGCTAATGAACCAAAAATTCCTGAAAATATCACAGATCTATATGGAATCCCATGCCTATTACATTTTGAGAAATATTCAGGGACTTTTCCCTGAAGCGATAATTGATACAATGTTCTGCTTGAGGCATATAATTGAGAAGATCCAGCTGATAGTGCGAAAAATACTAAAATTCCATTCAAAACCGAGGCAAAGGAACACAAACTTGCACTTTGTAAAGCTATAACCCATGGGCTCTGATTACCATTGGAAAACCCATCCCATTCTAACAAATTGACATCACAATGTTTCCCACCATAAATGTCGATAATATTTTGTTCGATAATTTTATCTGCTTCATAATCATGGTTAGGGTCAGGTTTATCTATTGTATAATATCTTAATAGTCTTGGATCCCCCGAATAAAAATTTAAGCCAACACAAAATATCGCCAACACATAAAAAATTAGAATTCTCCAAAACACTTTGTTTGTAGCTTTTGGTAAAGATTTTCTTGGATTTAATGATTCACCTGCTGCAATGGAAACAATTTCTGTTCCAACATAAGCATAAGATGCAACCAAAGCTGCGACCATTATCCCCAAAAGACGACCTCCACCTCCTTTTATTCCATCTAATGAACCAGTGCCTTGATCAGTAATATCGAAAGTTGGCCTAAAGGGTCCATATGTTAAACCCTTTGAAGGTTCTGATTCCGAGCTCTTCCAAAACGTGAATCTTTCAACTTTATGTAAAGGAGCAACACCCCCAGCGTTTAAAACAATACTAAAGAAAATCATTCCTAATAGAAAAAGTAATTTGAAAATTGAAGAGTAAAATTCGATTTCACCATAAACTCTAACATCAAATAAATTTATGCTGATGATGACTATTAGAAAAAAACTAATCCAAGCAGATGTGATAGATCCGGGGACTTTTAAATGAGGATAATAACTTAACATTATGGCAGCAGCTGTGATTTCGCTTGGTAGACTAATAGTATAATTGAGCCAATAAATCACACCTAAAGCAAAACCGAAGGCATCGTCGACGAATCTTGAACCAATACCCGAGACTCCACCTACTAATGGAATGACAGTGACTATTTCACAGAATGATAACATAGTTGAAAGAACAATACAGCCAGCAAGAGAAAATCCGATTAGAGTGCCTAAAGGACCAGCAATAGAAAAGGCCTTACCGGAAGCCAAAAGCAAACCAACACCTAAAGCTCCACCTAAGGCAATCATTTGCAAATGTCTTTGTTTCAATTTTCTTTGAAGAACATAATTTTTGGTTCTTCTTGTTGGTTGGTTTGGCCTTGAATGCAGACAATGAATATCAGAACCATCATTTGTGATGCTAGAAGAGTTAAATATATTATTTCCACTATTTTTGCTAATGGATTTGTTTTTATTGGTTATGTTTATATTATTTGAATAAGATAACAGAGTGTGATCATTTTCCAAGATACTATCTTCATTTAAGAAAAGAGAGCTGGCAGCTGTGTGATGGTGATGGTGATGGTGATGGTGATGGTGATAAGAATTGAAGTTTTTAGATATATCAGATAATAAGTCTGTATTTTTTTTATTAAATTGATCTTTGAGAATTAGATGGTTATTGTTGCTATTTTTATTAAATTTGGGTTTATTGTCGTTATGTAATTGTTCTTTATATAAACCGAGGTCGATTTCATTTAAGTCGTTTAATGGGATTGAGTTGATATCATAAATCGTTTTCTTTTGGGGATTGTTAGTGTGAGATGAGTTGATATTTTTTTTATTAATTGTAAAAGTAAATGGATTTTTGATATAAAAGGGGTTTTGATTTTTAAATCTGTTTAATTTGATGAATTTATCACTTAGATGATGATGATGATTTGAGGCTGAGTTTGATAAAGAAGATATTTCTGAATCAATATAGTTGTTGAAATAAGCTTGAGTTAGGGAGTTATTTTTGCCGTAAGATTTTAATTGGGAGAATGGATTTTGGTTTAATTTTTTGTTTATTAGTTTTTTCAAGTTTGATTGAATTAGGTCTTCAGTTTTAATTTGGTTCAAGTAAAATTTAAAGTCATCATTATCATTATCATTATCATTATTATTTTCATTATCATTATCATTTTGATTATCATTATCATTTTGATTATCATTATCATTTTGATTATTATTGGTACTTTTTTCATTTAAATTTGATTTGAAATTTTCATAAATATTTGAGAAAAAGTATTTTTCATTTGAAGTATTTAAAAAGTTTAAATTTTTATTGATTATAGAGTGGCCATAATTTTGTATTAATTTATCAGATATTTTGTTTAAGATTAGGGAGTTCAAAGATAGTTTGTCATTATCATTATCAGTATCAGTGTCATTATTGTCAATAGGAATATTGTTATGGTGATTATTATTGTCATTTATTTGGTTAATGATTTTATGTATAGATGAATCGGAATTAAAGTCATTAATAGAGATTTGGTTTAAATTTTGGTTGTTGGTATTGATATTGATATTATTAGTAGCATTATTCAAGTTATTTAATGAAGAAAACGAATGAAGTCTGGAATTGAAGTTCGAGTGAGTTGATGGGATTGAACTTGAATCGATTATATTTTCAGAGGGGAAAATATCAAGAAATTGAGAATAATCATTAGTATGGCTGGTTTCATTTATGTGATCAGAATTATCAGTATTATGAGTATCATTAGAGTTATGAGTATCATTTATTGAGTTTTCAATTGGCCGATTCAGCGAAAGATTGAATATATTGGGATTAGCAATAGTGGTGTTATAAACATGATCATTATCAGACAGGTCAGATAAAGATATAGAGGATATAGAATGAAAAACTATCGAATGCGACGGAGAATTTGATTGGCTGTTGGACATTATAAAGATTAATAAGTAGAATCTAAAGAGGTAAATACAGGCAAAATGGAGCAAAAAACTCTGATGTAAATAAGTTATGTGATATGAGAGCTTTTGGAGAATATGAAGATCGATTGAATGAAAAGTGTGGAGCTGGAGGAGAAATGTAATAAAACAATGGAGTCAATGAAATGAAGAGAAATGATATGGAATATAACGAAATGTAATAAAGAGCAGAATCAGGAAATAGAAGAAAATGCTCCAAAAATGCTCAAACTTCAGTTGGAGATAAGAGCCGTCCGTTCAAATAAGAACGGATAAGGCATTGGAATGCACACATACGCAATAGTGCAGTACACAGAAAGAGCCACAAGTGCGGGAGTCAGTTGAACAATGCCAAAGAGAAAGAGCCAAAGAAAGCAGTGGAGAGTGAAGACAGACGTTGAGCAGAACAGCAATGAATCACAGCGGATAAGAGCATTCTCAACAAAAAAAGCAAAAAAGCTCCCTGATCTGTGACCAAACCGAAGATCTGCTCCAGAGCAAGCAACTTCAACACTTTGACACGCCTGGCGGCTGTGCGCACGTGCTCACACGCAAGAGTAGTCCAGAACTGGGACCAAACCACGTGTGCGCGTGCAGCAGCTGCCGAAGTATAAATACTGCTTCTGCTGCCTCTGTTCAGCTTTGTCTGTTGCTTCTGCTGTTTCTGCTGTTTCTGCTGTTTCTGCTTTCTTCTTTCTCTTGTCTCAGCATGGCGTTCAACCAGGCTGGTCAGGCCTCCAAACACACCCACCACCACCACCTCCAATTCAGCGACACCAACGACTTCACCATCAGGGACAAGTCCCTCATCAACAGCATCAACGACATCAACCTGAGAATCAACGACTCTATCACTGCTGATGCTTTGTCCTCGTTGCATCTAAAGCAGAGTGATGTTCTAGGGCCCCACAACGACGTCTCTCTGATTAATAATCACCCTGTCCAAAGCGTCGACAACAGCTCTGGTAGCTCTGTTTTCTTCAGCAGACACAACTTTCTTGCCCATCCCAACAGTTCTAGTTTCTCTACTTCCAACTACTCCAACGTTTTGAATAGCAACAACAGCAACAACAATAATCTAGCTGTTAACTCATCCTGGGTAGTATTCTCACCCCGCCGATCTGAAGAAGAACAAGAAGATCCCCAAGACCCTCAAAACACTCAGCACAATCTAGATTACCAAAATGAGCTTGACAGTCAAAATTATAATAATAATCGTGTTAATAGTTCTAATAATTTTGTTAACAGACCCAGGTCCCGATCAGGCAGATTTAGTAGATCTAGTGGTTCAGTCAATGGTCTAACTCAATTTGAAATAGATCAATTGGAATTAAACACAACATCCTATGAAATGGAAAATTTTAGTGAAATATTGTCTTCATCAATACCATCCAATCAAAATTTTGCTTATTCTCCAGATTCAATACTTGGCTATACTAATAGAAACCATCGATATAATCAGATAAATTATCAAGAAGGAGAAGGAGAAGGAGAAGGAGAAGATGAGGTTTATCAACAATACGAGGATTACGAAGACGAAGAAGACGAATATGATGATGATGACAATGACAATGATTCTCTAATTGAATCCTTTTCTTCAATAAATAATCATAACAATAATAACAATATCCAAAATATTAGAAATAATTTAAGATTACTATTCCCAACCAATAACATAAATTTTTCAAATAACCATAATCAAATCAATAATATCGATATCAAAAAAGAAAAAGAAAAAGAAAAAGAAAAGCAAAAGGAAATAGAAAAAGAAAAAGGAAAAGGAAAAAAAAAAGAAACTAGAAATAACCCCGATCTTGAATTAATCGCAAGAATTAATCAATGGAGAAAAGACCAAGCCTATTTTTTAATTAATGATCTACAAAAAAATCTTAATATTAACCAATTTAATAATAATTTAAACCTATATAACGTTAACAACCATCTAACGAATAATCAATTAAATAATAATAATAATAATAATAATATTAATGAATTAATAGAATCTTGGGGTGTAGATGATTCAAATGATTTATTTCATTCTTACTCAAACAATCAAATTAACCAAAATAATATCAATAATAATCAAATTCACTCCAAAAACCTAAGTATATCAAACAAAAAGAAAAGATTTTATGGTGATAATCTATTGTCAAATTTAAATAACAACCAATTGAAAAAAGTTAAAAATACTTTAAAATTATTATCAAAAAGCTTAACAAGAACTTCTATTGATAAGCTTACTACGAACAATAACAATAATCTTATTCTTAATAATCTTAATAATCTTAGTAATAATAATAATAATAATAATAATAATCTCAATCTCAATCTCAACACTATCAATAATGGCACTCTCAATAACAATAATGATATAAACTTAATCAACAACTACGGCTTTTCTTCAAGTATATTACTTAATAAATTGTTAATCAATAATTATATCAATTTCAATAATTGGACCTATAACTATAACGCTTACAGTTCCTACAACTCTTTTTCCATTGCCTCTTCAACAGCCAGATCTGTTTTAATTAATTAAACCAACTCAAGTCATCCTGTTAATCACTGCATCTCTTTTATTTTCCCTATTTATATATATTTATATATATTTATATATATTTATCTACTTTCTTTTTTTGGGTTCTTTTGGTATTTATTGTCTATTTTCACTCACTACTTTATTTCTATTTACAGCTCAACTTATACTTATTTATACTCATACTTATACATACACTTTGTTTATGCTATCTCTTCAATTTTTTTCTATTTCTTGATTATTTACTTCCTCTTTATTTTGATTTTTTTTGAATTTATTTTTTTTTCCTATCTTTTTTATTCATTTTGATAGAAATTGGTTTTTAAGTTTGTCTCTTTACTTTACAATATATATGGTTGAAAATATTTAATAGAATATATATATAAATATATATTATGTTTCAAAATTCCAAATTCCAAATTCCAAAGTTAAAAAGTACAAATTATAAATGAAAATATCATTGAATTGAATATGTGCATCTAGTCCATCAATTAGTTTTGCTTCTTTGAACGCTCTTCATCTCTTTTGGCATAGATCATAGCAGTGAAGGGCTCTTCGAATTTAAGAGCAATTGAATACATCAAGTAGACAAATCCTGTAGCAAACAACCCAGCAGGTTTTCCATAGTACAAAGCAGTGCCCAAGAAACTTAATGTCGATCCTTCATACATTGGATTGTCGGTGATGTTGAATGGGAAGCTGGTTACTCTTTCTTCCATCAAGATACCAAAGTAGTCACCCAAATATGTTCCAGTGACACCCAATGCATACATTGACGACAATGTCAATATCCCACCAAAACCAAAAGTGGCGTAACTCAAGTAGTCTTTGAGAATTGTGTTATCGGTCAAGATCTTCGATGTTGGCTGTTTTTTGAGAGCGTTTTCATAAACAAGATCTCTGACAATACCGATCGAGAAAATGGTGATAGCTAGCAAGTAGCAGCCTCTCTTGGGGTTGTTTCCGGCCAATTTTGTGAGTATTTTCTTGCGATACTCAAGCCTGGCGACAATGTTCCAGAAAATGGGATTGAAAGCGATACAGATCAACGAGAGCTGGAGAGTGGGTTCTTGGAAGTCAATGTCAGCGACAAGAACCTGGACGACGTTGACAGCGTAGCTGATGTAGGCATCGATAGCAGACATGGCGAGAAGAGACAGGAGAAGCAGAAGAATCGAGAAATTGAGCAGCACGACAGGAGATTCAAACAGCTCAGACAAAGCTCGAGAGAAGAGCCTTTATATGTTTATAAGCTCTTTTCCAGCTGATCCACCACCACGGTCAGCCAATCAGAGGCCGTTCTGAGCCCAACAGAGCTCTCTGGCATGTGAAAGAGACCTTTGATAGAGAGTTAATAAGTAGCAAAATGAAATAGTATAACAAAATAGTATAATAGGATAGTATAAAAATAATATAGCTTGTAAATAATCGTATATAGTATAGCACCTACTCCACAGATACAATCTCGTCGAGCAACAACTGCATTTTCTCAAAGTAAGCTCGATCCAATCGCTTGACAATGCTCATCAGGCTGTGCATCTGGTTGAGCTTCACATCTTCGTCGTCGACCTCATTCAGCAACACGTCCTTCATATACTCGTCGCCATTGGCTGTTTCCAAGTCGCTTGTTTCTTCGTTTCTCAATATCTCAGTGAAAAGGTCGATTTCTTCTTCACACTTCGTCCGGTCATACTGGTAATCCTCTGTTAGCAGCACCAACTTATTGACCAACCTGTCGATTTCTTGCACCTTTTTTTTGTTCTCTGGGTTGGAATAGTTTCGCCCATCATAGCCAACCAATTTTCTGTTGATGAAACTAAACGTTTTATCTTCAAACTTAAAATATCCATTGACATATGGGTTGATTTTGTTTATGTAGTCTTGCTCAATAACATTGCTAAAACTATTAGAACTATTAAAATTTTCGTTACTGTCAAAAAAATTCAAGAAAACAGATGATGACGATGACGATGATATTGAGGGGTTTGATGACGATGAAAACGAGAAAAAAGAAGATGTTCTTTTAAAATGACTTTTAAATGATCTCGATAAATTATCACCACCGTCATTGAAACCCTTATTTACATTTCCATAATTGTTATTGTTTAAATTCATATTGATATGTCCATCATTATTTGCATTGTTATTTTCTTTACCATTTTTGCTACCACTTCTCCAATATCTATTTCTGCCAATATTTCCAGTAATGTTACTTCCAACAGTATTGTTGCTAGTTTTATTATTATTATTATTATTATTATTATTATTATTATTATTATTATTATTATTATTATTAGTAGTAGTAGTAGTAGTAGTAGTAGTAGTAGTAGTAGTATTAATTGGAGTGTTATTATTGTTGTTGCTGTTGGTATTATCATTGTTATTATTGTTATTATTAATACCAGCGGTAGAATTAGCATTTGTGACGTTGTTATCTACATCCTTGGAACTTCTCTCAATATTATCGTTTTTGAGTTTATTCAATGCTCTAGCTCTATCCCGCTCAAGTTCTTTTTCAATTTCGTCTTTTTCATTTTTAGTCTTATTCTTTTTAATATTCTTACCTTTATCATTCTTAGGTCCTTCACAATTACCTTTATAAAATGGATTCTTTTCTAATATTTCATACTCTGTGACATCTTTGCTATTCAAATTAATTACAATTGTCTTACTAATCGATATGTCTTTCAAATCTTTATTTTGCTTTTTAAAATCCTCGTTATGAATAAAATCATTGAAATTTAAATCCAATTTCATAACTGTGCAAATTTTTTGATCCAAGTTTTCGATATTCAATGGACATGCTTGCATACAAAATTCGGGCAAAAATTCAGAAACATATCCACAAATTGGTGGTAACAATTTTTCCTTTTGAGGTAAATAAAATTTCTCATTCTTTAAATAGTTTTTCTCCTCAAAACTGTTCTTTTTTGAATCAAAAAATGCCGGTAAATCATCACTTGTATAACTATTAATATTTGAATCTATCCCATCATTTATTTCTTCTCCGATATTAATAGGATTCGCTGTGATATCATTGCCGAAAAATTCGTAATTGCAATTACCATCACTCAAATTGATATTATTGTTAATATTATTGATATTAACAAGATTATTTTCATCCCTCTCAGGTTTTTTATGCGCAATTTTCTTTCCCGTACTTATATCGGAGTTATTATTATTATTATGAATACCAGTTTTATTGTTATTGAAATTAAAATTATCAGTCAAATCTTCAAGTTCATCACAATCACAACTAACGTAATATTTATTTCCATCATTTTTGACTTCATTGATATCAATTAGCAAAACTGAGTCGGTTTGATTAAAATTTAATCTTTTGCGATCTTTCTCTTTTATTGTACCAAAAAATATATCATGGGCAACTTTATCTGATGCGTCTAAATCGCTTTCAACAATTAAAAATTTTTTATTAAATGGTGGATTCAAGATTTCATTTTCCAAAAAATGCTGATTGACAGTAGTTGAGCTTGAATTTATATCTAGATTTAAATTTGAATTTGAATTTGAATCAAAATCCAAAGCTGAATTTGAAAATTGTTTTGTAGATAAGGAAATGGATGATAATTTATCACAACTGAGAAATTCATTTGGCAAATGAATTTTTCTTAATAAGGAAAATGTTCTATCAATTTTAGGTAGATGTTTTGGGACTAAATATTCAATACTTGATTTATTAAGTTTATAGGCTCTAGTTGATGATAATGATTCGCTATATCTATGGGAATAGATATTTTGATTTTGATTTTGAAATAAATAGGGATGTTGATAAAGATCGTTATTGGAAGATTGATTGTTATTACGATTTACGATAGTTTGTTGATTTAATTGGGGATTTGAAAAAGTTGCGGTTCTAATACTGTTAGTTCCACTAGGAGTTAGGCTTGTAACCCATGGATAATCATCATAATCAATGGCGGGAGAGGGGGTTCTATAGGCAGATAGATTTGATTTAAGAGAGCTTGAAACAGTATCAAAGCCCAAAGATGTTGTTGGTTTATTTGAATGAGAGAATGAGTTTTTATTAATGCTTAGGTTATTTGGATTATTTATATAGGAATTATTATTGCCATCACTATTATCGATGTTATCAATATTATTATTATTATTATTATTATTTTGGGAAAAGGAAAAGAATTTATCAAACATGTTAAGACCGTAATTTTGCTTTCTTGCAGCATTTTGATTTGAGGAATAATTGGAAGAGAAGTTATCGAAAAAGGAAGATTGTTTCAAACTGTTGCTTAAGCTATCGAGGTTATTATCGATATCAGCGTCAGTATCATTTGCGGTATTGATATTGGATGAGTTTGTTCTTGACATTGAGACAACAAATGGGTTTGAGGTTGAAAAGGAAGGTTGAGCTATTGGCATTGATTTGTAGACTGGGGATAGGGGAGAGCCAGGAGAGGGAATTGAATTTGGTAAGCCAATAATTGGGGCGGTTGTTGGGATTGGATGATCATATTGGGAGAAGGTTGTCAGAGTGTTGTTTGTGTTTTTTTTGGGGGATATTTTCTTTTGCTTTAAGATTTGGTGGTTGTAGATGGAGTTGTGGCTGTAGATGGAGGTGTGGTTATGAATGTGATTAGAGTTAAAGTTATCAAATTTCTGTGCAATTGGTAAATCTATGTTGTGGTTATTTTTGTTGTTGTTGTGATGAGGGATATTGGGGACTTTTTGATAATTTTTTTTTTGATTTGTGATATCCGATTTTGAATTTGATTTAGAAGGATATTTGGAAAGTGAGGCGGAATCAAATTTGTAGTCGAATAAAACGTTTGGGAATAGAGAGGATAAGATGAAGATTAATTTCTGTGCAATTGGAGGGTTTGAGGAGAGGATGATTACTCTGATGATGTTTGTTGATTTATCAGCGGGATGAGAGTTGACTAGTTGGTATCTTAGGGGGATAATGATGGAAAAAAGAGAGGCTAGGAAGGAAGGTTTGTTGTTATTTTGGTTATAGTTTTGGTTATAATATGAGTTGAAGTTGTTGTAGTATCTGCTTTCTTTATTTTTGAACCAATTTGTGATTTCGTAGGCGAAATTTTTCAATACGACCTGGTTGTATTTATTGTAATCAAAGAAATCATAGTGATTATTGTTATTGTTATTGTTGTTGTTGTTGTTGTTGTTGGTAATGAGATTTGTGTTGGCATTGGATAGAGGGGTGTAATTTGATAGAAAGATTTTTTCTAAGTAGATAAGGTTGATAAGGATTCTTGGGGTTTTGATTAGGTTTAGGAGGTTATTGTAAAAGTTGTTGTATAGATTTAGGTTGTTTTGGAATTTCAATTGAAGCAAGAATTTGGAGAAACGGACTCTTTTGCGATGTGTTGATTTGTAGACTTTTTTGTCGATTGAGTAGTAAGGGTGGAAAGAAGGGGGAGAGGTTGATTGAGAGTTGAATAGGATTGAGAGGTGTTTTATTAGGATGAGTTGTAGGTCGTTGAGGTATTTGAGCAATTCCAAGTGGTTTGAGATGAGGAGGTAGTTGATCATTTGGAGGGAGTCGAGGGATATGACAAAGGAGATGGACAAACGAGTAGAGTCGTGGCGGTTGTAGTTGCTTGGTTTGTTGGAGTAGGGGATTGTGTTGATGTTGTATTTGATGTTGTAGGCAGGATTCGCAGAATTGTCAGAGTTGCATGGATGGTTATGGAGATTATTGTGATTGTCTTTATTGTTTCTATCGTTTTTATAAAGCGGATCAGCATTTTGCTTGGGGTCGCTTGAGGAAACGTTGTTGGGATTGCTGGATATGGAAGAATCAGGTTTGAATAAGAATAGCCTTGTGATTAGCAATTGGTATTTGTAGTGGACATCGTTCTCGTTGTTGTTTTGTTGGTTGTCCAAGTCGCTGGATGGGGGAGTGTGGTGGATGTCGTTATCAGGAGCGGCTGCTGGATGGTGCTGGTTGGAGGTGAAGAAGGAGGGCGAAAGAGAAGGGGAGAAGGTGGAGGAGAAGGAAGAGATGATGTCGTTGGTGGTGTCTTGGTAGTTGTTGAGATGCTTGCCGGTGTTGTTGAGAATGTGGTACTTTGTGATGGTGTCGGTGGCATTGATGATGTCTGTTCCAAAGATGAACTGGAGGAGATAGAGCTCGTAGGCGTCGAAAGAGATGTTTTTGTAGAGAGCAGACATAGGATCGTAGGGAGCATTGGCAGAAGCGGCAGGAGCAGCAGGAGCAGCATTGTTATCATTATCATTATCATTATTGTTGTTATTGTTGTTATTGTTGTTATTGTTGTTATTGTTGTTATTGTTGTTATTGTTGTTATTGTTGTTATTGTTGTTATTGTTGTTATTGTTGTTATTATTGTTGGTGTTGGTGTTATTATCGTTGTCGTTGTCAGCACCAGGATTGTCGCCACCGGAAAGAGCCGAGTAGGCTGGATCACGTCTGGAGTCGTACAAGAAGCAGTAGCGGTTGTGGGGGATGGAGGAGTTGTCGGCGTCCTGGGCCACGAGGATGCGAAAGTTCTTGAGGCCAGAGCTGGGGAGAAAGCTGCTGAGCGTGCTGCCGAAGAGAAGCGTCTGGGTCCTGGGGTCGAGGTCGAAAGCGCAGGGACGAGAGCGACGCACCGGAAACAACGCCTCCTGCGTCAACGGCGCGTGCTGCACCAGCGGCTCAGGCCCGAGCGCGCGGAAGAGGTCTGAGATCAACATTGGCAGCACAGACACCTTCCTTCTCTCGCACTGCTGCTCTAAAGTGCTGCTGATCCGCGTCACGTGGTCGCGCCTTGTTTCAGACACTTCAGGTCTGCTCTGCTGTCTGTGCTGCTGCTTCCGATCATGGCGCCCTTTTCCTCCAAAAAACCGCGTTCCTCGCCCGCCGGCGACACCAGCCCCAGCTTGCTTCCTCTTTCCCACACAGAGCAGTGGTTGAGCCGCCAGTCCCAGCTCGTCTCCAGCTCGCTCCAGCCCTCCTCCCACTTCAACAGCAATCCCAACAATCCCATCAAGAGAAACAACGTCTCCACGTCCCTCCTCACCCCCAGCAACTTGTTCTACAACTCCACCATCTCCCACACCACAACCCCCCATCCTCCAATCCCCCATCCCACGACTGCTGCTGCTGCTGCTTCTGCTGCTGCTGCTGCTGCTGCTGCTCCTACTACTGCCACTGCCAACGACCCCACCCGCAACAGCTTCAGCCTTCTCAGACGCCATTCTCACGCCCACAACAAACCCATCGACTCCTCTTCCTCTGACGACAACTTTCTCGACTCAGACTACGAGTTTGAGGGCTCTCAGATCTTGTCCAGATCAAACTCCTTCGACAACTCCTCTCTCGGCGACGTCTGCTTGCCCATCAACTACGACTCAAATTTCGGCTTAAACCGCATCAGCTCTAGCGACAGTCCCGCCAACATTAATCCCGACACCACCACCAACACGCCTCGAAACATTCCGAAATCAAAATCAAAATCAAAATCGAAATCAAAACTACAATCTCAAAACCAATCCAAAAATCAGTTCCACCTCAACAACCTAAATCCAACTCTAAACACAAACTCCCACGCCCACAACAACACCAAAAATCTAAATTTCCAAATCGACTTGAATCTAAACTCCAACCTAAACCAGAATCTGGCCCACCCCTACTACAAAAAGAAGAAATCTTGGCCTGATCTACCTCTTCTCAACCAATTCTACAAAAATGAAATCAACGAAATCAAATCCCTAAGAGACCAAAACAACCTTTTCCTATCTAACATCCCCAATATCACCCCCAACAATAACCTCCCCAACATCGTCAACACTACCCCCAGCATCAACACTAAACAAACCTTATCCTCCTCCAACGACATCTCAAGAGCATCTTCGATTAGCATCAGAACTAACGATCTCAACCACCATATTGTCGGCTTTTCAAACCCGCTAATAGAAAACATCGACGACAAAAACATCAACAAAAACATCAACAAAAATAACTCCATTCTTCTCAACAACACCACGAACAACACTCCCAATAACAACGTCTCCTTCCTACAATCTGCCATCAACCAAGACTCCCCAAACACCCAACATCAAGACCCCCACCTACTCAACGGAAAACTAAGACCCCCAAAACTATCCTCCTGGAAATCAAAAAAAAAATTCAACTCCTTCTACAACTACGAACCCGTAGGCTTGCCCTTAGGCTTTGATCTAGATGGCAAAAGTGTCGAGCAATTCAGATTCACCTACTTCAGAGAAGACCTAGACTCAACAATCCACTCCCCTACCATCTCCGGCCTACTCCAGAAAAACCAGTCCTTTGCTGATCTATTCAAACCAATCTACTACTCAAACAACAACAACAACAACAACAACAACAACACCTCCACATTAACAAAATTTTCCTCTAATTTACCAAAACTACAAAAACAAAAATCTTCTTCCTCTGCTTCAACTAACCTAAACTCGCCATCCTCTATAGACAATATTCAAGAAAATATTATTCAAAATGATATTGATCAAGAAGATGATCTCATTCAAGATGACCTCATTCAAGATGACCTTATTGAAGATGATACCATTCAAGATAATCTTACTCAAAATGATCTTACTCAAAATGATCTTAATCAAAATGGTTTCATTCCAGATGATCCTAATCAAGATATCAGTCAAATTCAAATTAACTCAATTCCTGTCTCATATCCAAACTCGAAACAAAACTCAAAACAAAACTCAAAAGCAACCTCAAAGGCAACCTCGATCGATACTAATAACTTGAGAATTGATGACGATCAAAATGAAATTCACAACAACTTTAATAACACCCTAATCCCCTTTTGGTTGGACGTCCTAAATCCAACCGAAGAGGAAATGAAAGTTCTAAGTAAAGCCTTCGGCATCCACCCTCTAACAACTGAAGACATCTTTCTCGGCGAAACCAGAGAAAAGGTAGAATTATTTAAAGACTACTACCTAATCTGCTTTAGAAGTTTCGACATTGTTCAAGAAAGATTCAAAAGAAAATACAACTCCGAAAAATTAAACAAAGAAATTCTAGAAAATCTAACAAACACCCTAGAATCTAACCAAAATTCCTTTAAAAACAAACTCAAACACCACTTTAAAAAGTTCTTCAACAACAAAAGAAACCAATCCAAAAACGACTATGAGCAAATCTTCTTTGATAACCCAAATAACGCCTTGAACATGTCAAGATCAAATACTTCCATATTTGACGAAGACAGAATCAATGAACTCAGGAGAAAACTGTTGAAAAAGGAAAGAAAACTAGCCTATGGCTCAAAATACTACTTTAAAGATGAACTAGAACCCTTGAATGTCTACATTGTCGTCTTCAAAAATGGTGTCCTAACTTTCCACTTTTCTCCAACTCCCCACCCTGTCAACGTCAGAAGAAGAGCAAGATTACTAAGAGACTACTTAAAGGTCTCCTCCGATTGGATCGCTTATGCATTGATTGATGATATTACTGATTCATTCGGTCCAATGGTCGAAGATATCGAAGAACAAGTCAATTCAATTGAAGATGCAATTATTAAAATGCACTCTGGCTATTCATCCGATTCAGATTCAGACTCAGACTTGGATTCAGACTCAGATATCGCAGATATTATCTCAGCTAGAAGATCTGTCCACACTTTAAGTGGCAAATTAAGAAGAAGACTCACTAAAAATACTGGTGGAGGTAGAAGAAATTCATTTGATAAGAAATCAACAAGAAGCTCAATATCAACTTTTTCCAGAACCTCATCCTCAACAAATTCAACATCATCAACAAGCACAATTGACTGGCAAAGAAAGGGTTACATGTTAAAGAGAATTGGTGAATGCCGTAAAAAAGTAATGTCTCTATCAAGATTACTAGCTTCAAAAGCAGATGTTATCAAAGCTTTAAGCAAAAGATATAGTTCTGAGGAATTCAAAGGAACTCTGGGTCAAAATATCGCTATATTTCTTGGTGATATTCAAGACCATATATTGACCATGGTCCAAAACCTAAACCACAACGAAAAATTGCTTGCAAGATCTCATTCCAATTATTTGGCTCAAATAAATATTGATATGACAAAGGTTAACAACGATATGAATGACGTTCTTGGTAAGATAACCATTCTTGGTACTGTTGTCTTGCCTATGAATGTTATAACAGGATTATGGGGAATGAACGTAATCGTTCCAGGACAGGAACACGAGGGTTTGGTTTGGTTTGTATCCATTACTAGTTTTATGTTTTTCTTTGCTTTTTGCTGCTATGTGTATGCTAAGAGAGTTTCGGGTATCGCTTAGATAATATATATAGATAAACTAGCAAAATTAGCTCGCTTTAATAAAATATTCCATGATAATATTCCTTGCTAAAAGTTAATAATAGTTCCGAAAATAAACCGAAAATAAACCGAAAATAAAACCAAAGATATGGGTGGGGTTTTATGACCCAGTGTAATGGTTATGATCCAGTACGATGGTAGTGACCCCATCTCAGTAAAGAAGCTGCCACTTTTTCAGTTGTTGTTTCGAACACACTTGCAATTCTTTACCAGAAAATGAAACTATCCAGTGTAAAGTCGTTTTTGTGTTTCTTGTTTGCGAGTTTGAGTTTGGGCCTTCTTGCTCTGGCTGATGATGGGTTTTATTCTAGCAGTGAGGTGTATGAATTGAGTGCATCTACCTTCAAAGAGGTGATTTTAGATACAAATTATACCTCGATTGTGGAGTTCTATGCTCCATGGTGTGGCCATTGCCAGAGATTGAAAGGAACGTACAAAAAAATAGCAAGGGGTTTGAAAGATATCGTGAACGTTGCAGCTATTAATTGTGACTTGAATAAAAACAAGAAAGTGTGTGCTGAGTATTTGATCGAAGGATTTCCAACATTGATGGTCTTTAGACCGCCTAAATATGACGTTAATTCTCCAGTCCAGATTAAACATTCTCCTGCAAATGAAAAATACTTGGGTGAAAGAAATTTCAAATCCATAAGTGATTTTCTATTAACCAGACTCAAAAACTATGTTAAAAGACTAAGTTTGAAGAATATCGATAAATGGGTTAAGGATACTAAAAATAACAATAGAATTCAAGTAGTTTTAGTCACTGATAAGGATAAAGCGTCAAATTTATTAAAATCATTAGCCATCGATTATTTGTCTATTTTGGATTTTGGATTTTTTCAACTAAAGAATTCAAACAAACTGGAATTTCTAGAGAAATTTGGAAATTTATTCAAGGACGCTAAAGACATTAAAGATATCGCTCCAGGTTTTTTAGTTTATGACAATAGCTCAAATCAACCAACTATTTATAATGAACAATTATCTAAAGAAGGGTTTTTTAACTATTTTTCAAAAAATTATAATATCAAACCATATGAAGGTTTTGGGTCAGATAAAGCAGAAGTTTTAAAAGCTATAAACGCTGGGAAAAAGGACTGGAAAAATATTAAAAAATCTTTAAAACTCAAAACAAAACAAGAAAATAAAAAAAACAAAAAAGACGATAACGATCATGATGAGTTATAAGTTATTAAACCAATAAAACAAAACAAAACAAAACAAAATAAAATAAAATAAAATAAAATAAGATAAATTGCTTGTTCGATATATACATTAAATAAGGCTAATAAACATCATCTGATGAAACGATTCTATTGGCTGAAACCTTAAATTCAGATGTGCACCTCGGTTTAAAAATACTTCTCAAACCATTTCTACTATTGTTACCACTACTAGTGTTATTATCACTACCATTATTATTATTACTGTTATTAATATGATTTAGGAAATTCATCCGGATTGTTAAATAACATGGCGTTAACTTTTGTGTTGAGAAAATTTTGCTTCTGCGTTTTCTGTTTTGGAGATAGACTGGTTACATGACACAAATGGGTGTTCCTCTTGTTTTTTTGATTGTTTCTCAGCTTTATATGAATAAAAACAAAACTTATTTTTATCAAACTTTTCATGCTTTGACTAATTATTTTCTTAAAACAACTAATTTTTTATTAGAATTAGCTATTAATCCACCATCTTTTTGATCCAATTGCTTTTAACCTAACAATGGGCTTTATCAATTATTCCTCTTATAATAAATTAGATTCTAAAAATGATCAAAGATCTAATGATACTTATTACAATGAGCACTATATTAGACACTGCTCAAGATACCCTTCTCCACCTCCTTTAACTATTGCAAATAATAAAAATGATAATGATAAAAACAATAGCATTGATAATGATAATGATAATGATAATGATAATGACAATCAAGTCAGTGATAACAATAGTTTTGTCAGAAATAATTCAATGAATTTTCACATCAAGAAAACTCCCAAAAATAAAAACTCATCGTTTAGACAATTTTTTAATACATTAACTATTAAAAGATTTTATTCATCAAAATATAAAAATGCAAACAATTATAACACATTTAATAACGATTATAATAATAGTAATGGTTCTTATAATTCTCTTAATGATTCGCCCTGTATTATCAATGGGGATAATTTTTCAATTATTGAAAATCAAGAAGAAAAAAAAGAAAAGAAAAATTCTATTATAGCTTTGATTAAAAAAATTTTAAAACCAATTAAAAACAAATCATTTAAAGATAACAAAAATAATAAAAATGACAAAAGGTTGAATAGTGATGATATTGATGATAAAATTAATAATTTTGATTATACAAATTACTATAATGCTGATAATTATAATAATATTACTACTATTAATAATGATAATGATGATGATTACAACCTTTCACTAACTTCTTCAAAAATCTCGTCGAATTTTAATTCACCAATTAAAAAGAGGTTGGGAACTAGAAATTCGATATCCAGTGCTTTATCTCAATTATCTTTTAGTAGTTCATTCAAACTTAAAAGAAGTCAGACTAATAATAATGACAATGGTAATGGGACAGATACCGAGACTTTAACCTCAAGATATTTAGGTACGGATGGTAGACAACTATCAGCAGATTTAAAAGCTATACCATTTGATTTAACTATTGAGCCAAAAAAAACCACCCCATTGAAGGAGAAAATAACTAAACTATTCAGACAAAATAGTAAAAACCGTTTTGATCCTGAAAATGATATTCATTTTAACGATTATGACTATAATAAAATTGATCTTTTGTATAACTACAATACAACCAATAAAAATTACCAAAACTACAATAACGATAACAATAGTAATGGTAACAAAAATGATGATGATAATGATAAGAGTAATAGTAATAGTAATAGTAATAGTAACAGTAATAGTAATAGTAATAGTAATAGTAATAGTAATAGTAATAGTAATGACATTAATGAAGATATTGATGGAAATAATAACAAAATTTTAAATCTGAATAACTTAAATGGAGATAATTATGAATTTTTGGATAAATCAATAATAAATGAAATTGTGAATAAAAAGCAGAAATCCAAATTCAAAAGAAGAAATAGTATAAATTTGAGTTTGATGATCACCAGAAAAAAAGATAAGATAGGCGATACTAAAGATTCTAAAAATCCTAATGATGATGTTGATTTTGATGCTGACGACTGTGGTGTTGCTAATAGTACTTTGAATACATTGGATACTTTAAATTCTCTTAATAATGAAAACAGCAATGAGAGTAAAAGTATGAGAATTAATAATTTCAATGCAAGCTCTCTTCTTCCAATAAACAGCAAAAGTAATGAAATATCAAAAGATGAAAGCATGAGTTTAAACAATAATAGTAAAAATGGCATATATCATGCGATACGGATTAGGGATGCCAAATCTGTTGAAACTTTGGAATGTTCAGTATTGTCGTCGTCAACTAAAAAGAGCAATTTCTATAAACATGATCACTTTTACGATACCGAGGACGATGAATTGTATTATGAAGCAGAAACACATGGACTACCATCAAAATGCGACGACTATACAAGTGATGAACAAACACAAAAGTATTTGGAAATGGATGAAAAAATAAAAGAGTTTAATGCGAAACATAGCTTGAACAAAATAATATGTGACGATAGTGTTACAATCAGACAAAAAGAGAATCACAGTAGCAAAAAGCTAAGTAAATCAAAGAGCTTGAGCAATTTTTTAAGTCTTGGTGAAGATGTAAATGACAACAAACTTAGGCTACGAAAATCTTTGTCAGTTTTGGATAACAATTCAAATGGACAGTATGAAGACAGTGAGAAAAATATCAACAGCGTAGTGATGGAGCTTCAGAGAATGCAAAACAGTACGGGCTCTCCCTTGAACAAGACAGTCTTTATTAAATAGTGAATATAGTATTTTATACACATTATTATACACATTATCGATACCCCACAACCACTTTCTCAGTTTCCGAATTGGACTGCAGAGCCAGCTTTTGTGAGCGGTTCGAACCACGGCGGAAGCGTGTTTTGTTTTGTGAGGCGAAGAAGAAGAAGCAGCAGCGTTGGGTGGTTCTTCTTCTTCGACTTCAGAAACAGCAGCAGATAGAGTGTGTATCTGGAAGAAAGTACAATTGAAGTGTGTGTGTTTGGTGCAATTATTAGGAAATGCTACTTCCCAGCTCCTGTAACCATGAGACGCTGGACTTTCCAACCATCGCTGAGAAGGCTCTACCCACAGCAATCGATCCAAAGATATTCTCCTGGTGTCCAACAATGGATCTTTTTGCTTTGCTATCCCACAACAACTCGAATATCTTTATTTACAGGATCAATGGTCAGAGGGTTTGGAATCTATCAATCAGGAACTCAACTATCAAAGAGCTACTATGGAAACCTGATGGAAAATCATTGGCTTTAATAACCGCCGATGGAATTTGCAAATTGTATGATTCAAATAATGGGAAACTTATAACCACTATTGATAACCAGAATCAGCATAAAAACAAGAACGAAAATCTCAGTGATAATAATAATAATGATGATAATATAATTGAAATCGCTAATTGGGACATAAGACTAAAACCTTTATCCAATGTGTCAACCTTTGAAAATTTATTCAACATTGATGTTTCGAAATCTTTGCCAAATCTATCGATTTTACCAAATGCCTCTACTGAAAGCATATTTACTACAAAATTGGCTATAGATGGTACAATTAAGTCCACCTCTAATAATTTCATTGAGAACTTTTCCAAATTAAATTTGAATTTGAATTCAGATTCAATGTTGAACTCATTGACAGATTCTCTGCCCAATTCACTCTCTTCCAATCAAATATCAAATGAAGACCAAACAGATTTGTTAATCTTAGTTTATAAAAATTTATCATTTGATATAACAATATTTGGTTTATTTAATATTGGAAAAGTCAATTATTTTTCTTCAAAGGATTTCCAAATAATCAAAGTTTTAAATATAATTTCAATTAATGATTTACAAAATCACCTAATCTTATCAGTTTCTAATAATAACGACAATAATAGTCAAGATGACAAAAAATATTTATCAATTTTGAAATTGAATTTAAATTTTATATCACTTTTTAAAAATTACTTAAATTATGTTGCACTAAATTTTACAAAAATATTGGCAATCTTAAAGTATATCAAAGAGTCAATATCATTAATTAAAAATGATTGTGCTCCCTTTTTAGAATTCAATTTAAAACTAATATCAATTTTAAATGATAAATTTGACAACAATTCAACTTCAATTATAGAACTTTATAATTTATTATTGACTGGAATGATGAATGATTCTTTAAAGGATTGGCTACAAAATGACATTGGTGAAAAAAATCTTAAAAAATGGATTAGATTAGGCACTGTTTTTTTCGATAATATTCGTAAAAACTTATTCATCTTTTTAACTCAAGCATTAATTCGACTATTAGTTTATTTATCGAATTTAAATGGATTGGCGAAATGGGAGGAAAGAGGATCACCATTAGGTCTCAATCCTACTTTTTTCAATAGTTGTATACATTCAATCTCAAAATTATTAAGAAAAATTTATAATTTTATATTAAAAATTAATAATATTCAAAATTTATTTGATGCCTTTATGACCTGGCTAGGTTTTATTATTAATCAATTAAATTCATCTGATCCAATTTATGATAGTAATCAATATGTTAAAACTTTAGATATTGCAAACTATATTACAAAATATTTAAATAACTCTAATATTTTCAATTTTTTGACCAATAATGCTATTGCTAATACCAGTGATAATGTCAATAATTTAGAAAAATTATCGTTCAAAATATATAATCAAATCTCAGAAATATTAAATCACGTCAAACTTGCAATTAAGAAACATATTTCGTTTGATCAGCCGATAATTTTAGATAAACTTGACGGCCAAAATAAAGATTCAATTTATAAAATAAGACCAATTTATAATACTGTTAACAAATTTTATGACGTTTATGTGATATCCTATCCAAATTTGACATCTTTTAAATTATATAAATTAGAGGATCGTGATAGTAAACTCACGAAAACAATCACCATTTTGTTTGATTTGAATAATATAATTGAAAATGGGGAAATACTTTCCATTGATTTTCTAGATGATTTGGAGATTGTGATTTTATATTTAGATCAAAATAATTCAAAAGTACATTTATTTACAATTTATTATACAAATTATCAACAAGATTATTCTGCGAGCCAAATAGAAGAAACAATCGGAAATTCAAAAAAAGATATATGCATCAAAATCAAGGCTAATAGTGACAGCAATATAATTAGAAAACGATTGTTTGAAGGTGACTTTCTCCCCAGTTCAATGATTTTCAATGGCAGAAAAGGTCGACGTATTGGTTGTTTGTTAGAAAATGATTTGCAAAGATATATGCTAGTCGATATTGAAGGTGAGCCTGAAAACGATCCAGAGGATGATCTGGAAAATAATATTGAAAATGAGTAATCTAAGAATCAAAAATCCAATCCTCAGCTGTTTGGTATTTTCTATTGCTAGTTCTAGATAATAGATACTGATTATTGCCAAAGATAACAAACTGTCTTTTGATAAAGGCCTCATAGCGATGTAGCACAAAGCGGTTTTTCATCACAAGTCCATTGTTTTTGAGTTTATTGAGTTTTGCGATTTTGTGTGCTATTTCTTCTAAGTCTTTGTTGTCGATAATGTCCTCGACGTGGTTGAACCAAAAGGGATGCATTGGAACAAATGTCATGAAAAGCTGCTTCACATACCGTATCTTCTTTCTGATCAAGTTTTTGTGTCTGCATTCAGCAATGGGAAGCCCCAATGGTGTGAGAGGAATCACTGCTGCTGCTGGCTCAAGGTTTCTGGAATGTATCATTCCTTTGGCGCTTTTGAGGAACTTGAGCAAGTCCAACGAGTACTTGACGATCTCCTCTCTTGAGTAGTCTTCTGTTTTGGCTGGGTCTATTTCAGCACTGAGCACAAAGGGCTTGTTGTCCTTGGACGTTTTCAAGATTGATTCTGTTGGCCAAAGCTCCAACAACTCATCTGTGTGTATGGCTTTGAAGACACTCAACCATCCTGGCTCGGCGCCTTTGCGCCCAACAGCAGTTACAAAGGCTGTTTCTAGGATCTTTTCAAAGGGCTCAGGGTCTCCACTCAATGCCTGTGCTATTGTTACAAGCGAGTTGTTTGCTGCATCTATTCTGTACTCCAAGTTGTTGATCACCTTTCTGTCGAAGCTTTTTCTCTGGAACAGAAGGAGGTTTGCCGTGGCTCTCTTGTCCAAGGGAAGGAGCTTGATTGACCTGTGGATGTTCCTGTAGAGATAGAGTATCTTTTTCCTTTGGAGCTCGAGCATTTGCAACAGGGGCCTGCGATCTCTTTATCAATTAGTACTGTTTCAGCTGCTTCATGGAGCTGAGAAAATGATTTTCAGCTGGGTTTTGGAGGAACGGAATTTTTGAAATTTTTGAATTTTGAGACTTGAGATTTTTGAGATTTTTGATTTTAGAATTTTTATTATTTTTTTCTCATCAGATTCATTTCCAATCAATTCCAATCAATTCCAGCTCTCAGCAGAGGCTAGTAACTCTGATATACCATCCCAATATATTTATTGTTCTGTATATAGTCGCTATAATTGTATAATTTCCTGTAAAAAAAGAGTATGTTCTTTCAACTATCGTTTTCTTGACTGTTCACTCACTAACTCTCTGTTTCTTTTCCTAACTTTAAACTTGTTTCTTCTACAGTGGCTCTGGATAAAGATTACTACGAGATATTAGGCGTTGATAGAACTGCTGCCCAAGTCGACATCAAAAAGGCCTATAGAAAAGCTGCTTTGAAGTTCCATCCTGACAAGGTTTCTGAGGAGTTTAGGACAGAGGCCGAAATCAAATTCAAGGAACTATCTGAAGCATACGAAGTGCTATCTGATGAAAACAAAAGAAATGCCTACGACACCTATGGTTCTGCTGATGGTCCTAATGGATTTCATGATTTTTATGATGAACAAGATGGTGGTACAGGCTTCACCCCAGAGGATTTTTTCAATTTTTTTGATGGTGTGAATGGTGGTGTTCCTCCAGGATTTCAAAAACAATATCAGCCCCCCACTAAGACTGACGACGCTGAATTAAATGTCAAAGTCACCCTCGAAGACTTGTATAGAGGAAAAGTCATCAAGTTCACTATAACCAGAGATTTGCTATGCCATTCTTGCAAAGGAACCGGTGCAAAATTAAAAGCGACCCCAAAAACTTGTTCAACTTGTCGTGGTGAAGGTTTTGTGAACAAAATTCGTCGTATTGGTCCTGGCTTAGTGACTCAAGATTATGTTGCTTGTTCAACATGTAATGGAAAGGGTAAAATCTACAAACAAAAGGATAAATGCAGAAAATGTGAGGGCAGTGGTGTAAAAGAAGAGACTAGAATATTGGAGTTTTATATTCAAAAGGGTAGCAGTAGTGGTGAATCAATAATATTAAAAGGCGAATCAGACCAGGCTTTAAATAAAGAGTCCGGAGATGTTATCTTAACTTTTGATGCAAAACCACATCCAGTATTTACAAGAAAAGGCGATGATTTATATGCTGATTTACATGTCACACTCCAAGAAGCATTGTGTGGATTTAGTCGAATTGTTGTAAAACATTTAGATGGCAGAGGCTTAAATCTAGCAATACCAAAGGGAACTGTTTTAAGACCAAATGAATATGTTAAAGTTAAAAACGAAGGTATGCCATTGAAAAATTCCAAAAATGATAGCAAGGGTGATTTATACTTGAAAATATTTGTTGAATTTCCTCCAGATGGATGGTGTATAGATAGCAGTGATATCGATCGAGTTAAATCAATTTTGCCTTCATCAAAATCATCTTTTATTGAAACAATCAATGTTTCGGAAAACGATATAAATGATGTTGAGTTTGTGTTAATCAAAGAAGAAAATTTACCCAAAGTCGAAACAAACGAAAAGGAAACCCCAAAGAAAGAAAATTTCAACAGTTGGTAATAGAAGTTGTAATGAAAATAGCTCAACTAATGGAAAAACAAGACATTTTTTTTAATAATCAAATTTCAAATTAATTTCCTTTATTGAATTTCCTGATTTAAATTATCTGCTGGCTTTTATTTGACTTGTTTTATACCTTTTCCAAAAAAAATTTATTGTTGTTGTTCGTAATATCATGTATTTTTTTCTTTTTTCATTTCATTATTAATAGCTTACATTTATGGTCCCACTCATTTTTTTTTTCTTTGATTTTTTTTACTATTAAAATTTAGTTTTATGTTAATTATTTTGACAATATTTTATGGAATAGTATCGAATAGAATTTAGTTTTATTCTTTATTTTATTTTATTTTATTTTACTTTTTTTTTAATTTTTATTTGAAAACAATTTTTATGTAAAATAGATAAATAAGTAATGTACATAGTAATATGCTTATAATCCAACATATATAAAATTATAATATATAAAATAATGGGAATTAAAGAATTAGAAGCCTTTTACTTGCGATTAAAAAAAAGGTAATAAGATAGTTGAGGAGGGTATTGTAAGATAAGATAAGATAAGGTAAGGTGAGATGAGATAAGATGAGATAAAAAAATAATTTTTTATATAAAAAGCGAGTGATAAATTAATACAGAAGAGATTTATAATCTTTTTAAGGAAGGTTTTGATTTTGATTTTGGATTTGATTTCGAACTTGAATTCTGGTTTGATTTAGATTGAGAACTGATTGTTCCCATCATATAAGAAGGTTGTTTTGAGTTGTTGTTATTTGTATTAAAGGATAAATTTGGTTTATTTATAGAATTTAGATTTTGAATTGGAATTGAGTGAAATTCTTTTGGAGGAGATTTTTTGATTGGATCAGAGAATTTTTTAGAGGAATTGGGATGGATTGAAGTTGATGGAGGGGTGAGTAAAAGAGATTGAGCATCTTCATTATCGGTATTGTTGTCATTATCGAGGTGAGAGATGTCGATCATTTGAGTATCATTGTTGGCATTATTATGGGTATCATTATTATGGGTATCATTATTATGGGTATCATTATTGGTATCGCTATTGATATCATTATTATAGTAGTAATCGAGATCATTTGAATCGGAAAAGTTTGGGAAATCAAGAGTAAGATTAGGAATATTTTTAAAAGAGAAGAGGCTATCGAGTTTGTTGTTTATATTGGATAGCAAGTCTTGGTCTAATTTTCTTTTATTTTTATTTGGAGAGGAAGGAGGAGAAGAAGAGGTAGAGGAATTTTTAAAGAAATAGTTTAAATGGTCGTTTGTAATTGGGGTATAGTTGTCATAAATGTCTTGTAGGGGAGATGAGAGTGTGGGAATGGATTCTATATCCAAGTTGCAGTTGTTATGGGTGGTATCTTGGTTGTGTTGATTATGTTGAGTGGACTGGTTTGTAATTGTGTTTGAGTTGATTGAATGTAATAAATTTTGTAGTAGGACATTGTTTTTCTTTGGGGATTTTTTCTTTGGAGATTTTTTAATTTTTAGGGTATTTTGAGAAAGAGAGGGGGTCTGTTTTTTGTTTGACTCAAAGACGTTTATTTTGATTTTGTTGTTATTGTTGAAAATGTTCTTTTGAGAATTTCTTTCTGGAGTTTGAAATATGGATCTTATGTTGGTTTTATTAGATTTATTATTAGTAGTAATTTTGATGTTGTTGTTGTTGTTGTTGTTATTATTATTATTGTTATTATTATTATTGTTTAGAAAAGTGTTACTATTAAATGCTTCATTTAATTTCAAAGTTGGTTTTGAATTGACTGCAGTGTTGATTTTATCTTTATTTTTATTTTTATTTTCAATTTTTTTTAAAGTATTTTTATTAATAAAATTGGAAGTGTTGTAGGTTAAATTTTCTTTCTCGAGAAAATCCATTGGAAAATGTGAGGAATAGAGATGAGTAGAGAAGAGAGTAAAGAGCCAAAAGGAGCGAGTAGGAGAGATTTAATGGGAATTTAGTAATTGTTTGAGAGTTATTGATTAATAAGAAATGAAGATTGATTGAAGATTGATTGAATACAAAAGAAAAAAAACAAAGAGATGTTTATGTTTTTCCTAAAGAGGCGATCAGGATATTGGTTGAAGGAACAGCAAACCGGATCCGTAGTACCGCACACGGTTTCTTTTGATCCGCATGAAAGCCGTATTCATGCTTGTATATGTATGTGCACGCTGGGACCATGTATTGGGATGTGATTCCCTTTCTGGAGAATGAAATTTAAAACGGCAGGCTGAAAGCTAACGGAATAATTGAGATAGCAACCAGAGAGAGGGTAAATGGGTATTAAAGATTACAGAATTTAAATTCCAGATTTGTGATGAAATAGTGAGGTGAAATAGTACAAGCCATTTGGAAGGTGGGATAGTATAAATAGCAGGATGAGGAACTTGTTATTAAGAGAGCAAAGAGCATCGGATTGAGGCATAAGAATACGATACAATTACACATACAATTACACATACAATCACACGTAAACCATCTGAATAGAATAGAAGATTAGATTAGAATAAATGAGCTGGGGTGGATTTAAGAAGGTGCTCAATAGGCAAGCGAGTCAGATATTGGTGAAAAGCGAAGATAAAGTGACAGATTACGAGTTTGAGTACTATGAAAGAGCATACAAAGAATTAGATAAAATTGGATATAGGTTGGCGAAGGAGAGCCAGGGGTATTTGAGCTCGCTTTTGCTGTTGAGCAGGTCTCAATTGAGTATCGCAGAAAGCATCACCAAGTTGTTTCAAGAAGAGGGAAGCCAGAGTGGAATCAGAGAGAACAATTTACGATTTCGCGACGAGTACTTGAGCCGAATCCGAGACTTTGATGGAGAGACAATGAAAGAGGTGGAGCACGAGTACAAAACGACGGTTTTGGAGCCAATGGAGAGGTTTTCAGAGTACTTTGAGAACGTGCAGCAGGCGGTGAAGAAGAGACAGCACAAGAGGATGGATTACGAGAACTGCAAGAGCCGTGCGCGGCGAGTGGGGGGCGGCAACCCCAGCAGTAGCAGCTTGAACGTCAGCAAGATCGGGCGTGTTGAGCGGGAGCTCCAGCTCGCAAGAGAGGTCTACGAGGGGCTCAACGAGGAATTGAAGGTCGGAATGGCCGAGTTGGTGAACTTGCGCCAGCCCTACATGGAGCCCTCGTTTGAAGCCATGATGAAGGTCCAAAAGAAGGTGAGTTTGGGCGCGTATGTCGCGTTGGCCCAGACCCAGAACCTTGTGAGCGCGGTCGATCGCGACGGGTTTGCAAACGGGACGTTGGACGCGCGGATGGACAACGCTCTTGCGGAAATGCTGCGGTTGACAACGGTGCAGTGCGTGTACTCAGGACAACGCGCGTTATAATGGGTGTGTGCATGCGTGTGCCGTTAACTAACCAGCAGCAAACAGGCCAGCACGTGGTTCAGCCAAAGCAAATGCCGGGAGCCGAAGACGCAAGGCTCTGGCCTCTGCCGGCGTTCAGCCGCAGCAACCCGGGCCAATCACGTTGCGTAGTGCCGGAAATCAAACGCAGCTTCTCGTCCCGCTTTAGACGCTTGTGGAGCATCTCCAGCTTTTTTATCTTCCTTTTCCACCTTCCTCACCTTCCTCACCTTCCTCATCTTCTTCTAGCTGTTTCTCAATTTTGATCCCATTCCCTCCCCCGTTCTCTTCCTCTTACTCGCACCCAGATCGACATTTTCATTCTCGATATTCCTATTCTTACTAATATCCATATTCGCACTAAAATTTGTTATTCGCTTTGTATTTATTTTTTGATTTATCGAGTAATATTCTCAAATGAATAATTAGTCTATCCAGTTATCTTCCCACAAATATTTACCCCTACTAATACCACCACTACCACTACCACCAATACTAATCATAATAATAAAAACAACAACAACATCAACATCAACATCGACATCAACATAATGATACAGTCAATCAAATCAATAAAATCCTTTTTAAAATTTTTCAAATACTGGTATCAGTACAAAGGCTCTTTGGCTTTCAAAAAGTACTACATCAAACTCTCCTCTCTTATAATCAAGTTTCCCTCTTTTTTCATTCTTTTGCCTGCAATATTATCTTTTATACTCTCCTACCCAACCCTATACTCCTTCTACCATTCAAACTCCTTCTTCTCAATCTCCTCTCTCTCAAATCTCAACTCAATATCCTTCAACGACTTCGATAATAACCAATTTGATAATAACGGCTTTGATCATAAAAACTTTTTGTTCGATTCAAACATAGAATTTCGCCAGATTTGGATCCAAAATGACCTCAATATAAACAACGTCAACTATAACAATTCAAATCACAATATCATAAACAACATAAACAACATAAACACTATAAACAACAATAATAACAACAATAACAACAATAATAATAATAACAACAAAAAAAAACAAAAAAAACTAAACACCTTGGGCGCCCTCGATAAAGACTTTCTTCTAAACTCCCTATATCTACAGAACCACCTCCTAAATGGAATATCAATCTACCCACTGAACAACAATCCACTGGCTTTCCTTCACTCTCCTCTTCTGTTTTGGAACAACTCAATTCCTCGCCTACAAAACGATATTTCCTACTTGAAAACAATTCGCTCTTCAATCCCTCTATCAAACTCTGACTACTTGGCTGGAACTCAGATCATCAATGGAATCATCAAATATGCCCATGCCTTGAAAATATCCATCTTCTTCAATCCTTCATTATACAAAGACTCCCCAAACCCAGGCCAGATCTGGGACAAAAACCTCCTCGAGATCAAAAAAAATATCTCCAGCAAAATAAACAACCACTTCCTCATCTTTGATAGAGACACAAGCTTCAAGAAAAACATCTCCCTACTCATAATCCTAAACCACTTCAAAACCATAGATTCCTTTCTTTTGTTCTCCTCCTACTTTCTCATCTTCTCCTACTTTCTCATCTCCCTATCCAACGTCCATTCTGTCAAATCAAGAACTGGTCTCCTAATAGCCTTTGTCGTAGAAATCCTCCTTTCCATCTTGTCTGCAACAACAATAACCTCATACTTGTTCAATGACTTTAGCATATCCCATATCCCCTTCCAAATCCTACCTTTTATCGTCATCGTCCTTGGAATCGAAAACATGTTCAGACTAATCACCTCAATCTCACACTCAAAATACGAACTCTCCGTATCCAAAAAATTATCAAAAAGCTTCTCAGACAGCAGTGTGATATCAACATTAATAGTCCTCATCGATATCTTCCTTCTACTACTACTATCCCTTTTCCTATCCCACTCCTCAAAACAGTTTTGCTTTTTCGCCTCAATATCCCTAATCATCGACCATTTCTTGCATCTCACTTACTTTACTGCCATCCTTAGTCTAGACTTGAGAAGATTCGAACTAGACGACCTCCTAATCCACAACAACTCATCTTCAAAATCAACCTCAAGAAACAATTCCCTCCCTTCCCCAAAATCAACTATAGACTACTTTAAAAACGATGGCGCCATTATAGCTTCCACCCTACTAGGCTTAAATAAACACCCAAATCAAAGACCACAGAGATCTTCTCTAAGACACATCTTGGGCCAGTATCTTTTACACATTAAACTCCCCTTTACAAAATCTATCTCAACCTCAGTCATCATGATATTTTTTTTAATCGTCCTCAATTTAAGATGGCTAACAGATGATTCACTATCAAACCTATTCACAAACCTACCTTTTTCAATCCCAAATTCTTCTTCAAAATCAAAATCTTCATCTTTTATCAACCAAAAAAACAACAACATCCACGATTCAATCAATACATCCTTCCACTCTATACTATCTATCGATACTCAATCTCTATCCTACCTTATTAACAACGATCCAAACTACCCCTTTGCGTTTTTTCTTGACAAAAATTCTTTTGGACTAAAACTATTTGATCTTATCTTTAAAAAAAACATCAACCTGTTTTTCAACAATAACAAAGATTATAAAAAAAAAAAAAAATTAAAATTGCTTGTCTCCATTCAAGAACCAATCTTTGCCATTTCAAAAAACTCCCTTCAAAATATTGACCAAAAATTAACAACCATCAAAAATAACCAATTCACATTATCAGACTTGATTGACGTCAATATAAAGGACAATTCCAACTTTGATATCTATGGTCTATTTGAGTTTTTGGCTTGTCTATTTTTCATCGTAGCTCTTTCAACCATAGTCTTGAAATATTTCCTTAATACTCTAAGTAAAGATGACTTTTCTATCAAAGACGGCGACTCTTTAAATGATGAAGAATCAAATGGAAATCGTCCATTTAATTGCAAAGACTTGAAATTCGATGGCCACTATTTAGATGTCTTGAGAATCTCAACAACTCCAGGTTGTCCCTTCATTGTATCGGTTGGAATGGATCATAAAATCCTAGTTTGGTCTCCATTAACTAACCCAATTCCTGTACCGACCAGTTTATCCATTGTCAGACAAATTTGGCCCATAACCCACGTAACAATCAGTTCTCAGGGCGATTATGTTGCCCTTTTCTCCAAAAATGGTTACATAAAATGTTGGTCAAGATTTGCAATGTCCTGGATTTGGACTCTTCATGAAGATGAATTGGTGGGGACTAAACCATTAAACGCATTCTTTCGTAGAAGAACCATGCTACAAACACTAAGACGACAAAAGACAATGCAAAAGATTGCTTCTCAAAATAACTTGCGCAATATTTCCTCAAGATCTGATATAAATGGCTCATCTGCAATTCAGCCCCCTAGAACACCAACAATGTCAAGAAAAAACAGCATGAAATCTCTTTCTTCTCCAAGAATCGAAATTGAAAAGGCATTTGATCAGCTTTCTCAAGAAAATTTAGTTGACGATGAAAAAGATGATGAATTTATAATATTGCTCAAAAGTGGGAAAATGCTCACCATCTCCTGTAAAGATGCATCCTGTAAAAAGGATGTCTTATCATCAACACACTTGGTATCTGCAAAGAGATTAATAACGGCCAGAGTTAATGATAGAATAGTAGCAGCAAGCGAAAAGGGAACCATAACTGTTTCAACGGTGGTCAATAACAAATGGAGAACCAGAACTTTGATGATTCAAGAAGAAAGATATAACAAGGGGAAAAGTTTAATGACTCCTTTGGCTATGCAAAAAACAAGCATGAGAATGAATCGAGGAGAAGGAAGATTATCGAGACAGAACTCAATCAGCTCAATGACAAATTTAATCATCCCCAGAGAAGTTCCTGAAGAAGATTTTGCCAAATCTACTATTGCTGTTGTTTCGTTTGTGGGCATGATTGTTAGAACTAGGGGTTCAATTGCAGAATTGATTGATGTTCAAACAGGTACTTTGGTCAAGAAATTTATTGTTGGGCAGTTCAAACCTGGAAGCTTCCATGTTTTTCATGACCAACCTACACATTGCAGATTTTGCGGTTGTGCTTCAATTCAGTCATTTTCCATTGTTTATACAGAAATCGACACTAGCACAGTTATTATGCATACCTTTTCGATTGATAACAGGGCCAAAAATAATATTTGTCTTCGTGTTGAAAGAGATCCAAGAGAAATCCGTTGTCTTGGTTTTGATTCAGTTACTGAGCATCAACACTGGTTGGAAGATGTCGAATGCTGGTCCTTAACCGATGTAAATATGATTATCGGTATCAGACACAAATCCCAAGATGAGATGATTGACTCCATGAACAAAGATATTGTTAGCAAGAGTGGATTGTTCAAATTTAATTATTCGTTATCCGGAGACAGCCAATTTAGATCAAGAAAACACAAGAGCATCAATTTAGATAATGCAGCAGCTCCTCAAATTGGAAGTATGTGGGAAGGTTGGACCATGACAGCACAGGGAAAAGTATCCTTTCATGAGATACCCAGTGTAGAAAATGAAGGGTTGCTTATCAAAAAGATTGGAACAATGAATAGATTTGGACACAAATCAGTTGTGGTAGGGTTTGGAAATGTAATGAAAGTACTATATTTGGGAAATGACGACTTGATTACAAATGATGATGATAAAAGTAATTCAAATGAACAAATAAGTGGATTGTCATTTGTGAATAGAAGAAGGAAAAATGCAATCAAAAGAGAGATTATTCATTCAACAAATTATGGAGATGTTATTACACCGACATAAATCAGCATTCAAACTAACTTTTTATTTTACTAACTTCCAAATAATGTTATTATAGTTTTTTTTACTTTTTTTTCACTTTTGTTTGCCTTTTTCTTACTTTTCTTTTACTTTTTTTTTTCTTTCATTGTTCATATTGTTTATTAGAAGCTCATAGTTTTTGTGGTTTTGTCGCCACCATTATGTTCTCAATTCATTTATTACATAGTACAATTGTTGCTAGGCTTATTGTTACTTTAAGACTGGAGGAAAGGAGATAAGATGAGAAGAAAGTCAATAATTTTTGTCATCCAATTGCATTTTTTTTTTAAAAAACCTTTTTCTATTCATTCCGTTAAAGATAATTTATTTTTTGTTGATGATTTTTTTTTGGTTTTTTTTTTTTCAGCAATAAAATAAGACAAAGTTAAAATAGAGTAATTTGCTTCTGTTTTTTTGTTTCTTTTGTTATGATCCTTCTGGTTTTATAAGTTTGTTCAATATTTTTTTTCTGTCTTTGCTGTGTTGGATTTAGTATATCAAAACGCTGCAATGTGGAAGAAGGTCGAATAACTAGTCTGGAGCTTGTGTGCTATCTAATGGTTTTATTAATTTACTGATTTTATTATATCTGTTGTATTTACTGTATTTATTGTCTTGCTGAACCAATGCTTCCATTCAAAAAGAAAGCTGGAACTTTTAACGTTGCTCCAGAGGTTGTTAAGGGCTCATTTTTTATTGTTTTATTTTTTGTATTTTTGTCTGTATATCAGTTGATTTCTTTTTATATTTGATATATTCACTTACTCGCTAATCGTTTTCTTCTCCAGGGCAAGGCTATCGAAGTTGATTTCATTTTACTATTATAGTTTGTTATAACATTGGAAGGTTTTCAAATCGTAAACAGTGAATAATGGATCAAGAACAGATTCGTGCTGAGTTTCAGGTGAAATCCAGTCTCTACAATGATATCTACAAGTTAATAATGGGGATTTTGTCGAAAAGCCTAGGGTTCATCATCTCTTTGATCAACGTATACTTGAAGCTTTACAGAGTTTCTGTTGGTATTATCACCCAGGTCTGCCAATTTATCAGGTTCTTTCACCAGAGCTTTCTTTCAGTAGGCAGCAGATTGTTTGGCTATCTCTCGTACTTCTCCTATCTTGCCTATGTGTTCAAGCCCTTCAGCCTATTGTTTTATGGAGTTCACTTGCTACTATTGAATCCAGTGCTTACCTTCGTGATTTTGTTAGTTGAGCTCGCCTTGAAACCAATCAGTTTTATTTTGTATTCAGCATTTGGGGTCAGCCTTTCTGAGTTCATATTTGATTTTGGTTTCCTTCGCAGTTTGGTTACTCAAGAAGAGCTATCTTCGTCGAATCATATCATCAACAATGGGTATGTTGCCACCATTAACCACCAATATTATAACTACAACAAAAACCACTATTCCAGCAATGTGAAGTTCAGGTACAATATCGACTCAACGAAATATATCAACAGTGGCGGTGTTCTTGAAATTGTTTACTTAATCTACATTTACTCAATTGTTATTATTCTTTTTGCTTTATTGGTGGGAGTGGTGTCGTTGTTGTTATTTCATTTGATTCAGATGGTGATAAATCCTGTGGCATTGGGTTTGATAGATGAAAATGACGAGAAACAAATTCAAAAACAGATTGAGAAAGAGGATCAAAGAGAATCAATGGGAAAAAGAGAAAGAAGTAGTTATTCTCAAATTTTGGACCAACCAGGATTGGATCACAAAGATACAAGCACTCCAAACTCAAATACTCAGACTATGAAATTAGGCAGTTTGAATCCTCAAAAAAAATCCAGTTTGGAATCTTCTTTTGTTTCATATAGTGAGTCTGGATATTCAAATGATGTTGGTGACATTTCTTCTTATTCAACAGTTGTTTTATCAAAACCAGGTCGAGCTATACAAGAGAGTATGCGTCGACAATTCAATGATACAGATAATGAAATGGACACTGAATATCCACCAATCTTCACAGATTTAGACTACTTGAGAAACCTCAACATTAACACCAACTCTGATACAGAAACAGAAACAGAGCCAGAGCCAGAGCCAGAACAGAGCACTGGAATCGACTGCTCAGAATCAACTGCTGCAACAATGTCCACAGGAAGAAAGCTTCCCTTGAGCCAAACCAAACACAATGGTTTGAAGCTGAGAAACGTTAGCAAAGACTCGTCTTCGAGCTCGATGGAAGAGACAGTGTTTTCCAGAAGAATGCCCTCTTTCTCTTCCACCATAACCAGCATTGTTGAACCCAAAATTCAATAAATAATCTTAGTATTAATAATTATATCACAAACTTTGAATATTAAAAGTTTGAATTTAAAAAGAAAAAAAAATCAAATCAAATATATATAACACAGTGTAACGAAAATAAATACTGTCTTGTTCAAACGAAATATGAGAACTTTGCTTCGTCTTTAATGACCTCATCTATTGTTACCTCTAATTCATTAAATTCGAAAACTGAACCTAAATCATTGATATCCTTGATTTTTAACTCCACAATTTTTTTTTTATTTAAATTTGATTTTAATACTCCGAAATGTTTTGAACACTTTAATTTCAATATTGAATTGCCTTATAGTGGTTAAATAAAAATTTTCATTCTTTGAAATTGCTGTCATTCTTTCCGGCGTAGCTGACATTGAGCAAGGGCTATCATGGCCAACATCAAACACTTTCAACACTGTTTTGTCTTCTGACGAGTTGCAATTAAAAACTTTATTCAAATTTGGATTACAAATGAAAACCGACGACCAATATTTTTTGTTTTTGGTTGAACATTGTAGCACTTCAAGATCACTTAAATCTATAGAAAAATACTTCAATGAAAATTGATGAATTGTATTGTATTATAATTAGAGCTAGCAAGATTATATGCGTTTTATTTAATTGTTCGGTTCCAATGATCTTTAATCGACACTGTGACTTCCTTTAATAATTTTCTGCCATCAAAATATGCAAAATTCTGATAAAATAATACATACACAAGAGCCATAGTAAGTGACACATTTAAATCATGAATCATGAATCATGATTCATTGAAATAAAATCAAATTTGATTGATGTAAACTCTGAGAAATTTTGAAATGCACTTGAAATCTTTGGGGAATTGTTTGGATCATATATTAACATCACCCATTGATATTGATCAACAAATAGCAGGAACCAGCATTTAGCGTGGCACATATTGGCTACACCTTGTTTTAAAAGATTTGATACGATTTGGAAACTTTTGAAATCTATCATTTCTAAATTAGTATTAATTAGTATTATTAACTGCTGAATCAGAAATGCGATGAAGGTGTGTAGCTAATTGCTTTACTAAATCGCCACTTTTAGCTTTAACGATCAAAACTATTTTTTCTTCTTTATTTTCCTTTTTAATATAGCAACCGTCAAGAGCAAAGTTTTTATTTGCTATGATTTTATAGTTTAAATGAAAGTCAACATTATCAAATATGGTTACAACAGGATCAAAAAATATTTTTAAACAGAATCCCAATAATTGAGCTTCTGACCTTATAGAGCCAATCATGGTTTGTTGTACGGCCATTAAAGTAAATTCATTACTAAATCCAATTGTTGATTTACGAGCAACTTTCATAAATGTGTAATTGGTTGATTATATCTGCCGAGGTGATTTTGGAAGACGAGAAATCAGGAAGGATTTCTCTTAAACAATTGATAGTTCTGTTGTATCTATAGGAGCTACTCAATGTTGTTGTACTGTTAATCTTTGCAGATGCGTTTTGTTTTGAACGTTGAATAGATTCGTAAACAGTAGTGGGAGCTGCTAACTCATCTGAACTATCGGCAGAGCAATTAAGATTGTCATCACTATTGCTATTATCATTATTACTTTCGTTATTATTATTAGTGTCTTGAAGGCGTAGAAGCAACGAATGGTTGGGAAGTAGAAAAATTAAGGGAGTATACGTACTCGCTTTCGATTTTGTTTTGGCATTTTTATTTCTATTATTGTCTTTGTAGATGATTGAAGAAATTCTTTTTTTTGACTGTTCTAACATAATAAACGATACAATTGTAGATTCATTTTTTTCTTTCATCTTTACTATTGCTTTTATTGCTTTACTTTTTTCAAGGATAATATTTTTGGATTTCAAAGCAATTTCATCATCTGTCATTTTTATTGAATCCTGTTGCATTTCTGCTGTTACTGGTGCTGGTTTTTTAATCGATTTTGCATATCAAGCTGTTTGTTCTGATGGTCCAAGCGACGAGCAGTGCTTTGATAATTGGATTTAAGTGCTGATGAAGAGGCAGTCACCAGAAAACATGAGGTTTCAATCGAGATGCTGCTGGGAATCGCTGTGGAATCTGCTGCAAGACTGATGGTGTTGGTGCTGAATGGAGACGCATTTCCACCATCCTCATCGGTTTCAATGAGCCCATCAGCTACAAATCGGCTCCAGCATGTGATGCACATCCAGCATAAAGCTCTGCTTCTCGAAAAGTGCTGTTTTGTTCTTCACCAACGAAACATCATTGGAAGAAGATAGGCCCAGCATGAGATACATAGGAGGAGCATGGAGCTTTTGGACACACTATTCAACAATAAGCCCACTCAACACCTCAAACACACGATTCCACCCAAGGGTCAAAGCTGTGATCTCCCAGATGGACATGATAGCCCCAAGGTTTTCTTTGAATAAAGGCGACATCGAGATTATCACCAGCCCAGAGGTGTTTTATCAGCAGTTGAAGGAAAAGGCCAGCCATGCCCAGGAAAGGATATTTCTCTCGTCTCTCTACATTGGCAAGAACCAGAACGAGCTTGTGGAGTGTTTGCGACAGACGATGATCGAAAAACCCAACTTGAAGGTCTCCATCCTCACTGATGCTTTGAGAGGCACTAGAGAAGCTCCCTCAAAGTCCTCAGCTTCTCTATTGGCAAGATTGTACAAGGAATTTGGCAACAGAATTGACATCAGAATGTACCACACTCCGAATCTTACTGGTTTGAAGAAGTATCTTATCCCCAAAAGACTCAACGAGGGCTGGGGTTTGCAGCACATGAAATTGTATGGATTCGACGATGAGATTATATTATCTGGTGCTAACCTATCATCAGACTACTTCACCAACAGACAGGATCGTTACTATGTTTTCAAATCAAAGGATCTAACAAACTACTATTACAATATCCAAAAGGCAGTCGGCTCTATCAGTTATAAAGTGGTTTACGAAGATAGCGACAAACAGTTCAAACTAACCTGGCCAACTTCAAACTTCACTTCAGAACCTCATTTGGATACTAAAAGGTTTGTTTTGGAGTCAACGTCTTTGCTAGAGCCCTTGATCAGAAAGAAAACAATTGGTGATTACGAAGAAATGATTACTGACGAGGAGTTAAACAAATCAGAAACAATTGTTTATCCTGTATCACAATTCACACCACTATTGAATCCTGATGCTTCAACTGAAAAACCTATTGTCTTGCGATTATTGTCGTATCTCGATAACCCCAACATTCAATGGACTTTCACTGCTGGCTATTTTAACATGCACAACGACGTTAAAAGAAGATTGTTAAATGCTACTTCTATTGGCAATGTTATTACAGCTTCACCCGAGGCTAATGGCTTCTACAAATCAAAAGGAATCTCAAAATACTTGCCTCCTGCTTATTTGTATCTTGCTCGAACATTTCTCAATGAAGTCAAAGAAGCCAAAAAAGAATCCCTAGTATCGGTTATGGAATGGAAGAAGGGAGTGGTGAACACTCCCAATGGTTGGTCTTATCATGCTAAGGGCTTATGGATCAGCGACCCAGATGATACAAAACCATGTATAACGATTATTGGTTCATCAAATTACACCAGAAGAGCTTACTCTTTGGATTTGGAGTCCAATGCTGTGATTGTTACAAAAGACGAGAATCTCAAACAGCAAATGCAAAATGAGGTTGACAACATAATGCAAAATACAAAAAAGTTGTCTATTGAAGATTTTGAGAAAGACAACAGACACATTTCTAAAGGAGTTATATTAGCCACAAAGCTTCTTGGAAATAAACTATAGTAATAATAAAAAAAGAAAAGAAAAGAAAAATTAATGAAATTATGTGTATAAAATATGTTATGAAATTGTAAATATACAAAGCTTTTTTATTTTATTTTATTTTTATTTTGGAAAAATTTGTGTTATTTTAATTTTAAAGAAAAAATCAGTGTATAAAAATTGATATACGATATTTACACTATTTTTACTAATAAAGTTGATGTCATTTATAAATAAATTGTAAAAGTATAGAGAATATATTTTTCTTATCTTCTTTAAAGTATATTGTTAAAAAAAAAATGGAATATTGTTAGAATTAATAAGGATGGAGAAAAAAATAAAAATAAAAATGCTAAAGTTTAGGTAATACATTTAATGCCAGTTGTATTCTGGACATGAGGTTTCTGGAAGTTCTCCTAAACTTCTGAAGCTAGAGAAATCAACTGTTTCCTTCTTCAGGGAAGCGAAAGAAGTACCATCAGCGTACATTGGGTCAAATTGTTTTCCATGTTCCTTCTCAATGGCAAAATGTTTCTTAACCATCTCTCCAACAACAGTTTGATAGTAAACAACACCTCTTTCTTTTAATGGATGTAAAAATCCAGTTGAATAAACACCTTGATTTAAATTTTTTTGAGTCAATTCACATAAATCAAAATCTTCAATTTCAACTTGTTGCAAAAAATCAACAAATTCTTTTTTCTCTTTCTCAGCCAATCCTTTTTTAGTATAGATATCATATTGTAAAACTGTATGAGTTGGTGTAATTGGCAAAACTCTGATGGAGTACCATGCTGGAGAATAGCAGTTGATACCATTGGTTGGATAGAGATAAACCCATAAACCATCAAACTCACCACCTGGATTAGCTTCTTTTCGAACTTCAGGAAGTTTTTTTTCAGATTTTCCCCAGGCAAACCATGATGACTCAACATCTGGATCAACCTCTTCTTTGAGAACACTGATGTCTTCTCTCACAATTTCGGCGTAATGACGACAGTAATTGGTCTTTGGAATCACTTTGTAAGTATTCATTTTGAATGCAGTGTTTAAACCTGGGTGAGCAGTTGGACAGTGATAACATTCTTGATATCCATCCATCAATGTTTTCCAGTTAAATTTGCCATCTAATTCGTATGACATATAATACTGGTAATCTGAAAAATTATATTCTTTCATTTCCTCTTGTAGGCCTAAATAGTATTCGTCAAATGGAATAGGTCCTTCTTTGACTAGGTTGAAGTTAACAAATATTAAACCTTGATCAGTAACAAAAGTGTGAATTGGAACCAAGTCAACTGGTTTGGTTAGATCAACCTTCTTAGAGGGTTTATGGTAAGCCTTAAAACTTGATTCACCTATTCTGATAATATAAAACTCAGTGCTCATGATATTAAAAAGAAAATAGTCCCCATCTTTACTGAATTTGTATTTGTGTGTGCAATACAACCACCCTTTGTTAAAGATCGATCTTTTTTCCAAATCAAAAACAGCTTGTGAGGTCCACCAAGTAGCAGGAAGAGTATGTTCTCCTGGTAATAATTTTTCAGCTTCACTGTATTCTGGTGGTTTTGAAATAGTGTAGGTTTTGGTTTGAGAAGCAACAGCAGCAGGCATTTTTGATTAGTTGTGAAATCGAGATGTATTGATTGAATTGATTCTTTATAAAGCTAATTTTTCTTGTGTGAAAGTTGTAATGGCCAGCATAAAATTAAGCTCCAAATTCATCATATTTATACCATTTCCTCAATCATTCCCCCACTACTATAATCAACATATATCAAGGCTCAAACTTATAAATGTTCACCATCTGAATCTAAATCTAAATCCAAATCAGCATTTGAATTCATTTAGAGTGTTGATCAATCAGAACTCCATTGCTTCCAGCCAATAAGGATCACTGTGTGATAAAGAAATATCTGCAAGCATCTCTTTTCCATTGATATCTCGGTTTATCAGCCACTAGATTGCATCTATCGAGTATCTAACAATCTTGCTTTACAATAACAGCAAGTCAAATTCTGTGCTATCTCCAGAATCCAAATTAGGCAGGTCAAATATATTCCAGCTTTCACTTACATTGGCCCGACAAACAACTCTAATTATTTCATTAAAATTGTATCTTCAAGACAGGTTTCACAGCAGTTTTCGAGTTCGGAATTTGTTTCTAAAAGAACTTGTTCTTTATATTTGTTGGTGAAAGAAGATTTTATGACTTGTCAGAGCTGAAACTTATGTCAAAACTTACAAAGCAAACAATGCACAAAACGACAGTAAGTAGAGGAAAGGGAATTAAATGCTGATTTATTCGAGATGGAATAATTGAGAGAACCTTTATGACAAAAAAATAGCATGGAAATATATTAACAGTGGCAAATTGAGATTGGGAATCAAAAGATAAGGAGCTTTATGTCATACGTTGAAGTTAACCAGAAATCCAAAGATCATTATTCTCAACTCATTGAGTAGAATTCAGACAAAGGTGGAAAAAAAGAAAAAAAAAAAATAAAACATTTAATTTTTGGCATTTAATTCCTCTAAACCTACTATTAATAAATATATACTTTTGCAGCTTTGTTTTTTTTTAAAAAAAAAGTAGAATTGATAAATTATAATATGTACATGAATATGAATTCGAATGGATAAGGAGAAATTGACTGATTAGTTGAGTCTTGACAAAAAGGCATCTTTTGTTCTAATAACAGTGTCTACTCTTCGTTTTTCGTCGTTCCAACGTTTAATTACTATTGTTTTCTTGCCAGGTTTGTTGGCTATTGCAAGAGTTTCAGGCAAAACAGGTTTGAGGTATTTTCTTCTCAACTGTACTATTTCTTTTCGGGAATAAAATGGTTGGTTAATTAATTGCAATATTTTTTTTTTTGTGTCAAGATTTATAATAGGATTTTTTACTAAGGAGTCTAGCTGAGAAATGATATTTTCCTTAGAAGAATCTTTTTCTTCTTTTGATAGTTTTTTATATAGCATAAATTTTGAGTCAAAATCAACAAGAGGATCAATTATATTAGATAATTTTTCGTAATTTTCTTTTTTGGTTTGAAAGTCCTCTTGAGTCAACTCTCCTCTTTTAACAGCTAGTTTCAAATCATATATATGGTTGAAAGTTATTAAACCAGATGCGTCTTCTAAAGCTTGCCCGTTTTTGCAATATCTTGAGAGCAAGACCAATCTATCAGTTATCAAATCCAAATCAGATTCAGAAAAGGATTCGCTAGTAATCAGAGACAATTGCTCAGCATACAATTTTTTTAGTTGTTCATTCTTCAATTGACGATTTTGTAGCTGATCGAAAATTCTGGAAGAATCTAAGTATTCCTTTCTTGACATATTGCGCTCTTCCTTTTCGGCTTCAATAGGATCAGTCAATAATTGGTAACCAAATCTTCTTACTCTTGGTTCCCAATGAGGAGTTGGCAATCTCAAGTCTTCCCTTAAAGCAACACCAATGAATTTTCTCTTTGGATGAAAAGGATCCAAATAGAAACGAACAAAACCTGGCTCTAGAGCAAAAATTGTATAATCTTTACCAATACCAACATTTTCGCCTGGGTAAAATTTGGAACCTCTCTGTCTCATAATGATTTCACCAGTTTGCACTAATTGGCCTTCATGTTTTTTAGGACCCAAACGACGACCAGCAGAATTAAAATTATTGGTTTTACCACCACCAGCTTTTTTCGTTGAAGTACGCACGAACTGGAGAGAGTCAAGGGCACCAGTGGCATTGTATAGTAGGCTGTTGGACAAAGGCAAGGAGGGACGTAAGCAGGATCTCAAGGTAGAACTAGACCTTAACATATCAGCCGAAAAGGTTTTATTGAAGACAGACATCTCGACAAAAGCTGGTGTATGTTTTTGGCTTTGCGATCAAGAACCAGACTCTTCGCCAATGATAAAACCACTTTTCACTGATTTTCATTTCTTTCAAACAGAGAAAGCAGAAAATATAAACGTGACCCCTCGTAAACAAGACAAACAACAGAAACACGCTGGTTGCAGCAGACCCCTACCTGCAGTACCGGAACATCCAGCGGACCAGCATTTACACACCTGTTATTTGGGAAAGGGAAGCACAAATCTTCGCTGAACCTCAGTTTCTTTGCCTTCTTCTTCCTCTCCTTCAAATTTAAGACGACAGCGACCGTCTCTTTTGGAAGATATAACTTCAGCTGGGTAGAATGTGGTTGTTTCGGGATATCGAGCCAACACCCTGCTTCTGTTAGGATAATTTTTGAGACTAGAAACATCTTGGGCTGAAGGTATTAGGATGATTTCTTTCCAGTCCACATCATAGACCTGACAGAAATTGTTGTCGTCAGGTTCAGGATCTCTGATTTTAAAATGAGTCAAATCAATCACTTTGGTAACTTCACACTGGATCCAGTCACTTGAAGTGGGTGTTCTCAACTTGTACGCCACCTCAGAACCAATCACAATGGGGGTTGATGTATTATATTGGGAAGTGAAGTAACTTTTCCCCTTTTTCACATTGCTTTTGGCTCTTCTGTTCAATGATATTGGTGCAGGTACTGCCTTGCCGCTCAAATTGTCTCTTTTACTTGTAGAGTTTACATCATTGTTGAAATCGCTGTCAATGGCATTGGTGTTGAGATTGTTTCCTGTGTAATTATAGCTGTGGCCAGTGCTAGTGCTAGCGTTATTGTTGTTGCTCCCACTGATACTATTACCGTTATTGTTACTGATATTGTGACCGTGGGTGTTATGGCTATTGTGAAGACTGTGACTATTGTGACTATTGTGATTATTGTGAGAATTGTGATTATTGTGAGAATTGTAATTGAGCTTAGTGTCACTGATATTTGTGTTTGGATTGAAATCGTTCTTGGAGAGCCCACCTCCTGGCATTGAATCGGATAGGCTGTTTCTTTTGCTTTCCATCGCCTCGTCGCCAGACTTGTAACTTGGACCGGTGCTGCTTCTGTTGCCAGGTAGTTTTGGAGAAGCAGAAGCTCTTTTGGCGTTTATCAATAGATCGACGTTTTCCAAGACAGTGCCCAACAATCGATCGCACTGATCAACGTTCTCCCTGTGTTGGTTCAACGTGGCAATCAAGTCCTTCAACCTGTCTGCTGGCGAACTGCTCAACCTGGCCTCGCTGGCCTCGATCGTCAAGGGATCCAACGAGTTGATCCTGTTGGCGGTAAACACGTCCTGCAACGTCGTGGTGATGATGTCCCATTTGTCCTCCAAGTTGCCTCCCATTTGTGTTGTCTCTGCCCCTGCGCTTCACCCTGAGTTCATCTCTTGCTTTGCTCTCTCTCCAGGCCCAAGCTACTCCTCCACCACAAACACCGCTGGAAACTGCACCTGCACCGTCACGTGCCGCTGTGGGAGCGAAAAAAAGTGAGTGAAATGCTGAAAATTTAATTCTTCGCCTGTTGGTCCAAGACTGAAAACTTTCTCAGACTGTTATTGATTGTGATAGACGCTTTATTCAGAATTGAATTGGGCATCATAGTCAACCTTATCATCCGTACAGGCGCCAACTTATTTATCTCTTGTTATCATTTTTATTAATTTACTTGGTTCTACTGAACATGTCTGAGGCAATGGATATTGATGACTACTCGAAGGACGAGCGTGATCGTTCTCGTTCTCCTGTTCGAAGAGACTCCCATGATAAAGGCAGAGATTTTTATGACAAGGGAAGGGATTCCTATGAAAGAAGGGACAGAAGCAGGGGTGACTACCGAAGAGACAGAGGTTATGGTAGAGACAATCGTTCTTATGGTGGAAGAGACAGGTACAGTGGAAGAGACAAAGGTTATGGAAGAGAAAGATATTCTAGAGACAGACCTTATGACAGAGACAGAAGACCTGCACCATCCTACTCCAAATTCGGTTTATTTGCTGATAAGACCAACAGAAACTATTCCAAAAGTATTTTCATTGGTAATTTACCATTTGACTGCGAGTGGTCTCAACTAGAAACTCATTTCAAAGAAGGTATGTATTAATTGTGGGGGGTTTTTTTTTTTATAAATTGAATTAAAATAACTATAATCTAAAGGAAATAATTATAAAGTTGAAAAAACCCAACTAAAACACATTCAATCAGATTGATCATTACAACTGCAGAAAATAAGTAAAATAAGAAAAAAAAAAAAGATAAAATAGGAATAATCAAACTGTCTAATTTCTAATAATAAAAGAAATAGGTAAAAGAAACATTTATTATAGATCAAATCAACATAAAAAATTGAAAGTTGAAAATTAAAAATTAGAAATTAAAAAATAGACATTACAAGACAAAAAATAAAGATCAAAAAATAAAGATCAAAAAGTAAAAAGTAAAAATTAACAATAAAAATCAAAATAGCTATAATTTTTAATTTAATATTATTCTGCTTGGTTTTTCTTCTTTTGTGCTTTGACATTTAATTTTATGAGAATTGTTAAAAGTGTTTGTATTATTCTGCTTTGTTGTTTTCTTAATATTTTAGAATATTTTAAAATATCTTTATTGTGGTTCTCTTTTTTTGTATTTTCACTCAATGTTAATCTGATACAAAATAGTATAATTTAGATCTATCCGAGATGATTGTTGCGAGCTATCTTTTATTTTTATGCTTGTTTATTGTCACAAATTTCACAAAGATGCTTTTTGCGTTATTTTCGTTTTTTGTTTTATGATATGGTTATTTTTTTTCCTTAATATTGCATTATTTATTAATTGCAGTTGCTAACATACGGTATTTTAGTCGGTGAGGTTGCTAGAGCTGATATTGTTACATCCCATGGTGTTTCCAGAGGTATGGGGTAAGTAAAAATAACTGAAACTATTTTTTTTTTCCTTCTTTGCTTGTTTTTACTTGTTTTTGATTAAATTTTGCTAGAATACTAACGTCTTCAAATAATAATAATTATAATTTGATTTGTATTAGAACTGTGGAATTTGTTAATGAAGAAGACGTGCAAAAAGCTATTGACAGGTTCAATCATACCACATTTTTAGGCCGTGAAATCTTTGTTAGAGAAGATAATCCCCCTCCTGAACAAAGAGACAGCGGTCGTGATCGTTATAGTGATCGTTACAGAGAAAGAGACAGATATGATCGTAACCGTGATCGTGATCGTGGAAGATTTGGTGGAAGAGATAGATACGATCGTGGTGGTCGTGATGATCGCAGATATGATAGACATGACCGATATGATAGAGAAGGTGGCTCATACAACACTTCAAAAGGGTATGAGATTTTTGTTGCTAACTTGCCATTCAGTGTCAACTGGCAACGTCTAAAAGATCTTTTCCGTGAGATTGGCGATATCATTCGTGCAGATGTTGCTGAAGATTATAGAGGTCGTTCCAAAGGATATGGAACTGTCAGTTTTGCTACCAAAGAAGAATCAGATAGGGCGATTGAGAAATTCAATGGCCGTGAAGTTGAAGGCAGACAGTTAGACGTGAGAGCAAGTAAATTCAATCCACCAGACGAAAGCAATGATGAAGATGGCGAAAGAGACTTTGGCAGAAGGAGCTCATCACGCAGCCAATCATCCAAACCCAAAGATGAAGACGATTTCCCAGAAGGAATCAGAGGATTGGGAGAGAAGAGTAATACCATTTTTGCTAGCAACTTGCCATGGTCCACCTCTGATGATGATTTGTATGATTTGTTTGAAACTGTTGGTGTTGTTGACAAAGCTAAAATCCAGCTTGACTCGACTGGAAGAGGCAATGGGTCAGCAGTTGTTAGATTTGAACAAGAAGATGATGCTACCACAGCCATTGAAAGGCTCGACGGTTTTGAGTATGGCAAGCGTGATTTAAGAATTTCATATGCCTTGTTTCCACCCTCCAAAAACGATGTGGACACTGAAATCTAGTCGTTTACTCTGGAAAGGTCAACTGCTTTCCCAACAGTAGTATTTTTATATATGATTTCTCCTTTAGCCTTATAATGAAAACTCATCTTCCCCAAACTGCCGCATGCAACGACACGCTCCCAGCGGTCTGTACCAAAGATATGGTTCCGGTGCCACCGGAAGCGCCCCGCAGCCTGAGCCAGCTGGGGGGAAATGAAGGCTGATGCTGGGGTATATATAGCCCGAGCTGCTGTTGTAGCTGGAGTAGAAGAAGCAACTGCTTTGCTTCCTTAATTGTCATCTTTTTTGCACATTGCACCATATTATATTTCAATTTTATTACATTTTATTGGATTCCATTGTTGTCCTTTGGCTGTCTTTCCAACATGGTTGAGGCATCCGGTTTTGCAAAGTCCTATTGGGAATACTTCCCTGAGTACTTTTTCAAGGTGTTTTTTTTTGTTCTCATTGTTGGTGGTTTGGTATTGCTTCATTTAAGAAGAAGATGGTATCCAGACTTCAAAGAGTGGGTTGTGTCCAAGGTAGAATCTTGCCGAAACTGCTGTAATAATAACAACAGAACCAATTCCAGCTATTTGCCTGTCAGCGGCTTTGAAAACGATATTAATCAGGGTCTATCCTCAAGCAATTTCGATTTGGAATCAAATAATATCAGCAAACTGGATCTGAGGTCTGGTTTGGACGAACATTCCAAGAAACAAATATTGAAAATAATGAACGACAACAAGTCGCTATCGTTCGACCAGGCAAGATTATTCTATACCAGAAGAATAATGGCTGATAACGAAATAGCTCCTGATGGAACTCCTCTCGATCCGAGAGCTGTAACTTTCACTAATTTTAATAGCAACCTGAACCTATAGAAAGGTATACAGTGAAGCAAAAACTTCAATGATAAATGCACACCCTCACAATATCTGAAACCCTATAACCTTCTGCTTTATATTTTATATTATTTTATTCTTATCTGAATTATCTGGAGTATTTTTTTCTATGGTAATAAGTTCCAGTCAGTTTATTTTAAATCATTTATCAACTCCAAATCCTATAATCACTGCGTTTTTTAATCCCACCATATCGTTGCATGAACTCTAATGGTATCCCATTTTACTATCTATTAACAACTTCATTTATTCTTTCTGCTGATTTAATTATTATCGTTTGTGTGTGAATTCACTCACCACTTTTCAGATTTATCAAATTTATCAGATTTATCAGATTTCTCAAATTTCTCAGGTTATATAATATTTAATAAATCGTTATTAAAACAAATTGTTTTATTTTTTATGTTTTTCTCTTTGGGAATTACCAATTGATATTAAACCAATATAGTTTTCAATCAGAAAGCTTATCATTTATCAATAGAAGAATAAACAAGGGTTAATGTTCCTTTTATAACTTGTTTAACTAAATGCTCTGAGATTCAATTGTAAATTGAAAAAAGTTTAGAATAAAAGCTGCATTTATATTCAAGATGAAATCAAATAAGTTATCACCTTTAAAGGAACCATCCCAATGAACATAAACTCCAAACAAGTGTTTATTAAAATAATTTAGAAATAAATTGTGAGGTTGCCTGAAAAAAACAATAAATTAAAAAACCATCTTTAGTTTAATGAAAAACAATAAATTAAAAAGCTGATAAAAAATAACCATGATTTAGCAAAAAAAGATAAACAGATAGCAATATTGGTTGAAAAATAAAAATTGATTAAGAAGCAAAAACTGATATCTATAAGAGTTGATGAAATAATCAAAAAAATATTAGCACAAGTGAAAGGCACCTTGCTTAAGCACAACGGGATTTGATTTAAACAAACTAAGCATCAATTGTCTGAACTTGGCTCATGAGCCCTAAGTAATGGCTGTTATGTTCGATGATTGGATTTCAGGAGTTGATAACAACAGCATTATGATTACCTTCTCGTGCACCTTCATATAGTGGCATTTGCTTGGATTTAATTAAATTAGAGCAGCTAGGTTTTTCAAATTCATCTGTTCATCCGTTTTCTTATTTTATGTTAGCTTTTGCTTGCTAATAACATCTGAAACTGTTTTTATCATTACTATCATTATCAATTTTCATTGGACATGTCATTGATAATTGTTTTATTTTTTTGGGAATTTTTTTAAATAACCCCCTGCCTCAATGTTTCAATTTTTATTTGTTTTGGTTTCGTTAGTGGACCGTTCTTATTGTGCTACCATCATTAGTTGAATTTATGTTACGATGTTTGATTATTCTTAATGGCACAGTATCTTCATTTGGTTTTGGTTATTATGGTTGATAACCCTTAATGGTACAGTATTTTCGATTCGTTTTTTGAGACCAGGGTTTATCATCCTTAGTGGTGCAGTAGCTTCAGTTTGATTTCTGTTACGATTTTTGATCACTTTCAATGCTATGATCTCTTTGACCAGATTATTGTTGCTTTTGTTGATGGAACTATGGTATTTGCATTTGGTTTGATTTCCCATTCCATAAAAAAGATCGTTCATGATGTCTCTATGTAACATCTCTTGAAGTTTATATTCGTCTGATTTACTTTTGATGCTATAGTAAAGTTTTTCCATAATCTCACCAATCAAACTTTTTGGATTACTGTTGTTTCGATGCTTGGCCATTCTTAATGGTCTGATATCTTTACTTGGATATCTGTTATAAAGCTTGCACAATCTCAATGGTGCTGTTGCTTCAATCTCCTGTTGGTTATCATGTTTGGCCATTCTTAATGGTCTAATCTTTTTATTTGGATGTGTGTTGTGATGCTTGACCACTTTTAATGGTGGAACCATTTCACTTGGATCGTTGCTGCTTTTGTTGATGGAATTATCGTATTTGCATTTGGTTTGATTTCCCATTCCATAATAGAGATTGTTAATGATTTCTTTGTATAACCTTTCTTGGAGTTTATGTTTGTCTGATTTTTTTTCCACATTATTATCAAGCTTTTCCATAATTTCATCAGTCAGCTCTTTTTGAAGGGTTTTGTTCTGGATATAACAATAGTGTTTATTTTCATTAGTTTTGATTCTTTCATCATCTTTCATATCCCTTCCATTGTTCGAGGTTTCCTTTAATATTCCTTTATTTGGTTTTCTTCTATACGGAGGTAATCTTTTACACCCTGGGGCATCTTTTGTATGATTCATTTTATCAAAATACTTGACTTGATCGTATATTTCAAATTTCACTCTTTTGAATTTTTGGGAGAGTTTTGGAGGGATTTTTTGCTTATTGTTATCAGGATAATTATTATTAGGATAATCGTTATATCGAATTGTTTGTTGTAGTTTTTCGGCAAAAAGTTCTTCATCTGAGTGATCATCATATTCTTTGTTTTCATCCTTTAAATTGGGTTTTTCTTCATTTGAGCATATGTGTTGGACTTTCACATGTGCGTTGTCAAACTCATCAAATTTACAATTTTCTTGATGTTCTTTTGTGAAAGATTTATAAAATTTCAAATTTCCCAATTTTTTAAAGCTTGGAAATAATAATGATGCTGAAGATGGAGATGGAGATGGAGATAGGGATAATAGTGAGTATGATAATGAAGATGGTGCTGGTAATGAGGATGGTAATGATTTATTTTCAATTTCTTCTTTTTTGATTGAACCATTGTAATTTTTGACTGATTTAATACTTTTGATATTTTTTATTTGTCTTTGAAAAAAAGATTTAATTGAATTGTATTGTTTGGTTTCTTTAACTGGAGAAGCATCGTCAATGGTTGAATTGGTGTCGTTAGCATCTAATTTTTTGACCTTTTTGGATGATCTAAATGATTTAATTTTGATATTAATGTGATTTTTGTTTTCAGAATCATTTAAAGTTTTATTCTGATTTTGATGATTTTTGAGCTCATTTGATGGAGGTTTTTCCGATCTGGCTTTTGAATTGGAATCATTTGAGTTTGATTGTTTTTTAAAGTAGGAGATAGTATTATGTAAAGAATATGACATTTTCGGCACGATATTTGAGAAGATATTTGAGAAGAATTTCCTGATTGAATTTATATGGATTTGATTGATTAATTCTAAGGAACTAAGTCTATTGGTAATAATTATAGATAAAATGATATAAAGAAAATAAAAAAATGGAAAACAGCAATCTCTTCAATCTACATTCTAGAGAATAGTTTTGTGACCTGACGCAAAACCACAAAAGGCAGCAAAAGCAGCAAAAGCAGCAGAAACTGAAAGCAAAAACTCCACCACAACGGTTCTTTTGGAAATCCTTTACCAAGAACTTTATTTTTTGTGAGTCTGCTCAAAATTCTGGCTTGGCTTACGGAAAGAGGTAATATAATATGCTATTATTTGCAATGTAATAAAAGAATTGAAATGAAACACGATATTTCAAAAGGAAGATACAATTCTTTTTATATCTTGAGGACCGACTCTACAGCAACCACCTATAATTCGTGCACCATTTGTAACCCATGTTTTGGATATATTTTCCAATTTATATTGATCCAATTTCTCCTTTCCCAGTATTTCGGAATCGGGGCTCCAACTTTTTTTCACTCCATCGTAAATTTCTCCAGAATTGGGGTATATTGATATTGGAAACCCATCTGGAATTGCATTTTTAAGGTTTTTTATAAACGAAACTGAATTCTTTAATGGCAAACAATTGGATCCAATTGATATCAAATTACCGTCGTCAAAAAAGTTTTTGTTATTCAAATAATCAGTAACGAGTGAGATACTAGTTCCGTCAGCTAGATGGTATGGATCTTTGATACTAACCGATAATATATATGGTTTGTTAACACTTAGTTTTTGTTTTAAATCAACTTCAATTAGTTCAGTTAAAACTTTGATTTCTAAAAAATTAGGCATTGTTTCTAATATTAAAAAATCGCAATTTTTATTTAAAATTAACAACTTTAATCTTTCATAATGAAATTTTTTCAATTCGCCAATGCTGATGTCTCCATAATTTCCTGTATATTCAGAACCATCTGATAAGAAAGCACCATACGGACCGATCGAGCCTGCAATGAATAATGGCTTGATTGTTTTTTGGTTTTGAATTTGATTTTGAATTTGATTTTGGAGATATTCAATTTTGGCATTATTTGCTAATTCCACACTTTTATTAATAACATCATCACAGTTTTGTTTTACTGAGAAATATAATTTATCATATTGAATCAATCCCCTGATAGAAGTTTGATAAGTGGATGTTATAAGAATATTAGAACCCGATTTCAAATAATCCATATGAATTTCTTTAATTGTTGAAGGGTTATTTAATAGAGCAATTGTAGACCAAAGAGGGTTTGAAACATCAACACCTCTTTTTTCCAACTCAGTGCCCATTGCTCCATCAAAAAATAAAACATCTGAGGTAGTTCTCAATATAGTTGATATATTATTAACAGTCATATCCATGTTCACAACAAACAGCGATAAAGGATCAAGTTAAGAAAAATAGCTGATTCAAAAAGCAATCAATAAGCTACAAAAAATATCTCATCAATTTTTTTTATTTATTTTTTTTCCAACCCTTTTCTTGGTTTAATAGAAACTTTAAATGGTGCATATACATACTTGAAGGTTGAAACTTTAAATCACTAAAATTGGATGTAAAAAGATTCAATATATATTAGGCTGTCAATTATAAAGGATTCTAAATTTAAAGGTAGAGAAAAATATAAATAAAATAAAATAAATGAAAATAAAATAAAAATTGTAAATCACAAAAAGGAAGATAGTAACAAACAAAGAATATTTATATATAACAAGTTTTTCTTTTCTATACTCTACCACCTGGTAAGAAAACCGGTTTGACAGTGAGGTAAGAGTTTTGAGGAGTAGCAATACCAGCATAAGCATTGTACCAGGCCATAAATGCAACAATAACACCAAGTACACCTCCTGCTCTAGTACAGTTTTCATTTCTTGTGAAATCGCCGATGGTTAATAGCAAAAAAGTAATTGTTAAAAGGAAAAACATTCCAAAGAAAGCAACTGTTGACTTCATAGTGCAAACAGTGATCATGGCAGTAAATATTGTCCAACCTAAAAGATAGAAAGCTATGGCATTAGCCAACTCTGTCTCATCATCATATGAAGAAGCAATTCCAAATGCATCTGTTTGTATGGCAGCATATGACATCCAGAATCCACCATATGAAGACAATGCAGTTCCACCAAATGTGTTCTCAACAGCAATCTCCCACATTCCAGCACACAATTGAATAAATCCACCATAAAAGAAAGCCAAACCAACTACAACTTTTGGATTGTGTATACCCATTGCTCTAGCATTGACCATAGACAATACAAATGTAGTTAAAGCAAAAGCAGATAAACCTAAAGGACCTGGGTTAGCAAATTTATGAGTTGGTGGGGCCATGATACCTGGATACAACGAACCACCGAAAGCATTTAATAGTTCATCTTTTCTGACTTTCATGTTTCCAATATGAACAAATTCATTTTGAGCACCAGAAGTGGTAATAGGTTGGTGTTCATCACCAGAGTGAGAAATATTTTTTTCGACGTCAGACATTTCCTAAAGGATAATAGTGCAATTATAACAAAACAATGTAAAAAATAAGAACCAGTGTATTTATTAACCAAGGTTAGCTGAAATAATGTTACAAAGAAAGACGAGAGAACAAAACATCCAGCAGAATTGAAGAAATTTGTTTCTTTATATAACAAATGCTGCAAAATAAGGCCAAACAAAAAAAACAATTAAAAGAAAAGTAAAAGAAAAAAGTCATTAAGACCAGATAAAAAAACCACTTCAGCTCAATCAATGTGATCCTCAAATTTAACTTGTGCAAAAGAAAACTGAAGTGGAGTTGGATCATTTACCAAGAAAAATATAACGCAAGAAAACCTCTTAAATGTTAATAGCCTTGTGCTTAATCAAGTCTGGATCGTAACCGGGTATCAAAGGAAAGAGCACCCAAACCGAAACGAAAGTTGAAAGAGTTCTGTTGGCAGTATTACTTTTGTTAGCACTGTTGACACTGTTAGACTGTTGACATTGTTAGCATTGTTAGGACGGTTAGCACTGCGAGTTGAGTGAAGCCTTTGCTGGATATTTGGGCTTCTGAAAGAGAAAGGTTCTATCGAGAAGCCTGAGGGTGCGTGAGGTGAAGTGCGCGCAAGAGGGGTGCAGTGTGGGGAGGGGCAAGGGAGCTGGCGGGTCAGTCTATACAAGCTTATTGCTGCAATATGATGCATGTATTGTAGAAACAAGAGTTTGAAAAAGTCTTGTCTTGTCGTCATAATAGATGCTTTGGTGCGGAGACCGGGCCATATTGGTCGAGATCAATTAAATCGGTAGTCGGAAAGATCTGGCTATTGTTTTTGTTTTTGGTTGATGCTGGAAGGTTTTCTCTGTTTCTTTCTGCTGGGACCAAAAGTTTTCTTCCAGCTTGAAAGATTTGCTTGTTTAAATTTAATATCACCTCATAATTGATTTTTGCGTTCCATCGGATCAGATGCGTAATCACTAATGGCTTGAGAGAACAACTATAATTTGAAGCTATTTTGGTTGTTTTTTTTTAACATTTGTGCAAGACTGACTAACATAAACCATGGAATATATTAAGTTTGATATATTTAAGATTGAATGAAAGCGAAAAAATGTTGTATAATAAACAGTTTTTCCTAGTCTAAATCGAAAAAAGTAAAAAAATAAAAAAATGAAAAAATGAAAAAATGAAAAAAGCTATATAAAAAATATGTATGTATAGTAAAATTAAATTAAATTAAATTAAATTAAATTAAATAGAATAGAATAAGTATTTGTATCATTAGTAATCATCATATAATAGTTTGCTTTTTTTCTTTGTTTATTTTTTTTCCAGTAATAGCAGTTAGAATGTTGCATTTAAATATTTTGATATTATGATATTGGTATTTTGGTAGTTTCTAGTTTTTAAAAATAAAGCACGAAACAAAAGAAAAAAAATTGAGTTTTTAAATTATTTGAAGTAGTTTAGACTTATTTTTTTGATTTTGTCAATGGCCATGGTTTAATGGGTAAATAAGAGTTTTCGTGAGTAGCAATACCAGCATAAGCATTGTACCAGGCCATAAATGCAACAATAACACCAAGTACACCTCCTGCTCTAGTACAGTTTTCATTTCTTGTGAAATCGCCGATGGTTAATAGCAAAAAAGTAATTGTTAAAAGGAAAAACATTCCAAAGAAAGCAACTGTTGACTTCATAGTGCAAACAGTGATCATGGCAGTAAATATTGTCCAACCTAAAAGATAGAAAGCTATGGCATTAGCCAACTCTGTCTCATCATCATATGAAGAAGCAATTCCAAATGCATCTGTTTGTATGGCAGCATATGACATCCAGAATCCACCATATGAAGACAATGCAGTTCCACCAAATGTGTTCTCAACAGCAATCTCCCACATTCCAGCACACAATTGAATAAATCCACCATAAAAGAAAGCCAAACCAACTACAACTTTTGGATTGTGTATACCCATTGCTCTAGCATTGACCATAGACAATACAAATGTAGTTAAAGCAAAAGCAGATAAACCTAATGGAGCAGGATTGGCGAATTTATGAGTTGGTGGGGCCATGATACCTGGATTTAAAGTACCAGCAAATGCTTGCATGAATTCAACTTTGTGAAATTTCTGATCGCCAATATGTATGAATTCATTATTCTTTCCAGAGGTGGCAATCTTTGCAACGCCAAAGGCTTCATCAGAAGAAAATGCTCCTTCTATATCATCGTAGGTTGGTTTTCCTGAAGACATTTTGAAATAGAGTTAGTGGATTATTAAATTTGGGTATTGGATTGATAGTCAATAGTGTAGTATGTGTTATAATTAAACAAAGATTAGAGAAAACTATTTTATTTTATTTTATTTTATTTTATTTTATTTTATTTTATTTTATTTTATTTTATTTTATTTTATTTTATTTTATTTTTTTTTATCTACTGAAAACCAACTGGAATGAGTAGAGTAAAGTAAATTATGATTAAAAGAGCTGAGTAGTTTTGAAAAAAACAAAATAAAAAGATAAGAAAACAAAATAAAATAGGTAAAAAACACGCTATTCAATCTATTATATAGTAATTTGGAATTTAGTTTTATGTTGGTGAATAATTATCAAAGAAGAGATAAATTCAGTTAGATAGTTTAAGGTTTTGATGAAAAAAAATAAATTGATGTGGGAAATTCAATACTTATACAAATATATTCAACTAATCCAGTGGAAGATAAAGTTTGCAAAAAATCTAAAATAAAAAATTTTTAAAGTAACTTTAAATAATTTAAATTAACTTTAATTCATCTTAAAAGAAATGTTAAAAGTAAACTCGCTGCTTTTGGGCATGAAGAAAAAGACCTTACAAAGCCCACAGCTGGTGAACGGAGCATAAGGAATTCTCCCAACGTGCTTTCTGCAAAAACAGGCGCTACCCAGAAAATAAAAAGAACGACAGCTCCAGCTAAGAAGAAGCCAAGAGCTCGATATGCAGACAATTCTCAGCAGGAAAATGAAGAGGGTTGCCACTGAGAACAAACCGCACTCTTGCAGCCCAATCAGTGTGCTGAGATCAAAATATCTCTTGAAAACACTTCCACCCAGCGTTTCGCCCAATGTTTACGTAACCAGGTTGGCTCCACCAAATTGCGCGCTAATCCCACCCAAATTGGCCCTGAAAAAAACAGATCAATAATCAAACCAAGAAAACGAAAACCCAAATAATACAAATACCCTGCAAACAGAACTGCAAGATAACCGTACCAAGCAAAGAATCTTGATAATGCTTCTTTGTCCATTCCAATAACCGGAGCGTGCTGTGCCATATTCGAAACCACCTGGACATCTTGGTCAAGTTCTGCAGACGCAAACAGCTACAAGCCAATCGCAGCGGAGCTCGTCCTGATGTGGTGGTTGGGGCCCGGTCGCTCTTCGGTATTGTTGCCCAGAACGGCTGAGTGCCCCTCATTGCTCAAGTCTGGCTGGAGCTGCTGTTGTTTTTGCTTTCAACCGAAGCACCACGAAGGCGCTATGTCTTGTCCTAGAAAGCCGCCAAAAAGACCATTGCAAGAGACACCAGAAGGACCACCAGAAGGACCACCAGAAGGACCACCAGAAGGACCACCAGATGGATTTTTTCCAACTGTTCCGCCGCGCTAGATACTATTTTGCGTCTATTTCTTCTGTCGCGCCTTCTTTGTTGCTGATTTTGTTTTGTCTGCCACCTCTGTCTGCTGGATAAGCTGCCTAGAAATCAGAGCATTGAGAACACATTTCTAGCAATCTATATAGCTGCATATTTGCAATGAAAAATAAACAATCTCGAGGGAAATTTGAGGGTAGTGTGAAAATGGTTCTCTTTGCTCTACTGACTTTCATCTTCCCACCCACTCCATTCCATTCACTCCATTTTAATTACTTGGTTAGCGATAATAGGAATTAAGATTCTTTCTTTAACAAAAGACAAAGGATGGTAAGATGTCATAACTTTTTCAAGACGGACGCTGTTCTATTTCCAAATCCCAAATCTGATATAACCTTTGTGTATTACACAAACGTTCCACTTTCCCAATTCAACAACATCCAGGTGAACACCTCTCTAAATGCAGGTCACCTGTAACTCATCCAAGACACTATTCGGGTTGGGAAATTTACTTTATTTAAAATTTGGTTCCGCTTCTATGTCCGTAACATATCCGTCTTTTTACGTTTAAACAAAACGGATCTGTTTGAGCAACCGTGAGAAAAACCGAAATATACTACGGCTCTTTTCGTGGTAGGGGTCCTTTGCATTTTCAACAAAAACAATTCTCTTGAAACACAAAAAGTGCTCTTAAGTTTTATTTTCAACACTTGAAGGCATCAATTGAAATCATAACAATACCAAAGGTTTAGTACAAATAATTTTTTTAGTTTATTATTGAGAAAAAAAAACTTAGTGTAGGAACTTAGTCTTTACTAAAACATTCGTTCTCAAAAATAAACAAGAGCCCTTAACTGCCTAATAAAGTGTGCTTCAGGTTTGCTTTAAGTGTGCTTCAACTGTACTTTATGTGACTTTTAAGTGACGATTTTTGATTTATCATTTTGTTTTGAAATTGAAATTGAAATCCATCATGTTTCCCCATCTTATTATCTTTTAAGTTGATGCTTTAGTTAATTTAAAATAATCGTGTTAGTATTAACAAACTTTTCTTTCATTTTCCCTCTTATGCCTTTTTATTCAGCACCATTAAGATATCAGGTTACTGGAATTAAATAATTTTATTCAGTATTAATATATTTTAAATACAAAAGTATTCATCCTTATGAGTCCCTTTTTTCTAACCACCCAATTGCTTTTTTATTCAACACAACGACTTATTTCCTTTACTCAAAAAGAACCAAAGGAAACAACACATCCATATACTTGGGGATATTTAGATTCATTAGCCGTTATGTTATTTTTGTGAGACGTGCATAAATCGGCATATGTCTATTATAATCTTTCCTTGATGATGTATACGCAACTGAAATATAAGCAAAACATCAATCAATTTTTCTTAAAAACAACAATAATAATAAATTGGACATAAACTATTGCTTATTCAATTTAATAAATTCCTATATTTTGTATCGAAATTATAAATTACAATCATATTTAAATTTTATATATACTTCTTAGACCCCCTCAATCGCCTTTAAATCATCCAAGTGTATATTAACAATTAATCCTAACCAAACCCTGCCCATTCAATAGAAAATCCAACAATATTTTTATCTTCTTCATCCTTTGATTCAAAAACATCTTCTACAAATGAATTGATATCCTTGTCAATTTCCTCTTCAGTTTTTGTTATCTTTTCTTCCATATTATTTATATCATTTATACTGGCTGATTTCTTATTTTTATTCCCAATACACACCCATAATTTTTTAACGCCAGTAGCAAGCCTGCCACCATTCACAATATTCAACATTCCAATATCTTCATTATAGTATTCGAAAAAATTCATAATTAAATGAGAGTGATACCTTAAGGGATCTGATGGATATCCAACAAATTTCCCTCCAAATCTTAATCCAGGTGATAAAAAATATTGTTTTTGTAATATTATCTTATTGTAAAACGAAAATGTCATTTGCAAATCATTTAAATATTCTTCAAATTTAGAAAAATCATATTTGATTTCATAATTTGAATTTTCTGTTATTGAATCATAGATACAAAAATTACTTAGTCTTTTGGTGATCTCATATTCATCCACTTTCTTACCAATTTGTAATTTAGTATAAATGTAATTTTTAACTAATCGAAATAATATCACCTTTTGAATACTTTGATCTCGAATTCGAAGGTTTTCCATAATTGTATCGTAATTTGGTAATTTTTTTGAATTGATCTCATTTTTATAAAAGATTAGGTTAATATCATTTACATCAATTGCCAGATAGAAATCTGTTTCATTGTAAAAGGGCTGGTTTTCAAAAGAATTTATATCGTCAAGATTAATTGGTTCAGCATGAGGCTTCTTTCTCTTTAATTTTTGAATTTTCTCGATTTTCAATTTTCGTCTCTTAATCCCTTCCAAAAAATCTTCCAATCTTTGTTTCAATATCATCTCCAACAACTCAACGTTGTTAGTGTATGAAGCAATTAGATTCCTGAATAGTAACTTATCAATCACTAAATAACATCTCTTGCTAGCAACCAAATATAATACCTCTTCAATTGTCAATTGCAAAGGCAACCCTAGAAAAATATTTTGTTGTGGAGCAACTGCTAGTGTGCCCGATAAAACCCCAGCAATATTCCACTCTCTCAACTTTTTCACATCTTGTAAATCAAACACTAGCGCTCGGTTCCCAATGATTTCGATGTCAACCTTATCATGGTTGTTCATTTTAGGATTTGATTGCTATCTCCAATTTTATCTTCAACGCTACTATAATGCACCAAATCTGATTAGATAAAAAAATCTTAGCCCTAATCAGCACCAAAACCACAGTCACGGGACATATAACAGGGTTCTTTAACATAGATACATCGCTTCCAACCACAAAATAACTGCTCTGTGACTGCTTTCAGCTCTCAAAAACCAATTTTGCTCCATCACTGAGGGCCTAGGTCACGTTACTTTTCCAGGTCTGAAATTCACAAGATGGTTAGTATGGCGATTTGGATTTATGAAAATAAAATTCAGTTGCAAAAGTGCTGTGAGATATTGGCTGAACCAAGTTAGGATAACAATAATATAATATTATAATAATACAAAATGTCATCTGTTCCAAGTGTCCAAGTATGTTATAAAACCAGGATCGTTTAATGAATATGAAAAGAATATGAAACAAATATGGAAGAATTATCAAGATAAAAAAAAAATATAAAACAACTCATATCCTTCGAGTTTATCAAAAAAACGAGTTAAGAAAACGAATTAAAAACTTTGAAATACTTTTTACAAAAAAACAACAGAATTTACTGAAAGAAATAGAAAAAAAACGTAATTGAAAAATATTGAACAAATAATATAACTGTATCATTTCAACTATAAAATTACTCAATTTCAATTATAATATGTAGAGGAATATCGTTTTTAAAGAAAATTGACCAAAAATATAAACAATCTCAGCATTTGAAAAATACAATCGGCTCAATATTTTCAATTCAGAATATTGTTTTTAAAAGATTGATCAAAATATGCATTAATTAGACCAAAAAAAAATAATCATATTTATTAAGATTTTATAAATTATGCATTATTCTTACACTCTAAGAAGCATTTTTTATATTTTCTATTGAATTTAACAATGAAAAATGGAAAATAAAAAAGAAGGAAAAGAAATTAAAAATAATTCAGTATTTATTAAAAATTTAATGAGAAAAACAATCTTCTGTCTATAAAACATTTATTTTAATTAATTTGAATATAAAAAGTAATGAAATTTCACAAAACATCATTATAATACATGATTTGAATGATAATACCTAAAATTAGTTTTAATTGAAAATATTATTTGATAAGGTTAACTATTTTTAAATAAATATGATTGAATAAAATATGGTATTTTTTTTTTGATGTCTTAGTATTATTTATATTCTTCAATATTTAAAATAAAAATTATAAAAAAATTAGAATAAAATAAGCTATTTTTTTTATTTTATTTTATTTTTTTTCATTCATTAAGAAATACTAACTGATTGAATTATTCAAAACTTTAGACTTTTGGTAAAAAAAAAACTGCCACTGCTGTTGCTCATGTCAAAGCTGGTAAAGGTTTGATCAAAGTAAATGGTTGTCCAATTACCTTAGTTGAACCAGAAATTTTACGTTTCAAGGTCTATGAACCATTATTAGTTGTTGGTTTAGATAAATTCGCTAATATTGACATCAGAGTTCGTGTCTCTGGTGGTGGTCATGTTTCTCAAGTATATGCTATCAGACAAGCTATCGCTAAGGGTTTAGTTGCTTATCACCAAAAATTTGTTGACGAACAATCCAAAAATGAATTGAAAAAAGCTTTCACCCAATATGACAGAACATTATTAATTGCTGATTCAAGAAGAATGGAACCAAAGAAATTTGGTGGACGTGGTGCTCGTGCCAGATTCCAAAAATCTTATCGTTAGAGAAATTTTATACAGAAAAAAGGAAGTTGGATTTTTACTTGTTTACTTATATTTTATTATATTTACTAAATTTTTCATTTGTATAACATCAAAATAACTAAAGATCTGTATTTTTTTGTTTCTGTTTCTTTTTTTTATATAACAGTAAATTAATAATGTCGGGAAACATATCTAGATTCCAAAATGTCAAACAAAATAAAATAACAGCCTTTAAGTGAAACGCTAGTTTTAAAATCGTTTTGTAAATCATATCTAGCGAAGTGTAATCCTGTATATCTGCATTTTTAGATTTTTACTTATTGGGAAAAATAGTAAAAATACACAATTGAATTAAATTAAATTATTAAAACCAAAAAAAAAACGAAAAAACGAAAAAACGAAAAAACAAGTTTATCATTAAAAACAAAAAAGACAAGTTATCATTAAAAACACAAATTACAATTATTTTATAAATAAGCAAAAATAAATTTAATGAATTATAATAAAAAATTTAAAGCAAAAAAACCTTAGATTTCCCATTTATTTGAATTTTAATAATTTTATTCAATTTAAATAATGATACAAAATAATATACTTGAAAAGTATTGCACTTGTAGATGTAATTTAATCAAATAAACCAAAACCCATATCATCGTCAGATTCTTCTTCTTCTTCAGATTCGGATTCCTTAGCTGCTTCATCTTCGGCAACAGCACCACCAGTAGCACCAGTTGAAACAGTGGCACCACCACCAACAGCAGCACTGGCAGAAAATTGAGTTAATAAACCGAATAGATCCTTACCATCTAAAGCCTTAGCGTATAAATCAGTCCAGATTTTATCAACATGGACACCAGCCTTATTGGTTAAAGTTGATAACTTTTCTGGTGTAATTTCGACATCAGCATCAGCTAAGATTAAAGCAGCGTAAGATAAAGCGGTTTCAATTGAGGCAGACATTTCTTAAATAGTTATTGAACTAGATATAATCACTTTTAAGCACTAATTAGCAGACTATTCTTAGATCAGCTATATATTAAATGGCAATCGACAGTTGGTAAACAGACGAAATATAATGAAAAATTGAGTTGCAATAAGAAAAAGAGATGAAGCAGTTGAAAAGTCAGGTGAAATGAAATAGGGCTCTAGTTTTGTTTTTAATCATCAGCCCTAACAGTCACAAAAGGTCTCAAGTTCGAGCCCCAAAGGGGAAGCTCTTTGTTTTTTTGCAATATTTGTTGACTTAGGGCTTTTGAAATGCATTAGGGTTTCTGTATTGTCGTTTTTGAGAAATTACAATCGAGAAAAAAAAAAGACGTTTGTTGTGTAAGAAGCATATAAGTTCATTCAGAGATATATATGAAGAGGGACCAAGTAAATAAATAACCATTAAAATGTATCAAAATAACCGGAAATTAAAGCATAAAGATTGTATTTATATTTTCAAGATAAAGGGAAACTGGTAAAAATAGTATAAATAATAAAAAAAATTGGGATAGGAATTGAGACAAAGGTAGAGATAGATTAAAATAGAGATTAAAATAAAGATAAAGATAAAAGTAAAAACAATAGTAAATTGAAGACAAATATAATAAATAAATTGAAAATAAATTGAAAGCAGAAATGAAGATGAAACTAAATAGAGAAACTCAAAAGCGTTAAATAATAAAAACTGATTTGATAAAAGATTGATAGTAAATCTAAAACAGGTAAAAAAACTTATCTTGTAAAAATGGAGATATAAAGTTTTAATTAACTTTTAACCTTATTTTTATTATTTTTATTATTTTTATTTTTTAATTCTTATTCTTATTTTTATTTTTTTGTCTTTCTTTGACTTGTCTATCTTCTTCTTCTAATAAAGACAATCGTAGGGCTTCTTCAATCATTCTTTGCTCAAGATCATTTGTGGAATCAGTTCTTCTTCTATTAGTGGAGGATGAGCCTTCATGATTTTCGAATAATAAAGAAGATGCGTGTATAGCTGAAGCAGCAGCACATCTTCTTGCTAATCTCATTCTAGCAGATGTTAATTTTGATTCCCAGTCAGATCTTATGTAATCAGTGGTGACAACTAAAGGAGATGAAGCAGGTAGTGAAGATCTTCTTTTTCTTTGATAAATGTCTGATGGAGCCAGTTGATTATCATTAGACGCTGAGCTTGAATTTGGGAAATTAGAGTTTACCGAGTTTGCAATTGAGTTTGAAATTGAATTTGAATTTGAATTTGAGTGAGAGTGGATGAATATTGAAGAATTTTTCGATGAGCGACTTTCAGCAGTTGAATGGTTATCAGAGAAGAGTTTATTATTATTATTATTATTATTATTATTATTATTATTATTGGAGGAAGAAGGAAAATCTATATGTATTACGTCTTCAGATATCGGAGTAGATGATAAATTATTGGGGTAAGAAGAATAATCGCAGGGGTTTATACCAGCGGTACCAGTTTTGATATTATTTGGAGGATTATAGGTTACACCGAAATCAGGCATTGCACAGTAGGGGCATTTTGCTGGTTCAGAGATTAGATCTTGAACACTAGAGTTTGATTGTGAATTTGACTGGGGGTTTGGTGGTGAGCTTGATTGCAAGTTTGTATTTAGATCTGAGGAATTTTCATCGTGAGGAGGATGGGGATCTAGTCTTTTAATTTGAACAAAGCATTCAGTGCATATTGGTTGTAGACAGCAACGAGATTTATTTAAATGGTTTGGATAAAATAGAAAACATATTGGACATTCAATTGGATTTTTATACAAATTCAATAATAGATCAATCGAGGGGATATTTTCTTTTTTGAAACCGTTTATGTAGGATAACTTTCTTTCTCTGTTGAATCTTTGTTGAGCATCGTTTTGCCATTGGATTCTTTTTAGATATAGAGATTGAACAAACTGTCTTGATTGCAATCTCTTTTGATAATGTTTTGAGGATTTATCAGGTAAATTGGGTAATAGAGAAGAGTCGTAATCCTCCAAGTTTTCAGGAAATTCAGAATGCAAATTGTTATTCTTCAATATAGATAGTAACTTATCTTGTGACCAATTATGATCGAAATCTTGTAGAGGAGTGTAAAAAGGAGCTAATTTTCTATCAATTATTAGATTTTTGACTATCTCAGTGTTGTAATCTAAATTTGAATTATATACTCCATAAGGAGCCATATATCCCCCGTCGACATTTTGATCATGTTTGACTATTAGTGATTTTACGTGGTTTTCCTTTAAGATTTCCTTTTCTTTGGATGATTTTTTGTTAGATTTGGAATTGATTGAAGAGGCGTTAATCAATTCTCTCGCGTTTAGAGCGCTGAGGGAACCATTCCTTCTTCTTGAACTTGAGGTCTGTGAATAGATGTGGTCGTAGTAGGGACTTCCCCTATCTTCCTTTGCCGGAACATTACCCATGGTTGAAGACAAGACACAGACACTAATTGGATGGGAGCAAGAACAAGAGCAAAAGACGAAGCAGAGGCAGGAGCAGAGGCAGAAGCAAAAACAAAAACAAAGACAGGAGTGAAGCAAAGAGAAGAAGAGATGGAGAGCTGGGGTTTATAAAGACGATCCCACGATAAAACAAGCGCAGCGCAGCGCCGGGCACGAAACAAAACACACGCGTGCCGCCAGCAGCAGCGCCGCAACAAAGTGCGTGCGCCACGCACCACAAGCATCTCGGGAATCACGGAAAGTACGGCCCTGTGTCGGTCTTGCTGCTGCTGCTGCTGCTGCTGCTGCCTCAGACGCCAAGCAGTAATAGTCACGTGATAATAAATGCATGTGACAGACATCTGTTATCGGAAGACCCCTTTTAGCAGACCTTGCTTATCTGAACCTCTTTTTCAGACCCCCTTTTTCAGACCTCTGGACAGCTGGATTTGAAAAACAATTGAATAATTAAACGTAAAACTAAAACTAAATCTAAATCTAAGGTAACTAAAACAAAACTGGAGATGAAATTAGGTGATTCTAAGTGTCTACTGCTATTGTAGGAGTTTTCAGGAGTAAATTAAAAACCAAACAAACTATTAAAGCCAACAAAATATAAGTAAATAGATAACTAAATAAAAATAGTAATAAAATAGTAAACTAGTAAAATAACAACTAAAGTCAATTAACGCAAAAAGAAGGGAAAATTAATAAAAACTGAAGTAAAAAATTTAATCAAACAATTTTAAAAGTACATTACAAAAAAAAAAAATCAAAAACAAAGTAGAATAGAATAGAAGAAAAATTGAAGCTGTTTTTATCTCTATCTTTATATTTATCATTAAAGGAAAAAAAAGACAAGACATTATCGGTTTTTTAGCCATCAAATCTTATTAAAGTGTGTGTGTGTGTCTTTTCATTTCGTTATTTCCTATCATTTATCAATTATTACTGATTAACTTACCCCAACTCCGAAACCAACAGCTATTCCGACAATACTCAACACAATCACAAACATGGCTAGTGTTGCTGATAATAGCTTATACTGCCTTGGAATATATCCACATGATTTATCAAAGAATCCAAAACAAATTAACAAATACAATGGTGGAACAAATATCCCAATTATTAATAATAGTATCACATAGTTGGTCGAACAAACATCAACCTGTTTCTTATAAAAATCGTCATATAGCACTTTATTTTGAGATACGCTTTTGTTCAATCCTGGTTTCAAATTAAAACTCTTCAATTTCAATTCCTGAGTCTCCTTCATTAAAGCACTGGTTCTTAAATTACCATTGCCATTGCCAGTTCCACTGCCAGTTCCATTACCATTAACATTACCAGTTCCATTTACAACTCCATTCCCACTAGCAATTTCAATTTCATTATCATTACTAATATTGGTATTATTGTTTGCAAAATTAATACTTCGATTAGATATTTGCTTCAATGGTTTTTGTTCGTACATCAACTTGGGTTTTGAATCAATAGGGATACTTAAATTGGACCTTGCAATGATTCTATTGACACTGATTGAATTGTTAATTGATTGGATCTCATTTCCGAACCCTGCTCCACCGATAACTGATCCCCCTATATGTACTTTATCCATTGTATTAGTAGACGAATAACTCTTTTGAGCAAAATTAGTTCCCAAACTAGGGGTAGAGTTTGTACTTGCATTAACAATAAATTTTGATGATGCCGATTTATAGCTCATATCATCTTTATTACCACTATTGCCATTATTTCCACTATTAATGTGATAACTATTATGTGAATAATTGGTATTGTTGCTATTATTACTATTGTTATTACAGTGATTACTATTACTACCATTAAGATTACTATTAAAATTACTATGGTTAATTTCTCCCATCATTGCGTTTTTACCAGAGAATCCCACTGAGGAGGTGCTGTTGCTATTACCTTGTGGATGGCTAGTATTGTTCAAGTATGTTGGGACATAAATCGAAGACTCAGCATCGTCGTCTCCGACTTTATACCTAGCCTCATCATCATCTTCTTCTTCCTCGTTGTCGTATTCGCTATTGCTAGCATTATCCTTTCCTTGGTTCTTAGTCCTATTGTGAACATTCAGAGGTTGATTAGGAGTTAATTGTCTTTGAGAAACGTCGTGTTGTAGTTCTGCTAGTTTTTTATCATATGCATCGAATTTATTTTCGTCTTGGATATTTGACAATTTAGAAAAGTCATATTTCAAACGATTTTGGAAAAATTGGTCTTGTGGCGAATATGAGCTACTAGTCATAGTTGGTGCATAGGTTGGAGAATTTAAATTATCAAATAAATCACTTCTGCCGCCGGTAGTTGTTGAAGTGTAACCTGTATTGGTAGATATTCTATTATTATGATTTGAGGGAGAGAATTGAGAAGAAAATTGAGAGGAAAATCTGGGAGGGTTAAATAAAGGAATTTCATTATCATAGAATGTTGCTGAAGTTTGATTATTATGTCCAGCCGCTAGATTATTGTTTGATAAGATACGTTCAGATTCTAAAGAAAGATGAGGATTAGGAATTGGATTAGGAGTGGGATCGGGAATAGGATTGGGATTATCTTCAAAGGATTGTTGTTTGGATAAAGTTGTTGATCTCTTTTTGACTGTGCTGATATTTTTTGAAAAAGATGAAGTCATTGAGGAAAAAGAGTGGATGGAAGATTTTGTTCTTGAATGGCCCCGGTCAAGGCTCGACAATTGTTTATTGTGATTTGCATATAAAGAAGTGTGGGGCTGCGATGGTAACTGGGATTGGGATTGAGAGGAAAAATCGCTTGATAAATTTTGATGAATTTTTGAATTTTTAATCTGATTTGAGGATGATAAGGAGGAGACATCAACTGAGTTGATTGAGTTTGTCGAGTTTCTCATTATTGAATGTTTAGAATGAGATTTATAAGTGTGGGTGGTTAAGATTGAAGTTTTTGGTAAAAAGTCGTTTAAATTATTTGAATTGTTTGAGTTGTTTGAATTGTTTGAGTTGTTTGAATTGTTTAAATTATTTGAATTATTTGAATTATTTGAATCGACTAAACTCGGGTTGCTCTTGTTGTCTGAATAATTTTTGTAAATGCTTAATAAAGTGTTTCTACTTTGAGCTGAAAGGTGAGGATTTGTATTTAAATTCGGGTCAGTTGGCAATAGGGATAAATGATTTGTAGAGTCGTTAGAATTTGACGTTTGTTGTTGTAATATTATTCTCGGTGGAGCTACATTTTGATTGATATTGTTAGAATCTGAAGTATTGTTGCTATTAGAGTTATCTAAATTTTCAATTATGTGAGAGTTTCTTGTTATGTGTTGGGACTGATGATAATTATAGTAATATCTGTAATATTCATAATCGTCGTCTAAATCTATGATGCTGGCACTTGGTAGAGGACTGGTTGTGTTGTTATTTATGTTTAAATCAGATGAGGTTGAAGAGTAAGAAGTGCTTAGACTATTTCTGTTGATGTTGTTATCAATGTATCTTAGATTTGAGTTTTGGTTTAAATTTAAAAATTGGTTATTTGCATTGGCAATGGTATTTGATAAAGATAAAGATAGTTGGTTGTTTGAGGATGAAGGTGATAATTGGTTGTTTTTATGGCTATAAAAAACCTCAAATGATTTCTTGTCGTTGTCATTTGTTGAGGAGACTGGAATTGAATTGGAAAACGATCTTGAAGACAAAGGGGAGGACGATCTGTGGGAGGCCTTTGAGATTATAGATTTGAATTTTTCTCTGATGGGAGATCTTAGTGATTCATTTGATTTTTTTTGTGAATGGTCAGTGGGTGGTGGTGGTGGTGGTTGGTTAGAGGATGAGGACATATTTGGCAAAGAGATTGAATGTCTTTGTTTATAGGTCCAGAAATTTTGCTGAAACTTTGTGAAAAAATTTCAGTTGAAAGCAAAGAAGAGCAATGTGACAATATAAAGAGATTAAAGAAACTAAGGAGCGAATGGATGAGTGACTGAGTGACTGAGTGACTGAGTAAAAGAGTGAATAAAAAGACCAGGAGTGGTTCTGCTGAGTGAATTGGGGACAGTAATTGATTCAGCGTATTGGGCTGACAACAATGAGGTTAAAAGAGTGAATAAGTTTGTTACTAAGGAAGGAATAGGTGCTGCAAATAATCAAAACAAATTAATCAGCAAAAGGATTTGATAAAAGATCATTTGTCCAGCGAATCCGAATCAGTGTCTCTGTATCTAAGAGATCAGTGCCACAGTAGAAATATATCAAGCACATCAAACTGATTATATCAAGCTGATTATATCAACTGAAGGAGCTGAGGTTTCACGCGCGCTTCCCACGCACAGTCCACGCCAATGGGTCGGCTCAAAAAGGCCCAGATGCAGCGTGAAAACAGCTGCAAAACAGCCGAAAACCAAACACGGGCAGCGGCCGAGAGCGGAAAATCAGCAACACACCCATTCCGCAGCTCTGCTAGGCCTTCGCCGCGCGCGCGCGAACCGGATAGATGCCGCTGGCCGCTATTGTGTGTCCCAAAGAAGGCATTAATGGTTTCCTCTTGCAGCCACCCCAAAACGGCATTCCTGCAGCCTCTTTGGAATGTGCTGCGGCTCAGGCAAAAATAGCACCTGCCAATCAGTATTCGCTCCGCAAGCGCGTTTTCCGTACCTACAGTCATAATGCGCGCAGACACAGCATCCACATAGGTGGGCCTGTCACAATAACAAAAGGAAAAGTAGGAAACAACCAAAAATAGATACAAGAATATCCGTGCATGTGGCTTTCTAATCTCACATGACACTTGCCCCTTTGGGATATTTACCTTTAGATATAACCATATAATCTGAATGATCATCATCAACGGCCAAATTACAACGACAACAGATCAAATAGACTGATAAAACTGATAAACCAAGCACACAAACTGATTCAGCTAGTCGATTTGGTGCCATATAGTTTTGTTTTAGTTTTCTGTCAAAATGAGCCAGAACAATATTCCCATTCTTCCAATAGGCGAGGTGATAAACTGCTTTCGCAGCTTTAACATCATTCTCGAGGAGTCGCTTTTCAGCAATCCTCATCCACAACAATTGAAAATCCTATTCTACGACAGCCTACTTCATTTGTATCTTGATGACAGTAACGTCAATGGACTCATTCACACAAATGGCAACAATCTCAACAACAATGCACATCTCACCTCCAGAAGATTGAACCTAGAGGATGTTGATAGCACTGATAGTATAACTATATTATATCTACATTCCAAACTACGGAAATACTTGATGCATTGTGGGATCGTGGATTTCTCTCTAAGAGATCTAGACACCTTCAGTATAAACCGATTGGTTAAAATATTGAGTGCGATTATAAATTTTGAAAAGTTTCGGCTTAAAGTCTCGGAATCGATCTCTGAAAAGCTATTGAAAAATTTAAAAAAATCAATAGATGGCTTGAATGAAAAAGATATTGACTTATCTACTTTAAAATCGAAAATCGATGAAATAACCAATAGTATTAATTTAATAAATACTAAAAACAGCATCGTTGTGAAAGAAGGTCAAAGTAATGTTGATCCCAATGAGATAATACTGGAATTAGACAAACAGAATACAGTGACGGAGCAAAAATTGAGATCGATTCAGTTTCTTAATGATAACTTAATGGCGGAGAAACAAGAATACAAAACAGAGAAAAGAAGACTATTTAACAAGTATAAAGATTTAAAGAATAACTTGGAAATAACTCAAAAGGATTTAAAAACCATGGAAGATTTGAACGAGAAATTCAAATTTGAGAATCTAAGTGAATTATTTTTGAGCCTAAGTAATTTGAAAACCGAGTTGTCTGTCTTGAATGAAAAAAATGATAAAAATCTTATGGATTTGGAAAATTTGAATTCGATTCCATCAATTTTTTCAGATTTTGAATCAAATTTAAACGAATCGCTGAATACGATAGACGACTTGTTTAAAAAAAAATCTTTTTTGCAAAACAATCTTAAACAAATTAAAAATTATAATCAATCGATATTAAAACATGAAGACGATTTGAATTCCTTAAAAAAGTCAATTGAATCATTGATCGTGGAAAAGAACTTGCTAATTAAAAAGAAAACAGAGATTGAAGAGCTAATTGAAAATAACTCAATTGAAAATAACTTGAAAATCAAAAATTTCTCCAACAGTTTAGATGAATATATTAAAAAGAAAAAAGATATTGAGAGCGATTTATCAGAAAAGAAAAAACGATGTCAAGAGATCCAAAGTGAAATCGAGACCAAAAGGAAAGATTATCAGGATAACCTTGACGATATCAATGAAAGGGTAAAGTTATTGTGTTCTCAAGTTGAAAACTACATTAATAAAATGAAACCAAAGCTAGGTATTAGCTAACAAATGTAGAGTAGTGTAGGAAGATCGAATAATAATGTAATATAAATTGAATAAATAAAATATATAGTTTAAATACATAATGAAATTAAAAAGTTTTTTTGATTTTTTTTTGATTGATTTTGTACCATCATATTCCATGCTTGATAAAATAAGTATAATAAGACACATGTATAAAAGAAATACCCAAAAGCTTAACAAAAATAAAAATATAGAAAAAGAACAAATATTAAATTAACAAAAATGGAGAAAAAATATGAAATAATGTAACAATATAATAAAATAAAATAAAATAAAAGATAAAATAGATAAGATAATGATTTTTTTGATTTTTATAAAATACAATAACTTTTGCTTCTTTTCATTTCTTTTTAAACTTTAAACTTTTTTTTTAAACCAAATTGAAAAAAAATATGATAATTAAAAACCTAATCTAAACAAACAAAAAGGATTATCAAAGTGAGGGGGAGCATTCAGATTGTTATCAGAGTATCAACATGAGAGTAAATTGCACAACATAACGAGATTTATATCAGCAAGAACCCAGTCGCAGCTAAGAGGGTAAGCGCGCCACATGATTCGCGATATAGAAATCGGAATGGTAAGGAAATTTAAACTCGTGAGAATAGTGATAAGAAGGTGAATGGGATGTGAGATTGATAAGCAGATTGGATGAATAGAAGGAGAAGGAGAAGGAGAGGTAGAATTGAATTAAGATTTTATTTTATTTTTTTATTTTTTTCATTAACTAAATAACTTAATCAAATAATAAAAAATCTTCGACATCAAAATTATTAGCTGGCGCTGCGGGCCTATTGCGATGAGATGAATAAGAGAGGTATGAATTTGATAATTAAAGAAGATAGATTAGAATGAAGATGATTGATAATCACTGCTGGATTATGCAACCTGCTATTTGATGAAGAAAGATTTAGATTATATGAGTCAGATAGATAGTCAACAAAGTTTTGGTTTTGATTTTGGTTTTGGAATTGAAATTGATTTTGAAATTGGTTTTGAATGTTGTTGAGATTAAAGTTTATGAGGTTGTTAGTTTCAAGGGAGATAAGGTCTTTGATAGAAAATGAAGGAGGGATTATTGAGTTTATATTGATTGAATCATTATTTGTGTTACTGTTATTATCATTATTATCATTATTATCATTATTATCATTATTATCATTATCACCATTATCACTAGAATTATTGGTGTTATTATTATTATTACTATTATTATTATTAGAAGTATTGTTGTTATTGTTGTTGGAGAGATAGGAAGGGAAAGAATAGATTGGATTTGGTAATTTAGGAAGATAATCAGGATCGATTGTTAGAGATTCAGATTCTGGAGAGGTTAGGTTTGAGATGGGTAATGGGGAGAAGCTGAATTCGTGATCAGACGAGGTGATATCGAGTGAGTTATCGTGGTTATCGTTAGATAATTGAGGGATTGAATTAGAGTGTTTTTTTGATTTGAATGATTTGATTGTGGATGAAGAAGGAGATTTTTTAATGTTGTAGTTTTTAGTGTTGATGTTGTTGGTATTGATAGTAGTGTTATTGTAGAGAGAAAGTTTGTTTTGGAGAGAAGTGAAGTTAAAATTTGGAGGTATAATAGCGTCTGAGAGCTCTGATTTGATTTGAGGATCAGCGGCAGAAAGAGAGTCTAAGTGTGAATCGTCTAGAAGAAAAGAAGTGGAAGCAGGAGAGGGAGGTGAAGGAGAAGAAGCAAGAGAAGAAGCAGCAGAGGAAGTTAGTGAAGGAGTAGAAAGGGAGGAGGGGGAGTCAGCAGAGGTGGAGTTTGAAGAAGAAATGATTGAGTCTAGCAAGATTGAGGAATCGTAATCGTTGTTTAGGATGTTTGTATCAATGTCAGAGATGGAGCCGTTGAGAGATTTGATTCTGTCTATTAACTTTTGGTTTAATTGAATTAGTTTTAGTTCTCTGAATTTTGAATTTTTGAGATTAATCTCTAGATCGCTGACAGATTTTTCTAGGAATTCGACATGTTTTCTCTTTTTCTCCCTGGAGGCATGAGCAGCTCTTCTGTTTCTGAGAATTCGCTCAATACGCCTCTGCTCTTTTTCCTCTTGAGTCTTAGCTCTTTTTCTTGGAGGAAGGGCGGTTTTGATTTGTTGCAACTGCAAATCAATGTTTATGTTTTTGTTTGAGGCCATTTTAGGAAGATGAGGAATAATAGGGAGCAGGATGGGATGGCGGCAGAGGAGGAGGAGGTAGAAATGGTGGTAAAGAGCGAGAATGGGAATAGATTGAGATGGTGAAGATATAAGAAGAGAAGAGGAAGAAAAGTGGGCGTTAAAGTAGAATATATACAAAGAGAAAGAACGAGAGTAGGAGATCTGAGAGAGAGTCGTTGGAGATTGATTCTTAGAGCATATATCAGAAACAAACTAACAACCTATTTTTAATTTCACTGCCCTGGGTTGTAAACAGAGATAGGAGGTCCCGTTTGCGCGGGGCGGCTCCACATAAGAGCCACATCCCAGGCACTAGAACCCGGCGCGTTCCCCCGCCGGTCCCCGGACGCGAGCGCGACGCGCGACAGCCCCGTCGGCCTGGCTGCGTTCCACAGCCCTGGTACCATCCGCGCCGCGCGCACGCGCTGCGATTGGCCAGCGCACACGTGAGAATGCACATTCAGCACGGTGTCTGCATTGTGCACGCAGAACCGCCGTTGTGCTGCCAATTCAATTCCCAAACGAGCGAACGCAGCGAGCGCGATGCGTGCAATGTGCCTATCGCTCGATCGCTGAAAGATCGTTTGATTTTGCTGCCATTTGCTGGGTGACATTTTGGCAGTTTGGACGTTTCAGCCCTGGGCTGCAGCGGCAGCTAGCGAGAGACTACGAGCGCTGGGCCTCCTTCGCACGAAACATTCTACTGTAGTGATGCCCTCATTTCAGGCAATTCACACCACATCGACAGCTGTGCCAACTGGAAGAGAGAGCGTCGGCCGGCAGTGGTGTCGGACGCTTTGCATCCAAATTGCTGCTTTGAGTGCACAGCAGTTCCGCACGCACAGGGGGTCCGTCCAAACCCTAATGAATCTTATCGGTTTTTGCGCGTCACATGCCCCGTGGCTCTGCTCCTAACAAACCATCCCATTTCTGCGAGCGTTCGCATTTGATGGAAATTGCCCAAAGCCGACGGAGCGTCTTCTGGAAGCTCTGTCTCGCAGCAGCAGGGCGAAAAGAAAAGGAGAAAAGAAACAGGAAAAAGAATCGCTGCTTTTCTTGCTTTTCGGGTCCTTGTTCAGCTCCGTTGCTGTGCCGGAAACAGATCGCGCTGCTTTTCCCGTTGTGGCGGGGTGCATTAGTAACGCACCGCGGCCAGAGCCCCTCACGGACGCCAGATCTCCCCTTTTTGCGGTGATGCCATTTGCGTCACTTTTGCCCACACAGATTAAATATAGAAATGTTTCACAGAACAAATATAGATCGAACTGCTGCTTGGGGCACTATAATTGTATCTCGATACTTACTGTTTATTGCTATTGTTTGCTTTTTTCAATTGACTATACTGATTTAAATATATAATTGGTACTCAACACCAGACAACCATCCCTATATAGGCCTTCTACTCGTCGTTTCGAGAACAGCCTGATTTGGCTACAAGCTCAGCTGGACAAACAACTCTTTCGAAATCAACACTTGGATTGTCAGCGCCCTCAAACCAGTCGAATCTGAAGTCGCATCCACTTTCAAGGCTCTCTGGAAGACCAGCACACTCAGACTGCGACGAAATACCACCATATTGTTGGCCCCAGGAGAAGCCGGAGCCAAATTGATTGGGGCAGCCGCTGAAGATTCCCATCCCACCACCTGGGAGTGCAATATCGAATTGGTTCTTGCCATAGTCCAAGTCGCTACCAGTGTTGGTCACTTGAACCACCATCGTCTTACCTGCAATTGATGAAGACGTGAACGTTAGCTTGTAGCACGAACAGCACATTGACGACTCGCTGCCTCCATTCAACCCAGCAGCAGCAAATCCATACGCTAGACTGTCGCTGATTGCCCATGGTTGTTGGTCGTTGCACATGTACGCTGATCCACCAACACACCCTGATTGAACATCAACCCCAATCACATTGTTACCATCAGCAGAACAGGCCTCCACTGGTTTCTTCACATCGGCCTTACCATTCCATGCACACGATGGTTTGCAGCAATCCCAATACCTGGTGGTGGTACCTTGGCCCTTTTCACCACTTGAAATAACTTGGAACGTTTCCTCTCCACTGCTTGTGGGTGTGGATTTGGCTGTTGATTTGGTTGACGTAGTGCTAGTCACCAATGTCCTGCTTTCTGTACTGCTGGTTTTAGTGCTGCTGGTTTTGGTCTCAAATGTACCATATTCTTCACTGGAAGTGCTTTCAACATCAATAGCAGACTCAGAAGTAACCGTCTTGATAATAGTAACTGCTGTATCTTTGATAACTGTTGTGGTTTCAACTTCACTTGTAACACTTGCTTCAGAAACAGCGCTTTTCTCGCTGGTGCTAACCCCATTACCATACGTTTCAAATTCTCCAACATAAGTACATTGGTGATAATAATCATTGTGTGAATAACATGTGTATCCGTTTTCACAGCAGGTTGGTCCAGTCCAGTTAATACCTCCACATTGATAATACAATTTGGCACAATCTTCCGACTTGACCAAACTGGCGGCTAAAGCAGCTAAAACAATTAATTTCAACATTTTAAATTAAAGAATACAGCGATAATAATAATAATAATAATAATAATAATAATAATAATAATATTTTGTATTTTTAATGAATTGATTGATTCAAAAAAAAGAAAAAAAGAAAAAATTGAATAAAGTAATAAAGAAACTGGTTTCAATGAAATAAGAACTTAAAGGAATGACTGATAGTTATTGTAACTGATAGTTATTATAACTTGTAATTGTAATTATGATTATAATGATGGTGCTAAAAGGAAATTTTATCTTTCAGCACTAAGGAAATTCTTCCTTTTATATTTCCCTAATAACCACTATACTCATTACCAAAAAATTATTATTATTATTATTATTATTATTATTCCTTAAACAATGTCAAATATTGTCAAATATTATTAAACAAATTATAATAATAACCATAATCTTATTTCTTGTCTTTTGTTTTATTTTCTACTAAATTCATATCAAAAATAGCCCAGGCATCCAGAGATTATTCACTTTATTCTCATTACTAGCCTTGTTCTTTACTTTTTTCCTTTTTTTTCCTTTTTATCAACAAAATCTGTAAATATTTCAGTCGAGAATTGACCATCTATACTCACTACTCTAGAAACTTGACTGGTTCAGTTTAGTCAAGATTACAATAAAACAATACATCCTTTCATTATATCTACTTTTAACCTTTTAATCTTTTAAATAATATAGAGAATCATTGAAAATCATTGAAAATCACCGAAAATCTTATTTTATACCCATTTTTCCCCTTAGTAATTCCTTACTACTACTACTACTAATAATAATAATAATAATAATTACAATAATTACAATAATTACAATAATTACAATAGCAACCATATTCTTGGCAATGATAAAAAATATCAAACAATTTTGTAACACATCGAAATTACAAATTGGCTTTATTCAATTGCAGCATTTTATCTCTAAAAACCAAAAATTGCCTTACTATCGTTTTACTATTTCCTTACAATTTCACTCCATTTCAGACCACTTGAAAGAAAAATCTTCTTATTCTATTGTCTTATCACGATAAGAATAAATTTATTCACTGACTCAAAAACACCAGACAAATGCGTGTTGATCATATACTGCAGCTGCATATGCACCAAACGGCTGTGCCATCACTAAATCCTATTTCAGCCAATCACAGCGCGTTTCTGAGACCTGAGCTCCAATTAAGCTCGGGTTCTGGCGCTGGTTCCTGCACACGCACCTGCGATTTGCATTCTATTGATCCAATGGGGCATTAACTCAATTCCACTCCAAAATACGAGAAAAGCGCTCTTTGGTATCATCTGAAAATTCAACCCACTCATAAACTGCAATGGTTTTCCAAATAATACGGATTCATTTTTTGTCTCCATTGCACTTCCTTTTCCTTCCGAAAGTTTATTTTTCTTGAATTCTACTCCATTCTACTCCCTTTTAATCTCTGCTAATCTTTGTTAATCTTTTTTAATTTAACCCATCAATCTTAAAACCCACTCAGGCAAATTTACCAGTACTTTCAAATATCTCTTTTATTTCTCGTTTTATCATTTCAGAATTAATTATAAATACATACAAACTTCTCAATATCTTGTAATTTTTCAAAACAAAGTGTAGACATCTATAAACCAAATCAACAGTAAATTATCAATGAACAATATTGGTCAAATACTAACATCATCTCCTTTTCCAACACATAACACTTTGATGATGTTGTTCTTCACACCACAGTTTTTGTGAAACACTGAAGCCAGTTTCACCAAAAAAGAAGCTAATGTTGGTTGTTAAAACTTGTTACAAGCTAAAATCGACCACCTCTCTCATTTTACTACTATCGGTAGAAAACGACGTATTGAAAACACTCATTGAACTCAATTTAAGATGGTACAAAGTCACAGTGTCGATATGTTTGTGGCTGGTTCAATAAGACTTAAAGCGTGAAAATGCTCCCAAAGTAGGTTTCAAAAACAACAATAAGCAATAACTAAATTAATGAAAAATAATCAGTAAAAAATAGACAAAAAACTGACACAATTGGGCTTTTTAAGACACAATAAGGACTCTGCCGAAGTCGCGCAAAACGCAGTATGCTTTTCCGAAGTTCCGTATCGCGTCCTCGAACTTCCGTAACCCCGTACTATCAGGATCCAGTGATGCCTTTTTCTCTTTTAGGAAGTTCAGATCAAAAAATACTATTACTCAAAGATACCATCAATCAAGCAAAGGCTAGATGCTCATCGAATTCTCACCAAAGATATACTGAAATACTAATAAAATCTTACAATTGCAACAGAATTCTTATAGGGTCCTATGGAATTCTTATAAACATTTGTTGTTATGAATCAATTGATATAAAAACCAAATTTAATCCAATGTTTTTTTTCATTAGCTATCTCTTTTCCTTTAATTTTCTTCACTCACCAAAATTTGTCTTTTTATTCTGTTTTTTTAATCTAAAATCTATAAATTCAATTTATAAATTCATCCTTTAATACCTAATCAATATGCCTATCTTTCAATTGAAACAGATATTCCCAATTTCGCTCATAATATTGTCCTCCATCAACCAAATCAATGCTGTTGAACAGTGTGCTTCTTTATATGGTCAGTGTGGTGGATTGAATTGGAATGGCCCCAATTGTTGTACTGGCGGTTATTTATGTTCCTCTCAAAACCCTTATTACCATCAATGCACTCCCATTAAAACAACCACAGCTACCTCCACAGCTACAGCCCCAACCATAATCACTTTGCCCACCACTACCAACCCAGTCTTTGACGATTCTGAATGTGCAGCCTTATGGGGCCAATGTGGAGGAAGAAGTTGGAATGGTCCAACTTGCTGCCAGGACTCTTATCCATGTCAATCTGTCAATGATTACTATTACCAGTGCACCACCAGCGTCAATACTGATACTCAATGTGCTTCTTCTTATGCTCAATGTGGTGGTGTTAATTGGAATGGCCCAACCTGCTGTCATCATCCTCATACTTGCCAATATGTCAACAATTATTACCATCAGTGCACATCTACTCTGAGAAGTCCAAAAACTACAACTACTTCGGCTACTACTCTAGAAACTACAACCACTTCTTCTTCAGCAACTACGACCACTTTTTTCTCTTCAACATCTACAATATCCACTCCTCAAACTCTATGTGCTCTTCTTTATGGTCAATGTGGTGGTTTAAACTGGTCTGGTCCTGAATGCTGTCAGTCCCCATTTTCTTGTTCCTCTCACAACCCTTACTATCATCAATGTACCACAACAGCTTCAACTACTTCAGCTACAACAAATACTCAAAATCCAACCAGCACAAATACAAACACCTTTTCAACATTATACACTGCAGCTTATAACTCAACGGAATCACAACCAACTTCTCCTACAAACAGCGATGAAGTGTTTACTGTAATTCCAAGTGGTGCGTCTGGCTCAGGTGTAACAACAAGATATTGGGATTGTTGCAAACCTTCCTGCTCTTGGAATGGAAAGGCTGATGTTAGCCACCCTGTTCATGCCTGTGCAGCTGATGGCTTCTCTATTCTAGATGTCAATGCCCAATCTGCTTGTACTGGAGGCTCTGCATTTCCTTGTAATAACCAACAGCCATGGGCCGTAAGTGATTCATTAGCCTATGGATTTGCAGCCGTTGCGTTGGGCGATGGGGATGAGTCTAAAACCTGCTGTGCATGTTATAAGTTAACATTTACCTCTTCCTCAATTGCAGGCAAAACCATGATTGTTCAAGTGACCAACACCGGTGATGATTTGGCCTACAACCAGTTTGATATTGCACTCCCAGGTGGTGGGATGGGCTACTTCAGTGGCTGCCCTGTACAATATGGCTCTGACTTCTCTTGGGGCCAACAATATGGTGGTATTTCGTCGCAGTCTGAGTGTGCTGGTCTTCCAGAGAGCCTTGAAAGTGGATGCGACTTCAGATTCGACTGGTTTGAAGGTGCCAGCAATCCAGACATTGATTTCGAAAGAGTTGTTTGTCCAGCTGAGCTTGTAGCCAAATCAGGCTGTTCTCGAAACGACGAATAGGCTACTTTGTTCTTTCTATATTATTTTTTTTCTGCATTTTCACAAATTCACTTCTATATTTATTTTTGGTTTTTCTCGTTTTCTTCATACACTTATTTATGCTAATCTTATTGTTTTCACAGTCCTGTAGCATCCCATAATTAAATATTATTTAACACTGAATTTAAACCTGTAAACTGTATTTCAATCCAACTACTCAGTTATTACTACACAGTGTTCTACTTTTTCGCTTTTTCTTTTTTCGCTTTTTCTTTTTTTTTCTTTTTTCTATTGTTCACTCCAACCATTTTTCACCAAAATGCTTTTTGAAGCAGATCGGGATTTAGTTTCAAATCCCAAATACAAATTGGAAAATTGCTTATTCGTTATCAATCGCCATATTACTCATCTTCAGCTCAGGTTTTCTTGCTGCTCGACTCTATTCATTTGCCTACTCAAACATATCTTAGCCCACTAACATCACCATGCTCAGATATTCCAAGCCCTTTTCTTCAAATCTATTAAAAAATGCGAGATTTGTATCTTCGCCATTGAAAACTGTCAAGCCTTTCTATGCTCAAAATTTGAGATTTAACCAAAAGAAATACTATTCTAATAATGCTGCTAATACATCAAAATCTCCTACTGGTATTGTTTTGAGCATATTATTCATCTCAGTTGCAAGTTGTTTTGCAGTTTACTACACTGCCAAATCCCTTGAAAATCCTAGTAAATCCAAAATAACTGAAAGCGACTTACAAGACCACATAAATGGATTGAAGAGAAAGAAAACTATGTTTCAAGCCTTTGAGGTGAATATTGATCTTTTGCCTGGTGAGAATCTTAAAAAAGACGATGTCAAGAAAATCGTAGGTGATTCGGTTTTTGTTATTGATCCCCCTGAGCTAATTAATCGTGAAAGAGCTCAAGGGCTAGATGCATTTTATGGCCCATTCTTGATAGAACTACAAGAAAGAAATGCACCAATTCCTGCAGCTGTCACAGTCAATATAATTGGGAAGGAGATTAAAAAAATTAAAAAGGAGCAGGAAAATGATGAGAGCGACAAAATACTCAAATTTTTAGTTATAAATTTTCCACAGGATCTTGAACAAAGTATAAAATTTGAAAGAGACGTTAAAACTGCTGATAGTATAATCAAAGTGGAAGATATTAAAAACGATGTCGGAAATAAGGTGTTTCAATATTTTGAAACAGTTGATAAGATCAAAACTGTTCAAAAAATTAAAAATTTAGGCAATATTTATAAAAAAGATTAATTGTGAATCCTTTCACTTGTAAATAGATACAAACATAGAGAGTTTAACCTTTAAATATATTCAAAATTATGTATAATTTAAATACCAAAAAAGAAGTAAAGAAGTAAGCTTTTGGAAAAATAAAAAAAATAAAAACCCAAAAAAAGTGCTATGAATGAGATAGATTTTTTTTTTGTTTGAAGATTTAAACTATAGTTGAATTAGCAGTACGTTCTACGTCGTATTGAAAATCAAAATATGGCTTATCAAAGACATGAACACGAACATAACCATCTTCTCCTCCAGAAGAATAACCAATGCCTAAAGGATGAACAGCTACGTAATTGAGGGGGCCGAAATGACCTTTAACTCTACCAATTTCGTCTTGGAAAATTTTATGGTAGAATCTTGCTTCGAATTTGCCTTGTTCCGAGGAGGTTGTTGTGACATCTCTTGCTTCTTGACCACCACCTAATACGACAAAATCTTTTACAGGAGTAATTAAAGCCGAGTTCATTGGGGCATCGGCAACGTATACTTTTAATAATTTTAAGGTGTCGACATCGAATATTTTTGCAGATTTATCCTTTGAAGAAGTTATGAAATAAGTTCTATCTTTTGAGAATTGTAAATCTGTTATGACACCAGAATGTTCTTTAACCGAAGAAATAAATTCACCAGTTTTGGCGTCGAATTTAGAAATAGAACCATCATTATGACCTGCAATAATGTATTTATCTAAATAAGACCAGCCCGCGACTGTTATTTTAGAAAAGGATTTCTTTTTTTTAATGATTAATAGAGGTTCTTTATTTTGTTTTTCTGGTTCAGCAGTATTAATGGTTAAGATTGTGATAGTTCCTTCAATACCCATGACTTCATCAGTTACTAAAAGAGCTTTGTTATTTTGGTGAGGGCTAAATTCGACTCTTCTGACAGGAGTTTCGTATTGGTAGGTGAAAATGTTTTTACCAGTTTGAACACTCCATAGCTTTGCAGTGAAATCAGCAGAACCTGTTAAAGCTAGAGAGGAATCGTTTAGAATATCAATTGACCAAATAGTACCAATGTGGCCATTCAAAGTACCCAAACGTTCGCCATTGAAAGAATACCAAATCGAGGCCACACTATCCTTGGAAACAGTTAAGATTAAATCACCCTCACGATTATATTTAACTTGGGTTAAGGCTCTTTCATGGCCCTTACTGATAAGATAAAAACGGTAGAGACCTCAAAAAAGTGAGAAAACAGTTAGTTGTATATTCAGGAATTAGACTGGACGTGTTTATGGATAGATACGTACAGCAAAATAGGTCTCATTTTGGAAGTATATATTGTTTTTTTTACTGATCTGAAGTAAAAACAGAAAAATTTTTCAAAATTAAAAAAAATCAGCGGTAAAGAACGCAAAAATGCACGTGCTCGGAGGATCAAAATTGAAGTAAATTGAGAAAGCGTTCTTTATGGAGAGAGAAAAAAAAGTGGTGATAGAGGTGTCAAGCAAGATATGTAGATGGTGGAAAAGATTCAAGGAGAAAGCAGGAGCAGGAATGGAAGAGCTGAGAAGGATGGTGCTGGTAACAAGGAGGATTCTTTGGTGGGTGTGAACTCGTATGGTCGAAAGACGTGGAATCAGAAGGCGTATGCCAAACTAGCGTATGAAAATAGAAGGAATCGATTTAATAACAGCAATGATAATAGCAAGATTGACGATGGTGGTCAATTGAAGAACAAAAGAGTTGAGATCAATTTTGAGACAAATTTAAATAAACAGATCTTAACGGATCAATCTAAATCACAGACGTCTCACAAGGGGAAACTAGTTGGGTTTTATTGTGAATCGTGTAATTTGACGTTTAAAGACAATTTATCATTTTTAGATCATATTAATTCCAGCTATCATTTGAACAAGACTCGAAACCTAGTATTGGACGATAAGGAAAGACAGAAGATTAGAAACATTACGGCTGAAGATGTCAGGAATAAGATTGAAAAATTGTATGAACTAAGTTTAAGAAAACAAAAAGAGGAAAATGATGGTGAGTATTTAAAATTCAATGCCCGGATTGAGAAAAGGAGATTATTTTTGGAGAATGAAAAAACGAAGAAGAAAATGAAGAGATTAAAGAAAAAAAAAGAACTTGAACAAGTTGGGGAAAATGCTGATAGTAATAGTTATAATGAAGGGCACGAAATGAGTTCGATATTTAATTTTAGCGGATTTGGTACAACAAAAAAACATTAGTATAAAAATATTTCATAACTTCATTGTAAGCCATTTGTATATAACCAATTTATTAAACCAATAAAGCTATACAGCTATATAGTCAAATAAATAACAATCTGAATCACTTGAATCGTTTTTGTTAATAAAAAAACTAGAATCAATGGCACTGTTGACATAGTAAATTACAATTATTAAAACATTAAAAAGACCAATTAAGGAACCACAAAAAAATTCAAACCTGGATGTTCCAGCGAGGGTGTCTGTAGGCACAGATCTGTTTGATCCAACTACTATTTTTTGCCAGCACCAGCAGAAGCTTCTTTCTTAGCAGCAGCTGTAAAAAGACACTGTTAGTATTTGAACATGAACCTGGTCTTGATCTATCCCAACACCAATTGAATTGGCGTCCACTTACCAGCAGCCTGTTTTTCTCTGATCTTTTGGGCGTTTTCCTCCATTCTTTTCTTTGGATCGCCACTCTGTTTCTTCTTAACCAGCTGTTGTTTCTTGAGGTTCTTCTCACGAGCCTTGTCCCTTTGGTTGCCTCTGCTCATCTTGTCTTGAAAGCCAGATATAAAATCCACAAAGTATTTAGCCGGCACAGAAAGCGGTATTTATAGCTTTCTCGGATGTCACGTGAGTATTACGAACACGCCTTTGGGTCTACAACAGAAGCAGCAGAAGCAGCAGAAGCAGCAGAAATAGATCCAGAGAATGTCTGAGGCCAGCGAGAAGAGATTGAGTGTGTCTGCAGATGATGAGGCTACAAAGGCTGAACGATTGGAGGCTGCAAAGAAAAAGGTATGTGCAACAGTCTGATTTGCTTTAGGGATCTGTTCTAACACCTACTAGTTTGAAGAGTTGAAGAAGAAAAACAAGAAAAAGAAAACCAAGAAGGTCAAGAAGGAGAAGCTGAAGGAGCCTAGAGAAAACGAAGATAATGACAACAGCGAAGTAATACAAGAGTCCTCTGCAATTGAGCCTGAAACTAAGGACTCTCCAGCAAAGGACTCTCCAACAAAGGAGACAGCAGATGAAGGCAGCGAAGCTGAGAAACCCGTCAAGGAACAGCAGGCCAGCAAACCCTCTTTAGAAGAAGAAAATATTACCGATTTACTATTCGATAAAGGTAAGAATGATGATGACGACTTTTTAGCCAAACTTCAATCAAATTCTATTGAATTTGATTTTCCAGCCTTGGTAAAAACTGAAGAAGATCCCATTGAACTTGATACCAATGGCCAAAATCAAAATCAACAAATATTGCTACTAAAACAAGAGCTAGAAGAGAAAAATCAAGAGATATTAAATGTTAAAAAGGAAAATTCAATACTAAAATTTGAAAAGCTTGATTTACAAGATCAATTGGAAACTTTATCCAAAAAATTAAAAGAAACAGAAAGAAAACTAGCTTTTGCTAAAATTGATGCTGCTCATGACACAGATTCTGACGATGATGATGACGATGAAGATGATGATGAAATTTATAACAATTTCAATAAAAACAACCCCAGATCTGCAAATTCTATCAAAAATAAAAACTATGATCCTTATGAAAATAAACTTTTAAATGCCCCTGAGTCACAGATTCCAACTCATAGAAAGAGACAATCAATTTTTCAAATTGAAGATTTTTTCGGTTTATCTCAAAATCAAACCCAAAATCAAAATCAAAATTTTGCTTCAAATTCAAATGAAGATCAGTTTTATTCTTATGAAGAATTGAAAACTGAATTATTAAAATGGAAAAATTTCTCATTGGATATGAGAGAATGGAGATCAATTGGTACTGGTCCAATTATTGATTGTTGATTGGTTTTTAATACTATTGAACTACTAACTTTTAAAACATTTATCTTTATAATCTTTATTATTATTATTATTATTATTACTTACCTCTTACAGTCCCGGATATAAAATCGATTATTACATTATTTATTATCTTATTTTTGCTCAATTCTTACTTTATGTTATTTTACTCTATTTCATTTTAAGCAATATATTTAATTATCGATCAGACTTTTAATACTCATCCTCAATAATACCACGCTCAGAGACATAAACACCATCTAAAAACTTTCGAATATCCTTATTTTTAGCACGACAAATTTGCTGGATATCAGCACAAGTTTGAGAAACATTTTCAACAGAATTTCCAGTTAAAATCAACTCATCCTTTTGAGTTGAAGAGATTTCAACGCTAACTCCCTCACGAACTTTGACTTCTCGGATTTGTTTCTCACCCAAATAATTCCTAATTTCAACAAATTCTTGACCATCTTTTGTGACAGTGTTAATATTAATTGGAAAATGGGCATAAACATATCTCATTTTATATCTATATCCTTTTGTTACACCGATAACCATGTTTGAAACCAATGATCTCACTGTTCTTAAAGCTGCAACGTGTTTTCTATCACCATTATGAATAATAATCTTAATTTGACGTTGATTAACTTTTTCGAAACTAACATCAATATGTGATAAATTTTTAGTCAACGAACCTCTAGGACCAACGATTTTAATTAACCTTGCCTTAATTGAGACAGTTACTATTTGTGTAATAGAAGAAAAACGATAGTGTTAATGGCGGGCTCAAAAAAAAAAGAAAGACATAAATGAATGATTAGTTATATCTTACCTCCCTCTGGAATATCCAAAATTTGAGTAGTTTGGATGAATTTCATTGTTAATTGAAATGGTTTTTAAACTGAGAGGTTTTTGCTATGTTTGATGTTCAAAGTTTTATGGGAAGTAAAGCAAAATTTTGTAGTATATTTATTAAAGTATGTGAAAGAAAGAAAAAGACAAGTGAGTGTATAGATAGAGTCTAGAGCTTGAAGCTTAGGTAAGAGTTGACAAAGAATTGTGAGTCTGTTTTTAGGCATCTTGTTAATTTTTCAAGTTCAGGAGAAAATCAAAGAGGGTTGGAATTACCTATGAAAATAATTTAGGACTGTTTTTTTGTTTTAAGAACAACATTTTGTTTTTTTTGGGTAAAGCTAAAAGAATACACAACACTTAATATGAGCCTGGTTCAATTAGGAAAGAGTGAAGATATGAGCATGCAAGCTTTTTTGGCAGGTGCAAATATGCGGGCCGGAAAAACAGCCCACGTCAAAACGGGCTGGGCATTTTGGCTGGCGTGGGAAAAGCAGTAGATTATCTGGCATTAGGCGAGTAATTTGGCTGAAGAGTAACCAAGAAAGAAGTTTGCTACCCAGGCAAGAGCATATTTTGTGTTGTAAACCAAACCAAGGATACCTGGGCCTGGACAAATACCTAAGATACCCCAGCCAATACCGAATAAAGCGTTGCCGATTAAGAACTTGATTGGGATCTCATTTGAGTTAGCAACGTCAAACTCGTTGTTTAATTGTGGTTTTTTGATCGATTCCCAGATAAAAATATTGGGAATTATAGTGAAAAGAATAATCATAATCAATGAAGGATCGAATAAGCCCTGGTTTATCTTGAGGATTGATAAGAAACCAGTCACTTTTGCGGGATTTGTCATACCAGAAATTATCAAACCAAGACCAAAAGTGAAACCAGAAAATAAACTATTAACAATAGTTAGTCTTTTTTGACATGTAGGATTTAATTGATTGCAATTTGGATCTGATTTTGAATCTGTTTTTTTGGAACATGAAGCCGATTTTGCCGACTTTGCTAATTTGGGGAGTATGAAATACGTTGAGATAAATGAAAAGGCTAATAGAGATAGCAAGGTCTTTGAATTGTTTTCAAAATTAGATGAATCTGGGGTGATGCAATTTCCTGGACAAGGGTAGTTTAAATTGAAAACAGTGTTGGTTAAAATAGCCATTGAAGCAAAAACACAAGTTGCAACAAAACTTCTAAATCTCAATCTTGACAATCCAGCCAACATATGACCAGAGGTGCAACCACAACCAAAGGAGGTGCCTAGACCCACCAAAAATCCAACGGATGAAAATAGTGCGTAACCATTTACAGTGTTGTTTAACAAACTTGGAAAGGGAATTGAAAAATTTAATACAGGAATGAAATCTGGTAAAAAGTAGTGAACGAAAACTGGCGATAAGAGCACACCGGCTAATAACGACAAGTTTTTCTCAATTGATGGAGACTTGATTGCACCAGAAATTAATGACGAGAAACCTATGGTCTTACCAACCTGTTGATAGTAGTTTGTTGTTGAAAATTGGATCAACAAAGCACCTATGGCAGATTCTATCGGAGTAAACATTGTAGAGTAGATGCTGAAGGATATAGCAATATAGCAATATAGCAATAAAAAAAGCTGGGTAGAAACAAGCAGCTTTGCGAGAGTATTTATACCAGGAGCAATCAATTAATCGAAAAACAGCAGACAGTAACAAAGCCAATTAGTAATAGCAGTTGCACTTGATGCAGTTCTAGAATATATCAAACGTGAACCAGATGTAAGTTCTCAAAGAAATAAAAAGCCCTAAGAGCTGGGGAAAGAGCAGGCCAGGGCGGGTTTTGTTTGCGAGCTGGGCTTTGAAGGTAGATGCAGAGACCCTGCATTTTAGCACGGCGGAAAGCGCAAACACAAAACCGGAACCGGAAGCCAAAGACCCGCGCGAAGGTAAGAGGGACGCAGTCGGGAAAACGCGGTCGGCGAACGGCGGCGGAATAGGCACGGAATAGACACGGAACACGGGCGGAAACGCGAAAGCACTGCGCGAGTAAACGTATATTACAGCTAGTGTACGCAGGAAAATGCGTGTCCAGCTTTGTGGGCAATTCTCAAGTCACACAGGAAGATTTGGCTTAATCTTTTTGGAACAGTGATTGATTATATCGTAATGTTCCAATTTGTACTTGTTTTATCTCTTCCTCTTCTTCCTTTCCAAGCCTGCTTATTCGCCCAGTTCCTTCCTTTGCAACAACAGTTTTCTCTGGCTATTTTATATTGCTCACATCATTCATTTCTTCTTTTCTACAACACATTCATTTATTTGGTTTGCGCAGGCTATCGCTGGAAACTCTACGATATTCATTCCTTACACAAGTTTTAGAATTTCCATTCATTCCTTTTTTTTTGGTCAAGGCTATTTTTGCTTTTAGTACTTGCTCACTTATTTATCTGCTTGTTCATTTCATCCTTAGCTTCATCTTCGACTTCATATTCTACCCGTTATCTATTCTGTTCTACTCTCTTTTAAATCATGGCTTTGCCTGCGTCAAATTTGAATTTCAACAACCATCCTAATAATGATACTAGCGAAGAAGATGAAGATTGGGAACTTTTATTGGACCTTGAATCCACTTTATCAAGAAACCCAAATAATAACTCCATTCAATTAATCTTAGATAATTTAGAGGATTTTAATCAAATTAACCAAAATTATTCTGTTAATAACCAATCAACAACTCATTTATCAAATTTGTTATCTACCAGTAATACTAACAACACTCAAAACAATGACTCGGAGGTATTGTCAAAATCTGATATCCAAAGTTTGTTAAATATTAATGATGATTATAATGTCAGTTTAATTTGTCCAATCTGTAATAAATCCCTATTTAATAACGACTCAAATGCTCACAGCTCGATATTAGATCCAAATATCCAATCTTGCTGTGAAAAATTCTTTAAAAAAATCAATAAAATCTCTTCTTATAAAATATCCTATTGGTTTTATTTCTTAAATAACCACTATAAAACCATTACAACCTTTCCAAATTTAACCAAATCGTTTTTCTATTCAATTAATGGCATCCCATCTCAATTAAGATCTAAAATTTGGGGTCTTATTCTTGGTGGTTCCGATAAATTTGGTAACTTGAAAAACAAATGGTTTCAAGATTTATTTAACAATTTGAATGATGACAACTCTCCATATTTAAGGATTATAATTAACGATTTAAATCGGATTTTTCCAAATTTACATTATTTTAACAATGAACTAAATGATGGTCAACTAAATTTGAAAAAAATCCTAAACGCTTATTCGATTTACGATTCGGAAATTGGTTATTGTCAAGGCCTACCCTTTTTAATCTCAATTTTACTATTTCATTTTAAAAATAATTCAATAACTTTTTTATCCCTCACTAAAATTTTCGAAAACAATAAAAATAAAAACTTTAAAAAAATCTTTGACAAAAAGATGACTGGTTTATCTTTATGGTTTTATCAATTTGATTCAATTTTTGCCAAATTTCTACCAGATTTATACAATTATTTTGATCTCTTGAAAATTGATTCAAAAATCTTTTTAAGCCAGTGGTTTCTATCCTTTTTTGCAGTCTCATGTCCTTTTCAAATCTTGATTAAATTATTCGATTTAATGATTTTAGAAGGTTTCCAGCCAACTATTTTTAAAATTAGTCTAATCATTTTAAAAAAAAACGAAAATTTATTATTAAATATCGATAATGAAGATATAGAAGTAATTTATCAACATTTATTAAGTGAAAATATTTGGGGTGTCTTTAATAATGATTTGAATTTGATCCTAAATGATTTAATAAATATTGACAACAACTTGATCTCATTTCAAGCCTTAGAAGATTTAGAAATTGAGTTTAATAAGAAAAATGTCTCAATAAAGGAAGAAAATAAAACTATAAATAATAACACTAACACTAGCAATACCAGCACTAGTGGTGGTTATTACGAATCACCATTTGTTAAGTTTTTCAGATATGGTTTCACTAACACTGTTTACAATCAAGTCCCTGCTAAAAATCAAAATAAACCTCATACTCAAAGCACTGATTCCATCACTGAATCAAGCGTTGATTCAAACTTTGATGCTTATTCAGTTTCATCTCATAGTAGCAATAGCTCCAATAGTATTAAAAGATACCACCAAAAGAGTGTCTCATCAGTAAACAATAACAATTTTAACGTCAACATAAATATCAATGGAAAACATCAATTAATGTCAACCCTTAACTCATCAAATACTTCTATAATAACAGGCCCTGAACCTAACAATCTAAATTCTTTTGATAACTCATTGGAATATAATGAAATGTTTGGCTCGTTACCTCAACCAAATCTTTTAAAAGTTGGTAACAATGGTCATCAAAAATCTTCTTCTGTCTTTTCTGTAAATTCGTCATTCTCTACTGTTTCATTGAACCCCTCTACTCCAACAAATTTCTATGAAGTAAAACAAAAAATGAAGAAACAATTCAAATTAAAAGAGATGGAGTTGAAAAATCAAATCGAATCCTTAGACAGCAAAGTTCAAATCTTTGAACAAATCATACACGACGACAAACAGTTGATCAAAAAACTATTCAAACTATACCTCAAAAGTAGCAAAGACGTAGATGAATCAAAAATTACCGAGAAACAAAGAATAAAAGAATACAAAGTGTTGAAGGAAGTTCAGCAAAGAATCCAAATATAACCAATAGCCTTATAGCTGATTATCGAAGAAAAATTTGCTATTCTCCATTAATATTTTGTATTTTAATCAGGTATTTTGATGCTATGGAATTACATGATTTATTCCACACTGTTTTTTTGTTTAATCTTTATTTCTTACGACATTTTAGTTTCAGTTTTTAGTTATTTTTTATCTTTCTCTGGGGCTTTTATCCAGCCCAACAGTGAACAACCAGCTCTAAACAGCTCTATAAACAAACATAATACACATTCCTTCACTCGCTACTCTTTTATCTCATTATCTCATTCTTATTCTCATTATCTTATTGTCTCTTTTGGTTCTCTTTAAGGTTTTCCTCTGCGTCACCAAATCAGATATAAACAAAAACAAAAAAGTGCGAAACAGACGTTTTTTGAGCAATTTGGACGAGAACTGACACCACTTCCCAACTCTCCTGTATTCCTGTTGGTGTTTCATTGATAAGCGAGAACTAAACAGCTTGCAGCCTTGAAAACGACGAAGAACTGCTGTGTTGTGCTCATTAACAGACTTGTCTTGGGAGACTGACGCGTAATATTTTAGGAAAGCCATTCAAGTTACACTTCCACCAGAGCTCTCCTCCAGAAACACACAAAGAACTGCTTTCAAAAACTGCTTCGATGGTCGAGAAGAAAGCCTCTCCCCAGATGGTTGTTGAGTCGCCAATACTATCTGGTAACACACTCTTTCAGACACCAAACAAACCAAGCCATTCGTTGAAAAGGTTTGGTGCAAACACGAACAATGTCTCTAATCTAATCACTAGTCCTATAACATCCACACCACTAACCATACACAGGAAGAGCTTGCCAACAAGAAGACGATTCCAGACAGAGATCAACGACGAGATACTAACAGACAATGACGACGAGATCAACAATGAAACAGAGAGCCAGGACCACAGGTCCTCTACGATATATCTACCTTCGCGACAGGATTCCACCATAGACAATAATGAGACCATAGTGATGAATGAGAATGACAACCATTATAACAGCAATATCCATAACTACGACCATGGCCATGTCCATATTCAGAGCAACAAACCTGATCGATTTATAAAAAATCAGATCATTGATAACATAGACAATAACAATGAACACTCCAATGATTCCAGCCATGACTTTGATATCATAAAAGAAGATAACAATAATGAAAACGACTCATTTCAGGAAACCAGATACTCAGTTTCAATTCCATTTTCGCAGGAGATGAATACCTCTATCCTCTCATCGACTGGTGATTACACTATTAATGCGAATAATATCCTTCAGCAAAACGAAGGATATAATGATACTACCATCTTCAATGCTAGTTTGAGTTCTGGTTCTAATAGTCTTGAAAACAATATAGACAAAATTATAAATTGCACAACTGCATGGTTGAAAAAAAAAGATAATATAAACGAGGATAAAGAAAAATCAAAAGATGATGACGATGGTTTTTTCAATGGAAATTTTTCTGCAATTGGAAATTTTACAATAGTTAATTCTAATGAAACAACTATTTTGAATAACAGTAGAGTTAATAACAATACTATTGAGATTAATGATTCCATGAGCTCAATAAAACTAATTGAAATTTTGAATTTTTATCTAATTAAATGCAAAAGTAATATATATTTAAACAATTTAACAAATAAATTTTTAAATTTGAACTCTGAAGATTTGAATAAAAAAAATGAAATTGAAAATGATTTAATTAAAAAGGAAATTGAAAAGTTGAGTTTTTTAAATAGAGAATCTTCAAGTAGCAAAAACAAGAAAAATCAAAACAAGAATGAAGATAGGGATAGGGATAGAGATAGAGATAAAGATAAAGATGAAGATAAAAAAAATGGAAAGGAAATTGAGAAAGGAAAGGAAACAGAAAATAGTAATGAAAAAGGAAAACAAAAAGAGAAACAAAAAATAAAACAAAAACTAAAACAGAAAGAGAAAGAAGTAGATAAAGAAAAAGAAAAGAAAAGAAAAGAAAATATTGATGAGAACAATAGCCAGAATAAAAGTGATCACGATAATGGAAATCAAAATAATCATATGAAAATCATTGACAACTTAAATAAAAAAGTGTTGAAATATAAGATAAAATATTTGAATTTAAAAAACATTGTTATCAATAAAGATAAAGAGATAGTCTCTCTTAACAATCAATTGTTTAGTCATCAGAATTTATTTGGCAATAATAAAATATCAAAACCAATATCTAAATATCCAAAATCCTACCGTCAAAGTGGTAATCCTCCAAGAGGGAAATTTAATATTTTGAATGCAACTAAAACAATAACACCAACCCAGGTTCAAACTCCAAAAGAGAAAAGAGAAAAGAAAAATAGAAAAGAAAATAATAATGGTAATAGTAATAGTAATAGTAACAATGATAATGAAAACAACAGTGCTACTGATGGTGTTATTGTGAATGATAATAAAACCGATACAAATAAAAAAATTAATCAAACTAACAGTAAAGTTGATAGTAATATTGTTGGTACAAGTGTGAATAAAAACAATAAAAACAATAAGAGCAATAAGAGCAATAAGAGCAATAAGAATAACAAAAATAGTCCTAATTACAGTAATTTTATTAATAAATTTCCTAGTAATCAGTTTAATAATCAAACTGTTTTAAATAACAATTTTGGTAGCAATAATTTTTTAAACAACCAAATAATAAAAAATTCGACTCGAGCTAAAAGAAGATTAGTTGATATATCAAATCCAGGAAAATATAAGAAACCCAATATATTCAATACTACTGTCACTACTGCTACTACTAATAATAGTAATAACAATAATACCAGTAATACCAGTAATACCAGTAATACTAATAATGGGAATGTTACAAATTCACCCAATAGGACAATATTAATGAATACTTCTACTAATACAACTATTGATTGCTTTTCACCTAATAAGTCTATGCGACTAAGATTGAATTCCCATAACAGCAGCAGTGATAATAACAATATTGCTGGTGGTATTCAGACCAGAGAGAATTCAAATACACTTGACATGCTAGCATCGCAAGCAGTGCTAACACTATCGTCGACGAGTGAAAATCAAAGTGTGCGAGATGGGCTTAGTGCCCAAAGTGCCCAAAATACCAACAGTGGAAACCCCCCTCGATACCACAACTTTAAATCACTATTGAACAGTGAGGAAAGCAACGGGACATGCATAATAAGGTCCAGTCGGATCATCAACATCAACAAAAACAAATATGCTAAAATCAAGGACATCAACTCCACAGATACCATAGACGAGGAGGAATAAAAAGGCCTGCTCATTATATCGGCAGCTCGTATTTAGCAATAATTCACTGAAACCAACAGCGTGGATGCGGTACACACACGCACCAACACGCATTAATCATATGATATACACACATGCAGGCACATATACATGTAATAACTTGTGTACACGTTAAACAGCGGTGCAATGCGCTGGGCATCAGCGCGTCACACACGGCGACGGCGCGGGTCTCCGAGCGTTTGTGCCGAAATGTGCACGCACCTTTTTACTCGTGTGGGTTTTTCTCAGCGACTTCTTTCGTTCATCACTTTGATTCTTTTGGTCTGTTTAAGACTCTATGACTTTGACACTTCTCGACTGTTGATTGTTGAACAGCTCCTCCCAGCTTATCCTGTTCCTTTGGCTCTTTCTCACATCAAGTAAATCGCTCTTTTAACAGTTTATTTGCGTTTTTACCCCATTCTGGCTCTTAGTTCAGCTCCCTTTTCTTTTGATACCATTCTCTGGTTCTGCTTGAGTTTCTTGAAATTTCTTTTATCTTGCACTATCTCCTTGATTTTGCACACTGCTTCAGTCTTTTGATTTTATTGTCGCGAGTTATTGTTTTGTTTGATTTTATTGGTGGTTTTACTTAATTCTGCTTCTTTAGGTTTCTGCTTTGTTTTTTTTCCATTATTTCACTATTGCTACTGTTTTCATTTCTCTTGTTTTTTTTCATCACCCTCCATATCAAGCAACGCCATTTTACTCATATATATAGCCAATATCGAAAAACCATGACTTTGATGTTTACTCCATTAAGGCCCATCAACTACAACCAAATAGTGGAATCTTCTTCTGATAGTGAATATTCCGACGTGGAAGAATATGACCCCAGCATGAATCCAAACATTCCCGGAACTTCCTCTATCGACGCCAACATCAACAATAACGTCCAGAACAATATCAATAACGACTCAAATATCAACAACAAAAGCATTAGCAATTCTTCAAACATCAACATAGACAATAGCCACATCAGTCACAATAGCCATACTGACCATTATAACGACGATAATAACGACAATAGCAATAACAATAATAATAGTAATAGTAATAGTCTACATATCCAGAACTACACAACAAATCTTTTGGACCCAAACCCAACTCCAAACTCGATTAATAATTCATCTGATTTTTCGAATATTACAGCTCCTTCAAACAATATTCTCTTAAACGATATCAATAACGTTAATGAAATTAATGAAATCAATAGTATCAACAATATCAGCAATATCAATAGTATCAATAATATCAGTTCAAACTCCATGTTATTCAATTTTAATGATTATGATGATGGTGACGACGATGACGACGAATTAAATACAATCAATCCTCAATTCACTCAGGTCCAACCCCCTTTAAATAACCAGTTTCAAAATATCAATACAAACTTACCCATGAATGCAAATTCTATTCAAAATTCATTCATAAACTCAAATGAAATTTCCAGTGAAATTCCAAATCAAGATTTAACTCAAAACCAATTTTCTAGTCAATTTTCTAATCAATTTTCAAATCAAAATCAAAACAGTATCTCAATTGAAAATGATTTAGGTACTATTTACCATCATGCTATAACCAATACCTCCAAAATCCTCGTATTAAAAATGATTATAAAAGCTCAAAAGAAACTAATGGATATCTTGACCGAGAAATGGTATGATGTTCCAATCAATGAAGAAACTATTCTAGGTAAAAAATTGCCTTCGAAATTAAATCCAAACTACTTGTCAATCAAACAACAATACATGGATTATAAAGTCAATTTAAAGATTAATAATAGCAAAATTAAAAACGAAAAAGATAACGTCAATAATGATAATGATAATGATAATGACAATGATGAAGATAATGATCATCATGATGACTATGATGAAGATAATGATGAATATACTGAAGATATCGAAGACATTGAAGATACCAGTCGAGAAATCAAAAGAAGTTTCAATTTAAGAGATCTTTATCTTTGTTTGAATTTTTATAATTCATTAATAAATGAAGTTAATAAAGATTTGAAATCTTATTTATTTATTATCTTTTCTAAAAACTCTAAATTTAATATCCCATCTAATAATATAAACACAAACACAAACACAAACACAAACACAAATACAAACACTTATTATCTACCTCTAAATCAGAATAAAGCTAAAAAATTAGATTTATATAAACTAAACTATCAATTTCCAAACGATATCATTAATAACGCTGATCTTGAAGAATGCTTTAATTTAAATATTATTGATACCGATTTAGTGGTTGATTATATCAATGAATTTATGGAATATTGGGAAATCGACATTTCGGGTCAACTTGATAGACTTGATTCACTAAACGATTATAATTGCGAAAGATTTGATAAATGTTTAGAATATATTGTTAATGAAATCGATGATATTGAATCAACATATTACGATTTTAATTTTAATCTCAAATAAAAAATTCCTCAGGTGTTTTGAATTGAATCCCAATATTTTTAGCAAATAATTTGTCTGAATCACTGAAATCTTGAGATCTTCCAGCTGCATCTCCAATGAAAACCGAGTTATAATAATCAATGTGATGTCTGATATTGGTAATATCCTTATCGTTAGAAATTGATTCAAGATCTTTTAAAAATTGATTCCACATTCCAATGTTTGGTTTCCTGTATAAATTATTATTATTCTGATTACTATTTAAATGAGAACTCTTTGGAATTCTAGCAGATGAATAAATCAATGGATAAAATTTGATTAATTTTAATTGATTTAAGATCGAATTAATTTTATTTTGATAATTTTTGAAAGATTTTTGATTGAAATCAGCTACTATTCCACCTTGATTAGAAAAAATTACGATTATATTGAGATTTTTACTGTTATTTATAGAAGTTAAAGTTGGCAAAACTTTATCATTTAACCAAACCCAATCATCTGAATTTATTGGAAATTTTCTACCACTTTTTGTTTTAATTAAAGTATAATCCAAATCAAATGCATATATAACTAATTTTTCATTTTTATTGCTTTCAATTTCAATATCATTTTGGTTTTTAATTTCAATTTCAATTTTAATTTCATTTTTGTTTTCAACTTCATCTTCTTTTCCATTTTCATTGACATTATTAGTTTTATTGTCAGTACAAAAATTATTTATTTCTATGGTTTTATTATTTGCATTATTAATATTGTTATTGCTATCCTTTTTTATTTTACTTTTACTATTACTATTACTACTATTACGATAATCGGCTGCCCTCACATTTTCTATTTTTGTCACTGCTTTTAGTTTTATTTTACTGGTATTTTTCTTTATCATTAAAAGTCTTTCATGGAATCTGGCTGCAAAATCTGTTGGTGTCACTGATATCAAGTTCCCACTTATTGACCAGTTTTGTTTTCTCGTTGTCCTCACACTGGCTGCTAAATTGATGTTGATGGTTTTCGATGACAATAAGGCCAAAATGTCCTGCCTCTGGGCTCTCTTTTTGTTGGACACAAGGCTTCTCTGGTGCTCTGTTTGCAGTGCTCTCTTGCCCATCTGCTCTCTTCTGCTCACGTTTAATGTCTGTTCTTGTTCTATCTCTGTTTCTTTAACTGTTCTCTCCATACTTTCCTTTCTTTTTGTAGATCACATTTTGAGTTCCGTCTGATCGGAGCTCACTTCCGGAATTTCTCACGTGTGAAAAACGAATTTTCCACCGACTCAGTCGAAAGAAGCGAAAGAAGTAAAAGAAGTAAAAGAAATAAATGAAGAAAAGGTGGAAGAGCCCAACAGCAAAAGAAGCTCAGAATATCACAATCCTTCAGCTGCTCTGCTCTCAAGACTGTTTTCAAGATGTCCTTGGTTAAGCTAGGTTACATTTGTTCCCATTTGCAAAACTGTGCTACTCGTCGTATTCCCTTGACCAGCATTCCCTACACTAGACAATCCATCAATGTTGCACTCCATTTGTACAAGGAGGGTTTTATATCTGCTATCTCCAAGGGCTCTGTTGTTAGACCTGACTTGCCCTCAGAAAACATCGAGGTGACCTTTGACAACATTGCTACAAGAAAACTATGGGTCACTTTGAAATACAGAGACAATCAGCCAGTTTTAGGAAAATTCAGGCTAGTTTCAACTCCTAGTCAAAAGTTTTTTTTGTCTGATGTGGAAATTAAAGCCTTAAGCAGTGGTTTGAGTGTTAGAAAAATCAAACCTCAACAGCCTGGAGAATTAATATTGGTTCAATTGGAAGACAAGAAAATCATTGATTTGCAAGAAGCTGCCAAAAATAATGTAGGAGGTTTGGTTCTTTGCAGAGCTAGAACTTAATCTTCATAACAACATTTGATATCAATTCCAATTTTGCCTGTTTTCATGATATTATGATTCATTACTTTAGTACTTTAGTGCTTCAGTTCTTTATTAATTGTTTTTCTTTTCTTTTTTTCTTTTTTTCCTTTGGCTTATTTTTTTTTCTTTTTCTTTTTCTTTATTTTACTTAATTTTATGGACCTTGATCCATTCTTTGTCATATATATATTCATTTTGTACATAGATACTCTTATCGTTCGAAATAAATGATTCTGGATTCTATCTTAACTTGTATAGATTAAATTAAGTGTTTTATATATATATTATATATAGTACAATTAGTCGATTACTCTTCAAAAATGTCTCCATCTTTGGAAAGAAACTCGTTAACAGCCTTACCATCAGGCTTTCCTCCACTCTCTATGTACATTTTATATTTATTTTCAATATCATTTATGACTTTATCGACTTTGAACGTTTTGATAAATTTTAATTTGGGATTATCAAAATGGCCGTTTTCTAAGTCTTTATTAACTCTTACCCAATCATTGATACATGATCCAGGTGAATTTTCAATGTCTTTATGATCGTTGGGACATTTACATCTGCATCCAATGCCATTTTTTTGGGGCAAATCATAATTCAAAAACTTGTTATCAGATTTCAATTCTTTTGCCATATTTTTACTTTTGCTTTTACTTTTATTTTGATTTTGATTTTGATTCTTGAAATAGTTGTCACTCATTTTATATGGCAAATGATTATCAAATGAGTTTGATGGACAGTGTCCTAATGTCGTATGTTTATAGCCAATATCTCTGAAATAGTGTAAATCTGTTAAATTCAAAAACATTCCCAAGGCCAATGTATGAACTGGTGCATCACCCCATCTTTCTTTAAAGAAACCTCCACTTTGATCTAGATATTCAAAATATTGATCATAAATGTCATTGTCCCATATATCCAACCTTGCAATCTCGAAATTTGACCAAAAATGGCAGAAATTGTATTCTTCGTTATTAAAATAGTCCTTTTGAATTTCAGGTATAAAAATTCTTGATGACTTATCGATTAATGACTGTAGTACTTTTGGGTCTAGTTTTGAGTCATTATCTACTTCTTTAGCTATATCGACTAAATGGTCAATTTGAATATTGTTCTCGATTGAATCAATTAATTCTTGTTTTTCTTTGATATTTTTATATCTTTGTAATAGTTTTCTATTATCATTATCATTGGCATCTGGAAATTTGAAATTATTCATTTGATTAACGAATAAGCTCCAAGCAGATTGGGTTTGAATGTTATTTTTCTTGATAAATGCTTGAGTTATTCTAAACAAGTTTGGAATGGTTGAAGTTAATTCTTTGATTAATACGGTGAATCCATATTTTTTGTTATTTTTCTCCATTTCAATAAAAGGATCGTAGGTTAAATCACAAAAAAATTGAACATTAGGCTCAACTCTCCAGTACCATTTATATTTTTTCAATAGAGGATGCTTGTAAAACTTTCCTGAATAAAATCTACACATTTTGTGGTATGATGGCATTAAGCCATACATTATACCTCTATCGCCTTGACTGTTGATACTTTCTTTGTATATTGATTCGTCAAACTCATATACATTTTTTGTTTCTTTATCTTCTTGGTTGCTCTTTTTAATTGGAAACTCCCACAAGCTTTCGGAGACCAAACCAAACTCGACTTGTGAGGAGGTGTGTAACAGAACTGTCTTCTTGAAATCATCAGTAAAGGGCTTGTCATTTAAGAAGACCCAGGGATAGTTGAACCATTGGTTGAAATGTCTTTCTAGGGAATCCATGGATTTGATAACATCACCCACTTCTTTATTTCTTGCCAACACAACCAACGCAGCATTTGCTCTCTGGGGGTATCTTTGGCTGATCAAATCAGTGTCCATGCAACCAACATAAAAGGGCTGGTCGAACTTGGTGAAGAGGTATCTCTGGGATATGGGAACCTTAGGAGGAATTGGTTTGTTCTCCTTTCTAGCCTTTCTTTCCACCTTGTCATCATCAAACTGGTCGTAGATGTCGAACTTGGACTCGAAAGGAAGATTCAAGGACCTGTCTTGAAATCGAAATGGTGAGTATAAGCCAAGATCGATTTCCTTCCCATCGATCGTTACATGTTGAGCAGCCCCAGGCCCATTGAAGAGCATGTCAAAGTGGTTCTGCTTCTTGGTAAGCCCTGAGGGCGAGCTTTGGGTCTGCAAACCAAAGGATACGTAGAGTATAGCAGATACTATCAAGAGAAATAGCCAGAGCTGGATGCTGATTATCTTGCAAACCTTCACTCTTCTGGTGAGAATACTCATTTTCAAAGGCAGCAAACGAGGTGTGGGAGATGGAAACAGCAGAACAACAACAGCAGGAACAGTAGGAACAGTAAGAACAGCAGAAGCAGCAACAGAAGCAACAGAATTAAGAAAATCCAGCACTGATATCTCACAACAGAGAAGCAGAGGCACCACAGGCACCAGAAGCAACAGCCGAAGAGCCCACGCTCGATTCGACACAAGTGAAAAAACAATATGTGTTGATTCTTTTCACAGGCACTCACAAAACCAAAGCCAACCTCTATCTTCAGCTGCCATGAACACAAGAATACCCTATAACCAACACCAGTGATGAGTAACAGACCCAGAAGACTAACAGTGAAACCCAGCACCAGGAAACAGAGGGCCAGCTTGGTAGCGAGCTCCTTTTCCAGCTTTCTGAACAAGAACAGCTTTGAGCTCTCAGACTCGAGTCTTGACGAGCTAATCCACTCCAACTACTACGACGATGATCCCATGCTGTTGCTCAAGCCTTCGCCTTTGAAGCCAAAGATATCCAGGCACAGGTCGCCTCTTTCGAAACAGAGGAGTAACACCATCTTGAACTCGTTTCTAGAGACGAGTTCCCATTCCCCATTCAAGTTCCACAAGTTCAATAATTTGAACAAGTCGTACAGTGAAAAAGATGGTGCAAATAAGGCAAATGATGAGGTATCAGAGCCTGTGGACGAAAACACTTTTGAAGACAGAGAAACCACTCATAAAAGCAATCCAGTGGATTCTAGCCACTTGGACATTTCAGCAGATACAACCACTTTGAATAATAGGAGAGTCAAAGAGAGTGTAAACACGATAATAATTCCTCTAAGAGATGACGATAATACCACTCCAATGACCTACAACAATGGAAACACTCCAGATCCAGTTAAAAACAGCAACTCATTAAAGATCAAGACTCGAAAGCCTACTCCAGCTAAATTGGTCAAATTTTCAAATGTGGATCAGTTTTCCAAAGACTTGACCACTTCAATGATAAACAGGAAAATTCAAGATATCACTGACACTTTGCAATCAATGTCATCTCCTATTGCCAATGATAAAAAAAGCAATGGGGCTCCAAATAAAACTGGAATCACTGTCATAAACAGTAACGATCTGGTCAATAGTATTCTCGAGCTGGTCAATTCTGAAATTAATGCCAGCATTATTAGCAATCTAACTGAAAATAGCTACAAGTCAATCAATGAATACAAAACACCTAGTCCCCCAGTTATGAGATCGTTTGAGCGAACACCACCTCATAATCAAATTGATATTGATCTAAATCAAAAAAAAAACAGTCTTCCAAAACCGAAAAATGCTTTATATCCAAAGATATTAAAGCAGATCCCTCTATTGAAGGAAACTTTTAAAGATACTAAACATAATGATAGTAATAAACATACAAAAGAATTAAGAAATCTGAGTATAATTGAAGCGCAGACTCAAAAACGTCAAAATAAAAATCGTCATAACACTGGTGATAAAGAGAAAGAGAATGATAATGATAATGATAATGACAAACAGCTTTTGAAATCAATTGAATTGGAGAAGAAAACAAAGAAACATGGAAATTCAAGACAAAACAGTTTAATAGAAAAATTTCCAATTAATAATAATAATAATAATAATAATAATAATAATAATAATAATAATAATAATAATAATAATAATAATAATAATAATAATAATAATAATAATAATANAATAATAATAATAATAATAATAATAATAATAATAATAATAATAATAATAATAATAATAATAATAATAATAATAATAATAATAATAATAATAATAAAAATGGTGAAATATCTAAAAGAAATAGTATTGAACATCTTAAAAAACTTAAAAATATGCTTGCAAATAGTGAAAAGATTGAAATAAAAGTACTGAATAACAGTGAAATAAGTAAGAAAAAAGCCTTAAATCAAAACAAATTAAATAATGGATTTGAAAAGAAAAATGAAAGCAAAAAAAGAAGAAGAAGAGAGCTGGATGTATCAAGTATTGATATTAATATTAATGTTAATAATTCGGATGAAACGATACGATCACCAGGATCTTTAACTTCAAGTACAAGTCCATATAAATATATCAACGAAAATTCTACAGTTAGTGATTGGGATGATGAAAAATGGAAAACATTTATCAAATTGGTTTATAAAGCCGTTAAAAAAAAGGATAAAAAACTATTATATAATACTAAAGTGATTGAGAAATTTGGGATAGTGGATGGATTAGAGTTGAGTTTAAAAGAAAAATTGATTCGAAAATACTATAAAATGGGAAATTTCAATAAAATGAGTTATAAAAAAAGAAGAATTAGTGAAAATGATAATATTAATAATAGTAGTAATGATCTGAATAAAGATAAACAGAAAGATAAACAAAATACCTAAATAAATGATTAATAAATAAATAATAAAGGAAAAAAAAGTAATAAATAAATGCATAAATAAGTAAATGAGTAAATAACCTGAAACCCATAATGTGCCTGTGAAAATAAGTGAATACCGAAATTTGATAAAAATAAAGATTTAGAAAAAAAAAGAAGCATGAAGCAGGGAAATCAAATAAAGTTTGTTTTTTTTGTTTGTTTTTTATTTTTTTTTTTTAAATTTGTTTTAATAGTGGAGTTGTTTCGTTATATTGTTGATTTTGTGCTTGATGAGAGTATAACCATTTTTGGTAGAAATAGAATAAATCTAGAATAATACATCCAAAACAACCAATTAAAAAGGGCATTTCCTTTTTCAAAAATAGAACTTTTTGGAATTTTTCAGGACTTTTAAGAAATTGATTGGAAGTTAGGATAGAAAGTGCTAGATTTGTATTTCCAGATAATGAACATAAGAATAGTAAAGGAGAAATGTGCTTTGTTGATTTTCTTTTAAAATTTTTATAAAGCTGTGGAATTCTAGAACCAATATAGAAAAATGGAACTAGCCAGGAAATGTATAAACCATAGTTGATAGCAGTTATGTTATTGGAGTCAGCCCGGTTATAATTTATAGGAGCAGCATTTGCTTTTGATACGGCTAAGGATAATGCCACTATGTTGGGCAAAATTTTGTTCTTATTGCTGCTGTCGTTATTAAGGATGATATGGTTGTATGTGATTTTGTTTTGAGCAACCCTGGGATAGAAATAGCTGTAATAAATGAACAAAGATGCCATGATCAAATCATTACAGACACCATAGAAACTCAAATAGATCTGGTTTTTTAACTGATGTGTCAATATACAACCAATGAAGTTAGAAAAATCACCTAAGAGCCATATCAAAATAAAATATGGAGACAAATAGTCAGCTTTTTTCAACTTGTATATCTTTAGCTGTTGGGGAAACTGGGCAGTGAAAAAGGACAAGATGGATAGCACAGTAAAGAACTTGGACAACGAGCCTGAGCTGATGTTGGAGCCAAAATCCAGCTCTTGATCTGTGCTGAAGATGGACCATGTGGAACTGGCTGAAATGCTCATCTTGGAGTATGCTGTGGTGGGTGTCGAAATGCTGCTGGGCCTGTTTTCTGTTGAAAAGAAGAAGAAGAACACCTGGCAGACCAGAGAGGCTCCTGTGGTGTTTAAATGGGCCTGAAACCAGTTTGCCAATCACATTTCACGTCCATCCACCGCTGTTCTGCTTATCAGTAGACCATCCAAACCAGATCAGATCAAAACTGATCCAAACCAAAGCAGCGCGATAAGCCGTGGCCTCCATGCTAACGCCTTCCTAAAACGATCAAAGAACAGCGCGTTGACGTATACCGCGTTTCTGTGCATATTGTGCATATTGCGCATATTGCACCTTAGCAACGGCTTAAACATTTACATGCATATTCACACAGCCAAGGCGCGTTTGGATCCGTGCGGCTGGCTCGGAGGCACGTGGTGTAAACAGAGGTCAGAGGGTAAACAAAAACAGACTGAGAGATGGAGCAAGAGCCTGATGAGAGGTAAGTCTTTCCAGCCTACAATGCAGTAGCTGTAACACCTCCTATACTATACTTCCTGTCTCTTTTATTGTTTCTGCTGACCAGAGCTGTCCATTGTATTACTTCTAACCAAAAATGGCTGATGAAGAGGACTATTCGTCTTTACCGCTATCTGAACGTTTGGTACATAAAGTATGTTGCTGTTGAAGTTACTCTTTCAACTGTGCTAGTGACCTCAACCTCTGGCTGATCTCAATTACTAACCAGCATTTTATCAATTCGCCAATTCATTTGATTTTAGGTGTGGAAAGTTCGTCAAGCTTCTTACTTGGAAATCATAAAATCCTTTGAACAATCTCCAAACGAAAATGCTGAGTGTTTTCAGCCCTTTTTGCATGACCCGAATATATTCAAATCCATTGTCGTTGAAAAAAATGTTGTCGCTCAGGATACTGGGATCTTGGCTCTAGTCAAGTTTCTAGAGTTTGGTGGAACTAATGCCTGTATCAAATTAAGATCAACTATCATGCCATCACTAATTGAAAAGGCTCTCTCATCTTCAAGACCTTCCACAAAGAAAAACTCAATAGAGGCAATTTTATGGTTTATAGAATTGGATATCCCAGATCCTATCATTGAAGATCTATTATTGTTCATTCCTCACAAATTACCCAAATTGGTGGTGGGAACTCTACAAGCTTTGGTGGAAATCTTTAAAAGCTTCGGTGCAAAAGTAATATCTCCTAAACCAATTATCCCGTTATTACCAAAACTATTTGCTCATGGTGATAGAAATGTCAGAGCTCAAACTTCAAATTTATCCTTAGAGATTTACAGAGGCATGGGCGAGCCCTTTTCACAAATCTTATTTCCGGATTTGAAACCTGTACAGGTCAAGGACCTAACAAAACTATTTGATTCAATCAAAAACGACCCTCCGTGTCTTCCTCCAAGAATGCTAAAATCAGCAAGAGAGGCATTGGAAAGAGAAAAGGCCATCTTGAATACTTCAAATGCTTTAGCAGGCAATACCGACAATGATTACGACATGTCATCCCCTGCAAACGATCAACTGCAAGAGTTAGATGCCTACGATATGATCACTGCGGTAGATCTTTTACCAAACTTACCAGAAGACTTATCAACAAGAATCAACTCATCCAAATGGAAAGAGAGAAAAGAAGTCCTAGAAGAGATACAACCAATGTTTGCCAAAACAATGAAATTGGCCAAGAATGTCGACTATTCGGATTTCATAAGAATCTTATCCAAATGCATGAAAGATGCAAATATAATGGTAGTCACCTTCGCCGCAAATATAACAAGCTCCATAGCGAAAGCATTGAGAAAAGATTTCCAAAAATATCTAGAATTGATTTTTATAAACATACTTGAAAGAACTAAAGAGAAAAAACCATCCATTGCTGATGCCCTAAATGAAGCATTGTTTTCCTGCTTTAACAGTTCTTCATTGTCTGACATTTTACCCGACTCTTTAAAAACAATTACCCATAAAACTCCTCAAATTAGAATATCTTGTACAAAATTCCTAATAAAATGTCTTCAAAATACTAAAATTCCCCCTACTGATGATGAAGTCAAATCAATAATGGAAGTGGGCTTGAAAATACTAAACGATACTCAAGCACCCGTTAGAAATGAAGCCCAAGAACTAATTGGAACTTTAATGAAAATAACCGGTGAAAGACAGTTGAATCAATATTTTGAAAATATAGATCAAATTAAAACTAAAAAAATTAAAGAGTGTTTCGAAAAGGCCGAGGTCAAAGCAGTTCCGGTCGTCATAAAACCAAAAACAAGATCTAAACCAAATCCTCCATCTTTCAATGGCCCAAGAAAACCCACTTTGGGAAAAATGTCTAGGCCTCCAGCCTCAAAACCACCACCTGTGCCCAATAATAATTCAAATTCAAATTCAAATCTTATTTCCAATTCAACTTTCAATAATACCAACAACATTGTTGAGCAACAAAGAAGACCACTTGCTTCAAGATTGGGTATTAGAAAACAACAAAACACAGAACCTCCTACCCTATCTGTTTCCAGAAACGATGAAGACGATATTCAGATTAACACATTTAGCCCTTCACAAATGCTTAAAAAAAACTTTTCGTCAATACTTCCATCAAAACGAATGGCTAGTTCTCCGTTGAAACGGAACGACGATACCACGGCTTTTAAATCCACCAACACTAATGGTGCATTTCTACTGCAAGAAACAGGAAAACTAACATCCATTTCCTTGACAAATAATAACATACGAAGCAAACTAGAAAGTGTTTCCAATGAAAATAATTATGACACTAATTTCGAATTAAAGCAACTCAAAAGGGAAAAAGAGGCTTTGCTAAAAGAAAAAAATAATTTTGAATTGCAGCAAAGTACTTGGAACATTGAAAAAAACAGAATGCTAGAAGAACTTGAAATGCTCAGATTGCAAAACGAATCTTTAAAAGTTGAAAATCTGAACCTAGTTTCCAAAAGTAAAACATTAAAAGAAGAATTCACAAATAACAAGTTGTCGCTAAAATCTAAAGATACACAATTGACAAGAGTGCAATTGGATTTGGAAAATTCCAGAAACAAAATAATAGAGTTGCAAAAGGAACTTGAAAAGGTCAGATCTCAGTCCCATTACTACCCATTAACCTCAACGCAACTTAAACCAAACAACTTTCCAAACGCTAAACGTGCAAGTATGTTTGAGGGTCTAAGCACATCATCAATGCAAATGATTTCCAATCAATCAAATGATATAAGATCCGGTGTGGAAAACCTATCGATTGAAAACGGCTTGTCCTATATGAATGATGATAAAAGCATGTATAATTCCAATTTCAACCAAAGGAACTCTGGACAGTTTAGTCCCAGACGAAGCATGATAGGAATGCCACCTCCAAACAGACACAGCAAGACCATGGCTAATGTTTTTGATCCAAACAACGATGATAGCTGGAGAAGAGCAGCCGAAGTGACGTCCCAGCTAAAGGCTAGAATTGAAAAAATGAAAGCGAGGTCGCGAAACAACATTGGCTAGAAGCATTGTCTGGAGCGATGCACTCCTCCAAAGGGCACTCCATATAGCTGCTGATGTCTGGCTCAGAGAAACTCGTCTTATATACCTCTATACCTCTATACCCTTGATAGCCTCAATCCATTTTTTACGCTCTCAGCTCCAGTCCGAAACCGGCTTCACGGTTGCTTCCGGGTTCGCATGCGTGTGCGTCTGCATGAGCATGTGTATAACCAAAATGCATGTAGATGCAGTTCGCGTTATTGTATCAACAAATATCAAATATAATCTCTATCAACCTCCTTATGAGCTGTCTGGTTTCTTTCTCTTTTATCTCTTCTTTGTCTTCCTAGATGCATTATAACAGCCGAATTCTAAGATTAATCTGATATTGTTGTTCACCGATTTGTTCCAGCTCAGTATTCCATGCTCTCCAACTCTAAGATTACTTCAAAAGTTTCTCAAGACCTTATCAATGCTTCAAATAAATTCAAAACTAACAGGAATACCAATACCAATAACAAAATTTCCTCGAGCACAGTTTGTGCAAAGGATTTTAGCAAAAATATTACAACATACAAAACTACAGATGTAGCCAAAACTGAGTTTCTTCAAAATTTAAATTTTTCAAAATCCAAAACTGATCCTTTTCGAGAATGGAGAATAGAATGGTTGAATATATTGCCCAGATCTTATATTTATTTTGATTCAAGAACAGAAGAAAACCCAGTTTTAAAGGCCAACAAAAATGCTCTTTGTCAGTTTGAAAAGTATTTTGTATCATGTTTTAGAAAATTGAAGGCTAATATTGCTCCAACATTTCAACCAAACCAAACTACTATTATAATAACAATGAATAATTATAAGAAAAATCCTCAAAACTCGAATGATTTAATTTTTTCGGTTGCTGAAAAAAGAGAAATTAAAATTTGGGGATACGAAAAAACAAATCGATTTTTATTAAATTTATTCAACCAAAGAAATCAGAAAAGTCAACTTTTCCTCAACCAATTATATTCTCAAAATTCTTATCTCCGGGTCAAAAATTCAAAGCCTCAGGAACAAAATAACCAAATTGACAATAACGAAGCAAAAATCCTAACCCAGATAACAAACAATTTAAATCATCATCAAAAACAACGTCGTCTTCAGCAGCAGCAGCAGCAGCAACAACAACAACAACTAAAAAGAAATAGAACAACTGAGTTGTCCACTTTATTGAAACAGGAAAAATATTATGGAAACACTGGAACCCCTGAAAAAGAAAAACTTTACATTTTTCATAGACCTTTTTTTTATGTTTATGATCTTAGTCAAAGATATCGACCACCATATATCAAAGAATATAATACCACAAATAATGCTCCTGATAGCAACAAACTGAATAATAATAAAACCAAGCCTAATGGTGATAAAACTTTTGATACTATCCCTCAATTTTATGCTTCCACTGAAGGTAGATCACCCTTTGTGCCTGATCCAGATGATTTTGACGATACAAAAAGAGTTTTAAAAAGATTTTACAGATTTAGAGCAAACAAAGCTTATAGAAGAAACTTGCGAAAAATTTATTGTCAAGACTATGATTCAAATGAAATTGATAAAGATTGTATAGACGACGATAATTTTGTCTACAATGTTGAACTTGAAAATCAACTTGAACAAGAAAGAATCAGAAATATTAACAATAGCAACAATAATAATTTGACGAATAATGAAAATCTTGAAACACTCAAGGATACTAACACTGCTAATCAGAAATATAAAGTCAAAAGGTTAGATAATGCTTACACTTCTGCATTAGAAAACCATTCTACAAAAACTGACAAAGATGAGAAATTTGATCAAACTAATTTTATCCAAAATAATAATATTTTCAGTCTATCAAAATTATCTAACGATAAGACTGAACCAACATCGAAAATTTCAGTTTCTCCAAACAAAAATTTAAATCTTAATGGTTTCAACAATTTCAATACCTTGAACTTCAACTGTGCTAATAACTTTAGTAATAACTTCAGCAATAACTTTAGTAATAATAATAATAATAATAACTATAATAATAACAATCACTATAATAATCACTATAATATTTTAAGCAACCATATATTTTTAAATAATACTACTAATAAAAACAATCAAAGGAATATTTCAGTTATAAAACTTTCCAAAACATGTGTTAAAATTACAGGATTAAATTCTGTTTACAGTGAAAGAAGAAAACGATCATTTTTTGAAATTGAAGCCTCTGGAGTTAAATCCAGTCAATTTGGTGTCACATCGTTTAACACAATGAGAACTGAAGGTGTAGGCAATGGTTTAGGGCCAGCATCGTCCTTTGTTAGTTCAAAGGAAATTAGGTTGTTGAAGAAAAAAGTACTTGATGATAAGACCACATTTCGACTTGTTAATTGTGTAAATAATGATAATTATGAAACAGATAACCATGCTACTACTACTATCGCTAATAATAATAATAATAATAGTAACAAGAAATTCAACAATAAGATTGATAATCAAAAGGCATGCACAAAAGTAAAAAATGATTGTAAAATGAAATTGGGATATCAAGAAAATATAACTCTTGGTGGTAGAGGTTTAGAGAAAATTCAAGAAAATGAAGAAGATAACGATGATAATCAACATAATCTTAAATGCAGTATTGATGATAATAAAAATACAGCTGTTACTACTATTACTATTAATGAGGATAACAAAAATATCAACTGCAAAAAGCTCCAAGTACCTTTAGAGAATACTGGGTATTGTGAAAACTGTCGAGTAAAATATGATAGTTTTAAAGAGCATATTATCACTGATAAGCATAAAGCATTTGCTAGAACAGCAAAGTATTTCAAGAGAATTGACGATTTGATTAGTTTGTTAGCAGAATCAAGAAGCTAAGAAAGGTGACTTGATTGATTTTCAATTCATTTTGCAGATACATTTTACAGATACATTTTACACATATTTTTTGAACTTAGATTTTTCAATTTAAATTTTTATATTTAATATAGCATAAATAGCATTTAATTTAGGTATTTATTATTTTGATAATCGTAAATATTGTTTTTCGTTCTAATAGATTAATCGAGGTCGCATCATGGAAAAGAGGGAACTAAAAATTGAAAATGTGTATTAGATAATTTAAAATTAATGATTAAAAGTATTCAATAAACTATAAAAAAAACAAATAAAGAGGTGCTTAGTTGATTAATTGAAAAAAAAGGACAATCATTGTGAAAAATTAAAAGAAAAAAAACAAGAAATTTCCATAAGTTAAAAAGAATTAAAAGATTAAGATTTTAGAATTAAAAATTAATAAATAAGAATTAAGAAGAACAAGAAGGAAAATAGAAATCAAAGAAAAAATCAAAAAATTAAAATCATATGTAATTATAACTAATTAATAGTTATTAAAAAAAATCAATTAAAAAGAGAAATTTTCGGCAGTTAAATCCTTTTGGTCTGTTTTAAAATGTTGAGCTCTTTCTAATCTTTCCTCCATTTCTCTTAATTCTCTTTCTTTTTCCAATAACTCTTGTTTTCTCCTTAAAAGATCTTGTTTAAACTTCTCTTCTAATAAGTTCAATCTTTCTTGTTCTAATCTAACAGCTTCTTCTTTAGACGCATAAACGTCAGAAATAGCAGAAGCGGCAGAATCGTTTATTGGAGATAAATTTAGATTATTTGAAGATTGGTTATTAATATTGAATGATAATTTGGAAGGATTTGATTTCAAATCGGGGTAAGATAAGTCAATAGTAGAATTGTTCTTTTTATCTTTATCAGACAAAGCATCAGTTCTGTATTTTTCATATAAGATTTCTTGAGTGTGTTCTTTCAAATCTTGTAAATGTGAAATTAATAGAGCACTTCTTAAGGTGATGAAATCACTTTGGTCTGGATCTTCGATATCGATTGTACCCCATGGGTATTGTCTAACTCTGATCAAGTCACCATCTGGACCAGTAATTTCATCATTGGAGCCAACAACAGCAAAGGGAATCAAGGCTCTTAATGCAGTGTTTGCATCGATAGTTTCTTCGTCATCATAGTCCAAATCGTATGGGAAATTGTAGATTGGAATGTTATAATGTTTCAAGTCTTCCATGATTAATTTTTTGTTCAAAGTCAATTCAGACTTAGTCAAGGAATCGGCTTTGGAAATAACAGGTATGACATTGACCAAACCACTTAATCTTTTCATGATTTCAACATCAATTTCTCTCAAGCCATGACCAGTTGGCACAATAAAGTACAATAAGCAGTGAACTCTACCATCTTTGAATCTTGGATTTCTTCTGATTCTGCTTTCTTCCAATAGAATTTCATCGTATTGGTGTCTGATGTAGTCGATTATTATCGAAAAACTTGATTCGTTGTCAATTGAATCACCAAAGCCTGGAGTGTCAATAATGGACAAAGAGACTTTGACACCTTCGTTGTCTTCTAATTCCACATTCTCGGTACGCAAAGTCAACTCTTTCTCAGAAGAAGAATCCGAAGGATCAGGAATGGTGGTAGAGGTGTCGACCACTTGCTGGCCACACAAGGAGTTGATAAAAGTAGATCTACCAGTGCCTGACTGGCCAACTATCATCAAGGTGAATTGGATACCCTTCTTAAGGGTTTTCTTCTTTCTCAACTTGGAGGAGGAACCGATAACTGCAACCATTGGAGCAAAAACCTGGACAGAACACAGAGTACAACCAAACAAGACCTAGAGTCTAATAATACAACAATGCAAACAAAACTGAGCTGAATATGTCAGTGTTTTCTGGTGATAATTGCAATATAATTCCAATATAAACAGATAAATTCCAGACCAAAAGAGCTTCGTGTTGTTTAGTCGAAATTTGCGTTGAGCGCGATAATTTGACTACCAAAACAGGAAATACAGTTATCGCAACTCCGCGCGTGATAGTCACGCAATGATCACGTTCACGGATCCGGTTCTGTTTCACGTTTTGGAGACGAATAAAGCGAGTGGAAAGAATATAAATATCCGATGCTAAGTCGTTATTATATTTCAGCCAACGATGTCGAACATAGAAATAGTAAGTATGGTGTGGTCTTCCAGGCTGTTGAGTTGCAGTCCCAGGGGCTTGTATTCTGTGCGTGTGTTCGAGAGAAACCAAACATTAACAAACCATACCAGGCATCTCTCTACGAGACTGTTATTGATGAAGTCATTGCCAACTCCAGAGATGCTTTTGAGAATAGTGGGATTGATGAGGCAACATTGCAAGATTTGCGAAAAATCTGGAGAGACAAATTGTCTGCTTCCAATGTCGCTAAGTTTTCCTGGTCCACAATTGACAAGATAGTCATACCCAACCATGCCAATAATATGAACATTACTAATCCTACTAACCCCAATGGTATCGGCAGCAATAGTGGAGGCAGTATTGCCAATGGAAATAACGCAGCTCGAAATATTCCTTCGAGTTTTACGCCAACGATCGATTTGAGCAATAGTGTTCCAACGCACTCGAGTCATTTAAATGAAATTTCAAACACCACTCACAACCACCACGAAATCTTACAATTACCTGGAATCAAAGATGAGTCTGTTATGAATAATGCAAACTATCACGAGATGAATAGAATACAACTACCAAATAACAATATTATTCACAATAATATGGTCAACAATAACAATATCATCAGCAATAATATTAATAATAGCAATAATAATGCCAACAATAATAACAATAACAATACCAATAATAGTAATTCATCGATGATTAATAATTCAGGTTTAGTCCTTCCTAATCAAGTCGATGGAAGTTCGGTGCATCTAGCCAACTCAAAGAATTATGATGATGATTACTACAATTTTGAATTGGAATTGGATCTTGGTGATAGCACTATTGATGGTAGCAGTAATAATAATATTAATAAAAATAAAAATAAAAATAAACAAAAAAACAAAAACAAAAACAAAAAAACCAACAACCTAATAAGACAAGTGGATGGCCCATTAGACGATGATGATATCGATGAGCTTTCAGATTCTGATGATCCATTAAACTCTTCTGATGATGACGAAGGAAATAGATCAGAAGAAGATTCGGATGACGAAACTGATCAAAATAATATTCTTTGTCTTTATGATAAGGTCCAAAGAGTTAGAAACAAATGGAAATGCACTTTAAAAGATGGTATTGCAAGTATAGATGGGAAAGATTATGCCTTTATGAAGTGTACTGGTGAAGCTGATTGGTGATCAGTGATCAAAAAGCTTTTTTTTCTTTCTTTTTCTTTCTTTTCTTTTTTTATTATCTTAGTTTTAATTTTTGTTTTGTTTTAAATTGTTTTTTTCTTATTTCTATATTTCTATATTTTTCTCTTTCTCTCAATTTCCTTCGATACTATGTTTTTCCTTTGGCTTTTTGATATATATACATATTAGTTTTAATAATTTAATTTCAAAGTTCAGGTTTTATATTCTCAGATGGCATCTTATAAATTGTATTGGTTTTTAAATGTTAAATATGAAACGTGAAATATAATTATTAACTGATGAGTATTTAAATTAAAAGAAATAACGATCCACAGTAGTAAACAGCAAATCAAAAATTAAACAAACTTGTGAAAAGGAAAGAAAAAAAAAATATAAAAATAAACAAATAAATAAATACATAAAATAAATGAATAAAAGAAATACAATGTAATTAAACCAAGTTTTATCAAAAACTTAATAAAGATAACAGAATAAACAAAAGAATTCAGAAAAAACAAATAAACAAATCCGATATGAACATATTAATAAAATAATGAATTAAAAGGAAATGAAAAAAAAACAACCAAAACAGAAACCAATCATAATCAATATAAATATCCAGCAGGTTCAATATTAAATGTTAATCATAAAATAATGATATTGAAAATTAAGCTTAAACTAGAATTTTTATAATTTAGATTTAGTAATTAACCAAAGACTTTAATTTCGTTGGAGTCGTCATTAGTTGACAATATTTTTTCATTTAAATCCTCATTATTATAATTCTCAACCCAATAAACCTCTGAGATATTTTTTTGAATTAGTTCGATTGTTTCTGGAAAAAACCTTCCATAAATATTAGTAGATAGTCCTGCATTTTCACTCAATACTATCAAAATTCCCTTATTGGACTTATCAAATAAGTTAGACGTCTTGAAAAACTGTTGATTGGGATTTTCCTTGAATTTACGGAATAGAACCAAATTGTGATAGTTATTTATGTCATGTTTGATCTTCTCAATTCTCTCTGGTGATGTGGTTACTTTCAATTTCAAAACATATTCAAACTCATCTGGTTTGCTGCTGCCACCATCACCCCCGAATAACCTACTTAGCTTAGACTTGTTGAAGGAAGATTGGCTTTTTGAATGAAATAGTTTTTTTAATCCCATCTGGTATCTACACTGCTAGTATAAATCAACGAAATCTTTCGCTCTTTCTATAACTTAGCTCTTCAAAATCAAAATGTTCTCATTAGATATAAAGAAGGATTGCAAATGTTTCCTGATTGTGTCTTCACAATTTTACATTTGCAAAGCGCCAAAAAACCAGATTCCGGGCCTTTGACGTGAGCTTTGAGCTAGCCAGAACACAGCCCTCCTTCTTCAAAACAAAAAAATAATAAAACGTGACCACTATGCACTTGCAACTGTATAACACCATGTGTATATCCGTCTAAATGGGAGCTCTAGCGGTAAGGTCTCGATTGATAACGCGAGCGTCGGCACAACAAATCCAATCTGAAATTTCAAAGCGAAATCAACGCCCAAAAGCAATAATATGTGTTACTATGCAGATTTACGCTAATTAAAGCGTAACTGGTATGCAGAAAAACGGTCACTGCCCAGAGATTCAGATGCGTGCAGATAGATGCAGAACAATCTGGCTCCAACGCTGTGGACCAATTCATCGCGTTGGCAACTGCTGAGAAATCAATGAAAAAGTCAACGAAAGTCAACGAAAGTCAATAAAAGTTAATGCTGATCTTCCCGATCAACTATCGTCTGGTAGCTCATCGATTTACGATTCTAGTCGCGCAATGCTTTTCTCGAGTATCTCTCCAGAACCTAAAGTGTTGCAAAATGCTCTTTGTTAGTAATTCCATTGTTATTGTTTCGTACAAGAGTACTTTTGCCAATACATCTGCAATTGCAGTGTGAAATACTTACTGTCCAATACTTTTAGAAATCTGATGATTTCTATTCCCATCTCCCATAATTCGCTATCTTTGCCATTTCCGTCATTGCTGTTGAGATTGTTAACTATAATTTCCAATAATTTCAAGATTTCATCTTCATCTTCCTTCTGTAGTTTATCGACGTTACTATTTTCATTGCCATTGATTCCCGTTTTAAAATTCAAAAAAATCATCAAGAAATACCCTGCTGTTTTATAATCTTTCATTAAAATACATTCATCAAACAAGTCCTTTGGTGTCTTTTTCATTGTTTTAAATACCGGCTTCCAATAAACTGTTTCCACTTTTCTTAAGCACTTGGCTATAATATTGTATGGATTGGATATTTCATTTATTAAATTTTTTGAATCAGATATCATTGTAAGAATCAACTTCAACTTTAGCCAATTATCATAATCTTTTTCTTCAAATTTAGTTATCATTTTATATAATATAATCTCCAAACTATACTCCACATTTTTCAAGTTTTTATATCTGTCAATAATGTCGTCTAAATCATCTTCATACTTTTCAATTTCCTCATCAATTCTACTCAAATCCATATTCTTATCGTCAATTTCTTGAAACTTAATTAGCTTGTCAATTTCAAAATCAATCAAGTCACTTAAAAAAAATTTTCTTTTCGTTAATTGTTTCAATATTTTATAGTCATTCTTGATATCAAATATATCAATTTCAATTCCAACCAATGAAAAATTCTTACTATCAATGCTCATTAGAATTGGATAAAATTGTTCTGTATCATTGGAGATTTTCAAGTAAAATAACGAATTTATCTTTTCTAAGATACTTAATGAGTTCTTATAATTTCCTTTATTTTCATGCTTATTTTCGTTTTCATTTTTATTAAAAATCTCAAAATTATCTAAATACAATATTTCATCTCCATTATAAATATAAAAAACTCCATTCTTAACTTTCTTAAAATATTCAATGTTATTAAACAATAAGAATTTTTCGTATATAGATCCAACTCCAACTTCAGCCTCATTTTCATTATTAACTTTACTGATATCTTTATCATTAAATTTACTATATTTCAAGTAGTACAAATTTCCATTATTACATAATATTAGTAAATCATTAATTTCCTCATTGACTTTTATCACATTTTCAAATTTCTCGTTTTTATTAAACAAATATTTTAATGAAAATCTGTGTCTTAAATTTATCAATACTTGTTTTTTGTAAAGTGATTTCAGTTTATCAAAATTGCTCTTCTCTGTAATTTTACTATATAGCGTTTTTTGTTTTAACTTGAATATGAAAACTGAAAAATTTCTTAATACAATAAATAGTTCATTAGATTGTCTATCAATGTTAATATACGAAATTTTATCATTAAAATCGTATTTCCAAATTATAGAATTCACATTAAAATTATCCGTATCATAATTATAATCATTTTTATCAATATTGGAGTTATCAAATTTATTATTTTCAATTGTTTGATACACTTTGCTAATATTAAACATTAATAACTGTGATTTAAAATTTTTATCATTAGTATTAAAAAATTGTGAATTATTGCCCACAAATAGATAACTATTTTCCCACCAAATCATACCCCCAGTGATATTGAACTGAGTGTCATTATATTCATCCATATAAAGACACCATTGATCATAAAAAAATGAATATATTAAAATTAGTCTTCCGTTAGTTAAAACAATATTTTTCCCATCAAATGACGATGTGACATTAATAAGATCAAAATTCAATCTTTTAAATAAGTCATTTGGAATTATTAGATTTTGCCAATAATTTTTCAAATTTGAATCTTTCAACTCGTTATTTATTAAAGTTTGTTTATTTAAAAGAATTTCATCGTCACTGTAATCGTTATTTTCACCTGATAAATCGAGCATGGAATCTTGATCTGATTGGTAATTATTGGTGTTATAGTGACAGGCCAATGAATTTATCTTCTTTTCGTAACCTTTATATATTAATAAACTTTCATTAGAGTATAAGATTGGTCTTAGCAAGTTAATTTCACTTTGTTGTAATAATGCGTTCCATTTTAATAAATTAAATATAAACATTTTGTTAGAGGAAATTAGTAAGAATTTATTTGAGCTTTTATTGAAATCAAAATCTATAATATTTTGAAACCAATTATTATTATTATTATTATTATTATTATTATTATTATTATTATTATTATTATTATTATTATTATTATTGTTATTGTTATTATTGTTATTTTCATGATAATGAAGATCGTTGTTATTATCATTTTCGTTGTTTCCATTTTCAATTAATTTACTTGATTTTTCAGAGTCAATTTTACCAATTGAAAGATCATAATCAAAAGTTGAAAAGTTTATATTACCAAATATTGATAAAATTGACCATCCGTTAGTATATAAAATAAATAGGGTTGAGTCATCTTGAGAATAGTTGATTTTCAAAATTTTTTTTGAGTTTAAAGGAATATTTAATTTTTTAATTAATTGAATTGATGATACATTGTTTATATTCTTAAGATTATAGAGAAAAATTCGGTAATCATTTGTTATTATTGTGAATAAGTTATATGAGTTATTAAATAATGTGAATAAAGCATTGTTTAAATTGTAAATGCAAAAGCCGTTGATTATTTGAAATATCGAGTTTTTAGTATCATCATTATTATTGTTATTATCATTTTTAAAGGAATTAGTTGGATTAAAGTTATAGTTAAATAACCAAATGTTTTTATTATTTGTTATAAAAGTGAAGAATTTTTTTTTAAAATTAAAATTTAAAGAAGTTATATGAGAGACATTTTTTTCATTAAACCAGATAAAATCATTTAAAAAGAAGGAGTTATTAAAAGAGTTTTTGATTTTATTTTTGTTTAGATTGATTAGTTGAAATAAAATGACATTTTTGTCCTTTGTTTTGATTAATAATAGAAGAAAAAAATTGTTTAATGGAATAAAGTCTAGTAGTATATTTTGAAATTTTAGAATTAAATTGAATCTCAAATTATAATCATATATTAAACTATCAGTTAGACTTGATTGGGTGGCATTGAAATTATTGTCATTATAGTTGTCATTTGAATAATTTTTATGATTATGATTATTATTGTTAGAATTATTGCTGTTTTTGTTGGTATGAATATTATGATTAGTATTATCAGTATTATTAGTATTATTAGTATTATTAGTATTATTATTATTATTATTATTATTAATTGCAGAATGAGTGTTATCATTAGAATTACTGCTAAAGCCTGAAAAAAGGTGGTTATTATGTTGAGTGATAGGCAAACCCAATTGGATCAATTGGTCTTGAGTATTATAGATTGAATAAATTTCGTTCAATGAAGAATCATTTGAAATTATAAAGGAGCTGAAAATATTTGAAATGCTTGAAGATTTTTCCAGTTTATCTTTATCATCGTTTGAATGAGGGTTATTTGAGGTGATATTCAAAGAATTTTGAGTTTTGTTTGAATCAATATTGCTGTTGTTATTATTATTATCCGAATATGCGTTGCTGTGAAAATTATAACCTGAATCAGAATCAGAATCAGAATGTGAGTCAAAATTCAGATTTACATTATTCTTGAGGTAATTTGTAAAGTCAGGAAAATTAGATAAAATTGAAAAGATTAAAAGAAAGCCCTTTGAAGTTTGAACAAAGATTAACGATCCATCATTTGAGCACTTTAAAGAGTGGTTGTCACCATATAAGTCGAGCGATTCCTTTGATCTCGTATAAGCTGAAGTTAGAACTATTGGACTAGCATTGTACAAATAGAGGTTAGTCTTTGAAATGACTACAAAAGGGAGAAACGAACTGAGTTTGTTTAGTGATATTTTAATCAAAACATCATTTCGAGAGTGGTAAGAAGAAGGAAGAGATGGGATGTCAACAATAGAAGGAGCAGATTCAGGCCAAATCATGGAAAAACAGGATAGATCAGTGCCAGTCAATGGAGTGTTGTTACAAAACTCGAGGCATAATTTGTCAAAACATACAGAAGAAGGAAGGAAGAGAAGTAATAAAGAAATGTATATATCAACATCTCAAGAAGGCACGTGCTGGACCGCAGCAGAAGGTGTTGGATGTCGGTCGGAACCACGGATAACAACCGTCAGAACTGCCGGAGAGTTTCCGCGACTATCTGTCGCGTTCATTCTCCGGTTTAACCACACCTATAAAAAGGACCACTCTGCTAGCCTTTGCCTTCTTTTAAAGCATAACTTGGAGAGACCTTAATCAGTATCATGAATTCGTTGCAATTTCAAATATGTTATACTATTCTGTGTTGCATGAGGTGTGGCCGGAAAACACAATCCGAACTCGGAAGTTCGTGAAGTCATTATGGTCCGTTGCCCCAAACGAAATACACAAGACTTAACCAATATGAAACGAAAATTGTGTTTTAACAAACAACACTTAATTCACAAATATGTTGATAAAGACTGCAATCCAAATAATATAAATATAATCACTAAATAGCTAAGTAGAAATAAAATAAAACAAGAAAGGAAAAGGAGAGAGAAGTCTACTAAGTCATGAGTACTAGAAGAAATCTCTACCCTTCCTTCGACGACTGTCAAGCTGACAGCATTCATGTGAAAAACACTGAAAGTAATAACGAAGAGGAACTTGATAGTTCACCAAAGGCTTCCGAAATTAACGAATTAAATCAGAGAGTTGAGTATTGAATCGAATGTTGCATCCGGATTTGAACGACTAGAACGAATGTTCAAAAGTGTATTAGCTCGTAACGAACGGACGGATATCGGTTATTCAAGGTCACAACACAAACAAGTGAAGAGAAAGTTACGTAAACTGTACAAAATAGTACAAAATGGAATACAGATACTTGTCACGTGACATGTTGTTTTGATTTTTTAGTCACCGTTTATTTCTCTGATCAGCCATTATTCATCTCCAAAAGATGAACTACTTTGAGCCCTACCGGAAGCGGACGGGCCGCTTAGGGCTTGATGGGCAGTTTGAGCCCTGAAAAGTACTGTGATACTGTAGATTAAAGGTAAGTATAGAATTGTAGAAGTGCAACATGAGAAAGAACAAACTGGAATATAAACAAAGTACTCTTGCAACCAGAGGGCTCAATTACCCCTGAGGAACTTGGAGACAAAGGAGTTGTCAGCAGTTTCATACACTTCTTCATCTTTGAAGTATTTCATAACCTGGCACTGTTGCTTCCAGAAATTTATAGACTCTTGGTACTCCATCTGGCCCTTCATGTATATAATGTTGATGATGCTGAGGTCGGAGATGTATCTGTTTCTTTCAAAGTTCTGTCTGATTTTTGTCTTCACAGAGGAGATGGGCATGTTCAATTCGTAGAGTTCGACAAATGTTGGAGCACCTCTAATAAATCGACGGTAGAGGTGGATCACCCTTTTTTGCATGTCTGGCGAGGTCAAGGAACGACGGGTGGTCTCTGCAAATTCTGTGGCTAATGTCATCTCGAATATACCTCTTTTTGTTGCTGCTGCTGCTGCTGCTAGTAGTGCTTCCTTTGAAGATTCCTTTCGAGTCTCCAGTCAGCGAAATCAAAATCTCTTTGGTTGGCCAATCGGTTTCCATCACGTGTGGTAGTCTCGCGCCGCATGCGCCACATGCGCCTTTAAGATGAGCAAAATAGTTTATTGCTGTACTCTCTGTGGCTCTCATGCTTTTGTATGCCTGTAAGTGCATGCTTCCGCCAGAGTGGCTCTGATTTGCTTATCGAAGAACAGCTTTTTTGTTTTCAGATTCAACCATCCTAAGAAAGATAACCAAACAGTCGATACTCCTACACTTCACCAGAAAAATGTCAGATCAATGCTCTTCTTTTCTCGATCCATCTGTTGTTGGCTTTTTGTTTGCCTCCTCGTTGGCAGTCGGAATATCCTTTTCCTATGTTCCCCAACACATCAAAATCATCCACCGAAGAACCTCAGAGGGTATTTCTCCTTTATTCTTATTGCTAGGTACTACAAGTGGGATATCTGCCTTTTCAAATTTAATTCTTCTTAGTCACTTTTCCATAGATTGTTGTTATTCTTTTCCCTTGACTGTCTTTGAATGTTTGAGTTCCCAATTGGGCATGATACAAGTTGGTGCTCAAGCCATTTGTGCCACTTTAATACTAGTATTCTGTATCTACTGCACTAAAAATTCACCAACTCAAGATAAAATTGAATATGAAAAACTATACCACATCTGGAAATTCATAATAGTCTATAGTATTGTCCATGTTTGTTTGATCTTGTTTATCTTTTTGATTAATCTTCATCTATTAATTCCATTGGCCAATTTACTAGGCGTAACTGCAACTATACTAGCTTCTTTTCAATATTTCCCACAAATCTATACGACTTTCAAATTAAAACACACAGGCTCTTTATCTGTTCCAATGATGTGCATGCAAACTCCAGGTGGTTTCGTCTGGACTTTATCCCTAATATTAAGACCTGGTGCTATTTGGAGCAGTTGGTTACCTTATTTAACGGCTGCTACTCTACAGGGTATTCTTCTATTAATGTGTATCTTTTACCAATATAAATATCCAACTTTGAAATCAGATCAAAATTTATTAATAATTCCTGATGATTCAAATTCAGTTAAACCTATGGATAATGAATCAACTCCATTATTATCTACTTGAGTAAAATAAAATGCTACAAAATGACAAATCAACTGGAAACAAAACACAGAACAAAAAATAAAGAATAAAAAATAAAAACAAAAACAAAAACAAAAACAAAAAATAACAAAATGATTATAATCATAATAATAATTTCCATTAATATAGTTATAAATTCAATTCGGAAATTCGGAAATTCCTGCACTTTTAAATACTTCAATTCTTTACAATTTTAATCTTTTTATTTTTTTTCATTTTTTTAACTCTATTTATCTCACTTTTTATCTTACTTCATTTAAACACTGATGGTTTTCCAAATATTCAATCCTTCTCCTCCTGTAGATACCAAACACCCGGGTAGTTGTTTATGCCATTGGACTTCTTTAACATCCTTTTGCCAATGAACAAACAATAGCTGTGGTGGAATATCCTTTAGATCTTTATTATCCAAATTTTGCTGTTTAATTTCTTCATCGTCTGCTTCAACTGATAAATCCCATAATGTCACTGTATTATCCTCACTCGCGACTGCAATAATACTTTCATCTAATGGATTAAAGTTGATTGATGTTATAGCAGACTGATGGAAATCATATTCTGCTACTGGTGATGGACTGTGGGTTTTATTATTCCCATTAAATGATCTTAAGTCCCAAATGCCCCATTTACCATCATCATAGCCAGAACTTAATAAAAAATCTACTTTGTTTGACCACGATATCACATTGACATCGGTATTGGATGCCATGACTGATATAGCAGGTTTGTGTTTTTTAGATCTTGTATCCCAGATTCTGATATAACCATCACAGCCAGCTGTTGCAAAAACTGTTTTCTCAGATTTAGACCATTGAATATCTTCAATTGACTTGTCGTTTATTTGAAATGGTGTCTTGTCGGTGAACCAGTTGCTGGTTGTTCTTTGAGTAAAATAAATTCGGCCTGTTATATCTCCAGAGAGTAATGCTCCATTGGCCAATAATGGAGACCAGTCAAGTCCATAGCCTTCCAATCTCCCATGGTTTCTTATTGTGTGGATTTGTCTTTTGAATCTTTTGGGAACCATGAAACCTGGAGTGTCAAATGATTTCAAATGATTTGAAAGATCAAAAATTTGAACATCTCCATCTTCACACATTGTGGCAGTTAGATAGCTATTATTATTATTATTATTATTTGAGTTTGAGTTTGAGTTTACGTTAAAACTGGCAAAGGGCGACACTCTTATTCTATTGGTCGTGGTATTCAATCTGATTGATTCGCTCTCCATTATCGGATCAATATCGATGTTGTTATCGTTATCCTCGTCCATATCCTCACCCTCCTCATCGTCGTTGTCCTTAACTAAAGTCTTTGACAATTGAGACAATTTCAATAGCAACAACTCGTTATCCTTGGCCTTTGAAGCCTGGGTCGCAGTTGCAATATACATCTTTGCAGGATAGGATCTTCTTTCATTTCCATAGTTATCGGGAACCACATCCAATGTGAGACAGGGCCATGGCAAGTTAATTGTATGGAGCATTTCATAAACAGTAGGATCAGCTTCCATGACCTCGTCAGGACCTAGGGGCTTGGATTTATGGGGCAAATATATTGATGGTTGGTTTTTCTGGTCTTGACCTTTGGCTTGTTCTTTTATATCAAGTTGGTAGTCTTCTTTGATTATATTGCGAGGATCAGGGTTGTCGATTCCTACCACGCCATCGTCGTCATTGTCATCTTGCTCCGAATTTATTTGAATAATTTCTCCATCACTCTCAAAATCGTCTCCATATGGATCTTCAAATTCGCCCATCTCAACATCATTTGCAAGGTCGTTCTCATTGTTCTGATTGAGCGTTGTAGAAGCAGGAAGGTCTCCAGAAGCTGTTTTTGGAAACGTAGCACGACCTGGGTTAACACCCACCTGTTCAGCTGTTCTCTTCGACATTGTGGTGCTTTGTATTCCTCACTAAACCCTCAATTTCTCGTCCTGAGATCATTGGAAAACTGCCAAATCAAAAAAAAAGTGAAAAATTGACCCAAAAAAAAAACTTTTCGGTTTACCCGGCCTAAACCGGCGCCAGTACTGCGGGTCGAAGAAAACTCTGAAAGAACTGGGCGTTAAAAGATGTTGAGGAAGAATTGTCAACAGTTGAAAAGCAATTGAAGAAAAATTGCACAGCTCCAATGGACAGGAGGACATTCCACATATTGAGTCAGAGATTGGACTACTTGGAGTTGCTCTGCAACAGCAGACAGCTCACCAGTAACGATACACATCCATCGGTTCTTGTTCAGCTCTCTCAGCTACACTCAAACCTAAAGGAGATCGTAGCATCAAACTACTCTCGCTACTCAGATTTGTTTCAAATCATATCCCATCACAATCTTTGGAGCGAAGTGCCCTCTCACCAGATCGATGCTATTGCTGAGCTACCATCAAATTATGACAACCCTCATTTAAACTCTCAGAATACCAACGACACCAAAGATGTGGAGATCAAGAAAAAACTCATCTTATCAAATGAAGACGATTTGAAATGCATAATCAAAAACATCAACGACTTATCCTCGCTCAATTCGATGAAATTGATCAACAAAAATTTCGCTGACCTTGATCTACTAGACCAGAAATACAATCTTCTTCTTCTCAAGAAATCGCTAAACGATTCTTTTTTTCCTAACCGCTACCACCCTTTGTTTATAAAATCAATTGCTATAGCCGAAGGTTACATAAATCTCATCAACAAACAAAACAAGTTCTTGGTCCATATCGAAGAATCTTTACTAAATCTTGACCTATCGCTTCGAAAAAAGGAAATCGCCATATTTAACAAAGAATCTTACTGATTCTCATATTATTTTCCTTATTCCTTATTCCTTATTCAACACAAACGTCATCCGTTTGATTTGGAACAGAAATTCAAATTTTCAAAAATCAAAAGAAAAATACAATCAAAACTCAAATAACAAAATCATTCATCTTTGCTTCACCATATTTAACTCAAAGAAAAATGGTATTGGGCAATTCTACAAATTACTTACGAAATATATTGCCTTCAATAAAATCCATTCTTACCCAAATCTCATCCAGCGTATCTCATCCCAGCAGTAATTTTTCAAAACCACTACAACTCAAAAAAGAAATACCGAACATAGACTATAATGATGATATTGATAATAAAGCTAGCATCAACACTAAAACTAAGGCCAAAAATAGCAATAGTAATAATTATAAAACCCTTCCTTTGAGATATCTTGATGAAACCATATACAAACAGATGGAACCAAATGAAAATGATCAAATCTTTGTTGCAATTTCCTCTGGAGTGGATTCATCCGTTACTGCTGCTCTACTAAAACAAAAATATAAAAACATACAGGCTATTTATATGGCAAATTGGTCCCAAACCTCAAACTGTATCGAAAAAGATTGGAATGATGTTCAGGACCTTTGTCAGTTTTTAAATATACCTTGTAAACGACTAAATTTCGAAAAGGATTATTGGTTTAATGTCTTTGAACCAATGATCGAAATGTATAAAAATGGTTTAACCCCAAATCCTGATATCTATTGTAATCAATTTGTCAAATTTGGTAAACTATTCAATTATCTAGATGAATACCAAAAGAACCACAAACCAATCACCCCAAGTTCAAATTGGTGGCTAGCAACTGGCCATTATGCTAGAATCATGAATCATATCCCTTCAAACCAATTCCATTTATTAAGAAGCTTATACCCTAATAAAGATCAAAGTTTTTACCTATCCAAAATATCTCCATCCATTTTAAACCATTTGCTTCTACCTGTTGGCCATTATTCAAAGACTCAAATTAGACAATTAGCAAAAGATTTTAATTTGCCAACTGCTTCAAAACCCGATTCTCAAGGTCTATGTTTTGTCAACCCTTCAAACACAAAAAATGGAAAATTTCGAAAATTCTTAAACGATTTTATTCAGCCAAAACCGGGAAATATTATCACAAAAGATGGCACAATTTTTGGTCAACACCAAGGCTTGTGGCATGGAACAATAGGTCAAAAATCTGGGATCTCAATGCCGCAAGGAAATCAATTATACAAAGGTGTTTGGTATATAAGTGAAAAGAGAATTGCATCTAATGAATTAGTAATTGTTAAAGGCGGAGATAATGTTGATTTATTCACAAATACGATGATTGTAAAAAACTGGACCTGGATGGGAAATGATTTGAATTTTCAACAAATTAATCAAATTTTGTCAAATAAAAAAAACGATCATGAATTATGTGTTCAATATATTTCCTTACAAAAACCCTTAAAGATCAGCAATTTTAATCTTGTTAATAATAAATTAAACGAAATTCAGATCTCGCTAACACAACTTGCCAGAGCAATCACTCCTGGTCAAAACATGGTATTATATGATGGAAACAGGATTCTTGGTTGTGGTATTATTCAAAAATCCTTTAAATTGAATCTTTAAATCTGGTATTCAAATTTATTAAAAAATATTAACAAAGATTAAAAAATATTATCAAAATATTATAGAAATATGACCAACAAACTTCACTAAACTTAAATTTGTAAATATTTTCAAAAGTTTAATCATATTATTTTTTATCATTCTTTTTTTTTGTTGTCTTTTTTTTTCATTTGGTATTTTGAATTAACGTTAACGAAGTTTTGGAAAATTTTCGACCTAAAAGGTTTAGCTGCTTGTATATGGTATTAACAGTTCAAACATTTATTTTCTATTTCGTAATCAAGCCAAAGAAACCCATTAAGTAATTAATATCGGTAATAAATGAACTATCAATAAATATCAATTCAAAAACTAAAATATTCATTAAAAAAAGAAAAACAACGAAAATTCTAAGAAATAATCTCAAAAAAATAGAAAAAAAAAAAAGTAAAAAAAACTTAAGAAATAAGTAAAAAAAACTTAAGAAATAAGTAAAAAAAAATCAATTGTAAAAAACGAAGAAAAAAAAAATCATAAAGTTGAGTTAATAATATTAAGCAAAAATATAAAAATATCATTAAGTTGAATTATTAGTTGAAAACAAAGGAAAAATGGAATAGGATTGAATGTATTATTTGAAAATAAACTGGATTATTTACAAAATTTGGATTTAACGAGAAACCAATAAAAAGAAATTAAAAAGAATTAATTCCATTCATTGACTGGTAGTGGGAATTGAGCACTCCAAGCAGATATTTCTTTCTTTAGTTCTTCAATTTCTGGAATACCTTTTGCAACAGCAGCTTTAAAATCCTTTAATTTGTTTTCAGTTGGTGGCAAATTCTTTTGAATATCAATTGATAATTCAACAGCTTTGTTGATATAAGATACAATCTTAGCAAAATCTAATTCGCCTAAACCTCTTGTTGTCATAGCTGGAGTACCAATTCTAATACCACCCGGGACTAAGGCAGATTTATCACCTGGAACAGAATTTTTATTCAAAGCAATGTTCATGTTTTCACAGAGGGTTTCAACTCTAGCGCCGTCAATACCTTTACTTTGCTTCAAGTCTACCAAAACCATATGAGAGTCTGTACCGTCAGAAACCAATTTGTAGCCTAGCTTCTTAAAGCCATCTTCTAAGATTTTGGCATTTTTTAAGACTTGTTTTTGATACAATTTGAATTCTGGACTGGCTGCTTGTTTTAAAGCAGTAGCTAAGGCAGCAATGGTGTGGTTGTGTGGACCACCTTGATGACCTGGGAAAACTGAGAAATTGATTGGGTTTTCCAAGTTGTAGTAAACTTCAACGCCGGTTTTGGGATTAATTGATCTGACACCTCTTCTGAAAAAGATCATTGCTCCTCTTGGACCTCTAAGAGACTTGTGGGTGGTTGTTGTAACGATGTCAGCGTATTCGAAAGGAGATGGAATAACACCGGCAGCAATCAAACCAGAGATATGAGCCATATCAACCATCAAATAGGCACCAACTTTGTCAGCAATTTGTCTCATTCTCTTGTAGTCAATCAAACGACAATAAGCAGAAGTACCAGCAACCAAGATTTTTGGTCTGAACAATTCAGCAGTTTTTTCCAACATATCATAATCGATGATTCCAGTTTCCAAATCAACTCTGTAGGGCATTGTTTCGAAATAAGTTGAGACAGCAGAGATTTTTCTTCTATCAGTTTGATAACCATGAGACAAATGACCACCATGAGGTAAGTCCAAACCCATTAATCTTTCGTGAGGTTTTATCAAAGCCTGGTAGACCTGCAAGTTTGATGGAGAGCCAGAAAGAGTTTGGACGTTAACACCCCATTTGTCTGGGGTTAAATGGAAGGCATCCAAGGCTCTGTTTTGACACAAGATCTCCATCTTATCGATGAATTCATTACCACCGTAATATCTGGCACCTGGATAACCTTCTGAGTACTTGTTTGACATGGGAGAACCAAGACAATCAAAAACAGAAGTTGAGGTGAAGTTTTCAGATGCAATAAGAACAATTGAGTGGCGTTGTCTGTCAATTTCATCGACAATAATTTTCTTGACTTCAGGATCAGTTTCCCCAACATGATTTTCAATCATGGACTTGTGAGATTCAGGTAGAGCATATGACATTTTGATTTTTTTGATCTTGTTAGTGTTAATAGTGTTGTACTTGTAAAGATTACGATAATGGTGGTGATTTAAAAAACGAATATTGTTACTATTATATAATAAAGAGGCTGGAGAAGTTGAGGAACACAAAGAAAATAACAAGTTATTTAGAGACGAATTCAAATATGGTTGGTTATTTTTCCTGGAATAATTGATATTAATGAGATCGTTAATATCAGGAGCAATCTGTCTTCTTTTATTATTCGAAATGTTTGGCAATTTTTTTCCTAAAATATAAGTGGTATAAAAGAGTAAAAAGGATTATTTATATCACAAATCAAACCACACAGGAAAGGAGAGAAAAAATAAAAGGAAAAAGAAAAGTTTTTAACTGTAAATAATCGATGTTCAATGAGAGATTTAGCAAAAATATATTTTTCAAGGGAAAATCAATGGTTTTTTTCGAATTTTGTAAATTTCAGAGCGTTGAGTCAGAAATTTATAAATTTTTATAAATTTTTTGTTTGTTTTTTGAAACTGACAAAAAATTTTCAAAAAATTTGAAAAAACCTGAAAAAAATTTCTTTGAAAACGAGTCAAAAACTTTTTCCGTGCAAAACGGAGCCACGTGGTTTGACATTATTGGAAAGATTGATACACATTGGTGGTTTGGACAATATATGTATTTCAATGTATAAGTATGCATTAGTCTGTATGCTTGCATGTACATGCATCAATTGGCAGTGTGTTTATATATCTAAGAAAAGAGGAAGAGAGAGAAGAAAGGAAGAGAACAATAGAGAAAAGGCAGGAAAGAGAAGAAACTGAACAGAAATGTATAATATAAAACTATATATCACGTAAGTGAAGTGAATTAGAAAGGCCCGGAGCCAATGTGGATGTGTAGAAGCAAGGCTAGAACATAATGCAAACAGAAGAAATGATGAGACAAAAAACATTAAATAGAACAAACAGGTGAAGAAAAACTAAATGATTAAATTAAGTAACAAAACAGCGGAATAATTAAATAATTAAATGATTAAATGAGGATTAAAAACAAAAAAATTAATTGAAAAAGAACTGAATGGTAGGTTTCCAATGTTAGTAGTCTGATTCTGAGTTAAAAATACACGATGAGCAAGAGTTGGCATATCCTGTTTTGTTTGAATGGCTATTGGCTTCAGTTTGTAAAATTGCAGGACCTGATTTAGTTGAACTGAGAATTGAGTGAGTATTACTGACGCTGATATTCATCTGATTGTTAGAGTCTGTTAAAGGGCTGGATTCACGAAATGAGCCAATTGGAGAAGTCACCAATCCATTTGAAATTATCACTGAGCTTTCAGAAATCGATCTCTCCTGCATCTTCTTATTGATTGTATTAGCGACGTTCTTGACGTTTTCGTTATTGTTATCATCGCTTTCATTGTCATTGTCATGAGGAGTTTCGCTTCCAGAGTTATCATTGTGACTTTCCGAATATGAATATTCTTGGTTTAAACTTGATCCACTCAGATTCCTTTTAAATGTTAAATTTCCTTCCCTCAACTCTTTTTCAAATTTATTCAAGATTGTTTTCCACTTGTATCGGACAACTTGACTGTCTTCTTTGTTTAGCTTTTTAGCTAAGTTTTTATAATCCAATCGAGGCAACGACATTATAATCGCTCTAAATAATTCGATTTCTTCTTCTGACGACCAATGACTGTTGCTTTTCTTGAATCTTTTGTTTGTTTTTGATTTCACTGGCGGCATTGATACCACTTCAACCGGATAGTATTTGTGATCAAGCGAGTTATTATTAATCATAGATGTTATAGGATATCTTGAGTTTTCCATATGTGCTGCTGGTCTGTTCAATAAATTGTATGGACTTCTGTTATTTATGCTGGAATTATCCATGTTGTTGGAATTGACCATATTATTCATATTCATAGTGCTTATGCTGTTCATGCTATTAATATTGTTGCTGTTACAGTTATCTATACTATTTGTGGCATAGTTTTTCTTTCCAGCTTCAGGATAAGAAACAGATCTTAAGTCCCTTGGTACAAAATTAAATGATGATATACTTTTCGAGGGCAAGTTTAAGGATTTAGACCTGGGTTGTGCCATTTCGTTATTTATTTTGTTATTATAATCATAATTATTGGTGCCGTTATTTATACTGGTGCTGCTCAAGTTGTGGTTTAAGTTCATATGCATGTTCAAATTGTTGGTATTATTGTTATTGCTGTAAATGTTATTAGAAGTGCTGCTGATGTTGTTGCTAATGGTGCCAGAGTTGACCACACTATTACTATTAATTATGAGATTGTGGTTGAGACTGGTCAGACTCATATTATCCAAATGGGTTGTTTGAGGGCTATTAAAGTAATTACACTGTGGACTAATAAGCTGGTTGTCATTTATCATTCTGTTATAATTTCTCTTTCTAGGAGAAATAATTCCTGTTTGGTTTATACCGGCAGATGTCATAGAGGGTATAGCTGGTATAGCTGGTATAGCTGGCATAGCTGGTATAACTGGTATTGGAATTGGTGAAGAAGATTGCGAGTGATCAGAACAGGACAAATATGTGTTTTCTAAACCACTGACATGATCACTGGTATTATCCTTACTATTGTTATCGTCGTTTAGTAACCTGGAAACGTTCATCTTTGGGAGTGCTAATTTGTAGTCTTTAATTGATAGTTTGGTATTTATATCTACTCTATTTTGGTTAGGAATAAATTAATGCCTTGATTGGTTAGTTAATTTATTTTTTAATTACTTAGCAACAGAGATGGATGGAGATTTTTGAAACTGATTGACTTTTAATCTATTTATATTGAAAGATCTTACAATCTAAAGTAATTTAAGGCAATTTGCCTTTAATTTATATGAATAAAAAGTATAAATATGTCAGAAAAGTTATTAATCAAATTTTTTTTTGGAAATTTAATAATTTTTGAAATCGCAAATAAAAGCACTAAAAAATAAATGAGAAAGAAAAGATGATAAATCAGAAACAACAAAAAGAAAGAACAAAAAAACAAATAAAAAAAACCAAAAATAAAAGGAAATAATAAATTAGGTTCAATAAAGCTAGATAAAATTGAATTCAAATTAGTACTGAGTTTATGATTTTGCAAAATACACAAGCTCAATTTCAAAATTTCCAATTAGTCCAAAACTAAAACTCAATTAAGACCTGCAGAAATGTAGTCCTATGTGGAAGATATATTGAGCTGATTAAGGTTACTGATTGAAATTAAATAACATAAACTTTAGAAATAAAATTCAATTATCGATCCACATAAGATTCGAATCCCAATAAATGATAAATCAGTAGCAAAGTTAGCAGTCTGGCTTAACCAAGTTGTGCAAATCTTTATTAAATCTTTATTGAAATAAGTATCAGCTAGCGTTCAAGCAAAGTCTGCCTTCTTTATTACGAATCCCCAGCTGAAGCTGCAGTTGCACCAATGGCATGAAGGATGTGAAGGAAATGGAGGAAATGGAAGTGCAAGTGCCTGAGATCTCAACGTGGTTCCACACAACAGGTTGATACGTTTTGTCTCAATAGAGCTCTTATTTGATTGTTTGGTCGTTGAGGAACAAAGCATTTTACAAATTATTTGCGAAAAGTGTCTGACACAACTGGCTTGTTAAAACAGCTTTGAATACACAATTCGAGAGCTGTGAACTTAGAGCAGTTATATGTTACTTTTATGATTCTCTTCAACAGTGCCAATAATACCGATAATACCAATAATATCCGTAATATTATAATATTATTATTTGCAAATCATTTAGACTACTATGAGTAATTAAAAGAGTGTCCCAATTGCAAAAATTTGAAATTCCCTACTTTTTTAAGTACTTTCTCAAGTGGTTTTTCAAGTGTTTTTTTCCAAGTTTTTTCAAGTATTTTCTCATGTTGATGTTTGAAAAGTATTATACGAAGTTAGAGAATTAGTGTTTTATTCAACAATTAAGTTATGTCTTATAGTATCACAGCAACTTTAAATTTTGTTAAAAGAATTAGTGTTTACTATTTAGTATTTAGTCGCAATAATTTGAGATAAACTAATGTTTTTAAAACTATCCAAAATTAATTTACCAACTCCTTTTTAATTTCTACTTTTTCGTCTATTTTTTAGAGTAATAAGCAAAAAAAGTGTTTTATCTTTAGGCTTTAAAAAAGAATTTGATTAGTTCGAGTAGCTCGATTAGTGTTTCTTTTGTTTCTTTTGTTTGTCTATTAAAGACCATGAGCAGTCTTGATTTTAAATGAAAGGGTTTAACAAATTGGTTAAATAAATTGAATATATTAGCTGGAAAAGAAAAAGCAGGGAAAAACAGTTGATGATCAAATATAGTCGCTTTTCAGTTTTATAGCAAATGGCCATTGTTGGTTGTAATGCCTGGTCATTGTTATCCATTAATATCCATTAGTATCCATTTTTATCCACATATAACCATTTTAAAATATTCATACACCAATAATTGCATTCTATTCGTCAAGTAAACACAAGTCAGCTTAGTTGAACACTCGTGTTTTGATCAAGATATAAATCATATCATAGTAGATTGGATTTATTCGCTTTATCAGTTTAATTCACAAGATTGCAGGAAGCATACCTGTAAAACCTTTATTATTACACATTTTGATGTTAGAGATTCAAATAAAGCAAATACCAATGTTTCTCTTGCCCATTGATCTCAATACCCTCAATACACTAATCACTTTAATTGCCCTTAATGCTTTTAACGCTTTTAATACTCTAATTGATCCAAATGACAAATCAAATAGGAACATACAGCAAAATGTCAGAAGTATCTGGAAACTAAAGGAATACATTGCTGCTTTGTGAATCAAACTTCAAGTGATGTTTTAGCTTCTCAATCAAAATATAAGACAATTTGGTCTAGAAAGACTTTGAATTATTTTTCAGCTGCGAATACAACATGGAAATGTTGTTGTAAAACGCAGTGTTTTACTTTGTTTTATTTCACGAAATCGATTCTCAAATACTCAACTCATTATTTGATTCAAGTAGCAATCATGTTTGTTGGATTCAAAAAGCTGTGTTGTCAAATGAGCTAAATCGCAAGTGGTGATTGAGCTTTGAAATATTGATTAACCAACATTGCAAAAGACCAAACAATTGAATGATTGACTCTTTGGCTTTTTGACTTTTTGACTTTTTGACTTTTTGACTTTTTGACTTCTTGAGTTTCCAAATAAAATTTTTTATTTCTTTTTAATGTTTGTATCATTTACACCATTTTGATTTTCTTTTGCTTCTGGAGCTTACTCAACTCGTATCACTTTGGCATAGGTTTCCATTTTTCGCTACTCATTCTCTTTAGCTTAAACTTACAATTGAACCTCTAGAAGCATTTTGAAGGGAACCTATGACAATAAAAAATTAATTTCCTTTTGTCTCCAGCTGGAAACATGGTGGTCTCATCGTCATATCACTTTCTGGTTATTTGGGTACTATATCTCCCACCATGGTCTCTACTATAATGTCTTTACAAAGCTATTGATCCATAACCCAACCCACAGCCCAATCTACTGCTCTTGCAAAGGCTGTCCAACCAGGCAGAAGTCCCAGTTGTTTGCTACTATTGTGCTGTCCTATGTGGTTAACCTAAAAGTTGCTAGGTCTGTTTGGAAATTGCATATTTTAGCTGCATTTCCAAAGGCTGGAGTTGGTGCACAGCTTGTATCAAGCGAAAACTCGTAAATATGGTTGGTAGCTGAGTTGCAACTCCAAATTCTAAATGGTGAGCATACAATCGTGAGCATTAAATTATAAAGCATGGAAGTATGGCAGAATCAGCAAATCTCCATGGGCAAAAATAGCAATCAACTATGCACTGAAATTTCGATATTGACCACCAGAAATCATGAAATTACTTCAATCTAACGCAGCCCCTGGCACCAAGAAACCACAGACTCTGCTTCTCGCTCACCAACGTATCTAGCACTGCTCCATCACTTCGTTCAGCAGTGTCCTGCTCTGGCAGCTAGGAATGCTGCCATCATGGCCTCCTTTAGCTCCAGTGCCTCTGTTCATGAGGCCCATTTTTGCCAGCAGCAGCACTAGTTACTGTTCTTGCTACCTAGCCCCAACCGTTCTCTTGCTGGATTTTCTGTGCCATAGTGAGCATAAGCCCTCTAATGAACATATTTGGGGCCTTGAGAAATTTCAATTACGAGTATTGGTGCTCTCTTTTCATTTGTTTAAATTACCAAATACGAAATCTAAATGTTACGGTACTAACGTTATTTTAGCACTTGCTGTGGGTTTCGAAGTTAAAATACACTCTAAAAATTTTAGTATGAAATCAGATAATATTATTTTTAAAACACCCATTCTTTGCAAAAGAAGATCATCTACTGCGAGCGAAAATGAATTATAAATCACTGGCTACAAGCATATTAAAAACCAAAGAGAGAGAGAACAGAATAATTCATGGAAAAAGAAAGTCCTTTCATTAGGCTTTTCACGTATCACTCACACCATTCTAATTATCTCTTATAACAATAATTACCTGTCTTATACTCACAATTAATAATAATTAACCATAATTAACCATAATTAACCATAATCGATGATAGTTGGTGGTTATTACTCGCATCCAGTAGAACTACTCATGTTGAAATTCCAAAGCCTAATTTCAACTCATGCTCTTGACAACCATTAAATACTGAATTTTTGCAGAATTAATCAGTAATTTCAGTGGTAAAATGTAAAAAAAAATGAAGTGTGAGAAATAAAACAAAAGTGCATAGCTATCGAAAGTTCCGTAACTGAGAATGAACATGCTCTGTATTGCTTGAAGGACTATTCAAAAAAGAGAAACCATATTTTTTATTTGGGCTTTTGCCATTGAAATACTGGCAGGCAGCTTGATAATTGCACTGTTCTCCATTCATTATGGTAAAAGATTCCAAAATTACATGGACATTTTGAATTGCAGCCTTTTAAAATTAGCAGGCAGCTGGTATGACCAGGAATTATAAACAAAATGCTATTGTGGAGGTGAAAAAAAAATCCAATAAAGAATTCTGTCAAATTAACCACTTAAGACAATAATAATTTAAATGTGTTTAGAAGCATGGTAAGTACTACAAGCACTATAAGCAATACTTTTAATTATATATAAATAATAGTTTTTTTTTTGAAATTGTAATGGATGTTTTGATTCCCTCACTTTTGATAGTGGTTTTTTCAATCCTCTTGTGTTTATTGCATTTATCCCATTATCATTTAATGTATTCTTTTACGTTTATTTATATTCGTTTATATTTAATTATTCCAATATCATGAAGAACAAGAACAGGAATCTAAAGGCATAAAGTAAAATTTATTGGATGGAGTATATTCAATATTTCATATTGCATGGTTGATATTTGATACTTTTTTCAATCATTTGAAATTATTTTCTCTTGATGAGAGGGACAAATATTAAAGATCGTTACCAAGCATCAAAGCGAAAAAAAAGCAAAAAAAAAGTATACTCTGTGAAGGATAATAAGAGTTTTCTTTTTCTTTTTCTTTTTTTATTTTTATTTTTATTTTTATTTTGCCTTCTGGTGAATAGGAAGAATAGCTCTTAAACTGAAAAAATACGGCAAAGAAAATTTAGATTGATAAACAAATAATCATATAGGTTTATCAGATTACAAAAAATGGCAAATTAGTATCATTTTTGTACCCAATTGGCGATAATCTTGCAAAATCTTGAAAAATTTTGAAAAATCTTGAAAAATCTTGAAAGAAAAAACATCCCATAAGATTGCAAAGTAGGCTATTAATACATTAACCGATTAGAAGAAGCTATTGTATAAAACAGGATATATAATAATTTGAAAAATGATATATGAAATGGACCAGTTGTCTGTTTAATTAGTCACAAAACCATCATTCCTTTTTCAAATATTTTAATCTAAAAAGAAAAAAAAATTAAAAAAATAAAAAAAAAGTGGTATGAAACTTTCAGAGGTGTTTGAACTGGTAAATTATTGCTTATTTTTGTTTATTGTTGTTTCTATGGCTGTTGCTCATAGAAGAGATGTTTAGTTATAGCTTGTAAGTGATAGGCTGAAACACAGTCTTGTTATTTTTGGAGGATGGCAATATTGTTATTATCTTTAGGTGTAGAGGCTGGTTATTCAACTTGCTGAGAATAGCGATACTGAAGATAATAATAATGTCGACAATAATTATGATACAAATGGCACAATAATATGTTCAAAGTTCCCAGCGGAAAATTGCAGAAAGGAGAAAACAATAAATCAGATAATCATTATAATTATTTTGTGCTTCAGAGTCGTAGTTTTGAGTAATAAAAAATAATATCAAACCTTGTTACGACTTGGTTATCTTGCCTAATAAAGAAGTGAGAAAACTGGAGCGAAGACCATAATGTAGGTAGGTAAAGGGGTATTACAGAATAGAACTTTGTTTTTGTTTTGAGAAAAAAATAATTGAGAAAAAAATAATTTTAGTGGTGGAAGAAGAGAAAAAGGACCTAAGAAAACCAAAGTTGTAAAAACAAATGTATATGGTATTTAAGCAAACCTGGACCATCGTAAATGAAGATCAGTGGAAATAACTCATCTGGAGACAAGTAATGCTTGACCTTTTCAAGAAAGGGATTGGATCCATGAATAATCAGTACTTGAAACTTTCGCAACAAATATAATTCATTAAGTTGCTTCACAGGCACCTAAAATTGTTTGAATGGATTACTTCGAGTCCAAGTATTTTGGAATTCAAAATTCAAAATCAAATATGGTTTTTCGTTTCAAATTTTAAATAAGGTAGCGACAAAAAACCTTGAAAAGAAACAACAGCATGGAAAAGTATAACAAACACTTCGGATCGTACAGCACAAGTGACTCATTCTCCATAAGTCATGAAGAGCCAGAGGGAGGAGAAGAAAAAGTAGAAAAGCATCGACCAAGGAATGAAGGAGAAGTTGATTGCAAGGTCTATATATCGATGCAACAAGAGAAACAGCACCATCGCCCATTAGAGACTACGCAACAAAACCAGGTGGAAAAGGTACAAAAGCGCAGCCAAAAAGCACAGATGATTTCGTCCAAATAAACTCGGGAGGAACAGCAAAATCACCTTAATAGATCTCAGGTGTTCATTTGCAGCCAAAGTGTCGAGGCCGAAAGAAGAAATGAATGCAAGATCCACAGCAACGGACGTGGCAAAAGTACGCATGCTGATTGGCTGGTTCATGCCAACCGCAACCATATGCACGTATTTCGACAAATACTCCAAGAACACCAGAGGTGTGAGACACGCGTGCGCATATTGTGCTAGCACATGAGTGCGCGTATAGTACACACTGCGTGTGCTGCGCTTTTTCTGCATATATAGTGTGTATATGCGTGGTAGGTGCAGAAAGTGCATCAGTATGCATGAAACCTAGCGGTCCAGGATATACGTAGTGCTGGAGTTTTAAAGCACGGCAGTTGTGCGCAAAAGAGCCTTAACAAGCCTTTTATGGCTTTTTAATAATTTTGCGTTGCTTTTGCTGCAAATGTTTAAATGCAAAATGCTCAAGTGCAAAATGTCTATATGTGGGTGTTTTGTATAGGAAACATAATGAGAGAGTGGCGATGAAGATCAAGATGATTGCTTTGATTTTATACTGGCTGTAGATCTTCTTGGTGGATCTATTTGGGCAGTTTAATTTATTTAGATTTTCAGAATTCATGCTTTTCATTTAATGTAATTTAATATTCATGATCATTTTATTCTTGACTTCAACTAAAAGTTTCTCAGCATTTTGATCGAGTACTTCCTTTTTGAATCAGCTGTATTAATGAATATATTTGTTTGACTGAATATGAATTTATAATTATCAAATGCTAAAATATATAAAATTACATAGAATTTCTTGTTTTTTTCTGGCTGAATTCTGGTTAAAAAATTATTATTAATAAAATTATTTAATGTGCATTTGACCTAAAAATTATCATTTGATTTTTCTTATCTGCTGCTAATATTGAACACTTTTATTGTATTATTTAGCTAATTATATAGCAATGTTTTGACATTACTAACTAGCCACTACTCACCACCACCACTACCACTACCATTATCACTACCACAACCAACCACCACCCTTACTAGCCTATTACTAATTCACTTCTTTAAATTCCACTGATTCCAAAAAGTTTAAAAAGGGTTTATTCTTACCAATTTTTATTTCTTTTATTATTTTATTTTTTAATTCTTTAATTCTTTAATTTTTTAATTTTTTAATTTTTTAATTTTTTAATTTTTTCTTGTTCTTTTCAATTGAGATATATTTAATATGCATAACTATTCAAATTAAATTACTTTTCACCAAAATCTAATGGTTATCAATAACTCAAAATCTATTATTAATCGAAACCATAAAACAAACACAAAATTATAAACAAACCACAAAAAACCACAAAAAACCACAAATAATCACGAATAATCCTGAATAATCGGGAATAATCATGAATAACATGAAAAATTATAAAAAATTATGAATAAAAACGATATAAGTGATTTAATAAAATATAAAACGACTAAATTTACTTAAAAAAATAGAAATTTATTACACTTACTACAATCAATATAGAATTATAAACAAAATTGCAAATTTGTTTCAAATAATAATTTGCACACAAATTCTTCTGATAGTTATTACTTATTTATTACTTAAGAGTTCTTCTTTTGCAATGTCTCAAAATATTTTGTTGATATTCACTTAGAATTAATTTATCTTCTCTTTCTTTTGGCTGCCTTGTTTTAATTTTCTAATTTTGTTCGATATATATTCTTATTGTCACTGTATATCATTTTGTTCAATCTACTTCATATCTCTTTGACGTAATTCTTCATTCCAAAATATTATCTAAATTACATATCCCATATAATCCAAATGACTTTACTGATTCTACTCAAATATTCATATTATTCTACATACTTTCTTTCTATACTTAAGAAATGAGAAAGAAACAAAGAAGGAAAGAAAAAAAACAACTAATTAATCCTGAAATTATAAACTTTAGCTTTTCTCTCGCTTTTTATTTGAATATTTTACAATTGAAGTAAAGTAAAGTAAAGTGAATTAATATTAATATTAATAAAAATTAGAACAATTTGCATTTCAAGTTAGTGTTAGTTACTTTGTCAATCATTTTTGATAGAAATTCGTATCTAAATGTCTTAGTCTATTGGGTCAAAAATTGCTCGAGAATTAGGAATGATTTACTACCACTTCTAAAATAAAAATAAAAATAAAAATATTCTTTACTTTTCAATTATACATTCATATTACTTGCTAAATATTTTTTTTTCCACTTTGTCCAAATTATTTAAACTGCTGGAAATGTTTAGCTTTGCAAGCTGAAGCTACTCCAAATGTCCAAATTGTTCAACTTAATTGAATATTATAAAAAAAAGATTTCCAAAAATTGAAATATTATTCTAAAGAATAGTGTAGAATAAACAGGCTTTAAGGTTTCAGTTTGTTGAAAATTTATAAACTTTAAAATACTTTTAAGATGTTGCAATGAATTTTAAAAATATTTTAAAAAATAAACTAAAAGCACAATATATTATACTAAAATATTTTATAAAAAGATTATTTAAAAAGACTTTTTCAAAAGACTATTTAAACTATTTGTTTAAAAATTATTTGAATTTGAATTTGAATTTGAACTTGAAATTATTTTAAATTCAAATTCCCTTTCTTTTTTTTACAGTTTTTAAGAAGAACATTTCACATAACCAAAAGTCATATAGTTATTAAAAAGACAGCCATCTGTTTGCTGCTTTCCAAATCTTAACAAATAAAAATCAATTCCTTTGCCGGAACGATTTTAGTGATTTTTCTAAATATATTTTTATTTTATAACATTTTTGGTCTTTATGAAAATCAGAATTTAAATAAACTAAATTCAAAAAAACATTTAAACCTAGAATAAACTATTACCATTACTGGTAAATAATAGAAATTCATTATGACTAGAAAGTACTTGATTTTGATGTTTAGGTAGCGGTGATTAATTCTTGCTAAAAAAACCAAGTATAAATTTTTTTTAATGGATTTGATTTAATACAATTCCTCTTGTCATTAACTTTTCTAACAGAGAAAAGAAATGCTCCTTTGTGACTTTTCTTCTTTAAGGTAAAAAAAAGTTCAATGTAATATCATATCTAATTGGCGGAAAAATTACGAAGATGATGGTGATGAATATGAAGATGAGGATGCTGTATGATGTTGAAGAAAAAGAAAGAAAAACGCAAACAAGTACAAAATAAGAAGAAAACAACAAGGAAAGAAAAAAGGGTTTGAGACTTCTCTTGTATTGTAATTTAGTTTTTGCTTTACTTTTCTTTTCTTTGTTTAATACTGATGGTAAAACCGGTTTGATAATTGATAAACATCACGACTCAAAAATTTAGGATTAGTAAAACAAGAGTAATATAATGAGTCAAGTAGTGAGCCAATTTGGAAAATTGGCTCAATTTAAATAGGTTTTACAGGTTTCAACAAGTTAACAAGTTTTATTTTAGGTTGTTTGAGATATTTGAGATATTTGAGTTTATGAATTAATATTGCCTTATATATTATAATGTGAATTTAAATTATTTTTGATTGGTCAAAGGCAGTTGAAATTACTGGCACACCAAAATAACGGGCACTTGATGATTTAAATGTTGATTTATATTTTTTTATATTTTTTTATATTTTTTTATATTTCGCTGATATTATTATATTGTTTCTAATTAACTAATAAAAGAGATTAAGAGAATCAGTAGGGCAGAATCCACATTCTGCAAGATTTTAAGTTGATTAGCACAATAGAAGTCTTGTGGTGACAGGAATGATGTCGTTATTAAAATCTAAATAACAGAAAATAAAAAAAAATCAAATTGAGACAAAATCAAATTGAATGAATTGGCAAATTAAATTGCATAAATTGTGCTAATTTTTCAAGTTGGTCAAATATTATAGGCAATGCATTTGGTTCAAATCAGGTTGGGTTTTTCCTATTATTTTTTATATTTTTTATATTTTTTATATTTTTTATATTTTTATTTTTTTGAATTTTTGAATTTTTGAAGTTTTTACTTCGATTTTTTGTTAAAACTAAATCTGTTCATCTGATTTCAGGATATTTCAGTTTTAGTATTTGTTTCCACAAAATTTGCAAATATCAAATATTTGATAGCCAAACAAACTCACTCGTTGGACCATTTTTGGAACTGAAATTGGCAAAGGATGTTTGTATATTTAACGTCAGCGATCAAAACAGAAGAAAATGTGTCTGGAATTAGAGGAGTTGTGTTTGGCGTTGATAACAACTTTGTCAGAGCAAGAGCCAGCTCCTTAGTTGGGACAGCAAAAGAGCTGTTTCAGGAATGGGTCACAGACACCTGTCCCGAATCAAAACAGTAAGAAAAACGACAATCCTGACTCCAGCGAGCCTGTGTTCAGCATCACTTCTGGAAGCACTGTTTTCATGTTTCAATCATACAGATTCAGCAGCAGAGCTTTAAGACCAATCTTTACGACCCAGTTTTAGCACCACGCTTTAAAACCGGCCTTTAAGAGCCGCATTCGCAGCAAGGCTCCTGCTTCAGGCCCGATCGGGCAAGTCCTCTGAATAAACACCTGGAGAAGAAATACCTGGAGAAGCAGCAGAAGAAGCAGCAGAAGTAGACACAGCTCCACACACAGCTCCAAAAACTAGAGCACACACAGCACCATGACGGCTTCTGTTTCCAGGTCCCCAGTTCTCAGTCTGCACTTTTCCCAGGACGCCAGTGTAAGCTCCATCTCCAGGCCAAAACCCATTCCCAAGAAGAAACCAGCTCTTTTGCTCAAGCGACGAGACTCCTTGAGAACAAACAGCGATATTGCCAGGAAAACAGAAGAGTTGAATGAGCCGAACGAGTCAAAGCAGCTGGATAAGTTAAGAGAGTTGGAAGTAAAGGGAGCCAAACCTGAAATCAAACCCAAACCTAGGTTAATACTTAAACCCAAGCCAAAGCCAGCAGTGATCTTAAAGAGATCAACTATTGTTTTTCCCTCAAGCAACAGTGATAGGGGTAGTTCACATCTACATTTGAAAACAGATATAGAAACCAAAATCACTGACGATGAGATTAATAAAGATAGCAGTAACATACAAGAATATGTTAAATTAAGAGAATCACTATTTTCCTCTGAGAATATGAAAAATTTGCAGTCAAATTCAAATAAAATTATTACGGAGATTAAAATGACCAAGATTCCTGATATCAAACCAAAGCCAAAGCCAAAGCCAATGCCAATGCCAAAACTAAAACTAAAGCCAAAACCATTAATTAAACCAAAACCACAATTGAAAAAGATTGATAATATTATCAAAGATGATATCCAGAATGACATAGATACCGAAGATGAATACAACCCATTTGAACCAAATAAAATCGTTGTCAATGAAAAATTTCTTCAAAAACCTATTATAAAGTTAAAGCCAAAGATTATGATTAAGACTAAGCCAAAACTAATATTAAAAGACCCAATCAATAAAGTTGATAAAAAACAAGAACAAAAGAATGATGATGATGATTATAATCCTTTCAGTAATATGGATAGTGATGACGAAAATTATAATAATGATAATGATAATGATGATGATAATGATAAAAATAGTAATGAAGACAATATTTTCATTAATTCAAAACCACTGATTAAAGGTAAACCTCAAATTAAAACCAACCCCCCAATTAATTTACTAAATAAACCTTTAGTCAAACCCAAGCCAGATTTATTTAAAAAAAATGAAAATTCAATAAATTCCAGCAAAAATATTACTATTAGAAGAAGTTCATTTGAAATAAAACCTTTCGATTTAAAGAACAATGTTTCAAATAAATTTAAAAGATATTCATCTATCAATATAATTTCAAATTCAAATTCAAATAAATTCATTAAAAATTTTGATATTGAAAAAAACTTCAACTTTTTAAACAAAAAATCATTTGAGCCTTTAATACCCAAATTTGAAAATAAACCCAATTCATCTAGTGGTTTTAAAATTTCCAAAGAAGAACTACAAAATTATGAGAGAGACAATAATAATAACAATAATAACAATAACAATAATAATAATAATAATAATAATAATAATAATAATAATAATAATAATAATAATAATAATAATAATAATAACACAATAAATTTTGAAATAAAAAAAAAAAAAATTGTTCCACCAATGTCCCAACAAGGACCAGTTAGATTACCATTTATGGTTGGTTCCAATTCAACTTTTTCAAAATCTCAACCTTCTTTACAAAGTGAAAATCTTTCAATCAATGAATCGAACAATAATCTTATAAATTCTCAACCGGTGTCAATGCCACCACGATCTAAGACATTCGATTCATCTGAGTTATCTACTGAAAAGAAATTAACACACCCTAACAAATCTCGAACAAAAGGTCCAAAGCGTCGTTTGCCAAAGATACTAGGATGAAAATTGGTTTATAAGTTCATAAGTTTAGCGGGTTATGAATTTATAGATGTATAGACCATTAAGACTATATAAAAACATTAGATAACTGACAATAAGAATACAAATCTCGTTGTTTTATTGTAATCTTTGAAACAAATCGCAGACAAATTTTATTCAAAACAAGATAAATGGAAACGCGTGAAACGCTCCGCTTTGAGAAAAAACGCGTTTGTTTTTCAGTTCAGAAGAGAAGACATGTGAATGAACTGCTCTATTTAAGTAAGAAAGAATAAGAGCAGCTGCAATATACCACAACTTGACAATATCACAACAAAGTAATACAATGTCTTCGATTCCATTCCCCAACCTAGACCCATATGAGACCCTTGAGGCTTATAAGGATAGCTCTCCCATAGAGATCAAAAAGCAATACAGAAAATTGTGTTTGAAATACCATCCCGACAAAGTGGTGAATGGATCTGATGAGTTAAAAGAGGAAAGCAAGATGCAATTTGAGAAGATCTCCTTTGCCTATTATGTTTTGCAGGATGATGGCCGCAAGAAACATTACGATGAATATAAAGATTTTGAATTTGATAGATTGGAAGACGATTCCGAGTTCAATTGGAAAGATTATTTTGATGTCATCAAGGGCGAGAAAATAACTGAGGAGGTAATAGAAAAGGACAAGAAAAATTATCAAAATTCAGATGAGGAGAGACAAGATATATTGAAGGAATTTTTGTATTTAAAGGGGAATTTTCTAGATTTGTTTGAGAATATCCCACATCTAGAATTTAGCAAAAATGAAGAAGAGAGGATCTATAATTTGGTCTCTGAGATAATAGAAAACGAGGAAATCAATAAAGATGATGAATCTATAGCCGGGTTTGACAAGTACAAAAAAACAAGAAAATCTAGAATTAGACACAAACTAAGACAAATGAGAAAGGAAGCCAAAGAAGCTGAGGAGTTAATGGAGAAATTGAAACAGAAGGACCAAACAAACAGCAAAAAAAGAAAAATCGAGGGGGAAGATGACTTGAAACAGATAATCATGGCAAGACAGAGCAACCGGCTCGACAATCTCATTAGCAAATTGGAGGCCAAATACGTGAAAACCCCAAAAAGCAGCAAAAGAAGCAGAAAAACCCGAAAGGTTAGTACCAAATAGACGGATCAGCTATCGATTGATGTGGATAAAGTTGGTTCATGCATACCAGCGCACGCGAAATTTGTGTACATATGTGTATGCACAAAACAGTACCCACGCATATTTTCAGACGTGTGGATTGTGATTTTTTTGCCGCATCGGGTGAAAACTTGATGAATCGAAAACGTGCAAAAAGTTCTGACTAATGCCTCAATGCTTGGTTCGTTTTCAATTTAAATAAACTTTGCTCTTTTTTTCAGTCTAAATTGCTATTTTTTTTCATCACCAATTCACCAATTTATTGTTCTAGTTTATTATTCTATTATCCTTCTATTATCTTGCTATTATCTTGCTATTATCTTGTTATTGCATCTGCCACCATGTCTTTTCACCAAGCTGACCACAACCTTTTGATGATTCCAGGATCCATCGAGGTTTCCGACAAAGTTTTACTAGCTAACGCTTCTCCATCTTTATCTCACACCCATCAACCCTTTATTGGAATTTTCCAAAGTGTTTTGCAAAACCTTAGAAAATTATTGAAATCAACAAATCCAAATGATCAAGCCTATGTTTTATCTGGTTCTGGTACTTTAGGCTGGGATATCGTCGCTTCAAACTTGATTCAACCAAATGAAAATGCTTTATTACTTTCCACTGGATTTTTTTCTGATTCCTTTGCCGATTGTTTAACAACTTATGGTGCCAAAGTCGATAAATTGGTTGCTCCATTGGGTGGCGTGGTTTCATACGACTTGATTGAAAAGCAATTAGCTTCAAAGAATTATAAAATTATAACCATCACCCATGTTGATACCTCAACTGCCGTTGTCTCCAATTTGGAAGAAATTTCCAAAGTTGTTAAAAAAGTCTCTCCTGAAACTTTGATTATTGTTGATGGTGTTTGTTCTGTTGCGGTTGAAGATATTCAATTTGACAATTGGGGATTGGATTTTGTCTTGACTGCTTCTCAGAAGGCAATTGGTGTTCCACCAGGATTGTGTATTTTGTTTGCATCTGAAAGAGCAGTTAATACTGCTTTAAACAGATCAACCTCGAGCACTTTTTTTGCTTCATTAAAAAGATGGCATCCAATTATGCAAAACTATGAAAACAATAAACCTTCATATTTTGCTACTCCTTCTTGTCAATTGATTAATGCATTAAACACCTCATTAAATGAAATTTTATCAAAGGATTTAGATCAAAGATTTGCTAAACACATTAGTTCATCAATTTTTCTTAAATCGAGTTTGAAAGATTTGGGATTAGAATTGGTGTCGAAGGAAAAAGTGGGCGCTAATGGATTGACTGCAGCCTATTTTCCAAAAGGTATTGATGGCAGTCTATTTCTATCGTCAATTTACAAGAAGGGTATTGTTTTGGCTGGTGGAATCCACAAGGATATTGTTGGGAAATATTTTAGAATTGGACATATGGGAGTTTCTGTGGTTGAAAGAGACGATGTCGAGCTTGTTTTGAGTGCCATTAAAGAGACTTTGAGTGAATTAGGTTATTCCAAATGAACAATGAAAAATACACAAGACGATGGTCAATTTATACGGACTACAATTTGATTTATAGATTTTTTATTTTTTTTTCTCTTTTTTGATTCGATATATATATATATATATATATTATATTATATTTAAAAGTAAAGTATAAAGGTTTTTATTTCAATTTTTTTTTTTGGTAAAGTGAAGAAAAGTATCTGATAGTAGAGAGTTGAAAATATGTGAATAAAAACCAGTATAAATGTAAAGATAAATGTATAAATAAAATAAAAGATTAAAATCTAAGAAATTCAAAATCAAAAATTTAGTTATAAAGGTCAAGTAAGAACAAAAACAAAAGAAAACAAAAATGAAAACAAAAACAAAAAACCAAAGAAAAACGAAAAAGGGAAAAAGAAAGTTGTATATAAAAGAGAGATAAAATGAGGGAGTAAAAATCAAAATAAAAGATTAAGATTGAATAGCATTGAAAATATTAAAGTACTAATTATGAGTGAGATGAAAAAAATAGGATCAACGTGAATGAATATATCAATGAGCTGAGCAAAGTAGGTGAGTGTGGATTCGACCTCAAATGGAGTTGGTGAGGTAGGTGAAATCAATCAGATTAATTTATTAATCTTATTAATCTTATTAATCTTATTAATCTTATTAACTTTAACTCAATTGAGGTTTTTTATAAGTAGGAATTTCAAATTCAGGAGTAAAAGACTGGCCTGGTAGAATTGGAGCTACTGATAAAATAGCCTTGATTTTATTTTCTGGAGAGTCGTTGATTGGGATATTTTTGTATAATATAAATTCCAAAGGATCAGAAAGATTCAAGTCAGTTGTTGACGAGAGTGAACTGGCGGAAGTGTCGGTTGGATTGTAGTTTGGATTTTTTTTGAATAGTTTTGGATGAAATTCGACGCCATCTTGGATTCTCTTTTTAGCTAATAGTCTTTGGTTGTCTTCGATTTTGAATTTTTCGTTGGTAGCTAGGTCGTGGTTTCTTTTGTTTAGAGCAATGATTACTTTGTTCCATAGTTTTTTCGATTCGAATTCGCCTTGGTCAGATAGGGGTCTTACTAGAGGGGGATAGAGAACAGAGGAGTGGACGTCAAAGAATAGCTCGTTTGAGGGAGGAGAGAAGAGGTTGAGAGAAGAAGAGAGGTTTTTGATGAAGATTTGGTCGTTCCATTTGCCGGATAATTCGAATAGGTTTATGTTTTTTGAGAGGTCTTTGACGTAGCCTTGGATTGAATCGTAAGTTCCAGAGATAAAGCCTTTTGTTTTAAATTCAATGTCTGCTACGAGATTTGAAGAGGGACATTTTACGATCATATGGTCACCCAATTCTAGTTTTAATTTACCAAATAGCAAACCTCTGGCGTACATGTTTGGTTGTGTGAGAGTGTAGTATTCGTAGTCGACTTGAGCGGATTTGTTGGGATTTGAATCTTCCTCAATTTGGTTTTCCAATAGGATTTTGTTTTCTTCAGGATTGGTATTGGTATTGGTATTGGCATTTTTATTTGTGTTTGTTTTGATGTCAAGGAATCTTAGAATAGACAAACCTTCCATCATGGCAGCAGTTGAGTTACCTAGAAACTTTGATTTTGGTATTACGGTGCCATCCACTCTAATGTTGGATTCGGGAATCATGTAGAAATAGGAAGATTTTGGAGGATGGTGGGAGGTTTGTTCGGATATGTAGTAGGCAGAGTGGCCATTTGATAGATTCCAGTAGGAGGTAAAGTACTCGCCCAAGACTGGGTTTAGAGGTTTTTTAACAGCCTTAGGAGCGATGAACCAGGAGGAGAGATACCATTTCAAGACAAGTAGGAATCGTTCAGTGGGGTCTTGGGTGGAGTTAGCCTTGAGTAGGATATCGGGCTGTTGGAGCTGGTTGGTGATTCTTTCTAGCATTGACTTTCTCTCGAGTATGAAGGTGGGCAAGGTGATTCTGGACAAGTCACAGCCTGGCCTTAGTTGTGAGATTATGCCCATCAATATCGACTGGCCTTGGTCATCGACTTCGTCGATATCGTCAACATTGTCTATATCGTCAGTAGCAGCAGAATTGGGGTCGGAGGAGGAAGTGGAAGTGGAGGGAAGCTGGGAATCAGCAGAGGGAGATTTGGCGGTGAGATTGGCATTGGGTGTGGAAGGAGAGGCAGATAAAGCTGAGGTGAATATTGAAATCATGTCAAAACAGAAGAAGCAGAATGAACAGGAACAGAAGCGAGACAGACAGTTAGTAGAAGTAGCAAAGCAGCTGGAGTGGCATAAAGATAACAAGTCGAGAATGGCCAACCTGAGAGAACAGGAGCTTTCAAACCTAAAGGCACTTGCTGAGGGTATATATAGCGAGGGCCAGCCGGACGGGAGCAGGGCGGGAGCAGAACGAACGCAGCACGGAACAGATCCAGATCCAGAACAGAGGCACCAGAAGCTGCTCCGGCAGCTGCTTCCGCGGTTGGCACACGTGTTGAGCACCTGACTCGGGTGCTGCTATATAAGGTGTCGGCGCTTAGCTCTTCCTTCCTTGCTACCATCCAGCAGAAGAAGCACCGGCACCACGACGCCACCCATGGCCACCAACCCCTACTATGTTCTTTACAAGAAGAGGCGCCAGATTAAGCATCCGGTCTACGAAGCTGTGCTCGACCTCCACCTCTTGGGCTACAACTACAACCAGCTTCTCCAGTTCCTCGACTTGTCCCATCAGAAATCTCTCTACTACTGCTTCCAAAAACTCAACTTGCCCTTGGATGCTCGGGGCCTGCTAGACGAGCTCTCCAGCGAGCCAGATTTGTCTCTGCCCGACACCAGCTTGCAAATCCCATTTCTCCCTGATCTGAATGGTCCCAGCGTTGCTCAACAAATTCAAATCCCAGTCAACAATTCCCCAACGCTAGAGCGGAATGATCCTATACCCCAAACAAGCATCATTTCAAACCATAATCCGGCCACAGTACAGAAGGTCAACAAAATGAAGGTCAACAAAAAGCCTCGCCAAAGTTTGGGCAACGAAAACTGGCTACAGAACTTGGTTATCGACTTGTCCGATTCTGATTTTAACTCCGACTACGAAGACCCTGACACTCATATCAATAGCCATGACACTGTCTATCTGAATAAACTGAACGACAATAGCGAAAAGAGCTTGTCTCAACTAAAGGAAAAGGAGTTGCAAATTCAAAAACTCAAAAAGTCGATTCAACTCCTAGAAAGCTCAAGAACCTATCCTCCTCCTATTCCCATCACTACCACCACTAACCATAACGATGATAACAACATTGACTTGACAACAAATCAAATCAACTCCAAAATTGACGACTTTCAGTCCCAATATAACCTTGCCCAAGTCTCCTATAATCAAAAACTAATTGAAATAGACCTATCCAAGAAATTAATCAACAACTTGACCAAATCTCTATTAAACGAAAAGTTACTCCTATCAAAGAAAATGCATAGTCTAGCATCTTTAAAGCAAAATCTAGATGACACTAAAAATAATTTAGACCAAAACTTACCAATTTTAAAACAATTACTACTCAATAAAAATATTCCCAAAATATCACCAACATCGTCAACATCGTCAACATCATCAACACCTTCAATCTTAACGTCATCTTCAACGTCAACAACCACCCCCAACACTCCAATTATTACACCCATGTTAGATGAAAGAAAACTTTTAGAACTAAAACTAAAAGAAAAATTGAAACTAAAGTTTTTAAAAAAAAATATTCAAAAGAATACCGAAATCAAACAAGAAAATACAGAAATAAAACAGGAAAACATACCGATCCGTCATATTCAAACAGACATCCATATTTCAAATACTTTAAAACCTAACATCCAATTAAATCATGCCACCCTCCACCCAATACAAAAATTTAACAATTCAATTAACCCTATTCAAATTCACTCCAATAATCTTGATGATAAAATCCACTTCAAAGACAATAATAGTATCTGTTTCAATAATGAAAATGATCAAATTATTCCAATTACAATTGATTCTTCTGATAGTGACTCGGAAATCTTATTACCAATAGGCAATGACCATCAAAATGTAGAAATCACAAAGATATCTCAAGGTACCCTAGATATCAGCGATCAGAATCAATTACCTACTTTAAACAATCAATTCCTCTCTTCACCTTCAAACTCCTTGATAAGTAATCAAACAACTTCTCCTAAGGTTTGTACTTTAAAGTTTTTTAATTTCAAAATTTCTGCTATCTAAATTACTAACAATACTGACATGTCTACTACCTTGATTTCTATATTATAATGATTTTTTATAATTTTTTATAATTTTTTTTCTGGCTTTTTTTATAAATTGTTTTATATCCATATGATTCTTGTTTGTTGTTTTTTTTTTGTTATCATCAGGAAAGTTTAAAAGAAAAATTTGTTGAATATGAATCATCTCTTAGATGTCTTAAGTCTTATAGATTTAGCCCACTTTTTATGGAAAATTTCTCTTCAACTACATGGTCGAATAAAATTGATTGCGATAAAGAATTATGTCCAAATGAATTGGATGGCAATTGCAATGATCATAACTGTGAATTTCAACATTTCAGAGACATGGAGCCTACCGGTATGTTTTTTCACCTACTCCAGACACTGAATTCCATTATTAACTCTTTATCATGTTATATCAAAATTTAATATTACAATAAATCAGCAAGTGAAATTATAGCAGAGGTTGCAAAATGTTATCCTCAAGGAGGCACTGTTGAAACTAGACAATATAAAAAGGAATTGAAAGATTTATTACTTGAAAACAAAGACAGCGATTTTGACTTGATTTTAAACAATATATTGAAATTAAGAAAGAACAAAATGAAACCTGATGAGTTTCTTGATTGGTTTCATATTAAAAAGGTACCAAAAAAGACAAAAAAAAAATTGAAAAAGTCTTTAAGGTGAAAAAGGTATGTATATTACTTTGTTTTATTTTATTTTATTTTATTTTATTTTATTTTATTTTACTTTATATAGCTTTGATTTTAGAAATACCCAAGCTTATATAAGTTAAGGATCCTTTTCAATTAATGAAAAGGATCCGAAAAATGTATAGATAAAAAGTTGTTATTAAAATTATTGTAACGAATGTCTTATTTATATCTATGTATGTATACACCAAAATATACTAATTTGAACTAGTAAACTCATGTATAAAAAAACAAAAACAAAAATCTGATATTTCCACAAAATAGATAAAGCAGTGGAAGTATTTAGATACCTAACAGACAACAGTGATAAAATAAATAAAACAAGTAAAAACAAAATAAAGAGTTGAGGAATATGAATGATTTAAAGATGTTTATATGAAAGTATGATTTTAATAATGGATAAATTATGAGTGATTATGAATAAGTTGTTTTTCAATTTTCAGTTGAAAGTGAAAAGTTTTCTTTTTTTCTTGCTTTCTGACTTATTTGAGTTGTTTTGACTTACGATTCAAGTAACTTTCAATCCAAAACGCACCAAACAAAAGAGTCAAGGGAAATAAATAGAAAATATTAATCCAAAGAGCCATTGCTTGTCCACCACTGTTGATGCAAAACTTGAAATTTTTGAAATCGTCGTTTGAGTCTCTGTAAGTCACAAATAAATGGAGAAAAGCTAAGGAGCCTCCAAAGACAAATTGACAAATTTGCAAAGAAGTCAAAGAGGCCTTTAAAATCTTGGGAATTTTGATTTTCAAAATTGAGAGAGTATAGTAAAAGTACATGATTGAATGGATGAAAGAATTGAAAACAACGAAAATCCAGATTGGAGGAGAAGCATATCTAACACCAGCCCACATAGAAAGCATAGCACCTGAATGGTGATAAGATTGCAATAAAGATGAAGGTCTTCCTTTCAACAATATGATTGCGGTGTCAAGGATTTCATAATATTTCGACAAGTAAAACCAAAATGCATAGTAATTCAAGCCCTTTGAATTGATGTTCCAAATGCCATGATCCAAATCGCAAATAGCGTTCCAGAATAAATTGGGTTTTGTTTCATTCGAAGCGCCATTGTTGATCTTGTTATAGTAGTCGGTTAGAATTGAGTACAAGTTATCCTTTGAAAAGTTGATAACATTTAACATGCTATAGAAGCTCCAAACAGAATAAAGACACAAGAAAATATTGTGAAGCAAAATAAATTTCTTAAAGAAAGCAGTTTTGGCAAAGCTGAAAGCAACAGGGGGCAACTTTTTAACTGATTTTGGATCATTGACATCAAATTTGATGTTGTTTGCTAAAGCATTTTTGATTTGTCTTTTTCTAATGTAGTTGTTGATTAGATGGACTGTGGTGAAGTAGAGTAACGCAATTGAGATGGGGGTCTTTGAATTCAAGAAAAACTCGTAAATTGAAACAGTAGCTGAATTTATGTTCAAAGGATAAGGTGGAGAAGGAACCGGTTCAGCTCTAGGCCATTTCCAAATGGACGATGGAGGTTTAACAAAGCTCATGTAGTTTGAAATATAACTAATGTTATTCTGATCGATAGCTGACATGATGTTACAGGAATATTAGAAGTATTGAGCTAGCCTGACAGTGTTGTGGATTTAGTGTGTTGTTTATGTTCTTGACAATCAGTAGAGAAGCTGATGATGGTTTAGTGAGTAGAAGTCAGATAGAGGTGGGTTATTATATGCAAATGAAAGAAAAAAAAAGTGGAAGACAAATAGAAAATGGGTAAACCTAAAAAAAACAAAAGAAAATAAATTGTTGAATTCGAAACATAGGGTTTTATATACAATTGATCTGATTAGGATGAAGCACCAACAATTTTGCTAGGAACGAATCAAGAGCTTCAATTGGCCGGGAAGAGCTAAGCAAAGTATTGATGGAAGTGTTTGGTGGAGAAAAGCATCGGTGAGAAAAAAAAAATTGCTGTGAGCGCGCAAAAGGTGCGTAAACATGCGTGCCGAGAATCATCCGAGAAAACAACATAAGCCGAGCCAACCTTATTCCACGCTTGCTTATATAACCAAAAATACACGTGCTATTATACAAGCACTAGAATATGCTAGCTTGTGTAACAAATGCTGATATTATGTAATATTGCTGATTCTATCTAACGACATGTGTAGTTTTAAGGTTTTCAGAGGTTACTCATAATTTTGGCAGAGCCTGTTGTTTGGTCTTCTGTTTTGTGGAGAAAATGTGAATGATGAAATCACAAAGTGTTTGTTAAAAATATTTGTGTTTATTAGAAGTATATTACAGAATCAGTATAAAAAAGCAATTGTTGAAGAGATGAAAAAAAAAATGTATGAAAAAGAATAGTACAACTTCAGTAGACAACAGTATTAAAAATGCAATGAAAAAAGCAATCCCTAAAAATAAAGAAAAAAGTAAAAAAATTTGTAAACTGTGTAAAAATGTAAGTAGAAGAATGAAAAAAAACCAATAAAAAAAACTATTGAAGCTGGAAGAACTGTGTATCAATGTAAGAATAAGAAATCTAGAAATAAATAATTTCATGGTAAACTTACTTATGAAATAGATGGTAATTAACAGTAAAAACGGAATGGAATAAAAAGGATAGCTTTGTATACTTGTTACTTGTTACTTGTTACTAGTCTGAATTATTTGCACTTATCCATCTTGGATTTGCCCATCCTTTGACTGTGAACTGAACATTATTTTTTAACGTCCCACATGGTTTGAAGTTTTTATTTAAATTATCCAAAGTTTTCTCATTTAATTGAATTTTAGTTTTTTCTAAATTTTTCTCATTAATAGCAGAGATGGATTTATTTTTGAAAAACAATTTTCTAAACTCATCGTTATATTTAATCCAGGGCAAGTTCCCACTTGTACCAAAAAAATTAAATTTATCTGATTTATCAAGTTTATTAGATTGATTAGTTTGATTAGTTTCGTTGGTCATGGTGGTATCCTTGTTGGATTGATTTTGATCGTCACCAATATAGACATAGGAATTTTGATAGAATGTGTTATTTTTATTAATTGGTAAATCAGTTCTTGGAGGTAACTTCATTAGTTTCCACAACTTATTATAAGCTAGTAGAGCTAGTTTATTGTCCTTATGGACAATTTTTTTATTACTCTCCATCAATTGGAAGAATTCTTCACTTAGGAAATTAGGGATTAAATCTTTACAAATGGCAGTATATTCATTGGCATAAATTCTTAAAAAGGCTGGGTTTCTCCTATAAGATCTTGATTTTGTTAGCATATAAGAGACTTCAGTTATTTTTTTGTTATTAGCAGTAGTGTTATTTTTAATGTTGTTGTTGTTGTTGTTGGTGGTGGTGGTGGTGGTAGTGGTAGTGGCAGTATTAGTGGTGGCAGTAATGTTATTTTTTTCATCAATTTGGTTAATGTCATCAGTTAGAGGGATCATATAAACGCCATAAGTTTTCAATTTAACGTCTTTATATTGAGGTTTGTTGTTTGAGACGTTGAGTTTAGGGTGATATTGAGGAACTGAGATGTGAGGGTTAGATACAAAGGAGTTTGCTATTGATAAAGAAGGAGACATAGTTAAGGTGAAGACAGCTCTATCGTCAGTCATTCTTGGCGTGAAAGTGAAAGAAGAGGCAGCAGCTAGAATGTCATCTTTGACGAGGATAGAGGAAGTTGCTACTTTTTTCAAAGATTTTAGGGATCTAGTTAAATTTGATACCAAGTTTATTTTTGAGTTTGTTGGTTTAGTGGTGGTGATGGTGATAGGATTGGATGTGATAGGATTGGTGGTGATGTGGGTGGTGTTGGTGGATATGCTTTTGGTGAATTTCTTTTGGAGATTTGAGATTGAGAGAGAGAATGAAGGTTTTACGAGGTTGTGAGTTAGAGATATTGTCGAAGAAGAAGTTAGTGAGTCATTTTTGATGAATAGGGCTTTTTGAGAGTTGTTGATGAAGGAAGTTTTTACTTTGAAGCTTAACTGAGATTCGTTATCAATGTCAGTATCAGTTTCAGTATCAGTTTCAGTTTCAGTATCAGTTTCAGTATCAGTTTCAGTTTCAATTTGAGTGTCAGCGTTAAGATTATAATTATAGTTATAATTTGAATTGTAATTTGTGATTGGAATATTATAGTCTGCGGTAAAATTTTGAGAAGATAGAGGATGATTGTTTATTGGGATTGGTTTTATTTTAATTGAAGATAAATTTTTTAGAGATGCAGTTAGATTGGAGTGAGATGAATGATTTGAGGTGGGTAGATTAGAGGAATGGCTCAAGTTGATGTTGAGATTGGAGTAAGAGTTGTGATCTTGAGAGAAAGAATATGAAAGATAAGAAGATGAAGATTGAGATTGGGGTTGAGATTGAGATTGAGATTGAGATTGAGATTGAGATTGAGATTGAGATTGAGATTGAGATTGAGATTGAGAAAAAGAGGAAGGTGAAGAGTTGTTGATGTTGTTTGAATTGAGAAAAGAGTAGGAGTTGTTGTTTGGAGACCACAGATTTATTGTGTTGTTGCAGTATAATAGGCCAGATCTTTTTGCACTTAAAACAGAAGTTAGAGATGGAGTCTTTAGGGAAATGTTATTGGAAGTAACATTGTTGAGGGCCGAGTTAGAGAAGGATAAGGAAGGAGTAGAAGTGGAAGAGGAAGAAGAGGAAGAAGAGGGAGTTATGTTTGAAGAAGTGAACAAAGAGAATTCGTCTTCTGGGATGGTGTTGTAGATGAAAGAGTTTTTGTTTGAGAAGGAAGACGTTACAGAGTTTGAAGAGGTTGGAGAAGTTGAAGAGGTTGGAAGAGATATACTTTGAGAGCTGTTGCTGTTGCTGTGTGAGTTATTTGTGTAGTGATTATACTGGTTGTATTGGTTGCACTGAGTGTAGTGGTTGTATTGGTTGTCTTGGTTGTATTTTGAGTTGATGATATTGATGTTGTTTTTGGTAGATTTGGTGAAGATGTTAGGACAGTTGCTGTTAGTAGTATTTACTGTTCTCATTTCATCAAACAATTCAAACTCAGAGGAGATACTTGAAGGTAGGTTTAGAAATGTGTAGTCTAGCATAGTTGAAAAGGACGAGTAATAGATGGTGGATATATTAGATATTAGATATAGGATATAGAATATAGGATATAGAATAAAGGATATAAGAAAATAAAAGCGAATAAAATAATAAACGATTAATAATCTACTAAATATATTAATAGAAGAAACAGAGAAAATAAAAAGTTTTTTGGTTTACCCATTAAGAAGTAAAAAAATATAAAATTCAGTAATTCAGTGTTAAAAAATAAAACCAAAGAATTATGTAAAAGACCAAGATGCAAAGATTTGAAATAATAAATTATAGTTGATTACAATAAAGTATGCTAACAATAAATCTTAAAGAGTATTGGAAGGTGGTTTGAGTTCAAGTTAAAACCAGACAGTGAAATAGTGAAATAGCACAGCAGAAATGTCTGAGAAGGCGATCAAGATACGAGTAATGAGAGAGCCAGAGCTGGAAGCAGAGTAAGCAGAGCAGATATAGCGATATAAAAGTATCAGCACAGCTTAAATACGGGCATGAGTATAAATACAAGAATACAAGAGTAGAGATAATACAGAACCAGTATCAGCACATCGCTATCAACGACCGCATCTGCAGACAATCCCACCGTTGCTCGGATTGCAGCCGGGCCCTTCCACCGCCCTGGCTCCTCTGATTCCCTGCCGATGCCCGACCTGCGCTTCTTATCGCTCCGCCGTCCTGGCGCGCTCCCACATCCGTCTGCGGCGCGCCCCTGCCGCGTTAGCGCTGCTCCTGCCGACGCGCTGCGCGTATCCCGTTTCACACAGGGGTTGTCCGCTCCAAATCCGCGCTGTCCACTACTCTCCACCACACGCGTTCTACTTTTGCGGCGCAACATGCAGCACAGAAACTGCCGTCACAAAGCCCTTGTGTGCAGCAGATTTGGCCTGGGCGCTGCCGGCACGTCGCGCAAGCCGGACCTGCTCTTTGGGCCCGCGCTTTGTATGGCCACTTTGTGCGGCGCTTGTGCGCCGTACTTCGGACGCGTCTCGGACGCGTTTCAACGCGCTCTGGCCGGCTCGTTCCCTGCGGCAAAAAGCAGTCTTCATATGATATTCAGTATCTGAAGCAGGATAACGGTTTGAATCTTATTGTGCAACTGAAAAACAGTTTGTGAAATTTGGTGGATTTGGTGTTGGCAGCGTGGAACAAATTTCATCGGGATTCAGCACATACATCTCCGTTCAATTTACGAATCCCGGCCGACCAATTGGCTGGGTTTGGGTCTTTGGCTTTGGATCTTTGGATCACAATCACAACTCTGTTCATTTACTCCAAAAAGAGGAATTTTGCGTTTGTATAAGTCACAGCCCAATCGCTGCAATCATTAAGTTTTTATTCACTTATCTTGTTTTTTATCAACGTGATTATTTATAGCAATCTTGCCCATTGGTTCACACATGAAACTAGAACAAACCTGACTGCAATTTCACTTATCTCTGAATCCATGATCAATTGCTCCAATCTAAAAAGCCCTTATTACATAATTCACCAACACAAGTCCATTTCTTGCTTGATCTATCTCTAATCTTTTTTAATCTTTTCTAATCTTTTCTAATCTTTTCTAATCTTTTCAAATCTTTTCTAATTTTTTTAACCTATCTCCAACCCATCTCAAATCTGCATGCTTTCTTCTCTATCACAGCTGTCTTGTTCATTTTCTTTATTTTCTTTATTTTCTTTATTTTCTTTATTTTCTTTATTTTCTTCATTTTCTTCACTTTGTTTTGTTGCTTTTCAACTTCCTTGCCTCGAAAAGAAACTGCCAGTATTATATCGCCAATTTGTCGGATCCACCTCCCTTGGGCCTCTCAAAACGCCATGATCCGGGAATTCTTTTTTCATAACTGGAATTTGAAATTGCAATTTCTCTCAGTTCCTATCTAGTGTCTCTTATGTATCTCCTGTATCTCCCATAAATTCATGGTGAGATTAACTGATCTCTGTTTTTGTGATGACTGCTAATGGAAAGTCTAAACCCAATCTGCTTTACAGGTGCTTCCACAAAGTCATGACCCATGACCTGCGTTATCTTGAGTTTTTCTTTTCTGAGCGGGCTATCCCAAAATAGGCATTGTTTTCCGTCCCACTCAAAGCTTATTCTCCTTTGTTCGCTAATCTTGCGGATATAACCTCGTTCTGTCGCTTCCGGTCACTGGTTGTTTGCTCCACGTCGCTTACTTCTCTTTTCTGGATTTGTGGCAGAAGCTGAAATGCGCACCCTTGCTGCACCCATCAGCATATGGCACACACCGCAAGTTTCCCCAGTTTTCTTTTTAGCTCGCTGATGCCTCCTCATATTTAAACAATAAACGTCACTACAATCTTCCTATTACAATTATCTTATTATAATAAAACAAGTTCTAGCCACTGAAAACCAATCCGCTAATTTCTCCAATTTATATCTAAAAATATCTTTTTTCCCCTTCTTGCTCTCTTTTTTCTCAATCGGAAATCTTACTTTATTAATCAATCTAAACATTATACACATACTAATATATAATCATTTTTTATTCATTTTTTATTTAATTATTATAAAACAAATCAAATCAATATTAATCAAAAATTAAACTAAAAATTAAATTAAAAATTAAATTAAAAATTAAATTAAATAATTGAAAAAATTCTAACAAAAAACTATAACAAAAAATAAAACAGAATTAAACAAAATAAAACAAACTTAAAAATAATAAAATAATAAAATAATAAAATAATAAAATAATAAAATAATAAAACAAAAAATAATAAAACAAAAAATTAAAACTAAATTAAAACTAAATTAAAACTAAATTAAAACAAATCAAAATTAAACTAATTTCACATCTTTTAACGTAAAGTAAATCAACATCTCGAACTAAAAACTTTCAACTATTATAAATTCACAATTAATATAATATTATATTAATATTAATACAAATATCAATACAAACATTATTAAAAAAAAATATGCTTCTTTCATATTCATTCAGTTATATTACGAGATTGTCTCCAATTCAAAACTGTTCTTTTAGCTATGGCACTCTTATGACTTCCCGATGTCGTAGAACGACTCCCAGTCGAATCAGTTGTAGTAGACATTATAGATTCTGTAGGTGCAATCTTATTCAAATAATCAATCCCATTAATTCCATTCATTACTGAAATCCCATTCAATGAATTAATCCCATTAGTGTTATTACCAATATTATTAATACTGCTATTGACACCATTATTAATACCGTTACCGTTCATACTACTCATTCCACTGAGTCCTCCCAACATTTGAATCGACCCCGAATGAACTCCACCCCCATTTACAGCACTATTCGACTTGATATTAGCACTTGGATGATGGCTATTAAATTCTGCTAATAAATCTCCAACAACAATCCCATTTCTACTGATCTCTTCTTCAAAATTCTTTTGAAACAATTTAATCAATGATAAATGCGACTCTTGTAACGAAACTGGAACCAACTTCCCATGGATTACCAAACATCTTTGGATTGTATTAGCTAATTCTCCAAACGAATGCTTCAATGATTCCAATTGACTCGTATATTGAGAGTTCTTTGTAAAATTCTCATTAACAAAAAAAACCCTATACTGTCCAATCCCTCCATTAACTGGCGCATCAATCGTTCCTGCCAATTGTCTGGATAACTCACCAAATATAGAATTCACATCCTCTTTCTCCTTTATAGCCTTATTAGCCATGATTTCAAGCGAAATCAACTCTTGTGTCTTTGATGATAAACTTCTCAATGCATTTTGCAATGGCGATAATTTCACCTTAATAGCCCTCTTAATCTCACTTCGATTCATCAATGTTGGGAACGTGGTATATGTCTCATATGTAGTCTCTTCAACCCAAAGATCCATCACCGATGTAGATCCTGGTAATCTTCTTGCACTTGTAAATTGACACAAGTTTCGGTTTTCCAAATAAAATCGAGCCCCAACTGTTAACCCGGAAACATTGGCCGGCAAATTCATTTGAGGCTCAACTGTTGTAATATGCAAATACCTACCTGATGGTGTTACTTCATATAATTGTTTTGCCTCTTCATCATTAGATATAATTGTAGCACCTGGATGTAATCTCAATAACCTATCATGAATCGACGTTATATGTTCAAATGGTAATCCCTCATAAATAAATTGCCTTGCTCTAACTGACTTGGGAAATCCATATCCAATAAATGAAATTCTAAAATAGGCTGGTGTCAATCTATCAACTGTCTCCAATGATAAATACAACTTGGATAAGTTTTCATGAACATATGATAACCCCTTGAAATCGTATGAAATAGTATCATATGCCTGTGCTAATTCTTTGTAAATATCAATGGCTTTTTCCAATGCATTTCCTTTGACAAAATTCTCTGCAATCATTTTATACAACGTTTCTTTTCTTTCAAATGACGACTGAGATGGGAATTTGGGCTTAATACATAATGGCAATTTATCATCTAAATTCCAATTATATGTGGATGCTAATAATTGATAACTTAATCCCGCTTGAACAAAATTTGTCTTACTTAAATTGTCTTCTACCATTTCATTAATAAATGAATGTAATAATTCTGGTTTATCAACATGTTTCAAAAATCCATTAATATTAATCTTATGGAAAGTTCTATCATCATCAAATTCTGGTCCTTCGGGAACATTTTCCAAATCATTCAAAACTTCTAAAAATTCAGATAAATTTTGAATTAAACCATCAATTGCTGGAAATGCCTCATCTTCAGGGTCAATCTTAATGGACATTTTTAATCTTCTAATGAAATTCCTTTCTTCATATTGCCCTGGTTTATACTTATTACTATGAAATATTTCATAAAATCCAAGAATACATTCTTTTTCAATTTCATTAAAATTCCCATTTAGTAACCATTCAGAAATAATAATAGTATGTAACATCTTGACACCTAGAATTTGACAATTGGAATGTCTTTGCATACAAAATAACATAAGATCTTGTAAAACACCATAATTAAAATTAATAAACTCAACTTGATATCCACCAAATTTCTTTAATTGAAACCTGACTATATCTTCTTCCAATGCATCCCATGCCAATGCATCCCAAACTTCATTAATCAATAACGCACATCTATTACGAACATCTCCTGTTATTTTCCAGCAGGCCTTTCTTGGAACTTCAGCTAAATGACAAATTGATGATGGCATGGCAGTGGCAAATTTCAAACATGTTTTTAAGAAATTTCCCCACAATGACCTATCAAATTGCTCCATTTCATCCACTGATGGTATATAATCGATTTCCATAATGTATTTAACTAATTCAAAACTTGAAACTGCACTTTCAATTACCATAGCATGTAACGATAACCATTTTGACGCTGGATAACACTTACTGGAAATTAATAACTTGGCAGTATTAATAAGAGACAAAATGTGTTGTTTGGTGATCTTTTGAACAAAATATTGTGAAACAAACATTGTGTCAGCTTTACTTTCTTCAAGAATAGAGAGAAATCCTTTTGGTCCCGCAATAACTCTAGCAATCTTTGATAAGTAGGAAAAAATGGTCATCATTTCAATTAAAACCTCAACGAAGACCTCATCATTGACAATTGAATCCATAGTAATTTCAGGGAATGGATAATCAGATGGAAATAATGGTGTAAATGTTCTCTTGGGCTTGAATAAAGAATGTGTTCTAGCAAATTTGTTATAGTTGTTTAATATATCACAAATTGTAGGTAATAATCTAGAAACACCACGACAAAGATAAAGATCTTCTGTTCTATTTGACTTGACAATATCCCAAGTTAAACGCAAGATGGAAATTAAAATACCATTAGCTAACCTAGCGGCTTCTACATCAGTGTTTGCTAATAAAACTTCCATTGCCCAATTAATAGAGGTAATAATTAATCTATCACGACATTTATGATTTTCAACAAACCAGGAATGTAAAAGACGACGAATTAATAGCAATTTTGTTATGATGAAACCAAAGACCTTGTCATTTCTTTTAGTTGTGAGACCCATTGATGGTGCAGATGATGAAAAGTCATCTTGTTTTGATAAACCTCTAATTCCAACCGAGTCAATTAAAATGATACCGAAATTCAAGATATCTTCGTCAATGAATATTGCTCTTAAGCTTAATAGCCATAAGTCGATAACTTCTAAAACGGATGATTGATCAGAGGTAAACCTTTTATCCTTGGAGTTTAAAAAAGAAGAAATAGAACCAAGAAATTCATTCCAAGATCTATTGAATATTTCGACAGTTTGTTGACTAGTTGTTAAGATTGCAAGCCTTAGAATCAAAGTAGATACACGACAAACGGATCTGTTAAGATATTCCCATGAGGTTTTAAAACAAGAGAAATAACTTTCCATCTTGGATAGCAAATGGAAACCGATATAAGGTAAGTTTTTGGTATTGTCAACAAAATCTTCAAAAAGATAGACATATTGTTCTTGTCTTGCCACAACAAAATCTAGCATATGAACAATGGCTTCGAAAATAGTTTTATTTAAATTTGGTAGATTCAAGTCAACGGAAGCTTTATAAATTTCTAAAAGACTCTTTAATAGCTCAGGGAAATATTTGATCAATTGAGAAGTGTCTAAAATATTAAATTTGGTAATGATGGTCATCAAGTTACTTTCATTTGAGGGTAGATTGATAAGAGTTTTCCAGTTCAATAGAGTATTAATAGCATGATCGATATTGTAATTTTTTCCAACATATTCGGTTGTTAATTCAAAAGTGACGGCAATGTTGTGAGAATTTTGAATGCTTGCTAATTCTACAATGTGAGTTTTCTTGTATTCTACTATTTTGTTTTTGTTTCTTATTAGTAATTTACCATCGGCAACGATTTCGCCGTTTATATAGGCAAAAAAAGTCAAGTATTCAGTGTCATTGATTGATAAACCAGCGTCGATTCCGGAGATTTTGATCAATTCACCGATTGATTCATCAGAATAGACAGAGACGAATTGCCAATTTTTTCTGTTTTTTTCGTTGGTGCCCTTTGTAAAGTGAATACTTGGATTAGTGGTTGAAATTTGGATTGTTACAGGTAAGGATTGATGGAGAGTTTGGTTTAAATGAGCTTTACCAAGGCTCAAGTAGATTCTTTCATAAGGTTTAACTAGAGGGTCGTAGTAGATTGTTCTAATTTGGGAGATTGGTCTTGGGCCATTTGTGTCGAAATCGTTGATGAAAGTTTGTAGATCGTTTTTGAATTCTTTGATGGATACAATTAGTCTTTCAGCTCTGGGGTTAACGGCAACACCTTTATTTGAACCTCTAATGATTCGATCTACCAATTCACCCCAGCCATAATTTGTTTCACCATTTGAAGCCATTGTGTCATTTTGGTTGATATAGGAACCGAATAGCTTGATTATGAATTGGTGAGATTCACCGGAAGCCAAAGCACCTTTGTGGCGAGAAAAGATTCTTGAAATGTCAGTAACACCGGCAGCAATTCCCTTTCTGATTCTTCGAAGAGAGTTAGGTTGGTTGTTTGTGTTTCTTAGGATGTTGATGTCGATTTCTTCGGTTAGTAGGGCCACAAGGTAGATTCTGCCTTTATCGATTTCAGTTGAAGGGATGTTTCTGAATAGAGCAGCCGATAGGTGTTCTAGGAGAAAGTCCTGTGAGTTGTTGATGTTGACAGCGAAGGCTTCAGTCAATCTTTTTCTTGTGTTTCTCAAGTACATGTAGCAAGTCATTCCAGCAAAACCTTTTGGATTTAGATTTGAGGAGCCAGTGACGGATTTGAAGTCAACCAAGATTTGCGAGGGAATGGCTCTAACGAATTTGTTGTTTGGAGGGGGGATTAGAGAACCTAGGTCTAGGTCAGAGATTGGGTAGTTTGAGCATAGAGCGTACATGAGTTGATTTGAAGCTATGATATCAGGGGTTGCTTGAGATTTGAGGAGGGAATTGTTGTAGTCGAATAGGTCACCATTAAGAGGGTCTCTAGACATGATGGCCTCGTAGCCAGAGACATCGTATTTGATGGCGCTGTTTGTTTTGTCAAATCTGTTTATACCCTTTGAAGAGAGGAGTTTAGCTATTTTGCTTAGCAAGAGAGAGGCATTTTTTCTTGCTAAATTTTTTTCGGCTTTTGTGCAGAGGTTGTAGTTTAGTTTTATTCTGATTTCGTCCAATTCGTAGTAGAGGTTGCCTAGTTTTAGAGACAAGTTGAATTCACCAACAGAATAGAGAGAGTAGATGTGGGAGGATAGGAGGGAGATGGCAGGAGTGATTTCATCCAAAAGATCACCAGAATCTAGTCTTAGTGCAGGTAATGGGGGTTTCATGTGGTAAGTTAGTGTTTGGTCGTCATTTAGACCACCGCCATTTCTTGCAGCAGTTGCTCGTAGTTCAGTTTCGAGAATTGAAGGGATAGTCGAGACGTCGTCGGTATCAAGATGAATGATGTAGTGGTGGTCTAGAGAAGACTGGTTCATAAGGTTTTGGTTTGAGTTGACGTTGTTGTTGTCCTCTAGAGCTATTATATCGTGGTTACCGTAATTGAAGGAATTGAAGTCGGTGTTGTTGTTGATGGAAGTGTTATTATGGGTGTCGTTTTCATTGAGGTTGATGTTAAGATGGTTGAGGTTGTTGATATTGTTTGAGGAGGAGGAGGAGGAGGAAGGGTTTAGGTTGTGGTTCAAGTCATTTAGATTTGGAGAATTGAGGGACAAAGGGATTGGAATCTTTTCCAAGATTCTGACATGAGTCAAGGGAAAGATAACGACGTTGATTCTCTGGTCAGGTAGTTTTTCCAAGTTTGTAGAAACAGCAATGAAGTCAGTGGGCAAAGGCTGGACCAACAAGTAACCTCTGGCCCAATTATCGTTGATTTCAAAGATGTAGACTTCGTCTCCAGGATATAGGTTTTGATAGTATGGAGGTAGTCTCTCGAGATGGTTTTGGGGTAAAAAGGATTTTATGATTCTTCCATGAGCTAGCATGGGTAGAGGAGACCATTTGGACAGCATTATTAGAGGAGAGATTGTAGTGTTGTTGAAGTGATGGGGATAAGTGAGATTGACAAGTCAGGTATCAGTGGTAAAGGTGATGGTTGGTTGCAAAAAACGGATATTGAGATTGGATATAGGATAGGATATAGGATATAAAATATAGGATATTGAAATGGGATATTGATAAGGACAAGGTAGAGGAAGGTGAAAAACAGATGGAAGCAGGCAAAGAGAATAAAAACGAGAAATAAAAGAAAAATCGACTGAGGACGAATAACAGTTGGAGATCAACAGTTGAGAGTATCCTGATATAATTTATAATTACTATTACAGTTGGAGGTTAGAGGCAGAAGTGCAACAGACGGAAGAGGCAGAAATTGGCAAATGTGACAAAGTGGACGAGTGTTTCAGAATTGCTTCGAGGCTTCGAAGGCAGGTTCTGGAGCACTGGGAGGGAGAGGATGGTGGGAGTGAGGGTGAAGGTGAAGGTTAAGTAGATAAAGTAGAAGAAGCAGCAGAAGCAATAGAAGAAGAAGCAGAAGAAGAAGAAGCAGAGGCAGCACTTCCTCCACAATTCTCCAAAACACCACCCCTCCACCCGTGGCACATTTTCCAAACCACCGCGAAAAAAGCGCAGCTACAGCCCCTTGCAAGTGAAACTGAAAGCTGCGTTGTGATGCAGATAGCGTGTCGCGTCGTGCATGCTGAGACTGGAGATGTTTGAGAGGAACCAAAACAACATGATTTGGGCGTGTAGCGCAGTTGGTAGCGCGTCTGCTTAGCGTGCAGAAGGTCTTGGGTTCAATTCCCAACTCGTCCACTCTTTTTGCTTTTTGCAGCCCCGCCCTGATTGGCCAATGGACGCTGGAGGAGAGCTCGAAGAGAGGCCATTGCTGATCTTCAATCGTAGGCTTGGACTCAATTTATTTGGTTGAGCTGCTATATATCCTCTGCTTGCAAGTCTTCTTGGAGCACCAGCAAGAGAAACTCCAACCCGAGCCTGGCAAACTCCTGCATGTTTCTCGATCGATCTGAAAGCCCTGTCTTCTTCATGATCGATCGTTCTCCCTTGGGCCCAGACACTGCAAAGTACACTGTTCCCACTTTGCTGTCCAACGTAGCACCATTGTTGCACTTCCCATTGATCACCACCGACACCCCTTGCTTGCTGCTCGTCTCTTTCTCCATTTCTTCTGTTTCTCTTGTCTCTCCCTCGTCCAGAACATAGCTCGATGGTCCGGCAAACCCAGTCTCTGACAACACATATGTCGATCCCAATTCCATTCGCAAATTTCTTGCCAATCTTTTCGCCACTTTTTCACTAGGCCCAGTGTAACTCGTAATGTCGTTCTTCATCCACCCACTGAGTTTCAATTTCGATTTCAAACTGTACAACAATGTGCTGCCATCAAAATACTTCGACGCTCCAGCAACCGAAACCAAGTACGAAGACATCAATCCTCCACATGCTGCCTCTGATATCGATATCCTCCATTCTTCTTTCTTCAATATCCTCGATATATCACTTATTGTATCCTTAACATTGTCTGGTGGAAACTCCATTTCGATCCACTATCCACTAATTTGCATTCCAATCCTTTTCATCTCTCAACTTGTTCCTGTTTTCCGTTTTCCATCTCCCATATCATTTCCATCTCCATCCTACAAGGAAGGGTAATCTTCCTCACTTTTTATATCCACTTCTCCATCCGCTATAAATCCCCCATAGTGGCAATATCATCAACTTCAATCTTCAATCTCCAATCTCCAATCTCCAATCTTCACTTATCCATCACCATCAACTCCTTCTTCACAAACCAACTGCCCTTGTGCTCTTCTGCTCTTTTCTAATTACTTCCTCCTTACAACAACTCAATTCCTCCTCTTGCAATTACCATGTCCTCTAATCCCAATCCTAATCCCAATACCAGTCAACTACCCAAGTCTTTCAGCTTTAATGCCGGTAAAGTGGACTATGATGAAGAAACAAACAAATGCAATCCCAATCCTTTAAAGGGTAAAATATTGATATCTTCCTCAGAAGAGAGTCCTGATTGGTATTCCTTCAAATGGGTCCCAAGAGATGCACCAAACACTTCTAATTCCAATGCCAATGTCAATACTAATACTAATACTAATACTAATACTAATACTAATACTGATACTAATACTAATACCAACACCAACACCAACACTGACACCAACACTAACACTAACACTAATAACGAAAACTCAGATGATAATGATAATGATAATGAAGACGATGACGCTTTACTATTAATTCCAGGCGACACTGTATGGAAACACGTCAAATCCTGTAAAACAGGCAGAGTCTACTCCTTATCCTACAAAAGTTCCGGCCTGAAATACTTGTTCTGGATGCAATATCCAAACAATAATAAAGATGATGATCCATCCGAATTGTGTGATTTAGACCTAGACTTTTCAAAAAAGATTGCCGAACTTGTAAAAGAAGAAAGTGACAATGAAGATGACGAGGACGAGGACGACGATGATGATGAAGACGACGAAATCGAAGAAGATAATGATGATTCAAAAGATTCAAAAGATTCAAAAGATTCAAAAGATCTAAATGACGAAAATGATGAAAAAGACGTAGAAATCAAAGACGTCAGTGTTTCAGATAAAAACAACATTTCATCTGAATCTTCTTTCCCTTCTTCTACAACCGACAACACTTCAAACCAATCAAATTCAAATTCAAATTTAAATTCAAATTCAAATTCAAATTCAAATTCAAATCAATCAAACTCAAATCAATCCAACTCAAACTCATAATACAAAATGAAAATGAAAATGATTAATTAAATTCCCTCTAAGTAGAAAATTTTACATATATAATTATAATATTATAAGCTCCTATTACATCCTTAAACTATATATAAATGTTTACTAATATTATAGAATTTTTTAATTAGTTTTAGTTATTAATTATTGAAACCTATTGAAAAATAAAATTACTTAATTTAATTTAATTTAATCTAATAAAATGAAATACAATTATTTAACTTATTTCTTTTTAGATTTCTTTTCAGCTTCAGCCTCAGCCTTTTCTCTAGCACGTTTCTCACGAATACCCTTATATTTCTTATCAGATCTAGCAATTCTTAATGTTCTGTAAGCAGCAGTTTCGGGAACCTTAACAGCTCTGGCTTCAACATCAGTAGCAATTTGAGCAATTGGGAAGTTAACCAAGTTACTTTCAGATGCGCTAACATTTGGTTTGGCAGCCTTAGAAGTCTTAGATGGGAAAACAATTAATCTGGCTTTATAGTCTTTTAATCTTTGTACATTGATATCAAATCCTTCAACTGATCTATTTTGTCTTCTGTGATCAACAGCAATACCAATGGTTCTGGCATAAGCAGCGTTCAAACTAGCGGCTTTTAATTCAGCTAATGTGAATCCTCTACCAGCTCTGACCTTTCTATTATATTTAACAGTTGGAGCTCTGACAATAGGTCTTAGAAGATCAAGAGGTTTGGGAGCAACACCAGCAATTTTTTTGGCTCTGGCGATTCTTCTAGCAACCTTTTTACCGGCTTGATCAAAATGAACTTTGACACGTTCTTGCCAGTGTTTCTTGAAATGATTTTTTAAAAGAGTGTTATTTTTTGCAATAGCTAATAAATAATTAAAAAAAAAATAAAAATAATTAGTAATGTGCTTTTATTATATTTTAATTAAAATTGAATATACCGTTTGTATATTATAATACATTTCAAATTTCAGTTCAATTCAATTCAATTCAATTCAATACCAAGGTAACTTTTGATCCATTATTAATTGAATTTCTTATCAATTATTCAAAAAATTATACTTTTTCACTTCAAAAATTAATAAAATTGGAAAATCACTGAAAAGATATTGGAGAAACAAAATGTAAACGCTTGACTTGTATTTCCATTTTTAAAATTTATTTAGAAAATCCACTAATCATATTTCCTTTTACTTCATTATATTTAGTTCATGTATATTTTGATTTTCACACTTTTCACACTTTTAATACTTTATATTCACTTATTGCAATTTATTTTAATCATTGTAATATTCAAAATTTATCTAAAAATTATGTGTTTTTTTATTTAACAAATTATCAAAAAAAATGAAAAAAATATACCATCAAGTTGTTTTTTTCATTCATAAACTCAATCGTAATTGTGACAATATGTTATTTGGTTCTGATCATTTTCCGGATATTTACTAGAAAAGAATAAATCACTTTCTTTGCTATATTCATTGTGGTAATGATCTGTATTTTATATACACTAAAAAATTTCAAAATTCAAATTTCTATCAGGATCATATTCTCCAACTCAACAGGACTGAGAGGTGCGATTACAACTGCCATTGAAAAGAAGTTTTCACTTTGATATTTGAGTTGAAACTGAATTGATGGACGCTTGTGGAGATTCAGACATACCCATTTTGAATTATTTGTTATATTGGTCCAAGTAGTGAAATTGCTTTGACTAATACCTTTTCCAGCTGCTATGATCAGGAAAACTTTCAATATATTCACTTTTCTCTGCTCAGCAGTTTCTGGCTCCTGCACTGAGACAGCGCAGGCAAATTTCCACGGGAGAGCCCTAAGAGCAGATGTTGCCCGTTCAGGAAGGGCACGCGGTCCAGGTCTGTGCACAGAGCTAGTTTTGCAAAGGTTTGGATTGCATGTGACTGTGTTTGTGTTTTTTCAGCATCAAGCAACAAAAGCCCTATAATATATCACGTGTATAACAACAGACCACAGTTATGGGTGCTGCATATGTGCGTTAATTTGCTGCAATCCTGGGCACTGGTCCCAGTTTCCCAGTTGAGTGAGCACCATATAATAAGATGCGATGGTGGAGAGCTTCAGAGAATAGCTATCTGTTTTCAATATGGACAAGAGAAATGTAGATGTGTATGCCTGTTTGTCGATGGACGCTTCCATCAGGACGGTTGAACTCAATCGCGACTTGATCGAGATTATAAAGAACAAGTCTGACTCGTTATATCTCAAGGCCTCAAACACAGAAGGGGAGACTGTGTTGTGTTCTTCCTCCAAAACATATCAGTTGAGAAATAAGAAGCATTCTAACACTGTCTTGCTCAGTAAATCTCAATGCAGAGTATTCGACAGCAGCCAGTTGAAGAAGTTGATTGGGTTTTCCAAACTAACCTCAGATTTTGAATGTGTTCCTAAAACCAATACAATCGATGTTTCAAATTTACCAATTTATCATGATTCATTGACCTTTCTCTCGAATAGTGGTAAGGGCCAGGTTCCCACCAATTACATATCTTTAGATCAACTAATTGATAACACCCCATTGTCTATCAATGAGTTTAATTTACTTTGGGCTGAGCTTGGTGGTTGTGAAATTAATGGGATAGCTTGCTTATTATCAAATGAGGTTGTGCATAAGACGTTGACACTTTTAATAACGTCGATTATTGCCAATGATTTGGAATTCAATAATTTAGATTTGATGCATTGTGTGGATTCGGTTGGTAATGCAACTGACTATCCGATTAATATTGTACGATCGATTTTAATGAAGTTTTGTACAAATGATTGCATTAACAGTCAGGATGATAAATTTAAATTGGATGAAACCAAAATAGCCAGATGGTATGGTATGAAAGCATTGGAGTTGTACGCTAAAAAACCGATTTTAATTGATGATTTTTTGATTAAATGGAAATCTATTTTTCCCAAGTTTTATTCAGTTCCAATTAGTATGAAGTTACTACATGGGAATTTTGGAAGACCATATTCGAACAATTTTCAAAATTATAATAAAATTCAGTTTTTTCCTAAAAATTTACTATCAAACAAGATTGATGAGCGGTTTAGACAGTTATTTAAATTTCAAAATCAATGGGCAATCGAAGAGTTTATTCCATTTGTCATTGATTTGAATAAAAATCAAAAATTGAAAATAGATAAGTTTATAATGAAATATGCGAAGAGGAAAATGATTAACAATAATAAAGAAGTTGTAATTACATCTAAATGATATATTTTCAAATATATAATTATATATTAAAAAAAACAAAAAATTCGACCTAGACTGCTTAAACTCATGCTATTTCAAATGATTTTAAACATAATTTTGGATATACTTATTGATATCAATCTGAATCAATGGAACATCGTCTGAGTTTGAAATTTTGTTTTTAATTTTATCATTTTTCAATTCAATTCTTTTCAATTTTGAAATTGGACCCCATCCATTAACCGGAGGGTTTAACTTGAATGGATTTAAAAACTGGTTGATTTTTTTAAAGTTATCATTTGTTCTTAAAGAAGAGATTTCATGGATTATGTCTTCTACACAAATTATACCGTATTGGCCCAAATTATCTTCCACGATTTGGTTATCATTTAAAATCACCTCATTGTCGTCAAGTTTAATATGAATGTCATTATTGTTGTGGTTGTTATTAGCATTATTATTATGATTGGCAGGAGAATCCGGTTTAATATATGATTTTTTAATTGCAGCTCTTTTTTGAATCAATTGACGAACAGTAATCAAATTCGGTTCACCAACTACAATATATGGAGCTATCAACTTTAATAAATTCAACACCAATGGAGATAGTTTCACGAATACTCCCAAATTCGAATGTTTTAGTCTCAAGGCTTGCAAAATTTGTCTGGCCTTGTAAGGTACTTGAACGTTTGTATTATGAGGAGGAGTAACTTTAATAACAAATAGTAACCTGGGTTCGCCATTATAAACCTCAATTTTTTCACTCAAGATATTATCTTGCTCTTGTTCTTGTTCTTCTTCTTCGTTGTCTTCTTCAGTATTGTTATTTATGTCAACGGTCTTGGTTAAAATCTTTTGGAATCCATTGTTTTTATTGCTGATTGTTTTCTTTTGAGCAGCCAATGTTTTCTTAACTAGCCTGGCCAATCTCTTGTTTTCCTTTTGGGTTTCCTGGTGTTTGGCTATCAAAGTTTCAGCTCTAATGAACTTTTTTTTTTCAATTCTTTTCTGTGATTTTTGTTTTTGGAGTCTTTGTTTAGCTAGTGTTTGTTTTTGAAACCTTAGCTCAGTGGCATTCTTCCTTTTTTTCAAGAGAATCTCCGGGTTCGAGTTCGAAAACAAGTCTGGTTGTTGCGACATTGGAGAACAGATCTGATACGTTAGGTGATTCTGGATTATTACTACGATTTACTCATTATCTTATCATAATTTGAGTCTGCATCGAAAAATTTCAGCTGTGAAAAAAAAAACATCAGAAAAATATTTTTATCGCAACACGTGTGCTTCGCGGAGATCATCGCCGCATTGGGCTAAACCCGCGGACGTAAACCCAACGCAGAGCAAAATACGAGGGGATGCTGTTGTGTGCGTCGACAGCGCGTTCACGTACCGGATACACGTATCACACAAGCACAAACGCCTTTGCACGCGGTCAATGGCGTCATTAATGCACGCACAGCGCACACAACGGCACTGACTGCGTGGCCGTAGTGCGTGAGAAAAAGTGACGCGCCTGACCGAGCCGCACTTTGGCGCTGGAACGCTTCTTTTTTTCTGAAGTGGACGAATTTCTCCTTTGCTCTTTCTTTTGTTTCTTCCTGTGGAGTTTTTCTTCTCTTTCGTTGCTTCTTTGTTGAAGGTGCAGCATTTCCAGTGGTTTCTGTTTCTTTTGCTTTTGAGCTTTGGTTCTTTCCTCGAGTCCATCATCTGCTTTCTTCTTGTTATTCTCTGTTTTGAGGCCACTTTGTCTGTCGATTGCTTCTCGAAAAGGCAAATCGTTTCTCATCGAAATCTCCCTTTCAACACCACATTCAAAGGTATGTCGAGCTTGTGCTCAGCTCCCCTTTTATCACTAGAGAATTAGGTGAATTGGAGCTGTTTATATGCTGTTTGATTTGTAACACTTCCCACAAACTGTGCTTGAAACCTGGTGTCTTTTCACTTTCGTTGTCAAGCGAGAATTTGCCAATTCCACAAGAAAAACATTTAGGGTTTCAATAACATTATTCAAGCAGCAAGAAAAAAAATTTCAGTATCCAATTCCCCCAACATTTTCATCAGTTTCTCTCTCAATTAATGAAATTGATGATAACACAAGTCTCATCTTCTGGCTAGAAACAACTCTTACTAACTTTATCTCATTGGCTTAATTTTCACCAAGTTTGTTTTCTTAATTCGTTTTCTGATAATTATCGTTTAATATCTTTAAAAATCCTAAAATTCTTATAATTGAAAGTGTTAAAAAATTGTTAAAAGATTTTAAAGTTATAACAAGTTTTTAGAAGTTTTTAAAAGTTTTTGAACCCATCTGAAAATCGTCAATAATATTGAAAATATATTTGTCATATTTTCAATATCCAAATAAATTTCAACTCTCAATTACCACAGTCCACCATTTCAATTGATGAGATTTTCATTTTTGTTATTTTAATTCTCAAGAAACTCAATTATAGCATCATTTTTTTAACCTTTTTTTTATTTTTTTTTATTTCATTCATTCCTATAAAAATTCCATTTATCTTGTTTTTTAATTCTATTTTTTATCAAAAAATTTTATTATATTATATTGGTTTTTTTATTCACTTTATCACATCACATCACATCACATCACATCTTTTATTCCATTTTCTGTTATCTCATTTTATATTTGTTCATTTCCTATATCCATTCTTCATTTTTCCTTGCACATTCTTTCTTGCACACTTTTTTCTATTTTTATCCATTTTAATTTTATCCATTTTAATTTTATTATTTCAACATTATTCCAGGGCTATATTCATAATTTCATTCAAAATCAAAATTACATTCAAAATTTATATTTAGTATCACATTATTAATCTGGTAAAATTTGCAAAGGAAAAAATCAATAAAAGATTCTAAAAAAAAACAAGACAGGAAAAACGTTTCAAATGTTGGAAAAGGGAAATTCTTTTAATAATAATTCAATTTCTATTCAAAATATCCAAAACTCCAAAACCACTAACAACAATAGCAACGATAACAACAACAATAACAACAATAACAACAACAACAACAATAACAACAATAACAACAACAACAACTCAAAAAATATAAAATCATTCAAACAAAACTTATCCACAAATAAAAAAAATCCAGCCTTCAAATTTGATAAAGATGATAAAACTGACAAACTAAAAACAATAAATAAAATCACTAAGATCTCTCAAAAAAACAAACTAATTAATATCTCTGTTCAAAATCCTCGAGTTAAATCAGAAACTCTGTTTAGTCCTCAATTTCTAGCAATCTCTCAATCTCTCCCTTATAACACTATGAATATGAACATGAACATGGACATGAATATGGATATGAACGTAAATAATTTAAGCAATATAAATAATAATAATCTAAACAACAACTTAAACAACAACTTAAACAACAACTTAAACAACAACTTAAACAACAACTTAAATAATATCAATGCTATTGCAAATCTTAATAATATAAATACCGTTTCAAATTTAAATAATTTTAATTTGTCAAATCTAAACAATTTAAACTCTTTTGACTTAAATGGGTTTAATATGAGCACTATTGGCATGAACATTGGAATAAATAACATTACAAACATGAATAATCTCAATAACTTTAATAATCTTACCAACCTCAATAGTCTTAATAATCTCAATAACATTAACAATCTTAATAACAATCTCAATAATAACCTTAATAATCTTAATTTCAACAATCTCAACAATGTTAATAACATGAATGGTTTCAATAATCTTTCAACACTAGAAAATTTTGGCAACCTTAACAGTATGAATTCTATGAGCAATATAAACAACATGGCTGTTATGAATAATATGAGTACTATAAATAATATAAATAATATAAATAACATAAACAATATAAACAATATAAATAATATCAATAACTTTAATCACATCGGAAATGTGAACAATATCACCACTATGGACAACATCAGTAACATGAGTTCCATCAACAATATAAATAATATGCCCAACCTAAACAGTTTAGGCTACGTACAAATACAATTGACTCCAAATGAAGATCTGCAAATTCAACAACAACAACAAAAACAAACTTTGCATGGTAATCTTTTAATGCACCAACAACAAAATCAAGAAGCTCAAAAACTCGATCAAAAGAATCAAAGACAGGATCAAAAATTTGCTTTGAACTTTTCTAATATAAATCAAAACTCCACTTTAAACATCAGCTCAAAATTCCCATTGAACAATTCCTCCCATTCAGATTCAAATTTGAGTTTTCTTTCTGATTCAAAACTCAATACTTTCACTACCGCTGATAACACTGATAACATGTCAAATAATAACAACAAATCAAATGACAATACTAATAATAATTTTATTAGCGAATCCAATAAAGAAAGCGAAATCAAAAACCCAAAGCTGATTTTAAATACTAATTCACACCTGGAAAATAACTTAAAATTGCTTCCAAACCTGTTTTCAAATTTTTCTGCGGTTCGAGCTTCTTCATCTTTGACCTCAGCAAATCACACCATTAAACCTTCAGTTCAATTTTCAATTCAATCTCATGATACTAACTCAACTTCTTTAACTCCAAAATCAAATTCTATTCCAAATTTAAGCTTACCTCAAGATTTGAACTCATCCAACGTGGTCCCAAACTCCATCTCAAACTCAATTTCAAACTCAATTTCAAATTCTGTCTCGAATTCCGTTTCAAATCCTTTTTATCATCGAACTAGCATTTCAAATTCAGAAAATATCTATTTAAAAAATAATTCATTAAGTCAGCTAAATCATCCAAACAAATTAAATAACCACAATCTCTATTCAAATCATATCAAAAAGAAGCCTCGTAGATCTGATCACTCATTGCCTGGTGACGAAGGAGATGCTGAATTAAAGCTATTGGCTTATTCAATCAAACATTTGCCATTGACTGAATTAGCCAAAACAATTAAAAAAACTGAAGTGGGCCATGAACAGTCAAATATTAAACCTGTTAACACAAACACAAATGATAAGAACAGTGTCACTATTAATGTTGAGATCGTTCCATCAAATATCAAACAGGAAAACAACAATGATTATGACAATAATTATAGTCTCAAAAATACCGAGGCTAACCATGATGATACTGACAAACTATATGATGATAGCAACACTAAAAACATCGAAAAAAAAGGCTTTTCAAAGGATTTGATTGAGAATTCAAAAAGAGTGATATCAGCTGGATCTGATACTTCTTTTTCTTCTATTTCTTACTCATCCAAATTTTCTTCTCTATCTATTTCCCATTCTAATTCTAATTCCACTTCAAGTGCAGGGTCTGTTGCTCTTACTTTACCTTCTAGTCCTCACTATGCCCAAATTCCTTCAACCATCGAAAATACAACTAAAGAAAGGCAAAAACAAATTTTTGGAATGGTATGGTTGATCAAAACATGCGAATCAGCACCAACTGCTGTTGTTCCAAGAAATAGAATATATGCTAGATATGTGACTATCTGTGCTGACAATGCTGTTAAACCATTATCACCTGCTTCTTTTGGAAAATTAGTTAGAATCATTTTTCCTAATATAACAACAAGAAGATTGGGAGTTAGAGGCCAGAGTAAATATCATTATTGTGGTATTAGATTAATGAACGTTCACTCAAATGGAAGCTTAGGAAGCTTCGGCAGTATGTCAAGCATTAGTAATGCCACAACACCAATTTTCTCTGGTGCTTCTTCTTGTTATAACAATTCTGTTCCGGCCAGTCCTACTGGGTTTAATTTAGCGTCACAATCACAAAATACTACTCCACTAACCTACAATAAGGATGGATCAATTGATATTTTCAATGAATTGTCTCATGAAAATTTAAATGATGACTTTTCAAATGAACTCAATTTAAATGACTCGGGTTTTGACTATATAGGTGTCAACCACCAAGAATTGAAATTGAAGTTTTCTTCTAGCTTACTTCAGGGACTAATTGATAATACAAACATTGTCAACTTCAATACGCCTCTAGTTTTACCATCTTTGTACCCTTATTTACCCAAAAATGTGGACTATGATATTGCTGATACTTTATATTCATTGTATAGAACTCACTGCACAGCAATGTTTGAATCATTAAGGTACATGCAATTGAAAAAGTTATATGGATTATTAAGTTCATTCCATGGGTCATTAACTGCACCTGTATTCAAGCTATATATTTCAGAACCCATAGTCTCTTGGGTTGAACAATGTGATATTATTATGTATAAAAATATTATAAGAATGCTTGCCAGATTGGTTTTGCAAAATATTCCTGAAGACATATTGGATCAATTAAGGCTTATGACAGGTGCATATCCTGATAAACTACTAACAACCATCCATAACTTACCATACAAATTTATTATAAAAAAATTAGTTCCTGCGAAAAAATTTTGTTTTTTGATTTCCAGGCTAATCAGAGCATCAGAAACCGCAAAATCAGCAAGCAAAATATTAATGAACCAAGAGGACCGGAACTCTATGCTTGATAATTGGTCTAATTTGGTTAATTATAAGCAAATTGTTGAAAGCGAACTACCTTGTGGCGAATTAAACATTAATAGGTGCATTGAGGTGTTGAAAGTTGAAATACCAAAGCTATTGACATTCACAGAAGATGACAAGAATAAAATGAAGGAAGAAAATGATAGAAACAGCAGTAACCAGCCAGAGACCTCAAATTGCGAACGAAATGGGAAAAGTGATCAATTTTATCTTCTTAAAAAATGGGCTAGCTTTTTGATATACCTCCCGGATTCATTACCAGTGAAAGTTCCACCAAGATTATTTTTATTGTGTATGAGCACTATAGTTACCAGTTGTTTGAAAGATATATCATTAGCAGGGGGAACCGGTTTTGGAGCTTGGTGGGTTGTTCGATGCTGGATTGATGAATGGATGAGGTGGTATTCCGAGCTTTCTGGGTTTCTTTTAGATGATACCACCAATGTACCCTCAAACACAAACAACAGGAACAACAGAAATTCATTCTCTACTTCCAAACTCGTTAAGAAGAACAATATTGAGCATATTCTTACTGATATTGATGAAACAGTGAATAGTGAGACAGATAATTGTTTATGTGAAAAGCACAATAAAAATAAGGGCAAAGATCATCAGGAAAATGCCCCGATGGATAAACCAGTCAAACAAAAGGCAAACAAGTCTCGAAATCTTGCTAAAAGTAATAGCGATTGTGACAGAAACACCCAAAGAATTATTGTTAAAAATAGACAAGGCAATTCTACATTTGAGATGATGGCTGATGATTTAAATAAAAGTGGATCAGAAACAGGCATTTCAGGATTGTTGCCCCAGAACATCTTATCATCTGACAGAAATCATTTAAACAAATCAGCTAGAATAAAACGATCTTTTAGCTACAATGAAAGTAACAAAGAAAATGATCCTCCTTTAGGTGTATTAAACATTCAATCGCCTAGAAAGGCGATTTCATCTGATTTTTCAACTGTTTTAAGCAGAAATAACTCAACTGTTTCTAGCAGCTCAATAAACAATGTGTTACTTAACAATATTTCAAACTAGAGAGATATTGAAATTTCAAAAATGTATTTTTGATCCGACAAAACCACAAAATATAAAATATAAAACCTTGTTGATGGAAGATTTAGAAGATTTTTTTTATTTGGTTTTTACGATTTTCGCATTATATTTCTATAGAATTATACATTTAAATAAAGCCATATTTTGCATCCTTTTTGTTTATTTTTTGTTTTAAAAACTTTTATAATAAATGCATGTTTTACTTTCTTTTGTTTGAATCTTTTTTCCAGCTTCCGATTTTGTGTTTGTGAACTTTTGGAAGGATTTTCTGCTAAAAAAACAAATGCAAAATCCCTTTATCAAACTGATGCTGCAACAAGACAGAAGGAAATTATCAGTAAAATGGTTAACAGAAACAAGAACAAAAGAAGAAAAGGACTGGCAAAGAATGCGAAAGCAAAAGACATTAACAACTGCTATCGTATTCCTAAGAACTTGCTCATGGTCGTGAATGAATCAACACAGCAGAGAGAGATCAAACCATTAGATGAGATTCCTGCTGGTGATATTATTTGCAAGCTTCAGCCAGAAGTAAAGGTGATCAACAATGCTTCCTCTTTACTTGTAAGAGAAGATTTCTGTGAGGCTGACACAGACATTTATTGCAACAACTGCTGTAAAGGGCTACCAGGTTATATCTACAACTATACACCAGAACTAGACAGAAAAACCAGCGAATATGAAGCAAATAGCGACGATTGCAGTAAAAGAAAGTTGCTTGTTTGCAATAGCTGTAATTTGTTAAGTTATTGTTCCCAAACCTGTCTTGAAGAAGACTTTGATGATGTGCACTTTATTGAATGTAAAGTCTACCAAGAAGCGCTGAAGCACAATGATAGAATACAGCTCCAAAAGATTCTAAAATCTTCAATTAGAATGATTTTACGCATCCTTATTGTTTGCCAGAAAGACAAGAGAATAGCACAATGCTACAGGCAGTTGTTGAATCATTGGGCTAACTTTTCAAAGGCAGATAAAAGGGATTTAACCCAAAGAATTTACGAAGAAATGGTTGAAAATAGCAAAATATTACACGAATTGACAAAGGGTTTCAAATACTTTTCAGGATCTGGCTTTGATTTTGAAAAATTGTCAGGAACTGTATCTAGATACCTTTTCAGATAAATTTATTTTACTTTCCCTTTATAACAAAACATTATACTAATCAAGATGCATACTGCGCAAAGATGGTGATCAACTCTGTTGTGATGCTTGATACATTTTTTATTGAAAATGGTTTGATGATTGATTCATTTGTTTCTTTGATTAATCACTCATGTCTGCCAAATGCTACAATAATTTTCGAAGGAAAAGAATTGGTGATTAGAGCATTGAGAACTATACACAAAAATGAAGAAATTACTATAAACTATTGCCAAAGAAATACCCTAACTGAGTTTAGAAAACTTCAGCTTCAAAAAAGATTTTTTTTCGACTGCATTTGTTCTAAATGCACAACACCCGACATATATCTAAAGTTTTCATGGCCCAGTATGATATCAGATTTATCTTTTAGGATAATTGGTCTTGAAGACATCATAAAAGGAGAAATGATATTCAATCATGTTTCAAAATTGGAAGGCGGTAAATTAGTTACCAAAGATCTTGGAGCTAATATGAATGAGGTACTCCAGAAAGAAATAGAAGATTACATTATTTTAATAGAATATTATTTTTGGATAATATTCGGACAAAGAATAAACAAGAGTCAAAGGTTTGGTGGGTTTTCCAAATCAGAGAAAATCACACAAAATCTCAAAACATCAAATAAAGATATATTTTCTGTCAATACTTATGGGATTCCTCAGGAGAAGATATTCACCTGTTTATTTGAAAACGAAGTTTCCAATCAACAACAAATGTTTATTTCATCTGGAGATCACTTTAAGCAGATTTCCAAATTAGTGGAAAGAATAAGAAATGGATCTTTAATTAAGCTTTGCAACTGGCCACTACCATTAGTTGTTTCTTCAATCGTTGTATACTTAGGAAACCCCAAAGTGAGAAATGAAATGAAATACGGAAACTTCGAATATGTAAAATGGTTATTAATTGATACTTTTGAGGTGCAAATTCCAACTCAGAGCGATGGTGAAACTTTCAATCCAATATATGGCACAATATTTCAACATTTGGCATCTGCTTTAGATGAAGTTAACGAAGCACAGGTTGAAGTGGAATTCCAAGAATATTGCATTAGAAAATTTTTATGTTGTGGTTGTCAAGATAGCAAATCAGATATTTGCAATCAAGTAATAATGGTACTAAAAAAAAGTTGCCTTCTTCTATTGTTGCATGCATATGATATCTTAAAAAAATCTTTTCTTTATCAAGAGGTTGAAAGTTTAATCAATCTCGAATTCCATATTAATGACTGGATTTTAAAAAATAAAAAGGTGGATGCTATTAAAACATGGTTGCAAAACCCTCTAACTTCCAAGCGACCTAGTGAAGGATTAGGTGAATTACTTGGGTTGTTTGAAATTAAAGTAGGAATCGATGGAGAAATACTACTTGCAAATCAAAGAAAACAAAAAGCAATTATTGATCCGCATGAACTTCCCTGGGAAAAGTTTGGAATCGAAAAAAAAGAGAAAAAGTTGAAATTTTAAAGTAAAATATGACATAATTTTTAATAGTGAAATAAACAAAAAGAAATTGCAATCGTAAAACCTAAAATTGAAAGTTTGTTGAAATTATGATTGGAGGATCTTCCGGAACATCATTTTGATTAGTTTTAACATTTTCAATGTTTTTCACAACTTCAATACCACCTGTTACTTCAGCAAATATTGTGTGTTTATCATTTAACCATTCAGCCTTTGCTGTTGTTATAAAAAATTGAGAACCATTAGTATTTTCGCCTATATTGGCCATGCCGACCATATATGGTTTATTGAATCGAACATCTGGGTTAAACTCGTCAGAAAAGTACTTGTGCCATATACTTTCACCGCCAGTTCCATCGCCATTAGGATCACCTGTTTGAATCATGAAACTTTTAATGACTCTGTGAAAAGTCAAATTATTGTAGTAGTTTTGGCCACAATGAGTGATAAAATTTTCAACAGCTAAAGGCGCATATTCAGGAAACAATTTTAGTTTAATGTCACCAAAAGTTGTATGTAAAATTACTTTTGAGCCTCTAAACTTCAACTTGTAATTTAAAGACTTGTTTTTATTAATTGAATCCAAGTTTAGATTTTCATTCAAGACGTCTCGATTATGCTTATAATCCTGGAAATTTTCACTGGGGTTGCTATTGAATATGTAGAATCTGTTTGAATTGTAAGGAATTGCAATTAATAGCGGCAAAAACTTTGGATTATCAGTGGAACCTAACTTCGAATCTGAATTTTGAACTAGTGTTAAATTTTGAAAATTCAAATGATTTAAAGAAGAGGCATCCAATGAGGCGTGTAATGATTCATTGATATCAAATTTACCTAATATTTTAATGCATTTATTTAGTGATAAATCGATTAATTTTATTCCATTTATTGATGGGTAGAGAATAAAATTATTGGAATTTGTGAAAATGGCATTTCTGGATAAAAAGTAATTAATTTTATCAGAGTTTATTAAATTTTTCTCAAGACTAATTTTTTTGTTGAATAATAGCTTATCCTCACTATTCCTATTAGTGGAATTTTTATTCAATTTTGTCAAATTGAATAAATTAATTAAAGAATCGATAGATTCATCAAATTTTTTAAAGACTTTGGCAGATTTGAAATTGAACAATCTGATATTATTATCAGGATAGGATAAGATAATGAAGTTTTCAAAATCACTTGAAAAACCAATTGAAACTGGAATCAATTTTTTTTTCCTAAACAAAAATAAATTTGTATTTGATTTTAAAGCAAATAAATCTTTGGGTGTATCAAAATTCTCATTTGGCAACCAATATTCAATGTTACCAATTGTATCAGATGAAACCACACAGTTATATTTGAAATTGTAATTCAAGCATATAATTGGATGTTTGTGCAAAGTTGAAGTAGTGTATAAATAGCTAGTAAAGCTAGGATTTGGCGATTCGTTATGATCATCATGAATATTCATTATATGAGATTGAATTGTGTGGTCATTTTGTGAAGAATCAAAAGGATCATAAATATAAATATCGTGGAAAAGTTTGCTGGTAACTATTAATAAAACACGATTATTATAATTAGCCCAACATAAAGTACCTGGAATGAACTTTAAATCAATGATATTAATAATGTCCATCAAGTTGATATCGAAAATTTTAATTTTATTATTGTTTGAAGATAAAGAAGCAAAATAGGTATTATCGTTGTTATCTGAATTAGTAGTGCCATTACTATACTTGAATATCTTAATAGATCCAGAATGCAAATCATTAATTTTTTTCAAAAATTCCAAATTACCATTTTCAAGTATTTTCCAAAACTTGATAACACCATCAATTGAAGAAGAAATCAAAATCCAATGGCCAAAAGAATTTTTTATGGCTAATACTGAGAATATATTTGCTTTGTGCATAAATGAGTATCTATATCTCTGGTTGAACTGTAGACCATTCTTATTGGGTGATGATTTTGCAGATGGTGAGAAAAATTTTTTCAACTTTTTCTTTAATGGAATTTGAGGTTTCTCCAATTGATCTAATTTGGCTCTAGCAGGTTTTTTGAAAATATCAGATCCATCGATATCAGAGCTTAACACACGTTTCGCTTCATTTCTAGGTGAATGATCGATCTGGTCTACGTTGGACATTTTATAGTAAAATTACAAAAAAGTTAGGCAGAAACAAAACTAAAAAAAAAGCAGTATAGATTTAAAGTAAAACAAACAAAGAATAAATATTTATACTGAACTGGAAATCCAAGCGCTCATCCCCATTAGCTCAGTCGGTAGAGCGTTCGGCTTTTAGGGATTCTTCTAGTTTCGTACGAAACCGAAATGTCCAGGGTTCGAGCCCCTGATGAGGAGTGCTTTTTTGCCACTAGACTTAATTTATGGCTTTTATATGTTTTTGAGGCAGATAAAACCAAATTCTGCAACAATGGACAACTATTTCAAAGACGACGACAAGAAGAAAGACCCAGGGGCTGCTGAGGATGATGAAGAGGAAGACGAAGACTTTGTGCTTGGCCAGGAAGGGCAACAAAGTGGCAACGACGAGTCTGACTACGAGCTGACCGATGACGAGAACCACCAGAGGGACAGTAGACTAAAAAACAGTGAGAAGAACGCACTAACCCAACCTGATGTGGATGATATAGAAACATCCAGGGAGATCAAAAGAGCCAATTACAACAAGATAGAAAGTCAGACTGGGGGATTGATAAAAACAAGACATCAGAGAAGGTTGGAACAACTTGAATTGAATGGAAAGAAATTTTTGTCAGTCAGCCTCGATAATGGCCATGGCAATGAAAACATCAACTTGATATGGGAGCAGATGAATAAGAGCAACAGCGATAGATCCAAATCACTTGAAGAAGCTCAACAAAATGCCATTGGCCCAACCAAAAAAAATAATGCATTAAAAGATGGTGACAATCAAATGATAAAAATTAAAACATCTTATGAGTTTGCTGGAGAAACAATATCCGAAGAAAAATATGTCAACACAAACTCTGCTGAAGCAAAAGCGTATTTGAATTCCATACATTCCAATTTAAATTCAACCTCAAATAAAAATAATAATAATAATAAAACAAGAACTTTCAGGAAAAGTAATAATGAAAACAATAGTAATAACAAGGAAAGTAATATCAAAATCAAGAAACGAATCAAGAGAAAACGGCCTTCGATAATTGATGCGATTATCAACAATGCAAAGTTGCAAAAAATAAACACTTTAGAGAAGTCAAGATTGGACTGGGCAAGTTTTGTGGATAGAAATAACATTGACAACGAATTAAAATCTCACAACAAAGATGGTTATTTGTCAAAGCAAGACTTTTTACACAAAGTTGAACTAAACAAAGATCTACAATATAAACTTGCCAATAAAAAATTAAATTCCCTTAAAAAATAAAAAAAAATTTCTAATAAATTTGAAAATAAATGAAAATAAAAAAAAATTGTATAAATGTAATTCTAGAACTAAAAAAGTACCCATTAGAAATAAGAATGAAACATAAATTTATAATGAAATCCTTTTCTTTTTATTCTCTCAATCATCCGAATCATTACCTGATATTTCATTAAATCGAAGTCTTGATGCTAAATCATCTGAGACTGCACTAACTTTAGACGAAAAAATATACGACCTTCCTCCACAATATGATAAAACAATTGGCAAGAACATCAAACTGTGCAATGATGCAATAACAACCAATGCTAACCACATTCTAAAATAATAAACCTGGAATATCTTAGATCTTGTAAATGCCAAAACAAAAACACCAATTAATTTGGTCAAAGCTATCCCCCCGAACACAGATCCTCCAATTCCTGTCAAAGAATGAAATGATCGTTGGACTCGAGTGCCACAACTTCGACCTCCAAATTCTAATTGATCTGCCACTGTAAATCCTCTGGCTATATGAGTACAGAATTCTACTGCAATACCAGTGCAGATAACCAAATTCACTAAAGCAACTGCATTCAATGAAATATTCCAAATAGCCATGACTCCTCCAATATCAACTAGAATTAATAATACTGTTCCAGATAATACACCAGCTGTTCTGAATGATCCAAGTAAAAGTGAAGAATTGAAAAACAAAATAATTAACGCTGTACCTAATAACGTAAATGTTAAACTAACAATAGTTTCATATTGAACAAAAAAAATGTAAAATGGTGAGTATGCAAAAACATCTAGTCCAGTATATTTTTTTATATCTGAAGTGATTCTTAATGACGATCTGTATCCTTTGATAAAATCATCTTGTGATCTTAGCGGAACATGAGATGTTCTGAAAGTGGATGCTTCAACTGTCACTCCTTCTTCATTTATAACAACTGACCTAGAATATGGAGCTTTTCCCCCAAGAGGGCACGGTGAACTAGGGGTTTCAATCCAAATATCTAAAAATTTCAAAAACTCCTCTCCTTCAGGAAAGCCCTTCATACTTGTATCCCATTTTGGTTCATGGTTTAAAAAACATGCCTCGCATCTTCTTGATGAGTCAAATGGTGAACAAACCTGAGTTTGATTGGTGTTCTTTCTAAATCTGCAACATTCATCAAGATCTGGATTTAAAAATAAAAAGAAATCATCAATCCAACTAGCGGCTGGCTCAGCTAATGTCGAAAACTCTGGTCTTTTTCTTTCTTGCTCTAAAATATTTGTCAAGGAGTATTCATCACATGTTGAGAATCTTCCACATAATTTTTGCTGGTTTTCTCTTTGAGTAACATTTAAATCTTTGACTACAAAATATACAGGAGCCCCAGTATTGAAATAGTCATAAATATCATTAAAATAATCAATAAGATAAGAATCAGAAGGTATTGCAATTCTTTGATCCAAACCAAACTTAATTTTAGGAAACAAGGCTAATGATACTCCAAACCAAGCGATGAATATTGCCAAAATTACTGGTTTCACTTTCTTTTTTAAAATAAAGGGAGCATAATATTTTCTTAACAACCGCGAAAATACAGTTTCATCAGGTTGGCTCAATATCTCGGGAATCAATAAACCTCTTCTGCTCTCATAATTGGGCTCGTACTCAGAGTTTGTTATGGATTTAGACCTAATACTTTCAACTTTGACCCAAGGGAAAATGTCCAATTTCATGTCATCAGTTCTTTGCTGATCTAAAGCTAGGAGAGAAACAAAAGCTGTCAATTGTAGTGATGTGTTGAAAAATGAAGCACCAGCAGAATAAAGCGCAAAATTACGAACAGCAGGCATGGCTACGAATGCACCAAGACTAAAAGCTAAAAATTGGGATGTTGCTGATAATAGTATACTTGGACCCATTCTTCCAACAGCTCTAGATACTCTTTCTGGGACAGATTCATTTGGATAGGAGCGATTCATATGCTTTAACTCATGACAGATCAAAAATATATTGTCAACACCAACCGCCAAAATCAAGAAGGGTATAACTTCAGCAATGATTAAAGTAGATTTCACTCCAAATAAAGCAAATAAGCCTGCTGAGGAACTAACAGATAGTAGAACAATAAAAATACCAGCTAAACCAATTGATATCTTTGTGTTAACAAAAGTATCAATATTATCAAAGCTTGGAAGACCACCACTTAGTGCTAACGAAGCGTACGAAAACATCATTAGATAAGATATGATTATAATTTTGATATCTGTGTTGGTTGACTTGTTTAGTTCCTTTTCTAAAGAGATATCTGTGGTAAAAGATACTCTTAGACCCAAGTCTTGAGCTTCTTTGGTGACATTATTTAATAGAAAGCTTTCCAACAGTTTTTCCCATTGTTCAGTAGCCTTGGATATTTGAGATTGGTCATCTATGTTATTATTAATAACATAAGTGATAACCAAAGCCTTTGAAGTTAAGATATCGTTATTTTGATAGCCGCCAAACAACAATTCTTTTTTCAAGGGCTGTTGAAATGGTGGTAAACAGTTTACAGGAGAAGTTGCACATTCAGTTAGGTCTTTTTCCCATGTATTGGGATCAAGTAAACTTGGATCACCTTGAAAATACTGAGTGAATGATTCAATGACACAAGCATCACCAGTTGGCTTGAGACAAATATCGTCAAGAGAAATTTTATAAATTTGGTTAATTTTATTTAGATCAATGTTGTTTTCGTCAGAGGAATCAATGTAGTCAATAGAGAGTTGATTGATCTTAGTTTCAATATCAAACCACCAATTTAAGGTATTGTAGTTTAAAACCGGGCCAGTGTCATTAACAATGAAAATCTGTTCAGCTTTGTAAAAAGGACCGAAATTTTGGTCAAAAAATTGTTTTTGTTTGAAAGCCTCAGCAGAAGAGCTAACCCAAAGATTGATTGGATTCTTCTCTAATTTGATAAAGAACATGCCAGAGGAGAGGAGAAAAGTTATGGCCAAGGCGACAGAGATAATGATCCAGGGATGTAGAGCACAAATGAAAGCCAATTTGCCAAACCATTTTTCTAGTAGGTTATTTATAAAGTAGGATTGGTTGTGCTGTGAGGAGGACAACAATCTACCACTGAGGTGACTGATATCATCATGATCGAGATCGTTTGTGAAATTGCTATCGAGCTCATCATCGTCGATACTATTATGAGTGGTATTATCTAGGGAGTCATCTTGTAAAAGGTTTTTGTTTATGTTGAAATGGTTGTAGTAAAGGTAACCTAGATAACCCGAGAAATAAAAAAGCGCCAATATAATGTAAAGGAGAATTATGGAGAAAGAAAAACAAGGTAGAAGGCCAACATGACAGGACAATTTTTCGTTCCAGTTTGGTAATGTGGGACAGCTATTGGGACAATCAGAGCAAGCACATTTGAAGTCTGGATTTGAATCATTGCAGTATTTAACAAGGCCATTTGAAGGTTTGATGTCGGGTGGTAAAGATAGATAATCATCCTGAGGCCATTTGAAATTGATTTGGAAGGGGGAACCGCCTAGCAATGGTTTTTCATCACCTAAAAACTTCAAAAACTGTTTGTAATCCTTAGCACCACCACCAATTAAATCCATGGCGTAACCATTGGTGGCACCAAATTTGACATTCTTACAGGAATCGTAAAAGTTTTCAGCCCAAGATGGATCCACGTACTGGTCTATTTCTTTGACGATAGGTTTTTTTGAGATAGAGGATTGAATTTGAGTGACATTAACAAATTGAGATTGGTTGGGAGAGCAAGAAAATCTGCAGAATAGCTGGTAGAAGTTGTCCCTACAGGCAGGACAAGAAGCAATGATATTATCAGCTTTCTTCAATTGCTGTTGGAGCACATTTAGCTGAGAATTAGAGCAACAGACCAAGGACTGGTTTTCCCACAATGGACCGCAAATGGAGACCAACAAGTCTTTGTCGTCTTGCGTAGGAATTGAAGCAGGAACATTGGCAGGACAAGGCAACTCACCACCAAAGATGGATTTTTTGCCACACTATTGGAAGAGCAAAGTGCCTGTGTTAGTTATGTGGACGAGGGATGGTCTGGTGGGAGAACAGAAGGGCGATACATACGTTGTCGTAGGTGGCACAGTAGCCTTGGTGGTGAACATCGGTGTAGCCAGCGAGAGCAAGGCAGCAGCAGCTGAGGACGAGGCAGAAGAAGAAGCAGCGTCTCATCGTTGTGGTTGAAGAGCAAGAAGGAACTGCAGTGGACCTGGAGTGAAGCTTTATCTGAGATAAGCGCTGGAGCAAGCTTCGGCCCAGAGCCGAGTCGGTGGAGGAGAGCTGCTGCTGCTGAAAAGACTCCCGAGAGTGCTGAAGCAGCTGCTGTTCCTTCCCAATCGCCACCATGAAAGACAAGTCTGATTCTCGTCCCACCATCTTCCAGCACCTCGACTCGCTCTTGAGCTCTAAGAGCAGCAAGGTTTCGCAGTCGCAGATCGAGAACGAAGCCCAGGAGATCTTGAACAACACACTCACATCCACCACAACACACTCCAGCTCAGTCTACGATGACAATGTCAATGAGCCTGCCAACTACGAGAACCTGCTTTCTCGCTCCATCTCCCTCAGCACAAACCAAAATCCTGACGCCTTGTCGCTTCCTGCCTCGAAAATCCAGTTCAATGCCTTGAAAAAATCAAATATCTCAACCTTGGGAAATGGCAACCTCTCGCTTGCTGTTTTTGATACCTTCAACGACGATGCCAATGCCAGTTATTCTCGCAATGTCAGCAACAGCTTTGCCAACATCAATTCCATCAGTGGCTCTCCAATGCAAAATGACGGTTTCAATCCCCACCACTCCAGTCTCATTCAAGATAACAACAACAGCGCCAGTCTCAACAATAACGAGCATCTAAATATCCATCCTATGAGCCAAAAAAATCTTGATTATAACGCCGATAAAACAAACTCAGAGTTTTCTCAGAATAACAAAGTTCCTGCTGCTGTTGTTTTTAATGATTCAAATCAACTTTCTAACTACCCTATTGTTGGCCAACCCATTGACTTTGAAAATAACCGAAATCCCAATATTTTCATCAACAATCGCACTGATAACAACAACAACAACAACAACAACAATAATAACATGAGTAATAATATCAACAACTACAATAATGGATTTATCAACACTCTAAATACTCATTCTACCACTTCCGCTCCTTCAAAAAGTAAATTATACATTAGCAGTCCTCAATTGTCAGACTATGAACTATCAAACGTTTCCAATCCAATTCTTAAAAATGCTTTGAGTAATCAAAATCTAAACTCCTCTAATTTGAACAATGCATTCAACAACCCAGGCTTTGCTAATGAAAACGCAGCCAACCCTATTCCAAACAACGATAATAGCAATATCATCATCGATAATAATGATGCAAAGAATACTTTACTGAACAACAATTCTAATATTAACAATTTCAATGGCAATCTAGACACCAATGGAGATGCAAATTTAGTTGCAAATCCCGTTGAATTAAATAATAAACTCAGCTCCATACCTTCCCCGAATGATGATTATATCTCACAAACACTAGACATTCTTAAAACAAATCAAAACAACCAAAACAACCAAAATAATTTTATTTCAAGCCCCATTAGTGAGATCAGGTTTATAGACTCCCTATCTCCCAAAAGATCTTATCAAAGACCAATGTCTCCTTCCATGTCAAGAGTGGGCTCTGTTCGTGAGTCAAAACTAAGTAACTATTCCAACAGAAGAAGAACTTTGAGCGTCAACAGCAGAGATGAGCGAAATTTCAATCTGAACACCATTGATGCAAACTTAAATTTTCCCAATGAAAAAGATGAAAACAACAACATCACCACAAACATCATCTCAAGTAACAATCCTCCAACTAATAATATTATTAACGACAATTTCAGTCTAGAAAATGTTCCATACGCCAACGAAAAAAAAAACAACGAATTTCATCAAACTTTTAAAAAATTACCCCCAAATGAAAGATTGCTAGAAGACTATGTATGTGCTCTATCAAAGGAGATTATAATTCAAGGCAAAATGTATATATCTGAAAGACATATCAGCTTCAATTCTAATTTGTTTGGTTTTGTCACAAACTTATCAATTCCATTTTCAGAAATTTTGCAAATTGAAAAGAAATCAACCGCCCTCTTATTTCCAAATGGAATGGTAATAACTACTTTGCATGCTAGATACATTTTTGCATCTTTTTTGCAAAGAGATGGTGCATTTGATTTTATCACCTCTGTATGGAACCAGGTGCTAAAAAAGAACCCAAATAGGGTGTCTTTTCAAAACCAAGAATATTCAGATATGGGTGAAATTAGTGGTGACGAAGAAAACCAAGGATCTGATAATAACAATCTGGCTCGAATCAACAGCGACTCCAATATCAATGACGAATTTATTGATGGAAATGGCTACGAATCTGAAATAAGCAGCGATGAAGATATGATCACAGATGACGATGAAGAAAACAATAATCAATCTTTGAATAAGGCATCCAATTCGGATTCACTGAACTCAACTTCTTTCAATGGTTTACCCTTAGTTGGTCCATTAACCCACCAACCTACAACTAATCGCTACACCAAACAAAACGGGGACACCCAAATCACAAATACTGAGTTTAATGCACCTGTTGGAACAATATACAGCTTATTATTTGGCGACGATACCACTTATCTCAAGAATATATTAGTAAAAGGGAAAAATTTCGAGTTTTCCCCCATCCCTGCAATGTCAAAGAATCCAGAGACAAATTCTAAAGAGAGAAAATATAACTACATCAAACCATTAGGTGGTGCAATTGGTCCCAAACAAACTAGATGTAACATTACTGAAACGGTTGAAAAATTTGAACCTGATAATTTAATCCAGGTTTTACAAGCGACACAATCACCAGATGTACCCAATGGCAGCGTCTTCACTGTTAAAACTAGATTTTATTTGAACTGGGCTCCAAACAATAAAACTAATATGTTGGTTATCACTTTCATAGAATGGACAGGGAAAAGTTGGATCAAAGGTGCCATTGAAAAAGGTACTATTGACGGTCAGAATTCATCAATCGGGTTATTGGTTGATGAAATTAATAGTATACTATCGAGCTCATCATCTTCAGGAGGTGGAAAATCCGGCGATAAAAAACGGAAAAATAAGAGAGGTAGAGCCAGAACAGAGAAAATTGAGCCTGTTGTTGAAGCATTACCACCACCACCTCCTTCAAAGGAATCGCCATATGCACTTCTACTAAGATCTCTAGCCGAAATCATTGAAGGTATACCCTTGCCAATTCCTGATTTTATCAAGGTGCCATTATTCGCGGTTATTATGATAATTGGGTTTTTGTATTGGGTTTTTAAAAGCAAAAAGGCAACCGGCTTTGATAGTTTTAACAATTTAAATCAAATCACGATTTTCAGAAATATCGATGGACTAGACTACACCATCATCCCCCCAGCTTCAAAGATGAGTAGCAACAACCAGTTGTACTTCGAGTCATTGGTTGAACTTTGGGAATGGATCGATGATCGTCTTGAATTTACCGGAGATCCTAATGATGGGTTACTACAACATAAAACCGATACTTGGAAAAAACAGTATATTATGATGAATAGAGACAAGTTATCTAATGCTCAGAAAGAAGCCATTCTTATAGCAGGAAAGAAGGAAAAGTTGAATCAATTGTCGAAAAAATACACGAAACAAGAGATCCAAGAGTATATCAAGTTAACTGAACTAAGACTAGATCTGATTCGAACTCAGATGAATTTAATTTAAGTTTCAAGTGGAAATCAATTCCAACTACATTTCACTTCTTCAGCTGTATTTTTATTCGTTTTATGAACGCCAATTTTGCTAAAAAGATATCCATTTTATTGTTTTCCCAGCCATCCCGAAAGTATTCCATTATAATTTTTATCAACTCCATTATTCTTTATGTAGTGGTTTTTCATAATATTAGCTTATATTTACTAAATAATTTAATTAATAACCTTACCCTTTTTAGTCTGTTATTTTGATATTTTTCAAATTGCGTTCAGTTGAATGGAACACTTTTGATTACCTATTCAAGCTTCAAAGTTTCAAACTGGCTGTGGTTCGCGTTTTTCATGTTTTCTATTTTTTGAATCAGCACACACTGGTATAAATTATTAACTCTTTACAATTGTTTGTAAAGACCAAATAATTCAAGTGACAATTAAAACACTGCTCATTATGTTTAAGGATTTGATTCTCGGTAGGACTCAATTGAGTGGTAATTCAAATAATATTTCGTGGTCTGAGGATGGTTATGTTGCATTTGCAACTGGTTCCACAATCTCAATCTTGGTAAGTATACAGTAATTTGCTTCAGTATATATAGGGAGACTATTAAGATATTGTAAACACAAAAGAACTTCATCAGCTAACACATCATTATGGAACATTTTCTATTCTAGAATCCTAACCCCACCAAAACATCCATTTATAAATCTGCGTCTGATCTTTTCACGTTATCAGCTACAGGAGATATAAAAAGTTATAGAAAAAACGAAGAAAACAGGACAATTTTGAATGAAAGGTTATCAATATGTTGCAATCCTCTGGATGAGTTTATCACATCAGTTTCTTGGTCTCCATCTAATTATTCAGATCACAGCTCCTGTTTATTAGCAGGTTTGACCAACTCTCAGAAATGTTACATTTTTGAACAAGCTAGCTACAATCCAAACAATAACACTTTTATTTGGAAATTAAAATTTGATTTATTTGAAGAGCTAAAATATCTACTTGATGTGAAAAATCTTATTGATCAAGCTAAAGTTGAATCATTGAGAATTCACTCAATTGGCTGGTGTCCAAGAATTTCCAATTCTGTTAGTAACGAATTTACCAAATTTGTAGTGATTGGAACAGAGGATGGGAGGATCAACTTTTTTCAAATCAATAAATCCGATGGTCAATCACAATTACAATTTATATCGTTCTCATCGATTACAATAGCAAACAACTGGATCATAAAATTAGATTGGTCACCTTGGATTCAAATTGATGATAACAGCAATCTATTTGTCTCCAAGTTGTCCATTGTTACATCAGATAATTTACTATTTGTTCAAACAATTTATTTCAACAGATTGGATTATAAATTATATTTTGACCATCTATCAGTTCAGCACTTGGTTAGTTTTTCATTTAAGGGGTTGTTGGAAACAAGCATTCTTAGAGTTTTGATAAACAAAAATAGGTTTTTTATCAAATCAATCGATTGGCTACTTTATAAACACAGATCTAGTCTAGATATTGATGGATTTTTTCAAGAAGATTTGCTTTTGATAGTGTCTTCAACTGCATCAATTCAGGCATTTTACATGGTAAGCAACGTTTTTTATGAGTTTAGTTTATCTGCAGTTAAAGGGGTGAATTTCAGTGGATTGATAATTAATCCTGTTAATGATTCGAAAAAGAGTTTTGAGTTATTAATGGTTGAAAAGGAGATTCTATCAAGTACAATAGATTGTAATGAAAATATTATTGAAAATGAAAGTGGAAATGAAGCCCCAATAGAAATCGAAATTGAAGCAGAAACAAAAGCAGAAGCTGAATCAGAAATTAAAAGAGAAAAATTAACTTATGCTAAAAATGGTGATATTTATGAAAATGTGGCAAATGTTTTTCTTAATTTTGAGGATGGATTTTTTGATAAAAAGCCAAATTCAAGCATAGAATACCAAGAGAATTTAAATAATTTGAGATTGAGTAAACTATTGAGTGTGATTAATCAAGATTATAAGGGATTTTTGAAAAGTTTTATTTTCAAAAAAGTTGATAGCTGGAAAGTAAAAAATTTAGTCAACTATGAAGACGATCTTGGGATTGTATTTCAAATATTAGGAATTTGCTCAAATCCAGCTAAAAATGGATTGGTTTTAATGCATAAAATCACGTCAGTTAATGAGCTAAGTTATAATATCAAAGCGAGAAATGATATTTGCTTATCACTTATTCCAATGTTTGGTGAGAAAGAATCCAAAGTTTTAAAAGAATTTTTTAGTGTAAATAAATTTAATTGCGACCAAAATATAGGTGATATAGCTGGGTTAGCCAATTTTCAAGTGAAATTGTTAGTAAATTTAGTGGAAAATGAATTTAAAACCAATAGAGAATGCTTAATGAATTGGTTTATTTATTACAATTTAATACGCCAAAGTTTTTTCAAGCATCTTTTGGTTTCAAATGTACTAATTGTGAGAAATTTTAAAGAAGTTGGGGCATTACTTGATACAGATAATTTGGAGAATTATAGATTGAAAGAAGCTGAGGATAAAACAAATGAAAAAGTTAGTCGAGATGGAGATAAAATACAGAAATTTACAAATGAGGAAGAAAAAATATTAAACTTGAAAAAAAGATTGGAGCAGGATGTCTGTCTCAATGAAAAACTACATAGGCTAAAATTGTTTTATTATTTGGTTAGAAAACTTGATAAGCCTGAAGAATTAAGCAAAGAAGACCATGCAATTTGTCAAATCAAAATGCAGTATTATTCACTTCAAAACGTCGATAAAGGAAATAACAATCAAGTAGCAGAAAATAATACGGAAAATGAAAAGCCATTTTTAAACTCAAAGATAAGAAAAAAATTAAGATACCTAGAAAATGATGCGATATATAGCAAGTTAAAAGAAAAATTTGAGAAAAGAGTGATGGAAAAAATAGGCACAGTGATCATAGAGTCTATTGATAAGTATAGAATGAAAGTTGAAGGTTCTTTAGACAAAGCAATTTATCATAGTTTGATCAAGGTAACTGAAGATATGAGACTAGCAGCTGATAATGAGAAACTGACAACTAACACAAAGAAATCGATAATCGAGTTTAGAAATAGTGATTATCCAGACGAAGTATTTCTCTTTGATTTTGATTCACCCAAAAACAGCAGTTTAGGTGTTTTATTTGCTGAAGATGAAGCAGGAAGAGAAACAGAAATAGACACAGAACTAATTGGATTGTCAGAGATGGAATGGAGAAGATGTGGACTAACATTGCTCCCCATCTTGGACCCATCAGTGAAAAACTGCTTTTGCTGTGGGAAGAAATACATAGACTGGGAGAGCTACATTCGCCAGTACGGCGGCAAGGAAAAGGACAACTGGTTGTTCAAGACCCTTTTCCAGAGTTTTACATCGTGTGTGTACTGTGGAGGAAAGTTCTTTCCCAGAAGATGAAGCAACATCAGTATGGTAGTCATTGCCGCAAAAATATGTTGGAGATGCATTAGGGCTCTGGAGCAGGGCTCTAAAAAGGCTCCGGCTTGATGGAGCGTGCATTCTGCATATTGCCGTCTGAGAACGTGCACTGCGCATTATGTCGCACATCGACTGAGCGAAAACAGCGGAAGAAGAACAGCTCAGAATCTAATTCAAATCTCACAAAGACAGAGCTTCACCAAACCTCCAACAGCTTCATCAATAGCCTGCTGGCGTCTTCTTCAACACTGCTGCTTTATCACCCGTATATCAACAATGAATTCTTTTTCTGACACAGGAGAGAATCCAATTTTTGCTTACATTTCCAAAGCCAAAATATCGTACCAGCGATACTTGGATCACATAACACCATATTCCACATATAGATGGTTGGCATCTGCTGGTTTGATATTGGTATTTTTGATCAGGGTTTTGTATTGCTCTGGATGGTACATTATATGCTATGCTCTTGGAATATATTTGCTAAGTTTATTTTTGCAGTTTTTGCAACCCAAGTTTGATCCATCACTTGAACAAGAACTCCGTGACGAATCAATTGAAGAGGCCATTTCACCTGAAGAGGAACAAGCCAACCAAAGAATCAATTCCAACGACGATGAGTTCAAACCCTTCATAAGAAGACTACCTGAATTTAAATTCTGGCTAAGTGCAACGAAAGCCACTCTCATTTCTTTAGTTTTATCCTGTTTTGAAATCTTTGATATCCCCGTTTTTTGGCCAATATTACTTTTATATTTTATTTCGTTATTTGCTTTCACAATGAAAAAACAAATTCAACACATGATTAAATACAGATATGTTCCTTATGATATTGGTAAGACTAAATATGGTTCAAAGTAATATCTAGCAAATACACACTATATATCACTTTTTAAATCAATGTGCTTTCTGTAACTCTTAATTTCATAAATTTTTGATTGTTTTTCCTTTCCAACGTTTTTGTTATTTATATGAAGAATATGTATTTTAAATTGTACAAAAGCAAAAAGATCCAGTTATTCAAACCTAAAGGGGACCTCTCTAAAATATCTAATAAAACTATAAATGAAATTAAATATATATACAAAATAATAAAGATGAAAATATCGAATGAGAAACCCACTATTCTGGAAAATTAGTATTGTTGCAATATTTCATTAATTTTCTCGTTGGAAGACACTTTTTTCATTCCTTTATATTCCATCAAAAATACACCATTTCCTTTAGTCAAACTTCTTAATTTACTCAAATATCCAATCATTTCTCTTAATGGCACTTCCGCATTGATTTTTTGTTTCCCATTGATATCCCTCAAAACTTCTTTTTTGGTTCCACTGCTAGCATAAGTTAATGTTGGATCAAATGGAAAAAATTGCTTATTTAGTTCATCTGAGCTTGAAAAATAGGTTGGTTCTGCATTTGGATTTTTTCTATTCAAATTATTACTTTCGTTGTCATCTTCAATCGACGATATCTCTCCTCTTCTGACGGAAGTTAAATCCTGTATCACTTTACCAAGATCTTCTGTATTTACAAACACTTGGGTTTTCATAATTGGTTCCAATAATGTATAGTTTTTCTTTAAGTCAGTTTCATTAGAGTAACAATTAATCGCTTCAACCATTGCATTTCTTGTAACTTGTAGCAATGGCGCCCAGCTGCTCAATTCTTTAGAGATATTCCATTTATTAATTCTAACCAAAACAGAATTTAGCGGCAACCTTGCAATTGGTCCTCCTCTTTGTAATCCGGATATTACTGATGAGTAAAGACTCTGAATTATTTGCTCATACTTTATTTGATAAGGCCAAATCATTTCTTCTGCGGAATCCTCTTTACTTTCCTTAGTACTGTTGAAAAATGTTCTAGCCGCTTGAGGTGCAGATTCTAGGGGCACATATATCAAGTTGTTATCAAGTTCAAGATCAAATAAACCCTCTTTATTGTATAGCTCATGATCTTTTGCCAATCCACTAATTGGTTCTAACAGCAAACTTACCTCACAAACAAAATGCCCATTATTATCATCAATCTTATTGACGGTCCGAGATTTATTTAAAATGCTTTCTTTATATGACACCATTACTTTACTCATCTTACAATTTGTTTTTAAGTCATTGATCAATCTATCTTTAACGATTTCTAAATGCAATTCACCCATTCCACTTAATAACATTTGGCCAGTCTCATCATCATAAAATACTCGTAATGAAGGGTCTTCTCTTAGTATTATAGCAAGATTGTTGTCTAATATCTTTTTATCTTTGAGTGATTTCGGTTCAATAGAGGAGATGAAAATTGATGGAGGAATGGAAATTGGGTTGAGTACCAAAGATTGTTCTAATTCAGTAAAGCTCTTCGTGCCATCTTTTTTAAAGATGTGACAAATTAATGTATCTCCTGTTCTTATTTCATTATCGTTATTCAACCCCCCAAAATTAGAATTGTCTAAAGAGTCAGACGTTGAAACATCCGATATCGAATGTTTTGATTCGACTTGCGAGTCTGCTGATACTGAGGATATCAAAGAAGCAATAATAACCCCAATGTTCCCACATGTCAACTTGTCGATCTCTTGAGTGACATTTCCATTAATTAGAAGCAACTTCATGATTCTAAATCTTTTATTAGTTCTGGAGTTCAAAAGAACAGAACCATTTAGAACAGTTCCGGCATAAACTCTGATAAATATCATGATATTTTTTCTGTCATCAGTTATAACTTTGAATGCTAGAGCCAATGACAAATGCTGATTGTTGTTCACTACTAAACCCTTGGTGGCATCAAATTTCATTGGAATTTTTTGCTCGGCTGCATTGTTTGATTTATTAGAATGTTTTTTGGTTGTTTTTCTTTTGGAAATATTGCTTAAATTGAATGAAATTTCTGGGTACTGAGTCTCCACAGGATTTGGTAGATAACTTATTACACTATCTAATAAAGGCTGTACACCGATGTTTTTAAAGCTTGCACCACATAATACTGGCGAAACTTTATTGGTTATTGTTGAAAACTTGATTGCATTTTTTAAAGTTTTATTATCGACATTTAAATAATTCTCATCATTATTGAAAAAGTTTTCAAATAGTTTGTCGTTTCCTTCAATGTCACACAACGTCTCAATCATGGATTCTCTCGATTTTAGTAGTTCTTCAAAAGCAAGTGGATACTTTGATTGATTTTCTGTTTGTAGTAAATCCACCACAGAGATTTTATCGCCATTGATGTCATCATTGATATCCCAAATTAACAAATTTTTTTCAATAACATCAATGATACCCGAAAAGACTCTTTCTCTGGTTTGTGTATTTTCAACAAAATACGGGATGTTTACAAGGACGATTTTTGTTTTCAATTTCTGAATAATCTCCTTACAAGATCTTGAAAAGCCAGCACCCATTCGATCCATTTTGTTTATAAATATGATACTTGGCAAGTTCAAATATTTTGACTGGTTCCAAACCTTTTCAGTTTGGGCTTCAACACCTGCAACACCATCCAAAATAACCACAGCACTATCTAAAACTCTTAAAGATCTTATAACTTCAAAAGTGAAGTCAGCATGACCAGGAGTATCAATCAAGTTAATTTTGTTTTTATTCCAAGCAAAGGTGACAGCAGCAGACTGAATTGTTATGCCTCTGTTTCTTTCTGCAGGGAGATAATCAGTAATTGTGTCGCCCTGATCCACATTTCCAATTGATTGAATGGAGCCAGAGTAGTAAAGCATTCTCTCTGTAGTTGTAGTTTTGCCAGCATCAATATGAGCAATAATACCAATATTTCTTGTTTTGATAATTTTCAAGCTGTTCAAATCCTTTGGAAGATCTTGTTTGGCAGTTGAATAGTTGAAAGATAAGAAGGTTGAGGTGAATTTAGGAACAAGAGATCTTGAGAATCCCTTGAATGTTGTGGCTGCCTTTAGAAAAGAGATTCTTGATATTGAAATCATTTTGAGCTAGATTTCAGATAACGATATCCAAACAAAAGTCGATAGTAGATTTGGTTTTGGAGATATAATAGAAGCTGTGATTACCCCATTTTTCAAAAGGGTCCTGACTTGAGAGTAGATTTTGGTCTTAAAGGGTAAATACTGACGGTGCGAGTCTCGCAGAAAAGGTACTATAACCAAATGTCCTGAAAATGTAGGGGGATTACTCATCAGGATTCTGAGAAACATTTCAATTATGGAAGAAAGAAAAGAGTTAATGAAATGGTTAAAACTTTTAATGAGACTTTGATGGTGATAAAATCATAAGTTGGTGGAATCAAATAGGATTTGAGAGTAGTTTTAAGATTAGAAGGATTTAATATACTCAAAATGGCAACATTGACTAATCTGGTGAATGCTACATCATTGGAATTTGAACGAAGAAGGAAATTGGATGATGAAGAGTTTGACATTGTTGATTGCTACTTGAAAATATTAGAAGAAGATCAGGAAATCTCCATGCCTATTGCAGCCATTCAGGCTTTATTGTCTTTTTTGAGGTTTCGACAACCATCAACGCAGGCTGAATTGATTGACATATTAAAGAAGGCTACCAATAAACTCAAGGACCGAGTTGATGATTCTACTTCGTTGTCAGCTGGATGTGATTTATTTTTGAGGTATATTACGAGAAATTTAAATTTGTATAAAAACTGGGATTTGGTCAAGATTCATCTAATTGAAAATGGGAACATTTTTCTTACCAGATCCAAAGAGAGTCGATCCAAAATATGCAAGATTGGATACAAGTTCATCAAAGATGGAGATATAATATTGGTACACTCCTTTTCAAGAGTGGTTTTACAATTGTTGGTGAAGGCCAATGAGGAAAACATCAGATTCAGAGCATTTGTAACAGAAGCCAAACCTAGCAAAACCAAATACACATCAATCAATATGGTGGAGGAATTGAGAAAAAGTGGAATTCCAACAAAGTTGATACTTGATTCCTCAGTTGGATACGTTATAAACAAAATCGACAAGATTTTGGTTGGAGCCGAAGGTGTGTTGGAGACGGGAGGTGTTGTGAATCATATTGGCACATATCAAATTGGATTACTCGCCAAAACAGCCAACAAACCATTGTATGTGGCAGCAGAATCGCACAAGTTTGTCAGAGAGTTTCCATTAAGTCAAGACGATTTCTCTAAACGGTATGAGAAGAATGATATCATGAACTTTGATAAATCGACCAAAAGCAGCGAGGAGGATATAATCTACGAGTTGAATAGAAACCCTAAACTAGATTTCACTCCACCAGACTACGTTACAGCATTAATAACTGATTTGGGAGTGCTAACTCCTAGTGCAGTTTCCCACGAATTGATCAAAATGTGGTATGATTAGAACAACCACAATAAACATAACTCAAGGTAGCTAGATTAACAATTATTACTCAGGTAGTCATTTCTGCCAAAGCACTAGCGAAAAGCTAAGAAAGGGCAAAAGTAAAAAATTAAAAAAGTAATACACCAATTGGCCTTTATTTTGATTACACACAAGGCAAAGGAGCAAGACCCAGAAAAGCAAGAAGCAAGGTTTACACAGTCCCAACAACAGTCGACGCAATGCCCTTCCCTCACCTCTCCAGGCCGTATTGTTCTGGAGCTGCAAAGTGCGTCCACACGCCTTTTGCCCTTCTGTCGCTAATATAAAAAGCAAAAACGCTCGGGAAACGGCTGTGGCTCAGCACGTGATTTTTCACCACCAGGCTTTCGGATCCCATCCACTCCGCTGGACGTGCAGCTTTTGTAAGAGAAAGTGCTGACTGGGCTGCAGTGCAGGTCTTGGGAAGCACTGCGATAGAAGAGAAGAGCCATCCATAGAGCTGGGCTTTAAGGTTGGACATGGCAAACTGTGTATTAATATCATGAAGCTCTGGGGTTGGTTTTGCAATTTATGCTCTTCTCATTGACAAGAACTCTATTCTCAAAGTCAAACAAAGCAAACTGTCTACAGCCCTAAGCTAGTGCCGCTGTATTATTGTAACAATCCTGCTATCACCACTTGATATATAAATGGCCCATTATCTTTCAGGAATCTCGCATTTTTATCTTGTTTCTTCCAGTAATCTTCTCTCCGATCCTTAATTTTTTCAAAATGTCTGGGATTATCAAATCAAATAGTTCGACGACTGGCAATGAGCAGGTAAAATCAACCGAGTCCTTCAACAGAAATTTATCTAAACCAGAAAAATTAAAATCGCTGTCTGACATTGAATTGAATGTCATAGAGTTAGATCAAAATAAGAAAAACATCGGTTATGTTTCTGCTGTGTTTTTGATTCTCAATAGAGTTGTTGGTACTGGTATTTTCTCTGTTACTTCAAGTATTTATCTTTTAAGTCTGTCCGTTGGGGCAACCTTGCTTCTATGGGCTGCTGGCTCAATTATTGCTTTGGCAGGATTGTATGTCTACATGGAATTTGGTTCTGCTATTCCAAGAAATGGAGGAGAAAAAAATTATTTGGAATACATTTTTCACAGCCAAAAGTTTCTAATCACTTCCATGTATGCTTCCTATGTTTTGCTACTTGGTTGGGCCGCTGGTAACTCAATTGTAGCTGGTGAATATCTTCTCAATGCTGCTGGTCAAACCGTTACTCAATGGAACTCAAGAGGAATTGGTATTGCAGTTATAACATTTGCCTTTCTTGTTCATAGTGCCAATATTAAAGCTGGTTTGTACTTGCAAAACTTTTTGGGTCTTTTCAAAATTGGAATTATTGCCTTTATATCTGTCACAGGGTGGGTAGCCCTAGGTGGAGGAATTAAGAATGACAATTTCCAACCTACAGGAAACTTCTCGAACGCCTTTGATGGCCCTTCTCCTACAGGTTATGGAATTGTCACTTCTCTTTATAATGTTATTTGGTCCTTCATCGGTTATTCCAACGTTAACTATGCTTTAGGTGAAGTCAGAAATCCAACCAAGACCTTAAAGACTTCTGCTCCAATTGCCATTGTTTTGATCTCAATAATCTATATGTTTGTCAACATTGCCTATTTTGCCGTGGTGCCCAAAGAAGAGATTGGGACTTCAGGAAGAATATTAGCTGGTTCATTTTTTAGATTTGCTTTTGGTGAAACAGCAGAAAAAGCTTCCTCTGTTTTTGTTGGTTTGAGTGCAGTTGGAAATGTACTATCTGTTATATTTTCTCAAGGAAGAATTGTCCAGCAGTTGGGTCGTGAAGGAGTCTTGCCATTCAGTAGCTTTTTTGCTTCAACCAGACCATTCAATACTCCTGCCACGGGTTTGTTTGAACACTGGTTAATTTGTGTTATTACAATTGTTGCTCCTCCTCCAGGTGATGCTTATAATTTTGTCATGAATTTAATTTCCTATCCTTTGAATGTCATTAATACCGCGGTGGCATTTGGTCTATTGTACATTCATTATAAAGATTACAAACAAATTGATCTTTGGAAGCCTCCTATCAGAACTTATGATGTTGTCATTCTATTTTTTGGATTGGCATCTCTATATCTTATCATTGCTCCCTATATTCCTCCTGATGATGGTCAAAATGTTTATAATGATTTACCCTATTGGATTCATCCTGTAGTAACATGGGGAGTCTTTGGTATTGGCGTTGTATATTATTTGGTATGGGGAGTTTTCTTACCAAAGAGAGGTGGCTATTACTTGGCAGTAAAAGAATTTTTAGGTGAAGATGGATTTTGGCGTAATAAAATATTTAAAATTCCAAATGGAGAAAATGAAAATAGTTACATTGAGCAGCATCGCTATGAAAATGATTAAATCTGAAAATAGGCGGATATATTTCTTTTAACTTTTTGTTCCTATTATATTACTTCACTTTTGGCTGCTGTAAGTACCTTTACGCTCTTGCTCAACCGCTAACACCTTACTGAAATTCATATATTGAAGGCTGAACTTCAATTTTAGACCTACTTCCAATATAATCAAAATTGAATACAAAACATACTGTCATTGCAACTGGAAAAAAAGCTACATCGTGAAGACAATGGTAAACAACTAAGCTCCATTATTCAAGGCTTTGTGACCCTCCCGGATGTCTACATTCGGTCTCTCGGTGTCTCTCACTGATCTGCTCCCATGACGCTCTGTGATCTAACCCAATTCCCGATAGAAAAAGCTGGCAACTGTTGTTGTAGCGAGTCAATGATAATATATTAAGGTCAAAAAAAAGGTAAGAAAGAAGGCCGTAGAAGAGATTGCCAGCCCTTTTCATAAAACACTGGGTTCGATCACAGAGCCTCACGGGAGCAGACTGGTAACAGACACCGAAAGACTGAATGCAGACAACTGGCAGGCTCCGAAGAGCCCCTTTTAACCCAGTAACCAAAGCTATTATGATCGGGTCAATGAAGTCGACCATATCAGCAAACCGGTATGTTGTAGCAAATCCATAATAGCATATTAAAGTAGAGATGTATATACGAGAATGCACAGCTAGCAAGACCGGCAGCCCCAGTTCAAGAATGCATGTCTATGATTTGTGAGCTTTCGCAATACCGATATGCGGTCCCTCGTTGTCTATCACCACAAGACTACATTGATGGAAAGTAATCATGCCCAATTCCTTAGAAATGGAACTCACGATTAGTGCTAGGCTCTGCTGTGTTACATCCGTTGTTATGTCAGTTCATTATTGTGAGTAGGCTACAACAAGAATTGAATCAAAGTGGCAATGTTCGATGGCAAAAGTTAGCAATTTTATTGGATGGTCCTAACAAGATTAGTCTGCGACTAATGATGGAACTCGAATGGCCGACACTTGGAAGGGCGGGGTCTGCACCTGTGTGCACCTTTTTTGAGCGGTGATCAAGCTCATGATTATAGAATGAAAGCGTGCAATGAGCTCTACGTGTTTGCTTTGAAGTCAGATCATCCCGCTTTTACGACAGTATTGATTTCCTTCATCGGCGTACAAACCAAATTACAAATAGTGGACAGCAAGCATTAAAGATACCAATGAAAGCTGCTATGTTTATAATTGAATTCGCGGATGAAATTTCCCAATCGGAGTCGTGTGGCTCATGGGCCTGGACTAAGACATGAGACGATCATCATGCAGGACACGATCTTGATGGGACAACGGAATTGATGTCCTCAGCTATGTTAACTTTTAAATGGTAGTAGCGCTGTGATTCTGGCACAATTGCTAAGATGTCAAACGATCTGTTGTGCGGCAGACAAATACTGATCTGCTGATAATGCTGTAAGTATCGGATAATGAATGAAACGTTATTATAATAAGCTGCACATTCATTTCTAAGTGCTGTAATCATCACTATGAGCTGTAGCAAGTGCGTCGATTTGTTTATTGTTGTTTATTTCAATCACGTCAGGTCTGCCAAAAAGATACATTTGCCGCTTGTCGTTTTCTCATTTTGGTTTTGCACAATCAATTTGGACTGGGTGTCCACTGAGGTCTGAATTATTCACGTAACATGTTTTACTGATAGAACGATTTTGGCCTGGCATTTTGGTATCAACGAGTATTCCGGTAAATTCTGGTCAGCTGGGCTGGATCGCTTTAACTTAAGCCAGTGAAAAGCTCACAACAGAGCTAACAAATTTTCACTTTGCTCAGCAGAGGAGACGTTTGGTTAATGTGCGCTTAGCATCATCGGTAGTTGATCTGATATTTTTGAATGCACTCATTGATGTTTCTCCTCTAAGTTTTCTGCATGCCTGCAGAATGCTTCAAGAGGTGTATGCATAGCTACTGAAGGCACCTAATGTGCTAATGAGAGATCCCATCTCGGTATACGTTGAGTCTACTGGCTGTATCAGATATCTGCTTCCGCCGATTGTTTCACTGCTATCATTTTTTATTCAGATGAAATTGCTAGTATCCGCCAGAATATGGCTGTTGACGTTGAAAAATTCAGATGATGGTAGTAAATGGCAGATCACTGGAAAGTGTTTTGTATGTTACGGATTGTGCTAATAGATCTCATGCTTTGTTGCTACAGATAGAGAAGCCGGGACTTCAATCGTAACCACTTGTCGTAGATTCAGTTGAAGATTTTCTTGAAGAGAGCAGCTTCAAAATCATTAGAATGATATTTTGCAGCATATGCTGATCCGCTAATTACTAGGATTTGTCATGACCTGCGGGTCATGAAGGTGGAAGTGCTCTAATGCATATTGCCACCGCAGTGATCTTCTTTCAGCAGGGGATCAAGATGCGATTCCCAATGCAAGCAAAGTCGATCACATTGTAAGCAGTTTCGCGGCGCAGCAGGCCACCGCAGCGTCTGTTTCTGATTGTGTTGGTATTCGTGAGCAAATGCAAAGTGCCGCCGTTGACTCAAGTCGTGATCTTTTTACCATTGTTGGTTTTTCACAAAACGGTTTATCACCTTGATGAACCGAAACGACGCATGTCTGTTGATCATAATGGTGATTGTAGTGGGGCCGTAGAAAAGTAGCAAAAGAAGAACGTGACGAAATTCATGACAACTTCAAATGAAGCTGACGGTCTCGACTATTTGAAAAATGAAGCTCTGATGTGTGCAGTCATTTGATAAGTTTGATTTGTCTCAACCATGGCGGAGGGTCAATCCCTTTCTCAGAACATCTTCAAGAAATTAATTCAACCGCTGCTAATTCAATTGTTCATCGATGGGCTCAGTATAGGTTAATCTCCATGCAAGGCTGGCAAACTATGTAACTGGATACAGATATTTCCGGCGTTGTTGGTGGCGGCAGATACAGTAGTGTGGTCCAAAAATTGTTGAATCATCGAAACAGCTGTATTGATGTGAGATCTACAAGTTGCTTTGATGATGCCACGTTGGGTTTTAAAAATCAATTGTTTGTCGCGACTGGACGACCAATTGTCTTGGCCCTTGGTGTAAACCATATCTGTGTTGGTGTTTTGAGGAAAGATCGGTCCACAACTGTAACAAATATGAATTGCTTTGAACGAATCAGATGCATCCGCAGACGCGAATGATGATGTTGTTGATGCTAACACCGGCGCTGCATTTGCTAAGGCCTAACATCTGAACTATTAGAGCTGCCGAAGACAAATTATTTCTTGATGGAAATCAGCTTAAATTGTTCACAATCACTTGAAGAAATAACTTTTTGGACTGGACTTAACTGACACAATTGGCCGCTGCCCAAGTTGGTGCTACTACTGCTAGGCGAAACCTTGCTGAGTCAGTCAGCAATGATGGTCAACAATCAGAGCATCAATTTTTGTTTAAAAGCAATTCTGTCCTGTTAGTTAATTTCTGTTTTGAGTGGTGAGCAGTTGGCAATAGTGGGGTGATTGAAATGAAAGCATCAATTACTGGTGATTGTGTTTAGCGCAAACTAAGTGCTCACGCGTCTTTTCCGCTGGATAATGTTGAATATTCTAAAGCATTTTGTTCAGTAACTCTGCATCAAACTTTGCGATCGTTTTTTGCAGATGCAGGATCAATGACATCGACGTTCTTCCGATGAATGTACCATCTGCACTCCTCGATGATGATTTTCACAAGCGAGATTTACATTAGACGACGGTCTACATTTGATAATGCGAATTATGTTTTGAATACAGGGGTCGTCGGACACATCCACCAATCTATAGCCTGAAGCAATTTTACTTTTGTTGGTGAACCATAATTGGTAATCTTCTTCAATTGTTTGGGGTTCCATGTGTATCAGCTGCATTCAAGGTGTGTGGCTTTTGTAAGAATAAGCACCACGGCTAGTTCGGATTATGTTGGGATGAACATATGATTGCAGATTCATCAGATGGAATGGACACCCTCGTTATCTTATACTTCTGATAGGAAGTCAAAATGTATCAATCCCGCCGATTTGGTGGTGGTTCACTTGAATTCGATTTTGCTCGAAATAGCAACGGTTCTCTGGTATCTGTGAAGACCTACGTCAAATGACTGGTTCAACAGTGAAAACTGGTGAGCTTCATTTGCGGAATATTCCAAACATGAGTAAGTTCTTGAAAGGGCTACTGGATACTGTGGTTTCTGAGTAAGGTGGTGGAAGATTTTCATATGCAAATCAACTGACCGATCGTTGGCTTCTGCTGCTAATGGCTTATTGATTGATGTCACTTTTGCTGATTGGACTTCATCGTAGATATTCTGGCTCTCCTTGCTAAATCCATTTATGTTGTGCAAAATAGGGTTAACATCAGTATGCTCGACGCCATTAACTCTTCAGTTCAATGTGGCGTCATCGGTTCAGTTGATGGGCACTCCCACAGAAGATGGGCTGGTGCTCCTGGTGGTGGAAAATGAGTTGGTAGATGTGTGCTTCTCATCACTGAATTATCAGTGTGTTTGAGCTGCAAAAAGTGGAATACATCTCACCCGCAGCATCATACAAAAGAACCGTGTTCCTAATGTATGAAATTAAATTTCTTTATCCAAATGATCATTTTGAGTGATTTATCTTGATGAGAATTTTGTTATCAATCTGGCTAGCCATACAAGTAATTCCAGACGATTCAAAGATGTTTCAAGCCTGTAGCTTTTTATGAGATCGTTCATCAATGCTGTTCTATTTCTCCATGAGTTTTACTAAGTGTAATGATTCCGATATTTTGATTAGGGCGCTGATCACTGCAGTGCTGAAGTATCTCAATGAATTGCTTCAAATAATGAGTGGGTGTTGGTTTTGGACTTGTTTTTCGTGTCGGCTCTGTTCTATCTGTTGATCATCATTTGTCTGATTGATTATTGGATACGCTGCGCATTAGTTTAATATTTGTTTGATATTCTTTTGCCATATTATTTCTACATCCTTCACAACTAAGTTGTATCACTGGGTTTTCTTTCTATTTTCAAGACATACAAATTGGTACTGTAAAGTCCTTCTTCTTGCACGTGATGTCGTCAGCTTTTGATTCCCATATCAATCTATTGTTGTTTAACGTTTGAATTTATATAGAAGCTCATGCTAGTTGGCCGAACAGCGGATTTGAAAAGTTGATGTTTGCTATCAATCAAACTCTCGGACTGGCGGGCAATGTTTCTGGAAGCACATGGGTAGGTCCTCGACATCCCTCATTGATTGAAGAGTTAGATAAGCCTTCTTGGCGCAAGACACATTCCACTTCATTGAAACCGCCGATTTATCTTACCAAAAATTTTTCTTTTTAAAAGCCGTTGTTGGGACTCGAACCAACTTCACTGCACCCGTGAGCGACTCTGTAGAATCTTCTTTGGGCACTCTCACCCGATGCCCGTTAATGATCCATGAACAGTTGATTACGGGTTCCCTAAATTATTTGATTTCATTGAGCCGATTGTTGTGGTCGGGTTATTGCGTTAAGAGCGGCTCTTGTTGGCTGCCGGGATGTCTACTTTTGGTCCAGTGGTGTCTGCCACCGTTCTGCTCCCTTAACGCTGTGAAAACTAACGCAGTTTCCTATAGTCGCGGCTGGGAGCTCGCTCTACGTTGTTCTATCATATGTACTGTTTTAGTTTAATATGTGATTATGGATTGCATATAACATTGATTGTAGTTTGCTAGGAGGTTTTGTGATTTGTGAGATTCTTCCGCGAGTTGTTAGCAAGATGGAGATCTCAATCAATAATTGCATATCAACTCTTCTACCAGTTCATTTGAGCACCTGCATTGGAATCACTTCTTCTTTAATTGGTTCAGTCAGTAAAGTATATTCCCGATCACAAGTATCAAAAGCCACTGAAACCCGCATATTGTCGTTACGTGGAACTTGCTTTTGATCAATAAAGAACACTAATTTACCAAATGATATTTGATTGCCAATTTCCGCAGCCGAACCATTCTCAGAGATTCCAGATGGTCAACTGATGAAAGAGCTTTGCAATGAACAGCTGAGTGGGATTGTACTTTGAATGATTGAGGACTGCTTCAGCACCAGTAGTATGGATTTTCGATAGTGCACCAAAATGAGGACTGAAAGAGCGGACATCAGCATCAATATTGTACCCAAAGAATTTACCAGCGATAACCACCGATCGCACCATTGATCGTTAAACGCATAATTTTTCAGCATCTACCCCTGAGCGATATGATTTAAGCAGATCCTAGTATGGCTTAGTGATTCTTGGTGTGTCCTGGGAACGAGCTCGCACCTGGTGATCTGCTGATCGATCATTATGACGTAGGACTCCATTTATTCCGACGTACTCTTGTTACATTTGAACAACATCAAGCTTAGAATCACCACCCTGAATTGATTCAAATCCATTCATTTGGAGGAATAAGCTGACATACGTGTTTAGCGGCCTGACCGCTTCAGTAGATGATCACGCAATTGCATCATTATTCATTTTTAGTCGCAGCAAGAGGTTGTGTCTGATATTTGAGAAATAGATCACGCCACTCTTTGCTGAAGGTTTTTGCAACCCAAACGATTCGAGGCCATTGCACCCCTTTCTGTTTCAACCAGAAGAACATTGTTCTAGTCAATCATTTGGATTGTTCTTCATTTAATCTTTCTGAGGATTCTGATGATTAACAAATGCAGGAGATTGTTTCATGCAAAATTCAGCGTCGACTACAACGGGAAGCGGTGCAGATATCACCTCCATTTAAAGTGCAATGAGTGACGTTGATGCTGAAACAGCAAGACGGACTCTAACAGCTTTCCACCTCGTCAATGAGTTAAATGGTTCAGCATAATCAATAGGTACAAGCGGAGAATGCTCATGCGCAACATATCCGCGGCGAGAACAATCAACCGATGAAGCTCATTTCATTGAAATCACCCAACGACAGCCAATTAGACATTTGACAGCTGCAAGATCAACCAATCAATAAGTAATGTTCTCAAGAAACGCCTGAAGCTCTAGTTCACATTCGTCTTTTCAGAGTGGGTCGGCTGAATCTAGTTTAACGGAAGTAGCGGAACTAATGGCAGCAGCCCAAAATGGCTGAAAAGACCTGTCTTTAATTGTATTTCCCGAACCGTCCGAAATCCATTTCAACACAATGTTAATTGTATTAAAACGGTTTTGCCCTACGTTTTTGTTTCCAGGAAAGTTGGTTCCGATCATTTTGGCAAGTGTGTGTGCATGAGCAGCCAGTTCATTACCGTTATTAAATACATTACATTCATTGGACTCCAACTTATACTTATCGTCAGAGTTCTTCGTTCCTTCATCTGATCGGATATGACCTAATTAAACATTCTATTTGAAGTTACCTTTACATATATCGTTTAATGCTATTGCACTTGTATTTGCAATGTCATTGATAACAGTGCAGACATATTCCGCGACAACAACAACAGAATTAGCTGAAGTTCAACAGCAAATGATTTTCTTGGTCTAAATACGCTAGTGATAATTTTGGCAGGTATATTTTGTTTCATCAAAGCGACAAATAGAACTGAGCACCAAAATGCTGATTTGAGTATTGTACAATTTGTAATGCTTTCTACTCATGTCGTACGCAACAAATGCTCAAAAGACACCTGTGTCACGTCACTTGGTTGGTCTGATATCTTTGGGGATCATCGCCTAAGCAGCGCATCAATTCATCCATAACATTGCTGGAGTTGATGCTTCTCCATAAAATTATTTGAAAGGTCTAGTCATCCGACCGCCTTGTTTGCGGGGGTGGTGGAAAGCAAATTCATCAAAATCATTGCACTCTCCGATGTTTCATTCCACATCTAGTCGGCATTGTTTGCTTCATTTAGCAATGTCTTGGTTTTAGCCGCGCATGTTTCATGCCAACGCGCAGGGATCCTATTAATATTGGACATACGAATAACTTAGACATCATGTTTGATTCTTTCAAATTGACAAAAGTGTTTCAACTGGATTGATGCAAACGGGTCATCATATCTGAGAATATCAACAGTTTTTTGTAATAGTCGTTGTGGAAAGCTACTTTATGTACCAATCGGCCAACAGCAATTGAGCGTATAGTGACTGAAACCACAGACGCATATGTTGAAAGATCATCAAGAATAACATTATAGAACGAACTTCATCAATAGCATGAATTAGCATTCTCCCAAGAATATCAACTTTAAGAAGTCCACAAGTAGTGGTTGCCTGCTTCGTAGCTGATTTATTACGATTAGTGATCGCGTATTCTTGGTGATATGATACAGACTCCAGACCAGCATCAGCAAAACCCTCATTGCTTTGATAAATGTTGTGTAACAGTTTGAGCTTGATGACCTGGAAGTTCATGCAAATTTGTAGAAGTCAACGCAACAACAGATGGGGCAGCAAAAGATTCATACAATTCTGAAGCTTCTTTTTCAACACTAATCGGCTGTTGACCTAGACGCAGTCATCTTTGCTTGAAAAGACAAGCATTTCAATCTGTACCGCCAATGAGTGAAATTAAAATTGCACGTTAGGGAGCTTCAAGAAGTGTCACAAATGTTCCGCCGTTCGGCTGTATCACAGATCTAGTATTCCTGACATCAAGGATCGTGTCACCATTGCCATCATTCTGACCTAGACGAGGAGTTAAGTCGCTGAACTGATTAGGGTTGACCCAAATATGCTAGGAAATAATTGAGTAGAAGTAGAACCGTTAGCAGTTAGATTCATGTATGTTAGTTACATTTCACCACGATGCAATCCGCAGTTGATCAACTATGGGAGCAACCGGAGGAGCTGCAGCTAGAGATGCATCGGATGGCACTGATGAACCAGCTGGAACTGGCCGTAGTGGTTGACACACATGAGCCAAGTTGTTCTTTTTGCTACATCAGTTGCATTACTTTGTTTCTGGTTTGGGTTTTGAAGTGGTTCCTTCCCAACAAAGGCAACGCAGCTGGTCCTGAGTAACAAGCGAATGCGTTATCACCAAAATGATTGGCCAAAAGCTTCACATCAGTAAATCAATCTATGTCAAAGTTTGCGGATTTCGTAAAAACTCTTTCGGTGTAAATGGTTTTGGAAACAGAAGGAATCCCACATCTAGCAACAGGTTGATCATGATTGTTGACGTTGAGATTATTGCAATACAACTTAATAACGAATTTATTGTATTCATTATCGATCGATGAAGTATTTTGCGACTTAGGAAAGTGAGCTGATCATCTTAGTAGCAGCCTAAACTCCAATGGTTCCTTAAAGCCACATTAACCAAGTAACTACTTGTCCGCCATTCCACTGATTGTAGAGGACGTCATTCAACACAGCCGAATAGAATCTGCAAATAACCAATTGACTAAAAGAGGAATGGAATGCAACCATATCTTTGTGTGAATAGACAACATCATCAAGAACAACACCTGTTTTGCTGAAGGCTTGCGCCAACAAAGCAAACTGAGCAGCTTTGAGATCTATGAGCAAATCGAAAATTGTGGAGTTAGCTGCCTTTGGATGCTCCTCAGATTTTTGCATGCTGACATTTGCAATTTGCCTCTTAAGACGTTGAAGCTAATCCATGATAATACATTAAGGTATATGTGAAAAATAGCAGAAGCTAAAAGAGATCGGCAGCCCGGTTTATAGAGAGCTGAATTAGATTGCACATCGTCACGGGAGCAAACCAATGCGGACGCCGCGAGACCAAATAGGGATATCGGAGAGGGTCGAATCAAAACCCAAATACTAATGTTTGGATCATTCACTGGGATTTCTAATTCTAGCCGGCAAACGTTGGCAATCAGGCTGATAACCTGTTGTAGCCAATCCATGATGAGATGATAAGGTAAAAATTATTATAGCAAAGACGAAGTTTGAATGGATCGCCCGTCGCTCTCATGGCAACCTGGGATATGTCGGCGATCGTCACGAGAGCAGGCTGGTGATAGACACAAGGTACCAAATGTAGATATCTGGGATGCTCACGTCGGTGGTCAGGTTTCTCAGTCTATATCTTAGTGGACGGTGCAGAGTGTATATACGTAGTGCTAACAGTATTTCGAGGTGTTTATGTCAACGGCATTAACTGATGAATACAAATTTCGTTCATCACTTGAATTAGTTCAATGCGCTGATAGTGACTGAGCTGCGGACGTTGGTGATGGAAAATCAGTCGGGGCTTATATGATTGTCATTAATGAGAAACAAGTTACATGAATCAGCAAACAGCAGATGTTGGTGATGTTGGTGACTTGGAACGGGAATGCATTTCACTCATTGAACAGTGAAGAATGCGGTGTTCCAATGCAGGATTTGAAATAAACTGGTACAGATGCTGAGAAACTAAATGGCTATTGTGATAACAATTCTGCTATTAAGCTCAATATCCATCCCATCACGCACAAAATCTGCAAGCCGATTCGAATCGGAATATTGTTTTAGGAGCGTTGGGCATTGTCGCTGTTACACTTGCAAGAGTGACTCTAAAAGTAATGTTGTTGATATGATGATTGAAACGCGAACCATCCCAGTTTTCAAATATCTCGATAAATTGCTTTCATCAATGAATTGTTGAAGGATTTGGTATGGCTTTTCTGGTAGCTTTGGTTTCATCTGTCTGTTATTTAGTGTTTAATTTCTTGTTATTTTACTACGGTATTGTTATACATTTGTTTGACTGACTCCAATTAATGTATAAACATTGTTAGTGAAACGGATACAGTTTGATTGGACTACTGCTTCTCGTTTTCGCATAAAACTGTTTTACTTGGAACGATTACATACATGCTTTCGCTTTTAATTTGTTGATTTTTTACTTTCTTATTTTTCATTTTTGTGTTATGTTTGAATATATATAGCAGTCAATGATTGTAGTCTCGACAGTCAGTCAGTCAAATGGCTTTTTGAGAGCAAATGAATGGCTATTTGACGGACAGGCTGGATAAGTGTCTTGACACGTAAAACAAATGAACATCTTAAAGGTCGTTAAGTAAAAGTTAAAAGTGCCGTCCTAGTGCAACACACATGCCTGTATTTCAAGAAAACAGATATTTTTCTTCCTAAGATGATTTTTTCGGAAGGCCGTGGTTGAGACTTGAGCCTCTTGTAAGTCGACAGGAAGACACAATTCGGTTCCTTGGAGTCTGTTACTGATCTGCTTCCTTGATGGTCTGTAGTTAAACCCTGGTTCCCATAAAGTGGTCTGGCAATCCATTTTTTCTTTGGTTTTCTGACATGGTTTTTGACCTTAATAATTTTTCATGAATTCGGTACAACATCTTAGGATCCAATTTGCTAATGTTTTTGGCCAGAATCGTAGACACCAATGGGTGCTGCTAACTGTACAATTTAGCCTTCGGTTCTAAATCTCAGGGCTGGTCAGCTTGGTCGGTTAAATTAACTCTTTATCAAAAATTGCGTTAATCTAGCCGATGAAGTTGATTCAGACATGGATATGCACGCAGTGTTTTCTATTTGCATCACGTTACTGGCGGATCAGTTTTTGCTCAATTGCAAAAGTTGCAATACAGTTGAGGGCGCAGCCCCCAATTATTAGTCAACTTGAAGAAGCTCTATGGTACTGCTTGTGTTGAAGCTGGTGTTATTATTTTCAGCTCATTTATTTTTGTCCAGTGGGAAAGTAAATTATCCAATAGGAGAGACCAGAAAACATTTCATAATGAATTTTATTGCCATATTGTCAAGGTGTGCATTGCTACTCCAGTTGCAGGTATTCTTAGTGCTGCTTCAGTTTTGCACACTACCTACGCTGGAATGGTTCATTGTTTATTTATAGACCGTTTCATCATTACATTCTTTGACCCAAATGTTTAGGTTAATTAACTTGGTGAAGCTAAAGTTGCCCGTTACTCAGCCTCAGCACCGTTGTCTCTAATTGTAGAAAACCATTCGAAAAGCGAAAGCGGAACATAATCACATTCAATCGTTGTCAGCAAAAAAAACATTTGACTAGTGAGTGCTTGGCACCAAGGCCAGTTGCTGCTAGATCATCAGCTGCAGCAGATGCATGTGCTACTATTGCTGTTTTGGATTCCCTCAAAATTAGTCACCGCTGTTATCTTGGTTGTTGGAAGTGACAATCAACCTCAGGTGAATTTGAAAAGTGTTCGATTTGGATTGTGGTGGTTCCAAGCGTATTTCTAGCAACGTTGATTAGCTCAGCGACTTGACTCCTTACTCAGGTCGGTTTGCTGCAATTGGTGACACTATCGATAATCTCAAAATTGGTTGTTCTGTGGACTGTTTAAAAGGTGGATCATAAAAAAATGATTTTCATTTTCCCCATGGTGGAAATCTACTTTCAATTTTTGGTGTTACAAATAATATGGCTATGATTTGATTGAAAGATCATTGTGGGGATTTGAGTAGCTTAGTTGCTTGTAAAAGAGCGGCTTCCGGATTATATGAGTGCCTGGTTGCCCCCTCTGCTGTAGCGTGATTTACCGCAGATTGGCATGAATGTTCAAGTTATCCAAGAAAAACAACAGAAGGAGGCATAACAAAGATCAAAGGCTATTCACCTGCTGGTGGTTCAACATAAAGGTCATTCAACGTAAGGAAGAAGACAAAAATTTTTGATAAGTGGTCATCAAGACAGAGCACCGCTGCTTTTGGTCTTCTTCATGTTGATTCTGTTGGGCCACTGCCAGTTGTTGCAGTTGATGAAAGCCTATATCCTCTTGCTATTATTGATGTTTTCTAAGGATACGCCGTTGTGGCTTTAATTGATACACGATCATTAGCTGTTGCCAAGTTGGAATACACAATTTAATTTACTTAACGACCGGTGGATCCAAGTGCTTATACTGACGAGCCTCATCATGAGTTTTCATTCAAGCAGTTAAAATAATTTTGTCAATGAGATAAAGTAGCACATGAAATGTCATTTCTTCATGAGTCTCTTCAAAATGGTGCGGTTGACCTTTGGCGTAGAACAATCGTCACAAAGGCGAGGACTATGTTACTTGATAGTGGTGTTGGTGATTACTTGTCGAATGATACTCTGTTGTTGTGAACTCCTCACGTGGCTTTGATGAAGAGTAATTTCGTTTCACAGACACATCTTTTGATGCCATTAAACTTACACTTGCAATTTTGTTTGGAGTCACACTTATTGTCGCTGGCGGTATGGGGGAAATTTAGAACACTACCAAGAATGATTGAGAGAAGCCAACTATAATTGCGTTAAAGGATGTTTCTAGCGATCATTCCAAAAAGGAAGATGAAATCTTTCACTTCGTCTCAGATGATGATGAGAACCTTGATTTCAATGACAACAAATTGAATTCAGCGGAGTCTGTTTCTTCCACCAATGACAATCATCAAGTTGTTGATGCTATCCCCGGCGCTGAATTTGATAAGGACCAACCACTTTCAAAGAGAAGAACTTGTAAGAAGAATTTGGATGAGATTGAAAAAGAGCTTAGATCGTTTTGCAAAGATTCGACAAATCCATTCAAAGAATAGCCTGTTCTAAGATATTTGGGTGCCGCGTGATTGCCGTTACGACTGTTAAACCAAATGCTGCAGACCCGATCTGCAATGTTCCTTGGCAATTAGAGTGTCAGGGAACCCTTGAAGAGATTACTTTCCATTTGGATAATTTTCTCCCTAGAAGTGGACCCGTTGGCAGTTGTTGGGTTCTTCAACGATCTCAGCACCAATAAGTGATTTTGCTAAAGCCAGACTAGTTGGGCAAAGATTTTCTTACTTTCAAGCTATTGAATATTAAGAAAACATTAATGCACCAAATATCTATGAATGTGATAGAGGTCTCCTTGCCGATGGCGCATCGTATACATTCAAAGTTCGCCTGATTGATGTCCCAACTATAATAATCAGTGGTGATATCGACGCTGACCTTGACATGAAAGTACCTCCTGGATTTGTTGACGCTTTGTATTCTCTGATAGTTTGGAAGTTCTCAAACCCAATTATCGGAGTCAGAAATGCTTCTGCAGGATCCTAGAGATTGATGGTGAACGCTCTGCAATCGTTTGAATTTCAAAGACCTTGAACTGTACTTTGGGTGTTTCGTCCCTGAAAGAAAACTTACCACTGCTTCGTTGAATTACATGTGAATAATTTTACTATTGGCGGTTCGTCTCATCCAATGATGAAGCTTGTTAAAACATAGCACAAATGATTGTTCAGCAGTTTATAGTGGATCAGTCTCATTTCCAGCCTACTTCAATGATGATTGATGTTTATAAGGCGCCACTTGAAACAGATGGCTCTGTGGTAGATATTGAAAATTATTTGCTTATAGATGAATTGATGGATTGGTGCCTTCGGCCGCTAATTGCTCAAAGAAAGATATTGTTGTCTTGGTGCTTGATTAATCAATGGATATTGTGGTGTACTCTGCAAAATCCTGATGTGTTGTGCAAAATGTGTGACACGCTATTTAAACTGAAACCAATTAGCAGTTCTGTGCAAAGCTGGTTTTATAGTTGAGTTAGTTGAATAATCGATCGTGAATGGGCTGAAGTCGTTAGTGATTGAAAGTCAGTCGGAAATTATAACTTGCTCATTTATCAAGCGGCTGTCACCTGAAATTAAATGAAGCTGGTTGTGTGGCCTTGTTGACTTGTAAAATTCAAAACATTTCCCTCACTGATATCGTCAAAGACGCTGTGCTCTTAATTGTAGTGTTTCATATATATTGGTGCCGATGTCGATTAACCAATTAGCTATCGTAGAATCATCTCTTCTATGTCTTTCACTAACTTTCGCACCACTCACTGAAGCTCCAACCAAATTCAACGAGAGATCACCCTGAAGAAAAAAGAGCGATGCCAGTTGTACTCGTGCAACAATTGATTCTAAGTGTAATTTTGTTGATATGTTGACAAATCCGGTGAGGGTTTCACTTTTCAAGTATCTCATTTTATTTCTTCCTTCATTGAATTGATGTCAGCTTTGGTTTTGCTGCGCCCGTCGTTTTGGTTCTATCTGTTCATCGTAGCATGCTTCATTTCTTGTTACATAAGATACGGTATTGTTATGCCTTCGCTTGACTTACTCTAGTTAGATTTCTTTCTTATTAGTTTCAATTTGATTGAATCACCTAGTGCTTTTGGTTTTCGAAAAATGTTGAACCAAGTATTGAAATGCTTTTGTTTCATTATTTGGTTTATGTATTTTTTGATTTCTATTTCTCGAGGTTTTATATAGCCTTTGAATTATTATTGCACTGCATGATTGTTGTTTTAGCAGCGGTTCAGAGAAATCGGTTTCCCCGAACAATCGAGCTGGCTGGGTAACGTTCTTGACGCCCAAAGGAATAGAATTGCTCATGCCTCATAGCTTGAAAGATCAACAGGGTCTTCTGGTTGCAGCGCACATGCCGGAATTCCATATCCACTTATTTTTCAGACCAGAAGATGTTCTTCTTTAGAAGTGGGTAGTCTTCATTGGAAGAAACTCCGCTGACCCCTTGAGTAGATCCCTTGAGACCATTTATCGCACTAGCACCCCCTAAGTGCTGCGGATACACGAACGGGTTTTTGCTGGATGCCTAAACTTGTTCGCTGCATCGACCTCATTTTCTGAGGTCGGGCCAGTGAGCTAAGGGGGGCTATCGTGAACCCTGCAGATATCTACATTCGGTCCCTCGGTTTCTGTATGCTGTCTGCTCCTGTCACTCGCTGTAATGCATCTCAGGCTCCAATATAAGAAGCAGGCCATCCGTTCAACGTCCTTCATTAATGTTTGCTGTTAATCATTTATATATTATTATGGATTCTCTTTAACACTATGTAAAAGAGTAAAGAAAAAGATATCTGCAGCCCTTTCTATAGGGGGCTGAGCTAGATCATCGAGCGTCATGGGACAAGACCTATGAGACACACTGAAAATCTGAATCTGGAAATTTGGGTGATTCACAACGGCCCTCATATCTCTGCTAAGAATTGGGTCTACCTAAGTGACTATTTGAAGAACCTGCAACCTCTAATTGGCGTTGGCAAAGCAGCAGCTTCCTGCGACTGCTTCACAGAATTTCTCGGGATCCTTCCACGGCTGCAGCGCCATCGGTGTGCATTGCATCCACGGTGATCTACAGCAAACCAATTTTGGGGGGGGATAAGTAGGTGTTTTGAGTAACTGCCATTTGCGATGCACCACAAAACGTTTACTAACCATCCAAGCAATAAGGCATTGGGAGTTGCTTTGCTTTTGGGCTGCGAATCCTATGGGGGATGCTCAAAATTTTGCGTCTTTGCATACTTGCCAACACGCATTTCTCTCACTTACTGTTCAAGCAACAATGATAGATGTCTATAATAATCAATTGATGAAAACCATAGACAATTAATTCAAAGAAATATAAGATATTCCACAAGTATATAAAAGTAATTTATAATCCCACCAAGCACGTTTCGAAAATAACTATCCAACATAGTAATACAACTGAATTGTCAGTGCGGTAGATGCAATATGAGGACCGTCGGTCAAGCAAATTTATTTGAATGCTTTTGATGAACCGAGAAGCAATCAAACAACAACTGATAATCAGATAAATCCAAAGACATCGGAAAAACCAAATCCGCAACCAACAGCAACTCAATAATTAAATCAATTCATTGGGTAATGAAACACACTACGGCCCACACCATCTTAGTGACCATATCAGCAACATTATCTTTTTGTTCAACTCATTCAAACTAAACACAACTTTGCACAACCCTTTTAATAATCGAAGCCTGATTGAGATTTCGTCGGTGTTTCTGCAGTGGTGTGATGAATAGCCATGTGGATAGCAGAAATCTTATTATTATATATAGATCGTTCTGCAACATTTGTCCCAACATTCTTGAAGTCCTGCAACTGGAACTCAGCACTTTGACTGCTTCAGTGAGTGGAATGAATTCAGCTTCACGGAGTTCGCAGTTACTTGCTATTGACTTCTGAGAAACTGGTAGTCGCCAACTCATTTATGATCAGCAAGGTGCCCTGCCTAATCACTGTATCAGTACCAAACTAAGTCAACTGTACTAGCAACTTTGAAATGAACAGATAGTGGAGATAAGTTGAAATATTTTAACACCATCATTGCACAACTTTGGTGAATCTTGCATGACGAACCAAGATTTGGACTCAGTAACGCAACAGCAGTTGCAGTATCACATGGTAATGATTTTGCAGCAAGCAGAATGACCCATGAATATATCTGTATTGTGTGGCACGTCATCATCCATCTGCGAGACGTCTGTTTGACGTTGCAGCTTGAACGGCTTGACTTTTACTGGTGTAGTGTGTAAAAAAATCTTATCCAGATGAATCTCCAAAACCTTCGGTGTGACGTCCATATTCATAGATAGAAAAATACGGCGGTTACTTTGCGCAACATGAACTGCATGTTAACTACTGGGAATTACTGCAAGATGAATTTCTCAAAGAACTATCTGAAATATGATTTGCGCTGCTCGATCTTTGAAGGTAATGTGTCACAAGCAATAAGAACCTCCACTTATAATGCTATTATGCTCTGTTAGTTCTCCTATGAGAAACGGAACACGCCATTTTCAGCTGAGCTCTTCGGCACTCAACGAGTTGGTGAGCATGTAGCATTTCGATGTATCAACAGAACAGTCATTGTTTGAGTCCTTAGATTGTTTGGTGTATCTTCCAAACGTTCTGCACATAGTCAGCATACACAAATCAATGAATATATTTTTTCTTTATTTGAAACCGACATCACCATAAAGGAATGATGTTGTCACATCCTGTTGATCATCGTCGATAGGTTAAGATGCTGCAGCTGAAAGAAAGACTGTGACAGTCTCACACTTAATTCCTTGCCTGAATGTTTCAGAATAGTGAATACTATCTAGGGGAGAGCTCTTATGAAAAACTAGAGATGTATTTGCAAAATCTCCAGTTAGTGCTGAGTTCCTTGCAAACAACCAGCTATGCCAACCGGTTTATTTGCCAGATTGTCGATTATTCACAGATTCATATCAGTATCAAACACTGCCTGAAAATGTAATTCACAAGTCTCTATCTTCATTCGCTCTGCTGGATTTGCGGTAATAGTAGCAGCGGCGGTGACGACAGCAGCCAAAAATGTTCGGGAAGACCTGCCTTTAATGGTGTTTCTTGATATGTTTACAAATCACTAATGTTCATCTTCACTGTCATAAAGATCAAGTCGCCGAACGTTTTAGTCGTAAGAAGTTGGTCCATATCAAACGCCGCATCAGTGTTAGTGTCAGCAACCTGTTCAGCATCATCTGAAAATAGATGTGAGTCAGTTGAATGCAATTGACTGTCATCAGCACCGTCTTGCTCTTTATCGTCTGTCTTCATCACAAATTAATGATCATCCTCTTTTAAAAATATTATTTGGTTTTTCCTCTGAAGCAATTGCAATGGTCATATATTTGACGTTGGGAGCGGTAACAAGTGCCCCCATGAAACCACCGGCAATAGGTGTTATTTGCGCCGCACAACGGAATTGTTGCATGAAAGGCAGCAAATCATCGATCTTTAAAATGAAACTTGGTTTCATGATAGCAACAAAAAATCTAACAACACTACGAAAGATGTGATGAGTGTAGATTGAGTATAGTCATCCACGCTTGTGGTGGCCAACAAAACCACAAAGGACACTTGTATCGTCTAAGTTGGTTTGCCGATTTTATTAGAAATCGTGGCATAAGCAGCGAGTGCTGGACCATTGTGCGTAGTAGCAGTCGATTTTCTCTCATTCAATAATATAATAGAGGTAGGCAACTAAGTAAAATACTTGGCGGATTCGCATTAATCAAAAGCACTGTCCACATGACTGCTATATTTTCCAAATAATGTTCAACATCAAGTTCAATGAAAAAGCTCCTGCACATTTCTCAAGATTGGTCTTTGCCAACAATCAGGAACTCAACTTCACGAGCAGATACGGAGGTGATTTTCCATGGTTGATTTCTTCAGGTTGGGGTAAATCTTTGAACTGCTTAGACGTAACCTCGCTATCACATCTTGCAGTTCAAACACTTTCATCTAACAATCGCGGTGTAAATTTAATATAAGGTAATAAACTGGCCACAGCTAATGATGCTGTTGCGATTATATCTACAACACCGTATCGCGAGTGGACATCGACGATGAAAAAAAGATAATGACTCTAATCAAGAACAACAATACGAATTGGCCTGAAAAAATAACATAAATTCGAACCAAAGCAGCGGCTGCCTGTATTGAAAAAGATTTATTAATAATTTTCGTTACTATACCTTTGTGAGAAGACACTCGTTTTCAACCAGCACCAGCGAAAGTCCCTTAAGCTTTGCATATATATTTCGCAACAGTATCACCGGGATGCCTAGCGGGCATGCCATATTTAAATAAATTGCACAGCCGCAGATGGGGCAACGAGACAGCATTCTATTGCTGAAGCAGCTCCATTGTCAGATAATGCACCATTCTTCTAAGCACAATGGACGTTAAAGGAACACCACGTCCAACTATTTGTAGCTGCTGAAACAGAAAGTAAAAGCGCCCCATGAAGGCAAAAGGGCATTGTCATATGATCCACTATTGAAATTGATCACAATAGCATTAAATTTGAGATCAACATTAGAGTCATCATTTCCATCAGTTTGACCCGACTTAGGAGTTATGCAGCTGATCAAGTCAGGATTGGCAATAATATGTTGCAAACCACTAGAATTCATATTGAATTATTTGGATTTCCGCGTCAGCTTGCCAGTTCTTTCAAACGACTAAGCAAACAGAGGTTAATCAAGTTTCGGGGCAAGTAAAAAGGCCACAGGATTGGACGGGCACGCTGGAGCAGCTCATCCACCAGGAGCTTGCCGTGGTGCAAAACACACACCAGCTGTTTGTCCTTTCTTGTGACAGAATAAGATGTCAATCAATTTCGGTTAGTCTTCTGGAATAGTGTTCTATTTTCTGATAGTGGTGCTCTTGAACATCAGTTACCGGAACCTGCTCCATCGTCAAGACAATTGGACAAATCATTTGCATCACTAAATGTAATCTTGTTAGTTTGCAACTTCAGTATGAATGATTTCAACGTAGATGGGGTGCGAAACAGAAGAGGATTAGAAACTAGAGGCAGAAGAATTAGTGTTGAAGCTTTTGAGAGTATTGCAATATAGTTCATTAAAGTATTTTGGTGATCCCTTTGTTAGATAATGGGATGTTGCCACTTACCTGAAAGAAGTGATCTGGAAATAACTGTAAGAGTTTCAACACTTGCAGCACCATAGTGCATGTTGAAGTTAACAAATTCTTGAAGGCAATCCGACCTATCATGTGGCTCCACTCCATTGCAGCAAGATCCTATCCTCTAGTAACCATCGTAAAGCAAATGGAATGGAAAACAATTTAACTTTGGCCAAATGAGCATCGCATTCAACAATGTCATTCATTGAGAAGCGCTTGAATCAACTGACTAAACAGAGAGTTATTTATTTCAAAACAAACTGCCAAATTTTAATGGTGCAGCATCCATTAATTTCAGTGATTTTTGCGGGGCTGCGTTCGCAATTTGGCTAGTAACCCGTTTTGGCGTTCTGCGGATAGTACGGTCAGGAGAGCAAATATATATCAAAAAATATCATTGAAGGTATTGCCTGCTCCTTATCAAGACAATTGGGTAGAATCACAATCCGTCACAAGAAAAGACGTTGACAGACACCGAAGGAGCGATTATAAACATGCGGGTGGCCGACGGCAGATTTAAATCTTTTTTAGCTTCGTTTGTTAATATAACTTCTTATCAAAAGCAGTATATTTTTTCTAATGATGTCGATTACGACTAAGTAAATTTCGTTGTGGATTCTATTTGCAGGCATTAGATAGTGTCGGATTTGGTTTTCCGGCAATGGAGAAGCTGCTATACGGTGGGTGAGACGACCGCTATGTACTGCGGATCTTCGAGAAGCATTATGGTACTATTGGAGTTGAAACTGCTACTATCATGACCAGGTCACTTCTATGTGTTAAAGGGTAGAATACAGTATCTAGTATGAGAGATTACAGCAAATTTTTCAGAGAATGCCGTTGTGATATGCTGAAGGTCCACAATGGTGATAACATTGCTGCACGTTTCACGGCTGCTTTTGTTTCGGAAACGACCAACGCCGATTACGTAGTTACTCCCTTTGCAGACTTTTACAGATTCACCTCTATTAATGCAAAAGTTTTAGCAATTCATCTTAACGATGATTCACTTGCTCGTAACTGAAGTACAACAGCAACAGTCTCCGAAAATACGGAACGACATACGAAAGCATAACGGATAAGATGACATGCTACTGCTGTTGGAAGAAAACCCATTCGGCGAGTGTGTGTTTGGCACCACGGCCTTGTACTGCTGCATGATCAGATGCAACGGATATTTGTGTGCTGTCACAGTACTCTATGGCTCTATAGCTGATCAGCTGCTGCCTGCTCGGTCGTTGAAAGCAACTGGCAAGCGGACGCAGAACTCTCGACTGTTCAATTTGAATTGTGATGCTTCCCAAAATAATTGTGGTGACACTGAATTGTTCCGTGACCTCCTTCCGTATTCAGGCCAAAGTGCAGGCATTGGAGACCCTATCGTTCATCGCAATACTTTTACTACTGCCTAGCATCATAACGGTGGATCATTACAAGATGCTGTTTGTGCACCCCGTGGTGCGACTTTAATTTCCATCTCAGCTGTCACAAACCAGGCGTTTGACTTTCATGGAACAATAATTGTGATTTGATGAGTGCCTTATAAGCTGAAAAGAGAGATCCTTCAGATTTGCATATCAGTCTCGCAGCCCCTTCCGGTTTTTGGGTTAATTTTTAGAAATCTCCATCAACGGTTACGTCATCTTTGTCAATCAGTTAAAGAGATGTAGCCAGAATCTATTGCATATTTGCTGCTGGTGGTTCAAAATGTCAGTCATCTCGCAATGAAAACCAATCAAAATTATTAGTATGTCGTTTACATAGCAGACCACTGCTTCCGTTGGGTGTTGCTATGTTGGAATTGTTGCGCCAATGTCTGTTGTCGGGGTTGATGGAAGTTGTTATTTTTCCACTTTTGTGATGATTACTCGTGATATGTCGAAGTCGCTGCAAATGCTGCACAATCATTAGGTGGCGGCGGTTGGTGTACTTTAATAAGTTCTCTCAACCACTATTAGACAGAGCTGCTGATGCACTCCAAACTGATAACCAGTTTGCATCCAAGCTGCTCAAACAGCTTTGGTAATGCAAAAGAATCGAACAAGGGACGTCGGTTCTTCTTGAATCTCATCCAAAAGAAGTTGCTGAATGTTGGCAAAGAGAAGTGGTGACGATGGCCAGGACAATGTTAATTGAAGCTGATGCAGCTGAATACTTTTAGACTAAAACGGAGAAGTGTGTAGTGATTTTGAAGTGCTAGATTCTTACCAAATAAGACCCTCGGATGTCTACCCTTTTTGAATTGTTCTATGGAGAAAGATGAGCTGCTCCTATGTGGAAAGTGCTTGGATTCCCTGTTAACGGCATAAATTGCAAACAGTTCACGCAACGCAGCTTAGGTGATACGCGTTTCTTCAGGGATTTTGTTGAGTGCGAGATGAGTAGAGTGGCCCACTGTCTGCTCAAGCATCATTACACCGGTGGTGTTGTCAGTTCTTCTTGTCGGTTTGACGAAACCAAATTTCCTTTTGAATGTTCTTCATTTGCTCTGATTGAACCAGCAATTGCATTTGTCGTTCGAGATAAATATATTGTAGCTGGTATTCTAGGATAAATGTGTCGTCGGCTATCAATGACATCGATAACACAACTACAATAGCTTCAGACGATTCATCAAAAAATGAATCTAAATTCAAAAATGAATGAGTTGACATAAGCTCAGATGATGAATAAAAAATTGTTTCTATGAAAATGAAGTGCATTGCAAAGAATGTGTGGGATCAGCTAATGATCTGGATCAAGCTAGTGGTCGCAACACCGGTGCTTAAACCAATAACGAGCAGCTTGCTGCAACCGAATGAGTTCGTCAAGAGGATCTTGATGAAACTGAATGGTTGCTTAAAAGGTATACCAATGATTCAAAAAGAACCAATAAAGACAAGACTCCTCTGACATAGCTTTTTCCTACCATTGTTGACGCTACTACAGTTAAACTACATCCGCAGACCCACTCTGCAAAGACGCTACTAATCCAGAATTTCAGGCAATTCTGCAGAGCAATATTTCTCAGCAGAAGGTTTTTTTTTCTGAGAAATGACTGCTTGGCTGTCTTTGGGTGTTTTCAGAGACGTCAGCACAACCATCATATTTTGTTGTAACCAGACCAACTGCTAACTGTTTCCCTTGGTTCTAGCGTATTGCTTATTCTGAAGCACCTAGTCCAGTAATATGGTATCAGACTCTTAGTGTACGTCTTGTTGATGCTGGATCAACGTCAGTCAACTTTTGGAAAATGGATGTGAACACCGCAATCCTTGATGGTGATATCGACGCTAAAATTAGCATGATAGTACCTCCTGCAGCTGCTACTGCCGAGTATTAACTGAAAATGTAGAAGTAGCACAAGGCATTATATGCGCTCAATCATTTTCTTCCTTGTTCATCAAGAAGATGCTTACTGCTCTGCAATCGTTCAAATCTCGAAGGGGTTCAGCGGAACAAACTGTGATTTAATTTTTAATGAATCACCACTGCAAGCTTCCAATATATGAGGATGCTTCTATTGTTGCCGAATCAACAGATGCAACACTCAAAGTCGTTGTATGAAGTTTCAGTTCACTTGTCAAGATAAGCGATTTTGTGGTAGTTTTGGGGCCTCTTCGTGAAATTGATGTTGTTCAAAACATTGCCAGCATTTTGCAATCTACTAATACTTATGTGGACTGATTTTTCAACAATTGAAAATTGATGAGACTTATTTGCACACTACACCAACGATGCTTTACCCATAAAATGTGGTAGGTGATAGTGATTGCCGTGGTTTAGATAGTGAAGAGTCATGTCGTTACATATCCATTGTCGGATTGTTGAGTTTTGCTTTAGTTGTTTACGTAATGATTTTGTTTTCACTGTTCGGTTACGTAGTCGATATCTTGGTGCTCCTTGCAAGATCAGTTTACGATGCTCTGAAGGAGTCCTGAACGATTTTAACTCAACCACAATATCCGTTATTTACAACAGTGTTTCATTATTGAAGTAGGCTGGATACTCTGGCCGTCATGGGGCTGGAGACATTGGAGCTAGACAATCAATTGGTGGAAACATGTTTCTTGTTATTCGAAGGGCAGTTGCTAGCAGCTCCAAGAAGCTGGCTCCGGTGGTCTTGCTTACTTGTGATGCTGAGTACATAACACTCAGTCAAGCAGTCAAGGAGGCCGTGATCGTAATGTCAGAATTCACATATGTTGGTACATATGTTGATTTAGCAATTCTCTATAATGGCAGCAGTACTGCTATCAATTTTGCAATTCGTGCGACCAAGCACTGAAACAAAGAGGGGATTTATATCTGGCATCGCTTTATCAGAGCGTTGTGTAATGCTGCATTGATTCATACTGATGTTGATACTGAAGGTAATGCTGCTGATTTGTTGACAAAACCTCTAAGCATTTCAGTGTTGAAATATCTCGATAAACTGCTTGAATGATTCATTTGTTGTTAGGGTTAGTTCTGCTCTTTTCCTCTTTTTGGATTTATTTCGATAATACTGTTTGAATGACTGTTTATTGGATATGCTTCTGGTCTGCTATATATCTGTCTGAGCGACTGCAGGTATATATGTTTGCAACGGTGTCAATTTGAATGTGCCGCTGATTTCATTTTTTCTCACAAAATGTTCAAGTTGGTATTATAAGAGCAGCTATTGATTTTGGTTTGTTTATTCATTGGAAGTCCAATTTTCATACTCCAGTTAAGCCATCGATTTTATGTTGGATTACAAGTCTGTAGCCGAAGCGGTGGCTGAGAAAAATGGTTCTTCAGAAATAGCCAAAATAACGTGCTGGCTGGGTTTCGTGTTTCTCAAAAATGGCAAAAAAGCTTCCTATCTCTCATTGGTTGAAAAGTTAGTAAAGCCTTTCTAGTGCTATGCGCATGCCAGTATTTCACAGCCACCCATTATTCCAACCTCAAGATGCTCACTTTTAGAAAACGGTAGCTGGGATTTAATCCCACTCCACTGCGCTCGTGAGCGGATGGCTGGAAACGATGTTTCGCTCTCACACCTGCAAACCGCTCGGCCATCGCGAATGGTGATTTGAAGCTTCTACTCTATGCTTGACCACTTTCACTGGTCGGCTGAGGGCTGGTTACTCGGCTAAGATGATGTGTTGTGAGCCTGCGGGAGCTCTTGATTTTGTTTCTACGAGTAGTCAGCGGCATTCACCGATGACGCTTTGTGCTCTAAAGCAGCTTTAAATAAAAATGGTTGGCAATCTCTTCAACGTTGTTCTCTTTTATATCGCTCATGACCTTAGTATATCAACTTCGATTCGCGACATTTAAATGGTAGTGAATCAGAAACATGATGCCAAAGGCAGGTCGCTCCAAACTTTAAGACCAGTGTTTGTATATAAATATTATTTGAATCACAGTAATTTTTTATATTTCAACATTCAATTTATTTGTGTTGAGTTGTAAAATTATTATTTTCTTATATATCGTTTGAATACAATAAAAATTGTGGTGAAAAGGATCTATTACTTCTGCTTTTTTATATCACAGAAAACCTTTAAAGCGGAGAGAAAAACATTAGCTTGAATTTAAAAGATATAAATTCTAGAAGCAGCGTTGGGATGTTTCAATATTAGAGACTTAAACGGAGGACCATGTCATATTAAGTAATCCGAGTCGGTATTATTGCGTAGCTTTAAATGAAAATAGAAAATGCTGATAGCTGAATATTGAATATCTCGCACTGAAAAATGATAAATATCAAATGAAAACTCGAATATGCTTCTGTGAACATAATAACGATTGAATGCAAACATGTAAGTGCCTTTTGGAAAAGTCAGTAATTGAAAACGGTAATAATTGATAAAGTTATGTTAGCATTCTCAATTGACTAGATCTTTAAAGTGGAGGTGGTAATTAAAGAACAACATGTTTACTCCGTGATCGCTGTTACTGTCAAAAATAATTTTAAAGAAAAAAAATTGAAGTCAATTAAATTGATTTATCACATTTCTTTTCCAATTGTATATTAGAATGCAATTTAATCAAAACCAATACCGTTAATTCCCATCTTTAACAAGTGGTTTGGACAATGCTGTATCCAATCATTTCGTAAGATTGTCGGCTGCATTGGCTTTTCTTCAATCGTATCTGAGTGTTGTTTTGTCATTGGAAATTGGTTCCTTAATTAAAGTATTTTTGAATGTCGAAGTCCAATGATAGAATATGAGCTCAAGAATGCTGAACAAGTGTCTATAGATAGTGAATATCATCCGAGATCTTAGTGAAGGACACCGCTGGTTTCAGTTCATATTACATGTTTTCAAAAGGTAATCAACACTTTATTGCTTCTGTCAATGAAGCACGTTCGACTTAACAAGACGTCAACTCAACAAGTCATTGTTTCATTGACGACCATAAAAGTAGGTCACAATTCAACATTGTGAAGAAGCCACTTTGAATTTTTTCTGTGATGGAATCATTTCCGAAATCACTGTCACAAACCAGTGTCATTTGCAGAGATGCATCCAGAGAATAATCTTTGATTGAGTCATATTTTGTTTGTTCAACAAGTCTAAAATCAATATGATTTTATTCAACTTTATTATCAGAGATCTGAATGGGCAACTCTTATGGCTGACAAAAATATTGAGGAACTATGAAAGCACCAGATAGAAGAATTTTGCCCACCAAATAAATGTCTCTTTAGATGTCATGTGCCAGATCTAATATTATGTTGGAGATTATTAACTGTAAGCACCAATGTACTAAAAATAGTTCTATATTTTCAATGATGAATATCATCAAAAATATTTGATCTATGACCAAGCTCAAATGTTTTGGCCAAGGATGTTTCTTACTAATTATATTTTGTATCTCGATACCCGCTTGTCTTTTCTCAGTCATGTCCTTCGAGAAGGCCTGTAATCGTGGTTGGAGCGCTTAATGTTTATTCTAAAAACCAATATTTGAGATCCCGTATTTTTTATTGTGAAGAAGCTTATAAATAATGTTGCACATTAGTAACTCCTTTGGTCTGTCGATATCACCTTTTTGCTTTGGCAGCAATTGCAATATCATCGTCATAAATCGATATGAAAGAATTTGAACTTTAGAACAAAGACAGATTCAACAATCATTGACTGCACTCATAGGTAGCAGTAAGAACGGATTCATTTTGATCTCAAAAAAAAAGTTCAATTACCTTTAAGTCTTTCTTTTTACGAGGATGTCACAAATTCACTCAAATCACCAGTCTTAGCAAAACTGTACGTTCAAAACTGCTCTAATATTAAATCTAATCGATCGTTATTTTTATTCAGACATATATTCCACTCGACGTTTGCTGTTTATCCTTTTCAATTTAAAATTATTTTTTCGATACATCACGGGATATTAGTTTTTAACTTGAACGTTATTCATTTGCAGTAAAGGTTTCATATTTGGTGTTTTGTACATTATCAAATTTCAATGCAAGTTATGCGGACACGATTGATTATTTTCTCACAAAATATACGTTTCCTTCTTTAAATCCTTTATATTCTAATATTGCTGTCCCTATTGTGCGAATTTTAACTGCTGAATTCTAGATAAATGTCCTTTTTCATCGTTACTTTCAATTTGTCATATGAAAAGCCAAGATGAAAATTTGTTTTTGTCAATTGGTTTTATAACTGAAGAAACTTATATATTGCAATTATAATATTCGAAGATCGATGCAAATAATTTATATATTAAATTATGTTAATCAATTACCAATTAAAGTATTTCCCAATATACAATCAGAAAATTCAATAGATTCTCGATCTATACATTCCAGAGCAATTGAAGTTCCTCGATCGTTGGACATTGCCCACAATGACTTCAATGAAATAAGTATGCCAATTGCATCAACTTCGTTAGATATGATTGTGACTGCAGTTGAACGGACGGTGGGGATTTCTTGCTTTCCCATGACAATCAACAATTCCGTTGGTTGATCCTAGCTTGACTACACGGGATTCATCGGTCCCACCGCTGTCAATGAGCCTCAAAATGATTCCAGTGTATAGTTCCATTATTGATGAAAGATGCTTTTGAATTCAAAATAACTAACACTTTCGAAGATCACAACTAAAATCAAATTCTTATTTGATGGAGTAAACAATTTGAGACTCGAGATAGTTTTCACAGTAATCAGCGTCTTTGAAACTTTTGAAATTAATGAATTCCTCAGTTAATTTGCAAAAAATTGGAAAGCAAATCAGCATGGTTTCGGTTTATTAAACTGGCTTTGGATTTATTGCGTCTCCTGCTGCTCGTCTTCAGGTTAAAATAAATGATTTTGCACAATATCTTAAAAGAAATGGTTTGGCCGCCAACGGATTTGATGTTACCGAAAGAATGGCTACTTTAAGGCTAAATGACATATTCAATGGAATCAATGAATTAAATGAAGAATAATTCGTAACTAATTATTCAACATTCTTTTCAGTCAGAAATCACATTGAAGAAGCAAATACGATGTGAACCAAACATAAATGTTTGGATTGAACTAGCTTTTGTCATTTCCGAGGAGGTTGCTGAAAATCAATAGAATTTCAGTCCTACGACTCGAAACAACTAATTCACAGTCCTGATGGCGTCAAAGTTAATATTGAAAAGGGATCAAAAACCGATTTTGAGGAGTTGAAGTCAATTAACGATAAATCTCATTTTTTGAAATTGTCTCGTTTCAGATCTTCCCATTCATGTTGAAAACTTTGTTGTACGATTATCCGATTAAATTGAATGAAACATATGAACAAAACGTGACAAAGATGACGATATTTCTCCCACACATGGAAGTTTTAAGCTGTTTTGATTAGAATCATATGATGTAATGCTTGTTCCAATCCTACCAAAAAATATCTATTACGCTTGTTATTCTGGCGAAAAAATCTCACAATCCTTATTATGATGAAAGCAACCAATTAATTATTCAAGTTAGTGGAATAATTGGTTTGTGTGAGAAAATGAATGAAATACGAATGTGAAATGCAAACAATGATGAAAATGATTCGGTTCTAATCGCTGAATGTGATTTGCTGGAAATACACAAGAACGATGCTAGCGGTTCTTTGAATCATATAAATTCCTTAACCAAAATTATATAAATTTATAGTTATGATAAGAATTCATTAAAGATATTTGACAGCTGTTCTTCTGTTTTAAAGAAAGCTCAATTTTCAAAATTTCCAACCTCATTAGAATTGATCATTGGGGAAGACATCACTACTAATATAATTGGCCCAATGAATGTTCGTTATAGATTATTTGTTCCAGATCGTCAATAAAATTTTAGTGTTGGTCAAATTATTAAACTTAAATCAAAAGCAAGTGAATGATTGAGTGAGTCATTGCCAACATTTGAAATAGCAGAAAGTGCAACAACGACATGAACATCTTTCATCAAAAAAGCAAATTAACTCAATACTACTGTGTTCACATATTTGTGGAAAGAAAGCGGATACCTCCACATTTCACCGCACCCATCTATTTGTTTGCCAATGCGAAGCTTAGACTTCAAACAAACAAAAAAATAGGAAAAACCAACCACTAATGGCTGACTCTATGGTTCCAAGTGAATAATGGAACAAGGAACTTAGAGTTTCGATATTCTTGCACAAATATATTTTAATCGCTAATGACTGTGAATCGTAATAGCAACCGCTTGGAAAAGGGTAAGAACTGCTAATCTCATGCTCCATTGGGTGTTCAGACGTTTGTTTTCAATCATAAAGACAGACAAAAATCATTATGAGAAACATGAACGGTGCAGTTTCTCTTTGTATTTCATCAAAGACAATTGCATTTGTTTTGGAGATGAACTGAGACAAAATTATCAGAAAAGTTAATTGCGAAAAATGAATCACATTGGTATACTAAAATCAAATAAGTTAATAGCGGATGAAGTCATTAAAGTTCTAAGCGGTTTTCACTAAAGTTCAACCACTTCTCCAACATTTTCTCACTGTTCCTTAGAACCTGAACCGTTGATGTCACAATACTAACTATTAATAGTTCAATAGATATTGAGATAAGTGAACCATGAAACGATGGCACTTCTAATTTTTTTTTTACAACTTCAAACATTAATCAGATTGGATTGCGGTTGTTATTTTTTATGAAATGTGCAATGCACTTGATATTATTCGCATAGTTGTGTGAACAATGATCAGTAGATCGCTTCCTTACTTAGTAGACGATGTTGATAACAAATCAATGTTGAAACTCGGACTACCTTTGAAGAATATCACACTACCTTGAGAACATCATATGCACTTGAAACGATATTGCTTCTAAAATTAATTCTGTTTAATAGAGATAATGACGAGAAACTGAATGTATTCAAATCGATTCAAATTGTTAATGATGTTGCAACTCAACCAATGGCATCGATCTCACCTCAAACTGAGCTTATTATAATTGTTTCCCAAAACTAATTGATTGCTTTGTTCATGAAGAAGTCGAGGTTTTGGTGTCAATATCATCACATATCATTCGATTATTCTTCTGCGAAGTTTTGCTAGGCTACCAAACGCAAAAGGTAGTATGCTAAAGCACATGAAATTGATTTTATGGAAGAAAATGATCTGTATTCCTCACTTCCACCAACATTAGTTCAAAATAAAAAAGTAAAAGAAAACGCGCTGCTCATCGCAAAGGACTACAGTGATAGTACCGAAGTGTTCAAGAGTAAATATGTTGGTGAAACCAGTTTGCAGGAGCTTGGCGATTTCTATATTCATGTCTACGGTTCTGTTACAAAATCTAAAGGATTACCAATGATGCATTTATTACCTGCAGTTGACTACTAGATTGACAGCTAATTGGAAGCCAACAGTGCTTTGTTGAATGGACCAATACACTACGCAGTTTGGATTTTTTTTCCTGCTGGAACATCTACATGAACGATGAACGGATCAAAATTAATAGTACTTTGATAAGGGATGAAGCGCGACCATCATATTTGTTTCAATATAATCAAAAATAGCTTTAATGACAGCAATAACTATTCTCCAAATGTCTTAGATCCATGTTTGATGTACAATTGAAGTTCTTCATTTTCCATTTATGATGCTAACGGATTCATCGCTGAGAAAGCAGAAGATCATATCCACAAGGAAGACATATTACCTATGAGGAACTCTGTAGTTAATGTTATGGGATCTCCAAATTTGACCCTTCAAATGAATATTGAACTGAAAAATCACCTTTGGATTTTTTCTTTTGAAGTATTTACTGAGAAAATTCAGTAGCTATTCCCAGTTCAAAAATGAAAAATGTTGAAAGAACCTTTAAATGAAAATGGGGAAAATGATGTGAAATCAACAATCTCTGATGCTTATTGTCATTCAAAATATAGAGCGATTGTCGGTACATCACTAATTATTGGTGGTAGTCTCAGATATAATATCCAATGTATTATATTTCTCTTAAGGGGCATTTGCTCAGTCCATTAAAGCACCATCCATCTAGTGCTTTCAGACTGTTACAATATGTTTGCCAAGCAAGAAACTTGACCATTAATTTTTATAATAATAGTATCTAACCTCTCAGTACTGATTGCGCAGTTCTTGACAAAACAAAGTAAGCGACAGTCAAGCACAGTGCCCTCAATCCATCAATCCAACTGTATCCAGTAAGTGAGAGTGATGGTGCAATTGACAATCTCACAGGATAACGACAAAATGGATTTTTCACAATGTTGAAAGGCAAAATCCATTCATGATCGTGAACGAATCAAACCCTTAAAGCCATATCTTGTGCTGAATCGGGATGCATTTGATTACCTCAAGCGACGACAGGTGAATCGCATTTTGAGAAGATATGAAAAAATAAAAAAGCACTACTGGCCTTTATTAATCATTATGGTGTTAATCAATCTTATTTGTCACTTTTCTTGTTTTCTTATACTCATAATTAAGCCAGCGAAATTGATGATGAACTGTTTTCAATCTGAAAACCTATTTCCAGTAAAGTAGTGGAGCTAAGCTTTATTAATACGAAACCAATCTTGCAGACGTTCTAACCAAATTAGTAGGTGGAACTTCTCTTCAATCTTTTGTTATACTATTATCATAGTTCCGTTTATTACCATCAAATTAAATACTGAATTGGAGTTTGTGGGAAAGTGAAAACACTAAATTTTAATAGTTTTAAATGGATCAATTTATAATCAATTTTTACATCAATTCCAATCACCAAATTTACCGCAAGATTTACTTTCACAACTTTGACATTCCTCCTATTAAACAAGTTTATATAATCATCAATAAGTCATTATATTTCTCATTTGAACATTATCTCATTATTTTTAAAGTTATTTTATTTCACATGAAGTTATTCTAGTTTTGGACTTGATGGTAATCAATTTCTTGGAAAATGTATTTTACATTAACATTTGAGCTTTGTCTAATTTCAGTCACAGTTCTTGAATTACGATCAGTTAAGATCTGAAAAAGAAATATATTGCTTTCGTGAAATTTGTCATACTCAACTACAGCTTTTCATATTCAACATATCATTCCTTTTAAATTCTACAAATAGTAAATGCCCAACATTATTTTGATTTGTGATATAAAATGGATGATAATTGTTTTATTATTAAATTGGTTTCAAAACTATCCACAGTTGTATGTAAAAAATATATTATCGAAACCACGATGGAAGTAACTTATAATTTGAATCACATTAATTAATTAACCATCTAAACAATTTGCAATTTACAAAGACAAATTTAAACATTCAAGAAATGTTTGATTTTCATTCCGATTTGCTGTCTGATTTTTCTTCTTCTCCATTCTCAATGGATCATTGAAGTCCCAGGATATGATGGATATGAGTCATTTCATCGATAAGTTTTTAGTCATATTTGAATTGAACTTATTATCGGTCTTGAAAATGAATATCTCACCTGTTTTTTGAACTAAGGAACATTTTGTAGATTAATAACGCTTCACATAAACATTCTGCTGCGTCGGATGTCAACCTCAATATGTGAGGTGGAACTGATTGAGACTAACCTGTTCGTATCAATTACCACGTATAGTTCAATAATGTAAAGAAAATTACTCTAATTTTTTTTAAATGTTTTACTATACAATTTCTTCTTTGATTGAATCCAATGACAGTGTTCCAGCACCCCGTGCTTTAACAATTTGTATATTGCGGCTTTCAAACCAATAATGTAAATAACATTTTTTTAACGATTCTTACATTCATAGTTTATGCTCTTCCAGTTTAAATTATTCTATTTATGCCGATACGATTTAGTTATATTGAACTCAAAACTACTGTTATCTTGCATTTTAGCTTCATCTAATTTCAGTTCAAGTATTAAAAATACAACTTCCAATTCGGTCGTAAATGAATATCTCTTTTGCTTAAACCCGTCATATTTTTAAATTTCTCTGGTTGCTCAAGATATTTGTTTTTCTGCAATCAGGATTGGTTGTTGCCATGAGCTTTATGTATATTTGTGGTACAAAAAACGCAGACGGTTACTTATTATTCTGAAGAGTTTTTATAATATTCCAAAATAATATAAATTTAATATGTTTTTAAGAACGAGCTACAAATATATGATATAATGGCTGATATGACTAAGTTATTTATTAAATATTAAAGTAAAAAATCTTAAATGTTTACAGATATCCAATCTTCCGTTTGCACAATAATTGAATTATCCACCAACTTCGACTTTGGGCCAACGGCTTAAAAGGAATTCATAAGTCAAATCAATCAATCATGATTGGAACAAATGGGAATGGGCAAAATGGCCACATTTTTAAACTTGGTTCACCAACCGAAGTTCTGATTACAAAGATATTGATGGGCTCATCCTGATGATATTTATTGCTGAAGATGATGGTTTTATTCTGTAGATTATTTCGATTGAAAACTTCTTTGTAAAACTTGAAATGTAATATACTTCTATTGGATGGCTAAGCAATTTGTTTATAGTATATGATTCTGGATGATTATAGAACGTACTAAAAAAAGCAAATTATTATCCATCTTTTTAATATTAGTAATGAAAAGCAGAGTTCAATCGTCGAATCCATGCAGGAGGTAAAATCCTCAATCATTTCCAATATGAATAGCATTCTTGAAATATGTTGGACTTAAATAACGAAACTAATGTATCGAATCGGTAATGCTTGTTAAACGTGAGCTTGAATATCTGAACGATGAACGTAGAAAAGAACGCGAGCTTTTTTATAGCTAACTGGGTTTGCTTAGAATTCGTCACCGGAGCACACCAGTGAGAGACAGCAATGGGCCGAATGTAGACATTAGGGGGTCTCACAACAACTTCTTATCCCAGTATACAACCATCAGAAGATGTGGTCATTGTAGAGCAACATTTTATCAAACCTTTGAACGGCTGCTCCCGCTGACCGAGCGGTTGCCGCTGCAAGTAAGAATGATTGTCTGCTGGGGCCCCTCCCAGGCGCAGTGGAGCCAGCCCGAATCGCCACTAGAGTCCCTCCAAGAAAAGGGATTGCGTTTCGGAATATGGGGTTATAGTAGCGCAGGCATACGCCTCCCACAAAGTACGCTCTTCTTACTATTTAAGCTTTGGGGCAAGGCGAGCTCTTTCACATTTCCCTTTTGAACGTGACCAGGTTTGATTGATAATACATTTGTTCGGCAGCACCGATATGTTTGAACAGCTGTTCAGCAAACAATCGTGGACCCCAATATATTAACACCGCTGAACAGAAGTAAATGATTATCACAATCCAATAGTAAAAAAATTACATGTCAATTATTTTATTAGCTAGAAAACCAAGATGAGTATGTTTTAAATGAAAAAAATCACAGTTAAGGAGTGAAATTTTACTTCTTGCAGAGATAATATTATCACAATCATTCAAAGAAAGTATAACAGTTCTGCAGCATAACAGAGAAGTATTCAGACACACCAGTAAAAACTAAGGCTAAACCGACGAAACCAGAAGACCAAAACTATTAACCGTTGAGGAATTGATGCAATTTATTGAGTTACTTGAACACTAAAGAGGTGAGTGTCGTGGTCAAGACATCAGAATCATCACTTTTCCTACCAACTCTCGCGGTATTAAAAAGACCATTGCTCAACCCTTTTATAATAAGATATCTTATTGGATTATTTAAGGAGGTTCAGTGATTTATGGGCTGGTTAGCCGAGTTGCTAGCAATATTGGTATCACCCAAGGAATTGGTTTTTCAATTTTGTACCAGTATATCTGAAGAACTTTAATAAAACCAGCGCTGTCATAACCTCCGAGAGTATAGGTGGTTCAGGGTCTGAAGTCCGCAAGATTATTGCATCTGGTATATTGTTGAGCCAAGTAACAGACCTTTTGACTATTCAAAATGATATATCGACCAGCTGATTTATGATTACCAATGGCTCTAGCCCAATCACTATCAGCCTATCTAAAGACCATAACAGAAGTAAGAACTTTGAAAAGAATAGTTAATTGATTTCAATTTCTCTATCATAGCGCTCTTCTAGCACAACTAACATGAATGTTGGGTGGTGCACCAAATTACTTATTCCATAACCCAGCAGCAAATCAATGTCAGACAGTAATCAATTTTTGAAGGAAATAGCAACACGTTTAATAATTCATCTGTGAAGTGATAAATGTTTGGCATTTAACGCAGAGCTGTCTGATTCAAGTGGCACATTTTATGCATTAATGATCATGCGTGCTGCCTGCCAATGATACTGATTCAATGAGAGTCTTTGATGTAATTGACAGATCTAAGCCTGCGTTAATAAAAGATATTATAGATTTTTTGAAACACTTCAACTGCATCAAAATGAACCAAAAATACTCCATTGTCTTTCGTTTTGGACAAAGAACTGAGATACCATTTCATGTCCATCACCATTGCGTGTGATGCTCCGCGAAGGATAAGATGATCAACATAGAAGCATTGGATGCAGTGAAAAATTTCTTTTGAAAGGAGAAGCATCCTAACAACTGCTCAAACCTTTTGAAATTCATACGTGTGGAGGGAATCAAGCGTTTTTATGTGCCATCGAAATGGAGATTATTCGAATCCATCAACAGAATTGTGAAGCCTTGAAATCCTACTCAGCAATAAAGAATCCTTGATGTTGATTCGTGTAATTTTCAGCTTCCATGTCGCTATTTGTAAATGGAACAGTTTCATGCATTTCGTGAACCGCGAATATCTTTCATGCTGCAATAGCAAGAAATTCCGCAACACTTTCATAGCTGACGACTAGACCAATGTTTAGTTATAAGCATTTCATTGAAGCAGAGAAAAGCCTTCACCAACCAGTCTGACGTTGGCAAGATCACCACTTGGTGCTAACTTTACTGAAATCTCTGAGGGACCGGCAACTGAATTTGATTCAAAACGCAATTGAAGCAGTGCTAAATATTGTCGTGATGCACACTCTGGAACTGTGAATGAGAAGCCGGAATCGACATGGTCACTGGAGGTTTTCAGTTAGCACAGGTAGCGGCAATAAAGCCAGCGGCCAATTGGGTGACAGGAGACCAGCAATAATGGCAACCTTTGAATGATTTCTAAATTGTTAAAAGGTATTTCTGATGTCCTCAAGTTCTTCTTGACGAACTTCTTTCTTCGCAGCAAGGTGGTACATAGGAATATCTGCTGCATTGTCAGTATCAGCAACTAGCTAAGAATCAGCTCTTGATTGAAGATATTACTTTGAATGGGATTTAGCGTCATTCGACACCGGCTGTCCGTTTATCTTCTCAGTACTTAGCAATATATTTATTTTGTTGATGATGGTTATTGTTTGATGAATTGTGGGACGCATATGCCTTCGTACTATCTTTATCGTTGAGTTCACTGACTGACTTGTCCCCCAAACACCGCCATCAATCGGTGGGACTGTAGTGGCTGATACAATATATAGATCAATTGCAGCAAATGATAGACCATAAATTACAAATAGTGCTTCATCAAGCGACTGCTAGAACAGGCAACACCAAATCCATTATGAGCATATGCGCTTTGCGTAGCCCGTTCTAGTGGTGTGGCAGGGAACAACCTCAGTGACGAAAGATGTATCCGCTATCTGGTTTGGATTATCTGATCAAAAATCATTGGATAAGCAGCACTCCCCAAACAATCTCATGCTACCCGCCGTTGATTTTTGTCTATCGAACGATTCATAGAGCCAATCAACAGACTGCGGAGTTTCGTCAAATAACAATAATCTACCACAATTTTTTCATCTCAGATTCGGTCGACAAAAAACTATAACCAGTAACTTCGATGAACATCATCTTTTCAATTGCCTGGTTGCTGGTTGAAAACGGTGGCCAGCTCCATCTTGAGGAGGCTCAAAAGAGACAGAAATTTTATGTTCGAGTCCTTCAGATCGGCAAAGATTTTTGAAAACCTGAATTCAAATTGGTTGCGAGATGTGACACTACGAGACAAATTATTTAATAATCGTCAAGTAAATTCTATATAGTACTCCATCCTGAATCCATCTAATAATTCATTCGCAATTGGAGCGGCAACGACTTACTCAAGCAATCACTAACGACAATGCGAAAATATCGATCTTCATCAACAGCAACAACAGGCATTAGCACAACATCATGAGCATAAGGTAGACTCTGAGCAGCAGTGCCGCGACTTCAAAACGATTTATTAATAAATTTGGTTGATTTATATTTTCACAAGTGTCACATTTCAAGCCACCGGTGAACGAAATGGCGAAGAAGGTCGCTATATCACTTGCAACAGACCCATCTTCATAATGTATTCTTTCAAGTCAGCTCGTAGTAGCCGACCCAACAGGAGCCGAGATACCGAGACATTCATATAGTCCTACAGCTGCTCTTCTTCCGGCGAATCAACCTTTCAAAAATTCCGAACCATTTTGAAGCGAAGCGGCACTGCTTACATGTAGCGGCTCAAATTCTAACAACATCCACATCCTGGCACCATCAAGAATATTGTCTTACGATCCAGTACTCAGAAGTATCACTGTACAAATTGTTTGAACATCATCCAAGGTGTCACCAATACGAGCAATCTGACCAAAATGAGGCATTCGATCGTTGGCACAAAGTGAGTTTCCACAAATCTATTGGCAAGGACTTGCCTGGTGATTCAGCACTTTTGAATTTAGCATCAGCTTGATAGTTGTTTTCAAAGACCATAACAGCAGCCTGAGATCACTATTGGGGAAGTCCACAGCATCCACCCCAGCCGAAGCATTGGGTTCTACAGATGATTCAGCGGGATCTGGCCAATGTGCAAAACGTTCTCTAGGCAAATGTTCTTTTTGTGAAATTGAGAGCATGTCATTTACTATTATTTTGGCTTCTCAAGTGGTTTATCACCAACTGAAACAAGCGCCGATGCACTTGGGCTATCAGTACACGCGTCATCATTAGCTCATTAACCGAAAATTTTGCAATAGCATAGGAAATTATGTTAGGGACTCTCCCAGGCGCAAGAAGCGCTGTGCCATCGGTCGTGGCCAAAACACAGTTAGCATGGTAAACCACACCAACATAACTGGCATTGCAGTCGTTGTGAATGATGCAATAATGTTCGTTATAGATTCATTTGCACTCCGCTTTATTTGACAATTAATTTTGCCAGTTACCAGAAGTCAATGACCTGGTCATATTAATAGCAGTCTCAACACCAACAACTCCATAATGCATCTCCAAGTTAACTAATCCTTAGCGGCGATTCCACCCACTGTATAGTACCTATTCAAGTGGAGCAGAGACTCATCCGCCTTTCACCAAGATATCTCGCATGGAAAACAAAGCAATTTTAGCTTTCACTGAATCGACATCAAGAACAAAACCTGTTTTTGATAGTGGCTTGAACCAACGTACCAAGATGAGCAGCTTTGAGAATGATCTCTCAAGCCCAAATTGTAAAACTGCAACATCAAATAGTGTCACTGATTTGCGGCCGCCAACATTGGCAATTTGCGCCATATCCTGTTGTAGGGAATTCATGAAAAAATATTCTGCTGAGAAGGTCTATCAGTTGGAAAAACGTAGAACAGAGCGACAACATTTTCTGGAACGATCTGCGATAGGACAAAGTCCGTCAGGCGAGCAGAACAGTGGCAGACACCCAAAATCTGATCATAAGAGCCCGCGAAACTGACAACCGCACTATATCTTATTAAGAGGTCGCAGGGATCCTCAATTGCATTTCGTTAGCTGACGTTTGTTGAAGTGCGAATATAGGAATAAGATATCTTCATCAACTAATACATGAATTGTTAGTGTAACAATGGAAAGCCCATAGATATGCATAGATTATCAATGAGTGAAATTAGATTATCTTTATGTATAAATGGAAATGCTGTTACTAAAAGCAGTTAAATAAAGACGGTACTACAACTAACATTTTCAATCTCATATTTTTCGTTTAAAGTTTCGATTCTAAAACTTGTAATAGTACAATTTGGTTTGAGGTTCGTAATTGTAGTGAATGTGACAGTTGATTGTATGGAGAAACAATTGAAGGTCATCGAATATGTTGTTTCCACTCGCTCACAAATAGTAGGTTTGATTTTGATTTGAGCAGAGTCAATGGAATGATTTTAAATCTTTCACGAATGTTTGAAATGCAGCTGTATCAAGTATCTTGGTGAGAATATCAACACCAATGTGTTTGGTATTATAATAACTCAATTCAACGCTGTTCTTCAAAATATCTTTTCAAACAATTTCATACTTATTAATAGTAGGCCTGAATCGAATCAGTGTGTATAATTGAGTTAATGGTGTCACAAACCAACGTTTATCACTATATAGATTGATAACACCCACTGGGGTTTGAATATCATGCGGTATCTATTGCAAAAGTGTTCTGCTTATTATTGTTTTGGTAATGAAAAGACAATCAGCGTCCCTTTATATAATTCTCCACATTTGGTTGCTTCTAGGAAATGCATGAAAACAAGTAACCGTTTATCATCCTGAACGAGTCACCATGATTTTTCCTTAAAGTTATATCCTTGCCAAATTTCTGACACTGACAACTGTTGGCTAGTGAAAACTTTCCCTTAATAGTTTTTGATTGTTTGACATTCAGTCTTATCAGCAATTCTCAAATGAGCCTTTAATAATTGAGTATTATTTTCATAGTTGTAAAATTTTGGGTGGATTGATTGACAAGCATCCTGTTACTTTTTGAAAACGCCAGATAAATGATGGATTGATGCGCCAACTAACTTGTCAGCTTTGACGTGATGTCGACAATGGCATATCATATCAGACTGTAATGGCCAAAAATAGTGATTTGCCAATAATCGAACTACATCTTCAATGATAAATTGTTTGCAGCATTGTTCATTGAGAATCATTTTCTAATGGGCTAGGTAAACGTGGATCCAATTCGTTTAATTGTTCTACTTGCACATCTGATTGAATTCTCTCAATAACGTCATATAAACAGTTGTCTATCTAATATTTATTTGCTCATTATTAGCTCGAAAAATCAAATTTGGACACCCCTTACATTTCATTGCGAAACTGCTCAGAAGTAATGTTGTTTCTTTGTCACTATCATCTTTTGATTTTTTCGAAGTTAAAAGATCATCAACATCAATTGACCCAAAAGAAGATGAGTTGTGGAGGAAACATAAGTCTCACAACGATTGAAAGCAGCTTTTGTTTGACTTAAAACAATTTCTGATTGAATTTGGAAAAAACAAGTTGAATTATTTTTTGATGATGCCCAAGAAAATTGTCTCTAACATTCATTCCAATTATCAAGTTGACACAAACTTCAACTTTCACCCTTTCTACATGGAGCAGTCAAAAATCGATGTAAATATCAAAAATTTAATTTTTATTGTATTGATAATTTAACTATTTTTAGCTAAAGGCGTCCTTTTTTCAGTTAATGGTATTCTATCATTACGTTGATACTTTAAAATTTTTCATTTTTAGTGGTTTTATGTTTACATTTGGGTTTAACACATTGTCACCTTAAAGTATTCTGTTTTTACATTTGAACATTTGCCAATTTAAGTGGCAGCGAAGCAATTGTGATTTTTTGTGATTTCATTAAAGAATAACATCTTTTTGTATAATCACTCATACATTATGTTACCTATTCTTATTCTGGATATTTCACAGTTTACATTAGAAATAATTTTTTTCTCAGATGTTCTTATCTTTGGCGACATTAAATGCGGACTTAATTAGTTATTCTTCGAAATAGGATGTATATTCATGAATAGTTAATGTTCAATCTCAAATTTTAACAATCAACCCTTTAAAGATGAGCGAATCACCATTATCATTCCAGTGATTCTCCTGGAGGAAGATACCTTTAAGAACGGCCATTCAGCAGCGGTAACAAACTTAACAAATGTGATTGATTGAATTCACATGACGATTGTTATCAGCTAATTGTGGCCAATAAGGAATTTTCCAGAAGAATGAACGAATGACAACTTTAAAAGTAGGTCATCTGTTAAAAGATGAGATTCAATATTCAAGACTGGTTTAATAAGTGATTGATTTATATACTAAATATAAAATTTATTCCTATTGTGCAGCTAATAATATAATGTTATTCGATTACATTTGATAATTATTGAATCGATTTATATAAATGAAAATTTTGTGTTCTTTCTATATCACAAATAAAACAAAATTTTCAGATGATGAAAATATCAAGAATGTAAAAAGTAAAATATCCAAAATAACAACACCAATCACAAAAAATGATTGACTTAAGCAACAGAACCCCAATCTTTATCAGTCATTGGTATGTGATAATTGCATTATTTTGGCTGAAATTGGCTAAAGTTCAAATGAAAAAGCTGGAGAATTCTAACTGAAAACATATAGAGTTGATTTGTGAAAACGGAATAACCTTAAACAAATCACAATAACTTTAAATAGACTAAGATAAATCGTAAATGTGAAATAAAATCTTTTTCACAATAATAGGTAAATGATCAAAGAACAAGTAATTACAGTTCTGAAATTCACCTCATTGGTTTAACTCTTGGAATCCACAAGTGGTAACAACAAGAGTTTCGGCAAGGTGGAAACAGGAACAAACGGCAGATCCAATGCGAAGTGGGGAGATTGAAGTTAATTAAAATTGGTTTGTTCACAATGTTGCTGTAAACGGTTTGCAACCATTTGTTTCGTGTTTACGAAAGATTACGGTTGTTTCTTTACTATTTCGGGCTCAGCAGATGTTTGTGCAACAGTCAGTTGCAAATGCGTTGTTTAGTTAAATGCGCATTTCTTGCATTAGAAATTGAGGATCTTCAGCTGGTGGGCTCGTAATGTCACAACGAATAATGATGGAATAATATTAGGTATTTTTGATAGGAGTACATGCTCTTCATCATCCAGAATGGGATTTTTTTAGTTTTGGTAAGCTCTTTCATTATGTTTAATTTGACCTGAGAACAATTCTGTTGGATGATCTGCATGTTGATCTGTAATTAGTGATATTTTGAGTTGATTTAAGTCATCATCGCTTTCAATATTACACCAAATTATTGTTTAGAAATTGTATACCTTTTTGGAAGACTGATGTTTGCCAGGTGAATCGGTAATGTTAATAATTGGACTAAATATCATCATAGATTTCATATCAATATCAGATTGCTTGTGATGAAGCAAGCTATCGATAACTGTAGTTTATGCATAGAATTACTAACAAGTTAATTGGAAATATCTTATTCAAGAGGGACAGCAATCTACTCTGATTTTTTGATTTGTATTGATATAAAGGAATTTGTAATATCATTGTTTAATGGTTAACTTATCTGAATTTCTTCTTCATTATTGGTAGTATTTCAGGCTCAGTTTGACAGTTGAGGTTCAAACCAAGAATGATAGGTGGTTGGAGAAGTGGATGGGCTATTAGCAAGAGGGTTTTCACTTTCAATATGGTTGTTTGTATTAAGCAATTTTTATTCAACCGATGAATTTGACATTATGATACAAACTAACTTGCTGTAAATATTATCCCTGAGGTTTTCGGTGAAACAGACGCAATTTGGTATTTTCAAGAAAGACCAAGAAATTAGCCAGTGATGTTGTTCTGAAAGATTTTTCGTCTAACAATCTGAATAACTGGAGATATATTTGAGCAGCAAATGGATCATTGAGCATTGCATTGTTTTTGGTTTGACTAAGTATCTCTGATGCAGATGGTCTTCTATGATTGATTGGAGTAATCCTGTTCAGATAAATCGAATATTCAAGTCCAATGTTCCAAAATTGATTTCGAACATTAGTAACACTTACTAGTTGGTGATTCTCTTTACCATTTGTTTCTTTGAAATTTCACCTGTTTTGATTTTGAAGGGATGAATATGATGGTGCCTTTTGTTATTTTTGTTTGTCATTGATGCCAAGGTGATTAAACACATTTCTGACGAAATTTTTTTCCACCGAAGAAAAAATTAAAAGTTATTACGTTCGGCCATTTCACTTTAGAATTACTGCTAGCTTTCATTGAGATTCCAAAGTTTGCAACAAGATCTCCATTCCCGGATTCCAACGAACGATATATGTATCACAACATATATTGATTCAAACTACTTCATTTAACGATTTTCATTTAAATGTATTGTGTTTAGACATTTACCACTAGCAATGTTTATTGAATGATATTGCACTTTGACTCAAAGCATTCCTAATTTTCCACTTGAACTTTATCAATTTGAAGTGAAAGTTATTCGATTTTTCCATTTGAACATCAGCCAATTATAGCTATAGTATCGCAATCAAGATCTATCATGATGGCAGATTAGAATATGTTCCTCTGCTTAAATTGCTTCGATTGTAAGAAGAGCTATCCAATTGTAGACATTTTTCGTCTTACATTGCAGATAATTTTTTTTTTGAAACTATCCTTTCAGTTGTGATATCAAAAGCGGACATTCTTTGCCATTTTTCTATATCGTTCAAGACAATATTGAAACCCATGTAATACAAATATATTATTAGAATGAGGGTAGAAAGATATTATATATTTGAACAATTAATCATATATTTATGCAAATCATTTACGGTGTACAATGACAAATTTCATCAAATTTGTATTTTTCATTTTACACTGGTTCTAAATTTTTTCCAAATCTCCATTTCGGCCGCATTGTAGTAACAAAATAGGACTCCCTCTATTCAATCAATCACGATTCATAAGGTCGGAAAAGTTATTAAATGCCGGGTGGTTGCAACTTAGTTGGTCTAGAAGATCATTAATTTCGTTGATGCGGATGAGTTTATTTCAATGGAATTCATGGCGGCAACTAATGTCAAACGAATTCCAAAAGGATTTTTTTGTATCTTTGATGGATTAGTGAAAGCAGTCTTTCAATGCTAAGTAATTTGACTTTATTACGAGTAGGAAGCTGTTGAAATCTTTATTGATAACATACAACAGTATCTCAATGCAAATACGATAGAACCAATTAATATTATAGGACACTTATCAAATCCATCAATTGGTGAATTATTTATCACACAATTTAAAATGTATATTAGGACTGTTTCCGTTCTTTATCCAAGAATTATATAAATTTTTTCTTATGCTGTTCTTTTTACGTTTGAAAGCAAAAATGTTGCGAAATAAATTGGAATCAACGGCTTAACTTGCATCGGATTCGATGCCACCGATCGGATGACTTCTGTATTTAGTATTGAGATTTTCAATCACTTCCATTAATAAAGGAAGAAGGATTGTCAGCAAAATCATCTAAATCAACTCCACGTAGCAATGACTTTGAAGAACCAAATTTTATGTTAGGTAAAGATAGATGGCTCGGCGGTAGCAGGTTGGATGCTACAGCACAATTGACCGAAAACCATGGACGTTTCAATTCTACGAGTCTCCCCAACTAGTTGAGTGTCCTGATGACTTCAACGTTGTTATTAATTATAGTTCAAAGGCGGATTCTGGGGAGGTTAAATTATTTTTTAGTAATTTCAAGTTCAAAATGTACTCCCCTTTGGTTTCGGAGCTCATGTTGCGATTGTTGTTGAGTAAATGAGTGTTCAAAATAAATCCAACAACTGAATCAAAGATGTCAATGTCACGATATTCGTAGAACAGATCGAACTGTTGATGCTGGATGATCAAAAGTATGCAATGCCAGGATTGTTTCAGACTTACCAACTAATATCAATAGTCTCTTAAACTGGCTGAAAATAATTACACAGCAGACTTTGAAAAAAAGAACAATCGACTGACAAAGGTGGGGAGATGTTTGATGAGTGTGTGATGATTAATAAATCACGCTTGCCAATTGCAGAAAAAGTACAAAATGATTTGGTTTTCACCACTGATTGAGATAGGCCTCTACATCACTTTACGGCAGTCGACGTTTTGATATCAAATTAATTCCTAATGCAAAATGTATACACTCCTAGCGATATCAATAGCGCATCAATTAACGGAATTTATGTTGTATGGATCTAAGGAAAGAAGCAATTTCTGAATTTCACAACTCAAATCAAGTGATTATTGAGGAGCGTTTCATTGCTGATTTTACTGACTCAATTAATGCCGCTTATTGATTAATTGGTTCGGAATATAAGTCTAATTATATTGTTGCTCAAAATCTCTCGTTTAAATGAGATCCTGGTGAATGATCAATTGAATCTTTATTAGTATTTTCAACATTACTTACATTAGGAATCACACCATCTCGATCGATCAAAGCTGAAAATCGTTTCAGTAGAGCTATTGCTGGAGCTTTCACCGATGACCCGATTTGAGTGTATGATGCTGCTGCACTGAAGTGGCCGTCCCAAAATAGAGAAACACTGAAAATCAAGAAACAAATCCAACAAGACACAAAAAAAAAAATCGAATGATTAGTTTTAACTTTCCGATGGCTATTGAATTTTCTCATTCAGACATTCGATCCTTTTGCACAACTATATTCCGATGCGTATTAATTGTGTTTTTCCATCGCAAATATCTAAGAGAACCGTAAAGGCTGTTGAAGTCGATCATCCATTTGGTCCTTTGGTGTTCAGTTTAATCATAATGTCAGACAAAAGATTTGCAGCACAGACATTAAAAAAACTTTTCTTGCATTTAGTACAAACGAAAATGCATTGTTTTCATACGCGAAGGTGACCAATAGATTCCGATTAAAATCAGTCTGAACAACGATTCAATTTAAAATACATCAACGAAATAAGATACAAGGAATTAAAAACTTTGCACCTTCAAGCCGTTTCACCAATAATACAAGTACAATAGAATGTACCTGCAGTTTTTCCGTTGATCGTCAACGTTCAATCCTATCCTACAATTGCAGAGCTAAGACACAAGTTATTGAGATGGCTAAAGTATTACACAACGATATTAATAATTTCTCTACTGCATCATCAAATAAACAATTTGATTTTATGTCGATTGCTATCGAGAAAAATAGATCAATGAACTTGTAACACATCCAAAAGCTGCCTCAAAATGAATCAAAGGTTCGCTTCCTCACATGCTCTGCGAAGATTAGTAACAGATTTACGATGCAAGTCAGACCAAGCATGGAAATTTGCAAGCCACCTGGAGAGCATCACTTCATTAAATAAATAAATGATTTCAGCAGAATGCCTGTGTCTAATTGTGAATATGATGATAACTAAAATCAATTGAAATAATCACCCATTGTCAAAGTAGTGGAAGACCACCTACAGGAATTATTCACAGGTAAAATTAAAGATATTGAAGGAACTTCCAAGTCTTCAATGGTCCCGTTTGGTGACGATGAAGCTCTTCTATGGGTGTCAATATGAAAATATATCGATGCAAGACTGCTTGAAGATGCTTTAATAACCTTACAGAAACCCGAAACGTTAGCTGTTAGGGCTAAGAAATGAATTCCATTGAAAAAAATGATTGATTTTCATTAGCTGCACCATCATCCTCAAATGTAGTAAGAAAGAAAAGAATCTTGGAATTCAATGCAATAGACGCAACAAATTATTCATAACGACTTAAGACAAGGAGAGATAGAAAATGATCTTGCAAAGAAGTTGCCCATAGAAATATTGATGTCCATCCTGCAGTGATGAAATATGATAAATTTCGATCAATAAATTGATTAGCCGCAACCAAAAGAAACGATATCGTCCAATTATGTTATGCTGGATCGAGTTGACCGCAACACCTTCTGCAAAAAATGAATATCGGAGATAGGAACGTGAAAGGCTTGGCCTGGCCCATTTATAGTGAACTGGTTTTGAACACCAACCGGCATCAAAAAAAACCGATGATCAATACCGAGAAAACAACTGCAGCTATCCGCTTGGCTTGGAACAATCTTCGGTAACAGAGAAACCAAACCTGAGATCATCGTGTGATGTACGGAATTTCGTTATGAATTAAGCCAATAGCTGCTCCCGATGGCCGATCTGTTCCCTGTGGACACTGCAAAATATGGTTTCCATAAATCGTCACGCGGCCGCAGACAAGTTGGATCAAATTTGAGCGACGTCCATCTACTGATATCCATGAAAAAGTATAGACGATTGTTCTTGCGGAATTAACGGCATTTGCGTCTTGCGGGAAAAGCTTCCTCTCACCCATCCTTGAAAATGAATTCAATGGAATAAATATATGAAAGCGAAGCACGCTGAGCAAAACGGCAGCCCAACTCATCGGAAACGGACACATGCCACTGTGACCTACGGGATTTGACCGGTAACAGAGATTGAGAGTTGGCTAGTACCCGCTTAGAAACCAAGTGTGGGTGGACGGGAGGATCCCAGCAGGCTCCCATATCCGAAAACCGACGTCACACATTAGGGATAATTAAGCGGAATAATGTCCAGAAGCTGCAGGGGAGCGTTAGGGTTCGCAGAACAGTTTCCAGGTGCTGGTGCGAGACATCAATTTAATGGTTCTCATGACGGGCGCCTGCAGAGTCTTGAAATCAGAACCGCGGCCCTGTAATTGAGCACATCTTGGAGCGCGTAAAATAGGTGTTTCTCAATCTCTGGCAAGTGCGAGACATTTCAATCAGGTTAGGGACCCTTCAAACCTAAGTGCTTAAAGTGTTCATTAGCCTTGTCGGTGAAGAGCGCTACCCGGGGAGCATGTTATTTTGCTTTTCGCGAACAGCAGTTGCTGTGAATCGCATCTCAGGCTCCATCCATAGACTACTATATAAATCCAAACACAAAACTAGTACCAAGAATTAAGAAAATCAAAGAATAAAAATATCAAAAAATAATGAGAGCATTTCAAAGTCACTGTACATTACAATTCCTACATATGCGTCTCTGAACGAAACCAGAAACTTTTAACTCGATGAAACTGGTAAGGATTGCAAAATCAATATATCCTCAGTCAGTCAAATAGATGATTAACAATACTGAGGCAAATGTAAGGGGAAATCCGTTTAACAATAATACTCAAATGATCCCAAATTAACGTAGACACCGAACTAAAATGAAGGTTAGTTCAATCCCGCATTCAATTCATTTGGATATATGACCGATGGGAGGCTTAGCGCCCTATGAAACAAATCGGCCTCATTGATTTTAGTAGCATCCCTTGAAATGGTAAAAGCCCCATCGCACGACTCTTTTATAAAGTATTAGATGAATGATATACCTTATCAGGTTTTGAGATTTTCAGGATGGATAGCCGCGATGATAGCAGTATTGTCACGTCAATACATCAATTGATTATCGACGTTTCAAACAAGATAGTTGAACGCCAGGACTAGAAACACAGGACTGTTGACGGCGTCATTGATTGAGTTAGATGACCTTTCGGATGTGAGTATGGCCACAAAGGCCTGCATCATGGGGTCCCAAGATGCTGGGGTGGAAATAATGAGATTCCTATTACGATCCAGCTGATTTTTGATGAGCAGATTGTCAGGCCCAATCTCTGTTGGTGGAGACAAATAACTCAATTGATGAGATAGCATTGTAACCAACAGTTAATTAGACTGAGTGAAAATCCCTTGTCACCTATTTCTCTCAACATAAATGAATTAAGCATGGAGAACCAAGAAATCCAAGGCGTATAGTAACCAAACGGCAGTAGCTGATTGGTTCGGTGAACCCTATGCTGGAAGATGCAACGAGCCAACATTGGATCCGCAAAACAGTAATTGTTTTCCATCTGGCTCAGGGCGGACTCATGCAAGTACCCCCTTGTATGAGGTAATCGTCCATGCTGTTGCCCGCTATTCAGACAGATCCATTTTGACGTGCTGACCGATCGGTCTGTCGTACGCGTCGATAAGTACGCAAATTCGTTCCTTACGTTGAGCAACCCCACCCCCAAAAACCGCCCAGTAGTCATTTCTAGGTGTTATACTTTGAGCAATCAACTGACACATCATAAGAGCAGCTTCACCATTGATTTTCAATATAGGAGTTTAACTAAATCATCAGCACACAATGGAAGCATTCAGCGGAGCTAATTTTTGAAATGAGATTGGCAGCATCACAAGGTGAACCCCGTGAAAATACAAACTATTGAAGTGAATTAAGACTCGTCTTGTCCCATCGATGAACAGACTCCTTCAGTACATAAATTGACTTGTGCGCCTTGGAGACTGTCTGAAGACATTCAACATTAGCGAATTCGGGGCGCCGCTTCCTGTAGATTTCAGCATCGATAACAGCATAATCGAATGCGGTTCTCCTATTATATTGATGATCCTTGAACGGATTTGTTGGTGCAACGGCAGGAACTGATCACACAATGGCGTTCCTAATGACTGTAATAACTCTTTCAGTATATTCAATACTTTCTAGATGAGAGAACCCTAACCATTTAGTGCGGCATTAGAAATTGTACAAGTTGATGGTCAATATATTGCAAATGAGAATGGATAGGAAACAGAAATATTTTCAATTTCAAAATAAATGGCATGCGATTACTATTATGGGCATTGCTTGAAACTATATTCAAAAGGAATTTTCCACATTGGTTCAGCTGAAATTGGGTTAACAGTGGTAGTGGCAATAATGGCGCAGCCAAACATGTTAGTGCAAATCTCGTTTTGGTGGTATTTATTAATTTGTTGGAAATCCATTTTACTACAGTTTCAGAGTGTCCATGATTTTCTTGATGATCTTTGCTGCTTTCAGCAACGAGGTCCATATCTGATTCAGCACCAGTGATAACAGCAATATCTGACGAATATACCAACGGATGCTGCAGCTCTTTTCGAGTTAATTTCATTGTGATCCGCATTATTGTTCACTTCATCTTTTGAGGTGATGACAATACGTATCTCATTCACTTTCGAGTTTCGTCTCAAGGATCGTCTGAAGGAGATGGAGCTGTGTTATCGTTCCCATTGGTAGCAGTGGGCTAATTTGTTTCAACAGCAGCAGCGGCGTTGGCTGCAGTTCCAACGGCTGATGAGAATTTTGGTTGAAGAGCATCTGATGATCAATCGTTGATCGAAAATTTTGTTCATTCGTAGGAGACAAAGAATTGACAACATCGCAGCTGATATTTGAATTATGCACTATTTGCGCAACTGTACCTTTGTTGCAGCCTAGAAGAAAAAAGGAGACACGTGCCTCAGCTAACATGCTTCGCTTGATCTATGTGGGGATGGTGTCAAGCGCATGGCATCCAAACAAGTTAGACAGGGCATCTCCTAACCTTCACTCATAAAGAATTTGAACGAGGTAGTCAACAGAGGTGGACGTTTGGGGCAGAACAAATTCATCAAACAGAGTGCACACCTGAGTGCTTTGTTCTGAATGAATGAAAAAGTATTTTCCAATAACGTTGTCCTCCCGATTGTGATCATCTGCCACTGCCATTGTTTGCTCACCGCACTTTAATAAGGCTCATAAAGAACAGATGTTGGTTATTTTATTTCATTAGTTTGCGAATGGTATTTCAGAAGCTTGGATGCAAACAGCGTATGAGATCTGGACGTATCATCGGTCTCATCCAATAATCGATGACCAAACATCATATAATATATCAACGGCGCATTTGTCATCAACATCTAGTAATTTCAAATGCAGCATCATTTTAGAGTAACCTTCAACAATGGTGACAATATTGAATCACTCATTAAACCAGAACTGCGATTCGCAAACCAGTTTTGAACTTGAACAAACCCAAGAACAGGAGTGGTGTTGCAACCATCCGATATTGTATTAATTTTGGTCAGTTTTTCGCTGCGGCTAGCCTCATACTGTGACCCACCAATAGCGGCAATACCATTGTTGATCCTTAACTCGTTTACAACTGTCTCTGCTTCATATCCTGAACGTTGATGAACCTTTGCCGAAATAGATCAAACAGCAGATTGGGAAACGATTGAGTCATTCAATGTTGAATCTGCTGTCTTGCTAGCTAGTGCACCGTTGAGAACAGGACAAAATTCATTCTAAGAAACCAGTGCCACACTCTGTGTTGCTGCTGACTTTGAATTCAATTTTGATCCATTGGTAGTATAAAAATCAATTTTCAAATAGTTGAGCAATTGAGGTTTTCCTAGTAGCATTACGGCTAGCATCAACGATAGTGACACTAATAGGACTTTTCAGATTTGAAAGAGGAGTTATGTCGGTGACCCAAACTGGGTTTGCATATCAACTTTAGTGGCATCCAGAATGGCCTCAACAGCAGAAGCGTGGGGTGCAACCGGTCCGCCGGCCGGAGCTGGAGGTCGGGCTAACGCTTCCATGCCTAATGTGCATTTTTGTCACCATCTCTAACCCAAGTCTATCCTTCTGGACAGAGTTGGTGTGGCACCAACAAGCAGCAAAGAAAATAATTGAAACGGAATCAGCATTGGAAACAGCAAGAAGTGTGAAAAAAATTCTTTGATGAATCATTTGTGATCCCCCTTATTGGACAATGCAGCTTTCCGTTTGCAAAAAAAAACAGCGCGTCGAAGTAACAGCAGGTTCATCACCAATAATGAAATTGATCGTCTGCATCTTTACCATTTGATCACGGCCAATTCAACCAATCTATAACACTTCATCCAATACAGCAGACACAAAGTAGCCCTGATTCGTCGCCTGGCAAACTGGTTTTAACGCAACATTCAATTTGATGAATAAGGCTTATCACAAAAGATAGACACTGCTTTGCTAACAGCTACATCTAAAATTCAAAATTGAGCTGCATTGGATTTCAAGACAAACGCCAAAGATTTGAAGTTAGCACCACCCATTTCTTTCTTTGAGTCTTGCGAAGCTGATTGGGAAATCCGCTCATGGTCTGTTGTGGCGAGTATATCATAGTATGTTAAGCTGAAAGAATATATGAAAATGGCGATCGTGGATCATATCGCCAGATCGGCTATTGAAACACTGTGATAAATCTGAGTGGTTACCTGAGCACTCCGGAAGCCCAGCGGAAAAAAGTGAATTTTACGTCCGGTGGTGACACATCAAATGTCAAGACCACTATCACGATTTGGCCAATTGACTACGCAGATTTTCTGATTCTCCCGCCAGATCTTTTACGAAGAAACAAATGAATGGCAATGAAAAAGTGGATTCAATGCTTCAAGGAGGCCGCACTCGTGCGGTTCAATAAATCTTAAACGGTTTTCAAAGGAAGCTGTCGCTTCTCTTGATGATTGATAGATCATTGAATGGTCAGTAGCTCCACTTGCTTAATATACAATTCTGTTAATGATCTACCAATTGCTGAAAAGGGAAATGCAGTTACTCGTAAAGCAAATACATTTCTTAAGAGCCACTTCGAACAGATGAAAATGCGATCCACAGGTCAGAACCTTGGAATTATTATTCAGCAGGACAAATCAAACCTGCAATTCTTCTTTGAATGACGTTACAGACGAGGCTCAATCGTTTAACCAAGTGGAATTCCTAATAATATTAAAATCATTTTAGCAAACTGATTTGAAATGTATGTTGAGCCACAATCCGTGCTGATGGTGATCAGTCAAAATATCGATCATCATATGCTACTTTAGCAATCAAGGATAGTAGTCTGCGCAATCAAATTTCATTCGCTGCAGCAGTTCAACAAAGATAGATGGTTCGTACATTGAAACAAGTTCATTCAGGTGCTTGCAGAGTGTTGCGACAAGTTTAATACCCAAAAAACTATTCCATTCATTAATTGATTGATATAACTCAAATGAATCGTACTGATTTTACGATTCTTCACGAAACAGAGTACGTGAGAATCTATGACTATTCCGTGGAAGTACTTACACTGTTACCAGTGGTTACTGACAGTCCATTGTCAAATCAAAATTACGCGAAAATAAATATATGTAGATTCTAGGCATTTATACATGGCAAAATGTTTTCAAGAATATGAGAGATCCCATCATATGTTGCGCTGCAATCTCCTGAGGCACATTATGTTGCGTTCGCTCAAAAAATGAAAAGTAGATTTTGTTTTCGTAACATATGAAGAAAAGCAAGAACACTAGTGACTTTTATTAATGAACTTGCAGGTAATCATTCTTGAGCGACACTTTTTTCTCATGCTCATACTGATAGTCGATCAATGAATATCTCTTTTGAATATCGATTTATTGCTGAACATATTTCTTATTACCAATTAATCCTCGGTAATTTTGACACAAAATACAACTAGTCCCACGCTCTACCCAGCTAGTTGATAGCACTAAATTTCAATCTGTTGTTGAATTATTGAGTTTGTTGCACTGACTTTGATTTAATTAATATCAAGGTTATAATATGTGGGGAAGTGTGAAAAAAAATAGTTTAACTACTATGAATCCTTTTTATAACATTATTTGCGACATTCATTGCACCAACCAAGTTGGGAACAACATCAATTACTGCAACTTCTATGCCGCAGGATACAAAAATTGTTATATTTATTAACAATTATAGGCATAATATTTTCAGAAATTTATCTCTTTCTACTAAAATGTGTTCCGTTGTTAAATGTAAACTTAGGTTATTGTAAGTCAAAATTATACTAATTTTATTTCATTATATTCTCATTTTACTTGATTATATTTTATTTTCACATTTGAATTATTTCTAACATTAGTTTAGGTAACCCAATTATCATCTTTTTTGTTCTCACTACGTCATCCATTTCTTTCATTAGATTCATTTATTCCATAATTGCATATCCTGTTTTAATTATTTCACCTTTGACGTTGTTGATAATTTCTTCCATTTAAAATTACGTTTCATCTGGGATATAAAAGCACAGTCAATGCTTTAGTTCTCTAAACAGTTGTTATCACTACCGAGAGCTACATAGTATATATCTATTATCAGAATCACGACCTAAACAAAGTAAACACTCAGCGATCTTAAAGAATGACTTACCGAAATCACTTGAAATATTCAATCACTCATTCTCACTGATTTACATTGTTTTCTCTGCACATTAATTCTATTCTTTTCAGATATCCACATTGGCCTCAATGCTTTGAAAAGAAGTTATTGGGTCAATTTAATTCTCCTTCGTAATGTTTGAACGGGTGCTCAATGGCTGTTGTTTAGAACTTGAATCACCCAGCGGATTACTAACAACGTTAGTCCTGATATGATTTTCTTAATCGTATTTATGGTTGCAACTGATGTCAAACAAACTCGAAAATGATTTGCTGCTGCTGATAGAGCATCAATGTAGGTTCCAATTTAATTGAATGTATTTGGAAGCTATGAAAAAGACAATGGTGAGTCTTGTTCACTAAAGTGAATCAAGAAGTTGCCAATCAAAGAAAATAAGTGAACCTTAAGCATTTTAACTTCTTATGAAATCCGTCAACTAATAATTGAAATGAAAAAGCGTTTATAAAAAAAAATAACTTGTTTTTAACGGGAGACCAAAGGTATAGAAAGTTAGCACCTTACTTTCTTTTCTTAAGATCGAGGACGTAGTTGTTCGCAAATATTTTTGAAACAATTCTTTTGCTGGCAACTCATTTGATGTCACCAAACAAAGGGCATCTCTATGAACTAATGACAATCATATAACCGCTAATAAGCTAATAGAAACGGGATTCTGCATAAGATCATCAGAAACGATTAGACTGAGGATTGAATTTGAAACAGGCAAAATTCTGCTACTAAAAGTTAAATGCTTCAGCTGCGCTGGTAATGGTCATCAAAGCGGCAATTGTAGAGTTCGAAACTATTTTCAATCTTTGGTGTCTACCGACTTACTTGAGTGTCCTATCGATTTCGACGATTTTATTAAAATTATGTAAAGATCAAATTGTGACGAAGCTTAATGCTTTTACAATCAGTGCCACGTTCAACATTTTCTTGATTCAGCTGCAGCAGCTAATTTTGTAAACAGTGATAAACTATTAACTGATCAAGCTATCCAAATAGATTAATGAGAGCGGTGATTGGAAACGAATTTGCACATGAAACAGAACTATTCAAGTTGGTCGTTTAAAATTATGAGATGTCAAGCATATTCCTATGTTTCCGTGAAAAATCTTTACTTAAATTAATCTGGCTCAGAATCGTAACACTGCTAAGATTCAAAGAACTCAAATACTCATAGACATAGGCGGAGTGATTATTGCAATTATAGAGAAAGTCAAAGAGTTGTAGTTGTTTTGTGCATAGCAGCACAAAGTGATTTGCTTCAAGATTCCGAGAGTGGTTTGCCTCCAAATCCCAAGAAGCACGGTAGTTGACCATGTATATAGCTCCAAAACATCAGCAAACATGAATAGACTTTTCGACATATTCAAAGTGCGTAAGAGAAACAAGACAGTCGATTTTCGGTGTTAAATACATCCGACCTCTCGAAATTCCACAATTGACATCAGTTGGGCATTCCGCGGGGAACCTTTATTGATCTAGTTGGTCTGATTGATGGCGCTTATTAATAAATTGTCAGGGAACATATATCGATTTTTATTGTTGGCCAACTATCATGTTCAAATCAGAAGCAACTGAAACAAAAAATAAATTATTATTAATGTTTGAAACTTTATTCACTTTAATGGACACATCACTCTTTGTTATCATGACACATAATGAATTCACTAAATATATGTGCAATAGATTCTGCAAAGACTAATGTTTCAATCTTAAAATCACTTCACCTCTTTCAACTGTTCTAAATGAAATACCAAAGAACTATAACGTGCTGGTTGAAAAAAAAATCAAAACAGGGTATGATTGACTCACTGGTCTAAATCAACATTGGAACGTTGCAATTAGACATTCGATAATGTTCAACAATTATATTCCAATTAATGATGATTTTAGACGTTTGCCGAAATTGGGAGAATATCGAAATGCGCCCTCAGGTCAATGCGCCATTTACCATTCAGCTGGCTGTCTCCAATCCATTATGTCAGACCAAAGAATCTTATGAAAGACATCGACGGTACATTTCTTCGTTTAATTTTATGAAACTAAATTGTTTTCATGCTAGAACAATACCTCCAAAGGAAATGTCACAGCTACCACTTGCCAAACTTTCAATCACACTTAACCATCTGAATCAAATCATTGAGTCCATTTCAAAACGTTAAAGGCCGAGGCTGTTTCATTATCGCTTCAATATCCTCCCCGCAAACCTATCATCATTCGCGTGATCCGCCACTGTAGAACTCAAGCCGCAAATGTATTAGTAATAGACAGACAATTAAAGCAGTGCACCGTTAGGCAATGGTATCAATCGTTTTTCAATAAAAATTTCAAATGCAACGCTATAATCAATTGCGGTGGCTGCTATTGAAGCAATGATGAATGCCTTTAAACTAATCCAATAGGTGAATCAACATTAGTGTATAGGTTGCTTCCTATAAGTCGATCGGATATTGATTTCATACCAATCAACAACTCATATCAACTATCAGCACGGCCAAATCACCTGCAAATCGTCATATCTTCTGTTGAATATGTAATTCCCCAAAAGTGTTTTTTCTAACAGTAAAATTGATGATATCATGATGATAACAAAAGGATGACTAACTTTTGAAAAACATCAACATAACCACCACCGATGACTACTCCGGTCAGACTGAGTATATTGAAGGAGCATCCAACCACACAATGGTTTCCTTTCTTCACAAGGAAGTGTGTTAGTTGGTATCAAATACAAAATCTATCAGTCCAACGTTCTTCTCAGATCTTCTACAAGCCCACCTACATGAAAACGGTTATCTGATATTGCAAAGGAATTGAATGCATTTGAAGAAGGGGAGGGATATTTATTAGTTTCTCCATCAGCAGGTCAACAGAAAAAGGTCAAAGAATCACTTGCATTCAATCCTCAGCTTACAACTTGCCGCTTTGGACGGTCTAAGAAACAAATAGATGCGACAATACCTTTTGAAGAGCGTGGCCAAGGCAATGGTTCTGATTTTGATTCATTTACAAAATATGATAAAATAGGATAAATGCTTTGCTCAACCGCCATATCCTTCTACAATAGCCGCCAACTGGATGCCATCACTGTTTTGATGAACGGACCTTTTGATTATGCATAGTATCTTGATCTTCGTTCTGGAGTATTTACATTAGGAGATAATGACTGGAAATCGAAACACCGTTGCCCGATCTCATGCAAGCCCTATTCATTTCGATTATCACACTCTTGATCATTGTTGGTCCTACCAATAGCTAGGGTCAAAATTTTTTGTCCCACGTTTGCTGCAGTATTGAAGTAGTTTGGTATCTTTATATGTTGATGTAATTTCAATTGCTGAACATGCAAAAAAAATAATTCATCTGGTAAATCCATTATGTTTCCGTACCCTTGCAATGAATGATTTGAAAACTGCAAGTTCTTTCATGGAAAGATTGTGCAGCAAACCAATAAAGAATAGCAAGTTTGTTTAAAAAGTTCTAATGATAAATTTGAGTTGCATCTCCAACTGCACTTTTTTAAAAAATTAGAAACAGCAGTAGGCAAAGGGTTTCGAGTCAATTTTCAATCGACAGACATTGGTGCGAATCATTAATCCAACTATAGATCATTTGATGTTAGTTCACTGTCTATGACTGATTATGTTGCATGTGATATTTCAAATTCAAAATGATTTTTAATATTGGGCGATGCATAAAATGTAAATGTTGACGTTTCGTGATCTTGGTAACATCAATAAATCAGAGAAATACATGGAAAAGACAAGGATTGAAAATAATTGAATTTGCTGTCTTCCCAATTCTCTAAAAGTTGTAGTCTACACTCTATTTTCATGAAAATCAATGGAATCAATTTACTGGCTTCAAAATTTTTGGAATCCAGCTGTGTCATTCATTCTGGCAATAACGACTCAATGGTTTGATTTGGATTAATTTACATGTGGTTAATCTGCTAATTGAAATCCAACACTGAGATAAAGAGCAATATAACATCAATATTGTCGGATTGGTTGTGACTATGTGAATGAAAAGAAAATGATGACAATGTATGGTTATTACCATATAGAATAATAATAGCCGCCCGTACCTTCAGCTGCCCTAGTGTGCTTTGGATGATTAATCCACTTGCCGTAGGTTCTGCGATGAATTATTTTCAGCAATTTTGGAAAGAGAACCCATCATGACATTAATGTCAGGAAGTCCATGAGTGCATGATAACGTTTAATCATATAAAGAAGCAACTTTGCCTTTTGCGTGTGATTTGTCAGTAGCCATTCAGTGTCTCTAACATCTGTTAATTGCAAAGATGTTAGCTAAAAATGACTTCCGATTGTTTGATACTTGGATTGTCAAGAATTCAGGAATTAGTATTGTGTATTAAATTTTCTTACTTTAGTTTCCAATGCCCAAGGTTTTGATTCAACGACTATTATACCACTTACAGTGCATCAGATGAATGGCCTTTCGATTGATTCGCCTAATCTCTGCTTAGAAATGACGACTCAATGAAAATATTCTATCTCACAATATTAGCCGTAGATGGGTGACGTTCCATCCAGTTGAGCTATACTTCAATGAATCAATTGAATCAATTAATATTGTTTCAACAACATTTTCATATCCTTTAGTAACCCAGTGCTGATAATTGTTCTAATTTTAGCACCTGCAAATCCGATTGAGTCATCATAATATTATCTTCTAAACATATTTTGTATCAATTAGTATTTGCCCCGTACAGATTGGAATGATCTTTGCTGGACATCCCTTAAATCGCTTTGCAAAGTCCTTCTTATTTATTTTTGTTGGCTGATCAATTTCATTTTTTGTTTTCGCAGCACCTTGGATTGGATGATCATTGTTATATATCATAGAACTTGGATTGTAAAGAATCGTGGTTTATCAATGATTGGGAGTTTTTGCTGCTACCTTTAAAACACGATGGAGTGCTTTGAACGGAGTCAAGGGGGCGGGTTTCGAACTGTACAATCTACTTTATATATGGCAACCCTCGTCCTTTAATCTAACAGTTCCAGCAGGGAAACCAAAATCCGCTGGATTTTCACTAGGTTCATTCTTGAGATACCCCTCGACTCCCGATTGGCAAAGAATTGTTTTTGCGGCAAGGGGATAATAAATGCCTTCATGTTAATGTATCAAATATTCCAACTTGTTCATAAATATCAACACAGTTATGGCTGATATATTCACGATTTTATTTTCGACGAAATATTCGCCTAAACCGCAACAACCGAAAGTTTGATGTTAAACTTTCGATAACTACTTTCCTTAGTGATTATTTTCTCCAACTTATTTTTGTGTTCTTAATAAAAGAACAGCTGTCTCGTCTATTGAACTGATTTTTTCGGGCGAAGCAGACGACCAACTTGCTATTGGTCGGGTTTTTAGAACATCTAAGAACATTGTTGTAATGACGTACTTTGATGTTGATACCAATTTATGTGGTTCATCATCATCCAATAGATCATTGAAATTTGGCAGGCTGCATTAATGAAATTATTTTCACTTGTCAATGGTTGAGCTCGGTGTTCCTGATCATATTCAAAAAAAGCCATATAATTTTTGATGATTCACGTTAGCCTGATTTTCACTAATAGACAAGCTTTTTTGTGATAAAAATGTATTTTGCTACGTTGAAATGATGCTTCGTAGGCAGTGTGGTAATTCTCACCATAGGTGGCAGTCTCCTCAAAATTATTCATCACTATCAGATAGAGTGTCAGGATTGAATCCTTTGATTAATGTTAATCCACCAATTAGATTTGTGACCAACCCATTGGTCATAATTTCATCACTGAGAGCAGCATCGACCACTGATGTCTTATTTGATGTTGTACTCAAGGAATTACTATTATCACTGTTTCATGGATCCAGTCATATCAGTATTTCTTTGACTATTAATAATTTTGCAGGTTGAGTTCGACAACTGAGGAAAAAACCGCAGAGAGTAAGGATGATGGAAAAACCCTTAAATAGTCAATGAAACGCCTGGTTGATTCAATGTCTTCAACCGGGATCTCCATCATTCATTTATATAGATTTATGTGATTCATTGCTTGGAATGGAATTGATCAGAAGGTTTCTTTGCAGCTCTGCTCTAAAACAGAGCAAATGTTTTTGATGAATTAACAAAAAGAATTGCACATATGATATCTCTATCAAACAACTTCCTTTGTGTTTGCGATTCAAATATACATGCATAGCCCTAAAGCAGCTTTGATTCAATACTCATAATGGTGTGCGACGCATATCGAATCAAGACTGAAATAAGCTTCTCATCGCAATATAGTTGGGCGATAAGAACGAATGTCAACATGCAAAGCTCCAATAATGACTTGGAACATTGGGGTCACTTCCCCGTTCGGTTATTTTCTTTTCGCTATGTTGTTTTCATTTGTCAGCGTTTTCTTCCTATCTTGATCGATGACGCGCAGTTATATGATAGAAGGAAAGCCTGCTTTGTGAAAAAATGGTTGAAGTGATTCTTTCGAATTCATTATGAATTTTGAACACCCAAGGGGAGATTTCGGTTTTCTGACGAAGTATTCGATGATTAATATTCATTCAATGACAGACGTGGTTACATGTTATTTTATCTTCATGATTTGTCCATTAACAAAATTGAGACCATGTTTCTTTGAAAGTGATTTGACTGGACCACTTTTTGGACCAACCAAGCAGCAGAGAAACAACCAATTTTATAATTTGTTTGGATACTCAATTTTTGAGCATTGTTTGTTGGTTGCAACAACTGATGAAGGTTCAAACTTTTTCAGTCGCCTTTAAATATCCGTAGAAGTGTACGCAATCTTGGACAAGACGCTCATTTGATTGACAACGTAGCGAAAGTGGTTCATGTGAATCTCATCCAAATCGTTTATATCGATGTTAACCAAATGACTGTGCACTTCATTTCGAGTAAGCAACCATAAAGGACTGATATTCTCACAGTGGCGTTACTCACTCCATCTCTGTAAATCGCAACTTTGTTTTCGTCACTGTGAGCTAGCTTTGTACCGTGTTTTGCCCAACTGTCCTGAGTAATGAGTTTCATTGGTGAATTTGAACTATGGTTGAAATCGGAAAATAATCAATAACCAACGTCATCAGTTCTTTCTGTTGGACACATATCCACCCCATTGGCCGCTTTCATTAGTATGGTTGGTTTTTTTGATCACTGAATTAATTAACCGTGATTACATCATTAGATTTTACAACAAAATCAAAATCATTTTGAGCTTGCAAATACTCATCAATCTAATGAACATCCTCCGAATTTGAAGAGGATTCAAGCTGAATCACAATCTTGAACTTATCACGCTTTCGATTAATTGAATTTCTCAATGAAATTTACATCGGATCTGTCTTCTGCATTCTCTGCTGCAAAGAAGGACATCATCACTGTTGGAGCAGTTGGCTTTAGCAAACATAATCTTTTCTTCCCGGAACTGATGGCTCGCTCTCATTGATGGTTAAGAATTTGATTAGAACGCAAGAATTTCAATTTAATAGTTTCTCTGTTCATGTCATAAATTTCTACAGATCCTCATTCGATTGGTAACATTCTCAAATGAATACACTTAACTATCTACAAACGTGAGTTTCTTACAACGATTTTTCAGATTCATCCCAAGTATCAATTGTACAGCAACACCTACAGTTTAATAATGTCACATAACCAATTAAACAATTGATGTATATATCAAAGCTACATCAATTATTTTCTTTCTATCTTTATTTTTTTTTTTTGAAGTTCATCTATTCATATAATCACTTATTATTTTTTTTACTGGAATTGGATCGGTGTTATCCTTTACATATTGTCGATACATTTTGAGTGATATTGTATTTTCCCACTTCAAATACATATGAATCTAATTACAGTTACGTTATTCACTTTTGTTATGATATCATTAAAGATTATTCTCATTTCTTAATATTGTCATTGAATAAATTTCCAACTGCTACTCTGCATATTCTGCTTTAGATAATGTAGAAAATTTGGTTTTCTCAACTTTACCTTCTATTTTGAATATAAAAGGCGGAGGTATTGTTGATGTGTTTGAATACATTTTATAATAAGCAAAAGCTATATAATATATATTTTCTATGATCAATCCGAAGCAAATCATCCATGTTACATGATATATTATTTCTTGTCTTTTGTCAATGATTTCAAATTGGCAAAGACATAATTTTAATAAAGATGAAATGAGGCCCTTCCTGAAAAACCGATTCAATGATATTTTAAACCACATTTCATTTCTAATTTAGGCGGAGCGGCTTCCAAAGCATTTGATTGAATCGCTTGATGATGACCAGACGCAATAATAATTATTGTTTCCAATGCTTTGTCAGTTCACTGAATGGATGATGGATCTATTAACAGTTTAAGACACGTACGTCTTCAAATTTACCTTAATTGTCAAGTTATTAATTCCCCTGGTTTAGATGCTCCATACCATTGTCTGCATAATACTTTCAAATAACTTTGAGTTGTCAAAATGTTATGCCTAACCCCCCACCAATTGCTGCAAATCTTGCTTGGAACTGGATTGACATCACTAGCACTGAGTCACCATATAATATTTAACTCAACTGTATAAAAATAGTTAGTGAATTGCTTCGTGATTCGAGTTTCTAAGAACGGCTTTAGAGCACCAGCCCCAAGGAAATTAATGTTGTATCATTCAATTTCACAACAGATGTTTTCGAAGGTATTTGCCACTAACGGTGTCCTTAAAAGGAAACTCAACTATTGTGCATAGTAACGATCGGAAAGCTGTTGAAATTCGCAATTAAATATTGAGCATTGATTTTGTAATTGACTATCATAGAATTCGTGCAGTCGCTTTCATCCCGTCTCCAGTAAGGAATCTGCCTTTCATATCTTTGAGGTTTATTGACTGTTCAATCGCAATAATGAATTTCCTTCTGCTTTTTATTCGTAGATCAACGGAGGGATGTGAAGAATGAATGAATCTCGAGTGTAAGGAAAGTACTATTTTGAATGCTGTAAAGCATTCATCAGCGTTGCAGGATTACACAAGACGAATACCATCTCATGAGGCCATTCAAGATCCTATTGGCGTGTCGTTTACCGACGTTTGATTGATTTCAAATGTCAAAACAAAGTAACTGGATGTGAAAATAGGTCAAGTGTAAACGTTCTTATTGAATGACGTGACGTAGAAATAGTGAAAGTTATAAAACTATTCATAGTTGATCTACTCATAAATAGAGCAATTGCTTAAAGCCTGGGATGAAATAATTGAAGAACTCCATATAGTCCAACACTTGCGAGTTAAAATCGGTAAGTGAAGTAACTGAGAAATAAAACATTTGAAGGTTGCCCAGTTCATTGATGTCACCTGCTCACCAAAGCAATTAGCTGTCAATCAAATGCAGACCATTCTCAGAGAGATTAACAATTTAAGAAGAAAGGAAACAACATCAAACTCATCAGAATTATCCCAACTAACCAACGAGTTTAGGGCAGCAAATCTGATGTTCACTTCCGTCAAAACCTTCTACTGCTGTAATTTTGATAGTTATAGCCAATGTTGCAGAGAACAGCCGAAATACCTATCATAAACCAAAATTGAATTGTATGACCGAGGTGAAAACATTAATGTTGTCATTGAAGGGGAGCACGATCAAATTTAGAGAAATGTATTTTCTTGATGATCATTTCCCTGGTAAATACAATTTGGATTTAGATCACCCACTCATGATGTAAGCAGCGCTGAACTATTGAATGATGAATCAGATTCGAACTTATTACTCACCGGTTTAGAAGGACACGATATATCCCCACAGCTGAAACTACTGCTAATGATAGTTGTTCGAGTTATACCATGTCAAGCCCATTTCAGAGTCCCCTGAACTCTGATCAGTCTTCTTGAATTGGCTGAAAATGGATACTATCTTCACTTTCGAGTAATTCGGACTAACGATTGACAAAGAAGCAGTGCCCATTGCTGGATGTGAAAAAGACAATAGATTAATGACCTGATCTGCGAAGTAGTGCAAATTGATTTGGGCGTCAACACTAGATGTGATCTGCTTCAAGTTCACTTGACTCATGATCAATCAACTATTAATCAATTTGTTTCCATACCCACATTTTAATTTACGTTTCTTGATATTGATAGCCCGTTAAATAATTAAGGATCTTGTTCCTCGATTCAAACCGAGCACTGCTTTCAAAAATGATCAACCAAAAACGAGTAACCTCTCGGCAGCATATGTCTGCTGATTTGGTGTGTTCCTTTATTGGTACTTCTGGAATAATTGATAGAGAAAGTACATTTGATTTTATTTTTGGTCAAATAATTTTGATAATATCAGAAGCAACTGCATTCGATAGTTGAATCATTGATAATATTCGAAATAATATTCTTTTTTTCAAACAATTGAACTATTTTTACGATGAGACACAACGGGTCCTTTGCTGATGGTTGTAGGAATTGCAGGACCGAGTGTGATTACATCTATTATATCATTGGTTCCCACTATTCACCGTTTCTAGCTAAACGAAAAGAAAAATCGAACAATAAAATTGAATTGCAATTACGGCACAAAATGTTTGACTCTGTCATTCGTAATCAGAACTGCAAAATTCAATCTCGCCATGCGATCCGCTTGCTCTATAGAAACAATTTAATATAAATCATGAATCAATTTGCAATTATTTGGTGAAGGCCGGATAAATCAAGAGGTCGATGCTGTTTTCTCTGCTCAGATCCCTTGATCCAATCACAATGGGCAACAATATAGTTACTTGAAAGCAACTAATGGTACGTTTCTTGGCTTCACTCATGATAAAAAATTGCATTTACTACGGAGAACAGGTCACCAACCTTCTCCGAAAAAGATCAGTTGGAATAATGAAGAAATTTTTCCATCTAAATAAAATGATCTATTACCTGTTGGAGAGACATTAAAGCTTCAAGCGGTTTTGCAAAATATTTAATTGCTTCATCAACGGCCAATCATTCATCGATTGATCCAAATCTGTCTAACTTAACCTGCATAACTTTTAATAAACTGAAAATGCATATTCAGAAGAGTGATCAACTACAGAGGGTGATCGACCAAAGAGAGTGATATTGGTAATAGTTCCATTGCGACATCAAGTGAACAATTTGAATGGATCCCGATTGGGTTTGCTGAACCTATCTTGTATATATCTGTTACTACTTTACTTGCTGAGTGAACAATATTCAGTAGGCTGTTTCAGGAAGTCCTATGCAAAGTTGATAACATGTCCTTGATGAAACTCAGAGCAACCATGATAATTTTCTAAGCATCTTGGACTGGCCATTTCAACAAAAGATGATGTCAACACCAGATATTAATTTAGTAGAATAGCTCAATAATGATGAGCTGACTTTTCGATGTTACTGCCAGTTACTAAAGAAAAATATAGTCAACAATCTGAATCGTAGCGAGGTGAAACTAAACCAATATAGGAGCTACCCAAAAGTCAATTGATTTTGTTGTTGATGAGCTATCGCAATCACTGGATTCAATCTTAACATTTACTGTTCTTTGACGTTTATAAGGGGGCTCTAACAAGCCCGAAAAAATCAAATTGGAGGTTTGTCTTAGAAATTGAATGAATTAGCTTGACAAAAACAATGTAGATTTATTTGTTGGAAAATTTTCAATTATAAAAGACATAGCTAAAACCGGTTGGGATTTCAATGATATTCAAGGAGCTGGAGGTTCTGAGCGGCTTAACAGATCATCAGCTTCAATAGTTATTTCGAAGTCTTTGGCCCTAACTAAATTTTCATCAATGATCCAGGCATGAAATATCACTTGATGATGATATTGGATTCGTTTCCAGCAGTTAGGAAATGTATATGCTCCAATTGGATGGCACCACAGCTAGCTCTTGAGTAGAGAAACTGACTATCCAGGCTTTGCTGCTCCTTCCGGTGAGTCATCCCCATCAGCTGTTAATCAGTTATGACTAATACAACCATCGTATGATTTGAAATTGTTTCACGAATTCTGCTGAATAGAATACATATGTCCCTCTACGATGCAATAACTACTCTCATCCATTATTGATGGAAATCGCTCCACAAGTAAATAGGCGATTCTTATCTATGTCGATGATGCTTTCAATGCTTAAAAAGGAGACGATCGATTTATCGATGAAAAACTAGCACTACGCAACAGCTGTGCAATGGAGAAAAAGGACGATCCAAATCGATTATTTGATTTAATAATGAGCGGCCAAATAGTTGATACAAGACATCGTTCAGTGACATTATTGATATAATGTGGTCAGCTTTCCAACAAGAAAAGTGATAAAATTGTCAGCGCTGTTAGTAAACAAATTTGACACAATTGCCGAATCAACATTTTTTGATGGTCCAGTTTTCTCGGAATGCTGAACTGATTGCTGTTTGATCTCCTAATGTGGCCGGTACAAATAGAAATAGAATTGTTTTTGGCGGCGCGCCTTGAAGAAATCGCTTTCTTTGTCCAACGAAGCATCATCTATGATGACTTTGGAGCATCACAATATGCTTGTCAAGAGAAGGAAATTGCCAATCATTGCACCAACTTCAGTAGTCCAATAAACAATAGCGCTTTGCACTTTTGACAACCAGCAGATGCAAGGTTCAATATTCTGTTCAGAGGATCATCATTCCATCCAGCAGTTCTCAATGACAGTGATTGTGCAAAATGATCAAATCTCTTGGAAAATCAAAGGGGCTTCATTACGAAGTAAATCTTAATTTGCTTTCGTGGTCTTCGAAAAATTCTCACTTCTTGCGCTTCCATCTACTGCAGTTGAATAACAGACAGAGCACATGTGACAGGATTCCTACTGTTTTGCTTGACAGTCTTCATTTACATTCGTTCTAATAACTGAGTTTACATCAGGATCTACCGCTTCAACAGCTGCTATCCTGGTTATATCCACAAATATATTTCCCAACAACTATCCCACGCAATTTCTATTATTTGCTCATTCTTTGGTTAAAGTAACAATAATCGTTTATTTAGGCTAGATATGGTTCCTCGTTCAAAATCCGATATTTTGTGTTTTCAAAATTTCACGACAGAATTGATCCCTTTGCTTTAATCTGTCACACTCAAAGATTGCATGGCTTTTCAAAATAGTTACGGTCACAGCTCCAGATTGATTTCAGATTCATCTTTACTTTGTATGTGTGAGAAGATGAAGACAACAATTCTATGTTTTTTAGAGTTGATGCGATAATCATAAAATGACTACTAATATAATGATTTAGTTGAGATACGATAGACATAGACTATATATCAATCGATAACATCTAATTACCAATTACAATACCATCCAATATTCAGTCGCAGAATTCAACAACCATGAAGTGCCGTTCTAGCAACACGATTTTGTTCTTGATATTTCTGATTATCATTGTCTCATTACTTGAGCGGCATTGCATAGGGAGCCGCAGTTCTTAGCCCCGCGTCATATCCTGAAGCGTTGCTAATATGCGTTTTGAGTTCTTTCCAATTCAATTCACAATAAACGGATTTAGTTTGTTTGAAGAAATGGTAGGGATAACGAAATACTTTGAATCAGAAGTGGATGACTTATTTTAACGAGCGTCTCAATACAATCCGCTTCACCCTATGTTTGCGGCTAGATTGAATGCAACAACAACTAGGAATATTCCTTCAATGCCACTAGCAAATACACCTGGAAGGCGGATCACCTCAGTGGCAGGGTGCAAGAGTCTTCATTGCTGCAAGACCTCCTAAGCATCGTAATTGATCCGTCTGCCGCTGACTCAAACGTAGGCAACGCCCACACATCCCCAAACCCGCACGCGCCATTCTGCAATGGTTGAATTGGCCAAATGTTTTCTCAAAAGTCTTTGTCACTCATGTCGGAGTGTCGTGCAATTTCAAACAATTCTAAAGCTACAGATAGGAGATCTGCTAATTTTGAGAATATACATTGTATATTGTTTTAATAAGCAATTGATAATGAAAGTACAATATCTAATTAACTAGTATCGTGTTGTTACTAATATAATTATATTTAATGTCTCAAGACAATGATGAATATTGATATGAGAAATACTGAACTCTCTTATCCATCTATATCACATATAAAGATATAATGAGATTCAAAATGTGTATCAAGAATTTGAAACGTAAAACTTCTAAAATATGAGTAGCAGCTTCATAATATAAAGAATTTAAAGAACAAACATATTTGTTAATGAGTTCACCGATGATCGTAATTACAAATCATCCACTATTACTGGATGAGCCTAACGTGCAAAGGAAAAAAAAAACTGAAGCGAAACCTAGAAGAAGTGCAAAAGCTTAAGAGAATTAAACTCATGTTAAACTAAATAATCTTTCAACGTGAAAATAAAGAATCACTCAGAGTATCCCGATAATGCTATCAGAGCATTAACTGTTCAAGTAACGAACAACATATCAGTTGTATACTGCGGAATGCAGAAGCTGCAAAAGCTGATCAGGTTTTGATCTTGAAACATGGAACGAATGACAAAAATGGATCCAAAGCACAGAATTAGAAGTTAGTTAAAGTTGACCTTCTCACAGTTTGAGCTCCAGTTCAGGACTGGGAAAGAAGTAATATGTTCTTGAAACCTTGAGAGCAACTTACCATTCATCGATTTGCCGCAGTGACTTGGATTTGTGATTGTCATTTTATCACTTTGCTCAATGACAGTTCTTCACAACTGTTTCAAGGAAACAGGAATCTGGACTAACATTGTTGAATGCTGCATATCTTGTGTGGTCACGAGCTCCATCTCAGCAAGATCAAATTGACCATTGCTATTACGGCTATGAAAAATGAAGTGACATGCTCGACGATGAGATTCTTGCCGTCTCAAAGCACCACTGATTTGACTTCCTGATGGACTAATAAAATCTCAGATGAGCGGCGAGGAGATGATGAACTATCACTTTTCACTCTATCAGTCATAAATAGTAGAGTACGCACAACTGATCTACGGTTTCAATGCTCATTCCCATAACGAATTGAAGACCGAAATTCATTATCAACTGCATCTGTTATTGGTGTTCTCAACTTCTCTAAGTTTTGCAATTGCAAACCCGATTGAATTTCTTTGATAACGTCCTTCCAAGAAACATTGCATCTTTTATTTCTCTGCTCCATAGAAATCAGTAGAGACAATTCTCCCAATCTCATATCTCTCACTGCAAAAGTGATTCCATTGGTGGTGGCCTTCTCATATTAGTACCATTTTTGGCTTTGCATCAACGAAAATGACATCATCAAATGAGTTTCTCATGCCTTTAGTTCTTGGATATTCATCAATTAACCAAGCATTGGAAGAACATATTGCTTTGTTGATTATCATTCTTAGTTGTATTAAACCAGAGATGTGTGGCTTGCTTGAAACCACACATCCCCTTTCCTATCTGTAAGCGCTCCTTCCCTGATGTAGATCTTCCGAGAGCAGGATGATAGTGCGCTGCATGGTCCACTGGACCATTCAACAATGATGTATTGCAATCGAATTGGGGGGTAATAACTGTGCTAATGGCGGTTTATGAACGCCCAACTCATAATCATTACTATTTCATAAGTGGAGCAAAACAAACATAATGGTAATGGCTGAGCCTTTGCGGAAATGCTTTGCAACTAGTCGTGCAGTACGCCCTTCAGAACCATTCGATTTTTGTGCAACATTGCATTCCCAGTTTCATCTAGCGGGTTTGCCTCTCACTATAGTTCTTGGATCTAATGAAAATCTATTATTTTATCTTTCCAATTCAAAGTATTTTCAAATGCAGATGACTATTCTGAGTGTAGTTCGCTTGTTGAAGTAGTGTAGACAAATCGTTGAATGATATATTTTATTTTGGCATCAACTTATGTGGTTGTTCATTGAGGATGGCAATCATTGAGATTGGCGAAACGTCTTCAATACGATTAAATTGGCTGGTGGGCCATTCCGCTAGCTCATCCTCAACTTCTTCAACAATGGGTCATAATTTCCAGGTGGTGTTGAAGTCTTCATAGTTGCTTTGAGCATTCTCTTAGATTTGCTTTCAATAACAAATAGGATCTCCGGAAGCAGACCGTCCACTTGTGTTGATTGAACTGTTGAATTACGTCCATTTCTTCCAAGATATGTTTACTGATAAAAGCAGCAATCGAATCCGATATTCAATTGATGACTTAATGGATGAACTAGATATATGGATGTTTGGTAGATCCCTTATCTCAAAATCATAAATATTATCTATTGTGCTGCATCTTCAGTTCGACAGGTCAAGATCAAACAATTCGTGATAGGATGTTGACGAAGCAGCGCTATTTTCACTGAACGCACTTCGACATTCATTAATGCTAACTGCAAGTTGATGACATCAATCTAATCGTTGAATTTGATGTATCTATTGGAGTCAATTAGCTGTGAGAATCATTTTCAGTTCTTCGTGATAGTGGATGGCATTTTGTCCAATGTGTTATAGACGAAGGTGTGCCATTAATTGGCTTCCTGAGAATCTTGTGCCTCCCATAATAATTGAATACAGTTATTAGAGCACCAAAATGACCATCGCCATTATCATTCTTATCGGGTTCTTTAAGCCGCCCCCATGAGAAGTCAAATATATTATACAATATATATAATTGTGCAAAATGCTCTGAAAGGTAGATTGAAGGTTCTAAAACATATTTGCAAGAGTAAGGTCCATCATTAGGTACTTCATCTTCTGGAAATTTGTTTGTTTGTAAAGGCCGCTTTCGTATCATGAATAGATGAAGGAGGTGCAGATCCATTTGGTTGGTGTAACCCTGTTCTTTCGCTGAGACATTAGAACATACATGTGTTCAATTGATTATCTATCGGGGCGAAGCACAGTGATTTCTACGATTAACTGACTAATTCAACTAATTTAAATTGGCATTCAATAGCAAATTAAGTTACTCACCATTCGCTAATGAGAATTTCACCAACAATATATTTGGATTGATCTATCCTAGCACTTATTCCAAATGCACTTCTATTTGCCAACAAATTCACCCAACATATACTTCCCAATAATTCTGGTGTTTGAGCTCTGCAATTTCAAAGGTTTTGTAGTGTTTAGAATCGAAGAACAAGATTTACATCACTTCAATGTCATTAATATATCTGAATCAGTGGTGCTCAATTTTGTTTAAGCTATTCAAAAAATTGAGAGGCCTTTGTGGGTGGTTCATGGGATTTAGCCAATCACGCTTATTGTCGAGAGACAAACCATTTCGCACTACGTTGGCACAAATCATCTATAAGCTGTTGATTTGCTCATACACCGCAATAATCATACTATGTCGGCAATCCAGTGAGTGATTGGCCAATTTGATGTTTGTATTCAATATATGCAAACATTTACAACATTAATCATATTTCTTCATGAATGTGGAGGAGGCATGGCAACAGATTCTTTAATTCATCCACCAAGTCTTGGCTTTTCTCCAGTATTAATATCGTCACTTTCCACAAAACTGAATATTATTCTTGAATCTATTCTAGCAGTAAAATATTCAACTCTATTCACTACATGTGTTCGTGCAGCCAATTCAAGAGCATATTTAACGTGGAGCATTCCATCAATGAAATTAACATTTTTGAATCACATTTCTGATCCAGTTTAGAGAGCAAATTTGAAGTCATGACGACAGTTAGCGTAATTAATTTTGTTGCTTGTAGGAAATTTTGCTCCTAGTCCAGAATTTCACTTGTAGTATCCAATGCAACAACATTTAACGCATTTAACGCCAGTAGACGCAATATTTGCTTCCTGCAACTCAGCTCACAGCTTACTCCAATGACATGTCGTTCCTATCAATCCATTTCAATATCATGCATTTATGTTTCTCGAGATATCATTAGTTGAACTAAATACCGTTTCGTTGGTAACAACAAAAGACCTGCCAGCCGATTATTGGACATATCATAATTTGCACCACATTTGTTATTCAACTTCAGAATGTCAGCTCAGGTAATACTTCATAATCGAGGATAATCACTTGGGCTCCCGAAAATCTTCTCATCCACTTTTTTGTACTTAAACACAACGACTGATGGACTTTTAAACTTGCAAAAGGCTCTGCTTGGGAGAACTGCCAATATTCGGAGATTCTCATTAATCAAAATGGACATGTGGATTGCATTATCTTGATTCTAGTTTCCAATTGCTGTGCATTCCTAAGTAGCTTTGACTAGTGCTTCAATAATACCGCAAATGTTCTTCGAGGTTGATTGAGTTCAGCAGCAGCGATCAATCCTATTATGCAATCCCTCCATTCGTGTCAGTGCCAATGGAGATGCTCCTGGTAAGCAAAGTACTAAACAACGGCTATTCACCCCTGATGTCCTAGAAGAATCATTTATGATTGATTGGAGCAAGAGCATTAGGTCATCAGACATGTTGACACCAATGTGATATTTGCTGATGACCATTGATTGGTCAAAGCCAAGATTGAAAGTCAGTTGAAAAACTAAATTCATTACGGTTAACGACTGTCATGATCAATTATTTAATACAGTCAATTTCCAAGCTTATTCAAATCGCATTTTTATAAAATATTAATATAATGGAGCTTTTGATGGATATAAATCCATTTGAAAAAATATTTATTCAATGAGTCCTATGAGTCACAAATACTAAGTGCAGCTCTAAGATCCAACTTATTTGCTTTGTCAACATAGAACACAGCAAATTGTGAAAGCAATTTGTTGAATTAGAGGGATTCAGAAAAAGGAACATATCTTGTTAAGAGAAAATGAAACGCTATGCGAACATAGTTCTAATTCATGTTCCATGCACTGGAAAGCCGAAATGGGTCTAACTTAAACTAAAAACATAGCAAGATGGAAGAATAATCGTAGTTCGATTTTTCATAATTAAATCTGGAATCATATGACTTGGAATGGCGATGATCCAAGGGTCGGTGGGGTTCAGAGCGTGGTAATTGGTTTGAATCAGAGGGAGAGATTTGAAGTTAAAATAATATTGGTAACTAACATTCGTTTGTTTACGTATACAGCTTTGGTTGATGACAACGCAACAGCTGATTGCTGAATGAAGAGCTCGACCGCAAGTTATCTCCTATCAACGAAAAGAAGGTACGCTTGCTTTTGCTTGTATCGCTATTACTAGGTCAACCATTTCTATTAGCAACTGATAGACGAGCAGATGATGCCAGATGATAATCTTTGTTAGTAGCAAATTGTATTTCGTCAAGCTGTCTGAAATCACTATTATCCATTTCAATAATAGTAAAATAGTAACGAAGGCACAAGTGTTCTGTATGAGAAACGGATGCTAACACTATCAAAGCTGCAGCTAAAAGATATGGACGTTGGTTCACTATATGTTTGCTCACAAGGGATCTAGCAAATACGATTTGCATACAACAGTATCGGCCACAATCGGGAAAGTACCGATAATTGATTTATAGTTCAACAGATCATCGCCATCGAAGATTGACGATTCAACATTACCTTTAAGTGTTTTGGCTATAAGTGATGTCAATGGTCGTAATATTTGTTCTTGAACATTAGAGCTATTCGTTTCCATATAGTCGTATCAATCAACTTTGAATCGGCTATAAGTCCGCGCAGCATTAACTAAACGGAGCAACTTTGGAGATCAACATCTTTCATTCAAACGCTCTTCATAACAAAAGTGCATCAGTTTTAGAGGTCAACGTTTGGCTCCGCAGCCATTGAAGTACCATAATCATTGATTCATTTTAAGCAGCTTGAGTGGAAAGACAAACACCAGATGGGCGATGCTTGACACTAGTCACTGCTTGCTTTAAAATCATTTTTAGCTCTGTCGAGCCAAATGTGTGAGGCTCGGTTTAATGCATAGAATCAGTCTTATCAACTTCAATTATTGATTTACGTGACAAACCTCCGTCAGCAGGATCACGATAATGGGAGTCACCAATTGGATTTGCCAAAAATGCTGTCATGATATTTTCTCTGCTGATGGAGTCGTTCGTCACGGCTGCTAATGAATCCATTAATCTTGATGTGTCTGACAAGTTTAAAACGTGGAGCAATACCATCGATATACTGAAGGCGAACCGTGTGAAGAAAACACTTTGCAGTTAATTTTTCAATTAAGCTTTGAGAGCTATCTCGTTGATGCTTGACATTGCAATCGAATTGATCTCTCCGTACTCTGTTTTCAGCCGATGATAGAGCAAACAGAACATGAAAAGCACCACCTTCTTTGGAATTTATTTTGGTCGCCAAAACAGCTAAACATCTTCAATTGTTTTGCTATGTTAAAACATCGGGGAAAACTATTTGAGAGACATTATGTTATTTTGTTAAAAATACATGCCTTTCCTCATCGAAAATGAGAGTCGTCAACTTTTGAGATACTCTATCGAAAAGCTTCACTTTAAATGTGTCCCAAGCCGTTAACTCGTTTCCAACTCGTTAAGCAATTGGTGATGATTTCAATGATTTGCAGTTATGAGTATTTCCAGTATTAGACACAATGACTCACCTATAGTAATATCTTTTCTTTTTGAAATCTTGTTTGCTAGGTGGGATGGTATTTATCATGATTGGCCTGAGCTTGTCTTCTATTTGTTGTCAATTGATACTAGTTAGTCTGGAAGCCAATTTTTGATGAATAAGATGGGAACTAATCCACTAATGAGAACTGTATTTAAGATGTTCAACCAATGGAAGACCAATGAAATCTGATGTTCCACTTGACCTTGTACAGAGGAATTAATAACGTCATCCATTAATGGAGCACTCATTTTAATCTGCTGTTCACTATTAATAGATTGGTCGTTTGAGTTCTAAAGTTGTCGTTACGACGCAAAATCAAATGTTTCGCACTAGTCGTTGAATTATCAGTACGAAGCCCGGACTTCGATGTTTCTCAACTGCTATTGATTTGACTGATTGTCACGCATAAGCACAGGTTTCCGTTCGCAATATAATTGCTCTCATCATTCTCTTTCAGTTTTTTTGCAACGCTAATCTCATTCGTTTTTGATGAGTTGATATCAAGGAATGACCCATTCATGTGTTTTTCACACCATCTTTGGTGGCCCATGACGATGAAATGGAATTGATTGAGCACCAAAAGGAGCTCTGACGTTAACATTCTTAAGGCTTTGCTTCACCGTTTCTTTTGGAGAGTCGTAGTAAATATTGATTGAGACATTCCTGTGCAAAACGAATAACTATAAGCAAAGCTCCAATAATTGATTGCATCATCAGAAATAATCAATACTGCCTATACTGTTTTACATTTGCTTTGTTTCATCCCTCCGTTTTTCCTACTTGAATGCATAGATGAAATGAGGGTACTTCATCTATGCAACTTGGTTCCCTTGCAGAAATATTTCCATCCATCTGTAGAGCTTTGATTATCGGTATTTAGAATCCATGGTAGCCGGTGCTTCTGCCGAGTTAATACACAGATAATAATAATGATTCAACTCTTCATTCAGTTGGATCGGATTGGAAGATCCAAATTTGACCTGAAATAATATTTGACGTACGTTCCGCACAAGCTAATCCGTAGGCACCATGATGTGCGCCAACCATATCAGGAAAAATTATTTCCGCTATTGTTATGTCTTTTGAGTCGAGGTGTGCTGTGTTGCAATTTCTATTGAAGCGAAGGACATGTTTTACCATTCAATTATTCCAATATCATCATGGCAAAAGGACTGCTGATTATTCGTTGAGAGATCAATTCATTCACCAGAAAATGACCGTAGTTCTTGCAAATGTGAAGCATATCTCATTTTGAGTTGAGAAACAGACAATTTGCATCTCTTCACCTTTGAACAACTGTAGGGGATCGCTTTTCTCTCACTCAGCAGAGGTGTCTTCATCATTGTCAATTGGAAGTTGGATATGTCTTCAGCATGAGGATTATAGCCATTATCATCCAATGTAGGAGAACACATTAAATATCTTGGCAAGTTTGTAATAAGCGGGCGATCACATGGATATATCCAACCAACGTTATCAGTTCTTTCTTTCGTGCAACAATCGCCTCCATTGACTGATTTGATTGATATGTTAGAACATGTTTGATGAGTTTGAAATTCAACCCAGTTTGCAACCTCAGATGTTGGACCTGGATTAAGCACAACTTGAACAAGAGAATAAGCATCACCCAACTTACGATTCTTTGAATCCGATTTTGATATAAATTCAATCGCAAATTTGAAGGCTTGAGGGCACTGAAAAGAATGAATCTTGTCATAGGAACGATGGATATTCACTTTTCTGCAAATCTCAGCTGAGATATCTGATATCACAACTTTTGAAGCATTTATGTTTGCCTAACATAATATTTGCTTTCTCAAACTTCTCGCTCAGTTTAATTGATTTGCAAGACATAGTTAACGATACCTGTTCTGTTAATTTATTGGTGCTTTTGAGGCTCTCATTAAATGATACAAATGCCATTTGCTTGGCAACATCGCAATCAACTAACCTCAAATCTTTTCAATGATTTATCTTTACAATTATTTTTCGCATCTTCTTCAATTACCATGTATTGAACAACATCTATTTCTACAACTTCTGCCTTGCAGCATCTAAGCAATCGATATGATTATCAAAAAGTGAAATGATATTGTTTCTATTGCTTCATCGGGTTTTACTAAGGTTTCTCTATTTACAACTTCACATTATATATCGTGGATGAAATAATCGTTTTTTAACCGTTCCACCTACTGTATTCGTCTTGAAGGTTATTCAGTTTTTCCAAGGAGGTTCATCATCTCATAGATATGCGAATGCTACTTCTTTTCATTATGATCTGATAAATGTGTACGATATTTTTTTAAGTCCCTAATATTCAATGATCGCACTTGCTATTGCACATATTATAGACTAGACGTTATTGATGAATTCCTCTTTTAAACATTGTTTATCATTGGTGATAGTGACGGCTATGATTACTCAGTATCACAGTAAACAGCATTGATTTTAATTTAAAGTTGAATTCTAAAATGATATTACTAAAGAGAGAAACCGAATACAAAATACATCAATTACGCCTCAATCAATTAGGTGTTAAAATAGTATACAATACCCAATCCCGATTTTCGACCATCTTTCAGTCATTACTGTTCACAATATTTGAATCTCTTCCAAACTGCGATTTTCACCGCGGTGATCTTGACAAAATTGTCCTGTTACTTCAATGATTCAAGACTAACAATTAAAAGGCTGGGCTTATTGGCCGTTGTTTACAAGTTCTGTAACGCAAAAATCATCAATTTGTTTGATACTGCTAAGTGTAAATTAATGAGGCACATCACTGCCACTGATTTTAGCAAACTCCTAAAGGAATTGTTGAAACTGGGAAAGGAAAAGTCACAGATGCGATTGAATCGGGAGTTGTCAGAAACAACAATGAAGACAACGCAATTTAGACGATCGTGGGGTCATATCAACAATTCCTGAATCCCGGATCATCTCACACAATCAGGATTGATTGCAACTCATTGACTATCGGAACTATTGAGCTGAAAAAAAAGAAACTGAGTTGAAAATGAAGCATGATCTGTGCTTCCTAAGCTGGATCTCGATTTGCTGATCGTCATGCAGCTTTCCTGTAGTACGAAGTCGGAGATTATTCGAAATATCCTTGAAACAACGGATCAAGGAGCAACAAATTTGATGTTTCCCAACGAGCGGCATCTGTATCTTCGAATGTCATCTTTTGAGTCATCAAGGAACTAAAAAGAGATGATTGTTAGACAATTCATAATAACTAATCACACTAAGCAATGATTTTGCGGAAGCAAATTCTACGCTAACTGAAGTCAAATGAGTCATCTGTTGCGCCGTTCGTCATTTCAAAACAATACGTACAGATGCATGCGATTCGAACCCAATTAAAATGACTAATCAATTAGGTGTCCTGATCACGTCATAGTTCTTAATGAAAATGAATCAAAATGTCATAGTGAAAAACCTGTGATATCTGATCTCTATTCTGTGGCCCATCGTGCGCTTGACTCAGCTGCAACTCCTAGTGTGGTAACCCGAGTTGAACTAACAACTGATCAATAAATGGCAACCATTTTCATCAACGCTGCGAATTGTGACAAGATGAGTCCAACAGAAAGAAATGCCAATGTAGTTTGCTGGATATTTGCTAGCGTCATGCTTCCTTCAAAGACACCGGAAAATCACATTTGTGTTATCAAAGCGGCCGAAAATTTGTTCAATGTTGACAATATAGCAAACCAGTGGACAACTCACACAGATAGTGGAAAATCGGTCCTCCATCGAGATATTTCAAAACTGTAAGTGCGAGCAATATAAAGCAACGTTGTTAGCAAAGGAATTTCATGAAAATCTTGGCCATCATTGTTATAATGTTTACGATGCGGAAAAGCCTTATGATTCTCTATGACGAGCCCCCCCTAGCAACGTCAGTATCTATCAGTGAGGGGCCAAGACAATGCTTTTAATTGGACCAATTACGATCGCCCATTTCTCTATCATTCTGCAGGATCACAAAAATCAAAAGAAGATGATTAGGAGGCAAAGGCAGGATTTAGGATTCTATCAACCGCTGCAAAGGTGATTGACAGCGTCAAGAAGCTACTAAAGCCAGCAATGACTCTCTTCAAACGATGTTTGATTTATTTTTGTTGTACTTGCAAGTTATTTAATTGCGGATTAGGTTGAAGATTTATCTATTGGATGAGAACCACAAGATAAGACTGCTAGAGCTGAGTCAATAGTTTTGAACTTCTTCACAACGGGTGGTGCGGGATCTGCAATGATTTCTCTTGGTAGTCATATTAATGAAGCAAGTAACTAGAACAAGATTTCTCTAAAAGACAGTATTGTAAACGTTCAAGCTGATTCCCAATTAGAAACATTAAGAATGATGATAAGAGATGTATCATTCGGTTTGAAAATCATGTTCAATCAAGAATTTTTGATGCTACTGATTAATTCAAATAAGAATCAGCTGTTGGTACGTTGCTGCTCATTGCTAGTATTGTGTGAAATCGCATTGCATTGGCTACATTACTTCCAGCTCGAAATATAGTAGGTTCATCGAAACGTCATTTATCTAGTTTTTTCTGAGTGCATCAGTATGTACTTCAAACAAAAGCGCAGCACATTACTTACAATGATAATCGTATTGAACTAGGTCTTGTTGATTTCAGACTTTTTGACAGAACAGGGTATGCCACAATCAAAGATTATGGTTTGGAAACATCTCAATATCTGTCAGCTGCTAATGACAGGAATTAACCAAGTGATCAAATTACAAAACCATCGCCGGTAGTTTTCTCAGAATGCTTAATGGAAATATTTGTTCTTTTCGACCCAGAAGAAAGCATCACGTATTACGTTGTCATCCGCTGAAAGTCAATATGATTCATTTGCGCAAGCAATGATAGCTAAGATATTGCTTGAATACATCATTATTTTAGAAAACCATACAACCGGCTTTTATTAATTCGTATAATGTTCATCATTCTGTTTCTACCCAAAGCCGATGGACATGCTTCTGATGGATCAGCGTGTTTTGAGGTTGAAATTAATTGAATTGAAGGACTTCATTCTTGCAGGCAATTAATCATTAGTAATAGTAATTGAAATGTGATTGTGTGTCATCTTCCAAAGGGTGTAGTTGATAAAGCTATACCTCGATGTCTTGATAAGATGTTAAGTCAATTGTGATATTACGTGGATATCACCGATTAATCCACAATTTCGGAAGAAATACCGAAATTGATTTAATTACCAGCAACATTAGTCACTCATGAAATACTTCCCATTCTCATTGTGAACTCGAAGTTTGAAACCAATCGAAATTTGATTGTTTTCAGGTGCCAAAACTAAATCAAATGATTTTGCTCTTGAATCGTTATGTATTGGTATTTTTATTTGTAACCAATAATTAAGAAAAGAAAATGCCATCTTTCGCTAAACTTTGTGAATCTTTTAACCAATTTGATCTTATTATTAGAACTGAACTTGATCAATGCTTAGCGCAAGTCATGATCTTGGCATTACTATCATTTGAGCTAAGAATATCATTGTCCACTTTAATTCACTAATAATTTCAACTGGTGCTCTAATTCAGGATAACTCACTTGTTCCACTCACCCTAGACTTGATTTTTGGACTTTGCTATCTCTATTTGAAAGAGAAGACGCACTTTAATTTCAATTTATTTGATGAGTATTTATAATGATCAAAAGATTTTTTTGTTAAATGTCATTTGGAAAGCGGAACACAAGAAAAATCTCTTTATTATATTATTGCTTTAATTTTTGAAACATTCTATAATAGTCAATTTGACGTATCTTAATAGTATCAAAGGACATAAGAGGAGTATTTCACCGACTAAAACTTGTTTCTCTGCTCTGCAGATATCGGAAGTAAGAAAATATCCTAACTGAAAGAAGCTAATATGTGTGGAAGCTATTGTTGGTGATGTACTTGAGTCAATGGATTGTACTAATGGGATTATTGGCGGGAATAATAAAGATAATTATGCTGTTACTCTCATTCTCAGTGTCAAAGCAAAATCAACTATATCAAGAACTTAATCATTAATTTTTTTCGAATAATATTTTTGTATAGCAACAACTCCCTATCTATGGTAAAAAACCAGGATGAAATGAATCAGTGAAATCTTCACTTCTCCTGCAAACACATCGCTACCACTTTCTAGTCAGTGTCCCCCAATTTCTTTGTAGAAATGGTCCGGCCGAACATTGGTAGCTGCTCATCAATAAAGGATGGCACAAGTTATGATGTACTCCATTGATCCAAATCAATAATGACATTGTGTATTTAGATATTCGATTGTTGTCAACAAATGAATTAGAACATTCGATAGATCCAAACATCAAACGGGAAAGTTTTGAGAAGCTCAAATTAATGCCAAGCTTGAGGCTTGGTTTAGTATTCATCCTGATGTTCTCAATCATATCGTAAGCCATACAATTTTTAAATGAAGCATTTACGGTACATTTCTCGATCTTCATTCAACAAACACAAGTATATTTATAATGAGAATACCCTGAAATAATCTATTTAGAACAAGTTCATTTCAATCAGTGAATAGAGCTTATGCATTAAAATTATGTAACACGGAAACAGATAAAAATATTATAACTCAAAGCAGTTCTACTATTGTTGCACTCATGCCTTGATCATACTATTGAATTTTGTCTGTGCAGCACATCAGAGTATTATTGGTTTGGTCTGCGAATAACCAAAATGATATTGAGAGGAATCAACATTTAGAGAAGGATGTTAGTAATTCCCCCAATGCGACATCAAGCAAATTGTCCGAGTGGGCTGCTGATCCTTTTGTGGAAAACTAGTAGAAGGAACTCGTTACTAATTTGATAGTTGAACGACTATTATTCAATAGATTGTTACCCGAGAAACTTTCTGATATGAACGGCACATCTGTAATCAAACGCTGATTACCTTGGTGAAACGCTACACCATTCAGCAAACATCGTTTCAACAGTAACTAATATAACTTGAGCAGAATACATCTGCGGAATGAAAAAATTGAAGATAACATATGTTAGCAGAGAGCATTTCCAGATCTACAGATCAACCATGAGAGGCAATCGAAAATGAAATTAACTTCATTGAAGCTGGTTGCCAAGGCTCCAAAAACCCCTTAGATTATAAAGAGCCGTAATCATTGATCCAAAATATAATTTATTCAATCACAACATCATTGTCATATGATACATCAACGCCACAGAATCAAAAGTGATCTAGTGGGAAGACACAAACTATTTCATTTGAGGATCGTTATCTTAATAGATTAGTTCCAGGATTTCAGTCAGAACATAAATAATGGAACGAGGTTGCAGATGAAAATTAACATGAAACTAGTGGTTCTGGACCGCCAAGAAAACAACTAGTTGTAATATCATTTCGGCGAAATCTTAGGCAATACTGTCTCGATGATTATGGTCCAATGATAGGAATGATGCTTTAACTATCATTGTTTTATTCTCCTCCTTGAACAGTTTCAGAGTTGGTGAAATGGATGCCAGGACAGACTTTAATGAATGCAGCAATCGACACTCCAATTTTGGCTCATCCACCAGCTTGACCATCTTCCTGTATCAAACAAGGTTTCAATTGTGAAGAGCGATTGAGTCGTTGGACAGAAGCCCCACACATTTGCTTTAACACAACATTAATTGCTCTTATAGCTGCCAATAACGACATTTTGGGTTTGTTACAACCATGTCGGTTGCAAAACTCAAGCTGAATAGCATCAACTTCTAATGATCATATTTTTTTTGGTGTTAAAGTAAAGGATAATATATAGAAGCTTTAAACAACTTTGAATGGCATTTTAGAAATTTTGGATGTTGGATTTCCAAAACTGTGCCTTGCAAAAATCATTGAGCAGATAATTGAAGGACACAGCATTTAGTTAAATGATTAATTGACAGGACTCGAAAGGATTTGCAACTACAGACATTCATTCAATTGAAAGCTCCAATAAGCAAAAGATTTAAAAATCATCTTGAATATCCAATGGATGATGCCAATGATCTTTCAAACAATAGATTACTTTCCAAGGCATATGTTGCCTAAGATGACATTTGACTTGCCACATCACTTCCACGGAAGAGTACTGTTACTCATTTCAGACTTCACTTTCGTGGTGCCATTATTGTGGTATAATTCTTCATTCGATCAATGATCTTCGAATTTAATTGCTAAGAGAATGCCATTAAATTGAATTGCGGTGGAGTCGGAATTGTACACGAAAACAAATGTCGAACATTAGAAGCACCCATTCTCCAAACTTCTTTGCGACTAGGAGATGCTAGTGACTGAAAAAACGTGTGTTAGAGATCACTCCATAAAACATTGAAGTAAAGTAGCTCGTTGCAATGAAATGAGTAGCACGAATCAGGACAATTTTATATATAGTTAGTTGGCTGGATGACAGAGCGACACGGAAGCAGACTGGGACTGATACAAAGAAACTTAGTGTGCTTATCAAAGAAACCATCAATTACTTTTTCATCGCCGGAGTTGGGCCTGAGCCGATTTGTTCAATGGGCTAGAACAGCTTTAAGGTGCCACAAGAAGCACCTCGCTTTGGGAAAGAATGCAGGAGGTAGGAAGGCAATGATTGATTTGCGGGTATTGCCTCACAGGCGCTGTACCATGGCTTCAAATTCCAAGTACTTCCATTGAAACGAAATCATGTTCGAGTAAGATAAGTGGGTGGTTTTCAAATCCTGCCAACTGCGATGCACCAGAGGAGTCATTTTATATCTTCAACCAAGTTGAAGGGGCCAGCTGCTCTGCCATCGGCATCCAGATCAATAGTGGTCAGCATGTCCGTATGCGCTCTCGTTTGACCTGCATGAGACATCATCCTGAACAGCGTCATTCGCAACAATCATGGACTTCTATGAAAATGAACACCAAACAAAGCCCACTAGATGACAAATCAATGAGTAATCATTCGAAATATCATTGCAGAACATTCAAGATATGTCCGTATTCAATAGTCACTTGAAATGCAGAGCGCCTCATCCAATAATAGTCTAACCGTAGACGAAATTGTATTAGCACATTCGTCAAAAGAGAAACGTGATAGTTTTGTATCACATTCACCAACAAATTAAATAGTCATTAATAATAGGATAGAACCGAAACGACGTAAAGAACAAAGCTAGATCCATCATAATGATATAGTTGAATCATATCAATAAGATGATTTCTCTCACAAGCATTAACGGCCCTACATATCATATACGCGTCAAACGATTGACCGCAGGTCATTGCAAAATGAAACTATCGTTGCACATCCTATTAAACGAATTTACCAAATTGAAATAGGATTATCGAAATGCGGATATTGAAATACTGTTACTGAGATACGGTTATTGAAATAAAGCTATTGAAATACGGTTGAAGTCACCTTGATTAGTTGAATGTGTAGCAAGCATGATAGCAGAATTGCTTTCCCGACTGACAATAGGCTGTCATCACTGGTGAGAATGAATTTAATTGCCAGCAGTAGAACCACCGCTTCTAGGTTGGCTGTAGTGAGTGATACGCATTACTCCTGCAGGTCAGCGAGATCACCGAGGCTCGTTTTATTTAGGTCCAAGTGACTTGCGCTTTATTGGCAAAAAACATTTATCTGCTAAGACATTTTTGATGTCGAATAAGACAGGCCTAACAATTGTTGTAGAATCGAACGTACTGAAATGAGTTAGCCTCATTGTAATGATGAGTTTTGCATATGGCCTAAAATATTTTCCACCTTTTTTGAACGCCGAAGATGCATGTTGATTGCTGCACCAAATTATCGACAAACTAACTTTCCTGTTGTTTTTGAAGTCCCATCAGCCTGAGGTACTTCTGCTTGAAGACACCTTAGAAGCTACTTCTTCAGCAACATTAACCGCAAGACGTCGAGCCTGCTTAGCTGCAACGTCTTTCACTTTGAACGCTCACCGAAAAAACAATTTGGCCTTCTTGGCCACTACATCTGCTGCCCCGGCAACACTAAGATGATCCGTCCATATCATTGCATGTGGACGTGGTTGTTCTTTAAGAAATCTTACACACATTGAACGGCTGATGAATCGTTAATCTATATGATTGAAGAAGATTCAATAGTTTGTTCCACCATCAACCAGCAAATTGAATGAGTCAATTCTGTATGTTTGTGTCTTTTATTCATTCACAAGATATTCATCATTAAAAAATTCATTAGGTTGTTTTTTACAATTCACGGCCGATGACAGCCTGAAGGAATGTCGTGGTCACATCAAAATTATTTGCGTTGAAAAACTTTGTTGCTTGAACAGCCTGGAGAACTGCGAATGATGAATAAGTGGTTACAGCCTAAATCCTTGACTGTAATCAAAATATTTAACTGAAAAAAGTTTCCAATATAAAGGCAGGCCATTGCAATATCTTCTGCAAATCTAGAAATCATGATAAACACAGATCGACGGCATCGTGGTCATTTGCCGGTGGGAGGATCAACAAACACGTTTGTATTGCTTTCATGCTGTACTCAAAGCACTGATTGACAAAAAACTTTGCAGAGTGACTGTACAGGTTTTAGTAACCCACTGGCTCGAGCGATAAAACCAGCGGCCAAGCTCTTTAGAGCAGATCTGTCATCATTGGGGGTTTTTTAATAATGTAAGTGTTTTTGGCTCGTATGCAATGCCATTATAACTTTGTTCATGAACCATTTTGGTAGCAGCAAGTGGGTACATATCAAGTGGAACACCAGTGTGTGCACCTCCAATTTCGTTATTATTTTCGGCGGATCTAAGAAAGTCACTTAAATAGAAGTGGACGACTTGACACCAACAGCAACTTCATCGATGTAACTGATGAAGTGATTTAATGATTTTGGACCTTTCCATTGATATATCATTTGGAGCATTCACAGATGTCCAATTATAGGATTTTGATCAGCTGAAAACCTTTGCGCAATATCCGCAGGAACAACATATGGAACATGTACGGCAGAGCCAACTGCTTATCTCACTACGAGGACAGATTGATCAATATAACGAAGTTTGTAGTAATCAATCGGTCAGGCCAATTTGACAGACTCGAACAGCCTTGAGGTCCGCTGACCATGCAGGCCGCTATTCCCAATCGGTAGCATTCAAAATCGAAAAGGGGATGTTATTACCAAATGCGGATTGCCAGATTGGGTTCGGATTCAGGGCAAAAGCAGCTGATGGGATCCATCTGACCGCAGAAGCACTTGATTATTATCTATACAATGAAAATGTAGTGGTCGTGCGCACGGCGCCAAGATTGTAGAGTTGTAATTCAACAAACACAGTCTTCGCAGCACTCATTCAGGGAACAGATGAAGAGGAACAGTAATATTGGTCTGGATTGTGGTGGCAATCTTCCTGAGCTTTCAAGCACAACGTTCAGCAACGCCATCTAAATGAGGCCCTGGAACAATGCGTAACCATCGTAGATTCCTTCACTTTGAGAACTGCTATTGTTGAGCATTGATGCAGACACACTATAAAGCCGAACTTCTTGAGCGGTGGTAGCCATTAAGCGCTGAAAATATTCAAAGAGTATTAAAAGTTGGTAGCAACTAATTATCGCGTACCAAGCACTGCAGCAACAGCGTATCAGGAGTGAACATCATCATTTGAGTCGAAGAAACGGTCTTCATGAGCAGCAACAACAGGCACTGGCCCAATAACATCAACAAAACAATCCTTAAAACTGCAGTGGGGTATGCTCTAGAGGACTTATTGACGAATCAGGTGGTGTTCCCTTCTTGACAACGGCAATATTTCGAAACACTGCTAGCGGAAATACCTTCTGATTCTTCTAATATCTTTTGGATGAGTGTTCCTTTCATGCCAAAATTTGCTCCTGCTATCTGTTCTAATTGACGGGACAGCAGATGCGACAAAACAACTTTCAAATATCTGTGAACCCGCTGTTTTACCAGAGAAACAACTAATCGTCTAAAACCACTTTTCACCTAATCAAAATAGAACGAGTTTATATGTACGAGAAGAGTCTTAAATCAGATATGCTCTAACGGCAGAAGGAATAATCAATTTTTGACGGTGCACCTTTGGGGAGAGCTACAACTGTAATATCATCAACATCATCAAAGCCCACACCAATGTCAGCAATCTGACAGGAATGAGTTTTATGTTGCAGAACCGTTTATCGTTCAGACTAATATAATGAAGATCATTTGAATGAGAGTCTATGACCTTGGAGCTGACCATCAGTTTGCCAGATAGTTTAAAACGTTAAGCAAAGAACGGCTGACCAACATTGGTAACATCAACAACTGCTACTGCGGCCGATGATTCGGCCGCAACAGCTTTTCTAGCAGAAGCTGCGCGTGCGACAATGCGCCCACAATACATCAAGCTCGTTTGGGTCAAAATTAATCCACCTCATTTTAATTATTTTGCGCTTTTGATTTGGTTTTCAGCAATGAAGACTGCAGCTGCTGAACCTGCTCTAATGAAAATGCATCAATGCAATGTTGATTGGCTAACATATCAGCGTGAGTGGGACAAACCAAGTGAAGACCGCAAATTCAGTAGCAGCACCTTCACCGTAGAGGCTGTTCATTGCCACGCACCTTAGAAAAGGACGGCAATTCGATCATTTTTGCAGGCCTTCTTATTATTGCGATAGAAGTTTTTAAAATATTGTTTTTCTTCCTTCTTATCAATTGATGCGTGTAGCTCCTCAACTGAACTGAAGACCGTAGTCATTCCAATAGCACATTGAACCTCAATTGTAATATAAGCGTTGCTCAAAATAGCCTTTTTTTGAAACGCATCCCACTCATTATTTCGCACTTCTTTTATGCAGGAGGCATCTTTGGGGTAGAAACGTAGGTTTGGGAAGTGGATTCGAATCTAACCTCAAGTTTGACTGAATTAAAATCATCAGCGACGATAACCCTCATCTTTATTGAAGCATGGCCCAACGCATCAAACTGAGCAGCGTGGCAAAGTAAATACCAAAAGAAAAATAATTATGTTAACGGGATCTGTTGGGTTCATTCATTCTTCCCTGCAAGAATTTAGATTCTGATTCAAAACTACATATTGCTAATCAAAATTAATACATGAAGATAGTAATATATATTGGAAAGTTGAACGAAATGAAGGCTTCCTGCTTCTTAATAGGCAAAAGAAGTTGGATTTTGTTCCTCAAAAGAGCAGGCCAGTTACAGATTCCGCGGATCAATGTGTTGTCATCCGTAAGGCTCACAATGCGCTGCGAGCATCAAGTTCGCAAAAAACACTCAATGTGTCCTTTTCACAACGTTGAATGTAACATCATTTAGCAGTCTTCGGATAGCCTTTTACTTGTGGAGCTGAGATCCGCCGAAACTGATGATCTTCCATTCAATGAAAAAATCTAAAAGTCATTAACTTTTCAAAGCCTACTACAAATCTCAAAGACGCCCGCGGCCGTTATTATTTTTGCTGGTGATAAGTTTATCTTTGGTCAACCTCTTTGCAGTATTGTACTTGACTCTGATGCAAGCAAATCGATATTAAAGCAATTTTAAGGAAAAATGCATCTCCAATGCGCGAGTAAAACGCAGCAGCATATATGCAAAGGACAATGTGAGTACCATTCTTATGAAATATATTTTTTGATCTTTTGATTAAGCAATGGCATCTTCAGCAAATTAACTCCAATCCATTTGATCAAATTGCGAGCGTGATTACTAATTGATTATAGAATACTTCATTCAACCCAATTATTTAGCAATTCTATTTTTGCAACTGATGTTCCGATTTATTCTAAATACATGGATTAGAACTATTTTCTATTTCATAAATTTCACCGTCCACTTTTTGAAAAAAAACTTATTATTATTAAGCCGCTAATTTTTCTTATCTGTATATTCCATTTCCCATTTTAATATTGCGGCACTCTACTGTCGCATTGGAACATTGTCAATCAGTTAAGACTATGCAATTATGAACTTTTCTGATCTCGTAACACAAAAAGTTCTTTTTTCTATATCCCTTACAATCGATCATCGCTTTTTATGCTCTGGATACTGTACATTTCACATTCCTAAGAAATTCCTAGATTGCCTTTATTAATTACCGACGGTACGAATCACAGAGTCAATTTTCTATTTATCTAAGTATTTTATAATTATGGATAAGCTGTACAGATAAATCAATGATTGAAATTGCAACTGAAAGAGATTATCAATTAATCAATATTTGAAAATGGAGATCTTTCAAAATCATTTTCTTCATGAATTATGAATAATAATAATGACACGTTTGATACGTATTGTTGAATCATTATGCTGAGTTAAGAGATCACCGTTCTATACACCATTCGTTGTTCACCGTGATTCAAAAAGATAGGGAGTATTAGAATGATCATATTTTGAATGAACTACGCCAAAAGTAGAACTTGATCCATCTTCGAAAACTATTTGAAGTCGTCACTCACTGAATAAATTTATTTGGCTCACACTTTCGAACGACGGTTGGGAATCTAAAATGGTTGCCGGAAATAACGAATCATTCACAGATAAGAGATCTATCATTTGATATCTAAAGTTACCTCTCTGAGAATCACTGGTTAGGATAACTGATTCCGAAGGTCCTCTGACTATCTCATTCATTTGAAATTGGTTTCAATTCTTAACAATCTCAAGAATTGAGCCGGATGTCTTTTGTTCTGTAGAATCAAATTTCTCACTAACTAAGCCATTGCGATCAAGAGATTTTGCCACATATTCATCATCTCACTTAGAAAGACCTGTGTTAAATACAATAATTTCCAAGGGTGGCCAGCAAATCAAAAGCTGATAAATCTATGCTTGAATCGTACCTCATTTAAATCAATATTTGAAGATAGAATCCGATTCGACGATGGTTAACTTTGGTCATATGACTGAGAATAACAGAATTTTGATTCATTTTGATTTCAATTTTGAAGTATTAGACCGACGCATCTTGTATAGCAACTTTCGATTTGGAAGATTGATTGATTCATTCTTCAGCAATCGCAGCAAAATTTTTTGAAGTTGAATTCACGTTAGTAGCTGAAACAGATCCCATTAATGCAATCCTCCCTCTGTCAGCCCAACTTTTGATGAGTAGGACAGCCCAGTTCTAAAAAACGGCCAATCAACAGCAGTACCAAGGTTACGAATTCTGCTTCTATAAAGTGACATCATGAAATGGTTCAAATCGTTGTGACTGATGTCATATTCGCTGCAATTTAAACGTTCAGCAATTGATAACCTGGTGATCGGTTAAAAGTTTGGATTCCGTGATGTAGACTCGTTCACAATCAGCATATTAATTTTCAATAATTGCCTCTCCACTCACGGCCATGGGGGTTCCAGTCTTTTATTGATGGTTATATCTTTTTAATTTTTAATAGAATTACTCCTCATTAAATAAACAAACGATATATTTTGGCGTATCGCTGTGAAATAATTGCCTCAAACAATAAGCTGTCTAAAAGTGAGCAAAAGAATATTTGGATTAAGAAATGTTATTCGAAGCCTGAAAGGAATTAAACAATGGATGTTTTTTGGTTTTAACTTCATACAATTTCTAAATTGAATAGCTTAAGCTGTTGTAAAACTAAATTAGATTTGAAAAAATCCATTGCTTCTTCTACAATTCAATAATAATCCGATGTACAAGTAGATGTCCATTACGATGAATAAATCAAATAAATGTCAAACGAATAATGGGAAACGTTTAGAGTGCAAACCCATTATGTTAAGTCATGGATAACTGAAGTTGATGAAATAGAATTTGGGGTGAGATTCACCATTGCAATAAACATCATAAATAATTTCAAAAAAAAAAATTGTAATACTATTGTCATTAATCTTCACGCCGATCCGTGAGTCACCAGTAATTTGCGTTTTGCAATTTCATTTTCCTGTGAGATAGTCTAAGAGCTTCAAAAATAAGAAAAGGAATTACCATGGCCGACAGCTGTAGATCTCAGCATTGTCGTGTAGAAACAGAGAATAATGTGATTATTCACTTTCCATTGAAATTGCCGTCAGCCGCTTTTGGCTTACGTCTTGCAGTCATTCTTTGGTTTTTGGGTTCCGCAGCAATTAATCTAAAGCATATTTTTTTGTCACAATGTGCGTCCGCTGTACACCCGGAATTGTTGATCAGATTGTTCGGTGAGTCATTGCAGAAAGCTGCTAACTAATTTGTATCAAAATTTTTGAACGGGTACTCCTTTAGAGGGTACACACAGTGAAATCAGTTAATAAGTTCAGTTCGCAATCTATCAACGACTTTTGGGGCCCCGATAATTACACACCATTGAGGTCTGTCTCTCTAAGGTCACATCACTTTTGTGTTGCTGATCTGTTGCAACTCTGATTCACATCAGAAGTTACGACAAGCGTAATTAATAATGAAAAGCCAAATGACCTACTTTGTAAAATTTATGTACAGCAGTGTTCGCAAAACATTTTCCTTTTGTAGAACATCGAAATTAGTATGGAACGATGATGAATTCAGTGATTGAGAACATTACGCCGCTGATTTGTAAACGTGTTCATTCTTTTGGATTATGTAAAGATTCTTGGACAGAGAAGCGGCTCTGCCTACGCCGTTAGAGACGTTTCCTGCTTGTTTGTGGTTTGCGAGATGAGTAAAAATCAGTAAAATGTGTTCTACCCATATATCATTTCAGCGGATGTTGGTTCTGTCTGTTGAGTTCATGTAAGTTTATTATCTTTGGCCATTCGCCGTTTGGGGACTCAAAAGAAGAAATCAAATAGGCAGTAGCAAATCCAGCAATTCGTAGACGTGATACTAGCCAAAACCATTGCAAATTAAATCCACAAACGGAGCCCCAGGACAAAGAAACAACTAGGGCCGGAGAATTCTTCAATCCTAAAAAAACGGAAATGGTAAGGCCGGAAGATAATTGCTCTTTGACTACTCGTGATTGACTCGTAGAATGAATTGCCTAATACAAATAGGTGAGTTCCATTGGTTATTGTGAAACCCAGGTTGACCAAGATAAACAAGGTAGAGCCTTCACCCGTCCAATATGTGATGTGGACAAACTGGTTTGCACCCCATTGGTTTGAACTAACTTTTTGCAGATTCTGAAATCCTAGGCAAGTCCTTTATAGATATATGCGCACACACTGGTGAAGACAGATATCATATCAACTAATTGGCATCTGCACGCATTCTTTCAATTGGAGTGATTCCTGTTGTGGCTGAGGAAGTAAGCCAATCAACTTGTCAATCAGCGGTTGGAACACTGACACATTGTCCTAGAATTCTGTTGGTCATTCGTCGTTCCGATGAAGGTTATCATCTGTATGATAAAACTGAATCCATGAAATCTGAAACAAGTAGTACGGTGGCAATAGAAAGACTCGCCGCTGAAACATTTACTAAAGTTAACGAAATTGATTCAAGAGAATCCTGTAGTGCAGCCAATAATTGTAAACGTGTAAACCTCACTTTGTTGAGCAAACCCCAAAGTCATGCGTATGTTGTCGATTAATCAATTATCTTTGTGTCTGATGATAGTGCGCTTATGGAACATCTTCATGGACCAGTATCCATGATGTGACAGTCCTGATTACCGTCTGGATGCTCAGCAAAAATAGATCTGACATTAGCTTTGAAACAAAAGTGATCGGTGATGGACCAAGATTAAAATAAATGGCTTCTGACTGATTGTGGTTAAATGAATATCATATTACCACGGTATGATCTGTCATTCAAAAACAAGACACTGCTACGTGGTTCCCGTTTCTGTACACAGTCTTAGTGGCCCTACATCTTCTGATTTCAAGAGCCAAAGGCTAAATCATTATTTAGAAGATTGTTGGAATTTGACGATGATTGAGAAATCCTGCTTAAATGTTTGCAGTTGATGTCGCTCACAGTAACCAAACTTTTGGACTATCATTGATGCCCCATGCCATACCGCTAATTCCACATTTGAATTTGAAACAATGTAATTCGCGGACGCCACCATGGGGAGTAAAGCAATAAAAAACGGTTGTTGAGAAAAATCTGCTCCTAACTGCAGCAGAAGCAACTCTATGTGACAAGTCAATTCAGGCCTGTGGAGCGCTTTTTCGGTTGTCTAGTGAATGATAAAGGTTTTGGGTTTGGGATTCAAAGGCAGACACTTTGGTGCGCGTTACAAATTCAACGCATCTTCTTCCTCGAAAGTCAAAAGATATATGAACGTTAATCAATTAATAGCTGTTGAAAAGCGGATTACTCTCTTATCTGGTTTGGATACGTTAATTGTGACCGGGGATATGTTTTCGGAAGTAGGATATTAGTTCTTTGGTCTATGAGTCAGGCACATAAAATGGAAGTTCGGTTGATCTGAAAGATGAAGTCCTGAGTTCCCTTCCTTGATGGTAAAGGAAAAGACATTTGACTAACTGCGACAAACGAACAAACCGTGTTCCTACTCAGGAGTTCAATTGAAAAGGTGGAGACGCCGCAAAACACATGAATTATTGTGGGAAGTATTGTACGCACCCATTCATAGCCGTCCTGCCAATCAACAAAAGATCAATGAATAATTAATCAAATTGTATATTATTAACTGATTGATAAATGTTGCGTGTCAGTTTGATTGAGTGAGCTCCAATGGTACTGTAGATCATACAATTATTAAGGAGCTTCCACCACAGGGGTTCAAATAGGCTGTCAGCCATTTGATCAGTGGATTATTGATGGATGTGTTTTGTTGCGTACTTCTCTTGTGATTTTTCTGATTGCTAAATTATGGATGAACAGTTGGCAATTCTTCAAAAACTTGCCAATGTGTGTGTCGCACACACTGGGCTTTATCTAACTTAACCAAGTATAGCGGTCCACAGTGAAATTGTTCTTCCTTTGATTCTCTCAAATGCTTATATTGGTGGTCAATGCAGTCAGTAAATTGTTTTGGTCGGTATCAACTATATGATCGGTATGCAGGGGATTCGATTTCTCAGTTGTATCAATTATCAACTGCGCGCGTTTTCGTTTTATAATTAAGTAAATTTCCAATATTCACGCTTAGAATTGGTGGTCAAACGAGAATGAACCCATTCTGACCAGCAGGGCTTTGACTAAATGAACAATTAACGACTTTGTAGCACAGCGAAGAGAACGCTCCTTTTTTCATTGAATGATACTTTAGCAGCGACATGCCGCTCGAAAAAGTACCCCATATTTGCAATAGGACCAAGTTATTTTAACATCACTTGAATTCATAGAAAAGGGCGGCAATGCATTTTCCACTTTTACACTGGGTAAAAAATCAATCATTTGAGACGGAACATGGCTCTGGCTGTTCAAAGTCACCGGTCGACGCATACTGGTTGCGACGGTCTGTCCCAATAATCATCCAGGTTAGTCAGTTTGCTGAACGGCAAGTAGCTTAGAGTTGAGCGGCGGTTGTTCGCCTTCTGCATTTTTACATTTGCCAATTTGTAATCTGATGGTGATCACGGCTTGTGGCAATCTGTGATCCCTTCGTTTTGAGCAAATTGAGAGTCCCGACACTTCCCACGGTTTTCATGAGTGTGTGATTACATGAGTATATACCGTGGTGTACATGAGAATCAACATGTCAGACATAGTCAAAATGGGCTACTCGCTTCATAGATTACTTGAATTGATGGTACAGCCCGTTGAGTCTTCACCCATCAACACCATGAGGACCCCACTCAACTCTTCATTGAGATCCACAACCACCCACTAAATGATCGAAGGATTCATCAAGAATTGTTGTAATTCTGGCAGAACAAACAAAACTATTTTGAAATATTCCGTTGAGTTGGCCCCGCTGCTTCCATTAATACTGGTTGCAGAAGTGCAATGCAGAGATTCGTGTATTACCCCATTGATGAATGTTCATTCGTAAAGCACGGGCTTTTAAGTGGTCCTAACAGGTGGTGGTATTCTTTGTCCGTACAAAATTTTGGAAAGGTATTCAATGCAGACACATTTTCCAATATTAAACACATTCAGGTGTTATGATCTCTGTGAGCTGGTATTTGAGAATGAAAGACAGGCTGTTTACATGCCCTGCCGCGGTTTCTCCCATGAAACCCCATTGAGAGGAGCAACTATGGTTCCATCATTCAAAGACTCCAAAGCGATAATTAATGTTTGGAAGATATATTCGAATTAGAATGTCGGAGATGAAGCCATTCATTGTGGAAGCAAAGAAATATTAAATGTTTACTATGTAATAAAAATCACTCAAATTAACTGGTACAAATAATTTGTGAGTATGAAAAATAAAATCTGACAAGTTAGTAATACATATTTCTGACAAGATTGTTGGATAATTTACAGGAAATCACTGAGGTACTAACAATAGCTTATATTTTAATGGAGGTAATGAGCGAGGCGGAACAATAGTCAATTAACTTATATAATCAAATCTTTGAGTAAGTTATGCTCAGGAACCCATAGTTGATAAATTCCATATTTGCTGCAATACCTTTTGTAATTGTTGCGGCAAAGGAGAACGCAGTGTCTAGTGATTTTCAAAGTGAAGACATCAATGTTAGGAATGCATCCATTCGCCGTAATAACCAGCATTGCTCAAAAATTGATACGTGATGTGATACCGCATTGGATAATAGTGCGGTTTGAATCTGTGCCAATGTATTGATATCTGGATTAGGATCAGATTCGCTATAACGGGTTTAGTTAACGACATCTGCATTGATTCACATGTCCACCAAGCAACAGAAGACTCCACTTTCAAATGGAAAAAGCAGGATTTTGATCCTTTGAAAATTATATCGTGAACCTGATTGCTGCTCTTCAATCCCCATTGCCAATACAATTTATATTGTTCTTTCAAACTCAGCCGTGATTGCAGCTGAAGATTCCGCAGTGAATCTTTTACAGTAAAACGTCCTCAGAACACGTTGAGCGCAACACCAGTCGATTGGTCATGGGGAACCGTGTCGCTACTACTCGATCCATCAAATAAGGGAACATCATTGAAAGGTGAAATTGCAGCGATCATCAAGACCAACTTAGCGATCTGGAAATTGATGACTGCCCTTGCTGAAATACTGGCACCTCTGTTTCAAACAATAATATGAACTTGTTAATCGTCGCCGTTGGAAGCAGCAAATAAAATAATTGGATTATGAGCAGTCGCCCGTTCTCCTGATATGGGTGATTGCAGTCATAACGAAGCCCAATTTCTTTTGCACACCAGGAAGTTTCACAAGCCGAAGGGCGATTAACGCTGCTTTCGGTTTTTTGAACAAACAACATTTAGCTGATGTGCCAAGGCAGACATCCACTTTGGATGTCTCTTATTTGACCCAAGTCTTTTGTCCTGAGGATCGGCAATGGGACCCGCCTCACCATGAGTTGGTCGGCGGATCATTTTTAATTTTTAGCTTTTAGTCCACTCATCCACCTTAAAATCTTTCAAAAAATTTGATGCAACAGTATTTAAACAAAGACTTGATTGTTCGGTTGCTGAAATCATAGAAAATCGACGAAGCAACGGACTTTACTTTTTGGGGTTTGGCCTTCTTTCAGAAGTGCCCGAGCGTAGACTGTTGGTCGGAGCGCTTATCATAGCGGTTGCTATTCTATCAGAATAAGCTCCACCAAACAAATTTGTGGGCTCTGCAAAACCAACTTGTTATAGCCTTTCTACTGGTGGATGCGTTTCAGCTGAGTATGAATAGGGGCTCTTAAATAGATCGTGATCCAGTGAAGGGTGTGTGGAAATGGGAAAAAGAAATGTTAATAGTAAACAACAAGCTGCTATTACTATATCCAATGCAATTCATTTTGGGGAGTGAGAACTGCATCATCCAAGTACAGAAATCAATTTCACTCTTTATGATTCGGACGCCAACATTTTCAAGGACTACAATGGTGATGCAGTTGGAGCAATTTGTACTCTATCTAGGTTTGGGCAGCTCTGATGCTGAGAAAATCCTTACTCCATTTCCTTTCTCAAAGAACTTCTTGCACGGACTCAAATTTGCGGGACAATCCTTTGAGTAAAATCAAATCGGTTACTACCTCTGGGCAGACAGGGCATTTGCATTTTTGTAAGAACGCCTTGGGAACCCCAAAAGGGTCTTAGAACAACTCTATGATTGGCACTTGGAAATAGACTAGTGTAGTTAGTCTTCGGCAGTTCCACTCCAACCGCGGGATCATCAATTGGTAGCAAATACATCGGCTGCCGCTCATATTCTGCATAACCCTATGCTGGATTACTCCATGTTAGCACTATGGTTAGATGTTGCATGCCACTTGATTTTGTAGTTCACTTGGCTTTATATTGACTCGGGTATATCTCAACAACTTTTGTTCAACCCGTCGTTGGTCCAGCGACTTATCTTCTGATTGAGGTCAACCTGCTGCAGTTGGCGCTCCGCAGGTGTAGTCCAATCTGCTGCAATGGTATTACTTCTTATTGGTTGTCCTTTCTAATTAGTTGAATTAAAGTTTCCTAGAAGTTCAATAACTCAGATTCTCGGCTGCTCGAATCAAAACACTTTGCTTCCTCATCATGAATGATTGAGATTCTTAGAATTGATCGTAGCCGGCCATAGAGCAGTTTCAGCATTGGATAGGTGAGCCGGTCATTCATTAAACGATTCGAATATGACTAATAATTGGATTGGGGTGTAAATCGATGCTCGTGAAACAGTGAATAATGATATAAAAAAAATTTATTGGAGTTCTGCTGGAAGTGGCTCAAAGCATAATACGTCTCACCTAAATAATCCACGGAAAATCTTGACATGAAGACCGCATAACAAGTTACACCTCCTCTTGATCTTTCTATTTTTGAAAATATTGAAACAATTCCCGTTGTTGCTGCTAGTGAAACTTGTCTGTTTTCCCCATTTTAGAAGAGATGGTCAGCGATGTTGTCCTCACCCACTGATTGCTACAAAAGCGTGGGCCGTTGACAGGTCGTGAAATTAGCTTAATTGCTCTCAGCCATTGTCTGCTAAGGAACGGTTCCCGCAACTGTAGAATTGATCCATCGGAGTCTGTCACCGGTCTGCTCCCGGGTAGGTTAGTGATTAATCCCAGCCACCTATGGGAAGGCTGGCGATCACTACAGCAATCCTCCTCATTACATACTTTCCGACGTAACATATAAACTTGGATTCGACTTAGCAACCTTGGAACAAATCAGTAATCCCTCCCTGCAAAGAATTTGCGACATTCATGGTTGGTGCTAAAGTTACTTTTCGGCCCTCGAGGTTCAATTTGAATTTTGTTCAGTTTCGACAGTTGGTTCAAACATAGATGAAACTAGGTATTACGGTTGATGATGAAGTTGAATTAAAAGCAAATAAAGTTGGCTCACAATCCATTTACACTACGTTCGTTACTGGCGGATATGGCCTTTGCGTTGTGCATAAAAAAGCTCAATTATCAGTGCTACGGCAGTGAACTATCAGTTAACTTGAACAAGGATTAGCTTCCTACGATTTTGAGCAGCTATTATCATGAATAAGTAAATTACTTCATTAAATAGAACAACCAATTAACTAACGAAGCGGATCACAATAAGTCAAGAAATGACTTCTGCTCAATATTTACCAGCAGTAGAATGCTGATCAAGCTGCTAAATGTTTTGCGCTACTGCCTGTTTGCACTCCATTTACACTGAATGAGTGTCCACCATATTTAGTAACTTTCACATTATTCGTTTTTTAGATCCAACGAATTGGGGTTTGCGGATGCAGATAAAGGATTCCCTGGTCACTCCACGTGGATGGACCTACCACTTTGAACTACAAACCATTGAGAAAGTCAAAATAGTAACGAGTCCCAACTAACGAAGTTTGGCAAGTGATTGTTGCGGGAGGCGTCAACTTTTGATGGATTGTCTGATGGAGCCGCTCGAACGGTTGAAGGGTTTTGTCATGGTGCACCTTGTGTTGACGAGCCGATGCTACATTGCAGGTGCTTGTTACTGCAAAGCTGATGTTGAAGTCGAACCGGCTTTGCTTTTAACCTGGAAGTTTCAACGTATTTGAGGAAGAACGAATGAATCAGCGACCTACGTTAACTGTTAAGTTCAATTAGAACTGTTTGAGACTCACGCAATCTATCACCGGATTGATATTCATTCAATTGAGCGGAACGCTATTTGAAGTAACATCCATCTCAACCTGGCATCATCAAAGGACGGCTTTTAGGTTGCGTTTGGGTCAATCAAAATGGGATCTCTGATGCCCTATATATGAGAGCCGCGTTTCCATCCAGTCATGAATATTATGATCTGATCGCTGGTCTGGTAGGTCAAAAAGTGGTTCCAGCAGCATTTAACTTTGCTGATGCGCCGCCGGCTGTTTCTACTATGACAAACAGTTGACCTGCAGCTTTTGGTTCTTCGAACGAGGCGGAATCGATCAAAACAGCAAAGTTCCAAGGTTTGGCCGCTGCTGCTAGTTCACTCATGAGTCTCTCAATGGTGAATAGCGACCAAGTGTACCAGCAGATTGTGCAAAAAATTTGCCAGTGTTATTCACGCTGCTCAATATGTTGCTTCCCAATGCCCTATGGATGTTGTCGCTGATGACAGCAGTCGCTAATTTGCGGTCTTTTTTAATGACCACTGATAATATGTTGTAATTCCTCCGTCTGAATGAACAACGTTAGCAGTTGTCACTTGGGCATATTTCATTACTTTCTATCACTGTTTGTTGGCGTTAAAAGTTCATTGAGCTCGATGGGATACAGATGGTTTTTCCACACGGTTTGAAGATTATTCACAAAATGCCAAAACCAAGAATGACAAGGCAATTGCTCTAGGTTCAATAGGAACGGGGTGGATAGTTGACTAGGAACCCAATCAGGACAAAGAGCAACAGCTTGTCGAATGAAAGAATGATTGGGATTGCTTGTTATATGAGGCTATGATCTCCCAATTGCTATCGACTGATGTGATTCTCAATGGTCGGACACGATTGTACGAAGGATTTTACATCTTATTTGCCGGACAAACGCAAATACTGCTACACAAAAGGAGTTGGCATGCGGTGCTTAAGCACCAATTCGCAAAACTAATTGCAAACCATGTTAGCCGATTGCAGTCTTGGATGTTTACTTGTTGGGTAGGTGATATTTTAGGACGACTACTGTGTGTTGCTCCGCCGCATCAGCCGTATGCATTGCAGATCATCACGTCGTCTTTACCAAAGCAGTTTAAAGTGTAAACAGGGACTACTGGCCGCATTTAAAGGAAGCATTGATTTTGCAGTTGTCCTGGGAGCTTTTGCCGGATAGCATATGCGGAGTGAGCACAATCAACAAGTTGCAGAGGCAAATATGAATCAACAACAAAGTGCTTGAAATACTTTTGGCAAAGCGGTTCAAAGATGTGATCACAGGAGAAAGCCAACGAGAGTATTAACAGTTTTCTTTTCTTTCGATAAGACAGGCCGCAGCAACTGCACAACCATAGCAATTAATTATACTTCTGCGATTACATTCTCCGCAGTTTAAAAAAAGTTGGCGAGACTCAAACATCTGCTGTATCCGCAATCGAGTAAGTTGCAGAGCATAAAACTGCTCACCAACGCAATCCTGATATTGTTCCAATGGCTTTCAAAAAAAATACACATGATGCAATTGATGCAGTAATAACAGAGCCACTGCAAAATATTTTGCCGCCGCTTTATTGCTGCCAGCACGTCTAATCAAAGTTTTCTCATAGGAATACACAGTGTTCTTCGCCAATTTTGGTTCAAGGAGGAGAAAAATAGATCTTCACCTGACTGCCAATGTTCGACCTGAAGTAGAATCGATTACCTGTCAAAAATGCTTTGGAATCCAGTCTTCTACAAGTAGTACCTAAAAATATGCCAGACCTGTTGCTGAACAGCCATCGCAGATTGAAATAATCTAACTCACTAAATGATATAGATTGTAGTTATTAAAAGAAGTGTGGAAGTGATCCACGCTGTCGCCGCATTTACCAAACTCAAAGTTAATTAAATCAATGTCACAACCCCATTTTATTACGGTGGTGCCGACTGTACTTTGCGCCAAACAACGTTGTGGAAAAGTTGATGCTCAGTAGTCTTTGACCGCTGCCGAGTCAGTCATGCTAACTCATTGAGTTATGTGTTGTGGCTTTTGTTGAGACAAGAAATTCACGAGGGGTCAGCTTTCGCTTGTCCCTGACAGCGGCTCAGCCGTAGATGGAGCCTTTGGTGTTTGATGAATTAGAACCACTCAACGACGCGATCCTACGTACAGGATCCAATAGATAGCGAATCATCAAATGGAACGATCTGATTGATGAAACGTTTTATGCATCTTGAAAGGACATAACTGCTGCCTGTTATGATCGGAGAATTTGTTGCAGCTCGTGCTGCTAGTGATAACGAACAAATTACTGCACTTAAGCAACCATATACGGCCTGATGGCCGCCCTGTTAAGATGGGTCGGACACATGTGAAGACAACATCAATGATAATATTTTGAATCAGCATTGTACGTGAACTGGATAGCGCTCAGCAAGTTGTTGAAGATGCAAACATTGAGCGATCAATGGCTGATTCGTTGCATATTGATGAAGACGGTTCATTGAATAATATTTTTTGGCTGTGGGGATGGAATCCCTTAACCGAGGTCCCGCATGCGAGATTCATCTACTCAGCGCAGCAAAGAACTTGAGTCTTTAATCCTTAAATCCGTTATCGGTTGCAAACAAAACAGCTGTTTCACTTGAGCTGGTGCAGCACACCCATAATAATTAAGCTGGAAATACGTTTGATGGGAAAGTAATGGTTGTTTTTATCTTTCTTGTCACCAAAAATCACATGACATTTAATTGAATGTAGTACGGGTTGATTGTCTTTGCGATTTCAAAAGCTGACTACATTTTACCCGACATGGCGGCCAAAAACGGTGTCTTGCTGATGCTGGTTTCGATATATCTTGGTGGGGATGGGCGGAACTCCATTCGTACTTTGATGACAAATCCGCCACCAACGTATTCAGCTTTCCCACCATTTTCGAAAACACCAAAGCTATTTCATATAAATCTCATTTATGGAAGAACAATCGATATTCCCATTTCGCCGTTCTTGGATCGAATTAATGAGAATTGAAGATTAAACACCAAGTGAGTGTGTTTCTGTACCTTACAATAGATATGCTACAGAAGTACCGTAATATGTCAATCGTTGATGGTTGTGGCCCTGCACCTTATTTATTGTTGGCGTTTCTCAATAATATTGGTTGTTTGATGTTGTTTTCAATTTGGCTAGTGAGTTGCAATAGATCTAGTTTGTCAGCTGCTCAGTCTTTATTTGTTGAATAGCTTCAATTTTCGCTGTTCGGCTGATTCATTATTTTTATTCACAAATACTTACACGGCTGTTACGATATCCCTGCATTCAAATTCAACTTGTATGGAATGTTAATTGGTTATTCATTTATGATGTTTTCTTCTTCATTGCAACCGAATATCAATTATCAATTCTTCGAAGATGTTGAGAAGATCGGCAGTTCAGCAAGACCCCAATAGGCAAGCCAAACAACTGGCTTGATATACTTCTTACTGCTCAAAGCAATAAGTTTTACAATCTTTCTTTGATTGAAAAGAGAGGACATCCGTCGGATTGGGACCCACCTGGCGAAGCATTAAAACTGATCATTTTTGTGGGTTATAATGTTTCTGGTATTGAAGGCGGTATTTGGGAGTTGAGTGGAGACATCTGCACGCTTCCGGGAATCTCTAGATTGAATGCCTCAAACACTCATCTCCTTCGTCACTAGCAACCCAAATGTGAAAGTTGAGCACTTTTCAATATGTTCCACTCTTTTTCAGATCGTTGGAGCAATGGTTAATGCAATATGAAGTGCGGGACAGAAGCCACCGGTTGTCCACAATTGTTTCCTTGGTGTGTAACTTCGGTTACGACCAAAATGCGGCCGCAATTGCTCTGGAATGCGTATAAAGGGCAGGCGGTGTTATCTACGATGTTTTAATTTATCTACCTCTTGAGGTTTATATTTCACAATCGATTTGCAACAAGAGCAGCTGACAGACTTCATGCTGTGGGACTTCGAAATGAGGTTATGCGGAAACTCTTCAACCGATGTTGACGAACAGAACAAATCAGAGCAGAGTAGTCAGCTTCTGAGCAGGTTTTTCAAAGAGAAATCAGTGAATGCTGCCTAACTTCATTCGTCTTTGAGTAGAAAGAGACTATTTCACTCTAATGCTCGAACTGACGTGCGTAAGCAACTTGGCATCGATGATTTCAGTACATTATGCTGATTCACACCATGCCTAGAGTACTGCGGACTTCTTCGCATGCACTATTCAATCAAATTAATTAATTTGCCGCGACGTTGAACATCATTTCAAGTGGGCACCTTGCATGACTCTTGAAAATGTGATTGGAACCAAGTTGAGTGCTGCCGGTCTGCTCGGTAATTTTGTTTGGGAGCGGCGAGTGTAGAAACGTCTGCAAATCGTTGGGACCACGAACAGGCCGCGTCTTCGTTAGTATTTCGTTTCGCCACTTATAAAAGCAAATAACCTTCAACAGTAAAACTTTTAGTGCGATTTGGGGAGAAGTCAATAACGACTGCATTGCCTTTGCTGCTGTTGGTGCAATCGGCTGACGTCAGCCAACAGCGTACAGGTTTTCCTAATCCACGGCGATCCACAACGGAGAAAAAAAATATATGATCGAAAAACGTGGAAGACAAGGCACAATGTTATATAGCGAACTGGGTTTAGGCAGAACGCGTCACAGGAAATGACCGATGACAGACACGGAGAGACCTAATGTGAACATTCGGGAGCCTTACAGCAATCCTGATTAACTGAGTAACCAGTCCTCAATTGACTTGGTAATAGTAGTCCATCATTCTAAGGTGCAGCCCCTCTACCGATCTCATTTCACGAAAAGTTGAGGCAGCGCAATACACGGTGTCTACGGATTCACTCACGGGCGCGGTTCGTTGGATACAAGTCCTAAGCACGGCTGCCTATCAAAATCATTTGGAGGTGAGATCACTTCGAGTATTTGAAACTATTTCAATTGCTGTAAACTTTGATAGGTCGTCTATCCTTCCTTGCTATGTTTATTGCTCAGTTCTTTCACTTTGAGGTTGTAGAACGTTACCTAGAGAGCACGTTGTTTTGTTGCTCACCACATAATTCTCTGACTGACTTTTCGGGTTACAACGATGGACAAGAAAATATCAATTGACCCCAAACAAAGAGAGGAGATTGTCGCATCTCTATAGTGATGAAAATAGTGTTCAAGCTTGGCGACGATACTCAACTTAATGAAATACACGATGGTTTTTCAAGTAACGCTCACCGTCCACTACACCACGAAAACCTCCAGTTGTGATATTCTTTGAAAGATCGTCGAATGCGTTTGATGATATAGCCTCAAAAATGATTCTAAACCTTTTGAACCAAATTACTGGACTGAATGTTTCAGCATATTCAATTCCATCAAGATAGTGAGAACCATGACCAACACCTCCAGCTTTGGCACAATCAGCAGTGGGTGCTGATGTGAATGTACACACCGTTGGTCTGCGTTCAAGACTTCTACCAGCATCAAGATTAATCAGCAGAACAGTACGCTGCCCCAGCCTTGCCTGAATTTTTGATTAACAAACAACGTTGCATATTAGGTGGGCTAAATTTGGTTTAACAGTGGTAGCGGCCATAAGGGCAGCAGCCAAATATTTCTGAGGAGAGCTATCTTTAACTCAATCGCTGGATCCGTTTGCAAATCTTTTAAGCACTTCTCCACATCTATGCAACTCTTGCTGCAGAACTCATTTGGCTCAACCAAGTTGGTCTTTCTATGATAGAGCACCGGTGCTGGTATCGCAACTGAAGTATTATCGAATAACGATGGAACAAATTCGATTGCATCCCATTGAATGTCACTAACACCATTTATCTTGTCATTAATTCAGGTGATGACAGTAAACTAATCATCCTAATTGAAGTTGTATATCAAGGGGTGAAGTGATTCCATTGCAGCTGTGTTGAGATTGCCATTGCTCGTCGAGGACTCTTTTTGCCTAATATGAACAGCAGCGCTGGGAGTAGCTCCTTCGGCAGATAAAATTCATGGATTAGTGCCAGCAACTGCTGAATCCGTATTATGAAATTTTCTTTGATCTGAACGACCGAAGGAACAAAATCCATCAATATTTTTATATTGATTGTACAATTTGCAAGGTGCTTCACTCAGGTCGTAGCAAACAAAAACAGAGAGCACTGGCATCATCGTCATTGGTTGGCCGATTTGTTTGCAAGTCATCGGGAGAGCAGCACGTCTATTCACTATACGCAAAGGTGCTGATGATCTTCCATCAAATAATGAAACTGGTGTAGCAAACCGAGCGCCTTGCATAGTATGAGTCAAATTCTTCAAGAACACTGCACGCATCTCAGCCTCGAGCAGCAAGTACTGTGAAAATTTTGCATTAATTAACGTTCTCTTGGGTTTTGTCACTATTGGACATTTCTGACTTTCAGGAACCGCTCTCAAATGAGACTCGTAAAGAACCAACAGTTCTTGTTTGATTCTCTTTGACTAAGTGAATTCGTTGAACTGCTAGGATGCAAACTTGTGATCAGACCTGGCGGTATCAACAATTCTATCTAATAGTGGTTGAGTGAATTCACTACAATATTCTAACCACGGAACAGCCTATGAACATGTGTCCAATAGAGCCACAAAGGCAAATCTTGACAAATTTTCTACAACGAAGTGAGAATACTGATTTTAATCTCTAGCAGCAACTGGCATTAAACCAGCAATATCATTATTCAGACCAACAAGAGCAGCGGCACCTAGTCTTATAGAAGACGTATCTATATCGTTGGTTGTTTCTCCCTTGAGAAAATGCTCATATTATAAAATCTTTGCAGCAGTAATGCCAATTATTTTGGAGAGTTTTCCGGCAGCCATCTCTCCTGCAAGAGCAGATCCATCAGGCTTATTTTGAATATTTAGCGCAACAGCAGATGAGACAACCACACTTTCATATTATTCTTTGGATGCTCCCATAGAGCTGATGAACTATTTTAATAGGAGCATTAATCTATGAATGAAACCAACACCCCTCTATTTGTAGGTGCCCAGATTGAACTTTCATTTGCACCATCACAAGCCTAAAATCATTCTCTAATCATCAACCATTTAAGGGGATGACAGTCCCAACACATTTGACAAGGTCGATGGTGTCAACAATGCCAGCAATATGACCTGAGTCAAAAGCAAAATCACTGAACTAGCCTCCTCCTTCTTAAATGGGTTAAAAGGCACCAGACTCAAAATTGAACAACTTCGAACATTGCATGGGTTGGTAGTTACAGCACACGACATAGCAAGCCGCCACTGAGGAGGTTGAGACAACCATAACAGCTACATCGGAAGAACCATTGGCTCCGGCTGACGAACCAGCATGAACAGGTTAAGCTGCCAAACAGAGGAAGCAAAATGTCGCATGTTGGGACAACGATAGCGTCTCATTCAATCCCGTGTGGGCGTGTTCATCCGATACTTTCTAACGGAGAACCACGTTCCTCAGCCTGATCCATGAGTAAATGCATGATCAGCAAAATGAGGGCAAAACTCTTTGAATCAGTAAGTATAGTTTTGTGGTGGTCTTTAGATTGTGCAAGAATCAATCCAGCCAACGCGGGGTGCAAAGCAGAAGCAGCTTTAAAAATAAGGGCAACTTGATGCGCGTTGTAGACGTTGGGATTATTGAAATATGACTCAATAACAAACTCATTGTAATTCAAAATGTTTATTAATGTACTTTAGGTATTCCCGGAACCTAGTTGCAAGGACATAACAATGGCAGCCATAGCTTCAAGAAGAACATGAAGCTTCTCCACTTGAAGCAGTGCTTCACGGCCATAACACGGATTGAAAGGAATTTCAATGCGGCAGAAACAATACCGGCGCTATCTATCGTATGGCAAATGGAATCCAAAAAACCTTTAACTTTTTCTAAATAAACAACGTCAGCAGGAATAACTCTTTCTTTTATAACTGCTTGAACAAACGGACCTAAAAAGGCAGCTTTCAGAAACAAGAACGAAGCGCAAATAGTAATGTCTGCAGCATTCATCAAGTTCTCTAAAAGTGCTGCGATCATTCGCTATTGGGCCGAAAGCCAGTTGAACCATATTAATGATAAACTACGAGGTCAAAAGGAATGTGAGAAAAAGAATAAGGAGCAGAACGCCAGCCTCTTTTATAATGATATTGCTCTTATCACAGAGCGCCACTGGAGCAAACAGGTGACTGAGCCCAATGATTAAAATGTACATATTTAGACGCTCTGAACACTGAGTTTGTGTTTTTAATAGTACCTCTTGTATAATTTGCAAGCGATTTAGGTTCTACATTAATGACTTGAAGATGCTACTCCCGGAGTTTTTTGTTCCAGCAAACTTGTCCTCATCAGACTCAGCACCTGCGTTGCCATCAGTAACTTGATCATTTTCATCAGTGAAAGAAGCTGATTTGGTTGTATTCAATACATTTTCATTGTCAACATCTTTCTCTTCATCTTCTAAGTTGATGTCTTTTAATGACCATCCTCGTTGGAATCTCATTGTTGATTAGTCATCTAAGCAGTTCCGGTTGTGTAATCTTAGTCATTGAAAGCCGTGGAAAGAATCCCCTCAAAGCGCCAACAGGAACAGGATGCAAAGCCAACAATAAATGAAATTGCGAAATTAGCCGCAACAAATGAAAATCATTCAATGGAAATTTGCTATCATGAAAGCAACTAGAAACACTGCCATCCACAACGCTATCATAAGGATTGAACGCTCGGTAGGTTTCACTACTTAAGTGAAAGCCAACAAGAGCGCAGACGACACTTTTCGCAGCTATCTTTGATTATTTGAATTGTCTGGGGATCAGGGCCGGAGTAGCACAACAGCAACCATCCATCAATAGAATACATCCAGTTCCTCCATTTAATAATGCGAACGGAGTGGGAAATAGTGCGCCTCGGTTGATGGGATTTAGAGTCATCCAAATCTCTGAACGCGACAGTCTTTCACTCCACAAAACCCCAGGAACGCTGGATTCTACTTACCTTGTCTTGGCCTTTTGCTTGATTGAGCTTGCCAAACGTTCTGTGAGCACACTTTAATGAGAGTCAAAAAAAAAAATGAATTTGGAATTTGATTCCTTTATATTGACAAAGATTTTGAACAGCTTGAATTCTATGAAGTTATGCGATTTAACAGTGGGAAGTGTTTTATCAAATAATGGATATCAAATTTCGTAAAATGGCTCAAATCAACAAATGCTAAAGAATGTCTAGCAAATACAGCAACAGCTGAGTATCTCAAACAAACATCATCAATCTTCGGAAGAATCCGAGCATCACCAACAGCAACACCATCAATTCGTCCAACAATATTAACATAAACCAACTTGGGAGCTGGGTTGGCCTGTCTTGTTGATAACTGCATAATAATTTAGGTCGCTTTTCTTTTGTCAAAAATCCGACATTTTCAACTGGCAGCAAATCTATACTATACATTTTGGATAATTCTGTTGCACCAACCGCTGCTTGATTATCTTTTGAGCGATGGGGAGTGCGAAGGAATTAATGTAACAGGCGGTGAGGCAGGGAAAAATTCATATGATTCTGATATTGCTCTGCAACCATATAAAGTGCCATCAATAGGAACACAATATTCTTTGAAAGAAAACTAGGGGCATCAATTTTTAGCGGCGTGAATTCAAATTTAATTTGGACCATCGGGAGCGCAAAGATCAACTTGTAATGATCCGCCATTCTGACTAATCAAAGATCGAAATCCGTTCAGAACACCGTTAGTGTAACCAACGCAAAAGGTACCGCTTCAAAAGGAAGTTGAGTTGCTCAACCAATCATTGATGGCTGAGATAACTTAGAAAGCACTAATATGAAAATAAAACAGATAGCGGTTGAAAGTCAAGTTACCTGTTTCATTATTGATGAATGCAGACACCGACTGATGAACATTGAAAGCATTTTGAACAAGATTCTGCAACAGAACCATCGGCTGCAGCAAATGTTTTAACAAAGACTAGCAGAGCAACTAAACGCTCAGCAGCAAAGGTTTCATATTGTGACAGCCACTATCGGTCAATTTTTTGTTGTCAGCATTTTGAATGAATCATTAACATCACTTACTACCGCTGCGGAATCTATGCTATCAGCAAATGCATCACCTCCCAGACGAGTAACAAAAACATTTCCAACAGTAAGTGAAACTGTCTCAGAATCTGTGAAATCAACAAGACTCTCTTTATCCTAGCTGCCGTGCAAATCAGACGTGGAAAAGATAATAACGCCAACATCCACCGCATTGTTGACCTGGAGAATATTGCGTTAACATTCAGTAAAGGTTTTATTTCAATCCCTTCTGCTATATAATGAGCTTTGCCACTTCGCTGAAATAGGAGACCTGGTCTTTAGAATTACCGCCTTCACACCATTCGTACAGTAAAGGATCTACAAGTTAGCTGATAGTTGACGACCATACGACCCATTGCATAGCACGGGTGGCAGTGGAGCAGCAACTAATTCTTCAGTATTCAACGTATGAAAAGACGATTCCAAAGCAACATTATCTTTCTGAATCAACTTCGTCAACATGAATGCATTTTCTTTGATAAAAGGTTGAACCAATGGACTAATCCGAACGTCGCGGAAATTCCTGATTAGACCCGAAATACCAAACTTCCAGCAGTGATTTGTTTCTGTGCTATTTTCCAGCTAACATCAGCAATTATTCTCATTACCATTTTCAGCGGTTCTACTAAAGGACATTACGGTGAAGAGGTATATCCAAAAAAGGAACAAAAGTGAGATGGCCAGCCCCATCTATAGGAAGCTAGATTGAATCACACTTAGTTAAAGGAACAGACTGGCCACAGACACCGATAGACGAAATCAAAACATCATGGTGGCTCGCAATAAGGTAAAAGTAGTCAAACAGGATTCGGGGCATGCCACACATCTTTCGGCCTGGTAGAGGGGCGACCGGCACTGGAATTTCAAATCTGTAGACTAAACTGATGAACTAAATAAACAAGAAGAAAATAGACGTGTTGGCCATTCTTTGATATCTGTAACTGGGATTAGTTGCGGACCCTCTCGGGAGCTCATCATTCGCAAACAAGAAGGGACTCAATGCTGATAAGCGGAAAAGTGACAGCGGCCAACCTATACGATCCATCCAGACCGCAGACAATCGGCTCAAAGTGGCCGTGCATTTACAAACTCTGCAAGCCACCGTTTTTGTTCGCCGAGCGGTTACAAGGTGTGGGAGAAAGAACAAGCAACCGCAGATGTTCTCACGAGCGCTGTGCTGCTCGTCCAATCGCAAGCGCTGCATTTCGAAAAAGGTTTTTGGGCAAGGAACAGCATCCGCTTTGAACTACTAGTATGAGAGTTTTATTGAGAGCTACTCGGAGGTTCACCTTCCTTTTCTCAGTGTCTCTCAGCAGTGTGCTCCGGTGAAGCTCTGGGGTATATCCCAGCTTCCTATGAAAGGTGCGGCCGACCACTTTTTTATTCCTTTTTTTATACAGTTGCTGAACTTGATAATCACTCGTTCATTCGTTCGCACAGCTGACGAGCATGATTGGAAAAGATCCTGGCAATAATCAGAAAGAATAGTGGATGCAGCCAAGTTATTTATATAGGCTTCGGACTTGCTTATCAAAGTTGCTTAAGTTCTTTGGTTGGTTCAAGCAGTTAATAAAAACTCTGTTAATGCTGGCGATGATGTTGACTCTGTCCAACACATGAATGGTTCGGATTGCATTTCCCATTAGTTTGTTACTGGCGGAGTTGATTCTGGAGTATTAGAAGAGGTGCTAGTGAGTTGTTGGAATAACCGTTCAGTAATAATTATATTGCAGACGCTCAATCGTGTATTCTGGTTCCCATGCTGCTACTATTAAGACCAGGTCTCTTTCTTCTGATAAATAGCCCAATAAAGTATCGAATAAAAACGATTACAATAAATTCTTTAGTAAACTCCATTTCTGAGATGTCAATGTGCACAACGCTAACTAGTTGGGGCCCAACTCTATTCAGATTTGGTTTCGGCTACCATTTACGGTGAGAAGTGTCTAGCTGAATATATGCATCGTTACAATATTACATTTACCGACGCTAACGATCTGGCCAATCTTTTTGGTGATGAGGCAATTGGTGGTGGAAAAGACTCGTCAGTTCTATTTTTGATTTTAAGGAACCATTGAAAATGCCAAAACGAAATATTATCACAATCAGTCGTTGTCACAAAACGACAGATCTGGCTAGTGAGTGCTTGGCACCAAGGCTAATACCTGCTGGCTCAACAGCTGAGGCTAATGCATTTGATAGTGTGGCAATTTGGCCCACCTGATTGTTCATCAGTCGCTGCAGCCATGTTCGCCAATAATAACCAGGAAACTGATGTTGAGCTCCATGCTGCGCTCTCAAGAGTTTTGTGGTTCGCAATGTATTTCTGCTATGGCTGAATTACTTCAGCGACTTGACTCCGATTTCCATGCTCACTACCGGCATTGATTGCACAATTCCAGATGTGAAAACCATTGGTACAGAGATGATGCTGTAAGGTTATTTGCTAGAGAAAGCCTTTTGTGCACGCCATCAAGCTTATTTAATAGCATTCTCAGCTGCTACTAATTAAGAACCTGATTGTGAATCAATGATCAGCGACTTCATTTCAAGAGAGCTGCAACTGCTAAGAGGCCATTTTTGTCACTGGATGAGTGTGTCGTTGCTCTGACTACATTTGCGTCAATCTCTGCAGATTGCCACGAACCTTCAGGTTATTAAGAAGCGACAGTTCAAAGAGAATTATTCAATGTTCAAGACATTTCGGCTGATGGCAGGTCAGAATATGAGTCTTCCCACAAAGAAAAGCGATCGAATTTATGAGAAAGTCAACCACAGGACCGGCCACCGGTGCTCTTAGTCTGCTTTATGTTCAAATTGAATAGTTAGGCCATTTGTTGCCGTTTAAGCTTTTGACTTTCTCACCACTAATGATCACCAATTATGATTTGTTGCTTTGAACCCGATTTCTAGACAATGACTAGCTGTTGCCAGGCTGAAATATTATAATGCAATGACTCACCGACCATTGAGTTGTTTAGTTCATTCAACGAGATCTGTTAACGAGCTTGCGCCGAAGCTGATCAAATTCTCCAGTCAATCTGCAAGAAAAAGAAATGAAATGTCATTTGCCGATGAGTCTCCCCAATCTGCCAATCAGGGACTTGTTATCCATCCCAATAATCGTTGACGATATAGACCAGAACAACGTCAATTGAAGCGATGCTTCTTCACTATTTTTTTTGGAATGAAGCGCTGATGTGTAAAGTGCTTTTGATTAATTTAATTTCAAAGAAGCAGGGCAGTTTGTTGAGTACTGTTACTGAATTACTAAATCGAAGTCAATCATCTGGTGGGACATCAGCAGTGTTTCGATATGCTGCCGACGTCTTGATTCAAAACCACATCAGCCTACCCAGGTAAAATGATAGAATTGTCATTTGGGTGCTTGTGGGACAAAACATTAGTCGAATGGCTAGAGACTGTACGGTGCTTCTAAAAGCGGTCATGCGCATCTTTCTGCTTCTCGACTAAATGAAAAACAAATCTTCATTTAACTATGCAGCACTTGCTTCCCTAAAATCATCAATTCCAACTACCGTAGAAGTGACAGCTGCTCCTGCAGCAGTTAAGGTGGGAAGTCAGTTCACTGCTATCAATGCAAAAGATGACAACAGTGCAAATATTTCAGACGACAGATCAATCGATAGCTCTAATGAGGATGATGAATCTATTGTCATCTGCTCCAATGAAGAAGAGAAAGAAGGTGTCAATGAAAATGGATCGTCTTTAAAGGAATGTCTAGCATCCACTGATGATAAACTGAAAGATGCGGATTCTGTCACTGGTGGAGAATTCAATTGGGGCAAACTTGCTGGAGGCTGTACGTTTTGTGAAGAAGATCACGATCGGATTGGATATGCATCTAATTCACATGCAAATGGCTCAGGTGACACAATTAAACACTGGTCTCCTTTGACATACTTCACTGCTGCCCTTTTTGCGGCTACTGCTGCAGAATTGCATCCGAGAGACCGAATCTCTATAAATGCTTATCAATCAGAGCGTCAGGGAATGCTGAAAAAAAATAATTACATGTTGGCTGATTTTCGTCGGGAAATAGACCTGTCCGCTTTCATTGGATATTTACAATGAAATCAGCATCAACTGGAGAAATTGCAAAAGCCAGAGTTGAATTTCTAGGGTTTTTTCAGCTTGATGCAATTCACTAAAATGAAACATTCAGTGCAGTAATTCGCTACAAAATAGTTCTGGTCTTTCTTGCTGTTGCAGCATGACACACTTTTAAATTCCATCAAAAAGATGTGACAGCGGCAAATTTTGAAGGCGATATCGACGATCAAATATTCAAGGAGCATCATTTAGAGTTCGTAAAGCTAGAATTCTCTAAAGGGTTGATAGCAACCCAAAACGACTTGATGACTCAAACAATCATTTCTTTGTTGCGCCAAAAAGGTGCTCAGTAATCTCTGGTTGATACGGTTTCATCGTGCTACAAAGAAACGTGGTGCCTACCATTTTTCAAAGAACAAGCACAAGCGCATACTAAGTTCTTATGTGCAAATTCTATTTCTTGCAGGATCATCACGGGCGTTGGCGAAGCTCAAAATATTATCTCAGGTCGTTCTTCAAAATAAATTATCTCGAGTCCTTCAGGATGGAGTAATTGAACTTGAAGGTGCTCAAAGAAAACCCGGAGTTGTGAGAATTAATGGAGACCCACGTTCGACTGATGATTTAAAAGATTAAATGGGTGAACGCCTTTTGCACGCCATGCCAATCATGTTTGATCTATGCAAAGTCTTTCTTGAAACTGCTGTACACAGATAATTGCGGAACAATCATCATCTTAAAGATCAATTGTGAAATCGTAAATTTTGGCTGCAGATATGTTTCAGAATGGTATTGTGTGAGCCGTTCAGTTGCTCAGTCGATTGTTTTCAGCACCAGGTTGGATCAATTTAAGGTGCGCGACAAGGGTGGCATGATATTTAAGCTCAATCGACTTTTCCGCTCCTCTCAAAGATGTTAACAGTTGAGTTACTTCAATACCATGACAGTGATTTGTCTGGAGTTATTGGTGATCCAAAAATATTTGGATCATTATCTATTCCTCTTAACACAAGAGTTACTTGAGTTGAAGTGCATAAAACAGGTTTCGGTAGCCTTGCTAACTTGTGAGGGGGAATAATTTTCACAGAGTGAAAAAGTCAATGGTGGTCTCCCTCAAATGAAGGTGTTCAAATACTATAATGAAAAAGATGATAAACTATTTATCTTCTGTTATATCGATTGTGCTATATTCTTGGTTGTGTTTTCCATTAATTAGAAAACCTCCAAGCATATTCCAGTGACGTTTCACTTAATAGGAAAGGTGAGCAATATTGGGTTTGCTTCTCGATGAGTGCTATTCAACAGTAATGTTCCTGATATATTGACAAAGGCGAGTAGCCCCTCAATGCTCATGTATCACATTAAGTTCCTTCAAAGATTGAATTGTTGATAGTTGCGGTTTTGCTGCTTCAGCCGTTCGAATTAAATGCGATGACGAATGATTGTTCAATATCCGGTTCGACATGATTCGCAATTGCTATCCATGTGTTTGACTGGCTGTTGTAGTACCACTTGTACATTTGCTTGAACCTGATTGTATTGCTGGATTTCAAACTCTTCACAAAAGATTTCAGATGGAATTATAAAGTACTGGAATTTGCACTTCTGTTGATGACTTTTTGATTTTCTAATAATAGCATTCATTTTTCGCCAAATAATTCTATATTGTAGTCCATGGGTGTAACCAATCCAGTCGTTCAGAAAAAGAAGTGTCTGCGAACAAACGAACTAACGAAGTCGGCGGATGACATCCTTGACGCACAACGGAGATATACTTTCCATATCAAATCGCTTGAACAGATGAAAGAGCCTTTCAAATGCAACGCACAACACAGAATTTCCAATGCTCCAATTTTTTTCATCGATACATATCATTGAAAACGGCCAATGATTAGTGTCGATCACACAACACTGCGCCCGTGATGACATCTTTGCGGACAATGATTTCCTCTGAAGGCTGGTTCCAGCTCGGCCAATCAGAGCAGTCGATTGCAGGAAATGGAAAATCTTTGATTACATTGATCTGATCCTCTAACCTCAGTTGCTGTGTTCTGGGTGGTTCTTCTAACTCAGCCGGATGTGTACGTTGTGTGCCGTGGTGACTGTCACCGGAGAGCTCTCGTACAGCTCAATTCTACAACCGTGTTTCCACAAGGAATCGGCAGGCAATTTTATTTTCTTTTTTGTTCTTCTATATATTGCTTCACCTCAGTAAATTAACATGGATTGGCCACATCAGAGCCGAAAGTGTCGGCGCTAGACTTTGCGGAGGAGGAGCCAGTTGAGAAGATACTGATTTGCACAGTCAGTCGCTCGCAATCTTCTCTCGCTCAGTTCTCCCGACGTTCGCTGGTCAAAGTCCGATTTTCTTTTGGTGTTGCTGGCGATCTCTTTAACGCATTTTTTCTTTAAATACTATTTCACGTTAAAATGTTTACGTGGGAGCAAACAACAAATAATTTTAATGGCAGAAATGTCACCGCTCACATCAGCCTATTGGATGATAAGGGATTTAAACTTTTTGAAGAACCGTTAATTGCTGGCCACCAGACTCCAATATTCGATTAAAAATTTTTGTTTTCAGACCGCTGGGTTCAATATATTGTGGATTAATTCTGACAATACATGGTTGCTACAAACTGTTATAAAGTGCTGACAACCTTGGGCATGAAATATCTGGCTTTAAGTTGAAAAGAGCGAAGGACTGTCAAATGATATATATTGTTCACTTAGAGATTGCAGACAAGTATTAATTTGAAAAATACGACATATTTCAACAAAATCAATCAAAATAGTTATAGCCATTATCCAAATGGTCTTTCGATTGTTTAAATATTTTTTCCGACGAGATTGTGTGAAGACAAAAGTGATTCAACGGCACAATTATATTTTACAAGGGGATCTCCAATTGCCACTTGTCTCGAAAGAAACTCATTGCAATATTATTTTACTGCATTCCTCAGAAATGTATCTAGAGAACTATAACTGGTAATCTATCACAATTACAAAATTAGCAGCTAAAGTGATTTTCCGTGCAAATTGCTTGTAAGGTGATAACACTTCCGCTACTATCGTCCGTCTATACACCACTATCAAATCCAAATTATTAATAGCTTTAAATTTTAGAAATACTAATAACCGTTAATGACTGGCCTTACAGGCACGCCGCAATTGCATTGGTCGGCCGACACATGAAGTAACCATGAAAGCATCTAATATTGTTAACCACTTCGAGAAAATTCAAAGATAGGTCTGCGACCATTATGCAGTGTTTGTCGGTTACGAAAAGTGGTCCAGAACAGAATTGTTATGCCGGTGTAGCCATTGAGCTATGTGATATTGACTTCCGTAGATGATTGGACCCCTGTTACCCATCGATTATGTGAATTTAATTGGCTGTCAGTTTTACCTTCTTGTTTGTCTTTAGAAATTTGAACCTAATAAGTCTTCCGAATGAGACTTCAATAAGTGCTGCTTCGAATGCTGCCGCACCGAAGTATAACTCTCTACAGACAATTATTTTCATCATCCAAAAATATAATATAGTCGTAGGATTGTCTAATTATCATTTATGCAAACCGGATCCTGCATTCATATAAATAGCACATCTCACTTGTACAGCGTCAAGGAGTATTTGAAAGTAAATGAGATAAGCTTAATGAAGCGATTAACTCTGTCAAAAATGCTAGTTATTTTCTATCTCCTTCGTAGCCGTGAAAATAAAAATACTTCCTAGCCAAATGTCTGCCCGTCACAGATATTGTTGAACATCATAAGTAGGTTCCACTCATGCGTTTCCGCCGCCTTTACTGTAGGTGTTTCTAGTATCTGAATACTCTGCTTTGTAGATATTCGGCAATCATTAGTGGATTCAAATATTGGCTGTTCTACTATATTTGGAGATCAACACCACTGAATGAAAACAGTCCTCAACTCAAAACAGCTAAGTGCTTTACGGCTTATAATCCAAACTGGCAGCCGCAATAGAGCTCCAGATAACATTTAGATGTCGGTTTCTCCGACCTGCATCTACCAAACCACGGCCATCTAAAGAGGATGGTTTGCGTTAACAAGGTCACCGAATGGTCCAACGGCAAATTAATGGGATAAATCACTAAATTGATCTCTAATAGAATCAATAACGAAATCGCAGAATGCGTCAACAAATGGACATCTATATGCCGTCCACCGCTTAAAAATGATTGACAGCGCCGGTGAATTGGATAATGAAGCAACCGCCACTAGTTTGACTGTTACGTCAATCACGTTCTAATTGGCCAGCAACGAATAAAACAACATTGGATGAGGTTGTTAGACAATTTCTCAATACCCAACGTAAATTGTATTTTATTCAAAGCACTTAGCTGCCAAAGCCCCCATACGAGCTGAAAAGAAAGCATTTAATGGGGTGAAGTTTTCCATTCGAATTCGAAAAAAATAAAAAGAGGAAAGAGAAGCGTGTTTTGTGCTTTTGTTGCCTGTAGGGCCATGTTTTAACCCTGACAACAACCGATTCCCTTCTTGTTCCACACCTTCCCTTCACTGAAAAAAAATTCAATTTCTTGTTCCTGATTATCAAGACTAATAATTGAGATATTATAGCAATTCCGCACCCATAGCAGCTTTTGGTTCATCATGAAAGCACCAAGTACTGCTATCGGGAGTTTATCACTAGCAAGGGCAGATGTAATCAGATCATTCAAAAATTCATCACAGAAATGGAAGCGAATAGCATTTCCTTGAGATAGAACAATCGTTTCACATTAATCATTTGCGATGCTTTTTCTGTACAATCGGAATGACATTATGGTCTTCGTTCGTTTTCCGTTGCGGTGGCTTCACTTATTTGAAAGAGCATCTAGCAATGATAAAAGAATTTCGCACGGTCTCCTCTGCTTGCATATGAAATTTTTCCGAAAGACAAATGCAAATGCTTGCTTCAGTTATTGCGATCAAATATCAGATAAAAAAAAAAAATAAGTCAACAAAACTTATTTTGAAGTTAAAACTCAGCTTGAATTGTGCAAAGTAAACCACATCTTCATTTTCATAGCATGAAGAAGTCACAAACTAAAGATTAAGAACAAGCACTTGTCTTTCAAGTTAAGTCACAAAAATATTTCAACCATCTTATGTGGAACATATCAATCACATTTGCAGCTACAAAGATAAATCATTGAGCTCTACCTCAAAGATATTTATCAATTGGATAATCTACCGAAGTTGCGCGAAGCAATGCAGGTTCCTATATCATTTTGCATTTTTAAGAACATCTTTGGAATGGCATTTGATGATTAGTAATTCAACAGATCAATACATGCCGCCCCTTTTATTTCATCTGCAACAATTTAACATCATAGTTCAGTAATTTCTGAATTCTATTGCAGCTCTGCCCATTTCAAAATGCTTCGCAAGATATAAAGATATATACTTATGATGAATGACAATGAAACTGTCCATTATTGAGTTCGGTTTTGTTATGTTAAGTCATCAGTTATCCTACAGAGTTTTTTCATAACAAACAATAATTGGTTATCGAAATCACATTGAGACATCTATGGTCATATGACAGTTGCACTTATCGGACTATACACTGAAAAAGAAGTCAACAATTCTGCTTTTTATCATCGCAAGCACAAAATAGCTATTTCAGATTCTTGCCGTCGAATCCACTACGGACAGCAGATTTGAAAATCAGTATCTGTTGGAGATCAATCAACTTCAATCATGGTAAAGCACCAATGACGGCAAAGCCAGTTATATATTAATCTGAAAATCATGTTAATTTCTTTGGACTACCAATCATAATTATGGATCAAAATGATTCAACGTATTGGGACTACATCGAAATACTATAAATTGTCCTTACGATCACCGAAGACTGCATTTAATTCATTGGTGCCTGTCAAAGGAATGCTGCCGTGCTACCCTGTGATATGACCCAGTTAACTATAAAAAGGCTGCGGAAGTCATTTCCAGTTATTTTTTTAAGTTCTTCATCACTGAATTAAAATATCATGGATTTGCCCAAAAAGATTACAAACCAGATTATCAATAGTCTCAGGCTGCAATGACTGCAGCTGATAAATGCTGCTGTATTTACTATTTGCCCCTCGGCCATGAATCTCAACGGACCTCAGTTTGTTCGCCGGTTCAATTCTCATCTAAAAAACCGTTATTCCCACCAATGATGTTCATTCAATCAACGCAAAGATTTATTTTGATTCTTTTTTCGATGCCTAGATCACTGGCATATTAGCTCCTGGTGTATTGAAAAGTGTGCAAATCATTGGGTAATGTAGCTGCCAACTGTTATCTAATTTGGCAATCCTCCGTGCTTCAATTGGAGCTGAAGCTGTAATTTTATTGGCCATGCCACGTGCGTTTTACAGCAGCTAAATACTGGTTGCCATAAATGAATTGCAATAAGTTCTTTGAAGATTTCTACAGCAATATTTTTAAGGTCTACATTGTCCATCAAGTTGCTGCCATTTCCAATGATATTACCGTTTGTGATACCGCTCACGCGAAAAAGATTCTAATTGAAAACGCCGAGCCTTTGAGGCTTACTTCTAAAGATAAAATAGATTTTTCCATTCATCCTTCATATAAAGCATTACCTGTTGGCTCATGATCAACAGCTTAATATTTATTTTGTGCCTAACAGTTGTCGAAGCCAAGATATGAGGAGTGCGGTGCTATCGTAGTCACCTAAAGCAATACTGTGGCTAGCAACTGAGCCGCTGCACCCCCAGTTCCTACTGGTACATCACTTCGAGCCGTTGCTTCTGCTGCTGTAGCAGTTCCACATACCCTCAAGTGCAGCAGTCGGTGTTTCCTTCTTCGCTCAAAGTGATCGGCAAGCTACTGTGGCACTCCAAACAGTTTTAATTTTCTTTGGGGGGGGGCTTCACATTGTAATAATCATAATCCACATTGGATCAGTGACTAATCTCTTTATTCATATCAGATTGGTGTTATTGGTGACACCATCATTGATATCAAAATAAAAGTACTGCGATACGTCTCAATAGTGTATCATAAGCAAATGCTCTTGGTGTTCTTGATAATTCGAATTTAACTTCAATCTCAGCCGCTATATATAATTGGGATTCCATTTCAATCGGAAAGAGTTGTCCCTATTGAGGCGGAACTATCGATAATTAAAAAGCGGCTTCCCAATTATATCAATGGCTCGTTTTCTCATCTGTTCTTTCTTTAACTATTGATCAATGGCATGAACGGACAGGGCATCTACGGTGAGCTACAAAAAGAGATAAGACGAAAAGTCGTTTGATTTCACCTGAAAGATATCCTAGATGTCAATCTTTTCATAAAGAAAATGCGGCGGGAACTTCTAACGTCTTCTTCTCAAGTTAGTCAAGAGCCGCTCTTGGTCTAGTTTAACGTGATATTGATCAGCCGATTGCAGGTTTTGCTGCGCTTCAAAAGGGTTTCGTTTTCACCATTGTTCATGATTAATCAGGATATCTTGTTTTTGCACCCATCGCTACACAGTCATTAGCAGCTGCCACGATGCGCATTTTGTTCAATTCACTCAACATATTTGGATAAGCCGGTTGACATTGAGCAATCTCTTTACTAGTTTGAATCCAAGCTTAAACATGAATTTTGTCAAAGTGAAGAAATCGAACATCCGAAGAGTCGTCTTTGTGAATCTAATCAAAATGCTGTTACTGCACGTTGACTAAGAACAATCATCACAAAAGCAAATACAATGCTAATTCAGGCTTATTGCTCCCAATGATCTTGCAATAATGTTTTCATGTGTGAAGCGCATCTGAATATTCTTATTCCCCTCGAACATGCTACACTGATATCTACTACTTTAAAACTATCTTACGGAGAACGATCAACCACTGCATTGACGAAAGTGGTTCGATGCTCTGCCTACGGCATCGTTTTCAAGTAAATGAAGAAATTGATGCCTGGAGAATCAACACTGTTCAGTGATTTTGTTGTCTGCGACGTCATTAGAAAGGCTTACATAGTTCACAAAGCTCGTAACCGCTGTGATGTTTTTGTTCTTTTACGTCGCGTTAATGAAATCACGTTGCCTTCTGAAGATTCATCATCTTCTGCGATGAAACTAGTAATTTCTTCCACCGTTGAAACTTTTTTTATTGAGTTGGTGTAATGAAGGGAAATTAGTCCACTGCAACTAATGAGAAAGAGGATCTAAACATCAACTGCTTCAGACAATACATCAAAACAAAAAGGCAACGTTAATGATGAAGATTGTGTCATCCGCTCAGCACTTGAAAAGAAATAGGGTGTCAACGCCAATAAATTGCATTGAAAAATATGTGATTCATCTACCGATGATACAGATCTAGATGCTAATGCTAACGATGGTGCTAAATTAGATATGCATTTTCATGTTCGAAACTAAGCAGTTCGTCAAAAAAATCTTGATCACCTATGAAAAGTAGTTAAATTGTTCAAATAATAGACAAAATATCATTAGCGACTGGTCTACTCAGACAAGCTTTCCCCGTGCTCCTAATGCAGCTACTACTGCTCAACCAAATGCTGCAAATGCAATGTGCACAGTTCCTTTAAATCATAGCATCAGGCAATGCTTAAAAAAAATGTCCACCTCATGGTTGAACATTCAATGGGACATGGATCTGTTGGCTCCCTTGCAGTGTGACCAATGATGTCTGCTCCATGCAACAAGCTTCTATGAAGCAAATTAGTTGCTGAAGAATTTTTTCAGTTATACAATATTGATCATACTAAATGAGATCGTGCAGTCAGTCAGCTAAAACGATGTTATCATCCATCTTGCAGTTGCTCCATCAAACTCATTCTCGGTTGATCATATGGATGAAACAACTACCTTCATTCATGGAGGTATCAACTTTGTTACCTTCATGAAGCAACTTCCATCATTGGTTAATCATAAACCTTTATGAAACATTAGAAATTAGTCAAGTCAGATAATCGACTCAAACGTTCATTTCACTCTTTGTACAAGAAGATGTTTAATGCTCCCCAACCATTTCCTTATTAAAAAGCTTCAGCAAAACAAGGTGAGACTGATTGGTGAACGAACAACCACCTCCGCATAATGAAATTATTTGTGGGTGATTCAACTATTGCTGCAGAAATTGATGCAATGCTCTAGGCAGTCAAATGATACCACTGCCTTTTGTTAAGGAAGACAAACTGTGGAGTAATTTCCGGCTGCATTCTAACACTTGAAGGCGCTCAAAGAATCATAGCTATTTCTGTACTAATAAAAACTACGGCAGTCCGATCCTCTTACAGTCTATCACGGATGAATCGGACTTTCATGCTACACCAATGAAGAGTAACTCATTCAAGGTGATATTCAAAACATATGGCTCTGAGTTAAACGCTGTCAAGCTATCACTTGTCACTTTAACTGACGGATTAGGGCTTTGCGCAGCAGATTCTTTACTGAAAGATATCGCTTTCGCTGATGGGTTTCTTAGCGGTTATGTTAGCAGACAACTCGACATTTATTTAAGTTGTGCAAAACGGGTACCAAAATATCTTAATTTTAACCAATTAACTCGTCATAACAAATCGTCTTCATCAGTTGAGTAACTTGGAATTTCTGGGGGTGAAACGGTTGGAGACGTTTGCGACCAAAAAAAGGCTGGATGCAATATGCTTCGCATTAATGAAAAGCCTTACATAAATGTCAATGAAGAAGGCTTCGGTGAGGTTGGTGACTTCCATGAGTGAATTCAATTCAGTCACCGAACAAGTCAAAGAAAGATGATGTAGATGCAGGTCTTCTATAGCATTGCTAGCGATGGCGATAAACCAGCTACTTCTAGTGATCGCAATTCCGTTATCAACTTAGCTTGGGATTGGACCAATCCACAAACTTTAAGAATATTCCCAGCAGTCATTTTTTGATTAGACAGCTCTGCAATGATGGTTTTTCTGTTGCAAGAGTTGAAATTCAGCGAAATATTGTTGATATGCAGTATGCGGCGCATTGCTCTGCTGAGTTAAAATACCTCCAAGAACTGCTTTCATGATTGACTTGAAATACGTTGTAGTTTTGTTGTCTTCGTCGATTTCTTTTTGTGTGTTAATTGGTGTTTGATTGATTTCTGGCTGATTATGCTGCATGAATGCTATATATTTATTTGACTGACTGTGGTGACATTGTTTCTGCAGGTGGCTCAATATAATTGAAATCGCGGCTGTTTCACCTTTTCGAAAAAGCATTTATCAAGGTAATATAAAGTACTTTCAGTTGAATATGATGTGCTTATTTGTTGATTGTCGTATTGGGTTTTTGTTGTTTTGCGACGGATTTAAAATCGAAGTCAATGAATGTAGTTTGATCCGCATTTCCGGGAAGTAGGTGTTTCCGATCAAACGAACAGAAACACTAACGAACAGCCGTGGTAACTGTTTTGACGCACAGGGCAGAAGACCTTCCCCAACCATAATGTTTGAAATTTTCGAGACACTTCTGAGTGCGAGGCAGTTGCCACTATATTGTAAACATCTACTACTCATTCAAGAAAATGATTTCCGGTTAATGGCTCATGTTGGGGTTCAAAACCACTAGACTGCGCCGATCATCGGATTGCTGAAGAGTACGATATTTCCTCACACCCTGTAACTGCTCGGCCATTGGAATCCGTTGGTTGCAAGTGTTGTGAGCTCTCCGCATGTCCACACTGGGTTCTCCCAGATTTGTCACTGCTTTGCGCCCGTCACGCGCTGCGATTTAACAAACTTTCCTACAGAAAGAGCTGCCAAATTTTTCAACCGACTTTTGTTTATATATTTCATTACTATACTATATTACCTTAGACTTCGCACAACTGGCTCAACGCCCTAATAAGAACATTCCTCGGCAGAACTTAAAAATTGCATAAGAATACTGCTAACTTAAATATTTGGTCATCGGTCATGATATTCAAACGAGCTCGGATAAGGCCCTATGTTAATCCCTTTATGAAAAATAGGGTTATTTTTGCTGATGATCTGTATTTGAACAATGTTAAGCTGGTTTTAAATTCCATTTCCTATACGTTGGTCAGGGCCTAATTTGATCTTGGTGTGTCGGAAGGGGGTCGATGCAATTGGTGGTAGAGCGAAAATGTACTGGATAGCATCAAGAAGCACTATAGTACTGCTGCTCCTGACCCTGCTATTTTTATGACCAGGATTCTAACATTTCGTACACAGTGAAATATCTTAACCAATAAAATGATTACAATAAATTTTAAAATGATATCTCTTCCAGAATTCTTGTGGTCCACTATAGGAATCAAGCTCTTGCGATTCTCTATGCTGCTTTGGCTACGGGCACCACCCAGGCTGAAACAGATCTTACTTAATTTGAAGACCCTGTCAACATCTAATCCACTAGCCCAAACATTTCACCCGATCAACTTGGTGATGATGCATTCGCTCGGTGCTCAGCATCATCAACGTACGTCACTGTCTGTAAAAACCAATTCAAATGGCAAGACGAAAGAGAATGAAATGCTATTGATGTCACCGAAATGTGATCACGACAGTGAGTGTTTGGGGCAACAGGCTTCATCTGCTTTATACTCAATTTCAGCGGATGCTTCAGCTGCTGCGGCGGTTCTGGATGCCTCTACAGACCATAGGTCGCTGCTTCTTTGATCTTTGATGATAATTACAAGCCAATCTTCAGCTTCAAACAGATATATATTAAGTCTAGAACGTTTTGTCATACTCGTGCCAAAGCTTATAAAATTGGCAATCTTGCTTTTCATTCAAATGAGAAACCTGGTATTGGTGTGACTCTTAGGATGTCAATGGTATTGCTACTGTCAGCTTATTGAATGGTGAAATATTTGAAGATGCTTTTTCTTCTTTCCCTGGTGCAAATATACTTTCAATCATCAGTGCTACAAAAAAAATTGCTTCGATGAAGTTCGAAGATGATCGCCTTGGTTACTAGCCCAATACCTAGAAAGAGAGCAACTTCCGGATTATATCAAGGTTTCGTTGCCGCTTCCTCTGTTGCGTTACTTGTGACAAATTGCTTTGTTCGTTTACTTCATCCAGGTGAGGGTTCTGCGCAAAAAATCGCCAGAATCGCACACTCTTCTGCCGGCTGCCGGATCCAAAATGAATCTGCTCAAAATGAAAAAACAGGCAACTCTATTATTATGTCTCCTCCAGGACATTCCTGTGCAGCATTCTCACTGCTTCACGTTGAAATTGTTGGGGCCCTGCCAGTCCTCGCTGAGTTTGGGAGTTGCAAACATCTCGCCTTTGTTGATCATTACTGAAAATGTGCTGTTGTTGTTTCGATTGCCAGACGACGCTTAACTGTACCGGCGATGGGAAATTCTTCGCTAATTTACTTAAATTTCTGTTCACTAAACGGCTAATACTGTCCGAAGTAATAACGAGTTTGCCTCTAATTTTGCAAAAATAAATCTTGAGAAAATGAGACAATCAACAATGGAAAGTCGGTTCCTTATAAATTTCGTCAAAATCGGTTCACTGAAAGCTGTCTGAAGACTGCCAAGACAAAGACCAAAGCAACGATAATCGAAGCAAAGGTTACTGATTTCCATTGGAATGAAGATTTAATTTGGGTAATGGTTTTCATGATATTGATTTCCACCGATCAGGGGGCACCGCTAACTACTCCATTTAAATTTTGTTACGAAAAACATTCCGATTATCCTATGCTGTATGTGTTTCAAAGTGCGGCATATGTCATAATCTCCAAACAAATCAGGCAATCAAGTTAAGTGACACAAGTGACCTTCAATTCAATGTTGGCTAGGACATGATTAAAAAGCCCTGCAAAGCTTGCCATCGACATATAAGCTGTGCTGCAATCAGCTACTCCTGTCAATTTTGTAGAACTCATTTTCTTTAAAAAGTTCCATCAACGTCTGCCATAAATCCCACAATTTATTTTTCGTTGCAGTTGCAAATAGCGCTAAAAATGTTATGGGGGCAAATCAGTCGACCGCTCTCAATCACAATGATGACACAACCGCAATTGTTTCACACTATAAATCAAATAAAATCCCCAATGAAGATGATATATTTTCATCAGCTCAGACGATAAAGACAAAGATGGTGTCTATGGCATTGAATTGGATTGACAGAAATTAGTTTCATCGACTGATGATAATGATGAAGCCGCGGAAACAAATACTGGTGATGAACCGCATCTAGTCAAACTTGCTGAAGCGGACTAAATATGTCCAGAACATCCTGATGACCTGCAAAAGCATTCGTATGGATTGGAAATCATTCAATAGTTACCATTAAAAGCTGGTCACCTCAGACATATTTGGCTGCGGCTATTACGGCTAACACATTTAATGAGTACCAGTTTACTCAAACTGCAAATTTCTTTCTCAATCGAAGCATCAACCAAGAGATGGTAAAATTCTTTACTTTTTGGTTGATCATATTGAATGAAACTGCCCAGCTGGCTTTTGTTAGGTGGATTCAAGAACGTTGCCACCAACAAAGAGTTTTTCAATCGCCCGACGAGTTGCTCTAGAATCGTCTCAGCACAAAACAATTGACTATACTGAATGATTGGCAGCAGCCATCAACTACAAAAGTGTTTCGGTGTTTTTTGCAGCTACACCATCAACGTGAAGCAATGTTGATCAGATGTTTGTGACAAATGCTTATTTTCTTGGTGCTACTGGCGCTAAAAACTTACCTGACATATCCACTTGGATCAACTAAAGGTGATTATCAATTGATAGTTTCAAAGTTAGAAGACTCACATTAAGGACCCAAACAGTGGCTCCGATGTTAGTACAAGTCACTGCTATTTTGCTTCCAAACAGTTCTGTTTCAATGCACTTCAGCTCAGCTGGTTGTGTTATATCTCACAAAATCGAAATGCATCAGCATCATCGGATTATATCTGTATGATTTTTTTACTTCCGGATCATCAGATCCCACGGTTCAGCTGGCAAACCCGTAATTCTGCTCAACGACCAAAAGTAGAGGATCTTTCTGAAATTCTCTGTCGTTTGGTTGGAAATGATGTTCCTCAAACTACGAAAGATAATTGTGGGTTTGGAAGGAGCTACAACAGACTGATTGTTCAGCTGTTTTAAATTCGTGACTCTCATTTGGAGGCTACCCCAATTGCTAATATCACATACAAGGTGCTACTAAAATCTGAAAAGTTTGAGTTGGAAGCATAACAGTCATCAATTTAAAGGTCAATTGATGGACCTCAGCTTTTGCTGCAAATTCTCCTTGGAATGACATAGTTTTCCAGTTGGAATACACAGTCGATGTTTTGGTGAACCATGGGAGATTCATCCATGATCTGATAACATGGTGCTATCCCAGCGACACTCAAGTTCATTGACTGTTGATTTCAAATCATCTTTTTTTGATAAGTGAGCTCAATACTGTGACAGTGGATGGGCTGACAGCATTGGTCTTCGAAAATCAAATTGGCCGTGCTATGTTGTTCAATAATCAAAACCAGCTTCCATTGTACTGAAAGAAGCGGAATTCACTCTACTTGCGATCCTCTGAAGCTGAATCTATTTCTTTCAATGAATGACTCAAAAAAGCTATGTTCCTAATGCCTTTATTGAAATATATTTTAACAAACGTTTGCAAACCGATTATATATTGTGACAACAGTTCCTCTATCACTTCAGCTAACGTTCCCACCAAGCACGGACACTCCAAGAATATTTCGGTCTAGTTTCTTTTTAAAGGAGAGTTCTGCAATGTTGCTAAAACATTTGAAAGAGAAGATATTAAGAGTAGTGATGCGGATATGTTAAATGAGGCGCTTAGTGTACCGGCGCACAAATATCTTATTCAATTCCTTCAAAATTGATCAATTGATTGATGTAGTGGTCATGCTTACATCATTTTGGAATTATCTTATAATTAATCGTTCTTTAAAATCTGGTTGATTATCCTACACTATTGATAGACAATGGTTGAACTGATTGTGGTAATATTGCTCTTAAAACTGTTAGAAAGTGATTGTATCGGTGGATCCTTCATACACAAAAGATTACATTGGAATTACAACATTCTTGCATTTCAATGGTTTTTGCTTATTGATACATTTTGTTGCTCTTCGGCTGTTCAGTAGTTGGACAATAAAATTTTAATAATAGTTTGAGATAAAAAAGTATAGGACAATGAAACACATGAAAAAACCCGCCAGATCCTTGTAAGAAAGACTGCTTCATATCACAGAAGGTCACGGGAGCAGAGCTGTGACAGACACAGAGAAAGTGAAAACCGACATCCGCGAGGTTCACAACATCTTCCCCTAACCCAGTATCCTGATCTCACAAGCTCATCTTACAGTAGTAAAACCTTTTACCGAACCGGTGAACAAGCGTTCGCATTTCGCAAGTACTTAGCAGAAGAGAGCGTTAAACAACGGTTTCCGAGATTGCTCCACATGCGCCGTGGACTGGGTTCAAAACCCGACTGTGTATATCAAACAATAACATTTTGGCGTGTGAGAAATACTAGCATATGAAATTCAGGCTAGTGCGTTGCACTAGGAACGCTCTTCAATCTCCTCAATCAATGTGGTGATTCAAAAATAAAAACAGTGATACAATTAAATTCAAATCCTTGTTGAAGCAACAGAACCCCAGTTAGTGAAGAAAATGTTTAACAATAGCCTAGAGCATTCAAAGTGAAATCAAACAAACACAAAATATCAGAAAATCCAAAACCACTTAATCAAAAAATCCAAGACTGACAGCCAATCAATTATTGCAGCAACTTAGTCAGATACATGATCAGTCTAGCGCTTAACGTTTAGGGGGACGTATCAGCCCCATCATTTTTAGTGTCGACTCTTGCATGATTGCAAACAACATTGCACAGCGGTCCTAACAACTAATTGCTTATTTAAATACGCTTGAAATCTTGGCAATTGGAGGGATGGGTAGCCATGCTGATAAGGAAATTGGTATCACAACACATAATTGGATTATCCACATTTCTATTAATATATTTGCAGAGCAGCAAGAAAAAGACAGCTTCTTTAACCGCTTCAGTGACTGAAATATAGATGCTGCATCACTGGTCAGCGAGACCACTTCAACCTGCTTCCTTCTGTTACAAGTCACTAGTTCTTCACCGATGATGAACACATAAGCACCAACTGATTTTTGATGGCAAATGTTCTCACCCCAATCAAAGTCAGAGTATCAAAGTCTCAAAACGGATGAAGCAGCGTTGCAAATCAAGTCAACGAGATTGAGTTTAAAACGGCAGCACCCTTTAGCACAAATTCAATGGATCATGCAGTAGCGGAACTGCAAAAAAAGTATCATTCAGTATACAACTTGCAGCAAAAAGCAATGATGACAAAATTGAACTGTATATGTTGTTTATTTAGCGTCCAACTTAACGTCATCTGCTTCATGTAACAGTTTGTGTGAGTTGATGATCAGTAGTGTTGGCTGCAACTTAGTCTCATTAATGGACAACAGTAGAAACATCATTCAGTCGTAGCTCTCCATGAATAGCGATCCATCCTCGTTACATTTGTGAGGCATCCAGTCGAAGTACCGAGCCTGACTTAGTACATTATCTTTATTGTGAACAATGATCTGTGATACGATGTGACCATTTCGACTATTGCATTTGATGATCTGCAATAAAGAACATATTTTCCTGTAATCCAAGGAAGCAGTGGTGCTTGGGTTTTGAAAGATCAACCCCACCATCTTCAGCCGAAGCGCTTTGGCACTCAAATGATGGGAAATGACTGAAAAACATTATTTACCGACCAAAAGTAAATCGATTCACTCCATAAATTGCCGTGCACAGCTTCCAAACTTTCAGATGATACTTAGCGTTAAGAAATCCCAGAGGTTGTTCAGAGTTATTTTTGCAGTCAATATCAAAGTGAGTAAATAGGGTTGTGACATCCATTGGATTGACCGTAAAGGACTTCGATGCTGCAATAGCAAGAAGGATTCTATCACTTTTGTACCTCATTACAAGACAAAATATCTCAGTATGATGAGAACACTCAAGCTGACAAATTCCTTCATCAATTGGTCTGGCCTGAAAAAAATTACCAATTGTTGCTGACCTCGTTGTAAACAGTGAACGACAGCAATAAATCGTTTCTCACAGGAAATATCAACCAACAGGTAACTAATTCCCTCAAGCATTGCCTGAATCTCTGGTTGGCAAGCAACTTTGCAAAGTGGGCAGCAGGATTTGATTTGACGCTAGTAAAAACAGCATAGTCAACTGCCAACTTCGTCAAGAATAACATGTCTTTACGGCTATTTTCTGAATCGTTTGAAAACTGTTGTAATTCAATTTCATTCAGATACAAATTTTCTGAAGAAAATAGTTTGGTTGCAGAACCTAGTCCTTATCATATTCAGCACCAGTGATTGCATCATCATTTTCATCAATATTTTCGGGGATGAATCAACCTGTTTGAACGCAATTCGTTGTGATCAACCATCAGTTTCGTCTACGGTTTGAATTCAATCTATTTCCGCTGGTGTTGACGTGGAAATCGGTCCATTGGTATCAATGGCAAGAAAAACTCAACTCCAATTGCTTCAGACGATAACTCAATTGATAACTCCGTCGACGATGATCCTTATATTGACATCCGCTCATATGAAAAATAGATAAATGGTGCCCAATTGATGCTAATGATGGATATTTTAAAGGGACTTAGCTTTGAACTCTAAAACAAGAAAGTCTTACATCACCAATGTTCATCTGTGGATTGATCTCAAACTAAGCAGTATTTCTGATGTCCTGGACAACAAAAAGTCAAAGGACACTTGTAGCACCTATGCTGGACCGCCTGATTTGCGTTTCGAGCATCGCATAAGCGGCAAATAAAATCTCCTTCGACATAGCAGCAGATAATTCTGTTCCATAATGGAATTAAATAGTAGTAGACAACCCGGCATCTGCGTTGCGAGAAGTCAAACTCATCATCATCATCGCACACATCCCAGGCTCATTCCTCAAGTAATCAGGAACAGGAGTTTCAATTAACATTGTCCCCGCATATTTCATCATTGAATGTTGCCATCATTCACCGACGCCATTCAGACAACACTCATCAGAAACTGTGATGCGATGTATGATCTTTTTGAGAAGAGAAAAATTGTTGAACGTCCTTGACGCAAAATCGTTATCAGATCTGACCATATTAACCGTTCTATTCAATACTAGCTGAGTAAATTTTATGAAATATTCCAGCCTGACAACAGGTAACAATCCTATCGCAAATGGAGCAAAACGACATATTTTGAGTAGTCATCACCTATCGGGAGAAAGTCACGGGCTTCATCAACAGCCACAAGTGCCATTGGCCTACAATATCAACAAGAAGTAGACCAAAAGCAGTTTTGGTTTGAATTGTCGAGGACTCATTAAAAATTTCGGTCACTTTTCCTTCGCAAGAAGACTCACATTTTGAATGACCAGCAACGGAAATGCAATTAATTTTGCCTATATCTGCTGCAGCAGTCTCAGCAAGATGACATTGTCTTCGATGCCAACTTGTAATAATTAACATAACAGCAACTGGGGCAAAAGAGCATTCAGGTAATTTTCAGCTGCTCTCTTACCAGCTAAGGGACCATTTAGTAAACACAATCATTTTTGAATGATAAGGAGGTCCCTTGATTTGTAGTAGATGTGATTGAAATGAAATATGTGTCACGCGGAGCATCAAACTCATCTACTAGCGATCTCACATTCAGAAGAAACAGGGTACCAACTCCTTTGACATCAGCAATTGTGTCACGAATACCAGCAGTGTCACCTGCCTAATTGGTTGAGTTGCTGATCCGATTACCGTTAGCACCAACTTCATGAGAAGCACCAAAATCAAAGTTGAACTGTTTGCAGTTCAACATGAGTTTCCCACCTTCATTCAACGATCAAAAAAGAATCGAGTGATCGATTCTGGAGGAATCCACAAGAGCAACAGCAGTCAAAGTGTCGGTTGGAACAGATGATCGAGCTGTGACTGACCGTGACGCCAAATAATTAATACTAAGTGTCTCTATTTGTGACAACAATACAATCACTATTTTCCCAGTTTTAGTGTCCTAAATGGTTTCGACCAACACAAGCAAGGGCTGTATAACATGAGCATCCGCCAGATGCATCATCTCCAAGATGATTGGCCAAATTCTTGGAATTGCTGAAAGCATTTACGTGATGGTCGGTATATTGACAAAGTGCTTTTACAGCGTAAGTGGTGTTTGAAACTGAAGCAGCATAGAAAAGAGCGGCAACTTGATTAGCATTGGAGACCGTGAGAATAATGCAATGAAATTCATGGAAGAATGTACTGTTAACCCTCTTAATGGATAGAGTATTTCGCCACCTAGCAGAAGGAAGTGACCTCGTCATAACATTAACAGCTTTAACACCAATAGTTCCTTAGACTTTTTCAAGTTAACTGATACTTGACGGCCATACCACCCATTGCATAGCAGCTTTTCCAATACACCAGAATCAAATTGACCAGTCACGAAGCTAAGGCTAATGGAATTAAAATCAACCTTTACATTGGCTGATTCGACATTATCAGCAAGAATACAATTTTCGTTGATGAAGGCTTGACTCAACGGACTGATCAGAACATCTTTGATATTTAAGACGGACACCGCAATAGTAAGGTCCGCAGGACCCATTAGCTTCTATGGTACTAGCCAGCCAGAATTCGCAATCTATTTCATAACCTGTTGAAGCAAATCCCTGATAATAAACTATGGTATTGATGTATATAACAATAACGAAAGGGGAAAAAATCGCCGGTCCGTCTTATAGGGATGCAGGTAAGATGACCGGCCAACGGGAGAGCAGATCGGTTACAGATTCCGATGGACATCACTTGCAGAAGCAGCAACCCCACAATATCTGGCGCTGCATTTAATATAAAAGCTCATTAGTGTAGCCTGAACAGTGGCTTGGAGAAACGGGCTTTTCTGATCATCCGCAAAGCCAAAGAAACGAACTGGCCCGGCAACGGTTTTCACCAACAACCCACAAGCAATCCACTTGACTCATCGACTCAAGAGCTGAGAAAGCATTAAAACAGCGACGCCGATGGCTGCTCTTTATAGAACACACTTAATTATAACATGAAATAATTTTTTTTAAGAAAGCCGTAATTCGGATTCCATCCTATTGCTGTGCGCTCTTGAGCGGTTCCCTGGACACCTAATTATGAAGTATCATCTGCTAAACGCTCGGTCAACGCGAATGGTCGCAATCAGGCTTTTTGCAAAGCTCAGCTACATGGACAGATTTGTCCGTGGTCAGGATGTTTGGTTAGGAGGAGCTGCTGACAGCCTCTCAGATATCTAGATTTGGTCCCTAGGCTTCCGTGACCGGTCTGCTCCTCTGCTGCCCTGTGACCTAACACAGCTACCATTAAAAGGGGCTGGTGATCTGCTCAACGTGGTCTTGTGATATATACTTGCCCAATTTAATATATCATTGTGGATTCGCTGCAACGGGCTATGAGCTAATTTCCAAACATTCGCTGGAAACAATCCAGAAGCAAATATGTGCCGCTGATGTTACTAATCGCTCAACCATCTTAAATTGCATAGCCGCTCAGTGTGGTCAGTGATCTCATGCCTTTATCAAAGAACAAGCTATTCTTGTTGATGATACTAATTCAGAAAATGTAAAAGTTGCTGTCCATCTGATTGGCTATTTTGTTGTTACTCGAAAAGTATTACTCGCTCTATCGGAAGGGGTGCCCGACAATGGGTTGTATGGCCGTCTGAAATTAGTTAACTTCGAGGAAATTTATGGCATGATTGGCGTTCGGGCCGCTATTACTACTAGCAGGTCACTGACTTTTGATAGAACGGCCGATCCACTATCCATTAAAAAGCTTTGCAATAAATTCTTTAAAGAACATTATTTCAATATTTTCACAACCTACAATGCTAATCAGGTTTGCCACTTTTTTTTGTGCTGCTTCGGTTTTCGACATTACTTGCGCTAAAGAGTTCCTAACCAATTTACAGACTCTTATAATGTCTCATTTACTGATGGAAGGGTTTTGGCGAATTCCTTGAGAATAATGCACTTGCTGGTTGCTGAGGATTAATGGGGTTAGCCTCAGTTGGTGAGGAACCATTCAAAACGCCAAAACGGAAAAAAGTGCTTACCTATCGTTGTCCCAAAAACCACCAATTGGGTAGTGAGTGATTGGCACCACTCCCAGCTCCTGCTGCTCTATCACAGCCAGGCAACGCTTGCGCAGCTATGACTGCTGCGAATGAGCCCAAAGTTGAACAATCGCAGTCTGCTTCTTTTTTGAATGTAACTAGCAAACTCATGGATATTTCCAAATGATTCAATTTCTACTCAGGTGCTTCGCAACTTAATTCGGTTAACGCTCATTACTTCAGCAATTTAATTTCTCATTTAAGGCAAACTACCGGTATCGCTGACACTACCGCTTTAATTGAACAAATTAGTACTGTGGTTCTTTCAATGCTGGCTTATTGGAAAATATCTGTCATGTTCTCAAAGTGAATAAATATATATCTGAGCTGCTACAAATGTAGGTGCTCTGTTTTTGTTCGAAGAAAATAGAGATTACCTAAATGGTGCATTTCCTAGTAAAAGGGCAGCGTCCAAATTACGTGATTGTAACAATGCCTCTTCGGAAGTTTTGTTAAATACTAAAAATCGGCATAATCATATTGGTGAACCAAGTCAAACTGTTCCACGAGTTCCACCCAAAATCAATAAAATTTCCGCTGTTGCTGGTTCAAAATGAGAGTCCTGCCGCAAACGAAAAACGGCAAAAATTATTATAAAGTGGTTTGCAGCCAGCCCACCCTTACGCTGGGTATCATTTAGGGTCAAATTTTTGGGCCAACGCATGATGATGCGACTGAGGAGAGTGGTTCAATTCTTGCCACAAATCATGGTTACTCAAGATATGCTGTTGTGAATCAGGGTGCCACACAGTAATTAGCTGCCGCGCGGTCGGTTTAACAAATCCATTTTGGTCAACCCCTATTGCATAAGACTCCTCATACAGTCATAAATGACAACGAGGTTGCATTCATGCTGTTCAAAGAAGTTTGTGAATCAGAAAAATCAAGAACGGAAAGTCAGTTGTTTATCAGTCTCAGCAGAATGGGATTGATCTACATTGGCAAATGAAATTCGTGACAAAGAAAGAAAGAAATCGCACAATAACTACCACAATGTTAATTAAAGCTAATATTCCTCATTATTTTTCCAATATAGCCGTGAGGTGTGCAGTATTCTGCATAAATTTTGATTTCAACCAAGCAAGGCTCTCGGTTAACTACAGCTTATCAATTATCATAAAGAAGATGATCAAGTGCTGCTACGTTAAAAGTGATTGGCTTCGCAGCTCTTGGCATGATCCACAAGCAAAACCGGCAAACCATGATAAACCATGCATGCGTCCTCTGTGCGGTTGTTGGCTACGACAGGAATAAACAAGCCCAGAGAGTGCACAACGCTCTTGACAGCTCCATTGCTGTCAGTTCATTTGGTGTCTTTGATCATACCAAACCGCCGTTTAATGATCCAATATTTGCTGCCAATTAGCAAACCAAACAATGGGCCGATGGAGTCACACCTTTTGCTGCTGAGCATATGGCGAAAATCTGTCCACAGAGACAATGACAAAGACAACACATCTGCAATTAATTCAGACGACGGATCGAATAATAACTGCAACGACGATGATGAATCAATTAAAGTCAGCTCAAATAGTAGAGTGAAGCAAGCTGTCAATGACTTTGAATTGGATCCAAAGAAATGTGTTGCGTCCATTGTTGATACTGATCAGGTTGCTGAAACTAACGACGATGATGATTCTGCTATGGACATCCTTGATGAAACCAAATGAGTTGGTCAGGAGAAGCTTGAATACAATTCAAACCAAATTAAAGATTCCGCAAATGGTTTAAGAGAAACAATTAAGAACAGGTCTCCTCTGAAATATCTGGCTGGCAATTTTACTGCCGGCACTAATTTGAAACCAAATCCGGGAGACTCAATATAGAAAGCCGCTTGTCAATCAGAGACTCAAGCAATGCCTGAAAGCAATTCATCTCAGTTGGCCGATTCTCCTTCGGGTACAGCACTTGTTGGCCGCCATTAGGGGATTAGAAAGACGGCAGCACTAACTGATGATTTTGTTGAACTCAGACTGGTTGCTCAAACGTTTTTTCAGCTTGAATAAATTGACTATACTGAATCATACAATTCAGTGATTTGGTAGAAGAATTCTATAGATTTAGTTGCTGCCGCCCCATCAAAGTCATTTGAGGTTTTTAAGATAAATGTGACAACTTCATTCTTTCATGGTGATATCAACGCTCAAAGTTGCATCTAACAGCCTTCAGGATCGGTTAATGCTGAGTATCTTTGTAATGATTGCAAGCCGCACAAATCAATGCATGTGCACAAACAATCAATTTCTCGTTGTTTGCAACAGGTTGCTTAAAGCTCCTCAACTCTATGGTGCCAATGACCTTCAGCACAACCAGGTGTGTTTCATCCTTCGGTGAACAAACATTACCGCGTGGTTCAATTATATGTGAATAATCCTACTATTGCCGGATGATGAGATGCAATGGGCAAGCTGGCTCATTCATTTTTAACATCATTGTTTGAGATCAAATATTGTGATTTAATCTTGGGCCGTTCCTTCAACTTGATGTCCTCTACGTGACGACGATAGTTTCAAACCTATGGAGATCAACGTCTGAATACAGGCTCAATAGATTCAATCGAATGACTCTCATCTGCAGGCCACCCCAATGATGATAAACAAGTACAAGGAGCAGCTTGAAACCGATTGCTTTAAGTCAGCTGCCCGATAATAACTACAATACAGCTTAACTGCTGGATCATTGCATTTCGCTGCAAATTGATTATTGTATGTTAGGCCATTTGCCGTAACGTCACACAGTCAAAACCTTGGTGCACCTATCCAGATCATTTTTAGTTCTGCTATTAGAGTGTTTAGATATTAAAACTGAAACGCTTCAACTGCTTATTGCAACGCTCATCATCAGCTGTGTTACTTCAACACTATAATAATCATTCGACTGGATATATTGGCGATGGAAGACTAGTTGGTGGATGTGAGGTCTTCCATGGTTAAAAACCAACTACTTGCAACTCGAAGAAGCAGCCTTCAGTGGCCTTGTGGGCTTGCAAAGAAGAATGAATTCTACTCTCTGAAGCAGTCAAACCAGCTGTCTTTCTAATGGTGATCTTTGAATATATTGGTAACAATGATCACAAACCAGTCCTTTATAGAGATATCATTCTTGGTATCAATTTTGCAAACGGAATCACCAATCGAACAACCTCCAACCGTATTTGAATTAGCTATTACTTTGCACGATGGTTGGGCAACGTTGCTTTTAATCCTGCAGAAATTGATGCTAAATGATATGTTGCGGTATGTTGTTTAAAGGGCTAAGCGCTGCAGTGTACAAATATGTTAATAAATTGCTTTAATGAATTTACTATTGTTAAATTTTGTTTTGCTGTTCTCCTGCTTTTAGTTTCATCCGTTTATTATTGTATGATTGATTTCCTGTTGAATATCTTTGCAGATGCTTAGACATGCGACTGAGTGACTGTTCTTCAATCAATTCTAATACTGTTAGGAGTTGATTGTGTCACTGGTTTTGGTTTTACTCCTCATATTGTTAAAGTTTGTATTTTAAAGTACGTGCATTTGCAATTGATTTGTCTATTCTTTAATTTCTTTATTATTCAACTCATAATTAGCGATTGATGTATATTGGAATCCAAAATTGTCGGCAGAACAGTGGTTCCCCTAAATGGGACTACGCCAACAAATAAGTCAACAAACTAGCCGGGATGGTTCTTGACGGACAAGGCAAAGAAATGCTTCAAGCTTCGTCTTTTGAATTGTTTGAACAGCCTTCCAAGAGAGACGCAGCGTCCGGTATTTCAAATCCTCCTATATTCTTTACACCAAGATGGTTTCTTCAAGAAGGCCGTGAATGAGAGACGGACCCACTTTACTGCTTTTTTGAGCGGATCCCCGGAGACCGTGATTTGCACTCGCACCTGTTTGCCGTTTGATCTACTCAAAAGGTGGATTGCAAGCTCTCTAAAATGTTTCACTATTTTGACCCGATCGTTGATGGTCTAGTTACTGGGTCAAGAGAGGCTGTTGTGAAGGTCCAAAATGTCCCCAATCGGTCACTCCGTGTCCGATACCAGTCCGCTTTCGTAGAGCATGGTGATCAGACCAAATTTTTTATTGAAGAGACTGCCGATTTCGTTTACGTTCTTCGCTCCTCAATAGATCTATACCATAATATTTCACCCTAAATCCGCCGCCATACAGTTAATATAGTGAAGAATGTTGGAGAACCTGCAAAAGACAGTCTCCGATGGCCAAGCGGATACCAGGTTTGAGTGCGCAACATGAGTTTTCCTGAGATGCTCACAGGCTCACTGAGATTGGGTGGAAACCTACCCACGACTATCGAAAAGCAATCATCTTCGTGTAAGAAAAATAGGTGGATTGCAAATATTAGCATGCTCGCTGCGCCAAGAAGGCTATTCGACCATTTCATGCAATCAGGCAATGGTAGCCCTTTTGCCTTGTTCGTCAAGAACAGTATTGTCCCAAGTCAATTTTTAGTATGTTTGCAAACATCCACTTCGCTGAACCACTGTTGAGGTTACAGTCATGAACTTCTAAATTAAATCAAACGCAAATATCCAGTAGAGGAAAAAGAAAATAAATAAATAAACAAATCAGTTGCATAAACAGCTACTGAGAAATACCAACATTACCATTGAGAAGAATAAAAGAGAAAAACTGTGATAGCATCAAATTGATACCGCTGTGGAAAGGCGATAGCTACAGTCACGCAAACCAATGTGTAACAACGCCGTAACATAACTAAGAAAAACCCAGTCAAACAAAAATCATCAGATAAATCAAAATCCATCTAACCAATAAAACCAAGACTAACAGCAATTGAAATATTGAAGCCTTTAATCAGAAATTTGATCACTGAGCTCTTTGTGCCTCAGTCAACATATCAGCAACAATGATTTCACTATGGCTTCATTAATGAGAGGAAGCAAAATTCACAACCCTCTTATAATATGAAGCATAATTGAGATACGCGTGATGATTCGGTGATTGGAGAGATAAGTAGCCAAGGTGATAGCAAATTTGTCTCTACAATAAACAATTGGCTCCTCATCAACTCTACACATATAATGAAATGTGTGAAGTAGGGAGACCCCGATTTTCACTTCTGCAGTGAATGAAATATATTCTGTGTTGTGAGTCAGAAACGCCACCGAAAAATGCTTCTTCAAGTTCCAAGTAACTAGTATTTAATTGATGAAGAACATACATCCACCAACTCATTCTCCATCACTAATCTTTCCAATCATACTACTGTCAGACAATTGAAGTAACTCAACTGATGAAACATTTCTCCGGTAAACACTTATTGGATTTCAGTTTAAATATCTACACACTCTTTTAGCAAAGCATGACACGATCTGGCTTAGCCCTCTGAAATAGCATCCAAGTGACCTACGCAACAAACCCATAACATTCCATAAGCAACTTGATGCAAAAGGCAACAATCTGACAATGGATACGAAAGCCAATGAGTCAGCAGCAACTAAGTCATAGCAATCCGTTTCAAGTTCCACTTTGTATGGTTTATCATCAGTGGTGTAGCTTAAAAGTGAGGCTCATTGCTTTGAAGCTGTTCAGCCACTAGTCTCACGTAGAACCCCATAAAATCCAAAATACGATCCATACCTTGAAGAGCATCAAGTCCTTAGAACCGACCCAAAGTTATTCCAATGTCCTCTATTTTCAAACAATAAACAGAAATATGATATAACGAGATTTACCATTGCATGTGATTATGCGGCAATAATGAGATCATTCACACATGATTGATCCGTGCACTATTGATGGATCATTCAAAGTAACAACGACCATGTTCAGCTGAATGTCTTTGAAACCCATAAAATCGCAGAGCGCTATGGATTCTCTGCAACTAACAAAAACCACCTCGTTGAGCCCATAAATTGATTCGTCCGGCTTGCAAACATTCAGCCGATACTCGGCATAAACAGCTCCCGGATGATGCTAAAAATGTACTACAGCCATGATGGCACCATTAAGGAAGCATCTTGTCACTTTTATGTAAAAGACCTCCATTGACTTTGAGTCGGCAGCAGCAAGGGAAAATGTTAAAAATTGTGACAGAGTTACAGGACTCTACAATGTAATGTAAGAAATGTCCTTAAGAAAAGAAAGCCCTTGAGCAGCAAGTCTAGCGTAAGCAACATCACCGATAGGAGCTGACATCATTGTCAACAGCCACCGGCACCCACCAAATCGTGCACCGGAAACAGAATCAACAACAGACAAGTATTGGTTTCAACCTCTCCCTGAGACGCTGAATATCAAGCAACGATGCAATTTGAATCAACATCCATGGTTTCAAAGTAATAGCGGAATTTAAAGCAGCAGAATTCATGACAAACACGACCAGTCTGCATCAGTATCGCATGAATCATTCACAAAATATTCAATCACATTTTCAATTTCATCAGAATCACTCAGACGATCTGGTTTAACTTTAGCATGTCCCCGGTTATCGGATGCAACACCGGTGATAGGATCAGCGCTTTCATCACTTTCATCAGCAAATGATACAAGTTCGCTTAAAACCGATTCAATGTCATCAACACCAATTTTCTTTCTCATTTGAGTTGCAGTCAATCCCTTTGTCTTTTTGATTGGAGTCGTCGTTTGCTGATCCGCCTGCCGCGGATTGCAGTTGTGCGAACTTAGTCATTGACAGCGGTTGACAGACTTTCCTCTAATGTATCGGCAGCAATCGGTGTGACTCCAGCAGCAAGTGAAATTGATTGCTTTATCGTGGCAGTAATGGGTCCTTCATCGAAAGCTTGGAATCATGAAGCGAAAAAAGCATCCGACAAAACCACACTTTCTATCATGATTGATAGCTGTGAAGGCTTATCAACGCTTGTCGTAGTCAGCAACCGCGCCGAGGCCATTTGCATGTCCTAACGTGGATTGCTTGATTTGATTGGGATTGGTGGCATGAGCACCACATCCATGACCTTCAACACAGCAACGCTTGAATTTACTCTAAAAAACAATTCAAAAGTGCAAGTCAAATGACCTTCTTGTTTTGTGAGAATGTAGTTGATTAGATTCAATTGGCACACTCAAGTTTCATTCCACCAATAATCAGGAACACTTAGCGTTAACTAGCATTGATCTGTTGTTTGACACAGCTGTCACGCGCCAATGTTCAGCTTTTTCACTTTGATGATAGCTGACACAGTTTGTAATCCAAACTGGATTCCTTGCGGTTGACAAGATGTTCTCAACAGCTTGGATGAAGACGTGTGATTTGATTAGAATGTATAAACAGTTCCATTTAACAGTCGTTCAGTAAAGCTACTACAATGAATCACCGTGGTAACTCTAACTGAACTCGTACCAATTGGAACCACCACTTCAGATCTTGAGAAGTCTTCACAATGGAAAAATCAATAGCGGCCTCTATCAACGGGATCAGTTTTCATTGCCTCAAATGTATCATCATGGGGAGAACCACGAACAGTGGTGGCCCGCTGGCTAGACGACCAATTATTGATTTATTTTGCGTTGGCTATTGACAAGACTTTCATTGAGCTCCACCTGTATTGACAATGCAATAGATGTTGAAGATATCACGTTCATTAATTTCTTCTCTAAGACCTAATAGATCAAGACCAATTGTAGCATCATATGGAATAGCAAATAGGGAAACGAGATATTCCTATAATGTTCAAACTCCACTGCGAGCAGCTGATCAGCCATTTGAAAAAACGCGGTAATTATTGAGTTAAATCCACAACCATACATTTGTAGGACCAGAGACAGACCTGAAATCTGCTTTTAAGAGACCACAAAACACATTCACTAATGAAACGCCGCTCAAATTAGATACAGCACCAATACCGTTCACTTCAAGCAAACCATTTCAAAAGCTTGTACTCTGATGTAGTTGAATGGCTACATCGCTGGGCCATTAAATATAATCAGAACATGTAATCTTTTACCAAGGTAAAAATTCATCCGTGTGGAATTCAACAACTGCATGCAAACTATTCTGAACAGCAGCGCAGGCAGCAGTTACTCAATATTGACTGCATCCAGAGTAGTCGAAAAATAAACAGCATTGCCTGAAAGTGATGACCCAGCTGGAACCTGCAGAAACGCCAGTCACTGACTAGCCAGATGCCATTCTTGCAAACAGCAAGGCCACGCCATGTCTTACTGACGCCCCAATCTCAACGGTCCCATCAAATAAAGATTTCGGGTTTGGAGACTCAGATACCAGCAAAGGCATCACTTTCAAAAAAAGTTGGCAAAATCATTGGATCAATGTATGGAGAGTTGTAAGCGACGGCATAACTCTGAGATCTCATTTAGCTTCGGTGGAATCCCAAACCAAAATAGCACAAGCCATTAGAAGCAATTGATCAGCACTGTAAAGTAAAAAGTATTGCGTTCAAGTTCATTAAATATTCAATCGAAACTGATCGAATTAAACGGTAGTCTCTACCACTTTTCAAGGATATGTGGCCTGCTGGCTATCGCAGCGCATAGACACCTGCAGCGTCATAGCGCGGCCGCATGGCGACTAGTATTCAATCACTGTTCCAACTGCTGACATAGTGAATCGGCAATTTCATTAGCCATAATCAGCTAATGTTCAAAAAGTATCCAATTAAACTGGCACCGACAATAACATCGTCTTAATTGAGCTTTTTACCAATATGAACATTTTGATTTTGAATCGCGTAAACCACCGACAGACATTAAGCAGTATTCAAACTGTCGACCACAGCAGATAAAACAATGATAGCACCACTTTTTCGCGTCTCCATTATTAGCGCGCAATAATTCGCAATTTGGCTTTTAATTCGTGGGGGCAGAATTAAGAAAATATACTAAAGTGCAAATGTGCATCAAAAATGCAGAGCTTGGAACGGTCCACTGATGATTTAAAAGTGGCAAATGTGTGAATTGCCTACTCAGTTGTCTGATGCCGCGTGCGTTTCAGGACGCTGAAAATGCAAACGCAGCATCCTATGCACCGGCGGGCAAAGCTGTTTGCTGTACTGTGCCCATAATAATATATTGCACGAAAGCAGCACACAAATCCGAATGACGTAAATGAAATTTGGACTCTTTGTTGTAGCGAATCTACATTGATATATTGAAAACAAGTCGTATCTAAGAGGGAACGTTGCCAAGAAGATTATTAGTGTTGGAAGCCTTTTAGATAATTATATCCGATCTTTGGGCGTCTGTCAAAGAAACTTTTCTAAGGGGAGCTGAGATTTAACGAAGTTTCCTATATTAACAGCACGAAGATTTTTTGGTTGTAGCGAATCCATGTTAGTACATTATAGTAAAGCAGCATATACGAAAAAGGATCGTAGACATGTTTGCCAGCCCTATTTATAAAAAAGTGGGTTTGATCACAGAGCATCATGAATGCAAACCCGGTGACAAACTGCGAACAACCGGATATAAACATCCGGGAGGCTCACAACACTGGCGGTCTATTCTTTGTTTTTCTTTCTTAGATATTTCTTGTCCTTAATATATCATCATGGATTTGCTTCAACAGGGGCTGGCGATCTCTTCTTCGTTCTTTTTTCGTATATGCTGTTTTACTTATATATATTATCATGGATTCGCTACATCCTAACAAGATTCGCTACAATAAGAAGAGATCGCCAGCCCCTTTTATAGAGAACTGGGTTAGATCACGGAGCGTCATGGGAGGAGACTGGTGACAAAAACCGAGTGACCGAGAGTACATATCCGGGAGGCTCACAACAGGAAGCACTCGTCATTTGCAGTTGTCCTTCGTTTTTCTTCTATTTTCGATAAAGCTGGTGTTTTCAAACAAATTCAGCTAAATAAATCTAGTTTATTAGTGGGTGGTAAGGAATTGATCATGTGGTTAACGATCTGTAATGCTGGGTTTTTCTTAGGCTCATCCACTTTCAACTAAATATTCATTTTTGATAAGTACTCATTCAACATGGAAAACTTCAACCAATACTATCTGATAACATTTATGATTTTTCTAGTTTCGTGGAACAATTTCTAGAAAAAATGAAAATGTATGAGGAGGAACACAATCTGTAACGAAAGTCCTGCAATAAGTCTGTTGCCAAAACTCTTGGACCAAAGTTGTCATCAAGGGAAAAACTTCATCCTCCATTTGAGCTACCACTTAATTCATACTAGGAAATATATGTATCTAAAAAATTAAAATCAGTATTTTAAATCATTATAAATAAAATTTAAGTAGCAAACCGCCTTTTTGGTATGTTAATGGATATTCCGAATTTAGTTACACTATTCCATAACTCATCACTGAGTTTTTTAGGCAATTTTTTACCATATAAACATTGATCCACAAGCCACATCCCCACAATAAACTCATCACGGGTTAATGTTCCATCCTTTCTCAAGTCGACTAACCCCCATATTTGCTTCAATGTTGAATCAGGTAGTCCACTTCTTCTCCATAAATTGCGCACTACTAGACCATGAAGCAATCTGGAGGGGTGAGTATTGGGAAGCAGATGCAAACCAATATGAGAAGATTTAAAAAGATTGGAAACAATATCTTTTTCTGCAGATAGTCCATCATCAGATTCAATTTTATCTTCCAGATTGATTTGGGTGTGCATCATATCAATATATAATCCCTTATTTGCCGCCCATAATCCTTCGTATCGTTTTCTTTCTTGATTTGTTACAACAAAGGCATCACTATGATTCTTCCAAGGTTTGTCTTCGTTAAATTTTGATTTGCTTTTCTTTTTCCTCATCGTTTTTCGCAACTGAACCGGTTGATTAGAGTAGTTATTAAGTTGATTCTGCAGATTTGGGGTAGTAAGACCCATTGGATTGACAATTTGAAGAAATCCGTGTTGAGACCGAGATCTCAAGTGTTTCTTATTTGACTGCAAATAAGGTGATTTTCCCTTCCAGTCCTTAATCATCAGTAGTGCAGTGGTTTTTATTTTTTGCCGAGCATTTCCTTCATTTATTCGAGGTAATAGTGTGTACTGAGGAAGGTTTGAAAATATTTCCTGCGGAGTATTAGCGCCATTCTCTTGGTTTGAAGCCTCAGTTTGATCTTTGGCTTTTGGTTCTAATGAGTTATTCATTTTACCAAAAGTGTTTTCCGAGTAGTTCAATTTGTTTTTATCAAATATTGGGTAATTGATTTTATTTACTTCATCATTTTTCAACAGATCCATATTGGTAAATCCATCTTGAATATCATTTGGATAATTCTTCTCCTCCAAAAAAAGGTCTGTCTGTTGATCGGATGCATGAAAATCAAATTTAGCATATTTTTCGTACTCATAAAAATAATCAAATGTAGCATCTTCTACTTTAGTAGCAGAATCATGTTGAAAACCAGAATTCAAATTCTCCGGTGGCGGTTTGCGTACAGGTGATTTTGAAAGACCCAGTTCTTCTCCACCATAAAATCCTAGAGGAGTTGTGACAGGATTAACTTTTGAATTTTCTTCGGCGGTCAGAGGAAGTAGATCAGATGAACATTTTATCATAGTATTTTTCTTATCTTTTTCGAAAGGAAAAGAATCGCAAAATATTTTGTTTGCAAAAATCTGAAGATGAGCAGCTCCATTTTTGTTGGATCTAGATGATTGACTAGTAGTATTGAGTGGAATAGAATCAGCTCTATTGGTAATTGTAGCAAAATCTTGTGATACATTGATTTTATCAATTGGGCCTTCAACTTCTGAATGGTCAAAGGTCTCTAATTGATTGGCAGAGTTCTTTTCGAGAATACAATGATCAGAAGGTGCCCAACATATTGAATTTGAAAGAAAAAAATCAGGGCATGTATCAAATAACTTATCTTGATCAAAATTTTTTGAAAATAGCCCTTGAGTAGTATCAAGATTTTCCCCATGAGGTTGAGCCTCTGACGATTTTGGTTTTTTGATTTGAACCTTCCCCAAAACATTAGTAGAATGTGGTATTGTTTTCGAAAAATCTACTTTATGAGTAGAACCACTAATTGGTTTAAAACAACCAGTTTCAATATAATTTTCAATGGGTTGGTTGAATGATTGAGAATTTGAACTACCTTTTAAATGATGATTTAAGTTGAGTGCTGGTAGTGAATTCAGAGAAGATGAGCAAGAAACAGCAGAAAACGAGGTGTTCTTTTTATTATTATTAAGCTCTCCTTTAAAAACCCTGGAATGATTATTACCTTTAAGAGACAGAGATGATTCTGTTGAAAACCCTGATGACCTTGCTAAAAGAATGGAATCAGAGCTATTTTTGATTCCATTCAGAATAGGGTAATATTTTAAACCTGAAAGAGGTTTAGAATCCGAAATGATTGAAAAGCTCGGTTGATCAGAATAAATTACTTTTGGTTGATCCACATTGTTATTGAGTGTAGTGTGCAGAATTAGAAAATCATTATTTCCTTTCATAACAGAAATATCTTTATTAAATAGAGCAGCCTGAGGATACTTTCGAGTTAGTCGGCCCTCGTGAGAGTTAGAATAAGTATTATCAATGGTCTTACGATAAAAAGTATTCTTATTAGTTCTAAGATTGGTGTTGGGGCAACATGTGGGAAATGAAGAGTGACTTACATTGAGTGAGTTATTCAATATCGATTTTGAAGAGTTGATGGCTTTATTTGCTGCTGCCAACGCAGAAAAGGATGATTTCGACTTTCTGTGAAAAGAGTTGAGCAGGTTTATCTGCGAAGTTGAAGAAGTAAGAGATGAAAAGTGAGCTGACACGACATTAGGATCCGAAGAGGCATGTTTGGTTTGATGAACTTTTTCCTGTTTTGTACCAGCTGACAATGGGTTTGAACTGTTGGAAATAAAAATGTTATTGGATTTAACAGCTGAGGATCTATTAATGAGTTTGTTATTTAAAATCTGAGAATTCACAGGAAGATTTAAATTTAAGCCTAAGTTTGATTTAGAAGAAGAAAACGGAAGTTGCTTCTGTGATAAGCCTGTGTAAGATTTATTATCAGACATTGTGTGACCAACATGTAAGCCGTAAATCATTTTTAAATCCTCATTTTTAGGTGAAATTTTATTCGCATTATCATCAGTTAATTCACTAGAGTTAACGTTGGCATTTATTTCTCTCGATCCAATAATCCCATTGATCAGTGAATTTTGTCCTGCAATCACTGTAGATTTATTCGAATTAATTTTCTGTTTAAATTTTTCATTGGAATAGCGAGTGACATTTTGATTGTTAGTAGTATAATAATCAGGAAGATTAATTTTCTGCTTAGTTGGCAAGTTTATGGGGCCCAATTTTTGACTTGATTTTGAATGAGACAAGCTGTGAGAACTAACTTGGTTATTTGTTTTATTGAACAGTAAAGAAGCAGCTTTGGCAGCCTTTGAAGCGTCATCAGATGTGTAAGCCTGTCGATTCTGACTGTTTCTGGATTTTCTTCGAATATTTTCAACCATTTAAAATATCAGTGGCTATCTGATTCTAACAGCACAAGTGTAATGCACCAACACAAAACTCCCCAGGAAAATAAATTGTAAGCAAAGAAAAAACTTTTCAACCCCGGAACTGATACAGCAACATATATCTTAGTAATTAACAATCAATCAAAACAATTGTTGATCAGTTGTTGCAGCATGAAACCCATAGTAACGATGTTTCTATGGGTAGGATAGATCAGCTGGATTATCTGACGATGCACCACCAGCTCATAAAGTTTGGTGCAAAATCTGTTCAAGCAGGTTTGTGCGAGTGGGACAAATACAACAAAAGACAGATAATTGGCCACGCAGTCCCTACACTCAGCAGGACTGCGGCTGCCTGCACTGTACAAACAAGACATATCTGTGCTCTGCAAGTATTCTTTGCAAAATAACCCTTCAAGTTTGCAACACTGCCAGTTTAAGTCACCTGCTATTTTGGAACATCTCATGAACAGCTTCAGATCTTTAAACAGTTTTCCTTCAAATTGAAAATATGAAAGAGGAGGAGTTGGATATCTTTTCAATTTTTCAAAGTAGTTGTTTGATGCTAAAGGAATAACAATAGACTCGGCTAATACAGAATGATATTTAGACGCTAGCTATTGGCACTATCTAAGCTTCTAAGCTTCTCAGTTTCCCAATCGATTCTGGTTCTCAATTCTGTTTTGATGCTTCACAACCCGATTGAGATCTTCCTTACTCTGAGGAACATACTGAACATATACCAAAAACAACGACCAAATACCAACCAATGAAGAGCAGGCAAATCCAATAGCAACTTTATAGCCATAGTGGTAGATAGGGGCTTCATCTGCGGGCCAAATAAATAATGGCATCCAGGCATTATTTGCATATGTTAGAACAACAATTGATCCTGTAATAATTGCTCTTTTTTGTGTATCCCTGGCGTAAACTTCTGCTAACAATAACATTATGATTGGTCCTGTTGCTTGGACTGAAAACAATATGAAAAACCCAAAATATTTCAATCCTATAGATTTTGGCCAGAAACTTAGTATACTGCAACCAACCACACTTGTCAACTCTTGAATGATTAGCACCCCAAATTTTCTTCCTGATAGGTCAGCAAATCGACTATAAAAAATCATTGTTACTGCAGAAATTCCATATCCTCCAACCGGTATCATATTAATCTCGCTCGTTGTATACATTGGTGTTCCATCATCATTTGTTAGTGATTCTAACCATAGATTGAAGTATGCAAACGATAGTAATGTCCATGCCCAAGGAACATAAGCCAATGCAAATACCCAAAATTTCCAATCCAAGTATGTTTTATAAATACTCTTTAATTTCATTTCTTTTGATGTAACTCGGCCATTTCTTATCATCCTCTTTTTTGCTATTTCGAGATCCTCAGGTTTGAACCATTTGTTTTTTTTACTGTTTTCAGGTGTATCTGGAATTAACAAAAACCCTGTAATTGCTGTCACTACAGTCATGATAGCATTTATAACGAATAACCACCTCCATCCAGGCAATCCTCCTATTCCATTCATTGTAGTATAAATTGATGCTTGCATAAATCCAATAAACATCGACCCAACACATCCTGCTGCGCCAAACACTGCTGCTCTCGTTGCAAATTCAGTAGGCGTATACCAGTTCATAAATACTGTTATCATTCCTGGCCACGATGATGCTTCTGTTACTCCAATTAAAAATCTTAACGCGAACATAATGTTGATACTTTTGGGAATCGCACATAGTCCTGTTAATACCCCCCAAACTAACTCGCATCCTGGCAACCAATATGTCGCTTTGATCTTTGACAATATAATTTGTGATGGGATTAACATAATTGCATATCCGATAGTATAGTATGTTCCTAACCAATTGTAATCCTTTCCTTGCATATTCAAATCCTCTTTCATCCCAGAAACGTATGCATTTTGATAGTTTGATTGATCAATACTTTTAATGCAGTACGAAATACATCCCCACGTTATTAAGATCAAATCCAATTTGGCGATGAATTTTCTTTCTTGATCACTTTCAGTATCATTAGCATGAATTAGTCTTTTATACCATGGTCTCCTATCTTTTGAATATATCGATCGGTTTTTATATATCATTATTCGAGAAAAATTTGATATATACCAACTCTTTTGATATTTCAATGGAAATTCTATCTCATTTTCATTCATCTGGTTATTTTCATTTTCAACATCACAACTCGATACATTTATAACATCGTTGAAACTATCATTAGCTCCTTTAGTGTGCGTTTTAGTCATTTTTATTTTCATATAAACCGCTGAAATTACTTTCTTATTGTAAATGAATAGTTCAAGTTTTAAAAAGCATTTCTCCATCTATTTATAATAAAATAATGGACAAGTTATAATATTCTTCATTTGATATGTTTTCATTGAATATCGGTTTTGCTTTTATTTCTATACATTCCTTTTAATTTTTTTTTTGGTTAATGTTTTTATTTTTATTTTTATTGATTTAATTTGATTCTGATTTTGATCCAAATTATTGTATATTTGAAAAATAATGATTTGCCAATTGAAATTGGCGCATAGATTGTAATTTAAATTTGAGTTAAAGACATCGCTAACAAAATAATTCAAGATCAAAAAAATTGACTTGATCTAAAATAAACCAATACTAAAATATTATAAGAGGTAAAATTCATACAACCAAAAACATTTCAAATTAAAAGTAATTGGAACCTTAAATAATTGTTTGAAACCCAAATTTAACATATTATTGAATCATAATCTCAGTCTGAACTGATCTTTTTGATAACATGAAATTTCATCCAACTATACTTCCAGCATTATCTGGCACTGCTGTAAGGTTGATCAGGTGACCCATAGTAAATCCGGTCTGATTTAGGATATGTAAGTTGATGATACTGGAACTTAAGTAAGTAGATCAACGAAAACATAATGAGTTTGCAACAGTTAGAGGTCTTATTGTTTCGTTCCAGACTGCTATTTAACCAGTGAAGAAAAAATTCAAATAATTCTTTTATTGATTTATACATCCAGAGTATTGATTTATACATCCAGTGTCATTTAACAACTACTGTCTGAAAAGAGGTAAAAATAATCAATCAAGTATAGTGATAATATCTGTAAGCTGTAAAATTGTGTGTAAATTTGGCGTCTTGATTTTTGTAAACCGATGTTTGAACATCTGTGTTCCTAGATAAAACCTAATCCAATTTCTGAAAAGTTATAAACTAATATGATTTTATTTGTCCTTTAGTTAGTTCAATTTTTGATAATTTCTTCAGTTTTTTTTAGGTGGAAAAGCAAAAGTGCTAAAAAGGAGGTTGTAATTTGCATTTCCGAATTATTAAAACTTAGGTGTGAACGAAAAAATTTATTTCAAGTTTACACTATTGATCAGTTTCCCTAATTCTGTATATTATTCGTTTCTGATAATTCAATAAAAAATCACGTAATACTATTCAATCATATTATTGGCTGTTAAAGGTTTTAGCCGCTAAGAACAAAGCTGATCTTTTTGATAATTACTGAAGAGAAATAAATTTTAATCAAAATGATCTCTAAACCAGATTTAAAGTTCTCGGGTTACATTTTGTGAGGAATTAACTAGTTGAACACAGCGAAATAAGATTAATAAAGAGATAAAAGGAAAGTTTTAAACCACAAAATTGCCTTCTATACTTTAGAGAACATATAAAAATTTTTAGAGCGACATGCTGAAAGGCAGATTGAATATTTGTAATATGAATTGTGATCCAATAATTTACTGAGAAGAAGGCAACTTCTGCTTTTTAATTACATATCATTCAAGATAGGAGAATAATACATCTAGGAGATTAATAGTCATTAAACAAAGAAAAATTTTGGTAATAAATTAGATCAGAGTATTTTTAAGAAATCTTTGGCAGTTTGCGAATTTCGTTTGATCTCTAGTCAAGTTTAATGTCAACTAATCAAATTTTGGATATTAATAATATTTATAGTTTTATTAGATCAAGTATATTATTATTTTAATTCAGTTTGAATTTGATTCAAAACCATCAATTACTAGATTCCGAAAGTCCATAAGAGTATGTATATTAAAGTATTTCAAACTAAGTGGTTATGCGCAAGACAGAGTTCAATATTAATTATCGTCTCAATTTTAAAAGACAGCTGGTTTTTGAGCTTTAGAATAAACTAAAAACCATTTTCTTTGTTGATATTTATTTCATTTTAGCCAAATGATGGTTTTCTTGTCCCAATATATTATTGAATAGATCGATAATTCCTTTCACAAATACAAGCTTCTAATATGGTATTAAAAGTATATGCATTATACATGCATTGACCGATTCCCTGCAACATATAAATCCTATTTAGGTTTACGGGCAAATATATAGAAAAGAATGGTGAAAAAATCGGATCAAAAGACTAAAAAATATAAATGTAGAAACTAAAATTTGAAGTTGCCATTCAGGTAACCTCACAAGCAGATGACACTGCATTGTCAGGAATATCGTCAATATCACCATTATTAATCAAATAACCACAAACTTTGTTGACAAACGTTGTGCTTTGTTCCTCGATTAAAAAATGAGAAGTATTCAAATATTCAATTTTATTATTAGGAAAGTAGTTGAAAACATCATTTGTGAAAACTCCCTGATTTTTCAAGTATTTGGAAGATTTTCCAAGCAAAAAAAAAGTATTGTTATTGAATTGTCGATTATTTAATTTCTTTTCTGGCCAATCAACTAGATTCTTGTTGTGAATGGTCTGGCCAATTAGATCTAGCGGAATTTTTGATTCAATGTGTTTTGAGCTATGAGTAGAATTTCTTGCATTCGTCAAATTTAGTAGTAAGTAGTTCTGAATAGCCGGATCAGTGATTGATTTCGAAATATAATCTTGAGAGATCTCAACCCAAGATTTATTTGATTTTGATAGTTTTAAGTCATTAACTATATGGTCCAAGACATTAAGATAGGTCTTAAAATCTTCTATAACTAACTGATTATTCATTTTTGGAATTTCATCAACAATAACTAATTTATCAACTTGATCGGGATTTAAGAGGGAAAAAATCATTGATAATTTACCACCAAACCCATATCCAATTAAGTTGAATTTATTCAACTTTAAATTCTGATCAATTTGATAAGAAAATATTTTGGACAAATCCAATAAGTTTTTATTTAAAAGATTATATGGCAAATTAATATTGTAGACGGGTGTTTCCAATCTTTGAGATAATTCATCAACTTCTTTTGAATAAAGATTTTTGTTGCCAAATATATCATGAATAAATAGAATTGGATTTTGAGGATAGTTTGGGGGTTTATTTAAAAACGAATGATGTGGAGGATAAATCTTGACATCAAGAAATCTTTCTGATGGTGCTGAGTAATTTTTGGACAAAAGACTGGTTAGAACTTTGAAGTTTTTATGGCTATTGAAAGAGGAATCAGCCAATAGCTTTCTGAATTTCGATATCATGACTGGTTCAACAAAAAGAAAGATGGTATATAAAAGAATTATAATCAAACAATAATGCAGTGACTGTAGAAGAAAATAATAAAATTATAGAAATGATGCATTTTAAAACAACAGAAGAAAAGCAGCGGCATCTGGATGATTGCTGGAATAGCCGAGAAGCTCGGGGCCTATCGGAAAACACCTCCGCGGCTCCCCCTACAGCGGTTTTGGCATCAAAACTATTAGAAAAACCAGAACCCAAACTAGATGATTCAGAACCTGCAATCCAAAATAAATCGCCCCAATGACACCATAGATTACAGCATTAACGAGTTTTGGAGATTGATCTTGTCTCTTATAGCTTGGAAGGGATTGGCTTTAAACGATTCGTCGTTCAAAACTTTGATGAAATTGCTATTTTCCATTTTAGATATGATCTTAAAACTATTCAAGCTTTTGTGAGGATTTGGTTGGTTTTTATTTAATTGTTTATTTATGTAACCTTTTTTTTCAATTTTTACATTTTGTATGTTATTTGAGTTCTTATTTATTTTGTTAGGCTGTTTGGCTGAGTTGTTATCATCTTCTATTGAATTCAAGGAGTCTAGTAAATCACTTAATTTTGGTTTCAAATTCTCTCTCAATTTTCTTTTCCTTCTTCTTAACGATGATTTTGAAATTCCAATGAGATTGCTGTCTACAGCCTGATTGAGATTTGGATCAGGGTTTTTTTTAATATTGTCTTCAGTGAATTTGCTGAGAAATTTAGACGATTTCATCAACTGTTTCTCTTTTTTGGTGTCTGTGTTGATGAGATGTAAGAACGAAACCTCACTTGGTTTTAGTATTTTCTTGTTTCTCACCAGAAAATTCGAAGATAACGTTTTGCTTGCTTTAGTTTTCGATATCCCCTTTTTTTTGATACCCTAAAAGAAAGTTAGTACTCTGCAACGAAATCCCATTTACAGATCTAGATATTCCACATACCATTGTGCTTTCGTTTCACTGCTCTTCTTCAGCTTTTCTCTCACCGCAAGAAAGATCATCTCTTTTCTCCATTATGAAAAATGAAATTCCAACACGTGTCATGTACCACGTGAGGGCGAAAACTTTTCTGAGAACATTCATTTTGCATGAAGGAATTTTCAATTGGACAAAGCAGTTGCTAGAATTTGCAGTCTTTAGTTTTGATAGAGCAAGCTTAGACGTTGTAGTCTTTCAAGAGAAGATATCTGAAGGTAGACAAGGCTTTGTGTGTTTTGGGTGTTGATTTCGTTTGGTGCAGGTGCTATTGTATTGGTGTTATCAGGTTATAACTACTTCTCTAAAAGGGTCCCTATTACAGATACTTGATCTATTTGAAAGGTTGATTATTCACTCAGAATTAGGATCATTAATAAATAAATTCAAACCAAATTTACCAATTATTGCTATTTAGGCCATTTCAGACAGATAATATAATTGTCTGTATCAAATATTGATCAAATTCACAATAATTTTATTATTTGAAGATCTTAAAATACTCTATTAAAATGTCAAAGACAACAGTAATTTCTTCTTTAACACTCACAGCTTTTGTATGTTATTTGGTTTATTTTGATTACAATCGTCGTCATTCTGTTGAATTTCGTAAAAAGTTGAAGAAAACCAAAAAAAATCACTATAAACAACAATTAAAATCAAAACAAAATGCCAAAAAGGTCAAATTGGAACAAATAAAATCTAGATTACTAAAAAGTTTAGCTGATGAACCAATACCAACTGATTTGACTGATAAAGAACAGATCTTCATTAATCATGTTGGCAAGGGAGAGCAATTGGCTGCCGTAGCTGGAAAAGAAATTGATTCTGCTTTAAATTTCTACAGAGCTTTAGCTGTTTATCCAAATCCTACTGATTTATTGAGTATTTATCAAAGAACTGTTCCTGAGAACATTTATGAAATAGTCGTTTCAATGATTGCAATTCAACCTCCAAATACTGTTGTCAATATCTTACGTGATTCCATTAGTAGTTTGGATCAAGATTAATTTATAATTGATCGATTGATTGATTATTAAATAAAAAAAAATTATTATTTATAAATTCCATTACGCTTTCATTATTAACTATGATTTACTTCTTTTCTTTTATAGTTTTCCAATTATTTACTTTTTGGGGGTTTTTATTTATTTTTTTCTTTCTCTTTATCATTTCATTATGTTCTGTATATACTTGATTATATTTTTTATATTGATCTTATCCTATTTAATTTGATTTATATAGTAGTTTTATTTATCTTTATTTATTTATTTTTATTTTTTTTTCTTCGATAGCAATATGTTCTTTAATTTAATTTTTTTTAGAAATAAAAAAAGAATATGCTAACATGCAAAAAAATAAGAAAAAAAAAATTACTTGAACTAAACTGAATACTAGTGAATACAATTAATAGCTATAATGGTTTCAAAAAAAGGCATTTGTAATTTCTCTCCATTTTATTTTTCCCAGGTTTATCAGAAGGCCAATCAACAGTTAATGTAACTGATTTCAGTATTTATATCGCAATTCAACATTTAAAAATACAAAAATATTAAAATATTGAAAAATTAATTAAAAAAAAAAAAATAAAAAAATAAAAACAAGAAATACTAAAATATAATAGAAATTTTTAATCAAAGATATAAATTATCAATTATATGGTGATGAGCTTCATTTCTTACTTGTTTCAGTAGATGGCTTTAAATCTGCCTCGGCTTTTGTTGGTTTTGATACTTCTTTTTCATCATCAGAGGAGCTAAAATCATCTGCATTTGGAGCAGTAGTTCCACCAGTAGTGCTATTTAAACTGGCTGCATCAGCCATGTTGGCGAGTTTACTGAAATCAAAATCGCCCATACCTGGCATACCACCCATTCCTGGCATTCCTGGCATACCTGGCATACCACCCATTCCTGCTAAGGGATTCATGCCATCCATGCCTCCCAAGGGTTGAGATAAGTCCGTTGGATCGTTTTCAGCTTGTTCTTCTTGTTCATCCTCATCAACCCATTTATTGAAATCAGTCTTCAAGTAGTGCAATTTTACTTTCTGTTTGGTCAATCTTGGCCAATATTCTTCTTGTTTTTCTTTCTTTCTTAAAACAAAATCAATATGTGATCCGGTTATGAAGTAGTATGATTTACTATTGTCATCATCAACAATCTCTTTGAAAAATTCAAGGTCGAATTTATAGACTGACTGTTTGTTATACTCTGAGTCACTCTCAAATTTTAGGGAAGTGGATGTCAATTTAATCTTCACATCAATTGGATCAGGAACATTCACTCTTATAAATAAAAGATTCTTTTCATCGACCTCAGCATTTGAACGTTGAGCCCATAAAACTATGAATATAACAATTTGTTAGTAAAAATTCCAAGTGAAAAACTGGGAGACCAGAAAAAGCCCACACAGCCATACTAACCTTCAGGATAAACAGTTGTGGTCATTGTTATCAGATTAAACTATATTGGAGAGAGTACAAGAAGTAGTCAAAAGAAGTTTGAGTGATTGAAATTAAATCAAAGGGATTGTTTGTGGTGGAAACAGAAAAGAACCAGTGCTGAGATGGTTTAAATATGTGTCCTGGCTAATTTTCGCAATCAATGCACATGAGAGAAAGATCTAGAAGAGCGCGCGGGGGCCAATCAGCGCTCGGCACGCTTCGAGCAGAAAAAGGATTCTTCTGGAGGTGCAAAACAGAGAGAGCTGTTTCCTCATCTGCTGTTTCTACGGCGAGGGGCGAGTCGTGGGAGGTGGACTGGAGATGGCCAATTGAATATGTAGATATATGGATTCGAGAGAGATGGGCAGGAACTCGAAAGTGATCCAGGACTAAGTAAAATATAAATAATGTAACAACATTGGTTCGTTGGAAATCACTCCAAACACTTGGTTTGACATCCCAGCTTCCATCGCCAGTCAATAATAAATAAAATTAACATAGTATTAAAATTGAGATGTAACGATAGAATATGTATTTTATTGTACCATAATACTTGTGAGAATTAAACTAGGCGTTTGGCACTTGGTTGAATAATCTACATGGATACTCTGAAGAGAACATTCCAGACTGAGCTTCTGTTAAAATGACCCATTTTTTGCCTTTATTTAAATTCGGAGCAGTTATAGCTTCACCGTTAACACCAAGCACTTGCCCTTTAATTACACTTTCTGGCACATTTGACAATGTTTCAGATAAATAAGTTAGCTCACTCCCTGGTGTTTTGAATGGCAATAGCTCCAGGTAACCTTTATCGCCAATTGATACTCTTGGACTGGCTTCGGTTCCCAACTTTAATAATCCAGAAATTTTGTTTTGGTCAAATGATGAAACTCTTGGATAGTTTCTTCTGTGATCTCTTTTGTAATATTGATTTTTGATTATATTACCAGCAGGTATGGTAAATGGATCTGTGTAATCTTTGGCCTTTGGTTGAGATCCTGGTGGTGGAACTCTATATAGTGGAACAAGTGGATTACCTGAGGAACGATTTGGAACCAAAACCAATAACCTTCTAATCCTCTCCCAAATACCGGTGGAGCCAGTGGTATATTTCTTCCAAATAGGAACAGGGCCTCCAGACATTTTGAATATTATATATTTCCAATACTAAATTAAATCGGTGTGACAGATATCGAAGATTGTCTTTCTCTTGAATTCAATATTCAGTTCAAGCTGTTGTGTTGATTCCTTTCTACCAATCACAGCCCGCGAAATATTGTTTTACTAATATCATGGTCACATGAGATCTTTTCGCAATTCTCGATCCAAAACTATTTTTTCGCAAATAAAGATATTTCTCTCTGCATTCAAGCGTACTGGTATGTATGCATGCATTCAATCCTTATGCTGGAACTCTTTTTTCGTTTCTCATCATGAAATCCGATTTGATTCATTCCAAATTTATCAGTTAGATTTTATTTCCAGTTATTGAAATTGACAAATTACAATGCAATATGTCCTTTTCAGCTACTCTCAATGACTCCCAATCAAAGCAGTTTTTTGCCAAATCTGTAAACTCACTTGCCTCTCTATCAGACTATATCAAATTCCAAATATCCTCACAGTCTTTGCTTTTGTCAGCGATAAACTCAAGCAAAACATCAATTGGTGAAATTAAATTCAATAAAAAGTTTTTTCAAATCTATAAATTTATCTATTCAAAAGATACCATTCTAAAAGAGGGCTTCAACTATGATTTACAAAAGCCGTACAACTCAACGTTTAATTTTATAATTTCTTCAAAATACTTATCGACTTTATTCAAATTCATCAATGAAAACTCCACAAAATTCTCAAACAATAATATCAATTATAACAATAATCTTCATCCAGATGGTGACTCTAATATTAATCATAATAGCGCAAACAACATCAGTGATTTTCAAAAGCCAATTTATTTCAATAATTCAAGCACTGTCTCAAAATCTTCTTATGAAAACACTTTGATATTAAGTCTTAATTGCAATAAAAACTGCTCCGATTTTCATAAATTTAAACTATTGATTGAATTCATATCCAATAAAAAAATTAAAAAACAATTTTCCTTATTTTACCAACCCTTCACAGTCATAAATACCTCCATCAACATATCAAAAATATACAGAGAAAGGTTTTTAAGAGTTTCTAACAATATCACTTTATCTGAAAACAACTCCAAAGAATTTGATCCAGAAGATATTACCAATATTGAAAACTCAAATCACAACATCACTGAAACCAAAATAGATAATCAACAAAACAAAGATATAAATGAATACTATCTTCAAATTGAGAAGAAAGCCAACAACCAGAATATCAATTACTTGGTAATACCCATTTTTATCATAAAATCATTCTTGGACATGAATCCCAATCAAACAGAAGATTTCCAATTGCTAATCAACAAAAAACTTAATAGCTTGGTATTTATTGGCTTTACAAAATCTATTAAAAACGATAGAAACTACTTTTTGAAGAATTCCATGAACTTGTCAATCTCAATTCAAATCGATGATCTCTTTAATTATCATTTGTCCAATTATAACTCAAATGACCATTTGAATTTAAATTTCAATTTAAAAGATTTCAGAAATTTTATAAATCTAATTTATTCTTATTCTTCCACTTTAAGCATTATCTCCAATAAAGATCACTCCTCAAATAGTGATAAAATCAATAGTACTGATAGTCAAAACAACTACATCAACAATAATGATCACAACAATATTTTGGTGGAAGATGATATTTGCTTTGAAGCATTCTTTGACAACCCGGGCGATCCTATTTTATTTGACTGTAACTTGTTTAATAACTTAGTTCGCATCAAATTTATTCAAATCACATCAGATGACGGCAAAGTCATTGATAATTCAACTACAATCAAAAAATTCAAGTTGAATAACAATAAAAACCGTAAAAGGAGAAAGCCAAAAATTAAAGTGTATCAACCAACAAGCTATAGATCTGAAAACGAGATTGAATTGGATATTGAAACCAAAAAGGAGACGACTATAAAAGAAGAAAGTTTTTTGTTTTTTCCAAATGATAACGAAAACCACATTGAAAATGAAAATGAAAATGAAAATGAAAATGAAAATGAAAATGAAAATGAAAATGAAAATGAAAATGAGAATAATGAATATGAATATGAATATGAATATGAAAATAGTGACAAGAAAATTCCTGCTAATCATGATCAAAACGTGAAAACCAGTCTTGATGATAAAACATTACACAATAATGACTATAATGGTTTTACTCATGAGCAAAAAATCGTTGAAACTCAAACCAGCTTTAATAAACCATATAATCAAAAGAAAAAGAAAAGCAGATTTGTAGATAGTGACTCTGAAGATGACTCAAATAAAACAAATGCTGGCAAAATAGTTGGAACTAATAATGTTTCCGTTTTTAAATTAAAATCAACTAATCAATTAATCAATGAAGAATTCAACAAAACAACAGAAATAAATTTCAATCATCAAGTAGAACATTCTAAAACTACTTTTTTTAATAGTGACGATGAGATAAGCTGGAACGATAATGACTCGCAAGCCAAAAAACGTAAATTATCGTTTGTAAATAAATTAATGGAAAGTAGTGAAATCGTTGGAACTGAGTCTATTAACAATATTGATATCACAACACTGGATTCAAATGATAAAGATTTGTCAGTGCGATTGACTAAAAGTAAAAAGGAAAAGCATGAAATTGGTCCCACTCAAAACGTGAAAAGAGTTAAGAGTTTATTTGGTAGTTGAATAATCCGATTAATAAATATATACTTGGTATAATGATTTATTTTTGATTTTTTTTGATTCTTGCCAATTGATGATAGAATTTGTTTTTTTAAGTTTGTGCGGTTTTCAACGAGTTCCTACAATCAATTTGTGTTTCTTCTAAAGGTCGCTCATGATAGATTTGTATTTATGATAAACTTGGTCCACTTTGAGTAATAATAATTCTTTTTCTTTGTCAGCTATCCAGGAACCATTGATACTATTGTTTGCTATTTTACACCAAGTTTCAATATTCCAATTAAAAGCCTTCTGAATTTGAGCGTAATTATCTAATATATAGGAATTGAAATATGCAGGGTCATCGGAATTGATGCTAAATGGTACATTGTATTTCAAAAATTCATTTAATGGTAATTGATCTAAATTTTTGATTACTTGCAACTTCAAATTTGAAATTGGACAGACAGTTAGTAATATTTGATTTTTTGATAAATAGTCGATCAAATTTAAATCTTTGATTGAATTCACTCCATGGTCAATTCTTGTAACTTTTAATTCATTTATCGAATCCACAACAAAATCTGGACCACCTTCTTCACCGGCATGAGCAGTTAGACCAACATTGGGAAAGGTTTTCGAAATCTCACTATAACATTCTTTAAATAAAGTAGGAGGAAAAGGTTTTTCAGATGAATCTAAACCTAAACCATGGATTTGACCGTTTTCATAATATTTTTTGGATAGATTGATTGTTTCAAAACAGCTATCAAGTGGAAGATGTCTCAAAATGCACATTGTTAGTTTTGTTGAAATTTCCAATTCATTTTTTGCTTTTAAAAAGGCCCTTGTCAATCCATTGATAATTGTATCAAAAGAAATCTTGATGGATCTAATCAAATGACCTTGAGGATCAAAAAATAATTCAAGATGATAAACTCCCTGGCTTTTGGCTGTTAGGAGATAGTTCCATGCTAGCTCAAAGAAATCATCCTCGGTAATTAAAACGTTCATTCCAACGTAATAATATTTTAAGAAATCATCCAAATTTTCAAAGTTGTCATATTTCAGTAGTAATTTTTCTGGTGTATCAGGAAATTCATCTGGTAACTTCACACTATTTTTTTTGGCTAGTTTGAATAGTAATGATGGAGATAAAGTCCCTTCTAAATGACAATGGTGTTCACATTTTGGAAGCTCTGTTAGGAAGTCTAACATAATTGGGTCAATCAGATTGTTGATTGTCATTTGTGATAAATGTAGCATTCGCGATGATTGTAGCATTAGAAATAAAAACAGCCAGAAAAGAAAGTAAACAAAATAAACAGCGATTAAAAAAGGGAGATTCTAGATATAAATACCTGAAAGTCAGGTCAAACTTTTAACCTTTCAAAGAACCTCCACATATAATTTTCTTATTTTTCTTGACTATTTAAGACACATGTTGATGATAAATTTAGAACTATTTTGGTCCAATAGAACACTGTTTGGAGACGCGTGTATCAGTAAAGCATATACGTATAGATGCGTTGTAAACAACGTTATGAATTGCGTATATATGCAATGATATGCAATTATTTGCATATCGTTGTGTATTTAAGCTTTATAAAAACGGCTATATAGCTTGAAGAAAGAATGATTTAGGTTTATTTAGTTATTGATTCAAAATGAATTTGTAAAAAAAGAAAATCAAGAAAAGACAAAAAAACATTAATTTGACAAAGGCAACCGTAACTGATTCCCTCTCTTTTGATCCGGAAGCAATGCTTTCATATTTGATGTAGACTTTATTAACATTAGCTAGTAACTCATTTTTTCGTTCGTCTGATATCCATGAACAGTTAATTGAATTTCTAGCAATCTTGCACCACGTCGCCATATCCCAGTTATAAGATTCTTGAATTTTAACATAGTTTTCCAATATATACCCATCAAAATAAACAGGATCATCTGAATTGATACTAAATGGCACATTGTATTGAAGGTACTTTTCCAAATGCAATTGCCGATAATCAGTGATATCTTGCACTTTAAATTCAGAGATAGGGCAAATCGTTAGCATTATTTTGTCTTTTGATAACTTTTTCAATAAATCCAAATTTTTATAGGCATTGATACCATGATCAATTCTAGTCACCTTCAAATATCTAATGCAGTCAATAATAGATTCGGGTCCTAGCTCTTCACCGCCATGAGCAGTTAATCCAACTTTTGGAAACGATTTTTTAATTTCTTTGTAGCATTCTCTAAACAAATATGGAGGAAACTCTGACTCAGAAGAAGAGTCTAATCCTATTCCGTGAATCAAATCATTTTGAAAATATGGTCGTGATAGCTCAATTGCCCTAAACGCATCTTCTTTTGAAAAGTCTCTCAAAAAACACATAATCAATTTTGATGAAATCCCAAGTTCGTTAAACGCTTTTTCACAAGCTCTGCTCATACCTGACATAAAAACATCAAACTCAATATTTCTTGATAAGTGACCTTGAGGATCAAAAAAGATTTCAATGTGTTGAACATCTTGTGTGTTAATTTTTAAAAATAATTCCCAAGTAAGTTGGTAGAAATCTGTTTCGGTGATTAGAACCTCCATCCCAGTATAATAATACTTTAAAAATTCATCCAAATCAGTGTATACCTTTCTATACTTTTCATTCAATTCCTCTGGGGTCTTTGGGTAGTCATCAGGTAGCTCAATATGATTTTTCTTAGCCAACTTGAACAACAATTCTGTAGTCAAAGTTCCTTCTAGATGGCAATGGTGTTCGCACTTTGGCAATTCACGTAAAAAATTTTCCATGGTTATCGCTTCAGACATAATAGTTTCTGGCGTGTAATTCAATATATAACTCAATAAAAAATCTTGACAGTAATTTGTTCATTGAAAGGAAGAGAAGGAAAATAAACTGAGTTTGTGCTGGAGGAATGCAAAATTCCACCAAAGAGGATCCTGCGGATCTCGGTGCGTTGCAAGATCCAGCAATGTGGGACTGTTGTCTATTATTCTCACCTTTTCGTCTCTTTTGGAAAATGAATTCTTTCTTTCTTCACAATAATTGAGTTGCTCGACCACTGACTGCTAGCGATACTTTATATATATATATCTTGCGAACAACTCATTTCTAGATACAGCAAGCTTGCGACACACCTGCAAATATACTTAGTCTATTTTCCTCCAGAATGGCTGTTCAACTCACTGACACTGAGGTTACTTTATCTCTCTCCGATGATCCAAACACATCTTGTAAAATATTATTGTATGGAGCAACTGTCTATTCATGGAAATCACAAAATATCGAACAATTATGGTTGAGTAAGGCAGCAAAACTAGATGGCTCAAAGCCTGTTAGAGGTGGTATTCCATTGGTGTTTCCTGTGTTTGGAAAAAATAATTCTGATGACTTCAAAGATTTACCCCAACATGGTTTTGCAAGAAACTCAACTTGGGAGTTTTTAGGTCAAACTCAGCAAGATCCTCCAACTGTTCAATTTGGTTTAGGACCTGAAAACGTTGATGAAAAGCTATATTCAGGTTGGGGCTCAAACAAAGACAATGATTTTACTTTGATCTTAACAATTGCTTTACATCACACATATTTGAAAACATCAATTGATGTTATAAATAACAACGACTACTCCTGGGATTTCAATTGGTTATTTCATAATTATTTACAAGTCAATGATATCGAAGATACTTTGGTGTCCAATTTAGCTGGAGAAAATTGTTTTGACCAATTACTAAATGAACATTATGAAGAAAAAGCTCCGGCTGTAACATTTATTGAAGAACTTGATAGAATCTACAATCAAATCCCAGAAGAACGAATGGTGCAAGTCATTGAATTGGGTAAAGTTGTTCACTCGATTCAAAGAGAGAATTTGCCTGACATTGTTGTTTGGAACCCTTGGGTTGATAAATCTTCAAGTATTGCTGATTTTCAACCAAAAGATGGTTTCAAAAAAATGGTTTGTATTGAACCTGGCTACGTTAAAAAATTTGTTACATTAAATCCAGGGGAAACCTGGTCTGCAAGTCAAATTATCAAAAGAAACGAACCATTGACTCTACAATCTGTTTAATTTATTTAGTATTGTGATAATTAACGTGAGTTTTTACTATTTCAAAGATTCATTCTATATAATAAAAATATAAAAAATTAGGATAGCAACAGAATGATATCATAATTTGTGTCTATTCAAAAATTCAATCTTGTAGTTTAAATGATTTCTTCTTATTTTTTTTCCTTTTATTTATTTATTAAGACTAAGAATATACCAATGCATTAAATATAGCTAATTATCCCAATCAAATCTGAAGCAAAATTTAATCGACTACTGTTTTAGGACTTGATTATATTATTTTTAACCAATAAATTCTGGATCACTTTTGAATTTTGTAGCAAGTGAATATAAGTCTCATTTTCAACTGGGTCAGACTCAATAGTTATAGATATATCGCAGTAATTTTTAATATCTTCCAAATATTTGATAAATAAACACTTAACAATATCATTGTCAAAAGTTTTTTTGCTACAATTTTTAGTCAAGCCTTCATTTGGGTAATACACTGTTAGTAAATGTGTGACAAGTGTTGAGGTATGAACACCAAACACCTGAGCAAATAAATTTATGAATTGATCAACAGTTAATTTCTTAAACAATGATAAATTAAATCTCAATGTTTCAATTAAAAACTTTTTGAATAGCGTTTCTGAAATAATTAAGTTACAATTCCCATTTTGCTTTAAAATATTAGAAACCCTCGGTAAATTAATCAAATTAACAAAATAGAGAAAATTTTTTTGGCATATTAAAATGATGATTGCTTTTAATATAACATCAATGGTTATAATTGGACTTCTGGTGTGGATATTTTCAAGTAACCTTTGAATGTTATCTTCTTTGATCAAAATTGATAAATGATATTGAAACGAGTTTCTAGGATACTCTTTTTCTTTTAAACTCAAGATTAAAGAATCAAAATTTTTTGACAATAGAAAATTATTTATAATATAAATAGCCATAAAATGTTCTTCTTTCATCTGAATTTGAACTAAATTGTTTAGTTTTATATAAATAAGTGCAAAATAATTAGAATTTTCGAAATTTGATAATTGGAATTCATTTAACGAAGCATAATAAAACATTTGCCTTAAATCCTTTTCGGAAATTTGATATGATACTGGGCTATCCGAGCTTGAAGATTCTTTAATTTTTTTGAGACCCAACCTGATATTTTCAATCTCATTATTTGATAATAAAAATGAGCTTAAAGTTGAACATAACTTATAATCACGCAATTTAAAAGCTCTAATATAGATTTCAGCAAATATAGGATTTAGAGATTTGTCTCTATATGTATATAAGCTAATTGCAATTTTTGATAGTGATTGAAAAACCTGCTCACGATAGCTTTGATCAAGTAAACAGAAATTGAAATAATGTTCAACCAACTGTGAGAAGCGACTGTTTTGAGCTTCAAAATCAACTAAATCTGGATTAAATTCTTGAAAAAAATGATTTAAAAAATCGATTAGCTCTGGTATATACTTCACCATGTTTCTTCTTTTAGATTTAGAATAATAATCATTCAATAAGAACAATAAGGTATTTGTCCATAAGATGGTGTGAAGCTTTGGTTGATGTTTGTGAAGAAGAACACGACAAAAATTCATCAAGGTCTCAAAATCATTGCTGGATTTCTTTCTTAGTTCAGGCTCAATGATAATATTAAACGATTTTTGTATGAGGAACAACCCAGCTATATTCTTTTGATCTTCAGTATTAACATAATCCATTGTCCAAATAAATCCCTAAGTTTTACAAGCACCAAATCCAAAACAAAGAAAGTAAAAAAGAGAAAATTAAATCGATTATGTTTTGGTGAACAAATTGCCAATTGATAACAGTTAACTATTAATTGATGGTCAATAGAGGCCCTTTTTTGTTTGTGTGAGGATCAAATAAACCACTTTCTGTGCTGCCCCAAATTTGTGTCCTGACTTTGACCGGTTGGGAGATGCAATTTCGGTATTTCGGTATGCCGGTATTTCGACGTTCTAAACGTACTTTAGTGTATATATGTGCATGTACACACATTTCTAATTCAAGCCAAATTTTTGACATAATTCGGTGTGGTCCGATCGGTTTCGATGTTTCAGCACTGTTCCTTTTTCCGCAAGTTTTTAACATATCTCTGAATAATCTTCAGTTATTCTCTACTGTTCAATGAAAATCTAAAAATACATAAGTTGTGTATTAAATTAGAGGTACTAAAAATTTCATGAGATAAGTATAAATTCGAATGCAAAGAGTTTGTAATGAATATAAAAGATTCTAGCTTAAAGAAGTGAAAAGAATAAAGATGTGTTCAAGTGTATCAATGAATTGAATGATAGAATATAAAAAAAATTCTTGTAATTCAATCAACTGCTTCACCATCTTCGTTAATCTTCATAGGAGTTATTAAAATTTTGATGTGTTTATCTTTATTTTCAATCAATTCATGAAATCCTCCATTGATACCATTCTCGATTTCCACTTTTTTAGTAATTAAAGTTTTCAAATGATCTTTGGAAATTTTGCCAGTTGACATTGCATCAATTATGCCTTCAAAATCCTCAATTGTATAACACATTGAACCAGTCACTCTCTTTTCGCCACTAGTCATATCCATAGGAAAAAAGTTGATTGGCTTGTCTGGCCAAATAGCAAGATTAACCAAAGTGCCTCTTGGTTTTAATACTTTTAAAGCAGTGTCAAATGTTATAGAATTACCTGAACAATCAAAGGCAAAATCAAAACCTGCTTGATCTGGAGTCAACTTTTTGAGTTCTTTAATGGCTTCCAGGTTATTTTTGAGTCCCATTGGATTAAATGCAACTGCACCTAACGATTCAGCTTGCTCTCTTCTAATTTTGGCAGGTTCTGAACAAACCACCAAAGATGAATCAAAGGCATTAGCAGATAAAATACAGCCTAATCCAATGGCACCAGCACCAATCACAATGGCAGTTGAGCCAGGTTTGAAGTTGTTAACTCTAACAGCATGCCAACTTACGGCCAATGGTTGAACTAAAGCAGCACAATCATTTGGAACAAAATCTGGAACTTTGACAATATGATGAGCACCGACGACAATATATTCGGCCAAACCACCATCATGAACACCCAAACCAAATAACCCATTATGTTCACATAAATTGGTTAGGCCTAGTTTACAAGCCTCGCATTCCATACATGGACTGTGTTGATGATTGTTTTCCAATTCAAATCTTGATATATCCTTACAATAGTTTGTGGGTTCAACCACGACTAAATCACCCTTTTTCAAGTCACTTCTGATATTGTGAACACTTGGACCCATTTGAACAATTTCACCACTTAATTCATGGCCCATAGTTTGTGGCAATTTTTTACCACTAATAGGATGACCATGTTGATGACCACATTTGCTGAAAAACACAGGACCCTTTGAATATTCCAATAAATCAGTACCGCAAATACCACACCAATGAACTTTTATTAGAACTTCTTCTGGGTGTTTAATTTGAGGAATTGGAATTTTATTTGAGAATCTCAAATCGTCTTTGCCATAGTATAACAAACCCTTCATGGTATTGCCATTTTTGGCTAATCTTTGATCAATGATGCTGTTAGCATTGTTATTGTTATTAAGAACAGTAGCGTAAGAGAGAGGTTTTGTTTCAGATGAATATAAGCGGCGGTTATAGCTAAATGATTTATAATTCGAATTGAGATAGTGTTTAGAGTATGAAAATAATGAGTTGATTGAATTGTAAGTAACCAATCTTGATACTTCATTTAATGAAGCATTGGTGAAAGTTTTTGAAATGGTCAAAGGAATAGATTGAGTTAACATGATTATAAATATTAATTAATTGAATGATGTGATGTGATAAAATATAATATAGTGGAAAATTGGATAATATAGAATAGAAAGATAATGATAATGATAATGATAATGATAAAGATAAAGATAAAACAACTTATGATAAACGAATACAGATAAAAAGAAAATGGATAAATGGAAAGGCAAAGGCAAAGGACAAAATTCGAACTATTTATAGAGCAATAAACATCATTATATTATTATTTTGAGCCAAGCCAAATAAAAACAAATTAAGTTAGGAAAGCAAATTAAATTAGGAAAGCAGATTAAATTAGTTGAAAAATAATAGAATGAATAGAATCGCTAGAATTTCAATAAAATAATTGATAATTTGATGTTGTCTTTTTAAGATTTATTTATTTAAAATTTAACCAATTGTTGATTTCCCTCTCGGTTATTGATTGCAAATATCACTATCGCTATTTTTATTCATACATTCATAATCTCATAGTCTGGTAGACCAAGAGCCATAGGTTATCTTTAATGAAAAAAATTGTGGTTAAATTTGGGAGATTTGTAAAACAATTCGCTTAAAAGTCAGTAAACACAAAATACCATTAACAACATCAGCTAAATGAAGGCCAAAAATAGTTAACAATATACCAAATTGTAATGTTAAATCAATTTCATTTAAGATTTCTTTTAGGATTTTCTTTAGAAATTTCTCAGATATTGAAACCCGCTGATAGAATTTGAAATCATAGTTCGAAGTGGAAAATCAGAAACTTGCAAGTGAAATCTGTCAAACACATTGAGCACAGAAGACAAAATAGACTTTCAAGCAAGCAAACAGTGAACTACTAACACCAACACCAATACCAGTGATACAGCTGATACCAACACAAGTGAAACCATAAAGCAGATTGGAGATAAGATAAAAGCGAGCGCGAAGTTAGGGAGCGCATGCGGTTAATTCGGGCGAAACCCCCTGAGCCGGAATGCAGATGTAGACCGTAAGTAGCCGAAACAGGACGGATGTGTTAGAGAATATTGCCTCTTTCGGCACAAAACGGCGGCGGGACCGCGATGAGCAGCCGAAATGGCGCCGAACCCCGATCCGCGCCCTGAGATTGCGACGCGTGGTGGTTATGAGGCATGTTGGAAGCATTTTAGAAGCAGTGGTAAGGATTTGGAGCTTCAGCAAGATAGGCATAGGAGGGAGAGAAATATGGTGATGTCTTTTTGCTTGGGAAACAGCTGTGGGTTGTGTTGCCAGATTTTTGTGTGGTTAGCATCACCGAGTGTCTATCTGGCTGTCTGTCTGTGTATCTGGTGCTTTGAAGTGAAGTGACTAGTTTGTTATGTTGACAGTCACTGAAAAAGTCATGGAGAGTCATCAGGAAATTGGTGGTGGAGCTGGAAATCTTAAGCTAGTTTTGACTAATTATAATCCAAATGTGTTTGTGATATTTGGAGATCTAAAGATATTGATACCAGTAACCGTAATGGTGATGGTGATGGCAATAGGAATAGCAGTAGACACGATGTGAATTATGTGAATTAATAATCAATTGAGTCTTGTGACTATTATATGTTGAAATTTTGTAAATTTCCCGAACTTCTACTTCATTGCCCAATATAGTGTATCTTATAGTGTATTTTATAATGTATCTTATTGTGATGAATCTAGCATTGGATAGCTGATACAATTGATGAAAACCTCATTAATGAAAACAATAAAAATAAAAACAAAAATATGCTGTCAATGTACTATCGATCTGTTATCAACATAGCATCTATTCACGATTCATCTTACTGAGAATTGTCTTGGTTTATATATTAATTATCAAACGGATAATTTTTCTCTTGATTCCTTACCAATTTGTGTCAAATCCAACTTAAAATCTCCTTCCATTTCTCCGTTTGCTTATATTCTTTAACTAATCAGGAAATTACTACATTTGCACCCATAATCAAATTAATCAAATTAATCAAATTAGTTAATAAATTTTAAAATAAAATATTATTACAACTATATTTATAATCTAAAAAATATTCACATCTACTCCAACCAAATGTTTTACCAACTCCCCGTATTTTTCATGGTTCTTAATTATTTCCAACTTTTTGCACTTAATAAAAACATTATCTAATGAATCAAAAAAATTATCTGAACTAAATTTTTCAATCTCATTACCGGAAAGATCAATGAAAAGAAAGGAATTTAGTTTATTAACATTGAATTTCCTCAAATGTGAAACTTGATTATATTGTAAATTCAAATGACCTAATTTTAACAAATTCTCTATTCCTTCGATTTTTCCAATCTGATTGTTTCTTAAATTTAAAACTCTCAAATTTGTTAAGTCACCTAAATTTTCCATTTTTTTAATAGAACATTGTGCCATTTCTAATTTTCTCAATTTTTTAAATTTATTATCCCCATGTGTAATGGAATTCCCAAACCTCGGTATTCTTTTCAATAAATTTAATGATAAATCAATCTCCTCTAAATTACTTGACAAGTTCTTAATCCAGGTTCCATCTCTAATTAAATTATTGCAAAGAAATAGTTTTCTCAAATTTTTCAATGGATAGTTGTTCTTATTAAGTTGAATCAGTTGAAAAAAATTAATAAGTGTATTTTTTCTGCTGCTTTTAATTTCAATTGTTTCGAGCTTATTATCGTTTAATATCAATACTTCTAAATTGGTCAAACAATCTTCCTCTATTTCAAATTTTTTCAAAAAATTCGAACTTAAATCCAAATATTTTAACTCATTAAACTGTGTATCGGCTTTTCTTATTTGAATAATATCAAATAAATTAACCATACATCGAATTTTAATTAGCTTGTTATCATTGCTATTATATTTGATTGAAATTTGTTCAAAAAAATTTGTTTTGGAAAAATCATTAAATGATAAATCTATGAATTTTAAATTGTTTAAAGAGTTTAGACTAATAAAAGAAATTTTATTGTGTCGAAGTATTAAATTCTCTAATAATTGTAAATTAAATACAAGGGGATATCTCTCAGCGATAACGGTTAAATTATTCCATGATAAATTCAATGTTTTGAGATTGGATAATTTCAATCTACCAATATTATCAATACAGGTGATAATATTTTCTGAAAGATTTAAATATGTTAAATTGTTTAGAGAATCCAAGTTTTCAATAGATTTGATTTTGTTGTCACCTAAATCAAGATACTTTAGATTAATTAAATCACTTATATGATAAATTCTTTCTATTATATTATTTTTCAAATCGAGATGAGTTAAATTTGTTAAACCATTTAAATTATTGATTAATTCAATTTTATTTTCTTTTAGGTCCAAGTAGGTTAAATTTGTTAAATTATTCAAATTTTTAATTTCAGTTATGTCATTGTATGATAAATTTAAATGAATCAAGTTATATAAATGATCTAGATTTTCTATATTGTTTATTAAATTCCGACTTAGATTAAGATCTGTTAGATTAATTAAATTTGATAAATTTTTATTGATCTTAGAAATTCTGTTTTGAGATAAATTCAAGACTTTTAGATCGGTCAAGTTTGATAGGTTGTTAATTTTAGTTATTCTATTGCGAGACATACTTAAATAAATTAAATTTTTTGTAAAAAGTTTGTGTTCTATACTATTATTATTATTGAAGAAGTTTTCAATTTTATTTAATTTTTGATATATTATTGACAAGTAGTTTAAATTTGAGATTTGAGAAATTGAAGTATTAAGTTTCTGATAGGATGAAATGTCCTGAAACTTAAATTTTCTCTTTGGATCAAAATAACTCACTTTAAAATTGATTAAAGAGCTGGATGATGATTGAAGTAGTTTTAGTATTGGGAACAGGTATGATTTGAAAATTTTGGTTGATTTGATTTCATTATCAAAACCAGAATCAATTGTGCCAAATTCGGTATTAAGATCTAAATTTAAATCAAGAGATAATAGATTTTGGAAGCAATTAAAGGCAAATAAAATATGGTTGTTAAAAGATGTGTTGTGGAGGTTTCTTGGTAGAATATTTGAATTTTGATAAATTCGTAAATTGAGTTTTAAAAATTTTGTGTATGTTGATAGCTCTGATTTAAATAATAAAACGTCGTTAATATTCAAGATTAAAACTGACGTTTGATCACAAAAATGAAGATTATTGTTGATATGAGGAACTTTATATTTTTCGCAAATTAAATAGTTAACTTTTTTGCTAACAGTATTTTTTTGTATATAATCATCATAAAACAGAGAATGGAAATAGTTTTTGATTATAATTGAATTGAATAATATGTTTTTGGAAATATGAATGAGAGAACTATAATCGGATAAAGTAAATAGATAGATTATGTCTAGTGGCAAGTCAGTGAAGACAGATTGAATAATATCAGAAGGTAGAAGGTTTGCAATATAATTCATGATTAAGAGATATTTCTGGTTTAAAGATTACCAAGAAAAAAAAATAGGATGAACTCTGTGATATTGAATTTGAATGTGAGAATAGGATTGAAATAAAAGTGAAATTAAGATCTTCAAGAGATAGTGTTTTTTTTTTTGGTTTAAGCAAAAAAAAGGATTAATAGAGGGAAGTGTAGAAGAACTTGACGATTTGAAATCATTCACTTTTATCTACAATAGGTAGATTTCAAGTATTTAAAGTAGTGAGACCATTTTTTGGATCGGTAAACAAGATAGCCCTATTATCTGTTGTAAATTGTTTGGGAAGACTTCAACTGGCAGTTGAGCTCATCCAACAGCATTTAGTATTTGGTCAAAACAATAAACATGTCTGTACCATACTAATACTCCAGCAGGAGCATTATCGTTCAGATAGAACATCCTCTCAAAGTTTGACGAGATATCAATAGATACCTAGCTGTGATTCATCAAGAGGGGTTTAAGACTTGAGGAGATGGCGTTGTGAGCAGTATTTAGGATGGGTGGTTCCAGCAGAAATAACAACAGCGAGCATCAATATCAGCCCGATCAGATCTAATTGTTCTTTTATTATCAGAGCAGCTCTTGGGAATTGGTTTGAAAGAGTTCTTGAAAAAGGCTTCAAAAAAATTTCATGAAATGAGCTCTATTTTGAAATCTAGCACTGAAGAGAGCCACAGGTCCGGATTTAATGGGAATGCGCCTGTATCCGCATATGCGCACAGAACTTGCATAGAATAACGCAAGACTGCATTTGGCGATGTGCTTGTCCACAAAGCGCCGTCACCGGAGCTCAGAGAAAGTCCTTCACGGAACGCACACGGAGCACGCACGGAGCATGCACGGAGCATGCACGGACCCCCACCGTGGGCTGGTATCTCGGCGCCCCTTAGAGTTCCGCATCTCGCTGGGGTCATTTCGAGGATGTACTGGGATTTAGTGCGTTTGGGTGTGTGCGTCACCTCATGAAACTGAGACGATGGAGAGATGCTATTTTGTGCTGCTTTCCAAAATCCAAAGAGATTCTGATAAGAACAAGGTGCGATTCTGGTGGGTGCACGAAACAATGGGTCTGGAAGGGAAAACTTTGCGCGCTGTTTCACCCCCCTACCACACCCAACCCTGTGGTTTTCCGTGCTGTTTGAGCAAAGATAGACATTCAACCATAAAAAAGCTTGGAAATGATATTTAATACCCACTGTTTTCTACTTCTCAACTGGTATGTTTAGTTAGCACATCCTCAGTTATTAATCAACAAGATCAATTAACAGCACTTTATAGCACTTTATAGCAATCAATATTTATCAATTCATACAGCTTGTTTAATTTATTAATTTATTTAACTGAAGATGTCTGATACTATGAAAGGTCTATTATACTACGGTAAAAACGATTTGAGATACTCTCCTGAAATTCCTATTCCAGTCATCAATGATCCTGATGAAGTGATGATAAAAGTTCATTGGTGTGGAATTTGCGGTACTGACTTACTAGAGTATATCAAAGGTCCTGTTTTTTTCACCAAAATTGATGAGAAAACTGGCCATCCAATGACCGGTATCAAATTACCACAAACTATGGGCCATGAATTAAGTGGTGAAATCGTCGAACTTGGTCCAAACGTTAAAAATATCAGAGACGATTTATCTGTCGGTGATAATGTGGTCTGTGAACCAACTATTTATTGTAAGGATAAGAAAAGATTTCCCAATTCATTAGTCAATAAATCATCTCCCCATGGTTCCGAAGAATGCGAATCTTGTAACTTGGGTTATACAAACATTTGTAAAGATTCTGCTATTTTTGGATTAGGCGCTCATCCAGGTGGTTTGGCTGAATATGTTGTCGTTGGTGCTCATCATATTGTCAAAGTTCCCGATTGGATTCCTCTTGATGTTGCTGCTTTAGTCCAACCATTGGCTGTTAGTTTCCATTCAGTTAGAGTCAACACTTTCAAACCCGGCTCGAGCGCTGTTGTTGTTGGTGCAGGCGCTATTGGTCTAGGTTGTATATTGGCTGCTTCAGCATTTGACGCCTCCTTAATCGTCTGCTCTGAGCCTGCAAAGGTTAGAAGAGAACAAGCCGCTTTGTTAGGTGCAACGACATTCAATCCATTTGACTACAAAGACAACGACGAAGCTGTTAGAGAATTAAAAAAATTAAGTCCCAATGGTGCTGGTTTCGATTTAGCCTTTGACTGTTCAGGCTTCCCAATAACTTTTGATACTGCTTTAGCTGTGTTAAAACCAAGGGGTGAATTGGTTAACTTGGCTATTTGGCCTCATAAACCAATCGATCTTTATCCAATGGACTTCACTAATGGTGAAAAAAAGATAACTGGTTCAATGTGTTACACAGTAGAAGATTTCGCTGGTGTTATCGAGGCAATGGACAAAGGTAAAATGCCACTAGAAAAACTAAGAAAACTAATTACTAAAAAAGTAGAAATTCAAAATGGTGTTGAAGGTGGTTTTAAAGAATTATATCAAAACAAAGACAAACATATTAAAATCTTAATATCTCCATTAAAAATTAACGAAAATGGTGACGCTGTCAAAGAATAATATAAAAACGTAATTAAATACAATTCTCATCTATAAAAATTATCTATAAAAATTATCTATAGACATTATCTATAAACATTGCAATACACTTTTTTTTCTTCATCAACAGATAATAAACAACCAATTATTAAGGAAAATGCACCGATCACCAAAACCAGTAATTTATGTAACAGACGCACAATATGTATAATACGCAGAGAATGCATATAAACAAACTTAAATATAACCCACCTATATGGGGTTGTAAACGCTTACTCACATGAATATTACTAGGGCTCTATATCGGGCTCTATAAGCGTCAAATTGAGTCATATTCAGCGCTCACAACGTCTCATGCACTGTTTTGTGTGGCAGTACACCAAATACGGTATCAAATTTCCACTTCAGGCAATGATTTTTCAGCTCAAGATGGATTCCACCAGTTTAAAATTATTGAAATTTTACAGTACTGAACCAATAGCTCACCTATCTGTTTGGTAAGAAGGGCAATACAAAGAGTTGAACTATCTATTGGTTTGAAGATTATATTTTATAATTTTTATATATATCAAAATATTAAATTGAATCAATATTATAATATATTATATTCAAAATGGTATGTCTATGATCAAATAACTCAAATCCTGGAAATTGATTAAAATATAATGAAATATAAAATATAATGAAATATAATAAAGTGCAATAAATATAATGGAATATAATGGAATCAGAGATCTATTATGTCAAAAACATAAAAATAATTGCAATTTTATTATTTTAAAACATTAATTCTAAAATAATTATCAAATATTTAAATCTACCGAAAGAAAACTATAATAATGGCATAGTTGGAAATTCTAGTTTTATAAACAAAAAAAAATGATTATTAGAATTTTATAAATTTTTATTAAAATCAAGAATTATTTGATTTTTTACTATCAATTGGTGAATAATGGATATTGGATTATTAAATATATAAAAAATGGTATTATAAATATTCCAAGCTAATTAATTTAATACCTTGAATTAAAATATTGTTTTTTTAAAGATTTTTTTTTTTTGTTTAAAAAAACTTTAAATTAAAATACAAATAATTGGCATTTTTATGAAAATTATGACTATAGTATATATAATCAAACTCATTTAATCTAATATTTTTCAAAAATTCATCAATATATACAGAAGTCTTGAATAAAATGTGAAGAGAAATTGAATAAATAAAGTGGATATGGATTTTTTTCTGATTAAAATTGGTCATCATTTTCGTATCTACCAATGAATCAAGTATAATATGCGGGAAAAATACTTATATAATGAATTAGTAAGATATGAAATTTAGAATTATAAAGAATATTAAAAAAATAATAAAAGCACCATATTACTGGTAACTGATTGAATCATATGTATTTTAGTGATTTTAAACTTGGATAAAAGAAATCAATAGGAATGAGCAATATTTTATTGAATTATTGAAGAAATTCATCGCATTTTATTATATTTTATGTTTTATTATATTTCAAGATACAGAAGACTTGATTCGAATTTGAATATTAACCATTTTTTTTGTTTTGAATAGTCAGCCAAAGCTCAAAATCCTATGAAAGATCTTAAGATCGAAAAACTTGTTTTAAACATTTGTGTTGGTGAATCAGGAGATAGACTAACCAGAGCCTCTAAAGTTTTGGAACAATTGTCTGGTCAAACCCCAGTTCAATCAAAGGCTAGATTTACAGTTAGAACCTTTGGTATTCGTCGTAATGAAAAAATTGCAGTTCATGTCACAATTAGAGGCCCAAAAGCTGAAGAAATCTTGGAACGTGGATTAAAAGTCAAAGAATACCAATTGAGAAATAGGAATTTTTCAGAGACTGGAAACTTTGGATTCGGTATTGACGAACATATTGATTTAGGTATTAAATACGACCCAAGTATTGGAATTTACGGTATGGATTTCTACGTTGTTATGGGCAGACCTGGATTTCGTGTTGCCAGAAAGAAACATTGCAAAGCCAAGGTTGGTCTTTCTCATAAGATCACTAAAGACGATTCTATCAAATGGTTTAAGGAAAAATATGATGCTGATGTTTTAAATAAATGAGTTTAATGTAATAAAATTAATTAATAAACACCATAAAATTAGTATATTTAATAAATTTTATTCCACACTAAGGGCGCGAATTTTGATTTATTAGATAAGAGTAATTTAATTTCATTTCATTTAATTTAGTTTAGATAGCACTAATATTATATTATGAAAACTGTATAATCGTGATAAGAAAGTGACAATGCAAGGCGCCACGCTGTAACAATACATAATAACGTACAAATAAGAAAATAAGAGTTGGAGAGGTTGTGTTTCTAAGCATTGATAAGAATACCCATGACACAATAAATCAAATAGAGACCAAACTCAAAGGGGGTATAGAAGAGGTATGGTTTTTGTCGTAAGACAGGCTGTAAGAGTTGCCTAAAACGCTCATTGATATAATGAAAAGCTATTCAAAAAAAACGCTGTGCATCCAAAAAAGAGGACTGAAAAGTGTTCAAATGAAGGTGTTGAGTACAGATCTTTGATCGATCACGCATAATAAAACGGCTGTCGTCGAACATTGTTAGAACTCAATCAAGTTAAATTAGATCAAGCAAGGCTTATTGTTGTTCTGGACTTGAAAGTAGCAGAATATTACGAAATGGAAGTTACAATGTACAAAAGCTTGAAAGCAGATCCAATAGAGAAAAGGTATAAATTCTGTGCAGATTCCAGGTCTTGAAAGCAGAAGAACAAAATTAAAGTTTTCACAAGAGAGTAATAAAGAATGTTCCGGAAATTTCCAGGTTTTTTTGTCATAGTATTTGCAGTGATAATGATGTTTTTTATTAAAGTTTGTTTGATTGTAGTTAAAAGAAGAAAGAGAAGGGATGAGGAGCAAACAATGTCTGGGAGGCATGTGAGAAACATAGGTAGAATCAGCCAGATCGATACACCCAATAATCAGATCAATAGAGTCAATAATGAGATCAATGGAACAAACAATAGAACAAACAACAGAAGCATAAATGATGGAAATGAAAGAAGAAACAGCCAACGCAGTGTTGAGCCTCTTCCTCTTTACTCACCTCCGATTCCTCCTCCAGCTTATATTCCGCAGTAGTTTAGTAGACAGTGTTGGTGTTTTGATTTGATTTGGTTGTTTTTGTTTGAGTGGTGATGTGGTTGTTCAATAAGTGTTTTTGTTTAATATACTTTTGTTTTGATGTGTTTTTTCTTAATGTGTTTTTGTTTGATCTGATGATCTGTTTATGTATTGTATCCTTTTATGTTGTATATCTTTTTATGTTGTGTATCTTTTTGTATATTTTAGAGTAATAAACCTTCCAATGCTGAGTTCTCACCGATAATCCCTTGCTTTGAACACTTGTTTAATCACCTTAATTGCTTTGATTACTTTAACCACTTCTTCTTTAGTCACTTCATCTATGAACAGCTCAGGATTATTAATCTCTGCTTCCAGCCACGAAGCCTTGGGCTGTTTAAACACTTCACTAATTTCCAAAAAGCTTCAACTGAACTCCGTTTCACTCTGCTGAATTGGCTTTTGGCTTTTGTATAAATTCGCTTTGATTGCACCACTTATCGAATTAGGCTCTTATTATTCACTCCGATACTTTCACCATCCACCATCTTCTCCTGTTTATTATTGTTCTTCTCAACCACCTCGTTCTCTTGTTTATTGTTGTTCTTCTCAACTTGTTCCTTCTTCTCTCCAAGATTCTCTTCACATTCACTCTTCTTTTCGTCATCTCTATTCTTACTCTCAAAATGCTAGGTATTGCTGGCACCATCGCTCCTTACCATGTTTTGCTCTACTCTTTAATGTATGTATCAATGCCTTTCTCATAGCTATGCCTTTCTCCTGCTAACACATTTCTCCCTCTAGGTGGGGCTCTTCTATCTTCCACTCTTATTTGACTGCTCCATTGGTTTTCAAGGCCTTGCCACGAAAGGAATTTGGTATCTTTGCTGGTTTGATTCTTCCTCCATATTTCAAAGCTCAAACTGTTGTTCCAATTCTATTGGGCCTATCTGCTCCATTTCCCATATCCAACTATGCGATAGCTTCTCTATCTGTTGCCTCCCTTTCAGGCGCCATCAACTCCTTCCATCTCTTGGGCTGGAACCAATCTGTTAAAACAAAAAGAAATGCTCTAGAAGTTGGTGGCAAGGACAAGGACAGTGAAGGCAATGTATCTGTCGAAATGCAGCTTCTTAACAAAGAATTCGGTAAAGCCCATGGCTTGAGTCTATTATTCAACTTGTTTAGTTCTGTTGCCTTAACTGTTTATGGCTTTCAAATGACTAGCGGTTTAATTAACTTGATTCCAAAAGGTATCTAATTTTTTCCCTATCTATCAATGTCTATATATACATATATATAACAAAGAAAAAGAAACAAGAAATAATTTATAAATAATTTATTAACAATTCATAAAGAATTTATGAAAATGAATCTAATCATTAAATCACCAGACATCTTCTTGATATTTGTTATTGGTCTTAAAATTTCTAATCATCTCAGTTGCAATGACTTCATTGAACTTTCTTTCTTTTATAATAATCTTAATGAACGTATTTTGAACATCTCTTGCCATTCTCGATGCATCCCCACAAACATAAATATATCCAGCTTCACTTATATACTCATTGATCTTTGAACTGTACTCTTCCATTCGATTTTGAACATACACCTTCTTATTAGCATCTTCCCTTGAAAAGGCTGTAACCATCTCGAACAAGTCTCCCAAAACATTCTTATACTCTGCCCATTCTTCCTTATACAAGAAATCTTCATTTGAATTTCTGCATCCATAAAACAACAATATTTTTCCAACTTTGACCCCATTCTTAAACTGCTGAACCCTTTCACGAACAAATCCTCTCATTGGCGCAACTCCTGTTCCTGGTCCAACTAAAATTATTGGAGTGCCTGGTTTAACTGGCAATTTAAATGTTGATCTACGAATATGAATAGGCAATTTGAAATCTTGAAACTTATTCCTGGGTCCATTCAAATCATATGTCACTAATGGTTTCACTAAACTATCTTCATTTTTTAACTTGTTTTGATTCACCTCAACATTCAATAATAAATTGGTAGCAACTCCAACAACATTTTTAACCGCTGTAGTTTCCTCTTCTACTACCGCTGTAATGTGTGCAATTTTCTTTTCAGATAAGGAAGACGATGATATAGAATAGTATCTTGGTTGTATATGTTGAATTGACTCAATTAAAAACTCAAATGGAACTTTCGTCCACGCAACATTATTGGAAATCTTTAATAAAGTATCTGATATGTTCAATTTATTTGATGTGATTTCATTGGAAAATTCCTCTTTGTTGCTCGATAGTAAGTTGGCTTTACTCCTTGATTCCTCATTTGGTGCAAAAATGGAAATTGACTTTAAAAATTGTCTTGAAACTGATCCAGTAATCTCCAAATGATAACGTACAAGTGCCTCCATAGTTGTTGGTGTGGGAAAGGAGATGATTGTAGTTGAATCTAACGGTTTTATATCAAATGGTTTCTCCAATTTTTCTTTACTTAAATCAAATGCCTTGTAAAAGTTTAGCACTTCTTGATCTGGATTCGATGGCCATAATGCTAAATGGTCTCCAGTTGAATATCGTAAATTGGACTTGGATAAATCAAATTCAGCATGAACGCAATGGCGGTTGGAATCCTTTGAAAACAACTGCTTCGAAAATGAAACTGGCGCCAAATAAGGATGAGTGTGGTCAAATGGTCCTAATGAAAGCGAGTCAGAATCCTCATTTTCATTCAAGTAGAATTTATCGGGCTCACCAAGAAATACTTTACTAATATCAAAATCACCAGAAGTTGGAATTATTGAAACTGAAGGTTGGTATGTTGAGTCATGTTCAACTAATGATAATGAATTTTTCAATGATTCGAAACAATTTTCTTTCCACGCTAAATAATCCTCATCCATTGAACCTTGTCCATCATCTCCTTGTCCATATGGTGCGACTAATTTTGCTCCATTTTTTGATAATATCTTGTTGACTTTATTACCAACCTCATTATAGAATTCATATGTAGAGTTACCCAATCCAAAAACTGAATAATTCAAGTTTGACAATAATTTTTCACTTTCATCACCATCATCATCATCGAAGGTTTCGGATAGTTCTGATTCCAAATACTCGCCGAATTCAGCTGCCGAATCTGTAAATTCACCTTCACCATAAGTGGCCATGAAAAAGAAAATCAACACATCCCTGGGAATCTCGTTGAGATTGTTCAATTCGTAATCTTCAATGTCCACAAGCAAAGTGGAAATCTTGAATTTGGATTGAAACTCTTTGGCGAACTTCGAGGCGTAATCTTCGGCGGTACCAGTTTGCGAACCGTAAATCACAACAGCCTTATGGTTTGATGACTTTAATTTTTCAACTAAATCTGATCCATCAGAACCATTTGAGTTAATCAAGTTGGTATTCTCAGATGAAAACGGATCAGCTAGTGTGCCCTTCGACCACAACTTTCCCTTGGTGAAGTATGTCAAACTGATTATTCCAATAGCAACAAGCACTCCGATATCTATTGTGTCTAACGCCATGAGCAAAGAGATTTAGAACCAAAAACAAAGAGTGAAGAGTGAAAGAAGCAGAAAGAGAAACATAATCAACATGTTATAGAGGAATAAAGAATGTTTCAGTCGATGAATGAGGCAGTTCTAAGAGTCGTAACTCGTTTAGAAGGTGCATTTAAAAATCGGATGTTTTGACTCAAAAAAGCAGTTTGCCGAAAGAGGCAGGTGCAAAACACAGCAGCCAAAAACAAAATAGAACTTCCGATACCGGGAATCGAACCCGGGTCTGCACGGTGAAAGCGTGCCATGATAGCCATTACACTATATCGGAGCTTCCCTATAGGAAAATGTTTTTTTTTTATTTGTAGACTACTCAGCTTTTTTACCTAGAGGTTGTTGTATTATTCTACTGTTTATGTTACGGAGACGAGAATTGGTTTTATTGAGCATTTACAGCTGAATTAATTTTGCTCAGACTTTCTTTTTTTGATGTTTGAGATCGGTTGCAGCATTTATGCTGGTTTTGTTTATCCTGCCATTCTACACCTCGCTTAGAATTAAGGAGTCGGTTTTTGGTTAATCTCAACAGTTTATAGCTACTACATAGGTCTACGAGTCCCACACGACTGGCTCGCGGTCACGGAATATTAATAATAATAATATCCTGCCATTTTGAGCCTTTGGATTTTATCCACTTCCGCCATTTTTCACTCAAGCGATTACCGCTTTTTCTCTATCTTTGACTCATATATTTTATCAATTGTATCAACAACAAACAAATAATCTAGCAAAATGTCATCTGAAGGTCCAACCTTGTGTATTTTGGGATGTGGTGTTATGGGAACTGCTGTTCTACAGTCTCTTTTAAACGCTGAAAAATTCGATGGTTATCCTTCAAAGATTTATACTTGCACAGTCTCTGAGGATTCTGCTGCCGATTTACAAGCAAAATATCCAACGATTATTTCGACTTTTAACGACAATAAAAATTCTGTTAAAAATTCTGATATAATTTTGTTGGCCTGCAAACCATTTTACACTCAAAAAATCCTTGATGAGGTCAAAAACGAGATTAAAGATAAATTAATCATCTCATTAGTTGCTGGTTGGACTATTGATCAGTTATCTACCTATTCTCCTTATGTGTCTCGAGTTATGACGAATACTCCTGCAAAATTTGGTTGTGGTATGGCTGTCATATCTTATCCAACAGACCCAACTTATCCATTCTCAGAGCACAATAAATCTTTAGTTTTTAACTTGATCAAACCCGTTGGTGATGCCATTGTCTTGCCTGAGAATTTAATGGATGCTGCCACTTCTTTAGTTGGTTCGGGGCCTGCTTTTTGTTTATTGATACTAGAATCTCTTATTGAAGGTGGCTTGAGTTTGGGAATCCCCTATGATGAAGCCAAAAAATGTGCAAGCAAAGTAATGGAAGGTACAGCTAAAATGGTCCTAGAAACAAATGAACATCCTGCTCTTTTAAAAAGTCAAGTTTGTACACCAGGTGGTACAACAATTGGAGGCTTGATGGTAATGGAAGACAAAGGGGTTAGAAGTGGTATTGCAAGAGCTGTTCAAGAAGCTGCTGCTATCGCAAAAAGATTGGGTAAAAAGGATTAATTTGATTATATATATATATTTTGAATCACAATCATGAAAAAAATTCATAGGCATAATTATAAAAAGAAAAAAAACAAAAAAAACAAAAGATCAAAATCATTAAACAAAGTTATTCATAAGCATAATCACAATCATAAAAACTGATAAAAAAACAAAAAATCAAACACAAACATAAACATAAACATAAACATAAACATAAATATAAAATTGATTTCAGGTCTAATTCTAATTTGTAGATTATTGCTTAAAATTGTGGTGCTGCATCAATAACACTTTGAGTACATCCATCGATATAATTCTTGAAATTTTCTTCAAACTTCTTAGCTAAATTAACCAATTCTTTGTTATATTCTGCGGTTTTCAATTTAGATGGGTTCAATAATTCAGCTGGAACTGATCCACATTTCTTAGGAACTTTTAATCCAAACACTGGATAATCCTCAAACTCTTCTTTTGTTAATGATCCATCGTGGATTGCATCCAAAATTGCTCTGGTATATTTCAAGGAACATCTTTTACCTCCCTTGGCTACTGATTCTCCAACCCATCCAGTATTTAACAACCATGCATCTGCATTGTGTTCTTGCATCTTCCTAGATAACATTTCTGCATATTTCATCGGATGTAATGCTAAAAATGGCTGTCCAAAACATGCTGAAAAGGCTGGTGTTGGTTCTGTAACTCCCTCTTCAGTTCCAGCGACTTTTGATGTATATCCACTAATAAAGTGATACATAACTTGATCTGGGGTTAATCTGGAAATTGGTGGTAAACATCCTGCTGCATCACAAGTCAATAGGACAATGTTGGTGGGATGCTCACTGGTCAAACATGGAATCTTTGCTGTTGGAATATATTCAATTGGATATGAACATCTAGTATTTTGGGTGATAGAATCGTTGTCATAATCAACCACTCTGGTATCTGGGTCATAAATAACATTTTCTAAAATTGATCCAAACTTAATTGCATTGAAAATCTCTGGTTCCTTTTCTGCACTCAAGTTTATACATTTGGCATAACATCCACCTTCAACGTTAAAGATACCATTATCTGACCAACAATGTTCATCATCACCAATTAATAATCTGTGTGGATCAGCAGATAATGTGGTTTTACCAGTACCCGATAATCCAAAGAACACTGTAACATCTTTGTTTTTAATACCTTGATTTGCTGAGGAATGCAATGTCAAGATATCATATTTCACTGGCATCAAATAAAACATGACAGTCAAGATACCCTTTTTCATTTCACCAGCATATTCAGTACCTAGAATAACCATTTCCATTTCTTTAAAATTAAGTTCAACAGATGTTGAAGAGCTCATGCCATCAGTATGAGAATTGGCTGGGAATTGACCTGCATTATAAATGACAAAATCAGGTTTGAAGTCTTTTAGTTCTTCTTCGGATGGTCTGATTAACATATTTCTCATAAATAATGCATGATAAGCTCTTGCACAAATAATACGAACTTTCAATCTATATTGAGGATCCCAACCTGCAAATGCATCAATAACAAATAATTTTTCTTTTGTTCTTAAATAATCAAAGGCTCTTGATTTTGAAATCTCCCAAGTTCTTTCAGAGATCTTTTTATTAACTGGTCCCCACCAAATATTGTTAGTTGAAGTTTCTTCATCCACCATTCTCTTATCCTTTGGGGATCTACCAGTTTTAGCACCAGAAAAGGCCATCATGGCACCAGTGGATGAGATTAAAGTTCCCTTTTCTTGCAAACCATCTTCATATAAGACAGGAATAGAAGCATTATGACGGATAAGGACGTCTTTGGAAAGCCCTAATGTTTCAATGACTTGTTGAGCAGCACTAACCATTTTGATTAACTGTATTTAATTTAGCGTAATTACGTTGAATTGTGTTTAACTGAGATGTGATATAAATAAATAATTGCGTTGAAATAATCGTTGATAAAATATAATAGTGTTTTATCAGTTGTGATATCAATTGAGTTATAAATCTTTGATATTCTTGTATGAGATAAATGAAATAGAGGTTAGAAAGAAAAAAAAGAATATGCGATCTTTTGAACTATTTATGGGATAGCAGAATAGTATAGCCAAACGATTTCTCGATAAATAATTGAATAGATAGTTTTGTTAATTGAATAAAATTCTGATTATGATCTGAAAAAATTGAATCAAGTAAAAATAATAAGATATTTCCTTAATCAGATTCTGATATATCATCAATCAAGATAAAATTGACATCACGATATCAGCCATTTGATAATCTCTAATAGCTTGGTATTGAGAATGTATGAAATTATGACTGTAGTTTTTTAGAAAGGAAATCAAAAACATGAAAAGACAAACAAGACCAATTGTGACTTGTTTGATTATCATGGTAATAATTTTAGTTATGCTTGATATACTTTTTTTCGTTTACCACTGATGGCGGTTTCTGTGGGGATATAACTTTTAGTTTTTAAATTGAGGTACTGTTCAGCTCAAGACCAAGTCCACTACAGGCACTCTGAAAACTTACTCCAACACAAGTGCAAGCAATACATAACAAATGAAATACAAATGGAATACTAGATGTAGAAAGGTTGTATGGGTAGTTAAAAGCAAATTATCAACAGGGAGTTTCGACGGTCATTAAGTCGATATTTCCAGCGATTTGGCACCAGCAGCGTGGGTTTGGCATTCCCAAACGGGAAATTTTGGAGATAACGACTTTTTGTGGGTGCAGGATTTAACAATAAGGGAAATCTAGTTAATACAAGCAAATAACTGCTTTTTGCGAGGTTTATGGGATGCAGTGTAGTAGATTATGGTGTATTAGTTTCTTGCTGAATCAATAATTACTTTTACAACAACAATAAAATACAGCTGTTCTATTGCACTCAAAACTAAACAGAGAAACATTTAATTCAATTAAATTTCATTAGCACAACGAGACTATGAAGCAACCCAGCAGTAAAGCATTAAAATTTTCTAGCTTTTTTGATTTATTAATAAAATTAACAAGAAAATGTTTGATCGAGAGACGTAAGAACATAATTTCTAACAAAAACTAATTTATATAGTCGAGAGATATATTTAATGTGAAAAGAAATAGAGTTCATTGGAGGAACAACGGAGCTATCAAACAACTAAAAATTGTATAGATTGTATGAATTAAGAAAAGATGCTTGAGACACATGGGGAATGACCAGTAAATAAGCAAATTACTGATATGATTTTTGAATTTAAAGATTGGCACCTGTGATGTCTTACTGGGCTTTTGTGAAGTAAAATTATGTGAGTATTGCCCTGGTTTTTTTTCTGGGTCTTGAGGCACAACAAATAGAGACAATAATAATAATAATTAATAATAATAATTAATAATAATTAATAATGGTAATAACACTAATAATAATAATGATAATAATTAAAAATAACAATCATGTTAAAATAAAGAAAATTGTAATTATAGTTGAGAAAAGAAAAATAATATACCAGTGAATTTAAAATTTCTGCTAATTAAATGAATAAGAATGAAAGGATTGTAAATAATAGGAAAAAATATTATATAGATCTCCACTAATTGAGAACAAACAACAGTAATTTGTTAAATGTTGTTTCAAATAAACAAGACTTATTTCAATCACTAGATCTGAGTGAGCAGAACAAAACCATGGTCTTGTTATTTCAACAATTAAAGAAAAAAGAATGTTCGATTTCATCACAATATAGCATTAGCTGAAGAAATAGATCCAATTGGGAAAGACAATTGTAATGAATAACTATCATCGATGTGGTAACTGGATAGTGGATTATCAGTAGAATCGTGTATAAGCTCAAAAAACAAAGAGCTTTTGATCACAACGAATCAAAACTCGTTGGGTATTGATGACCGCTGGTTTATTGTTTGGTCGAGAAAGTGTGGAAAAGATAAAAGAAGTCAATCTCCAAAATCGCACTGATAGGTACAAGCATAACCCTTCCAGGATTCCGTCTATTTTCTCAGCTTTCCTTTCTTCATCCCATACAAAATCCGCTGGTCCCCAAGCTCCCATTTTCTAAATCAAGCACATGTGAAAATGCTTCATGGACTTATTCTCTAAAAATCCGTGCACATCTTCAATTTCCTGCTTAGTTAATACATTAGTAATGCAACATTGCGTATGCAGAGCACACATCCAAGTACGTTATATTTTCAAAGATAATAGCGTCCTCTGATTGGCTGTTTGGTCTTTGACATATCCCAAAACCTTAGAACTGGTCTGGGGTAATATTTTGTTTCAACATTTTCTAAATGTGCTTAATTCTTAATTGAAAATAAATATATATCTACTAATGAACATCATAAACTCTCAAAAAGCATATGCTGCGCCTTTGATATACTCTTTTATTGTGATGGTACTTTATTGGTCTTGAACCACCAAATCTAATTCAAAACTTAAATATGTCCAAAATTCAAAATGAAAATCTCAAACTTTGTAAATGATAAATAAACAATTAAAAAAAATATAAATAATAGCAGCATGCAATAGTACGGCAAGCATTTGAAATTCTTTAAACTCATTCAAATGGTATTTGGATCTAATTTTAAGATTTTTTCTATAAAATCTGTTTGGTTCCTGAAGAATAAATTCTCAGACCAATCAACAACTAAAGGAGGGTCAATGTGATCTTGCTGAATTAAAATATCATAAGAATTATTTGATATTAAATAATTATAATCATCTCTAGAGGGTAATACATTTTCATAGATTTTGATTCTAGCAATACTTGCATTACTCAATGTTTTAATTTTAGTAAATTGTAAAAATGGAAACCCTTTTATAAAAGATATTTTTGAAAACTTTCCTTGTGAAGTTGATTGATAAAACCAATTGAGTTGATCAAAAGTTGGCATGGTGTTCGCTTTGATATCTATTTCATATCTTAACGATTTATCATTTGCATTTTTGCATGCAGGTGCAAGTTGTAAATTTTGTAGTGTTTCTAATAATTGAGCTGATTCTAACGTTTTGGTAGAATGACTTGGTAGAAAGACAGTTCGTGAGCCCCTTAATTTTTGAATCATAAGATTAAAACCGTTCAATCTCGTGTGATCAATAACAATATTAAACAATATAAGCATACAAAATAGTAATGATTTTAGTTGTATTCTGTAGGTTTCTAATCAAGGGTATTTTCAAAATGGTAAAATAACGTCAACCTCTTTAGTATGTTATTTTATATCCAAAATATTAGCAATCAATAAAAAACTACCAGAACCAAAAAAGATGATAGATCGAATTTTCATTTAATATCGTACTTATCCAGCATTTTCCTTTTCCGCAAAAGTTTTTGAAGAGTGTGAAATATTCCGAATTTCCGTTCGAAATATACGAAACAATATCTTTAATCACTAAACAGGGTAACTTGGGGTTTTTCAGCACCGGGTAGGCCCCAGATATTGCGGGTATATTTATCTGTGATTATCGAACATTGATCGTGTTACTTTGCGAACAATTCTGATTGGTTTACGTCGGGTTTCCTTCAGTTGATAAAACCCAATAGAAGAAATTTCTCGTACTGTGCAAACAGATCATCACAAGATTATTTTACTGATAATGGTCACTATCAGCCTATATCTACTTTAATAACTATCAGCTCGCCAAACACTTCTATAATATACAAGAATATCTTGTGTTACCCAGGGCAGCTGATTTCTTTTTACAATCCCACCAATTTTTCAGTTTGGTTTAAATTGCTAAGAAAGATTAAAATCTAACTGAAACTGGCCAAGAAAAAGCTGTTCAATGAATGAAATATCGATCTTTAAAGTGAGAGAGGTTTAATAGGCCCATGAGGACTTAATCCGCGGAGAGTGTTAAAAGTTCATCTTTCGACGAGATAATAGCTCTTTGAACTTTAAAAGTTCCGGCTTAAAAAATTCTCACCAAAATAGGTCTAAAACGCAACTAAGCTTTTTGATATCTAACGGTTTTTTAGGTATTTGCTTTTCTTATCTTCAATCAGCTTAAGATCTCGATCAACATTAGTGGATAAGCACATGTTGCAACCACAAGGAGTTCAGATTGTTTGGATTATCTGGGTTTTTTTTCAATGGACTGATAGCTTGGTAACTATTAAGAATCAAAGACTTCCTTCACTTCCTTTAGATATTCATGAATCTGTACATTCAGTTCACCACTATCTCTCGTTGTTCAAATGGGTTATTTTTTTTCAGATTAAATAAATGCTGTCAATAAAACTTTATTGCAGTTAATTTTTCACATTTAACTAGCATCAATTTTATTTTAAAGGGAAAATATTTCAACTTGTCTACAGAAGCTATTGGGTTTTGTTTGTTTGTTTTACTTTTATTTTAATTGGCCTGGAAACTTGATAAACAGTTTTACTAGCTTAAATTTCAACCTTGATTGTTTTTGGTAAATTTAGATTTTTATTGAAAAAAATTAGTTTAAATTGATAGGCATCAGCATACGGTGTTTTTTAAAATACTATATTCATTGGTTTTTGAAGAACTGAAATTCAATTTACCCTTCTGTTTCATTTTCAAAAGATTATATTCAGATATTTGACTTTAAAAAAGGTTCCTCAATAAGTTGATTTTTCTTATCAGTCGAACTATTGGCATAGATTTTCAATGTGAAATTCAAAATAAATCTGATTAAAACTATGATAATTACACTAATTGCAAACAATTTAATTCAGTTTAATACAGCATTTGGAAATATACCTAACTTATATCAACGATAGTTAAATCAAATTAACTCGAATATTTTTATGCTTAATGATGAATTAAATTCGATTGAACTGAATAATTTCAATCTAGAATGTTATGAAAATTTTAAATACAATTTTGATTTTAATTTTGATTTCTATTTATTTTTTAAAAAAACAAACTCTAAGTAGAGTTGCATTGGATAATAAGAGCCTCATCCACAGTGATTTTCATTATATTTGCCTGGAGTGAAGAGTATAAATACATTAAATTAATCTGGATTAAAAGCACTTGATATTGTTTTTTGATTTTTTTTTGATTTTTTTTTGATTTTGATTTTATTTTTTTACTCTTTATTTTTAATATTGATTTCAATTTTTATATTCAAAATGAACGATATTGAAAAAAATACTGGAAAAGATCATGCAGTTCATTCTGTCAATTCTCATTTCGAAGACGGATCAGTCCACACACAAAAAAATGGGGCAGTTGTTTTTGATGAAAGTGACGAAAATAATGTGCATCGTGGTTTGAAATCTCGTCATATTCAGCTTATTGCTATATCTGGGTGTATTGGTACAGGGTTGTTTGTTGGTTCTGGTGGTTCATTATCTACTTGTGGTCCAGCAAGTTTATTTTTATCATATTGCATTATTTCAGTTGTGATGTGGGTGATTATGAACTGTTTGGGTGAAATGATCGTTTATCTTCCATTGAAGGGTATGGCTATCAGTGGGTATGTTGATAGATATGTTGATAAATCGTTGGCATTTGCAACTGGGTGGTGTTACTGGTATACGTTCTCAATTGTTGTTGCAGCAGAGACAACTGCAGCTGGTTTAATTGCGCAGTATTGGAATGAAGATGTTAATATTGCAATTTACATTACTGTTTTCACGATTTTAATCGTTGGGATCAATGTGTTTGCAGTTGAGTTGTATGGAGAAATCGAGTTCTGGTTTGGATCAATCAAAGTTATTGCCATTATTGGGTTAATCTTCGTTGGATTTGTGTTGTTTTTCGGTGGTGGACCAAATCATGATCGATTAGGATTCAGATATTGGAAGGACCCTGGTGCATTTAAAGAGCATATTGTTCCAGGACGTACTGGTCAATTTTTGGGGTTTGTTACAGCGTTGGTCAAATCAGCGTTTGCATTTGTTTTATCGCCAGAATTCATTGCGATTTCAGGTAGTGGTGAAAGTAAAGATCCACGTCGAAACATTGAAAAGGCCACAAAGAGATTTGTTTATCGAGTGATTTTTTTCTATATCCTTGGGTCGTTTATTATCTCAGTTATTGTTGCTTCGGATGATAACAGGTTGATTGCAGCTGTGGACTCAGGGTCCTCAGGTGCAGCAGCATCACCATTTGTGATTGGTATTCAAAATGCGGGCATTCCAGTTTTGAATCATATTATTAATGGAGTTATATTAACATCAGCGCTTTCTGCTGGAAATTCTTTGTTGTTTTCAGCAACGAGATCGTTATTTGCAATGGCTAAACAAGGGTATGCACCAAAGTTTTTTGGATATTGCAATCGATGGGGTATTCCATACTATGCTGTTGCAGCAACTTCAGCAGTGTCACTACTTTCATATTTGAATGTGTCCAACTCAGCATCAGATGTGTTTACTTGGTTGAGTAATATTACGACAGTTGCAGGATTTATTAATTGGGGGGTGATTTCAATTACATATTTGAGATGGAGAAAAGCTGTAATGTATAATGGACTATGGGATAGAGTACCATTCAAAACCATTCTACAGCCATATGCTACATATTTTGCATTTGGATTTGTTGTGGTGATGTCGTTGGTTAATGGGTATGGAGTGTTTTTCCCAGATAACTGGAGCGCTTCAGATTTTATTGCAGCTTATATAACGATTCCAATTTTCCTTGTGTTATGGCTCGGACATAAAATAGTTATCGATAAATCATGGAAGTTTTATAAAAAAGTGGATGAGATAGATGTTATTACTGGATTAGAAGAAGTGGAAGAAGCAGAAAAACATTACGAAGAACGTATTCCTAGAAACGTATGGGAAAGAATTTGGTTCTGGATAGCCTAGGCAATGTCTTTCTTTTTTCTGATAAGCTGGTTTGAAAGCTCATTGGAATTTTTTTATCATTTTTTAGTGCTGACTGTTTTATCTGTCTAGTGCTGAGCATTTTAATGTTTTAGTTATATATTTTTTAAACCCTTTTACACTATCAAAACAATGAATATCTTACAGTATCAAACATCCAAACTGGATACCAGTGGTAGGCCAATAAAAACAACCACTGAAACGGCTATATCCAAAACTGTGGATCCAATGCATAAACATGTGGCATCCACACCAAAAGACCATCTTCCTGTGACATCAGCATATGAGGGAAGGAGGCAAAAGAGGAGCAAACATTTCTGGTGCTGCTGTTCGAGACCCAGCGCTCAAACACAGAGATAATGCTTTTGTTTCTGCTCGTGTTTCTTCCACAGCAGCGGTGCAAGTGTTATCGTCCAGCATCCAATGAAAACATTGAGTCTAGTGGGAGTGAAGTAAGAAAGCCATCTAGTTCATAGTGACGAGCAGGGGCAGTCCGTGTGGAAAGTGGCCAGTGTGTCACTTGGGTCAGTGCAGCAAAAGCAGAGCATTTTGGTATTGCTTCGTGTGCGTTGTGACGTGGACCCGTTGCTGTGGATTGACATTTGCAGCGCAAGTGAGCAGGCCCTACAAGAGTTTGTGCTTCTCCTCCAAATCTAAGTGTGAGTGTGCGCTATGATTGGCCGGCCTGTGGTGCTGTGCCAGATTGAGATGGACATCCCACAGTGGTCTACTCCCTGTGTGATGGAAGCAGATTCTTTCTTTTGGTTTAAATAGAGAGCTTTCTCCTTCAGTGCACTCACAGCTCTTTTGCCTCAATCGTTTACTACTCATCTGCTTTTCTCACTTGCAAAGATTCCTGTTTTTGCTTCATCACTCTTCGCCTTCTGTTCTTGTGGCTTGCATCGTCTTGTTATCGCCATCAAAACACACCAAAAATGACTAAACAACCTATTGCCACAACTCTTCACCACTCTCCAGCTTCTTCCATCTCATCCATCGTCAACAACAATTTCAGCAACAAACACAGAAGAAGATCTTCATCAATAATATCTCATGTCGACCCTGAAACTGAAGACCAGATAATCGACCAGAATCTATTTCCAAATTTGAATGCAAATTGGGTTAATTCAAAAGGTGCTTGGTGTATCCATTTAGTGTTGATTGCATTTTTGAAAATTTTTTATACCTTGTTGATAAATTTGTTCATAAACTTTGTTCCCTTTTACGATAAGAACTATAACGACAGTGCCTACCTCAATAATATCGCCAATCAATTAATTTGGACCTTAACTAATATGACATACATAGTTGGTTCTTATATAATGTTTCATCAAGTTAAGGGAACTCCATACGATTTCAACAATGGTGCTTATGACAATCTAACAATGTGGGAGCAAATCGATAATGGGTTTTTATACACTCCAAATAAAAAATTCTTGTTTTTGGTCCCAATAACAATTTTCTTGGTCTCAACTCATTACGCAAACTACAACTTGAATTACTTTATCATTAATGGTGTCTTGTGTTTAATTGGTATTGTTCCCAAGTTCCCTTTTGCTCACCGATTAAGAATCCAGTTACCTTTGTAATTAGTCCAATTACTTCTATTTATATTTTAGTTCAACAATATCCAGGTTGTTATTTATTATTTACCTATTTCTTATCTCTTATTACTTATTTGTCATGTTGGTTTGTTTATTTCATTTCATCTACTCTTATTATCATAACACAAACAGATGGTCTTCAAGTGTCTTTTAAATAATCTAATGTTTCCCTTGTCATTGAGATTATTAGACACTTTTTTTTCAACATTTTATTTTTACTCAATGTTACTTCAATTTATTTCTCTATATATACTTGATTCTGTTCAATTATATACTTACATTATTACTTATTTATTTACATCCTTTATCTTATAATATTATATCAGCACTGACTCAGCCACTTCAGTAAACTATAATTTTTTGACACAATGCATGCAGTCACTTGCGTGGCTATGCACCTGTATGCACATAATATAAACCTTTTTTATTTTTATTTTTATTTTTATTCTTATTCTTATTCTTTTAGTACTGGTTGGAATCCTTTTTATATTCTCCGTAATTTTCAAATTCATCGCTATTTTTGTCACTTGAGCCTTGTTGTTGCCCTTGCTTTTGCTGTTTTGCCTTTTGAGCTGCTGCAATGGCTACTTCTCTTCTTTGTTCAAATTCTTTTTGAATATCCTCTTTATTAACACCTAAAAGCTTCATTGCAATCATATCAAATGCTGATAAAAAACAAAAACAAAAAAATGTTAAAAGAAGCCATTTTCTAAATAGCATAGACCCATTTATCTTTTTAAGTTCCAATGGAGCTACTTTTGATCCAAAAATTGAGAAATTCTCAGTAAATTCCACAGATTCCATTAGCAAATCCTTTATAATTCTTGAATTAAATGATGAATCAACAGACAAAACTAATCGGACCTGGTGAGGCTTTTCAAGAAGTATAATGCTTTGGAAAATAGATTCGTTCTTGTTATTTTTACTGAACGGTAACGAATTGTATATTTCTTCATTAATATCATGAACAATTGGATACTTTAGTTCTAAATCTGAAATGCTTAAAAAGATATCAAATTGTGCCCCAGAATTACTGCCATTAATATCTTGATAAATTATCGTTGGATCAATGTTCTTAGTTACAACCATAACATTATAAATTTGAGGGTTCTTATAGAGCATGTTTAATTGCGTCAATGGCTCTTTGATTTTCTCAAAATCTTCCTTATTTTTAACTGAATTGAGATCAATATAATAAATAAGCCCATGGAACTTTTTTTCCTCGTCAAATTTGCTTAGCCTTTCTTTAAGTGCTTGAGAAAACTTATCATACTCAATTGACTTTATGGGAGCATCGTCGTCTTTGATTTTTTTCTCCATTCCTTTAGTTAGCTCCTTGTAGAAGTTTTTTGCTCTCTCTTGGATTTTACTGGAAGCTATGAGTTCAAAATTAAGCTGATCAAAATATTTATTTAAATCAAGCAATTTTTCAGAATGTCTTGAAGAATACTCGGTCATTGGTAGAATTGGCAATGTGTAATCAGGAAAGGATGAGCCAACTGTGATCTCTTTCCTAGTATCTGAGTGATCTGGACCAGCCGAATAGAGGCGCCTGTTCATCAAATTAAAACCATTGTTTCCACGATAAATAGTAGCGACAGGAAGTCTATTGCCATTGCGTCCACTCCAAATAGGACTACAATTCCAGCTAGCATTTCTGGAATTGACCAAGGAAAATGCAAGTTTCCCTGAGACTGCAAGACTACTCTTGAGTGAATTGAATAAACTGGGTGTCTTGAGGCGAGAAATCATACTGCGTGGGTCGAGAGAAGTTGAAGAAACAACACCTTGATGTTGAACATTTCTCCCCAAACTGCCCCAAGCAATCCAAACGAGACCAATCCCAATCAGAACTGTTCAATTGGAGCTCGGACCGAAGCTCACAAAAAAGAACAGCCGCTTTAAGTAGTGTTTCTGAATCAGAGAGCAGCTTCTCAAAAAAGCAATATCTCGTGATTACTGCTGTTTTGAGCATAGGAACACCAAAAGGAGAAGGAGAGAATTTTGAATATAATGCCAGTGTTTCCAACTTTTGTATCAGCTAAATATAGGCAGAGAAAACCCAATATAACAATATAATCCGATATAATCAGGCACAAGCAGGTACCACTGGCACTATCAGATCTCCTTGGCTATCATCAGCTAGATTCTATCCAAGGTCGCATTCACTAAGATGGTTACCAATAGTAGCACCAACAAGTATCTTAATGACAGACTATTCACCTTTTCTATTCACAATAAAGGACAAAAGTTCAATTCAAATTTGAATTCTAGCAAGAAGTCCCTACTTTTTATTCCAGACCCTAGCGATAACTCTCCTGCTGCTTTCACAACAGTGTTTCCCAGCAGGACTGATGCTAATGATCCGAAGCACAACAACGACAGCAGTAACCAGCTTATGACCACCGACAGCAACTCTCATAGAAAGTCATTATCAATTAACAATCCTGTTTTCACGATAAATACAACTAACTCAATGAGTTCTTCAGTGCTACGACATAACTACTCCAAGTCAAATGAGTTTTTTTTGCCAGTAACTCCATATAATCCTGCTACCATCGCTCCCACCCCCCCTTCTACCACTGCCACCACCACCACCACCACCACCACCACTACTACTACTAATAATAATAATAATCAAGATCACAATAGTAATGATAGTACCTCTTATATAACAGTATTAAATCCATCCTTAGAGGAGATCAAATCACCGTTAATGAACAAAAAGATTAGAAAAATGTTTTGTTTGAAAAAGGATGAGAAGAAACTATTTTTACTTAAATTATTTCTAAAGTATAAACCATACACATTTAAAAAACGGAAACGAAGAGAAAACTTTGATTATATAATTGATGAATTTAATTCAAAATTTAAATTAAATGATAAAAATGGGTTATCAATAAAGCAAGCTAAAATTGAAATACAGAAATTATTATTTATTTATAATAACATCACAAGTATCGAAAATATTGAAAATAGTATTAATGATATTAATAATAGTAATAATAATATCGAAAAAATTAATAGTATTGACCAGGTTATACTATTAATTTTTAAAAATTATGTAGAGTATAATAAGAAAAATTGTATTGATTCAAGATTTTATAATAATTTTAATAATATAATTAATGATAGCAATAGCGACAATGATAATGATAATGATAATGATAATGATAATGATAATGATAATGATAATGATAATGATAATGATAATGATAATGATAATGATAATGATAATGATNATGATAATGATAATGATAATGATAATGATAATGATAATGATAATGATAATGATAATGATAATGATAATGATAATGATAATGATAATGATAATGATGATGATAATGATAATGATAATGATAACAATAATGATAACAATAATGATAATGAAAATAATTACCATAATCATGATCATCTTATAAACAATGATATAAATATTATAAATGAAATTAATAAAATTAATAAAATTAATGCCAGAAATGATATAAGTAATCTAAGTAATATAAATAATCTAAGTAATATAACTAACATAGGTAATATAAGTAATATAGAGAATATAAATACTAGAAGCAATGATAATAGTCATGGTAATAGTCACAATGAAAATGCTTTCAATAATGATTTGGGTAATCGAATAAATAATGAGATTAATGAAAATGCTAATTCAATTATAAAAAGAGTAAAATTTAATAATTATAATGAGATTAATAACATAAGTAATATAAGTGATATAAATCACATACATGGTGTAAATAATATAAATCACATAAATCATATCAGTGATATAAATCTGATAAATGGTATTAATCAGAAAAATGAGTTTCATGTCAAAAAAATTGAAAATATCATCAACACTGGCAGTGATACTGATAAAGAAAATAATGATTCAAATCACCATCAAAATCAAAATCAAAATCAAAATCTAGATAAAAACTTAAACAATTCTAGGGTAATTACAACTAAAAATATAAATATAAATAAAAATAAAAATAAAAATACCAATGGAAATCAAAGTATAATAAACAGTCAAGAGCAGGATACTGATGTTGATATTGAAACAGATAATAATCATAAGAATTTAATCGAGACTGAGAATAATTTTAATGAAAGGAATTCAAATCTAGATGACAGAAATCTAAATAAGCTGTTGATTATTAAAAATGATACTAATAAAGAAAAAGATAAAGAGATATTAATTGATTCAAATCTAAAGATAATAAGTAATGATTTAAAAAGGTATACTTCATTATCTAGTCAAAGTCTTGTAATTAGTCACAATAATAATCAGAGTCATAATGGTAATGGAAATAGCAATAGCAATAGTAATAGTAACAGTCATCGAAAAGTTCAATTTATTCCATACAAACCTCGACAAAAAGCAATTAATCAGAACAATAGTAATAATAACATGAATAATAACTATATTAATAGTAATTTTAATAATAATTTCAATGGAATGAATTACACTAGTCCCATAAAAAATAATAATGAGCTAGTAACGAATAATTTAGAAAAATTGATAGTCAAATTGAACAAAGATATAAATCAGCTCAAGAGTAACTTTTGCGAGGAAATCAATGGGCTAAAAAACGTTATAAAAGATCTAATTAAGGAAATTGAAACAATAAAAGATAAAAATGAATGCTAGATTCTTACATATATGAACTTTTGTCACTTATATACTCTGAATAAAAGGCTGAGCTTAGGTAATCGAAACAAGGAACAAATTTGCATTGCGTAATGATTAGTACACGTGATGTGTTTTATCATATTTTATCATGTTTTGTTTTTCTTTTCTCGTTTCTCCGTTAGGCAGTTTTCCTCTTTTACCTTTCACAAGATCAGAGGATAAAAGCACAGAGATTGGATCAAGTGCTAGGTAGATAACAGGCCAGAAAGCACAATGGCAGGAGCAGCAGCAAAGAAGCAGGCGGTGTCAAACAACAAGATACTAAGGGATCTACACACCAGCTCGTTGGTTGTGAATTTGTTCTCGGTCTTCCTCATGGTGGTATTCAATCGACCAAATCTTTCGAAATTTAAGTACTACCTCATGTTCAACATCCCATTGATAAGCAGCGAATATATGATTGAGAAGTATGGCCGACCCAAGTACAAGGAGAATGGAGCAATTGCTCGCGAGGGCATTGATCTCAGGCAGGAGGGGCTCACCGAGTACATGTTCGACGTGATGTACTTGACACTCTTTTGCGATGTGATGGTGGGCGTTGTGGGTAGTTTGAAGGTGTTCTATCTCTTGGTGGTGGTGCCTGTGTTTATGGTGTATAAGGTGGCGGGTTTGGTGGGTCTCTGGCGTCAGGCACGCGGAAACCAGCTCGGCGGTGCTGATTCTAACGGCGCCCAGTCTGGCGGCACCGGCAGCAGCGAGGGTCGCTCCAAACGGCTGGTAAAGATGGAGGCCCGGCAGCAAAAGGGCCGAGGCAAAACACAGCGCGTCCGCAGTTAGTGAGCATGCAGGACACCCGCAGCACATCGCAGTACAGGCGCAAATTCTTCTCGTGCCGCAGCATTTCAAAGAACATCCGCGTAGCCATGGAGATCCGTCCGCTGTCTCCGTCGTTTCCTTGGTACGGACGTGCCCCTTTTTCTGGATTGGCACTCAGAATTCGTGTTCTTTTCAATGTTTGCCATTTTTCAGTGAGAACATTTCCTTTGGGCTCGTTTTTTATTTAATCTCTTTTTCGTTTTTTTTCTTTCTTTCCTTTTCTTATATCTTTTCTTGAAAACAATATAAATACCTACGTATCTGATTATAATTCCTTTCCCAATTATAGTCTTTAGTATTACTAAATTATTTATTCTTTTATTTCTCAAAAATGGATGGTGGTACGTACTTTCACTCTCTTTTTTCTCTCTTTCTTTTCACCTTTGCTCATCATGATTGATATCGATGGGTTTTATCCAAGACCTTGATCTGTCTCAATTGCTTGATGCAATCAATTCATTATCTTTTTGTATCTCTTTGATCTTACTATTTACTCGATTCTTTTTTTTTCTCGTTTTCAATTCTCGTCCAGATCTCAATTTACTCAATTAAATCATTTTGTTTTCAAAAGCACAGCGGAAACAATTTCAAATTCCAAATCGGAAGCTCTTGAAATCTGGGAATCTGGATTTTTTTTCTTTCTTTACATTTCAATGCAATTTGTCAAATATCTTAAAATTGTCTTTTATTCAATTGCACATGTGTTTTATAATTGTAATTGATATTAATCGATTACAACCAAAATGAAATACTTCGATACGAAGACACTGAAAATCTACAAAGTGCTTCTTATTGATCTTAGAGACTTGGATAAACCCGATCGGAATTGAATCAAATCATGATAAAAGATCTTTATTTTATCTATTTCTATTTTTATTTGAATATAGATTCACTAACAAGTTAAACAGAAGAAGTTGCTGCTGTAAGTAATCTCTGCTTATATTTTAATTTTCTATTATAGAAAATCTACTTTAATCCTCGAATTTTATTAAAAAGAAAATTTTTAATAATCTACCCCTAATTTAATTGGGCGGCTTTTTTTTTGGGAATTTTTTGTCCACACAAAATGATCTGAAATTTCAAAAATCATTCATCCCAGTTATCTCAAAAAGATTTTTAACAATTTTACTAACTAAATAATTTCTTTCTTTCTTAATAGCTTGTTATTGACAATGGTTCTGGTATGTGTAAAGCCGGTTTTGCTGGTGATGATGCACCAAGAGCTGTTTTCCCTTCAATCGTAGGTAGACCAAGACATCAAGGTATCATGGTCGGTATGGGTCAAAAAGATTCCTACGTTGGTGATGAAGCTCAATCAAAAAGAGGTATTTTAACCTTAAGATATCCAATTGAACATGGTATCGTTACAAACTGGGATGATATGGAAAAGATCTGGCATCATACTTTCTACAACGAGTTAAGAGTTGCTCCAGAAGAACACCCAGTTTTATTAACTGAAGCTCCAATGAACCCAAAATCCAATAGAGAAAAAATGACCCAAATCATGTTTGAAACTTTCAACGTTCCTGCTTTTTACGTCTCTATTCAAGCTGTTCTCTCCTTATATTCTTCCGGTAGAACCACCGGTATTGTTTTAGATTCTGGTGATGGTGTTACCCACGTTGTCCCAATTTACGCTGGTTTTTCTTTACCTCATGCTATCTTAAGAATTGATTTGGCTGGTAGAGACTTGACTGACTACTTGATGAAAATTCTTTCTGAACGTGGTTACAGTTTCTCCACCACTGCTGAAAGAGAAATTGTTCGTGACATTAAAGAAAAATTATGTTATGTTGCTTTAGACTTTGATCAAGAAATACAAACCTCTGCTCAATCTTCTGCTATTGAAAAATCTTATGAATTGCCAGATGGTCAAATTATCACAATTGGTAATGAAAGATTCAGAGCCCCAGAAGCCTTATTCCATCCATCTGTTTTAGGTTTGGAAGCTGCTGGTATCGATCAAACTGCTTACAACTCTATCATGAAGTGTGATGTTGATGTTAGAAAAGAATTATACGGTAATATTGTCATGTCTGGTGGTACCACCATGTTCCCAGGTATTGCTGAACGTATGCAAAAAGAAATCACTGCTTTGGCTCCTTCTTCTATGAAAGTTAAAGTCATTGCTGCCCCTGAACGTAAATATTCTGTCTGGATTGGTGGTTCCATTTTGGCTTCATTATCAACTTTCCAACAAATGTGGATCTCAAAACAAGAATATGATGAATCTGGACCATCAATTGTTCATCATAAATGTTTTTAAGGTAATTAATCAATTATTTAATTATTCATTTTTAATTAATATAGTTTTTTAGTTTTTTGCACATTTGTTTTGTTTAGTTTTTTTATAATTTTAATTTAATTTAATTTGATACTATTTAGATTCCACTTTATTTTTTTTCTCCTTTTTTTCTTTTTCTTTTTCTTTTGATATCTATTGATTTTCTTTTTTTTTAGTCCTTTATAATTCCCCTTTATTTATCTATACTTTATATTTTTCATTCCCTCATCTCATCTTTTCTTTTCTTATCCACGTCTCCCTTTGTTGTTGTTTACCTTTGTTACTTTTCTGAAAATTAGCGAACTTAAAATTGTGTATTGTATTGAAAATTATCTTTAAAATCGATCAAAAGGTTGTTTATTTCTCCTATTTTCCTCCCTTACTCCTATTGTTTCGATTTTATTATTTTTATTTTGATCGGTATTATTTCGATTTCAAATCATTATTGGTTTTCGATAGTAATAAATGACCATTAAATATCTTTAGATCAATTTAGTTATAAAATGGTGAACAGTTGAAATCAGAATAATTTAGATTTTTGGATTAAATTTCTTTGATATAAACCAAATCATTTATTATTTATAAATAGGGGGAAAGAATATTGATATATAACTTAAAAAAAAAGTAAAATAAGATGAGGAAACAAATAAATATAGAAAAAACTGGGCTATATAGGTTTCTCAATATAAAAGTATAGTCATAATTAAAAGGTAAAAATAAAATGTGAATATTAATAAGTTAAGTTTCATGCGCCAAAAAGTCAAAAATAGTATTATAATAAAGTAGTGAAAAGAATATTAATAAAATATTGAAATAAAAGGAAGAGGGTAAAAGAATCTACCAAAACCTCCAATCTGGAGCGTTTTGAACACCAAAAGTATTCTCAATTTCTTTTTGAGTTTTGAAACTCAAGAAGCCATCTTGAGTGAAAATTTTGCTATAATTGGGGTTCCTATTAATATGAGTATTAGTATTAGTATTAGTATTAGTATTAATATTGTTTATATCAACATAGTTTGGTAGTAGTAAACCAACACCTTTGCCGCCTAAAGTTGTTTGATAAGTTTTGTAGCCCTCATTTTTGAAACTGGTGATTATTTGGCTTACTTTTGATTGATCTGCATCGTCTTTGAGAATAGTTATAGCACAACCACCACCACCTGCACCGGTTAATTTTGATTCACCAATATCCATTAAATCGCATTGTAGTTTAATATTTTCCAAGGTTGGGTGAGAGACACCGAGAGATACTAATAGGCCATGGTTGATTCTGATCAATTGGCTGATTTTGAATTTGGCGTCATTATCGAAAAATGGACGAATCATTATGTTATAGGCCTCTCTTGTTAAACTTTCAATAGCATCCAAGATGGAGCCACTAGTTTTTGGGAACTCGTTTGTGAAGGAGGATACGTTTGCGACTAAATCGGCTGTTTTTCTGGGATGAGTTGTATTGGTTAGTAGTAGATTTAAAGAAGGGAAGTTTCTCATTTTTGTTCTAATACTGGGGTTCGAGGATTTCATTCTTTGGAACATGATAGCACCACCATGGCAAGAGACAGTGTTATCGATACCTGAGGGATTACCATGTATGCATTTTTCGGCCATAAAGGCCCAAGAGTCTATGAATAGAGAGTCTGGTGAATCTATGGTGGTGAAGTCGTTATTTTTGATGGAAGGAGATTGAATATGGTTTCCTAAATAGGACAAGGCAGAAGATAAGCAAACAGCCATAGAGGCAGACGAACCAAGGCCTGCACCGATGGGTAAGGTTGATCTTATGGTGAAGGTGTGTCCGATAGTGGAGAGGGAGCATAGGTTCAAGTACAAATAGAGAAAGGCAGAGGCAGAGCAGTAGTGGATGGTGTCATTGATGTCGAGGATAAGTTCAGATAAGGAAGAGACGTATTCGGGAACTAGTTCGTCGTCAGGCTTGGGGATGTTTTTGTCATTTGTGTTGTTGTTGTCGTCGTCGTTGTTGTTGAAATTGTCTTTTATTGACCAAGGTATATCATGTATGCTCCATTTGTGAGAGAAGTTTATATCGGGGAAGTTTAAATTGATTGTGTTGGGGTCCTTGCTGGGAGCGACTAGTAGGTATGTTCTCAAGGAGACAGCAGCAGCGATAGCAGGTTTTCCGAAGACAGCAGCATGTTCACCGAAAATGATGACTTTTCCAGGAGATGAAACAATGAAGGGAGTTGAGTTTGGTTGGTTGGTGATAGTCATATTGAAAAGGTAGAGGTAGGTGTAGAAGTGGAAGTAGAAGTGAAAGTAGAAAAGAGGGAGATATTAAGAGGAAGAGGGAGCAAGCAGCATAATTGGGAAGCGAGGGAGATAATGGCTTGTATTGTTTGGGATATATTTTGGAAGGATATTATTTAGAATAGTGGGAAAGTCCTTTGTATTTGAGCAAGAGCAGGAAGAATTGAGGTAATTTGAGAGAAATAAAGGGCCTTTTCGAGAAACGAGTGAGAGAAGTTCATTCGCCGAAAAAGAGCAAGATAAACGACATGCGTGTGTGTGCATTAGTGTGCATGAGAATGCGGGATGAAAAGAATCAAATGCCAGTCTGATGGGAGGGCGGTTGGATGTACACAGATCAAAGAGAGATATAGAGATATATCCAGAAGGTATGGAAAGTCTGGAAAGTGGGAAAATGGGAAAATGGGGTGGGTGAGGTGTCAGATAAAATGAGCGAGTGAGTGAGCTAGTGTATGTGATAAAGTACTGCAGGTCTGTTCGAGTGAGTGGGCCATTTGCAGAATGTGAGGGATAGATCAAATAAGATAAGATGAAGAGGCCATTGAGAAGGCCGAATGAGGAAATTTCAAAGAACAGAATTAAAATCAGAAACTGTGAGGTACATTAGTGGATTTAAAACGAGTTTAAACAAAGATTGGAATAAACAAATTAAAAGATTGATATAAATTAGTTGAAAAGCTACATTATAAATACAAGAAGTTTGGACTAAATTTTATGAGAACTGGAATCGAAAAATTTTGAATGGCAGTTGGATTAAAATTGTGATGATTAAGCTAGGCAAGAGTTATAAATTGGAAGAAAGTAACCAAATAGATTTGCTAGAAAGTGAGGAAATTGAGTGCAACTGTTTGAAATGCTTTCAAATGAATGAAAAGTATAAATTGCTAAGAACGATGCTAATAGTCGGGGCCTTTATACCAATTGCATTGATAGTGGTTATAGGTTTTTGTGTTTATTTGATGTATTTTGTTGAGATGGAATTCGATGCTGAAAATGGTAGCAGCGAACGCAACGGGTACAACTTGGATTGTGGTTCAATTTACAATTTCGACTGTGATCGTGATGGCCATTGCAGTGTTTCCAACAGCTCGAGCAGTCGCAGTAAACTCGATGAGCTTGTTGTATTCAAGCGCTACAGGTCGCATAGGAAGCTACTGAAAAAGTACGCAAGGTTGATCCAGGTGTCGGTGGTAATAGTGCTCATTGAGTTGGTGGTTGTGTTCTTTGTGGTGTTGCTAGTGAATTATTCTTCTGTCAACTACAATCATTTCTTCAGTCTTAATCTTAACCGTGATAATATACATTAATTGTACCACTATAATCCCCTCTGGAGACTCTCAACGGATCTTGTATCGACATACCACCCTGTACCACCATACACTACTGCTCGAACACTCCATTGCAGAGCCATCTCGTCACGCGTCGCTCGCGCGTCGCCCACGCAAAACACCCAATCAGCGTCCTCCTGCCGGCCCAGATCCACCACCCTGGGCGCGCCAGCAGCCAGTCCGGCGCGCCAATCAGAGACGAGAGATACCTGCTGACCTGGGCTTCCGCAGCGTCCCAACCAGTGGTTCTCTCTGTGTGCATGCTACGAGCGCACCAGCGGGTGGTCATCCCAGCGCACGTATGCCTGTGCGGTCACTGCTTGACGTCTCCCGACCGAAGCTCCCCCAACGCTCCCTTAAAGATTAGGCTCCTACACAAAGAAACGCTGATAACCCTCATCCACAGCGCTGTAAAAGCAACACTCCTGCTGAATTTGCAATGTTGAAGAGACTGTTTGATACCCAGTTACCAGCCAATTCGCTTATCCTCTCAGGCCTCTTTGACAGCATTTCTCTAAGAGCCTACTTCTCTGGGCTGAATTGTGTAACCATTTGATTCTTCCTTCTCCCGCCGGTTTTTGTTATATAATACCAAATAATCTTCGCAGTGCTCTTTCCATTCAGTCTCGTTGGAATTATACTATAAATCTCTTTCCTATTCGTTTCCCTTTCCTCTTCTTTGCTCTGCTCTGCTCTTCACTTGTAGCTGAAATTATACTTTTATTCCACCTATACTTTTGCTTTTATTTCTTTTAGTCATACTCTCTCTCTCTCTCAATTCTGTTGTCCATAATGACTGACTACTTGGAATTAGAAAACGTTCCCAAAAACCCAATCATAGTCGTTGGTGGTGGGCTAGCTGGTCTCAGTGCTGCTCATCAGTGTCTCATCAATGGTTCTAATGTTGTCCTACTAGATAAACAAGCCTTCTTCGGTGGTAATTCAACCAAAGCTACCTCTGGTATTAATGGTTCTCTCACAAGAACCCAAGTCAAACTAAACATCAACGATTCCGTTGACAGCTTTCTCAATGACACTCTAAAGTCTGCAAAGGGCCAAGCTGACGAAAAATTGGCCAAAGTATTAACCTACGAAAGTGCCTCAGCTGTTGAATGGCTACAAGACTACTTCAACCTAGACCTATCCTTGGTCTCAAGACTAGGTGGCCACTCTCAACCAAGAACCCATAGAGGCAAAGATGCTAGGTTTCCTGGTATGGCTATTACCTATGCTCTTATGGAAAAAATCGAACACATTTTCGAGTCTAACCCTGAAAGAGTCCTCATCTCAAAGAAATCTAAAGTTGTCAAACTAATCAAAAACGACAGCCAAAACTTCATCAAGGGTCTCATCTTCGAAAAAGATGGCAAGAACTATCAAATATTTGGCCCAGTCATTCTTGCTACCGGCGGTTACGCTGCAGATTTCGACGACGTCGACAACTCCCTTTTAAACAAATACAGACCCGATATAATGGACTTGCCAACAACAAATGGTAACCATGCTACTGGAGATGGTCAAAAATTGGTCATCAAGTCTGGCGGTATAGGCATTGATCTCGAAAAAGTCCAAATTCACCCAACTGGTCTCGTTAACCCAAAGGACATAAACTCAAAATTCAAATTCTTAGCCGGTGAAGCTCTTAGAGGTGAGGGCGCCATCATGCTAGATGCAACTGGAAAAAGATTCTGCGACGAATTGGGTACAAGAGACTATGTTTCCAACGAAATGACTAAAGTCAAGGCCCCCATTAGATTAGTTTTGAACTCAAAAGCTGCCAAAAACTTGCCATTCCACGTCTCCCATTATGAAAGCAGAGGCTTGATGAAAAAAATATCTGGCCAACAGTTGCTAAATGAAATCGGCTGCTCAAAGGAAACTTTGCTTAACCAATTCAACGAATACAACAAATTCAGCGACTACGCTTCCAAAACCCCCCAAAAAACAATCGATCCCTTTGGCAAAAAATTCTTCCCATCCACTCCCTTTAACTTGGATGACGAATTCCATGTCTCCATAATTTGCAGAGTTGTCCACTTCACCATGGGTGGTGTCAAAATCGATCCTGGTGCAAGAGTCCTTACCTCAAACAACATCAATCCTTCCTCAAAGGATAAAGTTGAACCAATCCTAGGTCTATATGCCGCTGGTGAATTGGCTGGTAATATTCACGGCTATAACAGATTGGGTGGCTCTTCTTTATTAGCCTGTGTTTGTTTTGGTAGAGTTGCTGCCAATTCAGCCACTCAGTACCTATTACAGAACTTGTCCAACAACTCTCTCGACACTAAACAAGTTGCTATCTCAAGATTAAATAAAATTAGATTGCATCTAGACCCTGATCAACATGACATAATCGTTAGTTTTGAAGATGATAATGCTACTGAAAACACATCTCCAGCTCCAAAAAAATCTAAAAAACCTACTGATAAAAAAACAGCTTCACCAAAAAAGACCAAGAAATCAAAAAAGACTTTAAAAAAACCCAAAGCCTTTTCCGTTCCCAAAAAAGAATACTCCATGAATGAAATTGCTAAACACACTAAAGAAGATGACTGTTGGATTGCTGTCAAAGGTGCTGTGTTAGATGTCTCCAACTTTTACGATGACCACCCAGGTGGCAAGCAATCGTTGGTCAACTTTGGTGGTAAAGATGCCAGTGAAGCATTTGAAATGTTGCACGATGACAATGTTATTTCCAAATACGCTGCTAGTACTGTTATTGGGAGAGTCAAAGGCCAGAAATTGACTTTAAAAGCTTGATTTTATAAATATTTTTCTTTTTTTTCTTTAATAATTTCAAATATATATTTTTTTTTCCCTCTCACTCCCTTCTGTCTTAATGTATTTTATATCCTATAAGCTCACAAATACCTACCACTCAGTAACTCTGAAGTGTCTCGAGAGACAGAATATATATATATATATATAGAACAGGCTCTATTGTGGTTTAGGCTCAAATTTCATTGCACATGTTTGAGATTTTTAAGTTCAGACCACAAAACATTGACATTTTTCAGTTGATCAAGAAGCTGTTCTCTCTCTCCCTCCTCCATTTCTTCTTCCTATCTCTTTAACGTCGTCTTTGTTCTGTTAAAAGACTCCTTTGACACTCCCACAATGGCAGAACCAAGAAGAATCTCGTTTAATGTCTCTGACGAATACCAAATTCTTGAAATCGTTGGCGAGGGCGCCTATGGAGTAGTCTGCTCAGCTATCCATTTACCATCTAACCAAAAAGTGGCCATCAAGAAGATCTTGCCCTTTGAGAGACCCATGTTCTGTCTAAGAACACTCAGAGAACTAAAGCTACTAAAACACTTCAACCATGAAAACATCATAAGCATATTGGACCTACAAAGACCAAAGAGCTACAACGAATTCAACGAAGTCTACCTTATCCAGGAGTTAATGGAAACTGATTTGAATCGAGTAATTAAGACCCAAAAGCTAAGTGACGACCATTGCCAGTACTTTATCTACCAAACATTAAGGGCCTTGAAGTCCCTACACAGTGCTAATGTTCTTCATAGAGACCTCAAGCCCTCCAACTTGCTCTTAAACGCCAACTGCGACTTGAAACTATGTGATTTTGGGCTAGCTAGATCAATTGCTTCTTCTGAGGACAACTATGGATTTATGACTGAATATGTTGCCACAAGATGGTATCGAGCTCCAGAGATTATGTTGACATTCCAAGAGTACACTACAGCTATTGATGTCTGGTCTGTTGGTTGTATATTAGCAGAGATGATTAGAAGCAAACCATTGTTTCCTGGTAGAGATTATCATAATCAATTGTTCTTAATCATTGAGATCCTAGGTACCCCATCAAGAGAAGACATTGCCCAGATTAATTCAAGAAGAGCTAGAGAGTATATAAACTCTTTGCCATTCAAATCAAGAATCCCATTTCAACAACAGTTTCCCAATACGAATCCATTGGCGATTGATTTGCTAGAGAGACTATTGACTTTCAACCCCTTAAAGAGAATCACAGTCGATGAAGCACTAACTCATCCCTATGTTAAATTATACCACGATCCAATTGATGAACCGATTGCTAATCCAATTCCGGAGAACTTTTTTGACTTTGACAAGAATAAAGATAAGCTAACATTGGCAGATTTAAAACAGTTATTATATAACGAAATTATGGAGCCTTTACCTTACAATTAATGACATTTAAATTTGATGGAACAACCAGTTTAATAAGATTTTGTTTTTCTCTTTATTATCTATTATCCTTATTATCTCTTTATTATCTCTTTATTATCTCTTTATTATCTCTTTATTATCTCTTTATTATCTCTTTATTATCTCTTTATTATCTCTTTATTATCTCTTTATTATCTCTTTGTTATCTCTATTACTTTTTCATTTGTATCTTCATGTTTTTTTTCCCACATTAATTCAAATTAATCATTCATTTACATTCTTTATATAAGATATAGTTTTTAAGTTTTGACATTTTATTTCTACGTTTTAACCAATTGATCTACAGTAAACAATACGAATGAAAAAAAAGTAGATTAGCTATATTATTCATTATTATCTATGCAATAGGATTGTGCTAATCTCTTTATCCATTGACCAGTTTTGAATTCAGACCTGGAAGTTCTTTTCGGGTAACAAATTTTTCAGTCAAACGCGTTTGTTTTGCAAATGCAGTCGTTGATCAAAATACATAATAATAATTGGTTGATTGGTTATCAAAATATCTACTGACTGATAATTAATGATTAATAGCTCAAATCAAGATCACTTTTATCACTTTTATCACTTTATCACTTTATTACCACTGTCATTATTATATAAATTTTCAAAGGATGAGTGATCTTGTGGGAACGTTTTCTCCAGAATTATGGACGTGTTCATCGACAAAATCACTAATAGTCTCAATTGATGATACCAATGGTTGTTTTAAATTCAATCCAATTTTCACTTATCCCATATTTGGAGATGCTGAGCAAATCTTTGGGTACAAAAATTTAAAAATTGAATTAAAATTCGATTCAATAAACTACTTGCCATTTTTAGAGGTGAAATTTGATGAGAAATTGAATAATAAACAGATCGAAGATCCGGTTTTAAAACTAAAAGAGTTTTTACCCAGCTCAGTCATAGTCCAAGATGAAAATAAATGGATCCACCAATCCCTAAAGGAGAATGAACTTGCTAGTAAAGATAATTTCATAGACAATTTACTCAAAGAATTGGTTAAAATCCACGAATATGAAAACAATGGGAAGCAATATGAACTATTTAAGGGGAAATTGAAGAATTTGAGACTGCTAGAGTTTCACAAGAGAATACAAATCTTTGTGTTATTGTTCATTGAGGCAGGATCGTATATTGATGAAAATGACGACAATTGGGACTACTATTTTTTGTTTGAAAGACAAAGTAGTCAGTTGAATAAGTTGGTTGGATTTTGTACAGCTTATTCATATTGGAAGTATCCTGGTTTTAAAGAGTATGATAACCTAAGTGAAAGTCAGTTGTTGGAGAATAAGTTTTATAAACGAATCAAGATTTCTCAGTTTTTGATCTTACCACCATATCAAAATCAAAGACATGGATTTAAGTTGTATAATTCGCTATTTGATTATTGGTTTAAAGACGAGTTTATCCAGGAAATAACCATAGAGGACCCCAGTGAGAGGTTCGATGACTTGAGAGACAAATGCGACTTGATCAGATTGTCGTCCACCAAGATCAATTTGATCAGCAGCAAGAACTTGAATTTTGCAAAGATCAATTCCAGCAACTGGCTAGCTGACAAGCAGAGGGAAAACAAAATGGAGAAACGACAGTTCCTTAGATGCATCGAAATGGGCTTGGTCTACTGGAAGCAGAGGCTCCATCTCAGTGAGCGAGAGCTCAGGCTCTTTGTGAAAAGAAGGCTCTACGAGAAGAACAAAGATGCTCTTGATAGTCTTGAAGATCCCAGCGAAAGGAAGAACTTGTTGGAGATTGCATATGAGAGGGTGAAGAAGGACTACGAGAGGCTTTTGGAGGGATTGGAGTTGGAGAACAACAAGCGATCGATAGACGAGAGCTGAGAGCAATGCAGCGCAGCCATTTTTGCTTTGAACACTTGCTGCTTCAGTCATAATTCCATCATTTTTGAGAAACAATTCAGCTTTAAATCAGAGTTATTCAGTTAATTCAGGCTTAATCTGGCTCTGAGGCCTCAACAAGCAACCCCAGGGGCAGTGAGCAGAGTGTGCCGTTTCCATGGGGGAATGCACGTAGTGGGAGGAGGTACCTCGGTGCGTTGCTCTGCTTTTGTATGGGAAACGTCCCGTTCGTGTGGGGGAGGAGCCATCAACAACGATTGCTCCCAGTTTTGATTCCAATTGTGGTCACTGAGCTTATAAAAAGAATTAAATTTGCTGAAATGAACTTGTTTGGTGCGAAAGGAAATACACTACACAGTCTATATAGATACTCTAATATATTTTGTTTTATCTACTGCCTGGAAACTACACATAATGCACAGAACTTACTCCTTAAGATCCTCCAGAGCTCCCACCAACTCTCAGCTTCAGTCTCCTCCTCCTCCTACTTCAACCACTAAAAGTGGTAGTTTGTTTGGCAAATCGTCTCTTGGAAACACCTTTAGAAAGAATGCTGCAGGGAATTTTGGTCCTGATTTAGCTAAGAAGTTGTCTCAATTTGTTAAAATGGAGAAGAATGTTATGAGATCTATTGAGTTGGTCGCAAGAGAACGTCGTGAAGTTGGTAAGCAATTGTCTCTTTGGGGTGAAGATAACGACGACGATGTCAGTGATGTTACAGACAAATTGGGTGTTTTAATCTACGAAATTGGTGAATTAGAAGACCAGTTCATCGATAAATATGATCAATACAGATTAACATTGAAATCCATCCGTAACATCGAAGCCTCTGTTCAACCATCAAGAGAGCGCAAACAAAAAATCACAGATGAAATTGCTAAATTGAAATACAAAGAACCAAACTCCCCAAAGATTCCTGTCTTGGAACAAGAATTGGTTCGCGCTGAAGCCGAATCCTTAGTTGCTGAAGCTCAGTTATCCAATATCACTCGTGAAAAGTTAAAGGCTTCATTCTCCTATCAATTTGACGCTATGAGAGAATTGGCTGAAAAATATGCCTTGATTGCTGGTTATGGTAAGGCATTGTTGGAGCTATTAGACGACTCCCCTGTTACTCCAGGTGAAACCAGACCTGCTTATGATGGCTACGAAGCTTCAAAACAAATAATTGTTGATGCTGAAAACGCCTTGGGCAACTGGACCTTGGATTCTGCTGCTATAAAACCAACTTTATCAATGCGTACCACTACTGGCGATGTTTACTCTTCAGATCGCCAAAGAATTGATGATGACGATGGTGATGTTTATGCCAATGATCAAGAGTTGCTACACTCTGCTCAAGGAAACAATTACTCTTCTCAAGGCAACACTGCTAACAACAATTGGCCCAACGAACATTCTGAACAGCACGATGTTCCAACCAATGCTAATGGAAATGGCACTGCCAATCAACACAGACCTGTTGAAGTTGTTTGATTTATTTGATGTGTTAATGCCTTGATCTATTTTCCTGTTTTCTTTTATTGTTTGTTTATTTGTTTATTTGTTTATTTTTCTTTTTTTGTTTGTCTCTTATTTATCTTTATCTCTTCTATTTGATGTTTCCTCTTTACTTGACGTGGGTTTTTGTTCTCTACATGTTATTTAGGTTATGCCTCTCATTAGGTTTAATTAACTGTTAATCGGCTTTTGCAAACTCTTTTCTCTGTAAACTGCTCAGGAAGCAAAATCACCAAAATCACCAAAATCATTAAAAACAAACTAAAATCACGGCACTTGGACAATCCTCGGAAGTTCAATACCGAGGGTACTCGCGTGCGTTAAACGTCATTTTTTGACTCAGATATTTTATACCAGTTTTTTTTGATCTTTAACGAATTCTGTGATTGTTGGTGAAGAATTGGTAGATGAATAGTGGATAGTACTTTGGGTGTGCTCTTCTGAACGAATATGAAGCTATATGAAGCTATATGAAGATACAGCAAGACATTTCAAGATACATATGCTGGAATAAAATCTGTCTTATTGTTCTGAGCCTTGCAATACAAATATCTCTTATATTATCCAAATCAATAATTCACTTTTAACCCTTATCAAATACATCTTTTCATACACTTGGCTCTTAACAAGCAGCAAAAAAATAACGACGACCATATACATATACATATACATATAAACACAAACACAAACACAAACATCCTGTATTTCTCATCCGAATATGAAGTTTGGAAAAACTTTTGAAAAAGCTTTGGCTGAAGATGAAATCCCCTTACAATGGCAGAAAAATGCTATTCAATATAAGCAGCTAAAGAAAACTATTAAAAAATTAGTTGAAGAATTTAATGAACTTGGCTTAGAAAAGGATTTAATTCAAAACCACTTAGTAAATGAAAATGAAAATGAAAATAATGAAAAAGAAAATAATGAAAATAATAAGAATAATGAAAATAATAAGAATAATGAGAATAATGAGAATAATGAGAATAATGAGAATAAAAATAGAAATGAAAATACCACCAATAATGATAATAACGTATTAGTTGATTACAAATTATCAAAAATTGATTCATATGTCAGACCAAAATTATCTCTAATCATAAATAATTACGTTAATTTGCCAGATGATATTAAGCTGAAATTAAATCAGCTATTACTGAAACCTGAACGATTAGAATTTGATAATCAAATTAACAACAATAAAATTAGCGAAATAAATGATTCTAATCAAATTAACAAAAATTTTACCATCAACAATAATCTGATTAGTAACGTTGATAATTTAAACAGTAGCTCAGGGATCAACATCGATATGAATTTAGATAACAGTTCAGATGATAATAATGACACTAATGAAGAGAAATCAATAAACTCATCTACTTCAATTATCTCCCTATCCCTGTCTTCAAACTCTTCAAACTCTTTAAATTCAAGCTTTATCTCTTTCAACAACCTAAAAAACTCAAAAACTTCAAAAATAATAGTTCATACTATTTACGACCAAACTTTTTTTCTTTCCATCAGTGAACAAATCCTAAATTTAGATACCATGAAAGACAACCAAGAAAATTTAATGATTAAACAAATCAATTACTTGAGTGATCAAATCTCATCTTTGTCATCTCCATATCGAAAGAGAAATGATTTATATATTTGGCGACAAATCTTTGAAATTTATAATAGCTACCAATTATTTTTCAAATTCAATTTTATTTCAAAAAATGAACTAAACTATTCTATATCAAAGATAAATTTTTACAAATTTGTTGACGAAATTCAAAAAAAAGATCTACTATCTCAATTTCATAATAAAAAAGTATCAAAACAAATTTTTAATCAGTTTTTAAACTTAAACCTTGAATTAATTAAAGCTATTGAATTTCAGTATTTAAACAAAATCGCTATCACTAAAATATTGAAAAAATTCGATAAAAGAACTTTTCTATCAATTAAATTCAAATTCCCAAATTTTTACGTTAATGATCCCTTTATCAATCAATCCTTCTCAATCAATTTATTCTTCAAAATTCAAGAAAGACTTATCAAAATCATTCCTCAACTAGACGACTATCTATGCCCAATTTGTTGCTCGATTAGCTTCAAACCTGTCAAACTAGACTGTGGTCACATCTTTTGTATTAGATGCTTGGTCAAATTACAAAAATTAAGAAAAGATGCTTGTCCCATTTGTAGAAAAAACAACGTATTAATTGCTGACCATTCAAATTTAGATTTAGAGACAATGGAGTTCTTGAAATTATACTTTCCAAAGGAAAGTAAAGCTAAACAGAAAGAAACTGAAAACGAAATCGCTAAAGAACAATGCGAGGCCCTTATTGGAAAATCGTCTTGTTTAATTCAGTAAGTTTATTTCCATCTTATAAAGAAAAAAGATTTTTTTTTTTCAATTGAATATACTTGATAGTATATTATATTGTAAGATATTGTAATTATAGTAATGCTCAGTTATCAGAAAGAGAGGTTTTAAAGGCTTGGTTTAATTTGTGGTTAAATTTTGTTTTATTAGTTTTTTTTGGTTTTTTTAATTTACACTTGAAAGTTCTTTTTACTTTTTGTTTTTTAAATTTAGTGGAAATTTATGACAGTGAAATCTAACTGAGTGCGATAATAGTCTTGCAATTATCTTCAGCCTTTGCTAGTTATATTTTTCAATTTATTTTGCTGCATTTTTTTAATATCTCATTATATCTATTGGTTTGACTCAATATCTTTCATTTGTGTTCAGATAGCTGAATGTTTGGTCTGTTTCAGTTTAAAAATTAGATTAACTTCTTATATTTTAATAAAATCATGTCAGATAAAGAGTTGAATTAATTTCATCTGATCTTGAATTAATTTTAACTTGACTTATTCTCATACTTCATATTTCATTTTCTAATTTTTAATTTTTTTCCTGCAATTGTTTTCTTTTTTGTTTTCATAAACAAGTCTTTTAACTCTAACTTTTAGAACTATAATTTCAAATAGATAATACATCGACGTTAATGAATAGTAAAGACTTTCTAAGAAGTTGTTTGTGAATAATTCTTCGGACAAAACAGCTCCGAAGAAAAGGACTTCTTTAACCAATCTCTTTTACTTTAAATGCAATCAATTTAAGGATAAATAGCTTAATTTAATTGTTGTTTGTTTTTAGCTTCTTTAATCTGTGATCAATATTATATTTCGAACTTAAAAGAAATATTACTCTGGTTCATTGAGAAATTTTATACATTTTAAGACTATTGATGGGTTTTGAAGCTGGAGATTAAATAGCTCAAACTATTAACGTTAAACATTTTTTGTAGTAGTTGTTGTATGAAACCTTTTAAGAAATAAATAGTATATAAATGGGATAATTTCTTACAATTTTTTATTGTTTTTATTCATTTTATAAGTGTGTTTCTTACAATTACAAGTTTATTTATACAGTTTTAGTTGCTAATTTAAATCAAATCAAATCAAATCAAGTCAAATCATAATGGGTAAAGGTTGTTCATGTTGTGGTGATTCTGAATGCCACTGTACTTCAAGCTGTTCATCTTGTGGATCATCTCATTAAAACGTTTAATAAAGTTATAAGAAAGAAAAATGGTGATTTATCGAGTATATTTTCATGTCAATTCGTTGATGATTGTTGAATTTGTGCGTTTTTTATGATTAGTTTTTGCGAATTTCAATTATTTCAATTTTATTTCAATTATTTCAATTTTATTTCAGTTTTATTTATAAAGAATATTAAATGAACGACTTTGTATAAAATTTATAACGCATCTATTTATTAAATGAGTGTAAGGAACTAAAATTCCAATTAATAGGCAAGACCTTTTGCGATCTCAGGGACTTGTAGAGATCTCTTTAATAAATCATTTAATAAAGGAAATTGGGTCAAATCAATCTTTGAAAAAGCAGCCTTTTCAATCCATGGGAGAACGAAGACTTCAGCAATGGTTAATTTATCACCAACCAAGAAGCCAGTATTGTTTGATTTTAAAATATCTTCAAGAACCTGGTAGACTCTTTTGATTTCAGTGTACAAGTCGTTAACATCGCTTTCAGATAAATGTAATAGGTTTCTGATAACACCAAAGATTTTCCCTTGAACTGGAGCTAAAGCACTGACTTGGAATAAAGAGAGTTCTAGAGTTTTAAAGTAGTTGTTGGAGTTGACTGGATAAGAGAATTTGTTTTCAGTATCATATTTTGAGACTAAGAATTGCAAGATGGCGTTACTTTCACTTAAATAGAAAGGGTTTGAAGAGTCCTTTGATGCTAAAGCAGGAATTTTACCGTTTGGATTGATCTTAAGGAACCAGTCTTCCTTTTGCTGTTTTTTGGCAAGGTCGATGGTGATGATTTCAACTTTCGATTGGATGTTTAAAAGCTCGACTAAAACAGTGATTTTTCTTCCATTGGTGGTTGAAGCAAGAAACAATTGGTAGTCAGACATTTTCTATGAAATTGGGGGAAGTGAATGTTAAATAAGATGGTAATTAAGGATTGTGGTTCTTAGAGAGAAGAAGGCTAAAGATGAAGAACTGAAGAAACGTCAGGATATTCAAACATGTTTATATAGAGCAACTTTATCGAAGACAATTCAAAACAGGCATCGCCATTTGTCATTCTACTGTTCGAATTACTGAGCTACTTTGTGAATGAGATGAGAATTGAAAACATTTCGAAGAAAATGATAAGGTTAAACCACACTTTTCAATCGCAAATTTCAACACAGTGATACCCTCATAAAACTCGACTAAAAAGTGAAATTCTTCCAAAAAATCAAGAGAAAACAGTTTAAATTTCACTTTTTGGAGACAAATCAAACAAATTTTGGATAAAACCAATGAAAGTTATTTCAATTTATCAGAGACATTGAATTTGAAATATTTGGTGATTCAAAGAAATTGTGGACGACCCCTTTGTTTGAGGGAGATGTTCAGCGATTTCGGTATAGTGTATGGGAAGATCCCTGAGAAAACAGGAGAAGACGTGTGAAGGAAACATATTGAAAAATATCAGCTTAGTAATTAGAAATCGAGTATTAAAGTTCCACGAATTGGTGCGAGAAAAGTGATCGAGATGATGGAAGTTATAGAAATGGAATTAAAATGCACAATGGATTATAAAAAATATAAAAAAAGCATGGATGGAGACTCCTTAAGCAACGTTGGCCTTTGAAAAGTCCAATTCTGGGTGCTGGGCTTTGAACCTCTCCAAAATATCGTACTTTTGCTTATCAGATAAGACCCCACCATCAGTTGAGTTGAAATTGTTTTTATCCAAAAGATTGCTGACATTACTATCACTGGTGTTGTTCTTTCCATGTTTCAAGTCGTGGTCTAGTTTTTGTTTTTCTTGTTGTTCCCACAACATTTTATTGACCATTGCTTTTGATTCATCGTCGAGATCACTGATTTTGGAGACCTCAGGCTCAATTCTTCTGACATCAATTTTTGGTGCAGACTTAACTACATGGGGCCACCATTCTTTTTTGTACTTGACCAATGTGATTTCCACTTCCTTTCTGTCGATGATTGACCAAGTTGATTCGGAGTAGTCAATATTACTAAACAAACTATCATCGATAACTAGATCGCCAGTTGATAAGATTTTGACAAACAACCTATCCTTTTTGATTTCTATCTTTAAATTTTTAGCCCTAGTCCCGCTGGGAGCCTGAATTGTTACAGTAATATCCTCAAGGGTCTGTTTCCATTCGTAACCTAAAGCAGCTTGTTCAGCTTTTTCCTTTGCAATAGCTTCAGGAGAATTATCAATCTCACTATTTGGATCAGACATTTTTTACAGCACAACAAACGAACACTTATACACTGGAACAACGGTAAACAGATGGCCTAGCTGAAGATGAATGGCAATTCAGAAACACAGAAATATAAATACTCCCCAAAAAAACCAATACAGGTGCAAAGCTAATAGAATCAAAGCAATAGTAGCATAAAAACAGAGAAACAGAGAAAAGAAGTGAATTAAAAGATAACCAAACTCAAAGCTCAGGAAGAAAAGGGAAGTGGTTTACCCGCAGCGCAATTATACGCCTAGCATACGTCTATCTGCATTACACTACGTGCGGACATGCTGCAGAGTTATGCTGAATCACGCCCGCCTATTGTTTCCTAATGTTTATTAGAGCCCTATGTACATAATAAGATAGCTCCCAACGGACCAATCACAGCTGTGTGTCAGCGATAGTCGAGTTACTTTCTTGAGACTCCTGTATGGGGCCTTCTAAATCGTAAACCCATAACTTATTGGCCACTCTATCGTCGATAACAAAGTCCTGGAGCCACTCGCTGTTGTTTTCGATTCCTCTTTTCACCCATCGTTTCGACCAATCTTCTTCTTCGTCAATTGCACTGAATTTATCAACACTGGCATCAAACTTCCTTATCCTCTTTTCAATTACTTTAGCCGTCATTTCACCATATCTGTCCATCAATTTATGCTTGTTGTAATATCTGTAAATTCTTCTGGGGAATGTGGTGATACCGACTAGGTTATAAACTGGGAACACCGAAACTGGCTGTTGAAAGAAAGGTGGAATATTGTCTTTTGTGTTAATTTTCTTGATTTTGTTGTTTTCATAATATTTTGACAACTCTTTTGGAAATTCTCCTTCATTCTCGAATTTTTCTCTAGTTATATATGGTATCAATTTCTGTTTTTTCTTTTCTTCTTCTTTCTGTTTTTCGGTAAGTTCTTCTACTTTTTCATTATCATTACTGTTATTATTATTATTCGTTTCATTATTAGTTTCATTATTAGTTTCATTGTTGGTTTCATTGGTATTAGTATTAGTATTAGTATCATTAGTATCATTAGTATTATTAATATCATTACTTTCATTGGTATCATTTTTACTTTCAGATTTGATTTCAGAAATATTAGTTGGCATTTCCACGTTATTTGGACTCTTAATATCGTCCAAACTTAACACTTTAACTTCTGGAACTTCTGGAACTTCTTCAATTCTGTTTTCCTGTTTATCTTCAATTCCAACTGTTTTTTCAGCATGAGGATTCTCCAACGGTCCTAGTAGCCCTTCTTGTAGTCCTATAATATATTCTTTATACGCACCTCTACCAATGCATAGTACTCCTCCAGTATTATATGGTTCGTATTCATCAACCAATGAATCCTCAGAAACAGCTGGCTTGTTGATCAATTCATTCCGGTTTTTGTAATATAGCCCTAGAATATTCTTTGCATCTTTAACTCTGAGCAAAAACTCTTCTCTTTTGTCCTTTTCAATTTCTTCTTCGCTTTTTTTTACCTTTTTATGGCCATTAAAGAACAACCATTTGAAAAACTTGACTGGTTTATTCAATATACTGTTTTCTTTCTCGCGAATCCTCTCAGCTTCTTTTGTATCGTTTTCAAGCTGAATTATCTCTTTTCTGATGTCTCTGATATCCTGGGCGACTTTGGAACGAATCTCGCCCTGTCTTGATTCTGTAAATAGTATGAAATCAACTGCTGCTGCATTCAAAATCGGTTTGATGTACTTTCTAAACACCAGTAGACTTTCGTCCAAATAGTCGTCTGGGGGTGGTGCAACATATATCGTCAATGTTCGTGGTAAATTGTTCAACTGGAAAGACTTGTCGCCATATGGTTTGACGTACTTCGTCCACTTCTCACGAACCTTCTTCTGCTGGTAGTAGTTGTAGAATGTCCCACCTCCAATGGCACCACAGAGGGACCAGAACACCATCCAGTTTCTGGAAGGAAGACGAATGTTGTTGATGCCCATCATCTTCAACGCAGGATTGGTGTATCCCTTTGGCTTGGGCTTTGGCACTGCCTGCGCTGCCTCTGCAACAGGCTCCTGTTGCTTTACACTCTCAGACATCTTGGAGCTCCAGTCTGATCTGCTTCTTCTGCTTCTTCTGCTTCTTCTTCTCCAGCTCTTTCTCCAACTTCTCCTTCTCCACGAAAAAATTTCACCTCCGACCGCGGCTCACGCTCCCGCAGTTAAGCGCGGGCACACAGAGCCCGCGCTTAACTATGTATTTTCCACGCCACCGCACTTTTTCTAGAATTTTCCCTCTCCCTCTGAAAAATGTTATATATAGTGCTCGTGCTTTTGCCTCAATTTATTAATTTCTTCTTTTCAGTCCTATCTGCGATTGCCTTTCTATACTATATCTCACGAATTGATCTCCACTCAACATGTCCAGTGCTGATGAAGTATGTATTGGCCCTGTGTTCTCTCTATGGTCTCTAATTGTCCATTGGCAATTCCCCATTTTAGGGAGAAAATTTTTTCTTGCGAATTGATCTAAGCTTTCTCTTTTCTTTTTGCATTCTACTAACCACTTTTGTTTTTGCTTTTATTTTCTTATCTTGTAGTTGAAAGCTTTAGGCAACAAAGCATTTTCTGCAAAAAAATTCGACGAGGCAATTGATTACTTTACTCAAGCAATCGCTGCTTCTTCTACCCCAAATCACGTCCTATTTTCAAATCGTTCGGCTTGTTTCACCTCTTTACACAAATATGATAAGGCCTTGGAAGACGCTGAAAAATGTGTCGAAATCAACAAGACCTGGGCCAAAGGCTACAATAGAATTGCTGCTGCTCATTTTGGTTTGGACAACTTGGACGAAGCTGAAAACGCCTTTAAAAGTGCCTTGAATCTAGATCCAAATAACGCAATGGCAAAACAAGGTCTAAAGCAAATCGAAACAAGGTTGACTGAAAAGAACTCTGCCCCGGATTTAGGCTTTGCCGACAAATTCAATGATCCAAATTTAATTGAAAATTTGAAAAAAAATCCCAAAACTAAAGAATTAATGAAAGACCCTGCTATTCTTGAAAAGATTTTAAAATTCAAACAAAATCCTCAAGAAATGGCCACTCAATTATTATCAGACCCAAAACTAATGACCATCTTTGGCGCAATATTAGGTATTAACCTTGACATGCCTGATTTATCAAACTTATCCCCTGAAGCAAACCCCTCGGCTCCACCCCCCGAACCTGCTACAAAGGGACCAGAAGCTATTCCAAAGGAAGATCAAGATCCTGAAATCTCAATACCTGATGACATTGAAATGAAAAATCCTGAAGAAAAATCCAAAAGTGTTCCACCCCCAGTTTCTGAACCTCAACCGGAACCAGAACCAGAAAAAATCATTGAAGAACCACAAGAAGACTTAGCTGCTAAAGCTGATGCCGAAAAACAATTGGGTAACACTTTGTATAAACAACGTAAATTCGACGAAGCTATCACTCACTATGATGCTGCTTGGGAACTTAAAAATGATATTACTTACTTGAACAATCGTGCTGCTGCGGAATTTGAGAAAAAAGAATACGAAACTTGTATCAAAACTTGTGAATATGCCGTTGAGCAAGGAAGAGAATTAAGAGCTGACTATAAAATCGTTGCCAAATCCTTTGCTAGAATCGGTAACGCTTATGTAAAGCTTAATGATCTTGAAAAAGCTCGTTACTTTTTTGATAAATCATTAACCGAACACAGAACTCCTCTTGTTTTAAACAAATTAAGATCCGTCGAAAAACAAATTAAAATACAAGAAGCTGAAGCTTATGTCAATCCTGAAAAGGCTGAGGAAGCAAGACTATTAGGTAAAGACTACTTTACAAAATCAGATTGGCCAAAAGCCGTTGAAGCTTACACAGAAATGATCAAAAGAGCTCCAGATGATGCCAGAGGTTACTCAAACAGAGCTGCTGCCTTGGCTAAATTAATGTCTTTCCCTGAAGCCGTCAAAGATTGTAACTTGGCAATTCAAAAAGATCCAAATTTCGTTAGAGCTTACATTAGAAAAGCAAATGCCCAATTAGCAATGAAAGAATATACTGGCTGTCTTGATACTTTAGAAGTCGCTAAAGAAAAGGATTCTCAAATTAATGCCGGAAAATCAAGCTACGAAATTGATCAATTATTCCAAAAAGCAATGTCTCAAAGATTCGCCGCCGTCGAAGGTGAAACTCCTGAGCAAACTATGGAAAGAGTTAGCAGAGACCCTGAAGTCACTACTATATTGCAAGATCCCGTAATGCAAAGTATTTTATCTCAAGCTAGAGACAACCCAGCTGCTCTTCAAGATCATATGAAAAACCCCCAAATATACAAAAAAATCATGACTTTGATTTCTGCTGGTGTTATTCGTACAAGATGAATTACTTGATTGAAAGAAGTTTTTCTCTTTTACATAGAATGAAGACATGCGTTTCCATTTATTAAAAACTTTTTGTTTGAGTTTGGAGTAATAATTGATCAAACCTTTGCTCTCTTTTAATTTTTTTTTTTTTGTTCTTATTTATAGTTTAACCGAATACACATTCATGTTTTCTAATAACCAGCCAAACTAAATTAAAATGCAAGTATATATGTATTTATATTGTTGATGAATATAAAAAGTTCATGTTATTTTATAATAAAGATGAAACACTAACTTCAGCCAATTCTTGAGCAAAAATACAGAGAAAAAAAAGCAAAAAAAAAAAATTGAAAAAAAATCGTATCAACAATCAAAATAAATTAAAATAATTATATGTTATTATTCAAATTTCGGTTTTAGTTACTTTATCATCTATCATCTCAACATCAGCTTTTAGATCAGTTTTAATATCACTGGAAAGTTCTTTATCCTTATTTTTTTCTAACTCAGCTTTGACTTTGGCTTCTTTAGCTTCTTTAGCCTGCTCTTTTTTTTTCTCTCTCCTTTCTTTTCTTCTTTTTTGTTTAGCATCAAATTCATGCCATTCTTCTGTTTCATTCAAGCAGCTCAACTCTTCAGGTTGAGGATCTTCTTTAAAATAATCTTGTTGCAAAGCCTCATAAGCAGACATTCTAGTTTTTGGATTCAACGATAATAAATTTTCCGCCAATTCGAAACAAGATTTTGTTGGTAGAATATGTTCAAAAGTTTCCTGAAAGCGGCTTGGTTTTTGGAATTTAGGTCTTAACAATTCAAACCAAGGTAATTGATCAACACCGGGCCATTCAGTAGGAGAGGGTGTGCCCAATATATCATAAATTGTCACTAACTGATGGATCTCGTCTTTTCCTTGAAATATAGCTGTTTTATTAAATAGTTCAATGAGTAAACACCCAATGCCCCAAATATCAACTTCCGGGCCATAGTCAGTAGTTCCAAGTAGTAGTTCTGGCGGTCTATACCATAAAGTAATCACTCTATTGGTATAATCAGCATTTTCATTTGGTTTAACATATTTCATTTTTCTTGCCAACCCAAAATCTGCAATTTGTATATTGCCTTTGTTATCAAGCAATATATTTGATCCTTTTATATCTCTATGAATGACTCTCTTCATATGAAGATATTCCATTCCTTCTAAAATTTGTTTGAATAAAAATTTGCAATTGGCAGGAGATAATATTACATTAGGCAAGCTTAACAAACCAGTCAAATCGTGATTCATATAATTGAAAACCATGTAAACTGAATCACCTTCAACCATCATCTCTAATAAGGACACAACATTTGGATGGTCAAATTCTTGTAGCAATTTAATTTCTCTAACTGCAGTTATTGGGAAGCCTTCTCTTTCAATCTCTAGACGGAGACGTTTTAGGGCTACAAATTCATTTGTTATTGAATTTCTTGCTTTATAAACCTTTCCATAAGTTCCTTCGCCGACCTGATTCATAGTATCAAACAAAGGTGTATATTTGACTCTTTTTATAAAAGTTATGCTATTTTTGACAATAGCCATGCTTTGAGGGTTATTAAAATTATTTTGAAACCCGTTTTCATTTTCAAAACTATGATCATCTATGTCATTATCACTATCATTGGGAGGATAATTATGACTATAGCTTTTATTCATTGATTTGCCATTGATGATTTTATTATGGGGATAAGTTCTATTAGTTGGAATATATTTACGGCCATTATATTTGTTGTTGATAGTATTGTAATTATTGACATTATTATAATAACGATTTTGATAATAATCGTTTGACTTATAGTGAGAGCCATTAGAATATCTTGGATTAAACGATTGTCGAACTGGGGTGGACAAAGGCAGAGCCGAGCCTTTTGGTCCTTTAGGAACAATATTCAAATCAAAGCTTTTCTTTCTTTCATTCAGATAAGATCTATATTCAGATTTATAGTCCTTTTTGTAATCACTTTTGTAATCACTTTTGTAATCACTTTTGTAATCTTTGTTGTAATCTTTGTAATAGTCATTATGGTGATCCTTTTTATAATCCTTTTTATAGTCTCTTTTATAATCATTCCTGTATTCCTTTTTATAATCATTAGTATAGCCATTACCATAGTCATTGTTGTAATCAGTATTATATTCATTTTTAAAATTGTTTTTATAATTGTTTTTATAATTGTTTTTATAATTATTTTTTTCATTGATATTTGACTTATTTTCATAAATTAAGTCATCTTTTATCTCATTTCTCTCACTTTTTCCAGTCTTATCAGTCATTTCTATTTTTTCACTCTTGTCAGTCATTTGGGTTTTGTCAATTTTATCAATCTTTTTATATTTATCATTCTTGGGATAGTAAGTTTTATTTTTGTACTCTATTTTATTGCTGGAATGATAAGTGTTATTTGAAGTGTATTTTTGATAATGATGATAGTTGTTGGTATTGTTAATGTGGTTGTTATATCGTTTTGATGCTGAGGGATTATTAATAGTTGAATATTTCTTTGATGTGAATGGTTTTGTATTGGAATTATTTATATTATTTGTATTTGTATTATTTGTATTATTTGTGCCACTGCTAATATTATCATCTATATCATCTGTTGATTTTTTATAAGAGCTATATTTATCATATTTGCTATCATATTCGTTATCGTTTTTTTTATCATATTTGGTATCAATCTTGGAATCAATTTTTTGTTTAAGATAATCGTAGTCATATTCATAATCCACATCATATTCATAGTCATAGTTATATTTTTTTTTATCGTATTTATCATATTTTTTTGTTTCATACTTGTCATACTTTTCGTATTTATCGTATTTTTTATTATCATACATTTTATTATCATAAATTTTATGTTCATAGGGTTTATTTGAATAAGATTTGCTGTAACTTCTGTCATCGTATTTATTAAATTTTCTACTGTCGAATTTATTTCTATCATAAGAGGAATTTTTGTCGTTAGTAGTGCTGTGATTATTTTTGTAATGTTTGGTATTATTGTCATTTGTTTTATTGCTGGTATAAGGATCATGGAGTTTAGTTAGAGAAAAACGATGGTTTGTGTTATTGTTGTTGTGAGGATTTTTGGTATCGTTAAGATCAAAGACTCTTGGGTGAGAGTCACCATTTGAGGAAATGGAAGATTTCTGTCTTTTTAAAGAGATTGATATTTTTGAGGTTGTGATTTTAGAGGAATTAGTTGAGTCGAATTTTCTGGAAATGATTGGAGATAGAGGTCTTTTTTTGGAAATTGATGAATCGTGTGAATCGTAAGAATCGTTTGTTCTTGAATCAATCATTATTTCAAGGACCAGTTTCAGTAGATTTGGATAAATTTTGGGAATATTTGAAAACCTGAAATAGATGAATAGTGTTATACTTTTAAAAGGCTCTGCTATGGATAAAAAGTGGATAAATTCTGAAGAATTCTGAAGAATTCTGAGGGAAGGTTGGTAATTATAAAAACAGGGTTGTGGAGTGGATGGTAGTGTATCTTTTCCTTATCTTTGAATCATCAACAACAGATTCCTTTTCCCCAAAATTGACAATTATCTCTGATAAAGTCTTTCTCTTTCTTCCAACCCAACCATCAGAAACCTTTCTCTCTTTTTTCTCATTTACCCTGTTTTGCTCCGGGTAATCCCTGTTCTCCTGACACTGCTACAGAAACCAGAACGAATTAAGAGCAAATCCCTAAGGAAGTGCAACACAGCGTAAACAATGGGCAATGTCACATGATTCTGACAGCCACCTTGCACTCGTGAAATTGGGATTTTTTTCATCTTCTTCCATTGAGATGAAGGAGAAAAAACACAATAATCACAGCAAACCAAAGTGGCAAAATGGCCTAGAAATCAGTGAACAATATGAGCGAAGACGATAATACAAGGTAGAGAACAACAGCAAGACATGAGAAAAAACAACCTTCCAATCAATGACCATGTAGATGTTGAGTAATCATGATCAGAAGAGCTTGTTGACGATAAGATCAGAAGAACTTGTCTTGTGTGGTCTGAATAATCTGATATGACTTGTGTTGACGACTCAGCTGAACAATTCAGTTGAGCAACTCAGATGAGCAATGTTCTTTTTTTTTTTGTTTTTCTATAATTTTTCTATTTTCCAGTTTCTTGTTTAGGTAATTTGAAATCATTTACCTAAGAGATTGAGAGCTAGCTGGTTGTAAGTTAGTAGGTCCTAAAATAACTGGTTAAATTGGTATGATAGGATAAGATACGATATGATATGATATGATGTGATGTGATGTGATGTGATGTGATTAGGATCATAGAGGTTCATTTGGTAAACGAAAGGTTATTTTGAAGAACATTTCAAGTTGATGAAATTTAACCGCTGATAAATGTAAGAGCCAATTTTGTATAAATACTTCAGATAATTGATTATACTTATTGCGATATACTTTTCTATTGATGTATAGTGAGTAATTATAATGAGTGTTTCTAGTAATCGTTAATAGCTCAATAATAACGATAATAAAAATCTAAATAAGTAGAGTAGAGTAGAGTAGAATAAAAAAAAAAAAAGGTCGCCTAAATTTGTAATAAAAAATGATATAGATATAGATTTCAATGGATTATTAAAAGATTTACTAGATTATTAGGAGGGAGGAGTATAATGAAGGAATGAAAGATTATTAGTAACGATTAGAGAATCGATAAAGATGGATGAAATCTTTTTGGAGAGCAGTGGTGTTTGGTATATGGTATTTGAGTAGGGAAGAAACAAGAAAAAAGAAAGAAAGAGAAGAGAAGGAGCAGAGTAAAGACACAAGAAAACGGTTGGAGTTCTCCTATAGGAAAAAAACGCACGATTTTGGGAGATTGCTGAGGAAATTTGGGAAAACGGATAGAACAGATAAAGATTAAGTACTAATATTAGTAATGGCTTGTATTATATATTATGTAAGCAAACGCAAAATGAGAGTAGTTAAGCGCGATAATTGTGAGTATCATGTGATCTGCGTACAAAATAAGAGCAGAATCAAGCCTTTTGTATTGATGGTAGTGGAGTGGAGTGAAATGAGATTGAGAATGAGATTGTATGGGGTTTGCCATGGTTCAGATATTAGGTAGTAGTAGATAATAAATGAGTAGGGCCAGTAGGAAAATGTGTAAAGAAGTATATAAAAATATATATGTTAAAGATATATGGATATATAGAAATGAAAGACCAGACAAGTTATTCCTAAACAAAAACAGAAAATAAATCAATAAATTAGATAATTAAGTAATCAAGTAATAGTTGAGTAGATAAAATAGGTTACGAGGAGAGAAAAAAAAAAGAGAAAAAAAAAGGGAGAAAAAAGAGAATTAGTTATAGTTATAGTTATATATATTATATATATATAACTTAACAGCAAGAGCCGTTGTTATTATTTGAGATAGATTGACCTGGGTTAATGGTTTGTTTAGTTGAATTGTTATTATTTGAGTTGTTGTTGGCCATTTGGGCTTTGATTTGTCTTGCCATGGTGAAGAAAGCTTGTTCTACGTTGGTTGAGTTCAACGCAGAGGTTTCTAAAAAGGGAATGTCTAAAGCGTCAGCGTATTCCTTTGCAGCGTTATAATCAATAACTTTTTTGTCAGTTAAATCGGACTTGTTACCCACCAAGAGCTTCATCACACCACCGGTGGCATAACGGTCGATTTCTTGCAACCATTGCTTGACGTTATTGAAGGATTCTTGGTCAGTAACGTCGTAGACGATAATAATACCATGGGCGCCTCTGTAGTAGGAGGAGGTGATGGTTCTGAATCTCTCTTGACCGGCGGTGTCCCAGATTTGGAGCTTGATGGTCTTGCCGTCGAGTTCTATGGTTCTGATTTTGAAGTCAACACCAATTGTGGAAATGTAGTCTTGGGTGTAAGTGTCGTCAGCAAAACGTAGTAACAAACAGGATTTACCAACACCTGAGTCTCCGATAAGTAGCAACTTGAACAAGTAATCGTATTCACTATTCATTTTGGGTAATTGTAGGCTGGAGCTGGATGAGAGAAAAGACAGAGGAAGGATAGTCTGGGGATATAGAAGGTGGTGGAGACAAAGCAGAAGATCCAAGAGATAAGCCAACAGTTGCTTCCAAAGCACAGCTGTGTTGTTTTCAAAGCAATTTGCCGTCCGGAGTGCACGTGACCAGGAGAGCTCAAAGGCGGATGCGAAGGCGACGGAGCAGAAGAAGCAGAAGAAGCAGAAGCAGAAGCAGCAACAACAGCAATGTTCTCCACCATCAAACGACTCCAGGACTCGTTCAGTGCTGCTTCGACCTTTGCCCTTGTGCTCTGCTGCCTCATCTTCACTTCCTCCTACGTGCAGCTCCTCCACGACCGCTGCTTCGATCTTCCCTCCACCATCAGCGACATCTCCTTGGACACGTCTCTCAAGTTCAGCAGGATTCATGGTTCCCTCAACAAGAAACCCAAGGAGAACGCCAGATTGACCAGCTTCAGTCTCCAGACAGACTTGTCTCCCTTGTTTAACCTCAACACGAAGCAGGTCTTCGTTTACTTGACTGCCGAATACCACAGCGTGAACAGGAAGGACAACTCCATCAGCAACAAACTCATTTTCTGGGACAAGATTATCATCAGCAAAGACGACGCAACCTTGAATCTTACAAATCTAAAGTCCAAATACTCGGTTTACGACATAGAAAAGAGCTTTAATCACAAAAATGCTACTGTTCGGTTGGAATGGAATATCCAGCCCTGGGTAGGTCCTTTGATCTATGGCTCAACTACAGGTTTAGAGACAATCACTTTTATTTAATAATTTAAACATTTAAACATCTAAACATCTAAACATCTAATCATTTAATCATTTAATTAATCATTTAATCATTTAAATAACTAGATAACTATATACTCATATAATTGCAGTAAAATGAAAAGTGAAACCCATTAGCCTAGTTGAATTTCAAATTGTTCAAATTATTCACAACCAAACTGTTCAATATCAAAATTTCAGATTCCAAAATACTAATTTCTCTGCCCACTCTGTTTACGTCCCAACAACCTATCACATCGCAGAAATCGCAAAGGCTTTTACAAAAAGCTTGTTTCCATGTCTTTTTATTATTCCTTAATACTTATTCCTACTACTTATTTCTTGCTGTTTATTCCCTATTACCTTATCTCCATCACTTCCATTCTTACTTTCTCACCAACTCTTTTCACTCCCTTCCCCATTTGCATTTCTATAAATATCTCACTGTACCAAACTCAGTATCACCTTTGAATTTTTGTAAAAAAAACAGCTGCAAATGGCTGAGATCTCTGAAAACTATAAACCTTCACCTTAACCTTGGGAATTTACTTTTCTTTCTTTTCTCCCTTACTGCTACTTTTATGCATCAATAATATGGCAGACTCTCAACAGGTCCCTATCTTTCTTCATGAAAAATGGTATAAATACTTTACATTACTCACATCCTCTCCAACACTCGCCTCCCTCTCCATCGTCCATTCAAAATGAAAAGCACATTGCTTACTCTACCTTTCTTGCTCACTCTCGCTCTTGCAACTGATGCAAACAAACCAGTAACCGCTGATTCTTCCTCTATATCTGAGCAGGAGTTGCAAATAAAATGCTCTACTGATGAAAATTGCGTTAAATCCTACAACATTCAAACCGAAAAGTGTTCCTTCAATGAAAAAGATTCAGATGAAAGCGCCTTTTTGATTTTGGAGTGTCTATGTGAGTTATCTGACGACGAATACTGGAATTACTTGAAAGATTGTATTCTATGTCCTAGTCCAAACCTCGACGAGTCCTACGTCAATAACTTGAAATCAACTTACTGTTCAGACGTCGAAAATGGCTTCAAATCTCTTTCTTTGGATGACGATGTTTATGAATTATACACAGACAACTTGGCTGATACAGCCCAAACTGACGATAACGACGTTTCTGTAACTACAGGTTCAGCTGGTTCTCGTTCTGCGTCTGCTACCTCTACTCTTTCTGCTCCATCATCAACCTCAGACTCAGACTCAGACTCAGAATCAAGCTCTGCTTCTCAATCAACCGCTTCTAGATCAAGCGCCTCTGAATCTGATGCTTCTGACGCTGATTCTACATCTGCTGATTCTGCTAATTCTGCCTCAGAATCGGAATCAGAAACCTCTTCCAGCTCAAATGCTGCTGTTAAAATCGCCTTATCATCTTCAGTTCTTGGTGCCTTAGCTCTTTTCTTTCTTTAAATGAACCTTCTGTCAAAGGTCGTCACATATCTTTTACATCTCTCATTTTTTTAATTCTTAACCATTAATATATCATATCATATATTATATTATATTATATTTTATTGTATTGTATTGTATTATATTATATTTCACAAACCTTTCCTCTGTAATCCTCCCATCTCATGTTGGCCTCTTTCTTTTCGCTCAATTTTAGGACAAAGTTAAAATCTAAAACACGCTTTCAAAGCTGAGCTAAACCTTTTATCAACAAAATATTCTCATGTTTCCTTCAAAATGGAAAAAAATGAGACAGAATGTTGGTTTGAGTTGAGGTTATCATCAACAATAGCTGTTTATTGCAGTTTCTCAACAATAGCTTTACAAAACAAGAAGCTCAAATTCCAATTTAAGCCTCCCAACGATCCCAAAGTTAAGATATCTAATATAAATCAAGAAATTCGCACAAACTCTAGTTTTTAGTGAAAAAAAAACTAAAAAAACTAGAAAAACCTTTACTAAATCACACAAATTGTTCACCTTCTTTTAGTGGATAAGTTTCGTTAGTATTGCAGTATATATAATGATAAATTGCTTTCATTCTTATTCCTGATTCCCATCATAGCAAAACTTATTGTTCCACTGACAAAAATGCAAAGATTCCTTATCAACGTATTATCCCTTTTGCCAATAATATTAGTGGTCAAAGCTGATTTGTTATTCAGGAGAAACGAGAACATTACATACGATGAAGAGCTAGAGGAAAGATGCTCCAATGAACCTAGCTGCATCAAAAGCTATCAAATCCAATATGACCAATGCGCTACAGACGACGATACTGAACTTGGCGAGCAACAGGTGCTAGATTGTTTATGTGATTTGTCTGATTCTGAATTTTGGAACGATCTTCTCAAATGTGGTCAATGTTCTAGCCCTGAAATCTCTGATCTGGATATCAAATTCTTAAAAGATTACTACTGTTCTGGTGACTTATCAGCTTACTACAGTATCTATTCTGACCAAGTTGGCAATGATCAAAGTTATGGTTCTGCTACTCTTGATTCTGAAGCTTCTTCAACAATAGGTTTGGAATCACTTTTAACCTCGTCAGATCCAACTCCAACTGGTTCTTTAACATCATCAGCTTCAGATTCTGAAACTGAAATCAGCTCAGAATCCTCAACTATTTCTTCTGATTCTTCTGATTCTTTAGATTCTTTAGATTCCTCTGACTCTTCTTCTGATTCTTCTTCTACTGGATCTGCTTCAAGTTCTAATTTTGCTGGAAATGTCGCTCCCTCTGTTAAAGTTGCTGTGTCATCTTCAGTAATTGGCATTTTGTCTCTTTTATTTCTTTAATTTTGTTTAGCATTTATTAATTGACATCCGAAAAAAATCTTTTGCTTTTTACCTGTTTTTTTTGATTCTATGTTTGATTCTATAATGTTCGTTTCTATAATGTTTGTTTCTATAATGTTTGTTCTTTTTTGCTTAATTATTCGTATAACAGATTAATCAATGGGTATAAAGCCCTGCTTTTATTTCTTAAAATCAACCAAATTCAACTCTAGACAAGAAATATTCAATGAAAACTCATCACAATATGATTTTCGCCATAAACATAAACAACCATTTATTTTCACTTAAACATGAGACTCTGAAACATTGGTCAAGTTTCCTAATCCAGAACTTCAGAATAAAACCTTTGCTAAATATAAACTATATCCTGAATAAACAGTTCTAGAATAGTTCAAGCATAGTTCGAGGTTTGCTGATAACTCTGTAAAAAAACCATTCACTGAATTAAACTGAAATGGAAGCAATAAAGAAACCCATCCTATACCATCGCAAACATAGCAAATTGCAAAGAAACACCAGCTACTACTGTGTTGTTTGGTATGTGGCATATACTAGCTGTGGACAAGCTCTGGTGGTGGTTCAACAACCAAAGTGTAGATCAAAACAGAATGCTGGGAAAAGCAGTGATGGCTTTAAAAGGTTCAGCAACGTTTCAACCAAACTCCTTCTGTAAAGATCTTTATCAAGCTCCAGAAAGCTAAGAATAACATGCCAGTTTCAACCTCTTCAGCCAAACAACCACCAACATGAAGTACTTACCTACCACGAAGAACCACTACAACAACCAACCTCGTTGTCTCACCAAGTACTGTTCGGCTGTGGGCCTGTACTTAAAGCTATTCAGAATCAAGCATCGACGACTTATCAACTACTTGTTGGTTCTGTTTTTGTTCTTGACGTTGTTTCTCCAGCTCAAGTTGTTTCTCAACGAATACAACAGAATAAGCTCACACGACTCGAACAAAACCAACACTCCCAGAGATAAGAGCTCTCCAATCTCAAAATTGGCTAGAAACTCGCAGTACAGACAGACTCAGTTAATAGGTTTTGCTCAACCATACCTCTTCAACAGCGAATTCAACAAAAACAACAATGAGCTAGATGCCAAAGTCTACAATAATCTCAAAGAGATTTCAACATTTAACAATACTATCCAGGTTGCTAAAACAATACTTACGTTATCTCCTAGTTTAAAGACCTATCGAAACCAATTGATCAAATACTATCCATCGTTTACTAAAGCCTTTGATGATAAGCCATTGAATTCAGAAGCTGAGATCATCTCAAAAAACTGGTATGAATTCAATGGTGGTTCAATCTTTCTAAGTATTCTCAATTGCCATTTCATGGTCAGCAGAATAAATTACTCCAAAAGCTCGAAGAAAAATCTTCCATTTATCAGTTTTTTGGGATTTAAATTGATCGATAGAAACTTCAATGAAATCAGAGAAAACTTCAAATTCAAATATGGTCCAAATTCACATCAAATCAGTAATATGATCAATTTCCCATCAATCCATCCCATTCCAAATACATATTTCAGTATTGATCAGCAACAGCAACAGCAACATGGTTCATATGGACCACAAGATTTGAAGATCATAATCAAAGAGAGCTATTACGAATTTTACTACAATGGAGAAAAGATCAGAACAATTAAATATGAAGAGCCATTAATCATATTCAACATGAAAACTGATGAGAGTTTTTCATTCAACAATATGATTCATGGTTATTTGCCATTTCAAAATAAAAAAATTGTATTTACTATAGTCGACAACAAACTAAGAAAACAATCAGGAAAAACCTGGTCTCCCTTTTTTGATAGTGCATTTAAAAATGTCATTACGATCAATGTTAATGATCCCCAAATTATTCATGAATTCGAGAATCAAAGAGGCTCGCTCAATGATATCAAATTTGATTTTAAATTCACAAATGGATACATAAATTTCGTGTACTCGTTAAATCCCCTAAGAATATTGAAATGTAATTTGGATACAGGAAATTGTGGCTTCATTCACCAATCAATTGATTCAGCACATTTGGATAATTATTCCAACCAAAATAGAGAAATTGAAAGTGGAACATCTCTAGTTGAACTAAAAGTACCAAAAAAGGCTTTTACTCACTTGGAACTTGATATGAGAAAAATCGAGCAGAATTTAAATAAATACACCATTTGGGTTGGGTTTTCCAAAACTCACCTTTATGATTGTGGCTGTTCATCGCAAACTTACAGACCATCATTAACAGTTTTGTTTAAAGAAAGAGGAACTTCCAATTACAAAACTGAGCTATTCTCAAGCAGCATCGATTTCAATTTGAATGTAGCTTCTTGGGATGCCACTAGTAACCAATCCTGCGAGGGTCCTTTTAATCTGTTGGTTCCAAACAGCATATCCTATTGGGATGCCAAAGAGGATATAAATGCCAATGGTGAATATGAGTATGAGGATTACATGGCAGTTGCAATCTCTGAAGCAGACTCAAACAACATTGTTGTCCATCTCAAAGGAATTTTGAAATACTTATTACAACTTCCATTCTTTCAAAAGGAAGACACTCTCTTACACACGAAACTTGATAGCTCATTGCTAATGGACTTTTCTCTTCGCGAGTCAGCCAAATACTGTGAGGAATATGGAAGAAACAATGGAGGAAGAATACCCTCGACCACCAAAAGAAAGAGTGACATATAAATATTCTTATGTAGCTGTATCTATATATGTGAAGCAACATAGCGAAAGCAGGCCAATTGGAACAGCTCAACAAAAGCATCACTCGAGTCTATTTCTCTGGTTGGGTGTTTTGAATAAAAGCATAGAACACACAGCTCAACATCTGTACTGGTATAGCGTGCGTTATAATTACCAAGGCATAGAAGGTATAAATAGCTGATGGAGTCACTTTGGCTCCAATTTCCAGCATTAATCTCAAACAAAAAATTTTCATGGAATTTTCATGGAATTTTCAAAGAAACAACAAAAACACAGCTGTTTGGAAATTATCCCCAAGCACTTTCTTGAGAACTATTATAACGAGGGCCCTTTCATCGTCGAGTCTCTTTTTATTCAAATAACTTGAGGGTATAGGAGGTTGGTGGAAATATATTAATAGGAGGCGGAAGGAATTTAGAACTCAGATACTGTTTCTTTGTTCGATCATCAGAGTTTTGTTATACAATAACTGTTTTGATTTCATTTCTATATATACTGTGTTTTATTTGAATATCAGTGACATTCTGCAAACAAAACCGTCAAAGCTATCGTTTTATCCCCTGTTATTGACTCCAAACTGGCACTACTGACGTGTTGTTTGTTCAGGAACAACAACACTTTGCTGTTACTCGATTGTTTAATAACTAGATTGGTAAAACAGATAGTAGCTAGTGTTAAGCTGCCATTTTGAGGGTTTGCTTATCATCTTAGTTATTTGGGTGTATTAAGTTGTTCTGAAATTATGAATTCTGCTGCTTTTACAAAATGTTCAGCCGGAGTTTTATTTGATATAAGTCTCCAACAATGAATAAATGTTTTAACTAAAATTGAGAATTGATTCTTTCAAATACGTGTTTGCATGCTTTTATTTTTTAATTAGTTTTTTTTGGCTAGTTTTGCATTTCATTTCATTTCATTTTGCTTTTTGCATTGTTTTTGTCTCTTTTAATGTCCATCATCGCTAATTCTTTTATTTGTCTGTTTTTAAAATCACATTTTATTTTCTTTGCATCTTGTTTATTTTTTATATTCTTATACTTTTTTTTGGAATTTTATATAGCTTTGGCATATAATATTTGTAGTTTTAAATCTACATTATTACCTTTTTAAGCTTTACTTTAGTAGTCAGTAATTTCAAATTCTAAAGTTTATTAGTCTAAATATAATGAAATCTTTCATTAATTAACCAGTAAAAAATTTAATTTTTTTGAATTAAAATTTGAATAAAAATATTACTTCACTGAGATCCAAAAAAAATAATTAAAGAAAGTGGTTTGCTTCGAACAATACGCTTCAACTTTTTTTCAATGTTATACTCTCCTAATTGAGAACCATAATCTTTTCTTTTCAAAATTTTCGATCTTTACAACTTTGAATCTAAAATTTAAAATTTTTTTCAATTGAAATTTAATAACACATAATATATAAATATATAAATATATAAATATATAAATATATAATTCAAAAATTAACATAAAAACAACATATCTGTATCAGCTCATTTTTCAGTATCTAAAACCATTTTTGAATTGGGTTTGATTTTAAGCCCAAAGGTTATCAATTATGTATAATCAATTTTAAGAGTTATCCATTTTAAAAAATTTGTATAATTAATTCTATCAGTTTTTTGTAATTATTTTTATTAACTATTCATTTTAAAAGCTTTTTTATGATCAGTTTTAACAGTTTTTTACGATCAGTTTTAATTATTATTCATTTTAACAGATTTTTATACTCAGTTTTAACGTTTATTCATTTTCACGGTTTTTAATTTTGAAAATTGACATTTTTAAAAATTTGTCGTAATTTTAATAGTTTTATGTGATCAATATTAACAATTTTTTATGATTGGGTTTAACAGTTATCAATTTTAAAAATCCTATTTGATCAAATTTAGCAGTTATTCATTTTAAAAGCTTTTTATAATTGATTTTGACAATCGGAACTTTTAAAAATCTTGTACCATTAATTTTAACAACTATCCAATTTAACAGCTTTTTATAACCAATTTTAGCAGCTATTCATTTTAAAAATTATTCATTTTAACTGCTATTCATTCTAAAAATCTTGCATGGTCAATTTTAACAGCTTTTTTAATTAAACAATAACAGTTTTGTATGATAAATTAGAATGTTTTTATCATCATTTTTCGGATTTAAAAATTAAAAAATTCAGCTTTTATAACTTTTTTTTTGGTTTTTCAATTATAATTCAAAATAATAAAAGCAAAATCTTTGCTAACCATAGCTGTAATACAAAAATACCAATCAAAAAAAAAGGAAGTAGAGAATGGAAGTAAAATATGGAATTAAAACAAAATAGAATATTGAAGAATGGAAGAAATATTTGAAATATAAAACCATGACTTTCTAGGTTTTTTCTCTTTTTCTTTTATTAATAATAGAAAGTGATCACAAACAGCTTTATTTTTGATTTAGCAAATATAGTAAAAAATTCAACAAAAATAATAATAAAAAATAATTAATCCTCAGAAAATGTTTGATACAGCATGTTTTTTTAACTAATTTATGAATTCTAGCAACTGTAAACGAATAAAAACTCTTCAATAGAAGAATATTAAAGACATCCCAAACCCACCCTCAAACGTTTATTTCACTAATTTATAGAAATTGTTTTGATTTTACTGTATTTGAGAAAACATCGATATTATTTTATTGCTTTTGAACTGATTTAACTGGAGACAAAGCAAACAAAACTGTTGAATTTATGTTTCTATTATTACCCAATCTCTTTGGCTGATATTCCAACTAGTTTAAACAATTAAGCAGAATCCGTTAATATTTATATTGTCTAGAAAAATAGCATATATCTGGATATTTCTTTATCAACTTTTTTCAAGCCACCAAATCTTTTTCTTTAATCAGCTTAAAACTTTCTTTTACACGAAAATTAAAAATAACCAGAGAAGAGGATCTACATATTATTTGAAGACATTATGCATGTATGCGCATTTGCGCATTGACATGCATTAAAAATTTATATTTCTTTATATTTTTATATTTTATGTGGGTTTTGATACCATTACATTTATCATGTCTAACTAGATAACTCGTTTTTAAGGTCGATCAATGTTTTGGCTAATCTCTCAGCAGCTTTGTTCATGTCCTCCACAGTAGCAGAGGCATATGTAGCTCTGAAACCAGCAGTTTTCAATTTTTCTGATGGTGGGACAATAAACCACCCACCTTTAGCTAGAATTACATTATTATCAATTGTTTTTTCGTAAACTTTCTCTTCAAAGATAGATGCCCATTGTTCTTCGGAAAAGTCCTTGCTTGGTTTGGGAAACTTTTCAATATCAATTTTTATCCACAAAAACATTCCACTGGCTGGACAATTCCACGAACATAAGTCCTTTGGCAAATACTTCTCAAAGGATTTCATTAAGGAATCTCTTCGGGAAGTGTATAATAGTCTTATTTTTTCTAGCCATTTAAGGTAGCCTAAGTCGCCCCATTTTGTTAGTATTGTGTAAATAATTAGCTGGGAAATACCTGAAGCAGTTTGTATGTTCACTTCATTTTGTCTTAAAATTCGTTCAACGAATATTTCATTTGCTGTGACCCAACTAGTTCTTGAGCCCGGTAACATGACTTTTGAAAATGAATCTAGTCTAACAACTCTTCCATCGGTATCAAGACTTAATAGACTTGGAACCAAATTTTTTGTAAAGTTTTCCGAAGTAAACTCGCCTTTGACTGGGCTTCCTAATTGCAAAAAATAATAAGGTTCATCTTCAACTATTAGGATATCGTGTTTTTGACAAACTCGGTAAAATTGTTTTCTTCTCTCTAGAGACATTGTAATACCAGTTGGATTTTGGCCTGTTGGCATTGTATATATTAGTTTAGGTTTAGGAATTGATTTTGAAGAAAGGTGCCAATTAGTCAACAAATTATCTAGTTTTTCAGCAACGATGCCACCAGAATCAAGAGCCACTGGCACAACATTTAATTTAAATGGAATAGCTGTCTCCAAAGCCGTTGGGTAAGTTTGTTCTTCTATTAAAATTGTATCATTTTGATTGCAAATAGTTCGTAGGACAGCATCTAGAGATTGAGTTGAGCCAGCAGTGATGATAGTATCCCAATTTTTATAAGGAGGATTGTGAATTGAAGCAGTGTGTGTTTTGACCCATTTACTTAGGTAAGTTGAGCCAATTGATGGACCATATTGTAATGATTCGTATAGTGAAGTGTTTGGTAGTTCACCCAAGGCAACAGATTCAAAATTTGTGAAATTTGATTCAACAGTTGGATAATCAATTGAGATATTGTTACATGGGAAAACAGATTGATGAGGTAAACCCCCACCTAGTGAGACTACGCCAGGTTTTCGTAAATGAACATGTAATTTTTTCAAAGCAGAGGGGTTTCTTAATTTTGCCTCATCTGATAAGAAATTAGTCCAGTTCTGAGGTTTTTTCATTATTAGTAAGTAAACAAAAAAGTGATAGTTAATGTACAAGATTAATGGATGAAATTACTAAGGGGAGCTATTCTTTATATATAACAAAATAAAAGTTGGAAACATTTTACAATAAGAAAGTTTAAAACGATATTAGTAAAACATTGAAGAAATTAAGCAAGTAGATAAGAGAATGAGTCAGATTCAAGATACGAGCAATAAAAACCATAGATTTCGACTTTTGATAGTGAAATTAATTTGGTTTGACCAATGGGAGCCCAGCACAAAGTTATCACCAAATAGGAAGTGCCTACGATGTTTAACTTATTAAAACCAAATACAGTTTGTGATTATTAAGCTAAAGGGAACTTGAAGAAACTTTCGGGAAATAGAAAAATGATTATTTAATGTGGATTAAAAATGAAGTAATGAAGTTAGGTTTTGTTTACTATGCATTCAATTTGCATTTTACTTGTATTTCATTTGGACTGCCTACATTAAATAGGGTTGAACTTGTACTATGAATAAATAGTGTGGATTAAACGAGACTTTCTGGAAAATATATACCCACTGTGAAATGTGAAATGTGAAATGTGAAATATATAATTTGTAATTTATAGATAATAATATAAAAACCTATGAATTTATGAATACATCGGTAATGATCTATAATTTTAAAACTCTTTCCAACTTTCCACTTGATTTCAACAGTTGCAAATCAGAGTTACCACCGATGTGTTTACCATCAATGAAAATATTTGGAACAGTAGATTGGTTGGTGATTTCCTTTAAAGCACTTTGAATCTCGCTACCATCGCTGATTTTGTTCAATTGCAATACATAAGGTTTTTGTTTCAAATCGTCAAAGGTCTGTAGAGTAGCCTGGCAGTATGGACAGTATGTCTTTGAGGCAATAAAAATGTGATTTGAGTTGATGAGATTTTGGACTTTGGTCAAGACTTCTTTGGAGAAAGACATTTTGGAACTGCTGGTATACCTGCTGTTGATTGCACTAAAGAAATAAAAGAGAAGGATGATTGTGAAGAGAGCCACTGCAACGTCCATGCCTCTTGTTTTATACCGGATTTTGAATCGCAAAGTGCTGGCGAATGAGCACTCATTTCCAGCTGCTTGGAGAGAAAACAGAACCACAGCTGTGGATCGCCGACTAAAGCAGCTGAGGCCGGATGTTGTGTGGCAGGTCGTTTGGTGCTCGGTTCGAGATGTTCACGTCCGTCTAGTTTTCGACGTCACAACCTTCCGTCACCGCATTACGTCAAACGTAAGTTCGGCTGCTGTACGCGTGTGCGTGCATGAATCTACAGCTATGCCCGCGCACGAGCGAGCAACGGATTTGCGGTGTATGGATTTTCCAGCCGTGAATCATGAGCACAATTGTTTTATTGTTTTAGCCTGCTTTGATGGATTATTTATTGGGTGCCTGTTTATTTGTAAGTATTCTCTTTAGCTGCACCAGATACCTCTGCTCTATCCATCTATATTACCAAACCACACCAGCGTAAATCCAGAAGAAAATGAACTTTGGCACTTTGTTATCTCAAGTCAAGAATAATGGCAAGGTCTCATCTTCGTCTTCCTCCTCAAGTTCAGCCTTGAAATCAAATGCTGCTAAAAACCTACCTTCTTTCACACAAGTCAACAACCAAAGTGCTTCAAAATCAAACTATGATAGCAGACTCAGCTACTCTACTAATATTGACCCTTCGGTTGCACGACTAAAAGCTGCTAGAAGATCTGAAAGGGAAAAGGAAGAGAGTGTCAGGAAGAAAAGCACTGCTAGCTTGTCTGCAAAGAAAGCTTCAACTAAAAATTCTTCCAGAAAACCTGCCACCTCTAATGCCAACACTAGCAGCAATAAAATTTACAAGAGCACCTCATTTGGAAGAACTAAGACATCTGCTAATGACTTCAAAGACCAACCCTTGAGACCTGCAGTAGTCAGAAAAAAAATAAAATTCAGTGATTTGATGAAAACCGCTGAAAAAATCGATGCCTCCAAGCTTTCAATAACTCCATCTTTTAAAAAGAAAACTCCCAATAATCCAAGAACTCCTTCCAAACCTTCACCACCAGCAAATGCTGCTCAACCACTAAAGAAAAAACCCATTACTCTGAGTCCTAAAGCAAGATCTCCAATCCCCACCAATAATAATAATAATAATAATAATAATAATAATAATAATAATAATAATAATAATAATAATAATAATAATAATAATAATAATAACAATAATAACAATAATAATAATAATAATAATTCTCGTTTACCAAATAATGCCAAATCTAAAAGCTTGCCCCCACCATCTTCGAATGATCGTCATTCTAATAACCGCAACCATAGCCATAACAACAACATGAATAATAGATCTGTTCACCCAGCAAAAAAACCAAACGAACCTATTCCCTTTACTGGCCCATCCAAAGAAGTCCAAAAACAACTAGCAGCAATCAGAAAGAGAAAACTACAGAAAAAGAGATTTGGCTCCGATTTTAGAGAAGCAAATGAAGAAGATGACGATTTCATTGTCTCTGATTCTGAAGACGTTGGCGGAGACTATGGAGGCGCTCCAGTCAAAAGAAAACACTCTTCTGGCCTATCTGGCTCATCTGCTTATAGAAATAGCCAAAGATCTTCAAAACCACTGGCCCCAACAAAGAAAAGAAGATATTCTGATGATGATCGTTACAGCTCTCGTCCAAGTCGTGGCAATTCTCGTCACAGAGACTATGACGATTATGATGACTATGACGATGATGATGGCTTTGTGGAAAACGACGATCCTGGTTATGACAGAGACGAAATTTGGAACATCTTTCATGGCCACAAACCAAGAAATCAATATTATGATTTTGACGATGATCTATCAGATATGGAAGCTACTGGTAACGATGTTTTTGCCGAAGAAGCTTATTCTTCCAAACAAGCAAGGGAAGAAGAACTAAGAGAAAAACTAAGAGAAAAGAAAAGAATTCAAGCAAAAAAAGCAAAACTTCAAAACATTAAAAAATAAAACCAACAAGATAATTTATTCTCTATAATCATAATTATCATTAAAAACAAATAAAAGATTTTGAAATATTAGTTTTACAAAAACTTTTTTGAAAGAATATTACATTTCAACTCTTATAGCTCAAAACAAAGAAAAAAAAGAAAAAAAAAAACATTTATCTGCAATTTAATTTCCTTTAAAAATTTTGGTTCTCATTTTTGCTTTACTTTTTATTCAAAAATTCTGTAAATTTAATTCTTATATTATTCCAATTCAATTTCATTTCATTCTATTCTCAGTTTATTATAATTTTTTTATATTCTGTTTAGTTTTCTTTTTTTATTTAATTTATTTATCATTGGTTTTTTTATCTATTTTTTTTTTAATTTCAAAGGATATTCAACTGCATTTCAATTTTTTAACTTCATTCTAAATAATCTCTTTTTTTACTAATTTTTGTTTTTGATTCTTTCAACTCTTTATTCTCATTATAGTTGATAAAATTTAGCATTTTCGAACTTTAGCCAATAAATGACTCTTTTCATTATTGAATAGTTAATATTTTAATTGGATTTATATTATACATTCTATCTTCTCATTCAAATTATTTGAATTAATAAAAAACTCTATATTAAATACAATTACTATTAGTAAATTTTAGATACCAAAAAAAACATAAAATCAAATATTATCTCCTCCCTTTAATGCCCAAAATTGTCTTCTTTCAGCTTTATTTGCTTTAGACATTTCTAACTCTGACAAACTTTGGATTTTATCATTCTCTGACTTTTGATTGTCTGTCTTTTGCAATTTAACTGTAGTTATTTGAAAATCGGAAGAATCAACAAGATCAAATTTCCTTTTATTATTTGTTAAATTATTAGTCAAATAGTTGCTGTTCAAAGTGTTTGAAAGATTTTTGTTATCAAAATGAGAGTCATCTGTTTCAAAACTATCGTCTGATCCATCTATCACAATTACTTCTTCTTTTGTATCACTTTCACTATCTGAAATATTCATAAACTGATCAACAGTAATATTTTGACGATTAACATTTTCAGTGTTTTTTTTATTACTGTTCTGAATTAATTTTTGTTTTTTAGCTTCTCTTACTTTTTTTAAACCATCTAATTTTGATTCTCTAACTGTTTTAATTGCCTCGATTCTTGAGCTCTTTTTAGTTTTCTTTTCTTTTTTGGCTTTCTTTTCGGGAACTTCTGTTGGTGTTTCTTCTAAATCTGAGCTGTCTATTATAATAACTTCAGCTTCACCATTAGTAAGCTGTTCAGTTTTAGTTTTAGTTTCCATTTCCATTTCCATTTGTAATTTTAATTTTTGTTTTTGTAATCTTGCTTGACGTTTTTTCTCTTTCAATTTTTCCCTTTTTCTTTCCATTTTTCTTTGCTTTTTTGTATTACGCGGTTCTTGGTTATCTTGGTTCTCTTGATTATCTTGGTTACTTTGTTTATCCTTTTTAGCAGTCTTTTTCCTTTTTTGAATATTTTCAATAACATTAACAGTATTTGAATTTAGATCCTCATCACTCAAATCTGAATAAAAGTGGATGCCGCTAATGGCATCAGATGTTAGAGGAGGTAGTTTATTTTTATGTTCGATTTCATTGAAAAAGGAGTCATTATCTATGATTGCAATATTTATGACTAAGTTTCTATCATCATTAAAACTTCTATTTTCGCCCTTATATTTGATTACATCACCCAATAAGGTCTTTCCAAATCTTTCTTTATAAGTGGTAGGAGATAGTTCGTAACATTTTGTAGTTAACAATTGAAAAGCACCGGAAAAGGCCTTTTTGATATCAATTATGTTAAAAGTGCCTCTACTGATATTGTTTTTAGGATCTAAAGGATCTTGAATAGATAGACCAAAAGTGGTTCTTGTTTTCAATTCTGAGTAGTTCTGTTTTGGTAAATAACAGCAGCCTCTTTTGTTTGAGACACAAATTGCAATGTTTTCGTAATTGAAATTTCTGCCATATAGTTCAAAGAACTCTATTAGCAAGATACCTAAATTTTCTTTTGCTAGAATTGTGCTTGAAGACAATTTTGGGTGTAGGTTTAGGAAATTGTAGACTAGGCAAATGATTGAAAAGCCACCTAAACCACCAAGATGAACATTGTTTAGTCTTCTTGAGGCAAGAAAAACTTTAATGATGAGAACCAATTCTCTCAAGCCATCGGTTTCAACTAACCAAGATCTAATTAGTTTTGCGGCTTCAATGCCATTAGTTCTTTCAAACGAGATATCGATATGAATTTTAGAATGGATATGGATTAGTTTGATGATCGGCACTTTTGCCTTTGCGATGACTTCCAAGTTTGAGAATAAGCCAGTTTTTCTTAAAGCTGAGGATAGAGCATATAGTTTTGATCTATTCTCTTTGTTGCCGAATTTTGATACCACAACCATATCGATATCTGAGCCAGGCAAGTATAAATCAGTGGCATAGGAACCAAAAACATGAACTTTAGTATCAGGCCAAAAATTTGTTATTATCGAGCTTAAGGTTTCAAAGCAATTATTACGAAGTTTGATTTCTTCCTTTGTTGGGGATATAAAACTGACAAAGTCTTCAATTTCAGTATTTAGCAAATCTGGTATGCTTCTTAGTTCTGAGTGATCATGATCTCGAAGCCAGAATACTTTGTTATTAATGGGACGAAGATTTGATTGAGATTCAGTGTGTTCATCGTCAGTGTTCTTTCCAAAGGTGTCGCTATCAGAACCAAGCTGGATAGCTGAGTCGTCAAAGTCTTTATAGTCGTCATATTTATTATAGTCTGTTTCAGTGGGTATTTTCGGATGTTTATGAGATTTATGAGACTCACGAGATTCATCTGGTTTTCTTGTTATCTTTTTGGATTTAGATTTAGATTTTATGTCAGTGTATTTTGAAGCAGACTGATCATCAGAATCAGAAAAGTCAAAGCCAATGAAATCTTCGTTGTGTGCTAAGTCGTCCTGGAGATTGATCCTTTTAACAGAGCTGTTTTGCTGAACTATGGCCACTGATTCCTGGTTATGTTTCAGAGAACCATCTACATAACTTTCGCTATCAAGATCTATTATATTCCCAATACTCAAGTCCAAGACGATTTCTTGGTCGCAAATTGCAAAGGGGTCGTTTTGATTGGACATTGAACCCGAATTCGAAAGCAGTATTGCATCTACAGCTTTTATGCCATTACCACTGTAGGTGTGGTCGCCATTAATGTTCTCTATCTTTGCATCCGCTATATTGTCTATCAGTATACTGTGGTCCATTGCTTTTATTATAGTGAATTTGACGAAAGGGCAAACGAACAAAACAAACTGCTAGGTGTATGAAATAGAGCAGCTTGAATCAGAAAAAATTTGTTATAAGCTTTTGTCTTTAGCTGAATTTCATATAAGTTCAGCGGATAATGAATAAGAAACGAAAGAGGATTCCAAATTGGATTAAGATTGGATTAAGATTGGGTTGGAATTGAAAAAAATGAATTAAAACTGATAAAAAAACCAATTAAAATTTGAATTAACTCAAAATTTCTTGCGGTTTTCCAAATATTTTTTTTTGGATTTAGAGTTAAGTGCGCAAAAAACCGTTTCTGGAGGGAAAACTGCATATTGGAACTTGAAAAAAACTCTCCCGTCCTGATAAGACGGGGCAATCAGAAGCAGTGGACAGAAACGTCCATAGAAAGTTGAAGAAAGCTGAAGAAAGTTGTTAAAAAGTTGCAAAAGGTTGCAAAAAAGGTGGAAAGAAGGTTGGGTCTTGCAAAGAAAGCACTAGCGACAATCAAGAGAAGAGTGAGAGGCTGTTGGATGTGCTGGTATATAAGGCGATGAGTGTGCTGGTGCTGAAGCAGGAGCACCAGAATAGTTGGAATAGCTATATTAACAGCCATAATAACAGCCATAAATCAAAATAACACAATGTTGACGAAGGACTCCAGAATAGCTGTCTGTTGTGGCAGCGAGACTGTTGCTCGAAGAGATTGGAGCCATTTTGCAGCTGAACTACGGCTCTTGTGCCATGTAAGTCTCTTATCGTTTGCTGATTTGTTTTATGAAGAACCAGTTATTAACTCAGCTCTCTTCTCTCAGTCTGTTCAAATCCACTGGTATTTGGGAAACATCGTCATAGTGGTTGGAACCATGGGCCACACTTTGACCACTTTATATTCGTTCAGATGCCCCCAGCTAGTTTATCTTCCTGACTTCTTCTATGAGATCACTTTCACATCCATAATATTTGTCTACTCAATAGTTATCTGGAAAAGCTACTCGACCACTGCCAGAACAACCACCAAACGTAACAACTATTTTGTTCCATCAAGGTTGTCTCGATTCAACAGCTTTATCAGCCAGCTATCGTCTGATCAAAATGTCCACTACCTCCTCCTTGCAATCCTAATCAATGCTGCTGATTTTGTCTCATATCTCCAGATTTTGTATTTATTGCCCTTCATGGTTTATTCTCTCTTTCATGTCACCAGCTACACAAAGGATCACATCTTGCCAATCTTGCCATACATCAACGACAAATCCTTGAATAACTTGATATCAACCTTTGATAAATTAGTTGTTTTTTTCCAATTATCTCAGTTTAATATTGTATCCAATTTAGAAGTCATTTTTCTTATCAATTTGCTAGTTTTTACGCTTCTGATTTATCTAAATTTCTTAAATTCATTCAACTCATTCATTCCCTTCCCTCCGCCAAATCTTATCAAGAAAACCGATAATAATAGCAGAATTATTTATTATCTGTATATATCTGCTATCTATTGTTACTTTATCAAACATAACTATAACATTAAACCCTCAATGAAAAAAGTTATTAAAAATTACGGTTTTCTTGAAACTCTCATCAACCATCTTTAAGATCTTTCCAATAAATTTATAAATTTATAAATTTATAAATTTATTTTCTCCACAACCTTTAGTCTTTTTTTCTTTTCTTTCTTTATTACAGCACAATCTGCATTTTTTTAATAACTAATCATCAAACTTACATCAAGTCCTTCTTTGCTTTTCATTATCATTTCATTTTTTTTTTCAGTTGTTTTATTTCTTTTACTTTACTTTATCTCTTCCCACGTATTTCATTCATTTCTCATCAATATAGATATTTTTTAATAAATTACAACAAAATCTAATTGCTTTCTAACGACGTCTTTTAGCTTTTGACCAAGCCGATGATGAATTATCACTTCTCTTTCTCTTAAAATCACTAGACTTGAAACTCTTGGAGTTGTTAAATATAGAAAAATCCTCACCACCAAAAACATTCAATTGCTTCTGTCTTGATTCTCTACCACTTTTCTTTCTTTGGCTCTTTGAACTTGGTAATCTAACAAAGTTATTCTCTTCATAATCTTGAATCTCCCTTTCCTTTTCTCTATCCCTATTGGTTTTAACTCCACCTCTGCCATGATTAACAATCGTAGATCCAATCGAGGCCTCTAATAATGGCGCGTTTCCATATTCCTTTAAATATTCATCCATTGATTGAATTCTCTTGTTCTTACTCTTCATTGGTTTGTCTAATGAATCCTTATTGGATGTTGGTGGTGCAACTGCTGATATCCTTGGTGGTTTATATTTTTCATTCAAATTTGATGTTGAAACATTTTCCTTTTCACTCGTACTTTTAATAGTTTTAATCAATGATTGAGTATCAGGTTTGAAATTCAACTCATCATCACTATCACTGTCACCATCATTATCACTGCTATCATTTTCATTTATGCTTTGAGAAGCTATCGACTTGGGCTTTTTATCCAGTTCCTGGCTATCTTTTTCCATTCGTTTATATGTATTCACGATTTTATCAAATTGATAATTCAATTTTTTTTCCAAACTTTTTACACCTCTTTCAAGTATCACTCTTTGCGTAACTGTATTCTCTATTGATTTGTTTAATATTTTTTCGATTTCCACACCTTTCTCACCATCCTTTGTATTTTCATCGCTCTTTTCAAGATGATGATCTAATAGCTCAACTTTAGATAATATAATCAATGCCAAATTGTTTATATATGACAATAACGACGAATTCTTCAATGCCAATAACGACATTCCCTTAAGCTTATTATTTTTGTTTTTTTCACTCTCAAGAAGCAAATCCTCTACAAGTTTGGGTATCTTATCTTTTTGCAATAAACCAGAAGCATTTTTTTGAGATGCACAGGCCTTCTCAACTGACGCTGTCATCTTAACAAGTAGCTGATCCAAATCTAGAGCCATAATATAATGTAGTGTAATTTTATATATTTGATATATTAGATCAATATCAATATCAATATAGGAAGATTATTCACCCAATTTTTTTATCAAAAACGAAAAATCTCAAAAATCTGCACAATTTTTTTTCATGTAAACAATCACGTGAGAACATCAAAAAATTTCAAATTTTTTTTATCAGCTTTTATCTTTAATCAGAAAAAAAAATATCGTTATAACAGACTTTAAAAAGGAAGTAAAATCGATAGAATAACTTGAAATGGTATGTTTTGGTATTCCTATGATGAATGGAGCGTTCTATAGTGCTGCTGAGTTACTGACATTGTTTTTAATAGCCTCAAAACGAATATATTGAACAACATATAAAACAACATGGTCGAAGACTTGATCATGAAGAAAGAAAACGTAAGAAAGAAGCAAGAGAGTCACATAGAATTTCCAAAGATGCTCAAAGATTAACTGGCTGGAGAGGTAAACAGTTTGCTAAGAAACGTTATGCCGAAAAGGTATCAATGAAAAAGAAAATCAGAGCTCACGAACAAAGCAAAATTAAAGGGCCTACTAATGATAACAACGATAATAAAGAAGCCTTACCAACGTATCTTTTGGATCGTCAAGAGCAGAATACTGCAAAGGCTATATCCTCAAGTATAAAACAAAAAAGATTGGAAAAACTTGATAAATTCTCTGTTCCATTACCAAGAGTCAGAGGTATTTCTGAAGAAGAAATGTTCAAAGTGATCAAAACAGGTAAGAAGACAAAGAAGAAGAGTTGGAAGAGAATGATAACCAAACACACATTTGTCGGTGATAATTTCACCAGAAAACCAGTTAAGTTGGAAAGAATTATCAGACCAAGTGCACTCAGACAAAAGAAGGCTAATGTGACGCATCCAGAGTTGGGTGTTACAGTGTTCTTACCCATTTTGAGTGTGAAAAAGAATCCTCAGAGTGCAATGTATACTCAATTGGGTGTATTGACTAAAGGTACCATCATCGAAGTCAATGTCAGTGAATTAGGAATGGTTACTGCTGGTGGTAAAGTTGTTTGGGGTAAGTATGCTCAGATAACCAATGAACCGGATCGTGATGGTTGTGTTAATGCTGTTTTATTGGTTTAATTTACTATTTTGTCATCATGATACTATTATAACTGTTATTGTTTTAGAAATTATACTGTTGCGGCTTTTTTTTTCATTTTTTTTTTTCATTTCTATTCAAGCAATTATCTTTAATTCAATCTGATTATTCTTTTAGTTTTATGTAATGATGTGGAGAGAATACGGTAGTGATACTCAGTTATTAATCTAAAGACAGATGTTTGATAGTTTTTTCAGTTTAGACTTTATTTTATGAAAAACATTGGAAGGGACAATATTAGTACTGCTATTGAAAATTTAAGTAAAGATATAATTAAGTAAAAATAATAAATAAGATTATATTTAAAAATATTTGACAAAAAAAAGCAAGAGAGACAAAAAAAAGGACTAAACGAGCTAAATATAATGAGGTATTAAATAGGAAAAAAAAAACGCATTTTCTGTCAACCAGTAAGAAAATAAAATTGTATTAAATAGAGATAACAATAGACAAATTAAATAATCAAATAAGATTTGGGGAAATAAAAATATTTTCATGAAAAGCACTGATAATTAATAAAGATAAACTAAAGAAACAAAATGAGGCAGGTGAAAGAAAAAATAAAGATTAAGATTGAAATTCGAGTAACAGAGATAATAATAATAATAATAATAATAATAATAATAATAATAATGGTGATAATAGTGATAATAAATATGAAGGAAATTATATTAATTTTAATAAAATAAAACAAGAAAATAATTTGTCGTGTTTTGATATTTTCAATTAAGGTTTGTATTCATACAGTAAGTTTATTAATGAGAAAATATAATTGAATAAATTTTGATTAGACAAGATTGTATTTTAAAATAGATAAAATAAATAGATAAAATAAATAGATAGATAAATAGATAGATGAAAGATAATAAAATAAAATAAATAAATAAAAAAGAAAAAAACAAACAAACGAATCGAATAACAGACAAAAATCATTAAAGTATTAAAATTTTCTTTTTATTTTGAATTTTATTATTATTATTATTATTATTATTAGTAGTAGTAGTAGTAGTAGTAGTATTTTTATAATTATTGATATTGATATTGATGAAAAACATTATTAATATTAGTATTATTGGATGTAGGAGTGAAGAGAAGAGTGTGAAGATAGGAGCAGTATTTGTACTATTAAAATATAAGAAAATAAGATGATAATTACAATTATTCCATTTTATCTTCGTAATGACCTTCTTCAGCGTAATCGATTTCTTCGTCATCAATACCAGCTTCTTGGTATTGTTGGTATTCAGCTACCAAATCGTTCATGTTAGATTCAGCTTCAGTGAATTCCATCTCATCCATACCTTCCGAAGTATACCAATGCAAGAAAGCCTTTCTACGAAACATGACAGAGAACTGTTCACCGACTCTTTTGAATAGCTCTTGGATAGAGGTGGAGTTACCAATGAAGGTGGCACTCATGTCAACACCCTTTGGAGGAACAGAACAAACAGCAGTTTGAACATTATTTGGAATCCATTCAACAAAGTATGGAGCATTTTTGATTTGAACTTTGTGCATTTCATCTTCAACTTCTTTCACGGAGACTTTACCTCTGAAGAAAGCAGCGACGGTTAAGTAACGACCGTTTTTAGGGTCAGAAGCAGCCATCATATTCTTTGAATCGAACATTTGTTGGGTCAATTCAGGAACAGAGAGGTTTCTGAAGGATTGAGAGCCAATGGCAGTTAATGGAGCGTAACCAACCATGAAGAAATGTAGACGAGGAAAAGGAACAAGATTAACAGCTAATTTTCTTAAATCTGAGTTCAATTGACCAGGATAACGTAAGGATGTGGTAATACCACTCATGACAGAGGAAACCAAATGGTTATAGTCAGGATAAGAAGGAGTTTGCAATTTCAAGGTGTTGATACATATGTCATGTAAGGCTTCATTATCAATACAGAAAGTTTCATCCGAGTTTTCGACCAATTGGTGGACAGAAAGGGTGGCATTGTAAGGTTCAACAACAGTATCAGAGACCTTTGGAGAAGGAACGACGGAGAAGGTGGCCATCATTCTATCTGGGTATTCTTCTCTAATTTTGGATATCAATAGAGTACCCATACCAGAACCGGTACCACCACCTAAGGAGTGAGTGATTTGGAAACCTTGAAGAGAGTCACAGCCTTCAGCTTCACGACGAACGACATCAAGAACGGAATCCACTAGTTCAGCACCTTCAGTGTAGTGACCTTTGGCCCAGACGTTACCGGCAGAAGATTGGCCAAAGATCATGTTGTCAGGTCTGAATAACTGACCAATTGATGAGTTTTTGACAGCATCGATAGTACCAGGTTCTAGATCTACCAAGACAGCTCTTGGAACGTATTTGTTGTTGTTGGCTTCATTGAAGTAAACGTTCAAACGAGATCTTTGAATTTCGTCACCACCTTGAAAGTTACCAGAGTTGTCGAGGGCATGTTCGCCACAGATAGTTTCCCAGAAAGCAGCACCCTAAGATAAGAGGAAAAGCGCCAAAAAAGCAGTTAGTACAAAGGACAACAATCAACTGGGGGTAGCGATTGTAATTATGGCTATATGGATTAAGCGCTTTGATAAAAAACGACAAGAAAAACAAACAGCATAACAGATAGCCATAAATATGAAAAATTGGTACATACAATTTGGTTACCACATTGGCCAGCTGATAAATGAATCTATTTGGAGAAGATGAAAGAATTATAGATGGTTAGTATTTGAGACTGTTGTAGAGATAGGAGGTGGAAAAAAAAATAATAAAAAAAACGATAAAGAATGGGTCAAATTTGGCGAGATGAACTAAAAACAATCTATTTTGAAGAAGGAAGACATACAATTTCTCTCATTTTGATGTAGTATAGTTAGGAAAGTGAATAGAAGATATCGACACAGAAGATTATATCAATAGGATGGATTGCAGATGGAAATAAGATTGTAGGAGCGATCTTATTTGTTGTCAAGTATGAAAAATAAACCAGATATACCTATAGATGGTAAATAAAGGGTCGAGTGAGAAGGACGATTAGGAAGCCACAGAGGAGAGTGAGAAGAATCTACTGCTTGTGAGTGCTGGCGATACCAATTGAACAGAATGGAGCTATGGAGCAGCTTTATAACAAGACGATAACCCTTTTGCAGAAGAACAATTGTTGGTTAACGAGCTGAATATTTGCTAGAGTGGAAATTGGAATTCGCCCAAAATAAACAAAAACAACCCAGGCCGGGCGGGTAACGCCAAATTCCACGCAGAAAACGACTCAGCGCAAATAGGAGTCGGAACAGAGCCAGCTGTGCGGGTGCATTCTGGTGCAGGCTCCAGCGGTACGGGTAAAACCAGTGGTGTGGTGCGCTTTGTTTGCTGCCCAATTGGGACATGCAATGCTGAGCATGTGTGTGCACCATGCACGAGATTCATTGAATCCGCATCAATGGTCCTGGTTTGTTGTTGTTTTGCTTCGAATAGACGGTTGGTGAAGGGCACGTAAAATAGCCGAGAAGCTAACCTCTTCACAACAGTATATATTTAGAACATGCCTGCTCGATTATTGGAACATAAACACCGTTGTTAGTTGGTTTGAGGTTCTTTTTCCATCTCAATGTGTCACTGCTCATCTCAGTTTGCTCTATCTGTCAGACCTTCAACACACAAATATTCGAAATGGCCTCTCAATGGTCGATCTCTCGCTCACCAGTTCAGTCTAATATCTATTTTCATGTCATGACCATATCAAAGAAAAGAAAAATATTGCTTCCCAACTGTTCATTAGAGATCCCAAGAAGTGATGGAATTTCATAATATTGCCAAAAAGGTCTAACTTATTGATACTCATTAACTATCCATTTTGGTATCTTTCTAAAGTAACAACCATCGATGACCACCAACTCCAAGAGATCTTGCAATATAAAAAGACACATTTTCCCTACATCTTTTCTACAGATTTTTCTTTATCATTCTTGTATTCATTATCCATATAAACTGCTACTTGATACAATTCGCTAATTCAACATGAAACTTTCAAAATCTTTGCTATCGGCTCTCTTGGTACATCTCTCAAAGGCTGCCTATATTCCTTCGGACCCTTGGACTGTTTTAACACCAGATGCTCAATTGTCGAATGGTATCAAAGACTACCCTTCAACTTTTGGTATTCAGGTCATCCCAATCTCAGATATTTTGGAAAAAAGAGATGTAACCCAGATTGATGATGGCCAGATTCAAATCAATACCGAATCCCAATATCTTTCGACTTCAACCTATGTTCCAATTCCATCTCCTGTCGAAACTATGCCAGTTATTTCTCAAATCGATGATGGCCAGATTCAAGCAACTACTGAAACTACAACTCCATCGCCTGTTGAAACTGTGCCAGTTATTTCTCAANTCTCAAATCGATGATGGCCAGATTCAAGCAACTACTGAAACTACAACTCCATCGCCTGTTGAAACTGTGCCAGTTATTTCTCAAATCGATGATGGTCAAATTCAAGCATCCACCCAAACCATCACTTCTACTATAGTTGAAACTCTCTCGGCTGATGTCACTCAAATTGAAGATGGCCAAATTCAAGCCACTCAAACTGCTTCTGCTGAAGAATCTGAATTTGAATTTGAATCTGAATCTGAATCTGAATTCAAAACTGTTGTCTCTTGCAAAAGCGAATCAACTTTATCCATAACTTTGAAAGATGGTATCTTGACTGACGCATTAGGTAGAATCGGTGCTATTGTTGCTAACAGACAATTCCAATTTGACGGCCCACCTCAAGCTGGTACCATTTACGCTGCTGGATGGAGTATTAACCCACAAACTGGCAATTTAGTTCTCGGTGACAATGAAATCTTCTATCAATGTTTAAGTGGCACATTCTACAACTTATATGATGAAGACATTGGCTCAGTTTGTCATCCAATTAACTTAAAAGTAATTGATTTAGTTGATTGTTAAATCTGTTAAATCAAATGATTATTTCATATTCAAAAACAAAATAAAGAAATTCATCATCACATCTATTTTCTAATAATTATCACCGCTAATACTATCAACAGCAACATTAATTAATTTCATCACTGCTTTTCAATTTAACTACTAACAATTTGTTTAAATTTTTTTTAACTTGGTTTTATTTTTCTCTTGTTTTTTTTTAAAAAAATTTACTGGATTTTCTCATGGTTTAGAGTTTATATACTGGTCACACAATTTGCTGTTTTAAATCAGGATGTTTATTTGCTTTAATATTGGGCTCTTGGTTCAAATAGCTTTTCTTTTAAAAACATCTACACTGGATATTTTTTCTTTTCTTTTCTTTTTTCTATTATTACTATTATTATTATTATTATTACTATCACTATTGTTTATGTCTTCCGCCACGCATAAAATTTGAAAGTGGGTTAAAATTCTTTCTCCATTTATTTATCAACTTCATAAAAAGGATATGCCAATTAATAGCAAAGCTTGATTGGTTAAATTATCAGTTATTTTTTTATTTATTAAATAAATTGCATTCTGATTGATTCCCAATATCCTATGCTATTTCCTATTCCTGCTCACAATCATTTTCATCAACATCCATAAACTTAGTAAAGAATTTTGTTTTCCTAATTTCAATTTATGCCAGCTATTTTTGTTTTGTTTTATTTTGTCTTATTTTATTTTACTTTTCTTTCTCTTTTATTTTACTTTACTACAATTTAAATATTAAATAGCATTAAAAATACATTTCACATACTAATTACTAAATTCCAATTGCAGTTCTTTCCAAACTCCCTTTTTTCAATAGCCTATTATCTCATCTTTCTGTGATCTCGAAAAGTTCGAAAAGTGAGGGGATATCTTTACACAAAATAAATAGTACCACTAAACACATATACTTTGCATAGCATTCAAGCGGGGAATTTGATCTTGTTTTCTCCCACGTTTGAACTATCCTCATAAAACTATATTAAAGCTGCTCATCTTTTCTTTTGTGCACAAGAAAAAAAAAATTAACTAAAAAAATAGCAATGTAAATATATCTTCTACTATCAAGGTCTATACCATATAGATCCACATCTTCTATTAAGACATATTCAACCATTCAACTGATCTGGTATCCTTGAACATGTGTGGTATCCTAGGTGTTCTGCTAGCTGATCAAGAGGCCAATGTTGCGCCTGAATTGTTTGATGCTTCTATGTTTTTGCAGCATCGAGGACAAGATGCCTCAGGCATGATAACCTGTGATAAGCAGAGCAGATTGTATCAATGCAAAGGAAAGGGTATGGCAAAGGATGTTTTCACTCAAAATAGGCTACTCAATTTAATGGGAAATTATGGCATAACCCATCTAAGGTATCCTACAACTGGCTCATCTTCATCGAGTTTTGAAGTGCAGCCATTTTATGTGAATTCTCCCTATGGAATTGCACTATCTCATAATGGCAACTTGGTCAACCCAGAGGAGTTGAAGAGCTACATTGATAAATCTCTTCATAGGCATATCAATACCGATTCAGATTCTGAGTTATTATTAAATATTTTTGCCGCTGAATTGGAAATCTACAACAAGGTCAGAGCCAATGCAGCTGATATATTTAACGCTTTGAAAGGTGTTTTCAGAGAGTGTCGTGGAGCTTACTCTTGTGTTGGTATGTTGGCTGGGTATGGATTGATAGCATTTAGAGACTCAAATGGAATCAAACCTTTGCTAATTGGCGAAAGAACCAGCGTGAATAATGGCAATTTTAAAGATTATATGATAGCATCTGAATCTGTTGTTTTGAAAGCTCATGGCTTTAAAGTATTTCGAGATATTTTGCCAGGTGAGGCTGTGATAATACCGAAAAGTTGTTCCAAACCAATTTTCAAACAAATTCAAAATTTTACCCACCATGCTCCCGATATATTTGAATATGTGTATTTTGCTAGACCCGATTCAATTTTGGATGGAATTAGTGTTTACCATACAAGATTAAATATGGGTAAAAAATTGGCTCAAACTTTGTTAGAGCAGTTTGATAACGATTTATCAAAAATTGATGTTGTGATACCAGTTCCGGACACAGCAAGAGACGCTACACTATCTTGTGCTGAAATTTTGGGTTTACCATACAGAGAAGGATTTATCAAAAATAGATATGTTGGAAGAACATTTATTATGCCAAATCAAGCCGAGAGAGTTTCTTCTGTGCGTCGTAAACTAAATGTGATGGAAAGCGAATTTAAGAATAAGAATGTCTTATTAATTGATGATTCGATTGTCAGAGGTACAACATCTAAGGAAATTGTGCAGATGGCAAGAGAAGCTGGTGCTAAGAAAGTGTATTTGGCCTCATGTTCATCTCCAATTCGGTTCAATCACATATATGGAATTGATTTAGCTAATAAGAAAGATCTACTTGCATCAAATCGATCTATTGAGGAAATAACTGCAAAAATAGGAGCAGATAAAGTTATCTATCAAAAATTAAATGATTTGATTGACTCCTGCTCGTCAAGCACAATAACTGATTTTGAAGTGGGTGTATTCAATGGAAATTATATCACTGGTTGCGAAAATCTGTATTTGAGTCATTTGGAGCTATTTCGATCTCAGCCATTGATCACCAAGGCCAATGGTTTTCACAACAGCTGTGCAATTGATCTTTCTCATTCAATCAGATCACAAGTTGATGTTAATCTATACAATCTCTGTGATCAATGAGAGTATCTACTATTATATACAGGTTAATTGGAAAGCTTTAAAAATATTGACATCTACAATTGATGACAACAGTTTTCAAGAATACATTAGAGACCAATGTTTTGTAGTTAAATAATTCTGTTACAATTACTAACTGTTTGATAATCATCAATTATCTGATGATGATCAATAAAATTTTTATACTTTTATTAGTGTTGAAAAACCAAAAAACAAATGGACCAACTACTGAAATTTGTGTATCTGTGAATTTACTTGACACTGCAATTGAGATACAAAGGTATTCGATATATATTTCAAGCCATAGTTTTTGTTATCCAATAATAACTATTTTGATGTTCAAAGTTTAATATATATTAAGCTTACTATAAAAACAAAGTTTTTATTTTATATTATATTCTAGTTAAAAATACAAACATAACAATTATTAATAAAATTTATTTTTTGTGGATATTTTATCTAAAATTAAAACGCTAAGAATAATTATTAGTTTCAATGAGAAAATGTAAATATATTTTAACCGCCTATGGATTTGAAGTTTAATAGTTACTTTGTAGTTTTAGCAGAGGCTATTTGTAAAAAATAGTTTCATTTAAAAAATAGTTTTCTGATTATCTATGTAGAGAGTAGTATCTTTCTGGTAGATACTGTCTTGTTCTTTGTCTATAGTAAGACATATCACAACTTCCAGTTGTAATGCACGATGCCCAAAGTGAGAGAAACTCATCGAGTGTTTTTTGAAAAGTAGCATCATCAAATTTTTGTTTTTTGGGTGACTTTGTTTTTTCATGTGGCCTAGGTTTTTTAAGTGACTTGAACTTTTCAAAAAACTTGAGTTTTTTATGTGACTTGAGTTTTTCAAGCAACTTAAGTTTTTTGAACGACTTGGACCTGTTTTCTTTAATTGGCTTTTGGTCTTCTTGCGTATGTATCGAATAGCAACTCTCTATGTCAGAGATTTTTTGTTCAATTGACTCTTGATCTCCTTGTGTGTCTATGGAATACCAACTTCCTATATTTGAGTTTTGTTCTTTCATTTTCACACTTTCAATAATGAAGAGTTGATTTAGTACCAATGCTCAAAATGGGTAACGATACTTTGGCAAGCATTTATGTATATTTGCATTTATGTAATTGACTTATGTAGATATTTCAATTCCAGTTTAAAATCAGCACAAGTCGGTTTCAAAAGATAATAATTGCAATATATCATTTTTATTTTTTACTTTGAACATTGATGTCCATATTCGGAAACTCTTCAGGAAATCCAGAATCAGTGTAAAAAACACATTTGGAAATGAGACAATAGAAATTCCATTGGCTGTGCTAGAACCAGAAACTCAAGCACAAACCAACACAGAAGAACTCCACAAAATAAGCTGTCTGTCTGATATCAGACGCCCCAAACAAAGAGCTCTCTTTCTCTGAAAACACAGCTTTTGATTGTGTTGCGTTTTCAAAACACCAAACAGCAACATCCATAGCACTGGATCAGAACCAAACGCGTGTATATGTATGATATGCAGACATATGCATCGGAAATCGCTTATCTTATCCAAAAGACTGCTATTTCAAAAAAAACCCATTGAAGTCAACAGAACCAACAGTTGTTGAAGAAGTACAGTCAGCTAGGAAATTGTTGTTTTTGCAAACCCTCAGTAAATTATTTCTGCTTGACGTTTTGATTAGACTCCAATTATCATATCTCCCAAGTATTTGAAGCACCAAAAGGTTTTACTTTTCTTAAAACATGTAAATCCATTAAATTGAGACCACAGAATAGTATTTCTAAGCGCAGACTATCAAAAGTTTGCTGTAGTCTTTGATTTGTTAAAAACGATAGCTTCCATCAGGACCATTAGAGCATTGTCTTATGGTCCAATTTTATTGGTTGAAACATGTGCATATAGCTGCGTCTTGTCTTTTCCTTTTCTTATCCCTTTGCCATTAGGGCATAGATATAAAAGAGGTCAGATATTCCTTTCAATTGCTGTATTCTCTGGCTATTCGTGATATTGCCATTATATAAAACTAACCTTATTAATTAACTATGGAAAATCCAGTTGCTGGTTCAAATTTACAATCCCCGGACGATTCCCCATCTCATCAACTAGGTAACCTAGTTTCTACAGAGATACCAACTGAATATAAGACAGATAAAACGACCTTCTCACCCGTAAATTTAAAAATGAAGACCGATTTCTTTGCTACAAGCAGCAAAGATGAAGTCAAAAACCAAGTTTCTCAAATTGATGAGGTGCAAGAGAATGAAAAATCAAAGGAAAAATCAAAAGAATCAGAGGAATCAAGAGAAAAATCAAAAGAATCAAAAGAATCAAAAAAAAAATCAAAAGAATCAAAGGAAAAAATTGTGAATCATGATAAACTTGAAAAGCATGAAAAAGTTTCAGCTTCAAATATTGCTGAAAAAATGAATGATGTCAAAAAGGAAAATTCAACTAGTGAAACAGAAACTAATAAAACTACTTCTTTCAATACTATTCCAATCACTGATGCTAAGAGGAAAAGACTCGCTAGAACTGGAAAAGCTCCTCGTTTGTACCCATCATACTATGTGTTTTGTGGAGATAAACCGACAGAAACTAAAAAACGTGTTACTGTAACTAAAAACGTTAATGTCAACGTCAATGTTAATGTTGATAAACACTTCGAAAAGAAGAAACAGGTTAAATGTCCATCGACTGAAAAATCGGATAATAAAACAACTCCTTCAAAACAAAAACCCCTTGATAATCAATCTGGATCAAACAATAAAAACACCATAACCAAATCTGAAAACGAAAATGAAAACGTCAAAACTTTGAAACCTAAAAGCTACAAACAAATTGATATTTACTCATCTGATTCCGATGATAACAATAACAGTATTAGTAAAGCTTTGGCTTCTCAAATCCAAGACCTAATAAACAGCAATTCAAATGTCAAAAAGACTGAAATCAAGTTTATCACACTTGATAAGACTTCTAAAGACCATGACAAAGTCATTAAAAACTGCTGCAATAAAAGAAAAAGTCTCAACAAAAAGAGAAAGAGGGATGAAATTTCCGATGAAGAGTTCTCTGCTGATGAGCTGCTTGATCATCAAAAACCCTTGAAAAAGAACAAAACTTTTGGGCCTTTCAAGACAATCTTTTTTTCAATGTTTGCAGGAATGGTAATTATGTTTTCGGCATTAAGTTCGTTCGGTTCAAGTTAATTTTTTGGCGTATTGATATTGTTTTTGATAATAACATAGGATTTTGTTTGGTTTGGCTAGGTTATATGATGTCGGTTTTTGTTTTTTGTTTTATTTTTGTTTTTAATTATAAGTTTTTTATTTTTTTGAATTTTTTTGAATTTTTTAGGATATTTTGAATTTTCTTATACTTTTTATATATCAGACAAATATACGTTATTTTATTATATCAAAATTTGAATATATTTTTTAGTGAATAGTAAATTGATGAAATCAAGAACGAAGGAACCATTACATATTTTACTCCTTGATCTATATCATTTTCAATAGTTGTTAAGCCTATATCCAATTTTGCTTTTTTGTTTGATCTTATTTGATCTATATTATTGTGGTATTTTGCATCTTCCTCCCTTTTTTGTAAATTACTAATAACAGTTGATTTACTACTCAAAATTTTATGTTCTTCTTTATCTTCCTTTCGTTTGCTCAACTCGTTTTCATAAAGATCAGAAATTTCGCTAAGATCATCAAAATCATCAAAATCATAAACCTTTCGTTTCCTTTTAGTATTTGATAAATATGTGCTTTTTGCTCTTATTCTATCACTTTCAGCACTCAAAATCTCGTTAAATTTGAGTCTTATTATTGGAGAGGAATTGAGAAATCTTTCATATTTTTTGAGTTTTTCTTTATGATGAAACTTTTGTTTTCGATCCAAAAAATCAACAGTATTTATTCCACTGCCAACTATTGATTTGGTATTTTGGTTTTCAGAAATAGTTTTTATATTGGAAAAATCAAGGCTTTCAGGCTTTTCATGTATCTTAGGCTTTTCTGGAGAATCATCAATTAAAGTTGTATCGTTGTCATTAAACTCAGTGGAATTATCGTCATCATTAAACTCAGTGAGATTGTCACAATTATTTTCTTTAACATTGCTATCTTTATTGGCATTGGAATCTTGGTTGATTTTTTTTTCCTTTGGTTTTATTATATTTTTGTTACAATTGTTATTATTATTGCTACTATTGGTAGCATTATTGGTAGCATTATTCTTATTACCATTAATATTCTTGTCATTTATTTCACTTTGAGAAATGTATTTATCATAAGTTATTATGTCTAGTTTTTCTTCATCTTCAAGGACCAAATACTTTGTGTCTTCCTCAGAATCAGTTTGAGCTAGGTCAATAAATTCAGACTCATCTGAACTTTGCAATACAGAAACCATTGTTAATTTTTCTTTTGAGTCCTTTTGCTTTTTTTTCAAATCAGTTTCCTCTTTTTCAGGCTTTGTTTTTTTGGATTTATTCGTTTTAAACGATCTTCTTCTCTTTTTCTCTTTTTTAGTGGGTTTTGTAGGTATTGATACCTTCTCAACTTTTATAAAATCTTTAGCAGGCATTTTTGGTTATTATTTTGAATATAATAAGTGATTAAAAGAAATCAAAGGATTAAAAAAAAAAAAGAATAACAATCAAAGCAATTCTGTTTCATATATAATGTTGATTACAGATTTCTCGATTAATGAATTTGAAACGCATTGAAGAAGATGCAGATATCTACACACATATGCATCATGCATGAATCTCAAAATGCCTTTTTGGTTGATCCACATTTCCAGATCTATGACATTAACAATAACAATTCTGATTTGATGTTTGAATAAGTTTATTGAGGTATTTCATTTAGAGGAGTATCATGATTTATAGATGTATGTAAAACATATAAAATAGTCGTATATATAAAAATGAAGATTTATCTGAATCAAAAGTATAATCAAACCCAATTCCAAATAGATTGAACACAACAAAGTAAGGTTGAAATAAAGTAAAAATAGAGAGAAAAACGAAAAAAAGTAGATATCATTCAAAACTAAAAAAGTTAAAATAAATAAATAGTACCAAGTAAAATAAATGTAGTATAGTTGAAAAAATAAAGAAAAAAACTTGATTTAAGATCATCAATTGAAAAAGTAATTAAAGAAATAAATAACAACTTAGGGTATTAGATAAAACCAAAAAGAAAAAAAACCAAAATAAGATAAAGTAGAAATAAATCAAATTAATAAGAAGAAAAAAAAAACAACCAATCATTCAAAATGTTCGGCTAAGGAAGCTAATGTACCAAAAGTGGCAACGCTGCCTACTAAGGCTCCAACAAGAGAACCGATAACAAAACCCTTTACGCTACCACCTTTGACTTTTGCTTTTTTAACTTCTTTTTCAGGTGCTGGTTCAGTTTCTTTAATTAAATCAATTTTCTCAAAATTTTCGATTTGGATTTGAGTTTCGTTTGCAAAATTTAAGTTGGATTCATTAGAAGATTTTTTTTCACTATCGAATGAAGATTTAAATAATAATTTTTCTGATTCATCAACTTCGGAAAATAATCTCTTTCTTGGACTAGGAGTTTTGAGATCGGATTCATAATCGATGGGAATTTCATTAAGATTTGAAGTGATTGGAGAGGAGAGCAATGAAGAAATTGAAAATGAATTTGGGGTCTTTGGAGATGGATTTGAATTTTTATCAGAGTCAGAAGAGAGGAAGTTATCAAGTTCTCTTTTCATTTGTAGTTCATGTTCATTTATTCTGATTTTCAAGTTTTTAATTTCTTTTGATATTGATTCTTCATTTGATGAAGGATTTTCGGTGGTAGTGTGGGATTGAACATTTTGAACATTTTGAACAAGAGTTGAATCGAGTTTTAAATCTGTTTGAGGATTTTCAAAGGTAAAATCTAATTTAGGTGATTTAGCATTGTGAGTGGAAATGGAAATGAAAGTGGAAGTAGAAGTTGAAGCTATAGGGGCTGAGGGTTGTCCAGTTGGATTATCAACAGGTTTAGAGATGTTTTCCGATTTTTTGTCAAGAATGTTATTGGTGAATTGAGCAGTACGTGGTTCATCAATTGACTCAATATCAGAACCATGGTAAGAATTACAGTCTGAACTAGAGTCCAAGTGTTCTCCTGCGAAAGAGATTTCATTTTCAAACTCGGACATGTTATCGGCGTCATTAAAATCATCGACATCATCGACATCATCGAGATCGATATCATCATCATCCTCCTCTTCTTCTTCTTCTTCTTCTTCTTCGACGTTATCGATATCGATGTCATCGTAATCATTGTTGATAAATTTACTGATTTTTTCCGGGGGTTGCTGTTCTTTTAAATCTGCGTCATTTTGAGAAGTAGTTTTTTGGTTTTTAATTGGATTTAAAATTTTGTTTAAATTGGAGGATAAGTTTATTCCAGAAAAGAGATTTGATGAAGTGGCTGAGTTTGACAAATTGATTGTTTTTGGTAAAAAATCGGATTGGAAACAATTTGGAGAAGTTTTGGGTAATGAGGTATTAACGCTGGGAGTAGTTTGAAACTTGATTGAATTTGAAGGGTTGAAAGTTAAATTATTAGAGACAGATTCAATTTTTCTTGTGGGTATTGTTTTAGATAGAATAAAAGGAGATTTATGTTTTATTGCATAAGGTTGGCGTTTAATTTTGTTAATTTCTTCGATGTTATTGATTTCTTCGATATCTGAGTCGCTGTCATTATTATTATTATTATTATTATTATTATTATTATTATTATTATTATTATTATTATTATTATTATTATTATTATTATTATTATTATTATTATCATTATTATTATTATTATTATTATCATTATTATTATCATTATTATTATCATTATTATTATCATTGTCATTATTATTATCGTTATTGAGATCACTTTCTTTATCAAGATCAATTGGATTGTTTATTGATGTATTTGTATTATCACCAAAGACGATTTTAATGTCATTATTTTGGAGTTGTGATTTTAAATTTAATGGGTTGGAGCAAATGCCTAGGGAAATAAAAGGATCAGGCAAGATTTTAAAAGTTACCAATAATTTAATCTTTGATTCATCAACACGAGCCCATTCTTCTGAGGGAGCATCTAGAGTAGCAACAGAGCCATTAAGTATAAGATTACCATTTTTAGGAGAATTGTCAATGTTGTTGAGTAGAATTGATTTGTCGGTTGCGATTAGGCCAAAGACGTCATTGGTGTTTAATTTGATTTTGATTCCTTTTGGTAAAAGATAGTTTTTGAAGATGACGCCATGCTGAGAACCACAATCCCATAGATAGTAGGCATAGTCGTAAGATTTCTTTTGGGGGTCGTATTTTAGTTGTTTGCAGATTTTGCAATGAGAAGCGCTGAGAGTTCTTTCGTTGATAAAGCCATTGTATCGTTTGGGCTTTCTTGGGTTTGAGTCAGAGGGAGCCTGTGATTTGGATGAGCGACCTATGACCAAGGGAACGTCTTGAATTAGCTTGACGAGTCTGAAGGGGAAATTTGTGTCTTCGTTGGAGGAGGAAAAGGTTTGGGGTGAAACCAGTGGCAAACTGGGAGAGTTTTTTGGGAGTGAGGAGTTGAAGGAGATGGGTGTTGAGCGAGAGTTTGCAACAGCCATTTTGAGAGAGATTGGAGAGAGGCAGTAGCGGAAAAGCAGAAGACGAGCAGAGAAGGAGTAGCAGATGAGTAGAATCTAGCAGCACCAACGCAGCAAATTCCACACAAATATAACGATGGTTGTGGATGGTTTGGTGATTAGAAGGAAACAAAAGGGAGATGAACTTGCCTATCCATTCTGTGATAGCGACTCTTATCGTTGCGGAGGATACCCGGCCGGGAAAACGCGGTGTGGACGCGTATATAAGAGACGGACGGGTAACAAGAAACCACGGGGTGGAGCCGTCCACACATTTAATTGGCTGGAGAAGGGGGCAATTGGAGGTGGTGAAGATAGTCAAATGGTATCGGTAGCAAGAGATGGAAGGTGAGAAAGGTGGAAGCGAAGAGTGGCTATCGATAGATACAATATTAGAGGGCATCAGAAAGTACAAGTGCTAAGGAGACGCTACAGCAGTAGCTAGCACAGCAGTAGCTAGCACAGCAGAACAGCTCTGTGACCAACAAGCAGCCTCAGGAAGGTTGAGAACTGATAGAAAGGGTGGTAAGGACCCCAGCTCTATCCCCAGTGCCCCAGCGCCCTCTACGAAGGCTCTGAGGTGGTGTCGGTTATCGAACTCACGTCCTTCATCATCGACTGTTTAGTTGATGAAGAAGAAAGAGCAGAAAGAGCAGAAAGAGCAGAAAGAGAGGAGCGAGGCGAGAGGCGCTTTTATACCTCGCGCCTCCCGAAAAAAACCAGGGCTTTGGGCACGCGACTGAAAAACAGCAGGAGCGGATGGGGCTTCTTCTTCTGCTTCTGCTTTCTGTGCTGGATTTGCTTCTTCTGCTGCGTCTACTCTCTCTGCTGTCTCTGCTGTCTTTTCCTGTGCTGATTTTCGGTTGCAATGTACTTCCCAGTGTTCCTGCTGGGCGCGCTCTTTTTCCTCTGTCTCCTTCCCTTGTTGCTAGCCTCGCCTCTCGCCAACGACCTCAATCTGCCCTCTCAGAACAGCTATCTTGTCCATGACTTGCCTGGTCTTTCCTCAATTCCTCTCAACAAACAACCTTTGATGCATGCTGGCCACCTTCAATTGGATTCAGAGCACAACACGAACTACTTCTTCTGGAGATTCGCCAATCCACCCCAGCATGACACCAACAGCACCAAATTGATCATCTGGATAAATGGTGGTCCTGGATGCTCATCAATGGATGGTGCATTGATGGAAATTGGGCCCTTCAGAATATCCAAAAATTCAACCATAACACTAAATAATGGCACCTGGCTAAATTCTGCAAATTTGCTATTTATCGACCAACCTTCAAATACCGGTTTCTCATATTCAAATACCTTTGATAAAGATTTGGATCAAATTTCTTTCAATTTTTACAATTTCTTACAAAACTACTTTCTGATTTTCACTCAGGATTTCAGTGATACAGTTGAAATATACCTAGCTGGTGAAAGTTATGCTGGCCAATATTTACCATTTTTCGCTGAATACTTGCTAAATAATTACAAAGATCTAAATTTGAAAGGCGTATTAATTGGTAACGCTTGGATTTATCCAAATTTGCAATCTTTAAGTTACTTGCCCTGGTTCAAATCTCAAAATCTATTATCTTCCTCAATTATCTCTCCAAATAATAACACTATCAATAACATCAACAACTTGAACTTAATCACTCAATATCATAATGACTGTCAATCGTTAGTAGATTATGAATTACAAAATGGTCTCAACTATTTAAATGACTCAGACTCAGACTCAGATTCAGATTCAGATTCAGATTCAAAATCAAAATCACAATTACAATCACAATTAAATGACTCTCTCTTGGATGTCAATATTAACTCCCAATTATCTTGCGACTTAATTCTTGACTCTCTACTAAACTTGACAAGACTAAACAATTCAAATGATATCAACAACGACTGTCTCAACATATACGACTACAGACTAAGAGACTCTTATCCTGCCTGTGGGGCAAATTGGCCCTCTGATTTAACCAACGTCACTCCCTTCCTATCAAACCCACACATTCAAAAGAACTTGAATTTGAACATCAACTTTAATAAATGGGCCGAATGCAACAGCTCCGTCTCAAAACATCTCTTAAATCAAAACATTAAACCCTCCTTCACCAAATTATCAAACCTACTAGTCAATAAAAACTTACCAATACTACTATTCAATGGAAATAAAGACATCATATGCAACCAATATTCCCTAGAACTAGTCACCCAAAATCTAAAATTTGATGGAAATAATCCCTTAAAACTAGGTTTCTCAGACTCAATTCAATACGTCGACTGGTTTGTTAAAAATAATAGCAACAATAATAAAAAGGTCTCTTACAACTTATTAGGTAAAATCAAATATGAAAACAACTTGTATCTAATCGAATTTATCAATGCAAGCCATATGGTTCCCTACGATAACTCAATCGGCTCTCTAGGTTTATTAGATATCTTTTGGGGCAATTTCAAATGGAACTCTGACATCTCTCATGATAATCAACCAGTTATTGTAACCCCAAACCATCCAAATTCATTCCATCTATCAAACTCGATTGACAATTCCAATTCCAATTCTAATTTCAATTTCAATTCCAAAAACAATCAAACATTCAAAGATCCAATGGATGATAACAGAGATACCTTTATTGGTGACTCCACTCTAAATGGCTTGAATTACTTTTTTTTTATTATCGGTTCTGTAGTTGTTATTTTTTACTTTACAATTCGCCATTTCAAAAATAGAAGATTCACTCATAGAAATCGTCAACCTCCTCTTTCTAATATTTACGAAAGCTATGAAATGATCGATAAATGATTAAATAACAATCAACATTGTTTTCATTACCTCTAATCATCTCTTATTTAGTTCTATCCTATATGTATACTTTTTTTTTCTTTTTTTTTTTATATAGAATATTAACATATATACACTTTAATCCTTCGATCTTTCCACACTTAATACAAACGTCTCAACTATTTCTTATTATTGGCTATTTCTAATCTCCAAATTGCTCGCTTTATTTGCTCATAGGAATTGCTATCCCGATGCCTTATAATTACTAAGCTAGCTCAACAAAACAAGTTTTCCTTTTATTACTATCATTATTATTCACTATTATCGAGTATTTTTATCATTTATCTGCAAATTGTTCATTATTAATTATTTCATTATTAATTATTTCATTATTAATTATTTTATTTTTAATTATTTTATTATTAATTATTTTATTATTAATTATTTCAGTATAATGACTGTCACTCGATTTTCCATCAAAAAGCCAGTGGTTCTCATGTATCCACCATTGGAACAAGCATTTGATGAATATGAAGACCTTGAAAAGAGTTACAACGCAGTTGTCTTGAAAATCGATGCTAAAAATCGTCAAGAATTAATTCATGACTTGAAAAATAAATATAAAGATTATACAATCAACATCGTGGCAACTTCTGGGCCTCTTTATCACCATTATGGTAAATTCGATCGGGAGATCATCGATTTGTTGCCTGATTTAAAAGCTGTTTGCCATAATGGCGCTGGCTATGATCCAGTTGATATCGACTACTTGGTGCAAAAAAACATCCCTTTATCTAACGTCGTAGGCATTAATGATGCCTCGACTGCTGACACAAACTTGTTTTTAATCTTGGCCACCATGAGAAACTACTTTTTGGGAAACAAAAACATCAAGGCTAACAAATGGAGGTCAGGTTTGCCAATTGGTAACAATCCAAAGGATAAAACGTTGGGCATCCTTGGGATGGGTGGCATTGGCAAAGATGTGAACAGGAGATGCAAAGTTTTGGGCTTTGAGAAGATAATCTATTACAGAAGGAACCAATTGCCCAGTGAAGAAGAAGAAGGTGCTGAGTTTGTCTCTTTGGACCAGTTATTGGCCCAGAGTGATATCATCTCAATCAACTTGCCCTTGAATGCCTCGACACACCACTTCTTGGACAGAGAGCAGTTTGAAAAGATGAAGGATGGAGTGATTCTCGTCAACACAGCCAGAGGTGCTGTTGTGAACGAGGTCTCACTTATGGAGTATCTCAAGAATGGAAAGGTCAAAAGTTATGGCTCAGATGTGTGGGAAAACGAACCATGGCACATCAACGAAGAGTTGATCAAGATGGAAAATGTAGTAGCTACTCCTCATATGGGGACCTGGGCCAAAGAAGTCATCTATGACTACGAAGCTTTCCAGGTGAAGAACATCAAGCACTTTATCCAGCATGGAAAAGTGCTTACAATTGTCCCAGAACAACAGCAGAACTTTTGATTAGCTATATAAACTATAAATTCATAATACAATAGACAACATTAGAGCATATGGAAAGACCAATTGACAACAGAACAACTGGCCATGTAACTTGAAAAGGATAAAAACAAAAAAAAAATTAAAAAATAAAACTAAAAAAAATTGGGCAACAATGCTGTAACTTTTCATCAGAAGATCGTAACTATATATAAGAAAAAAACAAAAAATTTCAAAAAAACAAAAAAACAGCAGCAAAAAAACAATAAAGTATAACGTTATTGATGTATAATATATAACAACTCTGAAAGAAGAACGTGGGTCTTTAGTTTGAAAAACGTAGAACTGAAAACATGGTTTGACAAAAAAATAAAAAAGTAAAATGAAAAATGTAAAGTGAATTTGAAATCTTTTTGTTTTTAAACAGAATTTAATTAGGCAAATTAGAAGCTAAAAAATAAGAAATAAATGACGAAAGCGAAAAAAAAAAAATCACAATACAAAAAACCCACCGGCAATGAAAAAATAAATCCAAGAAATAAAGTGTTATAGTTTTTTAAAAAACTCAATTACAATTATATTAGCAAAAAATGAAAATTCTTTTATAAAAGGAATTTTTGTAGGATGAATTTTTGTAGGATGAATCTTTAAAGGATGAATCTTTAAAGGATGAATCTTTATCAGAGGAAAAATTGAAAAGCCAAAATAAAGTATTGCACCGAAAAAACCTCTTCTTTTATACTTCAGTGCTATGAACATTTTTTGAATGGCGCTTTAAGTTTGCCATTGTGCCAAAATATCTTTCACAAACTTCACATTTGAAATTTCTTTCTTTTAAATGAATGAGTTTATAATGGACTGACAAGTTGTTTTTATATTTAAAACATCTTGAGCATTTGGAGCATGGAAAAGGCCTTTCAGAACCAAGATGAATTATATTAAAGTGATTAGTTAATTCTCTTTTGCTTGTAAAAGTTAGAGAGCATTTTGAACAGGTTTCAATGGACATTGAAGAAGGGGACTGAGCAGTATTGTCGCTCAATGGTTTTGAGTTGGGTGCCTGTGAATTTTCTGATAATTGAGGAGATTGAGTTGAATCGGATGATAGTTGTCCTTTTTTAAGGCCATCGGTATTTATCAATTGGTTTTGATTTGAGAAATCCAAATCTAGTGGTTTTTTGTTTTCAATTGAATCTTCCGATTCAATTGTAGCGCTATCATTATCGTTGTTGTTATTTTGGAGATTATTTCCGTCTTCATCGTCATCTTCAGCATCCTCTTCGTCATCACTTTGGCTGTTCATTTCCATTTCCAATTCCAATTCCATTTGTTTTTGTTTTTGCTGCTGGTTTTGTTTATCATCTAATAAGCTATTTTGAAAGTTATTTTCAATTTCAGAGTGTGAGTCTTTTTGTAGATTGTTGGATAAATTGTGTGAATGTTGGAGGTTAATATGATTTGAGATTAGGTTTGTATTGTGGTTGTAGTCTATAATTTGAGTATTTGAAATTGTATTTGGATTTGAAACAGCTTTTGAAATTGAGTTTTCTTCATTTTTATTGAGAATTAGGTAATCATTTTTGAAGCTGTTTTTGAATTTGTTTTTATAATTGAAATGGAGATTTTCTTTTTGTTTGCCTATTTTTTTGTGGGTATTGAATTGGAAAGTATGAGATTGAGATGAATTTTGAGTTGATGGGTTGATATCGATATGGTCGTGTATGTTGTCAGCGTTAATTTGCAAGTCATTATCTATAGTATCAGCGTCAATTTGGATATTATTGTCAGCGCTTATTTCCGATTCATCATTATCATTATCATTATTATTATCATTATCATTTTGGTTGAAGAATACGTTATTGAATTCTTTATTAAATTCGTGATCGAGTATTAGATCAATTTTTTTATTTGTAGATTTAGATGGAGATTTATTTTTGTTGATGCAGTTGTTGTTGTTTTTGAGAATGGTGGATGAATCGTTTTGAGAGAAGGAGTTGTTTCTTGTGGGTTTGTTGAGGATGTGAATTCTTTTGTAGTGGTAGGATAGGGATTGTTTGTATTTGTATGATCTTTTGCATTTGGGGCATTTGTAGAGCTGTAGGTTGAATATGTTTTGGTTGAATTCGTTTTTGATGGTTTTGTCGTTGTCAATATCTGTGTAGTTTGATTCGATATCATCGTTTTCGTTATTGTTATTATGGATATGGTTATTCTGATTCTGATTTTGATTCTGATTTTGATTCTGATTCTGATTCTGATTTTGATTTTGATTTTGATTTTGATTCTGATTCTGATTCTGATTCTGATTTTGATTTTTAATAGACTTTATATTATTTAAAAGTGAAGGCAAATCAATTAGAGTATTATCTGTGATTAGGTCATTTAAAGAATTAATTGGGATTGAGGTTAATAAATTTTGAGCGTCGTGATTATTAGAGGGAGTAATTGAGTTAATTGAAGTGATTGAAGTAATTGGGGGGATGTTGAAGATTTTGTTTATTATATCGTTGATTGTTGCGGGAGAAGGGTTGTTGATTTTGATTGATAGAAGGTAGTTTTTGAGATTTAGTTTAAATATGCTTTGGTTGTGGATTAGGTTGTTGATGATGTTGAGGTGGTTGATTAGTTTTAGTTCGTAGAAGAGGATGATTTTTTGGATGTCGTTTTTGTAGATTGCATTGTAGAGAGAGTTTTGCAGTGAGAGAGTAGTATTAGTATTAGTAGTAGTATTAGTATTAGTATTAGTAGTAGTATTGTTAGTGGTAGTGGTAGTAGTAGTAGTAGAAGGGATTGAATTTTCAGTTGAATTTTCAGTTGAATTTTCAGGCGAGGATTGAGTTGAAGTTGAAGTTGGAATTTGGATTGGAATTTGGATTGGAATTGGAATTGAATTTTTCAATTTTTTGTTTGAATGAATTTCATTATTCATTTTTGAATGGAGCGATAAGTGATTATTATTAATTATCAATTATTAATTATCAATTATTAGTTATTATAGATTATTATTATAGATTATTATTATTATTATTATTATTATTATTATAGATTATAATGATTATATAGTATAGGATATAGATTAGTATGAATTGGGCAATGTTGGAGAGGATGGAGATAATATAGACATAATGAGGTTAAGAGTGAGAAGGAGTATAATTGGACATTTTTATTAGAAAGAAATAATAGAGAGGATTGAAGAGAGATAGAAGAGAGAGAATTGAAAAGAAATGAAAACAAAGAAAGAAAGAAAGAGGAAGTGGGAAAGGGGAGTGTGGAAAGAGAGTTAAAAAAGAGAAAAAGAGAAAAAGAGAGTAGAGTAAGAGGGAAGAGAAAAAGGAAAGTAGGTGAATATTTGTGTAGTAGAACAGTAGAGTAGGTGAATAGGTGAATAGGCGAAAGGAAATAAGACTTTATTGGAGATAAGGTTGAGAAGTGGTAGAGGAATAGGAATATGAAAGAGTGAAGTAGGAAGAAAGTGAGCAAGATAGTGGGATAAAATGAACAGAGAGTATTGAAAGAGGAGCTGAAAGAGGAATATTGGAGCTGAGAAAGAGCATTTTACTGCTGGAACAGTCTGTTGTTGGTGCGATAGAAGAATAATCGAAGAGGAGCAGAGCAGAATAGCAGAATAGAATAGCAAATAGTGAGAAGCAAGGCGAGAGGAGGGAGGTTGACAGCTCCGTCAGCGCTTAGGTAAGCGCGGTATCCCCTTACAGCTCTTCTTCAGCTGAGTCTCCAAACACTGCAGCCGCTGTTGCCTCTGTCGCCACTGCTCAAGATGTCGAAGCCAGGCGCACACCAGCAGAAGCTCGTCCAGCAGAAGCCTGTCCAGCATGGGGTTGGCCAATACGTCGAGCACAGTGATGGTTACGGCATCGAGGAAGATGATGGTGATGGTGAATGTAAACACGATGGCGCTAACGGTGGCAATGTGAATGAGAACGAGAACGGCAACAGCACTGCCAATGATGACAACGGTGATGAGGACGGTGACGAAGATACCAGTATCCACGAGATCAACCTTTCAGACATCAGCGTGGACGAGAACCAGGGACCAGCAGCGCCACAGACAGCACAGACAGCACCGGCAGCACAGACAGCAGGTTGGGTTCCCATGACCCAGCTAAGGATGAACAGCCACAGCGAGGCGCTTCTCAAGGAGTGCCTCTCCAAGTTTCCCGACCGCGCGCTCGACCTTCTCGCGGTCGTGAAGGCGTCTGTCGGCCGCTCAGCGTGCAGCAAGAGCAAGCTTGCCTCGCTCGACAAACGGCTCCAGAACACACACGAGCCCGTTCCCACGTTCGAGGGCTTTCCAACCAACATTCGCGCCCTCGCCGAGCAGCAGCAGGCACGGCTCACACACGCGCCGGTGGTTGTTGGAGGCCAAACGTACATGGCCACGGCCGAAACTCCTCTCGCAGTGCCTGACCAATTCCGGGTAGTCTTATTTGGATCTGGCGTGTCCGACAAGCAGAGGCTCCAGATCAAGCAGCAGAGGCGCCAGGAGAACCGTATTTTGCGCAGGGAAAAGATGAAGAAGAGGAACAAAAGAATAAAGCTGCAGAAAAAGCTGCAGAGGCAGCAGCACCAGCAGCAGAACAAAAAGGTCGGCAATTAAGCGCCCACCACGAACACTACGAACACCACCGCACGTGCCACTGACCTGTTTTTCTCCATGGCTTTGTAATGGCACTTTCTACTTCATCGCTCTTCAACGTATCTCATATCATATCCCATATCATATCCCATATCATATCCCATATCATATTATATAATATCCTATATTACATCCTCTATCTCATCTTTCTTCTCGTGTAATGCCCTCTGCTGCTCCCTCCACTAGAAGAGAGTTGCCTGGCTTGACTGTTAAGGTCTACAATGGGAAAAACCTCAGGTTGCCCTTCAGCTTGATTTCCAACGAGTTCATTCTCAGAAAAATCAGCGACTGCGCTTACAACTGTGATACAAATCTTCTCAATCAAAACATAAAACAACACATATCCAACCAAGATGAATCTCTCAATTCCGCCATAAAAAACATCAACCTCAACAGCAACACTAACCCAAATGCCACCAACCATGCCACCAACCACACCACCACCAATTCCAACAACCACAACAGAATCAATCTGTCCATCCTCGACGAAAATATAGACTCCCCCCATACAATCCATTCCTCAGACTCCATACAAAACAACATTGACACAAATGATCCATCAAATATCAGCTCAAACAACGTGAACTCAAATAAACAGCCCTATCTATCTCCAGAGGCTGCCACCTCTTGTTTACCTTCCATAATAGCTGTCCCCAACACTGTTCAAAACAACAACAACTCCACCAACTCCCACCCTTCTCCTAACCCAAACCACAACAACCTCATCAAAAACCCATTAATCTACATGACAATAGAATACGATAAAACGGTTTCTCTAGTTGAACCTTCCTCCGGTCTCATCAAAAACCCTACTTTCAATAACGTTTCAAACTTCGATGTCATCAGAAATGGCCTCCTCACAATCCAACTCTTTGTCAAAATCCCAAACATCCTAATTCCAAAGGACATCAACTCAATCTACAAAAACAAAAATAACTTCAACCTAAAAACTCCCTCCCAACAAATCCTCATCGGCACTGCTAGAATCCCCCTAAACCTAAACAACTTCTCTTCCAAAAAGAGACTTCTCAACCACGAATGGCTAAAACTAATCAACGACAACGTAATCAACGGCTATATCTCAATAACAATAGAATACAAACCTTCCTCAACTAACCTTTCAAAATCCCTCTCAATCGACCAATTCGACCTCCTAAAAGTCATCGGCAAGGGTTCCTTTGGAAAAGTAATGCAGGTCCGTAAAAAGGACACTCAAAGAATCTACGCCCTCAAATCAATCAGAAAAGCTCACATTGTATCAAGAATGGAAGTCATCCACACCCTAGCTGAAAGAACTGTCCTTGCTAAAATCAACAACCCCTTCATTGTCCCTCTAAAATTCTCCTTCCAATCAAATGAAAAACTATACTTTGTCCTAGATTTCATCAATGGCGGTGAATTGTTCCATCACCTACAAAAAGAAGGTAAATTCACCCTAAATAGATCAAGATTCTACACCGCTGAACTTCTAATCGCCCTAGAAAGTCTCCATTCTCTAAATGTCATTTACAGAGACCTAAAACCTGAAAACATCCTACTAGACTACCAAGGTCACATTGCTTTATGTGACTTTGGTCTTTGTAAGCTAAATATGAAAAATAGCGAAAAGACTAACACCTTTTGTGGTACTCCAGAATATCTAGCCCCAGAATTATTATTAAACAAAGGCTATACAAGATCCGTCGATTGGTGGACTCTAGGTGTCCTCCTATATGAAATGTTAACCGGTTTACCTCCCTTTTATGACGAAGACGTTCCCAAAATGTACAAAAAAATCTTATACAACCCCTTAACTTTCCCAACAAACTTCGATCCCCTAGCAAAAGATCTAATTTCAAATCTATTGAGCAGAGACCCTGAAAAGAGATTGGGTAACGGCGAAAATGGTGCAAATGACATTAAAAATCATAAATTTTTTCAAATTATCGATTGGAATAAATTGGTCGAAAAAAAATACACTCCCCCTTTCAAACCACCCGTTAGTGACGCCTTTGATACAAGTAATTTCGATATAGAGTTCACAAGCGAAAGACCCGCCGATAGTCTTGTCGACGATTATTTAAGTAAAAGTGTTCAAAAACAATTTGAAGGTTGGACTTATATTGGTGAAAGTAGATTGGCCTGATTTTTTTCATTATTTTTATCTTCATTTATCATTCACCATTTACCATTTTTTAATTTACATCACATTTACATTTAAACTCACAATAACATTAAAAGAAAAACAAGACATAAATACATAAATACATAGAATTTCAATCAAAATCAAAAAAAGCACTAAAATCAAAAATGAGAAAATGAGAAAATGTTTATATATTTTTTTAACCATTTGTTTACTTACTTATTTACCTATTTACCTATTTACCTATTTACTTATTTACTTATTTATTTACTCATTTACTTATTTACTTATTTACTTAATTATGTTTTTATTGTTTATTTCCAAAATGTTTCCCCTTATATTTTCAAATTCAATTCAAAAGTTTTATTTAGCATACCTACACTGGTTTTCACTTTTAAATTTTGAGTTTCACTCATAAGTTCCTCTTTATTCAATTTATATTTTTTTCTTTTTTTCTTTTTTCTTTTTTCTTTTCATATTGTGTTCAGTTTATTGGTCCAATTCCAAACATAACATAATATAATGCAATTGATAAGATTTGTTAATTGCAATCTATGTGATATCGATAACTCAATAGTAGATGCATATTGAGCACCAGTTGTAAACCAAATTACGAATTTGTTTAGTCTATATTCTATCTCTGTTCATTGACGTTACGAACCAAAGTCCAGAAAAATGGATACAACCTACCTCTAGTCCCCGAAAAACCCATGCACAACCTTAAAATCTCATCCACTTCAGCGTATTGATTCACATACAACAGGTTTCTGAAATTTCTTATACTAAAACCTCTTCTGTTTGAAAATTATCAAAACTATCCTACACCAATAAAACTCCAATGCAATATCAGAATTGTAATAAAAATCTAAATCTGTTTTATGGCCATGAAAAACAAAACTTACTCTGATATAAATTATTTGACTTTATCTCAAAAACACTGCAATATAACCTCACATTCTAGTTCTTTTTTTAATCAAAACCAATCCTTTAGATAGATCCTATTCTGGTTCCATTATTAACAATCTTAACAATCTTACAGATAGTTCCAAAAACCTTGATGACAGAAATAATCAATATGATAACAAAGAAAATAGCACCTTGAGCTTTCAAGATGAAATCAATACCAGTATTCACCCACTAGACTCACCAAGCAACTTAAAAAGAGACAGTTTAGCACAAAGTATAAGAAGCATCAGCAACATAAGCATAAGAAAATCAAGCAGTAAAAGTGTCTCAAGCAAGAACAACATCAATATTGAAGTCTTCAAGGGTCTAGAGATTTACGTAATTAGCGCTGATTTGCGCAATGTTTGGGTCAGGTCAAATAAAGCTTAAATACGAATTTGTGTCAACTGATGAGAGCTTTTTATTAGTCTCCATGCCAAAATCTCGCACTTAATTTTTCATTGGGTCGGATATTGGAAGAAACTTCGTTTATAGTCACGTGCCATCATTCTCTAAGCTGCAATCGATATAATCCAATGAATCTCAGAGGTCTTTATATAAAATGTAACTGATAACCAAGTGTCAGATTATCGGCGAAAAATATAAATTAGCTAACTTGAAGTCTTGGTGATCTCTGTTTTATATTAAACAAGATTAAAAGTAGAACTTTTATAAAAATGGCGTTATTATTATAGTTTATTCGGCATCATAATATTTGAGAGATTGACAATATTGTAAAAAAACTTTTTTGCTGGTATCGCACTGAGGTACAATAGGGTTACTTCAAAGATCAACTCTTAAGGCCAAAACGAAAGTCGCAAAGGCCATCGTGATGTCGAATCTAAGGGCCGCAAACACCTATTGTTTACAAAAACAACTTTTCTTGGATGGTTAAGCTTCGCTGTAGCTTCATGTACTTACAAGTATCAAAAACATTGAAAGTGTACCACCAGGTTGGCGACTGACCGATTGACTAATCATGGTCAGATGCCAGTCCGTTTTTTGATGAGTTCCGGAATCGAGCCACTGACCTGTAGTGGATTCTGTGGCTTAGTTTGGTCTATATATATTTTTCCCAATAAACAGAAGGCAAGAGGACGCGATAAGTCTCATCATAACTGTAAAACACCTGCGCTTTTCACATCAAGTTTGCCATATACTGCTTGTAGAGATTTCAGTATTGGATATTTATCACTTAAATGAAGCCAAACGCCATTAACGGGAAGTCTCAAAGCAAAAAGAATTTTACTTTCAAAAGTGCAACGTGTATTAAGATATTGCCAATTACAAATTTAATCACCAGCGTATGTTTTTTCCTTTAGAATTGACTTTCACAGCAACCCATTTTATTGTATTGAATCTACGTAAGCTCAGTACTTGGTTCTTAGATGAAAAGCTGAATTATTGCTTATTGCTTCAGAGACATTAACAACACAGTGAGGATGCTTCGTCTGGTGAAGAAATATATTGCATACTCTATTTCTTTGTTGGTTACTGTAATTGAAGTTTAATACTGTACAGCTTTGCCAACTAAATGTCAAGAAAAAGGAGTCCATTGTTTTGAAGAGATGAAACGTTCAGTTTCAAGCTTTTCATTTCCAATTTCAAAGAAGATGTCTTTCATCTAATCAAATTAAACTTGTCTTCTCTGATACTGGATCCAGCAGCTTCAAGATTAAATTTAGAAGTTATTTCAGCCATTGTAGGATTAAATGATAAATAAAAAAATAAATATTTATTTAGAGATTAAGTTAAAATATATAAATTTGAAAAAGGCATTTAAGAGTAGAACTGTACAATGATTGAGCCATATATTCACTCTTTATAAAGAAGAAAGAGAAAAATTTGCGTACTTTTATATTGTAGTTCTGTAGATATTCAATGTCTTGGATTGATTGGATTTCATTTCAAATCAGTGACTATGAAGAACAAAGTAATAATTTAAACTGTGATTCTCAGTTTTAAAAATACAAAATAATCTAAATTATGGGTCATTATCTTGAACACCAACTTGAAAGATATACAATTTTAACATTTGGAGAAATATTCATATAATCTTCAACTGTCTCACTTAATTCGTTTTCGTGTAAAAGAAGAAATATTAAATTATCTTGATTTTCTCTGGTTCTAAAAGAAAAATGCGTCAAATGGTTCTGATTCAAGTCAATTGAGTGAATAATAGTTAGAATCTCAAAATATTTCAATTTTGTTAATGAATTTTGGTTCAATTTAAGGACTTTCAATTTGGAAAGTTTGTTGACATTCGCAATAGACAACATATTAATTTTATTCCTTGAAAAATTAAAATACTCAACATTCTCTGGAATATAAATATTTCTCAAATCTTTAATTACATTATGAGTAATTCTAATTCTTCTTAATTTTTTAAAGTATATTTCATTTCCAGTAAAAAAAAGTGTATTTTTAACGTTTTCAATTAAATTTTGGTTCAAACTAAGATTCACAAGATCCTGTAACTTATTGATTTCTCCTAACTCGAAAATCTGATTATTATCTAACAATAATTCTCGAAGTTTTTGTAAGTTAATTATTGGATCAATGTTTTTGATTTCATTATCATTTCCTTCTAAATGAACCAAATTTTCTAATGTTGATAAATACCTAATATCTTCAATATTATTTCTAGGAAATGATAATCTCTTCAATTTTGTTAAACCACTTAGAAATTTAATATTAGTGATTTGATTATTACTTATGTTTAAATCAATCAATAGAGTTAGCCTTTTTAAGCAAGACACTTTACTAAGATAATTCCCACTTAAGTTTAAACGTTTTAATAAAGTTAGTTTGGCTAAGGGTTGGATATTGGTAAAACTAAAATTACGAATTACCTCAATAGGTTGCTGTTGATTAACTTGGATTGGATTATCATTTTGATTATTTTCTACTCTCTCTTCTTCACGAAGTAACATAGTATTTGGTTGTGTATTAATAACCTAATAATAAAACTGTCTACCAAAAAATGTTACAGTTCCTTGTCTTTCTCGGTGCCCTCTTTTGGCTTCAATAAAATTTTGATTATTGGATATATCTAAAGTTCTTAAATTGGTTAATGTTGATAGATGTGATATGTCTTCAATGTTATTATTAGCCAAATTTAACGTTGTTAAATTAGTTAAACTTGGAAACATCCAAATGTCCAGAATATGATTTCCAGACAAATTCAATTCAGTAAACGTTCAAGGTTTTCTAAACTGCGACCTAGAAATCGAACTGTTTTCATTTTGAGAAAAGGAACAAAAGGCTGTATCCTTAATGTTGCATTAACAGTGGAATAGTTAATTGACAATCTCATGAATGAATTTAATTCTCTAAAAAATATATTGTCATCAATTGGAAACTGAAATAGATCAATTTTAATCTCATCAATATCGCTATTATTAAACCCATAATTGGTTTTTGATTGAGTCATATATGTTGATCTTTTTTCTTTAAAAATTGAAGAAGTTTTACTAAAGGATTCGAATTTTAAAAAGTATTCTGCATTGTTTGTGGTGTAAATCATATTCATATCTGCAAAAATTTGATTTGAAAACCAAAAATCCTTGAAAAGATCATATGAAGTGATCTTCAAAGTGTTTGAGTTAAGAAGGATTAATAATTTTGTAAACCTATTCAAAATTTCAGACTTCAACGCATGTGTATTGAATGCTGAACTATATACTATTCTATAATTAAATCTGTTAGGCCTCGGATTACTATTATAAATGATGAGATTGGTTTTTTGTAAATTTTTTGATTTTTTTAGAATACAACCCGATCGATTCAAACATGTTGGGTGTAATTAAAAAAGATCCATCACTATTGTAATATTTCGAATTAATCATGTACATTCGATGTCGAGGTTTCTAAAGTCTGGGATCTTAAATTTTAAAACATCTCTTGGTATATCGAAATACCTTTCATCAGATTGATAATCAGAATATTTATCATCAACATAATAATAATCATAATCCAAATCATCAGGATCTGAACCACCATGATCTAAATCATCATAATCTAAATCATCATAATCTACACCATTGCAATCTAAATCATCATAACCCAAGTCAAAAATATCATCAGATTTTCTCTTTTTTCTTCTAAAACAAATATTGGTTTTTTCTGAAGCAACATGTAAAACCACAGAGTGATATAACCTCAGAGCAGCAGATAATTCCACTGTTCTGAGATTTGACGTTCTCATTGGCAAAACATGCTTGTTATGAAGATTGGAAAATATTTTTTCAATTAATTCCCTAGGAATCAAATCCATGTTTAGTATTTAATATTTAATATTCAGTAATGTGTATAACTATGGTTGTTATCATCAATATTGCCTGTGTTATACTATCAATGAAGCTTATTTTGATTTTGAATATGAATACACACTACATTATTTATATGGAAGAATATAAAAGAAAATATGAATCAGTTATTTCGTTATTCACATTTTTAACTAGAAGTGTTTATTGAAATTCGAATGGTAAATATTTTGTTGACTTCATTGCAGTCTCTATCAGTATAAATACAACAGGGCAGTTTTCATATTAGCTATTGATACTTTTCGAAATGAATTATTTAATTTCTGGTTCTTGAAAGATAATTCCAAATATATCAAA